TAATTATAATAAGCTTAGGGGATAAGTTAAGACTCATAAAAAATTTAAAATAGGATATAAAATATATCTTTAGGTTATTTCATTTATCTTAAAAAGATAGAGACTTTAAACCCTTATTTGTAGGTCTCTATATAAAATAATATAAGTAGTTAATTACTCTAGAACTGATTTCATTATTATTCTTTTATATATTCCCAGAAAAAGTAAATATTCCTAGTAGACTAATATATATAGATTATACAAATAGAATAAGATAGATGAAATTTCTCTTAAAAAGACCTTAAGATAGAATCTTAATTTAAAATATTAGAAATTATAAGGTAAATATCAATAACTAGATTAAAGCTATATATCTAATTTATAACTAGAACATAGCTAGTTTTGATATAGATTTATATCTATAAAAAGAGTATTTCTAATAGTATAAACTAAGCTTTCATCCTATTTATCATAGCCTTAATTTAATATAATGAAACTATTCTTAAAATAATATAATATAATAAAAAACTATTATATAACTAAAGTTAAAAAGTTAAAAAGTTAAGAAGGATTAAAGTAAATGCTATTATTTTAGTATATTTTGTTTCAATAAAGATTTTGTATTATTTTACTATTTTTACTATAATAGATTAGTAATAATTTTATATTCATCTTAATATAATAGCTGAAGTTAGTATCATTAATTTGAAATTAATAAAAATATTGATTTAAATCTATAAAATTTATAATTCTATATATATACTGAAGTAGTTGTTTTAACTTATAAAGCCTCTAAAAAATTTTTCCTGTCAATAGATAGCTAAAATATTACTATATTAGTAGAATAGACTTATATTATAATTAAAAGAGACCTAATCAATTAACTAACGTCTTATTCTATAAGAAAGAATTAATTAATGCTTACTTATATTTTTTTCCTAAGTAATAAATAGATTATCTAGGCCTTGGTATTTCAATAAAATTAATATATAAGATATAGATTTATAATTCTGACTAAAAGTAGAGATAAATAGAAAATAGTATCTTTAATCTAATATAGTTAATTTAAATATAGATTTATTATAGAAACCCCCTTTCTAACTACCTCTACTTAACGTATCTCATATAAGTAATTATCAATCTTCTAAAACGTGTAGAAAGAGATACCTTGATAGTTTTAATATATAATTTAAAAAATTTAGAGTTTACTATCTAAGCTATTAAAGTTAAGAGCTCTATTTTAAATAATAAGGTAGGGAGTACGTTAAGTAATATATTATTAGTAGATAGGCCGCTAAGGATATTAGATAGATTAGTACGCGGGTTAGGATACTAGAATAGCTTTTTTCTAAAAATTATAATAATAGTAAAAAAGTTAAATTTCAAGCTTTAAGATAGATTAGAATATAATTTTTAACTATAATAGCTAGAATAGATCTTAAGGATTCTATATATAATTTAGTAGTATATAAGTTATAAGTTTTCCCTTCTATAGGTTTAAGTTAGAATACTAGTACTAGCTAATATAAGCTACGCTAGCTAAAGGTAGTTAGAAAGGAGGTTTTATATTAGTCGCCTTTAAATGTATAATTATATCTTTTAAATTAACTAATATATCTATTATATTTTAGAATATACTATTTTATATAGAATTCTAGATAATATTCTTATATTCTTTAAGATAAGAGATAAAAATATAAGCTATATTAAATAAGTACTAAAGTTTTTATAAAAGCTTAGCTGTCTATTAAGCTACTAAGTATATATTTTATTAATTTTAAGTTAAATTTATTAAATATATTATTAAAAAAAGAAAGTATCTCTATAGATTAAGAAAGACTAAGAACCTACTTTTCTCTAGTATATATCTTAGAGTTTTAAAGATTTTAAAGTCTTTATTGGAGTTTATATCTTTTATAATAAGTTTATATATAATTTCTCTTAGATTCTATAATATCTTAGTTCTTTTTTTAAAAGGAAGTAATTTATATATTTATTAGGGTATAAGAAAAAAGACTTTTAAGATTGATTAAGGCTTTTAGATTAGCTCTAGTTTAGCTTATTTTAACTTTAAATTATCTATTAGACTAGAAACTAATACCCTAAGATAGGATATAGCTAATATTCTATCTAAGCTAAATAGAAAAAAGGGTTTATTATATTCTGATTATAGAAGATTACTAATCTAGAGATAGATTATAATATAGTCTTTTAAGACTTAGTACTTTTATTATAGTGTTTAAGTAGTTACTAATTTAATGATATATATTTTAATATTTATAGATACTTTAAATCTCTAAATCAAAACATAATAAAAACTAATCATTTACTTAAATCTTATCTTTATCTCTATAATTAATAGATAACTAGAGAGTTCCTTCTATCTTTGTAAAAAAGTTCTGATAAGTTTTAAAGATTAAATCTATCAACTTTTTAAATTTTCTATTAAATTATTATAGAAAATTTGCTTTTTATTTTAAGATAAAAATATACTTATATATAAGCTTAGTATGATCAATAAGAGTAATTTATTAATAAGTAATATATAAGGATACGAAGTAAAAGGTAAGTTTTAGTTCGATCGAAGTTATTATTGGTATATATAACTTGAATTCTAATTTAGATCTCTTTTTATTATAATATAAGCTTATTTTACTAATCTACTGGTATCTTTATTATTTTGGAAATATGAATTATCATGAAAGCCTTATATCCAAATGAAAAAAGGTTTCATATTATATGAATATATAGAATTAACAAAATTATAAATCCAAATTGATATTTGATATGAACTCTGGACTGATAAAATTAACTTTAGCTATAACATTCAATTTTAATTAGTTTATTACTATTAATTCTAATCTTAATCTAAAAAGAAAAAAGGAAGATTTAACTTTTATTAAGAATATTGATATATATTAAATATAGCTACTTGAAGTTATATAGAAAATATATAGCCTTGATTTAAATTTTAATGTTTATCTCGAAATTGGTAATACTTAAATTAAAATAAGAATTTACTTTTTCAAGTATCTCTAGGAACTAATATAGAGCTTATATCATTCTAGGGCTTTTTTCTAATGGATATTTATTATAATTTTCTATTTATGTAATTTATATATACTAATTTAGTAAGAAATTTTACGGCATAAATATAACAAGTATATGAAGTAATTATTAATTTTGGAAAAGAGTATGAAAGAAGACGAAACAGATATATATCTCACTAAAATTAAATAATAACTTATTATCGAAAGATACATCTATCTAAAATAAGGATATCAACCCCTTTTGGGACACTTTGATGTTTATTGAAAATAATTAGATTAAATATACGAAAATAACTAATTTTGAATACAAAAAAAAGAGTATGATATAAAAGCTCTATACTACTTCTATTCTACTGCTAGGGATATTTTAATATATATTCACTATTTCTTTACATAGTTGGGAATAAAAGACTTAGAGATTTGGAATCTACAAGAGGCTAAACAAGAAAAGAATAGTGAAGATAGAAATTACATATGAAATACTACTAAAATCATTAAAATCTAGAATAATATAATTGAAATCTAGAATAATATATTTGAAATTGGCTATAAAAAATCTCCTCAAAGAAGGAAAGAACATGCACAACAGAAATTTTTCTTCTTCCCTATTTCAGAGCAATTTAGAGCTAATTAAGCTATTCATTTTCAGAAAATTAGTAACTATCTTTTCCTTTACAATAGTTACAAGTTTTATTCTCTAATTATAAAACACCTTTCTTATATTGATTCAATTACCTGTTTAATACATTGCTCCCAACAAGTATCATTAAAACAAACTAGAAATATAAAGTTCCCTTTTATCCAAGCTTTATAAATTAACCCATTTTTTATTTAGATATTTAACAATATTATTCCTTTAAAGATGAAAATCCTAAAACTATATATGATATATATATGCATTAGTTTTCTGATAGGTTAGAGAGAAATGAATAATATACCCTTATAATAATCTTAAGACTATGATATTTTACCTTGCTGTAGTTGTATTAATATCTTAATTTAATTTTGCTGTAGTTGTATTAATATCTTAATTTAATTTAATAGTAGCATATGTTGTATTAATATGTATTCAGCTATATTCAACAAGTGATTGTATTCACAAATTATAGTGATTTAGTCATGGATATAATTAATATTAATGAAATAATAAGCAAAACCAAAATTAGAGTTAGGTTCAAATAAAGACCAGTATATTAGTGTCTATATACTATTATTACTTACTAGACAATAATATTTATATATAAATAAACTTAGTATATTATTACTGATTTGTTCTCAAGAACGAAGTACTAATAATTCAATAAACTCAATAAAATTGACAGACCTATATATAAATCGTGAAATAAAGATCTTATATTTATCCTATATAATAAGCATAGACTCACGTATTTCACAAGCGAGCGGGTCACCCGGTCAGCCAGGTCACCCTAAGAATAGTAAAAACGATTTTATATCTCGACAACAACGTATGTAACCCGTATCAAAGTTTCGGTACTATTTCTTGACGATAATTGTAGTTCAGGTTTAAAACGTGATATGATGGAGGTTATAATGTTACCATAGAATACACCATGATCTGGCCACTGAAGCTTTGAAAATATATTCTTGACTCAACGCCCCTATAGAATGTTTTCAAACCCTAGATATAGGCCTTAGATAGTGCTAAGAATATCTATATTCGAGCAAAGCCTAAGAAACGCTGTGGTTGTTGAAATATAAAGCTATAATTTATCGCAGTAACTATATGTTTTGGGATGACCCGCTGACTTGTGAAATACGTTAGTGATTAATCATTCTTTACTGATTAGCCTTTGTATTGTAATATTAGTATGCCTCTTAATTAATTAAGTATCTACATATATGAGATGTAGTAGGCGTATTCATAAATTTACAACGTGAACATATTTAGAGGATAGATTAGCAAAATGTAGTGAGGAGTATAACAGAAAACCCTATACCATCGCTACTAGCCTAGGTAAAAGAGATCTTCACATTTTCATACACTAAAAAGGTCACCCAGGTGCTGGGTAAAACACGCAAGAGATTAGGTCCTAAACCTTTATAGAAGCCAGATATGCCTTCACGAGCCCATACCTGCATAACAGCATCGGTGGCACCTCGATACATCAAGGGCGCGTCATAGGTTTGTAACCGGGACCTAATCACCTGGTATGGATAAGTGGCACAGCCAGCGAAGAGCTTTGAGAGGCTGGACAGGGCGAGGAAGTCCAGGTTGTTGAGTTTCCGTGTCTTGTTTTCGTGTCCCACACCCAGATACGAAGAATCCTGAGTTGTATGGGACCGTAAAACCTTCAATCGGTCATAAGCCATGAATTGAAGAGCGCCGTGACTGACCCCAAATAAAGCAGGGACAAGGCCGCGATAGAAACCCGGTACACCCTCGGTACGGTATATATGCGTTACACCAGTTGTGAAGGAGGAATAGGCACCAGGAAACTGGGAGCCGGTTGAAAGCATGCGGGTCTTAATAACCCAAATTGGATTCGTCAGAAGCGATGTTAGGGCACCTGAAAATCATGATGGTTAGAATTGGAGAAAAGCTTCCGTAACCTTCGGCTTACCAACCTGCCGTTCCCGAAGCCAAAAAGTAATCAAAGGATGTGAGCGCCGAAGGATTGCCTCGGTAAATGCACATGCCATTCTTCAGGCTGCCATAAAAGAGGAAATACAAAGCCCAACTTGTGGAATTGCCAACGAGGTTTGGAGCCAGTCCACGGTAGAAGGCAGCGAAGCCACCTTCGTACCTTGAGATGTCACGGACAATCTGAATTGAACTGCCGAGACGAGTTGTAGCATTGCGATCAACTAAAGAACCCGAAATGTCAGATGAAAGAGCAAACGGGACAAAGAACACGAGTTATATACCCTGCAGTCTGGTCTTCACCAGATCGAGTGGATGAAGGCAGAGCGTTGAGACCACCCCTGCAGTGAAACCCGCTACGGTCTCCACAAAAGATGACGACAAGCCATCTTGGCCCGTCATGAACCCTGTAACCTCGAAGAATTGGGGGTGACGTGTTAGTAAGTGAAGGTTGTAGTTGTTGGAGTGTGTAAATTATGTTTGGTTGGAGGTTTCCGCCGGTTTTCTGCCACGGATGCGGAGAGCTATGAGAAGAAGGAAAAAGCTTCATAGATGGTCTAGACGTGAGATTCACAAGGGTTCTACGGGAGACATGATTGATTGTATAAACCGATTTGATCATCTTAAAAATACATGGGTTCACAGCCGGATGATTGCCCGACCATATTATAGCTCCGGAGACAAGAGAGGACTGCAAGGTCTCTCAAGGTTTATGAGATCCAGTCCAGAGTCCTTCCTCTCGATGCTAAGGCTTGTAGGTTTAAGCCAAGGGCGAGAACAACCTAACCGCTGGGTTAGATATGTGCGTGTGGGAACATATTGAGGGAGACTTCGAGCATAGCCGGGGTTTTCAATGCACAACATACTTGAACAGAGATGGCTTGGGTTCGCTGTAAGAGTAGCCTGTTTCCTCAAGATCAGTTGAAGCCCATTACAGAGAAAGGTGCGAAACTTACCCAGGTAGATAATAAGAGGCAGGTAGCCGCTGGTGGATCACCAGATTAGTTCGGTCGCCGATGAAGTGGACACTGTCGGTCAAGTTGGGTAAAGAGCTCACTAGTGAATCGCAACGCGAGAGACATCAATGACCTTGGAAACGCGTTCCTATAGTGATGGAAACAGCACCTTAGCATTCTTGAAGAGGAGTCATCTTGAGGTTCTTTGGTCATAACCAACCTTGGTCTCTTCGGAGAATTGAACCATATTGGCAGTAGTTTTAAGGCGAAGAATGGAAGGGTAATAGAAGGAGTGAATGAAAAAGGCACGACCAAAAAGTACTTGAAAAAGCCTTTTAACCCAAACTCGATGGATAAGGTGGATGGAAGAGATGTGTGAAGAGAGAGACGGATGTGGTTGCGGGAGAGAGAGTTCAGAAGTTTTCGGCGCGGAACATGATTCAAGATTGAGCATCCTCTCCTCCTTTCAACCACCTCAATCCCCTACCTTACCACTCCACCAACTTCCCAATACTATAGCTCCAATTCGCATTTTTTTCATTCAGAAGACTTTAATCTGTGATCTTCTATCATTACTGTCTTGCCGACGGACTCTCCTGACTCGTTGGCGCCATGTCCGGCGCAAGGCATTGGTAAGATCCTCCTAGGCTCTGGCACTGGGATCTCGCGGCTAACTAAGCACAGGGAACAGGACAAGGAGGCTACTGTATATATTGGAAACCTCGATGAGCGCGCCTCAGATAGCCTAGTATGGGAGCTCATGCTCCAAGCCGGGCGTATCGTGAACGTTCACTTGCCCAAAGACCGTGTCACCCAGTCGCATCAAGGGTACGGCTTCGTGGAATTCATTAGTGAGGAAGATGCAGAGTACGCCTCAAGGATAATGAATGGGATTCGTCTTTTTGGAAAACCAATCCGCGTGAATAAGGCGTCGGCCGACAAACAGAAGTCTGTGGAAATTGGCGCCGAGCTTTTCGTTGGCAACCTCGATCCCATGGTCACCGAACAAGTTCTTTTTGATACATTTAGCCGCTTTGGCAACCTCATCAATCTCCCCAAGGTTAGATCCAGCCTTCTAATTCGAGTGAAAATATGTGCTTCCAACGAGCTGACTGGGTTTATAGATCGCTCGCGACGACAACAACTTGTCCAAAGGTTATGGCTTTGTGTCATTCGCCGACTTCGAGTCTTCTGATGCCGCGATTGCCAATATGAACGGGCAATATCTGATGAACAAGCAAGTTTCGGCGCAATACGCTTACAAGAAGGATGGTAAAGGAGAGAGACATGGCGATGAGGCAGAACGAATGTTGGCTGCGCAGGCCCGGAAGCACAATGTTCGACCGCCAACCCAACAGGCTCCATCGGCCTTCCCCGGGGCTGGTCCAGGTGCTGCACCGCCTACAATGCCAAATGGCGATGGACCCCGACCAGTGAGCACCGTGCACCAGTCGTCTGATCCTGGCATAAGTCGAACTATGCCCATGGGTTACCAAAGCGTACCTCCTCCACAATCCCGGCCTAGCCCGTCCCCTTCATCACTGACTACCCCGCCGCCGGGCTTACCTGCCCGCCCACCGCCATCTCAAGCTGGATATGGAGGCCCTCAAGCTTTCCTCCCTCCTGGGTTCAGTGGCACAGGCCAGCAACCATCCTTTGCACCGCAGAGCGCGCCGCCACCTGGATTTGCACCACCAGGCTTTGGACCCCCAACAGGTGCAGCTGGTGCACCGCCTCCACTGCCGCCAGGCTTTCAGCAACCAGGCTATGGAGGGGGCCGATGAGCACCATCGGTTTGATCAGCATGAACTCATTCCTTATCCTTGATTCCTTCTCCAACCTGGTATCTACCCACCTTACACAGTGGCTCCTGGAAGTACCATCAAATGATCCACAATAGAACGAGAGCATGAAGAACGTTCCTATCACCTTGATGGAATGTTTCTGTCCCCTTCAGCTTATGGCAACCAGGCTGCACCTTTACCCTAGAATTACGGGCCGTGGGAATAAAGCCAGCACGGATAGGTGAATTTTCTTTGAAGTGGCCATACATTACACACGATCGGCATTCCCCACGCAGTTGTTCTATCTAATAGTTGAACGAATCGCATAGAAAAGAGAAGGGAGACAAAAAGACGGAGAGTTTAGTGAATGGAAACAGATTTGTCACGTCCTGTTGTAAGCCTGAATGAAGTTAAACAGAGAGTGTTGAAACCACCACGATCTCCTCGCTGGGGAATGTAGAGTTTGGGCTAGGTATGGCGAGACATGGAACCATCGGGGAAACAAAAAGAGAGAGGTAGTCAAATCTTGACTTGCAGTAGATGCGCGGCGCAACTCATGAAAACGAAACGAATTTAGGATCCCGGGGGCGGCCGTCAGGGCCGATGTTATTACGTGCGAATCGTTGTTCAGTATAGATGCGCCGGGCTTCGTCAAAATCCACCTTGCGGGTTTTCATGATCCTTCGGACTTCTTGCTTTGCTCTTTGGTCTAGGCCTGCTCTAGAGTCCCCGTCGGCAAGATTAGCTGTGATATCGAAATGCGACGAACTCAGGCCGGCTTCCAGATCCCCGGTGAAGCTGGAAGGGAGGCGATCATAAATGTAATCCGGGACTGGCAGCAGAGGGATCCATCGGGATCTGGTGAGGTACAGCGCTGGAGAGGTCAGTGACCCTGGACCAAGTGAGGACTGGGCCGGAGCTTACCTGTGCCCGAGATAATTACGGAGAATAAGAGCGCATAGAAAAGAGTGTAGGTCATGGTGGACAAGGCGGATCGCGCAGTTGGCCTGATCTACGCTTCAAAGAGAGATTCACGGTCGACCACGGATCCGAGGAAGAGAAGTTGCATTCGTCATCTAATTTCGGCCTATTCAATCAGGCTGCCATATAGCAGCAACGTCATTTAGTGCCTGATATGTAAGGCATGTGGTCTATACCCAAAGAAGCCGGCTTAGCGAGGCTCATAGGAAGTGCTTCACACACCAAAAATCACGGGTCTTGAAATCAATCTCAATCCCTTTTGACCCCAAATCCGTCATCATGGCCGCCGAACGTACCAATGTCTCCAACGACCTGATCTGGCAGATCGTCCGTATGTTTTTCTCCCCTCGAAATTTGGTCGGAGGCTGATCCGCTGGAGGACAGGCAACCAGAACGCCTATCTGGTCCGCCGCAACACCGGTGGTGGTTCCCAGTTCTCCCGGGACCCCCTCAACCTGGTCAACAAGCACTCTTTCAAGGTATGGAGTGGATATTTTTTGTGCCACCTTTTTCTGGTAGCTATTTTGGTGGAATTGCGGACTGACCCAAGCTTTTATATGGTTATTTTTAGTATGCTGGCTTTGTCAACAACAAGGTATCCATATCTACGACCCTTAAATCCCCCTTACAAGCTCTGATTTCTCTTCTCAGGCTATCGGTGTCCAGGCCGCTGAGAACGGTGGTGTGAACGTGATCACCAAGAAGCCCGGCAACCCCCAGCAGCCCCGCCAGACCGAGGTCACCGTCAACTACGGCCCCAAGACCTCCAACCGCAAGTAAGCAGACCACATGTTTTAAAGCATTTTGTCTTACATAGAGGCGATACTGATCAGATACAGGATCTACAAGGGTGTTGCCGCCAAGACCGCCGTGAACGGTTACCGTGCCGACATTCGTGAGGAGGCCGTTGCCCGTGTCAGCGCCGTCCGCCGCTCGCAGAAGCCCAAGAAGGACACCCCTGCCCGCAAGCCCCGCAGCGTCAAGGCCCGCCGGGCTGCCGAGAAGGACGAGTAAATCCGTCCCTCCCAAAAAGCAAATGGGTGAATAACTGGGAGAGCGCGGATTGGAACAAATCCAATTGGCGTTTGGAGACCGCCATCATGCTGGGTATACCCAGCGGAGGTGTGTAAACTAGTGAACTTTCCCGGCAAAGGAGTACTGTTCTCTCTAATCCTTTTTTCTGAACCTTTTAAGAAAGTGAGAAGCGGGAGAAAGAGAGCAAATCCAATGCAAGACCAATAAATCCTCCCATCATTATCCCCAGTAGAACGAGTAATCCCCGGGATACGGCGGAAAAGGTCTCAACCTCCGGAGCGGGTGCTATGTGTAGATGAGACCGACTCCGGTAGACTACCCGACGGGCCGACTGTATACACATTTGAGCCTCGGGTCTGGACCAGTGGGGAAGAGGAACGATGTCGTTCTGTGACGTATGAACAGCCCCCGATAGTCCCGCCTTTTCCCGATATTGGAACCCGGAGAAGGAATCACGGGCAAAGACGAGAATCATCGGATGGTACTTCGGGAGTAAATAGCATGAAGATGATACCAGGAGAATTACCATCATGTGAGGTTACGTGGTACGTAAATCCAGCCCAGTCTAAGCCTACTTGAGGTTACCGGTATAGAGAGATTGGGAAAGAGAAATCTTCCAATGGAACCCTTTTATCTTCCATCAAGTCCAAGATTGAAGAACAAAGTATGAGGAGATAGTAGTTAGTAGATAGTAGATCTCAAGTAGCTTCGAATATGAGTAGTTTTCAACTCAGATACCAATAATACCCAGTCCATACTTAGTTCTAAGCTTGGGTCCCACTTGGTCAATTCCGGGGTTTCTGACCTTCGTACCTTGCCCCTCTTTCCTTCCCCCCCCACCATATTAAACCTACCTTCCCCCCTTCCATCATCTCTTCTTTCTTGTCAATCTTTCTCATACTCATACTCACACATACCCTTCATAATGGTTAAAGCTGGTAGGCTTCTCAGTTGGTCTTTGATCTCATCACCATCTCTAATCATATCTAGTTGTTCTTGGTGCCTCTGGTGGCATTGGCCAGGTAAGTCCATTCCTTTGCTTTCGGAATCCTCCATCAAGCTTGCTAACCATCATTAAATAGCCTCTCTCCCTTCTGCTGAAGGCATCTCCCTTGATTGACGAACTTGCACTGTACGATGTCGTCAACACCCCCGGTGTTGCTGCCGACCTTTCTCACATCTCTTCGGTGGCCGTATGTTTTCCCGCTTTGAACCCCTCTCCTCGGAAAACACCGATGCTGACCCAACCCTTTTGCCATCCCAACAGAAAATCACCGGCTACCTCCCCAAGGATGATGGTCTGAATAACGCTCTGACCGGCGCTGACATTGTGGTTATCCCGGCTGGCATTCCCCGTGCGTTACTTCTCCCCTGGTGATGAAGCAGATGGCAACTAACAATCTCGCAGGCAAGCCCGGTATGACCCGTGATGACCTTTTCAAGATTAACGCCGGAATTGTTCGTGACCTGGTGAAGGGCATTGCTGAGCACAGCCCCAAGGCGTTCATTCTGGTTATCTCCAACCCCGTCAACTCCACCGTCCCTATTGCCGCTGAGATCCTCAAGGCCGCCGGTGTCTTTGACCCCAAGCGCCTCTTTGGTGTGACCACTCTGGATGTGGTTCGTGCCGAGACCTTCACTCAGGAGTTCTCGGGCCACAAGGACCCCTCCAAGGCTACTGTGCCGGTTATTGGTGGCCACTCTGGCGGGACTATTGTACCCTTGTTCAGCAAGGTTTCCCCAAGCTTTGAGATCCCCGCGGATCGTTATGAGAAGCTGGTCCACCGTACGTATATGCCCGACTTGATTGCAGAGTGCAGTCACTAATCCTTCCCACAGGCGTTCAGTTTGGTGGTGACGAGGTTGTTCAGGCTAAGGATGGTGCCGGTTCCGCCACCCTATCCATGGCTTTTGCTGGCTTCAGGTACACTCTCCCCCTCCCCCTTAACATATTACACCACTGACTTCAATGCAGATTTGCCGAGGCTGTGATCAAGGCCTCCAAGGGCGAGAAGAGCATTGTCGAGCCTACTTTCGTCTACCTGCCCGGTGTTGCCGGTGGTGAGGCTATTGCCAAGGCTACTGGCCTTGATTTCTTCTCTACCCCCGTGGAACTCGGCGTAAGTTTTTGCCCATTTCTAGCACCCCAGAAGGTTCCTCCTAACACACTGTCAATAGGTCTCTGGTGCTGAGAAGGCTGTCAACATCCTGGACGGTATTACCGAGCGGGAGCAGGAGCTTCTTAAGGCCTGCATTGCGGATCTCAAGGGAAACATCGAGAAGGGTGTCGAATTCGTCAAGAACCCACCCCCAAAGTAATGCTGCCCCCTTTCTCCCCTTTCCAACCCTATGTTGCTATAGCACTATCGACTTTCCGCGTCCCCATTGGAAAAGCATTGCTAATTATGGTCATCCTGGAAAGATAGGCTTTAATCGTGAGGTTATGACATTATGAAAGAGCAGACATGAGTGTCGTCCTGGTGTGGTTAGACTAGGGTTTCACTCGCAATAATAGCAGAGGTCAAACAATGAATTGAGGCTCAGCCAATCGCATTTGTCTATTGTTCCTGAGTCTTACAAGGTCGTTCGTAGGAGGTAAACCCCATGGCGTTATTGGAGATTTGGCCTGTGCCCAGTCCAGCTGAGGCAGGGAAATGGAGGGTTTCAAGTCGATCACGGTCGAGCCTGGACCGTTTTGATCTGAAATGTTGCTCCTGGAAGGTCAGATGTCTCCGCTTGCACCGTAGTATTGATACCCAGGTTCGCCAATGCACCGCGAATGATCCCACAGGGGAACCATAAATACTGGAAGTCGGGTCAGCTGAGTCTACGTGATCAAGGGAAGTTCGCCATACCGCTTGTGCCCTTGATATGGCCTCACCTCGTGCCGTCATGCTCATCCGGGAGAAAGGCCGAAATGCGCTATCGGTCAGAACGTAGACTCCCTGCGTGACATTAGCGTTTCTGTGTAAGCCCCCGTTGTTTCTGTGTTTGTCGAACATACTCGGTGGTTAGTTTTGAGATTATCCACCTGTTTTCTGAATAGCACTGTCCATAAATCTTTGCAAAGAAACTTGATGACATCGAGATTATCGGTAAAGCGAGGACGATCACGGGAGAACCTACAACCGAGATTAGTGACCCAACATTCCCATCTGCGCGCGCGTGATTTGCCGCTAGACTTGGGGGCAGAGAGAACTCACCTTTCTGCCAGGCCCTGTCCTACTCTATACCCTAAAGATTCTAGGCGAAAGTATGTGGTCTCCCGAACTTCCTCCTCCTCTGGTTCGTTCTCATCCGTTGACAGCTCCTTGGCTAGACGTTCGGCCATTGGGACCAGCTCAATGAGGAGAAAGTCGAAGCAGGAGGAACTGAGTGCACGAGCATTGGGATCGGAGATGCTCAGCGAAGCTGATGCGTCAAATGACATGGTGACGGTGAAGCTGAGGATTGAGAAATTGGGGGGAAGTTGGTGAGGGGTGGGGTTTGGCCAAGGATGGAGAAGGCGGAGTGTTTTTCTTTTCTTCAAATCGACTGAACTAGAACTTGACTTCCCGCCACGCATTAAACTGAATACCGCAATCATTATATGTAACTAGATATAATGGTGTTCAAACCATTGTATTTCTGGGATTCCTGAAGAATAAGAAATAAAAATAAAAGAAAAAACCCTTTCCGAACAAGAATCCGCCCAAGACCACGCCAGAAACACCAGGCATGCATGCGAAAAGATTCGAGATAAATAGAGACTAAGGTAAAAAAGCTATGATGATGCACCTAGTGCGATGGAGGATAAGACCGGCCACTGAGAGGACTGCTGGCCACGGGTTGGTGAGGATCTTGCGACGAAATTCCTCGAACTGCAAAGCTCAATGCTGGTCGTTTCAGCGGCGGGCCAGGAGATTCGTCATCATCGTCATCACTACCGGTGAGATCGATGAATTCCGTTGCTGAGCGTTTTTTGCTGGACACACGAGCCATCGAGGACGGTGTTGACGTTTCTCGGGACTGAGCAGGTGTCCGCTCTAGTAGAGTACTGGAAGGCATAGGTTCCTGCTTCACGGCACCGTTCCCCGACTCGCTGATCTCAATCAGATCATCATCGTCATACTCGTCCGTTCCCGGAGTCACTCCACCCAGCTTCACGGTGTCCGAGTTATCCAGCTTGGACCATGCACCACTTGGCTCCACAACCACTTGGTCCACTTCTGAATCGGTAGATTGAAGGATTTCATCCACATATCTGTCCAGGTAAGTCAGTACATGAATCATTGGGTATGTCGAATTCAGGGCTGCATCTTACTGATCTACCTGTAGAGACTCAAAACTGGTGGACTTGGCACACACGGGGCAGGTCCAGGTCGGTGCTTGTTTCTGCAATTGGAGAAAAGAGGATGCATCGAAGCATTGATTATGAGTGCATACCACCGAGCGACAAGGGACCTGGATGCGTAGGGTTGATAGAGGGCATTTAAGAGACATGATGCTTGAGGTGGCAACAATGTCAGAATCATCCGCGCGGTTTTTCACTGCAGTATCAATTAGAAACAAACCCTTTGTGGAAGATCACTTTTGCAGACACCACTTACTCTCTCGTAGCACCTGCTCTTTGGAGATAAGCTTGCGTGATTTTAATTTGGCGACAAGCTCCTCCACCGGGTGTTGCTTAACCATGTTGGCTAGCACAAAGAATTTCTGACCAACACAATTAGCAAATTCCCTCACTCTGCAGCAAGATGTCCATCTCCCCTACACCCAAGCAGGCTTACCTTTTGGGTCAACGCATAAGTCATCACAATGTTATTTGGGTAATTGGCTTTCTTGCGTAAATAGTTCGTCACGTCTGCAGGCTGGGTGGTACCGGGTTTGTTCTTCAGCCCCCGCAGATTGGCTTTAACTTCGTCTAGATTCGCTTTCAGCTCCACTTGGTGGGGAAAGGCGATATCCGACTTGGTGTACTGTTTGAGCCCCGAGTCGGCTGTACAGTAGACCATCACCCGAATATTGGCATCTTTTTCAAGATCGGCGATATGGGATTGAGAAAGAAAAATCTTGAGCTCTACACTATCCCTGGTTTGCTCGCGAACTAGCCGATATAAGAAGCCAAGTCTGATTCAGAGGGCATGGAGGGACTTACCCTTGCATTCCACGACCGGTGTAAGGGATTTGAGGACTGTGAAAAAGGGACTCTCTTTGAAGCCAATCGGACCTGAGTGAACCGTCAGTTGCTGGACAAACCACAATAGGCGTTTTGAATCGAACCAGAAGGATGGGGATGAGGTGACATGGAGCCACCCAATGCAGTTTGAGGTTGGGATGGTGATGGCTGCGAGATAGTCGGATGTTGAAACTGGGGATTGGGATTGGCCTGGAAAACCGTAGATCCAGGTAGACCAGTCTGAAGAATGCGATGTCTTAAAGTATCATATCGAATGCTGTTCCCTTCTGAATGACAGAGTCGCTCGAGATCTAGAATAGTCAGTTCCTGCAAATGACGTATTTGATTTTGACATAGATGAAGCGATCTCAAAAAGCAAGTAATATGCTCACACTAATAAATGAATCAAATAGGCTGATAGGGGGAGAAAGAGAGAGAGTGTGAGAGAGAGAGAGAGAGAGTGCGTCTCTTAGGTGGGGGAAGGAGATAGAAGAGAGGCGGAGGCAGAGGAATAAACTGACAATCAATAATGCGCACTTGTACTGCCGCCTTCAACCCAGATACTGGGAGACCCTCATTCCGTAGTAAATCTTTCAATTGCGGCAGTGTCAGGGTCTTGATGAGGTTCACCAGGTTGGGAAGCTCGGAGGACTGGCCGGACGCCATCGCGTCCTGAAGGAGAGAAAGGCCTCAGGTAAAATGTACCAGACCAGATATAAGCGATATACAGAGATGCATGTCAATCGACTCTCAGGCTGCAGACCTGCAGAGAGAATCGAGTCTCGAAACTTTGTCGTCGCAACTTGGGAGGTTTGTGAGGAGATGACATAAGACGGGGAGGAAAGGTATCGGCGATAAGGAAAACGGAAAAAAAAAAAAACCTAACAATTTTACCCCAATTCTCTTGTCATTCCTTCACTTTCCCTTCACTCTCTGTCATCCTTCTTCAAAATGGCCAAGAGTATCCGAGCCAGTGTCTCCAAGCGCAATCGTGCCACTCTGCGCAAAAAGGTGTTTGGCCCCGTCGTTGACGCCCGCACTGAGCGACTTGCCGCCAAACTTCAAGAACTTGCTTCGCAACCTCGCCCCAAGGCCCCCGAAAAGTCAAAGAAGGAACTGGAATCAGATGAGACAGGTATGTTGAACGGATACAATGAGTATCGCGCTTTCAAACATCCTTTCTAATTTTCTTATAGCCGATCAAAGCTCAGGTGCTAAGGCAGCCTCGGCTGATGAAGGTAAGCTACACAGACCCTGAGGCTTTCAATGTGAATTGGAAAGCATGGAGATCACTGACGTTGTCTTCTTGTCTAGCCATGGATATCGACATCAAATCCTCCAAGAGACACCAGAAAGGACGTGTGCAGAAGACCAAAAAGCCTCGCAACAACATTGTGTTTAAAGCTCACCCGTCCAAGACAAAGAAAGGCCCAAAGAGGAAGTGAAAATGCTTACAAGCATACAAAACAAAAAAGATAAAGATATTTAGTGGGAGACCTGCGACATGAGAGCTACCAAGGGACAGAACTGGGTGAAAATCGGAGTTGGGGAGTCTTCAATCTATTGACCGTCGGGTTTTTTTTTCTTTTTTTCTTTTTTTCTTTTTTTGTTCTCTTTCCCCTCCTGTTCCCTATGTTTTTCTCTATCTACATTCAAAATACATCAATATATACAAATATACACATTCACACCAGTATATATATCCCGATTCTGCATTCGATCACATGTTTGGTGGCGATAGAATCCCATATCGATAACCCAAAGGCGGTGTAGTCGCCATTGTAAACATCACCGCGTCCTCCTTTCCGGATGCGCCTATGAAACCCCTCGAGTGTGTGCAATGGCAATCTTTCCAGGTCGATGGGTAACTATACTCGCCAATCTCCTGGTGCCGGTGGGCATTCTCACTTTCTCCACCGGATTTTTCCCATATAAACCACTCCTCCCGGGTCTAGCTATCTTCGATGAGTCCGATGCGGATGTCTCGCCGGTCTTTGACAAGGTTATTTTTATGGTGGTGGATGCGCTGCGGAGGTATGAGTAAAAAATCACCCTTATGCGAGGACCGCGTGCTAAATAGCTATTTCAGTGACTTTGTCTACGCAAATGAATCCGGGTTCATGTTCACTCAAAGGTTAGGCATGTGATCTCTCCAAAGAAGCTGAAAGTTGACACTTTTTCAGCCTGATACGAGCGGGCGCTGTGCTACCTTTTACTGCCCATGCTGGTGCTCCGACGGTGACAATGCCGCGGCTGAAAGCAATGACCACAGGGTCTGTTCCTTCGTTCCTGGACGTGATCCTGAACATCGCCGAGTCAGATACCACATCGACTCTCGTATTTCAAGACACCTGGCTCGCGCAGCTGAGGGCTCGAGGAGATCGGCTTGTCATGTATGGGGATGACACGTGGCTCAAACTATTCCCGGGGATGTTTGAGCGATCGGATGGAACTACGAGCTTCTTTGTCTCTGTCAGTAAAGCCCTCCATGACACACTATCGAAGCTTGCATACTGAGATTCGCCCCGTAGGACTTCGTGGAAGTAGACCAAAATGTGACGCGACATATTCCCACCGAGCTTGCTGAAAGCGATTGGTCCGCCCTGGTTGTGCATTACTTGGGTCTCGATCACATTGGCCACAAGGCAGGCCCGAGAAGGTAACTCCCCCATATGCTTGTCATCTTTATCCTCAAATCGAGGTTTCTGACTCTCGACTAGCCCATTAATGCCTTCCAAGCAGCAGGAAATGGATGCTGTCGTGAAGGCCATCTATATGGCGATGCAGCAAGAGCCGCATCTCCAGTCCACACTTTTCGTCTTGTGTGGCGATCATGGTATGAATGATGCTGGAAACCATGGAGGCTCATCTGCGGGTGAAACCTCACCAGCATTGTTATTCGTCTCGCCAAAGTTCAAAGCATTGGGTTATACGTTGGAAAGTCCCATGGAAGCCTCTGACGATTTTCAGTACTACCGGTCGGTGGAACAGGCAGATATTACTCCAACTCTAGCTGGACTTCTCGGTCTACCTATTCCTTTGAACAGCTTGGGGGTGTTTATTCCCGAGTTTTTGAACATGTGGGATTCTGGTATGTATATCCTACTCCACGGCGGAGACAAAGTGGCGGTCTAAGTGTGCTGAATACAATATCTCCCCAGGGCCACATAAACTGGACATCTTACATCGCAATGCTCAACAATTACTAAACACAGTCAAAGCTACATTTCCGGGTGTCTCATTCGACCCGGAGGACATTGCTTCAAGCTGTTCATCTGGTGCAGTCTCTGGTATTGAAGGCGCTCAGTGTGCGTGGTTCCAAATCCACCAGCTTTCCCGTGAAACATCGGTGGAGGATGCATTCGCCATTGTTGGTCCCGCTTTCCAACGGTTCTCACGAATTGCGCAGGATGTGATGAGCAGCACTGCTAGTGACTACAATGTATCCCGACTTGGTCTAGGCTTGTTGATCACAGGCATCGCGGCGTTGATTGTCTTCCCAGCTGTGTACCAAGACTGTGCCCAATCTACTTACACGGGCGCGTTTCTAGCACTCCTGGTGATGGGTTATGGAAGTATGATGTTTGCGAGTAGTTATGTTGAAGAAGAGCAGCAGTTTTGGTATTGGATCTGCTCAGGGTGGATTTTTTATCTTCACATCAGGTTGACACGCTCCCGGCGCACTCGCCGCAGTGCATTCAATTGGAGCAGCATAGCTACGCTAGGACTGATCGTGTCCCAGCGCATCCTTCGACGGTGGAATCAAACTGGCCAAAAGTTTACGGCCGAGCCAGATATCGCTCGCAACTTTCTGCCTAGTCATCCTCTGTTTCTGTGGGTGTTGGTGATCCTCACATACGTCGATGCTGGCAGGGGTCTGTTTCTCAGCTTGCCGACAGCGTTCCCACGAGTGATTGTATTGGTTCTGCCAGCCTTGGCTTTCATGTTCAAAATTAACTTTGTGGCAAATGACTCGCCTGAACTGCTAGCCGACTCCGTTTTATCATGGATGGAAAAGTCGCTAAAAATCGTGCCATTGGTCTCACAGGCCAGAGTCGTCTTTGGCGGGATTGTATGTTGTATCATTTTGGCAATTGTCATGTCAAGTCGGTCGAAGACAGCGCCCGGTAAGATCTCAACTCTCAATTGTCCCTCCCTTGCACTCATCGAGAGAATCTGGACTGATCTAAACCACCAGCTTCTAACAAACTTGTCCATGAGGCGCTTAATCTGTTCCTGATGACGCAGTCCCGAGCCACCAACATTCCAGTCTTTCTTGTGTTTCGTATCCAAGCCCTTACTTTGATCCCAATGGATTTGACTGGGCTCGAGGTGACCATCGTGACGCTAATGATGCAGTACATGACTTTCTTTGCGTTTGGAGGATCGAACGCAATTTCTTCTGTGGACTTGTCCAGTGCATACAACGGAGTCGGCAGCTATAGCGTGGTCATGGTCGGAATTCTGACCTTTGTGAGCAACTGGGCAGGCCCCATCTGGTGGGTTTCGATGGGTCATCTACTCCGATCGCATGAGGCCGTCGAATCTCATAATCCTGCCGCGTTGCTCACCTTTCACACTGCTATGTCCCTGGTCTCGGTGATGGCGGCGTGTACGGCTTTGAGAACCCATCTGTTCATCTGGACCGTCTTCTCGCCGAAATATCTGTACTCCATAGCGTGGGCAACGGCCAATCATGTTCTGGTAAATTTGCTCGGTGGGGTTGGGCTTCCTGCTCTTCGAAAGCGACCATAGATCATTAAGATCAACCAATCCATAGACATAAAAAACCATAGACCCCATGGTCGCAACCACTTAGCAATAGAGGCTAGACTTAGAAAAGACCGCTGAAAAGATCATCGATCGCATTTTTCTTGCGTTTGGTGGTCTTGGGCTTGGCAGGCTTCTTCCCTTTCAAAGACCGTTCCGCGGAGGCTTGACTCGGTTCAGGAAGCACGTCGCGACGAATGCGCTCTCCTCGGTCCTCCGCGGGAGTCAGAGCAGCCACTTTTTTGCCTGTTAACCGAGATCGCGATTTGAGCTTCCGGTCGGCTCCAGTGGCCTTGGCCAGACGTGCCAGTGCGGCCAGAAGTGCAATCCCCAAGGTCGCGAACTGGTTCTCAGCGACCACCGTGGAAAATGCTCTGTCCGGTTAGCCCTGGTCTCTTTCAGGTCCAGGAATGAACATACAGGTAACATCGGGGTATGAGATGCATGGCCAGATGCTGCTGGTAGCGCTCGACTGCGGCCGAGTCCAACGATTCCAAATCCGACGTGGTGCGTTTTAAGGTTGACAGCCATTTCCACCATTTAGCTCTCTGGTGTTGGTTCTTGTTGCGATGATAAATTAGATGCAGTACGGAATGAACCGCCGATATTTCCTGGTGGTCCATGGTGGTGGAAAAGCTGAAGGCTTCAAAGATTGAAGTCTGGGGAAATTTAAATTTGCGGGCTCCACAATGAATATGTTACTCCCACAGGGGGAAAAATGTACTCATTCATTAACACTGCTTATTAACATCTGAAGGGTTGAGATAAAAAAACTGAAAAACTGAAAATCATAAAATCAAAATCAAAAAACAAAAAGACGCAAATGAAACATCAAATGCCCAGGAACTCATAAGTAACCTGGCCCTTCTATGTATCGCGTATGGACGACTCTCCAGAGATAGTAGCCCCAAGGGGCTAGCTGAAAACGAGAATCCGCTCAAAAGAAAACACGAAAGGTTCATCGCTGGTAAGATACTGAATTATCCTGAAGATTAAAAGATGGAAAAGTGGCTGGAATCCAGAGTAACGTGTTGACGAGTAAAAATCTGAAGAGTAGAATGTTGAAGTTGAGAAAGATATGCTGGTGCTGATACTGATGCTGATGCAAATGGAAGCAGGCTCTCAATCATGGCGATATCGAGGTGAATCGAGAAACCCCCATTTGGTGCGCTCTCGCTCTCGACCGCGGCGCCGATTGCTTCGGATGGGTGTATCGAGGGCCGTCTCGGGCTGGAAATTGTCGGAACGTCGTCGATCGCCGGGCATGGGCCGAGGACCACCTTTGTACAAACCTATTGTCCGTTAATTTAGAGCTCATGCAGATATCACAAGGCCCTTACCAGTCTGCTTGCTCCGTTCAACACCCTTGGCAAGCGTCCAGAAGTTGTTCACGGGCGGGAAGGGTGCTTCTTCACCGGCATGGGGTCCACCGATATAGAACAACTTGTTCGGATTAGTATAATCTCACATATCGTCGAAACCGAGACTCACCTTGGGACGATTGTCTGGGAAATCCAACATGACCGGACTGTTCCGAAACTTCTCAACTAGCAGAGTGTAGCTTTGGGTGGCTAGTTGCAATGTCAATACAATACGAAGATATTGGGAGAAACGGGAGTGACTGACTTGCATAAGAAATTTCGGCCACTTTAGGTCGACCCTCATTGAAGCCCGGCCTAGAGGTCATGCATTAGCGATGTTTCATATCGAAAGAAAGTTTCAAACTCACCATTGCGTTCCATTACGTCGGGTGAAAAACTAATCAAAAAATGAGTAATCGATACAACTCCAAGTAGATCGGATAGCATACTGGAAGGATGTCCAGGGGCTAAAGGAAAGAAATGGTCAGCAAATCTCTGGAAAGTGGGACAGCATCGACCAACCGAAGCAAAATTAATGAACGCATAACCAACACTAAAGACATGCCATGATTAGTGTCTGATGCAAGTTAATCGTTTCTTTATTTCACGAACTTTAAACGTTGCTCAAAATCTATTTTCAAAGACACTTAGTTGATAACCATCCAGAATAAGAAGTGGATCACACGTACCCATACGCAGGTACAAGAAATCAAAGGCCCCTGCAGATGTCACGTCCAAATATGCTTTGAGCTGATCCTGTGAGGTTGGTTAGTGCATACTTTGTCTAAGGTTAGGAGAACTGTGTAAGTACCCATGTCTGCGCATTGGGGATGTTCTTGAGCATGACCTGTTGGGACAAACATCAGCGATCACAAGTCGAAGTGGATCAGAGATCATGCTGCTTACTGTGCACCGAGGATCTTTGCCTTGAGCAATTCTTTGAGGGCTAATGACTTGCTCATCATTGTCCACCTGCCGACCAGGCGTCCGAGGAGACCGCTCTCGATTATCATCGGGGGACAAGTAATAGTCATTGTTCAGATGGTGGCCTACCCGGCCATCTCTGCCTTGTTCCTGACAGGTCCAATGGCGAATCTTCTGGTGCTCCATGTCTCGATGATAGACGAGAACCTCGATTATAAAGTGCTGAGTAAAAATGAGTTACTGCCATCAAACCAAAGGGGGGATGGGGGGCAAGGAAGACATACTGAGGTAGCGATAGTATTAATAGCCCGGGTCGCATTCGCAGCATGCAGAGTATCGTAGTAACGCACGACAAACCCATGCATACTGAACCGGGGCGCCTCAGTGGGGCTTTCAAGATTGACGGCTCGAATGTCGGCGACAGGTCCCACTAGTTCGAGCACACCCTTTAAAGTTGGTACAAGATTAGGAAGGGGGACGGTCCTTCCGGGTCCGCAGTACACGATTACCAAGACTTGGTCCTCAAAGATAGAGTGGGTGGGTCCAATCTTCGCGTGATGCTTGAAGTGCCCTTCACCGACAGGCTCAATGAGCCAATCCGGGTGATCATGGGCAATATGATTGATCGCTCGTTGACTCTGGCGCATATCGGAAAATCCGATCCAGAATTGACCTCTGTTGCGTACATCGTGTAAGGTGGGACCAAAGATGGTTTGAAACTCCTTTTTCCATTGTTAGTCTTGGTTTCTTTTTTACCTTTTTTGTATCGACCTCGGGACCGGATAGGTGGGGAGATGAGGGTAATTTAGTATTAATAGGTAACTGACCTCATGGTGGCAATAATTCAGAATATAGATTGCGGGAGTATTGGTATCCACATTCTTGACAATGAAACGACGGTCATAAGGGCGCATGTCCTTTAGAGATGGCACGCGAGGCATAGAAGGCACTTGCGCAAGAGCTCCCGGGTAGGTAGACCTGTTGCCCCGAAAGACATTTTGCATGGACGGAGTAGGCCATCTAGTGGGAGAAGCCGAATTACCGGAACTGACCAAGTTACTTCCGAAGCCCGGACTGGGGTTGGCAGCGTGGAAGTTGCGCATATCATTGCGGCTCTGTGGAGTGACCGTGACCGTAAAAGGGTGGTTGGGATAGGCCAGATAGTCAGTCGCCTGATCTGGAAGGACTGAACCAGAGTAGCGAGTCTGAGTATGGTGAACGAGGGGATCAGGGTTGGCAGAGTGCGCATCCAGGTACAAGGGTGCCGTAAGATCAGGGTAAAGGGGGTCCTGACGCTGCAAAGGGTTCACTTGGCGAGAAAGGAAATTGGTTGCCGCGGAATTTGCAGGGATGGGACCGAAAGCTTGGGACTCATAGTGTGTTCCAGCCGGGAAATCCTGCAACATATCAAAATCATCCTGCTTGGTCTGTCGAGGAAACGCCAATTGATTGAAGCCATTTCCTGAGTAGGAGTGTTCAGGGTATGGGCCACTATTCATGTCAGTAGGAATCTATTTCAATCATTTTGGTTCATGTCCTACGGAGTTCCACAGTCCATACGATCCAGGCGAGATAAAACCATAGGCAGATTGTTGGACTCCGAGTCGGTGAAACTCGAGCCAAAAGTCGCCAGTTGAGTACCAGGAGACCTCAATGAGCCGGACTGGGCCGATGACGAGCTCCCACGAAGGGGAGCGGGATCGGCCGACATAGTTTCCTCGTAATGCGCGTTGCGTCGCGTCGCGTTCAGGTCAGAGACTTGACGTCTGCGTCACACGAACTCGATCAGCCGCAGGAATTGTTGCGTCGAAAGGAGTATGAGCACGATGATATCTTTGGGAACAGAAAGAATGAGGCAGATTGGAGAAGGGAGCAGGGGTTTAGAACGAAGGCGAATGAAGGAGCGAGGAAGAAGTCCAAAAGTCTGAGATTCAATTGAAAAGGATCATAACAAAAAGGCATCGCTTAGTCGGTGGCCGCTTAGTCGGCAGCTAGGCCGAGTGATCTTTTCGGAATCTGAGGCTCGAGTAAATATCAGATACGGACTTTCCACCCTTTTTGCATCATCCTCATTTACCTCGGGCGATTCATCAGCGCTGCATAGTATTGAAGTTCAAATCACCGTAACTACAACTTCTAACCTTTTGGTTTTGGAAAGAAAGTCGGATGATGGCTTTTCTAGAAAAAGAAAAGCAAAATTCAAAACAGAAACAAGAAAATTCGGTGAATCCCATTAGGCAACGGGGACCGAATAGCGAATTGTCGACATGAATTATGAATGAAGCAGATGTATAGTGCAAATACATGCATCTAGTGGACATTGTTTGAGTCTTTACCTAGTTGGAGTCATTTGGGATCTGTGCATGGGGTGAGCACAGTAGAGTATTATAGTAATTATATCTGATATGTCCGTGCACGGGCGCTAGTGGCTAGCGTTGAATGCTTAATTAGACCACGAAGGCGGTGAGCCAGGCGGTCACACGTGCCGGAGTTATCACACCCACCGGGGCGATATCACCTGGCAGCATCGGGAGCACAGCTCTAACAACACAATGCCCTCCATGCCCCCTGCCCTTGCAGAACCCCATGTTCTGAACCAAGTTAGTACTCAAAACCCAATTGTCTAATGTAAACCTACTTATGGCATCCACAAAGATCATCATATCGCCTTCCGACACCGACTACCTAGATCAGCTAATCCCCTCCATTCGCGAGTACAGCGTGGGGAATCGGACTCCCCAATTACTTCAATCCTTGTCCAGATTTGCAAGTGACAAGGAGGCAGAGATTGAGAGGATATGTAACACAAATCATCAGGAGTTCGTCTCGTCAGTCAACTCGTTACTTCGAATCCGGGAAGGCACGGTATCCTTAACGGCAGAGATCCTGGACCTCAACCAATCGATTCAAACAAGTACCGAGCGACTAGCCGAACAGAAAAAAGCCTTGGTAGAATCACGGGGCCACCGCCAAAATATCGATGAGACTTCGAGGGCGATTCAAGATTGCCTGGAAGTGCTTCGTCTTGCAAATCAAGTTCATGACCTGCTAGCCAAGAAGAACCACTATGCGGCCTTGCGCGCCTTGGAAGAGCTGCAAAACGTTCATCTGAAGGGGGTGACCCAATACAAGATCGCCGTCATGATTCAGCGCTCGGTGCCGGCCACCCAGCGCGCAATCGCCGAGGCCGTCATGTCAGATTTGAATACCTGGCTCTACCGCATCCGCGAGATGTCACAGTACCTTGGGGAAATTGCGCTCTTTCACACCGACCAACGCAAATCAAGGCTCAAGCAGAGAGCTGAGAAGGTTCCGTACCTCGAACACTTCAACTTGAACTCTGCCATCGAATTGGTAGCCGATGAGGACGAAGAATATGATTTACTTGAGAACGAAGATTTACAGGTGGAGTTCACTCCATTATTTGAGTGTCTGCATATCCATCAATCTTTGGGGCAAATAGACAAATTTCGAATCGAGTATGCCAACACTCGCCGCCGCCAAAAGGATCTTTTAACTCCACCCTCCATTACTCTCATAGATGAAGATGGGGCCAGCCTTCACAACCTTCTGGAGGAAATGGCAGGATTTGCCATTGTTGAACGAGCTACGATGAAAAGAGTGCCTGATTTGAGATCATCGGTTGATGTATGCCCTTTACCCGTCCTCTTAGCCAAATTCGTGTGACATGACCTAATCAATCTATTTGGGGAACAGATCGATGAGCTCTGGGACTCCATGTGTCAGGCCGCGGTGGGCGTGATATCCAAGGCTCTTCCCGAAGTAGACAATGCCGAAAACATCCTGAAAATCAAGAACCTGATTGCTTTGTTCATGCAGACCATGAATGTGGGTCCCCCTAATCCTACTCAATGCTTTTCATGCTGATCTTCTGCGCAGACTTGGAATTTCCCGGTCCGAGTCTTCGACGACTTCCTCTTGAGACTTTTTGAGAAATATGCAGAGCTCTTGAAGAGGAGGTTTAGTGATGATTTTCAAGAAGTACGGTTGCCATGGTTTCTTGGTACCCCCTTAATGTCACAGCACAAGAGCTACTCGCTGACATGCATAGATTGTATCGACGGACGATTACATGCCAATGCCAATTCAGACTTTGGAAGAATACGACAAGGTGCTCAATGTGAGCTGGTATAGTCCCGACAAGCCTCGTGAGGAGCAAATGTAGGTTTACCCGTCCCCTTCCTTTAGGTCTGATTTCCTCTCGGCTAACCATGGGACTAGCTTCCCCTGTATCCTGCCATTTTCAAGAATGTATCCACTGTGCTGCATCGACATTCGGAATTTTTTGAATCAATTCTATTTCTTCGCAAATGATGACTTTTCGCACCCAAATGTCATTGATGAGACCTTAAAGGATGTGGGTGTCTTCCGCCGTATTTTGACCCTTTCACTTGATGCTAAGTTAACAATAGGCGTTGGATGATCTCCTTTCGCGCAAGGTCTGCGATACTTTAGTCGAGCGCCTTTCCTCGCAGTACCTGGGGCAGATTGTTCAAATTCTTATCAACTTGGAGCACTTCGAGTCGGCTTGTCATGAGCTCGAATTGCTTCTTGCGGCTGCGAGGTCTCAGAACTCCACGGGCACATCTATTACTCTTATGGCAACTGAAAAGTTCCGGAGCAATAAAAAATCCGCTGAAAAACGCATTTTTGAGGTCGTGAACTCCAAAATTGACGATCTCATCGAAACAGCAGAATACGAATGGATGTCTCCAACTCCCCCAAGCGAACCCAGTAACTACATGCAGACCTTGACTCGATTCCTCTCCAATATCATGAACTCTACGCTGCTGGGACTGCCCACTGAAATTAAAGAGCTCATATATTTCGACGCCCTCAGCCATGCGGCGAACATGATTTTGGTATGCGCCTTATGCTTTCTAGTTTCCCTAAATCCGTTTTTTAGATCAAACTGACATGGCACAAACAGGCGCAACCGCTGGCATCGGATGTCAGAACCATCAACCCCAATGGTGTGATGGCCTTGGCCAAGGACGTGGAGTACTTGGCTCAATTTGTGGATAGTCTTAATGTCCCTATCCTGCGTGAAAATCTCGATGAGCTCCAGCAGACCGTGCAGTTGATGCAAGCAGATAATGCGGATGAATTTTATGATATCTCGACTCGGAACAAGAAATACGGACGAGTGGACGCCATGCAGGGGCCCCTTTTGCTTGAGAAGTATGTTCCCTCTTTACCTGGCCATGCGACAGATACTGACCAATTTAGGCTTACGAGGACGATTCAAGCCCCTAGCAAGGTGGACAAGTTCACCACCCTTTCTTCTCGTTTCAAAAAGAATTGAGATTTTTATTGCTTACATCATTCCTACTGGGAGTTATTTTCAGGCCTTTTTCAATGGTTTCACCGGCCCTGTGGCCTCCAGTATTGAGAGAAGTATGTCCACCCTTCTAAGGTATCTGAAACAATCATGAGATAAATAATCAAAGACGACGAGGGGCTTCAAAGTACAGTAGTCAGTTCATGCAGTAGAGCCCCCTTCTTGAAAGGGTAGGCACACGTTCTAGAAAGCCCAAGAAATCATACAATCCATCCAACTACGGTTTCCAGACCGGCAGTTTCCCCTGATCATGAATATGTTAAGGCTGTATTGTATATACAATGCTATAAACTATCAAAGGAAACCCTGTCACCCTTTAGCCAAGTGCTGGTTCCCCATCCAGTCGCAGTGTGGCCCTAGTCTTGCATATAACATGTATTTGGATAGAGGATGTAACAGAATTTCAGAAAGACACAACCATTAGGCACAGGATTCGCCAGGAAACGCGCGTAAGCCCTTGAAACAACGGAAGAAAAAGAAATAGCACGGCTGTCCCCACAGGAGTTCAACTCACTACGCTTCATTAGCTCCGCGGGACACCTGTGAGAGGGCATTATCACGTACCTGCTGGGGAGGGAGATGCGGGTATGGAGCATACATCCCCTCAAACATTTGAGATTGAGGTTGACCATATGCTGCAGTGGGGTCCGATTGAACGGGGCCAGGATACATAGCGGGCTGTGGCCGATATTCCTGCTCTTGGGGCATTCCATGCTGACCGAGAGAACCGTAGTCCGCAGGACCCATGTGTGTCGGAACACCATGCTGGGATGGTGGAAGCTGACCCGGGGCAACAGACGGTCCCGGAGCACCTGCCTGGCTCGATCGCTTGGCGTGTGAGGCTGCTTCTTCACGAGGAACAATGTCAATCAAGAAGTCGAACATGTCAGACTTGGAAAGAGCGGCAGCGATGTCTGAGCGCTGTAAAGTGCGACGCTTGTTGTCTTCAGCATGAATCCATGCGCGCATTGTCAGCTCCGTGATGAAGATATCACATCCCTTCGCGAACAAGATCGGAGCCTCCGCGGAGATCATCTTGACCTCCGGGTCGGCTTTCATCACCTTCTTGATGCGAGCAAGCGGTAGCTGATGGATCTTGTAATCATGATTTTCGCCCTCCAGATGGTTGATGACATGCTGCCAGTAGGTCGTCAAGATATCACGGGCGGTCCCTTGCAGACCTTGATTCACCTAATTTGGTGTGAGCTGGGTAAGAATTGGGTCGCGGTAAGAACTTTACATTGGCCCATGTTCCTGTGTACAACTCGGCTAGCGGTGCGTAGCCTTGCGCGGAGAGCTGATTGAATTCGGGTTTGATTAGCGGCGATTCCGAGACCTCTCACGCAATTATTCGAGAGACCGCATGGGACTCGGTTCAAGTTTCGAAGCATACCTGTGCGCTAGCGCCTGCGAAAAAGATTAGCCTATATTCACGCGACGAGTTGCAAAATGGACGCCTCGGTTGCGCGCCAGAGGCCATGCGCGCCCATGGCTACGAAGCTGACAGCCAATCATCTAGGAAGGTGCAGTGGTGCTCATTTACCATAGTGTCCACCATTCCTGGTATCATAAACAGGTGCTTGCTGTTGCCCCTGTTGCTGTCTGCCCTGCTGGCCGGTGCCCTGAGGAGCTGGTTCCATAGCGAATCGCGTTTCGCGCCCGACGAAGCTGAGATGAGATTGGAGATGAATCCAAGAATCCTCGGAAATATATATCGCGAAAGATGGTCGCAAAGAAGAAGCAGTAATTAGTATGACTTGGGAATCCGTTCGATAACTCGTGGTAACTCGTGGGAGGGAAAGGAAGCGCGTGTGCCAAGGGTGCTCTCAGCTGTTCTGACGTTTTCGGGTTTCCCAACCCCCGCTTCCTGAACGTCTCGTATTGATTTACCAAAGAGAATCAGTAGGTATCTTACAGTTTGAAGGCAAATTATTTACAATCATTACAGCCGATTACTCTCTATTAAGAATGCTAATTGACTCGCACGGGATAAAAAAGCGCAGTTGTTGCGGATTGTAAGTACTCGATACTTGGCTTTCACTAGCCCGTAGCACGGAATGTCAAGTACCCGGTACTTCCTCACCAGAAGGTATTGTATCACGTGGACTTGTCGCGGGTAAATGGTTTGTCCGTTCCGAGTAAAGCAACAACAGAAAAAAAAAAAAAACCTATAAAATCCACTTTTCACTCAGCTCCTCTAAACTCTTCAATACCTCCTCCCTTTTACCCATATTGGTAGGGATGGCTCCAACTTATGTGGAGATCAATGCTCAACCTCATGATGAGGCAGACTTGACTGATGATCAAATTCAACAACTGTTGCTTGAAGCGGAAGGCCGCCTTCGCGGCTCTGATGTTCAACTCACTCCAAACTCCGACGTTGCATCTTTAAGGTAAATTTTAAGCCCTCCACTGATGACCGCATCTTTTCATAAGACTGATTAGTTTAACAGGATTCCGAAATTATCTTCAGCCACCACCCTTGAGCCCTATGTTCGCCAGGGCGATGAGTTTGCAACGGTTGATTCGGCCCAGCTGATCGATCCCAAACAGAAGGAGCTGGCTAATTCTTTACACTTGACTCAGCAAGCCAAGAAACCTAGTAAAGTATGTCCCCCTTATCTTCTGTTTTCTCCGGACTTGTCCGACCTCTCCAATCTGCTATGAGGAAAATTATCCCAACGCACAAGCGCTTGATGCAGCGTAACCAGCCCGTCTTGGGCTGTGCTGCACCAGTGAGAGCTTCATTTTCATAGTTACTCTGAGCAAACCCCACAAATCCTATGTGATTCCTGGAGCATATAGTCAAACATGGACTAATTGTTTTCCTCTTTAGGAAAAGGCTACCGCTGGACCCCAGTGGTTCGATCTCCCCAAGACGGAGTTGACTACCGAATTTAAAAGAGATCTGCAGTTGTTGCGAATGCGCTCTGTACTGGATCCCAAGCGGCACTACAAGAAGGAAAATGGCAAGGCGAAATTGCCTGAGTTTTCTCAGGTGGGAACCATCATTGAGGGCCCCACCGAATTCTTCAGTGGCCGCATTGCCAAGAAAGACCGCAAGAAGACCTTTGTTGCAGAGGCCATGGCCCAGGAACGGGAAACCAGACGATTCGAATCCAAGTATCGCGATATTCAAAGCACCAAGCAGAGTGGGAAAAAGGCCTTCTATAACAAGCTACGGGCTCAGCGAAACCGGAAGAGCAAGTGATCATGATGCTTCGGGGCTAAGGAAGATGAAAAATCTAAACATGATCACCACTCTTGCCGGTCACCGTCTAGACTGCAGTCCACTGGCAAAGGTTCATATTCAAATTGATTTGAATATATCCTTCTGTTGTCTATGCCTGACCAAAAACTCTCAGAAGAGTGCGCGTCACCAGTTGCTGTTGCCCAATTTAGCTGCAGATCTCGCGGTTGGGGTATACAGGAGGGCTCCTTACCTGCATATCTAAAGCCGCTGTGCGGCCAGCTTCCAAGACTTCCTCATGTGTTGCTTTGCCCTCCTCCAACATTGCACTGAGTTCACTGGCATCCTTGCCTTGGAGCAATTGCTCGTCCCCTCGAGGAACAGGAGCCAACACCGCACTGTTTGTGACCAAGGTGAATGCGAGCACACGAAGGCCGCAGTGCCTCGCGACCACGATTTCGGGCACAGTGGACATTCCCACCACATCAGCACCCATCATTCGAAGCATGCGGCTCTCGGCCCTTGTCTCGTAACTACAGATCGTCAGCAGCCTGGGTCAGGGAGAGGGGGTGCTCTCTCTACTCACGTTGGGCCTCCGACAAAGGCATAAACTCCCTCGTGTAATCTCCTGGTAGTGTGCGAAGGGATGATTTCTTTCCACACTTGGTGGACTTGACGACGCAGATCAAGGTCATATGCATCTGACAGAGGTGGAAAGCGGACACCGAAATCGTCGACATTGGGGCCTCTGAGAGGATGTACTCCCGCGAGGCCTGCCAAGAAGATATGCTGAACCGGATGTCAGTCAGATGTAGTTTTGTCGAAAGGCAAAGACAAACTTGCATCATTTAGTAGCATAATATCACCCACGTCATAGTCTTGATTGAGTCCCCCGGCCGCATTGGTCACTGGTCCTTCTAATCAGTAGTTGTAGAGAGGTCTTGATTCGTGCAACTCACGCACGACCGTGTCCACTCCTAGGAGCTTGAACACGCGAATAGGAAATGTCACTTGATCCATCGAGTTTCCTTCGTAGTAGCTAATATGTCCATGAGCTGTGAAGCCTCGACCAGCTTGGATTAAACTCACTGGGCACGGCCAACCATGAATACCGCCGGAATCTTCTGGCCCAAGAGGCCAAACACCAACTTGCCCGCATGTCCCGCAACTAGTGTTGTTAGTCTTTCTGACCGTTCCATCTGAAATAATAGACTTTACCGGTTGGACGAGGGAAATGAGGAATAGAAGCGTAGTCGTATTCCATGCGAGGATCTGCCTGGACTGTGTCCGCTAGGCCACTCAAACCAGAGCCACAAACGACAGCAACCTTGGGTTTTTGCAGACCCTCGGGAACTCGGCTATTCAGGAAATCTACCGCCTCGTGGGCTTGCTCGAGGACAGACAAATTGGTTGACGCCATATTTGGAGTATTGGTATTAGGATGCCAATACTGCAGAGGAAAGGATAGGGAAGAAAAGTCCAAGCGGAAGGGTGGATCTTGATGAATCTCATGATACTGCGGAGTCGACACGATCCCATTGGTCAACCGAGTTTGAGTCTCATACAAACCCAGATGCATCTTTCTTGGTGTTCGATTTAGAAGCATCATCCAGCCTTGTTTAACCTTGGGAATAGATAAGCCACGGAGAATATGCTACATTGAGTAAGACGAGCTAAATTTTTATTGACAATACATATTTATATATGACAAGTTCACGATTATTGCGGAGTCGACTTCCAAGGTTGCTCTATGGTTCCTCTTAAGATACCGAGCCCTTCTCTTGACTTGATACGTAGAATCCTATGAGTCCATAGACATGAAAATATATTCATGCATCTATACAAACGAGATGATCCCTGGATCAAACCATGTCGGCCATGGGATGTTGCCGTATGGTCCATGGTCCCCAAAGGCGGTCAGGCCGCATCTCCAACCGCGAAAAAAATGAAACCCGCCAAACATTCCAAAAGGGACCTCAATTGACACAATGTTCACAAACACAACACGCTCCTTAGTGGGAGCTGGAAAGCGTCTGCGGGTACGTTGTATCACAGCTCCTCTCTCTTACCCTGCGCTGACCAAATCGAGGTAAAGGTACCCGTGCCTATTCGCTCGCTATCATCCCCGAGCCAACCTAGTGCGCCAACCCCAACCGCAACCCAGGAAACAGCACCCCAGTCTGCCGCGACCCCAGCTCCTGAATCTGTGTAAGATTCCACTAAATACCTCGAATGGTCCCAATTGAGTCGAGTAGAATATACTGATGACTTCCAAATCTAGATCGACGCCAACCCCGGAGCAGCCATCCGAGCCACTAGTCAAAGAATGGTCAGTAGAGCGCGCCCATTGCCTATCCCGATGGCACATGGATGTCAAGGCCGAGCGAGAGAGGTCAAGCAGGATGCTTACTGGCGATTAGGTCCGAGCGACTGGGAGCTTTGGGTAAGGGCACCAGACTGCCACGCAGCGTGCAAGCCATTTATATGCGACCCCTCCGGAGAAAGGCGGAATATGGCCTCCCGGTTTGTGATCTGCAGCTTCGATCCTACAGCGTCGAAAATGTGGAATTCTTCGCCGACTTTGCCATCCGTGCTGCCTATTACCTCAACCTCCCCGTCTCCGGTCCCGTCCCTCTCCCACGCATCGTCGAACGCTGGACCGTCCCACGAAGCAACTTCGTCCACAAGAAAAGCCAGGAGAATTTTGAGCGGATCACCCTCCGCCGGCTTATCCAGATTAAGGATGGAAACCCAAAAGCAGTGCAAGCCTGGCTTGCTTTTCTGCGGAAACACGCATTCTATGGTGTCGGCATGAAGGCCAATGTCTGGGAGCACGACAGCCTCGGTACGACTCCCCGATCCTATCCGTTTCCAGCGCAATGTACTAACCTTCCACAGATGTTGGCAAATCGATGGACGAATCTCTTCCGGAGATTGAGAAGGCCCTGGGCTCGCACCTCGCCCAATTTGGTCAGCGCAAGGATAATACCGTGGAGAGCTCTATCTTCGACACCTTGGACAGTGACCGGTTTGCTGAGCGCACAAGCCGATAGAGATACGGCGGTTCCAGAATTGGACTCGTGCTTGAGCTTTGCATTTTGGAGAAACCTTTGGCGTCTTGTATTTTATCATATCGTGCTCATCTTTGTGGGGCTCTCCATGCCTCCGTGTATTGTATACTTTCTCATCATATCCAAATCCAAGTCAAGAAGCTGGGGGATTTATCTCGACCATTTCAACTTCCCGATCCTATCAAACCGCGGTGAATATCCAAGCTCTTTTTTTCTTCTACGTAGCAGGAAAAGGACTAACTCGACTCTAATGGCCTTGAAATATGTTCCTTTTGAAAGATATCATGTCTCCAGCCCCCCGGTCACGTGACCACATGGCATGTTTTTTGCGCGGAGACGCGGAAAGAAGAAGATCTTTTCTCTCCTCCTGGTGACAACTGCCGTGGTTCATACTCCATCGAAGATGCGTTCTTTGATCTGTCTTCATGGACATGCCCCTGTAAGGTCGATGGGGGGGCAGTTGCTTCGTATGCGTCGGCAACCCTTCCAATGGCTTCGATCAATTAGTTCGACCACTTCGACCACCTCGACCACCACTTCGGAGCCCGTTGTCTTTTCTGGGATTCAACCGACAGGAGTCCCCCACCTGGGCAACTATTTGGGTGCCCTTCATCAGTGGGTGAAGTTACAAAATAATGCGAAACCAGGGGCCAGGCTGTTGTTTTCCATTGTCGATTTACATGCATTGACCATTCCGCAAGACGCAGCTCAGTTGAGGAAATGGAGACGGGAGGCCTTTGCAACATTACTCGCCGTGGGATTGGACCCCAAGCGTTCCACAATCTTCTATCAATCGGCCGTAAGGGACCAGGGTTCATGATATCGGAGAACAGGACACTAATCATACCCTGGATAGGTACCGGCCCATGCAGAATTGATGTGGATTCTCAGTACTGTAGCCTCCATGGGATACCTCTCAAGAATGACTCAATGGAAGGTAAGGCAAACTTGACTCGTATTGACCCTTACTCAGCGGCTAATACGCTCCTAGAGCAAGCTTCAGTTGCCTGAGGACATCACCCTGGAGCATTCGGAAGCCCGGGCTCAGCTACGTCTGGGTCTTTTCTCATACCCGGTACTTCAAGCGGCCGATATTCTTGTCCACAAGTAGATTCTCTTCCCCCAGCTATGAGTGAATTCCCCAAAGCTAATACCCTACTAGAGCCACCCATGTCCCCGTTGGTGAAGATCAAAGACAACATCTGGAGTTCTCCAGGTATACTGCGAATAGCTTCAACCATCTCTATGGGCCTATCTTCCCCATCCCAGAGGCCCTCATCTGTAATGACCCTTCACCCAGCCTTGTCTACCGCGGCTAACCCATCCCAGCTCCCGCCAAGCGAGTGATGTCACTTAAAGAGCCTACTGCCAAGATGTCTAAATCCCATGCGGATGAGCGGTCTCGTATTCTGTTGACGGATTCTCCCTCAGAGATTCATAAAAAGGTCAAGGTTGCTCTGACGGACTCGGAGCCGACGGTCAGTTATGATCCCGCTCGTCGACCTGGGGTCTCCAACTTGATTGAGATCCTGAGCCACTTTGAAGAGGTGCCATGCGCGGCCCTCGCTGCAGAGTATCAGTCCGCCAGTCTCCGTACATTAAAGGAGCACGTTGCGAGTCGAATTGCGCATCATCTTCAAGAAGTTCGAGAACGGTACGTTGAGATTATGGAGGATCAGAGTGGGTATCTGGACACGGTTGCCCAGGAGGGGGCCGAGGTAGCTCAGGCCAATGCGAGCCAGACCATGCGACAGGTCCGGGATGTCATGGGTCTATGAGACATATCCCGATATGCCGGGATGCAATTGTACGATAGAAATTTCTCCTTATTCTTGGCTAGGACCCTTTGACCGATCTATGTATATTTCCCGAAAGATTGGATTATTTCCCTTGAGCCTCAGAAGGGTCCAAACCCTGTATGGTCACCTCATAATTCTAATGTATTAATAAATGGGGATATGGGAGTCCAAGGGTACAGGCTTGGCAAGGCATTTGGGGCCCTGGAGTCTGGATCTGGTAATTGATCAGTCCACTCCACCCCCAAGTCTCGGAACAGGTACAGTACCTGTTGATCGAAGTTCTGGCATCTAGATCTTACTTTCAGTTATATTTTGCCATATAATATTCAATACAATATCCAATATCATATTCAATATAACATTCAATATAATATTCAATAGACAAGTATAAGCACGTGGCGTTAAAAAGCTCTTCCACACGCTAAACCCGAAACAGTGCAAGTGGGAGCGTCATCCATCCGCGTCATCAGTTTTCCGCTCAAACCACGTACTGTGCATACGTATGCTTTTGATCATTTTTTTCTCTCTCCTTGTTCTGTTATTCTGTACATGAGTAGCTATGCAGGTGAATGCAATCTGCCACATGGAATATGGCCGCCGTAAGTCCAGGTCAATGACGATACCCAGTAACCGACGAGGCCGGTGACGCGCCCACTTAGTGGGGCTCAGCGCTTTTCAAGTTGATACTCTCAAGGCAGCATTGATCCACACCAATCAGCGTCTATAATATTGGGCTTTGGGGCGATAATCCCGCTGATTTCCCTGGAACCGAGAAAAGGAGGTACCTGATGTACGTTTATACATAGTAATAAAAACGCCATCAGGCTTAGTGGGCATCGTCGCATCCACTTCTCTTCCCCAAAGACCCTGATTCTCTTTCTCTCTTTTTTTCTCTTTCTCTTTCTTTATACTCCTTGCATTTCCTTTATAATTATCGATTTCGTGACCTCCCTGAAAGCTAAAAAAACCCCCCTCGGAACCAAAATTAAACAACCGTCGATCGCATACCAGTTGGACAAAAGCCAAAATGAAGAATGCCTGGGTCCTATTGGCGACATGCGCCCTCCCCGCCTTGGGCTTAACACTACATGAGCGAGACACTCCAGCCGTTGTTGGCTTCGATATTAAGCGGAGAGATGTTACGGATCCTGTCGCTAGAGATCGTGCGAGGCGGAAGCGCGCGGATACGGTCAGCGTGGGTTTGGATAATGAGGTATGGGATGAGAAAAATACACTCGAAAGTGAAAAGGCACAAGACATGAAAACTCACCAAGGTATAGGAACTCCTCTATTTGGTCAATGTCACTCTCGGTACCCCCGAACAAAGCTTGCGCCTGGTCATCGACACCGGTAGCAGTGATCTATGGGTCAATGTTCCCAATTCAACCTTTTGTGAAGAGTATTCGAAATACTGTGATTATTTCGGTACCTATGACTCGAGTGAATCGTCCACCTACTCTTATGTCTCCTCGGATTTCAATATCACCTATGCCGATGGCTCCGGGGCCGCCGGCGTCTACGCTACCGAGACTCTTCACATCGGCGACACTACACTGAAAGACTTGCAATTCGGCATCGGCGACACCTCGACTTCGGAAGGTGAGTGACCCCAAGAAGAACATTGAATGGAAACTCGAGACTAATGTAAATTCGCAGAGGGCGTGTTGGGTATTGGATACGTCACAAATGAAGCCCAGGTGGGCACAGCCGGGGAACAATCCTACGCCAACCTACCCAAGGCCATGGTGAATAAGGGGTTGATCAACTCCAATGCCTACAGTTTGTGGTTGAACGATCTGGATGCCAGCGAGGGCTCCATTCTGTTTGGCGGCGTGAACACCGACAAGTATCACGGAACCCTCGAAACCTTGCCGATCGAGAAAACCGGCGACGAATATACCGCTTTTTACATCGCCCTGACCGGCGTCGCTTTGACAAACTCCTCCGGAACTACCAACTACTCTTCCTCAAGCGCTCTTCCTGCCGCCGTCCTGCTCGATTCCGGTAGCTCCCTGACCTATCTCCCGGATAGCATCGTCGAGAAGATCTTTGATGATCTAGATGTCACCTACGAAGAGTCCGACGGGTATGGTTTCGTCCCTTGCAGTATGGCCAAGAAGGATTACAATATCTCCTACACCTTCTCGTCTCCGACCATTACCGTTGGGATCTCCGAGCTGGTACTAGAATTGGAAGAAGCGTACTACAGCAATGGCGAAGCTGCCTGCACCTTTGGTATTGTCCCATCTGGAGGTACCACCTCGGTGCTAGGTGACACCTTCCTGCGCAGCGCATACGTGGTGTACGACCTGGCCAACAACGAGATCTCGTTGGCCAACACCAACTTTGACTCTACAAGCAACAACATCAAGGAGATCGGCACCGGTTCGGATTCGGTACCGGGAGCCACTTCGGTCACCAACGCAGTGACCACTGCAGCCACTGGGGGTGATGGGGCCCGCATTGGAGGTCCGACTGGCGATAGCACTGCCGTCATCACAATGGGCAACGGAAAGACCAGTAACCCTGCTGCCCCAGGCCCAACTAGGATGCCCCATCATTTGGCTTGGGGTCTGGCTGGAGCCGCTCTCCTGGCTTTGTGAGTTGAAGTGAACGTTTCATGACTCCATTTTCACTTCTTTAAATGTTTTTTGCATGTTTTATACGGTGTATAGGTGTCGGCTTGAGGTACATACCTGGGTCTTTCTTGTTTGATATTTTCTGTTCATGTGCGATGATGAATTTTATATATACCTATTTTTGTTTTTATTTTTATGATCTATACCAGTCCTTACAATCATCCATTTCCCAACCGGTGAGGAGTAAAGTATAGGTATTAATCAAATATTGGAGGGTTAAGAAGACTAAATTTTCGATGCGCGATTGGATATTTTCCGTCAAGCTTGGCATTGTCCACCCCCAACATCTCGCGACACCAGAATGCCGCGTATCCCAACCTCGGTCATAATTAAGGCTTATCAAGAAACTCCACTTTTACCTTTGCTGCTTCAAGAATGTCGTACGCTGACCTCCGCTCGAAATGAGCTACGATGGCTCCGTGAGCGCGCACTGCGCGATAGCCAGCCACCGCGACTGGGATCGCCAGGATGGCGAACGCGTCTGAGATCTATGTGTCAACAGCGCTCACGAGGAGTACCGCTCCAGTATATTCTAGGGGATCAACCATTTGGAGACTTGGAGATTCTTTGCCAACGAGGAGTATTAATCCCGAGGTTTGATGCTTCCCCGGCCCGATTCCAATGCAAGATTGCTTAACGTCGCCCACCAGGTCTGATACTGAATCATTTACCTTTCAAGCCGCCCATTTAATCCGCCAGATGGCTCTAGAAAGCGATGAAACCCCGTCACCGCGCAGGCAAAGGCCTCTTCGGGTATTGGACCTGTGCACCGGCACGGGCTGCATCGCGCTATTGCTCCATGTGCTTCTCGCTCCGAACTTCGAAGACATGCAAATTTTGGGAGTTGACATTAGCCCAACGGCTTTGACACTAGCCCAAAGGAATCTGGCACATAATATGCACCTGGACTTGTTGACCAACCGCGCCGTTACCCAAGTTCACTTTCATCGTGCCGACGTCCTTGGCGTGGGAGACGAATCTGAATCTGTACCAAAAATCCAGGAGGTCCTACGTGAATACTTTCCTCGACCTGAAAGTTCCGATGGATCAACATCGGAATTTGAATGTGATTTACTGATCTCAAACCCGCCCTATATCTCTACCGCGGACTTCCGCAACGGCACCACATCTCGCAGTGTTCGACGTTTTGAACCGCAATTGGCATTAGTACCGCCTAATACTCCTCAGTCGGAATTGCCTGACGGTTGCAACGTGGAGGATATTTTCTACCATCGGATTCTCACTCTTTCCCTTCAATCACAAGCAAAGCTTACCGTCCTTGAGTGCGGGGATATCATGCAGGCACGTCGAGTGGTCGCCATGTATCAAGCAATGACTACGGATCAGGCCAAGGAGTTTACCATGGAAGTTTGGCCAAACTTAGAGCAGGATTTGGCAGCGAACGGCTTTCACCCTCATGATGGATCACGATGTGTGATAATTCAAAGGGCGAGATAGGGTATGTGTGGTATTGGAAATAATTAGTGCTCAGCCTGTACGAAGCTAGCCATCTATATACGAGCCGCGAAACAACGCAGCTCTGAACAGATTGCTCTGTAGAGTAGCTTCCGAGGACAGAAGGGTATGCTCCACTCCACTTGCAACGCTGTTAGATTGCTGTGCCATTGGACTGATTGAAATTGAACATGCGGCCTAGTAGGTCCAGATCGTTATCCATCATAAATTCACCGAGGTCTACATTAGACCATATAGGGTAGTCCGTATCGTGCGTGGGAAGTATATCCGGGACAGGCAACGGCATTTGAGGACCAACAAGAGCAGTGTTACTCTGTTCGCCGGAAGCTACATTGGGTCAGTATCAATGACGAAAGGTCTCATTCGATGAGCGTAGGAAACTCACCAGTGGCTTTGAGGATCATGGACAACTGGGCCAAATACTCGACACAGCGCTCGATCACTAGATTTCCTGAATCTAGATGACGCAAAGCGTCCGCAGCAAGATCAAGGTATGGTCGAGCATTTTCAATCATGCGCCATTGGTCTGGACTGTATTGACTTTCTTTTGATGAGACAAGAAGAGCTCCAAAGATGACTAGACCAGCATTAAAAGCTGTGGAAGAGGTCAGCGATAGGAGCCGTAAAAGGGCGTAACAGTAGACCTACTATAATAAAGCGAATAATTCCAGGCTCCAAGGAGGCCTCGATGCCAGCCACCTGATGAGGTGATGGTATGGACGGTCGAAATTATTGACTTGGCAGACTCGATGCAGTTTTGCACGCCCGTGAAGCCCATCTGGTGGACGAGGTTGTTTTCTTGGGAAGCAGAATCATCTGCACTGTATGCATCCAAGAAACACTCTAAGAACTTGCGATAGAGGAGAACGCGTAGGTTATGATACCGAACTGAGAGAACAATGCCGAATCGATGACGAATCGTGGATTCCGGGTCCAGATGCACCAGATCCTCGGCAAGTAAAGGTTCATGCCAGAGTCGGATACCGAGAGAGGGCACAATTGAAAACCGCCATTCCTCGAGCTGACGCTCGCCCTCGAGGATTTGAGGCACCGCGTTCGCTGGGCTCAACGAGTGTTCAAAGCCCAAGTTCTGACCGTAGCAATTGTCAAGGACGTTAAACATCACAACATATAATTTTCTGAGCCAATGAATTAGCTTGAGCAGTAAGATGGTCAAATTTGTGAACTAACATTGCTGCTGTGAAGAACCAGCCATCCAATTGAGGATATGACTCAGATTCTGGTGTGCTAGTCAAAACCTGCATATCTTTGACAGGCATCTCTAGCTTAACGTATGTTTCCGGAATGGTACAAGGTCGGCCAAATGTCATGCTCAACGTTCTGGGTTTGACAAATCAGTGCGTCTGCATAGAAACATATGACACAGATCCTTACCTGTCTAGTAGGATGCAACCGTACCAGGTTCGCTTGCGGATCTCACTTTCCACGGGCGAAAAACGTCGGTTGGCCTCCGGGGAATGTAAACCAAGTTGGAAAGCCGCCGAAATAGCCAGGCCGTGCGTGGTCCACGCTTGCACGGATTTTTGGGTGCCTTGAAGGTATTGACCCTGGACCAATAGATACTGTACTGTTATACCCCCCCTCCCGTCAGTGAGCATATGCCAGAGTCCGCAAGGGGTTACTCACCCATCTCTAGACTTGCATTCCGTTTGGAATCTCTTTCACAGAGCCCATTCGCCCTCTGAAAATATATATCCGACTCCTGGATCCTTTTACCGGTAGGGAGGTCACCTTCTGTATGAAGACTCGTGGCAATGGCCAGAACAATGTTAAGCAATCCGAGCCATGTTCGGCGCACTCGTCTGAAGTTTTCCTCTCGCATCCGAAAATAAGTCTCACAGAATGATGACTCGTGGATGAATGGTAAGAGCTGGCCAGTTTTCTCAAAATACACCTGAATCAAACTCCAAGTACGTTCCTCAGAAGGCAAAGCGAATATGTTGATGCCATTTTCACTCGACATTTGCATTCTACCCCGGGGGTCTTCTTGCGAGGGACGAGATCTTGACACGTTTAACATCCCACCACCGGCTTGTGATGGGGAAGATATAGATGGAACCCGGCCACCCTGTGGGTTTCCTCTTGCAATGGCTCGAGAAATATGCCGCATGAATGCAATGTTGGATGACGGGCCTGACAAGGATCAGTCAAACTCATTCGTATACATATTCGAGGGAAACCCCTACCAAAGAATCCACAATCCTCTTCATCTGCAAAATTGATAGCGCCCATTCCATCAATTGAGTTCTCTGAAGCATCTATCTCTCCAAACTCGGCCCTCCCCGGAGCATGAATTGCGTGAGAGGAGGGTGGGAGGCCCGACTTCGGGGCCGGAGATGATTCAATTCCATGCCCTACCCCAAAATTGACCACTGGAGGTCCCTCAGCTGTTGCTGAAGGCGTAATACTACCTTGGTTCTGCTCCAGTCGACGGATGGATGCCTCAATGTCTAGGATTCGGTGTTCGAGTCGAGCCAAGTAACTGTTCAGTCAGTCAGAATCAAGCTTATCTCCCCGGATGATTATTTCCCAATGTATGGAGAGTGGATCACCTTTTTTCCACGGTCAGATTGTATGATGTGCCCACATCCTGATAGACGCAATCACATTCGAGCTCCTTGCACTGGGTGCACGGTCGACCTCCGTCGCACTATCCACGCGTTAGTCTTGAGCAGCGATCGAGCCGACGTACTCACTCGGGATTTCCGGTGACGACAGGAATTGCAGGCTAAGACTGCACGCCGGCGTTTAGGGGGATGGGCCGACTGTGACATGGCGCATAGAACGGGAATGAAAGAAGGAGCGGGGAGATAGACATCATTAGTGCTCCACTTTGACCTCGGCAGCGGTGAAGCTCTGAACATCAGTGTCTCCATTCGCCCATGAGGAACCCTGGAAAGACAACCAACCATGAGCCTCGTTCAAATGCTTGGCAGATCCCCGCAATCTTGGTGGCTGCGCTAGATGGAAATCCGGAGCTGCGAACCAAACAACATTTCCCGAAGTCCCCGATCTGATTATCATACAGTACCTTACTATGTCCATCCTATTTCCCCGAATCGGCTCGGCAGTTATGCATCATGAGGCCCCGCTCATATGCATGCCGGTAACTGTTGCATGAATTCATTTAAATCGCCATTGATGTCCCATCCCGGCATAGGCCTACGACACAATTGGTATACGGTCTATCGACAATCTATTGGCGGTAATCCTTCATTATGGTTGGTTCTGCACTTTTTGCACAAGATAGAAAGAATCAATATCACTAACTTTGACCAGACTTCTCGTCCAGTACATGTCGGCATTGTTGGTGCGGGTATTGGTGGGCTGGCTGCTGCGATTGCAATAAGCCTAGCCGGCGCCCAAGTCACCGTGTTGGAAGCGGCTGAAGAGCTAGGTGAAGTATGTCCCCACCATTTGAATCATGACGGATAGCAAGCTTATACAAGTGAACCATCAAATCAGATCGGAGCAGGAATCCAGATGACCCCAAATGTTTCCGTGCTTCTTCAGAGGTGGGGCGTGGATAAGGTCATTGGAGAGAACCTGGTGCAATTTGAAGAATTGAACATGCGGCGCAAAGATGGTACACCAGTCGGGTATACCAAAATTGACACAATCGAACGAGATCTTCAAAGACCATGGTGGGTGGTTCATCGGGCGCATCTTCATGAGGGCTTGGCTACGATTGCTGCAAAGGCCGGGGCCACGATCAAGATTGACTCACGCGTCATCAAGATCGACCACCAAGCTGAGAAGGTCGCCGTGACTACTCAGAAAGGGGATTCATACACGTTCGATCTCTGCATTGGCGCGGATGGAATCAATAGTATTGTCCGTCGAACATTATTTCCAGACGTGCGGCCGGAACCTCCAACCACCAACTGTGCATACCGAGCCATGGTGCCATACGATCAAATTCGCCAGGACCCAATTGCCAAAGAGCTCATCGAAAAGCTGACCATGGAGGTGTGGATGGCTCCTCAGTCCTATATAATTACATATCCAATTTCGGCCGGCACCATGTTCAACTTGGTCCTTTCACACCATCGACCGGAAAAGCTGCGGGCTACCGAAGACGAAGTGCCCATTGAGGAGATGCGAGAGGAATATAAGGATTATGATCCACGTATCAAGCGCATCGTAGATATGATCCCGGAAGTCGTAAGTACCTTTTCAAGGGACATGACATACACCTATACTCATTTTTGTTCTAGTCGCGTTGGCCACTCATGGTGACTGGCCCCCTGAAATCTTGGTCGTCACCCCGGAAGAACGTGGTTCTTATGGGCGATGCAGCCCATTCCATGGTGAACCACATGGCGCAAGGAGCAGCCACTTCAATGGAAGATGGTGCTTTCCTCGCCAAGTGCCTTGAGGCCGTTGTTCAGGGCAGGATCGGTATCCAAGAGGCTGTCGAGATCTACGAGACAGAGCGCATGCCCAAAGCATTTGCTAAACAACAAGTGTCCTATATCAATGGAGCCATCTGGCAACTGCCAGACGGGCCTTTGCAGCAAGGACGTGACGCAGCCATGGCACCCGAGCTGGAAGGCACATACTTTGTACGCAGCAGCAACCTGTATGGGGACCCACAGACCGTGATGGATGTTTATGGATATGATGTTCAGGGACATGCCGAAGAGGCGGTACGGAAGTACTGTGACGGAGGCAAAGAACCAGCTCATCCCGTCACGGGCGTCACTCCTACGTTGCAGCGCAAGTATATGGATTGGTTCTTGCCAAACAAAGCCAGACAAGCCGGGAAGCTGTAAGTGCAAAGAGATTTGTAGGCAAAGTTAGCACTCTACATGTGAGAAGTCACATACATGAGACAAGACATGAAGAATTGAACTGAAAAAGAAAAACAAGATTTGTGGTCATGAACGTGCATTCTAGTTGTATGAAACTATGTACAGAAGGCAAGACAGGCTACTCTGGGCCCTTGTCCCTTTCTTTTGAGGAAATATTAAAAACAAATATACAAACACAATATTAAGAGTAATGTAGTTGGAACAGAGAGTTCGCCCGGATGAAAAGAATTTCCGGTGACCCATAATGAACCTATGCAAGCAGAGCCCAAAACTCCAGAAAGAAAAACCCATGATTTAACCCTAGACTCAACGGTCATATCAACACGTGTATCATGACTTGCTCTCTCAAAGGGTTTTCTTCTGGTCGGCGGAGTAGTGGCGGTCATCATCTCCCTCCACAGTCTTCAGAATGGCTTCCATCTCCTTGGCCTGGCGTTTCCATTCTTGATCACCCATCTTGGTCTCCCGTCGGAAGAGCTCCTCATTGGGTTTGCGGTAGCTACCACCCAGACGATCCCACAAGGTAGTGAACTGGCCGTAGTTATAGTTAAAGTAGAGGTGATGCATAGTGTGACAGGCGGCTCCGTTCACAACCGGGCTGTTGGCGACGTACTCGCCATCATGGATGAAGACGGTCCAGAGGTTGATGAAGCCAAAAAGAAAGACATAGGCCACTTTCTGCAGAGGGAAGAGGAAGGGGAAAACGTGGTACGGAACACTTTGGGACCAGCCGTCCAAGGGGTGGAAAGCGTGGGAGGCAAAAGGGCTCGGCATGATCCATTTGTGGTGCGGCTTGTGAAGGGTTTTGTAAACTCGCGGGTGGTGCAGGCCACGGTGGATCCAGTAGATAAAGAAATCGGTGAAGAAGATGAAGAATGGGAATTGCAGAATGCTGTAATACGGGAAGGGCTCCTCAGCAACGGTGTCATAGAGCTTGGCGTAGCCCCGGACTTCCAGAACAAAGAAAGGCGCAGTCAACAACGCCATTGGGGGCATGGCGCCCATGGCTTGCTTCATTTCCATGGAGATCTGGTTTCGCAAGAACTTGGGGTGCTTATAGGTGGTTTTGTCCCAGATGAAGATATATGAGAGCGTCGCAACAACGAAGTAGACGAGGAGACCAAAGATCCTAGGCTTGTGTTAACGGAGAGTCATAACAGGTGGCGTCAGGGGGTCGGCGCATACCAAGTGATCAAGAAGAAGCTGGTGAATTGGCGGTAGATGTTGTTCCGCGGCCACGCACTTAGGTAGGCATATTTGGAGGGTTCGAGATGAATCAACTGGGTTGCTGGCTCGTAGATAAAAGGTTCCGCTGCTCCGAACAAGGATAGGGAGCTGTTGGCGGCATTGACGAAGCCTGGGAAGGAGACGGAGGAGGCAATTGAGTTGGGGAGAAGAGTGGAATACATTCGATCACCAATAAAGGTGTCCCACAATTCTAGAATGATATCCATGATCGACTCACACCGGGGGTAGTAAGAAGAATGGGGGAGGAGGTAATTGGTGAAGAGAGAAATCTTTAAAAGGGAGAAGTGTACATTAAGTCCGAGGGGCGAATAATAAATTCTGCCCGCATCGTACCAGCGCGGAACGGCATCTGCCGCTGGGCCCCTTAATAATCTAACAAGATAAAGAACTTATAGGAAGTACGGAGTACGGAGTAGAGATAGTAACTAAAGTAACATTATGCCATATAAATAAGTTCGGATAACAAGTTCTAGTGAGGATGCTACTACAAAACGGCATGCCACTGTACAGAAGTGGTGGTAGTATGCAGAAGTCTTTACCCCTTTTTGGCTTCTGCAGGAACCGGGAGTTGATGCCATGGTACTAAGGCACTAAGGCACCAAGGCTACCAGTGGTTCCCCGTACTCAAAGACGCAGCTCTCGGTGTAAATCCAAGTCTTGTTCTGCAAACAGGGACGGGCTTCAGGTCATTGTTATATTTCCATATAGGAATATTGAAGAGTTGATTATATTTGTGAGTCAACTAGTGTGCTGAATTGGACTCTACTTAAGTCAATTTCATTTCAATTCATGTCAATTCAATTCCATCCGATGATGTATTTAGTTCCCGGCCAGACCCCGGTCTTTGCGCTCGCCTATTGCGTCGCTTCCAGCGCCAAACGGCAGTAGCCGCCCAATTCTGCCCCCAAACTTCAACCCAGCCTCTTCTCCCCTCTCTAACCACACCTTATCCATCCACGCCTCATCCACGAATACCCACCCGGGTCTTTCTTTGTTCTCCCCTGAACCAAATTCTTTTTCTTGGTTCCTCATTATTGCCGTGGCTAGCTGCGTGGTGTCGCTCACCAAGCAGCAATTGCCTAGTGATCGGCTTCGTGACCCTGTCCCCAGCTGCGATTCGTTGTCGCAAAAGCTGTCGCTGATCCGACGTTTCCCCTTCAGCTCCGAGTGTACCTCACGTTTAGATACCCGTTGAAATACCCGCTTTTAACACCACCAAATCACCATGTATAACGCTCATCGCGGGATGGTGCCCGCTCCCAACTCCCGTTTGACGGAGTTGTTGGATCAGCTGCGCCAGGAATTCGAGAGTCAATCTCGCAGCACCGGTGAATTTGAGCACCAGTGTATGTGTTCCATCTGCCATCTGCCATCTGCCATCTGCCACCTGCAATCTACCATCACCTATCCACCTGCCCCCTCTTCGACCTACGCTTTGCTTAGCTTCTGAAATGCGCAACGTTGGAGCGACCCCTTTCTCTTTAAAGTCGCTAGTCTGTCCATGGCTGCGACTTCTAGGTCACGAAATGCGCTGAATGGTTTTCTAACTGATAGATCATGCAGTTACCGGCCAACTCCAGGAGATGGAGATGATCCGTCAGAAGGTGTATCAACTGGAGCAAACCCAGGTCAAGATGAAGCAAGAGTGAGTGAGACCTTGTCTTTTTCCCCCCGCTCTTTATCGCTGTCCTGCACAAATTGGTCCTTGTACTGATTATTTGCTTCGTTTCATAGCTACGAAGCCGAGATCCGCATGCTGCGACATGAACTCGAGTCGCGCGGTGTCCAAACCGTCTCCCACATCGCACCTACGGCGCATACAGCCCCCCCGGGCCAGCCACCACAGGTCGGCCACGGCCCGAGCAACTTGTTTAGCGGTATTATGGCCAACGCCAACCAAGGAGGTAGTGGTCCCGGTCTTGCTCCTCCCCCCTCCCCAGGATCAGCAGCCTCCCCCGCATGCCCTTCAACAGCCTGTGGCGGCCGCCCAGCCTGGACAGCCCCTGCAGAGCTCCTTTGGAGGATATCCACCGGGCGCTGCTGTGACCGGTATGTGAGAGTTTTAAGGGAATTGACGCCGAGTTGCTGACCTATCTTTTCTTAATCTAACAGGCTATGGCGGCCCCCCACCGCCCCCCACCGCCTCTCCAGGTCCTGGCAAGACTCGCCGTGCAGCCCCCGGCCCGGCTACCCCCCAGCCGACTCAGCTCGCCTACCCTGACCCTCGTGCCTCTCCTCAGATTCGCCCGACCCCTCCGGGTACTCAGCCGACCGCCCCTGGTCGCCCGGATCGTCCAGGCAACATGTTGGCCAACTGGAACCCGGAGGACTTGCCTCCGTCGCAGAAGCGCGAAGGCACAGACTGGTATGCGGTGTTCAACCCTGAGGTTCAGCGTGTGCTGGATGTCGAACTGGTGCACCACCTTAGCCACGACAGTGTCGTCTGCTGTGTTCGGTTCAGCCGTGATGGCAAATACCTGGCGACAGGCTGCAACCGGTCTGCGCAAATTTTCGATGTGACCACTGGACAGAATGTGGCAACCCTGCAGGATGAGAACGTCGACAAGGATGGTGACCTTTACATCCGCAGCGTGTGCTTCAGTCCCGATGGAAAGTACCTGGCGACCGGTGCCGAGGACAAGCAAATTCGCGTAAGTAACCACCCCGGACTCCTATGGAACTGGATTGCGCCGGGAGCTCACGAGTTTACTGACAATACGAATGTTAGGTCTGGGATATTGCCTCCCGTACCATCAAGAATATCTTCACCGGTCACGAACAAGACATCTACTCGCTAGATTTCGCCGGCAATGGCCGCTATATCGCCTCGGGCAGTGGTGATAAGACCGTGCGTCTCTGGGACATCCTCGACGGCAAGCTCGTCTACACCCTCAGCATTGAGGATGGCGTCACCACGGTAGCTATGTCTCCCGACGGCCACTACGTGGCTGCGGGATCGCTGGACAAGAGCGTGCGGGTGTGGGACACCACCACTGGCTACCTGGTGGAGCGACTAGAGAACCCTGATGGACACAAGGACAGCGTATACTCAGTTGCCTTTGCACCCAATGGCCGCGACCTGGTCAGCGGCAGTTTGGATAAGACAATCAAGCTATGGGAATTGACTGTCCCGCGCGGCCTACATCCCCACAGTGGCGTCAAGGGCGGCAAGTGTGTGCGGACGTTTGAGGGCCATAAGGTTGGTGCCTTTTTACTTTCTATTTCACTTTTCTGCTTCTTTCCTTTTGCTTTTTTTCTTTTTGCTCTCCCTTTTTTTATATATATTTTTTTTTTCTCTTACCCGCTCTCCCCTGTCACTTGTCATTTCCCCACTAACCTTCTTCTAGGACTTCGTGCTTAGCGTGTGCCTGACGCCCGATGGCCAGTGGGTCATGAGTGGCTCTAAGGATCGTGGCGTTCAATTCTGGGACCCGGTCACTGGTAACGCCCAGATGATGTTGCAGGGCCACAAGAACTCCGGTGAGTGAGAATTGCATATCTTATCAATGCTTGTGTCATGACAATTCTAACTCTGAGTCTTCTCCGCGGGATGTAGTTATCTCCGTTGCCCCAGCCCCGACTGGCAACCTGTTCGCAACTGGCAGTGGAGACATGCGTGCACGGATCTGGAGGTAAGCCCTACTTCTCGATCTCCCCATGGAGCATCATGCTGACCTTTCTAGATACTCCAACTATACTGGACGGTAAAAGGGGGGATAGGGGATGTCTTGGCGCAATGTGACATCTTTCATTATGTTGTCTTATCTTTTACATTCGGACTCCTTTTTTTATTGCTTGGATTTTGGATTCCACTTGCAAGCCGGGTTGGGCTCTTCGAATTTGCCGGTGTCTTTGTTATTGTCCCCCCCCTTTTTTTCTGTGTTTTCATTGGAATAATGTCGCAAACAAAAATGCAAATATCTTTTACTGCAAAGAGTAACACCAGAACCAAGTGGATGGGTCTGTAGTACAATAGAACATGTCGAGTGCCGTGAGTGGATCCCCAGGTACGAGCAGGTCCGTGTGTTCTGACTGGTAAAGGAGTCTGTCGAGTTATCCTGTTTTTATTAATTTTATTCTCATTCTATTGATTGTGTTTTCTTTTCGCCTCTGAATCCCTGCAGGAACACTCGACGTGCAGGAAAGCGTAGAAGCAAAGGGGAAAAAGAAAAAGATAAAAAAAAAAAAAAAAACCATTGGAAGGGAACACGAGGAGAGGATCGACGATCTGGAGCTGAGAGATCGAATGAATTTCCCAGGCCATGGGCGGCTAGCTGGGATATTCGCTGGACGAAGATCGGACGCTATTGGCGACTATCGGACGGGCGCATCCGGATGCCCCAATCAGCAAAGGCTTACTCGTCGCCGATCCTTGGTCCACTTTGAAAGCCCGAAGGCCCGGGCCGCCCTCGAGGTGATTGATTTGTTTTTTCTCGTTCTGATGGATCGAGTATGGTGCATTCAAATCACACAAGTCCAGAGAAGGAAGAGTAGGAATCAGAAAGGCAGAAAGAGAGGGAGCGAGAGAGAGAAAGAGGAGACAAACATGGTGCAAAAGTCCAGTCATGTGTCGTGTGGAGTTGAGGATTAGTAGTCGCCAGTCGCGGCTGTCAACATTTATGCTACACCGAGTTTTTTTGGACTTGGATTTGATTTGATTACATTTCTTTTCCATTATTACACTAGTCCCTCGGTACGAAAGTCTCGCCAAATCAATATTAAATCAGATGCGTCCCATTATGCGGGCTTTCAGGTCTCCACGGATCCCTGGACGATCGACCATGCACGTCTAGCCTCGAACTACTCCCCCCCCCCCTTCTGAACGTCATATAACTGTGATCCACTAGTGGGCAATCATACAGATCTATGCACATATCCGGACTTATATAGATCAAACCCTGACCCGTGCTCGTTTCCTGGTCGACTTCTTATATCCTAGACCTTTCTTCTCTATTTTAACCTTCCAGGCAGAACCCAAATTACAAAAAGAAAAGAACTCCTTCAGGTGATTGTGACTGTTGAGGACACGCGTCAGAGTCCCAAAAGAAAGGGAACAAAAAAGAAAGAAAAAGGAAAACGCAAAGGCAACAAAGAAAAGACATGGAGACCCCCGAGCCAGTGTCGTCCTATGAGTTCTCGGGCCATGGCCATATGGGCCCTTATGCCCATCGACGGATGGACTCCCCCCTGTTCCCTTACTATGCCCATCATGCCACATCGGCACCATATTCCCTTCCATACCATGCTCCAACCTCGGGTCCGTACAACTTTGGCCATCTCACTCAGCCTACACACCCATATGGTCATTATTTCGGAGCCAGTCAGCCCCCACTCGCATCTCCGATTCGCCTGACCGAGCAACCACTGCATTCGCTTCCGGAGATTCGACCGGCAAAGAATGCCATCAATCAGACAGCCAAGGGAACCGATTCCCGGGGCCTTGGAGCCATGGCCGTGAAGAAGGGAGGCGCTAACTTCGAGTTCTCGACGGAAGTTGATGTCTTGATGAAAGCTATCCAGGCTAAACCGGACACCGGCTCATCCCCTGTACAACAACCGGGCCAGCAGATTCAGCAAGTCCAACAGGTTCAACAGATCTCTCAGATCCCACAGGCCCAGCAGTCCCTGCCACCACTGCAGCAGCTAGCATCGCCGGGTTACCCAGCCTACCCCATGTCGCCTCCGCGTTGCATTCTGAATAATGACGGCCAGTTGTCGCGTTCTGGCAAGAAACGCAAGTATACCTGCACCTTGCCGAACTGTGGCAAGAGTTTTGCGCAGAAGACACACCTGGATATCCATACGCGAGCGCATACAGGCGATAAGCCCTTTGTGAGTAGAGGGATTCTCGATATTAGAGGGGTCATTTCAGCTGATGCAGTGCAGATATGCAAGGAGCCTTCATGTGGACAACGATTCTCGCAGCTGGGTAACCTAAAGGTGAGTCCTGCGACCCCTCGTCCCAGAATTAGAGAGCCTGACCTGACTAAATGCATTCTACTAGACCCATGAACGCCGCCACACGGGTGAGAAACCCTACTCCTGTGATATCTGCCATAAAAGGTTCGCTCAGCGGGGCAATGTTCGGGCCCACAAGACAACCCATCTCCAGAACAAGCCATTCACCTGCCTACTGGACGACTGCGGCAAGAAATTTACGCAACTTGGGAACCTGAAGGTAAGAGATCCATCAACTCATGGGTCCAACTTCCGGTTCAACAGGCTCACATCCTTCTCCTTGATCTAGTCCCACCAGAATAAGTTCCATGCATCTACCCTCCGCTCATTAACGATGCGATTCTCCCAAATCGGCGACCAGGCATCCGTCAATCCGCAAGATCGTGAACTATGGGAGTACTTCGCTTCCCTCTACAAGAATAGCAACAAGGGCATCAAAGGCCGAGGCAAGGACCGGCGGATCCTAACCACCAAGCGGTCCATGACCGGCGACTCGATGCACCGCATGCTATCCATGGAATCGGACGAAGACCCTTCGCAGATGCGCCGAGGCAGCTATGAAGATACTCTGTCCATGTACACGGGCGGGTCCAGCAGTGATGGAGACGAGCCTGGTCCATATTTGATGAACCGGCGGTAGATTCTATACTTTCCTCGGGTTCTTTTTTGTTCATTTTGGGGTTGTCTTTTTCTTTTCTCTTATTTTCTCTCTCCCTCTTTTCATGCGAGAATGAATGGCGCGATTCGGATCCTTTGATCTGGATCTATATACCCGGGGTTTTTCTTGGAGGGCTTGGTATGGTTTCATGGGGTTTCTTCTGTTCATTTCCGTGTTCAAGATTTATATGATTTATGAGTGTTGTATTTTCTCTGTATTCTATCTGAGCGCTATGTACACGAAGCACAGTTTAACAAGGTTTCGGGGAGAGCCGCGATTTCGAAGGTTTATTCTTATTGTTTAGATCATCATTCTGATGTCTATCATGTATCTAGAACTAGATCCTCATTTTAGAAAGTTACTAGCCCGAGCTCGTCTGTTTTTACCGCTTCTAGTCAACGGATTATTTAGTGTTTACCTTGACAGCTGCCTAACCACGCTACTATCACACGAGGTGGAGCATTGGGCAGGTCGAGTTCCAAGTGTCGAATTCAACTAGTTCAGAGGTGCGTGCACAACGTGCCATCAATAAGAATCTTAGCTAATCCCTTGAAAGATTATCTTTATGATAGATCTCTTACGGTATATGGCATGCATCAGAAGTAAATAGATCTATATGATTTCTTTTGCTGCAGTGGAATGGGTTGGGAGCACAAACTTGTGTACAACCTGTTCATGTAGGACAGGAGATTAAGATCTTCTCCTTTGTTCCCCACATGGGTTCGTGCAGTGACACTCGATCATAAAAAGCAAAAAAAAAAAAAAAGAGATCAACAGGAATGTGGGAAATATAATAGAATAAGTGAAATAAAAAAAAATTGTAATTGTGACAGGCTAGGAGTGCTCCATCGTGACAGACCCACTTCTCTCTTGCATCCTGTACCCCTGTCATACCCGAGGACACACTATTGCCCATCTGCATCAGTAATCTTAATGTCCCCATCATTTCCATCATCGGCCTGCATGGGGGCTACTGTGCCCACCGGAGTGGCGTTTGCTAGAGAATCCATGATGAAGGCTTCTTCCACGGCAACCTTACGTCTGAACACACGAAGCCAGCGACGACCCCATTGGCGGATAATAGCATCTTCAGGCAGATCGCCGCTACCATCCCCACGCTCCATCAGCTCGTCGTTGCTACCTGCAGCCACTGACACAATCGAGTCCTCAATGAACTTGAATAGCGTCTGCATCTCACTCCGCTCACGGGACAGTGTCTCCTCGAGCACACTCAGCTGTGGTTCGTATAAGCCGGGTTGAGTACGAGCCACGACGATCTGGCGCATGCGATTGGTAACCTTGCCGACGGTAGCGGAGATCATTTCAAAGATGTGCGCCTTGGCTAGCACCGTCCCGGCCTTCAGGGACTCCGAAAGTGCCCATTCAAGGACGGAATAGGGAGTGATGATGGTGTAGTTGAGGAGTTTGTCGATGATGTTGATGGCGATACCGGGCTGATCAGCCCAGTACTCCATCACGGAGGCAATGATCTGGCATCGGGCCCGCTGCGATACCGGTCCGATGGCCAGTAGACGCTCCTTGTTCCGTTCGATGCACGAGAGGACGTGAGAGAGGGATTTGGATCCCACAAAACAGATGGAGGTCATCAAGGCATCCGTTGAAGGGACCTTGGGGTCCTCCACTCCCAAACTTTGCGCCTGTTCCTCGATCGCTGTAATCAGTGGCTCAATTTCCTCGTCCCCGGCTTTCTTCCGAATGAGTTGCATAATCTCCTGTCCTTCTTTGGAGTAAGGGGTCACTATCATTTCATGGTCAGTGTCAGGGTCTCTGTGTGCAACCGTCCTTCAAAAGAGAATAAGGAAAAAGGGTTCACTAACGTTCGGAAAGATATTTGAACTCAGGGGTGTCCTTCTCCTTCTCCTCGGTGATCAAAGGGAGGTAGGGCTCCAGCAAAGTGCCCTTAATACGCTGTGCAAAGCTGAGTCGAATCTCCTTGTCCAAAGCACCATTAATGAAGGCCAGCTTGGGATGAATGGCAGGAAGGTCAAGATCATCAACCCTGGTACTAGGTTAGCATTCACCATTATCCACGAGTTTAAAATCCACTACTTACCACTCGCTCCATTTCCATGTGAAACCGAAGTTGCTCAGATGGTGGGCAAACCAATCAAGGAACCGGTTGCTCAGTTCCAGATCCATAGTCTCGAGGTTGTTGTACAGGAATCGAATAGCACGACCCAAGCTAGGCGCAATGGCGGCAGGGCCAATCTTGCAGCATTCAGTCAAGAGAGCATGGTAATAAACGAGTTTGTGCTCAGGGGTGGGAAGCTGATACAGCTGGGAAAACACGGCATCCACCGCAACGTCCTCTGGCTTCCACGACTGTCCCTGGCCCGCAAGATCACGCATTCGGTCAAAGGGAGTGGCACGCTTGACGAAGGTGTCCGGGGTAAAGTAACAATCCACGTCAATTAAATACTTGGCTGTAGCCACGCGATTGAAGTCGAGAAGATTGATGGTATCCACCAACGCATCTCTCAAGAGCAACGACGTGACATCCGAAGGTGGAGGCACAGTATCGATTTCTTGGTTGGCAAACACTGAGATGTAAACCTCGGGGAAGAGAGGACGGGCACCATTCTGGACAGGGTTAGGGACATTGATCTGTGGGAAAGAGACCTTGTTGACTGGTTCGAAAAACTTTTGACCAAGATCCTGCTCATCCTGCTCAATTTCCTGGACGCCCTTCCAGGGACGGGGGAGGCACTTCAACTCCCAGCCCCGGCTAGCCTCGCCTTGTAATTGACTTTGAAGAAGACTGATCACACTGGGCCCAGCGGCTTCCTTGTTCTCCTCGGGGCTGAACGTATTTACCAGGTCCACCAATGCGTGCGGCGTAGACGCAATAATGTCTGTTTTCTCAAGAAGTCCCATGGCCTGAGTCTCGAAACCCGTGGCAGGGGAGGACATCACATAGGGAATAGTGAACTGGATGACTTTGACAAGCTCCAGACCGAGCAACTGTACCCAATTGTTAGTTTCGAGTGATTCACCTAGGAACAGAGCCCACTTACGTCTTCCGAAGATGCCGTTTGGAGATCAACCGCACGGGCGAATAGCTCTTCCAGCAGCGGGAAGATACCATCCCCCTCAAAGAGAGGTTGCAAGCCTCCCAAAAAGCGAAGGACAAGCTTCACCTCTCGCCATGACCCCGAATCAATGTGTTTCTGCAGAATCTCGCCTGCTTTTTTCAGCACCTCTGCGCCCAATTCAGCCTTGAGATTGTAGGCAACCAGAGTTATTGCCGCCACGAATGGGATTTTCATCGGTTGCTCCTGGACGCTGCATTGAGGTGGTGAGGTCAGTCCAGTGTCACGGGTTTCTGAGTAGTGGTGTAGGTAGGCACACGTACAGGTCCAAGGAAATGTTAACAAAGGTGTCGCGCAGCTCCTCATCATCAAAGTTTTCCGCGACCGACTTTGCGATTCCAATAATATCATCTTCCACTTTCCGGGCAGCCTATTCAATGGGCCCTGCGCATCAGTATCCAAGTTCCATAGTTCTCGTAGGCAGAAAGCACGCAATGCAAGGGCAGTGGGTTCATACGGATTCGGCGATGGTCAGCAGCTGGCGGCGGACCTGGACAAACAAAGGCTCTTCATATCTGCGTCTTTGAGGGCGGCGATCAAAATCATCATCATCTGCCAACTTGTCAGTGAACGTCACAGGGAAGCTTGATCATGTCGCTCACCTCTGTAGCGGCGCTTGCGCCCACCACCACCACCACCCCGGGGGCCATGATTCCGGCGCTCGTAATCAGCCATAACGTGCAAGGTCTTGAATGGACAATGGGTTTCGAGAGAGAAGAATGGTGATCAGACGACCCGGAGCTCCTAGTAAATGCAAATGGCAGCTCGGAAGTGGGGAAAATCCGACCCGAGCGACCATCCAAACAAACCAAGTCAAACTAAGAACTGCCGACCAAGTGATATGGGAGACGATAGTCTCGCTAAGTCTTCATCTGCAAGGAAACTACAATATTCAATCGGGTCTATTATCATTCTTCCAAATTGATCAGTCTACAGTGGTTTCCTTTTACTTCTTGCTTCCATGAGCTCTCCAGTGCAGCTAGCCATGTCCCCAAGTTATACAAAGTCATATATGGTGATTCATTACCTCGAAAGGTTGCTATGGTTAGATAAACACGTCAACTGGTCTGAGGAGTAATCAATGCTTCATGGTCGGACACTTATATCAAAATGCTAACAAAGAATGCCTTTCTTACATGACCGAATGCGAACAGGGGATCACTCTGCGATACAACGGCACATCTCTACGGGCCGCATAGAACAAGGAGCCCATCCAATTCGGATCTGGAAAGTGTAGCTTCATCACCGGTCAGGGGAGGAGTCACAAAGAAGCCGAGCCAAGCTTCAAGAAGCCTGGCAATGACATTTGCAAAAGAGAAACGTAGGATCAAAAACATGACACAGCAAGGGAAGGAAAGAAAAAGGGAAAGAGGAAAAAAGGGAGGACGAAATAGAACGAAAAAAACGGGGTTTCTAGCGCTGCAAAGTCGAAGGAATTGCGTGGTAAATTGGGGGGACCACGGTCCCGGGTAAAATTGAACGAAAAGCCTCCGAAACCCACGGTGATGCATATCGAATGTCCCGGGATCAGGGCTTTCTGCATGGGGATTTGCTTTCCCTCTCCCCGAATGAAGCTATGCAGTCTTCAATCCCGGCAGACTTGCACAGAAAGGGTATCACTTTTTCCTCCCAAGTGTCGCAGACACAAAAAAAATAAGAACTCCAGGCCATGACCTTACCACCATTGCGTGACAATCATCAGCCTCCCATGCCCCTCCCCTAATGAATCAGATCCAGTTTTCTGCTTAGCCATGAAAAAGGACGTTTTCCACTTTTCCCATCGCTCCCCCACCACAAAACTCCCTGACAGATGTTGCAGTCCTGTCATTGGCCCGCTGGTTCAATAAGTAGGTATGGAAACTCAGCAAAGCCTATGCTCTCTCAAGTGAAGAGCGCCACTCGAAACATGATGGTACTCGGTCGATAGGTCCTCGAGAATCTCTCACACGCTGTGCACAAAGCACTACGAACAGACATGTCTCTCGTTGAGGTATCTATCCCCTCAGTCGAGATGAGCCATCATCTCCTCCTTGGAAAGGGGCTTGAAGTTGTTGATATCAAGGCCGCGCGCTTCCAGGGCCGGACGAGCATGAGGAGGGACGATTTGTTCATTCAGTTCGGGCGCGATCGAAAGTTCTGGATATAGGTTAGCAAAAGAGAGGGCCAGTTAGGTCATTAGTCATGGAACTTACCATGCCGCGAGAAATCGAAGAGAACTGGCAAGTCTTTGGCCGGGTTGTTGTGATGGCGCGAATCGGGGAAGCGCGTGGCCGGATCCCGGAGTTCGTCAAAGAAGGGGTGGCACATGGCCTCGATGGCCGACAAGCGCTCGGTGGGAGTGTACTCCAGAAGTGCCGAAATCAGGTCGATAGCCTCCGGGGGAGCTTTCCGGAATACCTAGAGTTGGGTAATCAGCACCTGAAACGTTGGGCTGTTGGGAGTGATAGTTACCTTATTGAAGGGATGCGGCTTGATTTGAGGAAATTTGTGCTCCATGTAATTGGGATTCATGGTCCGGATCTGCTCGCGGGTGGGAGTGCCAAGAACCTTGATGATTTCCACCAGCTGGTCAATTCCCGATTCACCAGGGAAGAGGGGTTGTCCCAGCATCAACTCTGCCATAACACAACCAGTCGACCATACGTCTAAATAGGGAGATAAAAAGGAATATAAGTCATGGGCTCAGGATGGTTGAAGGTAAAATCGAATCATGGAGAAGGAAACGCACCGATCTTGGTTGTGTAGTTGGTCGCACCGAAGATCAACTCCGGCGCCCGGTAGTAACGAGAGCAGATGTAGGAGACGTTGGGTTCGTTTTCAATCAGAATCTTGGCAGATCCGAAATCGCACAGCTTCAGGATACCAGTGTTAGGGTCCAGCAGGAGGTTCTGGGGCTTGATGTCGCGATGACAGATTCCTTGGGAGTGGATGTAGGCCAGCGACCGGAACAGCTGGTAGATGTAGAGCTTGACCTCGAGCATGGGCATAGTGGTCTTGAGTTTGTTGAAGTAGCGCGAGGCACGGTACACGGTTTCGGGGACATACTCCAGAACCAGGTTGAGGTACACTTCATCTTTCTACAATGGAGGGGGGGAAAGGTCAGTGAGAGCACCGGGCGGGAGGGCGATTTCATCACCTACTCGGTCACCGTTAGAGTAGTAAAAGGCCTTCAGCTCGACGATATTAGGATGGCGCACAATCCTCATAATTTGGAGCTCACGATTCTACAAGATCATCAGTATCTTTCTGGCAGCCATTTTTTCCGGTTAAATCCGCCCTTACCTTGAACCGCTTGTCCTGGAGGACTCTCTTAATGGCAGCATCCTCGCCGCTGGGGGCCATCTTGGTCTGGAAAACCACACCAAAGGATCCATTGCCCACGATCTTGCACTGAGTGTACGAGATCTCCTTGTGCTCGCCAGTAAGGCCATCTTGGACCTTTTCACGAATAACCTCTGTAGCGGGGAGAGAAGAGCGAGCGTTAGTTGGAGGGGGGACGAGTTCCAACGCAATTGAGGGAAGACTTACCACCCATGCGCAAACTTGGGAATAACCCAGGCCGACTCTGTGACATGGCGGGGAGTGCTATGGAGGAAGAGGAAAGGAACCCGTTTTGGGCGTGGTAATCGGTGGAGTCAAGCTGGGAGGGGAGGGAGGGGGTGGGCGGAAGGTCCGAACGGGGCGAGATGAGAAGAATAGGTGGTCGAATGCCAAGAATGCAGGAAAGAGGGAAAGGAAATCCCAAAAAGGTGGAATGAATTGGTGTGTAGGAAGAAGGGAGGGACCAATAACGTCGAATTGAGGAAAATCCAAAGGGTTAGATTGGGAGTAAGAAAATTGGGTAAATTGGGTATTGGGGGTGTTAAGGTGTTAAGGATTCAGGGCGACTTCGGAAAAGGTGACGTTGACGCTTGGAAAGTTCAAAGGAAACAACGTTGAGGGCCACAGAGGGGGAGGAAAAAAAACCAGGAAAAGTAAAAAAATAATAGGAAAAATTAGGGAATTTTTTCAAGGTGATTATTTCCAACAAAAAGGAATTTTCCCCCTAATAAAGGAAAGAAAGAAAAGGTGCTGGAGAAGAGAAAAGAGAGGGGGCGGGAGAGTCCAATGTGCAATACCAGCGCCATTTGACTAGGAATCCCTATAACTAGTTGAGATCTATAGGGCTTAGATAGAATGGGAGAGCTTTTTTTGTTTTTTTGTTTTTATTTTTTGGTTTGTTTATTATATTATTAACATGATGATAAATTGATATATTCCTACAGAGAATGAAATTCCCTCTCTCTTCGTCTCTTTCTCCGCCTTGGATGCATGTCGATTGTGATTTGGATCCATTTATTACTGGAATTACCGAATAACCAATACAGCACCAATCTTACGGGAATGATCTCATCGACAATACGGATAATTTGGGTTACCCGGTAATGATACACATCCGACTCCAGGGCGCATCTTTCAAAGTGGATATAAGTTTGCTTCATGACAGCCCAAAGTCCAGAACATGTACACTCTTCGAGCTCTCTGTCGCTCTTCTTTCTCCCTTCTATTTTGGGGGGACTTTGCTTGAAAAGGTCACGTTGAACGGAGATACTGATGTTCCGCGAGTCCCGTGTCGGCTGACCAGCCGTGATTTTCCCAGGAACGACGCTGATTGGCTGTACGAGGTACGACCTCGTGACCATCATGTCATCGAGTCCAGCTGACTACTGCATACAGGTGCGAAGAGGCGAGAATAGAAAGAAATCCAGAAAGAGCTTGGGCCAAGTGGAGCTTAGACAACTTGTTAGTCTCAACTAGTTAAAGTTCTATGTATACCTGGGTTCACGATCATCTGATAGATTTCCATACATGAGGGGAGTGGGTACTTCCTTAATACCTACAGTAGAATGACCTACATGCTTTTCACACTGTGTTTACTAAAGGTCTCCCCTTTTGCACGAGAGTGATACATATATTACTTTTTCGGTCGATCTAGTTTCAAAGCTTGAGCCATGCCATGCGAGATACGGCACGAACGGGACCCGGCAGCTCAACACCGAACTGTCGATCCCCGACTTATTCGAGTATTCCAGCGTGCAGGGATTCCTCTTGGCATGTGAGATAGAAAGGCTCATCCAGCCGACGTCCGGCTCCGAATGATTGGGATCCCGGCCGGGGATGAGAAAATTCAAACCAAAGTCAAACCCCTCTTATGCCTCATATCTCTGGGTACATAGCGAGGGCTTTACTAAACTAAACATAGTATAGGGGGTGAGAAAAAGCAAAAGGGAAGCTAGGAAGCTAGGAAGCTAGGGAGATCTATAGAATGGGCTGCAGAACCCGAAAGACTGGGCTAGAAGCCCTTATTGCTTTTTGCTTGTCTCCTTTTGGGATATAGACGGTTCACTGGGCTCAAGTGGATGCTCTAGATTTCTAAATCTAAATTGCTTTTTTTTTTTTGAATGTGGGAACCATTGAAAGGGCGTCTAGGAATGTTTCGGTTCCTGACACTTGCCCCTGATGCCATGGCCATCTCACACAACAGATCGAGTGTTCGACACAAGTCTGAGATCCACCAATCATGACGGATGACAGAAAGCACCGCAATCCCAGGCCCAACGCACCCGTTGAGGACCAACCATTCGCTCGATGCAGAACCCGCAGATGGTAATGCACCTGGCTGAAAAGGTTCAAGGTTGAGAAGCTTACAAGCGCTGCGGTACACATACCAGATGTACCAACAATACCCGGCAGAACAGGTCTTTTGCGGCATACCGGTAATTACGCAAAATCATCCCGACCCTAAAGTAAAATTACCGCAGTAGTAGCACGGAGAGCATCGCACATCACCAGATCAATCCGGGGGCTGTGGCATATTAACTCGCCACAACTTTGTCAGGCGACGCCGCTGTCATCCGGAAGTGACGTAGGCAAAATGGTGAGACGGTGGCACGGCCCAAAGGTCGAACGGAAAAGATATTCTCTCGGAAGATCTCTTTGCGCTACTCTCTCTGGTTCGGGACCCAGTACCAGATTCTACCCGTGAACCAGTCTGCTCTACATTCAATACTAATCTCGCCAATGGATCAGAGTGGAACTCGCAATTCCACACAATTTACCAATCTCTTGGTCCACATACCTGTACCTGGCAGGCCCATCTCGGCACTTCCTGCTACATGATCTCTCCTGCAGATGGAACCCATGGAAAGGGGCGGGAATGGTCCGATGTCCAAGGGCAAGCAAGGGCCACGACATTCCATGTCTCTGTCAGACACGTGGATAACATCATGAAACTCACATTGTGAGAGCAAAAACATTTTCAAACATATCACAGGCCGATGAGATGATCCTAGGGATTTAGGAATGCACTAAACTATGCGAATCATGAACCTCTCTGGATCAAGGTGATGATGTTATTCCCGAGTGATCTACCCTTTCGCGACGATCCAAATTTATACCCTTGGTCTGATCTCTCCCCAACGCGTCTATTGACACTATTCCTGACACGGGAAGGCATCTACGTCCTTAGGGAAATAATCTTCCGTTAGTGCGAGAACTAAAGATTAGTTCGTCTCTCAACGTGACTTGTACTTACTTGACCATGTCCCAACCCATAGGGCGAATGCTCATGAGATTGAAAAAATGGCAAGAGGGAGAAACCCCCCATATGCAGATGGACCCAGTTCTGTGTTTTACGAAATTAAATGTAAAATATCGAACAATCCCAAGTCCGACCCAGTCCCAAGTGCAACCAGTTCGAATACGCGCCCATGTGGATAATCCCCCCCTCCTTAGCCCCCGTAAAACCCATCTCATTTTACCCAGCCAATTTCGAGGAGAAACGAAGAATTACCGCGCAAACGAACAAGATCCAGCCCTGATTGGTTGAACCCCGAGGGGGAGGGTCTCGGGCCCCCGCCCTCAAACTGTAAATGTTGAGACCTTCAGTTCAGTTGGTCCCCGCAACGCCTTTGTCTCCGGCCCTGTCATTATTCCGATGCATGTCGACTAACCCGGGAACCGTTGGGAAATGATGTCAACTGGGGTTTGAGGGCACTCTCGAGGGAGAGAGAGGCAGCGAGAGGGAGACAAATGCATATATCTATGCCGGGAAGCCCTATCCACAGTGCATGTGTGTTGTGCAGGGCTCGAAACGAAAGTATAGGTACTGGCTACGTTACTTCCAAAAGCACAAGGCTAGCATTATAATTCAAATGAGCCTACAACCTTGGAAACCACTGCATGGGTATAGATGCATATTTAACATTGGAAGACCTGTGATCTGATCCTGCCAACGCCTCTGGCTTATACAGTAAAAGGTCTCTCTAGCGGCACCCACGTCCAAAAAGCAGGGAAATGGCCATGGTATTTCGCCGAGACATAAGTGGGGTCTAATGGGGTTGAACGGTTTGCTTCCACAAAAGGTGCATAAGTCCCAGCCCACATCTGCACTCCGGAGTCCCTTCGTTGGAGGGCGCGGTTGAAGTTCTCCAGTCCGCCCACTCACTAGTGGATCCCATTTCCTCGGTTGCCTTTTGAACCCAAATGTTACGTATTATAATACCAAACATAAACCACTCAGAGCACATGGGCACCTGATGATCAATGCATACTGAGAGTTTGGTACATAGACAGTCCATACATAGGTTTAATGCCGCAGTAAAGAGGCCAAGACGTGAACCTCTCTTCACAATTGGAAGGGCATCAGTTAGCTTAGGTATTCGGGTATCTTCTCGGGTATGTTTCGGCACGTAGCCCTCGGAAATGACTTGCTACTCAGTTTGGGTCATTTTTGGGTCGACCGTGGAGGCATCTCCTGGTGCTTCGAGGTTATGTTCCATTGAGCTGACAATATACTTTCTCTACAACCCATCAAATGTACTATACACGCAAAAGCTCGACAATAGTGTTTTACATTGGTCCGTCTATGATGCGACAAAATAACCACTCTCCAGTGCAGGCACCTCCCACCGCACAACCCCTCGCCATCCCGACTATCCAGGTCATGGAAGAAAATCAAACCGAAGAAAACAAGACATGAAACCACGGACCAAAAAAAAAGGACATTAGCCGAAGATGCGGGCATCAGATGTGGGTGGAGAAGAAAGTTATCGGAAAAGGGAAACGGAGTGTGAATCTATACAACAAAGAACAGGGGAAACAAATCAAATGGAATATCCATGGCGCCAAACTGCCGCCTGCACTAACAACCCGTGTTCAAAGGGATATACCCAGGGGAAGGGGGGGGAAGTGATATGCCATGTCAATCCAGACATTGGGGGGAGCGAGAAGACTACTAAAACAGAGGATGAAGGGTGATTAACCCAAGAAACGTGACTTGTCACGAGACTTGAGGGATGAGTGAAGAGTTAAGAGTTTAGAAAGGAGGGGGAATCATGCTGGCGGGGTCAGCATTCTCCTGTTGCTCCATCAACTCCTCACCGGCGATCTCAAGAGACACAGCAAGGCCAACCTTGGCGGTTTGCTACAGAAGAATTAGAATCAAAGGGCCATGACATTGTGAATACGGGCAGAGGGATCCAAAACATACCTTGGACTGGTCAATCTCACCAGCGAAGCTGAGGGAGATGGGCATAGCAATGCGCTTCTCAAGAAGACAGCTGACCTTGCCAGCGCTATCGACCTGGGCACGGAAGGAAGAGGCGCGGAAGTCGTACTTGGCACCAATGGCAGTGGTACCTTCGCGGCTGGGGCCACCCATCATCATGGCAGCAGCGTTGGGGGCGAACTGAAGGTTCATATCGACACCGGCCTCCACACGCTCAGAGAGCTTGCGCCAGTAGGTGGCAGCAAAGGTGCCTTGAGCCTGGAGCTGAGCAGTGCCGATCCAGTCGTCACCCTTGTACTTGGCGCAGTAGGATAGAGCAGTCTCAGGACGAGCGTTCATAGCTTGGCGCTGCCAGATTGCCTCGAAACCAAGGGCCAGGGCGGGTGTGATGGACTGGAGGTAGCTTCCAACAAAGATACCGGTGAGGCCACCCTCAAGGGTAGAGGGGTTGAAGGCCTTCAGGGATGCAGAGAAATCAGCACCAGTGTAGTCGTTATCAATCTGAAGCAGACCCTGGGAGCCGCCAGCCATGATCTGCGCGTTGGTCTTGGTGACCAGCGCCGGGTTCCAACGGTAGTTGCAGACCGCGGCGAGGGTACCGTCGTTTCCGAGGTTACCTTGCATGAAAACCTATTGCAGATAAACCATCCAAATTAGCCACTGATCCCAGATGAGCTCGTAGATGAAGCCACGAAGGAAAAATGAATCGATGGTTCTTACCTTGGGGCTTCCGTACATGGTGGAGAAGTTGTAGGGAGGCAGGTTGCCGGATCCGCCCATCGCGAACGCGTGCGACACACGGAACAGAGGAGACATGCCAAAAACCTTGGTCAGGTCGGCACGGAGACCAGTGAACATGAAGTTGGTCAACAGCACGTCCTTCTGGACCTCACGGGCGAGACCATCCACGGTACCCGGGTTGGGCAGGTTGAGCAACGCCCTCCGGTCAGAGAACGAGTTGTATGCATCCTTGATCGCCGCGGCCGCGGGGTTTTCCGTCAGGAAGGAGAGAGATGATGTGATATCGGACATTTTGAAGGTTGGAGATGTGGAATTATAACCGGTGTCGTCACGCGATGCCGGTCAATGGAATTTCGTTGCGGACAAGGGCAATGGGTAGAAAGAAAAGATGAAGACCAGCCCGGAAGATCTGGGACGAGCGAACGACACAGATCAGGATGTAGGAGATGGGAGGGCTGTATGGACTTTTGATGATTCACCGGGGAATCGGGGGTTGACTATGAAGGAAACGGAGCTGAAGACTTGACCGTGAAAAATGCCAGTTCCGTCGGCGTCTTTGGTGGCTGCTGTCCGCCCTTGTTTATGTCAGCGCCGCGGCCAATTGGATCGTGTTTTTGGTTACTTGCAAAACACCAATCGAGTCAATTTGAATGTGAATGTCGAGATTTTTTTAGATTAACTGTTATGATCTTTGCATATTGATGGCACTTGTCGGATGGTAGGGAATTATAGGACTTCCAAGGCGTTTGAGTTTAAGCATTGGCAGTGTTTACTTGGGGGAATACATTCAAGCACCAAAAAAAGGTTCCACCCGATATCTACTCTCACCGTTATCATATACCGCTTCTGCCCGAGTCCAGACTTAGCTTCCAACTTTCTCCTTCAAAGACTTCAGCTCCCAGGAATATCTTTGGTGTAGTATCCATTTACTGTCAATCGAGGGTTCTAAAAGCAATCCTCTTAAGGCGCCACGTTCCGAAGTGAATATTTGCGTCATTTAGGTGCAGCCCCGCGATCATGGACACCTTACTGTAAGTCTCCTTGCCCTGTGGAGATTGAGGGCTTGCTGGCAATGAAAAAACATCATGCTGCTGCCACTTGAAGATTTGAGAGACGAAGCATATCACATACCGTGATCATGGCTGATATCTCTGCAAATCGCCTTAATTATCTTGCATCCTTGGTATTCCAAAACTGACGTCAACCAGCACAGCAGAAATCGTGGCCAACTCGCCCCAGTTCCGGCGAAAGTCCTCGATTTTCGTCGATGCAATCCATGATCTACCTGAAAAGGCCGATCTTGCCCCGGCACAGCTGTACAGCACGGAATCCGGTCGGCTTTTCCACTCGGGCCGGATCGTCATCATCACCGTGGGTTTACCCGCCAGAGGCAAGACGTACGTCAACCCTGACCAACTGTCCAATCACCTGGTATGGGTTAGAAAAGCTAATGTTATCCATTAAAAAGACACATCTCTGTTGCATTGGCACGGTATCTTCGATGGTCGGTTCTCCGTGTGCTATGAAGTGCTAGATGCCCCGACTCCTCGAAAGAACATGCTAACAAAGACCAACAGGCTTGGAGTCAAAACCAGGATCTTCCATCTAGGTGACTACCGACGTGCCACGATCCCATTTGGTGAGGATATGCCTGATGATTATTTTTACGTGAACGGTAAGGGCAATAATGCACAACCGGAATTCTAATGATGCTCACAAGGTCCTTAGCAACCGCCTCATCTGTCCTTCTCCGCCAGAAGATTGTCAGGAAATGCCGAGAAGATATTTATCATTTTCTGAACCATGAGAATGGCCAAATTGCAATTTACGACTCCGTGAATCCATTAGCCTCGGGGCGGCGGTCACTTGCCAAGGAGTTTGCCAAACATGACATCGAGGTAAATCAAGCCCACTTCAACCCGACGTGGATGCCGGAACACTTATCATTCATCTTATTTTTAGACGCTTTTCATTGAGTCTTGGTGCGATGATGAACGGATTATCGAAGAGAACGTCCGCAGGGTCAAGATTTCTTCTCCAGATGTGAGTCTGATTTCCAGCATTTACATATTCAATTTCTAATTATATTCTAGTATGTTTCATGGAGTCCAGAGGATGCAGTTAAGCATTACCTTACTAGAATATCCTCTCGGATCCCCCAGTTCCAGACTATGGAGGAGAAGGACCTAAACTACATCAAGGTTTTTATTCTTGTCTAGTACTTACCACTGGACCCCCTGCTAATCCTTATAGATGATCAATGCGGGAGAGCGATTGATAGTCAACAATCGCAGCTTTGGGTACCTCTCGAACCGCATTGTGTTCTATCTGCTGAACCTTCACATCAAGTCTAGACGCACGTACTTTGCGCGGGTACGTGACTTCCTTCTATCCATTAGGAGCATCAAACGGACTAAATATACAACAGGCTGGCGTCTCATTGGAGGCAGACTCTTACAAAGCCGATGCCTCTCTCTCTGAACAAGGAGAAGATTATGCTAAGAAAATGACTGAATGCTTGCTTGCTCATCGAGAGGCTGAGAACCAGACAAAAATCTCCCAGGGTGAGGCCGGGAATGAACCGCGGCCTTTGAAGGTTTGGACGTCGACGAGACGCCGTACTGTGGAGACCGCGAGATACCTTCATGAGAAAGGATACAAGGTCCGCCAGCGGTCTCAAATGAGCCAACTCAACCCGGGAGTCTGCGAGAAAATGTCAGAGAGGCGCATCCGAGCCGAATACTCGGATGAGGTCTCCAAGCACGAGCTGGATCCTTACCACCACCGCTATCCTCGCGCCGAGGTAAATTCCCTTCCCCCAAAGGAAAAACCTTAGGACGACACTGACACTGATTAGTCTTACCATGATCTTGCTGTCCGCCTGGAACCGATCATTCTTGAATTGGAGCGAGAACAAAACGATCTGCTGATCATTGCCCACGAAAGCGTTCTCAGGGTCTTATATGGGTACCTCATGGCTTGCAACGCTGCTGATATTCCCTTCCTAGAATTTCCTCGTGATGAGATTATTGAGGTATTTGATGGCAGACCTGACTTATATTCTTGTGCAGCTAACCTATCATAATTCAGATCATCCCGGAAAGCTACCAAAACGAGGCACAACGAATCCATATTCCCGATCTTCCCGAAGAAATCATTCCTGCCTCCCCTGAAGACCTGAAGATTCCAGTGCCCCCAAGTGGAGTTGTCTCTCCAATGCAAGGGTTGGGAAGTCCACAAGATGGTCTGGCGACTCCCCAGAGTGGCTACCGTACTCCCAGTGGGATCCGCACTCCTCGTGAACCCGAAAGGCTATCACAGCAACATGTCGAAGATGTTGTTTAGGGCCAGCAACGTTCCTATGCTCAATTTGACTTGATTTGGCTTTGTGAACCTTTTCGGTCGCCACAAAAATCCATGATTATTCCTGTAGGTTTAATCGTTCAACCTCTAGCCTCCATGCAACGTCGATACAAACACAATATTATCTCCTGGTTGTAATTCGTACGCTTCTTCGCCTTCTAGTTCCCAGTCGGCGTCGTTGATTAGAACAAGGATTCCTGGCCGGCTACCCCAAATATTAGTCTCAACTTGATGGCAACTGAAGAGAAAGAATGTTAGTGTTACGTACACATTGTCCTCCATGATGAATAGTTCCTTCCTCTGGTCTTTCATCAGGTTGTCGACCAGGTACCGGAGTAGATATGAGATATTTGGCTGACTTCCATCATCCAGGCGGCCCGGTACTGTAATTTTATGCTTGCGCTCATTGGAAAACAAAATCTCTAATCCGCCGCTGTAGAAAGCAATCAGTACCGAAGAAGTTAGCCTGGGGATGCGGGTATAAGTACGTAAACTCGACCGTGATGGGGATAGGAGCCACGCCCCCACTTGTGGGATCAGTCATGGTTTGTGCCGTGATAAAGCCTGAGCTACAAATTCGGACTCCAGGAGGGTGATATTGTTCCCTCAATTGAAATGACGAAGCTCGACAAAGGATTGGAAAGAAAAGAGGAAGACAAGGAGGGGCATGAGGCGGTAGCCTCTTATCGATAAGCTACGTCCACAATTTATCTTTTGCGACAGCTCTTTTCTCCACCAGTGTCCACGTCCAAAGCACAAAACCTGGGTCATTCGACCTGTTGCTAGCTATGGCTTCTGTCGTATCTGATTACCTCAGTGTAGGTGGAAACCGCCATCCAGGGGCTGCAGATTGGGATGTCCAGACAGGCGTGCTCGCCTTTGGAGCGGACAATAATGTCGCCTTGTGGGAGCCTCTAGTAAGTCTATTGCGGCTCAATGTACCTGTCATTACGCCCGTTGGCATACTAACAGACTTTCAAGAACGATTCTCACCGGGGGGTGTATGCGCTTCTCGTTGGGCATTCCGACAAAGTCAGCGTGGTCAGATTTTACACCTGCCCCTCATCGGGGACGAGATTGCTTCTCACCGGTTCCGTCGATCGCACAATTCGAGTTTGGCACCAAGATACCACCGAACCTCGCAATTACAGACATGCCTTCACTCTCGAGGGTCACACCGGGTCGGTCAACGCGATAGCCGTGGCTGACGGGACGAACATTGTTGCATCTGGAGCCGCAGATGGGACCGTCCGGGTCTGGAGAATCAATGCAGTGGAATTGAAGGGCGAGATGATGGAAGCCATAATTATGAAACCTCGCTTCTTTCCACTGTGTTTGTCTCTACGAGCACTCGAAGGCAAAAATCGCCCGCTAGTCCTAGCTGTCGCAGGAACTACAACAAAAGTGCAAATATACGTTGCAGAAGAGTCAGTCGATAAACCAAACTTTCAACGCCGTGCCATTCTTGCAGGTCACGAAGCCTGGGTTCGCTCTCTCTCGTTTACGGTGGACAAACAGAGTAAGACCAACGATATCCTGCTTGCATCCGCCAGTCAGGACAGATACATCCGTCTGTGGAGATTGCGTCAAGGTGAAGCAAATGCTCCTGCACCTATTGACGATGCTGATCCTTTGCTGGGCGGCATGGAGCCTACACTGTCGAACAGAGCTCATGAATTTGAGGCAGCTGGCTTGAAGTATTCCATTACCTTTGAGGCTCTTCTTTTTGGCAACGAGGACTGGATCTACACCACTGCATGGAATCCCGATCCCAACCGATCACAGCTCCTCTCGGCTTCTGCAGATAACACAGTCACCATTTGGGAGCAAGACTCGATATCGGGAGTCTGGATGTCGATTGAAAGAATGGGAGAAATTAGTGTACAAAAGGGATCGACCACCGCGACTGGAAGCGCTGGTGGCTTTTGGATTGGACTATGGTCGCCAGATGGCAAGCAAGTAGTAAGCCTGGGCCGCACAGGCAGCTGGCGCGTGTGGCAGCATGACTCTGAAGCAGATGTTTGGGTGCAAAAGTTTGGCATTTCGGGACACGTACGTGCAGCCAATGGCGTACAGTGGGACCCCAGCGGTGGCTATTTACTCTCAACCAGTGCAGACCAAACTACACGCCTTCATGCCCAGTGGTTGCGTGATGACAAATGCTCGTGGCACGAGTTTTCTCGCCCCCAGATTCATGGGTACGACCTGAACTGCATTGACACCTTGGGGCCATCTCAATTTGTCTCTGGTGCTGACGAAAAGCTTCTGCGGGTTTTCAACGAGCCAAAGCAGATTGCTGATCTCCTTGGAAAGCTCACAGGGTTCAAACAGACCATCGAGGGTGATCTCCCAGACACGGCCGAAATTCCAGTTCTCGGCTTGTCGAATAAAGCACAAGGAGACGAGGCACCAGTGGATGAGGATGAAACTAATGGGGTGAAAACATCTGCACCCGTTGTCAATCTGAACACTGACACTCCACCATTGGAGGATCAACTAGCTCGATACACACTGTGGCCGGAGCACGAAAAGCTTTATGGCCATGGATATGAGATTTCAGCAGTTGCAGTAAGCCACGACCGCAGACTCATTGCCACTGCTTGCAAAGCCACTAGTATCGACCATGCAGTGATTCGACTATATGATACATCAGACTGGCATGAGATCAAGCCTTCTCTTACTGCACACTCCTTGACCATCGCCGACCTCTCGTTTTCCGACAACGACCAATATCTCCTCAGTGTGGGTCGAGACCGACAATGGGCTGTTTTTACACGGAGTGAACAAGACCCTACCCTATACACCAATTTCATCTCCAACCCCAAGGGTCACTCTCGGATGATACTGGGAGCTGCGTGGGCACCAGTGACTACAAATTACGTCTTTGCCACGGCAGGGCGTGATAAATCAGTGAAGATTTGGCAAAAGACAGACAATACTTTCACCTGCAAGACCACCATTGCGTTGACATCCGCTGTTTCTGCGATCGCTTTCCTGGCTGCACCGTATAAAAACTCATTTATTCTGGCTGCGGGAGAGGATAGCGGTGCCGTCTCAATTCACCGAATCAACATTGATACTCTTGAAGCACAGCTTGTTGTGGCTGTCGACCAGACCATGGCACCTTCCAGAGCCATCACACAGCTGTCATGGCGACCTGTGTCGGCCGAAGAGACAGACAGCAAACCCCATTTTGATCTTGCAGTGGGTAGCGAAGACACCTCTACACGCATTTATGCCATTTTGAATCTGGCAGCGTGACCTATGGTAAGACTTGATCACTGAATAATGCCCAATGAATGTGTAGAATTGTACATAGATTTGAGGAGTCGTGAAGTATAAAATACAGAATCGAATTAAGTGTATGAAGAGTTACATGGTCGATCGCCATTCTGTGAATGCTGGTGAAAGTATGCCGCCATGCCCTGACTCTTCAACCTTGATCACCTCAATGACCGGGGACTTCTCCCGTTTCCGAATCTTCCAAACTCCATCCTGCTGAATAGTCTGCTTGAGCCCTAGGAAAGTATCCATTAGCTTCTTGGACGGAGAAAGAGAGGGAATAAGCATACAGTCCAAGAATGCAGCAGCAAAGTTGATACAGATGTTCCCATCCCAGGAACCTCTCCCGATTTTCTTAACCTTGCCAGGAATACTGGCTGTATCGAGCTCTTCCAAACGATGCACGATGCCGTGCTGATCTCGAAAGCCGACGATGATTGTAGGTACACCGAGCAAGAAGGATTGTGCCCAAAATTTCAACAACTTTCGCTCGTATTTGAGCATATCGCGGTCGTTGCGAATCTCGGCCGATGTCTTCAGCTCGACCCAGTGGATAGGATCCTCCTCCCTCTCTGGTTTGCAGTCCCATACTAGAACGGTCACATCAGTTGGAAAATTTCGCATTTCCCCCTGGTCCTTTGATTACAACTCACCGGCATCGACTTCACCCCCAAGGATCATGCGTGTGTTGCCAATTCCGGTTTTGACCACCGAACAATACTGCGCACTGTTATTGACAACTTGATTTGGCCGTGCTTCAATTTCTGCACGGGTCATGGGATCCCATGGCTTGGGAAGAACAGACAAGACCTCGAATTTATAACCTGGTATTTTCAGCGACCATTGTTGAAGAACCTTGGAAAGTCAATCCTACCCCAATACATCATCATTTCCTGTGATGCCATGCCCGGTGGCATTCTTTGATTTTTCTGAATTTCTTTCTGTTCATTCTTGTACGCGTTGTTCTCTTCGATGAAGCTAGGATTGTGATGTCAATATCGGTGGTCTCAAAAGACAACGCTCACTTAACACACGCACATTGTACCCTAAGTCAATGTTAGACACCATGCAGACGTTTATGGAGCAATCAATCATACCTGAAAGCATGTCGCATTCATCTCGAAGCTAGAGATTGAATCATTAGCATGGAGCATGAGTCTTGATGGACCTCTACCAGAAACGTACCCATTCATCATATCGTAGGGAGCCGCCAAGATCTAAAAAGGTATTAAAGCCATACGAATGAAACACACGCCTCATCTCCCGGAGTGTGTGAGATACATGCAACTAATGTATAGCACCTACCTTGGTCATCATTCCACGCCAAGTGACGATGTCAGCCTCGCATTTCTTTTGTGCATCCTTCTCTAGGGCAGTGATCGTATCTAGTAAGGCATCTAGATGCTCATCACCAGCATCATTGAGCTTTTGGAAGGTGTTAAATCCAAGATTCAGATCAGCTGGTAGACTAGGCGGATAGTAGTACGACAGGGATGATTCCCCTAATGAGAACCGACGCTCATTGTCATAGGAGAAACAAGTGATTTCCTGTCAAGTTCAGTTCCTTGGCTCCTGAAAAAGAATACTATCATGAACTTACTTTCGGTCGTCGAATAGTAGTATTTGAACCGACGAAGCGGTTCACTGGCTGGATGTCAAATGTGGATTGGCTCATGGTGATAGATCCAGTCAACTTGCAAGAATGTCACGTCTGTTTTGTATCATGTTCAAGTGCAAGAGAAGCAATTTGTCCTTGGTGACAGGGTCAACTGGTCAAGTAATATCAGACTCGTTTGGCTCTTTCAGGGTCGCAAGGAACCTTTGCACCACCCGTTAGAGTTAGATGAGGAGCACCAGTAAATAGCCCCAGGCATCAAATGTATGGAAATGCTAACAAAAGAAGCCAAAGAGCCGATAGACAAGCTTCAGCAAAAGAGAGAGGGTTGTGAGAAGGAAAATGGATCAAGGATCCCCAGTCACGGAGCCGCGTTCCCCACTAAACTCTGGGAAGTTGGGACTGCGAACAGCTTTCCCGTTCCCCATCGTCAAGCTTGGATCCTGCACTTCTCTCCCTTGCTTTGCACTGGAATTTCCCCCCCCCGAAAATGACTTCCAAGATCGACAAGACTATTGCCCGCCAGCAAGAAAAGTGAGACTTGACTCCGATTCGCTCCCCAGAAGCCGAATGGATCGGTATGCTGACAGCCCACTTTCTGGACAGGATCGCGGCCGGCGCCTACTATGAAGCCCACCAACAACTACGTGTGATCGCGGCTCGCTATATCAAGGCCTCCAACTGGGATGCCGCCGCAGAGATCCTAGCTGGTGGTGCGACCGCTCTACTAAGGGCTGGAGCCCAGCAGGGTGCCTCGGCGAGTGGTGGAGACCTGGCGATCATGCTAGTGGTCGAGGTTTACAAAAAGGCAGAATGGCAGATCTCAGGACGTGCCGATGATGCAGAGAGTCGTTCCCGAAAGAGTGAGTCGTCTGCTGAGTTTCCTTGCACAGAAGTACTACCGAAGAGATGGCTGACTGGTTGTGATGATAGAGCGCCTTATCGAGATTCTGCGCGAGTTCCCTTCGGAAGAGCCTACAAGAAAGCGGTATATTCAGGAGATCATCGGATGGAGTGGGCAATACGGGCCCTTGGAGCGTGGAGATCCGGACCTGCATCATGCAGCTGGCTCAGTCTACGCGGAAGGTTTGTTATTCGGATCTTCGTCTTGGCCAATCCTATCTAACCAAACGCCTGTTAGATAACGAGCCGTACGAGGCCGAAAAACATTTGATCCTAGGAACGTCGGAATCGGCGGAGACTCTAGCGAAACTTGAATATGAGTGGTACACTCATGACGAACCGCACACCGCAGCGCTATATGCGTCGCGCGCCATCTTCCCATACCTCACGACAGGCAACCTCCGCAGTGCTAACAAGGCGTTGCTCATCTTCACCACTCGACTATCAACAGCGAACCCGTCTCTTGGTGTGCAAGAGGTGAGCAGCGCCAGCTCCGATGTTCGGGTGTACCCTGCCCTCCCATTACTCAACTTCCTGAGCATGTTGCTTCTGACGATTCAGCGAGGAAGTGCCGATCTGTTCCGACAGCTTACCGCACACTATGCGGCACAGATTCGGGATGTGGGCATTTGGGACGAGACTCTGGCACAGATTGGTGAGCAGTACTTTGGGATCAAGATTCCTCGGCAGGGAAACCCCCTGTTTGACATGATGAGCGGCATGTTGTTCGGTGGAGGCCAAGGCAACGCAGGCCCATCTCGGCCCGCTGTGAAGAAGGTCGAGGCACCGCCGTCGAATATGGATCTTGACTAGCCGGCCAAACAGGAGTGCTCAAGGGCTGATTTCTCTCACGTTGTGCATGTCCAAGTGACCGTGTAATGAAAAATGAAAGTACATGTAGCGCATTTTTACATTGATCTTCTAGACTCGTGTCTGGATTTCTGGCTCGAACATCCAATTGTCGTCGTCCAAGGAACTGGCCTTTTTGAGCAAACTCTGATGTACAATATTGAGAATTTCTGTACAATCTGTTATTACTTGGCCAGGAGACGTAAAACCACCGCAACTTACCATCAGGCTCACCACTCGACTGTCTGTTGCGATGGCGGATCATCATCTCGACCAGCGCGGCCTCGTAATCTAGACAACCGTCAGTAGACAGCCAATAGACACTCCTAATCAACGAGCACACATACTTTCTTTCTCCCGTTCCATGTCCAATGACTCAAAGCTTGTTTCGCCGGCCTCAAGCTCATCCAACTCTTCACCATTATCACCAACAATGCTTCTGCTCGGTAAAGCAGGCATGTCAAGCTTGTAGCCTCCATTCTTATCGCGTACCACAATGTCCTTGTTCTCTGCCAACTTCGTGCTTCGAGTGGAGGAGGGATCAGAGACGGTTGGCTTCAGCCTGTTGGACGGGCGGTTTGAGAGGCCATTATGCCCGGGCGGTACGGCCCCATTGGGAGGTCCTGCAGATGCAGGTCGGCGGCTCAGGTTCTGGTGGAAAAGATTTCGTCGAACCGATGTCCCCATATTCATTATTGTGTATTCCGCTAAGGGATGAGGTTGTAGCCGAGGTGGTTTGTTTTGAGGGGTTGCAGATTGTCTCACACAGAGAGGAGAGTAGGGAATTCGAAGAGATGTAGGTAGTGTAGGGAGGTTACTCGTGTCGCATCAAGTCGAAAGGAGCTACGTAAAAGAAGAATAAGATTAGCTGTAGACCGAGTCTGCGTCAAGCTAAACATGCGAGAGTGGGAGAATGCAAATGCGGTGGACGCCGAAGACGGACAACCATGCTGCTTAAAGGATTGAAGTACATACCTAATAAACTAACAAAACTTAACAGCGAGGCTGCAATTGCTAAAGATATTAAATCAGTCTCAATGAAATCTTGTTAATTTGCTATAGTTCATAGATCAATTCCGTTAACTAAGCTGACCCTCAGAGGTTTGGTGCACAGGCCAGTAGATAAGTTATCGCGGCACGCGTTCACCTTTCGCGTCTTCAACTTTCACCCCACGAATTACCTACCAAGCCACTCGCCCAACATGGTTCAAGCTGAATCTTCCTCAAGCGCTGCACGCAATGGTGCTAAAGCCTCCACTGCAGGTGCTCCTGCAGACTACGAACTCCCTTGGTCAATATTTCTATCTGTTTCTCATTAGGCCCAGTCGCTGACTTTTCTAACTACAGGGTCGAGAAGTACCGCCCCGTCTTCCTGGATGATATTGTTGGCAATACCGAGACCATTGAACGTTTAAAAATCATCGCCAAGGATGGAAATATGCCTCACGTTATCATTTCCGGCATGCCAGGAATTGGAAAGACAACCTCGGTGTTATGTCTAGCTCGACAATTGCTTGGAGACTCGTATAAGGAGGCCGTGTTGGAGCTTAATGCAAGTGACGAGCGAGGTCGGTGATATTATGTCTTGTTCATTAGCTTTGAAACTAGGCGCTGATGGATATATACTCCAGGTATCGACGTAGTGCGCAACCGGATCAAGGGTTTTGCCCAGAAAAAGGTCACTTTGCCCCCAGGTCGTCACAAGCTGGTCATCCTTGATGAAGCAGATAGGTATTTGCCTGCTCATATTCTCACTGCTTGAAGGATGCCTTGGCTAACTTCGTGCAGCATGACTCCGGGTGCTCAGCAAGCACTGCGACGTACAATGGAGATCTACTCGACTACCACTCGATTCGCCTTTGCCTGCAACCAATCGAACAAGATTATCGAGCCACTGCAATCTCGCTGTGCTATCCTCCGTTACGCGCGGTTGACCGATGCCCAAGTTGTCAAGCGACTGATGCAGATCTGCGAGGCCGAAAAGGTCGAGCATTCCGAAGATGGTATTGCGGCCTTGGTGTTCAGCGCCGAGGGTGATATGCGTCAAGCGATCAATAACGTCCAGAGCACATGGTCTGGATTTGGCTTCGTGAGCGGAGACAACGTGTTCCGTGTTGTCGATAGCCCACACCCCGTCAAGGTCCAGGCCATGATCAAGGCCTGCTGGGAGGGCAAGGTAGATGCTGCCCTAGAAGGGCTTAATGAACTATGGTAAGTTGATACTTCCTTGTCTTATGTGCTGTGCACGTAACTCATGCTCTATAGGACACTGGGATATTCCTCCCACGACATTATTAGCACTATGTTCCGAGTCACCAAGACCATTCCTACTCTCTCAGAGCATTCGAAGCTGGAGTTTATTCGAGAGATTGGTTTCACACACATGCGCATTCTTGACGGAGTGCAATCCTTGTTGCAGCTGAGCGGATGCATCTCGAAACTCTGCAAGATCAACATGAAACCCGAGCTCTTCGAACCCCCCAAGGCTTGATCTAAAAAGCATTTTGATATTCCTGATATTCCACTGCATAATTCATGGCGTTGACGGTGTCTACTAGTTAGTTATAGGGAATCGAGCGCTGGGCCTGCCCGCTTACGAATTACGCTTTCTTTTACTCTGCTCCAAGAAACCAACATCTTTACTATGAAGTTCGTCCACGTATCCCTATAAAAATTTATTTTCAGACGTGCCTTGCAGTGTGGTTCTTCCAGACATTCTCAATGGCAGTAGCGGCTCCCAGTACCTTCTCTTCTTCCAGTTTCCTGCCGATGATTTGGAGATTCACAGGATATCCAACTATCTTTTCTGCATCGTAAAGGTTCCAATTCCACTCATCCAATGCATTCCGTGGGGTGTAGTCTTCTGTCGCCAATTGGTCTCGATCTGCCCTCACCTTGTCAACCGGAAAGGTCACGGCTGGGTAGTCCAGAAAGTTCCAGATCTTGGTATATCCTACCCATCGAAACTTCCGATGTGGGACAGTCGTATGTGGCAGCGTCGGACCCAGCAGAACATCGACAGGCTTCCCAGATGGAGATCGGACAGTGCTCCACTTATCGAGATACTTTTTCTGGGCAGCAAATTTCCGCTTGTTCAGTTGCCAATAGTCGTATACCGAAATTGGCTTGCCACGGTTAACCAGAACTTCCACATGGGGGATATAGGGTTCACCAGCAGCTGCGACGTCTCGACGAATATCTTCTCCCCCGTCGGCGGTATAATAGAGATCCATCAGTTCGATACACGCTGCATGATCCGATGTATCCCAGACCAGAATCTCGTGGCCGGCAGACTTCAATTTGACCGCTAATTCTTCTAAAGCCCGGGCAATTGGCGGATGCACTCTGACGACACCGTCATCCATGATCAGTCCTATGACCATGGGGCGAGTTTGAATCTCATCGAATGTAGTCTCATTCCAAGGTAAAGGGGTACATCGAGGGTCCGAGTCCCAAGGCCGGGCATTCGTCACAAGCCGGGTGATATAGCTGAGCGACTGGAGATCCCGGGTCATTGGCCCCACGGCAGATGGAACATGCTCTTGACCTTCCGTCGAGACTGGGACGCCTTCGTAGGGAAACCGACTACTCTATACGTGGGTTAGCGGTTAATATGGCTGGTTATCTAGTCTTGTGTATTTACCGACGGTTTCAAACCATATAGACCAGCTATGCTTTGAGGAATCCGAATGCTCCCTCCAATATCCGTACCAAAGCCCATTAAAGATCCATGCAAGGTTAAAAGTGAGCCCTCGCCCCCAGTGGAGCCACCTGGAGAGAAGGCAGGGTTCCGAGGGTTCGTAGTCAGTCCCCACAGCGGGTTTTCAGTTTCGGCCCACTAAGATTCTGATGAGTTAATGGGAACCATGTAGAAAGCGGTGATAGATGAGGGTAGTATTTACCATGATACTCTGGGGCAAGTTGGTCTTTGCAATGACAATCGCACCCATGTCCTTCAAGATCCGAACCAGAACTGCATCTTGTTGCGCTGGGTTGAAGGATCGGCCCACATAACCCAAAGTTGTGTCAACATCTTTGATATTGAATTGGTCCTTCACGGTAAAGGGAATCCCGTGTAGAGGACCTTTAATCTTATGCGTTGCCTGGAACTCTATATCCAAGTTTCTGGCTTGTTGCAATGCATCCTCGAACACCACCTCGGTGAGACAGTTGGTCTGCTATTCATTAGCAACACATTGAAAGATAGTGTTCTCGAACTAACCAATTGATGTGCCACTACAGCTCTGGTCGGAAAGTCAGTTGCGTCGAGACGGGAAGTATAGGGATCTCACCGTTGAATATATGCGTGGACAACTTGCTCGGCAGAAAAGTCACCGTTTTGCATCTTTTGCAACAACACTTCCACATTGTCAATATCAGTAATTGCTTGAACTTCATCATTTACATGACTGCGTTCATGAACATCAACATGAGCCCCTCGATCTTCTATATTGATCAGGTACGGAGTAAGCAGCTTATCTCTGATCGCCCGTTTCTGGGAGATAATCAGCTCCCACTGTTCAATGGCCATCACGATGATTTTCTGCCAGAACCTTCTCACATGGGTTTGGCTCTTTTAAATACGTCGACCTAACAGCATGTGGTTCGGCAAGATGGCCGTGATCGTTATCATGCAAGTGGAGACGGGAAAAGCGGAGTGCAGTCTAATCGAATAGCTGCATTTCGAGTAATCGGAGACCCCGACTTTTTTTCTTTTTTCTTTCTTTTTTTACTTTTGATTTTCGGAGACTAGATAAAATTGGAGTCGTTGGGGTCATTGATGCGATTCCCCTCAAATCTCTCATCCTCTGATCAATTGGGCAGCTTGCACAAGTATTGCGGCCGTTCACGGCAGCTTAAGCGGGGAACGATTCCCAACTGAATGTGGGTCGCGGATCCTCAACCTCGACCCATTCAGAACCACCAACCAGCCTTTCCCTTCCCCCTCCCCCAGTATCTCCAAGCTTGATGGCGCGACCGAGGCATCCTGGCCATGGATTCCACAACAGGGTCGCCGAGCTCTGGTGCACCTGGTGCGATTCGCACTCGCAATAAACCGCTCGCTAATATCACCAAGCGGGCGTGTGACCAATGCAAGTTCCGCAAGATTAAGGTAAATGGGATTTCCAATTCTTGGGCCCCTCTACCGCGCAGGGAAAAACGGGCGCTAACCCGCCACAGTGCAGCTTGTCTCAACCCTGCAAGGCCTGTCAGTCCATGGGATTTGACTGTACATTTCTGCAACCGCAAAAGAAGCGCGGCCCAACCGGACAGTAAGTCATGATCGATGATAGCACCACTGTGGTCTAACCAATGCTCAGTCGCGTGTCGCAAATACGACAGCAACAAACCCATCTCGTCCCGAATAGTCCACAGGATAACCAAATTGGCAAATCCGATGCCTTCCAATATCACATCCCAACTTCGGTAGAACCTGGCCAGCCCGTTTCCCTGTCGGCGTCATCCTGGGCGCCCACTCCCGACGTCCCGATACCGGCGAACGGCGCCGCGGGCCTGGCGCCATCACCAGTCGTCGATGCGTGGGGTTCTGAGAACACATCATTGGAATCGCATGGAGGTAGTGCAGTAGGCTGGAATGACCACCAGGATGTGGAATACTGGCTGCCCGATAATTTGGGCGCTCAGGTGCCCGTCTTTGAATTCCCAGGAAGCAATATTTATCTCAAGCCGTCCCTGCCATCAATCATCCAGCCAGTACCTGATGTACCGGCCATGAACATAAATCCACATGAACACCAAAACATCTATTCCCCAGCGGTTGGGTCCACCGGGTCGTTGCCCTCGGAGAATCCGGAGGGAGAAGACTTCTGGCCTGCCTCGATCAACGAGGCGAACATGATTCCTTGGATTGATGTGTACTTTGACCGATTGCATCCCACTGTCCCGGTACTAAGCCGGGCTTCCTTATTCACGCGCATGATGTCCCAAGAGCATCGCAAAAACCCTCAATTTGGAGCGATGACACTTTCGCTATGTGCATTTTCACTCACCCAGCCAATCGAAATCAACGAGCGCCCGACTGCGTCCCGCGCCACTCAAGCGCGGTTGATGATGCATGAAGCCACTAAAATGCGGAGCTGTTCTGACTTTGGCGAGAACCCCACAATCGAGGCCGTTCTGACGAGTTTCTTCCTTTTCGGCTGTCTATTTGGAAGCAATCAGCATAACGCGGCTTGGCTTCGGATGCGGGAAGCTTTGGATCTTGCATCCACCCTGGGCTTGAATGACCCCAACTCATATCGTGATCTTCCTGGTGAAGAGAAAGGTCAACATTTAAGAACTTATCTTGTGTTGTCCATTACAGAAAGGTAGGGTTGGGATTTATTCACATCTGCTGAATCTCTGTGCTAATCAGTGTATTTCCAGAGCGTATGCCCTTCAAAGGCTCCACCCAGTGACCTTTTCAGGGAAGCCTGGGTTCAGCATGCGTTCCGTGCACGAATTTCTTCATAACGCGACCCATAGCCTTGTCTCAGGCATCATTGTCCACAACGAGAAAGATGCCGAGGGTATGATGGGTCTTGCGAGAATGATGGAATTGTTCGACGCCATTGATGAAGATTTCATTCATTGCTGGAATAGACGGTGCGACATTAATTCCGGCTTCTGTCAAAAGTTTACCGAAGCCAAAGCACTCTCTATGCATGAAAGTCTTGCGCGAGTTAGCCAAGCTGAAAGATATAAGGGATATGATTGGTTCGAAAGAGCAAAAGGAGATGCTAATGACAGCAATGCTCTCCTGGCAATTGGCTTGCGAGAAACCCAAGCTGCAGATGTGTTCATCACACAGAAATGGATTCATAACCGTGTTTGGCTGCTATGCCTGTATCACGGCCTGCTTAGAGCGAACCCAGAGCGACCGGAAATGACCTTCGGCTACGCAGTCACTATCGCAGAATCGGCGCTTCAAACATGTCGATCATTAAGACTAAGCTCTATGGAAGCCCATGGAATCGGCCTTGTATGTGACCGACCCTTGTTGAAACGTGATGACGTTTGCTAATGACTTGCAGACCGAGAAATTGTATGATATCGCTATCGGGGCCACCGACATCCTTTGTAACATCACTCCTCCCTTTGGTACAGGAATGACGCCTCTGGGAGCCTACCCTGAATCAATCTCCCCAACCTCAACACCGCAGTCTTTGGCAGAAGACTTTCTACTCCTCTTCAGAAGCTTCCGAGGCGGGAACCATCCATTCTTGGAGAAGTACCAAGCCCACCTCCACTCGCTACACATTCCTGCGAGCAAGGTTACCGGCTGGGCTCAGCAGTGAGACTGAGGCCTTTGGATTAAGGTTTTTTTTTTCTTTCTATCTTGTGTAAATAAGGGAATTGATTTGTAGACATGTGACGATAAACTTCAAGATTCTGATATTATTCTCTGTATTAACGATACATAGTTCCCAAAGCCTCGGCACCATGGCCAACATTAGTTCATCCCCAGTCCATCCCAAACGTCCGCTTGTAGAAGTACAGCAGAGGATTTGCTGCCTTGATCGTCGGGCTCAGCAAAGAACCTGACACCGAAGCATTGGTCTGAGGGGTAATAGATACGGGTTGTGATGACCGTTCTGTCGTTCACGAACACTTCCAATACGTTGTGATCAAAGAAGGCATGAACTTTGAGGGCTTCTTCGACCTCTTCTTCATTATCCAGGTAAGTAAAAAGAGTGTGTGGAGCTGACTCCCGCCCATGATTTATTTCTTGACCAACTGGGGGTCGGTCAATGGTGAATGTCTCACTATAAGAGTCCCAAGCAAGCGTTGTACAATGTTCGAAATCTAGATCAATGCATTGTCAGTAAGCTGACGGAACCTGAGAAGAATACTTTCACTCACCAGCGCTGTGTATAATCTCAATACCCACCCGTTTACATGATTGGTGCACAGAAAACTCAGTCTGGAGCTCCCATCTATTTGTTCTCAGCGGCAAGTAGGTCGTAGGGACCGAGACCACTCGAGCTGTCAAGGGTGACTTGGCAAGGTGGCCAGTTTTAGCTTTCTGTCGAAGACGAGACAGTCGCGAGTCCGGGCTGATCCCCAGTGTATGAAGGGTGAATGCACCTCCTAAAGACTTGATCAACTCGATTGATGTTATTGATTCCAGCGGCGAGCAGCGTGCTTTCGTGACATTATCTATTGTCCGAAGTGTCGTCACTCGAGGCAACGACATCACACCACTCCATCCCTGGCGATGACGGAGACTGTCAGGAAGGTCATCCTCCGTCACCCAACCATAAACAATTCGCTGAGATGTCTCGGGATCCCAAAATGAGTTCGCCGCATATAAACAGCCATGATCAAAGAATCCAGCGAAACCATGGGTTGTGAGCGCATCGCTGGCATTTGCGTTTGCCAATGACTTGATAGACATCCACATAAGACCTCTTGGGTCACGTTTATGGCGAGCTTCTCCGGCGTTTCGACTTGTTACCTCCGGGCGCAAACAACCTTCAACACCCATGACGACAAAGTCACGGGAATTGCCAGAGTCGTTTGTCAATGTCATTAGGTTTGCAACCTCCCAATTGACGCCAAAATCACCAGACCATCGTGAAGGATGGAAATTGAGGCCGACATTGACCAAAGAACCGATATACTTCCATTGCCGAAGATCATCCGGCTGGACAGTATAAACGAAAACTGCGGGGCATTGACCCTTGACACCACCGGAAATGAATCCATACAGGTGAGACCGTGAGTCTGAGTCATTTGTATGTTCTCTTGCCCAAGTGGTAAGAAAAGGATCTCTCCAACCGATGACGGGAAGGTTTTCAGGTGGTCCCGAGAGAATCGGATTGCAGTCCTGGCGTTCCCATGTCTTCCCGCCATTGATCGAGACGGCCAGACTCAAAGACTCGCAGCCCGTGGTATAGGGTAGCGTGTGGTGAATCGGAAGATGACTGACAGATGTGTAGAGGACCGTCATAGCCCCGGCCTCTCCATGAATACTTGTTGCCTGTAAACAACCAGTGAAAACACCACACTTGTCATACTCCGTCAACGGAGCTAAAGCGGGCGTCGGGGATACATCCCACGAAACAAGATCGATTGAAGTAGCATGACCCCAGGACATGTTGCCCCAATCATTGCCAAATGGATTCCATTGGAAGAAAGCGTGGTAGAGGCCTGTGGCAGGGTCGTATCCCAGACCACAGGGATCATTCATCCAGCCATTCGGGGCGCTCAGATGATAAAATGGCTTCAATGATGCTTTCGAAATCTGCTGCGCATGGTCTTCCAGAGACGATCGCAAATGCTTCTCTCCAAGTAGTTGATCGATCTCTGGCGAGCTCAGAACTGCAGACATACTGAACCCGTTCGGCTGTGAATTTTGGGGGAGGACGTGGTGTACTTCGGACGAATCTTAAATACCCGGCACTGATATTACGACTTATATCCCTGCGCTTGAGGTTAGCAATAAGGAGACTACTCGGAGAAACCCATGGCACTATCACCAACTAATGGATAAAAAAAATCAGTTTGACTGGATGATGGAGAGGTCATGGAGTTTGTTCCGTTCCGGCACTTAGTCGGGGATGTGCTCGGCATCATTCCAACGGATTATTGTCGGCGAAATTCGAAATTGACACTTGACTAAAACCCCAGGATCGGCACGAGTTCGATTGCGGAGCCCCGCTATTATGCATCTTCAGATTGTACTACTGTCGATATGAATATATTTCTATCATCGATACTTGGTGGCATGATTGGGTTGCTGCTCTGGGAAACCTCGGCGAAACTCGTCTTAGTAACCTGTGTCTCAGACCTTGCGGCAAAAAAGGAAAACATGGGGAAAATCCCATCATCTCAACCTGTGGGGACATCCTACCACCTTCTGTCATGACATAAAAACAATTGGACTGGGTAGGTATAATTAAGCCCGCCATGAAGGCGGAGTCCATGATGTCAATAGACTCTCCAGTTGCCCTGCTCTTGCACTGGATCTCCACACTTCGCAGGGCCATGTCTACCGACAAAGAAAGAATCCCTTCAGCCGAGATCGAACATGTCGATCGGAATCATCACCAGAAAGGCACAATCAATACGCTTCTGGTGGTTGCCTGTATAGTATTTGGTGCTGCATCATTTATGTTTGGATATGACGATAAAGTCATCTCGCCCATGATTGCATTGCCAGCATTCGTGAGTCACGCATAGCCTCAATCAGGCAGCCTTTTCTGAGACTGATCGTCTTCCAGATTGATAAGTTTCAAGGTGGTGATGATCTCGCCGGTAGCCTTGTTCTGACAGCTCGTAACCAGAACTTGGTGATTTCCGTTCCATTGGTGGGCGATGTCGTTGGGAGTCTTTGTGCCCCTTTGTTGACCTTTCACCTGGGGCGAAAATGGCCTTTGGTGGCATCCTACACGCTATCTCTAGGTGGCAGCTTACTCCAAGTCTTTGCGCCGAATCTTGGAGCCTTTGTAGCTGGCCGAGCTGTGAATGGCGTAGCAATTGGCATTGCTATTGCCACCGCCCCTCTATACCTCTCCGAGGTAAGAAACTGTCCACGAATACACCTAGGACCACGTATTAATTCTGGCAGGTGGTCCCCGCTTCTATTCGAGGAAGATGTGTCAGCTCTATCAATATCCTGAATCTTATAGCCGGAGTGATCGGCACCGTTGTGGTCTGGGGCACTAAGAAAATTGGTGGCCATTTGTCCTATCAAATCCCACTAGCTATACAGTGTGTTATTCCTGTTATTCTGCTCGTCCTGACCATACCACTCCCCGAAAGCCCAGAATGGCTTGTATCAAAGGGGAATATGGAACAGGCGCGATATAACCTACGAAAATTGCGCGGCTTCAGCGATGAAAAGGTAGAAGAAGAGCTCCTACTCATGGAATTGTGCGAAAGAAATAATTGTGAGATGCGATCTGATGTCAAGTTCTGGCATATCTTCCGTCGAGATCACCTCCGACGAACTTTGGTGGCAGGGTCATTCTATTCCCTGAATCAAATCTCCGGTATCATCCTTTCCACAACCTATACGACCGTTTTCCTCACCGAAATCGGAGCCTCAAATACATTTACATTGACTATCATTGCATCCTGCTGTACCCTGGCTGGCACTCTTGCAGCCCCACTGGTGATCGACCGTGCGGGCCGACGCCCCACGGCATTTATCGGCATGGGCATTCTCTTCGTGATTGATGTCATAGCCGGTGGCCTTGCCTTTGACACTGGAAACACGAGCTCCATTGTTGCCATTGCAGCGTTGGGTTTTATTTTCAACTTTTTCTGGGCCTCATCTTTCTACTCCTTGTCCAACGTGATGCCTTCTGAGATGGCCACTACCAAGCTCCGTCACTACGTTATGTCCTACACCATTGCCTGCCAGGGAATTACAGCTGTGATCACCACTCTTGTCGTCCCTCGGCTTACATCTGCTGATGCGGCGGATCTTGGAGCCAAGACATACCTCGTCTTTGCAGGATGCATGGCTGCCATCATCGTCTTCACGTACTTCCTCATGCCGGAGACACGAGGCCGCACATTTGCGGAAATTGATGAGATATACGCAGCCAAGGTTCCCGCGTGGAAATGGCGGTCATACCAGACTACCTCAGAAGCGAGAACAGGGGCATCGAACATATCCAGTGAGAAGATGTTGAGAAGAGAGAGAAGTTAGAACGATACATAATATGAACAAACTCAGCAAGCACGATATCGGTGACACGTGATGATACGGTATCCGATGTCGGCGTAGATGAACATTTTAACAGCGCAGTCATCAGTACAAGCATTGATACAAGGCCAAGATCTATAATTATAAGTAATTGACGGCATTTTCAAGGAATCATTAAACCATAAACTCATCTCTTTTGTCTGTAGTATTTGCAGTTGGCAGTTAACTTTCGTATACTTGGAGATCCACCCCGCCATGAGCTCATACCTAGAGATGATCTTTATACATTACATACAACCACCAGACTTGATCGAAGGCGATACGAAGAAGCACAAGAGTTAAAATCCGAGCTTTATATATCTTAAGCTTTCCAATTGTTTCAATATTGTAAATGGTAAATACCTCGCAACCATTTCAATGCATACCTTGAGCATACCCCGCCATTTTCGCCAAAAGATATGAATAAGACTGCAGTAGCCAAAGTGATAGCCTCGAGGAGACTCCGGAGATTCAATGCAATAGAGGAGAAATCATGATAATTAACAGTCAAAAATTAATTGACAAAAAACTTCGGGATTACTCATAACTCTCAGTTATCACTCTGACTCGACGGCGATGACTCTTAAGGTTGATCCACCTTGCGGTCCACTCGCGAATCTTTTTTTTTCTCTCGTTTCCTTTCTTACAGATATACCCATACCCTCACATTCCAAAACCGATCATAAAAAATGCCTTCTCGGCAAGAAGTCTCCTACTTTGGAGCTGGCCCAGCTCCTCTGCCCACCTCCGTCGTCGAGGCTGGTGCCAAAGCCTTCGTCAACTTCAACGATTGCGGTCTCGGTCTCGGTGAGATCTCCCACCGTTCCTCCGCCGCCAACAAGATCCTCGATGACGCCAAAGCCAACCTCACCACTCTCCTCGACATCCCCGACAACTATGAGATTCTTTTCATGCAAGCCGGTGGCAGTGGCGAGTTCAGTGCCGTCGTCCAAAACCTCGTCCCCGTCTGGATTGAGCGTCGCCGTCGCCGCGCCGAAGCCGATGTGCTAAAGGCCAACCCCGGTGCCGAGAAGGCTCAGGTGGATGAATTGGTATTCCAGAGACTGCAAAAGGAGGTTGACGAGGAATTGAAGCTGGATTACCTGGTTACCGGTTCTTGGTCGCTTAAGGCTTCGCAGGAAGCCGCCCGCCTGGTGGGCTCCAAGTACGTCAATGTTGCTCTGGACGCCCGGAAAGCCAACGGTGGAAAGTTCGGTACTATTCCCGCAGAGGAGACTTGGTCATTGACTCCCACCAAGAAGGAAGGTGGAAAGGGCTCCGCATTTGTCTACTTCTGTGACAACGAGACCGTGGATGGAGTGGAGTTCCAGCAGTTCCCCAAGTCATTGGAGGCTCAGGGTCAAGATGAGGAAGATGAGCGTCTGGTCGTTGCCGACATGAGCTCCAACTTTATCAGCCGAAAGGTTGATGTCAGCAAATATGCCGTGATCTTCGTGAGTGCATCCAAAGTGGAAAATCAGACCGGGCAAGCTTGACTAATCCAATTCGATAGGGCGGCGCGCAAAAGAATATCGGTGTCACTGGCATCACTCTCGCCATTGTTCGCAAGGATCTGCTCCCCCCTCACACTGCCACTCCTCCTCCTGCTCTCCTGCACCGTTTGAACATTGGTGGTCTGCCCGGCCCTGTCGTGCTGGACTATGCTACCATCGCCAAGAACAACTCCCTTTACAACACCCTCCCCATCTTCAATCTTTGGATCGCTGGCCAGGTGATGGCCGACTTGGTGGGTGTGTTCGGTGCCCAAAAGGTTAGTGGACAGGAAGAGATCGCCAAGCAAAAGGCAGACCTCATCTATGGAGCCCTGGACAAGTACCCGCAAGTGTACCAGGTTGTTCCCGACAAGAGCATTCGCAGCCGCATGAACATTTGCTTCCGTGTTCACGGTGGGGATGATGCCAAGGAGAAGGAGTTCCTGGCTGGTGCCGAGAAGCGACTGCTTCAGGGCCTGAAGGGTCACCGTAGCGTTGGCGGTATGCGGGCCAGTAACTACAATGCCGTTCCTCTCGAGAATGTGCAGAAGCTGGCCAAGTACCTTGAGGATTTCGCCACAAGCAACTAGACTACCCTGGTGCCAATTTTATTGACTTATGAACGGATCAACCTGAGCATTCGAAGCGGACAAATAACGGGTCATTGGAGTGAGACGCCCAAGCCTCATGGAAAAGCTTTTCACTATTCAACATAACTCCCCAATATATGGTATATACTTGTATGCCAGAAACAAAACATAATGATACAGATGATGAAACCTTGAACAAGTGCTCATAGCTTCCATACGGCCCAATCCTTTAGATCGAGTTCTTTAATCACACCCTGAACTGGACCCTGGAGTTCTTGTCCTTGAGCCCAAACCTTTGGACCTGCCATATAGCCTATGAATCCCTCGGGACCTGATACCAAGATCATTTTCTTCCGAAGCGAGCCGTCCGAACCACTAGACTTCACAGCTTCGAAGATGTCATCCTTCCTGATAAATCGATTTTCCTCGTCCAGATAATAGTCCACCTTAACCTGGCCTGGATACTGTGACTTGAGAGCCTCAAGTTCTTTCACAATGAGCGATGCCGTCTCTCCGGGTGCTGATGCTGGTGCTGCCTGCTCAGGAGCGACGGTCATGGAACCAAACCATGGGAACCAGGATCCGCGGGACGGCAGAATCCTGGGCGTATCACTCACGCCCCCAAGGCAATCTTCTTTCAATCGATTAGCCCAGAGGATGTGAATCTTGGGCCGGGAATCATCATTGCGGCGGCTCAGAAGCGAGTGCCCAGCCTGCAAAGCAGGTGCGATTCCAGTCCCTCCAGCGATGAAAACGATCTCCTTCGTCTCTTCAGGGATAACACACTCGATTTGTGGCCCTCGCATTTCAATATCCGCTCCTATACTCAGGGTATGCAGGTATCGGGAAACCTCTCCGAACGGATCTTTCCGTATAAAGAATTGCAGATATCCTTCATTCTCCTCGTCCACGGTCAATGTTGTCGCGGATGTCGTAGGCAGAGGTGTATAATCGCGGCCGATTTGTAGTTGGGGTTGCTTGAACATCACACTCCATACACCAATGCGCCATGCATTTTCGTAGACGTCGTAGTTGCTACCACTAGGATATCGCGGTCGGAGGGTGAACAGGCTGCTTGTCGCCGAGACCGGTTCTCTGGAGACGAGGCTGTATTTGGTGAATGTCTCTTCATTCAGAGTCGTCGATCCAGGGCCTTGTGATCGAACATAGGCGCCAGCGCCAGCAGCTGTGGCGGTCACGAAGAGAACCCCCAACCAGCGATTTTTCCGAGAAGCAGTCGCAGAGGTGTTCGAAGAGGCAGTGGAAGCATAACGGCGAGGTCGAATTGCATGCTGAATGGCTCTGCAGCTGCAGCGCTGAGAGGGGAGTACCGACTTCATGGGTGGTTTAGATCTCAACAATTGAAAAGCGCGGGGATTTGGCGCAAAGGGGAATCCGATTGGGCGATCGTTTCCCCGAATGAACTGCACCCCTTGGCAACACTTGCAATCTCCCACACCCACTCTCTCTCCCTTTTTTCATATACACATTCGAGACGTTCTTTCGAGGATATGGAGAGATCTGTCTTCTAACCAACCCAGTCGAATAGCGTTCGGCCTTGAAATCGGATCGCATCACGCCCCCCAACCATCTACAACAAAGGAAACACAAACAGAGAGAGAGAGAGAGAGAGAGAGAGAGAGAGAGAGAGAAAAGAGGATGTCGAACACGTTCGCTTATGAGACCAGAAATGGCAACCTCAGCGCTCCACGAGATTCACTAGAACTGGCTTCACTCGCTTCGTCCTCCCCCGACTCGGTGGGCGGTTCCTCACGATCATCATCCCCCGACGGCATCTCGTCATCGCGCAAGCTCTCGCTCGAGGACGAGGATCCTCTGGCCGGCCCTGCAGGAGATGGTTTCCTAGAATCAGGCCATCAACGGGGTCTCCGGTCGTATTCGATTTCCTCCGCATTCGATTTTGGTGGCAACCTCTTCCCACTTTCGCAAACACAAGGTGGCTATGCTCCGTTAGGCACCCCGGCGTTGGATCGCCAAGGCCAGGATGGGTCATTGGAGCGAAATAAGACTTTAACGTACCTGAATGGTCTGTCGCTCATTGTTGGTCTGATTATTGGCTCTGGAATTTTCTCGTCGCCCAGTCAGGTCAACGCCAATGCTGGGTCTCCGGGCGCCGCACTCATTGTTTGGGCCGTGGCGGGTGTGCTCGCCTGGACGGGGGCTGCTAGCTATGCGGAGCTAGGAGGCGCAATACCATTGAACGGTGGTGCGCAGGTCTACTTGTCGAAGATCTTTGGGGACCTCATGGGCTTCCTCTTCACTTGGTGCGCAGTCTTAGTTCTGAAGCCGGGGTCAGCAGCGATCATTGCTATTATCTTCGGAGAATATGTTGTACGAGGATTTGTCGGTGCGGATGTGGTTATGGGCAACCCGTGGGTCAACAAGGGTGTTGCGCTTGGAGGATTGGTGCTTGTGACGCTATTCAACTGCATCTCGACCAAAATTGCGACTCGTATCGGCGATCTCCTCATGTTCTTCAAGTTTGTCGCTCTCCTGTTCGTGACCGTGACTGGCATTGTGGTCGCTATCACGGGCTTTTCCGCCAAAGGCGAGGCCAATGAAGAATGGAAAACACACGGCTGGTTCGAGGGCACCAACACCGAGATCTCTGATTTTGCCGTGGCGCTGTATGCGGGCCTGTGGGCTTTTGATGGCTGGGATAATGTAAGATGCCCTTTGCTAACCGAATTGACCTGTCCGCTAACCCTTTCAAGACCAACTATGTGACTGGCGAGTTCAAGAACCCGAATCGGGATCTACCTCGGGTCATACATACCGCGATGCCATTGGTCATTCTCTCTTACCTGATGGCCAACGTCGCCTATTTCCTCGTCCTCCCCCATGCCACCATTGAAGCCAGCAACACCGTCGCGGTACAGTTTGGTAGTGAAGTGTTCGGTTCCGTTGGAGGACTCGTGCTGGCGCTCGTTGTGTCAGCCAGTTGTTTCGGTGCCCTCAATGCAACCACCTTCACCAGTGGTCGACTGGTCTATGCAGCCGGCAAGGAAGGCTATCTTCCCTCGATCTTTGGTCGCATTGGCTTCTCCAGCTCCGCTTCGCAGGGACCTCCTGCTGGCAGCCGTCTTCGCAGCCGCTCCTGGGCCCGCAAGTCGATTTCCCGTGTCCTGGGCGATGATGCGCGACTCGGCTACACCCCCATCAATGCCATGGCCTTCAATGCGGTCTTGACTGGAATCTACATTGTCGTGGGCGAGTTCGGTACCCTAGTCACCTTCTATGGGGTTGCCGGATATACATTTTATTTCCTGACTGTGTTGGGCCTGATCGTGCTGCGCATTCGGGAACCGCATCTGGAGCGCCCTTACCGTACCTGGATCACCACGCCCCTGATTTTCTGCTGTGTGAGTCTGTTCCTCCTCAGCCGTGCCGTCATTGCCGAGCCTCTTCAAACTCTCATCGTGGTGGGATTCATCCTCACTGGTATCCCGGTCTACTATTGGCGCATCTACCAGCGGGATGGACGAACTGGGATCTCATGGAAGTTTTGGACATGGCGCTCTCGGTAAATGTCCCCTTGGCTCTTATGATATTTTGATACCTATGCATATACATCCGGGTGTATGGTGACCGATGGATTTTCTGTATTATTTTTCTTGTGCCGCAATTCTTGGATTCTTGCACAGCCTGTGAATGGCGTACGACGTGATGACGGTGGTTTCTGAGAGTCTTCTTATTTGTTTTATTACTGTGCATCCTGGTAGCAGGAATCAGACCCCATAGATCCTCAAAATATAATCATTAATCTGGATTTGGCGATAGAAATGATCTCAAGCTCTGGTCCAATCACGATCTAAGGCGACCAGCTTGGAATTGTTCCAAGCTTCCGCGTGAACAGGATCCAGTCATCTGCGGAACAATGTTTCATCCAATCATTCTAGATGCGGTTACACCACAAGTCCATTCAGCTGTCCTTGCTAGGTTTAGGCGTCTATACGGCATTCCTTAGGAAGGATGCTGTGTCTCCCGAGAGCAAGGAAGGCCTTATAATAATAACCAGCTCGAGGTTAGATCCCATCTTGATGATGATTCTAGAGGACTCCGAGTGAGTCTACTACCTCGTATTGACTCGGGTGAGGACCAGCATCTAGAATATCTCCCGGCTTGTGTGACCTGGTCCACATTCTGCTTTAGGCCATAGGTCTGTTATAGGTACTTGTATATAGGAACGGATCTCTGAGTCAATACCTCGGGCCAGTGGGAGATTCTACGAAGGAAATGCACATCAGCAAACCGTCAAGCCTCAAAGACGTGAAACTAAACATAGATCAGATTATGAAGAACAACGTGGTAGAAGCAGCAATGTGGCTTCAAAATGGCCCCCACGCTATATTGTGGCGGCGGTTAGCAGCACCGTTGGGCCTACACAGTGAATCCAACCTCTTTCGCCCCCAACACGCAGGACCATCTTAAAGACACATGGAAGATGCAGGGGCGCAACGTGGAAAATTATCTTATTTTTATTTATAGTTGCGGCTGTAGTTTATCCTGCGATGACATCGTTTTCCTAAGCTCTTGTACCGAGGTTTTCCTTAGCTTGTCTATTCTTAGCTATAATCTGACTGGTCTTCCACTTAATCCCACGCTAGTTCACTCTCGCCCCGACATTCAATAATCATTTGTGATTAGCATAACTGTTCATTGATAAGCCGTATTGTAAAAACTCGTTACAGGCCCATCAGCCGAATCATGTTTCATGTTTCAAAGCCAAGGAGTTCCAGCTGAACATGAATAATATACGACATGGCTGCGCATGTCACCTTACATTAATAATGCGGAAAAGGCAAAAAAAAAAAAAAGGCCCCGATCGACTAAGATGGGGTCATCTTAGCAATTTACGCGCTCAGCTTCAAGGTAGTAGAGACCTTGTCTTTTTTTATACTTCTGACTTCTGCACTCTGAATCATGGTTTCGGACTCCCGCAACCGGGTACTTGCTACATAGATCTGACTCGGGTTTCTATCTACCTTCACAAAGGAAATCAATTAATAAATGATTATAATCAAACCCTCGTGAGACTCTCTGCCCTGAGTCAGACATTTTTCCAGGGGTTCGTCTAGAACATTGCCCGAATTGGGGTTAATGAAGATTCTGGCCTGATTGAGAGCAAGTATAAATATAAGGCCATGCGATCAACCTGAGCTATGGTCTCTACTCTATTCACAGCTCAGATCTATACAGTCAAACCTAACTTGGTGTCATCCAAACTATATATCTATATATCTCTATATCTATACAAACAACCGCATCCTCCATCTATACTACTCAACAACCACAAACACTTCAAATACTTGAAGAGATTCTTCTCTTCACTTCCTCATTTTCACCTCCAAAACAAATCTCAATCTCAGTCTCAACCTCAACAATGGGTCGTGGTGGATATAACTCGCCTGCTGGCAAGTCCGATGAGACTCCCGCGCCACCAGCCAAATGAACCCTCGCTACGTCCTACAAGCAACCGGTCATCGCAACTCCTCACAGCAACACAAACAATCACAACACATGGCTCACTACTGAGCCGGCATACTCTTGAACAATCTCTCAATGCGTCAACGAATTTGAATCTCCGGTCGTGCCTTGTGGACGCAGAACCGGCAAAAATTGATCAACCCGCCCCTCCACAGAGCGGGCAACATGGCCAGAGCTGTGGACATCTTCGCCCGTGCCTATTCCACCGCATATGGGCGGGTAGATCATCTTACGAAGGAAATGTACACCAATGAATCATGTTAGAGTCCGTAGGGCAACCTTAGAGGCCGGAAATGGTATAGAATCGATGGATTGTATTATAGACTGAATGGGACAAGTCGATCTTTAGTTAGAATGTTTGTATAGAGTTAGATTGTTTTGTCGTTCCCGGAATCTAAGTATTTTCTTGAGCTACATGAGCCTTGTCTCGACTAAAGTAGGAAGCATTGAAACAATCCAGGAAGAGAATATGCGCAGATATATACATCTATCAGTGCTCTCCGATGGGTAAGCATGAGAATGAGAACACAGGAATAGAGTGCGGAGTACCGAACACAAGATGCGATTTGGTGGGTCTATCGATCATGAACCATGCCGCATGTTCATGACCAATAGAGCGTGACAGAGGGTAAGAAAAAGAGAATTATTTACAAGGGAGAGAGCCCACAAGTCCACAAGTCAGGCGGGTATGCGAAGGTGCCCTCGACCGAGCCAAAAGAGAAACGAAAAAGAAGAGGGACAAAAAAATGACACATGAGAACGGATGGAAAAGAAAAAACAATGGTATCATGACACCATGCTTGGCTCATCACAGATAAGTAAAAGGAAATGTGAAGGAGTGGGAAAGGGTATTATACAGTCGAGGGTATGGGAGGTTTTGATGCAAAGTATGAGGGTGAGAAGACAAGAAAAAGATTCTGAGCGGGCATGAAGAATCTATCAAACATTAGATTATGGGGAGTAATGAGACTAGGTCTCAATCCGATAATTCAATCGGGTGTTCGGGGGAACCATCATGAGGTTCTGGTGATGAGGGCTCATGCTGCTCCGAGATCACAATAGAAGGTGGTTCTGCGGGAGGGCTTGGTAGTGGATCTTCGGGGCCGAGGGAATCCGTTTGTGAGGGAGATGAAGGTTCGGGGACCGTTGACAGACCGCCATCTGCACTGTCTTTGCTTCCAGTAGTGGCTCCATTACGTCGTCGCATGCGACGGTTGCGCCGCTCCTCGTCGGCACTCTCTCTTCGTCGTCGTTGGCGTTCGCCACTGGCGTCAGAGTTGCTTCTCAATCCCATGAGCATGCTAGCTGCACGGTCCGCAACGTCTTCGCCTTCGGAGATTTGAGCCTCCTTGGCGCCCTCTTCTCCTTCGGCAACTGGAGGGCTCAACAGACCGTTTTCATCAGTCTTGGCTTCGCCTTCAGCAGGCTGATCAGTGGCCGCATCGCCTTCTTCGGCACCAGATGTGCCGGGCGGGTGCTGGCCAGAAGCCACACGAACCTGGTGGCGTTCCTTGAGACGAGCACGACGGCGACGATCGCGCTGATCTTTGGCCTGAGGCGCAGCAGCACGCAACTTCTCCAGTAACGAGTCCATCGCACCACTTGTGGCGGGGGAGTTCGGGATTTCGGCGGGAGCAGCGCCATTGGCAAGATTGACATTGATCCGCTTGCGAGCGAGAGACGCTTCGGTGCGCTTCCGAGCCTCCTCGAGGCCAATATTCTTCTCTCGTGATTTTTTCCACTCAAGCAAGAATGAAGCCAATTTAGCGAAGAAGTCTCGCCGTGCGTTTTCGTCCGTGTTGTCTTCGCCGTAGAATACCATGATATCATCATAGGACTTGACCATCTCGTCTAGGTAAATCTGCATTTGTTCAGCCTTGCGGCGAGCGTCCTTCATGCTTCGCTGGACGACCTGGCTGACGCGGTCCTGGGGATGGAACTTCTTCGGATCACTCAGGTTGCCCGCATCCAAACTGGATTGGACGTTCTTGATATTGCTGATGTACTTCTTGGCATCGGTGCACAATTGGTCAACGCTGACCTTCTGAAGGCCAACCACACCGCTGATCTCCTCGAAGAAGCTCTCCCACTCGGGATACTGGTTGCGAACGATACGCTCGACTAGGTCGGCGAAGGTGGTCTCGTTCTTGTCATCCTTAACCATGCCCAAGCGAGCGAGCGAACTGAGCTTGAAACCCTGGGCCTGTTTGTTGGCGTCGTTCATAAAATTTCCAATATCCAAGATAAGACCAAGGACGTTCATCAGAGCAACGGAATCCCGCAAAGATTCGCTGGCATTGACAACATCCTGCAGCCTAGTCGAGATGTATTCATACTCGTGCTCAAAGGTCCGAGTCAGTGCAAGAGCCCGCATTCTCGCTTTCCAATAGTGGTTCAGCTCATAGGAAGTAGCCAGATAGATCTGATCCTCACGCGTGAGCTCAGTAGGATCTTGCTCACGCTCAGAACTGGCAGCACCCGGGACAGTCCAGTCCTGACTATACGGCGCCATCAACTTTGCAACGTTCTCCGGGATACTGCACATCTCTTCTCTTTGCAGGAAATCCATGACCACCATGTTATCCAAGATATCTCGGTCACAGTGGATGATCATGCGAACCACGTCATCGGGAGGAAATTGTGAGAATTTCGAAAGAGCAATCTGGAAATTCTTGGACAGGTCGTTGGAAATAATCTGCTTCTTGTCCTTGCGTTTTTTGGCTGCAGTGCTGGCCCCAAAGATCTTGGTCTCTTTCGCCATGAACAGCCGCTCAACCTCGTCCAATACACCTTTCTTGGCTAGATCGGTATACTTCTCTTCTTTGTCCTCGGCTGTTGGGGCGTGGCCAGCCCAAACAGTCACTTGGGGAGTATCCACCTTGTCCCAGTGCAAGGCCTTGAGCTTCTTCTTAGGACGAATAAAAGGCATATGAGTGGCACCAGGAACTGGATCTCCGGCCATGTAGTTGGGTCTCCAACCAGCACCCAGGGGAGCACTGGGCGGGGGCGGAGGGGGAGGTGCGAAGCCCTTGGCTCCGGGAGCCGGGGGAGGCGGCGGCGGACCACCGATAGCTCCTCCTGGGGGAGGTGGAGGAGGAGGTCCACGAATGGCCCCTCCTGGGGGAGGCGGAGGAGGAAGTCCAGATAATCCTCCTGGGGGAGGCGGAGGAGGAAGTCCAGATAATCCTCCTGGAGGAGGTGGAGGAGGGATGCCAGAAGCACCTCCCGGAGGAGGGGGAGGGGGAGGAAGTCCCGGTTTGGCACCGCCGGGGGGAGGAGGAGGCGGCGGGACGGAAATTCCCTTTGCACCACCTGGCGGAGGTGGAGGTGGTATAGAAACGCCTCCCGGGGGCGGCGGAGGTGGAGGAATTGCAATCGCTGCGCCACCAGGTGGTGGTGGTGGAGGAGGAGGAGGAGGTGGTGGTGGGGGCATTGCCTTTTTGTCCAAGTCCGCCTTGTCCTCGGATCTGGGTGCTTCTGTAGGGGTAATATCGCCGCCGGCGGCATCCTCGATGTCTGCAGTACCTGTTGCCTCGGAATCCTCGTCGTACTTGGGCACCTTGAGAGCTAGCTCGCCCAATAAACCAGTCGCCTGTGCAGGGTTCAGACGTCGCTGGAAACCCATCATACCACGAGACTGGTCTTGCGCTGCCTCGTCACCCTCCTCCATGATGGTCGGCACTGCACCATCGGGATGCTGATCCATCTCAGGCACATGGCTTCGCTTGCGGTAGACAGATCCCAGGGAGCCTGAGTCCATAGTGCGACGGGTTTGCTCAGCAAATTCCTCGCTAGCATCCGCACTACCATCCATCCGCTCACGGAGCTCACGCAGTCGGTCCGATGGGCCGTTATCAAGTTGACCCCAGACCTTGCCCTCAAGCTTGAACTGGGTCTTGGTTCTCTCTAGCTGGCGCTCCAGGCGTTCCATGAGACGTTCCCGATCCATAATTCCAGGCATCTGCGATGGATCGGCTTCGCCTGTCTGGTTAAGCTTCCGAGCGTTTGACGCAGCGATGTCTTGGGCATCCCGAAGCATCAGATACAGCTCTCGAGTTTCTAGTTCATTGCGTTGCAATTCTTGGGCACGTAGCCGTTGAACCTCTCCTACCTCGGCTTTCATCGACTCGTTTTGACGTGTCTGAAGTTCGATAATACTAGTTTGTTCCTCAATCTGCTTCTGCAATTTCTTGACGAGACCATCCGCACCGAGCTCTATCTGTGCTCTCATCTCATCGCGCTCGGCGATGGCTGCCTCGGCGATTTGGCGAGCCTCCAGCGACTCATCGTACACTCGCCTTGCCTCAGCATCTGTATGGAGTCGATCCAAAAGGCTTTGCACGGTGAAATTCAGTCCCTGGCGTAAGTCAAGGTCGGGAAGCCTGCGGTCCATAGCAACATAGCTCATCATGGCATCTACGAGCTGGAACATGCGTAGGCCCTCTTCACCAGAATTCTCCCGGATGAGAAGCATGTGCTGCATGGCCGACAAAAAGTAGTCATGAGACCGAGTGCCGTTGATCTTTGTTGCGATGGCATCCGCTATCTGAAGAGGGTCGCTCATATCCTTGACCTCGCCCTCAACACTGTCCTTCATGCTGCTCCCCTCCCGTTGGAGCAGATCTTCATAATCGATAGCCTCATTTTCACGGAAGCGTTCGATCTGCTTGTCAATTGCCTCATATTGGAAACCTTCCATCTTCGTCAAAAGACGTACGATTCCACATGATGTGAATTGGGCACGAATATGACACCGCAATTGCAGGTCAGTCTCAGCACCATCCACCAGCATGTTAATGAGCATCATCGTCGAGACAGCATACTCCATTAGGAGATTCTCCATGCCAATGCCTCCACTGCGGTACTCCTCGCTGGCGCCGACCAAACTTCCCATTTTACCACGACCATCGATGGTGACCTCCACGATTCGCATCCAGGCATCGAACCGGCCGGTTTCGTTGTGGTCGTGTTTGACCTTGTCCATGGCCTGGAGGACCTTCCGGTGGCCTTCTCCATCGGCCCAGTGGGACAGGAACGTGAGGACTTCGCTGACAAGCTTCCGAGTGTTGAGACGAGGGGATGATAGAGAGCTGACAAGGGCAACAAGCACACCCTGGTGCACAAGCGCATCATCCGCACCATATTTGTTATTCATGAGACCTTTCAAACATTTGGCGATATCATATTCTCGATCAAGGTCCTTGTCGCCCGTCGGGGGAGCTGGGACCGGGCCAGATGCTTTTCGTCGATTGATTTTTTGAAGAACATTTGTCAGAGCAACTTGACCCTGAGCTTCAACAAAAGCTTTCACCCAGCTGATCGGTTGGGTTCGCAGACTGACACTTAAACTTGCAAGTTGCTTGGAAGTAATTGTGTCGTCCATAACCTTCTTCACATACCACTCTGGGCTTCCTTCTTCGTCAGCACGCTCCAAGAGGCCCGACAATCCATCATGTCCGTGAGTTTGACGGGCATTTTGCCTTCTCTTCTGTTCTCCTTGTAATTCCGTCAATCGATCCTGGTGAACCAAAGTCCACTTTTTCGAGGCAGGATAAGATAGCATTTGTCGCTTGGCCTGTTCAGGAAGATTCTGCCAGCCTCGTTTATTCATAAGTTCCAGAAACAGCTGGTCCACTATACGATCGTCTCTTGGCCGAGTCAGGTATTGATCAGATGGCCGGGGTACGGCTGCGGGAATATTCTGCGAGGCTTGCGAAGCTTGCCAGGCAGACTGCGCATTGGACAATCGGCCGGCACTTCCACTGGGGGCAATTGCATTGCGATCACTTGAATGCGACGGCGTGAGCGTGCGGCCAGAGCCATCGGAATTAGAGAAGTAGTTGGAACCGCGGGTATTAGAAGAATGAGATGAATATAAGCTGGCTTGGTCGAGTGATGTTCGGGAGTTCGACGAAGAATCAATGGAGGAATTGTGACTCAAGCCGTTATTGGCACTTGAGCTGCCTGGGCGTCCCCATTGTTGATATCTAGTCCCGCGATCGCCTGATGCACTGCTTGTCATAGTTGTGTTCGACCCATGTGGAGGCGGGCGAGGACCAGAGGGATGCGATGACGACCCATTTGGCGCAGAAGTGGAGGTCCATACGGGGTATTGATGATAGTCGCCGCCAGTCTTGCCAATGTGGTTAGGTGAGGGTTCTTGACGGGATTCAGGTCGGGTGTTGTCGATGGGGATGGGCGTTCTTGTGTCGGAGGGAAGACTTTCAAAGGGAATAGAAGTGATGACACCAGCAGTGGACGACATGATGCTTGGGTCGAGATCATGGGTCATGTCGACAGACTGGATTGAAGAGCGCTTTGAATAGCGGGACGAGCGAGAGCCGGCGGCGCTGCCCGGCGGGGCCAGGCTGTCGTAGGAACCTCCATACCCATCGTAGCGATCATCCGGTGCCTTGTCTTTGTACAGTTTCCTCCCAAAAAAGCTTTTTCCGGCCGAGGTCTGCCTGGACTTGTCGGCATTCGCGGGCATGTTGGTGAGAGTGTGAAGTGGCAGAGCGCAGCATCAAGGGCGCCCCTCGCACACTATCCAGAGGTCACGCGCAGTTGTTTCAACTCGAATATGTAGCGTCGTCGCGGGGGCGGGTCGCCAAAGATTTGGTGAGCGAAGACCAGAACATTCACAAAAGTTCGAGGTGGTTTCTGTTTTTGTCCCTCCCTTGGGCTTCCGTTAGTATACCCGCTTTGGTTGTTATGGAGCTCGCGCCGATACGAATTGTTGAAAATAAAGCAACCGTGGGGTGGGGGGAGGTATCTCACTGAGCAAGAGTAAAAAGGGGAGGGGAAACCGAAACTTGCAGGTATGCACCAGGCGAGTCTAGGGTCGATCAAAGCACGGGCACCTTTAATTGCAGATTAGGGGATTCATCTCATTTGGCATATTAGGGGCTTAGTTGCGGGCTTAGTCACCTGTCACTTCGGACAAACTCCCCGACCGGAGATCACGTGGTATCATGTGATGGCTGTGGGGAAAGTCGATTTCCATACGCGTCACGCGTATTCTGATTCCTTTCTATAGAATTTTTGATTTCTTATTCTCTGGGTAAACGTAACAACCGAATGCTATCATATCTCACTCAATTATCATTGGTTACTGAGGGGATAGAGTCCATTGTTTCGCGGGGTTTCTTCGATCTTCGGGAGGATCTACTTAGTCCCCCCTGATACCAAACCGTTCGGTAAACATCTCCGCTATCTTATCCCCGAGGCCAGGTGAGGACTCAACCAAGGATTCCTCACAGTGCCAAAATAAACACAAGAAAATTCCAAAGGGGTTGTTAATTTACCACCATGGGTTCTGCATCAAGATTTGCAAAGGTTGGTCATGCTTCTGATATCTCCGAGGCCCTTTCCCGTCGAATTGCGGCGTCGTCATCTCTCCCGAAGGCAGCCATTCGAACAAATGAACTGACCACACTGCTTCTTTACAGACCATTCTTGTGCCTGCATCAATTGCGTTGTCGGTCTACTTGCTCTTCTCATTTCTGATTATTCCGTTCTTCCGACGTTACCACCAACGCTACTCCCAATACCTCCCTTTACATACTATCTCTGCGCACACCCTTTCGCTCCGGGATCGCGTGGCCGACGCAATTATGCGCTTCTTTCTTCCGTCATCATGGCGACGCGGAGCACACTTGGATGACCATGAAAATATCGATATTGACGATGACGAAGGGGAGCTCATGGTCGGCATGGGCATGGACGCGGCCCGCCGGGAAGCCTTGGATCGTCACCGCAGTACCACTACGGATACCCAATCTCGGCTCAGTCGAGAGCTAGAGGAAGGGTTTATGGATGATAGCGACAACGAAGACAGTGAAAGAGACAGTGCAGAAAATCGACATTAAAGTTTCATCTCGGGCCTGTTGTTTTGTTTAAGGCTTTCCGGTCATGGGCGGCGTTTTCTTCTCCATTTGTATAACTAGCGACTCTTGAAATCTTCAAGATATGCATATATCCTCTCATATAGATTTGAAATCATTTTCTTGGCTTGGACCATAGAAAATTGGTCTTCACAGCTTGCAGGCCAGTATATTGTTCACTACTTGGCAGGAGACATGCAACATCATTTCAAAGTAAGTAGGAGGGCAGTGGGAGCCACTGGAATGCCCAGGGAAGGTTCAAGCCAAATGTGAAATCGGTGTAGACCAAATAAAGCACCCAAGGGATCCACCACCCTTCTAGCCGGCTTTGCCCTAGGAGCTGTCAATCCGTTGAGATCGACAGTGTCGTAGGCCCCACTCGATGATCACTGGAGGCGACCGATTATTCTTACGTGAGCAGAAGAAAGTCAAGAATTCTACAAGGACAAAGAGATCTGATGAAAGATATGTGATTTCATTGGTATCATAAATGCTAAATTTTCAGCATTACCTATGCCTTCAGAAGGGCAAGGTGGAAAAGATATAACAATCGAAGAAAAGAAACCATCGCGCGTCAAACCAAAGGGGTCCTTTTTGTTCCCATGCAAGCACAGTCAAACAATTTACTTGCGCTGACCGTAAGCCTTGGTGGCGTAATCACCCTTGTGAACGATCAGGTCCTGAGGGCGGTAGTCCTCACGACCGGAGAAGTAGCTCTCCAGGATGTCCTTGGTACCGTTGGCGTAACGAACCTGGGCATCGATAGAGGTACCGGACATGTGGGGAACCATGGCGTTACCACCGCCCCAGGGGTGCTCAGCGTAGCGGAGAGGGTGGTCCTTGGGGGCGGGCTGGGGGAACCAGACGTCACCACCGTATCCGCGGAGGTGGCCGGACTTGAGGGCCTCGGCAACATCCTCCTTGACAACAATAGCACCACGGGCAGTGTTGACGAGCCAAGCACCTAATTGTGTTAGCAATCATGAACTATGGCCGGAATTATCTCATTGGTAACTTACCAGGCTTCATCTTGGAGATCAACTCCTTGTTGAACAGACCACGGGTCTTCTCGTGCAGAGGGCAGTTGATGGTGACAACATCGCACTGAGCGAGCATCTCCTCGAGGTTGTCAACGCGACGGCAGCCAATCTCCTTCTCGACCTCGGGGCTCAGGGGCTGGTAATCGTAGTAGAGAAGCTCCTTGCAGTCGAAGGGCTTCAGACGGCGGAGCACACGCTCACCGATACGGCCGACAGCGACGGTACCGACAACCTTGCCCTCCAGGTCGTACTCATTCTTGGCGACGGCAGCGACGTTCCAGTCACCGTTGCGGATCTGGTCGTGGGCGGGAACGAAGTTGCGGACCAAGAGGAGGATGGTCATGACAACGTGCTCAGCAACGGAGACAACGTTGGAACCAGTGACCTCGGCGACGGTAATACCACCGTTGGTCTTGTTGGCGGCGTTGAGGTCAACGTGGTCGGAGCCAATACCGGCAGTGACGGCAAGCTTCAGCTTCTTGGCCTTGGCCAGACGCTCAGCAGTGAGGTATCCAGGGTGGAAGCTATTCAGGTATTAGCGGATACAGCACAACTGTGTAGATTGCGGGGTGGCGAACGGAGTAGTGATGATGACCTCGGCGTCAACCAGCTCCTTGTCGAAGGTAGAGTCCTCGCCCTCCTTGTCAGAGGTGGTCACCAGAGTGTGACCAGCATCCTCGAGCCACTTGCGGATACCGAGCTCATTCTCAGTGGTACCCAAAAGAGCGGGCTGCTGCTTGGAGTGCTCGCCACCCTAGAAGCGAATTAGCAATTTATATTTGAAGAATGGATAAATCATCATTGACTTACGTCGTATAGAACCAAAAGAACTTTACCCTGAAGGGAGGCAGATGCGGTTAGCGTACGTGCATTGGCAAAAGCACCAGTCGGCCTCGCAAAGTGATTGGTGGCGGTAGGCTTAAAAGCCCCCGAGAGCAATTGAGTGGCAGGCCGTCGCAATTGACGGGAAAGGGATCGAATAAATACCATTTTGAAGAGTGTTTAAATTAAAATTGATTGAAATGTGTAGGAAAGAGATATCTGGTGAGGAAGTCAGCGAATGCATTTATATGCTTAATGACCATCAAAGTTGAGTCGATGAAGTCAGAGTGGTTGGAGTAAACCGGCTGCTGAGAAGCGGGGAGAGTGGGGAAGCGTTGCAGGACATGGCCCTGACATTGGATTGATCCTTACCCGAGTATAAGAAGTACCGGATTGAGAGAGAGAAGGTTTGAAGTGATGGAAGAAAGACAAAACTTTGCTGGGTTTGGACAAGTATTATATAGGTTTCTCCCTTCTCCAATTGAGCCCCTCTTTCTATTGTACACATCAACCTGGGAAGCCACAATTCAAAACACGCCGTGTTGCCAGCGGGACCCGGGACGGGAGAGTAGCCGGATGGGGTACTCAACCACTCACGGTCCAAATCTCTCCGCATGAGGGACAAGGAGGGGGAGGAAATTCAGTGGTTCGTGCTCTAGCTGAACTGTAACCGCAGTGATCCTCGTGTTCCAGGTCATGCGTGCATTAGTGTGATACCTTCTTGCTTGTACTTCATAAGTCTATCCATTATTCTGTTTGATAAGCGTAACTGATGGAGCCCAGTTGTTCCGTGATCCTACAATAGCGGACGTGCGGGGAACCTCAGTTTTGAACTACAAGCTGTCAAGACTACTTGATAGACTTATCATGAGGATAATACCGGAGGCATACCCGGGAGCCGCGTCGATAGCCGTAGCACCACCACAGTGTATACATGCCGCAGTACCTCCAAGTGTCAGCCCACGCTCACAAGGTTGTTCTTCCGTGATGGCGCTAACCTTGGAATTCCCCGCAGCGGGGTTGCTGATGTAATGAGGGGTAGCTCTCAACCTTCCACAAAAAAAAAAAAAAAAAAAGATTGTACAACTAGCAGTCCAGATTGGTACAAAAAGACCTTGGTTCAAGCTAAGCAGAAACTCCAATTATGACGAAGCTTCAATTCTGCGGAGCTTCTCAAAATGCCGTGATTCCCATGGGGCTGAAAAGGTCCGAGCCATGTCCGTCCTTCTGCCGAATTTCGGCCATTTACCTTTTCTCCAACTCCAGACCCGCCCATGGCGACACGTATTCCCTGCTTTGGTGAGGAGAGTGCTTTCGTTGGGGATTTCGCCCTCACAGATCCACCGTCCGTTGCGAGGCTGTGTTTGCGGAATACATAACCTGATGGAGAATTTGGAGTCGCTCAATGGGGGGTTCAAATTCTCTCCGCCAAAGGAATTGAACTCGCATACTTGGTTATGATCGCCCTCTCATTGCACTTAAACGCCATTGAGTGATTTTTGTCATTACTCTGATCAGCACTGAAACGAAACAATAGTTCAAGTTGCAAGAAATGCATCGCCAACTCTATCGTCACAATGAACCTGAGAACCAGAGAGATCTCGATCAAGGAACTTGACGACTGAGATAACCACGAGCTTTTGCGAGTCCGATCTAATGGTGTATTGATTATAGTCCGAGTCAATCACTGCAAATATACAAACACAGGGAGCCCTGGAAATGTGCTTGTGAATCTACGAAGCTCAATGGCTTCTTTCATCTTATCTTCTTTGTTCGCATTTGGTCAAAGGCTACATAGCGCAGGTCGAACATTTCTCAGCAACGGCGTGATGTGGTTACCATCGTCAATTGCTAGAGATAATCCCTGAGCGAGCTTTTCCACAAAGGTTGATAGCTAATTTTTGGTGATTGACCTTCAGTAGGCAACCTCCGATCGGCCAGCCTTGATTCGCGCGATCGCCCTACAAAATCGGCAGAAGACTTGGGCTTCCCAGTAAGCGCCCTGGAACCTGGAAAAGGAGAAGCGTTGCACAACTTGGGAGGGCACGTCTACCAATTGAGTCCTGCATGACAGTCTACACGGATCGGATCCGATTGCACCGCTACAATTCGTTTCATGGCTGCAGTGCTATCAATTGATGTCGAACCAAGCAGCCAAATGAATAGTACGAAGTCTACCAAAGCGCAGGGACTTTTATGCATATCGGGAACGGGTCAATCTGTCTTGGGCATGCTCTCAGCGTGAAAACAGTCATTCCATGATGCCAGTGACATGATATATACTAATAAACCCGGGCATGGATGCCCTGGTTGTAAATTTTCGTGATTAGCCGCCATGAAAAGGCTTAAAATCCCAATTAGTTGTGCATAGGATGCGCGCGTTGAGATAACAGAAGGAAACCTGGGGCAGCAAATCAGGCACGGCGATTGCTAATCCCGCTAATCTCCGCTCCGCGCGCTCGGAGATGTTGATCTCGGGAATTTCATCATGGTCGCGTTCCTCTCTTGTAGTATCTCTTCTTTTCAATCCATGTCATAACTTTTCTTTCTTTTGTAAGAACCGCTGTTTCAATGAGATTACGGCCAACAACTGTGCAGTCGCTTGTGCGCGGCTGCAGTAGGCGCGCCCATCAAAACCCCAACTTCACCCGCCTGTTGTCAAGCACTCCACGCCGCCCAAGCAGGCTTCGCACTCGCCTTGAGATTCCTCCTCCTTTCCCGGTCACAAAAACATGCCCTGAACCGACATGCAATTGCCCATCGACGCCATCCATGCCGGAAGGATTGCCGATTGACCATGAGCATGTATTGAACGGGACAATGGTGGCATATGCGCAGCAGCTTTTGATCTGTACTGGACAGAGAGACTGGACAAGTCGGATTGAAAATGATGGAGAAAACCATGGCTGGGGTGATCTCGTAAGGGGCCTTAAGCGCCTGCTTGGTCGCGGAGGCCCATATCTGGACGTATGCGAATGCCCTGATCTGCTTGCTTGAACTGTTCGCTAATCTGTCTCCCTCTAAATGCAGCCCTTCAACAATGTCCTTGTCACTAATTCTTCCATTAAACCTGCTGCTAGCAGTCCCACCACCGCGTCCGCATTTCTTTTCCCGGGCTTCAAATACATCCCCTCTATCCCAGTCGAAATCCTCTCCTCTCCAAATACCACCGACTTGACCACTTTTGTTCGCGCATTTCTCCTCCCCAAGCAGCTAAATAGCATGCACTTGTCTTTGCCCGAGGCCAAGCAAGCTGACATCACCCGGGTACCGGATTTGGCTTCGAAGTTCACGGGCATCATCGATATCGAACATTCGCCTACCGTTTTGATCTGTGGACATGGAGGTCGTGATATGCGCTGTGGTGTCATGGCACCTGCGCTCGAGACAGAATTCCAGCGTGTGCTTCAAGCAAAAGGATTTACTTCCACGGATAGCCATGGCACGACCATCGACGACCCCAAGCATGCCCACATTGGTCTGATCAGCCACGTTGGCGGTCATAAATACGCAGGCAATGTCATTGTATATATTCCACCAAAGATGACGGTGGGAGACTCAGAGCCTCACCCGCTGGCAGGTAAGGGAATTTGGTATGGTCGCGTGGAGCCCAAGCATGTGCAAGGTATAGTGGATGAAACTATCCTTCGGGGTAGAGTAGTTACGGACCATTTTCGTGGTGGAGTAGACCGGAATGGGGACATTTTGCGATTGTAGTATTGAACCAAGGACCCAGTACTTGTACAGTTTGTATTGTTATTGCATAAGACAAAAAGATATCACAATAGACAGTCGCTTCTTTGGAAAGTCTTTCCCTAGTAACTTTGTTCAAGATGATCGACTTTACAAGGCATCTGGCGCTAGTCCCAATTGGGGCTAAAGCTGTGCGGGCTCCGGGGAAGTTTTGAAGACGAAGAGTCCGGCAGTCACTCCCAACATTGAAGTGGGTGCTGGAGCACCTGATCTCATACGACCGTTCATATAGCACAATGAGATATTTATCATTATGCAAACTCTCTCCCGAATTCGAATGATGCCTTTAGCCGCACAGGCGCGGCGGTGCGCCCGTCCTGGTGTGCGCCCATTCGCTCTCTCCCCGAATACCTTCATTCGCCTCGCCACGAACACTGCAAGCCTCCGAAAGCTTGACCTTCCTGCACTAGACAAGAAATGGCAGGCTCAATGGAGATCGGACGCGATCTCAGCGCCATGCAGTACCGAAAAGGCGTCCGAACCCAAACCGAAGTCCTACATCTTATCGATGTTCCCCTACCCCTCGGGCACGCTACATATGGGCCATCTTCGCGTATATACGATTTCAGATGTGCTGTCACGGTTTTATAAGATGCGTGGGCATGATGTTCTGCATCCGATGGGGTGGGATGCCTTTGGGTTGCCAGCAGAAAACGCAGCCATTGAACGCGGCGTGGATCCCGCAGAATGGACACAGCAAAATATAACGAAAATGAAGGCTCAGTTAGATAGTATATCTGCTGGATTTGACTGGAATCGGGTATGTTGTGGAATATTCAGCGTAACTCGGCGACTCTCAGTGCGACCAACTAACTCTTGAGCTTTTTGTAGGAACTTGCTACTTGTGCACCGGATTTTTACGAGCACACCCAACGACTATTCTTGATGCTACATGAGAAAGGGTTGGCATACCAAGCTGAGGCTCTGGTGAACTATGACCCTGTCGACAAGACCGTACTCGCCAATGAGCAAGTGGATGCCAATGGCTTCTCATGGCGATCGGGGGCCAAGGTCGAGAAATTGAATCTCAAACAGTGGTTCTTCCGGATCACAGACTTTAAAGAAATGTTATTGAAGGATCTGGACTCGCTCGCTGGGGGCTGGCCAGAGCGTGTTCTATCCATGCAACGGAACTGGCTTGGAAAATCGAACGGTGCTAAGATCAGATTCCCTGTGGCCGTTGACGGCACAAAGGTCCACGTTGACGTCTTTACCACACGACCAGACACCCTTTACGGTGTTGAGTATGTGGCTCTGTCACTAGACCATCCCATCGTTTTGAGTGCTGCGGAGAAAGATGCCTCGCTTCGCCAGTTCCTGGATGAGGCATCTTTACTTCCACCTGACTCCAAGGCCGGCTACCGCCTGGCTGACGTTACAGCAACTCATCCTTTGCTGAGAATTGATAATGAAAGCCCTCAATTGGCGAGGGATCTCCCCGTCTTTGTTGCGCCCTATGTTCTCAGTGATTATGGCGAGGGTGCAGTCATGGGTGTGCCAGGCCATGACGCTAGAGACATGGCGTTCTTTAAGGAGAATGCGAACCCGGAGTCAATTCCTATTGTCATTGAATCAGAACCATCTCAAGAAATTGTCACCGCAGTCTCTGCCCAGGATGCGAAGGCTTTTACACAGGAAGGTTTCCTCACCTCGCAGTGTGGAAAGTATCGAGGACTGCACTCCAAGGAGGCTGCACAGCAGATTGTCAACGATCTCAGCAAAGAGGGACAGGCCAAATTTACCGAAACCTGGCGGTTACGAGACTGGTTGATCAGTCGGCAACGGTACTGGGGTGCACCTATTCCCATCATCCACTGTGGCGAGTGTGGCCCGGTTCCTGTGCCGAAAGAAGACCTTCCCGTCAAATTGCCGAAGATCCAAGGGGAGTGGTTAAAGGGGAAGAAGGGAAATCCCCTTGAGTCATCCGAGGAATGGCTTCACACAAATTGCCCCAGCTGTGGAGGGCCCGCAAAGCGTGACACAGATACCATGGATACCTTTGTGGACTCATCTTGGTATTTCCTCCGCTTCCTGGACGCGGCAAACAAAGATGCCCCATTCTCGGCTTCAGTCGCGCGGCCAGTAGATGTCTACGTCGGAGGTGTGGAGCATGCTATTCTGCATCTGCTCTACGCTCGGTTCATTTATAAGTTCCTTGCTCAGTCAGATTTATTTCCAGCCGCCGCACCTGGTGGGCAATCGGTAGCAGAGCCCTTTAAGATGCTTCTGTCCCAGGGTATGGTTCATGGCAAGACCTTCACGGAGCCATCGACAGGTCGATTCTTACTTCCGCACGAAGTCGATCTCACAAAACCTGACAAGCCCTTGATCACGGGCACCCAGATCACCCCTAATATTTCATTCGAGAAAATGTCAAAGAGCAAGCACAATGGCGTTGATCCCACGACCTGTGCATCCAAGTATGGTGCCGATGCCACACGTGCGCACGTTCTCTTCTCGGCACCTGTTAGCGAAGTCCTGGAGTGGGATGAATCCAAGATCGTCGGAGTTGAGCGCTGGTTCGGCCGGCTTTGGAAGCTCGTCCTTGACACTCAGCAAACACTGGCTGATGCATCCTTCGCCATTCCCTTGGTTGATCTGAAGAATCCTGCCGGTCACGCCATGTCTTTGCCTCGGTCACTCCAGGATCTGAGCAACTCCGATGCGGACGCTGTACTAGCGACCCATAACACCATCTCGTCTGTCACTAGCTGTATCGAGAGCAACCCCTACGGCCTGAATACCGTCATCTCGGATCTGACCAAATTGACCAACGCCCTGTCCTCGGCATCTCCCTCTTCTCCCCTCGCCCTCTACATATCCGTCTCTTCCCTCCTCCGCCTTCTAGCGCCTATTGCCCCTGCGCTAGCCTCCGAGTCTTGGGTAGTATTGCATGACTCTGCTATGAAGCAATCCGACCCTGCAACTCCCGTGCCATCTATCTTTTCGTCTCCTTGGCCTACCGCCCTTCTCACCCCCGAACAAGCCGAGGCTCTATCCTCCCGTGGTGGCCAGACGGTAGCTGTTCAAATTAACGGAAAGCTCCGCTGTGCGGTTACCATTCCACGCTGGCCATCTGCCGAAGATGCCCCTCTGACTAAGGGCAAAGCCCCGGCTGCTTCCAAGGAAGAACAAGACTGGATTATCGATCGAGTCTTGGAGACTACCGAAGGCAATTCGTGGCTGCGCGAAAAGAACGACTGGGAGAAGAGACGACGAGTCATCGTTGTCAAGGGCAAATTGGTGAACGTCGTGTTCTGATCCAGTCCTTAGATTTGACCCGATCATCCATTCTAAACTGTATTTATCAATTCAATAGACCTGTATATTAGCATTTTTTCATCTCCAACCCTCAATAATATCAGCATTATCTAGCTTTAGAATAATGTTACGTATGAAACAGGATTCTGGAGAAATGAGGCTCTGGATTGTAAAAGCTAACGACCTATGGAAGGATAAAAGGTGACTTAAATGGACAGACATGTGACAAGCAATGCGCATTTGGCGCTGTCAATACCTACTTAGGAATACCAGCGGCATAGAACGAACAATGACGTTCACGGACTCGGAAAAAGGGCTGGACGAAAGGGTTAATACCCTCTATGTAAAAAGTATGTTAGCCAGTCTCTACCTTTGAACTAGCTGATATCAGCGAGAAGCTTTTACCTTTTCCAATTATAATCCGAAACTTCATCACGGCTGAGAGCAGCCTCCATTTTCTCAGGCTCGTGAAACTTCCTTGTAAATCGGATGACCCAAGTTTTGAGATCATCAGACATAGTCATGGATGGGGATACGTGACATGTCCGGCATTTCATAGAGATTGAATTAGACCTACATCGGTCGGTTGCGAGCTGAAAGGCCCCATCTTATCGACTGTATTGATATGGGGGCAAAGCATGATTCTCGTTTTAATCTTATGATAAGAAGCTTGATTCATATCGACAAGATATTCGAAATCAAATACAATCATGCCTGTCTCATCGAGAGGAACAAATATCGAATAGTATCTCCACTGTCGGGGTCTGGAATATGATAAGGAAGAATTAGGAGACTCCAGCTTCATCAAAAGTTTGATTCGGGGTTTCAAATCGGGTGAGCGGTCTAATCCATCAGAGTAAGGGTATCGAAAAGCAGGCACCTTTAAAACAGCCGCGAACTGTCAATATAATTTCTTGCAGCTTAGAGCTAAGCAAACCTGTGAAATCACCGAAAGGTGAGGAAAAATTAGATCTAGTAGCTCTGGTGGGAGATCGAGAATGGACGGGCCTCTTCATAGATTATGAGATCCCAAAGAGTCCGAGCTACCATCCCCACCATCAGAGCTGATGTATTCCAGGCCAAGGTGTTAATAGACATGGTGTGTCTTCTCAAAAATTGATGGGGAGAGAAAGACTGTCAGTTCAAGGGATCACGTCAGCATGACTCGATATAAGTAGACGTTTTATGTATTTTCAGGTTCTTTTGAGAGTCGGGACAGTCCCAGAAATTTAGTTATTTGTATGTTATCAGAGTCAAAAAACATGAATCTCATTCTGACAGCAATCACAGCAAGAATGTTGGTGGTAAGTCGGGACCTGTCAAACAAGATTAGATCGTCACTTGCCTTGATGGACAATTACACTTACCCCAAACATGCAAAGAGTCGGGAGACGCCAGTGACCGATTTGTTGGGTACTCATCATTCACTAAATCGCCATCCACGTAGTGCTCGAGAATAAACCGCGAGGGATCAAACCTATTTCAGTCAGCGAGTTCTCAAGTCAATTCCGAGGTCCATACCAATAATCGAAAATCTGCGAGCCCATGACGTGTCTGCCCACGCCCCAGCAATTCTCATAGCCTTTGTGACGAAGCCAGTCATGTCCCAACTTTTGGGTGTCAAAATCGTGCGTCTCAAAGGAAGAGTGATGAACGTGAGACTTGGGACCTTCGAAGAAGAAGAAGCAGTGGTGGTCCACTTTCTCTGATCCACGGTCAAGATGGAGGAATGTGGTGATATCGCGCCCAGTTTCGTCGTAGACCAGCTATTTGTACCAGAGCATATTAGTAAGGGCAGATATAGGATGTAATGATCGGGATCACTCACGTCGCTGGGCTTGAAGTTAAACCGCGTGGTATAGAAGTCAAAGGCCTTTGCAAAATTTGTCACACACATGCCGAAGTGCCCAATCTTATGAACAGGTGCAGGCCCTACATAGATCAGTCAAAGCTCATTACCAGGCTTGATATCAACTCACCTTTTTCAAATCTCTGGAAATTGTTCACGGATCGATATTTCTCTGTTGGCTATGAGGAACGACATGTTAATGCTGTCAATTCAAAGGAATCCGACCAACCTAAACTTACCATATTGTAGTCCAATTCAGGAAGTTTCTTGACATCATTTGATAACTCCTGTCCATAGACAAGATGGAACGGGAAGTTGTCAACCGGATCCCTAAAGGTCACACAGTAACCCCCACCAGGCGCATCAGTCAATGCAGTGACCTTGCTGGCCCCAGGCAGTGTCTGAGAAGCATATTCAAGATCTTCCTCCGACTCAACAGCAAAGGCAGTGCCTCCAAACTCATCCTCGTCACCTTCTGTAAGGCAATAAACAAACGGCTCAGGGCCAGTGCCGCGATAGTAGATTTTCTTCCCTACTCGCTTCTCTTCCTGGAAACCAAAGTCCTCCAAAAATTGCCTCGCTTTTTGAATGTCCTTGTGGGTATAGTAGACATGCGCGATGCGGAGTAAATTGATGCGGCGCGAGGCCTGATCATTGCTATTCATTTTGGAGATTTCTTGTAGATATCTTAGAATCCGTAGAATCGTAGGTTCAAAGAGCCCCAGGAATGGCTCTTTTCAATGTTTTGTCTCAACGGAAATAGTTGCCTTTGCTGCTTTCCCTCTAGATCCGGTCGGACTAACTTCGGTCGGATTCCCCGCATATTTAGAAGCAAACCTTAAGTGCGCGCCACTTGATAATCGGCCCGAAATCGCCACGAAGCTTGGGGATATTCAATAAATTAAATTTCATAGACACAGCTTCCTTTTTGATATTCCTGTTTTACTGAAATTCCTTTGACTCGTTCTTGACCTTAAGACATCTCCAACATGGCCCCTACTTGGACGCACCTCATTCGATTCATCGCCGACGAGGATGGACAGGTGCATATTGGACAGGTGAACGAAACACAATTCCCTGATGTGGGCCTTTCCATCCTGAATGGGGAGAAAGTGACTGCCAAGGAGATCAAGGGCTCTATCTTTGACGGTGTGGTTCAAGACAAAGTTCTCACGGTCGCTCGGGTACTATCGAAATCCATGATCCGTCAATAAGAGGATGTTAGTTAATGATTGCTCTTTAGATCTTGGCTCCCATCAGCATCGATGAAGTCCCTATCATTCGTTGCATGGGGCTCAACTACCGCGATCACGCATTGGAAGCCAATATGCCAATCCCGGATGTGCCTGTGCTTTTCATCAAGCCACGCACAGCTCTGAACGGCCCTCATCCAGCGAAAATCAATGTACCAAAGATCGCTCAGGATGGTACCAGCGATTATGAGGCAGAATTGACCATCATCCTCTCCAAGGATGGAAAAGACATTCCTGAAGAAGACGCTATGGATTACGTGCTTGGTTATACTTCCAGCAACGACGTCAGCGCGAGAGCTCAACAATGGAAGAACAGTCAATGGTCGTTCGCCAAAGGTATGTCATCAATTCTCTGACGGGTGATTCTGGACTGATAGCCATAGGGTTTGATTTCTCCTGTCCAATTGGCCCGATCTTGGTTTCTCCATCAGCCATCAAGGATCCACACCAGCTTTCGATCAAAGCCATTCATAATGGAAACACGGTGCAAGATTCTAACACGCGGTAAATACTTTGTTCTCAAATCATACATTCCCTAATACTAATAGATGGCTTGAAACAGGGAGATGATTTTCACTATTCCCCAGATTATATCGTTCCTTTCTCAAGGAACGACGCTGGAGAAGGGAACCATCATTATGACTGGCACAGGGCCCGGAATCGGCGCCATGCGTGATCCAAAGGTGGTGCTGAACCACGGTGATGACATTCGCGTGGAGATTGAGAAGATTGGGACGCTGGTGAATACCGTTCACTATGAATAGATCTGTCATTTAGAATCAAATGTTTTAGATACAAATTGAATCCTTACAGGAAAGATCCCTCTGTTGTGGGATGCGGAACTAGCTTTGAACCAATCAAGATGATCAGAGAGCATTGTACCCCCATTTCTGGCTTTATGTTTGTACTTCACCTGGCTTCAATAACAGCTGAGCCATAATGAGAGTAGTTTCTTGATTTAATCTTTTCATTCTTCCTTCGCCCACCTCGCCGGATATTTAGGGCTTACGGAGCATTTCGTACGTTTACACTCGGATATAATATCCCATCATCCTGCACAATGGATATACAGCAACTTCAAACCAGATCTTCACATTCAGACCTTCCTGACTTTCAGCGATCTGGGATGTTTCCGGTCGGAATTAGCATCACCTGATGAACAGCAAACCAGTGAGCTCATGATTTGCAATTTGCCAAGATGGCCCGAAATTAGTCCGAAAAGGAAGCTTGCATAAAATTTTATGTCAGCAGATCAGCATAGCCATCCCCATGGGGAAGTCATTCTGATATGAGTCTAATATGGACGCGGGGGCGTTATCTAGGGTCATAAGTTTTGAAGCAGTCACCTTCGACACCTAAGCCTCACGGATATATGCAAGGGTCACGCTAATGCCGAGAACAGCCAATGCCGAGAAGAGCGTCCGGCTTCCCGAGACATTTCGGTCGAATTACCTCATCGACTTCTGTGTATCAAGCGTGTGACCCTTTGGAAATGTCGATCATATCATCCCCAGGTCGGCCTGTCTTCGGTCAGTTTGCGGGGATCTGGAGATTCCCCCACACTTGCAAGTGCAGCCACCATTCCTTTGCACGGATTAAACCATGGCACCACACGAGCTTTATACCATTTCGAAGAGACCGGCGTTGAGAGAGTTTTCATATATCCGGACTTGAAAGATTAATATAAGGCAAGCAGCGGCAGCTGAAGACACGCAGCCTCAAAGGATGTTGAATCCTAGACCATTCCTCTCGAACACTCTTAAGATCAAGGCTCCACTACTTCAGACTTCTCGATCCGTTGTGTCTCAACTCCGGCTCTCATTTGCTTCAAACAGACCTTGCTACAGTAACGCAAATCACAGCCTCATGACTAGGTCTTCGGTCCCAGAAGGGGCTCCTTCCCCTCTCAATAGAAGTTTCCTGTCAAACGGCACCAATGGAGCTTCTATGTCCACCCAGGCTCATGGCAGCGAGACCGAATTCCTGATCGTCGGTGCAGGGCCGGCTGGAGCATCGCTAGCATGCTTCCTGACTTCATACGGTACATCCAATAGCCATACTACAGTTTGGAACAAAACTCACAATTGACTAGGTTTGAAAGGGCTCATGGTCAGTGCTGCGCCTGGGACGGCTAATACCCCCCGGGCGCATATTACCAACATGGCGGCGCAGGGTATGTGTCTAAGTCTCCCATCCAACAATGATGCAAAGCTGATAATTGATCACCAGAATGTCTCCGGGATATCGGCCTTGATCAGGAGATGGAAAACGTTGCATCTCAAGGAAACCATATGATACATACTAGATGGTGCCATAGTATGGCTGGAGAGGAATACGCTCGCATTCACTCTTGGGGACATGATCCAAAGCGCATGGTATGTTTATTCGCTGGTCATTCGTTCTTGACCTTAGACTAAATGAAAACGTATAGGGAGACTATGAGTCTGCCAGCCCATGCAAGCCCCTCGACCTTCCACAAACACTTCTCGAACCTATTCTCGTCCGCCATGCTACGGCTAATGGTTTCAAAGCTCGCTTCGACACGACTCTACTAAACTTTACACAAGATGCAGACGGTCTCTACACTGTGGATTTGCGGGACAATATCTCGAAAAGTGAATATCAAGTTAGAACCAAATATATCTTCGGCGCCGATGGGGCTCGCAGCCAGGTCATCAAGACCGTCAACCTTCCCATGTCTATCAAGTCGGGTCAGGGCCTTGCCATCAATATTCTCGTCAAAGCAGACTTGTCTCACCTCATGAAGCACCGACAAGGCAATCTTCATTGGGTGATGCAACCAGATCGCGAGCATCCACAGTTCGGATGGCAGGGAATTGTACGCATGGTCAAACCATGGAACGAGTGGATGTTCATCCTCTTCCCTGATCGAGACTGTGATATCAATATCCAACCTTCTCATGATGAGTATCTGCGTCGCGTGCAGGATTTTATTGGAGATGATACCCCAGCCGAGATTCTCGACATATCCAAGTGGTATATCAACGAGATTATTGCGGAGCAATACTCTGTCGGAAATGTGTATGCTCTCCTTTTCGCTTGTCCCTTTTCAACCTAGCTAACTCAATCTTCCTTAGTATGTGTCTTGGAGATGCAGTTCACCGGCATCCCCCGATGAACGGTCTCGGGTCAAACACCTGCATCCAGGATGCGTTCAACCTAGCATGGAAGGTTGCCTATGTGCACCGTGGTCTTGCCGACAAGTCAATTCTTGACACGTACAGCGCCGAGCGTCAGCCAGTAGGCAAATCCATCATTACTCGAGCCAACCAAGCCTTCCGGGATCATTTCAACATCTGGGAGGCACTGGGTACTCTACCGAAGGAATTATCAGACCGGAAAGCCATATTGGAGGAACTCTCGAGTGAGACTGAAAAGGGCAAGATCCGCCGCAAGGCATTCCGTGAAGCCATCACCTCAACCTCCCGCGAGTTCCACGCCCTGGGTATCGAGATGGGCCAGTGTTATTCCGGCAACGGCGTCTACACCGCAGATGAACCGCATCCCTATGCGCCATCTGGGCCAGCTGCAGAGGACGACATTCTTTACTACGAGCCCAGTACCTACCCCGGTCGTCGACTTCCTCACGTGTGGTTGAACACAGCTATTCCCGGTCCCCGGAAATCCACGATCGACCTGGCCGGACACGGTGCCTTCACACTCCTGATTCGCGGACCTGGGGGTCAGGTGTGGAAGGATGCTGCAGTGAATTTGTCGAAGCAACTGAATATTCCCATCAATGCTTACAGCATTGGATACCGGGAGGATTGGGAAGATGTTTACTTTGAGTGGGATCGTCTGAGCGGGGTGGAAGAGTCTGGAGTTGTTTTGGTGCGACCCGATCGGTTCGTCGCGTGGAGGGCCCAAAAGGCTCTCCCTAGCACGAGCGATTGCGAGAAGAAGCTGGGTTTGGTTATGCGGTCTGTTCTGGGACTTTCGTGTTCCAATGGGGTTCATTAAACATCCCTTGATTGGCTTTTGATTGCCTTGCATTTACAAGTAATTGAATTCTTGGGGTAATTTGTAGTCTTCTTTATATTTGAGTTTCGTTCTGTATCGCCTGGCCATATACATACTACTTTGATTATCAAATTTCGAAAAAGTCAAGAATTTCCAATTCCATAAAGCGGTACATCTGAAGTTCAATACTCGAGTGTTCTGATTGGCGTGTGGCTGTGTGGCCCGACCCGCTCAGGCACCGTAAAGTAAAATCACATCCATGAATGTTGATGAAACATGATAAGGATCCATTCCAGACCTTGGGACTTCGTCCATGAAATTCTTGCGCTATAGACCTCGAAATTATGATACACAGAGCCGACTACCTAGGTATAAGCCGGGGTGAGTTTACGACCATCAACACATAACCAACCCACCCGTGGACCTAGCATTTATATATATCCGCCCACGTACTTGACCTTCATATCCGACCCTTGAACTCTTGATTTCTTCTGAACCTTGCAGGTGGAAGCTTTCTTGGACGCTGGCAGACAATAAATGAAAGATACCTAGGTAGATTATATGTCACCACATATAGGTATTCCGTAAGTATAAATTGGGTTTCGTGTATGTGCAAGCACTTGACCGCAGCCCAGTCTTCATGCAGTATACCGATATCAGGCGATGGAGGCTTAGGTAGTTTATGAATACACAAGGTTTGCTAAGAAAATTAATGTGTTCATTAATCTGCCTATCAGGGCTGTGCAGAAAACCCCCCTTATTCGCGGGAGAAAAATATGTCCTCTTAAAAACTACATGACCCAGGCTCATCGAAAAAGACTGCATGACGCTCAACGTAGAACCATGCATAGATACAAATAACAAAGAAAAAGAACATGTTCATTCATTTCTTTAAGCCCAGCCGAAAAGCCGATCATTTCGAGGAAGACGTAGATGAGAATGAGACCAATGCGTGATACGACTCCGTCAACGGCCATAGGCAATGCGCAAAGGCCACAGCACCCGCAACCAGGAGCAGATAGTAAGCAATTGTCCAACCAATGCTCAATTGACCATCGTCAACTCTGATAAAGCGACCGTCTGAATCTTCTTTGCCACGAGTGATCGGGGGACCAAGAGGTTCACCAGCCTCCACTCGGCCCCAGACGCGTGGCAGACCGCACCAATTGCAGAAGCTGTGAATTAGGATGACAGCCAGCAAAGAGGATGTACGCAGATAGACGAAAGTGGCGTACCATCCAAAGACGGTCGTGAAGCCAAACTGGAAGAGAGAGCGCAGTAGAGCGGCCAGCGCCGGAGTGTCCGGGTGAGTGAGACGGAACTCATAGAAATGGTGGACATGCGCAATTCCAAAGTACAGCGGCGAGACAAACACAATATATGCTGGAGAGACATGAGCTAGCAGGTGTAATGGAATAATGCCTGAGCGGAAAATGATCTCCTCAGTGACGGGGCCCTGATATTTGTCAGTTATCGAACCGTTGAATGCGTTCTTCCCCACAGGGAAAACCGAAAAATATGAGAGACGAAAAGATTGAACCTACAGCAATGTAATTTCTCCATCCAATCCAGCCACTTAGGCTTTCAGAGAGTTTACTGAGACGGAACCAGGATCGCCATTCACCCTCCACGATCCCTCGCTCAAAAAGCGGGCCAATGAATAGAATGGCAGTCAGGAGAAAGCAGCGGGCAATATCGCTCACACCGATAGGCCACCAGCCCATTACAGTGACAGCCGAACCAAGGGAATGATTGCCCTGACTTACCACTAGCCAAAGAACGGCCACTGAAGTCAGGATACAAGAGGCAGTGACGGCGCGAATCCGCGCGCGAATCACCGATGGGGCATCCCGGCTGAGGCTGGGAGATGGCCGCGTGGTGGGCGACAGATAGAGAGGCACCACATAGGACAAAGTAAGGGCGACCTAAATAGTGCCCAAGGTTAGAAGTCTACTAATGATGGGTCGAGGTACTCATTTACCGAGAGCAAAGCGACGGTGTGTACCGACAGGGTCGGCTCATCTGAACGGGGTTAGCTGACCTGTCTGAACTTTGCGGAGAGGAAAAGGGAAAAAACCCCAAACCCAACTTACTCAGATGCTTAGTGTACAGGCTCTTGAGGCTTGCAACAAAGTTGACGGGAGCCATAGCCAGTTAGGAACTAACTAGGCGATCAGTAAGGATGAAGATATTTTGTAAAAAGTTGGCATTTTCCAGGCAACGACGCCTCGACCGGTCTTTGTTGGATAATGACAGAACGTGACAGAACCGGAGTGCTTCGCAACGGAAACAGTGGGGGAGTTGGGGGCGGATGTTGGTATGACAGTGTTAAATTACAAGTATTGTGGGTATTGCAGAACCTTGGAACAATCGTAACAAGATTTTTCTCTATACCAAAGTAAAGTAAATAGATCAAGTAAATAGATCAAGTAAACAGATCAAAAGCAAACAGACTAATGCCTTCATGTTAGAGTTCTCGTTCTAGTCAAAGTAAACACTGCTTGTCCAGAACACATGGACCAAGCGCCTCCACACGAGTACAACGTAATATGATGCATCAGCTGCAGGTTATCCCTGTTCCCATCTTTCATTTCCCTGAGTCAATGCGAGGGGATCGTGGGCTTAATTCTCCGATTTCACGAGTTTCAATAGCAGGTGGGACATAATTCTGACATCTATTGAATATTTAAAATTGGAATCTGTGAGGGAACAATTACTAGAGTCTTTCCCCTCATAACGTCGGCGCTAACAGGGACAACTCATCGAGATCCACTGGGGCTGGACCCGCCTGAATCGCGACCTTTGGAGGGTCCGTATAACGGTGGTTTGATCGGCCATGAACTTGTAAAAAAGTATGGCACGTTGGTTCATTTTTTTAGAGATTGGACCAAACCACACAATATATAGGTTAAGGGGAAACAAGGGTGATGGAGTCGGGTGATGGGGCGTGCAGTCGTGCAGCCGTGCATACGCTGGCGAACGATGATAGGCGAAGGCGTGTTTTACTGCTTTTTCCCTGTCTTTGGCGCTTCACCGCCGCTGGGCAACAAAATTCCTCCCCCTTGATCTTCCTCAATGTCTCATGTTGCTCTTGTGTTTTCGGTCGTTGTGCGCCTCTTGTTTTGAATTTTGTTTTATGACCCGCTTCACGCTTGACGCTCTTTTAATGTGCTGAAACGACTTTCCATGCCACGCTGATTATCCCGTCATTCTTTTATTACGCTCTTTTTTTTGGTGTTTTACCAAACCACATTCATTCAACCGTATAGATCGGTTCTCGATATCAGCTGGAGGATCTGACATTCTTTCATCCTTGGTTCCAGGAAAACAAACAGTCTTTTCGGGTTCAACGTCATTGTTTATTCTAGTTTTCTGTTCAACTTCGACCTGGTTATCTACGTTTACGCCCCGGTCCGATTCTCGACTTTTTGGATTATGCTTTAATTGTTTCGATATGCCTTCTCACACCCAGTCCACCTCCCCTCCTCCCCGGAGACGGAGAGCTTTAGAAGAGCGCAGTTCCGCTCATGCCAACGAAAGATCGCCCACTCGATCATTACATAGGGTTCGAACGCAAGAAGATGTGAATGAAATGTATATGGCGACACCATTTCCGACAAAACCAGAACAGATATTATTGCCAATTCCTGGCAAAGGCCAGCAGCAGTACATCGCAGATACCGGCCTCAGGTATGCCCATGCTGGCCCTTCATCGTCAACCTGGTCGCCGACATTCAGCCATGGCACGGACAGCAGCGCGCGGGAGCAATCTGTTGGCGAGTGGGATACATCAACGGTGGACCCTGGCAACTCGCCGCCGGAGATGTGGGATGAAGACCCAACATCTAGCAAGTCTTCTTTGCCGGACTTCCCATCAGCCAAGCCGGACGACTTCCATTCGGATGGCTCGGAAGCCGAGTTCTCAGATGATGACTTAATTGTGCTGCCAACCGCGACACCGACAATTAAAGCGGTTGTATCAGAGCCACCGACGTCTCCAAAATCAGAGCCGGAAGATGCATCAACATTGGGGTACTCAAGCCCCAACATCCAGCCAATTGGAGCTCCATCCAGCCCTAACTTCGTCACCCTGGATAACTCGAGCGTCAACTTCCTGCCTCACGGACCTGGTTCCAATTCGGATTCCGATCCACGAACGGACTCCCTATCATCGTGGAACTCGCGAGGAACCGCCGTGAGACATGCTGGTGCAGCGCAATGGATCTTCACAGCCTCATCAGAACGACCGAGCCACTCCCGTTCGCCGTCATTCCATTCGAGCCCTCCGACACAATCGGTGGCATCATTCCGCACAGCATCCCGGCGACTTTCAGAAAGCCGATCGCGGTCTGCGACTTCGTCCTCGCGCAGTCTTCGCTCGGTGTCCGACATCCAGACCGCCATGGATAGTGGTGTGCCAATTCAATATCCCCGAATTCGTGGTCCGTCGTCCAGCTCTCGAGCAGAGACCTCTGACTCCTCAGAGCGCGACTTCACCCCAGGTCCGGCTTCCGGCCGCTGGAACCCTCATCTCTCCCGAGTATCGTCGATATGGTCTGCAGAGGAATTTCCCGACCAGCCTGTTGAGGTCGAGGTCTCAAGCACCGACTCGGAGCCTGCAATCATATCATCCGCAATTCCGTCATCCGTGGCCCTGAATTCGAAGACAAGCAAATCCACTGTCTGGTTGGTGAATGAAGCAGATGATGACGAGCACTTGGACAGCCTGACAAACCTACCAAGTCGGCGTGGCTTCCCGCATAGCTTGTCATCGGGCTCCAAGCGCAGCAACAGCTTGCGAAGTAACAGCCTGCGCAGCCTCAAGCGCCCGGGCACTGGCTCAAGTACCTTGATGCACATCCTCCCCACGTGGGCGAAGATCTACTACCGCTCTGATGCCCTCGGAATGCATCCGACCTTGTCAATGATGGACCCCAGCCGGCCCTCCTCTGGTCGCCCGGGAACCAGCAACTCCAGTGTCTTCAACCTCGTGCCGAACCCGCTCAATGTCCCCCGCCCTCGGTCCCCAGACCGTCCTCGCTCGCCTGAACGTGTCCACTTTGCTCAGCGACGCATCGACAGTGACCCACGAGACCCGCGCGCTCACTGGGTCGCATCTCCAGAGCCCGAGGATGGAGAAGTGGTTGGACCGCATCGCCACCGACTACGGCATAGCTGGTCGCCGCATCTCTTCACTGACCGCCGTACTATCCAGCACTCGGCCAGTGCATGGACAACTCCTTCATTTGACTCCACGACTGAACCAATCTTTGGTCGGAGGAATATCCAGGTCTACTCATTCTGTGTGGGCTTCATTTTCCCCCTTGCCTGGATCATTGCCTCTTTTATTCCTTTGCCGCCTAAACCCAAGATGGCGGAAATGATTGAGTCAGACGATGATGTTGAAATGGCCCTTGAGTCTCAGTTGATGGTTCTCCAACAACGACGGTATAATAATACACGATGGTGGCGGAATCTCAACCGGTGGATGATTTCCCTTGGGGTTGTGATCATCGTTATTGTGGTAAGTTGATTCTTCCAAAATGCTTCTGGCATGTCTAACAATTTTCAGATCACTCTTGCTGCCATTGGAAAAACCACTGGCTTCTAATTGTAATTGCTTTGTCGCACACATCTCTTTTCATGATCAAACATTCTTTCGATCTTCTACGCTGTCACGACTCGGACACTCCCTTTCGTCTGATATTTGCATTCGACTCATTTGTTAATCCTTTCATTCAATTTCGGAGCCACGCTCAAACATATTCCCCAAGTCGGACTCGACTTCAGTTCACTTTTGCTACAATCACAACAACCCACAGACTTTACTTTTTATTTCCCTGGTCAATTGTTACTTTTTGACTCGATCGTTTCAGACATTCTTGTTTCTGAAACATGATTTATCCATACTCTTCGCTGAACATTTATTGAATACGACTGCACGAAACGACTGTACGCACATACATAATTCCCATTCCATGTTTGTGACTATTTATACACGGATTTTCTCATTGGGATCTTCTTCTACACCAACAGCTGCCTTATCTCATTCTTGACCTCATCTTTGTTCATTTCAAGGCGCTTGACACCTGTGTAATTTGGATGCACACTGCTTGGATTTCCTTCTTGTGTTTGATATTTGCTGACGTAATTCACCTACCCTTGTATTAGAAAGACCATATTATTACTTCTACGAATTTTGTCCTTTTACTCCTCGGTTTAAACTGGGGTTGGAATCGTATTTACTAAAGGAAAAACCACTTTTGTTTATATTCCAGAGTACGTAATGCTAGCAAGTAACTTGAATCCATAATGGACATGAAACCTATGGCAACACGGTCTTGAAGCAGCAGCAAATCATGATGACTTTGCACACAATGAACTCAATCTATACAGACGTAACACACATCTAAAATACCCTTACAGCTTACGCCCAATCTTCTGCTCGACGGCAATTTTCAGTTCCTCGCCACTGGGCATGGTTACCACGCTACCACGACGGCGGCGGGACTCAATCTCCGTCATAATCTCCTGCACGGCCTCATCAAAGTCACGCTCAGGGTCGTTAGGCAGACCCAGAGTCGGAGGACGCACAGTCTCTTGACTGACGGTGCGCATCATATGAGGCCGGTTCCGGCGCTTCAGTCTAGAGACCAGTGCGGCCCTGATTGGGGAGAAGGAGGCGAAGGCGACGAGCGAGGCCATAGTCCAGACGATGCCGTAGAAATATACACGAGACCAGACAGCCATCGAGTCGCTGAAGCTGAGGAGAACGAAGGGCATCACAGTGAAACCGAGGGTGAGCTGAGTGGCAGCCCAGCTGGCAAGGTCATAGTAGCGCTTGGAAGGCATGGGCTTGGAACCATCAGGGGTAAGGAAGAAGGGGCGGACGTAGCGACGGAAGTCTGAAGGAGAGGTTAGTAAGGCACTGGGCGAGGAGAGAAAATACAATCCGGTGATACATACTCTTTGCCACAGTCTGGATGAATGAGCCGAGCACGAATGTCATGTAGTAGCCTGGGTAGAAGCCATGCCAAAGAGCGCTGGTAGCGAATGTGGCCATGCTAGCACGGAATCCAGGCTTCTTGCCCTTTGGAGTAACGCGCAGGTAGATATAGTTGCGCAGCCAGTGGTTGGTGTTCTTGTTCCAGCTACCAAGGTAGGCGTACGAGTTCTGGGCTGTCTCCAGACTCCAGGGATCGACGTTCTCCAAACGGTTCCAGAACACCTTGCCGGACTTGGGATCAAATCCGTTGTATCCTAGACCAGACAAGATACAGGCACCCTCTGTCAGAGACCAGACACCGTAGTACTTCAGGCGGGAGGTGAAGCCAAGCAGATACACGGTGAGCATGCGGCGCGGGAAACCGAAGGTCAAGAACTCATCCGAAAGCACAAATTCGGTGGTGAAGATTCCACCGAGGTATACAAATGCGCCAATCCAAAGCAGTCCGGTGACGGCCTTCTTGAAGGCCGGGGTACCACTGCGCGGAATCTTGCGCTTCTTGCGAGTCGCAGGCACCTTGGATGGGTCAGTGCGCGGGGGAACGTCGAACAATGTGGTATCGAGCCAGCGACGGTAGTCGACATACTCAAAGGCGGGACCGGCAAACAGCGACGGGAAGAACAAGACATAGCCAGCGTAGTCCAGAATACTAGGGAACTTGCTAATGGCCGAGTATTTTTGGGGGTCGGAGAGCTGTTCCTGCGGCAGGCGTCCGTCATGGATGTTCCAGCAGAACGACGTCAACTTCATCACGAGCACCATTTGAGCTCCCGTGATGTCAACTGCCCCAGCGTCATCCACCATTTGGCGGTAAATATGGCTGACTGACATGTGACCCATTAAGAAGACAAACCCGATCCAGGGCATCAGCGAGCCGTCCACATAGTAGGCGATGACGTAGGTTCCAGCTGCGCTGTAGAGAAGTGTGCGCAGGCCATCCCAGAGACCAAAGAGTCCGATAATGTAAAAGAGCGAAGCACCGATGATGAAGACATTCTTTTGCCACGGCTGGCTGTCGGGGATGCGCTTCAGCACAGCGGCCAGTGGATAGGAGAGTAGGAAGGAGCCGATCAGCTTGACTATAGTTCAGGTTAAAAGCTGCACACGGTTTTTGTCATCAATGAGAACCACGTACGCTCATCCACCGAGGCGCCTGTGAGCTGCGCAGGCATCTCGAATACTGCGGAGAGAGGTCAGTTCCAGCTGTCTTGGGGGAGCTCTATAGCTCTTCAATTCAATGAGAGGAACACATACAGCTGTCTATGAAGGACAACATGATGTCGACCCAAGTAAAATACGTGAAGCCGTATCTTAGGATGCGTTCATGGGTAGCAAGAAAAAAGAAGGAAGAGAAGAATACAAGAAAACAAGGTCAAGGGATCAAGTTGGAAATTGTCATGTGGGACACGGATACGCCCAACATTCAACAACTTAATCACTTCTCCACTTCCCCCTACGGCAACGGTAACAACCTCACCCGTTGTGATCCCACTTTCCTAAAGCTCTAGAGCGCTTCGCCGATCTTCGAACTCCTTTCTTATTTTGTTGCCCCGCGCGCCCGGCGCATTCTCCCCACCATGGATGTTGTCGCAGCCGTCTCGGGCTACATCTCCAAGATGGTGACGGCTGGCGAGTCAACCTCGGGGTCTTCATCTGCCAAGATGAAGATCTTGCTTCTCGATAGTGAGACAGTGGGCACAATGCAATGAACTAGCTTATTTGATCGAGGATTACTGACTTCCTTGGCTATAGGTCCCCATTGTCTCGACCGCCATCACCCAATCCGCCCTCCTCAATCACGAAGTCTACCTCATTGATCGCTTAGACAATGCCGCGCGCGAGAAGATGCGACATCTGCGATGTCTGGTTTTTGTGCGCCCTTCCCCAAGCTCCATTCAGCTCCTTGTTGATGAACTTCGAGACCCCAAATACGGCGAATATTACATCCACCTGAGCAACATAATCCGCAAGTCATCCCTCGAGCGCCTTGCCGAGGCCGATAGCCACGAGGTTGTTCAGTCGGTGCAAGAACAATTTGCCGACTTTCTGGTGGTCAATCCAGACTTGTGCTCTATGAACCTGGGATTCCCCTTAAGCCGGCTCTGGAGCCACTCACCCGACCTATGGAATCCGGATTCGTTACAAAGAGGCACGGAGGGGGTGCTGGCACTGTTACTGTCCTTGAAAAAGAACCCATTGATCCGCTACGAGAAGAACAGTTTGATGGCGCGCAAACTAGCAACAGAGGTTCGGTACCACCTCACGCAGGAAGAGCAATTGTTCAACTTCCGCCGGACGGATACACCGCCAATCCTGCTTATTTTGGATCGCCGCGATGACCCTATCACCCCGTTACTTACGCAATGGACATATCAAGCCATGGTGCATGAGCTGCTTGGCATCCGAAATGGACGAGTGGATCTGCAGGACGTGCCAGAAATCCGACCGGAGCTCAAGGAAATCGTGCTTGCTCAGGACCAAGATCCCTTCTTCAAAAAGAACATGTATCAGAATTTCGGTGACCTCGGCCAGAATATCAAAGAATATGTGGAACAATACCAGACTAAAACGCAGAACAACATGAATATCGAATCGATCACCGACATGAAGCGGTTTGTGGAGGATTATCCGGAATTTCGCAAGCTCTCGGGCAACGTGAGCAAACATGTCACCCTGGTAGGCGAATTAAGTCGCCGTGTGGGCGAGGATAGCTTACTGGATGTGAGTGAGTTGGAGCAAAGCTTGGCTTGCAGTGATAACCACTCCAACGACCTTAAGGTATGTATCGTGTGATCTTACCGGCAGAGCTGTGTTAACCTTACTGTTTACTTCCAGTCCTTGCAACGTATTATTCAATTGCAAAACGTGCCTGCCGAGAATAAGATACGTCTGGTGGCTCTCTATGCGCTTCGCTATGAGAAGCAACCGAATAGTTCCCTGCCAGTCTTGCTTGACTTGCTCGTGACAGCCGGCGACGTCCCCTCTAACAAAGTCAACGTTATTCCCAAGCTTCTTGCGTACCACCACTCTCTGCAAGCACCGCCAGTTGCAGGTGGATTCTCTGATCTTTTCGAATCTACATCATTCTTCTCAGGTGCTCGTGACCGCTTCAAAGGTCTTAAGGGTGTTGAAAATGTCTACACTCAGCATTCACCACGACTGGAGGTGACTCTCCAGAATTTGATTAAAGGCCGCCTAAAGGAGATGCAGTACCCTTTTCTGGAAGGCAGCGGGCACACTCGGGACAAGCCTCAAGATATTATCATCTTCATGGTTGGCGGCACCACCTATGAGGAGGCCAAGATGGTAGCTCAGGTCAATGCCAGCTCTCCTGGTGTCCGTGTTGTCCTAGGCGGCACTATGGTGCACAATAGCACTACTTTCCTGGAAGAGGTCGACGATGCTGTCGGCAGCTGGCCAGAGCCCGGTCCCTCGACGGCTGCAGGACGGCTGCGACGGGAAGTCGGACGTTGAGTGACATATTGGTGCTGGGCATATACTGGCAAACTGCATTATACCGGATTGAAACATCTATTCTCCCAATAGAATTTGTTAAAGAATTTAGCTTTCCATGAAATCTACTAGTATTGATCCATGTAGCGTAATGTGGGTCACACCCCGGACAATGCGGAGACTGAGATTTGACCTTCCCACTTTTGCTTCTTCCATATTCCCTCGCGCCATGGACCAGAATTCCCCGCAAAGGGGAGGTCCTACTTCGCCAGCTGCCTCTCGCGAACCTCGATTACATCTTCCCTCGACGACCGATCCTCCAGGCCCCCAGAACCCCCCAAAACCGCTCGTATGGCTGGTAGGTGGTTACCCTACCCCAACCCCACTTTGGCTCTATGCGCCCAACCTGCAACATCGGATTGAATACAACTGTGAACACGAATGTCAGAACTAAATTGCTTTTGATAATACCAGATCTTCGGTGCGACAGGCCACATGGGCCGCTCGCTCGTCAAGATCGCCCTATCGCGCAACGATCTAGTCTCAGCCGTAGGGCGCACCTATGAAAACAGCCCCGAAGCCATGAAAGAGCTCGAAGACGAACACGAGAACTGCCTCGGCCTACTATGTGACGTACGCGCACGCGAGACCGTCAAACGCGTAATCGACCAAACCATCGCGCGATTCGGACGCATAGACGTGATCGCCAATTGCTCCGGGTACGGCGTGATCGGAGCCTGCGAAGACCAAGACGAATTCGATATCCGCAATCAATTCGAGACAAACTTCACAGGGACATTGAACATGATCCAATTATCTCTCCCGCATTTCCGAGAGCGACGGGCAGGTCGGTATCTCATTTTCAGTTCAACGTCCGGCGCACTTGGAGTGCCGGGGTTGGGACCGTACTGCGCGTCGAAGTACGCCGTCGAAGGTCTGATGGAAAGTATGTTGTATGAGGTGGATAGCTTCAACATCAAGGGGACTCTTGTCGAGCCTGGTCATATGCGACGTGACGATATTGGGGATCTGGTCTCACCTTCATTCATGGCTGCCAATCCCTCCGAACACAACCTCTCCTCGCCGCTGCCTCTGTACGGTCATTTCTTGGTCAAGAAGCCTAGTGAACCCTATAATACTACTACCTCGCCTGCTGCGCATGCCCGGCGCATGCTCATGTGGCTTGGTGATAAGCAGCCTGCTTCTGCGGTGAAAGCGGCCCACCTTGTCTGGGAACTTGGGCACTGTTCTTATCCTCCCTTACGACTGATTCTCGGTACCTACGCAGTCGAAAGTATTCGGGATAGGTTGAAGTGTATCATTGAGGAGATTGAGGATTGGAAACATCTCAGTTTCCCGTTGGGGGAAACGCAGCCTGGGGGTGAAAGATCATCTGCACAGAACGAAGGCAATGACGCTGCCAGCAATGCGGGATGAAGGGTATGCAAATCAATCTTTAGCACGTTAGGCTTGCTGCATGTACCGCTTCCTGCGCCCCTAACTACTCCTACCTATGGGCCATTCTGCCCTATAATGATCGACTAGATACCATACTATTTGAGGCTTGGTCTTGAATGGGTAAGTATCGATTGGGAAACCTAATTTTCTCCAGAAATTGATCCATGAATCAGGTATGAATCTCATTCTTGCGAGATATTGGAGGGAATATTGGATCTGGCACTTGGGAAAGCCACAATCGGACAAATGCCATGACTTACATTTGGTGATCAACTCATGGATAGACAATTATAACGAATGCACGATTCCACACATCTACTACATCGCTCTTCCGATAATGTACTTCATGAACTCGTTATCTTCAAGTATTTTCAAGGTAAAGTACATATGCACCTCGCTGATACTATGTAGAATGTAAAATGTACCCAAAAGAGACATACTACACAATCCACCAGGTTAGACTTGGTGATAGGGGACATGGCATAGACATAAATCATGCAATAGAATCTATGTATATCGTGAAAGAAACAGATAAGAGTTAACAAAGAGGGCATGATCATAGAGAAAAGGATTGCACAAGTGGTATTGACAGGGTTTTATTAGCTGGCATGGATGACACAAGTCTCCATCGCATGCCAAATGCGGCGTCGTCTCACAACGTCTGCTCCGAACGTATCCTTGACGACATCATCATGAGCATTGGAGTCGTCCTCTCGTTTGCTAAGAGAATCAGAAGGCCACAGGATGCGCGCCTCCTCGACACTGGCACCAAACTCGTATTCGCCACGGCTGAGCACCGTCACGCCAATGAAGGCCTTGGTCGACTCGGCACTTGGTAAGATGGGGAGAGACTGTTGGAGCATTCCAGTCCATGCCAGGCGGCGTGTGAGGTCCAGAGCGACATTATTTGGTTGGTGTCGCAAGCTAGGCTGAAGGCGGAGAAGTGGGTGAATAGGACGTGAAGACCGATTGCGGATAGTGACGGCCAGGGTAAGGAGATCGTCTGCTTCGGCTCGAAATCGTGAGCGACCGGTCTGAGTGACCTTCTGTGAAGATTTAGGGCTGGTTGGTTCGGAGGGCGAAGAGAGGGAAAATGTTATGTCGACGTCCTCAAGACGCATGGCTTCCACCATTCGAGCATTGAGGCGGATGTTCCGAAGGTCAATGGTGCCCTCACGACCTGTAGAGGCCTCCTTCCAGTGTCCGGTCATTCTCTTCAGTAGCTCTTCTCGGAACCAGAAAGCTTCGCGAGAGGCTGCCTCAGCTTCGAAGGATAGTTTGTTGACGCTGACCACGAATTGTCTTCGAGTGCCAGTGTTGACGACGGGAATAGAGGCATGGGGGTTGTCTAGATAGACACGCGGGAGTACGAGGACAAATCGGGAGGTTTGGCCAGGCTGAAGATGTCCATCGACGGTATACTGGCCAGTGTGAATATCCTTTGACAAAGCGGAATGCTCGCCAACTCGCAACCACACAGAAACAGGACTTGGCCATGCATTTCGCAGATCAAGCAAGACAACACAGTGATCTGGACCGTAGGCTCCATTTCCAAGACGGGCAAGAACCTGAGAAAATGGATCATGATCGCTGGCAGATAACGGTGAATCTTCTTGTTGAACTGGGTCCGACGGGGGTTCGAGGTGATTTCGCCATGCAAAATCACCACTGAAGGGCAAGATATCACAGCGAGCCACTTCTACGCTGGCATTTACCGTGACGGTCAGCGGCACAAACAATTGCCTAGTGTAAAAGATATCAGGCAAATCAGCCTGTTTGGCCCCAACGAACGAATAGTCGATTTGAACAGTGGTATCCTGTAGGCCAGGCTTGCCCAGCACATCGACCGTGAAAGTTGCCTTCTGGCCGGCCGCGATAGAGCAGTCTTCAGAGTTAGAACCCTCACGGCGCCATCGCAGGGCTGGCTGAGTTGTCAACTTCAGCTCCAGTTCGTAAATTTCCACCGGCAAGAGATCTCTGTTCTTAAGAGCTGATTGAAGTTGCCGGGTAGTCGAGTCTTGGAAGGTGAACAAAACAAAGTCCACGGGGCAAGAAGAGGTATTTTGAAGGGTAATGGTGAATGACTTGATCTCCCCTTCTAGAACCATCATCGCGGACTGTGAGAGTGACATTGATTCGATCAAAAGTGATGGCTGTTTGCCGATGACCTTAACCTCACATGTTGCTGCCTCGGGACCCTTCTTGACTGACGTTTTTCCATCTTTAGAAGTTTCTGAAGCCCAGGACACCGGACGCTCTGACAGGGGCTTTTTCGAAGACAGCCCTGTCCTTTTGAACTTGACATCGGTTTCAGGCTTCCAGAATTCTTTAAATATGGGGAATCTTCGCATTCGGCAATTCCGCGCTTTCACGATGCAACCAGTGATGGTGAGTTTTCCTTCCTCGCGAGCGGTGCCCAGGACGATGATATCTTGCAGGCAAAATGGAGGAAGAATGATGTTCTCTGCCACGGCCACAAAGTCCACGCCTGTACTCTCTAGTTGCAAGTGCTCGATCTCAACTTCAAATTCGTAGGGATTTTGGAGAGTTACCCGGAACGAAGCGGGCTCATCTGTCACACTAAGCATTTCCAAGGCTTTGCTGCTAGGTTTCGCGAAGGGGTTGTATAGGAAAGGATCCTTTTTCGATTTCTCTGATCCAGCGGTAACAGCGTGCAACTCTGATTTGGACCGCCGGACAGGTCTCCTAGGATCCGGCAGTGCTAATAGCTGGACGTCGCGTACGAGGAAGTCATCCCAGTACTCTGCTGTCATATGAGATGCACCTAGCCTGTTTGCAGCGCCAACGGTGCGTTTGATATTGTTCAAGAGACGGACTTGCTCTTCTCGGGGAAGATATGGTGGCATCTGATTTGTCTCTCCTATCATCAAATCCCCTCGAATTGTTTGCAGAAGCTCGACTGTGAAACGAAGTACACCTTCAAAGTCGGGCAAGGCTTCACAGCAGTTGATGCATGCTTTGAGAACATCAATCTTGAGATTGAGATCGCCATATCTATCAAGAACCACATGTCGGAAAGATCGCTCTGCAATGCCAGCAACCGATTCATAGTCAGGACATCCTTCTGATCCGCCAAGTGCGGATGCTTGGCTCTGTCGCTTCTCCCACTCATAGTATGCCGAGGGCTGGACGCCATATATCTCGCCTATGGTGGCCAGAAGAAGACGTACACTCTTTTCCATATTTCCTGGGCCAATATCAAGGGCATTCACATCAAAAGTGGTATCGCTAAGAGATGCTAATCCCGCAGCTGGATGGATTCCAACCTCTGCGGCGCCAATTTTCCGTGCCTGTACCAGACTGGGTACCATCACAGTAAGAAGCTCGCGCATGATAAAAGCTTTCTTTCGAGGCAAATCAAGGGCATTGAGAACAGACACCACGCCCACGACAATGGGGACCACATCGGTGGCAGGCAAGTCGGCACTGGGTGCAAGCGGTAGAGCTCGGTACAAGAAGTTTGCAAGCTCAGATTTGCGAAGCAGAACTGTTCCACGTGGAAGTTCTGGTTGAAGTATAGGTACTAGGGGCTCGTTCATGACGATATGTTTCAAGGCGTTGTCGTCCAACGCACCATCGCGGACCCGAGCTGATACCAAGAGTCTCGATAACCGAATGACTGTCTCAGAGAAGACCAATTGTGGAAGAGGTTCATCTGTTATGTGGGCGGCTCGATTGTATAGATTGAGAATGTTGTTTGCAAGATCGGGTAACAAATTCGCAAGATTCTGGAGAGAGATAATGCGGTTTCCAGCTGTAGGAGCAGAAACCGAATCTCGATGCGACTTTGAAGATTTGTCGGCAACAGGGTAGAGAACCGAGGGAATCTATATTGCAAGTTAGGGATCTTCGTAATGTCTACTTGATTGTGGCATGTATACACATACCTGGAAATCCATGCCTGCCCACCCAAGCATTACGAGGCAAAGAAGAATGGACTCCAGCGCTTTACCGTGCCAGATATAATCGCTGCCTGCGCGTGCATTGTTCGTAGCTTCAACCAACTCTTTCAAGGCATCATGCCATCTTCCTGCCTGCAGGAAAAGAGTTCCAATGACGACTCCAGCTCGTCCCTTAATACGATTCTTTGTTCTGTCAGTCGCACTCACTCCGCTAACTGACATGCGCTCACGACTATGCTCTTTAGGCGAAGCTACTGAGGGGCTCTTGCTGCCAGAATGTGTGCGATTAATGTGAATCGAGCGAGTAATCTCATCAAACGTCGTGGCGGTTTCAGAATTGGGCGTTTGTGCACCCGAGTCGGACAATGGGGTGTCTGGTGTACCATTCGGATTGGATGGCATTTGTGCAGGCAGGGTCATCCGGTGTAGCAGTCGGTCGACCGGTCGGGGACGTAGCTCTGGATTGCGGGACGGCCCCCATGAAGATGTTCGAGGTGATTCGATCGTCGGGATGGCTTGGATAGTTTTCGCAAACTCGTCCAGCTCCGAAAGCAAGACCGAGGTTATGTCGCACAAAACCGTTTTCATTGTAGTAGCCTTCGAAGCCTCGGGACGAGGTACCCAAAGTACGTTATCCGGGCCATTTGTGAGTTTCTCTAAGCCATCATAGTCAAAGACCAGAAGCTGGTTCACGAGTGCTCGTGGGCTCCTCTCCTTCACTGCATCGAGCTCTTCCAATAGCTGATCAAGCTCCTCCGGCGTGGGATGCTGTTTCTTCGATTCTGGGCTCTGGGAAAGCTCGGTACCATCTGCAATCGCAATGATCACCAAAGGCTCTCTGTATATCTCAAAGGGAAATAGCTCGAGGTGCGACGTGGGGGGAACCGAGAAGGACAGGTCGTATAGGATCAACCCTGTAGGAAATGCAAGCGGGGAAAACATATCTGTAGAAGACGGTCAGTTCTTCATTCATGTCATTTCGTATTTCGCAATCTCCTTGCACGAGAGCATGGTTATTGCATACTTCGATTTGGTCGACCATCGGGACTAATGTCCCCTAACCGTACGACATTTTCAGCTTGAAGCCTAGCTGCGAAACTCAAGAAGCGGGATCGCTTAATCCTTCCAATTGGTAGTAAAAGTGCCCTCAAGCGCACTGGCGCAATTGGAGACAATGGGTCGACCCCCATGCTGTCATTTGAGAGAGACCGGAGTACTGGCGGTGGGAGATGTTAGGCCCGCATCCACAATACTTCGACTCTAGACCTTGTTTTCTTTGGAGAGAGCAGTTGTAGAGAAGATGTAAAAGCGAGTGTAAGCTGTGGCACCAGAGCCCACTGCTAAACTCATAAAAAACCAAGCTCAAACCACGTAGATCAATTGCCCACCTGCGCATGGTGCTCCTGAAGCCGCGATGGAAACACTGATGACATAATCATCGGCTGATCTAATCGGCTGATAAGGGGCGATAAGGCGATGCCACCTCCGCGGTCCGATTCCTGGTGATCACAGTCCTTATTTTGCTGACCAACTACACACTCGGTCGTTTCCTTTTTCTTTTAGTTTCTTCTTCCTTCTGTCTACTTCAGCATTAGAAGCTCGTTTCTGTTTATATCCTTTCAGCGCCTGTATTGCCCATGCAATACATGAATATGAGATAGGCTTCCTCATTGATCTCCATGTTTGGACTGCTTTAGATTTATACAGACAACAATATGGCTTTGAATATCGATTTCAACGCGCTGAAGGCCCGGACCATGGGGTCCGGTGCCGACGAGGAAGCAGTCACAGTCGATACTCGAGGCCTGATCTCCAAAGTTTTAGCTCGGTACTCGGGGAAGTGGTAAGTTGTTTCTTGGGTCATACATTGGCTATTATTTGCACTCATGAATATCGCGTTACTCAGGACTGTTCTTCGAGAGATGATTCAAAATGCCGCCGATGCCTCCGCAACTAAAGTGACGATCAAGTTCGAGACGCTCCCCTCTACAACAATCCCGTCACCGTCATCAACCGACCCAACGGAGCAAATAAAGCACACTATCGCCAACCATACCCTCCGGCGTCTATTAATCTCAAACAATGGTCTACCTTTCAGCGAAAAGGACTGGGCCCGGTTGAAACGTATCGCAGATGGAAATCCCGACGAAACAAAGATTGGAGCATTTGGTGTGGGCTTCTACAGTGTCTTCGACGACTGTGAGGAGCCATTTGTGTCCTCTGGTAGTCAGGCTATGGCCTTCTACTGGAAAGGCAACGGGCTGTTTACACGACGGTTGGACTTGGGGGAAGCCTCGAGTCAGGATACCACTTTTGTGCTAGACTATCGTAATGATTCCTCTCCTGTTCCACATTTGCTGCAGCTATGCCAATTTTTGGCAAGCAGTTTGACCTTCGTCGCTTTACAAGAGATTGAATTATTATTGGACGATTGGAGCCTCTTACGATTATCGAAAAAGACCGCCCCAGGTGTCAATGTCCCCATTCCCAGAGACATCGAAACGAAGACTGCAGAAGGTCTCATGAAAATTACTGGCATAACCCAAGAAATTGCCCAGGTTGATGCGGCTTGGATGCGAGTTGTGGAGTGGAATCCACATGCCAGCTTGATCAGTCTTGACAATCTTCGAGATACCACCAGTTCTTTACGAAGCTTTTTCTCAAAGTTCACAAGTCAGAGCGGATCTGACAAACCCTCGCACTCTCAAAAGACACAGCAACCTGAGCAATCGGGCAACATGACCTCTTTAGTGAAAGCAACGGTGTTCTTGCATATCAATACTGCATCGATACAGCCTTCGGTCAGCTCGAGTCTGAGCAAAGAACTGGAACGGGCCACTCGGAAACCACCACCTAAAAAGGCTACAATCGCAATTCTGACCCCGTCGTATGACGCCAACGTTGCGACAGGGGCATCAGCATCGCAGTCGGAAATCCTTGCTTCCATTCTGCCTTCGAAGGGAGGACGAGTCTTCATTGGGTTCCCTACTGCGCAGACTACTGGTCTGAACGCCCATGTATCGGCGCCATCCGTCATTCCTACAGTTGAGCGTGAAAGTATTGACCTCAACACTCGGTACATTAGTAAATGGAATATTGAAATGCTGCGAGCTGTTGGAATTGTCTGCCGAATCGCGTGGTCTGCAGAGATGAGTACCATCAAATCCAAATTGGCCGCCAAGGTTGGACCCGCGCGTTCTTCAAAGATTCGCAAAGAAGATATAGTCGACGTTCTTCCCGAAGCAATCCATACCGCAAATCAGTTCGTTTTTCGCGAATCGACACCGTCATCAGTTCTCGGCCAGACTATCGAAGATGCATTCTGGATGTGCAATAAGAGTGCCTCCATCGAGATCCTTTCGACATGTGGCGTAATTCCTAGCCATCAGACACGCATAGCCCCCAAAGATCTCAGCTTCATGGATTCGATCCCCGCCTTACCTGATGACTTTGTCCTCCAAGCCAAAGATTTTGTTCGTAGGCTGACAGAATTTGGATTGGTCACGGAAATCACGGTTTCTGACATCAAACGGGAGCTGGAGGCTAGTACACTAAGGTCTAATCAGATTGTTGAATTCCTGACGTGGCTGGGTCGCAAGTCCGTCGCCGGGCAGCTTGATAGGCTTTCGGTTCAGAGTCTTCTCCGGGTTGCAGTGGCGAACGATGAAGAAGATAAGGATGGGAGCCCTACTCGACTAATCGTCTTTGCCGACATTACCAGCTTCTTGAATCCCCAACGGATTACTACCGATCTGCCTATACCATCAGCAGTGATGCCTTTCCGTTTCACTAAATGTCTGGGTAAACAGGAACTTGAAGCGTTGGGGTGGGCCGAATTGCAACTTGTACCTTGGCTCCGCTGGCTAGTGATCAATGCGGGAGATCGCAGCCTATTGTCCGCAGAGCAAGACATCACACAAAGTGCCTCGTTTGCTGGACAGGTCCTTCCTCTCTTGTCCAAGCAGTGGGAAACCCTAGGCCAGTCATCCAAGCAGACCGTGATTAATACACTTCAACCTCAAACTGTGATTCCGACTAGACTTGGAATGAAGCAACCCGAGCAAACTTACTTTGCCTCCGTGCGCCTGTTTGATGATCTCCCGGTTGTACATGGCTTAAATGGCGTCAAGGAAAAGTTACTAGTATCGCTTGGAGTTCGGAAGACCGTTGAGCTGGGAGTTATCTTTGATCGTCTCATCAATGATCCCCCACCCTCCGGCGATGTTAAAGGTTCCGCAATGCGGAAATGGAGTCATGTGGATTTGATTCGATACCTCACGTCTGTTCGGGAAGACATCCCTTCAAACGACATCCAGAGACTCAAAGATACAAGCATTTGCACTGCGGAGATCAGGGACGATGCACACGCTGCGTCCGGTACTCGCTACAAAATATCCGAGCTATATGAACCCAAAGACTCCCTCCGGGCTCTGGGGCTCCCCATTATTGAGTGGCCAGGGATTTACAATAATGCCAGCAACGAAGGGAAATTTCTCTCAATGATGGGCTTGAAGCGACACCCAACGGGAGCTGAGCTCGTGCGCCTAATGATCAGTAGTGATGCAGAGAAGAACAGTACCCGCAAGACCAAGGCCTTGTCGTACTTCCTCAACGAGTACCATACCAACGGTTATGACGCTTTCGATATCAATGCAGTCACGGTCCCCTTTCTGCCTATTGAAGGTTCAGAGATTCTCGCTGCGCCAAAGAAGTGTTTTACAGACGAGGGTGCCGCTTTGTTTGGCTTTCATATCCTTCGACAACAGCTTCATCCCCATGCTTCTAAGCTGGGCGTCAAGCCCCATCCTCCTATGACAGAATGTCTTCAGACCCTGATTCGTCAACCTCCGGCGACTTCAAAAGAGGCCAGAGTGGTTTTCAAATACCTGGCTAGTAGAGCATCTGATATAAGCCCCCAGGATGTCGAGCGAGTTGGTTCATCTCTAATAATCCCCATTGCGGTGAAGGGTCAATCGGAGAAGGGCTCTCGAACCCGCTTTGTCGCCCCTAAGCTCTGCTATCTTGGTGATGGAGAAGACTACAAGGATATCTTTGACTTCGTGGATTTTGGACGGGAGGCCAATTTCTTCCTCTTGGCCGTTGGCTCCAGGCGAGAGCCGACGAAGATCGAGATTGCACGAATGCTTGTGAAAGAACCTGCTCGGATTTCATCCTCATTTCAAAGCTCCGAGAAATACCTCATGCTCCTGAGAACTCTTGCAGAGAACCTTTCCCTTCTCAAGAAAGACAAAGACTTGTTTAATGACATGAGAAGAGCAAAATTCTTGCTAGCTAGCCGTGATATCCCTCCTCAATCTGCCGACAAAAATGGTAAGGGAACTTCGACTGAAAAGGAGACCCCTGATCCGGAAGAAGATCTAGATATCCGAGAATGGGATCTTTCAGCTGCGAGAGACATTGTTGTTGTGGACGATTTCCAGAGCTTCAATCTTTTCAAAGAGCATATACTTGCTGCACCCCAAGAAGAAACGTTAGAAAACTTTTATGTGGCTCTCGGCGCCCTTCCCCTTAGCAAGCTTGTCGAAGAGCAAGCCCGATTCGGAGGTATTGCGGTCGACCAAACCCCAGCCGTGCAATTACACAAGATGATCCTTGAGCGGGTACGGCTTTTCTTGCATGACCAACCGGCAGATGCCATTCAACATGGAGCGCGATGGTTAGAGCATGATTTCAGCGTTCAGGTAGTCACCTCCATTACCCTTACCCGATCCCTGAAAGGCAGACGAGTGTCTCATACTCAGAAACGGAAAGCCATCATGGCCCGCCTGTCTAACAACTGGGGCTTGTGCATCTGTCCAGGCAAATTGGATCTGTATGAGATCAGTCAGTCTCTTGTTCACTTGATTCTCAAACGACCGAAGCTTCATTCTACCCTAACTCTGGAGATGCTGTTGAAGACGGACCTACTAGAGCTTCGTGCTCGGGGCTATAATGTTGAGCGTATTCTTAGACAGAAAGCCCACGAGGCTCGAATGGCAAGTGACAAACGACAGAAGCAGTTAGAGGAAGAGAGACAGGCCTTGCAAGAGAGAGAAGCTGCGTGGGCGGCTGAGCAAGCCCAACGGGCAAAGGAGGAAAGGCCGGAGCCTCAGTCACAAGTCACTATGCCGGGTGTTTTCCCTGAGTCACCGAATAGCAAACCGTCTGCCGAAGAAAGGCAGATTGCGCCTTCTGAGCCCACGATGCCAGAACGGGCTCCTCGTGGGCTGTTTGCTAATCTCACCAAACGGTTTGGTCTGGACGGGCGTCCAGGATCAACGTCCCATCCCGAGCAGTCCCAAACATTACTCCCTGAATCAACCACTAATACTCCTCCGCCTCCACCATATTCATCCACGGATCCTCAGAAGCCGCGCCCAGAACAGCCCGTTTCCGTTGATTCTCCGCATCGGATGCAGCAAGAGCTTCTCTCCGCCGTGCAGGCTTGTCGCCCGCATGGATCGTCGAATGTCTTTAGCCGACCAGAGACTAACCAAATCTCGGCAAGTCAATCCTACTGTGATGAGCGACCAGGTCATGATCTAGAGTTTGTGGCAACACTGCCCAGTGGTATCAATGTCTTATTTACCAAGACAATCACCGAGCGGTCTGCATTCCTAGCGAAAAATCGTACAAGCATCAACATGTTTGCATCGATCATTCTTGACTCCGGTTCAATCTTTTCAATGCGTGCGGATAGCTTGAGCATCTTCTACGACCCAGGTGGCAAGACTATCGCATTCAATCGGGCAGGCAGCATCTTCTGTAACTACTTCTATTTTCAGAAGCTGCAGGAGCAAACGCTGCTTCAGAGTCCCTCGTCCGATCGTACCGATGCCATTGTGTATTGGTGGGTGGTTCTATGTCACGAACTGGCACATAACCTTGTGGCAGACCACAGCTCTGCGCACAGCTACTATACCGAAGGATTTGTGGCCCAGTATTTCCCCAAGGTGGCCGCGAAGCTCGCCACACTCCAGCCTGCGCCAGGGCCCTAATCTGTTGTCTATCTTTCATTTTCGTACTCGAATATCCCATGTTGCTATGCTTGTAAATCTCTCCCTAATTTCCATAAAGATGATAGTGGCGTGTTCCAAACTTCTCCGGCGGTACCCGCTTTTTGCCTGCACCTGCCCAACCTTAAAATTTTTTCCCTTTATTGCCGCTCGGAACAATACATTGTTAGCTTCATATTTCTATTGCAAATTATCCGCGCTTTTGAGTCAGGCCATGGGCCGTTAAAAGCTAATATCTCGTCTGCATCGTCTTCCGCGGGAAACACGATTGGTGTCGGTCTTGATAAGCTCTATCCGCCACTTTCAATCGAGACATGATAGACTTGGACCCCTAAAATCATTGTCTGTGGCATAGCGCATACCGTAAGACGGAGTTTCCTCTCGGCATTACTCGGTGGACCCTTGTTATCGTCAAGCTGTCAGCCTGCACTATATCAATTGTCACCCCGCAGTCAGTCTGTCCATCCCACCATGGCGCCCTTACTAGGCGATTGGGATGGGTCAACCCCGTCAACCACTCCAAATGGCCCATCCAAAAGCGTCTTGTATGTTGATGCATACGACTCATTCTCATATAATGTTGTTTCGATGCTAGAAGAGACACTAGGGGTGAAAGTCACCGTGATGACTATTGACTCCGAATGGCCCGATGGCAATATGCACGAATTTCTTCGTCATTATGAGGCCATCGTCCTAGGACCAGGTCCGGGAAACCCCAACCTGCCAAAAGATGTCGGGATCATGAGAGACATCTGGAATCTTCAAGATGCCGAACTGCTTCCGATCTTCGGCATCTGCCTGGGTTTCCAGAGTCTATGCTTACATCACGGAGTTCCGGTTGAACGCCTTCCATATCCACTGCATGGCCAGGTGCATCGCATTTCAACAAGCTCTAGCGATATCTTCCGCGGTCTTTCCGACATAGAGGTGACCTTGTATCACTCCCTCTATGCCAACCTCGATGCGTTGAGTCATTCTCAAGTTTCGTCCGTCGACGAGTTAGACTTTTTAGCCTGGTTTTCCCTTGAGAATGAGTCGGTTCGGAGAAAAAGAATCCCAATGGCGGTTCGTCATCGGCAAAAGCCCTTTTGGGGAGTTCAGTTCCACCCGGAGTCTTGCAAATCAGAAAAGGAGGCTTGCAAACAGCTACTCCAAAACTGGTGGGCAATGGCCCTCTCATTCAACAAACTTATTGGTCGTGAAGCATATGCTGCTTTGCCCGAAACTATTATCACTCCCCATGATGAAACGAGCACATTCCCTGATATCGCGTATGATATGTTGAGATGGAGCTCTTCGACTTCACCGGCCTCGGCGCATCGGTCTCTTCAGCGAGGAGATTGGACCGCAGAGACTATTAGTGAGGCATTTAACAAGCCAGGATATCCGACAGTGGTCTTCCAATCAGACAATCGATTTAGCATTGTCTCGATACCCAGTCCTGGCTCTTGGCGACTAGAATACAGTGTGGAGGAGCAAAAGTTAACTCTGTATCAATTATCTGGTGATTGCCAAATACTTGAAAAGAGTCTAACTGTGGCTCAGCTTTGGGATGCCCTCCGATACTTGATGGATATGAAGAAGGTCAGCTCTGGTAGTATCGACAGTCCCTTCTGGGGTGGATTCTTGGGTTACTTCTCGTACGAATTGGGTCTCTCGTGTCTTCCTCATCCTAAGGAATCAGCACAAACATCTACTTATTGTGATCCTGCGGTAGAAAATTCATCTTCCGGCCCGCATGTGGAAGACCCTCCGGATGTCAGTCTGTTGTGGTGTGAAAGGAGTATTGTCGTTGACAATAAAACTGGCAATGTCGTCGCACAATCTACCCGCGCGTCAGACGAGTTCGCGGGCAGTTGGCTTGACGAGACATTGCAGCTACTCAAGGGACAATCTCAAAGAGTGAAAAGTACCGAGAAGTCCGACCTCGAGTTTTTGGATTCTATTCTCCGTCATGGTGTCATATCGTTCCCCGAAGAAATGGATTACAAAGAGCGGATCGCAGCCTGCGATGCCGAGTTGGAGGCAGGTGAATCCTACGAACTATGTCTCACAGCCGAGACATCAATCACTCTGCCAGTTCCAGCAGCTGAATCCGACCGCGCTGTATTCCCTTGGAAATTATACAGGCGACTGAAGAAGTACAACCCTGCTAGATACAGTGGGTTCGCAAACTTAGGCTTGGTCAAAATTGTCAGCAGCAGCCCGGAATGTTTTCTCGACTGGGATCGCAAGTCTACTCTTGAAATGAAGCCCATGAAAGGCACGGTCCGAAAAACACTCGATATGACCCTTGCCCAGGCTAAGGAAATTTTATCCTCAACGAAGGAAATGGCCGAGAACCTCATGATTGCCGATTTAATTCGACACGATCTATATGGTATCTGTGGTCCTGGTGGTGTGCATGTTGAGAAGTTGCTTGAAGTCGAAGACTATGGCCACGTCTACTCCATGATCACACACGTCAAGGGCAAAATTCGCCCTGATCAGCCAGGGTATTCAGTTCGCCACATTCCCCAGTTCAAGTCCACCAACATGGCCATTCATGGCCTCACGACTTTGCAGCGTTGCCTGCCCCCAGGTTCCATGACCGGTGCGCCTAAGGAGCGCTCATGCATGCACCTTAAAACCATTGAAGGACGCAAGCGTGGAATCTATTCCGGCGTCATGGGCTACCTTGATCTGGGTGGCGGTGGCAGCTTTGCGGTCATGATTCGAATGGCCTTCACCTGCTCTACTGATCAAGAAAAAGAGCAGATTTGGCGAATCGGTGCTGGTGGTGCCATCACAACTCTTAGCACGCCCGAGGGTGAATGGCAGGAAATGCTGACCAAGCTGCGTACTGTCGGCAACATTTTTGCTCCATTCGATAGCCAGTGAGGATAGTATCTTGCTCTGATCGGTTTCGATCATGCCTGGTTCTTTCTTTGTTCATATCAACTTGATTGCGGACCACATTCAACGTGTCTTCAACATCCGCATCTATACTTTATCATTTGGGGGCTGGTTTCTCATTTCCAAAATTCAACATAGAGCGCTGGAGCTGGGGCGTCTGCTTGAATCTATTTCTTTTTTCCAATATTGTGTCTATGTATCCTCCTGTATTTATCCGCTGTGGTCTATAAAGGTACAGAGGCAGTATAGAGCTAATGCAAACAAGTAAAACATCTCAGGATAGCTCCGCGTATCTAATCTCTTCTAATCTCTGGATCTTTCCCACCGTCAATTCCTTTCCCTGCACTCTTTCCCCCAATTCAGAGGGTTCCTGAACTTTTCCTATCTGTGTTTTGGAATTTAATTGGACCCCTCCGTGCCCGGCATGGCCAGCCAAGATACCTCAATGGAGGAAATCCTCTGGCGGTCTCCCCCGCACGTCCAGATGATGGGGGGTTTCATTCACTCCAACAATAGTATGGTTATTGCTCACATGAAGCTCCCAATGAAGCTACTAACGTATTGGGTGTAATTAGTTCTTTTTTACTTTGCCGAATCACCTTTCTTTGACCCAACCTCCAACAATGCATCCCTCGCCATCCAAGCCAGCTACAACGAAGCCTTCCGCCACTTCGTCGAGACACGCGAAGCCTTCGAAGCCCGGCTTAAAACCATGTCCGGTCTAGAATTTATTGTCGCATATGATCCTTTGCAAGCGGCCGCACAGTCTGATACGCGCTTCGCTCACGAGCCGTCCAATGTATGGGTCATTCGAAAGCAGAACCGGCGGAAGCGAACTGGTATGGACGATGAGGTATCCGTGATCTCGACCTACTTCCTTGTCGGCGATTGTATCTACATGGCACCATCGGTTGCTAGCGTGGTGGGAAACAGAATTGTAGGTTCCACGTTCTGCTACTGCGAACTTTTGCACGCAAAACCCTACTAATCCTTCACTTTCCTATTTCCAGCTTTCTGCCGTTACATCTTTATCACGACTCATGAAGACCGCTTCCACCCTTCCGACCTTCACCCCATCTTATGGACACACATACCTTCCACCCATGGCCCGGGCGACCACCGAGACCGGCGCACAAGCGTCACAGCAAAGCAAAGAAAACACGCCTATGCCGGATGCTGCGCCGCCTTCTACTGCCGACACACAAGCAACAAGTAGAGCTGGACTGGGGATATCGAATACTAACTCCAGCTTTCAAGATACTCGGAGTCTTGCCGAGTCCTTCAGCTTATTTACTCAATATGGCGACGAGTTCATGGATGAAACCCCGCTGGTTGGTGAACCAGGCTCATTCATCATGTCACGAGTCGGCGGTGAAAATGATCGCGCAGCCAAGACTGCAGCTGCATCCAAGGCATCACTTGGTGTAACCACCAGCACACCCGGGGCTGGCCGAGTCTCAACCCCGCAGGTCCGGGTCGATACGCCTGGGAAAGCATCGGAGAAGAGTAATTCGCCACCTAGCTCGGGTGAGAACAAAAGCAAGCGGAAGAAGAACCGGGTTGCGAGCTAATTTTCTTTTTTATGATACCCCTCGCATGGTGGGCAATCTGGGCGTTTTCTTGGTAGATTGGCATAGCCACGAAATACACGGTGCATCCACGCATAGTCCAGCTTGGTTACACATTCATTTCCATTGGAGTTTCCATGTGTTTTTTCTCATTACGATTGCTTCATTGTAAATACCAATCGGTGTGTACTGCGGTACATGAACTATGCTATTCGGGTATTTTGTTTCCAGAGACTGGATATCGAAGCAAGCTCTTTATATAGTCGTTGTTAAACTATAAGCTTAATCGTCTTACTCCGGGGTAGTTCATTCGCGAGGCAGGGGTATACATTGGACGGATTGGAGATTGGAGATTGGAGATCCCCGCGGGGTCTCACCAAGCAACTTACCAGTCATGGTGATCACTTATGAGTCAGAGAGAGCCCAGCAAAATGAGACTTACCCAATAAACAAAGAGAAAGAAACAATAGTACCGAATCAAAGAGGAGACAAAAGCAACGAACGGGCAATTGTAACCAATAGAATGGCCAACGTGAGAGGTGGTATCTTATCGTGGTGGAACCGGTTTCTAGTTGCAGTTCCAACAAGTACTTCCGCTCTCCTCTCTTCCATTCCAAAGGACTCTTCTTTCTGAACTCGTGCTACCTCGATAATACCACTATAACTATATACTCGAGCCTTTCATCCCATCCGATATGGCTCCTAACAAGCAAGCTGTTATCTGTGTCTTGTGAGTCACCCCTCCCCCTCACCAACTCGACTCCTCACCAAATCTCCCCCTCATTCAAGAGAACTACGTACCAGATAGAAACACCAGAACAGAAACACTATGAAAAGCAGCCTTACTAACACATACCTTCCTATAGCTGTGGCGCGACAGCAGGCAAAGACCCAATTCACTTCGAAGCAGCCCGAATCCTCGCCCAGGAATTCCACAAGCACAATGTCCAACTAGTCTACGGTGGCGGTACAACAGGATTAATGGGCGAGATCGCCCGCACCCTAGTCTCCCTCTCAGGCCCCAAAGCCGTCCACGGTGTGATCCCACGCGCGCTCGTCCGAGTCTCCACAAAGAGCAATGGCAACGGCGAGGCCACACCGAACGGCGAGAGCGCCAACGGTGGTGGCAAAGATGCTGAGCGGGTAGTCTCGGAGTCGCTGGATTCTGAAGGGATTCCGGAGTCAGAGTACGGAATTACCACGATCGTACCGGACATGCACACTCGCAAGCGGTTGATGGCGACTAAGGTGCTGGAGGGAGGGCCTGGGTCTGGATTTGTGTCATTGGCTGGTGGATTCGGAACGATCGAAGAAGTGATGGAGATGACTACGTGGAATCAGCTTGGAATCCACAAGGTCGGTGTTGTTTTACTGAATATCAATGGGTACTGGGATGGAGTGCTCGCTTGGGTAAAGAACGCGGTGGAGCAGGGCTTCATCAGTCCCGAGAATGGAAGGATTCTTGCTCAAACATCCGATCCCAAGGAGGTTTGGGACAAGCTTTTGGAATACCAGGTTAGCAGTGAGCGGATGCAGTTGAACTGGGGTGAAGAGTGATTTCGTTCTTGTTTCTACTCTTGTTGATCTTCTCCTTGAGCGTTATTGATTCGAATTGAGGATATAGGCGGAGCTTGGGGTTGACGTGATATTCTCGGGATTATTGTTTTTTAAGGGACATGATACCCAGGATATATCCGGTAGATCATTATAGAAATGAGACTCATGATTCCACAGGGAAAATGAAAAAAATGTAAAAGGTGCATAGAGGCCACAGCATCAGGCAAGAGTATTCATGTCTATGCGCATCATTAAACATCACAGAAAAATTATGAATCAACCTCCATAGACTCGCCCTCCCCAGCACCGGCTGATTCGGACTGCTCTAGCGCCTCCAAGAGAGGCACAGTCTCCTGACCCTCGTACAGCTTGAAGCTCTCGATCCGGCCCTTAGCACCCTCAGCAGCCATACCAACCACACCCACAGAGGTATTATCCACGGTAAGCTCCTTATCCTGAGACAGAGTCTCCTTGAGGGCACGCAGACCGTGCGTAATCAATTCATCCCGGCTGCAGTCCATAAACTTATCCAGATTCCGCTCCAAGTATGTCCGCGCCATCTGCGAGCGAGCACCAATAGCACAAGCGGACATCTCATGGGTCAAACCGGAGGGCTGGAACTCGAACAGGTGCGGGCCAGCCTCGTCAACACCACCAACCAGCAGGCCAACACCGTAAGGTCGCTTTCCGTAATGCTGAGTGTTGGTTTGGGCGCGGTCTCCGATCTGTCCAACGATACGGTCCAGCGGGATTGGGCGGCCGTAGGTCATCTTGGAACCGAGCGATTGCTGCTTCATGAAGTTGGAGAGGACGCGGGCGTCTGATGCCAGGCCGGCGATGGCAATGGCCATGTGCGAGTCGATCTCGATGATCTTCTTCTGATAAGAGGAGAGCTCTTCGGCATTTCGCTGTTATTGTGGTAAAAGTGTCTTGGTCAGTCCATCGTCAAGCTTGCGACGTAGGGTTGGAGTGGCTGGAGCGAACCTTCAGGCCGACCAGCACGCAATGTGTCTTGTTCACCAATCCCACCACCACTGATCCTTGCTTCACTGCTTCTTGTGCATATTCCACCTGAAATATCCGACCTTGCGGGGAGCTTTTGTCACCGAGTTAGTACTAGTGGATGCAAGTTGTAGCTGACCGGGGAGGGACATCTTACAAGGTGACAGCGTCGTTGTCGTAGTTGTTTCGGAACATGGTGAAAAGAAAGAATCAATATGATGGAATCAGTAAGAAATGATCAGTCTTGATAGGGCAAGACAAGAAAGATACAATCAAAAAGACAAGGGAAAGTAGCTGGGGCAGATGGGGAAGCTGAAGCAGGCAGTTAAGGTGACGCGGTGTGAGAGCTCGCGGCGCCTGAGGCACCAACGTCCAGTGACCTTCAGGCCCCAACGTCACTCATTCCTCCAACAGCTCCTCCTTCCCCTCGATCTCTATGGCGCTATCCCTCCACACCTGCTGAGCTGTTTCTTGTCTGATATCTACACAAGTACTCCTGCACTCTCAGCCACAACCCTATTGTCTCGAACCGGCAGGTACGGCTCCGACCTCGCAACCATGGCCGCCGGTATCAAGACCATTATCGCGCTCTCATTTGTACGCAAAGATCACCCCCAATCAATTACCGAGCTGCTTTGGATTGACTTGCTGATTACACATAGGTGCTTGCGATCGGTTTCCTCCTTGTCATTCTTTCCTCCGCCCTCTGGCATAAGTACTGGCCCCTCTTGGTTGTCGCTATCTATGTGATTGCGCCGCTTCCCAATTGGATCTGCTCGCGATGTGCAAACCCGGATGATTTTATGGACAGCTCGTCCAATGCGGCGATGGACTTTGGTCGCTTCATGACCGGCTTCCTCGTCCTGACTGGTATTGGTGAGTGACGCCTTCATGTTATCCCAAAGCATCCACTAGGGTGTGGGCGCATCTCGACCCAGCATTCGATCTCTCTTTCTATCTGAATTTTGATTCATTTTGATCAATTTGTTTTGTTGAAACCAGTCCGTATTGCTAACACGGTATGCTTATAGCGCTTCCCATTGTTCTTGCGCACAGCGGAGAGATTCAGCTCCCGGCCATGATCATGTCGATTCTCGGTGGTCTTTTGATCTACGGAACCATCATCAGCTTCTCGATGTTCTTCCAGGAGCAGGAAGAATTCTGATCCAACGTGCCGGGTTGGGTGCGGGGGTTCCGAGACGAGTTTATTGATCCACGGGAATTCTACGGCGATCCAATTTCCTATGATGATATTTGTTTTGCGCAACTAGTTTGTTTTTGATGTTATGCACGATATACTTCGAATGATTTGCTGGGGAGCGGTCTCAGCGTCGACTGCCATTGCTCGATGGCTCTAGCATTTTCTTGGCTTTGATACTTTTGGTGTATTATATCACGGTGAATATATAGATTCCCAACGGATTGAAAGCAGCCATTTTCTTAATTACCTCCGTACATTTCAAATGCTCTGAACATCGTTTATATGATGTTTGTCCTGCTGACTTCCAAGTGTTTAAATGGAGCACGTGACTACGGGTCTGGACGCGTTCCCCACATCGCGCGCTATTGATGTCAAGGGTTGATCACAGACCTCCGCAAATACAACCAAAAATGGAATTGTAAGATCGGCTGTCATTAGTCTGTCGTGAATATGAATCTCTGGTCGGGGCCCATTGAACTTGGTCCGGGTCACCAGTTGGAAGGTAAGCCTCCCAACGCGCCTCGTTTGCATTTCGCGCTGACCATCAGGGATCCGCTTGGTTGACCCGACTTCCCACTGGCAATGCGACATATCTAAAAACACCAAGCTTGGTCTTCGCAGCTTTGTCAATCCTGCTTTGATTCCTCTCCACGCACGAGCGGGCCCTAATCTCGAGTTACACACTACCAATACACAAACGTCTCAATGGCTACAGCGCAAATTGTCTGGGGCTATCTGGTTAACCGAAGATGAACTGGATCTTCACCAATCACTGCAGTGTCCTGTCGGCCTGCTGGTCAGTGTCGATGGCACTTCATCTAAACGGACTGGTGTCGCTACGTCCGACCTCTTAATCTATGGCGTGTTATCCAACGCAACGTCATGCACTCGACCACCCACTCCCCCACACTCGTCACCAAACGATACCAACGGCCGTGTCAATGCCTCGGCAGGCAAGCCATATCAATTAAGAATATATGCAGCGCCACTCTCAATGTTGCAGCTCACTCAAGCACAAGCCTTCCCGTCTCCCCCGCCAAGTTCTGACGGAGATCGCGTGCCCACACCAGCTGAGTTCCTTCCGGACATCAGTTCACCAAGTCCTAAACGGAAGCGAGTGGCTACACTATTCGAAGTCGCTGCACAGCATCATCGCCGTGTACGACAAAAAGGTGGCGAGGCGGTTTCACAGTTGATGGCACCTTCACGACCCTTATCGTCATCACAGAATCTCCAATTACTCCGAGTCAAGCGCGAGCCCGAAGACGAGACACCAAGTCTTCCAACCCTTGATCGACTGGTCAACGGAAGATCACGTTCAGTATCCATTGGAGCCAATATGCAGCGCCCCGGAAGTACACGCAGTGCTCGCGCAACTCCAGGTATAAGCGCAGATCCTCAAAAGCGCGCACCGACACCAAACCCATTTTTAGACTCCAAATCTCGACGTGTATCGCAGCAAATGCAGCCACAGTCTTTGCCCCCGGTGTCTGCTGAAGATAAAATTCCCTCTGTTCCGGCGTCTCCACCTAAAAACCCGGAATCCATCATCGCCGAAAACAAGAACCTTATCACACGCACTATTTTGACTTGCATGCGACTTTATGGATTCCACCGCTCAAATACGCGTCCTTCGGTTGGCAAGTCGGCTTCTGGGGCAATTGATCCAGAGCCTGAAACTTCGAATGTAATTCCAGCTGCTGAGGGGCTTCGCGCGGAGACCCCTGCTCCTGGTGCATCAGTTGACGACGACGAGTTCAAGAATATGTACCATGCGACCTACAAGGCGGCAGCTTTTGCACTTAGGAAATATTTGAAAGATTCGGCCTTCAGTGGGGGTAACGCGCCGTTATTGTTGGAGAAAGGAAAAGCCATGACATGCATCGATGACATTCTTCGACTTTTCTGCGAGGATTATTGATCCATTTTCGAGCATTTTATGTTATGATTCATGAACTAATGATGCATTTATTGGTTGGGGCTAGGCGTTTTGGAGATGCATATGGGCATATCTGACTTTTTTTGAGGCAAAGTTCAATTTAGTTTCAATCTACAGATGTTGGCTTCAGCATTTTGCTGCTCAACCGCCTTACAAAGCTCTATGTTATGTGATCTATGGAGTAAAAATCTTAGGAAAAGTGGAAGTCATAATCTAGTCCAATTCCATCATGCTACCTAAAGAAGCTCCAGTCAACAACCGGAGATGCGTAAACACCCAAGCAAAATCATAATACCAGCGTGTAAAGTACAAAGAGCCAAGTCGCGAAGCCAATAGGCCGAGTCCATCAAATCACAGAGCGAGGTTGTAAGTATAGTCATCCTCCATGTTCTGTGAAACCCAAAGAACGACAGAGCTATTTTCTATTAGCCAATGATACCGCAAGTATCAACCAAAAAACAAAAGACTCACCTCAGCATGACCAACCCATTCGCTACCACATTGGCAATACCAAAGTAAAGCGTCTGAATAGGGTAATCCTTAATAAGATACTTCAAAACCATGACCGTCTGGATTGAAAAGTTAGCCCGCCTCAATTAAAACCCCAGAGTCCCCCAAAAAGGAAGAGAAGACATACCACACTCCCTGCAAGACCACCTGCCAGCAGCGCAAATCCTAAGAAAAGAACAAAGCGCGCCTTCCAGGCAACCCCGCTCCCACTGTAACTAAAGCTATCGGCCTGCAACCTCGACTTTTCAATAGAGTTGATAACCAGCATACCCAGCGCCGAGCAAATACCAGGGATCCAGTCGACGAATTTGATATGCACATCAGAGCCGTTGCGGGGGCTATGCGAGAAGGAGGCCACATCGATAAGGAAGAAAAAGCCCGCAGCGAACTACAGCACATGTCAGTATCGAGTTCTTATTTTTGACCATCCAATCACTGTTTCCGGATCCATGTATCATTGCGACGAGACTTTCGATTGTGAAAGATGGTTGCGATGCGATCCGGTTCGGGGGGTGGGCTAGGCTGGGAAGGCTCACCAGTGCGCCGGAGATATAGACGCCTGTGTTGCGGACAGCAGCGTTGTTAAGCCATTCTGGCTTAGTGAAGCGGAAAAGTCGGTTGCTGGAGACGTCCATTCTGGGTGATTTCGGGTTGATGTTGATGCTGATGGAGCTGGGGTTGGAGCTGTTGGATCCAATGACGACTGGGGCCGGAAAAATGTCGGGCCGATGGACAATGTAGGTGCGGTCGAGTTGCAGCAACGGGGATATCAGATGAGGAGAATGACTCGTCACTTTTACTTTTATTTACTTATTTTGGTAATATTCTACCTCGAGCTTCTTGTTTTTGAGGTTCTCGGTTCTTTACCAGAACTCGTCATCATGTAGCGTGGTTGTACTAGGTAGGCACTAGGCAGCGAAATATATCTTGGAAAATCCTATCGTTTATACAGGCATCTGCGCCCAGGTGAATCGTATTAAAGGTCTAACAATGATCGACACGCGTTCTGTTTTAGGTAATTAGTTGTCAAAAATTCAGGCATATCTTTCAGGGTCTCATTAGATCTAGATGGGGCAGCTGCCTCTAACTATATACATGTGGGATCAAATCATTTTTGGTGCCTATTCATGACGCGTCAATTGAAACGCCATGTCGGGAGCATTTATCATGTCCACGGGGTCGCTAGAACGAAGCAATCTGCCAGTTCAAGGCTTATGACATAGGCTTGAAGCGGAACGGAAGCAGACCGTGTTACCCAGCTGCATTGCGCCGGAGCGGGACACCCATGCTGGTGTCTAGTGTTCGTGAATCTTGGCGTATTCACCTTTTTCTACTTCCCACCCAGGCAGTTGACTGCCCTCGTGGTATTTCCAGTAGGGGAGACATGGTTGCTAAATGCATCTTCATGAGGAGTCAACGGCGTGAGACCGCAGCTTGTCCATGACCACATCAATCGCATCCATATCACCAGCATCGACCTTCTCAGGTGCGTAGCCTTCGGGAAGGTGCTTGATCAATTCATTCATGGAAGGCTGGTAGTTACGCACGGCCGACGAGAGCGCATACACGGCCTTCTTGCGGGTAGTCGCGTTGGAGTCGCTAGTGGCCACATTCACGAGCTTGGGGATGGCATTGAGAACAATGAGCTATTCATCGAAGCAAAGTTAGCTATATTTCTGTATTTCGCGTGCGACGATTTTTCTCTCTCTCGTCTTGGGTATAACACGTACCTTGTCCTGAGCCTTCTCATTGTTTTGCACAGCAGTTCCAATACACCAAGCCGCATACCGGCGAATATCTGCTTCCTTATCATCCAGAAGTTGGACTAGCGGGGTCCATAGACCGCAGGGCTCCAAGTTGTTGGCATTGTCAATGCCTTCGATGAGTTGCTCAAAGTTGTCGAAAGCAATCAACTTGTTCTCCAGGTCCGACTCGTCAGAGTGCAGGACCTCCATAGCGGCTTTCATCAGATCGGCGTCAGAGGGACCTCCCATCAGCGCATTCAACATTTCCGGTGTCAAAGTGCGGGCGGCCGACTCGGCGGTTGGTGGGGGAGCCAAAGAGCCATCTTCAGTTTGTTGCTGAGAGTTTTGGACACTCCATTTGAGGAGCTTGTTCATTTGAGGGTCCATGATGGTAAGGATGTTTTATGTTTTGAAGGGAAGATCGGAAAATAAAAAAAAGTGGTGAGGATGTCGCTGTATCTTTCACGGCGCAAAAGAAAGGTGATATAATCCGATAAGAGCCTTACCTAATCTGACGTCGAAGTCACTGGACATTTCTAGATCAGTCATGTGACTTGCCACACCGTCTTGTGTTGATCCGCGGTTCTCAGTCTTTCTCAGGCTCCAATTGCTCCAAGGGAATTCTTGGGCCCCAAATGGCGGTAACCAGCTTGCGTAAGGCTAGGGGCCACCTTGCTGTGAATCTCCGGGGGACGTAACACAATTCCTTTACGAATACGATTTTAGATATAATGTATAGTAATACTGGGTCCAAATAAAGGACATGTACCCTCTCCGTACCGTTGCGTGCCCGGCAGAGCCGTTCTATACTTAGAAGTGACCTACGCTGTGCTCACGGGTCAGCTCTCCTTCCCCGCCACATGCGTCAAAAGAGTGTCCATATGGGAATGTCGGAGCCTGGGCCTAGGGGGGGGTCTGGTCCTTGGGGAAGGTCTTCAGATGAACAATTCCTCTCAGGCATCTCCTTTTCCATTGACTCGGAGCAATACCGGAGCTGACAAGAATGTCCCGTCCCAAAAAGGGTCTGGAGGCTCCTCATGAGTTGCCCCACGAGGGACAAATAATTCCAGCCGAAATTGGAGGTGGTAATCAAAAATAAATAGAGTCCATGTAATGTCTGCCTTGAATCAGAATATAATATATAATATATAAACTCGCCGTTCGTAGAGATAAGTCGATCAATTTGGGGGGGCTTAGTCGAGACCAAGTTGCGCACACACCAGGTGTCCCAGTCCCAACCATCACAAACTCTCCCCTCCTCTCCACTTCTTCCCTTCTTCTTCCTTCCTCCCTTTCCACCTCTCCTCCTTATACCTGCAACGTCCCCATCTCCATTTTCTTCCTTTCTAATTCATCTCCTATTTCTCCGTCACAATGGAAGGTTCGTAATTACTCTTGTTTTGTTTTGTCCTGTTGTGGCCACCTTAGCCGCTTGGGCTCCCTTTACCCCCCCAATGACCCAGCTGGGCCTCGCATCCCAGCTTGGATCACTTTGAACCTCGGGGATTTTGGATCTGATTGCTGACTCATGTGGCCACCTACAGAGGAAGTCGCTGCTCTCGTTATTGACAATGGGTATGTGATGAATTGCTCGTCAGGAAGCTTGGGGAGGGGGGGGCTGTGTTTGGGGGGGGCGTCTATCGCCCCGGTCGCGGTCCATTCCATCACTTCCCCTATCCGCCGCCCCGGCAAATTGGGTCCCAATCGCTAGCCCACGCTCCCTCCAGCGTCCGAGACGAGCAGATATGATGATATATAACGCCTGAAGGGCTGATTTACTGACCATTCATGTAGTTCGGGTATGTGCAAGGCCGGTTTCGCCGGTGACGACGCACCCCGAGCTGTCTTCCGTAAGTCCCAACCCCACAAGAACGAGGCCTCTCCCCCTCCTCCTTGCAAGCCATCCCGCCAACCCTTGCGTCGGTATTTACGGGTGTTGCTACAATCTTGAAAAATACGGCTCGTTTTTTTTAAGATTGGATTTTCCTTAAAAAAAAGCAATGACACTAACGATGTGATTAGCCTCCATTGTCGGTCGCCCCCGTCACCATGGGTAAATTTCTCCCCCCCCCCTTATGAGCTGCGGGCTGTTCAAACAACCAATTTGGACAACCGCAGAAAATAGAGGCAAATGATACTAACATGCATCCAGTATCATGATTGGTATGGGTCAGAAGGACTCCTACGTTGGTGATGAGGCACAGTCTAAGCGTGGTATCCTTACCCTCCGCTACCCCATTGAGCACGGTGTTGTCACCAACTGGGATGACATGGAGAAGATTTGGCACCACACCTTCTACAACGAGCTCCGTGTTGCCCCCGAGGAGCACCCCATCCTCTTGACTGAGGCTCCTATCAACCCCAAGTCCAACCGTGAGAAGATGACCCAGATTGTGTTCGAGACCTTCAACGCCCCCGCCTTCTACGTCTCCATCCAGGCCGTTCTGTCCCTGTACGCCTCCGGTCGTACCACTGGTATTGTTCTCGACTCTGGTGACGGTGTCACCCACGTTGTCCCCATCTACGAAGGTTTCTCCCTGCCCCACGCCATTTCCCGTATCGACATGGCTGGTCGTGACTTGACCGACTACCTGATGAAGATCCTGGCTGAGCGTGGATACACTTTCTCCACCACTGCCGAGCGTGAAATCGTCCGTGACATCAAGGAGAAGCTCTGCTACGTCGCCCTTGACTTCGAGCAGGAGATCCAGACCGCTTCCCAGAGCTCTTCCCTCGAGAAGTCCTACGAGCTTCCCGACGGACAGGTCATCACCATTGGCAACGAGCGCTTCCGTGCTCCCGAGGCTCTGTTCCAGCCTAACGTTCTCGGTCTTGAGAGCGGTGGTATCCACGTCACCACTTTCAACTCCATCATGAAGTGTGATGTTGATGTCCGTAAGGATCTGTACGGTAACATTGTCATGGTATGTGTTTTTGCCTCCTCCCCTCTACACCGACGATTGATCACTAACTTTGAATTAGTCTGGTGGTACCACCATGTACCCCGGTATCTCCGACCGTATGCAGAAGGAGATCACTGCTCTTGCTCCTTCTTCCATGAAGGTCAAGATCATTGCTCCCCCAGAGCGCAAGTACTCCGTCTGGATCGGTGGTTCCATTCTCGCTTCCCTGTCTACCTTCCAGCAGATGTGGATCTCCAAGCAGGAGTACGACGAGAGTGGTCCCTCCATTGTTCACCGCAAGTGCTTCTAAGCTACTTGTTTACGTTGATCGTCTTCGCTCGTACTTTTCTGGTGTATCAAAAGGCCGGATGGAAGCACTGGTGGATAGCAAGTGTTGTTGGACTCGCATTACCAAGCGGATAGCCTGAAAATGGAAATCTCGATTTTAGTGGAATAGAGTCGGTCGTTTTTTCTGTTTCCTGCTTTCCCTTTTCTATTGTTTCTTTTTTTTTACGAATTGAGCTTCTTTGTCGCTAGTCACCTCTGAACCGCTTTTTTCTTACAAATCCCCCGGAGGGCGCGGGTCTTCGACGCCTCCGGTGTAGCTGAGGTGTGTACATGGAGTTGACGCCGCGTTAGCCCCTTTTCTGTTCTAGTCTTATCTCCCTGACCAAATTGTCTTGAGCTGTGCTCATTTACCGTAAAATTGTATCTACTTCCAAGGTCATGTACTGCTCGTCTACATAGTGAATCCACCCCTAGGTATGCTACCAAGGTTTCGTTCTGACCTTGAGGAGAATATGTACCTACTTAGGTATTTTCGGCACAAACTAAAACAGGGATATAGAGCAGAGATCATTTATGATTTGGTATAATAGAACTGGAGTACTGGAGGTCCTAGTGGAAAATCATACAAAAGAACACTAGAATCGAATAAAACACTTTCTGCCTACATGTAGATACACGCTGTTAACTATATCCTAATAACCTCCAAAGTTCGGAATAGCCCATTAAGAAGAAGCAGTCACATCGATATTAAAAACACCAACCCATTCGCACGTCTCCTCAGGATACCCATCACTAGTCGTGCACTCCCAATCAGCACCAGAGACAGTATTTTGTCCCGCCTCCGTACCATCAGCACGAGAAACCCGCAGCACAAAGTCCTCGATGTTATAGATTCCGTTCGGGAAGTTGACCTGGTAGGCAGGGTTGGAGCAGTTGAACATCAGGCTTCCGGCTTGACCAATAGACCTATAGACCAAACAGTTAGTATCTATACCTCTCAAGAAGCTTGTGTATGATATCTTATTGCAGGAAAACCGCTAGACATACCAGACAGCATCACAGTCAGTGTCAACGTTAGTGTTGGGATCATTCAGGGCAAAAACGATGTTGTTGCTTGTAGGAGGGGTCTCAGTGTAGAGATTTCCGGCCAAGTTCTTGATTTGCAGAGGCTGGAGGGCACGCTTGAGGTTGCTGGGGGCTGCAAGGGCGGTGCTGGCAGCGACCAGGAGAACAGTGCTGATGATAGTAGTCTTCATATCTGTGATTGGGGGTGGAATTGAATCGAACAGAGATGTGTTAAGCTTTGAATGGCTTGGATGACTGAAGATGGAGATGATGCTGAGGGTATCTATTGACCTTTTATACCCCATATTCTTCATAGTATGTTCTGCAGTCGCGTGGTAATATAGCTAATTGCAACTCAAAGTAACAGTTACGTGTGAATCCGAGGCCATGTCTGAGATCTGATCCGAAGTTACATTGATCATTTGCAACTGCACATCATTGTCTAGCAAATCAGATGTCCTCGTCTGGGCAGCAGATCGGCTTTAGGGTAAAGCTGGGACGCCTTTCCCGGGCGCCTCATTCAATTTCCGGGGCGACGAAGGGCGGAATGGGGATAGCTATGTTAGAATTAAGTTAAAAGCCATGTAGATCTTTGGCGGTGATCCGCAATGCGGCGTATAGATCCTAATACAGAATCATGGGTCTTACTGGGCTAGGCCCCCTATGTACACAGCCCCGTAGTCCACGGTTATTTTTAGATGAAATATCCGAACCAATTACCAAGGGAGACCTTTGCAGGACTTCCTTTATAATGTTTAACAGGTTGCTTTCTTAGGATATGATCATATCATTGTTATTGTATGTGCATATAAACTCGACCAATGACGCTTCTCCTTGCCAGGGTTTGTTTCATGACAATAAGGGAACCCGTGGGGTACCAATGAAACCTCATAGGTTTCGGATTCGGGAACATCGAGGTCACAGCTGTATCTTGCCTGTAGTAATCAAAAAAGAAAATCATTTTTCTAGAGAATTTGCATTGCTTGATAAATTCGGGGAGTATATATCATTTCATCCATCACATAGGACCGGCATAAGTCATTCAGGACTCATCCATTTTGTTACCTTTCAAAGGTAGATAAAGAAAACAAGATAAAGATCAATAAATAAAAACTGAAAGAAGACGTGTTTAACCGCAAGTCGGAACAAATCATGCCCAGGACTCAAGACCGGTCAGCACGCAGCCCTCCTCACCCTCAGCACGGGCGCGAAGGTGGCCAATGCTGTAAACGGATTCACCCTTGGCCTCGAAAGACTGGCGAACGGCAGCCTCGGAAGCCGGGTCCACGGCGATGATCATACCGATACCGCAGTTGAAGGCGCGAGCCATCTCGGCAGCAGAAACGTTGCCGGCACGCTGAAGCCAGGAGAAGACAGAAGGCTGGGCCCAGGTACGGACATCAATGTCGGCGGTCAGGGTAGCGGGGAGCATACGGGGAACGTTCTCGACAAGACCACCACCGGTAATGTGAGCAAGACCCTTGATAGCGGCCGGGTGGGAGGCAAGCGCATTCAGGATGGACTTGACGTAGATGCGGGTAGGAGTTAGAAGGGCACGGCCGAGGGAGACCTCACCCTCAAGGCCGGGCATGGTGAAGGGAGCGGGGTCGGAGTAGCTCAGGCCAGCACGCTCGACGATCTTGCGAACGAGCGAGTAGCCGTTGGAGTGAGGGCCGGAAGAACCCAGGGCGAGGAGGACATCACCGGGACGCATGGAGTCGGTGTGGGGGAGGATCTGGCGAGCGTATTTACCGGTGGTGTTGATGGCACCAACAGCGGCACCAACGGCATCGTAGGACTCATCAACGAAGAGACCAGGCATTTCGGCGGTCTCACCACCAATCAAAGCACAGCCAGCTTGAACACAGCCGTCGGCGACACCGGTGACGAAAGCGGTGGCAGTGGGAACATCCAGGTGACCGCAGGAGTAGCAGTCAAGGAAGAAGAGGGGCTCGGCACCCTGGACGACCAAGTCGTTCACGTTCATGGCCACAAGGTCAATACCGACAGTGTCGTGAATGCCAACGGAGTGAGCAATCTTGAGCTTGGTACCAACACCATCGATGGCACCGATAAGGGTGGGCGAGTCGGCGTGGTATTCGGGGTTGGCAGCAGCCAGCGAGAAGAGACCACCAAAGCCACCGATGACGGCGTCGGTACCGGGACGCTTGGTGCGGCCGACAGAGGCCTTAATACGGTTCACCAGCTCATTACCAGCGTCAATGGACACACCCGCAGCGGCGTAGGTCAGCGAGGTGTCGGCGGTCTGCCGGAATGCGCGGTGCGCAATGTCCTTGCGATAGAACATGCCATCGAAGTGAATAGTGGAGATACCCTCGTAGCTCTTCTTGACAGCCTCCTCGAGAGTCGAAGCAGTAGCGGTGGAAGCGATCACACGGCCACCAGCAGTCTGAAGCTCGTTGCCGGACAGAGTAGTACCGGCGTGGAAAATGAGGGTACCCTCGGGAGCAGGGTCCAGGGTGATGGGAGTACCCTTGGCATATGAACCAGGGTAACCACCAGCAACTCCGATAACGGTGGTAGAGAAGTTGGGCTCCACCTTGATGGAGACACCGTCGAGCCAGTGATCGGCACAGGCGACCATGATTTGCGCAAGATCGGTGTCTTTGCTCAACAAAGGCAAGAGGGTCTGAGTCTCAGGGTCTCCACCACGGACGTTGTATTCGAGGACCTTAGGACCGTCCTTGGTCATCATCAGACCAGTGAACAGGATACCAACGAAGGGAAAACCATCTTTCCGCATGCCGTCGATAGAAGGCTGGATGATGGTACGGTCAATCTCGTCCCGAACCTCCTTGGGCGCAATACGGGTGGGGGCATAGCAGCCCATACCACCAGTGTTGGGGCCCTTGTCACCATCGAAAATGCGCTTGTGGTCCTGCGCAGGAGGCAGAGAGTGAATGGTGTAACCATCACTGAAGGTCAGGATACTCAACTCGTCTCCCTCCAGGTACTCCTCAATCACGACCTCGTCACCAGCACTGCCGAACTGGTGGTCCAGCATCATCTCCCGCAGAGCCTGGTGAGCCTCCTCCTTGGTAGTGGGAAGGGCAACACCCTTACCACCGGCCAATCCGTCGGCCTTGATCACGACGTTGTGTGATACAGAGTCGAGGTAGCGGCAAGCGGATTCGTAGTCGGAGAAGTTTCCAAAGGCGGCAGTGGGGATGTTGTGACGCTGCATGAAGTCCTTCGAGAAGGTCTTGGAGCCCTCCATGCGAGCAGCGGCCTTGGAAGGACCAAAGCATCGGATGCCAACTAATTGAAGTAGAACGAGTTAGGCAAGAGTCAATTGAAAGAAATTGAATTAAACTTACCAGCCTGGAAGTATCCTTGAATGCCGTCGACAAGGGGGGCCTCGGGGCCGGGGACAACGAGGTTGACACCATTCTTCTGAGCAAATGCAACAAGGCCAGGGTAATCATCACCCTTGACATTGGCATTGGTGATCTTGCTCGAGGCCAGACCAGTACCGCCGTTTCCGGGAGCGACATACACAATGTCGACAAGAGGCGACTGGCTCAGCTTCCAGGCGAAAGCATGCTCACGGCCACCGTTGCCGACAATAAGGATACGCAATTGTTCTTGGGCCATTGTGACAGCAGTGTCTCGACTGACTATTGAGGAATTAGCGAACTGTGGGAGCCCACCGCGGGGTTAATACCCCTCCATGAGGCAATTGAGAGAGTGAAAGTGAAGTTGATGGGAAATAAGAAGAACATAAATTGTTCGACAAGAAAGAAAAGAAGCCATCATAAACTCACCTCTTCAGAGACCTGAGAAACAACTGCGGGGGGAATAGATGATCAGTCAAAAGTGTGACTCTTGCTGGATACTTTTTTTCTGCCGGCGGCGAAGTTTCTCCGCCCTGCGATAAACTTAGTTTTAGCCGCTGCAGGTACTCACACAGTTACAGGCATGTACTTAAAATATTTCCTAGGTCTTTGGAGTCAATTCAATCTTGAAGGCATGATAACACTAGAATGGTAAATTTTGATATTTTTGACTCCAAAAGGGCACAATCTCTACACAGTATATGGTATCCTAGACTGGAAGCTAACAACATCACCACCAAGTGGGAATTCTGAGATAAGTAAGGCTCCAGCTGAGCTAGAAAATACTCTAATATCTATAATTGCAAGCACTTCTCATACCTTTGTAGTCTGACCAATTCTGAACCAAATATAGTATAATGGATATACTTGATACCTCAGGTGTCGAAAGGCCCTTACAAGGCGGTATCACCCAGCAGAAAAAAAACCACGCGCGTGCCAAATTCGGCCAGGGAAAGCTCCTTGCAATCCCCCTAACTGTCTTATACCCGACGTCAATTGCTTGGTTCTTATGTCATTTTCATCATAAATTAGCCTGCATGCTGCGGTCTTCTTTCCGGGCGGTCGCAGACCCTGCCCGAGGCCATGTTTGCTTATCTTGCTTAACCCGCCGATATGGCGCGCCATCTACATTGCGCCAATTCCATCACACGCCCACGCTGCGCTCAATATCAAGCGGAGACCAGCCGGCGGTTAGCAATGAAGACGTGCCGACCAAACCGGTGACTCAGCTTGCTAATTCAGATTGGGTGAAGAAGGTATGTGTCTGGCTGCGCATCGTCATATTTGGCTGTGATAAAACTAACGCGATGTCTGCTCAGGATGGCATTTCGGTATCGCCATCTAAGGGTGTCAGGAAACCCGGTAGCAAACGCCCTCCTCATACAAAAAAGTCGCGCCACAAGGACGCCCCAATCCGACCTAAGAAAGAACCAAAAGAAGATGAGCCAGAGGAGAACCAGCCTGTCCGCGGGGTCACTCAGGTGAAACAAATACTGGAAGAGACCAGCAAAGCCAAACCGAAGAAGCCGAGATCGAAAGGATCAAGCAGCGAAGAATTTGCACACCTCAAGTCATTTATCCAAAAAAATCATGCTGGATCAATACGGGCAGACAAGATTGAAGGTGAGTCTTCATTGCAGAAGCTGCCTTGAATGATTATTAATGTTGTACAGCTTTGGATATTCCTACAGCCCCTGTCCCTGGTCTTTCGTTCGGTCTTGATCGAGTTCTCTTCAAGTAAGACATGTTCTCCCAGATCTTTTTGAGTATACTGATATCCTAACGCCGCATAGCCCTGGTGTTTATCAATTACGAGACCCTCGATCCCGCGTCTACAACTTCGATCCATACCTAGGCGAGATCATGTCAGTCACGGAATTTGACTTCAACACTCTCAAGGATTATATCACCTCATCCAAAGATACAGCTCTTCGCGATGTTGCTGTTGAGCATGGAAAGAAATACTTAGGATCGTCATCTAGCATGACCTCGGTGCTTTCCCACTTCCACTATCTGCTTTCTGCTTGGAGACCTATCGATACCCGTCAAATTTCTCAGGGATTCCCCGACAAGCTGCGTAGCTTTACTCGTCTACTCCGGGCCCCGGCTGCTATGTTTCTTCACTACCAGGATGGCGTGTACGCCATTGATGCGGATAAGGAGTTTGACTCGGCCAACATCCTCATGAACCTGGGCAAGTCAATGGAGAAGCTGCTTACTATGCCCAAAGAAGACTTTGAGCGCTACCGCCGGTCCAGCAAGAACAAGATCACCCCCGAGGAGGAAGAGGCGATTCCCGAATCGTATCACTACTCCACCACGGGAGATTTCGTTATGCGTTCACAGCTCGATGCTTATGACCCCCGACTACCCGGAACTGGTATGTTTGACCTCAAGACACGCGCCGTAGTCTCCATCCGTATGGACGCGAAGAACTTCGAAAATGGACTTGGCTATGAGATCAAGAGACGGTTCGGTGAATATGAGTCGTATGAGCGTGAGTATTTCGACATGATCCGGGCTGCATTCTTAAAATACTCGCTGCAAGTGCGCGTTGGCCGCATGGACGGTATTTTTGTGGCGCATCACAATATCGAGCGTATCTTCGGTTTCCAGTACATCAGTCTGCCCGAAATGGACCAGGCCCTGCATGGCCAATCAAACACTGCGCTGGGAGATACCGAGTTCCAACTGAGCCTGAAGTTATGGAATGAAGTTCTTGACAAGGCGACCGAGCGCTTCCCCAAGCAATCCCTGCGTTTCCACTTTGAGACCCGAGATGCGGTGACACCGTTCATGTACGTCTTCGCCGAGCCCGTCACTCAGGAGCAGATCAAAGAAATCCAAACCAAGAACGCAGCAGAAATCGACGCATACCAAGAACGTCTGTTGAACATTGCCCCGAAGGAGCCGAAGGAGGACTCCGAACTTGCTGCAGCGAAGAAGGAAACTGATTCCGATATTAATTCCGCCATCTACGACTCGGACGCACCACCTGAACCGATGACCTCCTCGGCGGAGAAGGAGAAGGAGCAAGTCCCAAATAAAGAAATCTTCGCCATGGCATTATCCATCAAGAACAAGGTCAACGACAAGATTGTTGAACGGCCCTATTACTTCACTGAATCGGATCAATGGGAGGTGGATTACGAGCTCAGAGAGCTGTCAGCTTCACAAGGCAACAGGCTGTATAAGATGTGCCAGGAACGGCGCAGGAAGGCCCTGTCAACCTCAAGCGAGGACGCGCAAGGTGTCGTGAGCAATTTATACGCCAGAAAACTGCAAAAGATCAGCCAGGAGGGCCGAAAGTACCGTGCTATGGAGGATGCGATTGATAAGAAGCATGGTACAATCGTGTACCCGAATTAAAGTCAACTCCCTGAGTACTGGGTTTCACCTTGAGGGTGAAATTGGAAACTAATGTCTTCCTTGTATATTATTTATTAGATGTGATTTGTGTGATTTGTTTGGGAATAGGCCTCGTGGTCCTATCAGGCCCTAGTGTATAATGCATGTTTTGGCGTTGGCTTTTCCATCTTAACTCAATTTTTACCAACATACCTTGCCTAGACACATCAATTCAGTGATAAGAGCACGCCATGCGATAAGCGGGGTGATCTCAAGTGCTCATCTTCTAATATAAAAACAAACCCATATCTCCCTGCATTTATGATTCTACCTATATAATTGATCCCATCCATATCTACAACCATGATCATCACCGGCCTCGAAATAGTAACTCGCAACCTAGTTCGCAATCTCCGCGACATAACCCACCAACAACAACCCTGCGGCATCGACCTAACCCTCCACAAAATATCAAAATGGACCTCAGCAGCAACCCTAGACTTCGACAATACCAGGCGTGAAGCAGCCAAAGTATCTATTCTCCCATTTGACATCAACCAAGCAATTGTTCTACAGCCAGGCTCTTATCTAGTCGATTTCAACGAAACGGTTCAAATTCCGCTAGATTGCATGGCCAGTGTTTTCCCTCGGTCGTCGTTGTGGAGGTCTGGCGTGAACATTTCTGCCGGGGTGGTTGATGCTGGGTATGAGGGTGTGATGGGGGCTTTGATGGAAGTTAAGAATCCGCATGGGGTTGTCCTTTATAGGGACAGTAAGCTTGCGCAGATTGTTTTTGAGGAGTTGGGGGGTGTTGTTGAGGGGTACAAGGGGATTTATCAGGCTTCTACTTGTAGTGTCGGGCGGGATGGGGTAGAGAAGGTGTGATATAAATGTTAGATGCTGCGTAGCTTATGACAAAGACTGATACAAATCTCATATGATTCGGCACTATACACGTCTATCAACATTAACCATTACCCAAACAAGCATAGGATCGGAGATGTGTAAGCAAAACAAGTAGAGCAGAGATGCAAGCATTCATACTTTCAATCACAAGGCTCATCGGTAATGAATCCATCCAACACAATAGAAATAAGTAGCAAGTAAGAAAAGAAAACACCGTCGCTCCTTGATGCCAGACTCCTTATATGACCTGGTAACCAACCAATTCCGCCCTTGACCAAACCGGAATATGCAGGGCGCCATGTTGTTTGGGGATTCCTTCAAATGGGACAGAGGGTCAAATGGGATTCAAGGTAATATGAATGATAACAAGGCAAATGATCTTGGCAAAAGCCTCAGATGATTGTTCAGACAAGGTGCCAAACGCCGGAAAAATATGATCAAAAATTTGAGAAACGATCTCAGGATATCAGTATCAGGTGGTATGTTTCGAGGTGGGAGGTATGAAAGGAGTAAAGGTGATGTGTCAAAGAGAAGGAATGAGGAGGATGTGTATCGAAGATATCCTATATAGGACTCGGGGAGAAAAGAGTAAGAGAAAGAAGATGGGAGGAAAGGGTGTGGCATGCTCCATGTCGGTACATCATATGTACAACGTGAGCATTTCAAGCTACTCGAGCTCCTGCAAGTCCAGCTTGGGAGGTGACCAGTCCAGCTGTGGGGGTTTGTCATTTGAGACACATACAGGTCGTATCGACTCTACCCGACGACGCTCCTTCGAGGCACTGCCTGTAAGGAAGCCTCTCAGCGTAGATGAGGCGATGCCGTAAGTGCTTCGTGCACTACCAGCATTGGTTGACACGGTGCTAGAGCTGCGTGCGCTCCGTACACTGCTTGCTTTGGTAATCGCCGTAGGCATGGCGGGAACAGGGAAAGCCAGGCGAGATGACGACGGGCTTGACGATCCGTACTCTGGTGGGAAGATCTGGGCCCGAGCAGTATGGGGCCGCAGATCAGGCTCACTCTTCATTCTGCTGGCCTTGGCTGAGAGTTTCCGTCTGACCGGTGGCTTCGCTTTGGGAGGAGGGTCTGGCTTGTCCACAGTCACCTGGATAGACACAGGAGGCTCTTCGGGAGGGGAAGCCTGGACTTCATCCGCCGATATGGCTACCTCGAACTTCAGATTGTCCAACATAGTGCCAAGGCTGGCTGCGGTTGCGGGTCGACCATCACTGGCACTATCATCGACGTCGGAGCCCACAATTCCTTGAGAAAAGTTGTAATTGCGAAGAAGATATCGTTGCAAACGATCAATTTCCATGTCCCATTTGCGCTGCAGTGACGTCAAGACCAAATCCACGTTTTGACTTGCGAATGCGGAGGTGTCCATAGATGATGATGGAGAATGCGCCGGTGCTTGTTTGGTCAATTTATGACTGCTAGACCCACTAGACCGGACGCCCATTGCTGCATGAAGGGAGCGACGGATGGATTTCGTTGTGGAGCTTTCAACAGGACTAGCGTCCCAACGGACATTGTCAACCTCTCGGCGCACTCTGTCGAGGGACAGGGCCCGATCACGGTCCATGGAGGAGAGATTTAGCAATGTCCGATTGCCCTGTAAACCATTAACCAATACCGTGAAGGATTGTAGGTTAATATCATTGTTCTCGCAGTGCACCTCACGTAATGACTCATTTTCCTCTAGAACCGACGCCAATGTATTGGCGCCTTGGAGGCCCAGCTTCTGGTGCTCAATGCGGAGGACTTTGAGAGACGTATTCTTTTTCAAGCCGGTCAAGGCCAGGTTGAGTCCAATGCCAAACCGAGCAACGTCGAGGTGTGCGTTTTCGCCGCTAATATCTAAAGCCTCGAGTGTGTCGTTCTGCTCAAACATGAGTTGCAATGCCTTGCAAGTCTCAGGACCGGCGTCGTACGGAAGCGACGCCTTGGAGATATCCAAGTACCGGATTGATTTGTTCTTTCGGAGAGCATCGACTAGCTGTCGAAAATGCTCTTCCTTCTTGAAATCAATCATTTGCATGGAAACATGAGATGGAGTCATGTTTTTCGCAATGGCGTCGAAGAGGAATGAACAACCATTGTCAAGTCTATTTTCGTTGACATGCAAATGAAGACTTCGCGGAGCGTCTGGTCCAGCAGACATCGAGTGCATAAACATAGCAACATCCTCTCCGCTAAGGCCACACTGATCAAGTCGAAGCATACGAAGATTTCGTGAACGATCACTTGCCAGATAGGTAGCAATGGAGTCAACAGTCTCACGGTTGACAGCCGTGCGGCTGAGAATTAGCTCTTCGAGCTCCCAGTTAAATAACATTTCTGCTGTGATTAACGGATCCGAGCCTGATGTGCGCGAAATGCGGGAAAGGTTGATCTTCCGGATCTGGCCAAAGTAACCAATGTACTGTTGTAAGACATCTGGGTTCAAGCGACCTTGAACTCCGGATATGTTAATCGCTTCAAGCGTTGTTTCTTGAGCTACCAGAGTGGACAACAGAAGATCCAAGTCGTGAACGGACAATCCACAGTCTCCAACTTCCAAGGCTCGCAGGTGGCTCTGGCTCTGTGAAGCGGCATCAACCAGATAATCCAGATCCGATTCGCCAAGCTTGATACCATTAAGAACCACCCAGTCAACATTCGTCATCTGACGCCGACAAACCGGGAAGAGGGCTTCGGGAATTCCACAGCCCGGGTCCCGGCTGCCCTTGTCCAGAGTTGGGGTTCGGGTAAGGCAATAAGCAAAGTCCAATCGGCGAAGCCAGGCACTCTTCAGCGCCAACGCTCGCACCTCCTGTGATAAAACGCTCAAACTTCCTTGCCCAGGAATATGTACCAGTGACCCAGACCTGTCGAGATGAACATCAGGGTCCACACCATGCATATCACGGATGCCTTGTAGCGCATCAAGATTGATACCACGGAATGAGATAGACCGAAAAGACTCGTTGTATCGCAGCGCACGCAGGACCGCAATCAGCTCCAAGGCGCTATATCGAGATGGTTTGCCTGAAGATGAAGGTGAAGCTGGCCGGAGAAGGCGGAAGCAAGGGGCATCCTCGCATGCCAAGTCGATTGTGTAGCGAATATTTGAAGTATCGACATCGTAGCTGGCGGAATAGGCAACTAGCGTTCGATCAAAGCATCCATAATCTTCGTCTAAAGTAACTGGAGGGAAGTTTTGGGCGTTATGCAAATCAGGTGGGACAACAAAGTCGTACGGCTGCCTCGTCCACAGCGGGCGCAGGAACTCTGTATGTTGCCGGATCCAACAAGCAACTTCCACGGAGTGCACCGAAGCCAAGAAAACATTGAATGATTTGCGCAAGGGGACCCTAGGCAATGTTAGCGAGTGTTATCTATACCACATGCAACCGTGAGTCCTTACCGGAATGTCAGATGTAGACTATCATCCCCATATTCCATAGATAAGCTAGTTAAGTTCATAAGACCAAACGAGGTGACTGTATCCATGTCCGATAAGGATACGACCGATGATCGATTGGCAGCTTTCTGCATAGGAATGAGATGGGCCTTATGCAATCCAATCACGAGGTAACAGCCCGTCGGAGACAGTTTGGTCAAGTCTTCCGAGGACGAACGGGTCGGTGATTTGCTCGACGCGATCTGTATCACGCGGAACATTCGGAAAGTGTCCGGATCGTAATCTCGTTCGTGTTCCAACATCCTGGTTACATATTCCACCGCACCGCGATCGAACGGCAGTGGGTCGTTCGTTCGTGTCAACTGCGCGGCCTGGCGAATTCCCACCATCCAAAGATTCAATTCTTGCTGATCGGGGGTTTGCATTTGAATCAAAGACGCTTTGTGCGTGCGCTCATCCAGGTAGGCCACCTCAACCGTGGGGGATAACCGTGCGTCTTCGAGCATGTAGACTGCAATGATACTATTCAGCGGAATCCCGGCTGATGATTCGGTCGAGACCATCAGTTGCATGTCCTGCAATGAACTGATCGAGGCCACGGACTGGCGGTGCGACGCCGGAGCCCGCGGATTATAAGAAGGTGGAATTGAGGGGAAAGTCTCCGCGGCCTTGCTCTGGTTCTTGAAGCGCACCAAATGCGTATCCGTTAGGACGAGGTATTGACTTTTCCGCTTCCACATGCCACCAGTCGTCTGGATTTCACCATAGTGGAGGATTGCTGAAGACCAAATCATATTCCGGGGACTGATGGTGTTTGGTTCGTCCACCGAGCCAACAGATGCGCTTAGTGGATCATCATCTTCCAACGAATGCAGCGACTTTAATGAGCCAAAGACCGACGCTCGTTTCTTCTGTAATGACTTTCGACGAGGGTGAGGGATCTCTAGTGTGGGTGTGGAGGCCATGGCTGCAGACCAGGCAGCCACTTCTGCAGCCGCCGTCCCTGGGCGACGAAGCACATTAGGGCCGCTGCCGCTGGCTTTCCTACTGGGGCTTTGGGGCCGGCCAAAGAACCCAGAATTGCGGCGGGCTTTCTTATCTCTGGTCAGGGTGTCATCGGAGGGTGTTCGACTATGAGCGGGCCGAGGCTGCGACGACTGGGCTGTGGGGGCAGGACTGAACACGCTGAGGCTTTTTCTTCGCTGTTTCATGCTCAGGAATTCCGCCATGACTGGGAATGGTGGCAAATCGAGTTCACGGGCGAGAGGCGAGATGCAACAATTCGGGAATGGCGCGAAGGTGGAGAGAAATTAGCTTATCTCATCGACGACCCTCGTCCTTCACACTGGCAACGACATTAGTACCAAGGACCTGAAGGTCTGCTCGAGGTGAGGGGGGAAGGATTTCGCTAGAGACGTAAAGGGTAGCGAGCCCCGAGTTCGTTGTTGATGGTTGGGAAAAGCGGGGAGACGGGCGAAGCAACGTACAATAGATCTTTACGGCGCCATGGGAAGCAATTGATGTGCAAAATGCTAGGAGGAGCAGCAAGACCCTCAAAAGCGGATCCGGAAGCTTTTTTAACTTAGGGTGTAGTGGCAGCTGTCAATAATGTGGCGAGAGATGGTTGCACCGGAGAAGGTCGCCGGAAGGGGGGAAACCGGAGCTATCGTCAAAACACTCAACCAAAAACGGCGATTGCCGGCGTTATCAAGCGGTGATCAATTGATCAATCCGATAACCATGTGTGTTCCTGGTCAGGGTCGGGGTAATGAGGTCAGGTTTGCCGATCCTGTGTATTGAGAAAAAAAAAAAGACCTTGAACTGGATTTCAAGGTTTGAAGTGGAAAGAAGGGGCCCAAACGCAAACAGTCAAGAGAAGGGAAGGCGATTCAATCTAATGAATCCAACGAATGACAAGAGAAGCAGTGGAGATCGAATGATTCTCGATAAACCCTGTGGGGGAGAAAAGAAAAGGAGGTGAAAGTCAAGAGGAAGAATGGACGGATGCAGTTCAGTTACCATCAACATCAAATGTTTCAGGTTTTTCTGCTTCAATTTTACTTTTTCTACTGCAGTTTTGGCCTTAATTTCAGTCTGATTTGAGATTCGATCTGTTTCTATCTCAACGTTGACGATTCTAGACTTTTTTTTATTTAAATTTTTTTTATAGAAAATCGTACACATGTCGAATTAATACACACACCTGGACAGAGGTCGTTTTACGAAAGATATTTATATATACCGTTGCGCGTCCTAAGCCATTATTTGAGACAGTCACGATGCAACCTGCAATCTGCGAAAGGTAAAGCGATCGCATTATCCCGGCCGCGTAAGAGGCGTGCTCCACTTATCCAGGGTAAGCGTCCGCTAAGGTGAACAAGGCTACATAGTGCAGCCCATGACAGGGATCTGGAAACACTACCGATAGTAGCGTTGGTCTCTCGCAGGAACTGCTTCAGCTTCATTCCCATCATTATATTAATACAGCTTTCAAAATTAGGTGTTCAGGGGCAGAAGATTTATCTGTTGCGCTGGAGTCGACGGATCCTCTGTCCCCACATCTCCATGATCGACAACTCGCGCGCTCCACGCACCGTGATGCTCCAGGGGTAAACTTGACGTCGAGGGAATCCACACGGGAAAAATAATCATACATAATTAAATGTACAAAGGTTGATCCCAATTAGATCAACAACGCCACCAGAGAAAGCTTGACGCCTCCAGGAACAAAGGGAAATGGGGTCCAGTATAAACCCACTCAGAACCCACTCAACCCCAGTCAACATATCCGCATATGCGTCATAGGGGAGTTGTTGGTGCCTGAAAATAAAAGCAGAAGGAGATGAAATAATCACCGTGAAGTTCTTGCGGACCTAAAGACCTGTGATAGCGGATTGCATACTGCATACGAGGAGGCAGTGGGTGATCCATCCAAAATCGAAACCGTCAGCTGTCATGCAACTTTTGCATTTATGGACGACGAGTGCCCGATGCCCACTCCGCCTCTCGTCTTTCAGCCCGTTTAATCTGCCGAATCAGATCGATATACTCGGCCACTCGTCGCTCAGCCCAGATATAGCCGCCAAGAGTCATGACCGCCATCTGCAGGAAAACCTTGAATTGCGGTGTGAGACCCCGGTACACACGGGCTGTCGGTGAGAGCCATTCCGAAAAGCCCTCGATTGGTCGGTGTAGGAGTCGTGATCGGAGATATTCCTTGGAGAAAGGAGACTGGCGAGGACGGGGTTGGTCTTGTGTAGCTGGTGGAGAGGGCGCGGAGAATATGAATGGATGTGGGAGGCTCATGATCATGTGAGCCAGGATGGAGACAGAACCGAACTATGACAAAAGCCAGATGAATATTAGCTTTAGTGACTTGGGTTTCCGAGCATCAACTCTCAGTGCATACGCGAAAAACACCCGTCATAAAGCCTTGGACCGCCACGGAAGTAATTTCCTCCGGGGGATCGATATCAGCTCGCTGATTCGATGGAGCTGGCATGTTGGCTGCAATTGACTTTATGCTCAAGCAATGAATGCAAGGCGTTCCCAATTGAAAAGAGATAATGCGCGTTATCGATGTTGAGCTCCGGAGGCGGGGAACTGGAGGGGAAGACGGAATAGTGTTGAGCTTTTCTGACTCGGACAAAGCTTTAAGAATTGGACAAGATAGCCGAAGAACTATCGGTTAGCAAGATTGCTCCAAAGCAACAGTACAAAGATCTCTGGACCAGCCAGTGTTGAAGAGCTATAATGCAAACCCCGAATCCCCGAAGTGACGCCAACGGATCAACATTTCTCCCGATAGCGACTCAGATAAAGCAGAAATCGGATTATCAACCCTTTGACTCAAATCCCGGGCCCGCAATACCATAACAACCTCACCTTTAATTCCTTCAATTCGCCCAAAATGTCCATGTCTGCTCGTACCGCCGTCGTTTCTCGGGTCACCAACGAGACTAAGATCCAGGTTTCAATCTCCCTGGACGGCGGAGTCCTCCCACCCTACGAATCCTCCACCCACTTCGCCGCGCCAGAAGATCCCAAAGAAGCCGAGGCAGTGAAGAAGGGTATTGTGCCCGAGAAGGGCTCTAGCCATGCGACCCAGTTCACCCCGACACAGCAGATCACCATCACAACCGGAATTGGGTTCTTGGACCACATGCTGCACGCGCTGGCCAAGCACTCGGGTTGGAGTTTAGCTGTGCGGGCCAAGGGTGATCTTTACAGTACGTTAAATCCTATATTATCTGAATTCCGATGCGAATGCATTGGTCCCAAGGATTCCACGACAGTCCACTAACAGCATCTTACAGTCGACGATCACCATACCACAGAAGATACCTTCCTCGCCCTCGGCACAGCATTCACCAAAGCCCTCGGTCCCCGCCAATCGCTCACCCGTTTCGGTCGTGGCGATGCGCCCCTCGATGAAGCGCTTTCTTGGGCCGTCATTGATCTCTCCAGCCGTCCATGGGCCGTTATTGATCTCGGCTTCAAGCGCGAGAAGATTGGTGACTTGAGCACTGAGATGATCACACACGGTCTGCAGAGTTTCGCTCAGGCTGCTGATGTGACTCTTCACGTTGGCTGCACCTATGGAGATAATGACCACCACCGGGCCGAGGCCGCCTTCAAGGCTTTGGCTGTTGCAATGCGGATTGCTTGCACTCGGAGGGTTGCTGGTGAGGTTGGCGCGGGTGATATCGTTAGCACCAAGGGTGTGCTATAAACTCTTCAGCCGAGTTTTATAAATATGTTTTTATGTTCATAAAAGTTGACATAGATGAGATTATGGTGCCATGATATACCAGTTTATTTTTATGATATTGTCTCGAATGTATAGCTCGCAACTTGATTTTTAGATAGTACGGTAGCTGTATCATTTGGACACTCATACTCCAGACATAGATGCAAAGTAGCTTCGTATTTGGATTCCCGTTAACCATAAATCACTAATCTCATAACAACTCAGGGTTTAGAAACATCATCCACCAGAACGCCATCACACAGACCAACTCCAGTAAAAACCGGCAGCACCCTGAAGACAAAACACCACAAATCAAAGACTCTCAACCAGCCTAATATCAAGGATCAAGGATCAAGTTTAGTTGCTTGTCACACCAAGAGCCTTAACAGCCCTCTGCCAGTACTCCTTCCTCTCATCCGTAACTGTGGTCCCCACACACTCACTGATATACTTCTTCCACCCGCTCTCATCACCACCCTGCAACGCAGACCGCACGTCGCTCGAGCACTGCGTAGTGAGAAACCAAGCACCAGAACCAAAATCATAAGTCTCATCCCCACGAAGCAGATCCAACAGATCAGCAGGACTATTCGCGACCTGCGCAACCTGATCCTTCAGTGCGGTGATAGAGTTGGCGTATTTCTTATTGAAGTCAGGAGATTGCATATTGCGAGCTATAGAGCGGTTTTGTTAGTATCCATGATAGCATTATGAGTCAGACAATAGCTCTGGATGGAAAAACTTACTACCCTGGCCCGGGACTCCGGGGAAATGGTTTTTATTATACTTGAAATCATCCGTCTCGAATGCCATCAAGCTAAGGATAGCAGCCTGCTCCGCTTTGGAAGTCACTTTGTAATTATCGAAAGACTGTGCCGCAAACTTGGCTGCCTGTTCGGCAGTGGCACATTCGCCTTCAGCGGGTGGATTATCGCATGTTTGGGATGTGGGTGCGATGTCGATTATTTGGGCTTCAGTTAGGGCTGTGTCCTGTTTGTGGTGGTAGAACTTTTTTATTGGGGTTGCGGTTGAGAGGGTGAGGAAGATGGTGGTAGTAAGAGCGATGGACCACATATTGATGGAATGTATAATCTGGCTAGTTGGTATAGCAGGGGAATAGATGAGTATGGAAGAGTTGAAATGTGCCGGATAATATAGTAACTAATGAAGGTTGTTGTCGTTGCCGAAGGCTGATGCTGGTGTCGATGTAGTGGAGTTTGGAGAAAGGAGGGGCTTATAAGTACTCCCTAGCATATCTGAATGGGGTGGGAAGGAGGCGGGGAACTTCATTAAAGTCATAGATTCCGCTGGGAAATGCTCAATGCTATGTGTAGGTGTAGGCGACAAAGAGGCGTGCCAGGGATTCTCGCGGAGAATGCCACGGAGTATGTGCTCCACGATAGGACCAACGCATCACAACTGAAACTTGGTCATAGATTCCACTGTAAATACATTCCTATAATTAAACTCATTGACATCGAACCACTATTTGCTTTGAACCATAGAAGGCCTTGAATGAGGAAGCAGTTTCGGGGTCTGAAACTAGGGTTCGCGGGTAGCGTATCAGATCGTAGACAAAGGGTCTGTGATCGGCATCTGGGGTAAGTTAGGTATTCACGAATTGAAGATTACAATTTAAGATCATTTACAGTCAAATTCAGGTTAGCATTAATAATCATTCTTGGGAGTGAAATCTGCATGTACAAACGTTCTTAGAGATATTTAACTTGCTCCCCTGCGTCGCCACCAAAGGAAAACCAAAACAATCACAAGACATACAGGAATCGATTTTGCTGGCTTAATGTATGCTTAATGTATGTTAAGACTATGTGTAAGTTATAGTCAAAGTGCATCGTAGGAGGATATTCAGCTGAAACTGGCCCTGCTAGGAGCCATTCATATTCATCAATCCCCAGAGATATCAGACCCATGCAAAGATCAGAAATTGCAAGTCCTCCGACCCCACGAATCATAATCTAGCTTTGTTTACAAATTGATAAGGGTAAATAGGGGACAAAAAAGAAGAAGAAAAAGAAGCAGAAGCCCAGAGCTACCGGGAAAAGAACGGTCGCCCATCTCCAGCAATAAATAAAGACAGAAGACCCAAATGTGCTCCAGGTGAAAGCGTCAACCCCGGTTCCCGCCACGGAATTGAGATCACCATGCATGCGCTCCCAAACGAAAATAAATAATAAAAGTTGTACAATAAATGCTGATGCAGATCGTGTCAAAGGCCGTATCGATACACAACAAATACAAAAGGAAAATGATGACGAAAGTCGAATCTTTTTAGTCGTCACGGCGACCGAGTTCGTAAGAGGTCTCTGTGACGCCGGCCGATTCTTCGTCTTCCTTGAAACTGACCCGTCGGAGCAAGGTGGGCATCATGCGTCGCGCACGCCGGGTGGGCGAAGAAGATGGACGGGACGGGCTGATAATGGAGGGCAACTTGGTGTAGCGGTAACGGTACTGGGCTCCCAGGAGCATCACACGGCCATAGGTCCACCAGAGGCAGATTCCGACAACACCTGCTAGGGCAAAGCCCATGATAGTCAGGAACACCCAGTGTTGACCCATCTAATTCTAAGTTAGTTTTATTTTCATAGATTTGGGGATCCACTCAGGTTACGTACCCAAAAGATAAAGCGCGCGTCCTTTCCGTGCCAGCTGTTTCCAGTGTGGTGGGTAAAGAAGCTCCAGGAGAAGCGGTTGTACTCGTCCTGCATCAGAATGCGCACACGAGCTGATTCACTGGGCTTCTCTTGCATGTACTCCTTCCAGATCACGGACAAGAAAAGCGGACCGGTCGTGTACATGACCGTCACGTAGGGGAGCAGCCAGCTGCGGTCGTACTGTTGCAATAACTCAATTGTGCGTAGGAAGAAGGGGTGTTGAGGAACGGAGCCCATCGCGTCGTTGGAGATACCAGTAGGCACAGTGCGGCGCACCCAAGCTGGGTAGGCGAGCAGGGGGTCGAGGCGACGGTTGCAACCCTAAATCAAAGTTAGTACCTATTAAATTCATTTCCGATAATCTGATTGCTGGATATACGTACGTCGTCTAAATCGATGTATGTGCCACCATAGTGCGCCAGAACGAAGTAACGAATGGAATCTGCGCGCTGGATGGGGTACTTGTAGCCGTCGAAAGTATCCAAGAACCAGGGGTATTCCGCAGCGATGAAATCGCGCGACTTCTCGTTGGTCCAGAGCTAAGGATCATTATTAGCACCACTCATCGCCTTCTCTATGGTTTCAATTGCTAAGCAACGTACAATATACTCATAATCCGGGTGCAGATCAATGCAACTCTTCTGAGCTTCGACCCAGACCTCAGGAATGGTCTCGTTCTTGTAGGTCTGGTGAATGATCTTGGGGATGATCTGAGGGCGCGTTTCAATTAAGCTGGAATTGGGCGACGGCAGTTCCGAACGGTGAATGGCGTCTGCAGCGGCATCCTCGACTAGTAGCGACAAGAGTGTCGAGACACTGCGAATTAAAAATGATAGGATAATGAGGTTGACCAAGATAAAAATCAAAAGTCCGCGCCGCATGGTGAAATGTGAGACGGAATTGAACGTCCGCTTAGCAAGGAGTACAAAGGCGACAAATTGTAAATTACTCAAGAATTTGGGATCGTGAAGAAGGTCGTAGTCGTATCGAAAGTCTTAGGGAGCTCCGAGGCTGCGAGATAAGCAGAACCACTGGAGAAATGCCCAAGGCGCCGGGGCGAAGGGAGGAGGAAGTGTTGTCTTAGCGGTGGGTCATGAACGGGATTGGCGACAATTGAGGATGTGGAAAAGTTGTTGAGACCACGCGGGAAGAGTAGAAAAGGAACGGTAATAAGGAGTGACGGGTGGGGAAGAACTAAAGCTAAAATAGAAAAGGAGTGTCGTTGAGGGAATGAGGGCAAAAGCAAGTACCAGGGGACGAGTATGGTACCAGTACAGAAAGGGGGCGAAGTTCGATGTTACGCTTTTAAGCCTGTGGCTGGAGTTGAAGGGTTCCACTCACCATGTAAGTTTAGTACCCAGTCATTACCAAAACCAGACAAGTCTCGCCGCGCGTTAAGCTTTGCAGTACCTGGATTGGTGGAGTCGCAGTACCGGTGGGGGCAACTTGCCCTTCTTACTCGCTCATTTTTTCTCCTGGATTACGCAGACTTTTTGGCGGAGTGGCTTGCCCTTTTAACTTGCTGCCTTGTATACGAACAGCATACTCCAGTTCGTCGCGATCTATGATGCTGGATCTTATCATCGGAATTTGGTCAGGGGGGATCAATAAAGCTGCTTTTCCATTACCGTATCGTACTGCAGAATACGAATCAATGCCGAGGCACGCCAAGTGCTTAGCCTTTATCGCCTAGTCCAAACCGTAAGAATTTGCCTCAAAAGCCAAATCCTTTTTTTTCCCTCTGTACGTTTAGATTGCGTCAAACTGCCACGAGGTCCATCGTTCGGCCGTAGAATACCCCGTTGGACACCCCGTAGGACACGGATTCGCCCCCAACCATAATCATAATTAGCTCCAACCCCATGCATCGACGGCACATAATTAACTATTTATAAATTGTCTCTTCCGCCTAAACCATCGTAATCGTAAATGTGTCCCTATTGATGGGGGGATTCGAAATAGTTGAATTAGTGCATGAAACGGCAGAGAAATGGGAGTTTAAATTCCCCCCAAAAAATCAAATAAAATCCCACGTACTCGTATCACTCTGGGGAGGACCAAACTCGACGCTAACCACCGCTTAGTCACCGGTGGCTTGTCCGCAGCACACCCCACCCACACTAGGCCCAATCGGGACGGTCGTTAAATGACCCCTCCTCTGCGCCCCCCAGAACTGCCCCAAGTAAGCGTGATCTGAATCTGGTACACTGAAACATGGAGCCTTAGGCGGTAACCCCGTTCCTAACCCACTGGTCAAAACCCACACCATGGTTCGCTCCAGTCGGGTTCAGGCATTTCCATTTCCTTTCTTTTTTTGGCGAGGGTCTACTGTAAGCGGACTTTAAGATAACGAATCCCTTTCCCACACGACTTCATCGGCCGAACGGGATCCCGGTTTCCGATTTTTTCATAATATTATAGTATCTTATTATAGTATAGTATTAGAGTATGTTATTTCTTTATCTTCTTTTTTTTTTCTTTTGTCTTTTCCTGCTTGGTAAGGAATTATCCGTGCTTTTCTCCAGACAAAGCTACGGTTCGTCTTCACCTAAAACAGGTCCCGATCTGCGCCTCCTGATGGGAATGACGTACGTTCCCAACACTATACGGGACCCTCTACACAGTGGCTGATCCTTGATCGGCCACGCTTGTTTCTTTTGTGGGAGGTGCCACGGTAGTTGAGATTAGTTTACTATACGGAGTACAGGTAATACAAATGAGCACTCCGTACATGAAGGCTTATACACACCACATGTCAATTTTTTAGATCATATTTTACAGGGCCTTATCAGCCCTAACCGGATCGGTATATTCTACTGTCTTCTACTGTTCGATGCCCTTTTGGGACCAGGCCCCCAATGGATCAGACGCATGGGATCCAGAATGTAGAGTGGCGGCCTAATACTAATCGTCATCTGTCGTCAGCACAGACGGGGAAAGGGCCGATCTGTATGGGGCGGAGTATGGGGCTGCGAGGCTAGTACCAGCTTTACTCTGATTGTGCATCGTAGTTACCTAGTTAGGAATGAATAGCCCAGCAAGGGACCAGGGCAAATTATTGCCTGCTATTATGACGTCGCACATGCAAAGTTATTTTTTCATTTTTTTCAATTGAATATTCACAAACAGGTCGGGTATCTATCGCAATGTAACGCTAAGAAATGATGCAAATCTCTCGACAATCTTGCGAGATAAAGGGTTTTCAAACATGCCATGGCACAGCATGAGCATAAGCAACTTCGTCCTGCCAACCACTCGGTCACACTCCAAGTCTCCCTGCCAGACACAATGGGTAACTCGCCCCAGAATCAACCAGCAGGGCCCGGCCCTTGCGCCATTCCATGGGTTGCAACCATTCGTGCCAAGTGTGAACAGGGTTTTCGGTAATCAGCAGAGCGACGCAATTGATTTCGACAAAGATGTACTGCTATCCCTTGCAATGTCCTTCGGATCAAAATGATTTCCTTTCCATTGGCAGGGTTCTAGAACCCCATAACAAGATTATCGCACCTCAGGCGCCGCTGCCGCCGCAAACTCGCGGTTGACATTCGTCGCGTCGGTCGGCCGGTCGACAGCCTGCTCAAAGAGCCGCCGCCACCACATGGGCGGATCAAGAGGCCGGTGGCCACCATGCAGCGTCGGGTAGACATCATTGAAAAAGTACCAGACATGACCCACCACAATGCCACACATCTCGTCCTTGGGAACAATGCGATGCACGACCAAACTGAAGGCCATGAGGACCCACGGGAGGTAAGGAGCTGTAAAGACCAGCAGACCCAAGAAGCTTAAACGTGTCTCTGGGTTACGACGAGCCCAGATATAGACAAGGCTAGACGAAAGGGCGGTACCGAGAAATGGTAGTGATAGGAAAGGTGAGATGATGAGGAGTGAGGACATGGCGTAGAAGATGAGCCAGGCAAAGTGCGCTGGGGAGCGGCCGGAGGATTCCTCCAGCAGGCGGGAGTATCGTTGGAGGAAGAAAACATGGAATAGGAGATCGAGATTGAGCGGACCGAAGTAGAGGAATGTTGTCAAGAGGCGCCAGTACTGTGATTTAACGTAGACGGCGCGGAAGCTATAGAATAACTGGAATGGGGTGACGATGTGACACTGCACGAGCACCGAGGTTGCCACGGTGGCAACTGTCCACCATCGAGTAACGGGGGGCATCTCATAGAACCACTGCTCCAGTGGAAACTGGCCCATCTGCCCGTTATTCTCCCACAGTGCAGCCATAATGTCGAATGTGAGTGGGGTGGACAGATGAGGTAAGGACAAGTGGAAGTTAATAACCTTAAGAGCAGGCGATTAGAGTGAAGCTTATCGGTGCACGTGACTGGTGACGCGCGCGCGTAGGAGCGGTCACGTTCCAGGTGTCATCGTGAAGAGCTAAGACCAATTAGTTCATATTGACCTTCCCAGCCCCTTCAATATCACTCGTGATTTTCGTTACTTTTCTTCCCTTTCCTGTCGAGTTTCATTTGTAATCTTATCGATCCCTTTTGGAAACCCTAATTCATCTATTCCATCATAATCTCCTCGACCACACCCCTGCAAGGGATTCTCATTCCTCGACGCGTGCCCCCCATAAGCGGGAGAAATCAATCGCTCAAACCACCAAATCCACCCCGCTAAAAACCCAATTGTTCATCACCATTAAAACACCCACAATGCCCACCAAATCAGCCAAACGATTGGTTCCCGGAAGCCCTGCAAAGAGCCCTGGAAGACCTCGCAAGAGCGCACCAGCCGCAGAAACAACCGAAGGATCACCGAGCGCAGCGCGCAAGTCAACAGCTGGCAAAAAAGTGACAAAAGCCAACGCAAAGCGAACATCCAATGTCCAACGTACGTTGCCAACAAACACAATCTCCCTTGATCTCAATAAAATTCCATATGATCCAGAGCGCTAGACTTACAAAAATCACAGCCGGGGATCCCACACCCACAGGCCGTCGTCGCCGATACAAGCCCGGCACCGTCGCATTGAAAGAGATTCGCCGCTACCAACGCTCTTACGACCTTTTGATTGCTAAGCTTCCATTCGCCCGCCTCGTCCGTGAAGTCGCACTCGACCTCCTCCCCGCAGAGGTGGGCGCCACGTTGCGCTGGCAATCTATGGCAATCCAGGCATTGCAGGAGGCTGCAGAAGCTTTCCTGGTGCATTTATTCGAGGATACAAACCTTTGTGCGCTGCATGCGAAGCGAGTAACCATTATGCAGAAGGATATTCAGCTTGCGCGCAGAATTCGGGGAGTTTGGGCAGGTCTCGGCTAAACGCCCGTTTCCTCTTCCTTTCTCCTCTGGTCTGGTTTTCTATTTTCGATTGATTGATCAGTCACGCAAAAGTGACCTTGCTCTTTCATTTTCCTCCTGGGGGTTTCATTCGCGATCCTTTAATCTCATCTTTATTGCGGGGTTGAGCAGAGGCCGAAGACGGAACATTCGCGTTTCAAGTTCCGGATTTAAGCGTGATCTGTTGGCGTATTATGGTTATGGTGTTGACCGGGTGGTTTCTTATTCTGTCGTGTATTAATTTGTTTTTCTTTTAATGTCTTGTCCCTGACGCGAGTGAGTTGCACCAAGCTGTTCGCTGTGATGTCCCCGTCGGGTTCGATTATACCAGGGAGTTTGTACATTAGCATGGATGCTGGGGTTTTTGGTTGCCTTTATAGATAGTATGGTACAGAAATGAAACCAGGGTCTGCATTTAATGACTGCACGGGCCTGTCATTTTGATTCTATCACATTCATTTCCAACTTATAAAGACTCGAGACTCGAGTCTCGGTATCTATACCTCGTGCTGGATTCTCCGAAGAGCTATTCATTCAATTGATGCAAGAGAAAACCCCCATACGCTATGCAGTCATCACGCTGGAACAGAAACCAAAGGATAAGAACGCCGTGTCCATTATGTATGGAATGGTATCATAAACGAAGTGCCTCTCCAAGTAAATCATAAGAATAGAAAAAAGAGCATTATCACTGATAAGCAATTGGCGACTGACATAAACATCCAATGTATCAATGACATTAAGCTGGTCGCTTCAAGCCAGGTGGGAGTCCCATGATAAGTCGCTGACCTTCCTCACGGACACCTTGAGCTTCATCGCCTTTACCCTGTCGTTCCAGAGTATCCGCTAGCATCTCATCCGTTACACTAGCCCAAAGGCGATCATTGGCCCTCTTAGCCATGGCTCGACCAGCCCGCGCACTCTTTTCAGCTTGTTCACCAACCACTCCGCGGAAGTACTTCCAGCTCATGAAAGTCAGAGTCATACATGTGATCTGACTGTTGCTGATAGCCGTGGCAGACTGCAGCGCTTGCTGAAGGTATTGCTTGGTCTGGATAGTCGACTCAGTTTGGACAGTGGCGCAAACTAGAAAATAGGCTGCCTGGATGTATTTGTTCGGACTGGAAGAACAGAAAGATTCGAGGGTTGCCATCACTGTTGGAAGATGAGAATGTGACGGGTGTGCAGGATCGCGAATAAGGAGGACTGTGTTGAGTGCGGCAAGAATGGATGTATCACGGCAAGGGTCATTGCGTGTCGTCTTGCTAGCTGAAGGTGAAAGTGACAATAGAGGCGATTGAAAGATGTTGAAGGCACCGGCGAGATCTCCCGTAGCCTGAGCAATGGTGCCAGCGGCATATTCCATCAGGCACTCGACAGGCTTGGGGATATTGGGTCCGATATCTTGAACGACCTGTCGTAGTTCCTTGAGAGATGTACTAGCCATATCCCAGTCGGTTCGGGAGCAAGCCAAGAAAACACGCTGCAAGAGGAAACTGCAGTACAGAGATCGGCGCCATTCGACACGCCGTGCAGCGTTCGCCATGGACTCCGGGATTTCTTGTGGAGCAGTAAATGATCCTTAAAGATAAAGTTAGACCATTACCTGGAAAGTTAAAGCAGTAATCAACATGGGGGTCTCGTACCTTGAATCATTCGAAGCCCCTCGTCAAGATATTTCTCAGCCTTGCGACCATCATATGAATTCTTAGCACTCAACGTGATCGAGCTCAGGAAATAAGATAATGCATAGAGATCATGTTGAGGAAGCCAATTGAAGCTCAGGAGCAGAGTGCCACTCTCAACTTGAAGGATATCTCCTGTGTCAATAGAAGATGGCCCGGCAGACTTGCCATTCAGTGGAACAGAAAATGAACCATCGGATCGCCAGTTGGAATTACTGAGTGTTTCATCCACCAACGATTGCATGACCTTGAGCTTTTGGGCGGACTGGTTGACATCGTATTCAAGAATGCTGCAACAGATATCGACCATCTGAATCAAAGTGACAAGCTGAGGGATATGACGGAGCTCGTCATTTAACTGGTGGCTTCGTGCAATAGCTACTGCACGCTGTGCCTGCTCAATAGAATCAGAGCTACCACCCTGTTGCAGATGTGCCAGAGCTTCGATGACGGCCGCCATGGCTGAGACAGCCTTGTCTCCGTTACGAGTGGCCATGGTTGAAATCTTATTCAGGTGTTGAAGAGCCTGAACAGAGTCTTGGTGAGATGGAGAAGACAGCGACAACGAGACTCGAAGGAACCGGAATGCATACTCCCAGGCCGCATGGCGATACCTGCGTACGTTAAAAACAGTTTTGAATGCAGGCTTAATGTTGACTTACGCCTCGACATCTTGGATCATGCCATCGACAGCTTTGAGGGAAGCTTTGGGGTTGGTTTTGTGGAGCATGCGTGCTAGAAGGTGCTGCATACTGTATTTCAAGTCCAGCATGCGGTTCTGCAACAGTCAATACAATGTAAGATCCAGCATGATATAATTGCACTTACCCGCTCACAAAGGTCAATACCCTTGCTCAGAGCTGTCTCCGCCTCAATATCATTTTCCGTCTCCTCAAACAACGTGCGCGCATAGCGAAGTCGCACAAGAGCTTCTTTCCGAGGCGCCAATCTCCAATTCTGTTAATACGGTCAGTTGGCAAATGCAGACAAAAAAGAATAAAAAGGAATGACTGACTTTCAACACAGCTTCTAAACATCCAAGCCCTGTTGAAACCAGCTTATAGTACTCCTCCACATCCGCTGGGTGAGATAACAGCGCGGTCTGCGTCCCCTGGCGGTGAGCGGCATTTAGATATTCGTCGGCCAGCGACAGTAGCAAGACTTGATAGTCAACCGGGGGCTTGTTAGACTTCATTACTTTGTCACCGGTTTTTTGAGAAGGCTGCTTTTTCGGTTGCGGAGGTTTTTGGGGCTGCTGCTTTTGCATACTGATTCTGAAGTCTGGGGAAGGTGCTGGAACCAGTACTTGTGGGATGGCATGGACAACCGGCAAGGAGGTAGATTTGGGATGGGGGAGTTCGGATGGGGCTGACACCTTTGGTGTTGATGGTGGCTTTGGGGTTGGTGTTTGCTTCAAAGTGAGTGTTTGCTTTGAAGCAGGTGTTTGTTTTGGAGTAGGTGGTGGATGTTTCTCGGCCTTCACAGTTTGTGGAATTTGAAAGCTCGACTGTCCTTGGAGAGGCTGTGGGTTGCTCGGAGGACTCGCTGGCAGAGCAATCTGAGCTATCGGAGCACTTTGAGCCAGGGGTGGTTGAGGGAGAGATGGTGAAGAAGTAGTGGGCAGAGGGACCAAAGGTAAATCAACCGCAGAGGAGGACGTCAAGGCGCTTGGATCAACATATTGTGATGACGATGTGTACCAAGACCGTGGCGCGAGAGGCAGAGGTGGCTCGACGAACAAATTGGCTGGATTGACAAACTGATGTGCAGGCTCACTTGGTGGCAGCGACGGAGGTTGCTGAACATGAGACTGCTGAATATGAGACTGCTGCACCTGGGATTGCTGCGCCTGGGATTGTTGCACCTGGGATAGCTGTACATGAGATTGCGGTACCTGGGACTGCTGCAGCTGTGGTTGCTGTACATGAGATTGCGGTATCTGGGACTGCTGCACCTGTGGTTGCTGCACCTGTGGTTGCTGCACCTGTGGTTGCTGCACCTGTGGTTGCTGCACCTGTGATTGTTGTGCCTGCGGTTGCTGTACGCGAGGTTGCTGCACGGGAGATTGTTTCACAGGCGGTGGTTTATTAGGAGCCGGGCGTGATATGCTCTGCTGTCGCTGGGCTTTTTGGACAGGGGACTGCGGGGGCCTCAGGCGAGGAGATTGCAGCTGTTCGGTTTGTTGGATGATCGGAGATTGACGAGGTTGAATATAAGGCTGCTGCTGCTGCTGCTGCTGCTGCTGCTGCTGTCGCGGAGATTGTAGTGATTGGGGTTGTTGGAGGATTGGTGATTGACGTGGCTGAATATAAGAGTGCTGCTGCTGTTGCTGTCGCGGCGATTGGAGCTGTCGAGGCTGTTGAAGTATCGGGGATTGATGCGGCTGAATATAAGACTGTTGTTGCGGCAATGGACGAGGGGACTGATGTTGCGCATGAGATATCATCGGTGACTGCGGTTGAGTATGAGGAAGTAAAGGCTGCTGTGGTCGAGGACGAGGGGATTGTTGCTGCTGATGCGGCTGAGGAATTCGTGGTTGGGGTTGAGGCTGGAGTTGCTGTTGCTGATGAATGAGGGGAGATTGTTGCAACTGCGGCGGCTGCATATGCTGCTGTGGCTGATGTTGCTGAAGGAACTCCTGGTATGCCGAAGGATACGGCATCATGCCTGGTGGGTAGGCCGGCGGCTTGCCATAGCCATTATTATATGGCGATGGCGAAGGGGTCGCAACATTGTTGTATATCAACTGCGGCGGGGGGACGTGGCCGGACTGGTACTGCGGGTGAGGGATATACGGGTATTGACCGGAATTGGGTGGTGGGAAGCTCATCGCCCCGATATACGCTGTCACCAAGGGAAGCTGTCCGATGTACCAAACGCGCGGGACGAAAGATCACTGATGCTTTCCGCGTCGGGGCGGAGAAACTCGCGGCGGTCAGCTGATAAGCGTCGCGATACCAAATTACAAGTATAAGGATTTGCGCAGAAAGTTCCGATATTAAAATCTGCATCACTTTCTCTCTATACTAGCAATTACTATACATCCAAAAAAAGGGAAGATTATATCCTGACTCCCAAATGCTCCCGGTAACGCCATGATTAAGAATTCAAAAGAACAAAAAAAAAAAAGCCAACGCTTCAAAACCTTGCGATGCACGTCCTAACGCGATAACCGAAAAAATGCTTCATAACATGCGAATCGACGAATATAACGAATCCATAGGCCGCTCGTCAGTAGCAGGTTGGAGGACTTCTTCGTCTATGCTGGGCGTAAAAGTGAGAGGCGGATGTTCTCGCACCGTCCAGGGACAGAGCTCATTGCAATTCTCCACACTGATTGATGGTTCGGCCGGATGAATCCTTTGAGCAGCCCAGGTTGTATCAGGTTCTGCTCCAGTGCCTCCAAGGGATCTCTCAGTGTAGAAAGAATAAGTGACCTTGCCAGATACATCCGTTTGAAAGGAATGTTTTCGATGGCACTTGAGTGTGGTGTTGCAGGTGGCGCAGACTGAGATCCGTCGACATGAGGCACAGAAATTGTCAAAGAGTCGGCAGATGGTAGTTTGATAAACACTGGAGAGCCAAAGATCGACGGAACGGTGTGCACATCCGAATCGAGGGGTCATGTATTCCTCCTTGCCAACCTGGCCCGACTCAGTGGTGAGCTGGTACTCTGTACGCATGACCAATTGATTCTCCTCGTTGAGTTCGGGGAATAGAGACACTTTGAGGCCTGTGGGGCCATATTGCTCAGTGCATGTGTGCCAGCAGTATCGATTCGAGACCGTACTTCCATATTCAGTTCCCAGAGCATCCAGCATGGTCTTCCGCACTCGCAGATCGTCTGCGAGGTTCAACTTGTCACGGAATGTCAATTTCTTGCATGGACATAAATCCACAATCCCCGCTAGCTCGCCCAAGTTGCATGTGCGTTCATCAGGCTTGTGCCTTAATTCTCGGGATGAAAATGCGGATCGAGGGTGTAGCTTCAGACACTTGGAGCACAGTCGCCATCGCGAGTTTTCCAGTAGGGACATAAACTGCCAACGCGGCGTAACAAAGTTGTGTCCGTTGCGGTAATGGTGAAATAGAGGCGCAAAATCACGAGTAAATCGCAGAGACTTGGAACATAGGATTTCCCCCGAGATGGCGAACATGCGTTTGCAGGTTAAGGCAAAAGCAGCCTCCGGGATCAGGGTCAGATGTGAAATAATCTCCAGTAGTAGCTCGGTGGGCAGTTCCATTAGATAAGAGCGACCCGCTTCCTCTTTCTGCTGTCTCCGTGAACGAGTTGTTGGCCAGGATTTCATCTTCATGATCATTTTGAACTTGCTTGTTGCTCGTAAGAAACGTTCTGGTATTCCAGAGGACGACAACGTTAACGCCATGAATAAGTGCGAGTCCAGAGCCTTTTGATCAGAAGGGGCCTTTCGAGAATCGTTTTTATGACCAGGCCGCATGCGAGATTTGGAGAATGATTAGGATGCTGTATATCGGGTCTGCGGCAGGGTATGCTGAAGTACCATATTGGAGTAAAGACGACATGTATCGCGTGACGAGCAGGAGGCAGCACCTTCAGAGGGAAAAGAGAATAAAAAAAAATCATGTGGATCTGTTGACCTTAAAAGAAGGCTTCAGACCGATAAAGTTGCACGAAAACGGACCATGGGATTGGGTCACAGAAGGTTGCGGGCCATGTTATCAGCATTACATACTCCTAGTATAGGGCTGGGGGTGGGAACGGGGAAGATCACCGTTCTCTGTCTGATGATCCCCGATGCAGCCTCAGCCTTTTTCCCTCCCTTTTCTCCTTATTTTCCTATTTGTTCCTGAAATCACAAACCCGGACTATGTCTTAAAATCTTATTGTCCAGGGGTTTTCACTCCACGAGATTTACCGAAAGCTGTTAAAGAGTCGCCGCATGCGGAAATTAGTTTGCCGCTTTGGGCATCATCGCATCATCACTTGTATTTTTGGCCGAAGAATGTTTTCTACAACCAGGGAGAATATTGTCCGCATCCATGATCAAGATTAATTAATTATGACCCTGTCAAATGATGGAGGATTTGGTTTGTTAATCCCATGACGTCCACAACTGGAAGTGCCGATCGATGCATAGCCCTGAGTCCGTGACTTCCTGCTGACCAATATGGAGCGGGACCGTCGTCCCTGTATCTGGACATCACGTGACAGAAATCGTGCATTATGCGCATTACCAGATAGAGTTGCGCCGCTGACTCACTGTGCATACATCCCGTGACATTGCATAACCACTCAGCCGAGGTCCCTTTCTTATCAGGTTTAGCAGGGATCCAATAGAAGAAAAAAAAATTTTGAGGTTGCATACATCAATCGCATAGCCTTGTCTGCATATTTGTTTGATTCTTTTACGATTCATGTCTGATTTCACATCAGCGCTGCTCATATCATTCCCTCTAACCGCCCTCTTATCGGGGTTATTAGCGATGGGCCTGTTGTCATGGGTTCGTCCAAGCGGTCGGATCACCTTTTATCACGCTAAGGACAATAAACTTCTGTTGACCAAAGCCGGGAAATCGGGTGCTAAGGAACAAACATCCCTCGTGGATGTCTGCCGCAGCGCAACTCCCGACACCTGCCATCTCAACCCACTTTTGTTCAACGGCCATCTGCAGACCGGCTGGACCGTGTTTAAGCATGATAATGTTCCGGTGTATTATAAGCGGAAGATCTTTGAGTCCGAGACCCAGATGCTCATGGGACAATATGCAGTCGACTTTGTCGTAAAGCCGTATGACATGCCCCCCGAGGGTGAGCTGACAGACCAAGAGAGGAAGTATACGCAACCCTCTGGTCTGCCCCCTCGTACATCTTTCTATTCCGAGGCAGAAATTGCGGATCTACCTTCCAATGACACCAAACCCATGCTTGTGCTTCTGCATGGTTTGAGCGGTGGTTCTCATGAGCTATACTTGCGACATGTCCTGGCCCCCCTCATTGAGGATGGCTCATGGGAGGCTTGTGTGGTGAACGCAAGAGGATGTGCGCAGACCAAGATCAGCACAGGTGTGCTCTACAATGCACGGGCAACCTGGGATGTCCGTCAAACTGTGAAATGGCTTCGAAAGACCTTCCCGAACCGCCCACTTTATGCGATCGGCTTCTCACTTGGGGCTAACATTCTCGCCAATGTATGTTTCTATCGGAAGGTAGTTTGGCCAGCAGGATCGAGACTAACTCTTCATAGTATCTCGGAGAGGAAGGAGAGGATTGCCAAATCAAGGCAGCTGTGATTTGCGCTAGTCCATGGAACTTGGATATCAGTTCAGCCACACTGCTTCAGACCTGGATTGGTCGGGAAGTGTACAGCAAGACCATGGGAACTAGTATGAAAGCGCTATTTGAAAAGTAAGTTTCTTTGTGGGGAAAAAAGCATAAATCCAGCCAGCTAAGATATATCAGACACGTCGATCAAATCTCTCACAACCCTCGTATCGATGTCGAAGCAGTGAGGAAAATCACTTACTTGCATGAATTTGACCGGTAAGCAAATATGTCGATTATTTGATATCAAACTTCTGACTCGAAAATACAGGGCCCTGCAATGTCCGGCATGGGGCTACCCTACCGAGGGCGCATACTACCGTGACGCTGCATCCACTGATATAATGCTAAACATTCGCATCCCATTCATGTGCCTACAGGCAGAGGATGATCCTGTTAGTCTTGAACCGTCTCTTCCTATCGTTCGCTACTGACGGCAAGTAGATTGCTACACGCGAGGCATTGCCATTCCAAGAAATGACTCAAACACCATATGGCGTCATGGTGACTACCTCTTGGGGTGGCCATCTAGGATGGTTTGAACTTGGTGGAGCTCGGTGGTTTGCTAAACCAGTAAGTTGACGAATTGAGACCATTTTGCGGTCAGACATACTGACTGATTTCACCAGGTGAACAACTTCTTGAACATGATGGCCAATGAAATTGACCATCAGATTCCTGGTATCGTTGAGAACCCAGACAAGCTGCCTGGCAAGATTGTCAACGTTCCCGGCTTGGACAAAGATGCAGACCTGGCGCCAAAGCCTGAGTACAGCGTCCTACGCCGCAGGATGGATATGAAGATGGCGCTGTAAACAAAATCGTGAAAGGCGCGGTACTACACACGACCATGTGATAGATTTCGAATAGATTCCTGATACAATTCGAGTACATACATTATAGATTCGATCATAGCACGAAGTGAAATAATGGTTTTTTGGGAATGGAAAAAATCATCCATGAAATTGTCATGAATTCATCAATCTTCGGAGAAACTCCTTAAATATGACCAACGCTATTCACAATATTTTGGATCTGACAGATGTAAAGATAAACCCCCGTACAAACGCCGAGCCCATTCTAGGTACATAATGGTATAGACAAAATTTTCCTTAAGCAAAAGAAACACTTTTCCGCTTCGGCTTGGACGACTTTGCGCCCTTGGCGGATGTCGAGGCCTCGCTCGACTTCTCGTCACTGCCCTTGCCCTTCTTCGCGTTCCGAATAGAGTCCTTGACGGCTTCCAACTTCTTGGACTTCACTGCCTGTCGAGCCTCCATCTCCTTGTGTCTGGCGTCACGTATCTCCTCCAGTTTGCGTGCCTTGATCATCTTTGACTCGATTTGGCCGTCTTTCTCAGCGTTGACCATTGCAAGAATTGTCATCATACCCTCCTGTACCACGAAAAAGAAGTATTGTTAATCATAATTGTCTTGGTGAGGGGAAAAATAGCGTACCTCATCATCCACAAAGGTCTTTCCCTTCTTCTTGCCCTTGGGCTTCACAACACCAACCGGTGTGATCGTATTTAACTTGGGCAGGTTAAGCTCGGCCTCTGTGTAGACACGCTTCTTCTTCTTCGCCAGGTTTTCCTTTTCGGTACGCGCCTTGGTCTTCATTTCCTTTGGCGGGGGACGCTTGACATTCTTCTTGCTGGACTTGCTCACACGCGAGGCGGAGGACAGAGATGATGGCTTAGAGCCCTTAGCACCACCTGAGGAGGCACCCTTGGAAGAGCCTTTGGTAGGCGCCATTTTGGGTAGCGCGAGGAAGGTTTGGAGGGTAGGTTGACTTGAGATCGAAATGCGCCGAGGGCGATATCGTGGTATGAGGTAAAAATGGGTAATTCGGCGAGGGTTCTGAAATTAGCACAGTCACGCCAAATTGAAATACAATATGGAACCAATGACCAAAAGTGCAAGTATTGAACCAAAAGCAGGAAAATTGGATTAGAACTGGCCGCTCAATCGTCGAATCCAAAAAATTGTTAGGAAAATTTTAGAAGGGGAAGGCGGTGAGGCACCCGGGCCACCACTCAACCTCGACTACGAAACCTCCGTCCCACCAGAGCTCACTAGCGACCAATTCTCTCTTTTCGCCGCCAGAGATTGTACTCTCACTGGATTGAGGGGATACCGAGAGAACCGCCAGCATGACTATCAACCCTACCTACCTCGCGCAACGAACGCGTTCCTGTACGTGTCCTTCCTTCGTCGATCTCCCCGAGGAGTTCCGATCGCCAGCGAGCGGCCTCCTACAATTGAAGCCTACGAACGATCACAAGGTGCTAACTAGCTTTAATTAGCCCTCAACTTGAACGATGCGAAGTTCCGAGTCCTCAAGTCTTACCGGGAGTGGTTGCGCGCCGTCAGTATACCCCAGATACCCAGACCCACGTCTTGACCAATCGTTGCGGGAGATATGGTCAGCACAACTTTAGGTCGGATCACCAGCTAACATGATATTCGATGTACTATAGTCCCCCGAGATCCAGACCATGTACTCCTTGAACATGCCCGTTTCCGTTATCCGTACCAAGATTCGCCAGGAGTTCGAGAAGCACCGCTACGTCAGCCAATTGAGCGTCATTGATGTTTTGCTCTACCAGAGCCACGCCGAGTTCCAGGTCAGTCACAAGACTCAGAATGGGGCCTGGAGATTTATTTACGGGAGATATAATGCAACGGAATGCCATTGACCCTTGTGTCTTGCACCCGTGCTTGTATCCCCGCTTACTGAATTCCTAGCCACCAAATAACTCTTATTGGGCTTTTTACTAACACCTATCCAGGAAACCCTCAACTACTGGAAGCAGCTGTCTCACGTCATGAAATACTTCCGCGCAGAAGAAGACCCGGGCGCACGACTACCACGCAACTTCGTGTCGGGCTTCCTGGAGGGCCGCAATTGAAAAGACTGTTTTACGTAACCCATCCACTGCTTCTTTTTTCTTTTTACTAAGTGCCAGTCCGTGTGGCAGCTCGTGGGACGCCATCGACGGAGACATAACGTGTACATATTGTCTGAGTAGGTCGCCAAATCATTTCTATTTCCTTCAAGACTTCAGTCCAGGGACGCATTTTGCTGTAGATTTCATACGAGTGAACAATATACATCTACAATTTTGTCTTCAAGTTCAATCAAGCCAGTGACCTTCTATAAGTCATTTCAATTTCCTCCAGGGTTTCTCCCCTAGCCAAAGATCAAATTTCGCACCCATCCACTTCGCGCGGATCTTACCTTCCGGCTAATTGGAGCATCCGGCGCAAAAGCGTCAAACCCATGCCAGCACCCCGGCCACACATGCAACTCAGTTGAGACACCCGCTTTCCATAATTTAGACGCATAATCAACGTCCTCATCTCGAAAAACATCGGCATCACCGACATCAATCCAAGTCGGCGGCAAGCCCCTGAGGTCCCTCGCACGCGACGGAACAGTATAAATAGTAACATGTTCCCGATTCACACCCAGGGCATAATTGCATGCATCAATACTGTTCGATCTCGTCCACGGCGCAAGATCCGCAAATTGCATCATAGAATGAGTGATGTTACTATCATCCAGCCAGGGATACATCAACAACTGGCCTCGAATCTGTGGCCCGGACCGATCACGCGCTAACAGAGTCACACCAGCAGCAAGATTCCCACCACCCGAACCACCACACACAATGATCTGATCACGATCGAACCCAAGTTCCTGGCTTTGACCGCTCATCCACTCCAGCGCTGCGTAGCTATCTTCTACTTGTGCAGGCTGAGGATGTTCAGGCGCAAGACGATAATCGGCGGAGACAAGGATGGCACCAAACTCTTCTACCCAGTCTAGAGCGCTGTCGATGCCCATGAAGCGGCTTCCAGATATGTGGCCACCACCGTGGATAAACAGAATTCCTGGGGTCTTGGATTGCTTGGATTGCTTGCCTTGCTTTTGACGGAAGATTGAAGCTTTTAGTGGACCAGCTACTCCTTCGAATTCCCTTTCCTCGTGGAAAATGGCATCTTCTCTTCCTCGAAGTGTATGCTCCAATGTGAAGTCGAGGGCTTTGCGGCGATTTGCGATTTGATCCGGTGTACTGATCTCATCATCTTTGGGAAGTTGGTCGTGTATTTCGGCGAGGTCTGGATGAAGAGATGGTCTAGGTAAAGACGACATAGTTGTCAAGATGCACGCGGCTGTTTCGCTGGAATATATATTTAGGCTGCCCAAGTGGAAAAGACCCCAAGTTTATTTATTTATTGAAATTAGGTGGACAGGGGAAAACTTGAACCATTTGTATCAATTTCAATTCTTCATTGATCCGAGGTCATCTTACTTATTACTGATCTTGTTACATCAGAATTCGCCGAGTTCTATCCGCTTGCCGGTTCGTAGCCACTTGTATAGTTCACATGTTCCCGAAGATGTCTCCGAACCGGAAGGATGTCGACCCGCTTGATCTAGCGGTCTACTCCGCTTCCAAAATTGTAGATTGATTATTTCAAACGGAAGAACCTTCAAGCCAAAATCCCAAGACCGTCTGGATGAGAAAGCAGTAGCAGACATAATTTACATTGAAATAAGCACGGATGAAGGGAAATAAGCGCGGGTGAAATCGCGCAATCAGATGCCTCGAAACAGCCCGACTTCATCCTAGCCATGAAGAAGGGTTTTTCGGCTGAGCATGTCTGCCTTATCATGGATTTTTCTGTCACTACGATGCGCAATTTTGCCAAAGAGGAATTTGTGTAGGAGGGAACTAGAGAAGAACCTCAAGGGGACTATCTTGGGCCTATTGATTGATCGGTCGAACCGGGTGGAGAGTCGACCAAGTAGGAACTGTTTGAGCTGAGGAGAAATATGATACAGATAGATGATGTGTAAGGGGCAGAGTTGTTTCGGATTGTTATGTAGATGGGCTAGGACACAGATAATAGTTTCTAAGAATGAAGTGCTATAATTTGAATCGAAGACTCATGATTTGTATAAATATTCGCAGTACTGTTTAGTTTTTGCTAGTGTGTAAAGCATGTAAAGTCATGTTCATCTCTGTAGTACGTGCATTCTAAGGGAGACTTTGAGTCGAACACATCATTATGTTAGCTGGACACGCGTGGATATAGTGTCAGTAACTGTAAAACAGATAACCTGCAACTTGTCAGCACGTGTTGTTTGTCGAGAGAAGACGAAGAGCAGGCGGAGGAGAAAGGAAAGCACAAGTCAATTCCAAAATATAACGAACAGACAGAACAACATGGGTTTGTGGTTGTACGGAAAGAAGAGAACACGAGCAAGAAGCGCTGGTCTACCTACAACACTGGTGTCACCAGATCATCACGCTTTAACACAACTGTATGAGTACCTGGGTATGTACTCGGTGACTTGACTCTGATCCAATTTGTGCATCTTACGAACTCAATAACAGTTTTCAATTAACAAGCGCCCGGATTATGTGAGTGCCTCAGGCCAAGATCGGAAGCTTGGCATTCTGGAGGTCTTTGGCAGTCTCCAATATTCCCTTCTCGTTATCTCCAACGCCTGAACCCAACAGTTATACCCAAGACACATACCAAATATGAGCTCTCCATCTACTGAAGTAGCCGAGCTTACAGGCAAAAGGAAACCGCGGACTTGCCCCCATTGCAGGCGCCATTTTCGGCGGCACGAACACCTCCAACGGCATATTCGGATCCGTATAGCTACCTGGAAGAAAGCTATTAAGGCCGAGGCTGACCATCCTTAGATACTAATGAAAAGCCATATAAATGTCCTTGTGGCGCTTCGTTCCGTCGACGTGATCAATTGAAGAAGCATCATGAGGACTCTCGTCATTCTCCAATTGTCCTCACACAGGCTCAGCCGCCGTCGGCAACCGGTAACGAGAATAGCCTCCAACCACAAGACAATTGCTCCATAGAATACCATTCGAACACAGCCACTTGGGGGCTTCCTGGACTTCAAGGAACTATATCGGCTGGGGAAGAGTTCCCTGGATATCAACTTGAAGGTATGGATATCAGTTCTAGGTGAATATGATATGCTCAACTCTTTAGACTCTTTGTTCAATGCCCAAGACCTGTTAATACTACAGGACTTGGAATCCTTTAGCCACAATATGGGACTTGGCACTGACTGGGCTCTTCCGTCGGAGCCTAGTATTGTGCAGATCATTTCCGAGCTGAACAGCCACATACCAGCAACTTCGCGAAGAACTGCCTCACCAGATCAGTCGCTTAGCCAGCTCCCTATCGAGAAAGAGTCAGTTGGTAAGCAAAATTGGAAAACTTTTTCAGGTCCATTTTTATAGACACTAATGGCAATCAACAGCGGAGTTTGGAGTTTTAACATTGCCCATTTTGAGGATCACAGATGAGCATCGCAACCGTCTTCTTCAAGCCTTGAGTCGGTCACAGGCAGCCATGGTAGATACACAATTTCCATCTTGTCATTCACTTACTAGATTCGTGAATGGATTCTTCGATGGGTTCTATCCCCACATGCCCGTCGTTCATATCCCAACATTCAAAATTGATGACTGCGAACCTGAGATTATCTTGGCCATGGCTGCCCTTGGTGCTCAATACCGACATGAACATCGAAAGGCAGTTCTGCTGTTTTATGCCGCAAAAGCCTTGTTACAGTATCGTGAAACGCAAGGCTCAATACATGAGGAGCCAGTCCATGCACGCCTAGTGCGTGAAGCACGTTGTGCTCTATACCTAATTGCATTTGCGACATGGCAGAGCGAGGCAGACATTGTACGAGAAGCTTTCAACCTTCAAAGCTTTCTTGCCAGGTGTGTTAGGGAGAGTCAATCAGAAAATTGGGAAGATCAAGAAGATGGCCTGGATTGGAAAACCTGGGTACAGCGGGAGTCCGACCGCAGAATCAAATCATTTTCTTTTGCTATCCTCAATCTCCATGGAATTGCATTCGGCACCCCGCCAATCCTTTTGAGCGATGAGCTTCAGCTTCGTCTTCCATGCACCTGCTTTGAATGGATCGCTCCAAATCGCGATAAATGGGCAAAGGTGCACAAAATAGGTCCTGCACGGCAGCCACTTCTCCAAGAAGCCCTCTCTCACCTAATGAAAGACGCAGAGCAGCCAAATCTGTTGAGCTCGCAACCTGTACCCTCTCCTTTGGCAAATTACATCCTTCTACATGCCCTGATCCAGCGAATTATGTTTGTCCAACAAGCGTTCGGCTCATATGACTCGGATCGAGACCTGCTTAATGACCAAAAAGAAGCTATTCGGTATGAAGACCCAACTTGCTCATTGCCAGTCGTGATACTAATATATTTCCGTAGAAAGGGTCTCCATGCGTGGACATCTCAATGGCAAAGAGCCCCCGAATCAAGCCTCGACCCTCGCAACCCTAATGGACCCGTCACGTTCACATCGACAGCATTACTCGGACTTGCGTATGTTCGATTGGCTCTCAACTTAGGTTCCTACAAGATACTCGGGAGTCGGGATCCGCAAGAAATTGCGCACAAACTATTACAAATGCCTCATCTCCCTTCCGGGGCCCATATCCTTCCTGCAATCTTGCATGCGACACATGCCTTGAGCATACCTGTAAGGCTGGGTATAAATTTCGTTGCTCAAAGTCATGCCTTTGTGTGGAGTGTTCAGCATTCTTTGTGTGGGTTGGAATTTGCGATTTTCCTCAGCAAATGGCTGTTCTGTATATCAGATCACCAAGAAAGGGGCCCACTTAATGGTAAGCAGCTATGATCTGTTGCTTTTATTTGGTGCTAATGCAAAATCAGAGAATGAAAGCCGCCTGGTCAGCTGGATCGGGGATATTGTCGAAGAAGGAAGGACATCCGCCGATGATGACCTCTGGCCCCGACCTGCGGTGCCATCGAATTGCGCATATTTAGGCTTTGCGGTGGTAAAACTCTGGGCTCGCTTGATAAGAGGAAATGAGCAATGGGCAATATTGAAGGTCATTGGAGAAGGACTTGATTTATATGCTGATACTTGCGAAAAACGATTCACAGTGCCTTCAGCAGATACGCAGTAAATCAATTGTCTTTGGAAGCCCACCATCGAGGTAATTCACCATTTAGACACAAACTTCGACTTTTGTCGCAGTATTTCGCCGTATTTATACAACAAATGAATGCCAACTACACATCCAGTAGTTAATCCAGCCAATAAGCTGCACCCGGGCCCAATACCCAGATTCTCGTAAAGAGGCCTTGAAAAAACAACAGCGCCGCATGCGAATGCACTCCGCGTGAAATCGGTTGCGGCAAATACACTGGCAGCATACTGCGGGTAACAAGCCGGAATATAAAGAAAGACAGATTGCATCAGGATAAAGACACATGCAGGATATATGACAATCCCGATTGTCGGAACGATCCAATGAACGTTTGGATTTGAGGCCCAACCAAAGAGGAAAAGTCCAATTGCCGGTCCGAAGCAAGCGAACAAAGCCGGAACCAAAACGTCTTCCGGCTTCTGCATACCCCCAGTGTTTGTCTTTGGGATGAAGACCTGGCGAATGTAAAGGTTATAGCTCACGCATGAGATCATCGTTCCAACAACGATAGCCAGGAATGCTAACCCCATCTCTCCAAGGTTGAACCCGTATATACCTTGATACACGATCGGGAACGCCTCAAAGAAGGAGTAGTAAATGCCATATGTCAAGGAAGTATAACAATTCAAGAACAAAATAGCCGGGTCGAGGAAAGTGATCTTCCCAGGGATAAGTAACGACTCCCGTAAGACCTCGGAAAAAGAGACATGAGCCTGTGCAAGATCAGCGGCAGTCCGATAGCAATGACTTTTCTTCCTATCCATCATCGCCAGACGACGAGCGCGTCGATGCAAGATAGTTGCAGCGCTAGTCTCAGGCAACAATACCAGAAGAAGCATTATAGGACCGGCCGCCATCAAGATTTCCCACATAGAAAACCTCCATCCGAGAACCGGGATCGCAAACCCGGAGACCAAGACCCCTATTGCTGGAGAGCAGAAAACACAAAACACCCATGTAGTCATCGCATGGGGAAGCGTATCGACTGAGTAAACATCTGCGATTGAGGCACCACCAGTAGCCAAACATGGACTTCCGAAGAAGCCCTGCAAAAAGCGGAGGAAGTAAAATCCAATTGCGTTTGGCGCTAGTGCTGTGGGGATACTGATGATGCAGAAGAGAAAGAAAGAGAGGACGTATGGAAGATTGCGACCGATGCGAGGAATCTCACTTAATGGACTGAAGAAGAGAGGTCCAGTACCATATCCTAGACTGCAGGATGGTTAGCAACAAGTAAAGTCTTTTATGGATTGATATCTGTACACGTAAAGGGCAAGTCCGAGGGATGCTTCTGCATTGTTTACTCCGAATTCTTCAATGAATGCATCCTCGCTCGGGGTATAGATCGGAGCTGCCATGTACACCACGAAGCTGTAGGCGCCAATGACGACGAGAACAAAGGCCTTTTTGAGTGTAGGCCAGTTGTGAGGGTTCTCTCCATCGGCTTCGGAATACCAGTCCACAATAAATGTTTTGTTATCGTGACATGACTCGAGTTCGACGTGCTCTGGTCGATTAGAATTGTCGTGTCTAAATGACGGGATTTGGTGCAAGACTTGTCCAAGAAAGGTTTCTTGTAACCACTGAGACATTTCGAATCGCGAAACCAATTGCAATAATTTGATCACATCAGCCCTGTCAATATCCTTTATATATGCATATCCATATTAATAATTCGACGTTGAGATAATGGATTTGTCAGTGAAGGTCCTTGCCTCTGTGGAGGTGTTGGAGGTGGTGGGGCCTGGATTATTCGACTGTGGAGATGCCTCCAGTCTCTCGCGGCCAGTCGTCGAGCGAATATAAAAGAATTGAATGGACATGACCCCAAGAATTGCGAAGCCCTGTGAGGTAGAAGTTTCCAAATTGGCATCCTTGTGGGTGCAGAGACCGAAAGATTGGGAAAGTCCTAAACAAGGAAAGCGGGAGCTTCCCCGCTGGTAAGATATAATTGATGGAAAAAGATAGAGATAAGAAGCTGAAAAAGGAATATTTATACCCTAGTAGGTAGGTCTATGAGAAGTGAAGTGATCAAATACATTAAGTGACAACCCTTTTGGCCTAAATAGAACATTTGATTTACAGGAATATCAGCTGCTCATGATCTAGATAGGAGTTTGTGCAGGGTGGATTTGAGTTATATTCATCAACATATAATACATTTCTGAAAAGAACCATGCAGTCATCTTGAGAATGTCTCATTTCACAATAATCATCCCCGTTGTTCATCATTGTTTAAAAGCCTCGACTTCGATCTCAATCTTCATCGCTGGAAATGCCAACCGAGGAACAGCAATGGCAGTCCAGATCGGACGATGCCCTGGGATCCGCTCTCTCAGAGTTTTCACGAATTTATCGAATGAGGCATCGATATCAACATGGTACGAACGGATCGAATAAACGTCTTCCCAGCCTCGTAACCCTGTGGCCTGGAGAACTTTGTCCACGTTCTGAAAAGCGAGATCCACCTGACCACAAATGTCATTGGCATCCAAATCCCCAGTCTCAGTCCATCCTCCCTGCCCGGAGCACTTGACGATGTTCCCCAATATAACAGCTTGAGAGTAGTGGCATAGATCGCTATGCTTTTGACCGGCGCCTTGTTCGTTGATGTAGGTAAGGGAAGACATTGCTATTGAGGAATAGGCGGAGGCTTTGTAATAAATAGATTGTAGAAATAAAATGTGGGTTGAGCTGCAAGTCTCGGTTTAAATGATATTGTCTGCGGATGACCTCATAGATGTTTGGAGGTATATGGAGTACCCACTCCAAGCACCTCCAAAAACCTCCAATAACGAGCACTAAACTGGATCGGTCAATCATGCTCGAACATTAATTAAATATCATGGATCAGTCCATCTCTGCCCACAAATAGTTATTTAACCCTTTCTAATGTCTATATTAAACAAGGTACTAGTGCTGATTGCGCAGAATCTATAACACAAGAAGATCTGAAAGCGCTGATCTCAGTCAACGGTATTATACAATCTGCTTATTCACGTCTTGTATTGACAGATTATTCACCATCGCAGGGGTTTGGCATTCGCCAGGTAGCTAGGCGGGGATCAAGGAGCCTTTTAATTGAAAAATGACAAATTTGCTGAACACTTCCACTAACCACATTTAAAGTACCGCAACAATTGTAATCCAGAATAAAATGCACCTTTGAGTATTAAAGAACAAACCCATCACCTCGCTTGAATCAAGTCAACGTGCAAAATAACGCCTCATTCGGGCCAGGTAATAACTAGGTAAGGATGAGGGTATCTGTCACTAACCACAAACACATGTCAGTCTAGCCTAGTCCGATCTATGAGGCGCATCCACCAGCATCTATGACTTTTATCAAATGGAAGCTTGAATCAAAGGCACCGCGCATAACTGAAAAAAATGATACTTCTGCAAGCGCAAATTGGGGTCCTCAGACTACTTTACAAATGAGAATATTTCCTCCCAAACTTCCACTGAGAATGCAATGGTATCATGATCTGACCCTTCAACTTCTTTTGAGACAAAGTCAATAGCCTCCACGCCAGGTGCCTGCCAACAGGTTTCGAAATACTTCCTCCCGCGATTACCCACCATAAAGTCCGTCGAGGCAAAGTATGCGTGAATGCTATATCCGCCATCCGCACTTGCTTGATAGCCTGCTAGTGTCCGCGCGCATTCTGCATAGTCTGAGCAGACGCCCCAGTTGCTGTCACTCTTGCGTAGACACTGGAGAGCTTCGCTATTAGCACCGACTGTATTCTCCGTATGCATATAACGGATAGCAAGGCGCGAGAGTTCCGTCTGTTCTGATTGAGGAACACCATAGTCGCGTTCGAGACGCCGCCAGTTGTCATTGAGGAAAGACAAGTCCTCCGCTGTTTCAGGAGTGGTACTGTCACTTCGCAGCGACATGCGGCGGAAAACTGCACCGCTGGTCGCGAGCACGGGGCTCGCTTGAGTCACGAAAAAGCGCGGAATGAGATTCCATACTGCGAATGCCTTTGTGGGCAGGTACTGCGCTATCTGCATCACTGTAACGCGCGAGTGTGCCAGATCCACCCAGGGAGCTAAATATGCAAGACTGAGCATTCTGTTCTTATATCAAGACTTTTGGTGCGGATAGTTCCTCTTGTAGGGGCGGGAGTAAGAATTATTACCTATTACAGAAATGTCCGGGTTCACATATTCACGACACTGTGCCCATGTGTTGAGCAAGTAAATAGTGCCTGCACTGTGCGCGACGAGATTTACACGTGGAATTTCGAGATGTGCCAACAGACGCGGTAGCATATCGGTCCAAGCGGCGACGCGTTGACCGAGCGGGACATCGGTCGATGCGCCCATGCCGGGCCGATCAACGACAAGCAGGCGTACACCTGCTCGTTCTGCAATTACATGCAGCAGAATACCGGGATAACGAGATGCGAACATACCCGGCATGAAAAGTAGGGCGGGACCCGTTTTGCAGCCCATGTCGGCGAAGCTGACGTTGAGCGCGCCATATCCGGTATTGAGAGTGACGCGGCGGTGGAAGCGGCTCTCAGATATGAGCTCGCAGGGAATGGACATGTCGGGAGACTGTGGCTCCATATAGATTATGAGAGCTGGCTATGCCAATGATATTGGTACAAGCTAGTAGATTTCCCTAGGAAGCTGTCTCAAAATCAAGCTGACACTCACTTCTGCCTTGGGGGCGATAGCTGACCAATCAGAGCTCACCGTGATTTATGCTTGCAATATCTAGATTTCAACAAAGTACCAGCTAGTACTCCGTACACATCGCTCTGTTAAAACATGAAGGTGGAGCACCGATATTGAGTAGATTGAATGAATCATAGGGTGGCAAGGGAGCTGGGATCTGCGTCTAGACATCTGCAAAGAGCAGAGGATCATGTGTAGGTGGAGTGATATGAACCTTAGAGGAAGCAGAAAGAGGTAGGTACATGAGAGCGCTTTCGTGAATTATTGTTAATCACGTCATTGAATGTCAAATAAGAAAGCAAACTCTGAGGATGGGTCTGTGCATTTGGACAAGATTGGATTTGGAACGGTATATCCCATCAGATAAGCGCCAAAAGGTTGTATGTCTAATACTGGAGATTTTGGCTGAAATTTGCGGTAATGGTTCATCAATCGTAGTCCTACGCAGTCCTATATGCTCAGCTGTAGTTACAAGACCCTTTCGCTTCAATTCTATGTCAATTGCAGTATTATGACACTGTCCGATCAGGCCAAACATGACTAAGCATACGAGCCTTTGGCCATTAGCTGATGGCCTTTTGATCCCAGCATCCCGAAACTAAAAAGAAATGGGACTTCAACATCAACACACATGGAGACTGTCTTTGTGTCTTGATGTCAATAACCAACAAAGACAAAGAGAAATATTATCGAATTATTATATTGTTGTATGCCTGGCAATAAATAAATATGTACTTGCCAAATTCCAGCGTACAGTATATGTAAATCGAATATGTGCAATAATATTCATGATCCGACGGTCCATTAGCCGGAGGTTTGGGTGTTCTCTATGTGATTAGACCTTGGCAACTGCCATTCGTTCATCTCATACTCGTCGTCAGCCGGAGGCTTCTCATCATGATCAAGTGCGATCCGTCCACTTGCTCCGTCCCACTCTCCAAACCGGTACCGGTACCCCAAAAGCTGGAGGTGTTTTTTGCGCTCTTCTTGGCTCCACTCGGCAGTCTCCCGGATATCATTTAGCATGTTGCTGTTCGCTATCCAGGGAACTAGAGAGCCGGCTGAGCGAGGGATTGGTGGGCCTGCATACTGATCGTGGCGCAACCAAAAGACGGCCACTAGCACGCAAATATCGAAGGAGAGAAGGATGATTATGATGACAATTGTGGTATTGGAAGGAGTGATATCCCAGAATGCAGACGTAATGGTGCCGACAATGGTTGTGTTTGCGTATTTAGAGAGAGTGAGGGGAGAGAGATAGAGATCGCGCTGGAGTGTTGTGTATGTGCTGAAGGTTGCTTGGTAGACATCTTGTAGGATGTGGATCATAGCTTGTTCTTGGGTTTCGTTCTTGTAGGAATATGCGTCATGGCCTCTAGAATGAAATTCCGGGTGAGGATGTGACCAGGAATGATTATGAGCCGTAGGATCGGAGATGAGGGTATCGTAAATTTGAGTTGTTAAAAGCCCTGCCCAGGAGATGTTGGCTTGAGTTTGTCGTATGAAGGCTTGGCTGAAAGGCACAAGGCTATTTGATATATTTTGAAACATTGGTCCGCTTGTAACAGAGGTCTTGGATACTGGTGTGGAGCCGTATACCATCCCGTCAGGATCAAAACGAACCTCGAAGTCCTCAATCACGACTTTCGGACTACAGTGGAAGACGGTCGCATTTGTTGTAGCGGAGAAATTGGTCGTGACATTGGTGTCATTCAGGTTCCCGGAGAGCCTTACGAGAAATGACCGCTGACAAGCAATGCTTGAGTTCAATGGTGCACTAAGATATAGCGTAGCATTGAGCGACCGGTCATTTTCAATGGTGTTCACCAGCTCGGCGGTACAATTGGTGTCCGAGGCAGCAGTGTAATCCCAGTATGATGAGCCCGAGACACTGTCATACCGTGACTGATTAGAAGAAAGCTCTTCGCACTGTAGCTCAGTTCCAATCCCTCGTGTGCGGGCTGTGTACATCGTCCAGTCAGTCCATTCAGCGTCAGGATCATTGATCCCAAGTGGATAAAAAAACAGGCTGGGAGTATTCCACGAGACCAGAGACTTGCCGGTAGACAAGCTATCCGAGATGAGACTGAAGCCAGTAAATTCCGGCCGGATTTCCGGATTGAAGAAGCGAGAGTCGTTATATTGCACGGTGAAGGCATTGACATGGTCCGTCCAATAGTCGACCGACGGCTCAAACATGCCACTGCTCACGATAGTCAAGACAAAATCAAGCATACAAACAACGGATAGCATAACCAATAGAGGAGGCCTGTTCTCACGGAACAGTTTCCAGATCGTCAAGGGGGTGTGGGAGCAATAATTCACTGTCAAGGAATTTGTGGCCAGGGCCATCCCTTTCTTCAATTGGATCCAGGGTTCCATATAACCAACATGTCTGTGGATAGAGATGAAGAGGGAGCTGATTATGGAGGCGATAACTGTAGGGCCAAAGACTAAGAAGCATGCGACGGCCATTGTCCCGGCCGAGTCAGAAGTATCGAACTTGTCCACGCGAATATACTGGAACGACACTCCGAATGCGCCCAAAACACCTGCCATCAACAGAAATTCCACCGCGAACCATGGTGGCGTTAGAAAATGCGGACGAGAAGTGGGCCGTGCCCTGCGCCTTTCCCTGCGCCTTGCCCTGCGCCGTTCTCGAGATGTTTCAGACGCCGGCGTTGCGATAAATTCCTCGCAAGGAGTTATGTCTAGACGTTTCCCACTAGGCCCATCGGTCCATTTACACCACAATGTGCGAGCAAATCGACGAAGCTGCCGAGGTGTGGCTCGAGTGTAATCCAAATCGGAAGGGGTCAACCGATCAAGAGAATAAAGGGTGTCTGTAATTAGCGCACATTGCGCCGCAATAGATCCTGGATCCGACTGGAGGAAATTTGGTCGCCGTGAATATACAAAGGGCAATATTATAAGCAATGCAAAGGCCGAAAAGAGAAGAGCTTCTGCGACAAGGGCAGAATGACCAGTGACGCTGTATACTACCGTGGCGGTAGTGAGAGTGACATTGTCTCGGGTGGGACCAACAGTCGTATCAAAGAATTTGTTGAAAGAGGCGACGAAATGCTGATTCCAAAGCCGGCTAATATCTCGCTCGTATTGAGCACTGTTTATACGATGGGTGTCGGGAGAGATCAATGTGCCATTCACACCTGTAGCCCCAGATAGGTTGATTAGACGATCGTTATCCCAAAGTGTGAGATCATCCTGGAGGTATTTCGCGAAAAGTAGGGTCTGGAAGTTCGAAATACTAAGGTTCGTGGAGGTTACAGTTGCTGTCGTACTCGAGACATTTGTAATATCGACAAGAGAAGAGTTTGAAGGTAGAGTCATGGCCGCTTTCGCACGAAGATATGAGGGGGTGCATCCGAAGACTGTGGCGTTGGAAGCCAAGTCCTTTGATGTGGTGTCAACATCAATGATGAGTCCAACTAACAAAAATGAATTGCAGCCAGTATTGTTCAAGGTAGATGTGCTTTCCTTCGGATCCAAAGGCTCCCAGTGTCGTATTTGCGACATTCCATTTTCAGTTGGATAAGTACTGTTAAGAGTAATATCGACCCGACATTCAGAGTCTGCGTTTGTATCGGAAGCATTTAGAAATTTGACTTTGCCAAATTTCCATGTGAGAGCCTTGCCAGTGGATATAGGGTCAGTCCATATGCTGGGACTTATATCGACTGACTGGGCCTCCATACAGCTCAATTCGGCCCAGTAAACATTTTGCGTAAGAGCCCACGTCGGGGCCTCAGAGCCGGCGCTCACTGGCCTGGAGATGGGTGGTATTGAGTAATCGGGGCTTTGGTAGAAGAAAAATGTGTCCAACGGGGTACCCGTCTTATTTCCAGAATAATATGCCGCGTTTTCTAACCAGGCACTCTGTGTTTCCACGCTTACCAAACTGGGCCAGGTATTGATATGTCTTGTGGAGACTATATACGGCTCGTCAAGAAATACCAGTCCAGACATGAGGGAAGGCAACATGACCCTCAGAATAAGGCCAATCGATGACACACAGACAACGATCCAATGGCGGTTGCGTACCGCCATTATGGGAGTCAGGGCGCCATAGTAGAAGCAGTAATTGGTGAACAGCACGGTCCCAGGAGCTCCTCCTGGCTGCGCTAGCTGGAACCACGACTCGAGCCGTAGGACATCAAGGGCGCAGATGTTCCATAATGCCACAGCCAGAACAGCAAAAGCAGTAGGTATGTAAGTGTAGACCCCTGAAGTGTGGCTCCCCAGTTGCTCGTATGACTTGAGATGGATGAGTCCGTGATGACGATTGGAGTACTGACGGAGAAGTTCGATCGACACAGCCATCAATAGAAAGAACGCAGCAACAGTGAACATAAAAGGAGGCCGTAATGAGTCCGGTATCCAACGCTTCTTCTGCTCTGGTGAGATTCTGCCGCTCACCGATCCATTCTCAGACCCGGCCATTTCTCCCTCACCGGCCAGGGAGCAGTAGGAATCGGTGGATCATCAGACTGGTTTGAAATTTGGACTCTCGTACATCTCTCTTTGGTCCTGTGTAATACTGCTCCGCGGACAATGAGATTTAGGCCGGCACTCCGCGTTTCGGATTTTCTACTGGGCTATGCAGGTACACGTGATTTTAAACCCAGATTAAAGTTTGACACACGTGGCACGTGAGTGGCCGGAGATTGGATCTGCTTTCAATAAAACCAGACCCTTTTTGAAAAAGACCTGGGAGGAGACAAAGGCGCACTGATTACATGAGGTATATCAATTGAATTCAAGACTGTCACGTGTTACGATGTCCATGATGAAAATCACGGCATTCAGTTACTGATTGTTGAAGGCCTAGATCTTCAGAATCCCTGCGGACCCACATCAGATAATGGCTCCGCCCTGCGCTACCGCCTACCATATACAGTTAACGGAGCGCGATAATTGAACACCGCGAAAATTAGTTGAACACTCTCCGATACCGTATTTGAAGTAGTATAAGAAGCAAGGAAGTTGAGGAGGACAATACCAACACACATCGGATCTTTGGTGGAATTATGGGCTGGGTGTACTACAATCCGTTGCCAGGAGGGACTGCAATGGTCGAAGAACATGTCACAGCTGATGCGGAGGCATTTTCATACCGTTAAAGCGCAGGATATTGTCTAGATACATCATATTTCAAACTTTGAAAGCTGCTTCCTTGCCCTGCTCGTTCACAAGTTACGCGTCGCCTATCGTTGATTGTTCAAGCTTGGTCTTATGTGCTATCAATCTTATCTCTCTAGTACTGCCCTCGACCCAAATATGGTCCTCTCTGATCACTTGAATCCTCCATGAAATAGTATTTTGGCAGAATCAGGCACTTGCAGCCCACCCTGAATCGTATGTCACATAGGCTAATTGGCCACTATTCTCTCACAAATGGCGAATCCAGACTCTGAAGCTCTAAAATGCTTCGATACTCATCTTTGGAAGGTAAAAACAATTAATTCGGAACCTGCGCTCGCGCCGTTGTCTCGGAACAAGTCAATAAAAATGCACTTTGTCAGATAGGTTCCGTTCCCAATGAGTAGTGAGCCCGTTGTGTAGAAAAATGAATGCGGACTCCACTTAGCACTTTCCCATTCACCCATCTTGATATGTAAAGACTTCAGGAAAAGTGGATCACATTCAGAGTCCGATTGAAGATATTGAAAGAGTCACAAAAACGCTGATTAGTCGATGAAATTGATAGAGAAGATTCCAAATTTATTGCTCTGAATCTACACCTGGAATGTTGATCTCCAAGCGCTGGAGGTGGTTCATTCTGCGTATGTCAACCATAATGTCATATGGCTAACTGTACTTCAATCAGGAAAATGGTTTGAAGGAAAGGTTCACACATACCTAATCCTCGTTTTCACAGTCTAGATCAAGGCCCAAAGACTGAAGATTAGGGAATTTCTCAGGGAGATTGACCAGGTCGTCAATGCTTGGGGGAAAAGGAAGCTGGATCAGTCAGTTCGGGATTGCAACGAGAGATCGACTAATGAGTTGAGGTTTCTCAGGCGGCAAGTAATGAGAGAGCCAAGTTACTCCAGTTGCCGTTCGGTAACGATAATGAATGTAGTAGTCCCCACTGCAATTCTTCTGCCCAAGAAAGACTTTGAGACCCGTCAAAGTGCATATCGGAGAGGTGGAGATGCTTCAATTGCGGCATTGCATCGCCTTTTGCAATGGAATTGTTCCTCTTTGAGTAATTGAGGTGCGCAGGGCGTTCGGGTGAAGGATATAATGGCTTTAGGGTATTCAGGTAAAGGACAAAAATGGAATGGCAGCAAGGGTCCTTCTCTACCGAAGAGAAAAACAAAAACATACAACAGTCAGGATTCGCATGTGGTCACCCACCATACTACTAACTAACCGGCGTGTGGCTTAAGTACGGCTGAGCGGACGGGAAGCCCTGTTCTCCACACCCTATGGTCGTATGTACCAGACGTACCATGGGAAAAAAATATATCCTCTAACCCATATAGCTGTTATGTGATGCGGCACTACAACCTAGATGAGCGATAATGTGTGCCGCTTTAGCGTCACGCCACTAGGGGTGAGAAGGGTGAGTGCGCAATAGACAGGGTGAGAAGCAGGGTGAGAGCGGGTGAGAGCCGCGACAACCGCATTCACCCTCCTAATATACAATAGTCAAATAGAACCTGAGCTTATATCTACTCTGCTGTATCGGAGGTCGCAAAGAGGAGAAAAGGCAAATTAGGTCTAAAATAGATAAAATTTACAGTATCAAGAGCTAGCGTAATCAGCTAGCTCTAACTATGCATTAACTACAAAACAGACTCGGTTCACCAGTCTACTGTTTACAATCCTTTTTAAACGAGCTCCTTTTAAGTTCCCTTGATATCAGCACGATATTGAAGCTCAATCATTCTATCCTATAACACTTTTAATTTCTCCTAGTCAAAGTTTTGGTATTCAATTTACTTCAATTTCTACGTCAATCGAGGACTACGTAGAGACTGGGGTATTCTGCGTATTGCATAGATACCCCGCGTGTAGCGAAGTTCTTCAATCATCAATATATTTTGCGCCTTTTTTATGTTTCTCGTGAAGTTAAGGAATAGAGATTCTCAAAATGCTCGGGTTTAAACACCCAACTGAACATCCAAATCCAGACCAGCTACTTCAAGCGCGTGCACCAGAGGAGGCGGTGGTGACCATCGTCCGGCAGGCTTGCACTCTTCCTTTTCAGCGTCCCATATAATTTCGGGTGACGCGATGGATATTCTCCGTAGATGGGGTAAATGTTCCTCTTTATGCACGAGCAGGCCCACCAGAAACTCGTCTTCTTCGAAGGTAGTGAGATCCCAGTCATCATAAAATATCTCTAGCTCCTCTAAGCTACGAGGAAGACTTCTCCAAGCCTCGAGAGGATCATCTAGTCCGCATAAAAAGACGTGGTAAATACGTAACGTAGTTAGAGCTGTGAAATCTCTTAGGCAAATGCGTGGTCCGTTGAACAATCCTTCATGATCAAGCCAAGGCCGGGTAAGGGTCAGTTCCTTTAAAGACCCCATTTGTGGCTGCAATGTTCGCACAAAAGCAGCGCACGTCCAGCCTTCAGCAGGCTCGTCAACATAGATGCCATCCCACTCCCCTTGCTCGACGTCATAATGGAGCACTTCCAGAGCGGCTGGCCAGCTTAGTATAGTAGCTAATGCCTCCTCATGAGCCCCACAGCGTATTAAATTCAGGGCTGTGACCGGCGACTTGCCGATAAATTGGCGTAGACCGTTTTCGTCTTCCAAAGGATCCATGGCCTTGAAGCCGAGAATGCTGAGTGACTGGATGTTGGGAAACCAGTAAAAACAAAAAAAGTCGTATATTGAAGTTGTGCAAGGCACAACTGCTGAAACAATAAATTTTTGAAGATTCGGTTCATCTCTAAGTGTGCGTTTCAGCCGATCTAGAGGATGATTGTGGAATGGACCTTCACGGACGCAGATGTTTTCGTAATAGTTTTGTTTCAACAGCCTATAGAAGCGACGTGAAACGAGGTATAAGGACTGTAAATCTTTGTTTTGTTGCGGTTGATCTTGTTTAATCGCGCGTTCGTACAAATCACCCCACTTGTAAAATGGCAAATTTCCCTGTCCCTTTTCTGCTTGCACATAATTGACAATGACAAGAATTAGTTCGTCCGGAAGGTCCAGAAACTGCACCATCTTTTGAGCGAGAGGAGGAAAATGGTTTCAAGATGGCGGACAGAAGAAAAAGAGAGCAGCTGTCGCCGACGAGTCTATTGTAAATTTTGGACCCTTAAATTCAGGGGTAACCGCGATTCTACCGGAAGTGAACCGAATGGCATCTAAATGTGGGTCAGGGCCCAGCCGTTGAAGTCACATCGGCCCAGGCCGGCAATCAGGACGCCACGCGCATCGTTCGGTGTCTATTCTGGCAAATGCAAGCGAGTGACTGCTTTGCAGAGGAAATGCATCTTCCTAGACGCCGATGGAACAACAGTAATGCCGAGGCCGACACCTGTGATGTCGGTTGCCGGTTTCGCCGAGCTCCGGCCTCTTTTCGAGGCGTATAGAAGCGATCAGACACGCGATTTAGGCTAACTGCGGCAATCGCTGACCGAATATTTGCGAGAGAGTAGAAAGATCTTCCCTGATGCTGCTTACACGTCCCTATGGTGATGCAAGACATCAAAGAAGATCTACTTTATGCACGTATGTGGGTCATGCAAGGGGCAATAAAGATCAGCTCGTAGAAAAGAACTCAAAAGGACTCTTCTTTTAGACACAGAGCATATAATGAACGCATCAAACGAATTTTGGGCATGAAAATTTGTTATTCAATGGTCTATCTCATTCCGAAATTGTCGACCTTTGCCCGCCAGAATCACTCCATCCCTGTTACGGCCCTTTGGAGCCCACCTTTTAGTGATCATATATGATTTCACAGAAGTCCAATCTGCAACCGACGAACGTTTCAATCGAATCTCAATACGCTGAATTTAGCCAAGCTCTGAGCATGACTTCGGGGTTTTTTTCATTCGCTGTTTGATTGGATGAGCTCCAAGTTCGCCTCAAACCAGCCAAGTTGGAACATCCTGGTACCACGCTTATATAAGCTCCATGGTGCAAATAGATATTAATTTGCATCGCATATGGGATTATATCTAGAATATCGCTTATATGAATGTGGTACCAGTATGTTCCAGTTTGGCTGGTTTGGTGCTAACCTGGGGCTCATCCAGCTAGATGGTCAAGGATCCACCCGCGATGCCGCACGAGTCAGCGGATTATCCTACTTTTGTATAAAGAGCCTTTGAACCCTCCGGCCACGCAAGGCTTCGAAGCCTTATTTGTTTCGATGGTTACCATGTGTTGCATGGGTACTATTTCCGTATCGCTAGATCTAGAGATACTCGGAATATCTGAAGGCGACTACAATTGATTTGCGGAAGAATTTAAAAAATTGACCGGGGTATAATACTGATTCCGGGTGGACCGCATGCTTTGATAATAAACCCCTCAAAGTATCAAAGCCCCACTGCTAGTCATGTAGATCGTTTCAGTTTCGAATATTATGAACCCCATTAGGACGCCTGACGCTAGAAACAATGATGGATTCAACTACAAGCTATTTTCATTCAAGGCCCGCATGTTATTATATGCGACGGTTGAAGCACGAAAGGCGTAGCCCGTCTAAGAAGGATCATCTTTGAGGGGGGGGGGGGGGCATTGCGAGAATGAACCCCATGATGTGATAGCAGCCTAACGACGTCAGATGCATTTAGATCCATGCACATAGTGGGGTAGACCTGGTGCTACGCATACATGTGAGGGGTTTAATGATTTTGAATAATCAAGACAAAGTGACTTACAATAGCCCCCCGGCCATCACCGCAACTTGAAAATGTACAAAGATTCATAAACCAGCAGCGCAGCAGCCAAAAGTTCTGGTCTCGGCTAATACGATATCAATCATCTTCACAGTCAAAGGTCAATAAAATAGATTGAAGCTTCACACTGACTCAGCGACCAAACCTTTCAAATCGCTCCATCAAAAAAATCTTGAGTCCCCATATTGACAGGATGGTCATCGATGAGAATGGGGTGAAGTGGGCCTGGTAAGTTTTCTCTCCGCCTCATCCCCACTCACAGCTCCGTGCCCGCTTGACTCTTCCGGGAGATTGATCTTACTTATTCTAACTAATCCATCAAGCGAAGCGTGTATCCGTGGCCATCGATCAGCAAAGTGTCAACATTTCGATCGTTCGATGAAGAAGATACGCAAAAGTGGGCGCCCGCTATCGAAATGTCCGCATGCGACAAAACCTTGTGATTGTGTTGAACAATGGTTCTTGCCCTCTGGTATGTCAGAAGGTACTTGCATATTTCCCAAATTCAAGGATTCAAACCTTCGCTAGTAGAGACACTTGACGCTCACCAGCCAGCCTAGAATAGACAATAGCCAAGTTGCTTTCACAACTGCAAAACCTGCCACCGGTGCTACGGACACTCAGCAAAGCCACACATCAAGGCTGGGGGCTTTTAATGCAAAGTCCCCAGTTATAGCCGAGATGCGCGTTAGAGAATCCCGTGAAGCTACCAACGTTACCGAGTTAGGGTCCAACACAGAGACAGCTACCTACAATGCATGAAGTGTAGTCGTTGACACAATTGAGTTACCGATCTCTAAATTGGTGTCTTAGAATTTCTGTCATCCTCTGCATGCACTCAGTTACCTCGTATGTGGAAAAGTCTAGGCAGGGCTCTTGGTGTTCTGATTGGGTCAAATGGGCACTTCTTTTGCGATATCTTCGCCAACGGGACAACTATTACAGTCAATCTACAAGTCAGTGTTCATCCATAATCCCATGTCCTATGTTATAGCGAGATCAATATCAAGCTTGGTACTTGATTGCTTGGGGGGTTTCCATCACGGGAACCATTTGGAGTTGCATAAGTCCACGCTAAAGGCCGCCACTGAATTTGCGGTGAAAACCCATTGTAAGCTACGAAACTGCTCAAAATGACGCAGTCTAGACCGCAGAATTTGATCAGCTGTAAGTTAGGCCGTAGTTCAACGCATGAGCGCAGAAGCGGTGTTGCATTCTGGACACTAGCGCTTTCAGCTGTTGCTAAGTCCTAAGATAAGAGGAGCATTGACCGCCAAGCACTTGCCAGATGCTTTTTGTGAAATTACATTGAGACCTTCACAAGTGCCTTAAAGTGGCCCCGTCATTATTCCAGGGTAGTGCTCCAGCCGAGTGTCTACATTCTATACACGAGCCGGCATAAGTTTCATTGAGGAAAGACCGGTCTTGCTGCTTTGTCTTGATCACACGCAGGTCAAGGTGACCTACGTACTCGTCACACGCGAGCGAATATTATATCTTATCAATGGTTGCATTACACCTGCATTTCATCCACGTACCAACTCAAGCCATTAGGACCCACAAACATGCTCATACCCAACGCAAACAAGCTCATCACGTCTGCCCCTTGTTTTAAGTGATTTGATGCTTGGGCCGAGTGCACTCGTAGGATCATTCCCCCTCATTCATCCAAGTCTACCTATCCGGCTGCAGCGGGGTAAGGGTTGAGGGTATCTTAAAGCTTCAATGAGTGTCCATTCAATAACTTTGCAGAGCGGAGACTCGCCAAGCTTGCTATTCTTGCATACTTTCTCCTGTTCCTCCTGTTCACTCGGTCTCTCCATGATAACTTGAAATGTACCGTAAGACTACATGCGATGCATTGGCTCGCTTGAGCTCGAAACAGCCGATTCACTTGAATGGCAATGTTTCCGAATCACCGACCAGAAGGCACCAGTCATTCTCTCACAAGAGATATTATGCTTGGCCATCAAACAGCCAACCCACGCCATACGAGGTGATGGGAATCCAAAAAGATTCAAAATATTTCAAATCCAGGTACTTCAATCTTGTAAAGATCTATCATCCCGACAGCCAAGCGAGCCCCTTAGCCAGAAAGCTATCCGAGGAGGGACGCCTAGCGCGTTACAGGCTCATCGTCGATGCCCACGAAATCCTCTCCGACGACCAAAAGCGATCGGCCTACGATGCATATGGCCTTGGCTGGACTCTGCCAGCGAGAAGTTGTGGCCACCGTCGACGGAGCCATTCGAACACGGGATACTATGGATGGAATAATGATGAGTGCAATCATGAAGTCGAGGGGGAATTCTTCAAAAGGTTATCTGGCAACAAAACTTTCATGTGTTTCATTTTGGTGGTTGTCACATTTGCACAGACTTGCGTGTTTTTCAGCTCTCTGGTCAAGGCAGAGCTACAGATGAGGCGAACAGATGAACAGTGCCGGGAGCTCATGGTTCGACACAGGGGCCGAGCTCTTGACTTGAGGACCCTGATAGCTCAGATGGAACGCCTCTTGTTGAAGAGAGATCCTTCGGGCACGGGGCTTCTTCCCATAGAGGAGCCATTTTACCGCGAAATGCTTCCACTTTGTAGCTACTAGGAGCTGTTATTAAAATCCAGGTGACCAAATCTTGTAGATAGATCAGTTTTTGCCCTGTTCTTTCTCCTCTTATCGTTGTCGTTGGGCAGCACTACGTGCTGATAGTTATGAAAGTGGAAATCTTGAATAGGTCTATACCGTTGAAGTCATATGCCTTCTGATAAACAGAATTTCATGAGCTCGGCTCTCGTACGGTGGTACACTTGAATTCGGGAGTCTGAAAGATCGAGAACAAGATACTATACCTCGTCAAAACATGAGCAGATTTGAGTTTGTAGACGACCAATGCCAAGAAGTCGACTGACGCGACCGTGCATGGACAGTGGAGAACGGTCTGTCGTGAGCGAATTTGCGGTAATTACAGATCAGGGACTGCTAAATTGAAATCAGACACCTTTATTCTCAGATGAGATGGTGCGGGTTAATTTCAAAGAAGAACATACGACAGAGTTTTTAGAGAGGGCGTTCCTTCCAGGTATAATAGGGGCGATTCAACGAACAAAGAGACATAAAGCCATCTCTTTAGTAGACGCCTCGACTATACCTCCTTGCAGACACCTGGATGATGGGGCTTACGCCGAATTGGCTTGCGAGCACAACTTAAGTCAGCAAGGGTCTGAATTGGCCACACCCCGTAAGTCGACAAGTCTTTCAGTACATCTTCTACACTGAAAAGGTCAGCTAAGACATAAATACTGTATGACAGAAGTTTAGCTGGTATGAGTATGAGTGGTGGTAAATTCTAAGCCATATCTACTAGGGCTCTTGTCGCCGAGCTCGTTTTCAGGGAGTCATTGTTTTCAGGGAGTCATCTGTAGGAATAACAGGCTGACAGAAATGGTACTGTCATAATTGATCATTGTCTCATGCCTGTATCTACGTTCATGTTTCGACTCGTTACCTTGAGTCCTGCTCTACTCAGACTTCTGGAGACCCTCTAATTCCTTGTGCTTTCCTCGCTGCTTTTGCTTTCTGTTCGTACAGACCATGAGCCCGGAGCACACAACCTCACTCTCAATAAGTGGCCCTTGCTTGCTATGCATCGCGATTGTGATTTGTGGCAGTTGATTGATGGGACGGCGGCACTGGCCCGGCTTTGTATCCATGCGTAAGGACGGGGCTTGAAAGTAATCTGCCCAAATGTTGCCGTTCGGCTCGTATCGATTCCTTCCTAGCAACATTGAAGCAGCTTGAGCATAAAGGGGAATTCATACCGATATGGAAATCCATGCTTATCATTGGTAGGCCTTCACCAAAACATATTGTGGCTTTAGAACAGGCGCGCCCGCTCCAACATGATTGGTCTAACGTATAAAAAACATGCTCATTTCTTCTCAATATACAGAACGGGCGCTCTCCAGGCTGTGCATATCGCATGTGAGTCCAAAGACAGAGCCTTCTAATCTGAATATAAGCCATCCTCCCAGAACGGCTATTTCCACAAGTCTTTCCCAGCCACAGTCATTGGTGAGTCGCTATGATGAATATGTCCAGCACAACCACATCCTCATCTTCATCTGCCTCCGCTTCGACGATGAGTATGGGTGGAGGTTCGTGTCAAATTTCGGTATCGCATCTATTCATAATTAGCAAAGGTGCTCAACAGACTGGACTTCTAATTTCTTGTTAGATGCTATGGAACTGGAACACGGTCGATTCATGCTTTATAGCGGAATCATGGCACATCACCTCCAAAGGAATGTTTGCTGGCTCTTGCATCGGGGTAATATTTCTCGTTATCTCTCTGGAATTTCTCCGCCGCCTTGGGAAAGAATACGATCGCTTTCTCTTGAGGCAACATGAGCTACATTTGGCAAATGCAGAAGCAGAATCCTCTGCTGAAGCTTTTTGCCCCAAGGGTAAGTCGCTAGCGTTTACACCGTCGGTAATTCAACAGTCTATACGTGCTCTTTTACATATGGCTCAATTTGCCGTGGCGTACATTGTCATGTTGTAAGTAAAGCCAAAACCTGCCGAACTCACATAGAGTCTGAGAAAAGTCAAACAGGCTTGCGATGTACTTTAATGGCTACATTATTATTTGCATCTTTATCGGTGCCTACATAGGCTCTTTCATCTTCTCCTGGGAATCTATCAATCTGAGGTGAGCAGTTTCCACATTTCGTGCCAGAAATCTATGCATCTAACCATTGCTCTCGGCAAAATAGAGATAGCAAGCAGACCAGTGTTGCCAACGAGGCAACTGTTTGCTGTGGCTGAACTTGGTTATCTTCGGGCTCATTACTTTCCAGATTAGTCCGCCCCCTTGATTGAACTCATTATCTCAAGCAACACGAAGGTCGCTATTTGTCTGCTATGTACGACTCGGCATCCTATGTCTCTCTCCGGTAGGCTCATATATTGCGCGATTCAATCATGAGTCTTGACACAGGGGTTGACTGCCTTGTGCATATCAACAGCCTGATACCTCGCAGTATTTGTCACATAGCCAATTAAAGTATATTGTCCGATTCCGAAAGAATTTCCTGTTATTAATCCAATGGCTATCTCTGATCCAGTCATACGTTGCGTTGCGCGCATAGAGAGAGCGCTTCTTATCGGCCCCTCACATAAACCACTGTCTCTATGATAGAGTTACAATACGGTTGATCAAAGGTTTCTCAAACATCAAGAACTTCCATAATCTAGGACTAGAACTTCTTCTGGTAATTCAATTTCTTGAGATCGTCAACATCGTCGACCCGGACGCGCGAACCTCGGACTTCGGGATCGGCTAGGATCATCTCGTATACATTTCCAAAATCCGACGATTTCGTTACGCCATGTTGCACAGCATCTTCATCCACCTCGACTCGGAAGCTAAGATAAATTTCGTTGAAACGGACGTTCGTAGATTCATTTTCACGGGCGGCTGCTTTAGTCATGGGGAATAAGGCACCTTGCGTCATGGCCGGCACTGGGTGGGTTGCCAAATCACCCTGCGACCCGGTACAAATAGTCCATGTGCTGATAGGGTTCTTCTGTTCCACTAGATAGCCAATAGTATCACGGTAGGCGACTAAGGAAGTTTGATCAGAAAGGTATAAGGTCATTTAATCCAAAGGGCTTACAGAAGTTAGCTTCAAAGGAGCTATTAAAGTTTCTCCGTAGCTGAGCGGTAGTAATCTCTGGGAGGGGAGTAGTAGTGTACTCGCCGCCAACTTGAAAACATATAATGTAAGTAGAGAGTATTGAAATGCTAAATAGGGAGAGGGTTTCGGGTAACTAACCGCTAGAGAACACATGCTGAAAAGCCGGGAGCTTGCCGGATTTGACTTGATCAACGACCCCCTTTACACCCGAGTCCGAGAGAACGTTGGCCTCTACGAAAGTAATTCCCTCCGATGACCCAACATGCTTCACGAGTTTATCCGCTGAATTTTGGTTGCGGACAATGGCTAAGACGTTGCGCTTAGAGCGCAAGGCAGCGGTGACGGCTGACACGCCGATATTGCCGGTGGCTCCGACGACTAGAACGGTCTCCATGATTGTTTTGAGTGACATGAATGGAAAAGAAGAGGGTTTTTATTTCACTTTATATTCCTTCGTGTTTTCAATTGTGATGAAGTAATCCTCTGAGATGACCAATCAAATCCGCATGATCTCGCGATTCGGTTTTTGGAAAACGCGAGGCATGATAGAATTACGGATGTGATCGGTCTTTGTCTTTTTCCCCACTTGCCATTAATTGGACTGAAAATTCAATGAGAACTGCTGTGGATCGGTCGTGCTTTCCATCTTTGGTTTAGACAGTTGCCTTATCTAACGGCAGGATGATCAGGAATATGCCCGTGCGACCATCTCTATTACTATCACCATCGCATGGATTTCATACCTTATCAAATGCCACCCATGAGGATTCCCATTGGCTCACTTTGCACAATCGGCCATCTTCCCTCTCTCTCCATTCGGCAGATCCAACCGCGGTCTTCGCGTAGAAGATGTCATGAGGATCGTACTTGGACTTGACTTTTCGTAAAGCATCATAGTTGCTGCCATAGAAGACCCTTTGGAAGTCAGGTTGCATAAAGTTACCCTGAAAACTAGTCAGTGACTTGCAAGGATCCTCAAAATCAGAATAAATCACTAGTAAACTTCGCAGACGTACCTCATTCATGTAAGCCCCTGAGTTGGGGGCGAGTGCCTCCAGTTTGGGGATGAACTCATACGTCATCTGGTTTTGACGTTCCAACATCAGAGCATCGTTATCCCACTCCCAAGGGGTGGTTAAAGTAGTGTCAATCAGTGTATCCCTCCAGGCAGGGAGGACCGCATTATAGACATCTCCTGAAACTTTGTGTGAAGCGTTCAAGCCCACACCAATGAAAGTCGCGCCAGCTTCCGTGATCTCACGGTAAGCGTGAACCAGAGCTTTGTTGTTGTCTTCTACCACTGATCTTGGAATGAGATAGCCACCGTATTGCGCAATGCCAACCTCAATAGTACCTTGCATATCCTTGAACTGGCTGTAGTAGCTATTGTACTGACCTGTTGCCATAGTGTACTTGATTTTCAGCTTGTCGAGGCTTGTGGTGAAGGGCTCAAGAAGCTTCACCAACTTGGCCACAGAAATATCAGGGCCAGTGATCGGAGAGATCGCGAAGGAAGTGTTGGTGTAGTACCAGATACACATAGCACCTGCGTCAACGAGAGCAGGAAGATTTTCGTGAAACTTCTCGATGGTGCTATAGAAGATATCCGCCGTGAGATTGGTGTTTGTGTAGGTCAAGTTGAGACCAGAAACCGGAGTTCCAGGATGCGCCTTAGAAGTCATTGACCAGACAACTCCATATGTGCCACCGCCACCACCGCTTAGAGCCCAAAAAATATCGGAATACTCGTTGTCTCGAGTGGCGGTGATAAAGTTGCCCTGGCCATCGACAACTTCCCATTTCAACACCTGATCGGCACCTAGCCCGTAGCGGGAAGAAAGTGCCGAGTGTCCACCTCCTTGGCTATATCCACCGGCCAGACCGACAGTTGGGCATTCACCTCCGACAACTTGAAGATTGTTCTCATCTGCAATCTCATAAGCCTCGAATCCCTGAATACCAGCGCCCATAGTAATGGCCTTTCCAGTGTAGTGATTATCCTTGTAATCATGGATCTCTAGGTCCTTGAGATGATGGGTCCAGATGGCAAGAGCTCCAGCTCCAGTTGACTTGCCATTGTAGTCGTGACCGGTGTTTCGAATAATTACACGAATATTGTGTTTTGCTGCGAATCTCAAGGAGGATGAAATCTCAGATGGGCTAGTGACATTCACGCTGTACCGAACATAATTGCCAAGGGTGCAAGGCTTCGAAACAGGGTGATATGGATCACAGGTTCCATTGGCGAAGAACGGTGCCATGACTGAAGATGACGATTCGTAACTAGAAAAATTTAGATTGCGTTTTGGTACCTTCAAAATTCAAGCAAATGATCGTCATACTGTTCTTCTGGAAGTTCCCATCCAGCTTTCAATGTCGCGCAAGTGGTAGCATTATAATCCGGTGCATGACATGGTGTGCCAAGTGGGACAGTAGTAATTAGTCGCCCCTCTATAGTTTTGTTGAATTGTGACCAGGCACTTTCAGATGGCCAGCAAGAATCGCCCGGGAAGCAACGACATGCAGAAGTAGCTGACGCCTGGGGCGATATCGCCAATAGCGAGAAAATGAAGGATTTGCGGAAAAACATCGTGCTTGATATCATTCTGTTGCAAGGTACCGAATGCCACATTAAATACCTATCAGGTCTTAGAAGTGTGCGCCTATATGCAGGTCTCAGGGGCGGAGTACTTTTTAGCCTATGCAGACTCCACTTCCAGAACTCAATATTGTCCGTACTTTATGAATTACGTGCTCAATATCTGCTAGTGTATTGACTAGACAGGGGATAAATCCGGAAAAACATCATATGTATGTGTTGTCACTCCGTGCAGCCTTGTAGGGCTACCAATTTTCATCTTAAGTTTATTTTTCCGGCTTAATAATGTGAGCTCATATGCAGGGTTTAAGATCAGAGTTCTTTGCCACTCCTTTTTTAGAGTTCTGAATTGTCCGTGAGGAGTACTTTGAACACATATTATTACCCTATTTGATCTAGTGCATGAATTAGACTGGCCCCGGGAAGTGAACGTTTCAAGAGGTCGGGATATATTAAATTCATATTTTGCGTTATCTAGCGTGACAGATAATCCAACTAAACAGCAGGTTTACCAAGTAAACCACGACTTCCCTTCGCCCCCAAAATTCCGGAAGGTCAGAACTAGCTACTACGTCACGGTTTGACTAAAGTAGAAATTTCAATCATTTCATGATTATCGCTTCTATAAATTTGAGTTGATGAATTTTACAGTAAGACGCTTTTGATGTATGAAGTGTGACGTCACCCTCGTGTAGATAGTAAGCAACTCTTTTCTTCTTTCTGGAATGACTGATCGATAACAAAATTGAAAATTGATTACATCACAATTTCTCACCATTTCTCCTCTTGGTAGACCAAGTGTTCATCTTTTCGCTCATTCTGATGAAACCCTAGAACTGCTCTTTCTGCGCGACATCACGAAGAGGTGCCAGCCATGATACTCTTCTCCCGACATAAAATTCCGAATCAATTTCGTCGTTGAGCTTCGATGTATCTTGTAGTGTTCCAGCCTGGATCAATTTCATACCCTGCATTCCCTCACCAGTCGCCTCTTTCCACAATGTATTTCCACATTCCGGACAAAAGAAGACCGTGAGGACCATTCCAGATTCGTGATCGGTTGAGAATGACTTTGTGCTGCCTTTCGTAAGAGTAAAGTTCTTATCCGGAACGGCAAAGCTGAGGGTATTGGTTCCGCCAGAAATCTTTTTGCACGGAGGACAATGACATACGGCCTAGAAGGATACCAACGAGTAAGGCGAGAGTAAGGCGAAGAGGCAAACAACCGTTATTACCTTCATCACTGGCTCACCAGTGTAGCTATAGTTGCATGAGCCACATAGGCAGCTCCCAGAAGTTACAGTAGCCATACTTTAACATAAAAAAAAGGTAGTCTTTGAATCAGGCGATCGAAGGTGGATGAAAAACCATTGGGGATTTGTCTCGTATTTATCATGGGCTACGATAGCGGTGAATAGCCGTGGCGTGAGTCTAGACTAGTGTTCTTTTCCACCTTCGCCTTTCTATACGAGAGCCCGCAGCCTAGATTCCATGGGTCTGAGGGCTGTCTCAGTCTAAGTTTTCAATTTATTGAGGATAAAATAGAGGAAAATTGACGTGTTCACGGCCTTTGGGTGAAAGGTCTGATGAGGCTGAAAGGTGGGGCGGCAAGGACAATGTCCCATGGAACGAACGGTAGTGATAAATCGAGAAAAAATAACATGTAACCGAACTATTGTCTGAGGTGGTGGTCATTCAGCGCCCACGATTCGGGCGGGAGCGGCTCGGCGCTTTATTCAGCTCTGTTCAGGACAGTCTGGGTACATGTTCAGCCACCTGATGTTCTTCACCTGTCTATTCAGCCCGTATGTTAAACTTGAATTATCGTATTTTGAAGTGTCAGAACCGGGGAGTGGCCATTCTTCTTTTATTGCCTTTCCAATGCCCTCCATGGAGGCAAGACCAACTTTCAACACGATGCTTGAGTTTTATTAGGCAATTCTCCACCGGGTTGAAGAGAGAAAGAAACACTGAGCTCCTAGCATCTACCATGACCACTATTAATGAGGTTCGTATAAGGTTGTCTCAGGTGCTTCATACACCACTATATCCTTCTATTTACAGTAGCTTAAACTTCTTCCTTCTCCATACCACATGGTTCCACCACATACGTTCTGAACACTTCCACTCGTACGTCCGTGGAATCATTACAATCAATTGACCCAACGCTCTCTTCTTCCACTCAAATCCCCCCCTCACATAATCTTAACTTCATAAATTTGGTACCATCTACTCAATTACTCTGGCCCTTTAGACCCTCCGCTTCAGCCTCAGCAATTTCCTCTCGCAAACTCTCCTCCTCAGTCAACACCTTCTCCTCCCCCTTCACATCACTGCACTGTTTCACCTCCCTCGAATATACGACAACCTCTGATTTCTCGATCGCTTTCGAAAATCCCTCTATCACCTTCGGTTTGAAAGACCCATCTTCGGGTGGGTAGCTACCACGACCCCGGCCGGGGCCAGGGTCGTAGGGCGGGACGTAAGCGGACCAGTAAACGCGCGTTTGACCGAAGCGGCCGAAGTTAAGGTCGGAATTTTGAGTCAGGGTTGTGAACAAGTGGCCCATTCTTAGGTATCTTTTATATTTGGTCTTGGGGGCCTGTTGCGATTAGTTGCGTGTATCCTTCATGACATTTTTCTCTTTCAATGATGATGAAGTGGGTAGGTAGGAAGGAAGGATAGGAGGACGAACCTTATAACATTTATACGAGTCCCATCCCATCGCATGGTACATTTTAAAGATGGTGACGCCTCCGCAAACGGGCGGCTGGCGGAGGAGCATCTTTCGCCAGCTGGCTTCTTTTCTCATGTAGGCAGATTTCTTTTGAGGGGATGAGAGCATGTCCAGGGATTTAAAGGAAAATTGGTTGTTCTTCCCTTGCCTTTTACCTGCATGTTCAGTTTCAATTACCTTTTCTTCGTTAACGTGGATAAAGGGGTATTCATGGACTGATGGAAAGAAGGGTCGGAAGGCTTGTACTAAGAGTGGATTGTAGATGGGCCGTGTGTATGAGCATTCGTATTCATTTATGCTTCCTTGGTCTAACTTTGTGTCTTTCTTTAAGGGTGAAGGAAGGACAGAGTTCCAGATTGATTTTGCGTGCCATTTGCCCTTTTTGGGTTTTGGGGTGAATGGTCGGAAGAAGAGCGCTCGTTGGATTGCGGGCGAGCGCTGGATTAGGACTGTCCAGGTTTGGCATACTAGCTGGGCCGAGACGAGGAGTGTGCGGGTGTCTAGGTGAAGGAGGATGATCTCGAGGAGTTCAGGGGTGGTGAAAACCTTGGTATGGGGTTGCTCTTGCTCTTGCATTTTGGTGTCTGCGATTACTCGTGGGTATTTTTTGCTCTTGTGACTGTTACTTTAAATAAGTTGATGGGCACGCGGTGGGTTGTGTTCCAGAGCAGTCAGGTGAATAAGGGCCGAGTGGGGGCTGAACGAGGCTGGACGAGGCTGAAACTCAGGGCGGCAAGAGGGGTTTCGCCAAGGAATCAAATGAGAACAGGAATTAAAAACAAAAACATACAACAGTCAGGATTCGCATACGGTCACCCACCATACTACTGACTAACCGGCGTGGGGCTCATCTACGGCTAGTAGTCGGGAGGGTGCCGCCTGTATGGAGGCTACTAATAAATAGCTATAAGGATAGTTAGGGGGCTACTAAGCAGCCAATGAGGTACTTTAGTGGATTTATAAACCTTTCCTACTCACCATTAGCTAGACCATTTACCTCCCTATCTAATTGGGCTAGGTCGACAAGCACTGTACTTATGACTAGCCCTGATAGGGTTTACTACTTTGAGTACGTGTCCGGTTATATAGGGTATGTTGTCCTCCAAATCAGGACTCGCTAGCTTCTAGGAATGAAGCCTTGAATCAAAGACGAGAGATAGACTTCTCCGACGTGTCGCGAATTGACGCAGAATTATGATAGTACCTTCGCTATGACTACGTTATCGGCAATTTGAGGCGTAGTAACGCAATGGCTTTGTACCACGTCTCAAAGGAAGAACAGTAAGGAATCTTATTCTTAGCCCGTATTGAGTAAATTCGCGGCCTGGGTCAGTCGACGACCATGGTATAGACATTTTGTGTACCTTACAAAATTATACGTCATATTTATGTTCGACAAATCTGGAATAACTATTCTCAGCAAGAGGTAATGTATGACTCTATTATAAATCGGCTACGGCAGGTTGGAATACGGCAGGGAAATGATTTAGAAATTAGTATTTTTATTTGATATTGCTGAATACAGAGTATTGTGCTTATGCTTTCGAGCTGAACCTGATAGAACTTTGAGCCACCATCAATATTACTCTGGGCGCGAAGAATGAAAGCACAAAATCCATCGTGCGTGATGAAAGATGGCTTCGTTTAATTTTGAACAGGGTAGAATTGAACACAAAGACAACAAAATTAAGACTGAGTTCGTGTATATACTCCATCATTATTGCCATCTTACCAAGAGAGGCTTTGTATCTGGAAATCTTCCAATTAGTGCCGTGTACAACTCTTTTCGTCAGATCGGGCTTGTCAAAAGGATAACCATTCCCAACCCATAGGATATTATTGAAAAGAATGACAACAGAGGTAAGACTGAGCTCGTGTATATACCCCATCATTATTATCATTATTATCATTATTATCATCTTACCAAGGGAGGCTTTGTATCTGGAATTCTCCCGTTTAGCGCTGTGAGCAACTCTTTTCGTCGGATCGGTTTCGTCAAAAATAGGTCCATTCCCGACCCATAAGCTTCATTTTGAGCACTGGCACTTGCAAGGCCGGTCAGGGCGACAATGGTCGCAGGTCTGAAAAGTTCTGTCGATGACGCATCGAGCGTCTTCTGATACTCGTCCTCGAACTTTCGAATAAGCCGAGTAGATTCGAACCCATCCATTATTGGCATGGAGATATCTGTGCTCGTTAGAATAATACTTGATAATCAAAAACCAGACATACCCATCAGAATCACTCCGAACTGTGTAGGATGGGCTTTGAAGGTGTTCAACGCCTCCAACCCATTGCGAGCGGTCGCATACTGAAATCGTTCTTTTTTCATATGTGCAATCAATATCTGCAAATTGATATCATTATCTTCAACCAACAACACAGTCAACGTCGATTCCTCATCCATGCTGGGTAAGCTCTCTCGAATCGGGAGAGTAAAGGCATCACTGTCGTTACGTGATATAGTAGTGACCTTGGGTTGTCGCGAGGCTTCCCTTCCGTCCGAACCAAAATATGCATCACCTAACGCCCTACTTCCTGCTTCAGCGTTATGATTTTGGAAAACGATATCATCCTCTGTGCTTCGTACTTCAACATCTTTTGGAGAAACTAGAGGGGAACCCGTCAACTGGTAGTCGTTGATCCTTGGAAATTGATCCACTCTAGATTCACCTCCAACTAGAGGGCCCCCACATTGCTGTCGCCTGATGCATATGTTTAATGCCTTGGCTAACTTGCGCGGGCCACAGGGCTGACTGATGAATTCGACAATAGCCTTGTGGTTTGATCGGCTTGCTGCAACAAACATGAGATGTGCTGCCTCGGGCGACCGACAAATCACTACAATCGGTATTCTCTGGCTTTCACCATCGCTGTGTGGATAATTCTGGGTTTTGGACAGCCACGATTCCCACGTATTCACAGGATTGGTATCCGTCTGCACTGCAACGTAAAAGTTACACGAGGGGATAGCGTCGTCCAATGGAGACACTGTACAAACACTCATCTCAAACCAGTTCTCGCACAAGTTCTCCAACGAAGTGCGCAGGATTGTATCACGCTCGGACATGTCAGGTGATCCTAGCTCCAGGAGTCCCACAGTGGCGCCACGTGTAACGTGCTTGACCTTCAAAATGGGCTCGGGCTCAGAGGAACTGAATTTGGTGTTTGCAATGGGCACATGAGTCAGTGTGACTCCGACTGAGACTTCAGTACCGCGGCCCCGGAGCGAACTGACTTCGACATGACCACCCATGGAACGAACCGCCTGGTGAACAATGCTCATCCCGAGCCCGTTGCCAGGGGCAAGCGAGTCTTCTTGAGTGAAGGGAGTGAATAAATTATTTTGCAAATACTCCATGCTCATACCCTGACCCGTGTCCTTGACCGTCAGGGTTACTTGGAAATCAGTAGGTCCTCCCTGAACGGCGTTGTTGGAAGCAGTAACAGGCGATGCCGTTAGCTTAACGTATATAAATCCAGTTTGGGTGTACTTCAAAGCATTGCCGAAAATGTTCATCATGATGCGACGCCAGGCGCCTATTTGCGTAAAAAACTTCCATTCGACGGCTTCGTCGATATCCAGGATGATACTGACTTGATTCGCTTTCTGGAAGGGCCCCAAGATATCGAGTGCCACGTGATTTGGACGATCCGTGGCGAGTGAAGTTTGTGGACTGTGATAGAAACTGTGACCGGCAAAAATGCTTTCTATTACCTCTTCCAGAACAGCATCCAGATGGATATTAGACTTGAGACTAATCATCCCCCTATGCCGAGTCCGCCGCGAAGGCTTCATACTGTGAGATGATGAATCGGTGTTTTTGTTTCGTCTTAATGGGCTTTTGCGTTTGTGGATGGTGTTGTTGGCTCCTACCTTCCGAAAATTGTTGATTTTCGAAAAGTCCAGCAAATGGTTGATTGTATCCAACAATGTTCGCCCACATGATTCAATAGTGTGCACCAGTCCATGCTGAAGTGCACTCATCGCCGTGTCCCGAAGGATTTCTGATGTGCCAAGAATACCATGGAGAGGGCTTCGTAACTCATGCGAGATGCTGCTAACGAGATTTGCTTTTGCCTTTTCTGACATCTCGACATCCAAACGATGCACCTCCGCCATGATACTATTTCCAAAGGCCGACAGATACGTGAGCTCAGTTTCTGATGAGAAGACGCGCTGAGGCGTGTTCGTCCATACCAGAGCGCCGGAAAACCACCGAGCTCGGTGTGAATCCCACATCGGCAGGAGGGCAATACTGCGAGCGCCCGGAACAAGTTGAATAAGAACATCTCCATCTACTTTGAGCATGGCACTGCGCGTCATTTTCTGGGTTTTTCTTTCTCTTCCACCGGTAAGGTCAGGGGCATCTGAGTTTGGACCCTCATCTTTCACCGAAGTTTTCCAGGGTCCATCACTGCTTTCATCCGAGGACAACGACCCCTCTTCGCTGAAATTGAAAATCTTCCCCTTCGGATAACGCCGCAGAAGAGCCTTCAACAATGCTTCCCGAAGAATAAGTCTGCCTTTCGATTCATTGTTGATACTGGATGCAGCCGAAGTGGAGAAGCCTAGGATTTCACATACGGTCGTGTTCTCTGGGGTAGTGTCTTTCCCGGCTGATGGAGTAGAGCTTCCCTGGGAATCAGTCCCGGCGCTATCGTCGCTGTTACCCAAGGAGCTTTCCGAGCTACCACTATTTGAGCCCGGTCCCTTTAGCTTCGTATCGCTGATAAGACCACCATAAGACCCGATGCTTGCATCGAAAAAAGCAACGCCTTGGACCTCTATCGATTCTCGTATAATATTAGCCGCTCGGGAAAAGACCTCTCGAACTCCAGTGGATAGCATGTCCTCTTGTAGATTCGCAGTCGATGCCGTACTTCGGACAGAGAAACTAGTCTCTGTTTCGCCCTTGTTGGAATTGGAGAACTGATTGACACTGGCTTCTGAGCTCTTGTCAGACTGGCCTGTTAACGGCGAGGGAGACGGTCTTGAGGGAAAGGCCGGTGGTGGCCTAGTATGCAAATCGGAGGATGCGTATCGCTCAGAAATCTTTTGTGAAGTTGCTTGTGACTCCAGCGGTGGTGACGACAGGCCGGTGTAGACAGTTGTGAGCAAACCAGATCTGCTTTGTGCAGTTTGCTGCTGTACATTGATATGGCCTTCGTCGTTAGGTTGTTCATTCAGGCGTAGTCCAGTGGCCTGTACCCACTCATTGCGAAGCGTCGCTTTACCTTCCACGAAACTTCCGAAACCCACAATCATTCTCTCTGCACGATGATGTTCTGCTTTGTAACGAGCCATGTCCAAGTGGGTCATGACAGTTGATGCCATATCCTGTAGGAACTTGATCGAAGGGGCGTCTAATCCAGAGCGTGGCTTGTCATCGATAATGCAATAGGATCCGATCGTAATGCCTTTGGAGCTGATGATGGGGGTACCTGCATAAAACCTCGCTTTGGGAGAGCCGCTGACCATGTTCAATTCTCTGAATCGCCCATCCTCGCGCAAATCAGGTACCAGATATATATTTCCGTCCACCACATGTTCGTCTTCCCCTGGTGTCATTTGCGGTAGTGAAGCGACCTGTTGACATATCCCATCTTCCTTGGGAACAACGCAGCGGCCCAACCACAAGGAATCTCGGACATTCTCCACTGTGTGATCCTGGAGACTGAGGCTTTGGGTGGCTTCTGCAAGGACATAATTTTGATCTCGTCCAAAGAGTGAAATCAAAGCACGTTGAGCCTTCAATCTCAAAACTCCCAACTGAGCGAAGGCCGTCAAAGCGGTATCTGGCGATGAGCGGGGAACGTAGGCAGAATTATGACTCTGGACATCCTCGGGGTTTGTTTTGGGGCAAGTTGGGCCAGGTTGAAAGTCTCCAGTATCGACTCTTAGATACCTTTTATCAAAATGGGGTTTCAGTTAGCAGTCTGGCAGTCGGGGAGATGAAACCCTCACATACTTGTAAAGTTCTCTCTCCTGTGCTATTTTGAACTTTGGCGATTCATTTTGCACTGGTTTTGACGACGCCATCAAATGAGCATGTACAGTGCGTTCGTGGTGGGGTTTCTCATGGTCTTTTGGCTCAAGTGATTGACGAAGGAAAAAGTCTAGACTGATCCAAAAGTTCGAGGCGGCATGTATTGATGGACGGGGAATAATGCAAAACGCGCGCTAGTCCTAATGTGGGAAGTGCTAGCTACTCCGCTTTCCACTCCGCTTTGCAGACCGCTTACCTTATCTTTTCAAATTCGATAACATTATGATTTAGATGTGTTCAATATGGTTTTAACACATCTACCACGTCCATGCCCCTGGGGACATTCAAAGTGACCTCCACGAAGAACTGAGAATCTTGACGGCCAATACCAAGTGGTCGCACTGGGATGAGACGCCAAACCTAGCTCTTTCAAAGCATGAGCATATCTATTCGCCGAGTAGCCTATCTCCAAGAAGGCTCACAGGTAAATCTCGACTTATCTAGGTCTAGTCAATCTGCAACACTTACACTAAAGATAGCAAACTGCCTACGGGCTCTTCATATTGACATTCCAGATGTACGTGAAGGAAGAATGTTGTTTACGCCGACGAGAACAGGGCCCTCGGCCCCTCGCGTAAGGGTAATTTCTCACCCGCTCTCACCCTTGCTTTTCGTCCTATGTATCGCCTAATCATTAACAATACACCTGTGCTCCTCACACATGTTATACCACACCTTTTCTACGCAGCCCTTGTCTATACGAAGAAGAACCGATACTGATCGACCTAATCTAATTGATCACATATCGACTATATCCAGCAATTACACCCTTCGAGGAATTTTCTTTAGTATTATAATATAAGGGATACAAAAGCCATAGTAGACCGATCAAAGGGCCATAAGCTACTGCTTTATATGTTTCTCTAAACCTAAACAAGGTCGGTGTACCTGGCGGGGCCGATCACCGCCTCTTTCGGTTATAGCGAAGAAGGATTGGAATTCCGCAGTGTATGTTTGACCTTGAAGATTTTGAGCATACTGATGTGTTGGTGGTCGATCCGATTTCCGGTGTGAACTCTATCTTTGTTGTGGCATTGTAATATCTACAACCAACTAGTAACGGTGAGATAGTAAATGAACTTGAACATACGATCCAACCCAAAAGTAGGCATCACTAAGTCCTGTCACATTGCTTGGTCGGAATGGAAGAGATACATTGTACGTCAAACTTGCCTCTGCGGAGACAATTCGGGGGTAAAGAAGGCAACAAGCAAGGAACAGCAGAATTGGCCTCATCGTGCTATGTCGAAGAAGAAAAGTGAGTAGTGACACGAAATCATTCTCGAAATCAGAACTTAATCAAAGGACAAAAACGGAAAAAATTAGAACGGGAATGAAAGGTCCTGGTAAAAGAGCCAAACAACTTTGAGCGATGGAGGCCAAACTAACCGGGAAATCAGGATTAACTTAGACCCTAGGCGCCCATCTTGTGAGACTAGTAGGCCTGCTACAGGGAGAATGTGACCCTGACTGAATCAGTTCCTCCGGGAGACCCAACTGAAACTACCCCGCGTCAATTTGTTTGCCCTAATAATCCCGAACCCTTCTCGATACATTTACCCCACAGCACATTGAGGTCTATACTCAGGGGTAGTGCGCCGTGCCCGTCGCGGAATCTGGCGAGTGTTCTTGAGCTACCAAAATTTTTGAACCGAGTTGAGTCTAACTCAAAGCACAGAGCCATTTGTGGTAACTCAGCCATGCAGGCCTCTAGTAGACATATTGACGGCTTGTGGACCAAAGACTGTGGACTCGAATCACTTGTTCTAGATCACAGGGGCGAACCCTTGGAAGCCCGGTGCCTGTTTGAATCACAACGATAGCCGAACTTACTAGTGTGATCTTGGCAAATCCACACGTGAACATCATTTGTATTCCTTTGCTTACCTATCAATTTCTCACCACTTACCCCAGGCGCACTCAAGGTTGTCTCCCAAATTCCATAATGGGGACACATCTTCCCCAGGAAATATTGCATTTGATCGCGACTAATCTGCAGGACTCAGAAGCCTCTTTGGTCCCTTGCACTCGAGTATGCCGTGAATGGCAGGTCGCCTTTGAGCCCTTCATTTACTCCCAACCAATCCACGTGATAAGTGCCGATGGTGTCAGCAAAGATGACTGTGAGCGGTCAATGTCGTTGAGTCACTTTCAGAACGTGACCTCTGGTAAAGGGCTGACTCGGCGGGCCCTGATCCGACATTTGAGCTACCACATTGTGGTTCCTCTTGACCTCCCGGATTGGCAAACTCGCAAGGAGAAAGCATACAGCCTCGAGAACATTATCCGTTATGATAATGATCTTGCATTTCAGTCCGGAATATTGGATCTCTTCAATACTTTCAAACATTGGGATTCCAATTTGCGCCTTTCGGTTGAGTTGGCGCTGCTGGGTCGCGAAGCCGGAAAGGAGCCTCACACATATGATTGGGACACCGCAGGCGAATACCGCTACGACTATAAAAAGGGAAGAAGGAAGTCAGTTCCTGTATATCGTGCACAATTTATAGACCACGGGGCTTCCCTTCTCCCGGATGTCGCGTGCATCAGCCGTCTTTGCTTTCGTGATGGTCCCCCTTTTCATCAAATTTGGGCCGGATCGGCCATGCAAATTGCTCAGTGCTGTAGTACTCTTACTGAGATGATGCTGGATCTCGATGAGTATATCCGCCCGGATCACATTGAATATATTCAAGCAAGGCGTCAAGGTTAGAGAATACCTATTGATATTACATTGAAGAGCCGAAACGCTGATATTCCGATAGCTTTGGCCGACGGTCTTTTGACGATGCCACGTAGCCTAAGGGCATTCAATCTCTTCAATCAAATGGAGTGCCCTTGGAAGGAAATGATGAACGGGTTAAATGTTCTGCTTTCAGATACCGACTTTCTTTCGCAGAACATTCTGAATTTGAGTCTATCACTTAGAGAATTGAAGATTGACCAGCTATCGCTCACGCCAGATTTCCTGTTTCCTCTAGATACAAAAAGCCATCCATTGCCGACTTCTCGATCTCTCTACTGGCCTTTATTGGAAGTGGTGGAGCTGACTAGGGTACCTTCAAGACTTCCCTCAGGTGCGTTCATCGATCTACCATCGACTGCTCAGTTGCAATTGAGTTAGCATGTAGGCAAGAGCTATCATCTGGTTCATTTTATTGATGATTCCATTATATAGGCCTGTGGATTGTACATCCAACCCCCGAGGACCAAAGCGAAATCGACGAGGTCGAAGACTGGGAGAGAATCATCTGTGACTATGAAGAAGGCTTTATTTCGCGGCCGATTTTTGATCGCGAGCATTTTCACCGAACCCTTATTTCCCTAGGCCATGCAGCTCGTCTGATGCCCCGTTTGAGGTACATGCAATATTGTCTTTCACATAACCCGAACTTTAAATTTGAATTTAAGCCCCATGCGTCGTCTGGGAAGGCAGAGTGGCAGCTTTACTCTCTCTATCGTCCGGATCAACGCGTCGCGAATGCGTGGAAATGTTCATTAGCGGAGCTAGATGCGAAGTTGCCTTCAAAGTTGATTAAGACGACTATTGAGGACTGGAGCAACATGTAGCTGAATCTCAGAGCATTGTGAAATACTGAAGTGAAGTACTCCGGATTCCGAGAGTCGCACATGTCATGCAGCGCTGTGGCCCAGGCAGGACATTGAGAAGCGCCGCTTTAGCGTCATGCAACTGGGGGTGTGAGCTACAGCTAAATTGGTAAGGACAGCACTTGGAGGCGAAGCTGCGCTTAGGTCTATAACAAATGTGCCCTACGTACTGCCTCCCACTAGAGAGTTCAGAAGGTCCACATGAACATGACTTATAACCAACATGAATCCCGTGGGAAGGGAATTTATTCGGCATTACCAAATATATCTATATTCATTTCCTTGTGGCTAGAGTTCGTATGCAATATCAATGAGAAACAGAGTGTATGAGACTAGGGGATATTTATGTGCAGGTATGCATGCAAAAAGCAGAGCAGATACAAGGTTATTCCGATAACTCTCTTTCTTGCGGCGTGTCGTCATCTCTATGATGATCGATAAGGTGTTCCCCGGGGAGAGTAATGGCACGATCGATTTGATACGGCAATCCACGGTGACGGCCTCGAATCATCATGAAGCAAATGACGAGTTTGCTAAAGGTATTGAACTGCCCACAGAGGGATGTATCGACAGTCGGATACCCAAGACTGAGACCAACATTGGCACTTCAAAAGAGTTAGTCACTTGCAAGGAGTCGTGGTTCTCCGAAAGCACTTACTAGGCCGATACTACTTCAAATAGAACGGAGAAAACAGAAAATGCCTGGACAGCGTTAGCCAAATTTTGAACCCGGAAGATCAAACCAAGTACTCACTGGGATATTTGTATCTGCAATTTTACCAGACTCGGCAATACAGATGCAGAAACAACCAAGGAAAATGTACCACAAGTCAAAGCTCAACTGGTTCTGTATGTGAGCGATGATGTAGGATCGGCCGTTCGTTTCATCAGCGGCAGCTTCTGGGCTATAAACTCCAAGAGTTCTCTCCTCATAAACGTTGGAAGCCCTAACACTGATAGCAATCGGGAAGACGGCAATGTACATCATGACAACCAAGCTGAACTGGACTGCTGGATTGACATTAGCCAAGTTGAACGTGGCTGCTCCTGTATGACGAGCCGATGCTGCTTGGAAGATAGCAGCAAGCACCCGCGGACCAGCCGCCAGGTTGTTAACAGCAGGGTTGTGCAAATCAAGAACGATAATGAATATCACGTCGATGGTATTCATAACGAACAAGATACCAAACAGGATCCATGTCGGTCGGCTTGGAAAGAGTAGTGTAAAGCACCGTCGTGGATGGTCGAGGAGGAAGTTGAGAGTTTCCTTCATTGACGAATTTTGCGGGCAGAGCTTAAACATGATCCAAATAATCAGCCGGAGAAGACATGGATAGCAGGTGTTTCCAGCAAAAGTAAGGAAACTCGTAACGATCAGTGGGAACGTCGCGTCTTGGAAGGAAACCATTGAGTCTGGTGTGAGTGTAAAGCCGAGGTTGTCAACCATCGTTTGAGCAGTATAGAACCCCCCTAACACCAGAAAAAAAAAACAAAATTAGCTGTCGATTTTGAATCTGTTGAATGCTTCACTCACCACCATACATTGCCTTGGCCACACTCTGCAAGGTAAGCCCGATATTTCGGATCGGCATGCTGAATCCATCCTACAAGGCAAATCGCCCCAAAAAGATGCAGACCAAAGAAATAACCGACCGCAATCTTTAGCAGCAGCTTTAAACTGCGATATTCGATGCCACCTAACCTCTCGCGGTCCTCGGCAGTCAGGTGGTGAAACTGGGAGTTCCGGCTCTGCGTAGCTTGGGAAGAAATATTCGGCAAAGCGAGCTGCTTGAATTTGCTTTTCTTTCTTGATGGAGAGCTTTGGCTACGCCTGGGGCCCGAGGACCCACCAACTCTAAACATCATGGAAGCAGCCTGCTCGAGGGGCCGTGTTGTAGCAGAGTAGATGCTCACTGCAGTTTGCCGACGACGAAGGCCTTGTTCAATACGCTCTTGGTCGATGTAGGTGGAAGCCACGGATTTGGCTTTAATTGCCCGCATATTAGAATATGATTGCCAAGAAGTGAAGATGAGAGGTGGACCAGCTTACCATCATCAGCGGTATTCCCATCAACTTCAACGAATGAACCACCTGGTAGATATTCATCAGCTCGGAAAGTTACCACAAGGTCAATAGTCCAACGTACCTCTATCGCGTCTCCATGGTGGGGGAATATAAAGGGCTTTATCCCTGATCGATGATTCCTGGTCATTATCAATGAACTGAATAGTTTGTCGGCGCGGAGCAAAGTCTGGCGTAGGATTCTTTGTATCAGTATCCGCGTCTGGCTCTAGTGATTGATCGGGAGAGTCGCTATATAGATTAGTCTTCGATCAAAGGGGGTGCGTATGATTTTGTAGTGCGACCAACTTTGAGAAAATTTCTGGCCCCTCATTGACTTCAGCCTCATCGTTCTTCTCGGCCGATCTTTTGTACTGAATTTCCTGTAGACTGGCAACATCTGAGACATCTTCCGAGTCTCTCTCTGCTCGTAGCTGAGCCTCAGTGTCTTGTTCAGCCGATAGCTGTGGTCTTAGAATGTGCGGCGCTGATGATTAACAAGATATATCAGCATGTGGGCGGTCTAAACGCTAGCCTTGTACAAAAAGAAGAGCCATCATACCAATCTCCTGCAGGCGTTTCTTGAACCAGCGCAGCCGGACTATGACCACGATGATGTTGATGAATCCGAAATTCCCGAGGATAGGAATAAGATAAATATAGACCTGCTGGTAGGTCTTCAAAGCTTTGACATCAATTCTGGACGTCGAAAAGTTTCCTTGTCAGAAGAACTGGTCTTGCTTCAAGAGCGGTGGGAGAGGTGGGAAGAAACAACTGACGTGTTCAGTCCCGACTCAGTCGACGCGCTCGCACCGAAGAAGTAGGCATCGACCGCTCGGAGATTTCCATATGGATAGATAATCGCCAAACTTAATACACTCAGAGTGATGATCCAGGCATCTATGAAGCTCGTTAGGACAGAGAGACTCGCAATTGAAAATTAACCCACAATGCAAAGTAAGGAAGTCTACCGGCGGCTTCCACATGGCGTCGGGACGGGCCTGGAGTATGTAGAATGAGAGAAACTCCCACTGGCATGTCAAGCTGACAACGGTTGGTGGCAACAAAATGCCTCACACTGCGGGATTTACGGCAACCAATCACCCGTTGAGTACTATGAGTTTTCTGCCAATCAGATTTTGCAAAGCGGCAAATTCTAAAGATGACAGAGAAGTATTTTAAGGTTTCACGCATGGAGCTCCGCTTTACTGATTAAACCCCTTATCTACGAAGCTATTGTCCTTTCGCTCCTTTTGCTTTGCATCCGTGCGTGACCGCTGCACCGCCTCTGCCCGCTTTGCCAATCATCAACTATTTGTCGTCATCTTCACTCGTGACAAAAAGAGTCATGTTCTCTACCTCGCGGACTTTCTCTCTCGTTGGCATCTCCTGCTCACGCCTCATCCCATCAGCACGATGCACGATATTTGGGCGGTCCCGCTCCAGCTCTCCAACTTCAATATTATAGTCGCCGTACTGGGCGGTTTTATCTCTCTCTTTGGCCTTGTATCGTATCTTTTAAAGGAGAATTTTTATGTTTCTGAAGCTCGTGAGTTCCTCGGGCGCGGGGAGACGCCGCTTGCTCTTCCCAGGGTGGCCGAGGTGTCGCAGCATGTATAGAACACCAAAACCACTGACTCGTGAGCAAACATAGTCATTTCGCTCTTGGTGGGGGTTGCACTTGGACCAAATGGAGCACAATTTATCCGTCCCAGGGACTACGCCATGTGCAACCACAAAGGTGTCTCGGCTGTCGAGTGCCGCGACAACCTAAATGCCATGACGCTAAACTTCTCCCGGCTGGTTCTAGGCATTCAGCTGGTCCTTGCCGGTGTGCAGCTCCCCAGAAAATATCTACAGAAGGAATGGAGATCCATTCTGCTGCTTGTGGGCCCGGGCATGACGGCCATGTGGATCGCCACAAGCCTGCTCGTCTGGGTCTTTGCCAGGACGCCCAGCTTCCTGCACGCACTCGCCGTCGGTGCATGTGTAACGCCCACTGATCCTGTGCTCTCCGCCGTTATTGTCAAGGGCAAGTTTGCCGACAATAATATTCCCAAGGATCTCCAGCACCTTATCATTGCCGAGTCTGGCACTAATGATGGGCTCGGCTACCCGTTTCTTTTTTTTGCCCTTTATCTTATCAAGTATGTGGGCTCGGGCGCAACATCTGGCGGTACCGGTGATGCTATGGGCCTCTGGTTTGTCTTCACCTGGGGATACACCATCATCCTCAGTATCCTGTACGGCGCCGTGGTGGGCTGGGTGGGCAAGAGGCTACTGTACTGGGCAGAGCAGCGCAACTACATCGACCGTGAGAGCTTTCTCGTATTTGCTATTGCCCTCGCTCTGTTTGTGCTGGGTACGTGCGGCCTTATTGGTACCGACGATGTCCTCGCCTGCTTCATCGCAGGCAACACATTTACGTGGGATGACTGGTTCCGACTGCAGACCAAAGATGACTCTCTTCAGCCAACAATCGACATGCTCCTCAACGTCTCTATCTTTTTGTGGTACGGCACTTACATACCTTGGGACCACTTCAGTGATAACTCTATCATCTCGACCCGGCGCCTCCTCATCCTTGGTGCTCTAGTCCTCCTCCTGCGACGTCTGCCCTGGGTATTTGGCATGCATAGATGGATCCACCAGATCAAAGAAGTCAGGCAGGCCATCTTTGTAGGATTCTTTGGACCCATTGGCGTCTCTGCCATCTTTTACCTATTTGTCAGCATGGAATTCATCGAGCAACATTTGAGTGACGGGGACGGTGTTCCTCGAAGCGACGTTAAGGACCTTGGTGAAACCATTCGGGTTGTCGTCTGGTTCCTCGCAGTCTGTAGCATTGTAAGTCGGCCTGTTCATACCCTCTTTACTCGGAGATTTGACATGTAATGCTGCATAAGGTTGTTCACGGACTCAGTATCCCGCTGGGAAAGATGGGATACCTCGCGCCTCGAACCTTTAGCCGGGTACTGAGTGAGACCCTGAGTGATGAGCCGCGCTCGGCGGAATCTTTGCGCAGGATCCCGGTGCTGGGCAAGTACCTTGTCGGAGAGCCAAGCGATGAGGAGTCTCGGCGTTATCAGCGCACCACCGCCATATCGGGCCCGTCAAACCCTCGTCATCCTCACACGGAGGCAAGTACGCCAATTCTCCCCAGCCAAGTTGCGGTCAATTACGGGGCATTAAATTCCGGCCCCGTTCGCCGCGACCGGGAGATTCGGTTCCCTGATGAGGGGCAAGTCAGTCATAGCTGCTGAGTGACGCTGAGTGGACTGGCAATGGGGGCCCGAAGGCCGTAATAAATCAATAGCTGGACTTGCTCCGTATATACCTATCGACTTATAATGTTTGAATAATTGGGAACTTTTTGACGCCTCAGCATCTAGGGCGCTTTCTGACTCCAACGTGGTAGACCACATCTCATCGTCTTCATTGTTTTATATCGAAGCGTTAAATCGTCGAGAAAGGACATAGTCTCTTTCATATTTAGAACCACTTGTTGTTGGAAATTTTCTGGGGGGGCTTGCAGCAACATAAAGTGAGAATGCATGATTAGGAAAATTTTGGCAGTCAAGTGAATGGCACACAGATGAATTTTCAGATCGTGATCCATCCCGCCGGGTGGACCCAGGAGGGGCGGGCGTGCGCACTATTGGACTATCTCAACGGGCCGCCGGGCCGATACGCTTATCTTCCACATTCAGCAATGTTCAAGGACAGTTGAAAGGGAATAAATTGATCACTTTGAAACTTTAGGGTAGCCTCATATGAGTAAGGAGGTACCTGGGTATGTACTTAATAACGTTACTACTCTCAAATCTGGGAAAATTTTCTTATTCAACGAGCAGCAGGCCCACACACTTGGGTTCTTTCATTGGCCTAGGAAAACAGGTAATTTCATCACTTCTTCACTCTGCATGTTCCACTTCCGCGCCGACCTTTTCAATAGAAGAAGGTACCACGTTGGCGTCACCAAACAGCAAATCCATCTGTTCCAAGGTCTTGCCTTTGGTCTCCGGGAAGAAGAGGATATAGCAAATCATGGCGATTATGTTGAATACGAAGAAAACGTAAAAGTAGCGGAATCCAATGTTGGATAATGCTGTTGGCGAGAATTGGGCAAAAATCAGGTTGATGGTCCAATTTGTGAAGGTGGTGACCGAGTTGCCTTGGTTTCGAATGTCTACTGGGAAAATCTCAGCGGGATATACCCATGAGATAATACCAATAAAAGTGTAGAAGAAGCTGAAAACAAAGTTCATGGCCACCATTGCACGGAGCTCATTGCCATTACTCTCATCATAGTGCTGGGACATAGCGGCATTGCAAACCAAAGCAAGAGCCATTCCAGCTGATCCAATGATAAGAGGCTTGATACGACCAACTCGCTCCAGGGCCCAGAGACCACCGGTACAGTATACAATCGACAGAGCTCCGGAGATACCGATGATCATAAGTGAGGTCTTTGTATCAATTCCCAGGGATGCGTAGATGCGTGTGCCGTAGTAGTTAATGACATTAATGCCAGACAAAGGACCAAAGGCTTGGACAGCACATCCCAGGATGAGACGACGGCGCCAAGAAGGTTTAGTGAGAATCGAGGTCCATGTAATCTTTGTCGACGCACGCTCAGCATCGATAGCTTCACGAATTTCTTGGAACTCAAGCTCAATATATTGTTCCTTCTCCGGGGTTCCATCTCCATGGAGCCTTTGCAGTGTGGCAAGAGCCTCGTCGTGACGATCCTTCTCCATAAGCCAGCGGGGAGATTCGTTAAGGAACCACACGCCAGTAGCAAGGATTAGACCGGGGATACACTGAAAAGCGAGTGGAAAGCGCCCTTGAAAGTTGAACTTTGATTAGCCCACCTCAACATCCCATCCTTCAAGAAATTGGCTTACATTGAACAGAAGTTTCAGTGAATGACAGACCGTACCCAAGCCACTGAGCGACCAGGTATCCCCAGCTCAGCATCCACTGTAACAGACCGGACATCATGCCACGAGTCGAAGACTCAGCCATCTCACCGGCATACATTGGTACGACAGAGGTGAGCATACCAACCGCCGCACCAGCAATAAATCGACCAATGATGAGCATAGTCATGTTGACAGAGCCAGCTTGCAGAGCACATCCAAAGCATGAGATACAAGCGCCAGTAAACACAGACATCTTACGGCCTAGCCGATCACCTGTGAACATGTTTATGATGGTACCAAGGATTGCGCCACCCTGGAATGCGGAAACGATGCCACCAGTGACAGTGTCATTGGGGTTTGAAAAATACTTGATAAATTCGGTCTGGCCGATAGTGGAAGTGACGATACCGCTATCATAGCCGAAGAGAAAGCCTGGACGAACAGCTCATTAGTATTTGCGAAAGGTATAATAGATTGAAGATGCCAAGGTTGGTACCTACCTCCAATAGCCAGGAAGACGGCAGACAGCAATGTTGAGATTTTTGCCATTCTAGCTTCAGGTAGGTAACCTTGGAATTCTCACGACGAAGATCGGTGCTCAGGTGATGGACAATGTCTCAAGACGAATTTGGGGAGATTACATACATATATACATACCAGGGTACGTACGCTATGGGCAGGTCTAGTGGAGTTCTGGTCTGGTTGAACTCTAGTCTAGACCAGCCCCAACAAACCTAAGGCCTCGCCCATTAACCTAAAAGCCTGTCTGCTTGGCGGAAAAGCTAGAATGTGGTACCATGATAGGAGCGGAATTCCCGACAAAGAGCATCGTAAGCTGTGTTTCTACATGGATCGACCCCTTCATCTTCGGTGTCTATCAGCCCGGATGCCCGTCGTAATGCCGCCCCTGTGCCTAAGCTGCGGGGCCGGGGTCCGCGGAAATCCCCATGGGGTTAAGCTAGATTGCATTTTGGGAATCCCCAGACTTTCAGCCTATACTTTGGGATCATAAAATTAGGATCCGCCGGTGTTTAGCCTTCTTACTTAGTAGATCCAAGTCACCTATTGTCAAACATCCTATCTCTCTAGTGATCCTTTTGGTATTTTTATGAGTGACGGACTTCTGTCTTTGTCCTTGCTACAACTTATGTATGGCCTTCTTCCACGCTCGGACGTTTTACCGCTGGCACCAAGGATATAAATGTTGATTTTGGGGAAAATGAAGCGACAGCGAACACAAAAATGAAAAGGATTGTCTCAAATTCATCAGCCTAGCTCATGAAAACATTGACAGTACCGATACCACCGTAAGCGAGTCGGGAAACCCGACTAATGTAGTCAAGTGGGGCTATCTCGGAATACTTCATACCGAGCTCGGCTTCCCGCGTTCATCGATAGTAGAGAAAATTTTGCCACAGTATCAATGCAGACTCGCGAAAACAATGGGTAATTAGACTTTAGCTGTAAAAGCTAGATGGAACCCTGCATAGCAGAAGCGACAAGAGAAAGACAGAAGCTGCCTCATCTACAACGCCAAGAGCTACCAGGCGGTCACTTTGAATTTTAACAATTTTTAGGGGTCCCGATGCCGATTGGTCCCCGCCACCGGGAGGCTTCCGTGGCTTTAATTAAGGATGGAGCTCGGTAGTTGTAGTGCAAATGGACAACATTTGCCGAATATTTGCCGTTTCCCTTGGGCTGTGTGCTTTCCCAGGTCTGCTTTCTTTCCCCAAAATATTGTTCAGGCTAGGTCCTCTGGACCAGGCGCCGTTCAATTGCAGCCCTTGTGGACTATGAAGTCTCAAGTTCAAGCTCAATCAAGGTGAGGGTTTGGAAAGGGCAGGGCTTACACAGTGGGATTTTACCCGAATGCATCAATTGCGCAATATATAACACGGAGTAATGGTTACTTAACCTAATATTGAATGGCAAAAGTTTATTAGAGTTTGATATTCATTGCGTATCCTGTATACAGTAAAGCAAAAATGTAAAAAGTCCACAATCTTGGAATTTCCCTTGTCATCCTCACGAGCTTACTCGGAAAATCCATACTCAGGTTCCTTGGCTAGTCCAAGGTTGCCACCATGACTTTCCGACTGACGCAAATCTCATTACAATGTTATAAAGCTCTCAATTGACCCCGATGGTTACCAGAAGATTACCAGAGTATACTCAGTTGTCTAATTCTTGTGACCTGAGCTTCTAGTCATGTTTTTCAAGCTACCCCTTGTACTTGCTCTTGGCATCCCCAGTGCTTTGGGGGCCCCCTCTAAACGACCGGAGAAGGTCCAATATATTGATTGGAAGTCTTTCAAAGCATATGGCGTCAACCTAGGCGGCTGGCTTGTCCAGGAATCGACGATCGACACACACTGGTGGGACACCTATTCGGGGGGTGCCTCCGATGAATGGGGTCTGTGTGAAAACCTCGGTTCCCAGTGTGGACCAGTACTCGAGCAGCGCTACGCAAGCTGGATCACCACTTCCGACATTGACAAAGCCGCTAAATCCGGTGTTACACTTCTACGCATTCCGACAACCTCCGCAGCTTGGATCAAGATTCCTGGCTCAAAACTCTACTCCGGCAACCAGACTACCTACCTGGAGAACATCGCGACATATGCTATCACGCGCTATGGAATGCATATAATTCTCGGCGTCCATGGTCTCCCTGGTGGCATCAATGGCCTGACTATTGGCGAAGCTGCCGGTCATTGGGGCTGGTTCAATAATCAAACCAACTTCAATTATTCTATGCAAGTCATGGATACCGTCATCGCGTTTATCCAGAACTCTGGCCACCAGGAGTCATACACCCTCTCGCCCATCAACGAGCCGGCCGATAATCACGATCTATCTGTTTTCGGAACCTCTGCCGCTCTCTCTGATGCAGGTGCCGTTTGGGTCTTAAAGTATATCCAAGCAGTGCTTGATCGTGTCGCTACTGTGAATAGAAAGATCCCCATCATGTTTCAAGGCAGTTTCAAGGGCGAGGAATATTGGTCTGGGAATTTTTCTGCCAGTGAGAATCTGGTATTCGACGTGCACAACTATTACTTCCAAGGCCGCAACACCACATCTCTGAACGTACCGTCTTATATCTGTACCGATGCTAAGGCGACCCCCGGTGACGAGAAGTTTCCCACTTATGTCGGCGAATGGTCTATTCAAGCGCTATACAACAATAGCTTCGCTCTGCGCGAGCGCAACCTGAACTACGGTCTGAGTGCGTTTCACAAATATTCGCATGGCTCGTCGTACTGGACTTGGAAGTTCTCTGGTAATGCTACCGTTGATGGACAAGGGACACAAGCTGACTACTGGAGCTACGAGGGGTTGATTGATCGAGGGTATTTCCATCCCAATGCTAGCATTGTGGAACATTGCACTTGAGGAGACAATGCAATATTGATTATATTCAGTTGATTATATTCAGATAGCAAGCAGGATAATCAAATGTTGTTTTTGGAATTATTCTTTTTGCCGTCCACAGCGGATCAAGGCTAGTAAGTGACACGGTAATAGATTAGGAAATAAGAGTCGAAAGATATAAGATAAAAACATAGAAAAAGCCCCCGAAAAAAAAACTCCCTTGAAGTCCACAGTGCCTGTAGATCTTGAATGCTTCAAGGAAAGCGCATACGCTGATTGAGTGGAGTAAAAACAAAAGACAAAGCAAGCGGCATTGATTTCGGAGCCAATTTCCCTTCATTGACCACTAATATACGGAATAGCGATGACGGGCTGTGAAGGAGGATTCTGTGGCACCAAAGACAGCTTCAATGTTGGTGAGATGAAACCCATCTTCAACTTCGCTAAAGTCTTCTTCAACATTGCCAAGCTCCATTGGGCATTCCTTTGATCGCGGCCTACCAACAAGGCTTCACTGCCAGAAAACGTGTAAGATAAAAGTTGGATACTAATGTGGCTCAACTACCAAAGTGAAGAGAATGTTAAGGATTGAGACACTATTCAACAACTCCTGACTCTATAGGAATCAACGGGATTATTATCATTTTGACAAGATTGTATGTCAGACCTTGAAGAACATACAAATCGCCTTGCTTGATTTAATCCAACATACAAAGCGACGCTTTTTTGAGCCAAGACAGACACTTATAATTTTGGTTAAGGAAAGGCGCTGGCTCAGTGTGTATCACTTCTTACTTAACAATCTTCTCAGCAAGTTTTACAACTAACTACACGCTTGATAAGGAAGTTTTTCTTGGATCCTCTATCCACATAGCTTTCCAGATTTGATTTGATTAAAAAATTGATACCGCGAATTTTTTTTTTACTGCTTTAGATCTCACCTAATCTATATGACCTCATTAATACCACATTATGCGTTGCATCCAAAGATATCCTGTGAGCTTTTCAATTTGATAAACTTCCTTAGTGATTCGGGTACTTAGACTTTCCACCAGTCCAAATTCAAGAATAAAAGCCATGGTACCCGACCGAACTTGAACCTATCTTAGGCAAGTCTCTTATCTAAATGTTCAATTACGGAGCGGGAGATCAGAATGAATGGGGTGTGTTGCTTACAGGTCGACAAATTTTGGGAGTTTTATCTTTCATTCTCCTTCCCATTTCAACTCCAACTTCAAAATTATTATCAAGCATTAAGACTACTTCAAGATGTTCAGCTGTCTGAGCTCAGATCAAAAATTCCCCCCGCACGAGGAATACATGGCCAAGCCTCCCACGAAGAAGCTGTGCTATGGCAAGACTGACTGGATCGCGTCTTCCTTTGCTATTGAAATTATTGTAGCCCACTACAAGCTTCGTGCAGCCGTCTAACGGTCCGAGTATCTTGAGAGAAAAATGCAATTGATGATAGGTCCAGTCTCAGAATTCAATGCGGATGCCGAGCTCATTGCCCGAAGAATCAGTATCCTCGATTGTGAATGTGAATCGAGAGCTCCTCTTCAGGCGAAAATGATGATATCCTACAGGCTTTTGAGGACAGATCCAGCGTGGTACTTACAGAAGATTGCATAGGATTTGGTGACTGCTGCAGTCGTAGCTGTGGATGCTGCAAAGCCCGCCAAACCTCAAAATGGAAAAGGTGAGCTGAACACTGCACAGCTGAGTGCAATTGCTGTACTAATCATCGAGATGCCAGGTTCTCCAGCCCTGAAATGAAGAGCATCGGGGATCAAATGAGGAGAATGTTGGATCAAAAAACACCTGATTATCTGATAAAAATTACAACAGGATATTTTTTAGAGATTTCCCCACCAAAGTTCCAAGCCACTGAAATAAAAACACTCTCGGGAAAAGAAAAGCTGTGCAGTGACAGAACGCTATCCGGAGAAGGAACACTGTCTAAGAGATAGGCAATGTCTAAGGAACGCCGTTTATCGAGGAGACGGTATCCAAGGCGAAAGCAACCTCCGAGAAAGAGACAATATCTGCGGAGAAAACGACCTCTGAGGAAGACATGACCTTTGAGGAAGACACGACCTCTGAGGAAGACATGATCTCTGAGGATGAATGTGTTTCAAGGATTTAGATTCATAATTTCTGACAACGAAGACGACTGGAAGGACCGGGATGCCTTGATTGCAACGTATGAGATAAGAGGATGCTAGCTGGAAAATAGTGTTTTGATGCTAGAAAATCATGGTGTCTCCAAGGTTACTTCTGATTTGGCTGAGAGAAGGAACTAATAGCTTTGTTGTGAAAATCCAAGTGCATTGTTTTGGATTTATGCATGTATTCTAGCCTGTGCTTTCAGGCACCAATCCAAGATGTGAGGTGTCCTGAACATAGATTAGTCTCTCTAGTCCACTGACAGACCTTTGATTTTGCTTTTTCTCCTCCAATAACACTAATTCGAGATCTCTGAATCAAATCATCATGTTGGATATACAGAATGTGTTCCGGGACATCCGATGTGGACCCTAGACCCTGAGCCTTAGGTGGAGTCGAAATAGTAACACTAGGCTACAATAGCGCAAAGCGCCAAGTGAATGGGCTTTTCTTTTCTTTTTCTTTTTGGGATTTTCCCACTTTTACATCCTTCAAACAGTTCAATTATGGCAGTCACTGCCTCTTCTTTTGGCTCCAGGGTCTTTCGGGCTTTTTCTGTCGTTCTCTTGACTTCCTGGACAATAACAACACTTGGTTTCTCCGCACTTAACGTCCTGAACGAAAACCGGAGCCTCATCGGAACAGCAGCATCAATCAGTCTGCTCACATATCTGGCATGCCGACTCCTGGTGGTCACACAGCCAACTGCCCAAAATGACTCGATTGCCCACATTCTGACAACCGCCTACCTCCGATCACGCGGAGAAGCTCTGGCAACTCTCGTGTTTACATGTGCGTGGCTGTATGAACTCCTCTCCCAAGCGGTGATAATGGTGTTCATGACCATTTTCGGAGGCGCGATCGCGACCGCTATCTACACCGATGCGTTTGTCGATGATCCAAATGATCTTCATCAAAGTGATTCAGACAGGGAGAATACCTCCCTGGCGGTTGCGGAGATTGACGAATTCAAAGAAAAAGTGGGCGTGGATCCAGTCGCTCTTTTCAAGTTAATTCCACCCAAGGCCCTGATCTGTTTTGCCATTCTTGTGTGGGTCAATTTTGCGACTTTGGGTCTTTATGTATTGCGTCTTTTGTGGAGGTCGGCAAAGGTGGTGCTTGGATCTTCGCCTGCCCCTGTTGTACAAAAAGATGAGGCTCGAGACTCAAAGTGATGCCTGCGATTCCGCGGCTTACAAAGTTCATTTTCAGCATCGAGGTAAATCAGTCCATGCCAGATTTCAAGGCTGTTGTGATTGCCCGTTGTGTGAAAGGAATCTGAGTACCTACCCCGTGAATTATCTGGGTAGATCTTACTTTATCAGTTCATATAAAGTTCCAAACATACCATAGATCTTTTATTCAAGAAGTTACTCCAATCAACGGCTGTCATCCCACACCTTATGGCGATATAATTTGAATTATGCGCGGTATTTACATCTGCATAGGTCGGGACAATAAGCAGCAGCTTGTGCTCTACATCCGAGCCGGAATGGCGATTAGTCAAAATTGGTAAGCCGTCGGCTTCGGAGTTTGGGAAACAGCAACTGAATGTTCAATTGGCTTGTTTAATCTGCTTCAGTTGAGTGACAATATTCGGCTTGGGACATAATCCTTCAAGACTTTGTATTGTTCTTCCAAAAGCCGAGCAGAATTATTAATCGTCATATTCCTCTTGTGCATGTCTGCATAAGTGCGTGACACATCTGTACAAATAGTAAGTAGTCTGAAGATGAATTCGATATCAAATATAAAAGCTAGCTCGAAATGCATATATCGCTATTCGACCCAACAATTATCCAGTCTCTCCACACAATAATTGCACTTATCACACTGAACCATCGTCACAATGGGCTCTTACACTGCTGCTCATTCCAATCCCCAAGGCGCCGGAGACGCTCGACCAACCTCTCTCCAAATAATCCACGATGAGTCCCTAGAAGGAAAACTATCCAACAAAATCATTGTCATTACAGGATCGACATCCGGCATTGGCATCGAGACCGCAAGAGCGCTAAAAGCAACAGGCGCGACCTTGTTCCTGGCAGCCCGCGACACAGCACAAGCCGAGAAAGCCCTGGCTGGAATCCTTGAGCCTGGCCGCGTCGACTTCGTCAAGATGGACATTTCCTCCTTTTCCAGTATTCGCACAGCATCAGCAGAGATCCTATCTAGATCTCACAACCAAGTCAACATACTAGTCAACAATGCCGGAATAATGGGTGTCAAGGATCTAGAGCTCACGGAAGATGGACATGAGATACACTTTGCAACCAACTATCTGGGACATTTCCTTCTTTTCCAGCTACTCAAGCCTGCTTTGCTTACTAGTTCGACGGCTGAGTTTCACTCCCGGGTTGTCAATGTTGCCTCGTCAGCACATCGGGCTTGTCAGCTGAATGAGAGCGATAACTACAATTTTGAGAAAGGCGGATATATTTATGGAGTTGCTTATGCGAATTCCAAACTGGCTAGTGTGTACATGGCCAATGAGATAGATCGTCAATATGGTCATCTGGGCCTTCACGCGACAAGTCTTCATCCTGGTGCAATAAATACCAATTTGGCAAGGCATGTGGGAAAGGAGTGTGTGGATCAACTTATGAGTGATGAGAAAATTCTCAATATTATGAAGAGTCCCGAAAAGGGAGCTGCTACGACTGTTCTTGCTGCGGTTGGAAAGGAGTGGGAAGGTAAGGGTGGGAAGTACCTTGAGGATTGTGAGGAAGCAGAGCGTGGAGTGGATGATAATGAGACTTTCGGAGTTGGGTATGTTCGACAGACATATGATCCAGAGAATGAGAGACGACTTTGGAAGGATTCTCTTCGATTGGTGGGGATCGACTATGAATGAGACCAGTTACATAGCAAGGCAGACAAGATTGGGTACTTATGAACTGTGCGTTGAACAATTCCTCGAGACTTTCGTTGAGTTTATCTCTTATCTATGTGCATTTCTATTCATTATGCTTTTGTGTTCAAAAGAAATATCTATATGCGAAAGGTCAACGATTACTGTAAAATCAACCCACCATAGCTATTTGACATCGCGCGAGGCATGAGACAGCCAGAGCTTATTGTGGTACACGAGGGCCAACACTTTGCCAGAAATTGCAGCGCGCTCCACGACCACCTTCCCACCTCGACGCATCCGCCAGAGTAAACTCATTCCTTACACCAGGTTCTTTCCGAAGCCAGTATGAGAGGTGATCAGTGACCTTGTCGAAGACCGTCCTTCCACCTGTAGTATTCAGGTTCATGAGTACAGGCGAAGACTCATTCCACGTTGGCCAGTCGATATACCCGTTTGCGCCTTGAGGCACTGTGGAATTTTCTGCACGGCCCTTCGCATCTGCGATGGAGATTACCGGGGTATCATGTATGATGAAGGAACCCCAAATTTTCTGGAATGCATGCGTAAAGCCACGGGTAGGTGTGTGCGCTCCAACAGAGAAATATGCAGTTAAGTCTGCACCGTGATATCCAGGCGTGACAGAAAATTGGTACTTCCAACTCTCCTTCGCGGTATTCCCTGAGAAAGCATCTGCAAGCCAGTAGGAAGCACAGTCAAATGTTGTCTCAGCAAAAATGTTAAAGATGGTTTGTTGAAGGCCTGTCGCCATCTCTGACTGGTTCAAAGCGGTTGGGCCCCGATCACCCAGAGTGTCGTACCGGGGGCCATGGTTCGTGGGGGAAGTATTCCAGAACCCATAGATATCCCTCAGACGGGAATAGTCGAATGCAGTGAACATGGGGAAAGTGTTCTTAATGTAACTCAAAAAATCATCAGTCGTGTTGATGTAAGGCGGACTCAAGGGCACACCATCATTGGCATTGTTCTGTGAACGTAAGCATTCAGAGCTCATTCCTTATCGACGGGAATTCATAGACTGACACCAGATAATATCCGCTTGCCGCTCACTTCCTTCTTGAGTAATTGCGTAGACGATAGCTCTCGGATGAAGTCGCCGTCTATCACAGGCTGAAAGGCCCAAGTACCCCACGATCCAGAGGTTGAAATATTTGCGCTCGCATGTTGTAAGGTCTTCGTGTCTGCATTGACGAGACAATCAAAGATGCTCGTTTTCGATGCAGGTTTCTCATCGTAGCATCCTGCCCGTACTGCGAAGTGAAGATAGTAATTTGTCGGTACTTCATCATCATAGCGGTACATAGCAGGGGTATACGGGCTGGCGGCGATAATCTACGCGGGTCAGCCAAACGTCCCCAATGTAGCATTGCACGTACATTGTTAAACAAGTGATCCTCACGGCCTCCGTAAGCCATCGTCTGCAACATCACTGAGCCAGCGCCTGAAGATTCACCGCCCAACGTGACGCGAGATGCATTGCCGCCGAAAGTTTCAATGTGCTCTTGGACCCATTCAAGTGCAAAACGCATATCCAGCAGACCTGCATTGGTTTGGCCATGTTCATGCACATCTTCCGATGACAGGAAGCCAAAAGCACCTAATCTGTACTGGATCATGACCGCAATGAAGCCGTTTTCGTTCGTCTTAATCCACTCACTGGGGTCATAGGTAGCCCCGAAAAGGCCGTACCCCCCGCCATCTATAATTTTTTAGCGACAGTGGCTTTAAGACACAAAATCTCAACATTCAGTTGAGTTTGGACTTACGGATCCAAAGAAGGACGGGGAGATTTTTTGCCCTTGGTGGAGCATACACATTCAAGAATAAACAATCCTCGTCGCCGAGGGCCGAATTGAAGCCGTAAATTTTGGGCAGTTTCGCACCACCAGACTGAGGACAACGAGGGGGCTGCTTAGTGGCACATTGTATGGAAGTCCGGTTCACTGGGGGAGCCTGTGGAGCTTGCCATCGAAGCTTTCCAACCGGAGGGGCTGCATAACGAATTCTAATCAGGGCCGGTAAGTAACGCAAAATACCCAATCAAAATCGCAAAGTTTGAAAACTCACCCTTTGAAGACGTTCAGATCGTAGGCACTGTCATAGTACCCCTCGTAGCTAGCGTAGCCTAAATTAACCACCGGGTTAGCTGTATGGGCAGGAGAAGCTAGGCTAATCCCTGTTGTAATAAGTGCGAGAAGGATCAGGCCGCTCGTTCCCATGAAGCCCATCCTGGCCTACTCGCCAGAGCTTTTTTCTTTTTGGTGGCGACTGGGGGGAAAGTAAGGAATGGCGGTGACTTGATTGGAGGTGTGATGTGGTGAAGATCCCAGCCTCTTATGTACAGTTCATGCAAGGCTGTCGGCATCTGACCTGCTTACTCACACCAAATGCCCCATGGACCACTATGGACGCGTTTAACAAGATCAGCGTTCTCGATCAACTTGGTTCTTATGGTCAGTGCAACCATAATCTCCATTCGCCTTAGAGTTCGCGTTTGTTGACTCGATCTAGTCATATAAAAATGGGTACCATAGTAGTGGAGGATTCAGGGCCTGGATCATTCTGACTGACCCATTAAACTCACATTATCCACGCTAGGCCCACTCAGCAATACAGTAACATGGGGGCCGAAGCTTGTCAATGTGGCACAAAACCTCAACGCCAATTCTTGGCATCCCTTGGAGACGTACAGATGCCCAATACATATGCCCAGAAGTCTCAATTATTTAAAAGTAATGATATCGAGATATTATAAAAGAGAAGATCCTAAATGAAACAAACACTGAAAAATAGAATAGAAGTGAATACGTTCCAGATTGAGGAGGGTTACACCAGTGCAACCAACAAAGCGAATAGGATGACCTTGCAAAAGCAATGAAAAACACAACGATAAGCCCCCTCCATGGCTGTTGTACTGTGAGATCACCTTGAGGCGTTTCAAGTATTCAGGCAAGCATCAGACCTTGCCTTTATCGCCGATTACTTTTCAGCTCCTGCATTCCTGTGCCATGGACTTATTCATCCCTTTAATCGGCTTTCACACATAACATGTGCATTTGCGACGATTCAGACGATTCAGACAACCTAGACTCAAATCATCGTCATGGGTCACGTCGATTTGAATGAATCACGAGTTACAATAGTGACCGTGTGTTATTCCATCCCGATTCCGATAATGATAACATGTACCGGGCTACGACTTTATGTAAAGCTACGACCCTCGTCCAAAAATTCCATCGCTTTTGATGATTTGATGATCATCATCGCCACCGTAAGTGTTACGGTTTATCTAAGCCACTCTTTTTCTCTGCTTCGAGCGGCCCACGTTCTAACAATACTTTTGTTGCAGTCAATAGCCGTTGGGTTGTGCATAAGTGGTTTAGTCTATGGTGAGCGAGATCTCATAGCTTCTCAAGCCTTTGGATCTAAAGACTAATCATGAATTCCTAATCATAGGTCCACCTTATGGCTTTGGTCGACACGAAGCCGCCCTCTCATCGAATGATATAGTAAGCTTCTTGCGGGTACGATATCATCGCGTCCCTTACAACGTTTCACAAACTGAATTGCGAATTAGGGCGACTATGTCTTCAGTCATTTTTACGACTGGGCTATTGCAAGTACTAAATTAGCAATCCTTTCTCTCTACTATCGCATCTTCAGCACGGTGGTCTTCCGCCGATACGTGATCGGCACCGCTATCTTCATCGTATTGTGGCTCGCGGCCATGGAGATCGCTCTCGGACTGCAATGTTTACCGGTGCAAAGAGCCTGGGATGCTAGTGTAAAGGGAAACTGTCTCGATTTGGTGGCATTTTCCTACTTCACCAATATCACGAACTTGGTTACCGACATCTGGGTGTTCCTGCTTCCGCTACCGATCATCTTCAGGCTGCATGTTACGCGGCAACGGAAGTTCGAGCTTGCAGGAGTCTTTGCCATTGGCCTATTGTATGTCTTATGTTGCCCTCCCTTAATTTGCTAGTATTGTGCTGATTCGAGGAGCGCATGCGGTGTTACTCTTGCTCGTTTAACAGTTGTCGTCTCACAAGGATCGTCCGATTTCACATGTAGGCCGAAGTCTCCTTGGACTACATTCAAAGAACTAACCTTTTCTTAGGGACTGGTGTTCCTCTTGGAATCCTATCTGTATGGGAGCCTCTGTGTGGGATCATTTGTGCAAATATCCCCTTACTCTACAAACTGACCACTGTAGCCTTCAAGAAGGTTCTTTCTTATAGATCATCTAGGACAGGTGATTCCACTTGTACACCAAATGACTCGGAAAGAAAACGAAGGTCCTCCAGCATGCACAGCGAGTGGGCCATGCTTCCTAGAGCTGGTAAGGGTTGTTCGGCGAACGTCAGTGAGACTCAGTCCAATCAAACAAGATTGTCGGCGGTGGAGCAATCGCGGTCATTGTCTCCAGTCAAAGCACAAGAGATAGATGAGTGCTAAATCGATTATTAACTTCTATATTTTGAAATTTATATAAGGTAACGAATCTCATTGAAGATACTCCGGAGAAGGAGAAGGCTAAACACTAAAATGGTACATTTAAAGGGAATCCAAGGTCATATGGACATGCCTAATGAGCCCGCGTAGTATTCCCACCTCTAAACTGCCTAACTTACCACACCACAAGGAATAAAAAATACCAAAAAATTGACCGACGCAGGGGTCGAACCTGCAATCTCTTGATTCGTAGTCAAGCGCCTTGCCATTGGGCCAGCCGGCCTTGTTGTTGTAACAGTGGTAAAAATTTGCCATAATAAGTGGAGCCAAAGTTTCCGAGGATCCGGCTCGGGTCTCCACTACACAACCTGGCCGGGCCGTGCGACCGCGGCCTTACATTTTGATTTTCAGCAACTGACCATTTGATTGCGTTGCTTTGTTACTTTTTTGGATTCCTTTGATGTTAGGTCTAAGGTCCCGTTAAGGATCTCAGAACCACCTAGGCAGGTGATGGTGTGGTTCTTTATCCTTGGGAGAACGATGCACCTACCCGGCAGGCCTTCTCCCAGTGGAGATATATATACTTCGAAAATCTTAAGGTTCCAATCTATGGTGGTTCTGAATCATGTATTCAAACGCTGACCTCGGGAGCCGAAACCACTTTCAACTAACTCATGTTAAATCTTAGGTGGCTTTGGAAACAAAAAATCGCTGTATACCATCTACTGCCAATCGTTGGCTGCAATAGGGAAGTCCGCACTTCCAAGGTTGGGACTTGGGAAGCACTTCATTCGCGACTTAACCTAGATATACTATAATACTAGATTGAACAACATCAAAGTAAGAAGTAAGTTGCTATGAGCAAAATGAGAGTACATTGAGAGATGGGTAATATACTTATTGTCCCTTGTCAACAAATTTTCACACAATCAGGGCTGGTCATTCCAAGTGGCAGATTTGATGTACGACAATATCTATCAAGACTTCCAATTGGCAAGGGCACAGAGTCATGCATGGTGTCTGGTCGGCTTTGGATACTATTGATTATAATGGGTGTCTCAGCCTCAGTGAAGGTCTTGAGCTAGAAGATAGTTGGGCTAAAACACAGCTTCTTACGCTGTACTTCCCTCTCCTCCATGCATTATTTACTACCTGTCCTATCCAATTCTGTTATACATCATAGCTTTCATCCCGTTTACTGTTGACAACCCCACTGCCCGTTGGCTACATCCTTTTTCCCCCTTCCATCAGCTACTCCTTGGGTTACGATGAGACTTCGCTGTCGGCCGTTGCTTATGATACTGCTACGAATTAGAATCTGGGGGAACTTCTCAATGCCATCCCAGGGACTTCTCCAGAGGAACGTCCGGGCAGACTCAGGTATCTTCTTCTTCAAACGAGGTTTCTATACTTCATGTGAAGGTGATCAAGATGCGACACCTACTGAGCTGACCATCAATACTACATCTACACAAAAAGCCCATAGAACTGTGATCACTGTTTCAAATACCAACCCCCTTACAAGTGTATATGGAAATAAATGGTATCAGTCAGCGGGATCTTCCGCCTCGGCGGTCGAATCCGACGATTTCAGCTTAGCGCCGGCGCTAGGTGTAGCTTGACCACAATGGCCCTAATTTATGGCAACGAAATTTTCTTGGCAGGTTATACTTTTGCTTATCATTGCTTGTTTGTTCTAAAGTTAATTTCTATGGCGGCTCCTTGCCCTGACCTACGCGCCCAGGTGGCATCTCAGATCGAAGCCATCCGACTGCTAATCGCCCGTCTCTGTGACTCAATACCAGGGTCAGCCGGGTCAGCCGGTTTCGTAAAAGAAGCGCAGAACGAGCTTGAGTTGCTTCTTGGAGTCCTTAGCAATATCGAGTCACAATCCGTACTATGTGATGATCAAGCAAGCCCGAAACTATGGAGCAAACTCGAGGACTGCCACTGCTGTTTGTTGGAATTACAAAACCTCCAAAAGTGCTATGGGCAGAGTTCATCCGAGACTCATTTTCTGGAAATCCGTGCCCAGTTATCTGACTTGATATTTGAGTTTAGCGTTATAAACGCAGACATAGCGATGTATGTTGGATCCCATCTTATTAACGGCGAAACGAGCTCAGTCCTGATATATTTCGCAGATCCTCTCATGCCAATCTTGAGCGCTTACTACAGACTTATGTCGGTGAGCTTGTCAAGAGCAAGCGAGATATACAATTTTTTTATGGCCCTTTTAGTGACCCTTCAAACTTCGAAACAGACGACAAATGGCAAACTTTACAAAGTGAGCTACAAGACTTCGGTATCACATCTGAGCAGTCCACCCAGGAACGTGAATTTATCATCGCAACTCTGCAAAAAGCAGTAAACGGCAATAAGATCCCAAAACCCGGCTGTGAACTAGCCTCAGCGGAACCTCTTGCAAGTCAATCGCGCCCAACCCAGAGGACCTTGAATGAAAACCCCAGATCTTCCGTCCAATGTCAGAGTGAAGAGGTTATAGCAGCCGGAGTAATGCCAGAAGAGACCTCACAACTCGAATCAACACCCGTTACACCTGTCGTCCAGAGCAAAAAGCCTGGCTTACTTCAACGAATGAGTTTCAAGATGTCAGGGGATAAAACTGAATTACTCAAGTTAGTCAGAAAGGGTGAAATTGACCCAATAAAAGAAGTCCTGAAAAAGGGTGCTGGCTTGAATGCACAAGATTCAAATAGACAAACGGCATTGATCATAGCTACGTCCTTCGGTAACGAAGAAGTGGTATCTTTGCTACTTAAGTGCAAAGCCAAGACAGATTTGAAGGGAAAGAACGGGGAAACAGCCCTCTCCGTCGCTGCTCAAAAAGGATACGACAATATCGCCAAGCTACTCCTACACCATGGAGCAAGTCCCAATGGTCCAAATATCCGTGGCAAATCTGCCCTCTCACAAGCTGTCACATGTGGAAACTCGAGCATGACTGCTCTGCTGCTGAAACATGGAGCCACCACCAATGTACTATGTGCTAACGGTGATACGGCTCTTACCTTTGCCGCTGGAAGTAATCATATCGAGATTACACAGCTGCTATTAAGCGCTGGCACACCAGCAGATCAGATTGGGTCTTCCACTAGGACTTCGCTTTTCAGGGCCGTGGTCAATGGGAACGCTAAGATGGTGAAGCTTCTGATGGATCATGGAGCAAATCCAAACCGACAGGATAGCCAGTCAATATCGCCTATGCTACTGGCCGTGCAAAATGGGAACAACGATATCCTCCACATTTTTTCCCAATTCGGGTATGTTTATCAACCGCAAGGACTGGGCATTGGAAGGACGGTGGCTGCTTTTGCGGCAGTCGACTTCATGACTACTATAGGTAACATGACTTGAATTTGAATTCTATGTACTTACTGTTCCAAAGGTGTACATTTTATTCTCCTAATCAGTATTGCAACTTGAGAGAGACTTGGTAATACGAAGTAGATATTGATTTTTACGTCATGTTGCCACGGAAAAAGGGTTGACCATTAGTTACTGAACCCGTCTATATTAATCTCTTCCTCTTTCCTACTCTTCCTCTTTCCTAGAGGGAGAATGAGCCCTAAAAAAAAACAAGATCACATCTCGCTCACCTGATATAGTAAGAGTGACCATTGGTATCAATACCGCTCTTAATGAGCCATACCAGAGAGGCCAACATTCCTTTGGTTTCGCCAGCCTTCCCATTAAGTGAGCGATTTTAATATCACCGATGCGCTTAAGAAGTAGAACAGGCGATATCGTGGATCAAGGGGAAATGTGGCACCAAATTACTTAGAGCATTTTCACTGAAGAATCCGAAGTAGAGTCTTGCTACTTTGTCTACTGCTATCAAATATCTTTCTTGAATGGTGATTTTTCGAGTAACTCCCTACCATTAATTATAGGCAAGAAAGCAACTATCAATAAAGCTTTTGAAACAAATCTACCCAAAACGCCAGTACCATATATGACACAAATGCAAAGAAACTCTAGCCCATAGCTCAAGACTGCATCTTGTTGCTGTTCTCCTCGTTGAACTGGTCACGAGCAACAGTGAATTTCTCGGTAACAACATCGCACAGGTCCATCAGGTCATTGAAACCCTTCTCAAGAGCCTCAAGGGCAGTAGTTGAGTCTGAAATTCGTGTTAGTTTAGGCGATCCTGAATCTTTGTAGTATTGAGGGTCCACGATCGGTGTTCGCTTACCACTAGTCTGAATACGGAGGTGCATCTTCGCGTCGGAGGGGTGAGGAATAGTGTAACCGCAGAAATCCACGGCGGGGCTAATTCAGTCAGTGATACAATTCAAGTAGACCCAATCTACGGTAGTCCGGGCAGGACACTCACTTCTTCATGATGGCAAATCGCAGCGCATTACCCATGGTGTGGCCTTCTCCTTCAAACTGGAATGATGCGGCAGTCTCTGAGGAACCGGGCAGCTATGCGATGGGTTAGGTCTTATGCGAACATGTACACGTTCCTTTTCCGGGTTTGACATACCACCAGGATGCGGCGCTCATCCAGCATCAACTCATCTTGTGGCTGCTCGACGTCCATCATGGACTGGTCTTGGGCATCTTGGGAGTGGACAGAGCCAGGCATTGTGGGATTGGAGACAGAGGACTTGGAAGAGATGCGTGTAGATCGTGGAGGATTCGAGCTCGGGCTCGTCGGTCAAGTGGCGGGGTAGTTGTAGATTTTGCAAGCAGTTCAATTGGAAAGTCTCTGGGATCGGTTTCCGCGTGTTGAATATGATTGCAGAGGTACTTCGTGAAGGCAAGTGACGACTTTGGCGATTGGAATTGCCCGCAAGAAAAAAAAAGTGGGTTATCGATAGTGGGGCTCACCGCCTACCACTTTGGGAATACGGATAGATGTTTGGCTTCAGGACAATCATGCTCAATTCCAACGACGATCATGGTTGTATGTTGTATGTCATCTATGAGCGATACAATATTTGTCTTTGTTTTCAATTGTTAAAGTCGTGCAAGAACTGTCGGGCTAGGTTACTAGTGTTTTGAATCCTGTTCCACGACAGTTACAGTCACAGATTAAACAGTTCATTGTATGAGGTGATGAGTGTTGAGTATAGTACATGGAAGCAAGATAAATTGAATTCATATAGAAGAACTTGTTAGGTAAAAGTGTAGAGACTATAGAAACTATAGAAAGCGAAGGTATCAGTGGTTGGGCCGCAAGTTCTATATCTACTGGAACCATGGATCTGATGCAAGAGTGAAACCCGTTTAGGTTAGAGTGACCCCTGTGGCTGGTTTCAAAAGTGGCTTTGGAGCCTGTTCCCCTTCCAAAAGGGGAACCTCCCGTTCAGCTTCACGACCTATCACATCAGCGAAACGGATCTAGGATTTGGGTCCATTTGGGACAGAGGATTGTTTGTGTGCAAGGTATGGAGACAGCGGGGAAACTCATTAAACTTCTCCTCATCTCGGATCCAATGGATAAGCTGGAGGTAGACGAACCATCGAACTAGTGACTGGCTTGACAAGAGTAATTTCCCTTGGAAATTGCAGTGTAAAAGACATCGACCGCCACATCTAGGTCTGATCTAAAGGCGACCGTGCACATGACTGAAAGGGACCCGAGGGGGTTTAGACTCCAGAATCCGATCTGTGCACCGGACTCGTGTTCTTTGAACTTCAGTGTTGACGTGGAAGGCAACCAATGAACGAGGTGGACTAACTTCAAATTCAAGTTTTTTGACGGTCGGCAAAGGGTTCCGTGCATTAGTGATACGGAGTTCATGATCCACATCTCGGGGAGGGGCCATGGAGTTCATGATTTATCACAGATTTATCATATGGAATAAGCAACTAGGCACACCTATGCAGCCCCCAACCTAGTGTCACATCGCAAACCATACTCCTGGTCCAAGTAAGCGCCATGTTTGACCTGTGATGGGATCTACTGGGATGACAGGAAACTGTCGATCAAAGCACGGTGGTTTGGGGGCCAGATAAACCCTCCATCTCCATAACAGTGCGAGTGGAATCCGGTGAGTTAACACCAAAAGCGAGTGAAGTTAAACCCTTTGCATCAAATATGTTTCACGATGTACCAAAATGAAGAGTAAATCAGAACAGAAACACGTCGTGTCTCAGCCGAGGGATTCTGATACGCCCGGTGCCCCCAGAGTGGAAGCCCCTGCTCCACTATGAACTCTGTTGTCGTGCAGTACTATCGACTTGTTGCATCTTACTGGATCAGCCGTAGAATCAAGTACCCGGTACTTCACCAAAAAGGCCCCCTTCTTATTAATGCAGGTTTTAAACTATTGTTTCCTCCCTTGGGGCCCAGAACCTTCATGTTTCTTTTCCTCTTAGCTTGAAATCCTGTAGCTCCTCTCTCGCTTGTTGCTTCTGGACTTTTTTTTTCTTGTTTCTTTTTTTTCCCCCCTGCGATCTGTCACTTGCCGCCTAACCGCCGAACTTCCCCCCTCCAACCTCCCCCAACATTTTCTTAGTCTCTCATTTTCTTTGTTCATTCCAACTTGGATATTGATCTTCGCTCGCTCGATCCTCCAGGGCACGATCTTAGCCCCGCTCTCATCTGTTCATTGATGCTCTTTTCTTAAGCCTCCGAGGTGCTTGGACGCCGATCCCATACTGGGACTAAACAGCGCTATATACAAAGAAACAGCGAGGATTCGCCATCTATCAAACAAAGCGATCTGATCTGATCTGATCTGATCTACTCAACACTGTCACTATGTCGACGGCAATTGCCTCCGCGCCGGCAGCCCAGCTATCCCCGCCGCATACCACCCGCGATCCCAGCCCCAAGAATTACCCAACTTTGGCCCCTCCGCCTGCAGTGAATTCCTCTCCACCCCGTATGGCAGATTCACAAGATGCCCATTCCAAAAGGACTCCCGAGCACAAAGACCCGTCGTCTCCGTAAGTACACGAATACTGCGTGCGGAAAAAGAATCCTCCAGAGCAAAACGCTAATCAGAACGGATAGTTCTCAAGGAAGCGCGGGTCCCAAAATCACCGTAAAAAAGGAGCCGCCCTCCTCACCCCGTATTCAGACTCGTCCCCGTCCCCGCAAGCTGGATCTTTCGACAAGTCTTCCTTCCTCCAGTGGATTGACCGTCCGGCCGCCAGGAGGTCCCATGACCGCTCGCGACGGTGTCACCATGCAAGATGTTGGGCTAGCCTGCTTGTCGCCCGGATTCCAGACACATGATCCGATAATGAGAGAGCAACTGCAGCGCAGTCTCTCTGTACGCGACCAACAGCGATCAATAATCGAGGCGCGACTACAGAAACCCGGCAAGGATGACGGGCCGCCTTCACAATCGGGATTTATGGGGATGCCACCCCGGAGTAGCTCGAAGCGACGACCACCACCCGGCCTCTCCATCGTTCCACCCTCCGCATCGCAGTTTGCAAATGAGCGAGTTATCCAGTCGGCCCCATTGCATCAGACCTTTACCGGCCGCTATCAGCCTCAGCCTTTGACTCGTCATGTCGTCAACCAGAGCCCAACTCTGGGCGCTACATCTCATATGCATCAAGTTCCGGCCACCCAAACCAACAACCGTCTTCCACCCCTCTCTGATGTGTTTGGATCCGATGCGCTCGGTCGGGATCGTGAGCCGAGCCGCCAGGGCCTTTATGTGAATGCGTCGAGCAGCAACTCCTCGCAATCCAACTTGGCTCCCATGCCTTCTCCGGGTCTGCCTGCCATGTCCCAGACTCCCAGTCGGCCGCGGGAGTACCGTTCGGCTGAAGAAGCTGTACAAGAACTGTCGGGAGGACGAGAAGAATTGCTTCCCCGGATTGTACATTATGGAGGGCACCAACCGCCCACCCCACCCTCCCCGCAGACCATGCATACTGCTCCTAAGACTGCTCCTTTGACCTGGGAAGAACCTGCGCCAAGTGCGCCCCTTGCTCCGATGCAGATCGCGGATACAACTGCGCGCCGTCGCCCTCGCAGTGAATACGAGAATGATAACGGAAGCCCCCCGCTGGGACATGGTCCTGACTCTCATTATCGGCCCAACCCGGCTGCCAACCCTGGTCCCAGTGCCACCTTCTCTGGTCCCTTCGGTGCAGGCCGAGACTCGCCAGAAACCCAACGGAGAAAGAAAGAAGAGTTCCTCGGCCTCTGTGCTCGGGCTTGGGATCTGTTCCATTCGTGAACAGTTCTATCTTTATTTTGGTCTAGTCGTGATTGATCAAGCTTCTGTGAAGCCAGTCAAAACGCTCTACACACTACTTGGTATTACCGCCATATGCGATCTGTGGTTTCCATCCTGGTTCCTTTCCCAAAATTTCGAATGACTCCTTTCAAGGCAGCATTTCTCATCTGACTCTCTGGCTGGTCTTGAGTGATTGAGTCTGGGTCTTCACCCTTCACATATATGACACTGATGTTTATACCTCCTATCTCTTATATCCACGGTACGATAGTGGTGAGCCTGTGGCTCATGGAAAATACTGCACTTGGGGACTCATGCATTTGATTTTGTATTGGCGTTTTAAATTGGGAAGGAGTTCTTGTTTTACCATATACCTTTTTCTTTCTGGTTGTTATCTTTTTCTTTCCTTTGTGGGAACTAGCATTTGTGAATGGGATTTTCGATGCAAGTTTTGTTTTCAGCGGATCAATGCTGGTTTGCCCTAATGCATATTGCTGGAATTTAATGCTGTAGTAGTCAGGAAATTGGGAAATTTGGATATTTGAACATATACATGCATTCTAATATTTTCATTGCAAAAGAGAAATTCCTGGGTATCTAAGCAAGTCGCCGACGCTTGCCAAAATTTGGAGGCTCGTCATCGCCACCCATTCCACGGCGTTCCCAGGGCATCTCCTTGCGCTCCTTGGAAGCCATCTTCTTGCGCCGACGTTCCATGGCCTTGGCCCGGTCCTTGGACTTCATAGACTCGTACTTCTTCTCCAGAACCTGTTTCTTCAGGTCCGATTTCTTCAAGAAGTACGGGTTGCTCTTCTTGCCCTCACGAATCAACTGCTTTTCATGCTTCTTATGTTCGGCCATGACCTCCCGCTCGCGCTTCTTGCTCTCGTCGGCCTTCATTCTATCTGTTGCAGACCGAATCTGCGCCTTCAGCGCCTCCTTTTGTGCCGGATTCTTGGTCCTGCTGAATTGCTCCTTGAGATCCTTCAGCTCGGACGCCCGATACTCGTCCAAGAATGCGTATGCTTTGCTTGTTCCTTCCGAGTACCGTCCCGCACCACTGTAGCCCATAACTGCCGCATCAAACCGCGGATCACGAGCCTTAGCGACGGCCGGAGGCTCCACAACTGTTCGTCTTCTAGTGACAGCACGCTTGGATGATTGTTCCATGGGTGCGTGCTTGGATTTGCGAGACTCTTTGTCTTTCTTATCCTTGGAACCGAGCGCTTTGGCCTCGGCTTCCCGTTTCTGTTCGCGAGCTTCGCGGATCTTGGCGCGGATATCGTCGAGCGGGGAGGCAGTTGTAGATTCATCGGCTTTCTCCTTTCGCTTTTTAGGACCCATAGATGCCTGGGCCTTTGCTAAAGCACCGAACGAGATGTTACTGAGAGATGCTTGGAAATCATCTTTGTTGTCGTCTTCATCGGAACTATCTCCCTCGGCATTGTCGTCAGAGTCTTCGTCATCGTCGCCTTCATCGTTGGAACCCGAGGCATCATCCTGTAGTATAGCAATAAGCAGATGCGCTAGTAAATTTGACAAAGTTGCAAGTCGCATACCTCTTGTGATTGATCGTCGTCCGAATCCACATCCTCTCCATCCTCGTTCTCGTCTTGAGAGTCTTCTTCCCCAGAGCCTGAGGAGTAGACGTCCTCCTCCTCCTCATCACCTGGCCTTGCCCGCACACGGCGGTTCAAAATATCTGAAATGGCCATGATACAAAGTAAATTGACCGAACACTGTGTACCTTGAAAACGATGGAAAGCGGTGCAAATCAAGTCGCAAAAAAGAAAAGTACTGCCGCTTGGCGGTGAGTCCGATAACAGCTGATTAGATATTTTTTTGCGCAATCGATCAACCGCGATCCAAATTCGCGACTTCTTACAGATCTATGCCTCATTTATCCTCGCCCGTTCTTTTTTGTCTCTCTTTGACCAGGCCAACGAATTCAAGACAATCTTACAGGATATCTAATAAGGTACAACACGTTGAATTTCCTCTTGATTGGAACTTTGTCTACAATTTCCAGTTGAACAGCACTAACCCCTCTCTAGTTTATCTCCCCCTTACCGTCCTTTCCTGCGGTCGATTCTCCTCCCCTGCGACTGCAAAAATCTTTCAAACTGTCTCAACGAAATAAAAGACCACGGCGCGTATCGAACGCTGCTGCGGTCCCTCCGGTCTCCGACTCGGTTCCCCGTTATGCCAATCCATATAATTCCCTCTATACGAGCATTGAATCAATGGAAAACGGTCAGAGCCAGCGGTACGCAGGGCAAGATCAACATAATGGATTTCAGCGTATAAAGACGCCTTCAGGCGCAAGTTCAAGTTCATGCGCCGGGAGACATGCGACACCCAACAACAATACGATACATGGTGGTACAAATAGTCGTCGCAGATACGAACAGTATCGGAATTCGCAGAACAGCTATGGCTCCAATTCAATACCAAATAGCCAGCAAAATTGCGGCAATTCGCCGCAAAATCAAGCCCCTGCCTCACTCGGCGCATACAATGTTCCATTATGGAATCCAATGGACATGAATCCGATGGGCCAACAAACTGATGCAACGGCGGGCATGCCTTTTACGAACCCGCAATTCTTCATGAACAACTCAATACCGCCATTTCCTATGATGCCGTTCAATCCAATGCAAGCATTTCAGGGCATGCAACCAATGAGTACCATGGCAGGACCTGCGGCACAGCTGAGCCAAAGGGAAAGACAACGATCATCAACGCCACCAATGACGGTTCCGACGCCAAAGAAGACGTACATGCAGCAAGCCTGTGGGAAGCCACAGCAAGCTCCAAAACGTCCATTACTGGTTATTCTCGATTTAAACGGTACTCTGATTTGCCGCAAACATCGTAAATTACCGCCTGTCTTTGCCGAACGTCCTGGACTGAAACATTTCCTGGATGAGCTTTTTCAAAATTACTCTGTTATGATCTGGACCAGCTCTAAGCCGCCGACTCTCAGTGCTATCGTCAAGCTTTTGTTCCCTTCTAAGGCCCACAAACGGAAACTCGTGGCTTGTTGGGGCCGCGACAAATTTGGACTGTCCAATAGACAGTACAATGCTAAGCTGCAGGTATACAAGCAGTTGCATAAAGTGTGGAATGACCAAGACATCCAGCTTGCCTACCCAGGCAACAGTCCTAAAAAGAAGGGTCCCGCGCTACAGGAAGGCCAAAACGAAAACAATGCTGCACCAAAACTTCAATTTCCTGCGGGTCAGCGCTGGGATCAGACAAATACCGTCCTGATTGACGACAGCAAGCTCAAGGCTCTAAGCGAACCGTACAACATCCTTGAGGTTCCAGAATTCACCAACGATCCCAATATTGACGAATCAACGCTCTTTCAAAAAGTCCTCGCAAGGCTGGACGTACTCTCTCGCCACGACGACGTCAGCAAAGTATTGCGTGTATGGGAGGAACGCCAGACGCAACAGAACTGCAAGACCCTGGATCTCGACATCAGTCCTGAAATGGCTCCAGAAATTGATGACGACCTTGATCTATCTGAAGATGGCGGGGCCAAGCTCCCTCCGGTATTGCCCACGGCAAGCCAAAAGACGCCAGGCGTAACGTACACTGAAGCAGAAAAGAAGGCTTTCAAAAAGGCCAGGAAAGCTGAGAAGAAAGCGAAGAAAAAGGAAGCCAAAGAACTGGACGATGCTAAACAGGCCGCTGCCGGTGCCCGACGTGCTGCTGCTGCTGCTGCTGCTTCCGTACCTTCTCTCGATGAGGTAACAGCCACTGATACTACGAAGTCCGAACTACCATCAGAGGAGGCTGCCAAGGGATCCAAGTTAAACCGCAAAGCCCGAAAACGCCGCAGAGAAGCCGCAGAGCTTCAAAACACAAATCTGCCGGGACTTGGCTCCGTGCTTCCTACATCTTCTGCCCAGATCTCCAGTAAATCACGGTACAAATTTCGCGCTCGAGAACCAATTGAATCAGCACCAGAAGATGCAGAGATGACAGATATTCCGGTGGATTCATCTTCACCAGCTGCTTTCACAAACCCCGACCCTTCCAGCGCCGTTCACTCCGCTGCTGAGGACCTTCCAGTCTTCAAGTTAAACTCACGTCACCGTTCAATCTCCCCTGCTACATCCGAGGAATCCACGAACTCGCTTTTGGATCGTTTGGAAGTTGGACTTGGGATGAGGAAGGATTGAGTTTCGGATAGATCATGGTGCCTTGGTGGTGCTCTGAGACCAGCCTACTTATCTCTCAGTTTTATTCCATCTACACATGCATATAATAGCTATAAACCATTAAATGTACTTTCTTACCACTTCCTAGCTTTCTTTAGATACCGAGTAAATGGTATGGATATATTCGCTTCTCAAGGTACTTTATGTTGGAAATTGGACGCAGACTTTCATCCCGGTCAGTGGTGATGAGCGTGTGCCAATGGCCACAACTTTTGAGCTATGCTTCAGTGGCTAGCTTTCTGTTGGTAGACTTCGCGGGAGCCTTCATTGAAGGCGAATTTTTACATCTCAAGTTAGTGCAAGATGTAGGATGTTTGGTAATTATGGCAATGGGAAAGATTTTACAAGAGAAAATGAATGAAAAGAAGCAAGTTGAAAGTATAATGTCATTGTCATCTAACTAATACTTTACTTTTTTACTTGAATGTGCCAGATCTTCAATGGACGTATGCCACCTCGGTTTCCCGTAAGACATAAATCTAGTACTCACTGGTTAATTAAAGGGACAGAATCCCACTCAATATAAGCACTTCTTCGGCACAACCTCAGCCATGAAAGGGCTGGATCGCAATTTGACATCCGTGCTAAGGTCTACACTTCTACGTGTACGTAGGAAGGCAAGGGAACATTAGCAATAAGCTCATCAAGACACAGTCTTGACTCCTTTATTCCATTGCTAGACAGTAACTAGCAGTGACAACGCTACTCTGGTGTATAACACCAAAGAGCGAGTCAATCATCTCGCATCACAACGTCATAACCGTGAACATGAACCACATCGGCGCGTAAAAAGAATTTTGCAACTCCGGCGAAACCACATCAGATCAGACGCGGGGAGTTTTAATAAATGGGGAGAGAGAAAAGAGAAGCGGATAAATGACGTGAGGGTGGGCCAAATCTCACATTCTCTGGGGTATTTCGGGGATGGCCAAGGATAGGGGAAAGAAAAGTGCGAACGCTATGAGCGATCCGCTTATTTGAAGACGTGGCCGTCAGCCATCTCGAGGGTCTTGCCGTCAACGACGACGGGGGCATCCCAGGCCCAGATGTCCTCGACGTACTTGCGGTCAGCCTCGGAGGTGGGGTCGAGCTTGGTGTACTCGTAACCCTCCCAGTCGGGGCCGACAGTGAAAGCAGGCTCCCACTCCTGGCCGCGGACCATGTAGACACCCTTAACGACACAGGCGTAGTTGACACCGTAGACACCCTGGCAACCGAAGAGGTACTTGCGGGAAGCCTCAAGACGGGCCTGGAAACCACCGATCAGGTTGTTGGCCATGAAGGTGAGCTTAAGCTCGTTGTTGTACTTGTAGTCAACCTTCCAGAGGGAGTACTCCTCGGAGTTGAAGTTCTGCCAGAACCAGGGCATGGCAACCTCGCGGGTGTCGTTGTTGGAGTACTGGCGCTTCCACTCGTCAAGAACGAGGGTAGGCTTGCCAAGAGCCTCAAGGGGGTGCTTGGCCTTGGGGGCCTCAGCGGGCTTGTCCTCCTCAGCGGCGGCAGCGGGGGCAGGCTTGGGCTTCTCCTCCTTCTTGGGGGGAGTGTACTTAATGCACTCCTCAGCGAACTTGGGCTCGGGGAAGACAGCCTTGAAAGCGGCCTGGTTAATGATGGTGTTGTACCAGCGGGTGAAAGCAACGTTCTCCTCGCGGTACTTCTTGTCAAGAACAGTGGCGAAAGCACGGGTCAGGAGAGCAGCAGTGAAGAGATCAGCAAGGGTGATGCGCTCGCCAACAAGGTAGGTGTTCTCGGTGAGGTGGTTCTCGAGAACGGCAAGGGTGTTGTGGGCAGCCTTGGAGGCCTCATCAACAACCTTCTTGTTGTAGCCCTCGAAGCCCATGAGGGGGCGGTACCAGGCAGCAAGGCGGGGGAGGGCCTCGCCGTTGGCGAAGGACATCCAGCGGACGATGGAAGCGTAGTCCTGCTTGGTCTTGCCAAGGAGGGTGGTCTTCTCGTTCTGGGAGGTCACTACAAAACCAAAACATATTAGTCGAGGTCTTGACAGATGGATCCACAATAGATCAGGCAATCAGAAACGTCAAAAGGACAATGTGATCGAAAAGGAGGGGCAGGATCCCAAGGTCCCGAAAAAATTTCCCCCTAAAGCGGGGTACTCAATTTTTCCTCAACAAAGCGTGGGAATTTTTTTTTTCAGAAGTAGTCTTTCTCAACATAACAGTAACCCTTTGGTTACATTCTGCCAGGGATAACTAAAAACTCATCATATGAAGGGGAGAGGGGGCGACATGACAGGAAAAAAAAATTTGCAATCTGTCAACACGTACCATAGATGGCGATGGCAATAACCTCGGACAGGTTGAAGCCGTTGGCACCCTCGAAAGCAGGGATCTTGCCAAGGGGCTGGACCTTGCGGTACTCAGCGCTGGCGTTGGCAGAGGCATTGGGCTGGGTCTGAACAAGCTCAATGTCCAGGTCGTTGTGCTTGGCAGCGACCAGGATGGAGAGGGTGCGCCCGTTCTCCTGGAAAGGGGTTAGAAGAATGAACAAGGGTAAAGATGAAGCTCATCAACACGTACGGGGAGACCGTAAAGCTTTCCGAAAGACATTTTGAAAGCGAATTGGGTATTAAAGAAAGGATGGGAAAAAAGAAAGGAAGGAGAAAGGGAGAGGAGGGGCAGAAGCTGAAATTTTATGCTTTGAATAGCGCGGCATCGGAAGCTCGGATGAAATGATCATCCGCAGTCACATGATACCTGGAAAAACAGCAATCCAACGCCAACTCCAGAGAACGTTCCGCAGACCGGTCCCTTGCCAATCACATCCCCAATGGCTCGGTACACACCCAATGGCATTGCTTCGGCAATGCAATCGCTGCGGCTACAATCCTCATTACCATGTCGGTCCAGAATCCCAGCTCTCCGCCAGACAGTCCGCAACTATGCGACCGAGACTCAGCCCGAGCAGCCCGTGATCTCGGAGCAGCAGCAGGCGCCGCCGCCTCCACCGCAGGAAGTGACTGCGGCTCCCAAAATCAACTTTGACCTATTCCGCCTCCAACCCGCCCGAATCATTCCCGCGTCCCCCTCCTACTTCTCCGGCAACCCACGCTTCATCGACCACGTCCTCCGCCTCGAAGCCCTGCAACTCAAACACGCCCGTCTCCCAACAGTAACCCCCGGTGAAGCACCACGCATGGCCTGGTTCAAGCTTGCACAGTTCCGTGACTTCGTGGGCGAAGCTGTGCCCGTCAAGAAGTACAAGAGCCTGGTCAAGATCCTGCAGCGACTGAACCGGATCCAGCCTGCCCTCGTGCCGAAAGAGGTGCGCACTGCCCTTCAGGAATTCCTGCGTCCCGGAAACCCGTACGCCTTAAAGAATGCGCCGCGAGTCGTGGATGATAATGGACTTGCACGGGCGAAGGGCAAGCGTAAGGAGTCAACTGCTGTTGTGCGACTTGTTGAGGGTGAGGGTGAGGTTCTTGTCAATGGCAAGTCGATCGTGGAGGTTTTCCAGCGCGTGCATGATCGTGAGAGTGCCCTGTGGGCGCTGCGGTGTACTCAGCGGTTGGACAAGTATAATGTGTGGGCTACTGTGCGCGGTGGTGGTGTGACAGGCCAGGCCGAGGCTATTACCTTGGCTATTGGGCGAGCACTGTTGATTCATGAGCCAGGCTTGAAGCCTATTTTGCGAAAGTGTAAGATTTCACGTGCTACGTTATCTGTGCTTGAGCATTTGCTAATTTTTTATTCTAGCTGGTGTTATCAGTGTCGATGCTCGTCGTGTGGAGAGAAAGAAGCCGGGTCACGTCAAGGCTCGCAAGATGCCTACCTGGGTCAAGCGTTGAAAAGTGGGATTTGGTGCCAGCGATGCTTTTCTCTTTTCTTTTCTCATCCACCTTGTATTATTTCACCTGCCATGGCAGCCCGTCGCCAATTTTGTTCTATATATATCCTGTACTCAAATGCATATGGAGCTTTCATCATGATAATTGTACCATTTCGGTATTCAAAATTTTCCATTAAATCCGCTATAAAATCAGGCAGTCTCTATGGAGACTTTATGCATCCATGGATGATGAAACTCTGGTTTCAGCCACCTGGGCAACGTCGAATAAAGATGAAACCAAACCATACACTATGTATCCACAACCTAACAGGTGTGGTCCGTACTTGAAAGCCTATATCAGTCTTCCAGATTTGAACCTTGGAATAGGGATCCCCAGTGGAGGATTTCTGAGGTCCTGCTAGCCTAATTGTCTAATATATATACATTGAATGTATCTTATACAGAAGCTCACTTAAGTGCTATCCACGTGATGTTGTTGCACATGTGGTTTTATGCATAGAGTCATGTTGACAGACACTCTTGAGTTCGCCTATCCCGTTATTTATTTGCTTTTCCATTTGCATCTTCGTTTGCAACATCCGGTATAGGGATTGGTCCTCCTGGCGAGTTCTCCAGCCTCGCCGTCAAGACCTCGACGCCTGTCTCTGTCACAAGCATAGTGTGCTCTAACATTGTCCGTATTAGTATCTAGAGCCCAGAACCCGAGGCCGGAACTGAGTTCCGAAAGTCTATACGCACCGAATTGAGCTGTCCGTTTACCATCCACGGTAACATTTGTCCACTCGTCCGGCCAGTACACTTCCCGGTTGCTGCCCAAAGCCAAGATAGGCTCAATGGTGAACGTCATACCAGGTTTACAAGTTCCCACAGCCTTGTTCTTGGCGTAGTGAGGGATCCAAGGAGGAGGGTGGAACTCCGAGTTGATACCATGGCCACCCCAAGTCTTGACAACGGTAAGTCCCCTGGAGGTTGCGTGCTTTTCAATGATCTTGCCAAATTCTCGGATCGGTACACCTGGCTTGATTATCGCAATGGCCATGTCCAAGGCCTCCCGCGTCGTTTCAACGAGTCTGATCGAGTCCGGGTCCGCTCTAGCCTTGTCACCAACGTAGTAAGTCTCGTTCAAGTCGGCATGATATCCACCGTGGTAGATGGAAATGTCAAGATTGAGAATGTCTCCATTAAGAAGAATTCGCTGATCGGGGATACCGTGGCATACAACCTCATTTGGAGATGTACACAATGACTTGGGGAATTTTCTGTAGTTGAGAGGAGATGGGTATGACTGCGCGGGATTTAGTGGATTACTCGATATCTTCATGCCGGGTGAACTTTACTCACCTCTCGCTCAACGCAGGCATTGTGGCAGATTTCATCCAAGTAATCCGTGGTCACACCAGGCTTTATCGCTGCGGCAGTGATGTCGAGTACTTCTCGAGCTAATCTGCATACCTTACGCATGGCCTCTTGGCCCTTTTCATCCAAGAGTTCAATCTTGTTCCTGTCCAAGCTCCTCTCGCGCTTTGGGATACCTGTTTCAGCCCAGTCGGGATGCTGAATTGTTTTGGGCACAGCGCGTCTCGGAGAGAGCGGGTATACAGGCCTAACAGAGCCAGTATATCTATATGTTGGGAACGGGTTATAGAGCCCGCTAGCTAAAACACGGTTAGAGAACAAGAATATAAAGGACTGGCACGTGCCACCTGGACGATACCATTTTGTGCCTTGTGCGTCGCCTTGTGTGTGGTCTGAATGGGATCATTGTTAGAGCCCCTAGTAGAAGAGATATTTGCGCGGACATGACCTACCCAATTCCTCTTGAAGCAGTCTTGAGTGCAGAAGTAACTACCTTCCACGCCCTGCTTCAGACATGTTGGGCATTGCAAGGTCCCAGCGTTCTTGTCGCAATCGGCCCCGGAACACATTTTTACAGAGTCAAACATTGTCGCGGAGATTTAAAAGTCGAGCTCCGTCGAACCCCAGCGATGGGAAGACTGTTTGTCAGTGTGAGTTGGTGATGAATGATAGGTTGCCGGATGCAGGTTATTTGTAGTGCAAGGCTGCAAGTGCCCCCACTCTGAGCCTCGGGCGAGTGGGGTGCACTACACCTTGTCGATCGGAAGACCGAAGTATTTTACAGTAAAGTGCTCATATTTCCTGTCTTCCTGGTTAATATGTCTATCTATATTTTCCAAATTTTAATGGCTTGTAAATTAAATCTTGAAACACAGACATTGCAGGCTGTTAAGGAAAGGAGGGTAAGGCGAGACCGGATGAATCTCGGTAAAATTTGCATTTTGTATACATCAATTTATGTACTGAATTCAGTTTGATGTTTTGCATTGATAATCCGATGATGAATATGTATATTTCCAGTCTCTACTTGTCTCGCTTAATTGGATTTGATTGATCTCAGATGCGGCTTGCAATGATGAGAAAAAATGAAAGGAAGAATCAAGTATAAATAGTACAGACGGGTTGGATTTTGATAAACAGGGATCTCCATAGCCGAGAAACGCGCCTTTTATAGCAGATCAATCGTGCCCTCCTAATACAATGTGAATAATCGCGCCTTCCACTTGATGTGTAGCTGATGACTAATATTTCTATGCAAAGGCGGTCACTGCCAATGTACAGCCTGAAACCTCAGGCTGCCGTTTCTGGGCTCCTAATCGGACATTGTTGACATCAATTCCACGGGCCCTTACATTCAAGGCGCAAACTTACACATCCATTATCCCTATTGGAAGAGGTTGGAATGATAAAAAAAAATAAAGTAGATAAGTCACCATCACACATGACAAATAGGTATATACAACATTTTACTCGTCAAATTCATCATAGTCCGAAGCAAGCCACAGCCACAAAGACATACAAGTATAGTTCCTGCCATCTCGTCTCGTCTCATCACATCACAATTTGTCCCGAGAAGGCGAGCGGGGAAGTGGACTAGGCGAACTGAGCACCGGAGCTAAGGGCAGGAGTAGGAGTAGGTAAAAGAGGAAGGGGTTAGAGAGAGGGGTAAAGATTGAGGATACAAGGGTAAAGTCGGAGGAGTAGTAAAATGTGATGTGATCAATGATCGGATCATCAATGATATCCGATTCATTGGCGCCTTGTTTCTTGGATCTCAAATACGGTGATCATCGGGCGATTGGCGCGGCGCTAGTAGGCAATAGCCAATACATGGCGCCGGCGCCCGTCATTTGTGTTTGCCCTTCACAAACCATTGGATTCTCTCCGATCGTCGCGGAAGATCTGTTCCAGCCCGTGTTTTGTTGGTCTTTTTGTTTGTGCTTTCCGCTTTTTTTTTTTTTTGTGAGATGTGTTTTGAGGGCCCTTTTGGTGGAACTTTAACACCGATCGAGATTAGGAAAGAGGTGGTCGCGGCAATATAGACTTTAGGGTTTCAAGGCCGCGGGGCTGCTGTGGGTGGTTCAGGAACGGCTGCCATCCGTAGTTCGGGTTTGCTTTCCAGTAGATCGAGGCATTGACCCAGTACTAATTTGATGAATTGTTAGTTTGGATTTATTGGTTTATATCGGGTAAACTTACCACAGAGGATCTCCTCTTCCCAAATCCCCATCTGGTAATCAACTAGGCCGTGTTGCTCCAATTGATCACAAAGCTGAATCAGGGCTTTCCCCATCGCCTCCATGCGATCTCGAGGAAGTAGACTAAATTGCGAGGATTGATGGCCCGCAATATACTCCTGGGTTAGATCTTTCTGTTTCTGACAGACAGCCAGCCAACAGATATTGAATTCTTTCCACAGCTCTAGGCGGTCAGGGTAAGAAAGATGGTCGTCGCGTAGGATTCCTATGTATCACAAAAGCGAAATTAGTCTCTCCTCAAAATATGTCAGATGATGCTTGGATGACGCGTGCCTGCAGGCGAAAAATAGTAACAAGAAAATCTTAGAATAAGATAAATAGGGCGATTCACAGAAACAGGGTCCAGTCCAGAGTGCGATTCCGTACGACAAGGCGTGTCTATCCCAGCCATACAGCATGCAAAACTGGCGAAGCTATCGCGCAACTCGCAGCGAAAAACGACCACCCAGAAGACCCGCCAGAAGAAAAAGCCAAAAAAGTGAAGCGAACCCCGAAAAAAATGAAATTAAAGAAAAAATATGAACCTACCAAGATCCCGTGAGTTAGTCACAAGCCACTCGGAAATTTCCAATAGTGATCGACTCGCTTCCACCAATCGTCCTGTACGTGTTGAATCAAAGGTGCCGCGCAAGGCGCGTTGGTACTGGGAGTAAGCTTCCTCGAGAGAGGAAAGATCCGAAGCATGCTGCTGGGGAGGATCCGAATGATGGCTGGGCGGGTCCAATCGGCTCGACCCCGCGGTACCGATCGGAGTGAAATCGGACATAGTAGCGGGAAAGGGCTGGGTGGTGCTCGGGCGTGCCATGGGACCGGGGTGATTATATGGCATTTGTTGCGTACCAAGGTAAGTTGAAAGAGCTGGGACCCCAGTAGCGGTAGACTCTTCTGGGGTGAAATATTGTGGAACAGCAAATTGGTTCGACAGCGCTTCAATCGCTGCAGATTGCCGTGGCGAGTACTGTGGAACAACGTCGAAGGGTCCTTGTGCTGGACCCTGCTGACCGAAGCCGTACAGCATTGCCGACTCGTACGGTACGAACGGCGGCGCAGGATTGTGTGGTGCCCGGCGCCGAGATTGTTGTGGATGTTGATGTTGATGCTGCGCTTGTTGCTGCATTACTCCCTGGCGAGACCGTGTAAATTCTGGTGGGTAACCAGGCACCTCGTGGGGCTGTAGTGAACCGCCGTGGAAGGAGCCGCTTGTGTATCCGTAGTCGTAGGACATCTGAGCCCGCTCTGGCGCCTGCGACATCCCCGTTGGCTCTCCACGTGGGTGCATAGTCGGCTCGAAATGATCAGTTGCACGACCACCGGCCGTGTTATTCCCAGATCGTGCCATCAACCTCTCATGCTGCTTCATACGTTGGTCGCCATCCATGAGGCTGTCCCACACGGACCTGCGCAGATCTAGATTGGCCCAATGCTTAGGGGACAGCGGGGGACTTGCGTAGGATGCCAGCTTGATGGAATTGTAGAGCAAGGACCTTGAAACCGGAAGACCCAAGCACTGAGTTGTTGGTGATCTTCTCTGAATTTTCCAAGCACTTGAGGTAGTTGCTTTGATGTTTCTTTCTTTCTTTTTTTCTCTCACCTCTATGTTGGCTTAGATGATTTTTAACAATATTCGACTTGAAAGTTGGTTCTAGCAGGTCTGATTCAGCGGATGCGTAAAGTAATAAGTTCACAGAGTATATACCTCAGTAGTCCGGGTCGACATGTACATATATAGTCGGAACGCCAGAAGATCCACCGAATCTAGACACAGACTTCCCCAATGAAAAGGGAAAGAAAAAAGTAATAAAAAGTTCTCAAATACAAAGGCGCGTACTCGAAAACTTGAATATGACGAATCTGATTGATCGTGAGCATAGAAAGGCAACGAAAGAGAGAGATAATAGAAATTAGAAATCAAATGATAATATAAATAAAAAAAGGGAGAAAAATCCTAAATCGGATTAGATGAGCAAAGGAACATACCAGTGGCAAGGGAGAAAAAGCACGATGTCTTCATCGGGCTCGTGTCATGGTTGGACCGAGTACCTGGGGCTTGGGTAGAGAAGGGGCATAGTATTTGAGACTATCTACTATAAGGGGGACGCTAGTCCGCCGATCGGTGTGATCTACAGCCTAAACTCGTTTCGGGCCTGTACGTCTGCGATCGCCCGGGAACCCGGGGCGCTGGTTCCTGGTGGATTCTTGTTTTCCCGAAAAGCTAGGGATATGATAGAGCGAAGGGGGCAAAAGGATTCAACGAGGGGTGGAGACAACCACCGAGGAAAAAAAATAGGAATTGAGAAAAATGGAGGAAAATAGAAGGAATCGCAAGTCTCAGCTTGGGTGCCCAAAAGGTCAGGTGGGGATTTTACAGAGAAAATTTGGTTTTAATTCGCATTTAATCTATTTCTGATTTGTGTTTTCACTTTTCGATGTGTAACTCTTATGCCTGGGGCTGACAATCCATGAAGCCGTGGCGGTGCCCTATGCCCGAACTGGGAATTAATACAAATCTCCTGTGAGGCGAGATAAAAAGCAAATCTCATGAAGAAAGTGTCAAATCCTCGACCCAGTGGGCTGGGAGTAGGGAACCTGCAGTTCATATTTAGAGCCGAAACAACCTTAGAACCCACATGTAACAAAGTTATCATACAAAAAGGGGCTAGGAACTTCGCTAAGTATATCCGAAAGGGCTTAAGTTTGTACATTCCGTCGATTGCCCGGACAGCTGCTCCAATCCTGCTTGTTTTGCCCCTTTTCTCGAGGGATTGTTACTAGGACGGAAATAATACAGAATACATTGATTCAATGCAAGAAAATACAAATACCCAATTCCGAGACATGCAAGTCCCATTGTCTGCCCGATTGCGGATCTGCCAGGGACTGTCAAAATCCCCAATGTCCACTTCGGCGATCAATGTCATTGCGCCCCCAACCGGATCCGACGTTCTGGTTGGGATGGGGACGTGCCGATGTTAGGGTCAAATGGTTTCACTAGCCTAATCGAAATCCTCGTACTTTTGATATTCCTTCGTTTTTTCTTTTTCCCAAACCTTAGCAAAGTGAGGCGGGTAGAAAGATCCTGGAATGACCTGCATTGCATACAATATATATACTTTGTAGGTACCGAAGTAGGGCATCATGCAGTGTACTTATAACCTGGTAACCTTGGGATGGAAATCAAATACTATAGCTACTACTTTCTTATCACCTGACAAATCTGTAGGTGAAAGTACCTGGGTCAATGACGGACTTGTGTCACAAGTCGTACTAATTGAGATTTCGGGGGATCGGCCTGATCTGATGGATATAGACCAGGAGCCCGGTGGGCGGGCCAGTAGTCGCACCGTGGAAGGCTGAAGACTCCATAGACTTTGTCTCTTTACCCGGAACTTTCTTGCCCTACCGTTCACTCTTAATTTCTCTGGAAATGCTTGGGCCAATGACTGTACCTTTCACTTAGGTACCTTATCCTGGCCAGGTATGAAACAGGATTCAAATCCCGAGGCTATAGATACCCCGAGCTGTAACCGGAGTAATCATAAAATACCATCCGGGTCTACGTACCGAGTGCATCATGTTCATGCGAACCCTGTCAGCTGACAATTTGCCAATTATAGCTCTGACGCTCGGAAAATAGAATAGCAGCAGAAAAGCGCCGAGAAAAAAACAAAAGACCAAGAGGTGAATCGGGACCACTGTCCTTCCGAGGGGTCTGCCACCAGTGGCAGGATTGGAATTACAGCTGCACTTCCCGGTTGTGGTGGGCCACGTTGCAGTCCGTACGGAAAGAGGTTGGTCCGAGGAGTTCGCGGGTGAGGCTGAGATCTGACTCGGCCTTGAGAGTATCAGATGGCACATGGGGGTTGGTTTCAAGTGTTTCATATTTCATAGGGGAGGAGGAAATTAGCTCCCCGCCCGTCCCACGATGCTTTCCCGAATTCAGTTGGCGGGAAACCACTAAACTACATAAACACACGTCGCTGGTCGTATAGTCATGTCATGTCGCATGCTCCGCCGTCTCCAAATCATTGCAAATGGCAAGCTCAAGGCGGAGCACCGGAGGTTGAACCAAGAAAAATGATAGAAAAAAGTAACAGAGAAAAAGGCAGGAACGCAAATAGATAGCAAGCTGCTGCACAGAGAAGCTGTGAGAGTACTGATGACACCCACTATATTTGATCTGCGTTGCACGTCAGCACCCAATTTGTCCAACCACGCGCCACTTTTGAGGGAACTAAGCTTACTCAAGGTCATGCTGAGGTTCACGTCGGTACTCTCTACCATTCCGGTGAACTCTTCGAAGCTGATACGACCATCCCCGTCCTTATCTGCCTCCATAATAGTCTTATCCACGATCTGTTGCAGCTGGATATCCTTCAAGTTGTTGCCCACCATCATCTTCAGCACAATGAACAGCTCGCCGTTGGAGATATAGCCATCCCGGTCAATATCGTAAACCTTGAAGGCAAAGCGCAGCTTCTCCGTCTTGTTACCCTTGGAGCTGAAAGCCGAAAGACCGGTCACGAACTCCTGGAAGTCGACATCGCCACCACCATCCTCGTCGAAGATCGCAATCATTCTAGTAGCCAATCAGGAAGGGTTGCCAAATTATTCGATGCCCGTATGGATGGAACGAGACGTACCTCGTGGCAAGTGGGTTGGAGGAGACCTGGGGGAGCGAAAGGAACTCGTCACGATCGATAGTACCAGAACCATCCTAATAACAAACAAGAGTCAGTGATTACGCGCACATTATCGTTCATGTGTATGATCGCACCTTATCAAGCTTCATGAATCGTTTCCGTAGTCGATCCACCTCCTCACGGTCGACTGTTTACCCCTCTGTCAGCCCACGCTCGCCTTTTCTCATCTGGGTAAAAAGGTTCGACCGGTGGATCACATACAGTTAGAAGTAGAGACAATGTTGTCAAAAAGTTGGGTAGTTCCAACGGAGCCCCGGCGTCGCTGCACACTATGCATGGCTGCAGTATTTGGTTCGGAGGGGGAGGTTTCCATTGTGGCTGGGGAGGGGGTGGCAGATACTAAGGTAGGGTGAGGGGGGGAGAAATGGGGGAAAAAAAGATCAAATGTGGAGAAGGTAAGGATAAGAATAGAGCTAGGATCAGGTGATGAAAAGTGATTGTTAGGCAAAAGGCCTAGAATGGAAGTTGGGGAAATAAGGGAAGGAGCGATGGGGAAACATGAATCTGATAATGCCCAGCCCCGCACTAACCGCATTCGGAACAGCAAGCGAGCCCCTGAGACCGTGCACGCGCCCAAAACAGGCCATCACCGGGTGACATTGCAACGTCAACCCAACCGCCAGCCCCAGAGCCGCCTGTTTTCCGTCGTCGATATCCCCCCTTCCCATCTGAATTTTATCTCAAAAATACGACTACGATACAGCGCATGATCTAGGCTTTACGGTGAACCAACTTTTACCTCCGGGACCCCCATGGTCGTTGCCCTTTTGCCCTCCCCGACGCTATGACTCGGTACGGGGGCCTGGGCCGGACGCGCCCCAAGAAGCTTACTTCCAAGGCCTCCATTCCCATCGTCCGTGAGGAGGAAATCGATGCCCTAGATGAGGATGTCCAAAATCATCAGCAGATCGAGACAGGTGTCGAAAAGGCTGAGGAATCGGTGAGTCCCCCTATTAGCCACAGTTTTAGCCTCACCCCCTGCACATCACGTGACATCATCACCAAAGCGACACGAAATTTTCACGATGCTGACCGCGTGCGCGTACCATAGGAATTCCACTTACAAGTCGCGATCAACCTCACTGCGCAGGGTAAAGTCAACGATGCGCACATTCCTACCCCCGAAACCATCCTCAGTAACCTACGATATGACGAACTTTACCCGCCGCTCTTTTCGCAGCCTGCGACCTACATCCGCTCCTCGGCTACGGTCGAGGACTGCTGTGGATGTCCATATAACATGACCGAGGAGGACGATGTCTTCCTCAAGATATTGAACCAGAAGCGCGGCGCATCGAGCCCCTGCACTGAGGATAATTTCGAGGCTACCATGAACTTTTTCGAGGAGACGGCGAAGGCTAAGCAGCCCTTTGCAGCAGTTGACAACCCACCGGTACTGTCCTTCGAAGAGATGGAGGAGGCGATGGATTCTACCGTAGAGGAAGCTGTAAAGCACTTTGCCAAGCACATCTACCCACACTGGAAGTCACGTCGAACCGCGGAGGGGAACAATTCCCTGGAACCCAGCCTCAAGGTGAGTGGCGCATTGTCTTCAGTGAAGGTGCAGTTGAGTCCAGTGCTGACCGTGTATGTCTTTAGTTTGAAACTGGTCAAGACACCGACGATAGCGATCCATACGTCTGTTTCCGCCGACGTGAAGTGCGACAGATTCGTAAGACTCGTGGTCGTGATGCCCAAAGTGCTGAGAAGCTGCGCCGACTGCGTAAGGAGCTTGAAGATGCTCGGCAGATGGTCGCATTGGTGCGTCAACGCGAGGTGGCACGGAAGGAGATGTTGTCAATGGAGCGGACCCTCTTCTTGCAGCGAGCCGAAGTCAAGGAGATGAAGCGCAAGCTGAACATCAAGGACGACGATGAGGATCTCATCAACCAGAAGGTAAGCATTTCTCTGATCATGCCGCGGATCGCATGTATTGACGCCTCATCACAGCCCAAGAAGAAGCTGGAGATTCCTCCTGGTCAACGTCCAAGTGTACCTCAACTTCGTTTGCCGCTCAAAGGAGGTGTCAACGGCGCAGAGGACTTGCAGTTGCTGGAAGATGTTCAAGCCGAGAAGGAGAACGAGATCTTGCGCGATATCAAGGCGAACATCACCAAGCATATCAAGTGGAACGAGGGTTATGTAGATCATACCCGAGCGCCACTTTCTCCCCCTCCCGAAAGAACATTCGATGCAGCAGCATTCCGTCCAGCTTTCACCGCACAACTACCCACACCGCCATCATCAGAGTCGTCTGGCGACTTGGACACAATAGACGTCACCAGCCCACTGTTCTCTCGGGATAAACTTGCTTCCCGGGCAATGGAGATGCACGATGAGCCGCATCGAATGCCGTCATTCCGTAGACGTGTCGGACGAGGTGGTCGACTAATGATTGACCGCCGGAACTTCGCAGCGCGCTGTAAGCTTGAGATGGACCCCGTCAAAGCTGATCGATTCAAGTTCGACCAAGAAGACTCCGATGAGGAGCCTGTCCATGAGATAGACGGGTATAGCATTCAGATCATGCAGCACCGAGCCATCACCATGGCCAAGGCCCGTGAACAGGCCGCAGTGGCTGCCCAAGCTCATGCGCAGGCGCAAGCTCAGGCAGTCCAGGCGCAGGCCCAGCAGCGGCGACTGCAAGGCGATCAATCTGGGAACCCGGGAGCACCCCCTGCACCCAGTGTCGTGACTGCATCGTCAGAGGCCTGACCAACCAACCTTTTTTCGTTTTCGTTTTGCAGCATTTGGCGGGCGTTTTGAGTTGCTTGTTTCCCCCCCCTTCGTCACCACCTCTCCCTCTTCCATCCTTCTCACCTCTGTAGTTTTAGTACCATTTTTCATGTTTTGACGATTCCGCTGGCGGCGAAGGGATTTGATGGAGCCCGGCCTTATGCTTTCTGCCCTTTTTGTTTCTCTGCACCCTCCACCTACCTTTTTCAACATTCCTCCCGATGCAGATTTCGATGTCGATTTGCGGGTCTCATCATGATATCCAACCTGAATCGGCGGCGCTGCATTTATTAGTGTACATAATATCTTTTCTTGAAAAATGGGGGAGCGTGCGCGGCCGGTGACCGGCCTGTTTGTATGATGGACGACTCGAAGTTATGATGCCTGCATTTCTGGGAAAGGGAAGAAAGGCCGGAAAAAAAAGAGAAAAACAGACATCGAAAATCTAACACAATATAATCATTCGCGAAAAACGCCGTCGCCATCTGCTTTTGTAGGGAGCATCGAGTCGGTAGTGAGATTTCGACAAGATTCTCATGGGAAATAGTAGGTCGAGGCCGTAAGGATTGCTTAAATCACACGCGCTGCTTGGTGTTTCGTGATCCACGACCATCGCCGTTGGCAGACCTTTTCTGGGAGGCACCTGGGGCAAGAGATTCGAGCATCGACATGACAGCCCGCAGAACCTCCTTCTCGCCGATGCGGACCTGCAAAGCCATCTTGTGTCGGCGAGCAGAGCCCTCCAGTGCTGCGGGTGCATTCGGTGGCAGAAGTCCGGAAAGGGTGTTGATATCCTGTTCGAGCGAGGTGGCATAGTGCGCCTGCTTAGACTGCAGAACCTTGTAGAGAAGACCGGCTTGGGCGACATCCATAGATGGCTTGGGCGGCTTGTTCTTGGCCCGACGCTGCTCAAACTCTTCTGGTGACTGGGTCAGTGTGGTGAGCAAGACAACCAGCTCGGCGGGAAGAATATCCTCAAGTTTAGCGTTTGCAATTGGCTTGGGAATCACATAGCCGTCTTCCAGAACGTCATTTTCATCAAGGAGTTGTAGCTATTGTAGAGTTAGTTGGGCTATTTCATGGTTTCGTGGAAAAGTCATGCCACATCTGCATGTGGTACATGGCGCGACCTACCCTGGGCTGGGATTCCACATCGCTGCTTGAAAGTCCAGCTGATTGACAAACGTCGCCTAGAGTTAACTCGACAACATCGTACACAGAGTAGTTGTCGGTGACATAGCCGTAGCGGCGGAGCAAATCTGCACGGGGTATTTCGCCATAATCATTGAAGATTTCTTCGCCTTCTTGGATAGGCTTGATAGCCTTCATAACCAAAGCTTCCTCCTCTTGAAAGAGACGCGCCTGAAAAAAGTAAGTAAAACTGCAAAGCTTAGTCAAAATAAGTATTGTCAATACTCACATTGTTCCGATCCGCATCGGCATTGAGCAAATCAGCAAGCGGAACCATACCCTTAGGATACTGTTCGTCCTCATCATCACTCATAAAGCTCTCATCACCACCATCGCCCTCTTCATCGTCATCATCTTCTCCATTTTCAATGTCGAAGGCGTAAGCCATAATCAAGGACCCCATGGTATGAGCCAGCTCCAGCAGAGCGGCAGTGCCAGCATCACCCTCATAAGATGCAAGACCATTGACCGGCGGGAACAATGCCGGATTTGATCTGACAATAGGCGCAATAGATTGAAGAATAGAGTTATTTGCACTCTGCTTGCCAATCTTATCCACAATGGCACTGCCCTGTAGCTCACTCAGCTCCGCCTCCGACCAGAACATCAGTGTATCGAAACGAGAAGGCAGGACACGGAAGTAAGGTGCCCATTTCGATTGTTCGCCGCGCAGGTACTCATAGAGCATGACTAACATTAAGGACAACCATGGACCGAGCGCCTCGACATCTTGCGGTAGCAGACTCTTCAGGTCTGAGTTTTGGACAGCGAGGATGAGAGAGCGGGGAATGGAAAATAGTTCTTCGCCTTCGGCAATGTTTGCGCGAGCAACTGTGCATATCAAAATGGGCTTTTGTTAGAGAAATATTCTTTTCATGGATCTGTTTCGGCGGCTCAGGGTGCGGATTTTGTGTGGTGGGTGGCGGGGGCTTTGTGGTAAGCTTACCAACTCCTCGTCCTGCTCCGGAGGATCTTAAGTCTGCCAGAAGAATCTTTTGATTGGCCTTCACGCCGGGGTATGATTCAAGCCAAGAGATAAATTCATTGGACTGTTGCTGGAAGCTCGAGGGATCCGAGAAGTGGGTGGAGGAAGACATTGTAAGTACTGGGTGGTGGCAAAGGGGAAAAGGAGAACAGAGTATAGAATGAAGAATATGGGCAAACGAATTCACATATGAGTGCCAGCCCACCGGAGGGAAAGAAAGTAGATCGAACAAAAAAAGGGTCCTGAAAATCTAGGGAAAAAAGAAAAGAAGTAGACGGGGTTGTAGTTTAGTTTCGGAGAAACGGGAACCGCCAAGGTTGGTTCGGTTTGGTTGGTTTGGTACCCGATAACGATAAAGAAAATCAACCCACTCTTTTCACTGAACTTCAAGGTATCCGGATTTACCAAGCATAATTCGAGTCAATCGACTTTAAATCCGTCATCATGATTGCTATCGGTATGGAGGGCTCGGCCAACAAGATTGCCATCGGGATTATGTCGCATCCCGAAGATGGCAGCCCGCCGCAGATCCTCTCAAATGTTCGGCACACCTATAATTCCCCACCAGGTGAGGGTTTCTTGCCCAAGGATGTTGCGCGCCACCACCGGACATGGGTTGTGAAGATGGTGAAAGATGCAATGAAAGAGGCACGCCTTAAAGTTGCAGATGTGGACTGCATCTGCTTCACCAAAGGTCCTGGCATGGGAGCCCCACTACAGAGCGCAGTGATGGCGGCACGAATGATGAGTCTGCTGTGGAATAAGCCGTTGGTTGGAGTGAACCATTGCGTTGGACGTAAGTTTCAAAACGCTACATCAGTTCCGATTTTCAGTTTCACCGCATGTCTTCTTGATAGCACTATGGTAGCTGACATACAGTCCCGCATATCCAGATATCGAAATGGGCCGCCTCATTACCGGCGCCGAAAACCCGGTCGTCCTTTATGTTTCCGGTGGTAACACACAGGTGATTGCATACAGTGCTAAGCGATACCGCATCTTCGGCGAGACCCTTGATATTGCTGTCGGAAACTGCCTAGATCGTTTCGCGCGCACTCTATTCATCCCAAATGACCCATTCCCGGGATACAATATTGAACAGCTAGCCAAAAAAGGGAGACGATTTGTGGAGCTCCCATACATTGTGAAGGGCATGGACTGTTCGTTTTCGGGTATCCTGGCTGCAGTCGACGCACTGGCCGTGTCTTTGGGGCTAAGCGGCGAGGAGCAGGCCAGACTTGATGATGAGAGAATTGAGAAAGAGCAGGGCAACGAAGAACAAGACCCAGATGCCAAGCCCACTCGTGCCGATTTATGCTTTTCGCTTCAGGAGACAGTATATGCAATGCTAGTTGAGATTACCGAGCGCGCAATGGCGCATGTGGGGTCCAAGCAGGTGCTTATTGTTGGTGGAGTGGGATCCAACGAGCGGTTGCAAGAGATGATGGGTATCATGGCACGAGATCGGGGCGGATCTGTGTTTGCTACGGACGAACGTTATTGCATTGATAATGGTGTCATGATTGCCCAAGCGGGTCTGGAGGCATACAAGACAGGTTTCCGGACACCTCTGAAGGAGTCCACTTGCACACAGCGATTCCGGACAGATGAAGTGTTCGTGGACTGGCGAGACTAAAATACCCATCTTCAGTATAGAAAAATTATCATGTTTTACGACTTCAATAGATCCAAAGACTCTGCCTCGGACTTGCGCACGTTTGAAAGATTTTCTTGAATCAAATGGTGTATTCAAAATTAAATCACAGTGAAATAGATGTGTATAACCAAACTACTAAGTGCGCGCCTGCGCGGTCATGAAATAATCGAATCTGCATGACTACAATATCAACTCCGACACAAACCTATCGTGAAGCAACGCCTTCGAATAGAAAACCATGCAATATGAGTAATGTCTGTCCTTTGTGCTGGCTGGCTTTCAAAAAGTTTTTAGAATCTTCGATCAATGTTGTATGCATCCATGGCACAAGTTATTCGTTGCGACCGAAAGGGTAATAGCCCTCGTGGCTAGGCAGTAAATGAATGTATGGTGAAATATGTGGGTGTTTGCGCTTTCTTAGAGATCTCGGACCATGCACTCCGAGGTAAATTGCAGGTATTTGCTAAGACATGGATCATTCCCCAGTAATATCGCCGGTGGGTTTGTACAAAATACTTGTGACATACTGCGAATAAGTCAGAAAGAAGTTCCAAAATCGCCTTTGAATGATCTTACCTTGCGCTTGTATCTGGTCGTGACACTAGTGGCAAGAACACCATTCTTGATGCTACTCGTAGCCAGATGGTTCAAAACAGTGTGGTTGGGGTAATTAAGAACACTGCTATCATCCTTTGTTGGGGTAAGGGTGTTGAGAATCGATTTACCCAAGAATAGTGGAAGACTGGGCGGGGTTGGAGTGTCACCAATGACATTAGCAGCTTGCAAGTATGCCGGACTGTCTTCTTCCTTGTCCAGGTCAGCAAGGAACTGAGGGATAGCACTGCCAAAGTCTCCTGCAGGGACCTCCTCAGCTTCCCCGTTCTTCGGAGGATCGTCTTCCGCATCCTCTGTTTGTCGGTCCTTGGCATTATCCTGGGGTGTTTGTGATGGCCGGACTCCGGACGAAACAGATGAGTTGTCATTAGCATCATCCGCACTAATTTCGATATAATTCACCAGGTGGTTAGTGAAGTCGACAGCCGTTGGGAGATCATCTGAAGCCCGCATTTCACCATCGATAAGGAACTTCAGATGATGGGTGCCGGGACGCAGGTTCAATGTTGCGGTCATGACTTTGGCGTTGGTCTCACTGTTTGATATTAGCTCATGTGTCATCGAAACTTACTTTCCAGTGTGTATGGACGGAAAAGATCCTCCTACCTTCTGTGTAACTTAAACTTCTTCTCCCAATTGACAAAGGTACCGGTAACGTAGACCTTCTCGCCAGGTCCATTCCACTCGATGACTGTGGGCACCGCCTTGCCGACACCAAACGGTCGTAGCTCATCCACCATCTCATCACCATCCAGGGTAGCATTGCTATAATGAGATGCCTCCATATGTTCATCTAACAGCCGGTCCGCAGGCATCGACTGGATATGCGAGTCCTCGGGTCCGATGACCGGCGATCCAGGTGTAGTGGTAGCATCGGCAATCGGTAATGGCATGCGCGGAGGTCGTTGCAGGTGAGTCGAGGCACTATAGTAGGAGTTGAGCGGCGGAGCCGAAGGTGCCACAGGGTCTCGCCCCGCGGCATGGCGTGAAATCGGCACCTGTACCGGGTTTGAATGGTCTGGCGAGGCGACTTCTCTGCTATGCGGTGGTTCGACTCTCCTCTCTACTGGCCTCTCGGGTCTAGTTATGGGCCTGGGAGTACCGGGCGGCGGGTTTCGGGATTGGAGCCGATGCTGAACGGAGCCTTGATATCCTGCGGAGTGACCGGCGGCGGTCTCTCGAGACGCTGACGGGTCGGCCGCGGTCGCCTTGGTGGTTGGGATTGTATTTTGTGACGCGCGGCGAACGACTTTTCGCTCAACGGCAGCATTGGGAATATGGCCTGATGGCACATCGCCGACTGGGCCTTTGGAAGGATTGTTGCCCATCGAAGGCGGGGTAGGGGAAAGACGGTGACGGGTGAGAGTATCGGGTATGAGGGGAGTGGAGTGGCGGAGGAGATAAGGTTGCGACGAAGAAGTTGATCAGGCCAACAGCATCCAGGAGCTATCCTTAGAGTGTTGATAAATGCCGAGGAATCTAGACACAGCTCCCTCTTTCAATGTCGGTCGAGCTGATGACGCCGGAGATCGAATCGGGCTAGGGCTTAGGGCTTGCGGCAATAACTCGGCTTCCCCGGATTTTCCCCCCTTTAACCTTACTCAACCCATCCATAGCTCCCCGATCTACATAATGGATAGCTTGGTTATTGGAGGCCTGCTATTTGTCTTTAACGCAATTTATGGCATACTGTTGAACCTATTATCCTGGTTGTTCTCGCTTCTTTACTTGCTGGCATCCCCCTTGCTCTATCTTTTGCATGGCCTCCTCACGATAGCTTTATTCCCTCTTCAAATCCTGATTAAATTCGAGGTAGGTCTACATCATCGCTAGTTTGTTCTTCATTGTTTTTTTTTCTTGAAACTTACATGTAGTAGGCATTTCTGTATTTCGTGACAGGAGCTGTGATCACAGGAGCCACAGTGGGCCTGTTCCTACATCTTACTGGAGATGCTCTGTCCGAGCTCCTTCGGCTACGGTCACGCCCATCTCCATCGCCGAAGGACGAACCACTCCTAAAAGACGAGCCAATAGACTGGCAGTCTAAATGGGACCATCAACTATTGTCTACAACGATCCCGGAAGAGGAAGAGAATAGCTCGGCTTGATCGTTACGGTGTACTGCCTATCTAAGTCGGACATACTCTTCGTCCAGATATAATAGCATAACTTATAACATAGATGAAAAACCTGGCTTCTCATATCTAGAATCATCCGCCTCGGCATCTTGCTATATCATCAACCATCAAAATGTCTTCCCTAAAGCATCATTAGCGGATTCGTAGTCTGCTTGTGTAACATCTTGGTCTGAGATCACTTCCTCATGCAAGTTTATTGAGTCAAAGCATATTCCCAGACCAAATATGTCTTCTTCTTCTTTCCTCTCCTCAGCCTCCTCCTCCTTGTCCTTATCTCCACCCGGGCCCCATTGGTCTGCACCACGAAACCCCACCCTGAAAGGATCACTCGGGTCTAGAGCAACTTGCTTGAAGCCAGTGACCCAGGCTCTTCCCTGGATAGAAGTATATATCGCGTTATATCTTCCCACTCTCAACTCACCGCGGACACGACCAAAAAACCGGGTTCCAAGCAAGCTGTTACTCTGAAAGGTCTCGCTCGCAATCTCACCACGGCAATGCTGAATAGCAAGCCAAGCGCAAGTCGATGTACCCGAAGGACTGCGGACCAGGCGACCAGGAGACATCACCGTGGCACTCAGACCTATCTTTCGCACCCCATCTTCTTCAACCTGCTCAATGAACACGATATTGGTGATACCCCGGATGGCATGGTCTTTAGGATGATAAACCTCCAGACCACAATTCGCCAATGCGCGTCTGATACGCTCCCCAATTCGTACCAACTCCTCGCCTTGATTCCTTTGAAGTCTCAACCCCACCGACTTGGCATCCACAAACGCACTGAAAACACCCCCATAGGCGATATCAACTTTCACAGCCCCCAAACCGGGAGCTTGGACCATAAAACCAAGCTCCAATACAAACGAAGGCACACAATAAACAGTTACAGAATCACACCTATACCTCCGATCAGGAGTCTGGGTGAAATTCGCCTGAGCCATCACTTTCCCCGCCCCAGTCTCAAAAACATACCTATGAAACGGCACCCGTGGCACTGGTCCACCAGCATGCGGAAGCTCAGCTAGCACATTAGTAGCACATATAATACTCGACACAGAAAAGGGGACGTATGCATCATTCTTCACTATAATCAGACTGCGCTCTGAATCATGGGCAATGGGCTTGAGAAGGAAAATGGCATTCTTACCATTCCAGCCACGGGGCTCGTTTAGTAAGAGTTTGACACGGTGGTCATGCTCGTTGCGGAAATTGAGGAGTTGTCCGTACATTGAACGGCCGCGGACGCTTTCAAATCCGCCGATGGCGACATCGCAGGCATCCCCTTCGGCGTGGCTTTCCACTATGGACATAGTGCCTGGACCTAGGATGTTGTCGAAGCTTTTCGAGAGGGAAGTGGAGGAGTGGAGAAATGGTAGCTTGGTGGACTGGTAGACCTCTGGAGGACTCTCTTCAAAGAAAGGACATTCGGGTTCATGGTCATGGACTCCATCGGGTCCACTTTCATGACCATGGTAGTAATGGTATTGATTCTGGGAGCGAGGCATGGGTCTTGTGTAGAAGTAGATGTGGTACTTGACAGTGGACTGCACTGACGGAATAGAATTAATAAATTAATGTGTCTAGCCTAGCTTTATATAATGAATTATTCGGAGGTAAGCGCCACTCACTGTCTTTGTCCTTTCGATTGAGGACAGGTAGCCATAAATCTATCTGTGAGTGTAGTTACTCTTTCAATGTCATCAAATGATAGTATGCAGGATGCTGGAAGTGGTTAGAACAAAGGAACAAGCCACCGAATAGAACAATGTCCGGATACAAAACCAATATGACCCAAAGACAGAAAACAAAGGGTATATACATAGCTCTCTCAAATAGTTTAAGCAGATTAGGATGAAAGACCTCTAAGTATATGAAGAGCCCATGGACTTCAGGGAGCGCGAGGATTGAGCACCATAAAATTAGATGAACACCCTCATTTACTGCATTTGAAGTAGCGTAGTGACTGTCATGTAAAGAAAAATGTCAAGTATTAAAGGACATCGCATCAACTCGCTTAGTCCGCGTCAATATATGAGAAAACGCTTCTTTAGAGCCATGATGTAGATAAGAAAGGTAGCTTAGTGGCTATCATATCACTCTTTGACAACCTTCACATTCCAGCGTAGTCTACATAGTAGCGTGAGCATGTAGGTACCTGGGTATGTACTCTGGTATTGCTCCCTGAATCTTGCATACTGCGCTACTTTAGATATAATTAAGTAATAGTGTTCAACTGAATTTGTGTGTTTTTCTAGTAAGCTCCGACTTCAGAGCTATAGTGTCTTTTCAAGGTTGGTAGGACATGCAAGGAGCTAATAATTTCTAATAATTCCTCGTCTGTATGTTACATTCTTCTCTCTCCTAGGATTCATCGAATTTATTCATAGATGTACAATTGAGGCCTAACAGGTTACGAGCTACTGTCTCCAGCGGAGTTCATTTTAGCCATTGAGTTGTTAGGGTTAATTAAATATTAATAAGTCGAGTGTACTTGCGAGTACCCACAAGTCTCCGTACTGTGTACACTAAGGATGCCTGCTTACATGGTCCGTGCACACGAGATGGCACCGGTGTTTCATTTATTAGACCCTGCGAACCTTACCAATCTCCCAAGAATGCTCCCTTTGAACACTTTTCATCTAACAAAAATCCTTGATTCCATGTCGAGGTGTCCAATTCACTCATCCTGTCCAACCTGAGGTAGATGATCAGATCGATCTCACCTGTCAAACTACTAGCGCCAGACCCACCGGCCCAACTTTGGCTCCAGCGGGCCCCAGTGGAGGTTTATCGGTGGTTGTGAGCGTTGCAGCAGCGCGCCCATCATGGGCGTCCCTCGAGGGATTTTCCGTGCACGCACGCTGGTCGGCGCTCTGATTATCGCCTCATTTATCATCTGGAATTACTCGCAATGGACCCCTAGCGCTAGCCGCTCTGCCTCCGATTACAGCCTCGGCAGCTCCACACAGACCCCTCCCGACTTAACAGCAGCGCACCAAAGATTTTGGAGGACCTTCCATGGGTATTTGGAGAAATATGGGCCAGACGTTAATGCCGTGGTCGAGGATGAGAAGGCGCCGACCGAGGGTTTCAAAGTGAAGGATGCAGCCCCACGCCCAGACTTCGTAAAGATTGCTTCGGAGGATGTCACAACAATGAAGGAGGCACACACTGGATTCATATCTGCCATTACAAGCTCGCCACCCCAGTTACAATACATTCCCGGTACCAGGGGTGTGGTATCAACCGCTGGCGGTTCTTACCTACCGGTTCTGGTTATATCACTACGCATGCTTCGCCGGACGGGATCAACGCTACCAATGGAGGTTTTCTTAGCAGACGAGAACGAGTACGAGGACTACATTTGTGATACGGTTTTGCCATCCCTAAATGCGCGATGTATTGTGCTATCTCGAATTCTGGTAGCAGCGCCCGCCAAGATCGAAAAGTATCAATTCAAGCCTTTTGCGATGCTCTTCTCTTCCTTCGAGGAAATTCTTTTTCTGGACGCAGACGCATTTCCTCTTGAGCAACCTGAAGCCCTGTTCAAGGGTGAACCATTCCGTACCAAGAACATGGTCACCTGGCCTGACTTCTGGGCATCTTCGGCTTCGCCTCTCTTCTATGATATTACCGGTATACCAACTCCAGACATGAACTTGCGCCAATCTACAGAGTCTGGCGAAGTACTTATTTCCAAGAAGACGCATATGGGCACCCTTTTGCTGTGCACATATTATAACTATTGGGGTCCCTCACACTATTACCCGCTCCTGTCGCAAGGAGCGGCCGGCGAGGGTGACAAGGAAACATTTGTTGCAGCTGCGAATGCAATGAATGAGCAATTCTATCAAGTCAGCGAGTCTATCTGTGCACTCGGCCATAGGAAGGAAGGAGGCATGGCAGGCTCTGCGATGGCTCAGTTCAATCCAATGCAGGATTATGCGCTTACAAGCAAAGGGAGTTGGCGCGTTCGTGGCGACGAGGCACCTGCTCCAGATGTCTTCTTCATTCACGCCAACTTCCCCAAATTCAACCCCGCGACAGTCTTTGAAAAGCATGAGGTCAACCCTGCGTTCCTCGATGACGGTACTTACACTCGTGCCTGGACAATTCCTGAAGACGTTGTCGGTCGATTCAGTGCCAAAGTTGATATCGAGAAAGAGTTCTGGCGAGAGATTCTCTGGACGGCTTGCGAGCTAGAACACAAGTTTGTCTCGTGGGATAACTACAAAGGCATATGTGCTGGCGTTAAAAATTACTGGCACAATGTTTATGAGTCTAATGGGCTTCCAACTTGAAGATGGAGATTCAACTTCCGACTACTTCACGGCTACCATTGGTTACTGGTGACTCGTTCCGAGGCTCCATTGACGGAAATGATTAAACAGGTCTATGATCGACACCGGCTGGGCGATTCATCTTGTCAACCATGGCTCTGCGTGCATTGCTAGGTTAGCCAGCCCACCATGGCTATGGGTGAAAGATCCCAGATAGCCACGGAGATATCTCTTGCTTGGCGTCTACTCCTATCTTGACCAATCTTCCAGCTGGCCTGGAGGGGAGCTATATCCTAGAAAGGATTTATTCATGAGACTTGACAGATCTATGCTTTCAGCTACATTCCCTCAAATTTGTACAATACTACAACCATTAATTGAGCAAAGCAACAGAGAAATGGCGATTCCCGTGTAGGCCAATTGTACACTAAGTAGGAGATTGATAACGAACGCCACAAGATCAGTTGAAGCCATGCCACACCAGTGGACGCTAATATTGTACAAAGTTCTTTCTATGATACATAAAGTACAGACCGCAATGCAAATATCCCTTCTATAATGCTCAGACTCCCTTGGCAAGAATCAGGTCTGCTTCTGCTCACCCACCGGTAAGCCCTTCAGCTCCCCGTTACGGATAGCCTCGGCAAACAACTCCTTACAAGGAACGCGGCTACCGAGCCGCGCGCAGAGCAAGAAAGCACCACTGAGCTTGCGGTGCAGACTATACGTCTCCTCGGGAGGAGGAGCAAGCCGTTCACGAATCATCACGGGGATAAGCGCCCGGATACGATCAGTGATAGTCTGATTCTGGAAGTCATACAGATCAGGCGAGGAGAGCATGAACGGCTCAGCGATGGTGACAATTGATGAGACGTGAGCGTCGACCATAGCCTGGGACTCGTGGCCAGTTAAGTAGCCGAGTTCGACAGAGAGGTCGTGGCACGCTTTACGATCATTGCTAGCGGCCGCGACGAGAGTGCGTACGTAAGTGGAGATGAATTCCTCGGGATAGGCACGCGAGGCACCGAAATCCAAGAGCTCGAGACGGTTTGTGTGAGCGTTGTAAAGGAAGTTAGTCCAGTTGGGATCTGTTTGCATGTAGTGGAATTCGGTGATCTCGCGCAGACACAGACGCATAATCTGGGTGCCGATCCAGTCGCGTTGGTCTTGAGTGAAATCTTGAATCTTGGTAACGGCAACTCCTTCAAGCATTTCCATGGTCAGTACCTGTTTGCCTGAGGCTTCGGGCATGACTTCAGGTACCACGAAGACGGGGTCTCCGTGGAGGAGTTCGCGGAAGCGGGCGACACACTCCGCTTCGCGGATGTAGTCACATTCCCAGCCGAGTTCAACACGGGCGTTGGCGATGGTCTTGTCGAGGTAGAGGCCTCGAGGGAGGAGTCGGGAGGCAGTCAGAAGGATAGATAAATTGTTCAGATCGGAATCGATCGAGCCTGCCACGCCGGGGTACTGGACCTTCACTGCGACGGGCTTGCCTGTTCGCTTGAGGACAGCGGAGTGGACTTGGCCGATAGAAGCTGCTGCCATAGGAATCTCGTCGAACGAGGAAAAGAGGTCCCGCCAATTAGGGCCAAGGTTATCAGCAAGCACTTTGTCACGCTGCGAAGCAGGCATGTAATCGGCGCGATCTTGAACACGCTGCAGGACAAGCTGGATTTGCGGGGGCAACATGTTTGAATCTTGAATGCTTAGCATTTGACCAAGCTTGAGAGCGGCACCTCGCATTTTCGATAGCTTCGCCACCATTCGTTCCATATTCGCTGCGCTGAACATAATAGAGCCACTTTGCTGGCTTCCAGTCGCCCGGCGAACAGTCTCACTTACGGCACCAAAGGCCATCGAAGTTGCCAACCCGCCATACTGCCACAATCTACCAATCCGGGAAGATGGAACGCGTGATTCCAACATCTGATATGGTACGGTCTTGTCCTCGGCCACTACCTCCGCTACTGGCGCGATAACGTCCTCGGCGACGCTGGCAGCCAAGTTTTGAGCTTCCTCTTGCTCAGACTTCAACGAAGCCTCGGGTTCTGCAGCCGATTTCGCATCCGGCGGAGTATTGCGAGGGGCATATTTCTCTGCAAGCCAGTCTCTCTTCATCTTGGGTTTCCCTGCAAGCAAACGAGAGACTCGTGGGCTTTGGAAAATATCCTGCATCATCTCCTCTGGAATCTCCTGCTGTACCTCAGGAGCAGCATTGGTTTCCGGGCCAGTAGCTGCGTGAAACACGTCGGCGTTCAACCCCTCCACTCCACCAGCTTGGACATTTGCGGTGGCCTGTGGTATTGTCACGCGCGGCTGCGCGGGTGTGTCCGGCGTAGTCTGTCGCGAGGGCTCGTAGAAGACATCCTGCTGCTGGCTAACATTCAAGCCGGCAGGCTTCTCAGTGCCGGTATACTGTGCTGTTGCAGAGGGAATCTGTGATTCCACGTGACGTTCCTCGACGCGCGCGTTGTCCGATGTGGGGGAGGCGGTTGTTTTTTCCGCAGCTTTCGGGGAGCTAGGAGCAAAATCGGCCGATGGGTCGGCGGAGACGGTGGTCGGCGACGGGGAGGTTGGGGGAGGTGGCGATGTATCATTGAATCGTCGCGCGAGAGCGGCAGCGGCTTGTGCGGTCAGGATCAGTCCTTCCGTCTGTTCCTTGATGCCCTTCGTGAGGGAGGAAGTCCGTGTGTAGACATCGAGCTGATGTTTTCGAATAGCCAGGTGTTTTCCAGCTACAGTTTTTGAGACATTGAGTAATTGAATGACATCCAGCAAGCGCCGGCCAGACATGATGTCTTCAAATATTCCAATGGAGTGGTGTGGTGGGTTAGTAAAGCATCGGGTAGCTCGGGGCGGAGCGGAATGACCGAGTCATAGGAAATGTAATAAAAATGAATAACGGGTACAGTCATTGCAATTGATAGAGAATCCGCCGGGCGGTCTTCTCCGATCCCCACTTTAATTTTGCCCTTATATCTCCTAATCGCGCTCATGCGACCTCTTTCTTCTTTTCTTCTATAATTCGACCCCACATTATACCCATACCCCATAATGTTTGCCGATACATTGAAATCCGAGGGTTTGGAGTTGGAGATCTCCCAGCTCGAGGCTCGTCTGCACGACTTGCGCTCACAGCTTGATGCGACAACCTACCCTTCCCCACCATCCTCTCACCCAGACACTAAGACACAATGGACAATTCCATCAGGTGAGCTTGCCCTTCACTCATAATACAACAAAGAACTCAGTTCTAACAATCAGCCAAAGACCTGTATAATAATAAATTCCAATCGGAATCCGTCCGATCATCATCCCTCCACGCACTTCTCCTCCTCTCCGACTCCGCCCTCCCATTGGGCTCATTTGCATACTCCAGCGGGCTGGAGTCCTACCTCGCACATAATAAGCATCTCCGCGCAAACCCATCAGTCTCATTCCACCGCTTCCTCAAACTCTCCATCGCTTCCATCGCCAGCACATCCCTCCCATACGTCTTAGCAGGTTATCGCCACCCAGAAACCATTGAGACCCTCGATAATGACCTTGATGCCTCAACTCCCTGCATTGTAGCGCAGCGCGCCAGTGTAGCACAGGGACGCGCCTTGATCGGCGTGTGGGAGCGCGCCTTCCGGGGCAGCTTCGCCGCTCCCAACCGGAGCACCGATACCGGCGCGCAGGTCGCGGTGACGTCGATTGATGAATTCTCCGACACGTTGAAGTCCACCCTCGGAGAAGTCGATGAATATGATATGGGACCCAAGGGTCACTTTGCTCCGCTTTGGGGTGTCGTTTGCCGTGCTATGGGACTGGATCTGCAGCAGACGGCTTACATTTATATCTTAAATCATGCCAAGGCGGTTTTGAGTGCCGCTGTGCGGGCATCCGTTATGGGTCCCTATCAGGCGCAGAACATTTTGGCGAGCCAGAGCTTGCAGGATACCATGATGGCTCGCATTAAGCGGGAGTGGAATACCCAAGTCGAAGAGGCTGGGCAAGTGGTCCCGGCACTGGATCTGTGGGTTGGTAGACACGAGCTTCTATACAGTCGGATCTTTAACTCATAAGGGCATCCTGAATATAGATATATTATAGACTTTCACTCTGCACTTCTCGTATCGGGCCTCATGACTTGTTTTCATATTTCATCTGCTCGGAACATAGTCTTACATGACAAAAGATAATCTAGAGGCAAAAGCCGAGAGAAAGTCACAATTGCGCCTCGAAACCAGGGTATCCAAGGGCGCACGATCGTTCGCTCAGCGCCCCGCCGCATTCAGAAGAAAACAAAACAAGACAAATACACCGTGACATTCAAAGGCCTTCGCATGAGAGGGAGAAACAAAACTGTCTCGAAGGACGCCACATAAAATCGTCAAACGCCCCCTAACCTGACCGAATAAACCAGCCACCCAACACCGCACCATGGACCTGTCCGAGAGTGACCAATAAAAATGAATAGGTGGAAAGGGGCAACAAGAATAGAAAAAAAAGAAAGGGCTATTGTACAAGAAGAATATTTTGGAATCAAGCGATGAGTCACATCACAGAGTAACGTGCATATAATCGTTGCTTCCGAAGGATTTGTTGCAGTTGGGACACTTTCGAGACCGAGAGGACACTCGCTCTTCTACACACTCGTTGCAGAAGAGATGACCACAGGTCTTGATGGCGGTGTTCTTGAAGTTGCGGCGACAGACTGTGCACAGGGCAAGTGCCTAAGTGAATAAAGGTTAGTGAGTGGGACCCAAAGACGTTGATGTTCAATGAACTTACCCGCAACATTTCATACTCGGATTCATTGTTGCCAAGAGTCTTGCCCTTCCAGCCCTCAAGGCTCTTCTTGGTATCTGCAAGACTCTGCTTCAGACCGAGAATCTCTGTTTCAGCCTTTCGCAGAGCAGAAGAGGTTGTTCCTAAAGTCGAGTCTTTCGAGGTCGAGAGGGCCTTTAGCTCAGAAATCTGGCGTTTCAACCCCTCAATCACAATAGTGCTCTCCGTCAATTGTTGCTGAGTAGACCGGTGTTTTTCTTGGACAGAGTTGAGGGCTTCTTTGGTCTCGCTGGCTTGCTTTTCCATGTTGGATAGCAAAGATCGAGTAGTAGCTTCCGAATCCTTCAGCTGCGCGACAATATCCGAGGTCTTCGAATTCTGTACTCGAAGTGTGCGGACTTCGATCTCACGAGCTTCCTTGCTCTTCATCGCTGCAAAGTACTTCTGGTCGGCCTTGGATTTCTCCGCCATCAACCGTGAAACCTTTTCTTCCAAAGCACCAAAGTCAATAACTTTCTGCGAAGCCAGGGTAGAAAACTTCTTGTACGCCATCTGCATCGAGCTCAGCTCAGTTTCCAGCATGGAATACTGGCGCTCCAGGCTAGTGTGTTTGGCCTTAAGATCTTCGAAGGACATGTCCTCCACGCTTTCTGATGTCTTCGATCCTTCGATCTGTAATCGCAATCGCTCTGTCTCCGATTCCAAAGCTGTAATCCGAGCCTCCCGAGCGTCTGCAAGCTCCTGTAATTTGGAACCGGTGGTCTTCTCTTGATCTTGGCTAGCCTTTCGCATCTGCAGGTCGGCCAAAATCTCATCCCGAACATTTCGTATCCGCGCAAGGTCGGTTTCCGCTCGAACTAATTGATTGTCCTTCTCGGCCATTGCGCTGCGAGCCTCGTCCTCAACCTGTATTTTGTAGGAAGTCCTTTCAGAATGTAACTTCTCGGCCTCCTCGCGCAATTGAATATTTGTCGCTTCGAGGTGATTAATGCGTTTCACCACATCATCATATTGTGAGCGAAGTTGTTTAAAGAGATCGGTTTGCGCGTAATCGTCGTCGGTCAACTTGGAATACTGCAAAGTCAAAGGTTAGTGATCCACACGCAATAAATTGTGCAAACACGAGAAATCACCTTAATTTTAACCTCAGTAATCTGAGTAAGCAGATTGGCATTCTCGGTCTCCAACTTCTGTAACTGTTCTTTCTGTTTTTCAGACATGACTGCAAGTTGATTATTGGATTCTTCTAGCTCAACACTTCGGTCTCCAGCAGGAGTTCCACCATTAGCTGGAGATGACTCCTCGCGCTTTGTTTGCACACCATCGGAGCCAGGTCGTTGACTGCCCATAATGTATCCCTTCTCGAGCTTGGCTGCGGTTAAACTCCTTGCACGATCCAGTTTCTTTTCAGCCATCATATATCGGAGTGAGGCTGTTTCCAGACTTTCTTCGAGTTGCTGCTTGTCGGCCAAGGTCTTCTCATAGTCGGTAATTAAGACTTTCTCCTCCGCGAGCTTCTTGGCCAATTGGCTTTGGAGATCTGCGACTTCTGGAGACACCTTAGCTACCGTCGATTGAAATTGTGTGATGATTTCGCGAATGTCATGGGAGCGAGACTTCAAGTGTGTTTCAAAGGCCTCATTATCTTCGAACTGCAAAGAACTTTTAAATGCGTGGTCTGCCAGGAATGTCAACTATTGTTTCTGGACGTTAGGTGCGGGGTGTGGTGGCGAGACTGACCTTTGGCTGATTCATTTGAAGGTCCGATAAGCACTTTAATTTCATCAAGGAACTAATACCACGTTAGGCCTCCCGAGTCCAGGGGTGAGTTGAAGACCGGAAGATCGGTCTCGATTTTGCTTACCTGACGAAACCAGGAGTCGATAATACGAAGGCGATCATTATGGTCTGCAGCTGCTTTTGACATCTGGCTCACTCGCGACTCCAAAGAAACCTTCTCCCGTTTGTATTCTTGCATTTGACGCAAAATCGCATCCTTTTGAAAGCGCTGTGAGGAGTTGTCAGTGACTCGTCCCAAGTGTTTGCGCGCGAAATGCAGTACGCAATACGCAATACGCTTCAAAAAATGACCAAGTATTACATACCTCTAAGTCATCTTTCCAGGGCATATCAGCATCGGGGTGAGGCTTGCTCCCGCCATTCACAGCGGTGGCCTGCTTCTTTGATGGCGGGGCTGAATCATTGCTGTCCGCAGCGGGTCGCTTCCGGTCGTCCATTTTGACAAGACCGGATTCAGTAGACACAATAGGGGGTTCGGCGGCCGGCATCAGTGGCTAAACGGGCATATGAGGGGGGTTTCGATCACCACCGAACCTCACTCGGCCAGAGTTAGACACCGTGACCGAGCCCAAGATCTGGCTGGTGCAATTTCCAGCGTAACGAGAGCCGGATAAAGTCAATTAGAGAGGGAGGGAGAGGTTGATAGGGGTGGTTTTTTGAAGGGGGTAGGGGCGTGATGGGATTAAATTGTCGAAAAGCATGCCAGGTGAAGGGATCAAATGGCTTATATAATATCAGCGCTTGACCGCTTTGCGTCCACCCAATCATGGTGAGATATCGAGCTGTAATTCCAGTATTATGACTCTGAATTATTTCACCTAGATCGGCCCATCTGTGGCCTGGACGTGCGTCCCAATGTTATTACCGTACTGAAATTTACTTCCACGTGACGCACCAGTTGACACCGTAGTAGTGCGCCGTAATCGGCATCGACATCATGCACTAAGTAATTGGCTAATCAAGGGAATGCACAAAACAGAAGGGTGATGCTATCCTAGTGGCTATAAGCATTCTTAAAGGCAACTATTGTTACACTACTGAAGAAGCTCAATGGCGGAGAACAATTCAAGATTTGTTCCATAGTATAAAACATACTATGAAAGATGCTTTGAAGGACATTTGTATTCTTCTCATATATAATTTGTTCAGTCTAACCTTAACTGGCTCTGTGTGTAGCATATCCCGGCAAAGCGACGGGCAAAACAGCAAGTCACCTTCTTATGCCTTCGTGCATGGACAGCACTGATTATCCTGGACAATATTGAGTGCTTTTGAGTTCCCATATTCCTTGTACTTCCGAAATCTTGCCAATATGCATTATTAAGAGGTCCAATCACAATTTTTTTGATATTTCTCCTGCCTCATAATCGAGGATACCGCATCGATTTCCTTACTCACAGACTATTTCTCTTCCAGACTCTTGGCTTGCCATTCAACCCGGCGGTTCCTTGGGCCATCAGTTCAACGCTGAGACTCCGTCACCAACCAACTTCCGATATGTTCAGCCAAAGTTTCCAAATTACGATCAAATGGCATGGCGTGCTCCCCAATCTCAATGACAACCTGCTTAACAGCTCCTAGTCTCATGCCCCCATTGCCACCCACCCCAGTTCCTGTGATCCTCGCCCTATGATCTTGAACAATAGAGTCACCAAAATGCAGTGATTTACCTCCATTCACATACAGAACCCAAGGCCTCATTTGGGACAGCAGAGCCCACCCAAAGTGCATTTCTAGCCTGTAAAATGGCCCTCTGTGACGATCGGCAGGATCACTATTAGGGACGATCTCCCGCTGTGCCAATGTGATTTCCTTAAGCCCGCCGGGTCCAGACCCCACATTCCCGGTGTTATGCCGAAACACCAAAGACACAATCTGATTTTTGGGTGTGGTCAGTGCAAAGCTGCTCGCTTTGGAGTTAATGCCTCTTTAAACAACACCATATACCTTCAATCGAGCGATCGCCTTCTCACTCCACGTATCCGCGCCCTGAGCCTTAACAATCCTGACCTTGAGCCTCTTCCCCGTGTACTCCACGATTCCTTACGCTGCAACATTCGATACACCATCTGAAGGTCCATCTGCCGTCCATAATTCGAATCGATACCCGGCTCAATAAAAGCCAAAGGATGAAAAAGAGTCGGGTGCTAAAATGATAAACAAAGTATCTGATTACATCCAACAGAATGCCCAAGGCCGATGATCTGCTTCGGCATTCGATTTTGGAAATGGTTGACCATGCTCCACAGATCGCGGGAATGATCAAATCAGGTTGCGTCACAGCCTAGATTTTCAAGGCTTGCGATTGCACTTTCGCCCATGTTGAACATATCCGCCATCCAAATTGAGCGAATGCTAACATTGGATTTGTTGGTTCGGGAAAGCAGTTCGGTGAAAAATGGTTCATGAATCCCTTTGATGAATCCCACTCCTGTTACGATAATAGTTATCGGGTCTTGAGTACTGGATGATGGAGTTATGGCGACTAATGGAACGTATCGTTTAACTAAGAGGCGTATGCCTTTCTGTTCGTCGATTATGGCGCGGGGGTACTCGCGGAATGGAGCATTAGATGAGAGATGATTTCGAATGGGAAATTATTTTCCAGAGGACGACTCCGAGTTGATTCTGCCATTGCGCTGAATGATTGTAGCTGTCAGTGAAGGAAAATTGAATAAGTATAAGCATATACGGTAATGCATATGGGTGGTCTCGACAGTCCTAGCGTGTTGATCCAGCCTCGATACCAAGCGCTCAGTATCGGCCTTTAGACTCTTACCCGGGAATATTCCAAAGAGACCTTCTCGGCAACGACCAGTACATGTCGCTTGAGGAATTTAACGACCCCGCTGGTGTCTGCAACCCTGACCTCAAATTTCTTGGAAATGGCAAACAAGATGCCTACCTCGACCTTGATTATGATAATCTCTACTTCGTCAATCTGTATGGCAACCCTATCGACGGTCGGACATATATATGGGCGACCCAGATGCTGGCTCGTGGACCAAGGAGGCGGTTTAAAGTTACAACTCGGATAAGGTGACTGTTGATCCTCCCACCGTCACTGTCACCACGGGTGTTCTGGCGGGCAGCGAGTACGACCGGGTCCGAGACGAGATCGGGAACCGTATCGAGCACTGTGATATACGCGTCGTTTGTGTACATCCAATGACTGCATTGAACATGGCAATGGAGCTTTCTTTCTTGTACATTGCTTGATGCCCTCACCTTGACGGGCTCTTAGCTTGATGGAAAAGATAAAAAAGGAAAATGAAGGGATTGGGAAAATTTGTATATAAATCACCATCAGTTAATATAATGGTAGTTGTTCACCATTTGGATAGCGTATGATCGTGATTGGTCTTATGAGATTGCATATCCCTCTCAGGACGTCTTCGGGTGACTACCTGGTCCACCCTCACAGAATAGAGCGCAGAAATAGTCTCCGGATTGAAGGCGGGATGGGATTGGGATATTTACCACGTGGGAGGGATATAATAATCCCTCCAACGACTCTCCGTCTCAGCATCTTTGAAAGTATCTATTGTACCTTCTACCCCATCCGGCCCAACAGACCAGATGCCATCTTCAATCAGCTTGCGCCAACAATCCAACAAACGCTCCAGCCGCTGAGGGCGGTAGTAGTCGCCACCAAAAGGCTTCAACCCATGCTGAAAGAGTTCTGAAAAGCTGTCCCTATCAACAAGCTTCCCATCGCTTTTTCGTGCGCCTACCTTCCTGCCATAACCAGAATTGACGGTGAACGGGAGAAACAGCTGAAATCCATCCTCGACCATGTCATCCCATTTTCTATCCACTGCTGTAGTATACAGACCCGCAGAGATGCGAGACGGTGTGTGCGTATCGGTAGACGTTGAATAGAAATCCTCTATTAACGTCCATGGACTTGTAAATCTTGTGAGCTCGATAGCACGCCGGTCACCGGTGTCGGCGGGGAAAAGGCACACAGGCGGTACTGTATACTGTGAAAGGGGCAATGCGGTGAATTTTTGTGACGCCACAAACTCAGACAAGTCAGCCGGGGGCAGGAGAAGGCCTGGAGCGATGTATTGGAACGAGGGTCGTCTCGCGCGTGACAGAAACGAACGCGTAAAGCAAGGATCGAGCACCGAGGCGGCGTCTAGGACGCTTGATTTGACCAGTGGCTCTGGATTATCCGCATCAGTCCCGGAATCGGGGCTGATCAGTGATGGTGGGCTTGGCAGCTGCGAGATGCGCGTCTCGATGGCCTGACACAACCGAACCCACGCGTCGACACACGTAGTAACCTGGGCTTCGCTATAGGGCCGCCACTCCCAGGGCCCGATCTTCTCGAATTCGAATAGCGCTGGCTCTTCATGAGGCGCAGCCACGACTTTACCAATATGAATCAGGTCGATCCAGTGGGAGAGCACTGTCTCGAATGGGTTCCAATTGTCTAGATGATCCTTAACTGGAAACCCGAAGCCCCAGTCATCATTATGCATGAAGATCGCGACGCGATGGTGGCGTTGGTGGTAAATAACACCCCCATTACTGTCATTGGTTGATAAGGCCACATAGCACAAGCGCAGCATGCTGTCAACCGGCTGGTCTTCAAGATCAGCTTCAACTTCCGCAAAAAGTGATTGTGGCCCATTGAGTCCCGATGCGAAAATAGAGAGTGGCGCTTCGCTAAGAACTCCCCAAGGAGGTATTATAGCGTTATCAAGGAAAGCCACCACTGACGGATCAAGTCTTGGACGAAGAGCCTCAGCTTCAGTACCATGGACCGTGAAAAAGTTGGTGCTGTTGCCATTCAGAGTTGCCAGTGGACGGCCTTCAGCGAGCCAAGCATATTGGATCAGGTAGTTGTATAGAGCCACACATCGTGAGTAATCCATTCCTTCGACACCCTCTCGTGGAGGGTTATCTGGCCTGACAAGCAAGCCGGTGATGTCCGGAAGTTGAGAAACATCCATTGCCATGACATCACAGTGTGTGGCTGTCAAAGGGGTCAATACTACAGCCTCTATTCAGACGAAGTGCAAATAACTGAATCTATGAAGTGTTGAACGTATTGTGGCTGGTTTTGAAGAGGCTGGGAAGTCAGCTTTAAATCCTTCCAGCTACTACTGGACCCTGATTTACCCCGCTCTCAGGTGGCCCAAATGATGGCCACTAGAGTTTCATCCAGTCGCACCTCTGTGGCTCCCTCGTAGAGCTCGTCGATCATTCAACGGAAGGTTTGATTGTGGCTGACCTGGGTAGTGTGTGTGTGACGCAACTCGACTGTAGTAACAGCCAAGGGAGGGATATGACGCCCCATCTCATTGATGACCCCCTTTGCACCTATCATTGTATGCCCAGCCTCACAGTATAGACAAATCAAGCGTAGGATGATTGGTAGACAGTCAAAGCCGACCTGACTAGTCAAGTGCCCATTATGACTTAGAGAAGGCCGCCTGAGGACAGTAGATGGTATGGGAGGTCGACTGTCGGAAGTTGAACATTGATTCTGACTGATTAGATGCGCGTCAATCATTTTCGTCCACAGTAGAGAAAGATAACCACAAAAATTAGAGAGCTTTGCCACCAACTGTTGCTCCCAAACGAAATGGCTTTAATACAATGTCCCTCGTCGCAGAAAACCCGCTTAAATTGGGCTTGTAGGAGACCTGTAAAGGACCTTCGCCGACTAGGGGCCTTAGGGATAGACAAGCTTTCTTCCGCGTCCTGTAGGTTAAGTAGTTGGTTTCTGGCAAGGCGTGTAGCTGGTAGAGAAAGAGGAGATAGCATAATATGTTTATTGAGGGAGTTGACGAGAGAAGAAAGGAAGAAGCAGTCACGAGCACTATTAACGACTATCTTTGAATAGTGCGTAGAAACAATCAGCATAGCACGATTAATCATAAGTCACCTATCTTATTCCTGAAAGTACGTCACTTAAGGGATAACTTGGGAGGTTCCAGTATGTCTGGTCTTTACACTATACGATTTTCAATTTCTACCAATCTAAGGTATCTGAGGGAAAACCCCGATCTTCCCAAAGAGAACCGCATGCGACCCCTTATCAAAGAATTTGAGATAGTCAGAAGCCGCTTAAGACTGGTAATCCGCCAAGACAGCTTCGGTAATCTTCAGGGCCATGCCATAAAAAACATTCATAACATGGGCAGAGACTTGAGTGGGAGGAATGGAGCCGTCAATCACGCGGAGACCCTGGGTGCCATACACCTTGGCAGTGGCATCAACAACTCCACCAAGCTCCCTCGTCATCATGGAGCAGGTTCCAATGGCATGATAGTTTGGGCGGAAATTATCCTTAATATAGGTAACCCACTGATCGAGGCTGGCATCTTGGTCCAGATTGTACCCAGGCACAGTCTCTCCATCAAAATATTCTTGCATTGCACCAGCCGAGGAAAGATTCCGCGCAAGCTTGGTAGCAGCGGCTTGTCCCAAAAGATCTAGCTCGTTCAAGAAGTATTTGGGGTCATTGGCGTACTGCAAGAGGTAGGGGTCGGCACTCAGAATGTGCGTGGATCCGCGGGTGAAAGGAATCAAATCCCAGATATCGAAGTTGATGTCTCCCTCAGTATCCATAAACAGCTCGGCAAATGCGACGTCCTCGTTAAGCAGCCAGTCACGGTAATTCTCGTATTGAATCTTCAGAGCAGTCACATTGTGGAACCCACCGCGTGCAACAGTCTCCTCAGCCCATTGTTCAAGCTTGGTGTTGAGCAGTGTAATGGCTTGTGTAGCGTGGTCGCCGAAGGTCTCTGTGAAGTTGGCAAAGTAGACAGCCTGGCCCTGTCCCGAAACCTTGGCCCTGGATTTAACACTAGTAGTGGTCTGATCTTGCATGTTGATACCCACTGGCAGCTCAAGGCGCTGCTCAATGCCGGCGCGGTCGAGAATTGACTTCATACCAATGCCGGAATATTCCAGGATAAGGGGGGAGATGGAAGAACCGGCAGCCAACAGGACTTCCTGCTCGGCGTAGACATCAAAATTCACAGCCTTGTTTGTTCCAAAGTTCACGCCGATGGCCTTGAGACTAGAGTTGTTGAATAGTACTCTGCCAACCATTTGACCGGTCAAGACATGAAGGTTTTGACGCTTGTAGTTAGGAATAAGCCATTCACGAGCAGCGTCGGCGCGAGTTTGGTCATCCAGGAGGTTGTTGTAAATCATTGAAACCCCACGGGGGTGGCCGCAAAAGAAGTCTTCTTGGGTTGGTACGCCAAGTGCAGAAGTGGTATTCATGAGGGCGCGCACGACTGGATTGTATCTTTTGCCATTATCACGGGGACCGGAGTGTATCGTTCCGTTAAAGCCGTGACAAGATGCATTGAAGGCATGACCAGCAGCAATCTGAGCGGCAGTTGGAGGACGAGCACGCTCAGCGGCGTTCATGTATCCGACCAAGTTGTCCCAGTTCCAGCCCTCCATACCAAATACCTTCTCCCACGAGTCGACCTGGACTTTATCTGGCCTTGTCCACGAGTTTCCGTTGATCAAAGTCGAGCCACCAAGACCCTTGCCGGACCGAATGATTAGGCTTTGGTTGTTGATTGCTAAGTCGACGGTGGCATAATGTTGGTCAACGGAAGTGTCAAAGATATCGCCATAGTTATTCGGATCCTCGATGATGGGGCCGTCATTGGACGCGTAGAACCCCTTCTCGATGACCAAAACAGAGATTTTGGGATTTTCTGAGAGCTTGGCCGCAACAGTCAGGCCGGTCAAGCCCCCACCAGCGACGATATAATCATATTTCCGTCCGGAAACTTCATTGGGGTCGGCGATCAGATGAGCCTGCACATCTACCTGCTCAGCCCGAGTATAGGACTGGGCTGTGGCGGTAGCAAGAAAGATGAAGAGCTTCCAAATGGCAGATTGCATATTGATAGCGAGGCCCGAACCAAGCACTTGGGCAGTAGGTATAAAAGAATGAGCAACGATGTTTTTGAAAATTGGTGGCAATTGATAAATATTATGACAATATATATAGGTATGAGACAAGACGTTTTAGGTCTGCCTGGTCTAAACCTTAGGGCCTTCCGGCTAGACCGAGCTGCTGATCAATGTTGTCCTACGCCACAGGGTACGCTTATGGTACTAATGGCTTACCGCATGTTGAGATAAACTCAAAAGAAAGTGGTATAGTTGACTTCTGTTCTGGTCTTCGGTGAATCGCCTGCTCCCCGATACAGTTGTGTAGCTGAAGATCATCGCCAATGGATGATGGCATGTGGCATTCAGATAGTTCAACTTCATCTTGGCGCCGAGTCCTCTATCTTACTGAGCTACCTTTGGGACACACCGATGACCCGTGTTCGACGAAATGGGATATATCGGACACTCGTCGGGGACAAACGTATCGTCCTTGCGATACCGCATCCTCGATGCCATGGAAGTTTGTCAAGTTCACTGAGGTGATCCTTGGGAACAATCAGTATGTCATTGAGCCTCACTGCCCATTCTGTGTGTAAAGTATATGTTCCATTTCAAACCGTAATCTTTCGCTTTGTCCCATGTCCCTGCATTGAGATATTGCGTCTCTGCAAAGAATTCCCACTAGGCAGATCATGCAGGTTTCTATGATCTTCCCGGAAAATCTTGATAGCCACGCCACAGTGCCATTACAAAATAGCAATAGAGACTACTATGGGACTTCTGTTCGTATTTTTAGAGTTCTAACAAACATATATACACGTGTGACAGTGAATCCACTCAATAGGTAACTAGAAATACGTCTCATCTCAATCTACCCGCTACCGTTTCTTTCAGAAGTTGTATTTAGCTCCGCACAAAAAAGCGCATAGAAGAACCAAGCTTATCTAGATCAATTTAATTACGTTTAATCACATAGCCATGATGAGGGGTTTATTACAGTTACATGCCTTGCAAGAAGCGATATCTAACATGGTGTGTTTAACAGGTCTTGGAATGCCCGTTTTCCTGGATTTAAAGGATTGAGGATCTGCAGCGTCTCCATAATAGTCTTGGCAAGATACTCACCAATGACGCCGATCATAGGATCACGAGTCTTTGGTTGTTTGAGTGCCCGAAAGGTTGCCAAGGTCTGGGTCCCTCGGCTTACGACCGACGCCAAGAGCGATCCCAATTCCGGTCTTCGGGATGCCGAAGTGAGTCTGACACGGCTGTCGGTGACGTGACAATTCATTGGCGCCAAGCCCGAAGCCCAGTCTCCCAAGACCATGAACGGTGAGAAGAAGTAGCAAGGAACGTGCAATGACTGCTTGGTGATGATGAATATGCAGATGGCTAGCCCTGAAGTAGAGAATGCCGAGATCGCAATCGCGGGAATGATACGAGTAACTGGAGACTGTCTTCAAACCTTCGGTGAACGAATGAATTATCTGGGCAGAATCTCTCCTGAACTCTCTGAAGTCGCGCGAACTGTTAAGAATTAATACATCCTGCACTTTCGGGAAATCCCACAAATCATTACAGCATGAAGACGATTTTCTTCGCCCATGCGGCGATTCTCTTCGGGAGTTTATCTTCTGCTTCAAAGCTCTACGCGGCATCCTACGGCGGATCAGTTTATTCCCTGGCCCTCACCAGCTCCAATGGATCTCATCAACTGTCCAAACTGTCTGAGTCTACTGCGTGCGGAGACAGTCCTTCATGGCTGATGTTGGATAGAGACAATAGTGTTCTTTATTGTCTAAATGAAGCTATTGATTCTTCCAACGGCAGTATAACCTCCTTCAAGACCAACCAGGGTGGTTCTTTACCAGTTATTGAGCGCCTGGTCACCCCTGCAGGTCTGGTCATGTCAGCAATGTACTCTGCACCCGCAGTACGCGACCATGAATTCTTTGCAGTTGCTCACTAGTATGCTTACCACAGCCCCTCTGAATGTTCCTTAGGATAACGCTAATCCCGAAATTCTATTGTAGCGAGACGTCGACTGTAACCACCTACTCGGTAGACCGCGCTAGCGGTCACTTTCACCATCTGCAAACCTTCACCTACACTATGAGTAGTCCTGGGCCTAATGCTGCCCGCCAGGACGCTCCTCACCCCCACGGTGTCATCGTTGACCCCACTGGAAGGTTTGTTCTTATTCCAGATCTTGGAGCTGATCTTGTCCGGATCTTCCATATAAACCCGGAAACTGGTCACCTCGAACCAATTGAGCCCTTTGTCGCACCTCCAGGCTCGGGTCCGCGACACGGAATTTTTTGGACCCCTAAGGCACCAGGAAGAACTACTTTGGAGGTATATTTCTATATTGTGCATGAGCTGAGCAATGGCCTGAGTGGCTGGCGAGTATCTTACACGGACGATGGGATGTCTTTCTCTAGGGTGTTTCAGGGAAGCACTTTCGGCAACTACACTGCTCCTGCAGGCTCAAAGACCGCAGAGATAACAATATCGGTTAGTATTCGGCCTCTTACAGTTACACTTCCCAACCATAGTACTGACTGGCAACACCGGACAATACAGCCTGGAAACGATCATCTCGTAATCAGCAACCGCCTTGACAATACTTTCGGCCCAAAGAACGATTCAATTGCCATCTTCTCCTGCGCGGATAAAAGTGGAAGATTTTTCAATGGCGTTCACTTTCTCGATCTCTTCCCAGCCTATGGCTCCTCTGTTCGAAGTTTTGACATCGGCGGCTCTCCGGAGATGTTGGCTCTGGCTTTGGAAAAAAGCCAGAAGGTGGGCGTGACCCAGTGGAATAAGAGGCTCGGAGCACCTGGCAAGCTACTGGCTGAAGTGGAACTGAACGGAGATGTTCCGGCGGTAGTCTGGGATCTTGGACCAAATTCGCTGTCATCTGGCATGTGAGGCAGCGATATCAATGTCGATGTTTGTGGATCTTGAAGACTGAAATTTTCCGTTATATAGAGCTCGCAATAAGGTATAAGATCGTTAACAGGCGACGAAGTTGCTTTGCGCTTACTGGGCATGTTACGGTAGAGATTCACAATGTCAAAAGTGATCGTATGATTTCATAAAAGAGTAGAACTTTTAGATTACTAGTTCAATGATGGATGTTGAAGAAGCTTGTCCTATTGGTGACTTCCTAATCTAGCTAAGAATGTAGAGAGTCACAGGGTCCAACCGGTATAAGGAACGTCGTTATTTTAATTGGTACATTCATTGGAAGGTACCTGGCATAGAGAATGTAATTATTCCATATATTACGTTCATGGGAAGGTCCCAATAATTAAATCACATATATAAAAGAAAGTATGGGTGGTATACGTCTATGTCCAATAATATCGACAAATTGTAAGGTGAGATCCGAAGCCAAATCCACCAAATTAGTTAAGTTCGTTCAAAATATCCTCCGCCGCCTTCTCTGAAACCATATACGTCGACACAGCAGTGAACGTTCCAGGTATACGAGGATACACAGAAGCATCAACAACCCGCAGCCCGCTAACGCCACGAACGCGGAACTTAGAGTCCAAGACAGCCATAGGATCATCATCTGTACCAATAGGACATGTGCAGGAAGCATGGTGTCCCCACGCGGTCTCCTTTATGAAATCATGAATTGCAGGAGTTGAGGCGATGTCCTTTCCAGGCAAAATTTCCTCAACATCAACAAGTTGGCGCTTGAACGCATCCCGCGCAAGCCCAATAGCCTCAGTCATTGCAGTCAAATCCGCTTCATAGTCGCCACTGCCAGAGTCAAAGTAGTTGAACACAACCTCTGGCATATCAAGCGGATCAGCGGAACGAAGCGTGACGGAGCCAGCAGTGTTCCGCGGGTGAGCTTTGAGAATTGCCCACGACCACCAATCATGGTGCTCGGTGATATTGACACTATATCCAGGGAAGTAACCACGGAAATTAATCGGGCCACCGAAGACGAATGTATCAAAGTCATCATCCACAGCTACAGAGCTCTTGTACAGCATGGTACTGGCGAATCCGTTCGAAGAATAGATACCCCTGTTACCGAGGATGGGATTTTCCCACCGCTCAAGACATGGGTCTTCGGCACTATCCGCGCTGAACGTGCATCCATCCAATGCGGTGAAGTTGTGCGGGACCTGACCCTGCACGGAAGTCTCGTAGTGATCCTGCAGGTTGGTGCCGACACCGGGTAGATCGACGACGACATCGATGCCGAACTGCCGGAGCTCATCTGCCGGTCCGATACCGCTTAGCTTGAGGAGGTGGGGTGAGTTGTACACACCACCTGCGACGATTACTTCGCGTGAAGCGGTGACGTTACCCGGAACACCCTTTGCAGCCGTGTCGGAGCGTGGGCTCGCGCGGAAGAGGTACTTACCATCGAGGAACTCGACGCCGCTGGCTCGTGGTGTACCGGTAGAGTTATCGAAGACGATCTTTGTAGCTTGGCAATTCGTGCGGATGTCGAGGGGGTACTTCTTTGAGCCGTCGGAATTTTTAGCGTCTCGGACCGCGACAAGGAACTCGCGCGGACCATTGCGCTTTGCGCCATGGGTGGCAACTGGGACCTGGTAGTATCCGTTTTCAGTGTCGCGGGTTCGGGAGTCAGCGTTGGCGTCGGCAGCTAGTAGAGTTGCGACGTTGAAGATGGTGTCGGTGACGTTGCCCAAAGCGAAGGCGCCGCCGAGTAGCATGTCCAGTAGCAGAGGATCTTCGAGGACGATGCTAAGCGGTGCAGTTTGATCGTGCAGCCAGCCGTCATATCCGTGGCCTGGAAGAAGAGGGAGGAGGTAGTTGTTATTCTCCATCTTCTTAAAGTACTTGCGCATGTTATCCGGGGCCCACGATCCATCGCCGGTCAGTGTGGAGATGTAGTCAAAGTCAGATTCGAATGGGTAGACGGTGACCAGAGCATTATGCGCTGTGCATCCACCGAGAGTTCCAGTACGCGGGTATAGGATTCCTTTCATTGTCGAACCCTCAGGCGGATTGAGTCCAACGTATTCGCCGCCATCGGGGGTATCGTAGGTAGTCTTGTAGTCGAGTGCCTGGCGGGTATCATTTGTATAGTGACGCACAAAGTAGTTCCAAGCGATAGTTGGGTCCTCAGAAGCTTTGGCAGAATAGGCCGGGACAGTATAATTGGTGTTCTCGCCTTGGTCATCTCCGGCCTCAATCAGTAGAGTCTTGTGGCCGGCCAGAGCAAGACGAGCAGCCAATGGGCCACCGCCAGCTCCAGATCCCACAATGACATATTCATAGCCAGTGAGTTCGACGGCGGCTCCCAGGCTTGCCAATGATAGGACAGCCGAGCCAAAAAGGCGTGGGAGAAGCATAACGATGTATCAAACACAAGAAAAAAACAGAAATGAGTGACTTTGGTTGGATGTGAAAGGAATAAAGGAGGCACTAAACAAGTCAGTAGAATCTACGGGGCCAATTTAGTTAAATTCATTTCCATGACGAAGGGGATCGCCATTGTGTTCCGGGGCAAACGGGGCAAAGACGGAATTTTGTATAGCATATCCAGTATAGGGGTCACTTGACAGCAGTCGCAAGCGAGATGATATTGGTGATCAGTGAAAAATAAAAAGCCACTATGGAGCATGTAGTACAGAAGACTTCCGCTCACGGTTTCCTTCAAAACTGGACAACCAACCAAGAGCACCAGAATAGCTCCATAGACGACGATCCGACCTGTTTCAAGCAGGTCGACGGGCTAGTGGTTTAGCTGTGGGGCGGTACGAGGGAGAAAGCAATGTCCAAGCGCACATCATTCCAATATCAACCGAATCAACCGAGGTGTCAAAACCTTGGCATCTGTATGGTCAACCTGTAGCATAATTTGCTGCAAAAAGTGCATCATCAACATGCATCAACTCCTTGTCATGCATGATGATTGAGTTTGCTTCCAATCAGATTGGCTAAGTGGATCTGACCCACCTGCAGGGAATGGATCGGGATCCTGATCTCAGCTGGGTAATGCAATCTACTCCACTAGAAGTGAATGTCTCGATCTATTGTTTGTTGTGAGGATCAGGTTCAATAGATCGGAGTCTTGTGGAAACCTTGGAATAGGTGAATTATATGTGCAGCAGATCGGGTAAGAATTCCGGTTGTGGGACATCACAATATTGTCATTCATTCCCCTGCAGGTACAGGTACAAGTGGTTCTGTCTACAAGATCAGCTGAGGTGAAATGTATGAGATATCACACAGCAGAGTACCTTGGTGCCCACGCCATACCAATATATTAGAATATGCATGTTTAGCAATGGAGGAAGTCTATAATATTTGCTGTTCACAGACATTACTAAAGAATAAGTCTAGTCTTCGCCCCTCTTGAGCCCTCGATGCAAGGTGTAGGCAATAAAAACAATCCAATAGATGTACAAATTTATCCCACTCATAGCTCGTCCTTAAGGTCCTCCGCCGGCGGAGGCATCGGTCGGCCGCTATCCGTGGCCAGATCGACGCCATTCTTCTTGCGCCACTTCTCCCACAACGCATGGAAGTCCTTCTCCATACCACTCTCCATCTGATCGGGCAGAACAACGGTGTATTCAACCATCAGATTACCAGGGTGATCCTCCTCGTGGCCATGATCATGCAGATGGCCCTCAGAATAATGAGGCATACCCTCGCCATGGACCGTCTCAACAGACAAAGGCTGCACAACTTCGCCACGCTTACGACCAAGACGAACGATATGTCCATCAAGATGCGTCAAGTTGCGCGACCATCCACCCATCCAAGCCTCCCTCAATGAAAGCGTTTCTTTCCAGAAAAGATCCTTGCCCTTTCTCCGGAAAAAGGTCCCATCAGTCCGCTCCTCATCATTGGCTCCAAGCTCCGGCTCCTTCTCATCCAGAATAACAATCAGGTCGCCAGCAACCCAGTCCGGGCTCTCGTCAGCCTCATTCTCAAAGACCAACCGCGTCCCCCGACCCATTCCAGGCTCTATACTAGCCGACGTTTCAACCTCCTTCCGCACGACACGGTTGCCCTGACAAACAGGGCAAGGATTCTTAATCTTCTTCCCTTGTCCCGCGCACTTATCACAGGGCATCTGCACCTGCTGGAACATGCCCGGTGCGAGCATATGCTTCTTGATCACGCGACCATGCCCTCCACACTGATCACAAGTCGTCACCTCCCGATCCTTAGATCCTGTTCCCTCGCAATCATCACAGATCTGCTGCTTCTCAACTAGGAAGTTGATCTCGCGCCCATTGTAGAAATCACGGAGCGGCAGCGCGGCCTTAACTTCCATATCGGGTCCACGGCGGTGTCCAGATCCATGTCCGAAGTGACCACCTCCGCCGAAGAAGCGAGAGAACAGGTCAAATGGATCATTGCCGCGTCCACCTGCCGAACCACCTTGACGCTGTTGCTCGACGCCTTCATGTCCGTATTGGTCGTAGACCTTGCGTAATGAGGAGGTGGACAGGACATCGTAAGCATCTGCGATTTCAACGAATTTCTCACGAGCGGACTCGTCATTGCTAGAAAGCAGAGAAAATTAGCATGATTACTCCGAATATGGATATGGAAAACAAAAGATCAAAGCCCCGATTGAGGTGGCCAAGATCACGGTTACACTCACGGGTTCTTATCAGGATGGTATTTCTTGCTCAAATTCCGGTATGCGCGCTTGATATCCTTCTCCGAAGCGGACTTATCAACCCCAAGCACCTTGTAGTAGTCCTCGGTAGCCAAAACAACCACCGAGAACAACACTACCGCCAATGTGATCAGGAAACGAGTGAGATGCATTTTGGAAAATTATGCTTGTCCGATAAGCTCTGGCGCTAGCTTGTAGACTTTGTAATGTCTGGGAGTGCTGCGCAATATGCGGGTTGAACCTCGGCGGTTTGCGCAACACTGCTAGCTCTAGCTGTGCGGGAGCTTGTTGGAGCTGCGGTCTTGGGGGTGGGGTGAGGGTTTATCGGTTAGTTGATGGTCATGAGGAATGATCGGGCGTCCCGGGGATGTTTCTAAGAAACAAGGGAGTCAATGGGGTCGATCACGTATAGTACAGTTTATGTTTAACCCGCGTCGAACGGGACAAGTAATCCTTATCGCGATGAGGAACAATGTTCGGCCGGGTCACGTGTGCTATACATCGATGAAGCAATACTGAACCGTAGAAAAGAAAGATAACATTGGACGTAGAATCAACAAGATCTTTCTGTCCTAAGTATTCTTTAAACGCCACTTGGGGGCTCGTCTTTGTTTTGTTTTTTGTTTTTTGTTTTTTTTTGTGTTCTTTATTTTGGGACCAGTGCCACTTACCCCATGCCACTACTAGCATACTAGTTTCGACCAGTGGGTCATGTCCCACTCAATGGCCTTGTGCACTTATAAGACCAGAGCTTCTTCACCGCATGCCTGTGGGTCTGGACTACCGGCCATCCTCCATTGCTCACTTTTTTGAGGAGGGGGACAAGTTCGAAGAATATGTGCCGAGAGGAACGAAATTGCAGAGATAAGAGTGGCTTTCCTGCAGACCGAATTGATGGAGAAGCTAATTGATGTAAATGAAAATATTTCATTGTGATGTTCGTACTATAAAACCAAGATACTGAAGGTGTTTGCTAACGAAAATTGAAAATCCCGAGTGCCATATACGCCGTGAAATAATCATGTAAAAATCCGAATCGTGAGTCATGAACTACGCATCACCTTCAAAAAAGACATAACAGACATCACCAGCCGTGTCCAGCCACGTCGAAGATATCATTTCGCCAGGTGCGGCCCAGTCCATGGGTCTCATCACCGTCCTCAATTGCTTCCTGGGCACCGATAGCCTCTTCATGCCAAGTCTTGACAATACTACCTGGAGCATATACTCCCTTGAACACACCGCTGTCTGGAGGTTCCAGACCAATACGAGTCTCAACGTCATCATTGGCAGGTACCAGTCGCGCTAGGACGGCACGCACAAAGGTCGTCAGGTCTTGAGGGTTGGCAATGCGCGTAGCACGCAAGCGCTCTCGAGCGAATACCAGCTCTCGGTTCAAAGTAGAAGCCGCATTCACGATTTCCTCCGCAATCTTCCTTTCTAGAACACGACGCACAAGGTGCTTGAGGAAGGGCTTGGTCAACCACAGCAAGAACTTCCATCTGCTCTTCTGTACATTGTAGTCGAGCTTGTGAATGCGCACACGGACTCCGCGGAGAGTAAAAATATGTTCCAATCGATCGCGGCCAACCTCAATATCAAGGGAAATGTCGATGCCGCGACGGTCAAGGTAAAAACTAGCAATTCCTTCGTCTCTCAAGCGGAAGAAGAGATGATGAGTCCTAAACCAGTAGCCAAACTCCTGAGCACTAATATTCAAACCGTTAAGGGACACACGGAACATGGTCTTGATTGTTGTGTCTGTTCGCTTTGAATGCTTTTTGACAATTTCAATGTCATTTTGTGTGAGCAGGTGCATGCGGTAGGGCAGGAATGACGAAAAATTAACCGTGCGGCCGGGCTCCAGAACAAGGTTTTCCAGCAATAGGTCCATCTCAGGAGCAGAAACCTCCAGGCGAGGAATTGGCACATACTGAATCATCCGTAGGACAACGGGAAGGGCAACATTCGCCAGTTCCGCCGGGAAATTAGCTTTGTTGCTGTTGTACGCATTCCCTGCATCGCTGTAGAACTTCTTGATCCCATTGACCAGCTTGACAACAGCCGGGTCATCAGGTATAGTGCGCAACGTCCGTTTAGCCTGGAGAAGAAAGCCATCCACGTCGTGACGAAGACGAGTCTCCGACCCGACCTTCTCCGACTGTTGCTGCAGCTCCTCCAGCTTTTGTGGGGCTGAATCGAAAAACTCCGGGTCGGTTAGCATGTCCTTCAGCGAGCTGCCTACTTCTCCGATCAGTTTTTCAAACTCGGGATCTTTGTTCGCGTGACGTAGGACATCGTGGAACTTTTGCTGAAGTCGGTCCCATTCCTTGGCTTGACCGAACGATCGCAGCAGTTGCCAGAATTGATCCACCGCTTGTTTCAGGTCGGAATTGAGTTCAACATCTTCATGTGCAACCTCGGCAGTGTCTTCAGCTGCATTGGCGTAGATAATGGCGTAGCGTTGAACCAACTGGGTGATGGTGGAGACGGAATCCGAATAGTCAGTTCGCTCGCGGAGTGTCAGGACGACTTGCTTAATTCGATGCAACAATGTCTCTTTCTCTTGGCCTGCAAAGTGCTCACGGGCGCTTTGCACTGCCGCCTCGCCAGTTTGCGCGACACCCTTGCCAGCTACTCTGACTGTATCAGCCAGTTCTTCCTGTACTTCCTCTCGTGAGATGCGGTGCTCCTCATCAGCACCGGCACCAGCCAATGCCTGCTCTTCTTCTTCGGAGGGTTGGATCTGCTCAGCGACCTGTTTCGAGGCCTCGGAGAGAGAGGTGGCAGTGTCAGCAAAGATCTGGCGACCAACGGTGGCGACGTCATCGACAAAAAGTCTGAAGTCCGCGTTGGTCAGGAGCAAGCTTCCAATGGTGCGGAAGCTATCGTACGCTAATCATGGAAGTACCCACGTTAGCAGATCATCATACCCGACGGTAAAGCCCATTTAGCTCAGCTGTCAATCAGACCAGGGAGGGGCAACGGAACGACCCACCTGCTTTAGTATCAGCGCGCGCTTTCACGTGGGCCGCGGTGTGGGAGACGCGGGAGCTATCGAGGAACACCCGAGATCGTGACAGGTGCCATAGGAAGTCCTGCAGTTTATCCTGGCTATTTTTGTTGTGCAAGAATTCAATACAGGCCTCGATCAGGAGACGTGCATCGCGTACCAGCTGGCGACCGTGGCTGCCGATCTCCTGATTTCGTAGGTTCAGTACGTCGGAGGCGAGCAGGGTGCGTAGATTGGCGATCGCCTGTTCCGTGGATGGCATGTATCCCTCGGATAAGGCGCGGAACATCTGATAGGAATGCAGCTTCTGGTGGAGTTGACGCTGGCGGGCAGTGTCATCCTCATAGCGAGGGAGGAGGGGCTCCGTCTCGTTCGGCATAGCTGATGAGCCCTATCTGGGCCAGGGGCAAATGCGTATGGTTAATAGATCGAGGGCGTTGATGAGTGAGGTGTAAAAAGATTTGAATTGAGATCTACAATGTAGGATTCCAAAGGTGTTGTGGCCAGGATGTCAAGGGGGAGCTCAACCTGTTTTGGTACGGCATGATGACGACACGGGTTGTGCAACCTTTTGCTACGGTAATCGCATGATCCCAACTTTTGAAGTGATTCTGTACTCAAATTGTTCTATGACATTTGAACAGAAGACCCAATGTACTAAATTGTTATCATCATTGGCTCAAAGGGTCGGAGCCGATCGGGGCGATCTGGGGAAAGCTATAGCTTTTGCATGTGGGAGGCTAGGCCAGTTGCCCTACGGGCGGGTCTTCATGTGTCCGAGTCAAAGTTCGTATTTTATGCTTTTTATGCTGGATCTTTCCAGGGTTCAAGTTCACCAATTGAGTCATATGGGGGGTTTCCAGAGCTGTAATAGAATGGTTGGCCAGTCCGCATGTGACCAAGATGGCATCTATATATCTGATACGACCTTAGTCAGAAACAGCATACTGAACATTCAACTTGCTACTTCCAGGCTCATTTTTAGATATTCAGAGCATTCAAACGGATACTTCGGAGCCATAACTGTTTAACAAGCGGTCTAGAGTGCTCCGGTTGATAATCGAAAATTTGTTCCATGACGGATTCCACGCGTATTTCTCAGCAGGCTAAGCGTTTATCCTGCAGATTCGAAAACCGTTGGGAAGCTCTCGGCGAGACCACAATCTTGCCATGCATGGTTACCCGGCAAGGGGTCCAATCAGCGATCCGATAACTCATCTCATAACTCCGAACAACAGTGGGTTCGTGTTTCCAAAAAAAAAAATCACGCAAGGCCGTGCTGGGGGGCGATAGATATAATCAATTATCGCTGTCGGCGGAGAAGGCCATTCAGAGCCCAGATATCTCAGTTACTAACACAGCCAGATGAAACCGCTCACCGGTCAGCGATTTCCCTCTCCGTCGTTTCCGCCCGATGACATCCTTCCCTATCACTACCATTACACGGCGGCCTCCGCCTACCGGTCACTGCCCCCGCTCCCATCTCCGATGAAGATCAGCTCCGTTGGGGGCTAGAGTATTCGGTGAGCAAAGGGCCCAATAAGTGGGCAGGTTGTCCGTTTTCTAGAACATTACAAAAGTACCATGACCCTTTTTTGGGATTGTGGTTGGTTCATTTTTAGTTGTTAATTAAGTCTGGCACCGAGCAAGCTCCACTTCGGCACTATCTGCGGCTCTGGAAGCTCGCTGAAGTGGATGCGGATGGCTGGGCGGGATCCATCACTGGGCTCTCCCCGGCCTCTTAAACCAATGAGATCCGTTGACGATTTGTCCACGCGAGTACATTCGGAATGCAGTTTGAGAGCTACCGTGTACATTTCTTTCTCGGAATGTTATGCATGCACGTCAGATAAATCCCGCAAAATTGGCATTCAGGACGCAGTCTACCGTGTAGCATGTATTCTTGTGGCCAAATACATAGACGCAGTAGGATATAGATCGTCGTGCAGGACACAGGGCGGTGTATCATACTCCCTGCAACCAATGATCGTCGGAGGTTGCCACTGTAGCAACCATGTTTTCTCTCCAACAAAAAAAAATTCAATCTCCGCAATTACTCCAAAACTCGATACTCCGACTCCTTGCTGGATCTACTTCCCGAAAAAGAAAAGAAGCTTTGTGAGGGATCCAGACTCCACCGAGAAATTTCAAGCACAACGGTTCGCTGCCATCACCGAAATATCCACATCTGAACCTCCTGGGACCCCCCCATCCCTTTGTACCATCCCCGACTCTTCCCGACCCCCAAATCATGTCTCTGCTTTTACTGAGTGGCCTTGTCCTCGACACGCGGTCAAGGCTCCGGCAAGTTCCTTTCTTACCTCTATCGGAATGTCCTGGATGATGTGCGCCCAAATGACCCAGGGGAAGGCTAGCCTTTTCGCCCGTGTACATAAAATCACACGGAGCTCGCCCCATCTCCAACACTCTTCTTTCTATCATTCTCCTCCTACCTCGACGACTAAGCTACTTCGCTCTTCGTCTGACACAATGGCTCGATTTTCTCCTCAACAAAGCCGTCCGGTCCATGCGACCCCATTCATGAACCACTCGACTGCCCCTTCGTACGTACTAGCTACCTTTATGAGAGAAACAATGAACAAGAAAAGAAAAAGCCTTGTACTGGTTCAACATTGTTCAACCATGTAGCATTGGTCTATTCAATGATCCTCTTCCATTTGCATATCCACTAACGCCGTGTTTTTTTTTTTACTTCATAGAGATGCCAACTATGACACTGCCAACCCTTCCTACATTCGCAAGTACCTGCGCACATATGGCCTCACACCTCCTCGCTCCGAGAGCTACGAAACCCAGAAGACTCGCTGCCTCGCCCAGTTGGGACTGAAGAACACCCCCATTGACAAGTTCCTCTACTTGCAAAATCTGCGCAAGAACAATGTTCACCTGTTCTACCGCATGGTCACCGACCACCTTCGGGTATGTAGACCTACACATACAATGGTTATGTTTGAAAAAAAAATAAAAGAAACCGAGGCTAATAATTCCTGCAGGAGCTTACTCCCCTCATTTACACCCCTGTCGTTGGCGAGGCCTGCCAAAGGTGGTCCGAGATCTACCAGGGACCGGAAGGTAAGAATCAACATGAGTCATGACGAAATGAACGAAATAGAACCGGGAAACTAATTTAGCCAAAATTAGGTATGTACCTGAGTTGGGAGGATCGCGGTAACCTCGCTTCTGTGATCGCCAATTGGCCCCAGCCGAATGTGGAGATCACATGTATCACCGATGGTTCTCGTATTCTCGGACTCGGTGATCTGGGCATCAACGGTATGGGTATCCCCATTGGCAAGCTGGCTCTGTACACTGCCTGTGCGGGTATTCGTCCCGAGGCCACCCTCCCCTTGACCCTCGATCTTGGCACCGGTAACAAGACCCTCCGGGAAGACCCGCTGTACATGGGTAGCCGTCGTGGTAAGATCAGCGCTGAGGAGGAGCGGGAGTTCTTGGACGAGTTGATGGCGGCTCTCACCGAGCGCTGGCCTGGGTAAGTTCTCTTTCGCGTCATCCCGGCGATCTCCCGAATCTTTTGACTCCGGAATCCCCCGTGGAGAAACATGGCTAACGAAGCTTAATTGATAGTATTGTTATCCAATTCGAGGACTTCAAGAACCCCTTCCCCGCACTTGAGCGTTACCGGGATACCTACACCTGCTTCAACGATGACATCCAGGGTACTGGTGCCGTCATTCTTGGCGGTGTTATCAACGCTGTCAAGCGCTCCGGTCTGCCTTGCAAGGACCAGCGCGCCGTCTTCTTCGGTGCTGGCTCCGCCGGTGTCGGTGTTGCCAAGCAGATTGTCGACTTCTTCGTCCGTGAGGGCATGACCGAGGATGAGGCCCGCGCTTGCTTCTACCTCGTTGACACCAAGGGTCTGGTCACTGCTGACCGTGGTGACAAGCTCGCTGACCACAAGGTCTACTTCGCCCGTGAGGACAACAATGGCGCTCAGTTCAAGACCCTCGAGGAGGTCATTGACCACGTCCAGCCCACCATCCTGATGGGTCTCTCCACCATGGGCGGTGTCTTCACCCCCGAGATTCTCCGCAAGATGGCTGACTGGAACACTGCCCCCATCATCTTCCCCCTGTCCAATCCCTCCTCGAAGTCCGAGTGTGACTTCGAGACCGCCGTTGTCAACACCGACGGCCGCTGCCTCTTCGCCTCCGGCTCGCCCTTCCCCAACTCCACCTTCACTAACGCCGCTGGTGAGACTCGCACCTACTACCCTGGCCAGGGTAACAACATGTACGTCTTCCCCGGTATCGGTCTCGGCAGCATTCTGTCCAAGGCCGTCCGTGTCACCGACGGCATGATCTACGCCTCCGGCGAGGCCCTCTCCAAGGCCCTCACCGCCGAGGAGCTCGAGCGTGGTCTTCTCTACCCTGACATCACCCGCATTCGCGAGGTCAGCGTGGTTGTCACCCGCAACGTCATCCGTGCCGCCCAGGCCGACGACGTCGACCGTGAGACTGGTCTCCGCAAGATGTCTGACTCCGACCTGGACCTGTGGATCAAGTCCCGCATGTACGACCCCCACACCGAGGTCCGCTCCCTCGAGCGTGAGGTTGGCCACCTGCTTTCCAGCCTTGGCTCCCTCTCGCCTCTGATGAACGGTTCCCCCACCGAGGAGAAGCCCGCCAAGCTGTAAGATTCTCACCACCTTACCACACGACCACTTCTTCCCCGATGACTGTTATCATGACGCCATGTTCGATTAACTATCCCATCATGCATGCCCGCCCAAAACAAAAATAAGCAATCTGTTCTAATCGCAAGACTTGCTTAGGACCACTGCATGATGTGCTTTGACATGCTTCATTCTCATCATTTATATTTCGTCATTTTCTGGTTTTGAGCGCGTTTCTCTTTTTTTCAGCTTTATCATTTTTTAAGGGATGGATACACGGACACTTGGTTTTCTTCTCATTTGGAATACCCTTTTTACTTAGTTTTTGGCTCTCGCATACGAGTGTCCTGTGCATTGGGTTTAGGATCGAAATCATCTTGGATGATCAAAAATTGAACATACATTTATACTGAATGACTTCCTCTTGTTTCTGTAAAGTATGGACTTGAGCTCGACTCCTTTCAAATAATGTATAATCTTCAATAGTTGAAGGGGCGCCGTTTATACCCCGCCGGTTCATAAAGCCTTCAAGGACCCCGGATTGAATGGAAGCCTTGAAACCAATCATTGCATTAAATTAGATCACATGTATAGTTCGGAGTACACCCGTGAACTGTGAACTTTAAGCTAAATTTCGTCCTGATAAGAGACTTGCAGACAGTACGTATCTTGAAGAATGACATAATTGAAAGTCGGTGTTTAAATTCCTCCGCTCCACATCGGATCACGGATATGATCCGGAGTGGATTGCCACTGCTGGATGTGGTAAAGAGGCCTCGCAGAAGGGAGGCATAAATTTAGAATTATGAAATCTCCATAGGCAGGTACTCTAGAACCATAGATATTGTAGATCCACTCTGCAGAGTTGATTTCTAAGAACTTTACTCAGCATCCGGCCCAATCATCTCGATAAGGTATAGCTCCACTATATAGACGGAGCATCAATCTCTCCGCGTGGCCATGACTAAGAGGGACCGAGGTTTGGCCCGCGCCACATTTTAATCAAGATTTGATGGACATGGAGGTTTTTATTTCTCTTCTGGCTTTCGCTGATTGATTAACATTGTTCACTGCACATAGTGCTATCTCGAGGTTTTACGAATCTTAACATAGAGGGTTAGTTGATAAAGAGGGTCACCTTTAAATCCTGAAGAGCCGCTAACCCCTTTGTTACTAGAATCTGCACGTACGTTTGCGCTTGTGCATAGCCAATCACAACCCTGTGAAACACAAAAGCCTCGTTTCTTCATCCAAAATAAAGAAATCCTGCGAGAAACACAATATGCCTTCTCCATTGGCAGACCCTGTCAAGCTCCCTTGTGGGCTTGTTCTACCCAACCGTCTTTCCAAGGTACAGTACATACAATAATACTTTGAAAGTTGATCATGCGAACTCTATACTAATGGCCCCAGGCGGCAATGGCTGAGATGATTGCCAAAACCAATGAGCCAAACCAAACCCTCTCCGATGCCTATGATCAATGGTCGCAAGGCGGATGGGGCAGCATCCTCACAGGTGCGACAACCAAACCCAAATTCAAACCAGCTAAGCTAACCCTATACAAAAAGGCAATGTCCAAGTCGATGTAAATCACCTAGGAAGTCCCTTCGACCCGGCCTTGCACGCCGAATACAAAGGCGAAGAAAAACTAGTTGCGCAATGGAAACACTACGCCGATGCATGCCAAAAGCACGGCACACCGGCCATCGTGCAGGTCTGCCACCCAGGTCGCCAGTCGTTCCGGGTTGCAGGCCACCGCGGTATCTGGGCGAGTACCATCGCGCCTAGTGCCGTTCCTATTAACCTGGGTAGTGGTCTGCTGGAGCGCTTTATTGCGGCTTTGGCTTGGACGGCACCGAGGGAGATGACCCGTGCTGAGGTCGAGAGGGTTATTGCGCAATTTGTTGATACTGCGCGACTTATGGCTGATGCGGGATTCTCGGGTATTGAGTTGCATGGTGCGCATGGATATTTGATTGGTATGTTTCTAGGCTGTTTTCTGGCAGGGAAAAATGATTGCTAATGGGATTCATCATAGATCAATTCCTGAGTGGAAAGGTAAAGCTTCTTCCTTACCTCCGACATGAAATATCCACTCAACTTGAAATGAAAAATACTAACAGCCCATCAGACAAACCTCCGCACAGACGAATACGGCGGCACACCTGAGAAACGCGCCCGCTTCGTCTTGGAAATCCTGTCCCAAACCCGCAAAGTAGTTCCAAGCACCTTCTGCATTGGTATAAAGCTCAACTCAGCAGACCACAGCTCCGACACTTTCGAAGAAACAATGACACAAATCAAACTCCTCGTCGAAGCCGGCATCGACTTCATGGAGATCAGCGGCGGAACCTACGAGGACCCCAAGATGATGGGATATCCCACAAAAACCGAGACCGAGTCAACAACCGCACCAGCCAAGTCCGAGCGCACAGCTGCGCGGGAGGCGTTCTTCCTTGAGTTTGCCAAGGAAGTGCGCAAGCGGCACCCTAGATTAGTGCTGATGCTGACTGGCGGATTCAGGAGTCGGGCTGGTGCTGAGTCGGCGATTCGGGATGGGGCTTGTGATCTCGTGGGTATTGGGCGACCTGCTGCTATTGATCCTAAGTTTCCGTTGTTGCTGCTTGATGAGAGTGTTGAGGATGAGAAGGCTGCGCTGCAATTGAACAAGGTGCCTCCGCCGTTCTATGCGCGGTGGTTGCCGAGGAACTTGATTGGAGCTGGGGCTGAGAGTGTAGGTTTTACCTTTTGTTTCTGCGATACCTTGGCTAACATTTTGTCTAGACTTATTACTCCGGTCAGATCCAGCGGTTGGCAAAGGGCTTGGCTACTGTTGCACCGGCATTGTAGACAACTTTAGAAATTGATGTTTACTGTTCATATTCTGCTTGGCAAAGACGAACATATTAGAGAATGTTTTTTTATTAATTAATTATCAATTCATTATATTAGTCCTTCGAAGAGTGGGATATCCTTCACTTCCTCCTGCCTGAGAGCTTCCAATTGTCGATACAACTCTTCATTGCCCTTCACCAAGGACTCCACAAATCTCGCTGTTTCATCTAGGATATACTTCCTTGTGAAATTATTCCTCTCGAGCCCAGGTACAGTCCGACAAAGACTCCGGTATCCCTCTCCAATAGCATCCCTCCTCTTCTTCTCCGAGCGGCAATGACAAAGAGTCTGCCCAGGCGTCTGTGTGCACTTTCGTTTCTTCCTATTCGGCGGCGCAACGTCTTTCGTTTCATCTGGCGAAGCCGAAGAGGTCGGTGATGTAGGCGACAAGGCCGGCAGGGACATGGGCACCGCGTTTGATCGTCCGGTGTCGAAATTCAATGAAGCATTCTCATTCTTGAAAATAGTCGGGCCCCACTCCCCAATATTGTGACTTGTGAGGTAATCCGAAGTCTTAAAGTCCATACTGCCAAGAATGTCCATGTCGATGTCGCTGCACATGTAGGTCATATCGCGCATTAAGTTCTGAACTAGGCGGTCTTCTGTCCACGTTCCGATCGGGCAAGAGAAGCCGTGGAAGCAGAAACTAGGATCAGATCCCCATTGTAAGCCGTCTTCGATGGACCAGCGCTTTTTTGTGTAGTGGCGTATGCCGCTCTGTCCCGGACAGCATCCTTTCGCTGGATCGTGGGGTTGTGTGGTTGAATGGGTTGACATTTTATTGCGTTGCTCATGCGGTGGGAGGGTGAGGAGGAGAGGGGCTCAGTTGATTTACATATAGCCTGTGAGCAAGATTGATGTATGAAAATAGGAGATGTGAGAAGGAAACTTTTGTGGTTCTTGATTCGGTCACAATGGGTGTTCCGATCCCGAAGATCGGCAGTGAATTAGATCAGAGACAGCGATAATAATGTTGGGACCTAAATTGTCAGTCAATCTCATTTAGTTCTGCTGATCTTTTGAATGGCTTGCGAGCTTTGCGATTTAATAGGCCCCTGATGGTGCTGGAAAGACGTCAACACCGGGATGCACCCGGTTTCCTGTCTAGGTCCGGGTGCATTCCGGGAATCTACCGTGTCGATTTTTCACCTTGCAATAGCACATTATCATATCACATTGGTAAATAAGATCACTAAAATAATGTAGCCTAAAATTCAAAAACAATAATTCGACCTCTGAAATTTCAAGATTCACATGCTCAAGGGTTCACTGCATTACTTCTTCAAGTATAGCTCCACGTGATGACTCCGGGTTGATCCCGGGGACCCGCGACACTTGTTCCCTCCCCCACACCGTCTTAGGTGACATCAATATCCACCATCATTTTAATAAGGTTCGTATTATCAGACCATATAGGGCCAGGTGGACACAATTACCCCAGGGCAAGGCATGTGATTTGCGCCAGATACCCCAGGATCTTATCCGTACGACCCGGATCTGAAGGATGCGGAATCCTAAAATCAGGTGATCTATTGGTTGACCTGCACCGGAGTGATGTCTTCAATAGAAAGCACAAGAGTGAGTAAGCGAGGCACTCCACGTCGTCGCAAGGTTGCCCTAGCCTGTGAGACATGTCGGGAAAAGAAAGTGCGGTGCGACGGGGAGAAGCCGATCTGTGGACCTTGCTCCCAGCGATCGTACTCGATTGACCGATGCGTCTACAAAATCGAAAATGCTCGCTCTGCCAGTAACGATGCCTACTTGAAAGTACTTCATGATCGAATTCGAGAACTGGAAGAAGTATGCGCACAAAATGGTGTCACAGCCCCTGCCCCCGCTCCATCTGCGTCCCAAATTGTTGGAGAAAATCAAATTAGCGATACTCATGAACAACGGCCAAACAGCAGCAGCGACTTGGATGCGGAGTCTAGAGCATCTGTTGCTGCGGAGGGCTTGCTCGGACTTGGATCGCGTGTCCCCCTTTCACGGCCTTCTTCGACACCCGCCGCACCAGGAACGACCACACAAACACACCAATCTCCTCTCCATTCGTCTCATTCGGTGACAAGGGACTCCGAATCATATGTTTCACCGCACGAGAATCCACGGCGTCATGGATCCATACAGTTTCTACCTGCACACATGTATTCTTCCCCTTTAAATTCCCACGACAGTGTGACGGCAATGGGCTCAATATCCGTTGCAGACGATGGGGAACGCGGTGATTCGCCACGAGAACAATACTATGGAAACTCCTCCGCGGCGTCTTTCATGCGTCTTGCAAGAGACTCCGTGCCAATTCGGTCTTACTTACAAGCATTGAGGCGAGCAGACCATGATACTCCAACGACCTTGAATCGAGACACGGGGCTTTGGCAAGATATGAACACCACAGCTACCTCTTCAGGGTTTCAAATCGGTGACTTTTCACTCCCACCTCGACCATTGGCAGACCATCTCCTTCAGTGTTATTGGGAAAGAATATATTGCCTCTATCCGTTTTTCCACCGGCCGAGCTTTGAGCAGGCATACGAAAATCTCTGGGGCTCAGCTAAGTGGCCGAAGCCTGATTTGCCGGATCTGAACATTGGGCTTGGGGGATCATTTGATTCTGGGGCCCAATCGATTGTCTTCCACACTGCATTGAATGCCATCTTTGCCCTGAGCTGTCACTTCTCTGATATTCCTGCTGGGGAACGCGAGACTGCAGCATACTCATTCTTCCTTCGGGCCAAGCGTTTTGTTGGTCTAGACCTGCTAGATAAAGGTACAATTGGCGTGGTCCAGACGTTTCTCATCGTTGCGCTCCTTCTCCAAAGTACCCCGTATACAGACAGATGCTGGAATGCAATCGGGCTCGCGTGTCGAGTCGGCCAGGGGCTTGGCTTGCACGAAACTACAACACAAAAATCAATCACACCTCTGGAAAAAGAGATCCGACGTCGGACTTGGCATGGCTGTGTCATGATGGACATGTACGTTTTTCTCATCTGCGGCAGGCTTTGAAAGTCCACTGACCATGCATTCAGGATTTTGAGTATGACGTACGGCAGACCAAGCATGACATCTCACATATCGCCTGTATACCCTGTTCCCCTTCCTGCGATGAGACCCCAGTCCGAAGCTGAAGATCCATGTGCGCTCAGTGGGCAGCCTTGTGATCATAAACAAGGCCATGTCGCGTTCTATACCTCTACGATTGAACTTTACAAAATTCTTGAATCCATCCTGGCTGATGTCTACAATGCATGGCAGGGTCAACCCCATCACCACCGCACCATTTCCGTTCAAGGTATCCGGCAAAGTAGCCTAGACGTCATCATGGAACTAGATGATAGGCTTTCTGCCTACGAGGCCAATATTTCCTCCGAGCTTAACTGGACTACCCGACGGCCGATTTTCAGCCCTGAAACCCACCCACAGCCGGTACTTCAGCGCCAGCGAAATGTGCTACGAGCAAGGTCAGATCGGAAAACTCATGATAAAAACTCTTGCTGATTTCATTCAGGTTCATACATCTCCGATTACTCTTATATCGCCCAATGTTTACCCAGCTTTGCTCCGAGGAGCGCACGGATATTACGCGGCAGACTGGTGTCGACAGAAACCCAAGTATAACCCGGCTAGAGAAGAATGTGATTTATACTTCCATGTCTGTGAACTGTGCCACCGCATGTGTGACGGCCGCAATTGACCTGGTTTCACTTGTATACGAGACATACATGACATCCCTGACGGACGCTTGGTGGTATAACGGTTTTTGTATGTGCTCATTGACAAAGGAGAGGAACAAAGGCTAACACTTCAATAGACACATCCACCGCAGGATTTGTCCTGATCATGTCATATTCCTGCTCTTCAATTTTGAAAAAGATCGATTCACGCACTATCGCCGATACATGGAGTAAATGCGAGAAAATCCTTACTCACATGGCATCGTTCAGCCTTTCAGCACGTAACTCGCTGCAGTTTCTTCAAGTAACACATCACCACATTGTTCAAAATTACACCTGTATGTGCTTCACATTGATTTTCAATGATAATTACTCACGCTTATCACAGCAGCATCTTCTCACGAGGAACATGTGCCTTCCCCCAAAGGCCATTTGCAGCAAAGAAGGAATACTCGGACAGCAATCTCACCTCTGACCACAGAGATCTTGCCGGAGGAAACCATTTCCCGTGATATGGATCATAGTGGCTTGGGTATCAACCCTTTGACAAATTGGGATGAGATTGGTCTAGGGCAAGAGGAGTTTGGATTTCTTGGTAGGTTTGATGTGCCTGATATCGCGAGCTGGTTCCCTGATCTATCTGATCCTACTTTACCGACCTAATATGGTAATATAAATGCACACATTATTCATCCCAACTTGGCTTATTACCCCCTTACCATCATTTGTACAACGGTACGTTCATGGGAAGGTATCGATATTAGATTATATATTAAAAGAAGGGGTATTTACGTCTATGTCCAACAACGACGACAGATTGTTAGGTGAGAATCGAAGCCAAATCCACCAAATTAGTTGAGTTCGTTCAAAATATCCTTCTCTAAGCTGGACGCTAGAGAAGGCATGTGGCTTGTCGCAACTGTGCTAATGAGCTTAGGCGGAATTGCCTTGTTGTTCTGCGTTGACTTGGCCATGGACTTCGGGTTCTTGCGAATCTGCGCATAGAAGAAACTTAGAACTTTCAATGCGAGGAAGGCGTGTTTGGCGTCGAAGAAAAGGGGGTTCTTCTTTAGCTGCGATCAGGCTCCAAGGTCATTTGGACGCGTGAGGAGAATTTGTCTGCACCACCATAATTGACGCAGGTCAAATAGGCTATCGTCGGTCACATTCTGGGTGCTGAGTGTTGGAGGCTGATCTGCTAGGAGGGCAACGGTGTATCGCCCAGCATGCTCGACCCCATAAGTGACTGTGTAGTGGTGGACCGCGCGGAACTTTTTCGAGAGTGAAGTAAATGTTATGATACCCTTCGAGGGTCCGATGGGACCCTTTCTGGCAGCATTGGGTGCCCGCTGAGCCATAGTGGCGTTAACCTTGGCTCATTAGTTATCTTTTCTGATGGCTGTCATTTGTGATTGTTAGGTAGTCTTCAGAAAATAACACACCACAACATCATTTCTATATCTGGTGTGGCGCAGTAATTGTAATTTAGAAAAATTGCTATCTCAAATATCGAAGGACATCGCATCACCTTCGCTTAATTCACCTCAATATACGAGATAACGCTTCATTAGCTGGGTATGTACTCAGTAATAGTACTCTCCGAACTACATTTACTACGCTTTCCCTAATGTGGTCAGCAGTAGTGTCCTTCTGAAATTGTGGTGTTCTTCTAGCAAGCTCCTTGCTGCTGGCTTCGAGTTATGAGTTATGAGTCGCCTCGCATCCACATACGCGCGACCAAACACGACAGATCAAAGAGGGCCCTTGTGGCTGCTTATTTCAGCATTTGTTTCGACGCTTTTCTCAGTCCTTCACTTATACGTACAGGAACAGGTAGAAACCGGCCTGCTTCATAGTCAGATGCGAACACATCTATAGAGCATCAAAAAGCGTCATATCGGCATGACTCCAAAATGTCCCAGACAAATTTTCCAATGTCTCAAAATCCGGCATCCACATAGGATCGCTCTCATCCTGATCAATCCAAGGCGCAAGCTGCAACGCCATCCTAACAGCATGGCCCGAATCATCAGCCGGATAAGTCCCGACACCGCCAGTTTCAGGCGCCAAGCCTGAAGGGTTCGACACCGGGAACTTCTCCCCACTGGGCATATCGGAGGCAGAACTATTATTCATAGAGACACTGCCATGCTGGGCGGTCATCAGCTCCGCAATACCAGTATTGCGGGCCGTCTCGTTTCCCTGTAGCTTTTCCATGGCGGCATTCACGAGTAGCTCGAAGGCGTCTCTGTACTTTTTGACCCAGGCTGCGCGCTCGCCCATTACGAATAACACGGTTGAGCAGGCGCGAATGTCGTTGCTCATGCTTACGGACCAGACTTGTTCGGTATGAGTCCATAGGGCGTAGAGGAGGGTTATACCGGCCATGAAGACGGTTTGGACAGCTAGAAAGGAGTGCCCGTATTCGAGAGATTGGTGGAGACGTTTTTGGGATTGGCAGATTTGTCCGGCGGCGCGGAGACAGATGTGGTAGTATGGGTCTGTTATTGGGAGAAGTGGTAAGAAGGGCTGAATGAGAAGTCGGACGGCTCTGTGGTAATGAAGCATTGGGTAGTCGAGGTCTGGGCCGCTGAAGCGTAGTAAGGCGGATTCTTTCCATTGTTCGAGTTCGAGGTACAGGGGGTCCATTTTGGGTCGTAGGGAGGATATAAGGCGGTCGGCGCGGTAGATCTTGTGTAGGATTCGGGAATCGATCCGGCGCAGTTTGAAGAGGTAGATTGCGAATGTGAGATTGGTTGTCTTGGTAGGGTCCAGGTTTTGAGTTGATTCTGTGAGTAATGCGGGGTCCTCTACGTCGTCGTCGACGTCCCATGGCAGGTCGAGATCTATGTGGCGATCGGACACACTGAAGGGTCGGCCAAGCGACATTGCTACAACTCTCTCGAGATAGTACACTGTCCAGAAGAGTCTTCGTCGCATCTGTGCTGCGAATGGGTCCATATTGCTTTCGTTTGCTTTTCGATGAAGGCCGAGGTCAATTGCTGTTCGCATGGCAAGTCCGATCATGTACCACATTCCATGACTAGATGCAGTACGTAGATGATAGACAACTAGAAGAACCATTGCTTCGATATTCTCGATAGAACGTGTGTCACAAATTGTTGGCACATATTGCAATGCAGTGGCATAATATCGCTGACAGAAGACATTAGCAGGCCGGAGGAGTCATTGTTAGATGTTTCAGCTTACCTCAGGTTGTGTATACACATATGGTTTATTGCTAGTTATTTGAAGCAGCATTGTGGAACCAATAGCATAGACCAAATTAAGCTTGAATATCCCATATCGATCAGTCTGTGTGAGGTCTTCACGCTTTATTTTTGCCAGTCGTCCTCTGTCCTCATGGAGTTGCCATGTTCGTTTCCGATCCAAAAATGGATACCGGGAGTGAAGCCTTGCGAAATATGTCTCGAGAATCCGCGATCCAAGTTCGTCGCTTGGGAATTCAATATTAGCCGGATCTCGAGTACGGGCACAGCCCCGTCCTGGCTGAGGTTGTGACTGGCTTGTATCAGACACCGCTGCACTTTGGGGGGCATTAATAATGCCCGGATTCGGACTTTGATGCATCCTCGAGATGAATTGGTTCCAGACACTAGTTTGAACCATCTCTCCGAGGTTAGCAGCCAATGAAAGGCCCGAGCTGGCTCCCACGTATGCAGGTGCTTCAGACGAGGTTAATGCAAGGAGACCCACAATCTCGCCGACAGGATTGTTATCTAAACCAGATGTCGTGGTTTGCGGAGTTAGCGAGGGTGTAGCGTTTGCAGCAGAGGCATTTTGGGTCGGTGATGGTTCAGGGTGACCCAGTTTGCCTTCGAGAAACGCCACTCGCTCTTCCAGTGCGCGCGTGTATCTATATCAAATTCAGACGTCTGGATTCCAATGGTTTACATGTTATTTGCAGAAGCTCACTCATCTTGGCGACCTGCGTCTTCTCGTACACTGGTCTTGTCGCACGTGACTCCGGCCTTCTGGCAGTTGGAGCATCTTGGATATTCATTGTCGCACTGCATCGAGGTCGCATGAGTATGTTACTCAAAGATCTGGAAAGCTAAACCAACCCTTTGTTTTCTTGTTTTGCAACGAGTGCACGCAGTCCTCCCGCGCTTTCGAGGATTGTAGTCGTGAGATGTAGGACTGGCCAGCCTCGATGACGTAGGGCTATGTCCAGGCGCATACATTTTGAATCATCACGCAATTAAAAATAAAAAAAAACCTGATGACCCCTATTGTGAGAACCTCTAGCGCTGGGGTATTTTCGGATGATGCGAAATAAGTCAGATGTCGGAGGAGAACCGAAATGAGCGGAAGGTGCCGATGGTGCCAAGACATCAGTTAATGTGACGCTACGCTACCTTGGTGAGTCAAAGCAAACCAGATTTTGGACTCCGGTCAATGCGGCTGAGGCGATGCTTCGGAAAATTATCCTCGTTGTTTCAAAGCGGCATCTCTATGAATATCACGCTTTGACTGAAATTTGATCTAGCCTGAGGTATTCATTGAGGATTGGGTCTATATAGCCATCACAGCTACTTGAGTAGATAGAAGTATCATATTAATTATATCAAGGCATGTAATGGTATCTAGGCTATGCAAGCATCATAAGTATCTAATGCAATATGTTCTTTTGGTATCCAACGCCATGCACTTTGCGATGTAAATCAAATGCAACGAGAAAACGCAAAAAACACAACTTTTTCCTCCACTATTTTTGTTCAGCACTTTGCTTTTCTTCCAGATTAGCAAGCTCGGGCTCAGCACGAGATGGAGGCATGGAAGATTCCGCAAGGGTCGATGACATCGAATGACGCTTCTCGACATTTTCCTCGGCCTCGTGATTCTCAGACTCATCAACTTCATGAAGAGCAGCCTCGGCATCCCTAGTAGCTTCCTCGGCCTTTCGCTTCTCCTCCTCAATCTCCTCGGGATCCTTGACTCGCTCAAGGCCCCGATCGCGGACGAGAGCGCATGCGAGGAAACACACGCCAATCAGGGGAACCTGAAGAATGAAAACGGAATGCGATGCCTTTGAGTATGAAGACAGAATCTCATTCCACTCCTCCGCGCTGACGCTTGACTCGGAAGGGATTGAATAGGACGAGTCTGCGAGGTAGGAAAGTTGGCTAGGCAGATTCGAGCGGAGAGTTGCCTGTAAAAGTGCGGCCGAAACAGCAAGGCCAACGGATCCGCCCATACAACGGAAGAAATTGCGGTTGGAGATCGAGACGGCACGTTGAGATTTGGTGCAGTGGGCTTGTAGGGCGACAAGTGTTGGCTGGAAGGTGAAGCCAATTCCGATACCGGTAATACCGACGATGACGGCGATGACGGCTGGGTGGGTGTGGCGACCGAAGAGTAGCATCAGACCGGCGCCCCTGGGATGAATAATTAGATCTTATCAAAAAAGAGTGACCATCGGACAAAAACTTACAGTGTCCAGAGTCCAAATCCAACCCAGATAATCTCGCCATAGCGCTTGATTCGAGAAATGTATTGTCCCGAGCAGACGGATGCAATCGACTGGCAGGTAACCATAGGAGCTGTCAATGCAGCTGAGACAATAGGATCCCAGCCACGTCCGTTTTGGTAGTAAAGAGGCAAGTAGTAGAGATATGCCTGATAAACCGCTCCTAATAAGAAGCTCTGCAAGAAGAGAGCAACAATGACTCGGTTCTTGAAGAAAACCACTAAACAATAGTTAGTACAAGTCCTTTGATATAGGTACGTAAGAATTGAGACATACTCGGCAACATAGGCAGCGAAGCCACCTTCCATTCAATAAAGACGAAAGTAATGAAAGACAATCCTCCAATCACAAGCATGCTGATGACCATCGCAGAGTCCCACTGGAAGTAAGAACCACCACCAGAGATAGGAATCAACAAAAAGATGATACCGATTGAAGAGGCAAGCACGCCCCACCAGTCAATACGCTTGATATTTTGCCAGAAGTCACTCTTCTTGGCATTATTCGGAATGAGAAAGTATCCAACCACAGCGGAGCAAGCAGCCAATGGCGAAATGAGCCAGAAAAAGCCACGCCATGTTGAATCCATGATAAATGCAGCCGCAATGAATGGTCCGATCACATTTCCAATACCGAGTGCAGCACCTAAAATACCCTGATATTTTCCACGCTGTTCGAGAGTGACAACATCGGAGACAATAATCATAGTCAGAGATGTGACACCACCACCAGCAACACCGGCCAAACCTCGGAAAACATAGAACATAGCCGGGCTTACTGATAAACCGCAGCATAGATCCGCAAGACATAGTAACACCAAGGCGGAGATATAGATAGCCTTGCGGCCAAAGATATCAGATAGTCGACCATACAGCACAGTGAACATTGTGTTGGCGATCAACGATGAGGTACCAGCCCAGGAAATAGTATCTTCGGCCCCCAGGTCGCGTGCAATAGTCGGTAATGTCACACTAATACCATTCTGGTCTGACATCGTAATTAGCAACGACGTAGCCAACCCTGAGAACACAACCATGAGCTTCTTGAACGGGAGAATATTCGTTTGATCGTGCAAAGCCTTCTCGGCCGCACGTTGTCGATTTGAGGCCATATTATGGCTAGAATACAAGGATTGTATCCAATTCAATATCTTTAATTGTCAATTGTGTTGACAGGATCCATTCAAGCCAAAGTGGAGTTACAGATAGGAGTTTGGAAAGCTTGGCTGAAGTTTATTGTTGAAAAAGAGTGTTGAACCCAATGGATCCAATTTGAATATTCGAAATGACCGTGAATAGTGGCGTAGATGGTTCATATAAAGGATGCAGGATTTTTTTCCATCGCAAAAGTTTAGTGTTATCCGGGCTTTCGGCAAATGATTTCTTGATTGGAGACTGCCGCCGCAGAGCAGGATTAATGTCGGATAAGACTCCGACAACGCCTTTCCCCCATCATTTTCTGCGCCGGTGGACCAAGAGATGCAAAAACGTCGGCTAAATTCTGCGTCATCAGTGCTGTGATTGGTGAAGAGATGTGGATCCGCCACTCGGATGTCCGATCTGTCGGACAGCCGACGGAGATTAGTCATCCCGGAGTTAACTTCATGCGCATTGATTCCGTACCTTATACTCCGTACACCGCCCTGGTTCAAGCTTCATTCGAGCCATAATCTACACTAATGTTTCAATCCTAGGTAAGAAAAGCTGCTAGCTTAGTCTACAGGCATTCGTCACTCCTTAACTACCTTCAAATCAGATATCAATTCTCAGTGTGAGCAAGTAGACGCCTGAGTATGTACTCGATAATATTACCACTGGATTTCGCATAGTTATACTACGCCTTATCTAATATCATACATGCGGTGTTCAAAACTCACACTTCCCTAATCATAATACTTGCATGTATTCTAAGTTTAGCGGGGTACGTGTTCTAGATCAGTACAAAAATAGACAAGGTAACATAGTTCAAAGTTAAGACCCTGATGGCTTGCATTAGGTGACATCTCATATATCGGATCTCCGATAATGTCAACACAGTGATATTACAGCGGAAACTGCATCCCCACCAACTCCTCACTCAAGCGGAACAATCTTTCGGCTGGTTCCAGACTCACAGCATGGGGTACCGCAGTGGCAAATTGACAATCGCTGAGGTAAACAGCAGATGGATCGGAGACAACTATGAAATATGAGTAATACTGTCACGCGACCATCCCTTGCATGGATCATACCTTTCAAGCTCGGATCGAAAGCCGCCACGAGCATAGTTGCCGCGCCTTGATCCGCTGTTTTCCAGAAATTGCTGGTTTTCGACATGGTCTCATTGGCGCTCTCGTCAAGGTTTCGGCTCAGGCCAGTCCAGATAGCTGTGTTTTATCTCAGTCACGCCGCAATGCTTTTCTGTCGGGGTCAATACAAACTTACAGCCAGGGTGAACACTATATGAAACGATGCCTGCAGACGCAAGATGCTGGGTTAGGTAGACTGTGAACAGGATATTGGCAGTCTTGGACTGTCCATATGCCAACCATCCGTTATACCCGCTCGCAGTGGGACTGAACATCGGTGGCAGTCCATCAGGAGGTCTCTCATCTTGGGGAACGTCCTTGCCCTCGAAGTTGTAGTCATGGAACCGGATAGGCGACAACCGGTGGCCGGCACTAGTGACATTGATTATTCGAGTCGACCCAGGCCCCGAGGCTGTGGCAGCCTTCTTAAGCTGGGCCATGAGCAAGTTTGTGAACAAGAAATGTCCAATATGGTTTGTTCCAAACTGTATTTCGATCCCCTCTTCGGTGGCATCTCGGTCTAGAACCATCATTCCGGCATTGTTGATTATGATGTCGATGTGGTCGACCAGCCCTTGGATCTTGGATGCTGCAGCATGAACGGATTGTTGGGATGCAAGGTTCAGTATCACAGTTTCAACTGCTGTTTCTGGAGCTAGTGCCTGCACTTTATCGGCGACTTCCTGGACTTTGGTCTCGGTGCGAGAAGCCAGAAACAAGTTCGCTGGCTTCTGAGTAGCTATCGACAGCGCAAGGGCTTCACCTAAGCTGCTGGGCCCAACGCCAGTGATGACAACTGATATGGATGTTAACCCATCTTCTAGTCGACCTGAATATAGAACCAGACTTACCATTCTTGCCTTGTATCTGACCGGCAAAGACGCTAGCAACTTTCGTCGCCGTGGTCTTCTCATTAAACTCTGGATGCGATATCGTCATTTTCCCTTTATTCACTTCTCGTATAAACTTTTCCTTTTTACCCGGCCGGCTCCTCCTATATCACCTTCTCCTCATCCGCATTCCCTCTTGTGGCAGCCCCGCAAACCCGGAGGCATCCCCAGGCCCCACACACAGAGTTTCACCATTCAAGCAACATGGCCGAGCAAACAGTGACCATTGGCTTATGTTCGCTTAGGAAATGAGATCAATGCACTTTGGTGAGCGGCACCTGCAAATGCGGGGTTATGGGATATCACAGACTAAATCATCAATCTACCCCGGCGATTCTACGGCCCCGCAAGAGCATTCTCCACATCGCGTCCTTTTGAAGGTTTAATGCTGTTCATTGGCTTGACGAACCGGAAAGATTGGCCGAGCCCTGATTTCCGAATTAATTCAGCATGGTCGTCGGCAGTTGAATGCGCTTGACGTAGCCGCCCGTCTTGGGGTTATTCCAGAGGTGGGGATAACCCCCGATGATAGCAATAAATGTAGAAGTTCACCACAGGTTCATCCTCGGCCAATTCATTTCTCTGTCTTGTACGTACCTTTCAGACCATACATATACAATTTTCTCTGAAATAGTGAGATATGACGAGCTCCCAGACTCCTAGCGGAGAAGTGGCTACGTCGACGGGAATCAAGGTGGTGATTGTTGGCGCAGGTATGCATCACTGCAAAATCTTGGGATGAACCTCCTAACGAGGTCAGGATTTGGCGGATTAACGGCTGCAATCGAATGTCATCGCCAAGGACATACCGTGGAGATATACGAATCATTCCCAGGTGAGTCCATAAACATAGCTGAACTGAAAGAAGACTTCTAATTATCACACCATATCTCTTTAGAGCTGAAATCACTCGGCGATATTATCTCCTTCGGGCCAAATGCAGGCAGAATCTTCAGCCGTTGGTCTGACGGTGCCATCGCAGAGCGACTGAGGCCTCTGAGTATCAACCTAGAAACCCACGGCTTCAAGATCCACAAGTGGACGGGTGAGCTTATGCACACACAGCTGCCACATGAATATGATCCAGAAGCCCCAGTTTTCAATGGTCATCGCGGTGAATTGCACACAATTATTTTCAATTATGCCAAAGATGACCTGGGTATTCCTATTCACCTTGGTCATAAGGCTGTAGAGTATTTTGAGAATGAGAACCAAGCTGGTATCATTCTTGAAAATGGAACTAAGGTTAGCAGTTGCTGTCTTGGCATATGAAATTTTGTCATTAAACATTGTTCAGGTTACTGCAGATCTCGTCATTGGGGCAGATGGTGTACGCTCCAAGGCGCGCGAGCTAGTCCTGGGCTATGTTGACAAGCCAAAGTCAAGTGGTTATGCAATTTTCAGAGCTTGGTAAGTAGGACAAACCGGTCATGTCTTGGCTGCAGGAACGTGCTGATTGAAATAGGTTCTCAAACGAGGACATGATTCGCGATCCACGCACTAAACAATTCTGCGAGAATGGCGATACCTTTAACGGATGGATTGGGCCTGATGTGCACTTTCTCTTCTCCACCATCAAGAATGGACAAGACTGCTGTTGGGTTCTGACACACAAGGTAAATTAGCTATTCAGCGTTAGGTCGAGTAACTCTAACAATCTCAATCAGGATGAAGCCGATATTGCAGAATCCTGGTCACTTCCCGGTAAATTGGAGGATGTGTACAAGGTAATTGACGGCTGGGATCCGATTGTCAAAGCTATTGTCGAGAAGACACCCTCACTTGTCGACTGGAAATTGGTGTACCGGGATCCATTGCCTCGGTGGGTGAGTGACCATGGGCGTATTGCGTTGCTCGGAGACTCGGCGCATCCTTTCCTACCTACGTCCGCACAGGGAGCGACGCAAGCGATGGAAGATGGGGTTGTACTTGCAGTGTGCTTGAAAGAAGGCGGGAAGGACAGTGTGCCTGATGCTGTGCGAGCTTATCAAGATATCCGGTACGTACTTCTTTGTTTAACGCATGCGGCACGGTGCTCACTCAATTTAGGTACGAACGTGTGAAGGCTGTTCAGAAGACTGGAGAGACCACTCGTGATATGTGGCATAAGGCAGACTGGGATCAGGTCAAGAAGGACCCCGCATCAATTCAACTTCCCCGTGAAGATTGGATCTTTCGATTTGATGCGGAAAGTAATGCGAGGGAATCATTTGAGTCGGCATTGCAGAGGGTGCAGGAGGTAAATTAGGCAGCAATAGGAGAGATCTTTATTCAGTAGATACGGTCACTGCTCAGTCTTAATATATGCCATAAGAGGATAATATTCACAATACCACCCAAGTCTGATTCATGTTAAAAAAATAAAATCAAAAAAAGATTTATCAATAGTAAACGAGGAGAAATAATCATTCAGGTATTGAGCTCAGATTGAATCAGCAGGTCCTCCGACAATTTAACAATCTCACCGAGACTATCCCAAGACTAACTAAATAGACATATCCCAACCGTTCGTATCAAGCTTTGTTCTCAATGGTCTCCACTGCAGCCTTCTCGGAGTCTCCAGAAGTCCTCGCCTTCTTTTCATCCTCGGTAGTGCTGGCTGAGTCCTTGCGTCTTGCTTCGAGAGCCGCGGGACCAATGCACTTGTAGGACGCGAATTTCCGAGCCGGAACTCGTTGCTCAAACTGCTTAAATGTCAGTATATGAGCTTTCCCCTTTGAATCACCCAAAGAAACGTACCATCTCATCGATTTCTTCCAAAGTACGTCCCTTGACTTCTGGAAGGAAGAAGTAAATGAACGCAGCAGCGATGAGGCAAGACGGGAACCAGATGTAACCGTACTTTGGACTAAAATGCCAGTAATATTAGTATTGCGTAAACTAGCTTGTGGAGGAAAGTCCTGACAACTTACCCCCAGTTCAATGATGCGACGTTAATGAAGTAAGGGGCAGTGAAAGTGGTAAGCCACTAGGAACTGTTAGTAGGGCGTTCTCATGCACGCAAACGGATATGTACTGACTGCTCCGAGGAAACCAATAGCCGCCGCAAGACCGAATGTATAAGATCGAAGACGCTGAGATGGCAGTTCTCCGCCCGAAACCCAAGCATATGTAGACACCATGCCCTGAAAACCGAGTTAGTCCCGTTGGTGGTCTCACAATTTGATTTACTTCCTTACATTGTAGCCGCAGATGAAAATGACAGAAAGCCCTACAATCGCCTTGCCTGTGGCTGTCGTTCCTGGTTTGACCGTATATACGATAGCAACAATGAGTTGGCTAAATCCACATAGTATAAGGCCAGCCGTCAGGAAGAGTCGTCGACGACCTATGTGAGTGACGACGGCAATGTTGAGTAAAATGGCCGCAACGCCCACTGCAGTAAGAATGCAGCTGTTCTCGAAGGCATCTCCGACCCCAGCCATTTCAAAGAAGTAGGTTCCATAAGCTAAAGTATTACAGTCAACATTGATAATTAAGTAAAATGGAGTCCGTGGAAATTTGACTCACCGATCATAAACATAGCTCCAGAAGCAGCCTGGGTGGTGACAGCACCGACAGCCAGAATTGTCCGACGGCGATCAATGGGATTGGTGAACATATCCCAAACTGATGTGCCACTAGCCAAGCTACGCTCCAGCTCAATAGCATGTTGAATATCTTCCATCTCCTTATCCGCAGTCTCCTGGTCTGGCCTCAGCCAAGCCAATGCCTTTCGAGCCCTTTCAACCTCGTCGTGCTGGAGCAGCCATCTTGGTGATTCTGGAATGAAAAGCATGCCGGCGACCAGGATGGCGGGGATGATGAATATTAGGCCAAGCGGGATGATGTAGCTATCCTTGTCGGCATACTTTGACGTAAAGTTATCGACGATAGTCCCGATAAGAGAGCCAAACGACGTCCAGAACTGGAACCAGCCTAGCATGAGTCCTCGGTAACGTGCTGGTGCGCATTCCTATTCAAAAAGTATAGTCAGTATCCATTGAGCGAATTTCTCATTGCTGTGCGGTGTACCTGAATGTACAGCTGGGAAAAGGTCATAAGAAACCCATTTCCGACTCCGATGATCAAACGACCAGCGTAAAGACCTCCTATGGTGTCTGTGGTCATCATCACGACGTTGGAGACGTAAATCAGGACAACTGCTATGTAGAGACTGGTCTTTCGCCCAATAAAGCTTGCCATGGGCCCTTTGGTGTGTCAATTATCTCAATTTTATGGGTATCAGAGCTTGTTTACCTGCAGAACATGATCCAATAAAGGCGCCCAGCACCATCAGAGAAGAAATCAGTTGCTGGCGCTCGGAAGAGATATTCCAACCTGTAGAACTAGCGGAGTCTTCATATCCGAAGAGCTAAATTTCGAAGGACGACGCCATTAGCGTCTTTTAACTGAAGATGTGACTAGGCATGGGGTCTTTTCTTACCTTCAAAAACCCAATCATAGCCTGAAAACCTCCTATCAAGGTATAATCCACCCCATACTGAAAGGGTGACATTGAGATCAACGAGCATGCTGCCAGCGACTTCCAATGAAGTCGGAGCCCATTCTTCTGTTGATCACTCATGGTGATAGTATGTCTTACCGGTAGCTATATTTCCAATAAAAAATTCGACATAAAATTACGCTCAAATCCGAGCGCAGTAATCCAGCACACACAGCTAACCATTGAGGCAGGCCAGGGCTTTTAGCAGAACCCGAATCCCAGCTATGACCATTCATAATCTACAATCATTTACTAACGACCTCCTCATGTTCTCTGTGGGGCCATGCGGAGTCTTGGTTAGTGTCTACAAGTTTGGATCAGTCTAGCTCTACAAGCGACGTGATTGACTCTTGGACCACCGCGGGGGAAAAGCCATGCATCGCCCAGAGACGGACTCATTGGTCACCGAGAAGGGGGTGGATACAAGCATATCGGTAATTTCTCTTCGTGCTCTGTTCGGGGCGCAAAGTAATCTTGGTCGGGAATGAAATGATCTCAACCACTGCCGAAGTGCCTCGTTGCGTGCCAGCTGGGTCAGCGAATACGGAGAGGCTTTCGTCATCTTGCCGCTGGGTCCCATGCCACGGCTGCCGCATGTCCTGCCACCCGGGGTAAGTGGAATTCTTGATAATCGTGCGCCACTAGTTGGGCATAGGACACCTGACATTCCGAGCCAAGGAATTTAGCAGACTTGTTGTGGGGAAGATCAACGATAGCGGAGTAGTGGAATGTGGAGAAGCGGGCCCGCTGGACGCTTTGGCTTTTTGGTTGGATAGTCCGAGGGGGTGGAGGCCAGATCAGGTTTGAACGAATTATTTCCGCTCCAGGTAGTGTGGGCTTAATGCCTGATCTTGTCCCAGCAGGGATGGGCTACATGTATAATGAACTATTATGCATGGTTGAACCCCAGGAATGAGCTCGTAGCAAGTTTATCTCTTGGAGGCTGCAGACAATCAAACAACGAGGCTGCAGCATGGCAACGAAAAAGTATAACCAGTCCCATTGATTGGTGAGTAGTCCTAGCACCAGTACTATGAACACAACATGGTATCGAGCAAAAAAGAAAACAAACATTCGTAAATCCATTGTATCTCATCATCGTCGTTAAAATCCCCACCTTCGTTCCCAGTATTCGATCTGCCATTGGGATGTGATCGTGTGCATGTGCATAGAGGACTGCAAGTCTGGCAGATACCGTTCCTCGTCAATTAATCAAGAATCACCAGTAAGACGCCTAACGATTGTATACCGGTACACCTCCCCAACTCCAAAATAGGCAACAATCAACTTGTAAGTTGTGTCCTCGGAAGCATCAAAGTCAGGAGAAATCAGCAACTTCTAGAGATAGAGGAAGATAAGGAGGTATTTGGGGTTTTGATGATATCCTAGGTATTTGTTGGACCAATAGATACTCCCAAATCACCAGTTGCCCAAGGATCTTCCATCACCCGGGCGTTCAGAGCGTTGACGTGATAACCATCATCCTCAGCAACATCACTGGGGTTGCCATCTGGACCATGTTGAGAAGGGTCACCATGTCGTGTGACTGTGCCTGGGTTTGGAACGCCATGATGTGTCATATACGGGCTACCGGAAACATTTCCCTGGTTTGGGAAGAAGCTTTGATTCAGAGCTCCACAGGTTGTGCAGGTAAATTCAATCTTGAAATCCGAAATCACCATCTGAGGCATTCCAGGGTGGTCATTGCGTGGTGGGTAGTCGGAAGGTTTAAAATGTGAGGTACCTGCTATTGGTAGAGCAGCAGCACTTGAGTATCCAATTCCAGGCTGCGATACGGTCATAGGGCGTGGGTCATTACCCATCGCAGACTGGCCTGGGTCTCCAATTGGAGGTGGTATCTGAGGCACCCGTACAGACTGAACTGGCGTTGGCGCCACAGAATTATCTGGGGGTTCATTAGCATTTACAGCGTCATCCTCCATCAACGTAGGCTGAAGAGGGTCCGATATCCAGCGAGTCTCTGACATGTCCCGGTACGCGGGCCCTGCATCGCCCTGCGATTCAGTCTGGGACTGGGTCGGCGAGTGCTGGTCACCTGTACTCATATCTAGACTCAAAGATTGGTCGTTGTGATTGGTATAATCTTGTGACTGCAGTCTGATCAATGCACGCTGCGCTTGCCTCGTGGAGATGTCATATCCATGATAACGCTTCACAGCGTCCACGACATCTTGACTCCTTATTTTTGCCTTCATATCAAAAAGTCTCGGAATCTCGCTGAGTAAGAATCGTACATGTGAGGCTTCTGAGCGTACTGGTGTCCGGGTAGGGGAATCCCCAGTCCTTCGGCAGCTATGGCTGTCCTGCAGACTAGTGATATAGGTCGTGTTCTTGTTCGAGCGACACACCACACGGAAAAAACAATTGGCCCCTGATCGACAGCCAATGACCACACTCTTCTTGTTGCTTCGTATCACGCGAAGCTCCCAATGCTGTCGAACAGAGATGCTCCGGATCACCGATTTAAATTCCTCCAGGGAAGGAAATCGTTGGTCCACGTGGAGCCCCGAGTACATTTCCGTCATATTGGCCAGGACAGGGGGCTCAGCGGGGGAGAAACGACCGAACAGATAAGATGTTGGTCGCAGATGTTTTGGTGGCAGCTTCCATCGGGGGGGGGGTGCGTGGTCCACGGCCCTGAAGAGCACTTTGTAAAGATGAGAGTTCCGCGATGGTCAACGAATCGCACCTCTAGAATTTCTCTCGTTCAGCCTGGCATGTTCTAAAATTATTTGTATCGACTTGCGTCGAGAAATCCTCGTGGAGCAAGCTCAAGAGTATGCGCAGGAGCAGCGGGACCCGGTGGAGAGTGAATGATTCTCTGGGGAAAGCAGCCGCATTGAACCTTGGGACCGCCAGACCGCTCGGCTTCAATTCTTTCTTATTCACGCTCCACCTACCTAACTCTTCGGATTTCTCCCCGTCGATCTCCCCTCTTCCTTTCATCAATTAGTCAGTTAGAACTTGGAATATTCTTCGTCTACCTGTCTAATTGGAACCGCCCAAATGGCTTCATACGGGCTGCTGGGTCAGCCAGAAGAAGGTCGAGTCTCGGTCACTCTAAATGCTTTTGTGCCTGTAGCTAACCTCCCCGCCTACAGATGCGCTCCATAAGTCGCGCCTTCTGAACGTCGAGGAAAAGCCATTCAAGCGCATTTCTAAACGCCTTCTTAACCCCGAGTCCCTTGTCGTCGCCAACTCCTCTCTTCCTCCCACCCCTCCTCCCGAGGACGACATCGATGCGACCGCGGCCGCAGAATCCGAGAAGCAAAAACGCTTAGAAGATTGGCGCCACTTCCGTGAAGATGTTACGCTTGACTTTGCCGCGTTTGAGGGAAGCATCGCTCGCATTCAATTTCTGTTGACGAGTAACGAAGAGGAGCGCCAGCGGTACGCGACAGAGAAACTTCGCATCCTATCAACGATGCACGCCGTCCGTGAAAATACCACCGATTTACGTGCCCAACTTGAGGAGGCTCAGCGATTACTCGCCTTACGAAAGAGCTACGACGATCTAGCCGACAAGATCACCAGTAACCGGTTGCTGAAGCCGCGCGAGGACCAGCAGGCAAATCTGCAGAAGCTCCAATTGGAGATTACGGAGCTGGAGAAGGAAAGCAAGGATTATGCGAAGACATGGGCGGAGCGACGCGAACAATTCGGTCGCATTGTGGAAGAAGGCATGCAGTTACGTCGCTTGATTCGCGATGAAAAGGAAGAAGTCGAGCGCAGAGAAGGCATGCAAGAGGGCGAGGATGGGGATGAGGGCGATGTCTCTTCCAAAGGCAAGCTTAGCGCTGCTACCAGCCCTCGTCCGGATAATGAGAGTATGACTCCGTCTCAAAGCCAAGATGAAGGCCGATTGCGGGTTGAGAATGGACCTGGGTCTGCCAGGCCTGCATCGCCTTTACGGCAAGTCATCAGTGCGGATGGTACCAAGGATCAGGACGATACCAACATGGTGGACGAGGGTGAGATCACCGTTGAGGATGCCGGAGAACAGTCAGATGAGCTCGAAGAAGGTGAAGAACTTCCGGACGAGAAGATGGATATGACTTGAGATATTTCGACTATGTACATTACGAGTATGGAGTTATGGGTCTTGAGGCGTTATTCATTTCAAAGGTTTAGATTGAATGCATTTTGTGGATATGAGTCTATACCTGGACATCACATGGGTATCTTCCTTTCCTAGTGTTTGAATAAGATATCCATGGCTGCTTTTAGCGCTCGGCTGTCTTGGCCTTAGCAATAGCCTCCTGGGCAGCGGTGATGTGTGCCGCATTGCTCTCAGTACCCTTCTGGCTCTCCTCGGCCTGTTGAATTATCAGCATAACGATCGTACTTTGAGGAAGAATATAATGAGCACTTACAATCAGGGCCTCCAGCTCCTTCACGGAGTCAACAATCTTCTGGTTGAGAGAAGGCAGGACCTTCTTTGTCTCTTCCATAGCCATATTCTAACAAAAATTACCACCATAGACCTAGAGACAAAGGATGGAATAGAGTCCAGTGGAAACTTACCTCCTGTTTGGCGAGGAACTCCTTGTTCTCGTCATCACCGTCTTGATTAGACTCGAGCTTCTTGATCCGCTCAATCTGCTGCTCCAGCTCACGGTGGTAGGAAGCCTCCTCCTTCACCAAGCGGGTGACCGAAGAGGTAACAATCTCAAGCTGGGAGCGGGGAGCCATTGTGATTCAATCTGTTGCGCGGTCAGATGCAAGATTCAAGTGTTGCAGTCTCTCATGCATGGGGTAATCATATAGAAGCAAGGGACAAAGTATGATGTCTGTAGATCTCCAATGCATGATATCTGAGGTCCCCCAGATCACCAGCAATGGAGATCTGCATGAACCACTGCACATGGGGATTTGATATTTTTTTAGGTCTCAGGTAAAACACAAGACTGAGCTGATTCAGTTCGAGACATAACACACCTTTTTGTTTGTTTAATTGAGGAAGAGTAGTGTTATTCAATGTAGCCACCAAGAATTCATGAGCCCCTCCTGATGCTATCGAGAACGGTGGGTTTGCAATGTTTGCATGAGGGGCTCACGTGGTATCAATCGCGATGAGATCGGACGAAATGCCCAACCTTCTACACTTTCAACTGAACCTACACTTGAATATCCGAGTATATAATTTGAATATATATTCAAGTGAAACTATACAGGTGGCCATTCAAATCACTTGTACACTATACCACCACTCCATCCCGGCTGATGATATCATCCGCCTCATGAATTCATGATTCACCTCGCCTTTGCGCTGCGCAGAGCATTCTCTTAGAGCAGAGAATGAACACCATCTCATGTATCCTAAATCCGAATGAAAGTCTCATCTTACCTGATAAAGTGAAAGTAGCTGTTCTGTAAATGTACATAATAACTTTCCGTATGCATGGTCAAGCTGCCTTATCTACCGCTAGCCAATAAGCGACCGAGTAGAGCTTGATGATCTCCGGGGCCGCCTCGACCAACATGACCTCTTAACAACCCTACCCCCCGGGCTTCACAACCCGAAAAGCGATTTCAAGTCTGATATATAATATAGGTCGCTTTTGACCTATACCTTTCTATCCGAGGTCCCTCAAGTCCTCCGAAGTGATTCTGGCACGTTCAATGCTATCCCTTTGTCGCACCCTTATCCGCTCGAGTCCTCCGTCTTAGCCCGACATGCCAGCCCCATCACTATTGCAGTTGGCTATGGCCACTGCAGTCAAACACGTCAAATGTAAGTCATAGCACTTCAGATCAAAGGATCTCTCACTTGGTTTTCTCAAAAGAAAAAGACTAACGACTTGCGATGAATAGCACTAAACGATATCGGAAACCTGCCTTACAACCTTGTTCGCCCCATTCTGCTGAAAGTGGATAACCCAGAGAAGCTGGTGAGTGACAAGAACCATATATCACGCTAGACCACCATGAAAAGCACGGATGAGAAAAGCGAAGTTGCTTACCATTTACGATTGTCTCCTATAGCATGCGATGGAATTACTATCCCCACACCTCACCGAAGAAGACAAAGAACTATGGCTCAACTTCATCAGACGTGACATACCAAAATGGGAACAATACGATCTCCCCGAAAAGACACACCAATGGTATGAAATCTACTGCGATCTCCGCGAAGACGTCCAACGAGCCCTAGATGCCGACGCCGAAAAGATGAAGATGGCTCTAGACGGAATCAAGTCAGAACGAACACGATTGACGCCGAAAATCATCCCGGGGCACAAAGGTCGTGGATCGCGGATTTCGAGATCAACTTTCACCCGGCGGCCCTTCTCTGGTATACCTAGCGCATCCGTGGACAAGAAGAAATCGACCATTTTCAGCGCACCGCGGAGGAACAATGCCCTAGCCGTACCGACAAAGCATCTCAGCACCCGCGCATCGCAGGTCAAAAAAGCCCCGATCTCACTCATTGAAGAGCACCGACAGCCTACGGAGCAACCAGTCAAACAGCCCGTTCCTAATCTCAGACGCGACCAAGACGCTCGTGGACCTGTTGCACCAGCGCTGCCGAGACGACAGAATTCATATACCCCGTCACGTCCTGTGCACGATACAAAGAGTCCGGCCCTGGCCGAAAGAGAGGCTCGGCTTCGGGCAATCGCTTCTGGAAAACCATTGCCTTCCGGCTCGGAGGGTACGAAGAAAATTCCAAGTTATACCCGGGATGCGACTTCGTCGAGGCCGACTGGCCTTAAGCGCGAGGCTGTTTCCCCGCCGCCGGGTGCTCGTCATTCTTCTCATTCTTCACATCATGGGCCGAGTCAGACTGATGGACCGGCAAGCCCTCCGGCTTCCGCACGCCCGGTCATGCCCGTTCGCAAGCGACCGGACAGTGTCTTCATTCAACCAAAACGTCGTCGTGTTGTCTGATGGTTGTCTCCCCCTCTTTTTCCGTGACTTTTTTTTCATGATTTAGCGTTTTCTTCTTGTCATTTATGGCATTTTCATTTGCGTACGAGAATACTGCATATGGGAGGAGTTCTGGGATCAAATGGCATCTACGGTAAGCCTGATGGGTTGGTGCACATGAAGGTTTCTGGGTAGTTTTCGCTTGAGGTTTTATATTGATCATACATATGAGCACATTTGAGTGATTTGGATGGTATATTAGGTTGCTTATTATTTCGATTTTGCATTTGTTGCGAGGGCATGTAGGCATTTCATTTGGTCGCGTCAATGAACCAAGGTATCGCTGGACAGGCGAATAAATCATTTGAACACGTCGACCGAGACGTAAGCGAGAGCAACAACAAATCCTAGCGTTTTCCTAGCTTATTGCTCACTGAGCGATTAGTGACGCCTGTATGCATCCAACCCACAAAGTATGCAACACGTCAGGTGTAAGCCATATCTCAAATGCAAGTGCTCACTGCCGGGGTAGTTCTCAACTCGATCGTATTGCTGGAATGGAAATGTGGTATCTAAAAGGGCATAACGGTTTACATCGCATCGCATCCTCCACGCAGCGCGAGCACGAGATGAAGTGTGGCGCCACCCTCGAGGTTATATTCTGAGGCCGTCTTGTCATCCGCCCTATAAGATGGACACATTAGCATCACAATCCAGATAATGCAATAAACGTGCGTGTAGGTCGAATACATACATCTGCTTGCCACCGAAGATAAGACGCTGCTGGACGGGTGGGATACCCTCCTTTTCTTCGACGCGCTCCTTTATCCGGGAGACCTGTAATCATCATAGTTCAGCAAGTGTATCTCGACCAGTGTTATTGAATCTTATTCCAGCCCGTGCGCATACGGCGAAGGTGACTCGCGGTAGGTGGTGTCGGGCGACAGTGTAGTCTTACCTTGTAGTCCGGCTCGATATCCAGCTCGATCTCCTTTCCGGTGAGTGTTCGGACCCTGGAACACGATCAAATGTCAGTAAAATAATTTTGGTGGTCTTGCGGGAGCAGTGATCAATTGATGATGCAGTTGGGGTTGACGCGGGTTTACACATACTTGATCAACATTTTGGCGGAGTGTGTGGTTTTTCTGGTGCTTGAATATGGTTTGGGAGGGGCGAGAGGTGCGCTTTTGTGGCGTAAGGACCCTGGACGTGTGCTGTATGTCAAATGAGTGTCTGGAGAGAGAAGTGAGAGAGCCGCCTTAGCGGGGGTTTTGGGTGGGGTTGTGGCCTTATCGCCTGATTGTCAATGAGGCGAAACATTATGATACTTCCAGCCTTGTTTCAACCTATGAACTTGAATCTCGTTTTCTCTATCGACATGATCAGAGGAACACGTTTTTTTTTTCATTTTTCAATGAGGCCCTTGGGACCCATGATTCAGCTGTTTAGCGGCTATATGTTACATATCCGTTGTAACGAATTAGCAGCTATATTTGACTTGGGTCACGGGTGCTCTTCACATTGTACTAGATAGAATGGCTAGGTATTCTTCGAATATTGATCAACGGCATTTAACCGAAAATTCAAGCTTAGGCTCAAATGATCAATTTTGATGGCCTATAGGTGCGACGCTCAGGCCTTAACTGTAATCGCAGTGACTTCCCTTGTTCACTATATATTTTGATACCCCATACCCCACCATCTGCACCGCCTCGGTTCACCTCGAAGACTGATTTTCAACCGACTGGAATTCCTCAGCAGTGAACTGGGACCGAATTCTTCGAGTATACCAAGATATACACCATGACTATCACAGCGCTCCAGCAACCTACCCACAATCAATTCCAACAACTGATCTCCGCGTGTGGGAACGATCCGGTAACTCCTGTTGACCTGCCGGAGTCACGTATGATTGCTAATGCTAAGCCAATAGAAACGGATCCATAATATCTATGAAGAACACCGGTCTAATCGCAATGCCAAATTCAAGGAAGTTTTGCTGAACCCCGGCTTCCGTGAATGGCAGTTTGATGAGATCTTGGGAAATATCTTGAAAGCAGAGAAAGGCTTGATCCAATACGATGACCCAAGGAGCAATATATCCTTATTGGCACGGCCACCGAAGCACATCTGCGAGTTGATCCAGGATATACAGCAGGAGATCGCAGATGTAGCTGGCCCATGTATGTGTCATTCAGATATTTGCTATGACTACATCCTGACTTGGTTTATAGGCCTTTGGCTCGCGCCTCAAGATTCTCTCCACATAACTACATGCGAGCTGATGAACGCCAAGACAAGGACTGAGGTAGATGATATGATAGCAATTTTCCAGCAGAAGCTTCCTCTTGAGGAGATCGTGAACTACACGCTCACCCACAGTCCCAGGCTTGTTCGGCCAATTGTCAGTTACGATGCTACGGCTGTCGCTCTGAGCTTTGTCCCTGCCGCCGAGACAGACAAAGACCTGTATACTTATCACCACTTGCGACGGGACCTTTGGGATTTTGTGTCTGAGTCCGGGTGTCAACTCGGGGCTAGATATATTGTGCCTTCGGCCCATGTGACTATTGGAAGATATGCTATGCCTCCGGGAGCAGATCAATCAAAAGAATTAGATGATCTATGTGTCAGAGTAGCTGGATTAATTGAGAAAATTGAGGATATCAACCAGGAGTTGATGTCCGGGTATTGGAAACGATTTGGAAGCCCCTCGAGGGGAGTGTGGGTTGTGGGACAGGAACAAGGAATGCAGTTAAACCAAGGTCGATCCTGGTATGGAAATGGAGAAGTGGTATTGACCGGTAAAGGCATATAGTATTTTACTTGGATCTTAATCTAGAAGATATAGAAATCATCAAATCCAGTGTGTTTTAGACGAAAATGTTGAAGAGGGCCCTGGTGACTTCCTAATTGGGAACGACAAATTGATGACTCATCTACTTGGTGGAACACCCAACGTGGTTTAGCGCGTACCCGAATAGGGCCTAAGCGAAACGAAATCCCACAACCCAACCATCCGGCTTGATCTCTCCGACAAGTGAACACTCAACGACCACCCACCTCGCTACCCGGCAAGACAGTCAAAATGGTAAGATTCATACCGTCCATTATTCGAGCTGTTTTGCCCTCAAGTCCCCGTTCGGAATCCGCTTCGAAGTTCAATTCGGCATTGTGCGATGGAGGTTGAATTTGTGTGGGCGAACTCGAGATTGTGAATGACGACCAACCCGACCGACACCAACACCAAAATATTCTCCGCCTGCGTCGATGTCCATGTCCCACGTTATGCGATATTCGATATGCAAAACGACAACCTCGAAAGCACAGAACTGGAGTTTGGTGGCAAGAATCAAGCTTTGCATCTTGGAGGCACGACCGAGTGAGCGGATGAGGCGAAGATGCAGTGCCACCATTCCTGGGACCGATGCTTCCGCCAGCTATCTTGGACACACATACGATCGATCTTGAGCCTTACACCAAACTCACCGACATGCGCAATTGAACAACCCGAACTCGGACTTGAGAAGCACGCAGCTTGGATTAATAATTTTTACCAAGCACAGCAGAAGCTTATCAAATTTTCTCCGCGCACAGGTCAACATTCCCAAAACCCGCCGGACCTACTGCAAGGGCCGGGAGTGCCACAAGCACACCCAGCACAAGGTTACCCAGTACAAGGCTGGCAAGGTGAGATTCCACTTCGACTCGACAATCGAAACCGAAACACAAACTGATCTCGAATTTTTCAAATGAATCTAGGCCTCGCTGTTCGCCCAGGGTAAGCGTCGTTACGACCGAAAGCAGAGTGGTTACGGTGGTCAGACCAAGCCTGTCTTCCACAAGAAGGCTAAGACCACCAAGAAGGTTGTCCTCCGTCTTGAGTGCACCTCTTGCAAGGCCAAGAAGCAGCTTGCCCTGAAGCGCTGCAAGCACTTCGAGTTGGGGTATGTTTTAATCCTGGATCACTTGACTCTTTTCATCAGTACTAACCATTTTCTCTCCACAGTGGTGACAAGAAGACCAAGGGTGCCGCCCTTGTTTTCTAAGCGTTCGATTTCCTTGTTCGGCTTCTGGGTTTCCTGCATTGCACAATCCGCCTCGCTGTTGCTGCGGAGGATATATGACATGGGCAATGGAAAAATGAAATAGGAATTCATACCTTCAAAAAACAAACTATGACTACCTGACGACGAGCCTCTGTTTCTGGACGTAGATCCACCGTGTACTGAACCTAGGCTGGACTCGCTAAATCCGCCTAGTCATAGGTGGATACTATGACCCTTGACATTTTGTCGAATTCTGTTAGATTATGCGCCTCATGCTGTAGAACGGGCTGCATGGTCAATGTTGTCAATAGTGTCTCAACCTGTCATGTCCACAAATAATGTCCCTTTCGGGGTGACCATTGTCTGACCTTCATGGATTATTTTGAGGTTCGAAGGCCTTGCTGCCAAATCCACGAAGCTTCTGTCTTCTATACCAGTAGAAAGAAAATCTCGGAACCGGTATCCCAGACGCTATGATACTGAAGTTCCGTTCAAATACCCAGGAGTACCAAGGTTCAAGTGCTTGAGTAGATCAATCTACGAACCCCAGGTCCGATGATATCCTACATTTGCCAGTTGACAGTCCCCGCCCGCGAAATGCCAAAATGACTCTGAGGCTGGGCACCTGGGCAGTCTAGGAATCGACTTTTTCTTTTCATACTTCTTACTCATGATCCATGCCCAGGTGGATGTTTTATGGAATGGGAATAATTTCTACAGTAGATACATAGCTTGCCAACCTTGTGGAAGTCACTTATCTGGTTATATATAAATGGACAGACAAGGCTACCGGCTACCGGACAGATTCACCACCACAGGCATTGCCAAATGTAAATCAACACTAACCGGAGCATGTCCTAAAAGCAGAACCCAGGACAAACAAGCAAGCCAAGTTGACGGGTCCCGTTGCGCATATATCATTCCACCCTCGGAGCTGATTAACGAAAGGGGGCCCTGATGACGACCTCCACCCCCGCGTCCCCCACGCCGAGACAACAAGCCCAAAATCGAATCACCCAATAAACATCCGCATCTCACCAAGTAGACCCAGTGGCAGGACTTCACTTCCTTTCAGTAAAGCATCTAATTGGACCATCGACTCAGCGGCTGCACGAGACCCCCGTATTCAGTATGCTTACCCCCGCATTCTCGAGAAGATCATTGCCATCTCGGCCGTCCTCCGAGTGCGATGACTGGCCATGTCATCTTGGGACCGTGTGACAGTCCCTCGGCCATCGGACGAAGGCCGTATTGATATTCGTTGCTATTTCCTGCATGCTGCGAGACAAATCTTGTCTTATTCCTTGTCTTTGCTTGTCTTTGCTTGTCTTGACTTGGGTGTATACAATCACCCACCGACCTACTCTTTTGTGGCTTGATACTTGATCTTCCTGTACAGGTCAGGCTTGATCATCATGGCGCTGTGGTACTCGCTAGGAATTGCGTTCTTTGCCGCCATCGGCACGTTCTTGTTTGTATGTTCCGATTGTTTGCTTGGGGAGTCGGTTTTCGGTTGTGGTTTGCTGATTGCTGAATCTAGGGGTTTGACACTGGAATCGCGACAACAAGTGAGTCTTCGGATGTGTATGCTGAGCACATTCCATAATCTAATCATTTGGCTGTATACAGCTATCGCGCATGAAAGCTGGATTGATTATATGAATCACCCTTCAGAAGGATTAACAGGAGCAGTACGTTAGGTCGGGTCTGTTGAGCCACCTCTGAACCAAATCGCTGATGGTTGATAGGTGGTCGCAGTGTATATTGCCGGTGAGGCATTGGGCGCACTGACGCAAACTTTTATTGGCGATAAACTTGGACGTATTCGGTTCATGCAGCTGATGTGTGTAATTGTGACAATTGGCACTGTCATCCAGACTGCCTCCGTGAACATTGGCATGTTTCTTGCCGGCCGCGTGCTAGCCGGATATGCGGTTGGGTAAGTGCAGTCAATCATGGGTTCGATATTGTGGACTGAGAAGCAATTCTCTAACATTTACCAAGAGGATTGGTCGCTACAGTCCCAATCTACCTTAGCGAGATTTCCGACCCCCGTTTCCGTGGTCTGATCGGCGGTATTTCAGGCTGCGGTATCTCCTTCGGAACGATGGCGTCGAATTGGGTCGGATTCGCTTGTGGCTATGCTCCTTACGGCGCTGTACAATGGCGATTGCCCCTGGGGATCCAGATTCCATGGGGTATAATCATGTTCATTGGTCTGTCGACCTTCATGCCCAACTCACCGCGGCAGTTGATCCGAGTCGGGAAAGTCGAGTTAGCCCTCAGCGAATTTACGCGGATTCGACGTGGAGCTGCCTCGCTTGAAGTGGAGGAGGAATTTTCGCTCATGAAGGCCCAGATCGAGTATGAGATGGAGCGCGAGATTACCTCCTATCGGGAGATCTTCCGTCTGTTTCGATCTCGGGTATTAGTGTAAGCTGTGCTACCGGGCATATGTAAGATTAAGCTGACCGCTTCTCTTCAGATCTATTGCCGTGCAGACAATGACGAGTTTAACCGGTGTCAATGTGATCCAGGTATGTGTATGGTTATGAGATCCAATCACAGGAGAGGGTGCTGACTGTAACAGTATTACCAAAGTGAGCTCCGATTTAAAGGTGCAGATCATATGCCGCATTAGATACTAATGTCCGGTCGCTAGCTATTCTGTACAAGTCGCTCGGCATTGGGTCACATACTATTCTGGCCCTTGCCGGGGTCTACGGTACCGTGGCTTTCTTGTCCAACGCCATCACGACTAAATATATGACGGACCAGTGGGGCCGCCGCAAGTACGAGAGCCATTGGGGACAGCCTCTGCACCTGATTTGACGTTTATCGCTGACCCTGCATAGAATGTTGATCACCGGTCTGGCTGGCATCGTGCTGATTGAGATCTATGCCGCCGTGATGCAGATGGAGTTCCAAAATACCAACAACCAAGTCGGCAAGGGATTCGCAATTTTGGGCATTTATCTATTTGTGGTTTGCTACTGTGAGTTTTTTCCCCTACAAATGAGAGATAAATTGCTTATATATCGTCTTTTCCCCAGATGGGTTTCTCAACAGCACAACGTGGCTGTACGGCGCTGAGGTTCTTCCTATTGCTCTGCGTAGCAAGGTGATGGGCATCGCAGCCGCCTCTCACTTCATTGTTAATGTTGCCAGTAAGTTAGACAATAAAGTTGAACATGGGTTCAATTGCTAATATTACCTCTCAGTCACCGAGGCCGGCCCCAGTGCATTCGCCAACATCAAGCAGAACTACTATTATGTCTTCGTAGCATGCACCCTTTTCTTCCTGGGCGTAGCATACTTCTTTTTCCCGTACGTGGTCATTTGTTATGTTGCAACTGATGTGACCCTTATTAACTTTCGAAAATCCTAGTGAGACAAAGCAGAAGACGTTAGAGGAAGTTGCAGCCGCCTTCGGAGATAGGGTGATCCAGGCAGACGACAACCCAAAGGGAGCATCGGTGGTTGGCGGAGCGGACCACGTCGAGACTGCTGCACAGCAGGCCTAATTCTTCCGAGTTGGGTGATCGCATGCAAGATAAATGACGTGGGAGGAGACAGGAATGAAAAACAATTTTCGAGTCTTACAATTTGTACATCCGGGGGCTGAACGCACCTTCCACAAGTAGAAAGTAGGTCCTTCCCCAAGTAGAAGGTACCCCTGCCATGTGGCATCCGACCGGCGCTTTAGTGTATCTAAGCCTTGTTTTTATTTCTAATTTCTCTCTAGCGGACAAACGGACAAGAGCCGCGTGTGTCAGGAAGCGAGGAATGGGGCGTCAGCCACATTGACTCCACATGCTACCAGACTAGACTTCAATGGATTGTTTCACGACCTCTGGTTAACCTTCGTTAAATCATTGAAAACCTTCCCCCTTTCCTCAGCCGCCCCAGATTAGAGATCTTGAAGAAGATTTGTCGTTTAATATGGGTCACCCCTTATCCGATGCATCGTGCGCACTTCCGATAAACCCTATCGCCACGAGTCTGATCCCTGTCAATGACGATCTTTTGGATAGGACACAGCCTGCGGAGATACGTTGCATGTAAGCATCTGGACACGTACATGGCTTCGGAAGGTGTGCATTTCTATCGGTGAAGATCTGGGGATTATCGGCACCTTTTCGGCTTAACTCTGGAACCCCGACGTTAGGAACACGAGGCCCGAGCCCTCCCTTCGCTAAAGAAGTACAATTTGCGGAATCTCCATTCCACACATTTCCGCCATTCTTAGGGGTCTGACCATACACTGGGGGTCCTTCCCCTTGCATTGTGTTTCTGTACTCCGTCAACTCCACCAATATGATCGACTTTTATTGAAAGCTTGGAGATCACTTCCTTGTTCCGACCAATAACCAGATCGTGGATCAAAGCATGGAAGAACCGTGGAAAAGCCGGCAGAACGATAGCCCCAATATCACCCACGGGTTGAGGTGGATCTGCGACGTGGTTTCGTATCAGGATTCGCCGGATCGAGTAAACTGTGTACAAGTCGGAGTATGGCGCTTGTTAACTTTTCTTCACTCCTGAAGTTTTCTGGTAGACTGGAGCTGAAGGTTTCATTTAACCGACCAAGGTTCTTCATGCGCAACCTTATGTATTTTAGCTACTGCCTAGATATTTCAGCTTCATAGCATGATCGAGACTCAACGAAAATGACAGCCTAACTGTGGCGCATCGTGGCTGACAGGTGAAAATTTCATTATTGACCACGTAGCGTCATCGGCGATTTGGCGGCAGATCTGCTGCCCTACGAAGATCACCGCTCGGACCCCCTGGGTGGCAAGGGACTGAAAATTTTCATCGGGTGCAAGGCTTGGCAATGAATGAATTAAGAAATATGCATGGATTAGTCCATCTTCGTCCCTTGATACTTTCTACATACTTTCGGCTTTCCTTTCCCCCTCGAGAGTTCCGCCATAAAGGGCCCATGCGAATGCAACTGCGTCAAGATCGACGGACGAATCGGAAAAGCCTTTAAACATCTGCCGGGATGCCGGCATTAAGAGGTGCCATAGTGAACAAGAGTGCATGCCATCGGATGTCTGACCCGCTCTAAAAAAACCTTGTGCGGACCCATCCGATGAGACCCGGTAAAAGATCTTTTCTAGAAGCCTGTCGGGATCCACCCATGCACCATAAACGCCCCGTACTAGCATGGCGTCCTTGACTAGTTCGGAATGCTGCCAATTTGTCGTGCTTGACTAAACAGACTCGATGAATAAAGGGGCAAATGGCAAGTCGTTCAGCTCCGGCTAAAAGATCTGTGGCTCTCAGGGCTGTCAGGTTGCCTCCTTTTTAATTGCATGGTTGCAGATTGTTTTTAAATCATTATTTTTTTTCTTAATCCGGGGAGATATACAATGACGCACCGTGCTTGTCTTTTCTACCTTTCTCCCCCATCTTTTAAAGCATCGTTCTTTCCCCCCCACCCTGTCAAAAGCTCCAGCTTCAGTGGATATTCTTTCTACGGTCCAATTTTATTTGAACTGGAGACGCCACTGGTCCACTAGGTCCATCATCCAGTATCCATTCTTCGGACTGTCAATTGACTTTATGTCCGCTTGACAGAGTTTGCCTTTCACCGCAACCTTGGATACACAAAACACCATATTCAATTTATCCCTGGGTCAGGTCAGTGCACCTTGCCGCCGCCCATGTCTTCCTCCCGATCAACCGGAAAGCGTCTGCCTATCAGTTGTCAGGCATGTCGAACAAGAAAGATCCGCTGCTCCCGGGATGGACGTCCATGCCAGACCTGTGTGCGCCGGGGATTGGGCGCGGAGGATTGTATCTATCTTGGTCAACCTCGTCTGTCAACTGAGCAAACACAGTCCGGAGACCCAAATGTTCAGAATGAACTATTAGCACGGATCCGCAATTTAGAAGCCCTGCTCCAGAAGCAGGTACATTCGCAAGCGGGCACACCTGTTGCTGGCTCTCAGTCTCCACTTGGTGCGCTCAGTGCTACTGGCAGCTTGTCAGATTCTGATGTTGGGGGAATGGAGTGGGATCTGCGCAGTAGTATGCTCGGTAATGTCGGCACTCTCCATACGTCCCCATCAGGGCACGTTCGTTATGTGCCACTTGCTTCACAGTGGGAATCTGTTGTTGCTAAGAGCCCCGCTGCCGGGTGTTTGCGGGATTCCGACTCTGATATTATAGATGACGACGACCTGCAGATCCCCTTAGCTCGAAATGGGAGTGTCTCCCGTGCTGAGCTTTTGGCCTTGTTACCACCAGGCCGGTATTGTGATACTTTAAAAGAGGTTTACTTTCGTGTCTTTTCTCCAGTATGTCTTTCTAGATATCCTTCGATGAATATCAGATAGCTAATCCAATTCTTATTCGCCAGGTCTTTCATATTCTTCACGATTTGACTTTTGAAGCCGAGTATCAACAGTTTTGTCATGATCCGGGTAGTGTGTCAACATCATGGCTCGCTCTTTTGTTCGCCATGCTTGCCATCGCAGTCAGTGCACTAGAGGACGATGATCCTTTATTATCCGACCTTGGCCGGGAGAGGACAGTTAGTCGAAACATCAAAGTGCTTTCAGCACGCTACCGGTCTGCCGCATTGCGATGTCTGGCTGCAGATGGTGTCATGACTCGGCATTCTATCAACTCGCTGCAGTCATTAGTCCTCATCAACTATGCGCGACTCCATCGTGGTTTGCCTTTCTGGACATTATTGGGATTCACCCATCACGTTGCCATCTCTATGGGCTGTCATTTAGACCCAGAGAGATTCGTCCTCGGTCCCATTGAGCGTGAAGAGCGACGACGAGTCTGGACAGGGCTGATGATGCTTTATACCATCCACAACACATCTTTCGGCAGTCTGGATCAACATTTAATCAACCAGGATGTGAAGATGCCAGCCGATGTTGACGACATCGACCTTCTAACTGCCCCGAATGCCCCTACCTCTGATCCCTCTTCCTCTCCCTCCGCTAGCCGGCCCACACAAATGACCTACCTCCTTTTGAGCTTCCGACTATACAAGATCTCCACCAGGATCTGCGAAACAATATTTACCTACCCCCAAGCGTCCCGCTTTAGCATCGCCCAGCTCGAAGCTGAACTATTGACCGTTCGCGACCTATGCGATGCTCGATATCAATCCGATAATCAAGATCCATTGCCCGTCCACCACCAAGCCAACCTCAACATCCTATACAGCCAAATCCACCAGCTCCTCCTCCTTCTCCTCCGTCCAAACCTTTGCCGATTCATCCAAGGCGAGATCACACCTGAGACCTGCGAATCACGATCCAAATGCATGGCATCCGCAAAAGCATCTCTATCGATCTTCCAGACTCTACTGGAGTCTTCACAATTCGCCCCTTACAAGTGGTACACCAGCGGACTAGGCAGTTTCAACGCCTTCCACGCCGCAGTCGTCCTAGCCGTTGGTCTCCTTAACCCCGAGAACGAGGCAGAGTTCGACGAGATCAAGGAAGCCTTGACAAAAGCCCTGGATATGTTCGCTTCACTTTCTGTCCGAAGTATCTTCTGCAGTAAAGCAGTTCCAGTCGTTCGACAGATCATGTACGTTCTTCATCCCCAATGCCTTATCTGATAGCAAAAACACAGAACTAATCCTATTCTCAGCGAAATCACATCTGCACAATACCACCAAGCAAAACTGCAATCCCAAACTCAGCAAACCCAAGCCCAGATGTTCGCGACTTTGGCACCTTCCATCTCAGCAGTCACAATGCCTGATAGTTACACGCTGTCACACAATCCATCGCTATCGCCTGTTCCAACTGTTGCGTCTTCGGCAAGCGAGCCGTCGATGCACTCTAGTTTTGGTATCAATTTGCATCCTCAGCATTGGATGGGTCCTACTTCTGTGCCGTGGGAGACGATGGGTTCGTCGATGCAGTATGCCTTTGAGTCTGATGTGGCATAAGTTACTAGACTCTCTTTTCTATTCTGATCTGATCAAGTTCTCTTAATTTGGGAGGAAATTTTCGATAGGTGTTTGTTGGTGTTTGGGTCTGGGATTTTAGTTTATTGATGAGATCATGAAGAATGAATGATACCTATAATGATACTCTTTTGTTGCCAAATAGAACTATATTGTAATGGATTGATTCCTGCTATTAGAATCTAATCTAGAAATAGAGAGAAGAGAGTAAGAGAAAAATCAAAACTATGACTCGATCAGGACCTAGTGGCTTGTTCTGACAGTCTTGCCTACGACAAGGATCTCTCACTCTGCCTTTGTTTACACTTTAACTCCCCCGCCAATCCCAGCTGTCTAAATTTTCTGCTGCACCTCACCTGATCACAGCATCGATGACGACTTCCTTGATTTCGACCCAGGTAGCTATAAGCAGCGATTTCTTTCCAGCAGTCGTCAGTGTGTGGGATGACCTACATGCTGGCCACAATGAAGCAAGGCCTTATTTATCCTCATTTTTGGTGGGACGGCACCAAATGCTGAGAAGTCTTGGAACTCCATTTTTCATTTCTTTGGCGACTATATTCCCAGCTTATCTCCCCTTTACAGTCTAAGAGGAACGCGATTTATGCTTCCTCATTTAGAAAGCTTCCCAGGAGGGCTCAGATACCCGGCCAGCTGACTCGAAAGGTTAGAGTCTAAAGCAACCGGTGTGTGTGTTACGCAGCTAATTCTATGGTGGAATTTTTGACTCTTCTAGTGACCAGGACAGTATGCCTTCGAAATTTTTCGTGACACAGCTGCAGTGCACGCTCCTGCCTGTCAGATATGCAAGGCAAAAACGTCATGCTGCACAGTGCAGGCCGCATTTTCATGATGCTGTCATTTGTCATCGCCTGTAAAACGCTGCAGGGACAAGCCCCTCGTAGGAGGGCTGCGATGGATGGGTCAAACAACAATGTATGCCTAAACCCAGCAGTTTATTTTTGATTTTCTTGGAAAAGAAGCAAATCTCCGGCACTCAGGCTTCAACGTGCCGGTTTCAGCCCTCTGTCACGCCCTGCCGGGCTAGTCCCCACATCGCGCAAATCGATAGGACCCTACCCACTGAAAGAAAAAAAAAGTGCCTGACGTCATTGGGAAGACGGCACAGTCCCGATATCCGCGCGTGGACATTCCAAACCGGACTGGTGATGAAGCAGACGGTCGCATTTGAGTGGCTGTCAAGACTCTTATCATCTAGGATGGTCAGAAAGGAGTATCATCTTGTATTGCCAGACTAAAATGCTTGGTGCTAGCGATCTGGGGGGATTTTGGAATCTGGCCGGGCGCGCCATGTGTGGATGTCGGGCATCCAAGTGGGGACTTCCCGCGTTCTTCATGATGCACACGCACAAAATCTTCCCGTTTTTGCGGCATAGTAACTTAGGATGACGAGTCTGCCTTGTTGCATGTAGCGCCCGATATATGGATCCACACCAGGCGAAACCGTGGATTGGATAACGGGAAGAGAAGTGAGAACCTTGGAACTGCGGATTGTTTTGTTCTTGTCAAGACGTCTAAGCCACAGAGTCAGTAGTACACACCGATGGGTTTGCCACGATTTAAAGTGTCGATTGGATTGTAATCGACTTGTAGTGACTTGTAGTCGGTGAAAAACAACAGAATCAATCTTTCACGTGGTGTTTGATCTTGTCCACCTTTGCATCTACAAAGAACCTCGATTCTGTCGCCTTCATCTCTTTCTTCTTCAACCTCTCGTCTTATCCCCAACCCTCTTAACATCTCGCCTGGCTACTCTTGTGGTCTATCTTTCATTCGGTTCCTAACCTTCCACATCTGATTTCCTCGGGCATCACACTCACCTTCCAATAACCCTCACATTATTGGGCGTTGCCTGCCGAACAAGATCAACCACTCAGAAAACGACACAATAAACGCCAGAAAATCTTCAGAGCCTCAGAGCCTAAGAGGCTCCGCTGTTCTGCCCTACGCGCTTTTGTCTTGAATCATTGCCTTCGATTGCCTTCTGGAAGAAAGGTGCCAATCGGATTCTTCGACTGTGTCCGCCCCGTATTCCTGCCGACATCATACGCTAGTCGATCACTGTCCTGCCCACCCCACTTATCTGCGCCCCCTCCAATTCCCTGCATTGCATCTTTCCTCCCGCGCCTGCCCCTCATCATTATTAGAGTCACTCCTGAAATATCATCACTCCCTCACCAACCAAACACACACAGCCCCTCATTTCCTCGCATCTCTTTGACTTCCCATGTCGTACGTTTACAGAGAGCGTGAGCGCGACCGCGACTATGATGACCGCAACGTCACCATCAAGCGTTACGTCATGCCATCTGATGAAAGAGAAGAACGACGAGATTTCATGATGAGTCGAGACGATTCCTACGGTGACCATGAGCTGGTCATTCGGCGCAAGACAGAACGCGAAGAACCGGTGACGATTCAGCGCTACGAGAGAGATATTGAGTATGAACCACCTGTTCGTCGCTACGAGCGGGAGTATTATGAACGTGAGTCTTTTCAACCTACAGTCTTCAGCCATCAACTCAGGCCCTTCCTATATCTCGGGATTCCGGACAGGCGGATTTTGCGCTCCCTTAGTCATGCTCAGCAACTCACTAATCATGATAATGCAGCCCGCTTCGTTAGCCCCCGCCAATCTGAGTACGAAGTAGACGACTACCGCCGCCGCCGAGATCTCAGCCCTGGCGACTCGGTCTCGCAGGTCAGCCGTCGCCGTGGTCGGACAGACTATAGTAGCGATGACGAATATTACTATCACGAAGAAACTCGCACTTACGACGATGACCATCCCAAACATCGCCGCCACCTGGCAGAAGGTGCCTTGGTCGGTGCTGGTGCAGCAGAGCTGTTCCGCAGCCATCGCAAGCGTGAAGGTGAGGAAGTTAGCCATGGTATGGGCCACGCTATGAAAACGGCTGGCGCTGGCGCATTAGGCGCAGTGGCTGTCAATGCTGCCTCGCATGTCCGCGATTACTACCGCAGCAAGAGCCGCAGTCGACACCGTGCTCGCTCATTCGACGATGATCGTTCTTCTCACCGTCACAGCCATCACAGCCATGGCCGTCGCAGTCGTAGCCGCAGCCGCTCTCACTCGCACTCCCGCGCAAAGACCCTCATGGAGGTTGGTTTAGGTGCTGCAGCAATTGCCGCCGGTGTTGCAGCCTTGCGAAACAAAAAGAACACGGATGAGCGTCGCGCCCGCTCTCGTACCCGTTCTCGTTCTCGAGCTCGCAGCAGCACTCGCACAGACAAGGATGATGCGAGCAGCGTGTCTCAGCGCAACAAGCACGCTGCGGGTGCTGGTTTGGCTGGTGCGGCTATTGCAGGACTTGTGGAACATCACCGGAGCAAATCTCGTTCTCGTAAGGGCGAGCGCTCCCACAGCCGACTGAGAAAGGCGCTTCCTGTGGTTGCCGCCGGCCTCGGTACCGCAGCTGCTACTAGCCTCTGGGAGAAGAACAAGGCCGAGAAAGAAGGGAAAGAGTCAAGAAGTCGTGGAACAAGCCGATCAGGCAGATCTCGCAGCCGTGGAGCTCCGGACAGCGCATACCCCGATCCAACCCGTGACTCTGCAGGCCTGATTGAGTATGGCAAAGACCCTGTTACCGGCAGCATCCCTGCTGAGCACTACTATGGTGCTCCGGCGGATGCCCCCTACTACTCGGATGGTGGAGAGTACAGCCGTCGCCGGAGCCGCAGCCGTAGCCGCAGCCGTGGTGGCCGGTACAATGACAGCTCCTCTGGCTCAGACCGAGGGTCACGTCGTCGGAACAGAAAGCACCGCAGCCGTTCACGAGATATAGCTGGAGCAGCACTTGGTGCTACAGGCTTGGGATATGCCGCTCACAGATACTCTCAATCTCGGGAACGAAAGAAGGCCGAGCGGGAACAAGATAGGGCTCGTAAGTTCGTTTTAAAATCCTGCCAAATCAGACTTGGAAGACATACTGACAAACAAGCAGGGTATGACGACACTGTTCACCACGATCCATACGAGGAGTCCTATGATCCGGAGCCCTACCCGGCTTCTCATGCCGCTCCCGGCTACCAGGAGCCTCCAGCCAACTACTATCCCAACACCAATAGCTTTCCCCCGCCTCCAGGATCCACTACAAACTTGCATGGTGCACCTTCACCAATGGCCTACAATCCTGCGGACTACCCACCTCCCCCCGGCGCAGCACCCCAGCCCCAGCCATACAATTATGGAGCACCAGGCCCAGGAACCGAGCAGTATGCCCCGCGGCCACGGAGGGTTGATGAGAATGTGAGTGCCCAGCAGCGCTCCACCCTACCCACTGATCTCCACACGCACGATGGTGGGTTCAACAAAGCGGGTCTGGACCGCAAAGCTCAGTAAAGCTGACGTGTTGCCTTGTAGATCTAGCCAATGATTCCCAACTGGCCGAAGCAGATTCCTCACCGCGATCCAGCAGCCAAAGTGAACCGCCTGCATCCAAGTCCGTCTCATTCAACCTGAATTCAGACAATGAGCAGCTCACAGATCGTGGATACGAGACGGATGACAGTGACTCTACCATCGAAGATGGACATCATTCACATCACCACCGCCGCCGACGCTCGTCTTCCGTGCCTTATCCACCCACGTCCCATCACCGTTCCGCTGGTCACTACCCCAGTCATGCACACCCCCAGCACCATTCATCAACCGACTTATCAAAACATAAAGCCCCAGAATTAGACTCCGACTCGACGATTGATCTCCCTGAGCGGTTTGATAGAAAAGGTCGTCTTCTCAAGGAAGAAGAAGACGATCCAACCGTTGCAAAGATCGAGGACTTTATCAATCGTTTCACAAAGGTCTTATTCTAGACGATTGTGACTTGCCCTGTCCTTTAGAAGTTCGGGATTTGGTTCTGGATACAAAAAAAGATTTTTGGATCTGGTGCTATGGTTAATCTTGCGTTTGGGTGGGGTTTCACTTATTCTTTGTCCTTTGTGATGCCCCTTGATCGTTGTTCCCTTGGTCAGCTTGCAATGTTTGGTATCTTCTACCTATGCTTTTATTTTTTCGGTTACTTTTCTTTGATCATGACCTGATGCTGCGCTCAATGATTACGAATTATGACTATAAGGCTCAATGCTCTTCAGATAGCTCAATGATCTTACGTTTTTCTCTTCCTTTGTAATTCTACTCCAAGACTTCAAATGCCAGGTTCTTGCATTTGATAAACATAAGCGTTTTAACTTTATACATATATCAAGCTCTCTGCTTCCGAGCTCTATACCTAATCTAAAAATCTGACACCTAATGGATCTGGGTCTTATTGAATATGGATCTTGGTAGCTCAAATTCCTTTAGAATTCCCAAAAGTGGAATGTTGCCGAAAATAATCTTATCTGCCCCTGGGCATCTGAGCACTTATTTGAGCTCTAAGGCTTGAGGTCTATATCTCCATACGATGAATACTTCCAAGGTTCTCTACATAATAAGTGGTTGGAAATCTTTAAAGATCATTCCTGTCAGCTTTGGAAGGTTCTCAGGTAGCTCCTCTATTATCTATATGAAACACATACATTATATATATGGGGTGAAGCGTCACAAGATGATCTCATATCAACTAGGGCGGTTGAATTAAAGAACCAGTCTTAGAGTCGGGTTGCATTGGAAGGTAGCACAAGAAGCCAAATTTGTCTTCCAGAGCTAATTAGCTGAGTGAAACAACATGAAACCACCTGGGAAGGTCAGTATTGAACTAGGTCTAATGATTTCCAGAGACCTCTCTTGGATGACGTAGATGAACATCTAAGGTGTATCTGCATAGATGGGACTAGCTATGACTTCTACCAATATCTTCATAAAGTAGTTTCACTATTTGTTCTAGAACAATTCTTCAATATGTTATCCATATATAAAGTCGACTCTATAGCCAGTTATACTCGAGATAGATGACTTTCGATAAGTTCTCACCAGAAGGTTACAGTGTAGATGCATGTCTCATCCGAATGAAAGCCTCACCGACTTTATCCAACCTGTTTCACATAGCCAGCAAAAGGGTATAAAAATCCGACTTATGTACCCTCGCAAGCCATCTCACTCACCATTTCTACATGAATATTTACATACGAGCATACGGTATCTGAAAAACGCAAGACCAGCACCGACCCCATGTCAAACAAAAGTACCTAGTGACACGTTCCATCACCTCCAACTCACCCCAAAGTGTAGTACATCATACTCGCATCACCCACCCCGATCTCCCAATGAGCATACCAACCATACAACGCAGAACTCAGATTTAATCGGCTCTGCATGCAAAACCAAAATCTCCGTGAAGAAAAACTGTAACGGCGGCACGGGTAGAGAAACCTACAGTATGTAAATGGACACTGTACATGTAAGAAGTACGCACCCGGGCTTATTCGGCCAACAAGCAGACAAGATCGCAGATCTCACGAGGAAAATGTGATGAATCGAGTTGGTGGTGCTCGAACTTGCGAGTCGGTGGGGTTGAAGTGGGTGATGAGGGGGCTGGTCGCGCCCAGACCTCTTGCTGGGTATTTTTTCCGATGACTTCCAGGGTTCCCTATGCACCGGGATTCCTGAATGGAGGATGCTTTCGTACTTTATGTCTAGTCAATAGTGTCAGTTTGAGATAAGGGGGAGCCTGGGAGAATACGACCCAAGAGAGCAAATGTACAAAAAATACAAGAGTGATGTGGGGCACGTGGATGACTTCCCCCCGTAACCTTCCATTGTACGGGGTTCGCTTATCGCGACCGGCGGTCTGTTCTGATCTCCGCCCGTACGGTTCCTTGTGCTCGGGTTCGGGTCTGTCGCTTACGCTTAGGTATGATATCAATTTGGGAGAAGCTTAAGCAGGGATTTCTCTGAGATCACTGAGGGGTAGGGTTGATGCATTGAGTACAGTTCCGAAATGATGCATAGAAAGGCAAGCTCCAAAGTACCGGTCAGTTTATTCTGCTTTCGGGAAAGCCTATCGTCGACTGAGATTTGCTGCATCATTTTGGTATTCCTGATGATCAGGGCTTGCCCTGTCAGAGTTGAAGCATCGGGGGCTAAATCAAGGCCACGCATGCAGTATGTACTAAAGATACTTTGCCTTCCTTGGCGATCCCTATTGTTTGGTCTAGGATTACCGAGAAAAGTCCGCAAACAATGCACCAGCACAGAGAGGCTAAGTTTGCTCGGATTCGGATTTTACCCGAGGTTACCGATGCCAACGGATATCACAGACCCTGCACGAACTACTGACTTCTAACTGGACTTTTGACCGTCAGCTTAGTCTAGTTTGAAATTGATACGAGGGGAAAGGGGGCGATGCAACAGTAAACAGTCCGCCTCATTATGGAAAATTGAGGATCATAATCTCTTCTTGTACTTTTGTTAGACCTCAATGTCTGAGCACGCAAAGCACAAAGCTCGAGCCTTTTAGTCACGAAGGGCGGCCCGCCATGTGGGACACTGACGAGGTCATGCTCGGCCCAGTTTCGAAATGGGAATAGTTCGTACTTTTGTAAGCGCCATGTGCGTTCCAAACGAGGGGGAGGAAATGAAGGGGCAAGCTGCAACATTATTCACAGTGTGTTAAGCGCTGGATTTGCATCGGTATCACAAATGGCACTGAATACAGAGATAGACAGATTTCAGCGGTATCAAGGCTATGATGACTTGCGTGAAAAATATACCCGCGGGTTTGGATTCCTCGGGAGGCGGTTCTTAGTGTGCCCTTGAGCCGGGTTTTGGTTTGGGTTTGAACTCGGACTTCTCCCCACTCTCCATTGCGGCAAGGCACCGTTCAAAAGACCAAGGAGGGGCGGCTCATGGGGAAATTCTAATGAAAAGTATAAGGTGTGGCCGAACCAATGGTCAACTTCAAGTAAGTATCAGATTTTCAACCCAGTGGTACCAGTGGATCTTTGTTTGTTTTGAATCTGCAACTCCAGTTCGAATCTTGATATCGCACAGGCTCGCCGCTAGGGTGCCTGCAAGATCCCCGATTCAGTTTCCCCATTGCGGCCCAGGTTTTGTTGTGGTTCCCCTTGCAGGAAAATGAACAGACCAGCCGTTCTTGTGAGCCTAAATCCTGACCCTGTTTGCTATCTCTTCACGGCTCAAGGGGCTGCAGTGTAAGGAGACCGATTGATATGCAAAAAGTTTGATTTTAGGCTCCAGGGCTCAATTTGAGGATTCAGGTACGAGAACCGGTTATGTACACAGTAGGCTGCTTCAGAGCCTAGTCTCTCGTATACACCTTAATCGAGATGCTGATCCGACAAACAGTAATGACGATAAATGATGTCTTCAGCCACATGGATTATGGACCACGTGGGGACAATACGCCCCAGAAAGCTCATTGGATGAATATGAAACTTAGGACTGTGCTGGTCATATCGGCTCCGTACGACATGTCAATTTCCTGTCTGTGCACAACAAGGCAACGGTAGAAAAAGAAAAGTGTCAAGTGCGTCAGAACCAACCGAACGTCGACAGTTCCTGCGCTGTACCATCTGTACATATCACATTTTCAATGAAATCGTATTTCAGAATTACAATACACGACCGTGTTCGCTGCAAGACATCAAGGAGCAAAAGCGGCACCCACGATCAAGAAGAACATTGAGATCAATGTCTTGTATTAATCTCGGTTAAATCCACTCCTTGATATGTTATGCACTCTGCCGTAGCGAAGCACATTCCTTTCCATCAATCACAAAGCTCGGGGTGAACACACGGGCGATCCCGCTGTCACGGCTCGCGATTGGCCGAGGATAAAAACATAGAAAACTACACGTCGCCTAAGGGTCCGTAGTACTCAGCTTGAACCGACATCCGATCTATTCGAAATGAGCGAATCAGAGACCTGCATCGCCGATGAAGATGCTAATGCTCATGTCCGATGGACGGTCGCATTGGCTTTATCTTTTACTACACATTGGTCAGTCATTTGACGCTTAGCTCTCCACTATCCAACATGCCAGAATGACTCCAAATCTCCATGCCACACGGAAAAAAACAGTTCCATGTGTGGGTTGGATCCAGAAATTCCTCCGAACCTTTTAGGGACGATCATCATGACTGGCATGGCCCCCTTGAAGCTAAAATATGGGGTCTGGGGGAGCAATCCTTCCACCACGAACAGTAGGAAAGCCGAGGTGGGAATTCCACCCGCTGCGACTTGCAATTACAAGGATGCCTGGAAAGATTTGTCACGACCGGCGTATCCCTGTTCAAACTCTCGAAATATCACTCATAGCTATAGTCTGCATTGTCGACCGCCACTGCCGCAGTATTGTAGATCCAGCAGCATATTTCCTGTCTTGGTTTTGACGCTAGGACTTGAGACTTGCTTTGGAGCGTCGCGCACCCAGCCCCTACCGCCATCAAGATCTAATGCGACATCCCGCGGTTATCGACTTGTGCAGTGTAGCATACCTATCGCAGACCTGGGGAAATGCCTGCGCGGACGATGATCATCTGCTACATTGGGATACATTCCACCAGTCTTGTGAGCCCCATGCCTATAACTCATTGGATATGCGGTGGAGACTTCACCTGCATAATCAGTGAGTCTGAGTGTCTACAGATGATAGAATGCCAGAATCCATAGATCATACAACACGTACATGCACCAGGTGACTCACGGGAAAGGCATAGGAATGAGCCCAGGCATAAACAACACTCGCCTAAACATACCCCAGTATCCGGCTCTAGCCGCGTTGCAGTATGTTGGTCAACTGCCTTGTGTTCATTTTCCCATGCTGTTTCAAGTGGACTTTGCATCTACCTGTATCTGCGGCATGAATGAATCTCCAGGTTTTTCCTACGTAACAGGCGTATCCCTTGCATTACCCAAAATGGATCCCCTACTAAACTCTATCATCACTAGCTGCGTAGATACTGTATCCTGCATGGCGCGCAGAGCACAGAATAGCGTACGTCCTGGTCGCTACTTTATCTTTTATCCGACCGCGCGAGGCAGTAGACTGGATAGATTCGCAAGCTTGAAGATTGCATATTGGATGAGTCCTTTATTGGTCTCAATTTTGGCGCTGGTACCTGGATGTATTTCAAACAAAGCTTATGTGATAGTAAACCGATATACAGCACACCGGTCTGGTCTGGAATGGTCTGGGGTTGGGGCCCAACACTGAATATCGGGCAGGATGTGCCCAACCGGGCCCAGGGGAGAGGAACATTGAGATATGAAAAGTTTGATAGAAAGATAAGGCCAGTATCGGTGTTTGTTGCCTGATTTTAGTATCGAAGGATTGGAGATGTCTCAGTGTACACGTTGGGCTCTGTACTCTGTCAACTGTACAGCCCCTTAACGTATAAGTGACGTATAATGAGAATCCAAGATTTACCAATAAAAGACCCACCTCACATCTTATCTTGCACGTACAGTAATAAGGACTAAACTAGAATTCATTGTTAATTCGAGGCCAAATTTTCTTTTCTTTTTCCCACAGGAACTGTACGGAGTTCTCCACAGAAGACGGGCCGAGTCAGAACTATTGTACTGTAACCAGCCGTGAATGCGGGTATCATGTCCATCATCGACCCCACTTCGCAATCCTGCTTTCTAACTGGATAGCCGACACAGTCTATTAAATTCGGACATGATGACAGCGCGCGTTAAACGGTTAAAAGAAGCAAAGAATGAAATTCACCTTGTGACTGCCCCGCGTTGGACTCGTTCCAACGGGCCGAGAAAAAAGAAAACAAAATTAATATCCAAGCATCCAGGGTCTGTGTTACTGTTGTCCTTCCACTGCGGCTTTTTTTTTTTGATTTCGAATTTTCGGCTGTTGGGCCTTTGGGTTCGAATGTTGCGGTCTGATATCATTCGGGGATTGTATACCGGTGATTGGTATGAGGGGTGGAGGTATGGATACCCACATCGCTAATGAAGTCATGTTTAGTCGGTGTATTCTTACCGGGGAGCTCCCAATTTTCGAGCTCTTTATCGGGGATTTTTAGGTATTGACTAGGGTAGACCCTAGACCCTAGTTCAAGACCGTAGCTAAGTTTCCCTGTAATTTTTTAAATGAGAACTAGCAAGTGCGGATCATAACAACCCAAAATCACATTCCGTGTGGTACATCTGTCAAAATGTCACCTTGGTCAATTCCCATGGATAGGTGCGGGTGTGCCTGGTAATTACAATACGCATTCAGTACACGCGTTTCAGCTCATGTTGACGCTGGATCTACGCCATTCTCCCGCTGTTCTAAAATTCGAATCAACAGTGTTTTCGAGAACGCCGATCTGAGTGGATCCTGAGTGTTCAAACCGGCGGTCCAATAGAGTTTGCCACACAGGACATTGTTTGGCGCCCCTTGCAAGTGAATTAAACCTACAGTGTTTGGGTCGATGCGCGCTACCGGTATAAAGTTCTCTCTCTCTGATCGAGGACGATCGGGAGCGATAGACTCCAGTGGCGCGGATTCATTTTACAGGACGAGTGTTAAGATTTACCGAGAACTAGGCTCCTGGGAAACGATCCCTGTCTTGTCAAGCGTCATCGGTAAAGGGCCCCTTTACGCTTGCTAGCAATCCAGCTGTGATTACCCTGTGGTCCCCACATCCGGGGATCCTCCGGACGAACTTCCTAAAATCTCTAACAGCGTTAGATTACCGGGAGAACGGAGGACGGAGAACAGAGCAGACAATGATCCTAGCCTCAAAATGTCGTCAGGCTCAATAGGAACTAGTCTTTAATTTAAAAGAATCTATGGGTACCAACGTGGCGTAGTGAGATGTGTTTGGATCACAATATTTGGCTAATTCCGAATTAGTTTTCCTCTCATGCATTTCCCCAGCTGAGAGTGACCCAGTGAGACCCACTTGTTCTCTGTCATTCGGGAGGCAAATTAAAAGAAAAAATAAAAGAAAAAAAAACATGGGAAAAACAGAAGCGTGACTGGGAGACCTGTCAATTTTCAAGCTCGACTTTATAGCCATAGAGCTGTACTGGTCCCGATCTGGAGATTACTATGTCAAGACTTTCTGCGAGGATGCTACATGAAGGGAGAGCAATCCAGGGAGGGGCAAACAGCTCACAAGATGTAGTGTCGATCTCCGTAATTATACGAATAATTATCCATCCCCTCCCCAGTGATAATCTTCTCTTTTTTTTTTCTCCTTCGAGTCCCGAGTAACTGGAACCTCGTTTCCGGATTCCCCTAGCCTTGAATACTTGATCGACCCGACAGCTTGGCTTAGCTTCCAACAGCAAAGGCCCCTATTAATTTAAAGGGAGATCACAGGTACGTCACCGGATTACCATACCAGTCGCGTATCCACTTTGGAGTCCATGGTACGGATACGATACACCCCTCCTTCTGGTCTTGACCCAAACTCTTTTCTTCTGTACTTTCTGTACTTTCTGTACTTTCGACCTGCGATCTATCTGATACGGTGGATACCTGGTTTTATTTGATTTTTCTGTACGATCTTAAGAAAAAGCGCCCCTGGTCCGATCTCGACGATATCTGATTCTTTCTTTGTCTCTAGCCGCGCCACCCCCGGTTGCTCCGTACAAAGAGAGCTCTCCAACACCAAACCCACTTCGACGCATGCCCATTTTTGCGACCTAAATCTTCCGAAGAACAAAGAAAAAGAAAAAAAGCCTTCCGGTTTTTTAATCGACATACCCGCAAACCTGCCACTGGTCAACGCGGAGCTTCCAAGCTTCCTTTTGCGCGCGACATCGAAAGCTTCCCCTCCACACTTCCTCCGATACCTCCCCCCCCTCATCCACCAGTTCCTAGTCACAACTCCGTCATGTGTATCTAAGCGGTGGGTCATCAAGCTATATTGCTTTTGAATAACGGTACAAAGATTTCCCCAAAGGCGCCAGTCTTATTGGTGCTTAGAGATGAATGCGCCTGACACAGGTTTCAGATCCTATTTGACGACTGGGACGTGAATTCGGAACATTTCCCCCATGAATCGTTTACAGGCCGAGGGCCACCATGGACCAGGTCCGCATGGGGGCTATGAGGGCGCATATCGCGCGCCATACCCTCCTCCGCCTCCGCCCTACGACCACCAGGAACCGCGTCGGTTATCCAACCAAGCCCACCCGCACCCTTTACCAGGATTTACCGTGAACCCAAACCGCCAGCTGCCCCAGCTCCCGGAAGATGGACCTTATGGCCGCCCAAATAGCATCCCAAATGGAATCGCCAATGGTCTGCCAGCACCTTCACCGCACCAAGGTCTTCCGGAGCCTAGTCCCATACATACCGGATATCGCCCACCAATCAATGGATCCCCGCATGAGGCTTCGCCCCAGTCTGCTCCCCCGGACTATCGCGCGCGCATGAGTTATCAATCCAACGAAGGATCCATACCTAGTGAATCGACCCCGCCCATCTCAGTGCCGCCCCATGCACCACACTATGTGTCACCGGCTGCACAGGTTCCCGTTGGTCCATCGTATCCCTATGACCCAGGTTACGCGCAGAATCCTGCGTATGGAGCCCGCCAGCAACAGCAGCGTAAGGCGGCTCGAGCGACACAAGTCAGTTTCTTTTATCATATTCAAGGATAGTATTAGCATTTGCTGACAGATAGAAGGCGTGTGATCAATGTCGCGCAAGGAAAGCCAAGTGTGATGAAGGACGACCGGCTTGTAGCCACTGCAAAGAAAACAACCTCTCTTGCGTGTACAAGGAGGTGCCACCGCACAAGTCTGTATCCTTATAACCGATAATGTGACCGAATATTGACTTTTCTACAGGCAAGATAAGGGAGCTCAAGTACTCCTCGACAGGATCGACAAATTCCAGGATAGTGCCCAGGACAACTTCGATCACCAGAACGAGAGAATGGACATATCGACTGGAAAAGTGGAAAACCGAGTAGAATCGTTGCGAGATGAGCTTAGCAGGAAGTTGGACAGCTTGGACCACAATATAAAGCTTCTCATGGGCATGAACCCTATGCAGAGAGCGGGCCACCAACCACACTTGCTTGAACAGTCTTTTAAGGTCGAATCTCAGCTAACACAGCCGGAGATCCCCAACGAGAGTGCATCTTTTTCAGCTCCAGGTTTGCCGGCAGATGAACTCCCGGCCCTTGCTGATGATTTGAAAAAAGACGACGGCGAAGGCGAATTGTCGATCCCTGTCGAGCACACAACCGCGGCACACAAGCTTCTGATGTGGCCCTCGATTCAAGAACTTCTTAGTGCCCCCAAGTACGATGCTGATTATGTGATGATACTGGAAGAGCGACGTGGTCTTATTAGTGTGTATGGCCAGGGAGAGAATTCGTTTACCGCTGATGATACACAACTGGCCTCTGCCATCACCGGCTGGGATCACAGAGGGGTGAACGACGATGGGACTTCCATAGTTCAGGGTGGAGCAGCAGCACATGACCTGGATGCAGAAATCGACCGACATGGCCTCTTACGCCTGGACGCGAAGACCGCCGATCGCTACTATCGGAGTTACCTTACCCATCTACACAGGCTTCATCCATTCCTCGACCCGTCAGTATTGACAGATCAAATAACTGAATTTTGTCGAATCTATTGCCCCCAAGACCAGGATCAACTGAATACCATGTGCCGGGACAACCCAGGTGCTAAGCGGAAACGTTCCTGGGACGATATGGATGGCGTACGAGGTGCCCCCCTAGACCCTAGTGCTGCGACTTCCAGACCCCGCGTTGGCAAGAACATTGATAATGCTGTGATTTTGTTGATCTTTGCTCTTGGAGCTATCTGCGAGACCAAGTCACCGCTACCAGGGCCGATCACAGACGAAAAATGCAATTATATGGACCAGGATATTCCAGCTCCCGCGCCTCCTTTACCCGCTAGTCTGCAAAAAGGGAACGGCACGAAATCGTTCTCCGGCCTTTCACCAGCCAACTCAGAGGTACTCATTCCGCCATCATACTCCAATGCCACTCCAAGCGCAACCTCATCATTTTCCTCTACGGCAGGAAAGCCGTCTACGACAGAAAAGGACTTTACTGGCATCAATCTTTCAAGGCGACACATTTCCACCACAAAGAATGAATATGGCAATGTCAAAAATCTCCAGGTCATTCCGGGATTGGCTCTTTACGGATATGCTACGCAAATACTGGGTCTTCTGCAAGGAGGAGTAGAGTTGGAACACGTTCACGCAGGCTTGCTTGCCGGCCTCTATGCTGGACAATTGGCTCATCCTTTCCAAAGTCATGGCTGGATTTCCCAGGCTGCTCGTGCTTGCCAAGTGCTTGTGCGACAGAAGCGGTATGAGAGGCTCGAAGAGGGTCTTGTGAAGGACATGTATAATTTCGCCTACTGGACCTGTCTACAACTCGAGAGTGATCTTCTTGCGGAGCTCGACATTCCTGCTAGTGGCATCTCTCGATCCGAAGGTCGGATCACTATCCCCAAGGGTAAACATCTCGAGGTCACCAAAGAACAGCTCGAGGCCCAGGGTAAACAGCTCGACATCCAGGCCAAACAGCTCGAGGCACACGGTAAACATTTCGAAGCCAAGGGTAAACGACTCGAGGCCCAGGGTAAATATCTTGAGGCCCAGGGTCAACATCTCGAGGTCAAGGGTCAGCACCTCGAGGCCAAGGGCAAACAGCTCGAGGCCCAGGCTAAATATCTCGAGGCGAAGGGTCAAAATCGCGATATCAAGGGCGCAAATCTCGAAACCACTGCTGGGATCATATCACCAGATCCCATGTTGATGTTCTTTTACTCCGCGCAAATTCATCTCCGCAAGGTTCTCAATCGTGTTCACACTGATCTGTATAAAGTTGAAAGTGAGTCTTCTATGTGATTCTATGTTGATTTAATCTGTACTAACCCCTCTATAGAAGCTAATGAGAAGCGGTGGTCATCAAGTGTGCAAAAAGCTCTCAGTGTGAACCTCGACCTCTGGCGCACCAGCCTACCAGATTATATGAAGTGGGATGACACCGACCCACCCGCCACCGAAATCAATGCTGCTCGCATGAGAGCAAAGTATTATGGTGCTCGGTACATCATCCACCGACCGCTGCTATACCATGCCCTTCACTACGGTCAGCATGGTGCGCGTGTGGATGGGCATCGCTTGGAGGGGGCCTCTGTGGATTCTCCCACCAGTTCAGCAAACACCTCATCACAGCAGATGTCACCATCCATGACTCAGAACCCCCGGGCCCAACCTATGTCGCGCATCATGAGTGACATGACTAGCACGCCAAACAAGGCTCCGAAATACTTTCCTAATGGACTGATCAAGCCCACTGTGAAGTACCGTGATCTTCCACCGCAACTGCGCGCGGCCGTTAAGGCCTGTATCGATTCTGCAATCCAGAGCACACAGGCTTTTGATGGAATTGAAGATCGTCTTGTGGTGACCAACATCTTTGGCACTGCTCATGCGTGAGTTCAGATCACATCATAAGGACGCAAGGAAATTTTAGACTAATTCTTTTCTTCCAGACAATTTGGTAACATGCTTGTCCTGTCAGCAACTCAACAGTCCAACCTCGACTACGTTAGCAAAGATCTTCTTGGGCCACTCCTCCGACGAACTATCAATTTCCTGTTGCGCAGCCAGCATATTTCGCCAACACTTCGAGCTGACGCCAGAATCTTGACGGAGATTTACGAGAAGATTTTTGAAGAGAATTTCAAGCCTAACGTGCCAGTCAACCCACCACCGAAAACGTGGACATGATCGTTCGAGTTTTTTTCTGTTATAGCCTTTGTTCTATGGTTTTCTTTTCTGTTTTTTTTTTCCTGCTTTGCCTACGGTGCACAACGGAGTGATCGCATCTTCACACGTCCACCCCGATATACCCTTATTCCTCGAATTAGAGGACAGTTTTCGATCCCGACTTGGGTGGACTTGTTTTGCATTTTGGTGGCTCTGATACGCGGTCTGATTCATGGATATATGCTCTAAGCAGGAGTACCAGTGTGGCCATTATATTGCATCTTGATAAATCTTCATCATCATCATCATCATCATCATCATCATCATCATCGTCATCATCGTTTTGATTACCGTGCTTTCGTTCTTCTATTTGGGGCGCATTTTGTTTATCTTGTGTCGTATTCCGACCTCACAGCGATATCCCTGGTCGGCTTGGTGGTTTTCTCTTTTATCCTCTCATTATTTCGACCATATTCCCCAATGAGAGTTCTTTGGCAATCTGGGTTTTTGGGATCATTTTCTTCAACCATGTTCTTGACCATGTCTTTGTAAAGGAGTTTGGGCTTTGGTTTTGCTACGATATGGGCGGTTGTTTTACGGAATATTTGCAGAATGGAATCATTGTCTTGGATGATATTACTACAGATTTATACTGAAATGAAATAGCTTCTTGATGTCTATATGGAGACTCAATGCATCACTCCAAGATTAATCGATCAACATCACACTAGGTTTTTGCTAATCCCATACAGTGAGATCAGGGTTCGGCCCTGCAGATGATTTCATAGGACTTATGAGACAGCGATAACCCGTTTCAATGAGGCGAACTGGAAAGCGCTGAGGAGAAATCGACGATCATGCAGAGATTTCGGGTCCGCACTTACGTGATTCTACCGCAGACCATAAATCGACCCGATCTGCACTCCGAACACGCATTCCAGGACGCAGAGTGGGTCGGCTGAGGATTATGAGAAAATGGCCACAAACTATATCCATTCGAAAGAATCTGGTTGGCCAACATGTGGACCTTACTGGGTCGCAATCAGATCTCGGTCGGGGATCATCGGGCCTAATCGATGAACACCAAGATATTGATCGAAGCAGTTGAGACACCCTGACGACATAGGGGCATGACGAAATCACTTTTCGCGTAGACGCCCACAATATTTGATATCGAGGAGCTGCATTGCTGATGATAGATTTACTAAACGGAAAGCCATTCATTGAAAAGTTTTCGCTGCACCAATTTGACAAGCACCATGAGTTTGAAAATGATTGCTGTTGTGGCCATTGCTTTACTGTTATACGTGAGTTGAGTCGCGTTCCTAATGTGATCCAGCTAATGATTACTGTCAGAGTATCGCACTCGTTGTTTACCGTCTGTTCTTCCATCCTTTGGCGAAATACCCAGGACCACGTCTAGGAGCCATCACGCATTGGTATGCAGCCTACTATGCATGGCAGGGAGACCTTCACATAATTAGCCGAAAGTGGCACGATCGTTATGGTACGTCATAAGGCTTGAAATTACTTACTGTCTCCAAATGCTAATATTTGTGCAGGCGATATCGTGCGATTTGCTCCAAATGCCTTGACTTTCAACACACACACCGGACTAGACACTATCTATGGTGTCAGGGCAAATGTGGCAAAATCGGAAGGCTACAGTTCACTGAGCGCCAGTCGACAAACTCCTAATACCCTCACTGCTACTGACAAAGCTACCCACGGCTTCAAGCGCCGTATCCTGGCGCAGGTATTCTCTACTGAAGGAATCAAAGCCATCGAAGAGCGTCTTCTGGTGAACATTCGCGATTTCGTCGATCTAGTCGGACAGAAAGGAGATGAATATGGACATGTCAAGAGTAGCCTCAATTCTGAAAAGGACAACGGATGGTCAAACACGAAGCATTTAGCTCCGATGTGTGATTGGATGACCTTCGACGTTATCGGCGACCTTTGCTATGGGCAAGACTTTGATATGCTACATTTACCTGACATGCGATGGTTCCCTTCTGTGGTCCTAAAGATCACGCAGCGCAGTATGACGGTATGGACAGCGTGGCATCCCTAACCTCTGTATAGCCACTAACACTTCCTAGACCCTCATCCAGCCTAAGTTCTGCAATCTGAAGATTGACCAGTTCTTCATGTCATCCAAATTCAAGGATATCGTGAACGCCGGTACCCGAATCCGCGAACGTTCTGAGGCCCGCACACGTCTAGGAAATGATATCGAGACAAAAGACCTATTTTATTCTATGATGAACACGGCAGATCCCAAAACTGGCCTTCACTTCACCAATAAGGATCTTTGGGTGGAATCCATGCTTCTGATGACTGCAGGTATGATAGCACCTTTTCCAATGCCATGTACAGCCCAAGCTAACTTTGGAATCTAGGTGCGGATACCACCGCGACGGCAATGGCAGGAACATTCTTCCACCTAGCCCACAAGCCTAACCTCCTCGCCCGCCTGACCCAAGAGATCCGCAGCACATTCGGCACAGAGGAAGAAGTCCGCACAGGAGCAGAACTAAACTCCTGCGAATTCCTTCAGGCATGTATAAACGAAACGCTCCGACTCGCACCTTCCGTCTCAACTACCATTCCACGCACAGTTCTTAAAGGCGGCATAGTGATCGATCAAGAATTCATCCCTGAAGGCACAATGGTGGGAACGACTACATACGCTATCCAGCGGAACCCGAACTACTTCACTGCACCGGACGAGTTCCGTCCACAAAGATGGATCGTCGATGCAGAGACGGGGGTTGACGAGGAGAGTATTGAGATTGCGAAACAAGCGTTTTGTCCGTTTAGTGTTGGAGCAAGATCTTGTGTTGGATGGAAACTTGCTTGGACGGAATTGAATCTGGCGGTTGCGAGAACGCTGTTTCGGTTTGATATGCGTTTGGCGCCTGATGCGCGGTGCTGTGGGGGTGAAAGGGAGGATTGTGATTTCAGGTTGAAGGGGTGGGTCACTTCTGCTGTTGAGGGGCCTTGGGTGCAGTTTCGGGAGAGATGTTGAGAGTTTGCTGTATGCAGAACATTAGATTGGAACGAGGCTTATGGGTTTATGATTAAGATGAGGCAATAGACATGCACTTCTACTCTGTCAATCAAATCGTTATTAGGGGACTTGCACCAAGTAGCTGTGGTGACACAGGCTTGGACGACTACTCTATTTGAATCCTAGTTCAAGACAAGAATTAGGCTTAAACTGCATAGTGAGCATAAATTGTGGTCCTCATAGTATCAAATGCATTTGATGCACGCGGACCTCGGATACCCCGCACAAAATGTAAGGGGTCAAAGTGATCCTGCCGATCAGGGCCACGTCTTGATATTTCAGCTGGTGATCAAATCCACCCCCTATTGCCAATGTGAATCAAAGTTCAACTTCCATTGGGGTAGGACGTTCATCATGAGTTCGCAAGTAAAGAGATGGCCTTCGAGAGAAGGCAAGTAACCGCCAACTCCCCTGAAAAGCTCCGGCGCTAAAAGGTTCTAGGTTTCACGGCAGACGTACTGAGCAGGTGGATCCAACGCACCTTACTTGACCCATGGAAGGTGGTGCCTCTTCTAGCGCTGGCACGGTACACCGTCAAGGGTCGCGAGCTGACCGAGTCGCGCCCTCATCTCCTCAAGGCGCTTAAAACCCTTGCGTCCTTAGCAGTCATCCAGAGACTCTCAGCCTGGTTAGACCGCCGAGCGATCAACAACGGCGTGTCCGACCACTATGACTGGAACAAAGAAGTAGTCGTCCTTACCGGCGGGAGCAATGGTATCGGTCGGCGAATCGCCCAACTCCTAGGCGACCGCGATATCAAAGTCGCCATTCTCGACATCTCACCCCCAGCCGACGAGCTCCCCAACAGCGTCCGCTTCTACCAATGCGACATCACGTCGTCTGAAAACATCAGCGAGGTAGCTGCTAAAATTCGCGCCTCATTTGGCCGCCCAACAATCCTCATCAATAACGCCGGCCTCCTTACGGCTAAGACCATTCTCAATGTCTCCCCCGAGCAAATGCGTCGCATGTTCGAGGTTAATACATTTGCACACTACTGGCTGGCCCAGGAATTCCTTCCAGATATCATTGCTGGTAATCACGGCATGGTAGTCACAGTCGCTTCGCAAGCAGGGTACGCCGTTTCTCCGAATATGGTTGACTACTCTGCTACCAAGGCCGCTGCTATTGCCTTCCATGAAGGTTTGGCGGCGGAGCTGGTCACTCGGTACCATGCCCCCCGTGTGCGTACCGTGCTTGTTACGCAAAGTTTCACACGTACGACTCTTATTGATAGCTTGACTCCCGAGGATTCTTTTATTAACCCGCTTCTGCATCCGGAAACTGTAGCTGAGGGAGTGGTTCACCAGGTGTTGAAGGGTGAGAGTGGACATGTACTTTTGCCTGGTTCAGCTGGTTTTATTTCTCAGCGGCTTCGAGGTTACCCGTTATGGTTCCAGCATATGTTGCGGTGCAGGTTGGAGCGGTTGATTCGAACTGATTAACTTGTAGTGTTGTGATAACATTTTTCTCTGTACCTCTATAGCCTCAGGTTATTGCCTATTTTATGCACCTGTATTTGATAGTTTTCTATCCTCATGAATGTTACATATGAATCATTGTTTGGTCGATGTTGCCCAGGTGTGGCGTAGCTGAAGAAGTATTATGTTCATGTACCTCGTATGGCAGTCCATGCTTCCAAGGTTATATATGTTGATGGATGGCAGCCTTAAGCGACGATCTTACCTCGGAACCTTGGAATTAAACCAACCACCTCGAGCCCATACTAGTAAAGAATACCTCATTCGCACCAACATATTCTAAATAGGTCATATGTAGAGGATCATAGAACTCGACAAGTAGCTACAAATCGTCCAGTCAGTCCCACCAGTTGTCATGACGAAACTCCCAGCCCCGTCTGTGGCACGTGCACGAAGCTTCACCGCGATTTTGATTCGCTCCACTTAGTGCAGAGACACTTCATCCTATGCCACCGACTCGATTCCTCACATTTGTCTCTCTTTTGATCTGTTACATTGAATGTTGCTGCATGGATTGCCCCAATTCTAAATCCCAGATATCAATCTAGAGTCCCGTGTGGTGAAGGGTAAATCTGGGGAGCTAGATCCCCGATCGTTTGGCGCAACCGACCGTGGGTTCGCCCAGTCTCCGCTCGACGATCCACGGTTCAGCTCCGTTGTTTACTACCCAAACAAACCATAACAACGCCATTTCCCCGACTTTTCACTTTCCCCTACATTCCGACTCCCCCATATTACACATTCCTAATCTCCCACATGGTGGCCTGTGCCGTTTGGGCATTCCTGTGAATTTTTGCCCACCATGTTCAAAGCCCTCATGGGCGGGGGCCGGTCCGATACCCGAAGCACGACCAGCTCCAGCTCTAAAAGCCGACGCAGAGCCGATTCTACCAAATCCTCACATAGCCGCAAATCATCACGGGGTGACGACCGTGACCGCGCCTTGGAGGATGAATCGCCTTACCCCCCGTCGGCCTCGGACAGCAGACGCGGTCCCTCCAGTGTCGCTGGCGATTCTGTCGCATCGACCTACATGACCGCCGAGCCAGAACCCATTGGCAGTCCGAGCCCTATGATAATTGAACGGACACCGAAACGCAGAGATAGCGATCGGGAAAGCAAGAGCTCTCGCCGCCGCACCCGCGACCGATCGGAAAGTCGAGAGCGCGATAAAGGGAAGAGCCGTCGCAGTGTTGTTGATGGGGTATATGATGTGGATGACGAGCGCAACCGTCGTGAGCGCCAGCGCACACAACCTGTGGAACCCTATGTTCCACCCATCTCTACATCTATGCCATCTAGTGCGCCGGCTGCGCAGTTTCCTATCGACATGGGCGCTCCAGGATTTTCGCAATTCCCTGGACAATTCCCCCACGAACCATCATCTGGCTCACCTCATCATGCGGCCTCACCTCCTCATGTCGTCTCACCACCAGCCCCATTCGATCCGCATGTCCAGCAGCAGTTTCCCGGCCAGTTTCCGGTCACGTCGGCGGGAGCCTATTATCCCCCCAACAACCCTGCTGGCGCTGCTGCGGACTATTACGGCGATCAAGGACAGTCTGTTGGTGAGCAGCCGGGAGTTCGACCTCATAAGCCGGCAATCATCCCCAATAGCCAGGCGCATCTGATGACGGCCTCGCCATCAGCCAACCCCCTCCTGAGCCCAGTAGTCTTGGTGAGCTTGGGGCTGCGGCGGATTATTTCGACGATAGCTTTCAAGTTCCCGAGGGACCAGCCAACCTCACATCTTCCAAGCCTCCCAAGCCTGGCAAGATTCAATCTAAGCCTACGAGACCATCAAAGCCTAGCAAGATCTCCTCGTCAAGCGCTGTCCCTGCTGTTGCAGCTGCTGGAGCAGCTGCTTATGGACTGAGCAGTGCCATGTCCTCACACCACAGCGAATCCTACAATGAAACGACAACCGTCCATCACTCTAACTCGTACCCGCAGCCGGCTGCCCCATTGAACAGCGTCCCAAGTGCCAGCAAGCCTCCTCAATCCCATGGCATCGGTGCTGGTGTCGGCGCCGCAGCTGCAGGCGCGGCTGCAGGATACATGCTTGGTCACCAACATCATTCTTCTAGCCCCGAAAATGCATCCCAGTATACCTTCCAAAATTATGAGCAACCTCCCTCAGCTGGTCTGCCCCCTTATGGCTCTGGCCCCAGCAATGCGGTCATGCCAGGAGGCCCTGGCCCCGAAGGGTACCCCATGCAAAACCCTGGCTTTTATCCTCATGGAACCGGTGCCCTTGCTATGCGACACCGCCCTCAAGGTCCTCTTTCGAAGTTCGCGGACTTTTGGCGGGACCCCGAAGGTGTCGGCAGGTTCGAAGACTACACCGAGTACATTGGTGTTTGCAAGTACTGCTTTGAACCGGGATCAAGCTGTCTTGATGCTCCTCGCAAGCACCATTATCATGGGCGCCGGCACTCTTCGGATCGTTACAGCAGTAGTGGCGCTTCTCGAGTAAGCAAGCTTAGTCGATACCAATCTTCGGAAGATGAAAGCCGTCGACGCAAGAAGTCACACAGGTCAAACAAGTCTACTTCCTGGCTTCCAGCACTGGGTCTCTTTGCTGGCAAAGAATTCAAAGACTCCTACAGTGTTCGCCCTAGTCGAGGCGCAGATGACCGTGTTTCGTCTTATGACGCTGAGACCACCTCAATCTCTGACCGCAGGAGTTACACTTCCCGTGGTGTGATCCGCCGGCCTAGCTCCCCGAGAGAGCATTACCCTGAGTCAAGACACTCTCATCGAACACGATCACGGTCCAGATCCTCGTCGCCGTCTGGTCATCATTCATTCGTGAAGGAGGCAGCGCTGGGAGCTGCCATTGGCGGAGCTGCGCTGGCTGTTGCGAAATCAAACCAGCGATCCCGCAGCCGCTCTCCTTCTCGAGTTCAACGACGCAAAGAGTCTTCTTCCAGCTCATCTTTCCTTGATGTCTCTCGACCTTCCAAGTCCCGTAGTGGATTTACCTCATTCTTTACTTCTTCCTCGGAGAATCGCAAGAAGCAAAAAAGTCGAAGCAAGCGGAAGGGCTTCTTCTCTTTCAACAGCTCGTCATCGTCGTCGCTTGATGCTGATTTGGCCTTTGGTACTGGCTTCGCAAAGAAGCTCAAGTCCAAGAAAGAAAAGAAGGGGAAAAAGAAGGAAGATGTGAATGCGGCGCTCCTGGGTCTAGGCGCAACAGCCACTGCTCTTGCTGCTTCGTCCCCTGGACGTGGCCGTACCACTGGCCAGATACTCACTGCCAGAGATATTCGATCCCGCCGTTCCGATTATACGTCTTCAGCCAATGAAGAATCGGAATGGATTGATGCCGAATCGGACGATCAATCATCTGAGAGTGTTGCCTCTGCACTCGCATTTGGTGGTAGCAGCGCCGATTCCGGATCCGACTCGAACCGTAGTGGCTGGGGCTTCTTCGGTTTCAACAAGAAGAAGAAGAGCAAGAAGGAAAAGAAATCTTCTCTTGGTAATGCTGCCCTGGCAGCAGGTGCTGGTGCTCTCGGAGGTGCGGCTCTAGCTTCTATCGCTCGCGACCGTGACAGCCGAGTCTCAAACAGCTCTGGAAGCCTCCAGCAAGTTTATCCCACCGCTACCTCCGATCCGACCCGATTTGACGCTACCAGGATATCTCCCTCCGTTATGTCAGGCGAGCCACCTCTAGTCCGCCCTGGTGCTATTCCACTTCAGCAGCCTCAACCCGTCACACCTGTTTCCCAAGCTGTCTACACTACTCAAGGAAGTTTACCAGCCTCAATCCCTGCATACAGTGCCCCTGAGGCGTCTCTTGTTTTTGCCAGCGATCCTGTATTTGACCAGCACTTCCAAGGCCCCCGAGACCCGGCATTTGTGGCCGAAGACCGTCAATCTGATCGTCGGAAGCACCGCCGTAGTGACTCTACCCCCATTTTCCCTATCCAAGAGAGTTCTATCCCTGGCCCAAAACGTCGATCTACCGCTAGAGAAGCAGCCTCTGTGTCTTTCGATCTGACTGAAAAGCAAGAGGAACAGCAACGTCTTCGCGAAAAGTATGCACAATCAAATACTGAGAATGTCTATCCGGCTGTGCAGTTGATCGATCGTGAAGCAGAGGATGCTAAGCGAGACGAAGATCGACGGGAGTTTGAGCGTCAAGAGCGGCGCCGCAGAGAACAAGAAGATGAGGATCGTCGCCGCAGAGAGCAAGATGCCGAGGATCGCCGTCGCAGACAACAGGAGGATGAAGATCGCCATCGCAGACAGCAGGAGGATGAAGATCGCCGTCGCAGACAACAGGAGGAAGAGGATCGCCTCCGCAGACAACAGGAGGAAGAGGATCGCCTCCACAGAAAACAAGAAGATGATGATCGCCGCCGCGATTCACGACCAGAAAAAGATTCATCTTCTTGGGCTGAGGCCGCCGCCATTGGTGCCTTGAGTGGTGCTGCTGCCAGTACTCTCATGTCATCTCGCAAGACCGATTATCCAGAAGCCTCAGAAGCCAGCTCAGACCGTTACAGCAAGCGACGAGAGAAGCGCCGCAAGGAGCGAGAAGAAAGCCGAATGGAATCATCTATTGTTTCAAAGCCTGATATGGCTACGCCCATCGAAGAGCCGGTGGCACCTGTGCTGTATGAAGAGGAAGAAAAGAAGAATTTGCCTCGTCGCAGCCCCCGATCCTCCCCCGTCTATGAAAGCTATGCAGACTTCTACGCCCCTGACCTTCATGGTAGCGCTGATCAAGAGAAGCACAGTCGCGACTCTGAAGATCCGCCCAAGATTGTCGAAGTAGTACCTGCTAGCGAGCGTGAACGAGAGCAGCCTGATGTATTCAAGGATACTGAGGATGTCCCACACCCGTTCGCACGGGAGCCTTATGAAGGCTATGCTCTTCCGTTCAGGGTGCCGGCGCTAATCTACACCAAGCCTACTCCCGAACAAAGTATCAACGGATCTGCATGTGGTGTCAATTCTCCAATTGCTCCTGCTGAAACTTCTGTCGAACCTGTGTACGAACACGAGCGTCAGGCAGAAACCGAGGCAAAGCCTGAACCTGAACATCAGCCCGAGGTCGAGTCCGAGGTCGAGCCAGAACATGCACCTGAGCCAGACGTCAAATACCCTCAACGATTCACTACTGGCTCCCGAGTCTCCTGGGGCCACGACAAGACCCACGAATATGAAGTGCCTTCCTCCTCTGAACACGATCCAACTGATTATGACATTTCCCCCCTTGACGACCAAGCAAAGGAGTTCCCTTTGACTACCTCTGGAGATGAGAAGAAGCCTGTTAGTAAAAATGATTTCGGTGATGATATTGAGTTTGCTGCTATCATCGCCGCTGGAACCGAAGCAGCCGGATTCGATCCTTCTGTCGTCCTCAACGACCCCAAGTATCACACACGTACCTCTCCTCCTGGGTCTGAGGATGAGGGAATGTTTTCTCCTCGCTCGAAGTGGAACGACGAGAAGGAAAAGCCACATGGCTTTGTCGAAGGAGAAGTTGAGAGCCATGAGCTTGATCAGTCCAAGGATATTCAACCTCTCCAGCATGTGATTGAGGACAAACCTTTCTACTCCGAGCCTGAGTACATCACAAAGGACCAAATTCCATCATCCGAAACTCGCGAGAGGGGCTCAATTGCCCAACGGGTCATGGAAGAGTTGGATAGGAAGGCCTCACCGCCCAGCTACGCTGAGCATGATGTTTTCTCCATGCCTGGTGGGTTTGACACTCCCGCTGAGCCTCGCGAACCTGTGCAGTCTCGTGATGACTCTCGATCCGTTGTCTCTGCTCCTGTTGGGAGAGAAATTGAGAAATCCAGAAAATCTCGCCCTAGTGGCGATGAATTCGATTTGTCTCGTGATATTGCGCCGGCCGTCCTCGAAGGTGCCGAAGCCATTGATGATGAAGAGAAGAAAAAGCATCGCAAGCGTCGCTCTAAGCGCGACAGTGACACATATTCAGTTGGTGCTGAATCTGTCGTCACTGTGGATGATGATGATGATGACAAGTCTGAGCGTCGTAGACGCCGTCACCGCTCCTCCCGAGACGACATTGACGATGCGGCATCCACATTCACCGTTGAAGACGATGATGGAAAATCTGAGCGCCGCAGACGCCGTCACCACTCTTCTCGTGACGATGACGATGCTGCATCCACATTCACTGTGGACGATGATGACAAGTCCGAGCGTCGTAGACGGCGTCACCGCTCTTCCCGCGACGACAACGATGATGCGGCATCCACATACACTGTTGAGGATGATGATGGCAAGTCTGAGCGCCGTAGGCGTTCCCACCGTTCCAAGCATGGTGATGACGATGATGATGCGCGATCAGTACGTTCTACCCGGTCTACAGGCGAGGATGATGGGAAGTCCGAACGCCGCACGCATAGTCGCCACTCCTCTCGGGACAGTCTAGTCGAAGACCGGGATAAGCGTCGGAGCAAGGACGACAAAGAAAAGTCTGGTGGCATCTTGCGCAGTCTTTTTGGTTCTCGGGTCTCGGCACCAGAAGAGCGACGTTCATCTTCTCGATCTTCATCGCTTGACAAGCGCGTGTCTCGGGATGCTGTCTCTGAAGCTGGAGTTGATGATGAAAAACGTCGACGCAAGAAGCGCTCATCAAGCTCTAGACACAGCTCCAGTGGAGACAAGTTGGAAGGTTATGACTCGGACAAGGTAAGTGTGAAGGATGACGCAAATCTGGAGGAGTACAGATCGAAGAGGCAAGAGAAGGAAGAGCAGCGTCGACAACGTTATGGTGACATTGTCGACTCGGGGAGACGTCGGGAATCTGAGAAGGTATAATATTTTGAATTTCTTTCTTTGTTAACTTATTGATCATGTCGCCCGTTTTTTGTACACTGTTATGTGCCATATAGTTGCGTTTCCTGGATGGTTGCAGTCACTCTGATTTATCCAATTGCACAAAAACACATGAAACCCCAAAACAAAAAAAGAAATTATACTAAGCATTCTTTTGGTATTACTCCATGTGCAGGACGGGAAACGATCGGAATATAATGACGACAGCGACAAGTCTTTTTTAGGGGATCGCCCCGAAATGCTACCCGCGGCTGAGCGCGATGAACACGGTGCTTCGGGGCTTGAGGAGACGGCAGAGGGTGCAGCTATTGCAGCTGCTGGTTTAGCATTGGGAGAAGAGCTCTTCCGACAGCGACCACGAAGCCGTTCGACTTCCCCCCGTGCAGCAGAAAAAGCCCATGACCTCGCCCCGAAGTCCCAGAGTAGACCGTCTTCTCCGGAGATGTCCCGAAACCAGGATCAACCACGACGGATGTCCCTCAGCCGATCGACAGAGTCGCCAACTGCAGTGCCTTTGCATTTCCGTCGACCTCCGATGTCCCCTGGTCTGCCTCGCTCAGTGCCATCGGAGACCACAACGCCGCCTAGCTCGACCGGCTCTCCAACCCAATCCCGCCATCGCCGTCCCAAGTCCGTGGAGATGTCTGGGGAAATGCGCCCTCTGTTCCTAGTGGAACGACATGGAGCAGCCAAGGTGGAGCCAGAGGTTGATGAAAAGCTACCCTCACTTCCATCTAGCAAGGCTTCTTCACGAGCTCCGTCTATCGAGAATCTCAGGGAACTTAATGACGAAGATGCTGTCAGAAGCTGGGAGCCTCTCGATCCGAGTCCCTTGATTGAGAGCCGAAGACCGACTGGTCTGAAAATCTCCACTGAGCAAGCCAATGAACGTGAAGTAGACTACGATGTTCTTGGTTCGCAACAAGTGACACCAACAGCACAGAACTTCGGTGAAGCTTCAGAATCGGCGAAAAAAGAGAAGCGGAAGCCTGAATTTTATTCTCCATCCGATCTCCTCCGAGACCCTACAGCTTACCCAGATCCTTCCTCATCAAACATTGAGAATCTGCCTTCCCCCGAAGGGTCTGTGGTTACTGTCAGAGACCACCCCGAACATGCTGGTGCTGATAAAGAGCGAGAGCTTGAACTTGAAGTTCCGCAAGACGCCATTACCCAGCCCTCAGAGGAAAGTTCTTCTTTAGAAAAGTCCCTGCCTGACACCACTGGTCCTGGGTTCGCCGGACTTGTCGATGCTGCTGTTATTGCTGCTGCCAAGGATGATAGCATGTGTGTTGAATGCACCGATAAAGAAGTTTCTGAGCCTGTCGCCCAGCCGGACGATCATCATACTGCCGATGTTGCTGACAATACAGTGACTGCGAAGTCTTTGCCCGAAACAGACTTTGAATCATCCGTTGCTTCTGGAACCAGAATTTCGGGATTTTCTGATGTGGTCGACGCTGCTGTTGCTGCCCAGGCATCCTCCAATGACAAGCCTGTGGATGAAGAGCTAGGCGAGCCTGGCACAGCAATTGAAGAAAAGCCACCCACCCAACTTGAGCTCGAGCCACCAGCTGAATCTGAAGCAAACAGGGACTTGGTTTTCGAGTCATCTGATCAGCCCATTGAGCCATCACAGCCAGAGGAGGAGCCGGTCGTCGACGAGACAAAGGAGACAAAGTCTCAAAAGAAGAAGAAGAAAAAGGCAAAGAAGAAGCAGGCCGAGGAAAGCGCTGACTTGCCGTCCGAGCCTGCCGCGACCAGCGAAGAACAGATTCCCGCGCTGGATGCCACAGAAGGCGAATCACGCTCCCTTGAGCCCGAACCAACAGTTGTTGCTGAGAGCGAAGGTCTTTCCGAGCCCCAGCCTGAAGCTGTACCAGTGGAAGCGCCAAGAGAACTCGAGGTGGAAACCGCACCTCTTGAGTCGACCGAAGCCTTGACATCCACCGATGAACAGCGTCCACCCACTGCCGAGCCTGATTCAATTTCTTCTATACCGGTTGATTCTGAGTCTTTGGAGCCCGCTATTGCTCCCGAGTCCGAGGCACAGCCCGAGCCTGAAGCTGCTGTGACCGATGCCGTTACCGATGACCAGCCCGAAGAGTCTGCAGGCCTATCTAAGAAGGAGGCTCGAAAGAACAAGAAGAAGAACAAAAAGAACAAGAGCGTTTCTTCTACTACTGTCGAAGAGGATGCTCCCCGAGATGTTGCGGAAGAGCAGCCACAAGAGACAGTGCCTACTTCCTTGGAAAGTCAACCTCAGCAGGAAGACCGAGAGCTCACCACTCAAACCGAGGATATTCTTGAGACTAGCGAGGTCCCAGCCGTGGAAGGATCTACAGAGAAAGATACTACCCAAAATTCAAGCGTTGCTGATGCCCCTGTGCAATCCGAGCAAGAATCATCCGAGTTCCAAGATTCTTGGGAGATGGTAGAGCCCGCAGGCGCACAAGAAAACACAGAGGAACAAATTGCTCAAGATATGAGCATGTCGACTGACTCATTCACGGCCATCGAAGCACCCACACCAGAGTTGCAGGAAGCTGAGGCCGCAGAGCAAACCAAGGATATTTCATTGCCTGGAGCTACTCCTGGTGTTGTCGCCACCCCAGAAGAGACAGCTGAGACAGACTCGGATGCTTTCCACGAAGCAGTTGAGGAGCAGACTACTCTGAATGAGGAAGGGAAGAGCGTTGAGATTGAGCCTTCGACTGAAGCTGTTGCAGACGCAGCCACTCCAGCCCCTGCCGAGCCTGAAGAAATTAAACCAGAGGAGAGTTCAGAGACACAGTCAAAGAAGAGCAAGAAGAACAAGAAGAAGAACCGCAAATCTGTGGTCTTTGACGAGGCAGACGCTCCCCCTGAGCCTCAACCCTCTTCTGAATCTGAGCAGCTCACTAAAGATATCAGCCCTGAGGAATCAGCTTCTGTTGCCCCTGGTGAATTGCTAGAGTCTGGTGATGTTGAGGCACCTGAGACTCTAGAAGCTGCTAAAGACGTGCCCCTTTTAACAACCGAGGAAGCTGTTACAGAAGTGGCACCCCTGGCTTCCGAGCAGGATGTCGCAACTCAAGAATCCGAGCCTACTCCAACGTCCCAGGTCGATGAAGAACCGACAACTTTCAATGAGCCCGTCAAGGAAGCTCAGGAAACACAGGACCAGCCCGCTGCCATTGTTGAGGCGGAGCCTGAAGTCCCCTTGACTGCAGCACAGAAGAAGGCTGCCAAGAAGGCCGCTAAGAAGAAGGCAAAGCAGGAGAGCGTTTCTTCTATCTCGGATGAGCAGACCCCGGCTGAGGGTCCCTCCACCGAGAGTCAGCCAGCTGAACCTCAGATCGATGAGTCCGTCGAGACCCAAGTGACACCCCTAGTCTCCGAAGAACCTGCTGCAGATGTTCCAGCCTTGGTTCCCGAGCAGGAAGTAATGACTCAAGAGCCTGAGCCTACTCCATTGGATCAAGCCGTTAATGAAGAACCGACAACTTTCAATGAGCCCGTCAAGGAAGCTCAGGAAACACAGGACCAGCCCGCTGCCATTGTTGAGGCGGAGCCTGAAGTCCCCTTGACTGCAGCACAGAAGAAGGCTGCCAAGAAGGCCGCTAAGAAGAAGGCAAAGCAGGAGAGCGTTTCTTCTACCACGGATGAGCAGATCCCGACCGAAGTTCCCTCTACCGAACCTCAAACCAATGAGCCTGTTGAGTCCCAGGTGACAGAAACAGCCGAGCTGGTCCCGGAAGCTGAGGCTGCACCTGTCGACGAAGTAAAGGAGATTCCAGCCATTGAAGTCGGCCAGACAGAGAACGAGGAGGCCAGGGAGTTGCAAGCTGAACCCGAGGCTGCGCCAGTCGACGAATTAAAGGAGCCTCCAGCCATTGAAGTCAGCCCGGCAGAGGTTGAGGAGACTAAAGAGCTGCAAGCTGAACCTGAACCCGAGCCTGTCCAAGAGCCCCAGCCCGAGCCTCCTATGGACACTGTTGCAGAGACTCCTGTCCCTGAAGCTCCCCAGGCAGAAATCGAGGAGACCAAGGAGCCAGAAGCTGCACCTGAACCTATCCTGGACACCGCTGTGGAAACTCCTGCTCCTGCTCAGCCCACTGAAGCCGAGTCCGTTAAGGAGGTATCTGAAGTGCCCCAAGATAACCCAGAAGTTGAGCAATTATCCGAAGAGCCTCCGGCGGGTCTGTCAAAATCCCAAAAGAGAAAATGGAAAGAAAGGCAACGGAAATTGCAGCAGCAGAGTATGAGCTCCGCCCCCGAGACACCTGCAGCTGAGTCCGGCCCCGAGCCCGAGACTCTTGCCGCTGAGCCAAGCAATGAGACTGGAGCTGCTTCGACAGAAGCCCCAGCTCCGGAGGCCACATCTGAGCCTACGACCGAAATCCCCGCAGATTCCAGTAAGGATGTCCAAATTTCGGTAGAGAGCGAAGCTGTCGAATCAAGCAAGGATGCTGATGCTGAGGCGCCTGCGAACGAGGAAGCTGCACTGCCTACCACTGATGTTGACGCTTTGGAGCCTAGCCAAGATACTCATGCTGAGCCCATGGCTGAAGCTCCCGTCTCCGAAGAGGTCCCTCCCGTTACTGACCTAGCCCAAGAGGAGGAAATTCAAGCCGAACCCGAAGAGACTCAACAACCCAAGGAAGATGAATCAATCATGCTTCCTGCGGAGGAGACTCTGACTGACTCTCATGAGGCTAAGACTCCACGTGAAGAGCCTGAAGCACCTGCAGTTGAATCCGAACAGCCAATGTCAGCCGCTGAGAAGAGAAAGGAGAAGAAGAAAAACAAGCGGAAGTCCAAGCAGCTTGAGACCCAGTCTGCTGGTGAGACTGAGCCCTCTCCTGAGCAAATAGCCACCGAAAAGGTTGAAGAACCGACCGCAGAGGCTGAAAATGCAGTCCCTGCTGAGATCCCTTCTTTTGCCGTTGACGAGACTCCAGCTGTTGTTGAGCCTGTGGTTGCAGAAGCTGTCCCAGCCGAGACAGAGCCCGAGCTTAAGGCTAACGAGAAGCCTGACTTCGAGGAAAGCCAAGATGCATCCGTCCTTGACAAGGAAGTGCCTGTAGAGGTATCGGCAGATGATGCTATTGGTCGGGCCTCTGAGACTGGGATTGAGCAAGCCGCAGATACTGGAGATGTATCTGAAGAATTGCCTTCTGAAGTCGTGAATGCCGAGACTGCCGAGACTGCCGCTGCCATTGAAGCGACAGAGGACTCAAAGGATGTTGTGTCTACAGAGGATCTACCCCCTTCCGAGGAATCCACTGATGACAAGCCTAGTTCCAATCAGCTTGCGGAAGAAACAACTACAGGTGAGGAGCCACCATCTGAAGCTCCTCCCAAGGAACCCGCTGCCCCAGTTATCGACAGTGCACCTGTCGAGCAGGCCGAGGACACTGAATTGATCGCTTCAGGCTCGAAGAAGAAGAACAAGAAAAAGAAGAAGAAGGGACAGTCTACTCCTACCGAGCAAGAATCTCAGGCCGACTCCCAGGAGCCTTCTAAGGAAGAGCCAGTTGCAGATGAGCCAGCTGCTGATGAAACTGTTGCCGCCGAGCCTGCTGCCGTTGAAGAAGCTGTTGCCGTCGAAGCTGCTTCTGTTGAAGCTACTGCCGAAGGACCTGCTGCCGATGAAGCTGCGGCCGTCAAAGATATCGTACCTACTCGCGACAACAATGTGGCTGTTTTAACAGAAGAGCCAGAGAGCACTGAAGAGTCCAAGCCACAAGAGGACCAAACAGAAGTTCTCGCAGTCGAACAGCCAAGCGCCGAAGCTGAACCAACCGAGTCTGAGCCTGCCTCCAAGAAGTCAAAAAAGAAGAAGAACAAACGCAAGTCCGTCGCTTTTGAAGACAGCAATGATGTGACCCAAGCCGATACTCAATCAGAACAAGAGCCCTCCAAGGAGGTCATTCCGAGTGAGGACACACCCGAAGAGCGTGTGCTGACAGAAGAACCTGCTCAAACGACGTCAGAGAAAGAGATGACCGAGCCCGACACTACGATTGAGGAAGCTCCAAGGGAAGAAGTTGAGCCAGTTGAAGCTGTCCTAGCCAGCGAACAGGCCCCCGAAGCTGGCATCCAAGAGCCTAGTACATCGGAAGCTCCCAAAGAGGTCGAGGATGCATCAGCCGCTGTCCAACTCGATGAACAGTCTGAGGCCATGACTACCACTGCAGAGGTCGAAGAGGAGGACCCTGAATTTGCCAATTTGTCGCCCAAAGAGAAGAAGAAGCGCAAGAAGCAGAAGGAGAAGGAGAGGAAGAAAATGGCCAAATCTTTGGATTTGACTGCAGAAGAGCCTTCTACGCCGACAGAGACGCCCCAGGAACCAGAATCTGAGGCTCTTCAAGCTCAAGATGATCAGACTGCCGCGCTAGAGGACAGCAAGATCGCCGAGGTCATTGGTACAGACGCTGCTGAAAAAGAAGCCGCCTATGTCCAGCCAGAGGTGGAGAAGAACGAATACCCCCTGGACGATCAACTCATTGAGCCCGAGACAACTACGAGTGTGGAGGAGACTATCAGTAAGGAAGCAACGGAGCCAGCTCACCTGTATGAGCAACAGCTGACCACGATCATAGCCGAGCCATCAGCGGAAGCAGATGCCCCGAAGGAGCCAGAGGGGCCTTCCGAACCTACCACCGAGGCAGAGCCCGACACCGAAATGACTGCCGAGGAGCGCCGCAAAGCCAAGAGGGCGGAAAAGAAGAAGAAGCGCAAGTCAAAAAACCTCAGTACTGATGAGGGCCCCGCTGAATCCGATCCCACCGACGCTACAACCATCGCGCAAGATGCCGAAAAAGATACCACGGGACCCAATACATCCGTGACGGCTCCCTCGCCTGCGGAAGATGACGGTAAAGAACATCAGTCCCACGACATTGGAACGCCCGACGTACCGGCACAAAGTTTGACTTCGACTGATGACATCGTATCTTCGCAGGTAGAGCAGCCGCAGTTAGATAATCTTTCTGATTACCCTCCCCAACCCGTGCTTGAGCGTTCGAAGGATTTTGGCGAAGCAGATGATGGTGATGAGAAAGGAAATGAAGAGACTGCCCCCGTTGCCTTAGCGGCAGAGGAAGCACCGGCTTCAGAGGAGAAGGAGGTTGGTGTTGAAGAAGTTGTGGAAGAGAAGGTAGATGAAACGTTCGAGAAAGACTTGGAAAATGTATTAAAGGAGGAGGAATATGGAGAAGAAAATGTTGAAGCTGTTGTTTTGGAGGAGCCATCTATGGAAGATCAAGAGATGACCGCCAACCAAGAGTCTGCACTAGAGGTGCCCGAAGAGACGCCTGCTGAGACCACTAGGGACACTGCTGCTTCCATTGTCCCTGAGCCGGCTGCAGTTGAGGAGCCGGAGACGTCCAAGAAGCAAAAGAAAAAGAACAAGAAAAACAAGAAGATGCAACAAGAGGAAGAAAGCATTGAAGCAGAGCCTTCCGCCGAGCCAGAAGCGTCAGCTGCTGAGGACAAAGAACAGTCAGAGACTGTGCCTTTTGCCCTGGAGCAAAATAAGACCGAGGAGATCCCCGAACTGGAGTCCGCCCCAGCTATTGAACACGTTCCAGTTGATCAGGACCAGCACACTGGCGATGTACCTGAGCCCCAGCCAGTCGAAACCGTTGATTCTCCCAAGGAGATTGAGGATGTCGAGGAAGCCGAAGCCCAAACCCAAGAAAATGCTCAAGGTGAGGATTTTGAGCCTTCTACCACAGGTATCGAACTCCCCGATAAACATCCGGATGCGCAGAATACGCCAGAGGCAGAAGATGCTGTTAATGCTAAGGAACCCGCAATCCTACCTTCTGAAACGGTTGAGGAGACCAATGATCCTGCCCCGAAGGCCGCTGAAGAGGAACAGCCGCCAGGTGCAAGCGATGAAGTTAAATCTGTTGAGGCGTTCACTGAGGTCCCATCCCAGGAGACCGCAGTAGAGCAATCAAAAGAAGCTCCGGCTCCAAGTCCGGAAACGCTAGAAGAGACAGCTGCTGTGGACCCCGTCGCGGAAGAATCTGTTGATGAGTTCAAGGGCTTGAGCAAAAAGCAGAGGAAAAAGAAGATGGCAGAGAAGGCTGCCGCTGCCGCTGCCGCTGCTGCCGCCGCCGCCGCCGCCGCTAGTGAAGCCGAAAAAGAAGTTGAACCACTTCCTATTAATGAAGTTTCGACTGCTGAGCACGTCCCAGAGCCTACCGAAGAAACGCCTCAACTGGAAGAAGATGTGCAGCCTGCAACGGATGATCAATTGCAGCCCGAGTCTGCCGACATGAATACTAGCGAGCAGCCAGTACCATTGGTTGCGGAGCCTGCCGAGGATGTTGCCGACAAGTCATCAGAGACACCTCTCCAGCCGGTTCAAAACGCCGAAGAAGAAACAGTTGTGGCCGCACCTGAGCTCTCGAAGAAGGAAAAAAGGAAGGCCAAGAAAAAATCCAAACAGGGGTCTGCTGAACTGACTACCGATCTCAACGAGGTAGCAGCCCAAGCTTCGGAGGCTGAAAGACCCGATACTACTTTAAGCGCTGAGGCGCCTGGTACAGATGAGCCAAAAGAAACTGTGCCTGAGCCAGAGCTTGAGCTCCTAACTGATAAACCCTCTGAGCTCAACACGCGGGAGATTGAGCAGATTGAGTCTTCCACAAGTCGCGATTACGGAGAGCCTGCAGAGGAAGCTGTGGTTCAGCAAGAAGATGAATCTCAGAAGACGGATACCGTCGCTCTGGCGGGTCCACTTGATTTGGCCTCGTCGGCTGAGGCTGATGTGCAACACGCCTCTGTTGAGCCTGCCCAGGATGCCGCTCAGGAGGTTGCTTTCGAGAGGGATGAGCAAATCGACGGGGAGGAAGCTGAGATCCAAGCACAAGCCTCCGAGCAAGAGGAAAAACTTGTGACCGAAGAGTCTTTCGGAGATTTGCCTAGAGATATGCCTCAACGGGCTGAAGGCATTGTGCTTGATCCAAAGAAATTGTCCAAGAAGGAACTACGCAAGGCCAAGAAGAAGGGTCTTCTGTTGGAAGATTTGCCGGTGGATCAGGAGGAGCAAGTTATGCCGGAAAGCTCTACTACAGTGTCTAAGGATGCAGAAATCCCGCCACTGGAGCCCTCTGCGGAGATTGAAGAAGTTCCTTCTCATGAAACGCAGCCCACATCCGAACCTGCGCCGCCTAGAGAGCAAGAAGTCCAGCCCTTGACAGAAGTTGAAACTTCTACGGAGTCAGCACCAATCCTCTCTGAGCCAACGGCCGATGAGCCAGAACTCTCGCTCTCACGGAAAGCTTCCAAGGCTTCAAAGAAAGCAAAGAAGGCCAAAAAGGGCCAAGCCTTGGACTTTGAACTACCATCCAATGTGACCGATGATCAGGAGCTCCCATTGTCCACCGACAAAGAACTGTCTTTCAAGGAAGAGCCCAAGCTTGAAGCTCCGATGCCAGATGAGACAACACAAGATGACGAGTGGCCCAGAATTGAGTGGGAGCAAGGCAAATCTACAAATACAGCTTCTTCTCATGATCAAACTGCTGAGCCTGAACCTGAGCCCGTTGCTGCCATTCCAGCCTCTGACGCCATTGAAGAGTACGATGAGCATGCTATTCCAGCAGCATTGCAGGAAGCCAAGGAGCTACAGACAGTATCGGATGAACCCCTGAGTAAAAGTGCCAAAAAGAAGGCTAAGAAGAATAAAAGGAAGTCCGAGCAAGCAACACTGGCAGAGCCCGCTGAGTCTGTACAGGAGCCCTCCCATGCGCAGGCTGACCTAGCCACTGAATCGACACTTGAGCCACTCGCAGATGTCTCGGCCTCCCGCGAGATTGAAGTTGAGCCTCCCGCCAGGTCTTTGACCCCCGGAGGATCCAGCGTTGCAAACCTTTTCCCTGGATTGCCTCGGGCAGGATTTCGACTGAAGAAGACAGCTGCGTCGGTAAAAGATAGTGCTGAGGATGAGACGACAGAGGACTTGCAAGCCAATCGCGATATCGCGATTCCCGTCTCGGAAGCACCCCCGACCACCGAACCCAAAGAGATCCTCAAAACCAGCGCTGACGCACTCCCCGAGACTACGAATGAGACTAGCTTGGCTTTGGAGCAAGCTCTCTCGCCAACGGAGGTTACTTCTACAGAGAAACCTACAGAGGAGCCAATATCCCCAGTGTCTCGTGAGCTTTTCTTGGAGGAAACAGCTTCAACACCGGTGCCCTCTGCACCAAGAGAACAATCTCCTATGCTTTTTAGCTCATCTCCGCCTACTCGCGCGGAAGAGCCATCTTCGCCCCCGCATCTCCTGCCATCCCAAATGGAGGTTGCCGATGAATCTGCATGTGAATTGCGCCGAACTACCTCCGTCATCCACGGTAGACACCAGCATACTCCCCGCACTTGGAACTTGGAAGAGCAATCCATTCCAGCTATGGCCCCTTCACCACCTCGGTCTCTATTCGGAGGACCATTTGGAGAGCACGATTCAATCTCTCGGCCCCGTACTCCACTAGGCACGATTGCGGAGCAAGAACCAGGGGACGGACACAAAGGTACCACGGCTCAGCACGGGACGCCCCGCCTAGAGATCAAGCCAGAGCATGTCTTACGACCTGTTACTCCAGAGCGACCTGTTCCTACAGCACGAAGTATTTCCCCCGTGCGGAAGTTTACAGACAACTCCCACGGGCGGGGACGATGGCCGACACCAGAAAATGAAACTCGTCGCAGCCAGGAAGATTTGAGCAGAAGTCGCAGCGGCGGCGAGTCCCCTATTCTAAAAACACCCGAGCAGGGGATGCCGGTGTTGAGACCCTCTGGTAGCAAGGGCACACTGCGTCGCACGAATCGGAGTACGAGTAGCGATCTGCGGGCGGCTAGTCGTGCGCTAGACGCCCAGCCTCCCTCAAATCTCGATCTCGATCAGCTTCCTTCCTCTTCCTCTTACGACCCCGTCACCGACAAGGGCAAGCGTCCTATGCGCAACATGTCGGATGTCTACGTAAGTTGAGAATTATTGATTGTTATTAGTCTTTGCCTATTTTGATTTTCAATTTATTTGGTGTTTGTTTGTTTACTAATCTTTTCTACAGGAAGGATGGGGTGAAACTCCCAGTTCCCCGCGGTCGCCCAGCCGACCGCCTAGTGTCCGTCATCGCCGAAGCATCCAACACTTACAAGATCTTGAATCTCGTCTCGACCAATTGATTTCAGACAACCGTTTACTCGCCGCTGCTCGAGATGAAGCTGAAGATAGACTGCGCAATTCCAGCGTCGCTCGGCGGAAAAGCGATCAAGCCCTCTACACCAGTGGCGCCGACTTGCGAGACAGCAAAGCCGAGATCGAACAATTGAAGAGCTCTGTGGACTGGTTGCAAAAGGAAACGACTCGCCTCACACAGGAGAACGAAGGCCTAACTGCATCCAATGCTGCCCTCGCCGCTGCCCATGCTGCTGAGGTGAGCAAAGTGCGCGAATCGTCAACTCGCGAGCTCGATGTCCTGCGGTCGCAACATGACGACCTGTCGAGCCAGGTGGACGAGCGTGTCCGACAAGAAATCGAATCCGCTCTAGCACAGAAAGATGCTGAGTTGCGACGCCTGCGCGAAGATCTTGAAGTCGCACGCGATAAAGTCAAGGAGTTACAGCAACAAATTTCCGCCTCGGTCCATGACAACGCCCTTGTCTTCCGAGATGAGGAATTCTTCGACGCTGCATGCCAGAAGCTTTGTGGCCATGTCCAACAGTGGGTGCTGCGCTTCTCCAAGCACTCTGACCATCGTCGCTGCCGTGCTCTGAGTGAACTGCATGACGAAAAAATTGCCGACCGCTTTGATAATGCCCTCCTTGATGGCTCCGATGCTGATTCCTTGCTCTCCGATCGAGTGCGCCGCCGCGATGTGTTCATGTCGGTCGTGATGACCATGGTATGGGAATACATCTTCACCCGATACCTATTTGGTATGGATCGGGAACAACGCCAGAAACTCAAGTCTCTGGAGAAGCAATTGGCAGAAGTTGGTCCTCGTCGCGCAGTTCACCGCTGGCGCGCTACCACCTTGACCTTGCTGTCCCGGAGACCAGCATTTGCTGCCCAGCGGGACAGCGACACTGAAGCTGTTGCTTTGGAAATCTTCGGAGTCTTATCACGTGTGCTCCCACCCCCATCTCAAATGGAAGCGCAGCTGCTAGAATCCCTGCGCAAGGTGCTCCGTGTCGCTGTCAACCTTTCCCTCGAGATGCGTACTCAGCTGGCTGAGTTCATCATGCTACCGCCGCTTCAACCTGAATATGATACCAATGGGGATTTGGCCCGCCAGGTCTACTTCAATGCATCATTGATGAATGAGCGCAGTGGCGAAACTAGCTCAAATGATGAGCTGGAGGCGCAGCAAGCTGTTGTACGCATTGTTCTCTTCCCTCTCGTTGTCAAGAAGGGTAACGATGTTGGTGAGGGCGACGACGAGGTTGTCGTCTGCCCGGCTCAAGTCCTCATCGCCCGCCCTGGCAAAGACAAAAAGATCTCTCGAATGATGAGTGGTGACCGGATGTCGCTGGACGCAAACAAATCCGTTCATAGTGTGGCACCTTCCACCTTCACAATGGACATGGGCAGTAATCAGTTTTGAGGCGTCACACTCAGATTGGCTACTTCCATTGGCCATGTGCTCACCTAGATCTTGTCTATTCCCCCTTTTCTCTTTCTTGTTTTCCCTTATCTAATTCATGGTGCTATGCCACCTCGGCGTCCTGGCCTTTTGGTCTCGGTTATTCCCTCGCGCGGCTGGCCACGGGTTGATACTTCGGTATCCTGGAGTTGAATCGTTTGATTTTCTGATTTTGTGATTTTGATTTCTTTTTCTTGAGATGTGTTTGTGAATGGAAAATTAACGGCCGCTGGACATGTATTTACTATCTTTGATGTCTGATGAGTGACGAACTTGTACTTCTGGCAAGTCAATTGTAATAGAATTCTTTCTAATCATTTCTGGTCTACACTATATTATTTTGCTTCACATTCTCTTAATCCATTAGACTCCTAAAGTCTACACTAAAGATACTGTACGTGAGTAAGTTTCGCTGACCTCATCGTTCCGTTTCAGGCAATCAGGTTCCTCCGACCATGGGAAGTTACACAATCCTTTCCAACACTCTGGACTTGTGCAACTTCCCTGCTGCAAGGAGTCTATATACCTTTATTGCTTACTTTATCTATACCCTGTGAAACCTGGATTCCTCTACTTGGTCGAGTCGAGGCCCTGATGTTCCACACGATTTCGCCACACGCGTCATCGCCAGCCGCCAGCTCCAGCTCCACCTCTTATTCGAGCTTCGCGATCCTCAGCAGCTGATCTTTGATCTTGGACATGTCTACAAGCTGTAGCATTGTGAACACGTTCCCAATCCGGTCTATGTAAATCTGAGGCTTGCAATATTGGCAATTCGGTCACACCGATAGAGTCGGTGGGTGTGTCCAATCGGCGGATTCTACTACAAACCCTTCCCGGGACCAGAGACGGCCAAAGCTCACCATCTGGTCGACTATTGGACTGCTTCAACATACACTGTTGCCATGGATCCGCCTCATACACCGACTCCTGCACATGGAGTTTCTCAATCTCCACAGTCGCGCTCTTCTTCCCCTGGTGCAAGGAAGTGCCCCCAGCCAAACGACTACCCACTTCCTACTGATAGCAGATCCGGGAATGGTCCAATGGGCGGCACGGGCCAAGACCATCTTTCGGCCACGTCCACCGGGGCCCGCCTACAGACCCCCGCGCCCGATAGCGGTGCTGGCAAATCCAAGTCCAATAAGCGCAAGAACCGCAGACGCAGACCCAAAAATCGCAAGCAATCCTTCCTCACATCTGCCCCGGAAACGTCGCATGACCGGCCTGGAACCTCACCGGCAGCTGATGGTGCTAGAGAGCTGATGGAAGGCGATCGGCCAACCTCGAAGGATGGTCAGTCATTTTTCAAATTGGGTAGGAATTTAAGCAATACCAGCTTGGAGAGCGAGGCATTATTGGATCACAGGTAATTCTCCCCCACCTTCCTTCTGGAGCATCGTCAATTGGATAAATACAACCGTTGCTAATCCCACTTTCATCTCCTAAAGAGACCAACCTATGATGCGCCCCCGTCGCGACAGTCGCCAAACTTCGAATTTCCGTCCCAGCTCTCTAATATCCGGTGCTTTGCAGTCTGGCGATCTACGATCTCGACTCAGCCCTGGAGGAGGACAGTCCCAACAATACCAGGAGGAAGACAGTGACGGCTTCGAAGCCACAGACCGCACGCCTTTGGTGCGAGCTACACCAGGAGCGACATCAGGTCGGACTCGCTATGGATCAGACATGCGCACCAGTCCACTTTCCTCTCGCCCACGGAGAACATCAGGTCAAAAAACATCATCGCAATGCTCGCCGAACCAGAGCACATCCTATTTCCCCGACCAAGACCGCGACTTCGATGTTAACAACCCTCCCTCGATGCCCGGCACACCAAAGCTAGGGCCGGACATGAACTATGATGATGCTATGATGACCGGTATTGAGTTCGATTTTGCGCAGTCTATGGAAAATCACATGGACGCCTTCAATCGAGTGAATGATGCGGTGATCAATATAGACGGCTTGCCACATCAACACTCCGCGCCTTCGTCCGCTCCTGGTTCCCCTCTATATTCCCCTCATCCGGAATTCGGCTCACGACGCCACACGGTTGCAAATCTAGGTCCCCCGGAAGATGTTTGTTTGCCCCCAGATGGGTCAGAACTCGGAGATGAAAGTTTACATGTGCCGCGGGATGAGACTGGTGAAAGACGACGACGCAGACACAGACGATGGCCAGACTTATCGGTCTTGGAAGAATGGAGTCGAGAGGAAAAGGAGGAGCGCAGTGGGGATCTCCGCGTCAAAAAGATCAGCGAGCCAATGCTTATTGAGGGACGATTGCGGCCCCAATATAAGGTATGGCGCCGTGAAGAGGACGAGGCTCCTTATCGGTTCACCTACTTCAACGAAGAATTCCCGAGCACTATTCACGCACAGACTATCTCGGAGCTGGTGCAACCAGGGGGTAATTTCCGGGAACTGTTTATCCCCGACCCCCCAGAACTGGAGGATTCCTCGTCCGAGGAAGGAGATGATGAAAATCCCTCTTCCAACGATTATACTGCTGCTCATTCCTTCTATCCTGGTGGCAGTGGACCCCGCGTAGCTACTTCGCATGAAGAACTACGTGCTACGAATGGTGGAACTGGCCCGGGAGTATCAAACAATACCAAGGATGGCTATAATGCAACTCCAAATTCCACAGCTGAGACCAAAGGACATCAGCCGCGTTTGTCTGTCATCAGTGAGGGACACCCAGAATCCAACCGAGGCATCTCGCCGTCATATTCAAACAACGGCGTGAAGCCCAAGCGGTATGGGCCTCGGCCAACATTCTGGCTAGATGTTCTTTCGCCAACTGATGCGGAAATGCGAGCCATTGCAAAAGCATTTGGTATTCATGCCTTGACTGCCGAGGATATCATGATGCAAGAGGCGCGGGAAAAGGTAGAGCTGTTCCGCAGCTACTACTTTGTGAACTACCGCACCTTTGAACAGGACACCAATAGCGAAGACTACCTCGAGCCTGTCAATATGTACGTGGTTGTCTTCCGCGAGGGAGTAATTTCCTTCCACTTTTCGCAGACGCCCCATCCCGCCAATGTACGGAGGCGTATTAGGCAGCTCATGGACTACTTGATTCTCAGTTCTGACTGGATCTCCTATGCGCTGATCGATGACATTACTGATGTTTTCGGTCCACTTATTCAAGCCATCGAAGATGAAGTCGACGAGATCGATGAGATGATCATGCAAATGCACTCATCCAGTAAAGAAGGATCATCGAATGACAACGTGCTTCCCTCGTTTGCACCTGGTGAAATGCTTCGACGGGTGGGCGAGTGCCGCAAGAAGGTGATGGGACTCTACCGGCTGCTCAGCAACAAGGCCGACGTGGTTAAAGGGTTTGCGAAACGATGCAACGAGCAGTGGGAAGTGGCACCCAAATCCGAGATTGGCCTGTATTTGGGTGATATTCAGGACCACATCATGACCATGACAGGCAACTTGACGCACTATGAAACGTAAGTTTGACGCTCTCGAACCTTAGATCATGCATTTCGTATTGGGTTCAACATGTCGCTAACATATTTTACAGGATACTTTCTCGGGCGCATTCCAACTATCTAGCGCAGATTAACATCCTAATGAATGAGCGCTCGGAGCAGACTGCTGATGTTTTGGGCAAATTGACTGTATTGGGTACCATTGTTCTCCCCATGAATATCATCTGTGGTATGTGGGGTATGAACGTCAAGGTGCCGGGCCAGGATATCGATAATCTTTCTTGGTTCTGGTCGAGTAAGTCTTTCCTGTCCCTTTGCATTCATCTCTAACATGTTATAGTTACGGCCGGTTTGTCCGTCTTTGCATTGCTTTCATTTGTGATCGCCAAACGAGTCTACAAGATTGTGTAGACGAGGCTGCTCTCCACAAATCTGAAAATTATAGATACCTTGGTTGTATTCTCGCTTGGATATGTGATTCTTAAAATTTCTTTTCCCTTCTCCTGTACACGGAATATAGGGTGGCTCAGAGCATGCGGCGGCGTTGGGTTTGTGACGATATACGGGTCACACATTACGGGTTTTCTCATTTCTGCCAAACCTTTTCTTGTACACTATGTTGTGTTTGGTGTTTCTAGAATTGTATATAACACCCAATTTGGAACTAATCGAAAGATGTTCAGGCATTAGATCTACCAGTTGGCGAGATATATGCGTGCCATACCTATCCCAAGGTTCGGGGGGGAAGCCTAGTCAATACTTTTGTAGTCCACATCACATACGACATAGAAATTGTATCTTGTCGCACGCTTAAAACTTCATGAAATTCCTTCCATCATTATCTTACCTTCGTTCCTTGCTTGAACCACACATACTAGGGAATAATAGATACCTCACATGTAGTCCTGGAACCTAAGCAGGTACCAGGAACCACAGCACAAAACAATCGGTACGGTATCACTGGCTGCCTGGCACTTACATACTTTAGTGATGTTCTGATGTCTAGCTTTCGAAGCTATTCCTACAGTAGGTTGGATACAATCAACTAGCGTTTGGGCTATCCAAAATCCGGTTCCTAGGTGATGGAGCCTACTGTATTGAATTCGGCTATTTCCACTAATTATGAAGTCATCGTGAATAGTGTGTATTGCGGATACCGTGGTAATTCCGATCAAACCCGGGTTTTTGGTGGTGGGTGGCTGTTCGGCTGCCCTGTTTTATTACATGTATTACCGGCGGTGCGTCATCCTCGCGTTTTGCATCTCCCCAGATTCCAGATTTTGCATCTCGGCTTGTATCAACTCCAACGCTCTTTCGCTTTCTTTCGTTACTTTGATTATACCATTTCTGACTATCTCCACTTGCAATCCACATCATTCCAGTGAATTCCAAGGCCCGCATATCCCTTCTAGACCCATCCGCGTGGTCCCCTGCAGTGCAAGTGCCCCTTCGACCCTGACGTGGACAACGATCATTGGTCTCATCTCGGGCCCGGCCCTGACTCCCTCCACTTGTCAGCCACGACAACAGTTTTCACCCGAGGTCTTGGTCACCGACATCTCTGCAGGCGCATTCGGCAACGGGTGGACGCCACATCTCCTCACTTCTTACACAACAAGGAAACTGGTCCAACGTCGAGCCGGATCGGCGGCCCCCATCAGCCCCCATAATCCCGCCAACCAGCGTCTGGTATTGTCCGGAACCACCTTGTTCTAGACGTTCTTGTTTTTCTGGCTTCTGTGGGAAACAAAGCATGCGCTTTTCCAATCCAAAGCACTGCTCCATCGCGTATCCACTATCCACACCGAACTCCTCACCCTGCACTTGGTGCAATTAAATCCACCCCATCGTTTACAGTCCTCCCTTTCCGTTTTTCCGTGAGCATGTGGATATCGGCTATTTACTTTGCTGCACTGTCACTCGTGTAACAAGGTCCATTATCTCTGCAACATATCCTCGCTTGTAAACCGCGGCAATCCCTCATTCGCTCCTGTCTGGTTGCCAACAACTCATCTTTCACCGTCGACCCTTCCCTACCTACGTACCTACGGCTGCACCTTGCTTATTTGGTGCCCTTTTTGGGACTTTCATTCCTGCCCAACTTCTCCCGGCTCCCTCTCGGTCTCCTGACTTGTCTGCATCGGTCAGCACATTATGGCTGCGGAATCCGAGAGGCCGCCTTACTCCAAAGGTGACCCCGGTCGAACCAGAGGGCCCAGAGATGCGGAGACTGCTTCGGATCCCGCGTGTCGGTCGGCCAGGGAAGACATGACAGAGCTACCACAGTCCATGAAAGCCCATGGTCAGGTTATGTCGCAGATGCCTAAGTTCACCACCTCCAATATCCCTACTTCTTTTTCGACCTCTACAACCAACTCCGCCGTCTCGTCTCGCGAATCCTCCCCTGTCCGAATCTCCTCACGCAAGCTCAATTCGTCAACCACTTCTCGAGTGCACTCTCAATCTCGACGAAGCAGCCAAGATCGAAATAGTCCAACCCGATCGTCCTCTAACAGCAACTCCTCGGGCATACCTATACAATCTTTCACCTCGCCCAGCCCACGTCCGTCGGCGCAACTTAACAACCCGCCGATCTTTTCACCTCCTCCTGCCCCCGATCCTCCGGCCAATGTCCTCAGTCCTGAAAAGCCTAACATGCCATCATGGGCGGGAAATCGTCGTGCAGAGCATGAATCGACTCCTCCAAATACCTCTCACAAGAGGACCGCTCTGCCGCCTCCCGAGGAACATGGAATGGTGGAGCGGAGCACACCTCGTGTGGCTCCCAGGGGGGTCAGTGGACAAGGTCCCTCCCTGGAGACAGTTGAGGAGATGGCTAGTAATCCTTCGACACCCTCGAGTGATACAATTATCAAACCCGTGACTCCAGAAGATTCCCGGTTACACACGATCGATGAAGACCCAACGCCTCGGGCGTCAAAACAAAGTGTTGAGAGTGGGAGTGAGAGTGGTGGTACTCGGAGCTCAGAGCAGGCAGAAGACGGGCGCTCTCAAGCTACTGGAGGGGCCAAGACCCCGAAGACCCTCATGCCGCAGCGGTCAACTACCTCACTAAGCGCTGGTGCTCGCGGGAAGCCTGCTGATGGCTCGGTGCGTAATATGATTGTGGAGACCGAGACAGTCAGTTCAATCCCACAGGTGTCATTGGGAGTTGGGGCTGGCGAACGTGGAAATGCCGGTCGCGCTGAACAGGGCACTCTGAAGAACAAGAAATCGACCGATACAGTCAGGGCGCCAGTGGCTCGCAGTAATCCTCAGAAGAGAAAGCGAAGAACCAATCCTATTCAACCAGGTCCTACATCAAGCAAGGCAGATATATTTGAAGCCAAAGTTGCTAGTGCCGTGGACGAGGCGGACGTTTCCGATTCTGACGAAACATTCGTCTATGAGTCGAACCCGATAGATTATCCTCCTCGACGATACCATTCTCGGACGCCAAGCGCAACCTCAATGGCCAGCCAGGTAGATCAACTGGCTGGCCGAAGCCGTCTGCGAGAGGGTGTACACAGCGTGACTGGGAAGCGCAGCATGAAATTCACCAATAATACGTATAACAGCAGCTTGGATGGTGAGGCGATCGAGGCGGATGGCCGAGGCGCCTCCAGGGTGGATGGTAGCGGAACAATCACTCCACGGCACCATATTGCGCACCGTAATCGCAATGGCGATCACAGGTCTATCTTCGATAGCGATGGACCGTTTACTCAACCTCAAAGCCAGAAATCTCCCCGGCATTTTATTGGTGGACAGCGTCATTCACGAAACACCAACACTCGGTCGTCACCGAACTACAAGACCATCAATGGGTCCAAGAAAGCAGGCGAAATTTACGGATATGACTTTGATGCAGAAGGAGCTGACGATGAACGAACACCTTTGGTCCGTCCACCACGCAGTAGTCGAAGTGAACGCAGTGGCCGACGACCCGGTGGTAGCTCGCGGCAAGTTGAGTATATCACTCAACGAGAACGTGGATACTTCTCGCAGCTTGGATCATGTGTCGTGATTATCTTGCTATTACTCATCATTGCTGGTGGTGCAACCTCGTTCTTCTTCGCTGCTACCAAGTCACTTCTGGACGTGCAGGTTGTGGCCATCCAAAATGTTCTTGCGTCGGAACAAGAGATAATGCTGGATCTGAATGTGTCCGCGGTCAACCCGAATATCTTCCCTGTGACGATCGATGTCGCTGAACTCAACATTTTTGCCAGAAGTAAACATGTTGGTACAGACAAATTATGGCGCGAACATGACTCAGATGAGCTCGATCATTTCCCTCGAGTCAAAGAAAGCCGACGCCGCTGGCAGTTGTCCCAGATTGTTCAATGTCTTGGGGACATGGATTGCGTACAAGCGGCCGCGTCTGGTAATACTTGGTTCAAGTCAAAGAAGGATAAGGAGCACAGTAAAGATGGTGTCGACAGGGGCACTGATCCTATCAAAGACCCAGATCATGATTATCAGACCATGTTGCTCGGTCGAGTCATGGTCTTTGATTCCCCACTCTCTTTCCCGGCATCTCCTTGGAGTTACCAGGAGTCTACTTCCAAGGGACAGCTTCGTCTACCTCGGCCAGGCAACAAAACAGAAGAAGGCGGCACCGAGCGTTGGGAGCGAGTTCTTCAGCACCCGTTCGAGCTGATCGTCCGGGGTGTCATCAAGTACCAAATTCCGCTCAGCTCTCGCTACCTCTCCGCCCCTATCAGTTCAAGCGTTCAGTATGACCCCGAGGACGAAAGCCACGATCCAAATACACCCCCAAGCAATGAAACTGCTCAAATCAACACAAAAATACCCCCTAATCCTCTTCCCCTCGCGAACCTTGATCCACAACTCGAACGTCGGGTTGTGGTATCTAAACGACAGTTTACGGCATAACTTTGAAGTCTCTTTTAGCGATAGAACGATGTGCATTATTTACGACAGCCTTTTTTGGTCTCCGTGCCTTTCTACTTCCCCTTTATTGATGTAACGAGTCCGAATGAAGCAAAAGAAGCCCTTGTGTGTCAATACTTCGCTGTTACGTTGCTTTTTTATTCTGCTGTATACCTTTTTGCGGTTTCTTTATCCTTTTCATTCATGACGAATTGCTGTGTAACAGCGACTGAGACATGCAGGACGGCAGATGCCCGATTTTTTTCTCTTTTCCCTTTCTCTTCACTGTACAGAATCCATCTGTGGACTTGACTATGTGTTATGATTTTATGTCTGGGTCGGTAGGCAGAGGATCGCCTTTGCCCAATCCTTCCTGTCCTGGCTATCTGCCGCATTTCTTTTCCTTTGTGGAACCCTGTACCTATATTTTACGACTTTCCGATGTATTTCAACACCACGAACATACTATCGAGTGCTGTGGCACCCTTACTTCGATGGACTTTTTGTTTCTGCCACGCGTCTGGTATGATGTACCCACTGGATCCATTGCTTTCGGATTCTGGGCGATAATAACTCATGACGTGGCAACGTTAAAACCTCACTTCCACGGCTCCGGCCGGATCGGTCCGTGCCTTGGGATTCCAATGTTGACACTTTGCAGCTGCTTAGAATGGCGAAGAGTCTAGAGCTTCAAAATTCGGCACCTTTAGTTCAGATAACGGTACGTTATAAATCCACACGTGTATTTAGGAACATCTGTTCCGGACTAGTTCTCCGTAGCGCTAGCACTAAAGGACGCCATAGCGACGAAAGCGAAACTAGCTTACATGCGGCACAAACCCGGAAGCTCTTGCGCCAATCATTAGATGAGTGAGCTTGACCGCATCCACATCTAGGCTCCAAGGGCACCAGCTGCCGCTTCCATAAACAATTTCTCGCACTAGATAAGATATTAGATTGATGTAATAGATGATGGTCAAGATAAGCCGAGAACCCACCTTCGAGAAAGGCCTTAGGAAGATACTGAGAGCACCTGCGACGATTGAACAATGTATCTGGCGATGGACTAGTAATCAGACGACTTCTAAGCACGATGATCAACATACTCGATAAATAGAACCTATACTTCATCAGTAGCTTAAACGATGATATGCACAGCAGCAGTCTGCTGCAATATCGTCACTTGGCGTCCCGTCGATGGCGTTTTTGACATCTGCAGGATCGACATCCGGAAGCTACTGTAGAAGCCCCATTGTTGCCTGGTTGACGCAGATAAAACCCGCCATACCTAAGGCTAATGTCGCCTAGCTAAGCTGCCTACCTAGCCAACATAAGTTAAATCGCCGGCAGGGATTAATAGATGAATGAGACCCACTTACAAACCATCATGCATCCCAAAGCCCTCGGGATGTCAGCTTTCGGTACCTTTGCCTGCACACCGCTGTAGGTACCCTGTTTGGTTGGATGTGCCAATGCCTGATGCCATTAGTACATTGCACTTGTAGCCCTGGTATCGAATAAAGCTAGTATTAAGTACCGGTGTAAATGATATATATGGCAAGCTAAGGGCAAACTTTGGAAAGTGGACATAATCTGGGATACTACTGTAATACATCTTTATTAATCAGAAGATGAAATAGACTCCACTTGAATACTTGAAGACGGGGGTAGCAATGAAACCTTTAACATTCCACATATGCAGGTGCAATTATTTCATTTGGACAAGGTGCAACCGCCATTGTTACCTGCATAGTATAACACATTCCAAGCTTTGTGGAAATCTCGGAACTTGAAGCCCTACCTGGGCACTAGAATGAAATATATACACGCTGTTAAGGTCCCGATCTGTATCAATAGGTAGACAGAGTACGCACGAAAACAGCCCATGACAGCATTGAAACAGATCATAACACCCACCGAAATTCTTGTTGACTCGGCTCCAAAACTCGCGCAGTCTGAGAAATCCAATTCCTCTCCCCATTTTTATCATCATAAGCTGCTGTATTTCCCGCAATATTTGCAGCCAAGTCCGAAGTCATATGCCAAAGCTCATCACTATCCGGCAGAGCGAATTGTAGATCCGCCAGTGAAAGAAGGTCTCGACCAGATGATCGTGGTCCACAGCTCGAGTCAATATTGGCCGTATCTACTAAGACTTTGGTGTCTAGCCGGATCTTTCTGTATAATCTATACAAAGACAAGTCGAAACGCTTGACTTCCTCGATACCAAGCCAGATCAAAACCTCCGGGTCGACTTCTGGTTTGAATTGGGATTGGATTGCGGGATAATAGAACAATCCTCGCTTTTCACAGGTGAGAATGAGGGCAATTATGAGCCGGGAGGGGAGTTCAGGAAGAAGTCGAGTTAGTTGTAGATTTGATTGGTGGTTGTTGAGGATGAAGGAGAAAATGAGGTGAAGTAGGATTCCTTGGTATGTTGCCATTGGCCAGGGTGTGGGATTGAATGAAGAAGATTCAAGGGTTAGGTCTGATTCGTTATTATGATTTGACATGTCCCAGTTTTCCTACTGTGTGTTAATACCAAGCGAAAATTCGAAGGGACAGGCAAGTGAACGAACCTTTTGCTCATATATCGATAACACCAGGTTTTCATGTAGGTCTTTTGCAGTCTGTTGAGAGTTGCTTTCCTCCATCACCCATGAACCAATCATTACTACCGACTGAGCAAGCAGTGGTAACTCTTTATCGATAGTGAATGTCGCTGGGTGCAGGAATGGCCAAATTGGATGGAATTTGTCGAAATAAGCCTGGACACACGGGGCGATTCTACAGGGGCTAGTTTCAATTGCTTCTGAACGCAGAATAACAGCTGTCGCTTCCGTTGAGTTCTTCAACGGACTTTCGTTATCCAGCTCTATAGAAGGCAATGGACTTGTGCGGCCATTTCGAGAGGATTGTTCCAAATCGTGGCGTCGTGAGTTTCGGGTGTAGGAACATCGGATTCCCCGCTGAAGACACGCATCACAGGGAGACTGACCGTCACATTTTGACCGTCGTGAGCGACAATATGCACATGCTTGGATTGCCCGGGAGTAATGTAGCTCTCTGGTTTTATGGTGGGTGCGAACATGCTGCCGCATGGTGTCATTCCGGGCGAAGACACGATCACAAAAAGAGCATTCGAAAGACTCTTTCTTGAAGTGGCTTTTAGCATGTCTGGTAAGATGTTCCTTGCGTCGATAGCTTAGCCCGCAGCCAGGATATTGACATTGGAAAGTGGATTGTTGTTGTGTCATTGTAACCACTTCAGAATTGGGCGATGTTATAAAGAAAGGATGTGAGACTATTCGACGCCACAGCAGATCGGAGAGTCTGGTCACCAGCAGCTAGAGCGCAGCTCTAGTGAAACGGTATAACCACACTGGGATGCCGATAATAAAGGTTTAGCATAGCGATGGGATAGCGATGGGATACCGGAGTAGATGAGTCAGCGGTTGGAAGTGGTCAGTGAACTGAGTAGAGTATTACATAAGCGCACTGCACTGCTCCATCGTCCGATCAGCTTGAATTCATCCGATAATTGAGGTTCTTACATACTCCTTACGGAGTCTTGTCAAATCGGCAATGGTTTATTATGATATGCGGCAACTAATGTCCTTTTTGTGTTACTTCTTCTCTCTTCAATCTTCTGTATACTTGGAGAACATGAATCAATAGAACAAAGAACGCAGCGTAGTCAATAAATTTGGGACAGTATTTTCTGTATCTATCCTCCTCAAGGACTTTAGAGCAGAATATCCCATATATGGCAAGGCATTGGGAAAGGTTTTGCATAACACTAAGACGGGATTCACGTTAGTAGTGCTATCAATGGAGCTAAATAGAGGTACACACTTTAAGGCTTTGTCCACGAATGGACTGCCGCCAACTCTGGGGGAGCTAGGCTGATTATTTGTCTCTGATAGGATTTGAGCTGGCTTTGCAGGGAAGTCGGCAATTGAGGATGGATGTTTCAAGTCCATGTCGGAGGTCCGAGGAACATTGAGAGACAAATATGTGGCGTAGAAAGGAGTTTCGAAGGACTCGTGCGAGATAATAATGAAATAGGACTTAGGACTAATGTAGAACAGACAATATTGAATGCTGAGAACTATTAATCCATGAGATAGAATGAATTGGGGAGAGATTGGCTGCGAGTCAGTAAGAGCTCGTTAGTAATGACGCTAGATACGTATATGGGCCCCAGTTTCCTCTGTAGTTTCTAGCTAAGCAAAGTTAGGCCAAGCTTCTCCCAAGACCGCCGAGCCACGTAATCAAGCGGGGCCCTAGAGCTTAGGCGTAAATGCGTTCACCACAACTTGTGGACATATAGCCCAAAACCACTACTGGGTGATCTGATCTGTAGGTTGTATTGTGTAAGAACTCGTCTGTCATATCTGAATAGACCTCCGCAGATTATATCTCCACAAAACCATTACGAGTCGGTTCCATCTAAAGAAGATACATCAAAGACGGTCAGTCATCGTCTACTCCAGACCGGAGCCTTCGGGTGGGTTTTACTATTCGGTTAACTTTGTGTTCAAGTATCGCGCTCCCTCTATTTTCGCTACGACCTATAGGGGCTAAATAGAGAGCCAGTATGACAGCAAAGTCGCTTTATAAGCCAGTCATCATGCACTTTAGAGTCACCAGCAAGGAAATCAGTAGTATTTGATCTATAGTCATCTTTGGCAGAGGAAAGCAGAACTCGTGAGGGAATAAATTGTCAGTGATCTTCATAGGCCGCATTTGGGGCCGTATATGACCTGAAGCATCTCCAATGGGTATGACACCAGGGACATGCAAAGTGAAGCAAGCAAGCAAATAAACAGTTGAAGCGCAATCGCAATGACACGGATATCGTCTACCGAGTCCGTTGTATATACAAGATGCACCGCATCTAAGGGCGTTGACGGGGAAATCTTCATGACTCGCAAAATACCACACCGAAATTCCAGAATCAGGATTGCAAAGACAATTTTATATGCTGGTAGACTCAGACAGCTCTCTGCTGGTAATGGAATAGCCTCCAGACGCATTTCAGTCCCTCAAGGCGGTCGTTTGCATCTAGCAAGTCGTACCACCGGGTACGTTGGAGTTTCAGGACGTGCCATGGTTGGTCTGGAACGTTGGATTCCTCGGGGTAATTGCTTTCACCGTTAGTGAGGACTTCGAGGTATCTGCGGTGAACTCGGAGATGCAAGATAGCGATATGATGGTTAATAGACGAAATCATGTAAATCTGAACAAATTAGCCGGGGTATACAAAGTCAGAGGATCACGGTATCATACATCATCAAATGGGCTATCCTTAGCCTTGCCAATCTGCATATACCGCATACGCTTATCCCACAGACTAGGACCAGGCTGAATCATTTGCCATTTCTCGCCACTAGAAAGCTTGCGCATGGCACTCGGCCGGCGCGCCAAAGAAGTCACAAATGGATGTTCGAACTTGTGTCTCTTGCGCGCGCTCTCCGCCTCCGGGGCGGATGTCAAAGGCTTGTCTTCACTAGGACCGAGCAGGGAGTCGGGAATAGGTATTCCGTGAATACCAGGTCCATTCATGAGACCTGCCAAGATTTCATCAGCGGGGGCACCACCAAACCGCGGTTTGATTGTCCACCATTTTCCCTCTCCCGGTCGCAGCTCTAAGCCCCCCTCACGAGCGCGCTCCTGCGCAGCCAGCAACATGCCTCCAACTTCACGAAAGAGGTCACAGATCTCTCCGAGACCTGTCCCGGGGGCGTCGCCTTCGTTTCGGAAACCGGTTTCAGGACGACACTGCGCGATGAGAACGGGTCCCTCTAGGATACCATTTCGCGCGGTCTCGCGGTCTCGCGGAGATCGCGCCGACTGCAAGGACTGTCGGACTGGGAAAAGTAGGTTCTTGACTGTCAGCCGGGGTGGCAACGTGGGGATAGTAACCTGGCATCCAAACGGCCAGGCGGCCATCTCGATAAAACTCCTGACGACCTCATCACGGCAATCCTCGGGCATTTCGCTGCCGGATCCACTGCGACGACCTGTATACAACTTGACAGTGGGATGCGGGGCCTTTTCACGATCGGCGCTGCCGACCAACGTCGCTTGATCCACGTCCATCGTGGAATCTGTCATACCAGGCTGGCTATCGATCTGCATCTCATCCTCCTTGTTCTCAGCCTCGGATGGTGGGGTGCGCTGCGGCGTTGCCGGGCGTTCAAAATAGTTATCCAGACTTGTATCCCAGTATTGTGCCATTCGCTCCAATGCCGCCCAGAACTTGCGTGACTGGGTCACGCGGACCCGATCGCGACCCTCGCGGAGGGGTAGTCGGGCGATCTCTCTGAAAACATCGTCATTGTCTAGCAACAACTCGTTCTGCAGTACTTCGAATCGGTCATTTGGCGGGTATGGGAGTCCATTGTTCATCAATGGACGGGGTTGGGCGTCTCCGGCGGGGACTTCCGGTGTTGGCTCCCACGGCATGGGCGGGGACTGTGCCTGATCCTCTGGGAACATGTCTTGGATGTCGACATCGCGATCGACTTTGAGATTCAGCGCGGCGAATCGTTCAAGGGTGATATCTTGGGGTCGTTTGATGGAGGCCAGAAGGTCGGGTAGGTCATGCAGGGTCGAATTGGCGGGGTGGGGGACCACATCCGGAAGCTGATAGATGGGGAAGTCTAGCGGGGTTGGTCGAGCAGGAGCATCGCGTTCCTCTTCTGGTTCTTTGCTAACCGAGGCCAGGCCTGTATATGGAAGAGATCATTGATTAGTTTCGTGTAGACACATCTCTCGGATCCCGGAGGGGGAAGTTTACCCAGCCCAGGGCCCCAGCCAAACATAATGGAGACGGGTAGATTGATTCAGTAGAACGTCTCACATGCTCTGGGGGGTTCCAGAACAGAATCACAGACTCAATAATCTATTTTCCTGAGATCCGAAAAGCGAACCAGAGGTATGATGAACTTAGTAATGAAGGAGAAGTGGATTTGGGATTTGGGGACTTTTGAAAGTGGGGAAAACACACTACAGTCTGACCAGTTATCTACACATCAATTCATGTCGATCCTCGTGATTGTCTATATGATGGATATGCTGAGGATCATGACAACCTGTCAGCTAGTCTATATTAGGATATTAATGCAGTCATGAAAGAGCATCAACGTTGACACCATCGCAGCATGGATTACATAACGTGACTAATCCAACATAATGTAACTCATTATTGTGGACTTCATTAAGTTCATGTCCTCCAAACAAAGTCTGGTTCTACTCCAATTGCTAAAGCTAAAACATCTGTTTCGCCTCATTCTTCAGATCAACTACACGAGACGCTGTTCTGCAGGGTATCACATTTGCACCGACCCCGGGGTAATGATCGCCCCATAATGGCACTCTGTGGGCCCTATCATTGGTCCGGGGAAGCTAAGCGCTGGTCACTCTCACACACTGGTAGCGCCAACGTAAATTTGAAACAGGAAGACCACCCCTGGTAACCGAGGGGCAACGAAAGAGTTAGGCAAGCTTCGGAGGGTATAAAGGAATCTGGTGACCAGGATCTGGCGTGATGTGGTCCTGTTTTGGTTTCCTCCGGTTAAGCTTCGCAGCATTAAGTACCGGAGGTGGTAGTATCATCCGGCACTCCAAAGGCTGCCTGGATTCGAATGATAGCATCAAAACGATTATGGCACCGTTGCGCAATCGACTCATCCCCGTAAAGTGGAGGTTCTGAGGATGTTTCTTTGTTAACCTTCCTCGCTTTGTCTCCCTTCCATGCCGGGTGAACAAAGACTCTTCCATCTACACCCCACCACACCGCACGGACTCGACTGCCCTTTTATCACAGCCTGTAGGCTTGATCGACATGTTGAATGCCTCTTCGGCTAACCCTTCGTATGTGACGACCTTCGCAGGAGTGCGAAATAAGGATCACACGGATCTGGCCGCGGTTGTGATCATCACTTCGGTTTTGATTGAAACGGTTCACACATCGGAGACCATCACTGAAGGTGTGACGATTGCTCGCAGTCTAACGACTGTGACAACAGAACCACCTCCTCCCCAGACTCCTCATCCAGAGATAGTTCCCCAGCAAAACTCTCTGACGTCGACGACGACGAAGGTCGAGACCACGCAGATGACTGTTGAATCACTGACCAGTCAGTCATCGACATTCTCTGAAAGTTTGACAATCTCGACCACCTCGACTACATCAAGTTCATCATCGCTACAGGTTCATGAGCCTTTCCACACGTCTGAAGTCGAAGTCTCCTCTTCGAATACAGATATTCACACGAGCGTTGGCCGCTCGACTTTGGACAGCTCTTCGAGTTTAGAAACATCATCATCTACCTGGCCAAGTGCTTCCATTATGTCAACAAGCTCTACCTTCCAAAAAATGACGCCGGTTGTAACCTTCTCATCTCATTCGCCAACAGCTTCCCCTTCTACGACCCTGGGAAGCGCCTTCGCAGAGTCAAGCACCTCCACCAATGAGTCGACAGGAGACAAAACCAATCATCAAAAAGTAGGCGCAATTGTTGGTGGAACCCTTGGAGCCGCAGCATTCATCGCACTTGGTATCCTAGCTCTTTACTTCTTTCGTCGCAGGCGATGGGCAAGCCCACACAAACGCCAAAACAGCAGACAAGGATTGCTCCCAGATCGAGACTCCCCAAGCTCGTTCATCAGTCACACCCGCAAAATTTCTCAGCCATATTTTTCCGACAAAGATGGCGCTGCTTGTATTCCATCGGCTCCTGTTTTTCCTCCCCAACGAAATTACTCACTTCCGAATCACTCTGATCCAGCCTTTGGGGCCGCAACCCAAAATCCGTACTTGGAAAAGGTCTATCTCCCGGGCGAAAGCAAGTATAGCTACACGGAAGATGCAAACGAAGACCTCGAGCGCAGCCCTGTTTCACCAATCATCGAGATCTACCCCCCGTCTCGCTCGGTATCAAATTACTCCCAGGAGTCAAGCGGTCCGGGCTTCTTGGATTACCTTAACGAATCATTTCCTAGCTCTCGTCATGCGAGCTCCTACCGAGCTGGTGAGAGTAGCTTGACTCTCCCTGATACGTGTAGCCAGGTTTCGAAATGTCTTGACACACCCAAGGCACGTGATAGCATTCGCAGTGACCCGTTTGACCTCGAACCACCTGCCAATGTCTTGCGCAAGGGGCCGCCTCTACCTTCTCAGTCTCACTGGAGATTTGGGCTCTAAGCCCCCGCACCTTTCTTATTCTCCGTTTCTATTTTTTCCTCCTTATCTGTAACGACTGAATACCCCATCCTTTTATGCACGTGCCGTCTCTTTTCTGCTCCTACAATACCCCCTCTGAGAAGCATACATGAGGATCAAGTTTTGAATTTGTCATGGGATATCGGCGTTACCAAGGCTGGCTTACTTGGGTTGGCGTTGATTTCTGGGTTGGTGTTTTGGAAAACTGAGCGCAATTTTTCCATCTTCATTTTTCATATTTCAACGTTAATCTTTCTATTTCTTTCATTTTCATTGTCATTTCAATTTACTGTAAAGTCAAGGAACGCTACATACCCACTACAGCACATTTACCCTTAATGAGTACGCAGACAAGAATGGTATTGGAATATAGAAGGGGCTTCGAAAGATACAAAATCTCCCATGTCAAACTGCGAATTTATTTTACAGACCCGCACAGGTTCACAATCGAAATTGCCTTCACTTATAGGGAGGACGACGACAGTCAGTCCATGCCTCCCAATAAGACTCGGAAAGAGAGAAAGAGTGTCTATAATCAGCAGAATATTAGCTAAGCGTGATGCAGCGGAGGAAGAGGTTACTAGGCAATCTTCGACTTAGGGACATGTATATGCTTTAATGCGATGTGATATTCGATCATGTCCACACAAGTCTGACTAGTGGATGAGGGTGGCATTCTAGACAGTCTTGACGATGTCCCTGACGATAGCCGTCGAGATCTGACTGTGGAAAATCAGGCAAGCAGAAAGCCGAAAAAAGTCGATATGCCAGCAACTGGACCCGCATATCCTCCAACTATTATCAAGGTTTTGCCTGGACAAAATGGCAGCATTTCCTCGTTCACATCGTCCCCGCCCAGGCCTTGACCTTATGCGCCTCTCATAATTACCGGGCCTCATGACGCAGCGGTGAGGGAATACTGCAAATGGCTAGAGCCACGCGCCACAGAGGAGGCGTACAAAGCTGATTTCGGTCAAAATTGTCAGGTGGGTTCAGAGGACCACCTAGATCTTTAAAAAATTATCGAGAACCCAGACCCTGGCTTTTTTGTTCAGCAAGGGATCCAGATTGGAATGACCCGTCGCTTCGTCCATGACATAAATGAGTGGGCTACAGCGATGAAATCGAGCACTTTGATTGACCAGACTGTTGAATAACCTCTCAACGGTGCCCGGTAGACTTAACGACCATATTTCTTACAGAACCTTAGCTGTGGCTGGCTTCGCAATGCATATTTATATGGGTCGTTGAGGAAGGAAAGGGAGTAAGAATTGAAGAGGTCTTTATGGAGAGGGAGGATGTGCAGGAGGGGCCTTTGCTTTGGGTCTTGAATAAGCAGCTTGCGGAGGAAGAGGCGGCTAAATCTGGAAGGGGGTCTCACTTCAAGAGTTGACAGCCTATTCATAGTGTGCGCTAAGGTCTTGACAATGGGGTCAGGAAAGAGTCTCAGTGTAAAATAAGCAAGACGATTTCGATTTAGCCTGTCGATTTTATTTCTCGGCACTTCTTCCACTCCGCTCATCTTCATAGTGTGGAAGGAGAAAGGAATTGTCCCAAAGACATGGACACGTGTGGGACAAGAGCAGTCAATTTATCATAGGTAGTAAATACAAGTTATCCTCCCCGAAACCCTGCGTCAAACGCAATATTCCCATTTCACCAACCGCCACAAAGTCTACCTAACAGTAGTTGAATTAACCAAGCTTATGGTAGTGAAAACCAATCTCTCCGCTTAAGGAAAACTACTAGTCGGAAGGCAGCAGCGCTTGCAATCAGGGTCGCTAGTGTCCGGTACCTAATAGAATCAGTAACGGGAGTTGTTTGATACTAGTAAAATGATCGCATGGACATACCAATTGATCAACACAGTCAGCTTCCTGTGGCCAGCAGACTGTCAAGCAGATATTTGAAGTTGACGAGTCTCTAGGAGCAGCCATGGTCGTTCCAAAAAGGAGGATAGCTATAAAAAGTTTCATCATCTCAGTGACTGATTCGACAATTTTTTCGATAGAATATAAGTCGGATCACCCAGCGAATTGTGCCGTTGAAGTAGTATAGACGAGAAGAGGTATGAACGAGAGAAGAGATATGGCGAGAAAGGATGATTGCCGTCCTTTTATCTTCCTTATAATTGCTTGTTCTGTCCGGTGTCTTTACCGCCAATCAGCGCAAAATCTTTTGTTTAATGTCTTATGTTATCTTATGTTACAGTAGATCCATGTAGCCAGCCATATTCCTGCAAATCATTACCGCACTGGGTTATGAGCACAACCTGCGACCCCTTTTTCAAGGCATGATGGTCCACGTCTGTAACGCTCAAAGTCAGTCAATTGGGCAATACGGCGTAAATTTGCCGGACTAGCTTCAGGTTTTTAAAAGAGGCCATTATGAGCTTGAAAGAGTAGGCCAAATGCTCAGGACGATTGTGGTGGATGCTGTGCTTGCAATTTCTGGAGTCGATGTAAAATCACCACAGACGTGGAAGGAAAGATTCCAGCTTACATACCTACCAAAGTTACTGTAGCTCTCAAATTAGACCAGTATTCTGACGTAGGATCAGCAGGATGGCTCTTGCAATGCGTCTCACGCTTCCGTTCCAATGCGTAGTAGTGCCCACCGAGCGGATAGTTCAAGATAACAGGCTTTCACCCCGCCAATCTCGCTACAGGGGGTAAAATGCTTATGATTACACCCCCAGGTGAATGACGCAGGCTTGGAGCGCTCACATACTGATAGTCAGCTAGCTAAGGATGGGCCCCCGGAGATCATCACTCCATGACTATTGCTTGTTCAGCCATGGGTGATTGAGAGCCAACCAAATCCCATTTGCTAAGTATCAACCATTTAAATTATAGTCGAGCTTGGCCCCACTACGACGTCAGGTGTGGTCGCACATGATCCAAGCTGGAGCAATAGTCAGTGCTCGTGAGCCAATCATAAAAGGAGTGGTCGGTCTTCATGGGTACACTACAGATGCTGAATCGAAGTCTTTGATCGGACTAATTTGCAAATGGCGTAAGCTAATAAATATTCGAAAATAAAAGTATATTGAATCGAATAATATAATAGAGCACAATAAACAACAAAAACCACCTCAAGAGCATAAACAAACACTCCAGCCATAACGCCTCAAATCTCGACAAAGATAGCAAATTCCTCAGTCTGGGTATAGAAAAACTACAAATATTCACTATCAACTCCACTACACCAGAGCGACCCCCAAGGCGAAACCTTAAATGCCGCATCTGCAAAATTGGTACATGCACTTCCACCAGCAGAGGTATAAGCCTGCGCCGTCCCATTGGTATTTGTGCAGTCCTCAGAAGGAAACACCTGACACATGGCATTGGTAAAGTACCAGGATGCAGGCGTCTCCAGTGTTCCCGCATCACAATCTGTCGATTTACTTCCGCCATCTGTATACCAGCGACACCAGGTTCCTGTTTCAGTGAAGGCGGAGGACAGACCGCTGTGGAGACCGAGGCAATTTGATGAGAAGTCCAGGTTTATTCCTGAGAGAAGGTAGTAATCGCCCTCACAGTCTTTCTCGCTGTACATCGTCACTTCCCAAGGACTGTAGGATGATGTTGAGGCGGCGGCGGAGGTGGTCGTGGAGGTGGACTTTATGGTGCTCGTTGTTTCCGGGTTGGGGGATGAGCTTGAGCTTGTGTGAGTTGTTGTTGAGTGGGCTTTAGAAGATTTTGAGGTCGAGGAGGCAGTTGTGATTTCGACAACGGAGGTTGTTGGTGTTGTTGATGTAGATTTTGTCCAAGATACTGTTGTGATTTGGATTATCGATGTCGTCGAGGTGGTGGCAGACTCTTTTTTGGAGGCTGAATCGGTTGTTTCTTTCTCTTGGATGCTTTTCGATGTCTTGGTCGAGGTTGTTGGCTCCGTTAAAGTAGATTTTGTCTTGCTTATAGTAGCCTTCGATTTCGTCGAAACCGTCGTTACAGCCCTCGCGGTACTGGTGGAAATAGCCACAGCGGCTGTACCCGTGGCACATCCCGAGTTAGAATCGACAGTATTGTAGCACTGTCCCACACTTAGATTACACTACAAATGTTGTCAGCTAAGCCAATCAAGTACAAAATCTCTCGTTCTTACCTTGCAATTTGTGCCAAGACAAGGATTCAAATCATCAAGATCTGACATATTACTCGGACGTACGGTACCAGGTACCTGCGGCCCACAGATAGCGTCCGGAAGCGAGACCGGCATAGGCGGGGATCCCGAGCTCAGACAAATGAAGGAGCCCTGATCCAGCTTATTACAGCCATTCCAGCCAAATGTAGCATTATTGTACGCCTTGATCTCATCAACTGTGATCTCATATCCGTCTGCGATAATCGCACAGGTGTCGTCAGCCTGAAGGGTATAACTGTAGCAGAGACCATCACTGCCTGCTTCAGGAGGTAAATCAAGGGTCCCAGATGAGCAGCAAACGGGCTTTCCAGCTGTTGGAGTTGAGCAAAGAGAAGAGTCTGTGTTGTATTCGGAGAACTTGGTCGTCGTGATGCCACATTTTTCGGCTAAGGTGGCACAAGTATCGCCAGACTTGATTAATATCGACCAGCAGGCAGTTTCACGCTTCTAAAGTGTCACTTGTCAGGATTCAAGTGTGAAGATGTGATTGGCACGAGAATACTGACTTGAAGTTCGGCGGCAGTACTTGATATCAAGATGAACCCGCACAAAGCGAGTATGATGTGAATAATAGCCATCCCCATTTTCATTCCATGCGTAGACGCGAAAGAGAGTTGGGAAATAGTGGGAGGGTGATACTTTTTGCTTTATAGCTCGAAGGGGAAATTCATTGCACTTACCGGATTAGGAAAGGGATGATGCCGTTCATTGATGTGGGGGCGAATTCATTTGAAACTTGGGAGATACTATTTAGGGAATCCGATCACCTCAAAGCGGGGCCACACTAGACAAGGATAAACCCTCTATGCTAAAAACATGGGATGCAGCTGTAAGGCTGTCGACAAAGAATGGCAGACCACATGAACAGTGATAGCTGTAATGTCCTTTGTTTCACCCTGAATCTCTGTCCCTGACTGCACGGCTACAATGGAATAACACTATTTGAAACGGTGCATAAGTTCCTTTGGGATGTGCTGTGGCTTTTCAGTTGACTGATTCGAAGTACGACAGGGTTGACTGGACAAGTCACCAAGCCACTACAAAGGCAGAGCCGCATCGCTGACAACCAATCAAACGATAGTATCGGTACCTTGAAAGACTTCGGTCTCACCATCTCATAAAAGAAAGACTAAGAGGCCCCCTCCACATTCCTGTTCATAGCGAAGCTTCTTATTAGCACCAAGGAAGCGCATACTGATGAGCCCCGAATACCAAAGAAAGGACCAGTAGTGAAACAAGTCATAAGTGCTATATCCGTAGACGCCAGGGACGAGGCCATCCGATAGGCTCACACTAGGTACCAGAGCCCCCATTTTACGATTCAATCGAGGAGTACTGACTTATCATTGGGAAATTAAAGGTTTGATACTAAATAAAGCATAGAGCTTAGAAATGTCTCTAGTCGAGAGAGCCCTGTAGAAGTGTGCAGACTAGACATTGGAATAGCAAAGGATCACTTGAGTGCACGAATCGACGCCGAGCGCACACCTTGCTTTTGATTGAAGTCGAACTCAAAGCATGACTAAGAGTCGGACTTTGTCTTGGTGTACTCGCTGTCCAAAGCTCCAGGCCACTCACTCGGCAGTTCCTGTACCAAAAACCTGAACAAGGCAGCATTGACCTCTGTGGGCTTTTCAAACTGCACAAAATGCGCAGCATCAATAGTGACCTCCGTCAAATTCGAGCAAGACTCTCTCATAGGTTCGACGAGGCGCGAGCTCTTTGTGTCACACACTAGATCCCATGTAGCATGGATGAACAGTGCGGGCTGCTTCAACTTTCTCTCTCGACTTCCATTATACTCAGCGTTCCGCTTATGGTGCAAGTAATAGGCAGAGCCACCCCAAAGGCCAGTCTTCTGCATGTCTTTGGCGAATGATTCGTAAACATCATCAGCAAGCAGTGACGGGCCGGTCATTTCCACGCTTGGTGGTTTCGGAAGGCCATTCAACCACCCGTTCTTGCGAACCGTAGACATCATGACAGGGGCATCGCGTTCTGGCCGCGAAGCTGGCTTTGTCGTGATTGCTTTGCAGAAACCAACAACATCACTATTGAACCATTCGACGGCATTTTCGAAACTCTCCTCGTAATGCTTCATGTAATCCCACTGTCCGAACTCGTATTGATCCACCGGATATGTTTCACGGTTCACCAGTGGAAGAAAGGCGTCCCAGCCTAGCTCGATAGTCGAATATGGTACGCATATACTCACGAGAGCCTTCACGGCTTCCGGGTTCTGGATTGCGACCGAGGAAGTCACACCAGAACCCCAGTCATGACCCACCCAGACGGCAGCCTTGCGGCCCGTGTCAGCTAGCAAGGCCATCATCCCCTCCACAAGAGCTTCTTGGCAGTAGTCATCAGCGACATGCCGGGCGGTTGACTGCCCATAGCCAGGCATATCGGGGGCAATGGCTCGAAAGCCTACTGCGGCAAAGGCATTGAGCTGGGGTTTCCAGGTGATGCCGGTAGCAGGCCATCCGTGAATGAAGAAGATCAGAGGACCATCGACTGGACCAGCTGCCAAGTAATGAATCTTCTTGTCGCCGGCGTATGTGACATAATGGTGCGTGAGGGTAGCCATAATGGGGGTTTTGAAGCGAAATGGTGGTGTTACGGAAAATGAATGTCAAAAATAGGCCATGGGCATGGAGGGGCATATAGGCCCCCAAGTGGAGAGAGGTTTCCTGTAAGATACGGTATTATAATTCACACAATCGTTTGTAAAATACAGGGATCTACTGATCATTTCAGACTTAGCCAAATGCATATTAGTGTAGTTCTGGTCAAGCACCGAGGAACAGTTAGGTAAAGGCCACAGGGGATTCTGTTATGGAACATTGCTGGACTGTCCACAAAGTAGGCATTTCTCTCGCCCCACCTAGGTGCAGTCGTATGCCTAGTGGATGATTACTATGCTTAATATATAAGCAGTGAGAACTTGCTAGTTGTGTACTTGTGGTCCCCCCAAACATTCCTCCCGAGGTCGTCGCAATCAACAATGTTGAACCCTGGATTTACTACAGCTCTAAACTTAGCATATTTCGCCTTAGAGATGTGGCTTCGAAAATCTCTCGTAGAGATCTTCGTCTCATTATGCTATGTATAATAGAGAAGAGTGCTTCACCACGTCTAATATGGCTGAAGAGGCTGGCTTGTTATCATTAGGTACATATTCGCAGAAACTTGCGACACCTGGAAAGCATTTACGCACCTCGCAAATTGGAGTCCGAGTAGTATAAGAGGAGCCGTTTGCCCCCTTTATGTATGTGGGTATGTAGGAACTTCAAGAACATACCCAAATGTGACATTACGAGGGAGGGTAAAATTTGTAAAATGGGTGTACATTTGGTGGCTCTCTCCCTAGATACTAGAATTCATATCAATAATCACACTGTAGAGAAAATTGGGCTATATCAATGCAGAAAATATTTCATTCCGCCGGGACATCTTGGAAAATCATTTCTTGACCTATTGTGGTAAATGTTTTACGAAAAGCTACCATGAACTCGTCGTTATCATTTTGGAGCTGGGATAATGCCCTCGTTACAAGAACTTCCCGGTAGTCAGTTTCTTGGATGAAGGCGAGATCAACCCCACAACTCTTCAGAAGCTCAAGCCTCTCTTCTTCACTCATTTGATCAAAAGGAATTTCCAAGTCGTCCCGATAGAATGAGGCCCACATTCGTATGTAGACTTTATGGAGAGCTTCTTTGAGCGATTTGAGGAGGTCTCGCACTGCCCAAATTACAATATTAGCATAAGAAACGAGCGTCATGAAGACGAAATAGAGGACTCACCATTTTTAACAAGGATTCTAGCGCTTCGATTTGGATCATCGTATCCGACCACCGTGGAAATAGCACCTGCAACAGCAGCAAAGCCGCCGCAGTACGAAGTTGCAGTGTAAGCAAGCCACCAGGCTCCAAGGCCTACCACAGCACCGAGTACAACAACAGCAGCCCCTGCCTTCAGGAGAAGGTCATTTTTGCCAGAGCGCACCAAGGATGGCTCTATGTTTTCTGTCAAATGGCTCAGAATGGCTTGTTCGAATTCGCCAAATGCGATCAACATGTTTCGGCAGGCCTCTATCCTTCTTATGCCAATGTCTGGGCATAGCACTAATGCACGTCTCAGGTTAGATATATAGGGGATAAGAAAGACCAGAGAGCTTCTCTGAAATGGCGGTGAAGATTGTGGTCTTTAACCTACTTTGTTGAGTTTCCGACATGTAGTCGTTCCACGCCGCGTACTTGTTGCGATATTTTCCTAATGTCTGTGCAACTCTTTGCACAGGGTCATTTGAGAGCAGGAGGCTTTTTGTTCCACTCATATATCCTAATATAGAAGAAGTCTATGCATTCATTACTTTTGGGCTGCACTGGAGCTTGCGTTCAACTTACGGCCTCCATGACCATTATTCCCCTCGCAGTAAATGACCACGGTATAAAGCCAGTGTAAGAGGCAATCGTCAGGAATATAGAAAACCTGTTTTTCCTGTGTTGACATTAGCGAATTCCATCGTGATATCTCAGATGGCACATATGTACTCACCAACGCGCTAACCAACCAGGATTGGGCCGACGGGTCGGAACGATTTGCTCTCGCAGCTTGAGTGGCCCATAAGTTTCAATGGATATGAAAAGCCTTTCACCTTGTTGCAAAAAGTTTGGTGACATCATTTTGACTATGATAGCTCTCCCTCTAATCTCTTCGAAAAACTTCGGTGTGAACTCCAGAATCACTTTCCAAAGGGTGTTCCATTCGCGCTGGGCCATTGGATCATTGTGGACAATTTTTGTGTGGACAAATTCGGTCTATGTTTTATAGTCATTTGTTTTAGCCTCCGACTTTGTGATTGTTGCCCGAAGGCCGATGGAGTTGGGGTAATTAAGGCATACCTCGATGGCAACAAATGTTTGACCAGCAAGACAGGAACTATCTGGTCTCTCTACAAGACAGACTTCCCAGTTTGGAGGAGCATGATGCATTGCTAGCAGTGCGAGCTGGCTGTTGAGCTCGACTGACCATCCTCCAGCGTTCTCGGACCAGTGCCATAGTTGAACCCTGGCCTTGAGCATCGGGAGAGGGAGCAATGGCACAGATGAATCGATAGCCTTCTCATCCATGAATAGGAATTTGACACGCACTGTTGACGAATAATTTGAGGCAAATACTATCGAAGCAGTCTGATGTCTAAAAGTGTGCCCAGGTGGGAGACATGCACTCAAAAATGCAATTTCCCTACAGAGATGACCGCCCTCATGCCTGTCAGATGATTTCGTCCCCCCCCCTCAAATTGTTCTTGACCAAGCCACCTTCCGGTTCAAACAATGTGTGCCATTTTGCCACGTCACCAAAACCACATCATTCACAGCCTCCAATCAATTCGGAGGAGGACGATATCAAGGCAAACATGCATATGCTTGCCTTGTCTGATTGGTGCTTGGTCAGCAGCAGGGATCAGTTAGTAACAACAAGTTTGGGTCTCGTTGAGCCTTTTAGCCCCTCCTTTCCATTTCGAATTTCCTGTTTGCCCATTGCGCTTGCCCTTATGATCAATAGGCCAACGCCTGCCCAGATAAAAGAGCGGTCTTTGCCTTTCTCTCTCGCACAAGGAGAAACCATGGCAAGTACGAATACCACTGAATTCTTGTCCACAGTCTCGTCAGCCACAGGAATAAGCGAAAGCCAGGTACTTGTTGCATCTCAATTCGCTAAAATAGATCAGGGGGTGCATAAGCCTTCTCATACAGCACTACCAGAGCTTTTGTCTTGGGTAAGGCATCACAAACGATCCGCAAATTTTCATCTCAAAGAGTATCTCCGTTTTAAGGAGCTATATGAGCAAGAATCAAAAGCAGCGGACAAGCCACTGAACACAATAAAAGGCATGTCTGCTGCCCAGAATATTCCCTTTTGACCGAGAACTAACACCTGAGTTATCCTGTTAGATCTCGCCTTACCCAGTTTCCGCAGTGAGAACTATTGGAGCATGAAAGTCGAGAAAGATAGCCTTATTGCAGATCTCACCGCAATAGAACATTTGCTGGAGGATATTGGTCAACACACGAAGGGTAACAAACTGTGGATGACGAAGCTGTTTATTCCACTGGTGTTAGTTTCTCGTTCCTTTCCGGTAAAGCAGGGTATGTTAAGCTAACATGAATCAATAGGATTTCGGTAATTGGACTGGGCAGTGGGATAGGACTCATTTCAGCTGTCGCTGTCATCTCGAGTGGCATTGTCTTGTACGGTCCGTTGAAATATCTTGCCAGCACCACCATCCTTCACTATTGCAAGTCCCAGACACTATCTATCAAGGAATCTGCAGAAACAGGAAGACTGGAGGGAAAAGAACCAAATAATATGATGGTGCCTCAGTTCAAGTTGCTAGGCTGGATCAATGAAATTGGTGTTTAAATGGATGTGCATTTTTTCAATATTGGCAGGGATATTGCCAACCTTCCATCTCGCTCAATCGAATATGTTCGCCTTAGTATTACTGTGTTATCACGTCAGAACCTGGTCGTGCGCTAATACCAACTTAATTCATTGTAAACATTTCCTAAACAGGCATCGCGTTCTTCACATTTTTGACCAACCTTTCCGATATTGTCTAAGCGTCGTCAAAGAATGCTGGCTCTATATCCTCTCGATAAAGGAATCCAGTAGTTTTGTGTCTCGATCGTAGGTTTTCCGAGAAAATAGTGTCAGGTGATTCGGCATCCGAAGTTGTCGGGGAGCCGAAAGGGTATAGCCGGGGCTCGGAGCCTTGTACATAATATAGCATCTCAAGATTGAAACAATTGAAACAATTGAAACTGTGCATCTCTCAAGCTCTAATAATCGTATCATAATTTTTATTTTGATCATCTAAGCTTTTGCATCGCACTGATTTCGAATTTTCCTTCCAATGTCACTCCCCGTTCGAACCCTGGGTCGAGATGGCCCCCAGGTCTCAGCCGTAGGGCTAGGTCTCGGTAGTATCAGCGGATTCTACGGACCAGCAGGCACAATTGACGAGAAAGTGGCCCTCTTAGACCACGCATATGCGACCGGGCTGCGCTTCTGGGACATGGCGGATGTTTATCTTGACAGCGAAGATGTGGTGGGTGAATGGGCCAAGCGATCGGGAAACCGCGACGACATTTTCCTCGCGACAAAGTTTGGACTCCTGCGCCAGCCTGATGGGACTCATAAGTTTCGCTCGGATTCCGAGCATGTTAAAGCTGCGTGCGAAAAGAGTCTCCAGAGACTTGGGGTTGATACTATTGACCTTTACTATTGTCATCGGGTTGATGGTGTCACACCCATTGAAACGACGATCAAGGCCATGGTTGAACTGAAAAAGTAAGATTTATCAATCTCCTGCTATTGAAAATATGAGGGGAAGCTTTCTGACTTTGGTTTCCTGCAGTCAAGGGAAAATTAGATATCTTGGTTTATCTGGCGTTTCAGCATCCACACTTCGTCGTGCACACGCCGTCCACCCCATCACTGCGCTTCAAATGGAATATAGCCTCTTTACTCTCGACATAGAGTCACCAGCCTCGGGAATTCTAACCACTTGCCGCGAGCTAGGGGTGACGGTCGTGGCCTATTGTCCTATCGGACGTGGCATCCTGACTGGTCGATTTCAATCACACGCCGATCTTCCCGAAGGTGACTTGCGTCGCGCGCTGCCGAAGTTTTCGGAAAACAATTTTCCAGGAGTTCTGAACATAGTTCAGAAATTGAAAGATGTTGCTGAAGTCCATGCATGCACCCCTGCACAGGTCGCTCTTGCGTGGCTACTGGCTCAAGGAGCGGATATCATCCCGATCCCTGGCACGAAGACACCGGCGAGGATGGATGAGAATGCGGAAGCTGGACGGATCAAGCTGAGCAGTCATGAGCTTCAAGAGATTCGGGATATAGTGGAGCGAACGGAGATTGAGGGTTCTCAGTACTCTGCAGCGTAAGTGATCTCGTCTTTCTGATGCTTCAACGATGTGCTGATCGACTACCCAGAACGATGGCTGCTCTACAAGATGAGACTCCCCCACTCTAGAAATATTTTAAAGATAACCAACGCGCCTATCACGTTGTACTGCGGGGGGGTCCCTGGATGACGGTTTAGACCATGGTCCGATCTCAGGAACACAGTCGGAAATAAGGTTATTCAGTGTGCTTATATCTGCCTTGTTTGGCAGATAAACTGGCAATTATGGGCCTCATTACACATGTATGAAACGTAAAGTAGTTCTACTATTTGTCTGCCTTGCAGCTTCCAAGAATAAAGATCCATTCGTTTCTACGGAGGTCGCTGTTATATTCAATAAAAAATATCAATACTGAGCAACTGGTTAATGAGTCGAATAAATGAGTAACTGTATGGGCCTCGCCCGACAGAAATGCATGTGGTGGCTCATAATCTTGAGAGACCGAAAATTGGTCGCGATTTTCGTTTCCCCAGAGCCGTTTATGTACGGCCCACATCGGATCCCCACATAGGAACCCCACTTGCCACTAGCGTGAGATCCCCGCATTTACGTACGCGTCAGAGGAGAGATGATCTCAAAAGTGGGAAGATTCTTTAACAAAGGGAGAAACATGACATTTTAATTAGCAAAATATGAAAACGAAATCTTGTTATATGGGGTACCAGGTCGGAATGTTTGGTACCTCAGTATTGACGTTGGAGTCACGTTATCAAGCACAGGATGCACGCTAGAGAAAGTCAAAACCCCGACAAAGAATGACAAGGGAATGATTGGAGAAGTTGGAGGAGAAATGAGCTACTAGCCTCGTAACTCACATTATCACATTGGTTATCTCTCGGGGCTCGTGGGCCGGAAGTAAGACAAAAAGCGGAAAGCCCCCGTGGCAAAGGGCCAGGGGCGACCTTGGAAGTTAATCTAATTCAAGTTTTCCCGGGATTCTCATGAACCCCAGGGCTTCAGGGCCCTCTGCATGGGCAAAAACATTTCCCTTATCTGTGGAGCAAGAGCTTGAGGTTGCACATTTATGACTGGTCAGAATTGTCGGCTGGCCTGCATATCTCCTGCAGCAGCGCGCAGGATTGGCGTGCGACCGTAACGCCATACAAGCCTAGAAATCAAGTGATTCATTTACTGAGCTGTATCTATTGGCTACTTGCTCTGTTGATCATTGATCGAACAGGTCCCAAGGCCGAGGCTCCTGCAAGCGAGAAGTACCTGGCTTATGAAAGAGGAGATAGAGGGTCCAAGCTGACGCCTCATACCATAATTTGGCTTCATTGTCACAAGATACTTAACTCTATTGAAGATACCGAGGAGCTGGCGGAGACGTGGCTGTGGTTATGAAGGATCTGTCCAATGCGCGCTCTCGTGTTCTACTTCCCCGCATGATAGTCGCAGATCTTGACTTTCCCCGTGGGGTACTAATCGCCCGGCCAATGATGCAATTTGCAATAAGAAAATGCAGCACAGAAAGCCCTGCAGGTCATGGCTTTCAAGCTAGGGGTCATTTATACTCCGGCGCATCTCGCACATTCTAGATTTTGCGTTGTCCTTCCTTACTCCGGCTCAACCACAACATGACTTTAAGCGAGAAGTATGTGCTAGGCGCAAACAACCGGGGACCATTACTTACCCCTGGCGATGGGGGTTCGGGGCTCGAAAAGCTAGATTCAGCAGGGGGACGCTCACTCACCAGAACACCTACACGCACTGAAAAGTTCCGTCGCCATTGGAAACGATTCTGGCTCTTTTACTGCATTGGCAATGTTATTTTCCTTGCAATATTCCTTCCAATCTTGTAGGAACCCCTCCCTGCCCTAGCGCGCTTCTCTGAATCTGACTTTATCAAGCTTCCTTGTAGTTATTCCTGCAATCGCGCAATTGGTTCTCAACAAGTCTGATCTCGTACTTATCAATGCAACGGTAAACCAACCGAAGCCAGATTCGGTTATAATGACTTTGGAAACGAAAGTCGATTTGAAGCTTGCAATTCCGGCTCGGATTGAGAACCTTACATTAGCCCTCTTTGAGCGCGCCTACGGTGTCAATGATGCCTACGCCTCTATCACCATCCCCGGCCAGACGATCAAAGGCAATCACAGTATGGGCGTGACGGATCAATACACGCCATTACAAAATATGACAGCCTGGGAGGACTTTGTCCATCAGGTCGTCTTCGAGAAGGAAGCCTCCCTGGCGATAGCGGGTCAGACCAACGCTTATCTAGGGGTTCTGAAGTCCCACGTCAACTTGAACAAAAATATTGTCACACCCAGTAAGTCAATAATCGGGGTTTGCTTTTTCTTGTCCCCTTGCTGCATAACTTCCCCTCCACACTGCATCTTATTTGTTTGTTCTGTCATACAATAATCATTCACTAACAAATATCAATAGCGTTGAATCAGTTCAATGGTTTCGGTATTTCCGACGCCACCCTCGTCCTCCCTGCCGAATCTGACGGAACAAACCTAATCGGTAACGCGACGCTCCCCAACCCCTCAGTGATCACCCTCGAAATTGGCACAATCATCCTGGATATCAAAGCTGGAGACCTGGTCATTGGAAACGCGACACTAGAGGACGTGACACTCAGACCAGGCGACAATGTCCTTCCATTGCGAGGAGTTCTCGACCTCACAACTGTGATCAAGAATCTGGCGGCCGTAATCAAAGCAGAAGCATCCGCTATCAAAGCCGGGAACCTCACTATTAACGCCGTGACAACCTCGATTGTCTGGAATGGTACTTTGGTGCCGTATTATACCGATATTCTCAAGGAGCTTACCCTGACGGCGTCTATTGGTCTGGGCGCTGTTCTGAAGAATACTATCAGCTACCTCAAGTCTGAGGGGAATCTGACGGATGTTTTGAAGAATATTACTGGGGATATGAACTTGAGTTCTGTCACTTCTCGGTCTCTTGATGAGAATATGCGTGGTCCTGTCGATCTCTCTGGATTTATGAGGGAGAATCTGCATGTCAGGGACATGTTCAAGGATGTTGATCCAGATGAACGAGACTTGATTATTGACTCATTAGCTTCGATATACCCTGAGATTTGATGATTGAGTTTCCGTCGGCCTAGTTCCGAGGATATAATGTGTTATGATTTTCCGATTATTTATTAATGAAATTTTAAAAAACTTGATCTTGTCTGTGCAGACCAGCAGTCGCACTTTGGGTACTCAAAGGAAAAGTAAGCCCGCACCTTATTAGTGTCCGGTCCCGCAAGGATGTGTGGCAGCATGGTGGATTCGAAGGTGAAAAAAGCACTCGTCCTGAAGCACAACATATACACACCGCCGATTCTGAAATCACAGTGGAACTTGAATCAGCTGGTCGGTAATCTGGTGGTAACCATAGCAAGTATTCTGAGTTCCAAGTAATTCATTCACCATCACCAATTCCAGACTCTTGAAAATGAGGGACAGTCAGGGGCGAGTGCTCATTCAGCCCATGAGGAAAGACTGATGATTATCTAACAGTGCCATCGAGTGACTTCGGATTTGGATTATCCAAGAAGCATTGCTTCACCCCCATTTTAGCCACTATGCCTTGCCAGCATTCCAAGTTGTGGGGCTCCCACACCCGCGCAATACGATCGCTTGAATGTGGGTTAAGATGTGTGACTTTAGATACAAGCCTTGAGTTGTAAAGGCTGGAGTTCCAGGCTTTGATTTTCTGTAGGCATTGTCCGTCACGAGCGTCCCATACTTTAACGTAGTAGTGATTTCTGCCCGAAACTGATGCAAGAAGCTCGGAATCATCGGAAGATATAGGACTAGCGTGACAGTGGCTCTTGAAATTGTTCAGGTGCTGACCGCTAGTGGTATCCCATAATCCAACTGTGCGGTCAATTGAAACCGACGCGAGGATTGGAATCATGTGAAAAGGCGACAGAGATAACGGTACTTTGATGACCACTCAAAGTCCGAACCTGCTTTCCGCTGCTAGTGTCCCATAATATAAGAACATCGTCAGATGAGTCCGAGGCAAGTAGCTTGGAATCATGAGAAAATTTGACTGAATTCAGGCAAATGAGAGTAGTACTGTCAACAAGGGTATGTAGGCATTCCCAGGTGCTAGTCTTCCACAGCTTTATATTCTGACCCAAGGAGGCGAGAAGTCCAGAGCCATGGGAGAATGCAACTGAGTAAACTGCACTTCCAAGCTCGTTCATATTTATGGGTGAATAGCCCAAACCTCGATCAATTTTTCGAGCTTCAAAATTGATGCTGTTCCTTCTGACATAATTTTATCAGGCTGATGGCTTCAAGCCAATAAAGGTAGTTATTGCCAAAGAACGCATGATTGCACCGCCTTTCGCATAATCATCGGAAATATTTGCACAGAACTGATTAGAGCACATTTCGAGATGGTCGACCCAATAAAAGCACGCGTAGCCTACTGCCGCCCATGGGTCAGGCTCTGGCTGCTTGACCTGGTCAATGAGGTATCTGGGATGTGACAAATCATAGGTATCACGCTGAAGCGTATTAGCCATAGCGTATAATGACTTCGAAAAAATCTCATAATGCACAACTTCCTCTCCGCGAGGGAGGATCTGATCGACTGCATTTCGAAGAAGGAAGTCTTTGGCAGATTGATGAACTAAAGAAACTGTAGACCCTCGGAGCGTGAGAAAGGAGCCACAGAGGCCTATTATCTCATCTAGGTCCGAAAATTGGACGTCTCGAGGGAGTTCAATATAGACAACCAGCTCATCTAAAGTAATAGGACGATACACGATCGTGATAATACCAAGTATAGCTTTGCACAGCTCAGAATACTCAATGTCGCCTATTTGATTCAACATCCGTTGGTACAGCTGATCAAGACCAGCAGGAAATTCTTGCAACTTCCTGCGAAAAGCCATTCTCGGAACGTCAAATTTGGCAAGTTCCTCGCAGATCAGGGCTACCCAAAGAAAGGTGCCATGTGCGTTCGTTAAAAGATGTTGAAGAACAGCATCCCGGATTTCATCGGAGTATTTTTGCTTTTTCGTCAACGCGTCAACCTGTTTGTGAATATAGAAGCCAACAGCCTCAGAAACAGAGGCTTGGTTGAGTTCAAGCCAGAGTCTTTCCTTTCTGGTTGCACTTTCAAGAGTCTGTTCAATTGAAGGCCAATTACGGCTTGAAACAAGCCATTTCACATGTGGATGTAAGGCCGATTCCTCAACGATGAAATCAAGAAGATTATTCAAGCCTGTGGTGCATTCATCCAGGGCGTCAATTATCAAGTATGTCGCCCGCAACAATGGGTCCCGGAGAATGTTTGTAAAGATCCTGAGCAGCGCATACCAGGCATTTTCATCCCCAAAGACATCGATCCCGCCCCTATCATACTCGCGCCGCACATGGGAGGTGAGAGACGGATGTCGATCAACAAGCATACTGATTAACCCACGAAGAACACCGGTAGCGTGGTTTATCCGAGCGTCTGCTGCCTGACAGAAGAAGAAGATAACAGTGGTCCCAGAAGAGAGGGAAGACTTCGTAAGCTCGTCTATGATTCCACACAGGAGCATAGTTTTGCCCTTTCCAGGGTCACCTTTGACCCAAAGGAGTTGACTTTCTTCCTCATAACGCCATCTTTGGAATTCTGCATTTTGGAATACCCATCGATATGCCTCTTTCAGCAAACCACCTTTCGCTTTTTGGATGCGGCGTTTATCAAGGCGAGGATCAGTTTGATGTAAAGCCCGAAGGCAATTTCGATTTTCTGATGTTTCAAAATGATCTGGGAACAGTTTTAGACAAAGTCTTGGCTGTGGCTTGCCCAGGCTTACCAGAATGTGCATGGAAATTAGCGGTAATGTTGCCACTGTTATGTTCTACCTGAAATCCCGAGTTGACGCCTGAAAAAGATGAAGTATGTACTTGATGTATCAGGTTATCTCCAGGTTGACTATCTTCTTCGTGGAGACGAGGCTTTTTTAGTGGTCGACTGGTTTCATCCATCTTATCGAGCGCCCCTTACTGATAGCAGTGGGATATAGCGGGACTTGAACTCTGTCTCAGATAGACTTTTTTTTGGCCGTCGAATTGTGTTTATGACAATGACTCTCTTGTAGGAACGTAAGCCTCACCCCTCAATTGCCCCGCATCATGTGACAGTCTATCCTTGTCGCCCAACACGGGCAATATCAAGCACGCGTCATCTAGCATCAAGTGATTAAAGGACTTCCAAGCACATTTAATCCAATTTTTAGTGAATATGATTTGTATCCATTGTTTCTATTGAGTGGAAACAGGCAAATTGCCCTTGTAATCTTGCCATCCGTGCGCAGGTTGTCGCTGGTGGGAAGGTCAAGTCATTCTGACCTACATCAAAATGGAACGCTTTACCCAACCAAAGATCTCGGAATTTGTGGTAGGTGGCTTTAGCATTGGCTTTTTTGGCTGAGTAGGTAGCTGTCATCGATTCCTTTCTCTATCGCTTTCCAGACGGCAATGGGGAAGCATCCATTGACCCAGTAATCACCATTCGGCGTACACGCGAAAAAGAAGGCATTCCGTGCTAACATGTTATTCGGGCTCACATTGTCAACATGATAGTACACCGGGTTACATTTGACAGCCTGAGAAACAGATCCAATCTTCTGACTGACATCTTGGCTGTTCTTAGTCAAGGTGCATTGCTTATCCTTCCAAGCACTATGTGATTGAATTGCAGGGCCAAAATCAACCATCTCAAAAAGTCGAGCTTTTGACCAGTTCGATGCTGTAATCAAGAAAGAACTCGTATCGCCAAACATTGGTGGCAAGCCTGTTTTTGCCAGTGATACTCGAGTGAGGCGTGCCAAAGCATGAACTTGGGCTTCGGTGGTTTGTGTCTCGATGCTTTTACGGATCTTAAGAGCTGCAACTCCAAGAGCGTCACTCTTTCCAATAAGTTCACAAGCATTGATATTTGTCCAACACGGAAAGACGGCATTTTGCACATAGCTGCCCTCCTCCTGTTTGACTGAGAATATGGATGGTAGGCGAGAACGAAGATCGAACGCATTGCTAATGCCAACAGTCCGCGGCGACTTCAAGGGCAGAAGAGCCGACGCTGCGATCAATGACATCCATGCTGTCACAACATCCCCCTCGCTGATGAAAGGAACCCGGCTCTCAGTCGTTACATCACTCTCAACATTTACCCGAAATGAACTTAATGTGTTATTTTGCAGTTGACTCACAACCCTGTGTGGAAGAAACACAGTCCGTGTTTCCACCTTTCGCCACCACAATAAGTCAAACAGGAAGCGAAATCCCCAAACGAGGAACCGCCACCCCTTAACTTGATACCTTTCAAGTATGTGAGCCCCTTGGAAGATGGGGTCCTTACCGAGAGTCGCCATCGGGTCGTCGCCGGAAGACAGCATCGGCGGAATCTCTGACTCTCGCCCAGCAAGCACAAGACTCCAGGCCATAGCCAAGTCCCGCAAACTCATTGCATCTGCTGTTATATGAGGCCAGTGAAGCGACACAAGCGTCGCGTCAGTAAATGACACGACTTTCAAAGCCAATTGCGGGTGGTCGGAAGCAAGGTAGTCATCCAGACACACTGGTGCACTTGATGGCACCGCAAGCTTCCTAAAATCTGGAGGGCCACTTTGCACTGACAAAACGTCTGGGGTGGGCGCAGGTAGCTTTGAAGCCAGCTGGTGCTCATCGATACTGACGTGGAACTCTTCATGATTGAAATTGACTGCGGGTCGGTCCTCAGTGAACAGGTGAGGAACGTGAATCTCCAACTTTTGTTCTTTCTATCAGGGTTATATGATTAGAGCGCCCAGATCAGTAGGTGTGAATCTCGCAATTGATAGGCCTTACATTCAAACGGATACGCCCCCCGAGCTTACGCCATCCCTCCCGCTCGATGAGCCGCGATAAAGAACTTTGCAACATTTCGGGGTCAAGTATTTCTTTGAACCGAAGAGTACAGCATTGCACGATATTCCGTAGAAGTGGCGTGTCGTCGAAGTAGTAGACCGGCAAAATCGTATCCGACGATACTATCTCACATAGCAGTCCTTTTTGTTGGCGCTCAAAGGTAAGCCACCGAAGGAAGTTCATGATTTCTAGAGCCTTAGAAGGTCGAGTAATTGATCCAATATGGAGTCTCTGATAACTAAGATCAATATACAGAATGGTTGTTACGTCTTCAAGGATTAAGAACAAAGAGAGCAGACGCTAATCCCAGTGAGCTGAAGCATCACATGTTCATAGAGGATAGCTGACAACGCCTAAGTCTCAACGCCACTTGCATAAGCGAAGAATGATTCGTCAATTACAAATAATGGTTTTTCAAGTGAGGTATTGGTAATTTTCAACTTCCTTGATACAAACTATCGAGAAATGGAGGAAATCCTCATTATCTGGCGGAACACAGTGTCCCGTCTTACTTGAATCTTAACGTAACTAAATGGGGCGACTGGTCAGTGCTAGGTCACTCTCCATAGATGCATACGCCGAGGACTCCTCGATTTGAGATATGTTGACGAGCACAGGAATCGTCGGGTCGACTTCGTTACATTAGCCGTGAAATCCTTCAAAAGATGCGCTAATACTGAATGTCCAAAATCTTCTCGTGATCATCACCCTCAGTCTCTTCAATTCTGCCCTTATGAGTCTTGAGTTTACCCTTACTGGCATCAAAAACAGGATTGATCCACATATTTTCGACGTCGTTGCTTTTGCCGTCCGTCGTAAAAATGCTTTGAGTAGCAGCTGTTTTTATCTCAGCTCAAGGTTCATGTCGGATGATAAGCAAACGGGGCTTAACTTACCAATTCCTGTCAGGTGGTTGTTGATGAAAATGTTTTCCCAGTGATTTTTCGGGGCTTGGTAGACTTCATGCATGATGCTGAGGTGCGGGTGCGATTTTGTAATCTTATTCCACCACTCCCACGCCTCACGGTGGAGCGGGCTATGCGCATATGCGTGCACGTCTTCCAGGGTTCGAAAGTAGGTCGCAACCATAACTTGATTCGCAGTTGAACGCTCACCAGTTCCCATCCAGGTCGTTGCACCGAGATCTATATTGAGAAGCATATTCAGTCTGCTGAATTGTATGGAAAGGATGAACCACAGCCTCACAGTTGTATTTGACTGCATTATTTGCAAGCTCAGTCTGCATTCTCTTCATGTAGTCATCCACCGCGGCATAGCCGGGACCGAACATCCCCATCGGGCTATTGAATGCGAGAGGATGTGAGATTGAGTAGCTCTGAGATGCCAGGGAACATGTAACACTGGGTTAGTGGAAAGGGATTAGACATACTGATTCGAACGTGCGGCCAGTATAATCAACGTGACATCTTGATCGGCCGCCTTTCCGGAGAACACACCATTTCGATTGGGGAGCAATGCGCTGAATTTGCCAGCAATAACTCCATCCATTCCAGGATTTCTGATGAGGCCAAGCGTCGCCAGGATGGTCTTGGAAAGGAGATAGAACAGCATGAGAATAGGTGGTATCACCACGTATGAGCTCGGAAATATCAAAACAACAAGACCCTGAAGGCTAGCCCCCATCAGTAGCCATGTTGTCAGATTAAAATTGTCCCGGATCACCTAAAATTTCGTCAATATGACTCTGGGTCTCTGAAACAGAAGAACCCTCATCTTATGTTTTTCACAAGCTGAGCGTAAAGCTTTATGGCGGCACGGACGCTAATTTGTGAGTTCCCATAATTCTGTTTTCTTTCGGTTGATGGGGAGAGCAGCGGCTCCAAAGTTGCGTTAGCCCCTGTCGCCTTCATTTCGGATGCTGTTTTGAATCTGAGATATATATCTGACGAAGTGGTTGCTGAGGCAGAACGGCTCACGCTGCTGCAAAAGCACTTTAATGAAGAGGAGAAAGGGCGGAAGGAATACGAGGATGAAGTGGGAGAGTAAGTGGTCCGTGAACTTAACTCAATCTCTCTGGATGCATCGGCAAGGCTGAAAAATTACTTCTGCTGTCCATTATTTTACTGTAATATACCGGGTAATCAGTTTAGCCAGGCTTGATGTATATTTACTAACTACCTATCGCATTGCTATAGCTAACGAGATGCTTATTCTCTCCCTCTCCTCCAGCTTTTAGTAAAGCCACAAGCCATCTTGATCTAGCAGTTCCTCAGCTTCAATCTTCTTCATACACGCTTTAATCCTCTGCACAACATGCTCCGCATACCCCGGCCCTAGCGGCGGTTTGGGCACGGTCATATCCATCTTTAACCAAGGAACAGAACTGATCCCTTGACACGCCTGGCGCATCTCGTCGATTTCCTCATCGCCATATAAAGCCCCTGCAAAAACGGCCACAGGTGGCTTGGAATAATCCATGGTACCACGATTGCCCTCCTCAGAAACCGGAGGGGCGAGCCCTTGAAGCAAGAGGGGGATTTCGACTGCTCCAGAGGTGCTGCTAGTCACATTGTGGATAACTATAGATAATATTAGCCTAAGCAAGGGACGGTTCTATTTTCTTCCGTACTTTCGAATTCGGGCAAGTAAAGAGGTTTGACAGCGTTGAAAATCTGGGCATTGGTGCTGCCACAAGTAATGACTGGCAAAGACGACATCGTTTATGAGATGAATATATGATTGTCAATTCTGATATGAAAGAAGGGAATCATATCCAGATGATGGTACTTATAATCATGGACGAGCGGTATACAAGTGATCGTCGCTGCAGCTGTCATTGGCTACGCGGATCGATTTCCTCAATGGGCAAAAGATGAACAGTGCTGACCCGATCATCCCGACCCCTCTCGAGCCGCCCTCTCTGGAGCGCCACTAGCGAGTTGTGGGCGCTTTAATCAACATTCAGGACAGAACCCCTAAACCGTCAGCAGCATATACATTGCATAGTGATGCAAGCACGATCCATTGCAATATTGATTACAGTATATTTTACAAAGGCTTCCGCAAATTTAGTATGATTGATATGATATTTTCCAAAGGATTCTTTTTCGAGCAAGCTTTAGGCTGACTTAAGCGACAGAAATAGGTATGAAATCTGGATACAACTCAGTTAAATCTTCCTCCCCAATACAACGTGAACATCGTAACAATAATAGCAAGATAAATTGCGCAAGTCTTGTGAAGCAGCCTCTTTCAGATCCATAATCTGATCAATGGATTGTATCTCATCCAGTCTATGCATTTTGAAGGCAGCAGTCAGAATATGTTGGATTCCAACAACAACTGCGGTATTGACGTTCTCCCGAGTCTCTGGGTTTTCAAGAGTGTAAATTTCCTCTTCGCAAGATACCAGTCCGCTTTTTTGGAAAATTCCACGAAGAAGGGCAATACTAAAGACGTGTCAAGCTCTTCTATTAGTCCCCAAATTTTGGCATCACGATGAATAGAATGGTTCAAGCTTACTTTGGTGCTTTCCCAAGCGAGGTCACAGTCTTACGAAACAAGTCGATTGCGCGCTTGGCATTGATTGCTTCTTTCCCCTCAGGTACTCCTTTGATCACACATTCATGTGCGGCACAGTCGACCCATTGCAGATAGCCTCCTGGCTCTGCTCAATATTAGTTTGAGATTTGAGTTAACAAGGTCTGAATTTGGGGATCGCACTGAGAAGTGTCATCAAATTTCGCACAGCAGGTTCCCACTCATGAGATGATAAAGCCACCACCATAACTCGAACATTGACAACATCATACTTCCCTAGATGTTGATCTGAGAATGGCAGTAGGAGGTTTTGATGATGAAAGACGATATCCCCCGGCAATGCATCCTTACTAGGAAACATGGCATCTGAGATGTCAAACCCTTCGAGCTGACAGGTATTTGGGAGAGCATCTGCAAGGTCACATAGCCATATTCTTCGGAAAAAGTTAGTTACTTTGAATTTACTGGCACAGTTGCAACCAACCCAGTCCCAGTGCCAACATCCGCGATGCGCATATTGTCATGTTGTTTGATCACAGGATGCAAAAGGTATCCAATATTAGCTTGCCAGGCTTTATATTGCATTTCCAGTCTGTGATTGATGATTTTGATGATTATCCTCAATGGTCATTAAATTCCAGGGCCTTTCGAACAACTATAAACATACCTTTCGCTTTCGGCTATGGTCCTCACCAGCAGATATTCACCTCCGAATTGGAGTTGCTTGGCCATTTTCGCGAATGATGAAAGAGATATGAATTCGGGGAATTTGCCTTAATATGGTACTGAGCAGGAAATAAAGTAGGAGATTGGCGTATTGTTGGAGAATTTTAAAATTCAAGCTTGTCTATTACAGTTTACAACCCAATTAGTAAGAAAGACCCCAGTCGTATTAACGCATACGGATTCAGCGAAAGAATTTAGAATTAGGCCCCCAATTCAGCCCTCGCACGGCCCTCTGGACACCTTAGAGCCACGGGCGCTGCGTCGGAGAGACGCCAAACTTTAGAGTGAGCAAAACTCATTTTTGAAAGTTTCCCAAGTAGATGTTACCTCGGTGTTGGGTAGCCCACCAGTATGTTCAGGTGGTTGAATCATGAGCGCCAAATGTCCATTTCCCAACCAAGCCCAAAGGAAAGGTGAATCCCCAGTGGGCCAGCCAAAATTCGATATACTAGTTTGTTACTCGGTCAGGCTCCTTCACAGAAAGGCTATAAGCCTACTGATGGTCCTGTGCTGAATAACGGAACCAATTCATCGATATGAGGACATGAATACAAGCTTCGACGTGCTGAGTGTGGGCAGTTTGCAGATTCTAGAGACGTCATGTGGATCTCCCAAGGTTCGGCCTAGAGAACCAAATACCATGTACAATTTTCAACCCACGTACGTTAGTATTCAATGTCCATGGAAAACCCGCATGGGTTGGGTCCACCTCAAGCATATCGAATCGTTCTTGTGAAAATCCAGGACTCTTGATGTCAAGACTGATATTGAGACTAGTACTTTCTCTGGCACATAGCTTCCTCTACGCTAATATTATGACCATTAATCCCCCACTATAGCACCTGGATAACATCAATTACTCCCCCATGGGATTGGCAAAGCGATCTTCTTGTTCAGCAACTTGAAGCCGGAGAGGAGACCGTCTGTGCTAAGTCCTGAAGCCTACTGATTAACTCATGCTGCTGTATGCTTTAACTTCTCTTTTTTGGGTACACAATAGAGTCTAAATAGATACACACGGGTTAGGTACAAGTCTGCAAACTTGAGGATTCTAACTGAATTACAAAATTGCCTACAAGGGTCTCAATGCTTGATGGCAGCCTCGGTCGCCTTCATAACCTTGGTACCAAGATCCTGGTTCACATGGCTGAACAATGCTATAGACAAGTCAATATCAACACTCTCTTATCAAGACGTAGTTTGAACATACTGTATACTTCGTGACGCAATTTAGATGACTTGACTCCGCTTATACTACCAGCAAGGTTCGCAATGACTCTGTCTTGGTGTCCCGGTTCACGGCCGATCACCTCCCACAACGCAGCAGGCTGAATGAAATCATCATCTGTGATATGACTGGTAAAGGTCGTAACTTCGCCGACCCATTGCTCGTGCTCTGTGTGTAGGCTCAACGACTGGGGACTGCCGCCTTTTAGCTCCTGGTAGAACTTGGTAGGCTGGAGAGAGGAGTTGACATAGTTCGGGTCGCCACCGTAATTGCCGTCCATCCTCATCTTGCCGTCTCTCTGGAAGGGGCAGTACACCGGGGCCTTAGCTGCATTCGTGGGAATTTGCTGGTAGTTGACACCAAGTCGGTAGCGTGCTGCATCGGGATATGCAAACAGACGGGCTTGGAGTACTAGTTTAAATGATGAGTATCTAGGCTTCCAATAGTGGGTTGATAGTTAGCTTACCAGGGTCGGCGGAAGCTGAAAATCCCGGTACCATATTCGACGGAGAGAATGCCGCCTGTTCAATGTCGGCGAAGTAGTTGCCAGGCTGTTTTGTATTAGTCGCGGCGTTGCAAAGCATAATGCTAGATCTAGGAAGCTCACGTTGCGATTCAAGGTCATCTTGCCGATCTTCCTCAGCGGAAAGTCCGTATGTGGCCACACCTTGGTCATGTCGAAGATATTCCACTTGTAGTTTTCAGCTTCAGAGGGGTCCATGACTTGGACAAAGACATTCCACGAAGGGTATTCTCCTCTTTCGAGGGCTTCAAACATGTCTCGAATCATGTAGTCAGGGTCCTCGCCGGCAATCTTTGTGGCCTCTTCCTGTGTGAAGTTCTTAACGCCCTGACAAGTCTTCATGTGGATCTTGATGTACTTGAATGAACCATCCTAATTAGGTGGGTGAGCAGATGAAGTATACTGTTTTGATGCATCATATTACCTCTTTGGTGAACTTGTATGTGTGTCCACTATAGGAATTCAAAAAGCGAACAGATTGAGGTGTTCCCCGATCGCTAAAGAGAACCAAGAGCTGATGAATTCCCTCGGGATTTCCAACATGGAAGCTAAAAAGTGTCAGCGAATGACGCGAAAAAACATCAAGGCCTGCACATACTCCCAGAACTAGATATATTGTCAGTTAAATCGAGTTTTGGAATAAGATGAGCGTGGAAATTAGTACATACCATGTTCGCATCGGGAAGATGAGACTTCGGGTGTCTCTTGTGAGAGCGGTTCATGGAGGGAAACTTGATGGGATCCCTAATGAAGAAGACAGGCTTCAAGATATTAGCAAATTTTTCCTTTTCTATCAGGGTTTCTGCTTACAGTATTATTGAAGACCCAGTCCAGATTTCCTTCGTCAGTATACATCTTCATTCCCCAACCGTGAACATCTCGCGATGTGTCAGCAGAGCCCGCTTCAGGGCCAACAGTGGAAACTCTGAGAAGAACAGGGGTCTTCTTTCCGTCCTTCTTGAGAAAACTGGCCGAAGTTATATCAGAGCAGTCGCCGATCGCTTCAAACTCTCCATAAGCTCTTTATGGATGTGGAGACACACATTAGCTTCGTGAAGAGAATGTGCACAGTCAAGACATAGAGGCCTACCCAATGGCTTTGGCGTGAACAACACTGTAATAAATATTGTTTTAGCAGTAATTCTCATTTTGCAATTGCGTCGCTCTTACCGCTCGGGAATTCTCTCGCGAGAGAAGTGCGCGAGAGTCTCAATAAGCTGGGTGTCCTGAAGCAGACCAAGGCCACCGCCCTGTCTATTTCGCATCAGCACAGCAGTGCTGCTGCTTGCGAAAGGGCAGCCTGTTTCAAGGTCAGCAATCTAAAATTGGACAACTCAATTGACGATGGCGGACCTTCGGCAAGAGTGTAGTACTTGTCAGCGGACATGGTGCGCTTCTAAATTTCTGTCCCCGCACAATTGGGATTATTCAACTAGAATGAATTGAGTTAAAATCCACTTAGTTGTCTAAGAGTATTTTGTAGGATATTTAAAGATCATATCGGTCTACTCCGACTGCAAACAACCACTATTTGAATACTTTCCTCGTCTTTGGGTTTAATATATGACATCATTGAAGTAGCACCGACCGAAAGGAAACATCAAACACGGAAAGGCGAGAACTCAATAAATGTCTTATTCCCATACATGCATATGTGGCGGCCCACGTTCGTCATCTGTAGATGGATTCTAGTCGTATCTATCGTATTGACTACCGGGGCTGCGTTATCCGAGGGTTTTGATTCAGTACTTGTGAAAAAGTAAAATTAATCGAAAAGATTTCATAATTTAGAAAGATTTGATATCATTCAATGCATCATTTGCTCGCACCAGAGCTTCCCTACGCGGCACTTTCTTTCACAATTGGTGTTACAGAGGTATCCGAGCCTCTTTTAGCACGGGCAAGCGCACTCTTGGGTACGAATCGCAGGCCAAATATGAGCATGCTAAGCACGAACAACCCCGCAAGGACACCCAAAGTCACCATTGCACCTATGACACCTGCTACTCCTAAGCTCATTCCACTGCCTGTAGTTGATCCAGAGGAGCCGGAAGATGAACCCGAGCCGGTGTTGTCGGACGTCGAAGAGCACATTCCAGTGGTATTCCCACATGACGAGCACCATTGCTCCTGCGATGTGATAGAAAATTCATTTGACTTGTCGACGAACTGCGCCCAGGGGAGCTCAAGTGTGGACTGTCCGAAAAGTGGGTATGTTTGCAGCTGTTCTGAGCCATCGATCGCAGATCCATTATGGAACAGGAAACGCACACTTATATCTGATGTCGAGGGAATCCCGGTGCTGGTGTCGTTCGTCACCAGCTCCCATGCCATTGATGAAGCGTAGTCGGGAATACCAGTAAAGTTCGCATTCACAGATGTAAGCCCAGCCAGACCGAAATAAGAAAGGAATGGCGCGTAAGCACCAAACTGAACATTCAGTTTGGATTTACCGCCGGATGTGATTGTTTCATTGAGGGCTGCAAGGACTTCGCCAGCAAGAGTCATCCCAGCGACAGCACGAATCGTATCAGAACTGTTGTAGGCCAAGTTGAACTCATGCTCGTTGGCGAGAACAAGAAGCTCTTGAACTGTTTGATCCGTGAGAAGGTCGGATGACGGGAAGGTCGTGGTGGAGTTGTGAATCAAAGCCACATGAATTAAATCCCAGATAGTGTATGCATTCTCGTAGCTCAGTTCGGTAGAGTTGAACGTTCCATTTATCAGCGGTTCAAGAGACTGGTAAAGGCTCTTGGTGGATGATAACAAGTCCTCATAGGAGCTTGAGGAGTAGTAATTATCACTGCTGAGCTCAGCTTTGTTGCAGGACGATGTGCTCTGAAGCCACGAGTTGTCCTCACTCCCGCTGCCGGACTGTACATCGGACATTGGGATCAGCTGGTAGCCGTTCATTGGAGATTCAATTGTTGAACCGTTGCGCAGAGTTTCTGTGGCGGCAGAACCAATGGGAGGATAGAGGCCCTGCAGGAATCCCTCTCCTGAATTTTCGATAACATCATCCTGCGGCGCACTAGCCGTGACTTGTTTCAAGTTGACCTTCTCGGTACTAATACCCTCAATTTGAAAGGATGAGTTGGATGAGATATAACGGTTGTGGAAAAAGGTACCGGTCATATACTCTTGATTGTACCCCAGATTTGTCAAATTCGTAGGTGGCCAGGATTTAGCTGTGCGATCCCCATGACGCTGGAAAACATAAGCCCCTAGCACCCTCTCTGCGTTGGTAAGATGTGCCAGGGCCAGAAACGCAAGCACAATGAGTGTATCAAAGACCGACATGGTTGATGAGCTCCTCTCACTAGTATATGTTCAAGATAGCAGGTCTAAAACATAGCGCTCTTGCGGTGAGCTTGCCTGTCGTATTTAACCCGCGGGGCCTACGTATACGGGCCCATTCTCGAGAGCGCTATATGGGGAGACGGAATCTCATTGTGTTCGGATGGCCACGGAAATTCTTACTTTGGCTTCAAAGGGTTCAGGCGTACCGGGGACACGGTGCACTGGGCGGGATTTGCCGAAGCTCGTATTTTCTGCCTGCTCTAGAAGCTTGTTTCCAGAGTTCCTTTGTCGAAGGTGATATCACCATTTGAAGCACAGATAGCATGGAAACACGACAGAGTAAGATACCTACTGAACCAATATTGAGAAATGCACCAAATCTGTGATATTCCAGATGCGGAAGTCCCCTGGGTTCTGCCCTAGCAACGCGGATGATACACCATTCACAAGTCAACTAGAAGCGAATGATGATAAGGGATCGATGGGACAAGCCTCCGCTCCCGCTTGGACGAACCAAAACAAAGCCTACTACGGCCTAGGTTCAGCAAATCCATGGTAGCTGGTGCATAAAGGTTGGCTGCTAGGTGATTTCGTATTTCATACTGTAAGACATTTTTTGAACGTATCTTAGAGTAGACAGCAGCTCCTCCTTTCGCGTAACTGATAGGACATTTGTGACCACGCCATTGATAGTACCTTTGGGCTCCGAAGATAATCCGATTGGATTATGCTAGGCTTTATCGGACTACCCAGTTCTATCGGGCCGTGTTCGCTTTCGTTCCCGATCAAGAACCCTGGATCATTGAAGGAAGATAAACTGCCCAGCCGTTTGGGAGCTGGAAATTGTTTCCAATGGAACTCTCGCTCGCATTCTCGCCAGGGCAATCCAATGAGTTCGCGTCAAATCGCCTATAATGCCATGTGAGAAGCGCGGGGAACGAAAAAGCATACGCCTTGATGATGACGTCATCCGTATTAGGGAAGCCCGAAGTTCATTCGAGGAATACTATTTCCTAAAGCTCGTTAGATTGAACTACATTAATTTATATTAGGCAGCTTCGTGGCAAACGTATCATAAGTCGTGGTTTATTAAGATCGCAACGAGAAGAAGCCTATCCCCCCACCAATCGGAATCATGGGCCAGATTGTTATCTTCGTCAGCTTATCCATACCTGCATGTTTTGCTTTTTTGCGCTTCATATCTATGTGGTATCAAGTAATTCATGATCTTGCTCATTACTGAGATTTCCCTTGCCATTGACGCTCCAGACTATCTCAGAAAGTCCAATCTTGTCAAGACTTCCTCGTCGATAGCTCGCCTGTGATTCTGCTTGCGAATGATTGTTGCTGCGCCATGATATCAATGTCCAATGCTCAAGCCGTTGCGTAGACAGCTTCCAATTCTTATGGAAGCGTAAGCTCCAGTCCTTGAATGCCTCTCACGCCGGGAGGGTCCTGAGCGCATGCATCATGCATGCCTCAACTCGTATCCGCCCCCCTCTCCCAGCCATCATTCTTTCGCCGAAGTACCGACCAATCATTGTTCTATGTTTGGCGATGCTTCCTTTGGCATTGGTTGTAATCAGTCACCAAATGTAGCTAGCCCTGTACCTACCCAGGATCCTGACTGATAGGCTGGCCCAAGGGATGTATCCCTGCCTTCAACGCCCCCAAGTCGTGAGGTCATTCCGATGCCTACCCAGCATTTCTCGGCCCATAAAATGAGATTTACTAGGTGTTTTTAATTTCCCAATTGGCGTCGGGGAAAGTTTGAAAGATCTCCCTGGTGGAATTTTCGCCACAAACACATCTACGGCTTAACTGGAATATAAGGAAGCCGCCAGGTCCCGCGTGGGCGCCTTCTGCGTAAATCTAGAAAACCAAATTCTCATCATTACCATATAACTATTCGGACTTATTGTCTCAATCTCTACCCAAGATGGAGCTACCTGCTCAATTAGATACTACCAACCGCCCCGATGAGTGGAAGATTGAACAAGGCATGGCAGGCCACAAGCTGCCCATCCTTGACCAATCCGAAAGTGACACCGTTCACATTTACCCTCCGGTGGACATGAAATTGACGAAGGATGAGGAGGCAATCGCATCAGTGGGTAATCGTGCCAAGCTGTTCGCCCGCGAACGTAAAGGCTGGAAAGGGTACTGTCGCTCAATGCTTCTATGACTCGACATTAAAGGCCAGAAAGCTAACAACAAGTAATAAATACAGATATGTCGAGTGGGAGAACTACCCGCAGAAGAAAGATAAAGCACACAAGATCCTCACGTCGCAGACATTCGATCCATGTCCTGATTTCAACTTTGGTCCAATTCCAGGAACCAACCCCGTGCTTCCGGGCGACGACTTCAAGGAGTGGCACGCTGCCCTCGGTGGCGAGCTTACGACCGCTTCAGACGATTCTTGGAGGTGCGTTTTGAAGGAGAAGCATCCCGATATGCTTCATCTCCTCCAATTCCCTTACAATGGGGAACCACCAAAAAGGCTAGTCACCTCTAAGGCGATCACACCCAACCCCCTCCACTTTGTTCGAAACCATGGTGGTATCCCACTCATCGACAAAGAAAGTTGGGACCTTCAATTGGACGGGCTGGTGCATAATCCAAAGACATACAAATTCAGTGATCTCATGGATGAAACCAAATTCCCACGTATTGAGAAGACGGTCACCATTCAGTGCTCAGGAACTCGTCGTATTGAGCAAATTTCCTTGTACGGTGGTCAAGGAGACGAGGTTCCCCAAGCGCCGTGGGCCGAGGGTGCCATTGGGACAGCTCGTTACGTCGGTATTAGCTTGAAAAAAGTGATTAAGGATTGCGGCGGTCTCATCAAGCCGGCCAAGCATCTCGAACTTTATGGTGCTGAGACTTACGTCAAGGATCTCGAGGTGGGCAACTATGTTGTCAGCGTGCCATGGTCCAAGGTGAAGGCCAATGAGGTTATCCTCGCCTGGGAGATGAACGGTGAACCCTTGCCTAAGATCCATGGGTATCCGATGCGAGTGGTTGTGTTGGGATACATTGGTGCACGAAGCGTCAAATGGTTGTACCGCATCAAGGCCATTGAAAATCCTTCCCTCGCTCCCGTCCAGAGCAGGGAATACCTCTACTTCAACCAACAGGTCGGCAAGTACAACCTAAGACCCACGGATGGCATTCAGATTCAGGAAATGCCAGTCAGCTCAGCTATCATGTCACCCTGGACCAAGCAAGCCATCGTACACCGAGGAAAGATCAGATGCAAGGGCTGGGCGTACTCTGGTGGCGGTCGTTGGCCCGAAAGAGTTGAACTGTCAGCAGATGGCGGTTTCAGCTGGTACGACGTGCCACCGGAGAAACTGTCCAAGAAGGGCAAATGGACCTGGCGTACCTGGGAGTACGATTTGCCCTGCGATGTTGAGGGATGGATTGAGATTGTGTGTCGATGCTGGGATAACTCCCTCAATACGCAGCCACTGAATGTGCGCGCGGCCTGGAACTGGGGTCTGCATGTTACGTCTTCGGCACACCGCATCAAGGTTTACAGCATCAACAAGAGTCGGGAGCTTACCAGGAGACGCTTGGATAAGTATGAGCAACTCGGTGTTCCGTTGGCTCCTCTTACTCGCTACGAAATTGTGCCAGGTCAGACAGATGAGGAGTACGAGGAGTATTGGAAGGCCCATGAGCCACGGGATGTTGATGAATGATGTGGGTTTCAGAGACCCAGGGAAGAGCGTTGCTATCCAGACAAATTATGTCATCTTGTCAATCAATGTTGTAGCAAAATTGAGCAAAGCTAGCAAATCAGGAGGGTTCACGATCCCCTAGTATTCTAAGCAGCAGGGGCCTTGCAGTCACCCTTGTGCGTGGACCAGTCTGCCTTCTGGCAAGCCTTCGAACAATAAGTAGTCTGCTTGCATCGACCACAACGCATCAAAGACGTATCCAAAGAGGGAGTAAATCCACAAACACCGCAGCAGCTGGTGATGCTTCCAGCCAGCTGATCCTCCGGGATACCCGCCATGGCCGCCGCAACCTCACTATAGAATCCACGCCAGGAGATATTAGCCGCCTGAGTCTCCTCGGCAGGGGCGACAGTCACGGTGCACAGTTCTTGTCGAACGCCCACGGCAGCAAGTCGGTTGGAAACAGCCTGGGCGAGGCCTTCGTCAGTTGTACTCCAACTCCATGGTGCCCAGGGAGTCATGCTGTCTTCCATGACAAACTGCAGCTGGCCATCAGAATCGAATCGTGTGACGAACGACTCGAGTAGTAGAGGAACGATGACGTTGGCCTGTTCCTCAAGGCTGAGAGGTGTGATGCGTGTACGGCCTTCAGTATGTCTGTGACCGTTGAATGGATTGGCGAGGAAGACAGCGTTGCCTGGAACCATAGGCAAGGACCTCACTGAGAAATGGTAGTGGTTTGGGATATCACCTAGCCCAAATTGAGGCCGGCGGAGAGCGTTGAATGCTCGCACACGAGTTGCTGTGACGCTCGACATGGTTTTGGGATGTTGGGCTGTTGGTAGTGTGAAGATTTGTGTGAGAGTCGCAATTGTTTTGATTGAATTTTGATAAAGACCCCACTAAAGCGGTGAAAAAATGACCATGCCACGTTTGTTCCGCTTTTGATGGTTCTTTGTTGAAATAATTCCAAGCCTTTGAGGATTTTCAGCGTGACAACTTCCCTTGTTGGACCCACAGGAGCTTATCTACGTGATTGCGCGATAACTAACCTTCCGATCATACAAGCCTAGATTGGTGGTGGTCTGGTATGAATGAGCTCATGAGCAACTGAAGGAATAGAGGATAGTGCTACCCATGAAATGAAACGGTGAAAAGAGCGACGAAAGGGGATTTGAGGGTAGTATAGCGTAACAATTATGACGGTGAGCTTTGCTGTTATGAAGTGATAAGGTAAGTGGCAGAATAGCGCTCCCGCAAGCGGTCTGGGAAATGCTCGTCTGCCGCGGTTCATGTCTTTGTTATGTTTGATGTCAAATCATTGCGCGGTCGAGATCGACTTGATATAATGAATTTTAATACGTAGATAATTTTACATGCGATTATAGTACCCTCTGTCTTACGTTGATTTGTTTCGCTTTTACTAGACTTACTTTCGAAGGCCATGGTTAGCCACAACAATTTGGCTCGCGACCACGAGATTGGTACAGCTTCTATATATTTCGCGTGCATGGTTTGATGTCAATTGTTGTCAGAAGTCACACGCTGTTCATCGAGAATCATCATGATGCTTCCGTAATCCTTTCAGCTTAATTTCGCCTGTTTTTCTAATCCACCCTGGGAAATGAGTATATTTGGAATTATTGAATATACCTAGGCATGGCTCAGGATAATCAGATGCTTTCCGGTGTAATATAGTTTGATTCCGATTCCGATGGTCCCGGCACCTTCGTTATCGTGACATGTTCCGCCACAGGAGATATCTCCTCGGCTGGGGACAACGATGCAATGGAATTCTTATCAGTTCCTTCAATGAGATTCCAACCGTACCAAAGCATCTCACTCAAACGCTTGGCGAAGTCTGATCCAAGGTCACCGATAAGTTGCAAGCCCAGCTGGCTGTAGAGGAATTTGTCTCGTCGTCTGAACTCCAAATAAAACTTGCAACTCTGACCTAAGGGAAAGATCGCTGCATGGCCACCCCAGGACTTCATATCATTCGCCATCCAGTACGGAAGAGAGCGACTAATTTCATCGGTATAGAACTCCGCAAGCAAGATGTCTTCATTCGTGGCGGCTCCAGATGGAGATAAACAGTGGATGTATGCCTCCGCTTGACCGATCAAGGTTTGAAGTATGGATAATGCAGACCAGAAAATACCGTGCACCCGAGAGTTATCGAGCGAGCTAAACCTATAAGGTGTGCCGAACAGATGGGTTGATGGAGGTAGTTTGGTTATAAGTGTTTCACAGGTGGATGGGCGACCACCGATCAAGTCGACACTTGACTCATACCATTCGAATAGCTTTTGTCTGTGCGTTATGCAGTCATATAAAACGATTCTGCAGGCATCTCGGTTGGAGCCCACAATCGTAGTGATCGCATTGATGAAGGGTGAAATTTCCGACAGGAGTTGTAACAAGTCGTCAACCGACTGGTCTTCGCTGGACTTCAAAGAGAATGGAAACTGATCCGCGGCCAAGTCGATTGCTTCCTTTTCTTGCAGTGGAGATAACGATTGCAGCTGAGAAACATGGATCAGTTTAATCACTTCAAAATGTGAAGAAATCGACATACCAATCGCATTCTATGGAATGCTACATATAGCTGTTTTATTATAGGATTTTGATTCGCGCGGTTATGACAGTACTTCAGGATTCCGTTGGTGACTTTAACTTGGTCGAGCCATACTTCAAGGCCATGAGGGCAATGGCATGACTAAACAGATTTTAGCTCGGTTAGATGAACAGAAAAGCAACATGGGAGGTATCCTACCACTAGTTGTTGGAACACAGCAACAGTATAGACAAGCTCATCGCTGTAAATATTGCGCTTCCGGTTAAGGTGAAGTGACATATGGTGTATCGCACTGTTGTATAGCTGAAGCCCATGGTGGAACATGCTGTTATCATTATTGGCTCTGCCCAGAAAGATGCAGGCCTTGGCTGCAATGGCCTTTTCAAGCATTATAGGTTTGTTCGGAATGGCAGAGACGCCCGAGAGCAAGCTGTACCATGGATCAAGCGCGGTACTTCCCAAGACATTTTCAGGAAAGTAGGTATTGATATATACTGAGAAGAGCTGCTCACGCTTTGACGGGCCATTATGCACAGTGGTTGGTTGTTGTATAGTCACTGGCCTTGCGCGGCTAAGATATTGAGGCTGGGTCTGGGTCTGGAGCGCAAAGCTTTGTTTGGAACCCGCCGGCTTCTTCTTCTTTTTCTCCTCCGATTGTGTAGTGGATGTATTGTGGAGAAAAATGCGATATTGATCATATCCAGGGCATTGAATGCCTCGCTTCATGCAACGTTCACATTCTGGCTCTTGTTTATCGCACTAAGTCTAGTCATTAGCATTGACATCACGTAATCAAGGGGAAGACGCCGACCTTGACTTTCCGCTTCTTGCAATTCTCGCAGCCTGTCGACTGCCACGGTTTACCGCCCATATCCGTAAAGATCAATGCACAGTATTATGCACATCGGCTGGGGTTCATGGGGCCGGGAGTGGATTGAGGGGCGAAGGCTTGAGAAAGGGTGTTGGGTTGGGGCCGTAGTTGGGGGCCAAATATTGTTAGCCGAGCGTTAACCTCCAGTAAAGACCCACTGTGTGGTCCACTCATGTGCATGAACACCCAATGATGCTGCCAGCTTGGGAGGAGGGTGAATCCCGAGACCCCGACGAATTCCAGACCGCCTGCGTTGAAGGGCGCAAATTGCTACGATGATGCGAAAGCCTGATATTAAAGACAAAGTATGAAACACCTCAATATCTTCGGAGAATATAAGTGGGTGCCACTCTAATTTGAGCTGTCAGCCGTGTCTCCACAACCCCCACATAGCCATTGTAGTGCTGACCCGAAATTTGGGTGAATTTGGATGAACAGGGATCGTCACTAGCCTCAAATGTGCTCTGCAAAAAAATTGATGGAAGGCAATGCTGGCTTTATTTGATATTGGCAGGTGACAATATTCAGTATCATTGCGGGACTTCAATAAGATGTATTTGAAACATGTGAAAGAACCAGTGTGCATTGATGTTCGTTCCTTTATGCTTATCTACCAAGTCAGCGATAACGCCTGGATATCCTCAAATGTATGTTCGCAGATACTCTCCAAGAGCCATCATTGCCATTGCCTGTCCATATGGCATAGCTGTCACAGCAATATTGCGATAATGGTCCAACGTGTCACCCATACCAGTTCCGAAACTGGTATTCTGCAATTCACCATTCTCGTCAATTGAATCCAGCACTGCCTTGATGGCACTCTCCGCAACATCGCGGTACTGTTTTCCAATATAGCGTTTACGCATACCCTTGAGAAGACCAAACGCAAATCCCGCGGTAGCAGAAGCTTCAATATATGAACCTTCATCATTGTGATCCAACAATGTGCGCCAGTAGCCCGATGGCTCTTGTAGACCTTGCAAGGCATGGCACTGAGCATCGAGTGTATCTTCAAGATAAGTCTTCAGCGGATCGGTAGATGGAAGCTCCATCAGCTCAATGATCTCCGGGATAACAATGGTGACCCAACTGTTACCACGAGCCCATTTAGCTCCCGCGAAGTTATGACCACCCTCCTCGAATGTCCAGCCATGGTAGAAGAGACCACTCTTAGGATCGCAAAGATACTTGACATGTATCAGTAGTTGTTTCTTCGCCTCGGTAATATAATGTTCGCGACCGAGTAGTTTGCCGATCTTCACGAGCGGTAAGACCGTCATCATAAGGGTATCGTCCCATAGCTGCTGCTTGTGCTCCATCGCGTAGGTTTTGTGCTGCATACCGCCGTACCGCGTACGGGGTAGCTCGTGCATTGCCCATTCAGCCCATGTATCTAGCCAAGGGAGGTAGATTGGGTTTTTCGTTTTCTCATAAACGTAAGCGAGGGTGAGGAATACTGCCATTGTGTTGATATTCTTTGTTGTTCCCCCTTCGACAAACCTTGCTGCAAACCAATCTTCGATGATGACAAGTAGGGAAACATCCCCCGTAAACTCGTAGTACTTCCAAATTCCGTACAGGCCAATAGCGTGGGTCCACTCCCAACCATTCCAAGATTTGGTATCAATTATGCGACCGTCATCTAGGTGGAGGAGGAAACGACCGGTTTCGTCTTTAATGTTGATGAGATTTTGTATGAGACTCTTGATGGTGTTGTGAACATCCGAGGCACTCGGCCGATCTGAAAGGGTGTTCTTGACGGTAGACATGTTTTCCGTGACGGCAAGTCTCAGAGAGGTTAGAGGGGACTCGATTAACAGAATGTAGAGAAATGAAGCCACGAGGCGGCTTAGATGTCCAGCTTTTTTCAAGACAAGTACCAAAACTGTTTTGTTTGCCGGTCTGCAGTCTGATCATAGCCAATTTGGAATGCTCGGTCTGCTTTCGGCCGTTATTGCACCGAGAGAAGGAAAGAAAAGATGGCCAAGCAAGAGGAGAAGGGCTTGAGTGTAGAATGGCGCTCGCTTACAGCGCAAACCTCGAAGACCCTCTTTGTTTTAATCGTTATTTTTCCGTCTTGGCAAATCCTAATCCTTTCCGGGATCAAATCTGGGGGTGGAGAATGCGGGGTCAAGCACTAGCCAAGAGAAGATCAGTGGGGTACACACGCAGGACAAGGAGCCTTGTTGACTCCCTTGGAGCTTACATTCTTGGCATGTGACATGTCACAGGATGCATACTATATATGGAAATATGGGGACTTTATCGAGGCCGTCCAACTGGAAAGCAGTTTTTTCTTTTCCTTGGGACTCAATACGTGCACTCATCATTCGTTGGACTTCAGGATGTCCGCTCTAGAAGAAAGCAAGACAAGCGATGGCAGGCAAGATGTGGAGCCCGCGCACCTGGAACATGTCACCACCGATATAGAGGACTTGAAAGCTACCCAGATTGGTGATCGTGTTGATGACCAAGTTCAAAAGTATGCGGCTATGGGCCGCGTGGATATAGACGAGCCTACGAACCGTCGTCTCCGTCGTTTGATTGACCGTCGAGTGCTGGTGATCATGGTTCTTACGTATCTGGTCCAAGCGCTCGACAAAGGAACATTGTCCTTCACTTCTATCATGGGGTTCCTAGATGATACCCACGTAGACACCAATCAGGTATGTTATTGAGAGAAATCTCAGGATTAAAACTGACAGAATCCAGTATGCGTGGCTATCCACATCGGTCTATATTTCTATCCTGGTGGTTGAGTATCCAACCAATTGGATCATTCAACGCGTGCCTATTGCCAAGTACCTTGGATGCAATATCATCATCTGGGGATGTATTCTCGCTTTACACTCCAGTGTGAAGAACTTCGCTGGAATTCTGACAGTGCGGATCTTGCTTGGAGTTTTCGAGGCATGCGCGCAACCGAGCTTTGTTCGCCTGTCTAGTATGTGGTATAAACGTTCTGAACAGGCAGAGACCATCACATTCTGGTATGTGGCATAAATTGCAAGGTTTTTCATACACTGATGCTTAATAGGTATATGATGAACGGTTTTCAACAGATGATCGGTGGACTTTTGGCATACCTCTTCAGCCTGATAGGCGCAGACAAAGTACTTAAATCTTGGCAGGCCCTCTTCATCACCTACGGTTGTGCCTCGGTCCTTTTTGGTGTCTTCGTTCTTCTCTTTATGCCAGACTCACCTATGACAGCAACGTGTTTCTCCGAAGAAGACAAAAGACTAATGGTAGAGCGCGTTCGAGACAATCGCACAGGAATTCAGAACAAAAAGTTTCGAAAATACCAAGTCTACGAGGCCTTGTCAGACCCTCAGATGTGGTGCTACTGTGGAATTCAACTTTTCACCACCATGCCCACTAGTGGACTGGGCACCTTTGCAAACATCATTATCAAAGGATTTGTTTTTACAACACTCCAGACACAGTTGCTCTCGATGGTCCTTGGAGCATACATCATTCTTGTCCTTCTTACTTCGACATGGCTGGTGAAGAAAACCCAGCAGAACTTGATTGTCATGGCAGCTTATTGTATACCGTAAGTTGCCCGTCAAACCTTTGAACAGACCCTCCATTGGGTTGACACTGAATATTGGGGAACTTCAGATCTTTCATCGGTACCATTGTTCTCATGACCGTTCAAAACACCAATGTGGCGACCAAGGCAGGCTTATTGCTGAGTTATTATATTACACTGTCGTTTTGGGCAGCACAGACCTTGACATTATCCTTGATCTCCCGCAACATTGCTGGTCAGACGAAAAAATCAACCGTCATTGCAGCCAATTTCATCGCTTGGGCAATTGGAAATGCGATCGGTAGAAATCCCTCTTAGTGCGTCCAGAATTGAACACCGAGCTAAACACAATCACAGGACCTCAAATTTTCCGATCTAATGATGCACCACGCTATTTTACGGCATTCAGCGTCCACCTTGGCTGTTACACAATTCTGGAGTTCATTCTTCTGTTTCTCAGGTTCCACCTCAAGAAGCAAAACACCATGAAAGATCAATTGCAGGGTGTGGAACACGATTATTCTCCGGAAAGCGGTGACCTTGATGGCTTTGAGGATCTGACAGACAAGGAGAATCTCCGATTCCGATATGTTTACTAAACTTGAGAGCACAGCCTTTTGAGAGGAAAAAGATTTATCCATGAACTTAGTAATGTCAATACAGTTGATAGGCTCTATATCGCTTAGGAATTGGAATCGCGAGAGATTGTGACAATCAGTCTAAAGCATCTCAGAAGGGAAGTCAACCACTTTATCGCGGATATAGTCCGCAAATCCCTTGCCGAATCCATCCAAGCGACTAGAACTGCTCACACCACGCCCCAGAATACCATATACCACAAAGTGTACGGCATGAATGTGGGGAAATTCAACACGCTCGATGAAGAAGCTATCATTCCAGTCCTTGGCGAGGAATTCGCGCATGCGATCTCTGCTCATGTAAGACCGAAGCCAAGACCAGTGACCTGGGTTTGTGACAAAGAAGCCAACATTGAGGTTTCCACCCTTATCTCCCGATCTAGCGAGAGCGACGTCTCCTAGTCTGATCTGTTTGAATGGGCCTTTGAAGTCCTCTGGGGCCTTGGTGTCGTAGTTATCCCGAACACCAAGCTCTTCATATTGGGGAGGGTGGCCTGTTTCGTAGGAGCTAATTGTGCTGGGCCCATCCACGAAGTTAATGGCCTCGGGAATTTGGGACTGTTTGATGAGTGCGGGATAGTAGGCGAGGAATGGTAAAGGAATGGCAGTGCGGGTATCCCTGGATGCATGAAAGCCTATATGGAATTGAGTATTCAGATTGGGCGGCAGTAAGAGAGAATCATGACTTACCTGAAAAGTGTTTTAGAGAGATATTACCCAAGGCCTTTGCTACCGCTAGCACGGCCTTGTCATTGCGAGATGTGATGTAGACTCGAAGATAGGTGGTGCTCTCCAATTGGGAAGCTGGATTCGGAGCAGGCGTTCCGACTCTAAGGTTTGATAATTCAGCACGTTTGTTCATTACAATTGGGGACGGGGGTTCGCTTTGTTATTTACCTCTGGAATTCAAGAGTCTCAATCTCCTTCTTCGTTTCATCTGGGAGGAAATGGCGAATTTGCTTCTCGAAAAGATCCCATTTTTCGGCAGTGGCATATCCGGTTGCATTGATCAGAACCTGTGCTTCATAGCCGCCTTCATAGAAGACAGCAAATTTGGTGGTCGACGGTGGTGGACTACCTCGAATTCCGGAGACGTGGACACTAAAGGCATTGAGCATTAGTATATACGAAGAAGGATCCTCAAAATTGCAAGCCACTTCGAGATCAACATACCGATCTTCGCCCGCATCTTTCACCTGTACGTCGGCAATATGAGCACTGACATCACTGTTGAGGTACGTCGTTCCCTGTAACTCGTACAAGAACTGAGAACGAACAGTATCCGCATTCACCATGCCTTGTGTACCAGGATGCTTAGTGATAGTGCAACTTCCGTCGGCAGCGATCTCTGCAATTGGGAAACCTGGAGCAATGAGATTGTCCAAGGGATACTTTTCAAAGCCGGCAAAGTTGCCTCCGGTCACATACGCTGAGCACTCAATCAAATGTCCTGCAATCAAAGATCCCGCAAGATTGTCGTAATCGGTTTCAGACCAGTTGTGCCAGAACCAAGCTGCAGCAATAACGGGGCTGGCATCTGACACTCGGCCACAGATGATGATATCAGCGCCTCGTCGCAGACCGTCGACGATGCCCCGAGCTCCCAAATACGCATGCGCGGATACCATTGGAAGTGGGTTTCCATCTTTGGTATTCAGGAATGCGTATGTGAGGTCCGACGGAACGACGGACGGGTTTCCTGAGTCAAGATGAAGCAACTCCTCTTTAGTAGCGGGCATATTCGGGCCGACTTGAGCATATAGATCATCACCCGAGAGGAACGCAACACGAAGATTGAGGTTCTTCTCGTCAACCTACATAGATTTTCAAATGAGTTACCGAAGCTTGTCTTCTGAAAGTGTTCTTTACTTACCAGGGCCTTCACCCTCAGAGCCAAAGCTTTAGGATCCAGGGCACCTCCATTGATGGCCACTCGAATGCCTTTCTCAGCAATGACGTCAATCGTCTGTCGAAGTCCTTCCCAAGCTGTCTCTTCGTATCCAGGATGCTTCCCGTTTCTCCAATTCAAGGCATTGTTGGCTAAGTTGACCTCTGCGAGCGCACATGTCAATGCCTGTTCGTTTGTGATCAAGAAAGTTTATGGGGTGTCAAGATGCGCATACCTGCGAGATAATCACCAGTGATAAAGTCAACATCTCCCAAAGTCGCTTGACGGTACATCTCATGTGCGGGATCGCCTGCCATGAATACAAGGTTAGCGGTGGAAGTGAATGAGGTTGGCTCACTCACCATGAAACCCAGAGCAATTGGCCACCCTGACGGGTCGCTTTTCCTTTTCCTGCAACATTGAAGATAGATGAAAGTGCTTTGTTGATATGATAAAAACGTGGGGTGCTGATGAGTATGCGGTGGCTTGGAGTGGTTGTAGACTTATTGCCGTTACCTCAACAAAACCAATGGTATGTTTCCGGGGCGAGAGTGATTTATGAACGAAAATCAACAACGATCGTCACACGGTATTATGTGGGGTAGTATGCTCCTCGGCTTGACGGGAACCAAGCATCGTGGCGTTATGCCCAGCGGAGAGAGATTCCCGTGGGCCATGGGCCGTGGGCCGTGGCCCACCCCGTGGAGCCGTGGCCGCCACTAGAAAATGGATATATTTCAACTAATAGGGGAAAGAGCGACCCCGCTCTAATTTGAATAAACGGGAACAGTTGTTTGCCTCGGGAAGTGTTGGGCACCTTAAAGTTCACCTAAATCTCCCCATCCATCCTCCCGCCTCCTCGTTCTACTTCACCAGACAAACCCATACGTCATGTCGAACACGCACGAAACAATCCCTGGTACCGATATATATGGACCAGGCACCTTTATCGATAAGGAGGTACTTCCGGTACCCGAAGATGCCCGTCGAGTATTCGAATTCCTGGCCTCTATCACACCCGGCTTTACACAGGACAAGGCAGCATGGGATACTGTGAAATTTGAAGGACAACCTAAGCCCATGGTCCAGGGACCAATCAAGTCACCGGTAGTAGCAGCTGTGCTGCATGCCATGGCAGGTCTGGTTGGAAATGAGCTGTTGGAGCTTCGGGATGGTGCCAAGGTGGTTGACAACAAAGTGACAGTTGATACAGATCACGCCGGGCTCTGGCTTGGCTCTGTGTTCACCACCCACATCAATGGCTCAGAACTTGGCACACTCGCACGGACAGGCAAAATGAACTCGCTGTTCAAAACAGACATGGAGCGGGGGGTCTTTGCAGGAATTGCGAGCCGCACCACTGCTATCTATCAAACCAAGGATCCGAAAGTGTGGTACCAGCTCCACGGTTCTCTGGATGCCAAGAAAACACTCGAGACCATGGGAATTGATGCCAATGTTTCTTTCGACACACCCCAGGGATACTATGACTACATCCAAAGTCATATAATCAAGTGGAGTCCCGATGAGCTTGAGATGCACAACGTGCGCAATGGCCTTTGTGGAAGCATTTGCTACTCGCCAGAAGGTTGGAGGAAGACCGAATTTGGAAAGCAGTTGGCGAAGCACCCCCTGGTGAATGTCACCGAGCAGACATATGCAAAGCCTACGCCACAAGTTTCCCTGCCTAAAGTTACATCCGACCGTCGACCGCTTGCCGGGATTAAGGTATTGGAGATGGTACGGATCATCGCTGGTCCTCAAGCAGGCGTTGTTCTATCATCATACGGAGCCGATGTCATTCGGGTTAACTGCAGCCGATTGGTTGATTTGAATGTATGTTCATATGCATGGTTTCAGCCACAATGGCTAGCTTAGTCAGTGACACCGCTAACAATTCTTGATATAGGTATTGCAACTCACGCTGAACGCTGGAAAGCGGACCATCGATCTTGATATTACAAAGCCCGAGGATATTACGCGTTTGCAGGAGCTAGTTGCAGATGTTGATATCTTCCTTCAGGGTTTCCGATGGGGCTCCCTTGGTCGCAAGGGGCTTGGGCTTCATGATCTTCTGAAGGTTGCAGCCGACAGAAACAAGGGAATTATCTATGTTGACGAGAACTGCTACGGACCCGATGGCCCATTCGCCGAGCGCCCCGGTTGGCAGCAAATTGGAGATGCAGCATCTGGAAGCTCCTACGTCATGGGACGATCACAGGGCCATGAAGAGGGAAAGAGTGTCCTGCCACCTCTTCCTGTTTCGGATATGATCACTGGCATCGTGGGTGCACTTGGTGCAATGATTGCAGTCCGAGACCGTGCCATCAAGGGTGGCTCGTATCATGTTGCAACATCCCTGGTAGCTGCGGATAACATTGCTCTCGAGAAGGAGGTTGGTTTGTATCCTCCTGAGGTTATCAAACAAACAGCGGAACGCTTCGGATTCCTTCCAATTACACCGGACCAGTATGTTTCCGAGGTCTTGATGACAGTGGTTGATGGCTGGAAGAGGGGACTTCCAGGTTATCTGGATGAAGACTCTAAGCTTATGATGACATTTGAGGATGGTTATTGGGGACGCCAGTCGATTATGAAGCCTGTGGCCAGGCTTGGCATTGACGAGGCAACACCCACATGGACTTCTGCACCGGTGCCAAGCTGCCACCATGATCGGGGAATTACCTGGGCGTGAATTCATGCGAGATTCAATACATCCTTAGCGAATAGCATAAAAAGCCGACGACCTTATTAGGGAGTTCGGGAAATAGATATTGCATTACCTAGACCATACTTCATTTCACTCCAAATCAAACACTATTAGACTAGATGAAATCCTCCGGTCTGCCTTCATTGATTCCCGGTGATGGCAATATGCCAGAGTATGTATCCTGCCAGCTCCAGAACGGAGGAATGGACCATTGTGGGTTCATCAAGTCTACCATAGAATCGCCTTCGGGATCGATGACTTGTTGAAGCATATTATCCCCGCCAGTATTCGTAGATTCTCCCTGGGAAACAGAATCGGTATTTATGCCACGATAATCCCCATTGGTCCTTGATGCGGGTCGCTCGGGCACATCCCGGCGAGAATTGCGAATAGCTCGCCTCGCAGAGATTTCCAGGTCAGAGCAAACACCCAGAATAAAGTCAACATAAGTGCTTGGCTCCTCAGATGAAATGTTTGTAAGGAATGCGACGGTGTCACGAACCATCCGGAGATCATCGTTGACCATTTCATGGGTGGGATGAGACGTGATTCCCAACGCTAAGGCCACGGACGCTGTGGCAAAAAAGTAAAGAACATTCCTTCATGAAAGAAAAAAAGGTAAGCTAGGTTTCATTTTGAACAGTCGGGATTGACTCCATACCATTTATAATTAGACCCGAAGGAACGAGTATATGGAAGTAAAGCCACCGCAGAACGGGCTGACTCGAGAGATCGTCGACAAATATTGGCAATGTCAATATCCACTTTATGATCGTTATTTGGGGATGTCACGTCGGTAAAAGAGGATGTCCTTGGCAGTTGTCGGAGGTTTGCACAGCAAGAGTGGTACGTAACGTGCATTCGGATGAGATGCTGCAGGAAGTAGGTTGGTTCGAGATTGAACGATTTCTGGGGTCGAAGTTTTTCCGGTATTGAATCTCTCCAGGTGAAAAGAGCTTCTTCGCATTCCATTGCTGACCTTATCGTCATCTCTCGGGGCTGTTTTTCTGTAGCAGCGGACTGAAAATGACGATATAGACGTCTTTGAACAAGTGCTAGTTGAGCAGCAAGACGCAGGAAATTTATTTCAATACCAGCTAGACAGATGATACCTCGTCTATCCGAAGGTAAGCTGGCTGGCAATGGGGTGTTATAATCCTCCAATTCTTGGACTGGTGGACGGCCAACTCTGAAGGAGATATCTGCATCCAAAATGAATGCAATCCAAAATATTCGTCGTCTTTGTTCAGTTTCAGACGCATCCATGCCAGCTATCGTGTTTCTATGCAGTCCAATAGAATGTGATAGGCGTATCGCGGCTGCAGAAAACATGAACAAGGCCTGGGCATTTGGCGTACCTTGGAAGTACAGTGCTAGCCCCAGTAGTGCCTGGACAGCAGATAAATCTGCATTTCGCATGAATAACTCAACGACAACGTTCAAAGCATTTTTGATATGTCCCAGGGACATCTTCCAGTCATAACTCTCATCGGATGCCGTTTGTGCCCTTTCCCTATAAGAGAAGCCGAGAATCACATTGAGCAATGCCCATGAAGAAGGGTTTTCATCTGGGTTCCAGGAGAATTGCCTTTCTACCAATCTGATGAAAGACCTATCATCAACTAGTGGTATAGCTTGGTTAAATGTACCGAGAAACTCGTCCACCAGAGCCAATGTAGCTTTCTTGGATGGCAAAATTCGGGTTGTCCGTTGCTCAAACGGGTCTTGAAGCATCCTGGGGATCCAATTTGTCAAGGGCCAACGGCTCGAACTGCGTTGAACTGCAGTTTCACCATCTGCTCTAGAATCCCTCGTGCCATTTTGACCACCCGGTTCAGAATATGGCGCATTGAATCCAGAAGAGGCCCCTAATTATGGAAAGTATGTTAGATCAAGCAATGGAGAATTCATCACTGATTCTGGCAAGACCAACCGTAGAATCGCATCTTGCCATCTTGTGACTGAATGACGTATGAGGGCTGATCATCATCATCATCATCGCCATCCAGAAGGGCGTTTTCGTCTCCCAAACGAACACGTTCTTCCGAGAGCCGATCATTTGCCACGTTTCCAGATTGACGAGAGTCAGGGGCTTTTCTGCTGGTGCCCCGGCTGTATTCAGATGAGATTCTGTCTTCGAGGATCTCCTGAGGGGATCCTTCAAATTGACCTCTCCGCTTCAAATCATCTTCCATGCGCTTGAGCCTCTGTTCTAGCTCTTCAACATATGCCCTGTGGAGGATTATTAGAATTATTAGGGTTTGGCTAAAAAGGCAAGCTAGGTTGACCAACCGGCTAGATCTCTGATTCCCCTCAAAAACGTCTTGAAATGCACAAGGAAGACCGAAAGTATGGCACGTGGAACAAACAGGGCGTTTACCATCGCACTTGACTTTTTTACGTCGACATGTGGTGCATGCCTAAATGGAAGTTACCTTACTGGGCTTCAACCTTGGAAAGCTTGATCATTTTCCACTAACCTTGGCACAGCGTATCTTCTCCACACGTGAAGGTTGAAGCTGGTTCATATTTCTCTCTTAATATTCGACCGTCGAAGACGATTTTCAGTAGCCGAGGAATTGGGTGTAGAATTAATATCTAACGAGAACAGGCATTTTGGAGAATAAAACAGAAACAAGGTTCATGGGGCCCTGCCCGGCTCAGGAGAAGAATATTGGTATAGGGGAAAGGCATATGAATGTTAGGAAACTACTAATTGCCGGGTAACTCCGGGCAGTATATTAGGTAATCTCGGGCGGTAGCCTCACTTCAAGGCGGTATAACACATGGTAAACTAACGCCACCTGCAAGCCATACAGCCCTCGATTTGAACCTCGAAGTCTGGCTTTGATCTTGAGATCGTCTGGTCGAATCATTTCTCTTTTATTGCGTAGTGAAATAGGTTTTGTGAGCCTAACTTATGGCTATGGTGTGGAATAAATATATATGTTGGGGGACTAATACAATTGGACACTTTTAACTTTGCATGCAGCGGGCTTGGCTGAACTCATGAGCTCTGGCGGCGTAGGAGTAGGCGTGCCCATAGCGGGCACTGTATGCGGTTTAGCGCGGGATCATCTACACATATCAACCAACAAACCTTCGAGTGCATATATCCTCCATTTTCCCCAGAATACTCACCAAAATGGCTGAAAAGGAAGACAAGGACGAGATTCGCGATCAAATCGCCCAAGAGCTTTCGCAAACTCCCTTTGCATGCTCCTCACTGACTCGGCTGTCTGGCGGCACTGCCAATTTCGTCTACCGAGGCACACCAGCCTCATCTCCGGATTCCATCATCATCAAACATACAGAAGGTTATGTTGCTTCCAATCTGAGTTTCAAACTTGATCCGAAGCGATGCGTTAGTTTACTTCCTCCAATGGGTAATGAGTTCCGTACTAATCGCCAAATGTAGCACTTCGAAGAAGCCATCCTCCAAGCGCTGGATGGCCTAGCGACACACTCGCAGGAGAACATAACTGTGAAAACGCCCCGCATTCTCCACTTTGACAAGGAAGCAAATACGCAAGTCATGGAAGATCTTCCCAACTCGCTCGATTTGAAGAGTTTCCTTCTCTCGGATTTAGCCAAAGGCGTGTCAGAGGTTGCGGGCCATGCGCTCGGTCGCTCGGTCGGAACTTGGCTGCGGACATTTCACGATTGGGCCGGTAAACCCGAGCAGGAGGAGTGTCGATCTTTGCTTGGTCAAAATGAGTCTATGAAACAGTTGAAGTTCTATGTCAACTACTCTATGCTGATGGACACCATTGCGGACTTCCCGGGTATATTGGAGGAGAGTAGAGGTGTTTTCGAGGAACTGAAGAATTTGGCGGCAGCGGAGATGAAGAAGAGTGACCATGAAAATGAGATCGGAATTATTCACGGCGATTTCTGGACTGGAAAGTAAGTCTTTTTCATTCCTTCAAGCTACAAGCCCAGGTGGGTGCTGATCTAATCAGTGTACTCATCCCGAATGTTCCACTCGGTGAGAAGTACGACACTACACTCTTTGTTATTGATTGGGAACTGTGTCAAATTGGGCCCCGGGCCCTAGACCTTGGCCAGATGATCGCGGAGCTGTACGAAACGAAACTATTCAAGGACGTGGAGTGTGGAATGTGGGTCATCAAGGGGTTCATAGAAGGTTATGGACCTCTTAACGATGAGATGGCCTTCAGGACTGCGATGCACGTCGGTGTTCATCTTGCTGTTTGGGGGAGTCGAGTTCAAGGATGGGGCACACAGGAGCAGGTTGAGGAAGTCGTGAAGGTGGGGAGAGACCTTATTGTGCAGGGATGGAATAAAAATAAAGCGTGGTTTGAGGGAGGGGATTTGGAATGTCTATTTCAGAACCTAAGTTAAACTCAATAGGCCTAGCGAACTTAAAGGTTGTCCATTGGACCGAAGCTTTGGAGCCTGGGACGTTACAATGACACAGAATTTAAGAGTTAGCACACTTCCCGCTCGTGCAAACAAGATCATCAGAGCAATCGTTTTCGGTAGAGCAAGAGGCACCTAAGCAATGGCCAGACCAAGAGCATGTAGTGGTCGGGGCAGAGCCAGTAGTAGTCGATGTTTCAGAGCCACCAGACAAGCCGAGGTCCCTTGCAAGGGAACTCATCAGATTGTCGCCCATAGACCGCAGAGTGCTGAAGTTGGTGATATAGTTCTTGTTGAGGGCGCTACTTGGGAGGACGGAGTCTTTACCCGTGAATAAAATGTCTTTCGATGGTCAGCATTTGTGTATCGTGCGCATAACCAGCTTTTCTGAACTTACATGTCACATCGACGCTACCATGACCAGCGTTTCCATTTAAATCATCATTCGGGAAGCAGGTCCGGGCCATGAGCCACGAAGCCTCTCCAATGACCTCAGGATCATCGCCATCGGAATCACCATAAATACCGTAGAACATTTTCCCATCACTGAGATCTCGTTATTATTGATTCTTCTCTCAATAAAATATGTCGTAACTCACCAGATAACTGCACCGATATTGTTTCCGGGAAGGACACTCTGATAAGTTGTGCCAAACTTGTCGGGTATCACAATCCACGGGACCTCATACGCGGCCAAAGCACCAAAATTGGTCTCAGACTGTCCGTCTTGATTTCCCTATACATTTCTGTCAGTATTCATCTAACTCATTTGAAAGTCGGAGCATCCACTCACTTTACACTTGTAATCGATACCATCGCAATCAATATCCATATCGGCAACCCAAACAAAGGCAGCACCCTTTCGCATTGTTAATTGTGACACGAGCCTAAATTTCGGAAAACTTCGAAATCGACGTACCTCGCTGAACTTGGACCAATCACTGTGAATAGTGACCTTAGCAGCACCACCGCTATTGTTGATAGGATATGTTGCATCCTTCGCAGCAGTGCTAGCCTTAGCAGCAGCACTCTTCAGGGCAGCAACGGGGATAGACGTGGCAGCAGCAAAGTAGCTCGAAGGAGGCCCGGCAGTTGGGTTATTATATTTTGAGCCATCTACAGTCTGAGCGACCGTCGGATTGACCAAAGCCAAAGATGCAACTAAGACTGGGAGTAAGAATGCCATAGTGCCAAATGTACCTTCCTTGAATGAAGTATCAGATGAACTGGTTGTGATATACTAGGCGAAGGAAACAGGGTCCTTTTATAATCCAAGTCAGAGGTTGAAGGACCCATGTTCTGCGCAGATAGCTTTGCCACTTTAGTCCTCATAAGACTTGCCACGAGCTCACATGCTGTTTTGAATGCTTTGACGGGGCAGTCTTAGATTCTGGTCCCTGCATGAGGAGCCGAAGCTAACCTGAAGGAGTAATTGCTCTGTTTACTTTGAGTAGGAAAAGAGGGCGCATCAGCCTGAAGTAAGCTAGTGAGCAGCGCTATGTTTCAACGTTCTTGTGGATTGTCGTATTGAGGCGCTAAAGAAAGCATGCTGCTCAGCTGAAGCATACTCGAAGGGCCGTTGAAAAGATTGAACACATCCGCATTTCACTTCGAGCTATCAATCACGAAAGAACACCAAACACTGGGAGGCATTTTCGATTTGCCATCCCCATCTCAAGTATACCCAAGCACTTGGCTTTGCTTTTGTTACAGTCTGAGTCGCCCCTAGGACCCTGGACCCTGTTTCGGCCCCACCACGTGCCCTGGCGTCTGCAAACACGGATGGCTATTGGCTAATGTGGAGTTTATTAGGAACCCGGGGAAACCGAAGTAACATCATAAAGTGTGGAACCCACTTGCCTTTCGCAGCCGAACGATCAAAAACGGACTGGCTTACGCTAAGCAATGTGACACGGTATTCGAGAGGCTTATGCAGACGGGGTCGTTTCGGCACATTCGTGCCCACTCCAGGTTTACCTAAGTCCATCAGTGCATAATCGGCGTTAAGGGTCCATACCCCAGACTTATGTCTTAAGAGTCCCCACCAAGGTCTGATCAAAACCAAAGGCAATCAGTTTCGGAGTGAGAGCGATCACTGATTGGAGCTGAGGCATGACCTAGGAATTTAGTTCTCAAAATATGTCTTATGGCTTACCAATTTTGCGAAGAACACAACTTTACTGATGATCTGTGGTCTACAAAATCCATCCATTGGGCAGGTGATGACACCGGTTTAGCGATGCACTATATCCCAAGAGACCGAAAGAACAAGATCCTGGGGCTCGGAAGCGACCGCGTCTTTTACAAAATTCCACCCAAAAACATAGCTAAGATATGCGGAGCTCGATAGGACAAGAAGCACTTAAAGTTGAATTTCCGGATGTTTTCGTTGGTACGAGATGTCTGACTTTCCATTGTTGTTGCCTGAGGTTGTACCAAGGGATGGGGGACTGAACCCTTGCTTATCTGCATGATGGACCATTTTCTGAGGTGAGCCCTTGGGTTTGATGAAAATAACAATAGGTTCAAACGCCCATGGATGTTTTAGAGCACGATAATATATGAAACTTGTCGTGCTTTATCGGTCTCTGTATTTGCAAGGTTGTTGTTTCAAATAGATTATGCTGCTGCGCTTGATATCTTCCGGATTAATTTGATGTAATGCAACCCAGATTGCACATATTTTTGATAGTCATTTTCAGATAGGAATGTATTGAGATGATAAGATAAAGTAAATTGAGGGGCAAGGGTAGGTAACCCTTGGACCTCGGTTTCCTATGCAAAGTGCCCAACGTTTCAGCTTTTGTACATGAGGAACGGGCCATGGTCGGACTCCGGGATCCCGGTACTCGGAGATCCTGTCAGCTGTACAGTCATCCAAACACAATGAAGAAAAGAAACATCGAGGAAAGAGTCCAAAGTTATTGACAGATGGTATTTCCCAAAATAAAAATATGTAAAAGAAAGTATGAAAGAATGAAAATATATACATTCGAAAGAAAACCAAACTCCAAGCGGCTTCGTTTCATCAGAAATGCTCAAATGCAGAGTCGTCCGACAACTTAAACGTACAAGGACATATGTGAAAAAGCAAAGTAAAAAAGTAAACAGAAATGATGGCTTCAGACACACTGCCTACGCAGTAGTCATCGGCATGGAATTAAGAGGAAGAGATTCCGCAGACTTCTCATCCTGCTCAAACATGATCTTTTCCAACTTGTGCGTCATCTTCGCACAGAAGGGATCCACGTACGATGTCCAGAGGGACGCACATAGATAGACCAATGCAATCCACGCTGGGATTGAGATGGCCACAACCCAGGGCGGGCGGATGGGGATCCAGTGTGGCTCGAGTGGTTGACCATTATCATCTAGGAGAGGTTGGCCATTTCCATCAACTGGATAACCATCCCAGGGCTGGCCAGTGATGCCGTAGAGCATCCAGCACAGCACTGTACGGAGAAGGGTACCGTGGACGAGATAGACGGCGAAACTTTGTTTACCGAGCCAGAGGAGAAGGGTGTTAGAGAGGAAGTCTTTTGTTGAGGGGGAGATGTAGATTGCGAAGATGATGAGGTCGACTCCAATTGCTGAGTAGCGTTTGCCGATGTTGACATCGGGGGGGAAGATGTAGTGTGCGAGCTCGAACATATAGTTGGACCACGTGGCCCATTCTGGGTGCTCGCCGGGGTAGGAGCAGATGAACAGACCGACAGAGACGAGGAGGGTGCATAGGACTCTGCGAGGCCATTTGTGCTTTTCGATGAACTCTCGGAAGGACATCTCGTAGGAAAGGTCTGCAAGAGCCATGCCATAGATGGCTTGCATTTGGAATGTTTCTGTCATTCATGTTAGCCGTGCAAAATGACTATTCGTGTCTTGACAAACTTACCAGTGTTCTTGGCGGCGTCCTGGTGGAAGTACAAGAGCATTCCGAGGTAAATGCCCAAGCGCCATCGGAATTTGACAAACTGAACAGCACAAATCATAACATAGACAAGCATGGAAGCTTTCAGCAATGGCAGCAGGGCCCACTGGTGATCGTCATATGCCATGTATCCAGTAGTCCACACACCCAAAAAGTTCTCAAACAGGCGGATGAATTCCTTCCAGAGAGAGTCCTCCAGATCGGGAGAGGCGTAACGACACCACCAGCAGTCAGACCGGTTCGCGGCAATGAAGGCACCACACTGAGCCATCACCCACGAGATGATCAAGGCGATGGTGGCGGGGAAAATGAGACGAGGCGGACGACGCCACGCACTTTTAGCGACAGACGTGAATGAACCCAGGTGGTCGCCATTTCGAGCCTGCTTCATGGGCTTCAAGGCGCAGACATAACCTGTCAGAAAGGCGAAGATCGTAACACCTAGACGTCCCTGCCAGGGAATACGGAAAACGGGCCACTGCAAGATGCGTGGAGGAAGATCTACATCGTCACGCGGGGCAAATAGATCGTAATCCCATGCTCGGGCCAAATGGGTCATCACCACCAGGAATGAAGCAATACCTCTCAGGCCCTGATCACCACATTAGCATTATGAATCTCCGATCTAATTTTAGTAATGTGAACCTACATCAATCCATTTCACACTTTTCCTTGGGTCGCCCTTGGCATTCGGGTCGCCGGATTTCCAGGGAAGGTTTTCCAAGATCCGAGTATATAGGTGACTCGGCTGGACATAATCCATGATTGTTGTTGTCGCAAAGCGAGATCAAATAAAAGAGTGAAGTCAAATCAGAAATCAGTCATCGATGCATCTACCTCTTAGCCAGAAGAGAAAGATCTCCGCAAGGGAATGTTGGAATGTGAGATGTGAGGGAAAAATGAGGAAACGACTGAGGGGGTCACGAGTCGACGTGAGGAAAAATGAATGAAATGAGGGCTGGCAATGACTTCAAGAAGGAAGTGCCAAGATCTAAATACGCCTGGTACGAAAGAGAACGGACGTGGATAAAGAAGAGTGGGGAGGCTTGGGGGTTTTGAATAATTTACAGCAGTAGGGCGGAAGATAGGAGGTTCCCGCGGGTGGGGATGCATGAGACCCAACACATGCATCCTTGGCTCGGGCTTCACAGCCAAGATGGGGTAGATCAGTTGCCAGAAGGAGATTGTGGTTTGTGCTCTGAAGGAACGATTTGTGCCTATTCTTCTCCACAGGGCATTGTATTGGACAGAGTAGTATACAAAGTGGTGCCGATAGTTGGAGGTTCCATTGGTGTTTTCCTATGCAGCAGGGATGATCACTGGGTTATTCGGAAAGACACATCCACTGTCTCCAAGACTATAGTGGGATCCGTCTCATCCGCTCTCTTAAAAAAGCCCGCTGTCAGCTCGTATACATGTCTCTAAAATGGTGATTATGGCCGAGCTCATAACGCGTTAAAGCTTCACAAATCTCCGAGCATTGAATGAATGATTGTTACTAGCCTACTGGGTCAATTGCAATTGAATGAACTTACACCAATCAATATGAATCCTTGCCTCGCCTCCAGCTATGTGCAAAGGCCGGCGCGAATGGCGCAAGATTTCGCTGAAACGCAAATACCAAAATGACTGGCGCGATGGGTCCGGAGCCCGCATGGACAACGTGGGGTGGGATTTTGTTTCCAAAAAAAAAAAAAAAAAAAAACCAGGGTCCTGTCTCTTGGCTCTGCCCTACAATCTATTTCGAGCCTCTTCTCCAATTTGCCCCCCATCAGGCCCCCTAAACGAAATCGTTTTCGTAAAGGAATATGGGCGGATTGTGTCTCACAGATGAACCTTGGAAACTTCATTTTACATTACCACGATTGCATGTAGTCGAAGTCAAATGACGCCATTTGACCTAATCCTTGTCAAACAAGATCGGCGATGGGCCTGGGGCAAACCGATAGGCCACGGAACCCTATCAGAGCTTCCCGTATCAGGGCTTACGGTATTATAAAACCGCATTCGGGTCTTGGCAATCACGCCTCATGCAAAACTAAATTTACTAATTTCTTTTCCAGAATGCAGGGTAGAATGTCATTTGTATCTTGGTGTTTCGTGTAAATGGTGAATTTACTTCGAACTCCTGTGATCTACAGGGCTGAAGCGTGGGCAGGGAACTCGTTCTTGGTTTATCTGTAGCAAGATCAATTTGTCTCTGCCAAGAAGCTGGGCCGGTCGGAATAGACCCTGTTAGTCAATGATTGTTCTTGGCGTCCCCCCAATTTCTGGGATTGGGGAAAATAAAAAGAAAAAGACGTAAGCCCCCTGAGTTTTTGAGACACGAAGAGGTCCGCGATACGGAAACGAATACATGATTGGAGCCAGGCTTGAAAAGGCAAACAATACTTTATTAGTTGACAGGCTAGTAGGGGATAATTAATATTGGATGCATACACTGCCTCACGAGACAGACCAATGTAAAATTCCCTGAGCCCTATGAGAATCCAGGTCGAAGGATCGGTGCACAATTTTGGGTGCTTGGTCCTCATAGGCTCGCAGGGGCCAAGCCGCTCCCCTTTCCCCTTCGTTGCGGCCTCCGATACGTCGGAGTGGAGACCAGTTCAGGGTCCAACTCTCGGAAAGATTGACAGGATCGTCGTTTGAACGATGCAGCCGAGTGGGAGGATGCATGGATTAATATGTACTTCAGACTCTCAGCTTGCTTTTTTCTCTGCTGCCTGTCGCCAAGAAAAAAATGTCCCCAATTTGCGAGTTTACGTTGTGTTTTCCATCCTGTCATTCTGGAGGCGCGCAGGGTATTCAGGGTATTCAGGGTATTCCAAAGGCCCCCCTTTTTTTAGTACCCTGTAAATACCAAGCCCTTGTCTGACTGGCTTTTCCCGACTTCCCAACAAATCACACCTGACTTCTAGCCGAGCCTCCGGCGCCCAGCGGCGGATGGTGGCGCTCATGGGATATAACCCCTGAGGCCCCATCCACTCTTAGTACTTGGCGGTATCCATTCCCCGGGATTGATTCGCACAAATGCAACGCCACTTTCGTTGGTTCAGATGAACTTCTTGGCTCTTTCGCGGGATTAGACATGTAACGTAACCGGAAGCAGGCAGTTTCGGTCTTATCGGTTTTTATTCATTTGGGGATTTTTCGTGTTCCCCTGGAGGACCGAATCAAAACGGGAACGCGTGTGGATCCCATCACGCCATTATTAGTATTCTTGACCACTTGACCACATTCGAGAATGGAGAACTGACCTCGTGCCTCTTGAACTTGTTTACCTTCCATCGCATCAACAGGTTAGCGACCATGCGAGTGGCATATCTAGGTTTGACGTTGTTGTGGTCGTTGGCTTCGGCCACGATCTTGCAGAACGGGCAAGTGAAGGAGGATCCGTACCCCGGACAAGCACCTGTGATTTCCCTGGACGACTCCTGGCGTAACTATGCGCCCGATGTACCGGAGATCGCATACAAGGGCCGATGGGACAGTAAACATATTTCATGTACGTTCTCAAGTGTTTGTATATGATTGTTTCTAACATGTGTATAGGGTGGTCGTGTGTCTCCCCAATCTCGTAGCAAACTGGCCTTGTTGGGCCCCTTATCTGACCGGATTCTAACGTCTTATCGCAATCACTAGAGCCCCCGGAATCAAGCTCCAATTCTCGGGGAATAAGGTATGTCTTGGCATAATGTCAATCTTCGATCTCAAGCTTCTGACATGATTATCCTTCTAGCTCGCAATTAGCTTCGGGCCGTCCACAAGTGATGGCGTGCTTGTTGCATATAGGTAAGAAATGCTGTGACCAAATCTCTCAGGCTCACTACTGATATCACATAGACTTGGATCCCTTGACTGGCAGTTTTCCAATGTGACTGCTGACGCCACTTACCAATTCATTGGTCCTTGGACAGAGTTGGCCGACGATATAGTCGACGTGCCCAAGATCTTCGAAATGAGAGGTATGCACACATGCTTTGAAAGATTTGTACCACAGCTAACATCTTTTCAGTGACGAACTGGGGCATTGGATAAGTGACATCATACTCACATCCATTTCTTTTGCTGACCTTTCGCACAGTTCAAATTGCCGGTGTATCTACTGCCAGCACGGCTGAACTCACCATCCCACCTAGATATGCCAAGAAGGTGGAAGTCATTGGTGGATCGTGAGTACACTAATCATTGGCTGGATCTATCGCTTCTCTGACTGTTGATTATAGAATTGCCTCGGGACAGTACGGCTCTTATGAAACTCTCTCATCTTGGGCCTACCTCTTTGTGGCTGGCCTGGGCAATGTTGAGCATACTCTCACTGTAAGTTCACCTGTCTCGGACACCCACCCAACAGTCTTGCCCGTTACTAAAACTGCAACTCCAGTCGTATGCCGGTGTCTGTCTGGTAGACAAGCAATGTTATGATGGCAGTGCCCACGGAATGGTATGTCATCTACCTCGCGCCCGCTCAGGAATGCAACTGACTTACTCAAATAGACTTGGTACTGGCACCGTGCATCAGATCCCGGTGGTCGATCCCGTGCCTTCTACCCCGAAGAACCCGAAATCTTCGACAACTCCGCCGAGCAACCCGCTGATCTTGTCATCATCCAACTGGGTGGAAACGACCACCGCCACCCCAATGAAATTCCTCCACGAGATTTCTATCATGCCTACGTGAACCTTATCGAGGACATCCACAGCACATGGCCACACGCCGTCATTCTCATCATGGTATGTGACTCACACTACCTTGTCTCACTTCCCACTCTTACTAACTCCAACAGTCCCAATGGGGAGTATGGGAGAAACAAGGCTTCTCGTATGTCCCGAACATGGTTTACGAAGAGGAGGGAAGACAAGTCCACCAACACTTCAAGGATCGTGGATTCGTCTACTATTTCGACACCACTGGCATCCTTCAGCACAATGATATCAACCCGAAGAACCACCCAACAGATGTGGGCCATATCAAACTAGCAAGCCATTTGCTGCAGTGGACACGGATGGTCATGAGGTGGAAACTTGAGCCAATGGGAGAGGTCCAGCATGGAACACTCTATTGGAATGATCAGCAAGAATACTAGGTATGAAATTACCTACCATATAATATTTGTATAATATCCTTAGACCCTGGGTACATATATATGTCTTGCATATCAGCATTTGAATGAACTTTGAATGAAGTCTGAGTCTAGTATTCTTCCGCGATACCGAGTAAGAGCTGCCATCCAAGAGCGGGGAGCCCTTGGTACCTAGTCCATCCTGAAACCCCCTCTATTTCTAGGTGAGAACTCGGTAAACGTCTTGACTCATGCCAGCGCAGCTATTCTCTTCACGGAAAGCCGATTTCTGATAAGCTCCTGGAATCAACAGGGCAAAGCCCTCACAAACGGCAATATCCAGTGGCTAGACTGGCTACACTCACCACGTGACCGTGGTTACGAGATACCATGTCCGGTAAGAATTCCTGGACAAGCAGGAAATGAGCGAGGATGTTTACATCAAAGGTCCTTCGAATCTGGGATTATGATAGGTCTAATATAGGTTTGTTGAATTCAATGCCTGCATTGTTGATGAGAACTGTGGGGTCCCCATGTTCCGAGCGAACTTTTGCTGCGACTGATCTTATTGCTTTGGGGTTGGCGAGATCGACTTGGTAGAGAAATTTGTTCAATCCTGTCATCGTCAATAATGACACTTGTTGGATTGGGATCTGGAAGGTGTTGTCTCCGTACTCGGCACCTCCCGTGGCTCTGTCACGTTCAGAATGAGAGTCTTATACCCTTTTGCGCTAGCAGCTCAACGATTGCTGCTCCGATTCCGCTGGAGCGACCTGTCACGACTACGATTTCCCGCTCTGGTTCCCAGGGCAGCGTGGCTGTGGCATCATTAAAGACTCGTCTGGATAAGTACGAGTTGACTCAAGAAAAAGGGCCAATGAATCTCAGAGCTCCGAGGCCGATTGTCAGTGGCTGTGTAATGCGAACCTGGTTTTTTGAAGGCAGAAGCCTTAAGAGCGGGCTCAGCATGTCAGGCATTAGAATTGACCAAGGTCTGACTGTGAGGGAGAGAGGATGGGAGAAACTTGATATTATATGTAGTGAGTAAAGTATTGACGCTTCACACTATGTCAGTCGTAAGGCTCGCGCGGTGGGTCGCAAGGCTGGCGTAGCGGAGTCTAGAGCGGCAGCCTTGTGAGTGTTTACAGTCGCTTTAAGCTTGAATTAAGTGTTTCTGAGTTCGGCTCACGGGAGATTGTCTATGAAGTCTCCACAAGGAGTTTATCGCAGTGGATCGGTCCACTTGGGCTTTCTAGAGCGATCGAAGTATCAAACGTTCCCGTTCAGCCCTATGCCCCTGGCATAATATCAATCTGGCCCCCAATTTTTCGACACAATTACCCGCCCTCTTGGACCCCCCCTTAACACCAAAAATGCACCTTGCATTAAATTGCAAAACACATCCATCGGTGCTATCCTTGATTCGGTGTCGCATGAATAAAGCTCATTAAATCATACCTGTCTGATTGTTACTTAAATGCCAATTTCACTGAGGTACCGTGGTAGGATCTTCTGAAACTTCTGGATTCTCTTCAGGACTGATCGCTAGGTGCATTGTACAATACTCATACCAGGAGTTACATGATTCCTCGGTCTTATTTCAAGTCCTAATATTGTGGACAATGCAGCGTTAGTCACGAAAGCGCTATTTGCTTGCATGCCAATGAAGAGAGCGGAATATGAGATGAATAAAATTGTGGGACTATAATTGGCGCACCAAGAGAAAGTAAAATAATAAACAAAATACAAGCAAACAAATTACAAGCTGCTTCCTCCGTCACCACCTGGGTGTCCGGAGGCTAAATGCCACTGGTTCGCGGGTTCACATGTGTACCTATAGAGGTGAGACCCAAGGGTGCTTAGCTGCAGCTGATTCCACTGGGAACGTTGGTGCAGCCACTGTATGTGGTTCCACCAGTGACATCAACATCACTCCAAGTCCAGTCAGAGCAGCCAGAGCTTCCACAGACAATAACAACGTCGTAACCGCTCGAGGCAACAGCATCGACGCCAGAGATGTTTTCGATTGTGAGGTCGGTAATGGGGACACCGCTGGTAGCTGTTCCCTTGAGATCACCACCGTCGTAGTTCTGCTCGATGAGAATACCGTATCTGTCATTTTCAATTAGTAAAAGATCTACCCATGCCATATCCTTCTCTACACTTACTTGGAAATATCGGTCAAAGTAATCTCATTGTAGGTGACGCCCTTGATGGTTCCGGTGTCTCCCTCAGTGGCCTTGATGCGAATACCTGTTTTAAATCTCGTAAGTCATGTGTAATCTATCATAGAGATCGGAGTTCCTTACCATTGACGGAGGATTTGACCTCGTTGTTGTAGAAGGTCACGGTATCCACGGTGTTGTCACTGCGGCCGCCAACACTACCGATCGACAGTCCGTGTCCACCGGAGCAAACACCGTTCTCGAAAGTAATATCCTATAATTATGTCAGTCTTTGAGTGGCCTGGTTAGTTTTTGTAAGGGAACATACAGTGCCAGAGTTCACAGCAACACAGTCATCCTGGTTGTACACATTCGCACCAGTGATAACAACACTAGTACTGTCACCAATATCGAATCCATCGGTATTGGCACCCAAGTCATCAGTATCACCAGCTTCGTTGTTGATGGTCATATCAGTGATAGTCAATCCATCACATCCATTGATACTGACAGCCTGAACGGGTGTGTTCTCGATGTAGAGATCCGTGATGGTCGAGTCGATGAGATCATGGGCATAGAAGAACTTGGGCTTGGTCACACCACCATCGCTTCCTTCGCCGTCCCACCAGCGGGCTCCATCACCGTTGAGGTACGCATCAGTTGCACCCTTGATGGTGATGCCAGTGCCGGAAATTTGGAGCAAGGGTCCATCCCATTCTTCGTAGCCCCAGGTGGTTTCGCCTTCGAAAATGACCTATCAAATCTCATCAGCAAAAGAAATAGGGGAATTGCGTTCAGATATTACATACGGTAGTGTCATCCTCCAGATCACTGAGATCAAGAGTGGTTCCGGAGGGCACAGCGACAGCCGACAGAATGATGGTGGAGCACGACTTCTGAGAAACACTGGCTTTAGAAGCTCCCTCGGAACCAGAGAATGTACAGCTGGTGGCTCGCTTGGCCAGGCTTGGCGCCTCAGTAATGGCAGGTTCAGCGACGGGAGAAGCCACCACGCCCGCAGCCAATGCGGCAAGCACGAGAGGAGTGATCAGCTTGCTCATTGTGACTGAGAATCTATTGCTTTCTTGTCAATTGATTCGAGCTGTTTGCTTTGTCCTGGAATTTGGCCGAGGGATTCACTCACTTTATAGCCAACCTGGACCCATCATCCTACACCGGACAATTCATGAAGCAGTCCAGTCTACCGAACTAGCCGGCATCAAGCACGCTAAGCAATCGATTATCCTCCAATCCCAGAGCAACCGTACCAACTCGTGAAGTGGCTATTGGTGGTCAAACACCAGTGTTGATTAAGGGCCACATTATTCATATTTTACTAAGAATTCAAGCAAATGTGGGGTTTCTTCAGGAAATCCAGGGGAAGTAGCGAATAGGAAGAATAGCCTCCGAGAACTGAAACCTTGATGGTTTCAATTCACTTTTAGCTAAGAAACGCCACTATGCGCCACCAAATCCCGGAGCACCACTCAACCGGTAAATCACATCCGCCCAGTGAAGGTCGCTGTTTCATGCGTATAGGAGCACGGGCCGTTCCGCGGTTTACGTGTCCTGATCATCTGAACGGGATTTATTTTTGCCACCACTCGTTTATTGTCGATGGAGATATGTGTAGATTTATCTGGGGAACTGGGAGATCCGCAGGCTATGATTGATGGAGAGTGAAAGGGGCGCCTTGTGGCATTGGCAAAGGGAAGAACGGGACTTGGGAGGGGTTCATGCGGGGGTTCCACCGGAACTATTAAGCTTGTATTCATTTGGATATTACTCCGCAGTGGACAATATTTCAAGACAATAATGTTTCAACAGTATTCCTCTATCTCCGAGAAATTCTAGCCTCTAAGATTGGTACATAGTGAGACATCCTATTGAGGTTCCTTGATAAGCACTTGCCATGGTTATGGTCTTGTGGGGCATAAACGGCGAGCTACTTAATTAGAGTGAAGCTTAACCGTTCTTGTTTCTAGTGATTACTCCACCGCGTCATCATTTACACTTTCTGCAGTCTAGATGAGCGACGTGCGTCCACCAAATGCTTAGAGCCGGAACAGAGCCGGACAAGAGGCAAATTAACAAGGACATGTGTCGCTTTTTTCTTCTCTGTGTGGCTCAAGATAACGATGTGTCTGAGAAATCTTTAAAGCCTGAATGATGCAAAGGTCTAGTAAAATGAAAGCAATCAAATCCATTATCTCCTTTACAGGATCGTCTCTCGGTGAGCCCATCCTTCGGCGATAGTTGTAATTAGCGTGTTGCTTGGTTAGCATGACCAAGATAGGGGCTTGGGAGCCACCCGAGTCATGCCTTTTGGCAAATTTATTCATATTTTCCTCTGGCCAATAAGATCGACCAAAAGTAAGATTTCTACACAATATATGGCCTTTCCCATCATTATATTGAAGATCTCTGCATATCCCCACTTGTAGCCTCATGCCCCACTCAAAACTTACATACATGTAGTTGAAGTAGATAGAACTACCAAATGCCATACCAGCTAAATCACAGGACAAATTACCTTCAATGGTCCATATCAATAATAGAGCACAGATTAGAATTCAATCGAGCCATTGGTCGCCAAATCACGGCCAGCTATCTTTTATGTATGGTTTAGATAAACAATAGTTGCGCGCTAGATTGGTAAGTCTTCAAGAACGCAAAGAATATAGCTTAGAAATCTTTCAATTTTGATTGTACATGTCATCATGTAAGACATTGAAAAATCTGTCTATCTCATGTAATCCAAATTGTCACATTCCAATCATGTACGTTCAACCCCACCAAGCGGTAGTTGGCAGCTGCATTTCGATGACGTCAACCACCCCCTCAGCAAATGCATCCGGTTTTTTGTAGCAACAGAGACTTTTTACCTGCAGTGAGCCCCTCTTCTCAATAAGAAATTCAAATTCCCTACCATTGACTAGGTCGACAAATATTTTCAAAATGTCGAGTCACAAATTCCCCGTCGATCTGAAGCAGTTCAAGCAGCTGAAGCTGGATCCTAAGAACAAGAGTCTCACCTCTGAGCAAAAGCAGGATCTCTTGCACAACATCAATGTCTTCAGAGATGCAATCATTGCCTTCACGGCAACTGGTGCTGCCCGTGGTGTCTCAGGCCACACAGGAGGCCCATACGACACGGCACCAGAAGTCTGTGTCCTCCTCGCATTCATGAACGCAAATCCCAATGGATTCTATGACGCGATCTTCGATGAAGCCGGTCACCGAGTGGCCACACAATACCTTCTAGCAGCCCTAGATGGTAAGATCGCTCCTGACCACCTCCTCAACTACCGCGACGCCGACTCCAAGCTTCCCGGTCACCCCGAACTCGGTCTCACACCCGGCGTTAAGTTCAGCTCCGGTCGTCTCGGCCATATGTGGGGTATGGTCAACGGTATCTCGATGGCCAACAAGGATAAGAGTGTGCTTATGCTTGGCTCGGACGGATCTCAGATGGAAGGAAATGATGCTGAGGCGGCGCGGATTGCCGTCGCAAGAAACCTGAATGTTAAGGTTTTCGTTGATAATAATGACGTTACTATTGCCGGACATCCGTCGCAATATCAGAAGGGCTACGATGTTGGAAAAACACTGACTGGTCACGGTCTTCACGTTGTCCGGGCTGAGGGTGAGAACATTGATTCGCTGTATGGTGCCATGTGCGAGGTCATCAACTACAATGGTCCCGCCGCTGTCATCGTGGATCGGATTATGGCTACTGGCATTGAGGGTATCGAGGGTGAAACCCATGCCCACGATGTCATTACTGTCGATATCGCCCGCAAGTACCTTACCAAGCGCGGTTACAGCAAGGAGCAGCTTGCCTTCTACGACGAGATCAAGGGACGATCCAACCCCCACAAGTACGAGGGCTCTACCAAGGATAAGGGCGCCAACCGCTCTATCTTCGGTGAAGCTGTCAACGGCATTCTTGACGGTTTGAGCAAGGAGGAGGCCGCGCGCCGGGTCATGGTTATTGACTCCGATCTTGCCGGCTCAACTGGACTGAAGGCCATTCAATCCAAGCACCCCGAAGTCTTCGTACCATCAGGAGTCATGGAGCGAGGTAACTTCTCCGCTGCTGCTGGTTTCGGCTTTGGAAGTGATGGCACACGCCAGGGTGTCTTCTCCACCTTCTCCGCTTTCCTGGAGATGTGCATTTCAGAAATCACCATGGCACGTCTCAACGGCTGTACTGTGCTTTCCCACTTTTCGCACAGTGGTGTCGATGAGATGGCAGACAACACATGCCACTTTGGCCTGAACCACTTCTTCGCCGATAATGGGTTGATGGATGCCGAGTCCACTTCTCTTTACTTCCCCGCCGATGGTGAGCAGATGACAGCCGTTGTGAACAAGGTGTTCTGGGACACTGGCATGCGATTCATCTTCTCTACCCGCTCTAAGGTTCCCTACATCCTCAAGGAGGGCACTGACGAGAAGCTCTATGGAGGGGACTACAAGTTCGTGCCTGGTAAAGAGGAGACCATTCGCAAGGGAACTGCAGGCTACATCGTCTCTTACGGTGACATGCTCTACCGGTCCTTAGATGCTGTTGAGCGTCTGCGCAAAGACGGTCTGGATGTTGGTTTGATCAACAAGCCTACTCTCAACGTGGTTGACGAGGAAGCTATCAAGCACTACGGATCTTCTCCCTTCGTCCTGGTTGTTGAGTCTATTGCTCAGAAGACCGGTCTTGGCTCGCGTCTTGGAACTCATCTCCTGGAGCGCAAATTGACTCCCAAGTTCAAGTCTATCGGCGCTATCAAGGAGGGCAGTGGTGGCTTGTACGAGCAGGTCAATGCTCAGGGACTTGGTCCCGACGACATTGTCGAAGCTGTAAAGAGCCTTGCGTAAATAGATCTTTCCGCTGGTATTTATGAAGAAACGCTTTCAGTTTAGATGACGAAAGAAGGATATATTAGTCAATATTCAATTTGCCATTTCTCATTTCAACATAATCTTCCAATTTAAGAACAAATCGATGAAGTAACATCCAGTAAGACATCTCTCGTGTAGATCAGTCGCGGTCATCAGGGTGAAAGACTAAAGCCCGAACCTCAATACTCTCCCTTCCAGCCTGATTCTCAGTATCGGGATTCACAAACGCCGAATGAGGAACACGTCTCGCTCTACCATCCGTCTTGGAATCAAAGCACTTGATCAAAGTCACCAAATCAGGCGTTTGGCTATAACGATAATACCACTTGATATCCGGGTCAGGCTTCACAGCATAAGTCTCTCCTTCGCGATCGGGGTAAATGAGCTTGATGGGGACTAGATCACTATCTGGCACACTGTGGGCATCTGCGACAGCGAGTGGTTCTTTCAATATAGTTCGGATAGGACGCCAGACGTTGATGATCTGATACCGGCCTTTGGAAAGCTCGGCAGCGTCTTCTGGCAGGTGATAGGAAACGCGGTTCTCGGCGGCCTGGTAGGACTGGTCGATGTGTACACGTTGGACGGGGCCACGGACTTTGGAACTGCCCGATCCTCGGCGGATTGTGTGGTCGAAGATGAATACTCTGGAAGCTCCGGTGCTGTTTGTATGATCTGGTTAGAGAGTGGCTGTGGGTATGAATGAGCATTGTCGGTAAGGTGAATAACATACGCATCCTTGAGCAGTTTTTCTGTTTCTGGGTAGTATTCCTGCTTTATCTGTTCGTCATCCAGGAAATCTTTCTCCTTGCTTTCATGGTAGTAGATTTGAAATCCCTGAGCGTCGAGGGTATAGTCCAGCTCATGACCGCTAACATCATGAATGATGGTGGGGAGCGCCACAGCTTCCCTTTCATAGGTCTCAGGCTTGCTGACATAGGTCGGAAGGGGAGGGGATCCGTCTTCGTTTTCTTTAAAGAAGTTGAGGGTTGTCTGAACGTGATGCGGCTTTTCGAAGAGAGGAACGGTTGGTTTATCTGCCGGGAGAGACCCGTGGCCACCCGAAATCTGAACAGCTGCCGATGTCATGACTGAAGTTAGGTATATGATTGACTTGTCATCTGTTGGAAATTAGGATTACATAGATGAATCCCTTTGAAGTGTTTTTATAACTGCGTAATCTTGCGGGGTTAAGATTTCTATTTGTCAGGACAGCACGCAATATTCGTCTTACATGAAGAAATTCTGGTAAATCGATCTTCGTAAAGCAAACGCAATGCAAGTTGCAATGGCATGTGCGCCTGTGTGATGCTGAAATGTGTCACATGGATTAATAATGACTCGGCATCAATTTATAAGCACGCAGTCCGCTGTCTGAATCTATCAGGGACCTGGTTTTATGGAAGCTTATTTAGTTATGGAGTCGTGTATGGAGTTTAAAAGCAAATTTGTAGATAAAACTATCAACTCATGAAGGGAAAACCAGGCGTATGTCTCATTAACGTACAGCAGGATCTCGAAGGAAAACATCTGGAGGTGTCCTGCTGTGATGGGTCATAGCGTTGTCGTATTGCCCTTGCTCACACACAAAGCCTTGGTCAAGTAATGAAAAACAAAAGGAAAATAAAGAGTCCATCGTACACCCGCATTATGAATGGAGGAAATAAAAGCAAAAGAGAAAAGTGAAAAGAAATGGATCTCTCACACATGTGGAGATGAGGTATGGAGTGACATCCTCAAAGAGGGAATAGTAAAAAACCTATTGTGACAACTTGACATCATAGACAGAAGAAGAGAAAATGGGCTTTTGTGCAGGTAAGGTGTTCCAAGACGGGCTTAGAACATGAGGGATCGAGTCTTCTGTCGGCGAGCTTCAGCACTAGGCATCTCCGGTTGAGAATAGGTGTGCTTGTGTCGGGGACGATTAGGTTGAGGCGCCGGCGCCGCCGAACCCGCTGAAGATGGAGGTGCCATGACTGCACTTGTCCGATGTGAAACAGGCGATGAAGGGGTGGGAATCCCACTTGGAGGGAAACGGTCTGCAGTCTGACGCCGCGACTTCATACTTCGCTCCCGCTTGAGTACATGATCAGCCCAAGCTTTGATGGGACCGTTGGAGGTGGAGCCCTTGCCCACTGCCTCTGACATCACACGAAGCCATCCTTCCTTGGCAGATGGACTGTCGGCATAGAAATCAATTACTTCCCCGTTGCCAAACCGGATACGGAATCCCTCTTCAACAAACATGTAGCCATCTTCCTCTTCGGCGAATGCAGATTTCCGTCGGCCACCACTGCTCTTAGCATTGGGGTCCTTCTGCATGAGAGATGAGCGGTCATCAATTAGCTTAGCAGCTTTAGCCAGGTTGATCGTAGCACGCGGCTGCCGTGTTGTTTCATGGTAGGCCGTCAATTTAGATCCTTGGAGCTTGAAGAAACGGCGACGCCAGTACTATCATATCCATTAGCATGTGAGGCTGACTCAAGAATTGGCACAACTTACCGGGCAATCGCCACCCTGCTGAGAAAGGTATCCTTCCCAGCTGCGAGAAGCAACACTCTCAGCGTCGCGCATCTCCCGAATACAGGCGTTCATGCTCTTGGGCATATCATCGTCTTTGCCGCCCTTAGGTTTTGGCACGAAGAGCAACTGCAGCTCCAATTTTCCAATCTTATAGGGAGGGCGACGTTGGGCAGTGACACTTGTCGCACTCTTCTTACTCTTAACGCTGCTGGGCTGTTCATCGACTGCCCACTCATTGAAACATGGGACATCAACAGTGTAAGGGCGGCCATACGCATGTTCTTCATGATCACTCAAAGCCACGTATGAACGAGCGAAGCTTCCGTCCCTTGCAACAACGTTACGCAGACGTTCCCATACAGGAGCGTTAACATCCTTCGATTTCTGTTGCTGGGATTGCATCTGTTGCTGCAAGTCCAACTCCTTGCGCCGGCGAGGCGAAGCAAATACACGGCTGAGAGCTGAAGCTTTTTGGCGGGGAGAGCTAGCAGCTTCCTGTGGGTAGAGCTTATTTTCATCAACCTTCATTTGCAGAGTCAATTGAAACTCGAGGTCATTTTGCACGATAAGCTCAAATTCTTGTCCAATGGGAGCCGACTTCCCAAGCTCAAGCCACGAAGTGGTCACGCAATGCAGGCCGTTGTCGAGAGTAAGGGAAAAGTATGATCGTTCACCTTTGACGAGTTAGTAATGATAGATCTTGGCCTAGCACGGAGGGACGACATACCACGTGGGAGAGGTAGATCCATGTACTTGATTCCTACTACCTTGACGAAGATACGGCCGCGTTCTTCGCCATCCTCATACACCTCCTGACCAAGCGGCTCGTTCTCATCGATAGTGGCTGGGGCCTCCTGCACATTGCTCTGACGACCGGGCAGTGGAGGGATTGCTCCGCCAACAGGCTTCTTCTTCGGGAGTCCGCCTGCCATCTTCACACTGGGCTTTCTTGGTTGACCATTCCATGGTTCTGTTGTCCATGTCTGCTGGCTGGGTTTGCGGGGGGATGATCCGGCAGAACGAGTACCGCGGGGGTCTTGTGTCGCCGAATCAGTTGGAAGGCTAGGCTCTTCCTCATTTCGGTTGCTGGCAATGACCACTTTGGTGTTCTGTCGCATCAAATATCCTCTCTGGTTGGTTGAAGCTGTGTTAGCTGATGATGTAGGGCTCATAGGGTTGAGATGTTCTAGGATTTGAGAGGGCAGCGGCTGCATTGGGGGGACCGGCACGGGAGAGGAATCAAGAATGGAAAGAGCTAGGTCGAACGCCACCTTTTGAGATTCAATAACACGATCAAATTCCTTTGTCAAGCCAGATCCGAGGCTTTCTTCCTGAATGCTGAAAGGAATGTCTAACTGCATCAAGCTAGACTGACGCTGGGTGAGATTGGCGGGGAGCGCCAGCTGTGGGGCGCTGTCGGTTTTCGAAGCTTCCTTTTCGGGCTCCTGGGTATCGTCGGTGGTCTGCTTGTTAAAAGCAGGCATTGGAGGAACGGGAGGGATGTATTGGCCACTGATCTTGCGACGGGTAGCGGCCATTGAGTCCATGTCTGCAGGGGTCAGTGATGGGCGTGTCTTCAATCCAGCGCCCGGGGCTCGAATAGTGGCCACTGGCTCAGGGACAGACTCGTCTGAGGAGCTTTCCACGTCATGCTCATCTTCAGACTGCTCGTCATCATCATGTTCCTCGATCGGATGACGGATCACCGAATCTGGAGTGGATGGTTCCGAGGTCGGCTCTTCCTTAATCTCGGGAGTCACAGGGCGACCAAGTGACTGGCGAAGAGACGCGAGATCCAAATGATGGTCTTCCTCAGGCTCTGGATTCTCATTTTCGTCTTCCGGCTGAGAGACTGGAGGAGCAGGGCTGGCTTCAGCAGGAACTGGAGTAGACTGGCCAGAACCCTGGGTCTTGTCGTTCTCAGCCGCTTCGGCTGCTGATTTTAGCGAGTAGTTGCTATCTTCATCATATTTGGCGCGGTGATCACGAGAGGAGAGGCTGTGATCCGAGGAGTTCTGGTAATAATCCGGAATTGCATATAAATCATCATCATGGGCTTCTTCTTTGATAATCACGCTCGAAGCATCATCCTCATCGTCTTCCAAGGACGGGATTGGAACATCAGGGTCGTAATGGTCATAAGCATGGGGGCTGGATGCAATATGGGAGTCATCCCCGAAAAAGTCGTCATCCTCATAGCTCTCCCCCTTGCGAATGTCTCTCAGAATCGAGTCTCGGGAGATCCGAGGAGGGGAGAAGATATCATGGGTGGCTGGTTCATCCGCCTCATCCTCCTCAAGGACAGATGGGTCCTCATCATTGGGCATGGGGCTAACAGCTCGCTCGCCGATATCCTCTTCGTTATCATCGTGATCACTATCATCATGATCAGAAGTCTGGTGATCTTGCAGCATCATGAGCGAGAGTCTGTCCTCAAGGGACATCTCTCCGTCGATATCAGCCTTTTTACACGAAGCCGGCGCTAATGGGGCTGTCATTCCACGTTGGCTACCGCTACCGAGCTCGAAGGCATCCGAAGTCTTGCTTGCTGATGAGGGTCGAGAACCAGAGATACGAGACACCGAAGGCAACGGAGGCAACGGTGGCAAGGGGCGTCTCTCGCCATTTGAATCTAACGACTCAACACGAGAGTGGTGCGAGGATTCACCTCCACGTGAGACTGGCCGATCCTCAACGTCCTCATCATCGACTGTCTCCGTGAAGGAGTCACCTTCTCCATTGACACCGGGACTCATGAAGCGCCATTCGTCTGGCAGTACAACTGGAGTTTTTTCAATATCCTCGAGAGATGCGTCAAAGCTGTCGTCGCGCTCCACAGACGATTCGTGTTCGAAGCTGACATCCTCGTAGTCCTCCGAATCATAACTGTTTTCGCGGGACTCTGAGGCCAAGGAAGATGGATCCGGAGTTCTCATTTCATATTCGTTGACTTGAGGTGGGGCAGCATCAAAGGTAACACTCTTAGCATGGCGGTGACCAGCACTATCATACTCGGACCAAATATCGTTTTGCGGGTCAAAGCCCTTACCGTATCGAGTGGCTTTGGACAGTGATGACTTGCTCGGGGACGGCTGCTCTTTGCTAGGTGAATGTGGTCGCTGGATTTCATCGGCTTCTTCGTCTGAAAATTGCGACTTCGCAAGGTTCATTTGGCTCTCTCGGTTGGGAGACCGATCGGCAGCTAGTGGCCTGTGAGGTACCGAAACCCGCGCGGGATCGTATTCTTGCCCGCTCTCACGGAACATGCTGTGGTTCTTCACTCGCGATACACGCTTCAAGTCCTCGAGTGATGGACGTCTTGCAGGCAGGTAAACAGATTCTGGGTCGTAAGGCGCACGATTCTCTGTGCCCTTAGAGAAGGGAGACGGGGATTCGCGACCCTTCCAAAAGAGGTGCGGGGAGGTTCCATTGTTCATAGGTGAAACATCGTAATTGGTCGTCTCCCCACTTGGCACCTGTCAAGAAAAGAAAGTCAGTCTAACATGACTCGTAGGCATTGGCAACAGACTGTTCGTACCTTGCTAGTCTGATTCCAACTAGGGGAGTTGCGTCGCTGCGCCATCGGGCTCACTTCGGACAGTGGCCGTTGGCCGAGTCCACTAGGCATCTTCGTGTTCGATATCACGAATAAACCGGCTGAATCTCGCGTAAACAAATCAAGGCTGTTGCTATTTGTGGTCAGCCGCAGTTCACCAAGTCAGAGCTCGAGACTCATAGCCGACGCGAACAGGGAAATATGATGCTGAGTGCCGCGGTAGCACAAAACCTACCTTTAGTGGATTGATATCAAGAGTCGCGTGCAAATTGTTTGCGCCAGCGAGTTCAGGTACAGCCGTGAAAGCGTAAAAAGTCGTGACGATCGTCTCAGGAATGTAGGTGCCTCACCAAAACAATGCCACTCAACTCTCCAAGCCAGAAACAGAATGAAAACAAAGTTCGAATGCGAAGGGATAACGAGTGGAAGAGGATAAGAAGAGGGGATCAGATCTCGATATCTATTCCATGGATCAGAGAGTGGATTGTTACCCCAAAGCAAGTTGCACTTGTTGACAGTCTGCCGGGAGTATCCATGGCAACGCGTTTCAGGTGGAGTGGCGCTTTCCTGGTTTGAGGCGCGACAGATAGATGACTCATCCTCGATAACGGTCACATGATCTATTGCCTCGAATATCAGGTTCCATGATCGACCCTAGTCCCAGATAGGCATGGCGTGAAATTATTCCTGAATCCGTGAACCCGCGATTTTTCTTGGTCTGGAACCTGACAGTTCAACTCCATCACCTTCCTAATACACCCATCCATCTCATCTGGTCGATTAGGTAGAATGCCTCTGCCCGTTCGCTCCTCGATATGCTTCCTGTGTCAATCTAGGCCTAGCGTTTTCCCTTCACCAGCAGTTCTCTCGACATGGCAGGCCACGCGAACCATGGCCACTGCGCGTTTGCGCCGCAAGGCCTCTCGCATGGCACTATCACCTGATGTTGCAAAGCACACCCTGAAGAAGAAACGCTCCGGTCCTGCTGGACCCTTTGCAAGCATGAACCAGACCGAAGCCCGTATTCCGGATGCGCCACGACCCCGATCCCAAGCCGCCCTCAGACGTTCCGGCGACGACTCCAAGTCCAAGAAGCCCGAAAGCCCATTGTACAAAGCGTTGAAGATGCAAACCACGTTATCTCCTGTCACATACGGCCGTCGAACCGCTATCAAATCGAAAATTGCCAACGTAACGAGCTTCGACCATATGCCTCTGCTTCCTGCCGTCCGACAATCGATCTTCACCCAAGCTCTGCCTGGCCTAGCGGACGTCGTCCCAACACCGATTCAACGGCTTGCCATTCCACAACTTCTGAGTCAGAAGCCGAATAAGAAGACATCCCCGAAGGAGGAGGATGAATTTGAATATGATCAGTTCCTTCTTGCGGCTGAAACAGGATCCGGAAAGACATTGGCGTATCTGCTTCCCGTGGTGGATGCAGTGAAGCGTGCGGAAACATTGGATAAGCAAGAGGAGAAGCTTTTGGAGGAGGAGAAGGCAAAAGAGCGAGAGGAAAGATTGAAAACTCGGACATACGACCTAGAGCCTGAAGTGGCCCCTATGACCAACGAGGGTCGCCCGAGAGCTATCATCCTCGTGCCGACCTCGGAATTGGTTGCCCAGGTTGGAGAGAAGGTCAAGGCCCTCGCGCACACTGTCAAGTACCGATCGGGTATTATATCCTCAAACCTCACCCCCCGCCGCATTAAAAACACCCTTTTCCACCCGGACGGCATTGATATTCTTGTCTCTACCCCTCACCTTCTCGCCTCGATCGCAAAAACCAACCCTTACGTGCTCAGTCGCGTTAGTCACCTTGTCCTTGACGAAGCCGATTCTTTGATGGACCGTTCCTTCATCCCAACTACCATGGAAGTCGTGGATAAGGCAGCCCCTTCGCTCAAGAAACTGATCTTCTGCTCTGCTACCATCCCGAAGAGTCTCGATACTCAAATTCGCAAACGCTACCCCGATGTCAAGCGCCTGACGACCCCGAACTTGCACGCCATTCCCCGACGTGTTCAGCTAGGTGTGGTGGACATTGACAAGGAGCCTTACCGAGGAAACCGAATGCTTGCTTGCGCTGATGTCATTTGGTCAATTGGCAAGGCGGGTGATGGAACTGACGGCGAGACGTACGGCCCTGTTCTCTCCAAATACATGGGACCCAAGGTCAAGAAGATCATTGTATTTGTCAATGAGCGGGAGGAGGCGGACGAGGTGGCACAATTCCTTCAGACCAAGGGTATTGATGCGACCTCCTTGTCTCGTGACTCTAGCTCCCGAAAGCAACAGGAAATCTTGGCAGAATTTACTGATGTTGAGAAGCCCCCATCCTCGGAGGATATTCTGTTGGCACGAAAGCAACACCGCATGGAAAAGGAAATCCCCTTGGAGCTTCCTGATTTGAGATCCCAAATGACCCGTCGTCTTCCCAACACTCGGGTTCTCGTTACGACTGACATTGCCTCCCGAGGCATTGATACTTTGGCCGTCAAAACGGTGGTGCTCTACCACGTTCCCCATACTACGATTGATTTCATCCATCGTCTGGGTCGTTTGGGTCGTATGGGCAAGCGTGGTCGTGGTGTTGTCTTGGTAGGCAAGAAAGACCGTAAGGATGTTGTTCGCGAAGTTCGTGAGGGCATGTTCCGTGGACAGGCCCTGATCTAGATGTATAGTCTGATTCCCTTGTATAAATATGTACTATAGATGGCGTTCGTGTGGATTGGTTGGTAAATAAAAATACCCGATACAGCTTCAATGGTCTCCAAGCTTGAGTGTACGATATCAAATATGAAGAAACTATCGTACATACTTCGATGATCTCTACCTCCAGCTCGCGACTAGGTTCTCGCACGCCGGGCGGGAACCCGCTCGGAACTAGGGTTCAACCTGGGGTCCTTCCAGCACTTGCGCGACATCAGCAAATTTTCAAATTTTAGGTGTCCTAATCGATTTTCTTGTAATATTTTTAGGCAGATGCCTAGGTCGATACATATATGTCAATTGATTGCCCAGATATATTAAAGTATGTTCCAATGGATGTTGACGTTTGGTGACGGTCCTGGTTATATATTTATGGCTCTATGGCATGTACCTCGAGGTTTATCCTTGGCTCGATACCTATGCACTGCCCAGGTGGCTGCCACAAGCCTTTGTAATCCAATTGACTACTTCTCAATAGAACTCGGCCCTAGACCCGTCAGAAATAGAGGCGTAGCAAGTTCATTTGAATACTACTGTCAACCTTGGTAAGTTCCCGTGGTCGCTTTGGCCATTTCATGTGTGTGCACGCGCCCCACGGGTGCTCCCAATGGATGGCAACCTTATGTCCAGCATGTTCTAGATAGAAGAAAAATATTTCTACGAATGAGAACTAGAATTGAGAAAGAGGTTGGACACCTGGGGCTAAGGCTTGGACCAAGAAGCAGACATGTCTCTGAATATTGTCGGTAGGATTGGATGTGACAGCTCGCATCACCTGCGCAAGGGGTTTGATTTCAATTTAATCAACTACCGAGCCCTGAGTATGTATACTGTATAAGAATACATATGGCCAGTAAAACCACACCCTTTTTCGTGACTGTGTCTAAGTGGGTCAATTGTGCTGTTTTGCTAGGGTTGAGTGCCCCAGTATTGTACGTTCAATTGATATGATGGATGCACTAGGACATCTCGCTCGCTGGTCTGGTCAGCAAAGCAGGATTATTGCTGGTCTCAACGGGAGAAATCCTCTAGTCCTGTTTGGCGCCCAGTCGTCATTGGTGTTCGGCTAGTGTGCTATTCCAAGGTTGGTGGTGGATGCTGGACGCGTCAACCCAAGTCCGCGTCCAGCAAAATTTCACGGCATGAGTATCCGATCGGCAAGATTCGACGTGAGTGAAATAAAAGTATAGATTCCATATTTTGAAGCCAGTCTTTCTCCTACATAAATCCCTACTTCTCATCCTGCTCCCCTGAACAGGTCTCTTGTATATGCCGCGATCGGTTTCCTGCGGACGCGTCATCCCCACTAGAGCCGCTCTAGAGATTCTCTCGAGGCTGACGTCACTTGCTACAAACAAGAAGGATTTGGAAACTTGGCATACCCCATAATATACAGTATCTGCCATCTAGATCGCGATGAAAATCTTACCATGTTTGTCTTTCTGGATCTTGGCGCAATGTGCATACACATTGGCCGAGACGACAGACACGGCAGAGAGCACTGATACGACGTCAACAACCACCACCACATCTGACACAACCTCTGGGTATATTGTTGTCACCTCAGAAACTTCAGTTGCCGTTCCAACTGGCGACTATATCACTTATACAACTACTAAGATTGTATCATCCGTCGAACTCAACGCCACGGCCACGAACAATGCTACAGCCTCCACAACTGCCACAGATGTCGTTCTCGTTGGGACAGGGAGCAGCTCTAATAGCACGGCGACATCTTCATCTGCCAGCGCAACAAATACACAGGCCTGCAATGGCTATACAGAGTTCTGTGAAAGGAAGTACTCCAACATCACGATGGTGACCGCGCATAACAGCCCGTTTGTGAAAAAGAACAGCGTAGCGGCAAACCAAGACTATAAAGTCACACAACAGTTAGATGACGGTATACGGATGGGTGAGTAGGTCCATTCTGCAATGACATGAATCTGTACCCTCTAACAGTAAACAGTATCCTTTGAGGCACATTACTATGAAGATGACATCTATCTCTGCCACAGCTCCTGCGACCTTCTCAACATGGGTACCCTAGAGGCTTACCTGACGACCGTGACGAAATGGATCAAGAAAAACCCCTACGATATCGTCACTATCCTGATCGTCAACTCTGACTATGTCTCGCCTTCGAATTTCAGCGCACCCATCCAGAACTCCGGTTTGGTTGACTACGCATACGAGCCCTGGAAAATTCCAATGAGCCTAGATGACTGGCCGACCCTGTCCGACATGATCCTTACCGGAAAGCGCGCAGTCATATTTATGGACTATGAAGCCGACCAAACAGAATATCCCTATCTCTTAGATGAGTTTTCCCAGATGTGGGAAACGCCCTTTTCACCGCTGAACCGTTCCTTCCCTTGCACTGTTCAACGACCCACCGGTATCAGTACCGCCAAGGCCAAAGATCGGATGTACATGGCCAACCACAACCTCAATCTGGAAATTGTCTTTGATGATATCGATATTTTGATCCCGGACTCCGCAGAGATCAACGTGACAAATGCAGTGTCTGGTTATGGAAGCTTGGGGCTGATGGCCAATAATTGTCGAAGTGAGTTTTTCTATTCTAAATGCTCACATGGAGTTTCGCTGACCGGATAGGTGACTGGGACCGAGCACCAAATTTCCTTCTAGTTGACTATTACAATGATGGTAACTTTGCTGGTTCGGTTTTCGAAGTTGCCGCTGAGATGAACAATGTCACTTACAACGGCGACTGTTGTGGGATATCGTCGGATGCTGTGAGGATGAACATCACTATAACTTTGTCCATCACTATTGCTGTTCTCAGCACATTACTAACTTACTTGATGTAAATTGCAATGTTATAATGAACAGTTTTGATTATTAATTCGAAGCACATGTCCCGGAGTCGGCGAAGGTTCAGATCTATGTTATCGACGAAGAACAGTATAGAAGAGTAGTTCAGAAGCATGAGATGAGATATTGAAGCCACCCCCACTTGAAATATAAGGTTTAAATTACATTAGGTATTCAGGATCCACTGACTAATATTAGGCTTGAACGTCGGCCCCATACTTAAGGTTGATCAACTAGATCGCGGGTTCGGCACACTCCACAGGCCGGACATTCCGCCCATCGGTCCGTTATCAGATCAAGCCCTATTCTTTCAGATCCACAAATACATGCCTATTTTGTAATGGCGGGCTCTTTCAGATGCAACCAGTCATCTTTCATTTGAAAGAACATTTCATGGCAAGCTTGAAATCGACTTTACTCGACACGGCGATACGGCTCAACATACTGTCCGTTAGCTAAATGACAAATAACGCCGTTCCAAGCCAGGTGTGAAAAGTCTTGTTAAATATGCTCTATACAGGTAATTTTCATTTGGATATCATAATTGTCACAATAACATAATCATCACAGACAGAAGATCAAAGAAGATCCTGCCCAACAAAGTATTGCCAAAGGCCATATCGATCTGATATGTCTGGCCCAGCACCTTGGTAAACATTGAGGAACGACAGATCGGACTGGCTATCAGCAGGCGATGTATTCAGATTCCACATGCTTTGAGCATAAGTTGGATCGGACTCATCCTGTGAAGAAGATTGTGTCAGTTGAAGTTTGAATTATCGGGCTTTGATATACATACCTGCATCTGCATACCCAGGGCTGAGTAGAATCCAGCACTGAGAAATTCTTGTGGCATCGGCTGTTCGGGGCCATTCGCTGGGCTACCATTTGAGTAAGCTTGTTGATTGTAGGAAACTGAAGCTGAAGATGGGAAGTGGGAAGAAGACGAGGATGTGGATCCTGGATCCTCGACTCTAGTATTGCGCGTGCCTAGTGTCATGTTGCGGGATATGCGGCGTAGCACCTCAGAAAAGGGGGCTGGCTTTGGGATTGGATGTTGCTGGTTCGCTTGATTAAAGCTGCGAGCCTTGGCTGATCGACGAGATTGGCTCTCGGATATAAGATCACTATATCAAAGTGAGATAAGCTAGATCAGAATGGCGTGTATGAATGAGATGAGGGAAAATTTACCTGATGATGCGAAAAGCGGACTCAACGATTTTACGCAGTGGAGTGTTGCTTATTTCGCTGTACATGGAGAAGATTTCTCGAACCATGTAGATAGTGCGTGTCCTCTCGTCAATTTCGGCGGTGGGAAGATTACTGGGCCAGGTTAGCTCTAGTAAAACAAGTATTGATGTATCATTGACCAGTGACTGCAAGGAAAACATACTTATCAATGGACCAAAACAGATCCAAGAAGAGAACCATAGCCGAGCTTAGTGTATGTGAATATACGAACCTGAGAAAATGAAACAAGTCATTAGTTTTGGGCTCTTGAGAACGTCTAGGAGATCGTACCATAATGAGCCACTTGTTGTCAAATCACGCAGGTTATAGTGACAATCTACCACTATGCGTGCTGATTTAAGACAATTGTCTTTGGAGTTCGCGAACTTGGAGCCTTTCGCATAACCTCGCGATAGGAAAGGTCTGTTTAGTCGCACAATGCGAGAATGTATCTAGAAAAGAAAACACTTTAGCAAGGTGAAGCGTGGGGAAACCAGATTGAAAGCTTGCATACCCCTTCTAGAGCAATATCTGGTAATAAGAGTAGATGTTAGTCAATTTTCCTCAAAGCATAGTGTTCATCACGGGGCATACTTACTTCGCTGACGGCGGATTCTAGGATCACTGCCATCGACCACGCTATTCTCTCGTTGATATGCTTCGCTGTGAGTGATATTGGCGTTAAATTTCTGCACAGATGCCAAAGATGGAATTTTAGCGTCACTCACGGCAAGCCCTCTAATATCTTCCGATATCCAGCATCGAGTTCCAAAACTATCCAAAAGCAGTGTCATCAGCGCTGGATCTCGCTTTGTCATTCTGAAGCGGTGCAACCCACCAGTAGAGTACGAAAACTTATCCGCATAGGTAATAAGCTTATCAAATGTAAGACGCAACATGTTGGCGATATTCCACTTGTAGACCTCAAAAGAGCTAGCTGTCACAACACGCGCGGGTCGAGGCGTGTACTGCCATTCTGTCGGTGATAGCTCCCAGTCATTGACATTATCGACCAATTGTGATGTACATTGATCTAGTTGGATAGTATAGCAGCGGAAACGTGCCGATGCAGACATCCAATCGGCCCATTGCAGCATCATCCAGACCCGAAGTCCCATATGGCGCTTGACAGCGTTCTTACCTGGGGGCCAGGCAGGGTCATCGGGAGGCATTCTGCAGAAAAGTCAATCAAACTTGATGTTGAATAGAGTAAATACGTTAATGGAATTACTCACATCTCTGGGTTGTTTCCTAGCCTGTGTAGACCCATCAGCTGGGCTGTACGAATGGCTAAAGCGTTCCAGTTAAGCATCGTATCGGCTTTTCTCCAGGCGCTCGAAAGCTGGAAAAATTGATTAAATAGAATAACGGTTCTGTGTTAAGTTAGATTTGATTCAATACGTGGAAGGCTTAGAGGCTTCAACTTACTGCACCGTTCGGACTCGTGGAGTAGACATAGCATCACCAAGATATAGTGCCTTGATGCTCACCGCATGGTATTTACTGGTAAGTTCATTGAGCCTCTGGTGTGTGTATCCGTGAAAAGGATGACTGGGGCCTGTTGGGGCTGTTGACCGATTGTCAAGTGCAAGGGCCATCACCATGAAGAAGACAGACAACCATAATGGATCGAGCTCAGAATGACGTTGTTGCGTCATTATCTCCCAAAAGTAATTCATCTCTGCCTGGAAGGAAGGCCAACTTCAATGCCACCAAAGTATCAGTAAGGTTTTGAGGATTCGAGGAGAGAGAGAAGGAATTGTTAACTCACTGTAAGATGCGGGACCGCCAATGAAGGATATTATTGTATTGTTCAGCTAGATAGTAGCTCTGGCGTAAGGTTGGTAGATTTTCGAGAATGCTATGCATAGCATCAAACCTGTTCTTGAGGAGCTCTTGGTGATTGTCTGCCTCAAAACCACGTTGTTGCATCAACAAAGGATTATATCGATCAAGTGCGATGTCCCATGGCGGTGCTATGACGCTAGTCAGGGCCGAAGTGTACTCCTGACTCTGCTGCTGGTTCTGGTCGTGTTTTGGATGTGGGTCATCTTTTGTAGTTCCAGCTAACGCTGCCCCAGAGGCTGGGGTGATCATGTTGCCTCTCCAATACTCGTGAGAGGTCATCGAGCCTTGGCCACTACCGGTCTCATTTGCTTGAGGGTTGAAGGCGATACTCTCCAGGACCACGGCTGCATTTTCAGCCGCATCGTCATAGAAATCCGTCTCGCCCTTCATAGCAGCAGCATTAGATGGCATAGCTGGATTAATATTTGAAGTTCGTGAATCATTTGAGCCTGTGGAAGTGACAGTGCTGGTTTCTGCCTTGGTGGTTGATGCTTCTCGAGGTACATTCGTTGTGGCGTCATGATCGATGCCGGGTTTCGATTGGGGTGAAGATATACTTGACTGTTGCTGAGCGCTAGTTACTGCTTTGGCAATCTGCGAAGGTAGCACTTGTAGCGTCTCCTGGAGGGTATCGAGACGCCTCTGTAGTTCATCCACTTGGGTCTTTAAAGCAAATGGTTGTGGTGATGGTTCAACCTTTGCATTTTCCCATCTACACGAACCAGGTACACCTCTCTTCACGCATGCCATACAAGGCACACTGCGGTCACACTTGATTTTTCGCCGTCTGCATTCAGAGCACGAAATGGCCATGCGCGGCCTTTTTGAATCGCGCTGTTTGTCGTCGGCATCATCCTCATTCCCACTGTCATTGAAGGACCCCTGGGAGTCTAGCGATGATTCAGCTAGATGCTTCTGATCACCCTGATGGCCATCTAGATTTTCAGCATGTACAATATTGGCAAATGGCCTCTTGACTGGTGCATCCGCCCAATCTGCAGTAGAAGTGGTTACATGGTGTGGTGCAGGTATGTCTCCTGGACCCGAACCAAATTGCTGGAATGATCGCGCTGGATTTGCATTCCACGCCCGATCGCTATCGATCAAATGCGCAAATGATGACATTGTGCATTTAGCGCATGGGTGAAGGGACGGAGAGTCCGGGGTAGTCTCACGGTCGGCTCCCGTACGCGCAATTAGAGGTTGAAGAATGCTCCTGTGGGTGCAGGACCCTTAGCGCAATAGGATGCAAGGGTCTAGCGGGAATATGGGCGTGTCAAATCATAGGCTCATTCGTCACGCGGTTTTCACGGGAGCATACGGGTACGGGGGTGGGGGTGATGAGAGAAAGGGGAGATCGGTGAAATTTCGGAGATCGTTACGGAATGTCCGTGAGCCTTTATCCATCGCCCCACATTTTACGTTTCCGCATCATAAAAGTCGGAGATCATTGCTCAATACGACAGTCGGAATTAAATCCACTTCCGGCGATCCACGTCAACACCATTTGCAGAGCATATCTACTCGCCGCAGATGAGATGATGAGTGATTCGATACCGACTACAGCGTCTGATAATCGTCTGAGTTTATGACAAATTTGTTCACGATGGAAATTACTAGCCAGCTTCCCACCAGGGATGGCAATAACACGATATATAATTCATGTGGCATTGATCATCCTACGCCAAGCCTTGGCTTCTTCATTGACTTGATATAACTGAATTTGATCCACGGTTAATATCCAATCGAAAATGCGCTCGAATGTGATCTCGCCAGGCACAATGACGCAGAGCCCCGTACCAACGGGATAAAGTATTGGAGATATTCCGTGAAATGATGTGTACCGCGGAGCGCATCATGGGTTCCGTCACGGCGAGCTGTTTTGTCGGGCTTGACTGATCGATCCGGTAGTCTCATTTTTAGCTAGCTGAAGCGAGAAAAAGACATAGAGCTTTCTAGGGAAAGCCTCCGCAAACCCTTTGGGTATTCTCGCAGTGATTCCAACGGCACGAAGGTAATATCAAGAGTTGACAAAAGTGACAATGTTCCAGAAAATTCGTCCTTGTGTTGCGGGTAAATTCTTTGTGCTCGGAGATATGCGTGATCAGCTAATCATCAGTCAGCACTAATATGTCGATCACCGAGAAAGGCAAGGCTGAACAAGGGTCTGACGTGGACTCAGAAGCTTCATTCTGTTATTAATAGCTCCAATTATGCAGGCTAAGGAAGCACAAATATAGATCCGGGACAAACTAGTAGACAAATATATTAGATCAAAACTGATGAAAGACTTATTATTGAGATCACAAGTCTTAGTACCCTAGGCAGAGTACTCCTGCGTGAGCAACACAACAAGGGCGCGAAGTCCTGGGAATTACACGAAATGTCAAGAGTGAGCAAAGAAACATCATACAAATAGCTAGGGAACGGACCAATAATGAAAAAAATATCCACTTACTGATTCTTGATGGAGAAAGGCGGGCGGGCGAGAATAGGTAAGTAAGCGCGAGAGCGGGCAAGCAACAGCGAAGGGATCCACTAGTTTGGTTCCCTTATTGGCCCAACGCCTTCCATCGGGACCCCGCATAACCTTGATCTTCCAAACAGATAATATAAGCGGAATGATTTGCGTTGCGGAAAACCTGCCTTTCAAGGACCATGCTAGTCAGCTCCCTCAACCTATCATTGGCGTATCTAGTCCCCATTCCGGCATACCATTCGGTTATATCCACCATATAATATCAAATATCCCTTATACTTATCGAATTCCGCCGATGAAATTTGAGATCGTAATTCAATCAAGACACCCAGCATCGAGAGAGTTTAGGTTCTTCAATAAGGGCAGTGTCACTATGGAGTGCTAGAGATAATCATCCAATCATCACAATGGCCGTGAATACAATCAATCACCAGCTGGCAACACAATGCTGATTTTGACCTTCAACACTTGACTCATACATTAGCATCCATCCGCCACACAGAGAAATCGCCATCGTCCACTTTTGTTGTGGAACAGGGAAATCGTCGGAGTGACTTTCCGGTTGTATATACTACCCCGCTTGATATGGATGATAAGGACATAGTGGGGGTTGATCGACCATCTGGCCGGGACTGGCGCAAGCCCAGGTGTTCGAATCATCGCGAATCGAATTATATTATTTATTCACATGGCACATAAGAGCGAACTGTTGCTGGAACTATCGATGAGAAACCAAAGAAATCAAAGGGTTTTCTATTATTGCTGCATATCTCTAATACTTAGGAAGCTTGAGTTGGAGTTATATACCAGGAGCTCCAACCCTCTGTACAAATCAGATTTCTATTTCTTAGCACTACAACAACTCTAGTTATCTTCGGCTTTTCTCACATCACCATGGGCAAAAGCAGGATTCTGGTTGTGGGCACGGGCGGCATTGGCACCATGTCTGCCTACGCTTTGGAGAAGGGCGGGTTGGCTGAGGTTACAGCCGTGATGCGGTCAAATCATGATGTCGCAGTGAAAGATGGGATCGACATCGACTCTTTCGAATGGGGTCAGGTCAAGGCCTGGCGACCGACAGCCAGTATGTGATCGCATATGGCTGGAAGCGACCCGAGGCTTACCTGCATACAGTCACCAAGACAGTTCCCAACGTCTGCGATAGTGGCGTAGCAGCCTTCGACTACATCCTTGTCACAACCAAAAATATTCCAGATGTTTCCCCCACTGTCGAAGATATCATTGCACCAGCTGTAACACCCGGAAGAACAGCCATCGTTCTCTCTCAAAACGGCATCAACATCGAGAAGCCCCTCATCGCTCGGTTTCCCACCAATCCTATCATCAGCAGTGTCGCCTACACGGGTGCAACTGAAACAGCCCTCGCTAAGGTTTACAATGACGATAACGATTGCCAGAAGATTGGCGCTTATAAAAGCCCTCAGATTCCCGCTGGTGTAGCTGAAGAGGCGGCAAAGCGCTATGTCAACATATATAACCCGGAGGGTAAGCTAGATGTCATCTATGAGCCCGATGTTGCCAAAGACAGGTGGAGGAAGATTGCTTACAATGGCTCAATGAACCCTGTTGCGTCCATTCTTCGCATGGACACGCCCCGCATGCGGATGAGTCAGCATATTATCGATGATCTGGTCTTGCCCATAATGATGGAAGTTCGAGCCATTGCTGAGGCTAGTGGCGTTATACTCCAGGCTGATCTCATTGATGCCGTCATGCATCAAGATCCGAATGACACAGCTTTTAAACCTAGCATGTGTCAAGATTATGACAAGGGGAACCTCATGGAGATTGAGAACCTTGTTGGCGAGCCGCTGCGTGAGGCTCAAAGGCTAAATGTTCCGGCGCCAACCTTAACGCTCATATATGGTATCATGAAGGGGTTGCAGCTCAAGGTTAAAGAGGGAAAGGGCCTATGGGTTCCAAAGTTTGACCTTGGAAACCCTTATGCATAGTTGAAAGACTCGTCTTACAGAGAGATAAAATGAAACTGTCTAGGCCCACTCTTTGGAGATGAATAGTTGCATCAATCCCTTGCTACTCTGAACAATGAGATTCGCGCGGTCCACTTCGCGTAGCTGGCCTGAGCGATATGCTCGACGCTTGCTCTGACATTAATGCACACGCATTATACCGCATGGAAGGAAATTCCGCCACATCTGCCGATTGCTTTTCAAATTTCTCTTCTATTTCATCCAAGCTGCTGTAGACAGGGGCACCGGCTGGGTCAAGCCTCTGGATTCCCCTCATCATGTCCCGAAAGGCAGCGCGTGATTCAGTTTGAGCCATCTCGCCCATCTCACGCAAACGTTCCTCAAATGTCTCGAGTAGATTTGAATATATCAGAGTAGTGTTCGGCGGGGTCAATACCGCCGGGATCTTTCACATCTAGGAAATATATTCAGCAACAGCTGACGCGATGCCGGCTATCTCAGCCTGGGTATTGAAGACGGCTGAGGAGAACTTGGCCAAGTGCGCGGCGACGCCTTCACTTATGTTGCTATCACTACGGGGTTTCCCCCGTGGCACGACTGGTACTGACGTGGCGAGGGAAGAGGAAGAAGCCTCCGTGGTGTCGCTGATATGTGGGGTTAATACATCCGCTATATCAACGTAGCTCTGGTCTTGACTGAAATGACTGTGATTTTCTGTTTTAGAGGCGGGAATCCAAACCTTTCGGAACTATTCAACCTGGTCCAGGGTGACTTCCTCTTTACTTTTCCCTACCAAAGTGTGTTGGCCCATTACTTTCATTTTCCGTTATCCCCGTGCAGCGAGCGCAGAAAAGCATCGTCCAAGGAACCTGGCAAGTTAGGGTTGTAAGATTGGGGAGATGGAGGCTGGTAACCGTCCTGGGTTGTACTTGGGAGTGGACAGAGAAAAGCTGCAGGGGGTTGAGTGTCCCCACTATTACTCCCGTCTATGTTACAACAAGGTTGCGGACGGGAGGCGATGCGAGATAGGGTATTTGATTGACTGCCATGTCTGAGATATGCGCTTCTGTTTCATCTTGTGTCGGGGTCAGCACACGCGAGCATTGTATCATAGACGCAACAACATCGGAAAAAGAGTGGGAGACAACATGAAAACATCTCCATACGTAGTCACCTGTGTAATGCTGCCACATTTTGAGTAAGATCGGCCCTTGTGGGTCGTCGTGTTGAAAGATAAATGCACTCTTCGCCGGCCCTGCGGCATTTCTCACACGATGGCTGGCCACCGTCACACTGCACTTTATGATCTCGACAATATTTGCATGCCTGTGACGCGATCTCTTCCCGCTCATGATCGTTTCCGGCTCTTGGATGATTGCACACGATGGGTTGTATTATGGCGGTGGGTGACAGGCATATAAAAGCGGGCGGGTTGAACAACAAGGAAAGTATCCAAGATTCGATCTCGGGGTTTATTTGGCATCTGAGATTCTCGCCCAAGATATTGATGACTTTATTGCATTGACGTAAATAATCATTGTCTGCTACTCCTCTCATCCTTCCGATCGCATAAGCCATCTGAGGTTGGTCGACATGGGGTTATGACAAACTGATCATACGATTTGACGCTTTGACAGTCTATCAACGCTGACTGATCCCTTCGCTGATTTGTAATAACGGAGGAATCAAAATGCAAAATTTATAAATGTCTCCGGAGGCCACTGCTCTGTATTGTCCTTTGTTTGCAGGATTACGCCGATTCGGCTCAACCAAGCAAATCTTGGCATTGAATCAACCAATTAGAGAAGCCGCTCGGTCAATCTGGCCCGAGCCCCACACAATCTCGGAAAGATCCATTAATGCTTATGTATGCTAGCTCCGGGGGAAGAAACTGTCTGTATACTTAACAAATCCTACTTTTTAAGCTTCTTCGGATTTGTTTCTCTATGTAACTCAGAATTTGAGCCAGCGAATTGGTCTGGCAGCATACTTCGCTCCAACACAATTTCGTCTATTCATCTCAAATCGCCGACAGGATGACAATTGAAACGAGCACGCCCGACCTCATGCCTGAAACGTTGCAGGGTGAGGATAGTCGAACCTCTGAGACCTCTTTGCCAGCAGAGAAAGAAAAAGGGCTCGAGGAAAGCACGAAGCGTGGGACAACAAGCGAGGATTCTGCACCAGCACAACAAAGGTCCATCACAGGTTTGAAGGTAGATGAACTCTTCAAGCCACGGCGCCATACGTCGAATAAAATTTCTCCAGCTAATAACATATTTCCTATGGATAAATTAGTGGTTCTTTGCCTACGCATCAGTGTTATCTACTGTTTTTCTCTTCGCCCTTGATGGAACGATTGTGAGCAGAATACTAGAGCCTTAATGTCCTGGAGCCTGACCCTAACAATGCTGCTTCTAGGTCGCAGCTCTTCAGCCTTCCATCGTTGAGACCTTTAAAACCGAGAGTGACCTGTCCTGGATTGGAGTGAGTTTTATGTTGGGAGATACTGCTATTTTACCACTGTAAGCCATATACTTGTTGCCTCGGGAGATCGACAGGAGATTTTGACTCGGTGATTGCAGTGGGAAAGCATTCGGCAGATTTAACATCAAATGGCTTTTTATTTCCTGCTTGCTGGTTTTTGAAATTGGGAGTGCGGTTTGTGGTGCGGCACCCACAATGAACGCTTTTATTGTCGGTCGCGTTATTGGCGGCGTTGGAGGATGCGGCATCTACGTGGGAGGACTTACTTTCGTTGCATTGCTTACGACAGACCACGAGCGTCCACTCTACCTGGCCGGGATCTATTGTGTTTGGGGCATTGGTTGCGTTCTTGGTCCCATCATCGGAGGCGCTTTCGCTCAGAGCAGCGCCACCTGGCGCTGGGGCTTTTACATCAATCTCCCCATCGCTGCATTGTTCGCACCCGCCTATCTTATCTGTCTACCGGTAATTGAACCACAGCCGAACAAGCCTTTCTTGGAGAGAGTCTGGTCGCTAGATTGGATTGCAACTATCGTGTTCCTCGCTGGGGCCACCTGCTTGAGTATGGCTCTCAGTTTTGGTGGCACGGAATATGCCTGGAGTAGCGGTTCTGAGATTGCGCTCCTCGTCATGACTGGTGTACTTCTAATTGCCTTTATCTTGGTGACTATATTCCACCCAGGGGTGTCGGCAGAAGATAAGCTCTTGCCAGTGGGATTCATGCGCACTGCCGAGCTTGTTACGTTGCCGATTCAAAGTGCTATCGTGGCAGGTGTAATGTACACTTCGATTTATTATGTTCCGCTGTTATTCCAGTTTACTAGGTCCGACAGTCCCCTCGAAGGTGGTGTACGCATGCTTCCACTCATCTGCGCACTCGTTTTCTTCGCCCTCTTGAATGCAATCTTTATGCCGAAGTTCGGATATTATATGCCGTGGTACGTTTTCGGCAATGCCGTTATGATTATCGGCTCTGCTCTCATGTGTAAGTGAGAAAACATGCCCCATATTTTATAAAAGGGAAGAATTGAACTGCGTGCTGATTACTGGGGCTTTACTCCCGCGAAACAACAGTCACTATCAATTCGGATACCTCTCCAGGACATATTTATGGATACACTTTTCTTATTGGTATTGGAGTCGGCTGCTTCCAGAGCGCTGGTGTTGCTGTCGCGTCAGCAATTGCCGCACCGACCGAGGTGAACAATGCCGTGAGCCTCATGACTATTGGTAATTGTCCGATCTAGTCAGCAACTTTCTTTAACTAATAGTTCTGGGTGACAAAAGCACAAATTAGCGGTGTTCTCGCATCTCTCTGCGTCGATGGAGCTATTTTCCAGAACCTCGTCATCAACAAAATCAGCAGCGTTCTTCCAGGCTACAACACCAGCGAAATAAGCGAAATCACCACTGGCACCAGTGGCTCTGTCTTCCAAAGTTTGAGCTCGGACCAAAAATCAGTTGTCATTGACCAAGTGACTGATTCGATCCGACGCGTGTTTATTTACCCTCTCGCCATCTCCGCATTTGGATTTATTCTCTCATTTACCCTGAGTGTACGTTATTCAGCCGCGTGTGTAACATGGCGGGTATTTGCTACTAACATCGATGCCATTTTTTCAGCGCCGGAAGCTATATCTTGCGGAAGGCAAAGTTGCCAAATGATTTCTCTACTGTGTTCATGATGCATCAAAGCAAAGACTTGTTAGCCACTAAAGGGGGAAGATGAGACTAAGGTAACGTGCAGGATGTCGTGAGTTTGACGAGTTTTTGGAGAAGATTCTACAGACCGAATAGAAAATTGGATGACCCATTATGCTCTACAATATTTCTAGATTTCATTGAGCAAAGCAGAAGAGTCAGATTGCCGCTTTGATGATCATTTATTTTTTGCCTTTCGCGTTACCTCTTCAGTTATTGACTGACATTCGTCTCTAATGAGGCTTGACTGGTAGGCAATTCCGTAGATAGTCCTTGCAACAAATACTGACCTAATCGTACGTGAGATGCCTTTGTTCCTAAGCATTTCAGGTTTTGAGTGCACAGGGACGCCTTGCACTATGTAGAGCTAAAGTACGTGGTGAGCAGGAAAGATACGAGACAGACAGAACACAATGCTGTATTGTGGTGGTATGTCGGCGGAAAGAAGAGAACAAGAGGGAGAAGCGCTAATCTATTACGATGGTCATGTGACTCTGAAAGGTACATCCATGGTAGAACTCGATTGGAAGAGGCCTATTTCGTGCCATGCGACACGTCAAGAATAGAGAAAGACAAACAGAATTGAAATGTTGGAGAAAAATACAGGTAATGCGGGAGTGGGAATACTGCTACCCGTAGCTCATCAAAACATTACAGGACCTCATCTCCAAATCACATCCCCTTTTTTTCTCTCTTACTGCATCTAACCATGAGGGGCGACCCGCCCCCTTTACCACCTCGGCCACCAGGGTTTAACAATGCGTCAGCGAACGATGCTGTTCCCAATGCCATATTGATGGATGAGGGGAGACCCAATGAATCTTCATACAGCCTATCCCTGCCCCGCCCCGAGGCGACCTCCAAGCGGCGATTATTACTTATCTACATCCATGGTTTCATGGGCTCTGAAGCCAGTTTCAACGACTTCCCAGCGCATGTTCATCACTTGTTGACCGCTGTGCTCAGCGAGTCATATGTTGTATACACTCGTATCTACCCTCGTTACAAGTCCCGCGGCGAGATACAGACAGCCGTTGACCAATTCAGTAATTGGTATGTGATAAAATCCCAAGTGGCGGGCAGTGTTATTATTCCCTCCATTTCTCTTTCGCTGGTCATATAGACAAAACCAAGGAAAGACACACTGACCACTGACGGCAGGTTATCCCCGCACGAGGCCGATGACCTTGACGTCATTTTGTTGGGACATAGTCTTGGTGGTATTTTGGCTGCAGATGTTGCCCTTATGCAGGTTCACGGTATCCCAGATGTCAAAACAAAACATCACATATTGGGGCTAATTAACTTCGATGTCCCATTGTTGGGAGTACATCCTCGGGTCATACCCACTGGGATCGGCAGCCTGTTCCAAAAGAAGGGCAACACAGTTGAAGCTAATGTAGCCGAATCGTTAGAGTCGTTAGCATTGGACACCTCTGCACTCGTCAATAACAATCCGAATTTCGACCCTCCATTCAAGAATGATGTGCGATTGGTCAAACGTGACACCGTGGAGAGCATCAGGCACTTTTTCGACAAGAATACGGATCGTCTCTCCCGATCTCTTGTTGATCTCCTCGTCGCGCCTGTCAAATTCGCAAGCTGCGTGAATGAATATCCCACTATGCGTATGCGTTATCGCCGGTTAATAGAGCTGGAAGCAGGGAAACATGGCCACAAGAAAGTTCAATTTGTCAACTATTATACCGCAAGCACCGGTCGGAAATCGCGAAAATCAAAGACCAAGCCTGCATCGGACTCTAATGATGAGGAGACCATAGAGCAGACCCAAGAGGAGACCCCCCAAGAGGTACTCGAGGAGGCCCTCGAGGAGGCGGAAAGAACGAATGATGCAATAGAATGCAAGGATGTTCAAGAATCTGACGAGATCGCCCAGACTTCGTGTGCAACTTGTGGGCACCCGGGACAATCTCTCAAGACAACATCGTCTCCGATCGGAGGAGCCGAGATAAAGATTGACGAACTCCAACCTAGTGATGATTCTTTCAGACTGGAGACACAACCCACTGCATCCGACTCTCCTCAAGCGGTTCAGTCGGCTGAAACCGAGGTCGAGACCAAATCAAGAGGCGCACCAAGTCTTACATCTTCGATCTCCGTCGATAACGTGGAGACAACAAGTCTCTCAGACGAGGCTTCCAGCATGGCATCTGCAGGCGCTTTGACGGCGGATACACCCCCTGAGAAGCTGCGCAAGTTCATTCTGCTGCCATCTCATCACTGGCGGAGTGCGGACAATTCCTTATGGGTACCGCTAGTAATGGAGGATATGGACGAAGTAGTAGCTCATCAGTCTATCTTCCTCGCGCATGAAAAGCACTACGATCGACTAGTTGGAGAAACTGTAACACAGATTGAGCAGTGGGTGCAAAATGACATGACCCTTCGGGCACTGTCTTGAGTTATCAAGCAATGTGGCCTTGTTGTGGCAGGGTCATCCCGATATATCTAGATGTACGTCGAAGAGCTCATATACCCCACCAATTGCTTTGCTTGAACCAGAGTCATATCAACAGTGTTCCATGAATTTATTCATATTATTCCTCTATCTCCAAACGGCCAATGGATTGAAGCATGGCATTCAAAGCGACCATCAAGTATCTATCGTGTGGCCAACTAAAGCCCACTGCGTGTGAGAGACTACTCAGTTTGCAACCAATGTTGTGTCTCAGGGAAGGAGACCAGATCTGGTTTCCAGCGAAAGTGCATGCCTGTGAAAAATTCATTTGATCCTTATGACCAGCCCAATTGCATCAACCATCAGTTTAGCCACAAATATATGAAATACATTCTGTCTAGGTATGGGGAAACTTTATGGGACAGATACGTAGAATCCAGACACTAATTTTTGTAGCAGATAACCCTTGAGCTAGGAGAATATAATCAGTGAGTGCTCAGGGAATGAAGCGAGCCTCAAGAAGCCCCCTTCTGATTTGATAAATAAATGCAGATTGGACTTCAAAGGTATAAGGGAATAGAAATCCGCGAACGTGGAAAAGACTTTTACCTTCAATTGCTAGGGTACTCAGTCTTGATCCAACGTGGCATAGCTTGATGAAAGGGTTCAGATACTGCATTCTAGTCAGGTGGCCATTCTAGAATCTAACATAAGCAGCGTAGCCATGCACCTGCCAGTGGTAAAATGTGGGGAGAAGGGGGTTGGGGGTTCAGATGTGGGGTAAACCCCACTCCCAAACGAATCGAAGTAATCCGAAGCCCCATCAACAATTGAGCATTGCAAGAACAAGGGCGGCACATTTGTTAAATCTTAGAAAACTTTATTATTTGAGAGTTTCCCAGCTTTTGAATTTCAACCTCGTGCCCTCGTTTCTATCCGACAATATGGCGTCAACAAAGCTACCCCTTCGTTACCGAGATCCAATATACCAGGAGACTCATCAATCGGTGTTCCAGGGCTCTCTGACCAAGTCACTGAAAGAGGTGCTACCCCCGGGAGTTAGCCGTGAGGATTTTAAACTCGCGATCGAAGAATTTGTCTCCGCACTGGGCTCGGATGGAGTTGTGATTGGTGAAGCCTTGTCAGACTATGTTGATCCATACGAGCTCTACGAAGACAAAGATTCGGAGCGCAAGGTTGCCAGTGCAGCTGTTCTGTAAGCCGTCTTGGTCACAGATAACCTGGCGATTTTTAACAATCTCAATAGACCTCAGTCGGTTGAAGAGCTACAGTCGATTTTGAAAATCGCCAATAAATACGTGATTCCACTTTGGACATTCTCGCGGGGAAAGAATCTTGGGTAGGTTTCTGACCACAAATGCAAGCGGACAACAGCTCACTATGCACTTCACAGATATGGCGGGCCCGCGCCTCGACTTTCTGGATCAGTTGCAGTGGACCTCCATCGCATGAATCGCATCATCGAGGTCAATGACAAGTATTCATACGCTGTGGTTGAGCCAGGTGTGACATTCACCGATCTGTACAACTATTGTGTCGAAAACAAGCTATCTGTATGGCCAAGTGTTCCCTCTCTTGGCTGGGGTAGTGTTGTTGGAAATGTGAGGCTCACTGTATCTCATTGATATTTGGCGAAGCTCTAATTATCATTACAGACACTTGATCGCGGCACCGGATTTACTCCAACCGCAACCCATCACCAGAATATCGCTGGACTGGAGGTTGTCTTGGCAGACGGAGATGTCATTAGGACTGGGCAATTCGCGATTTCGAATTCCAAGTCTGCTCACCTGAGCAAGTTCTCTTTTGGCCCATCAATTGAAGGTTTGTTCCTCCAGAGCAATCTCGGTATTACGACTAAGATGGGCATCTGGCTGTATCCTCAACCATCGGCGTACGCGTCATGCACATTGGACGTACCAAATTTGGAAGACGTAGTACACATTGTCGACCTGTTCAATGAGCTTCGCCAAAATGGTGTTGTTCCTAACACAGTTTACGTCTCTTCTTTGTCAGAGTTCATCGCGATGTCAGGTACGCGCGAGAAGTTCTGGTCTAAAGAAGGCCCGATCCCGCTTTGGCGCCTTCAAGAGCTGCAGAAGGAATTGAATTTGGGATTCTGGAACGCCAAGTTCGGTCTCTACGGTCCTCTTGAGGTGGTAGAAGGTCATGTCAAGGCAGTGGAGCGTTTGGTCGCGGAAAGGATCCCCATGGGACGATTCCGTAGCCAGATCTTTAGTGGGGAAAACGGAGAACCTCTCCAAGCTGAGATGGTACCACCTGAGGAAGGGGGTTTCTTCGTCGGGGTCCCGTCACTGTGGAGCTTGCCTATGGTCAAATATCGCACCCCCGAGAATGGTAAAGGTATTGGTGGCCACATTGACTATTCCCCTATCATTCCTAGCTCAGGTAAAGCTGTCTTGGAATGGGCGATAACCTCTCAGAAAATTTGTGAAGAAAATGGCTTTGACCTATTCTGCGATTTTTTCATGCACGAACGACATATCATCTTTGTCAACTTCATGACTTTCGACAAGACTAATTTCAGTCATCGCGATTCCATGAAAATTATCTTCCGTCAACTGTTCAAGGAAGCCAAGTCTCGCGGCTACAGCGCCTATAGATCCCATGTGAACTTTATGGGTATGACGGATGAATCTGACAGATTAGCAAACAAAAGATAGCTGACTTGTCATTCAGACGCTGTCGCTGACTTCTACGACTTCAATAACCATGCTTATCGTCGCTTTGTGGAACAACTGAAGGTATATTGAATCAACCGCGCTATGAGAGCATATCTTGTCCTCTTTATTACCGTGACCTGGACAGAAAATTGACTAATATTGCTACATTAGGATACCGTGGACCGCCAAAGTATCCTCTCCCCGGGCAAGCAGGGAATATGGGGCCGAAGATTCCGACAGAACAGTAACAAGGTCAAAGGACTCCTTTGAGTGCTAAGACTAAGAACGTTCGTTGCCTCTTCTATTGGATCTTAGTTAGCAATGACTTGTTACTCGCCCCCGTCTTCTTGACAGATCCATATCTGTCCGCCTAGACTTTTCTTCCCTATTGTGTTGTATCTATTCTTGATAAATAAATCGATCTGCTGGTAGCGCTGGTACCTACGTGCTCTGTGCTTTTGTACAAGCAGTCGGCTTTCGCTTGCGATTTTTCACGCTCGTCTCCATGGTTCGTGGTCGCTATGAACTTTACCCCAATCATGATATATGGCATTTGGAGGACTTAGTTCCAACTCTATTATTTTTCTACTCGAGGTGGAGTATCAACCGGCTTGAGGATCCTTTTTTTGTTATTATTAGTGTCACTTGCCTGAATTCTGATAGTTTACCAATGAAGCGTCGATTTTGCTATACTCTGAGAGAGCTTGCCCTATCTAATTTCAGCGTGGGGATACATTCAAAGCAAACATCCATTATAAGTATGATTACGAACCAAGAAGTCTCCAGAAAGCCCCAACATATATCTAGTGCAGCAACATCTCCGTTTTTGTTCTATGTTTTTGAAAGAAAAGTTAATTGATATTACAGTAGTTCACATATAAGGAGGCTCGGTTGCCGTTGAGGGAGATAAGGGATTGCTAAGAAGAACACAGACTGTTAAGTTTAAAATAGGTTCAGTCTCAGTTGGGTTCAATTCTCTTTTTTTTAGCCCCTCAAAGAGTGGAAAATTTTCAGCTTTTAGACTGGGAATTTACTGCCTCTAATCTCGACATGATCGTTTCATTTGACCTTATTCTGCGGGAATAGGTCTGGCCCGCCTTGCTCCTCGCTTCTGGTGCTTTAGCTCGAATCCAAACAATTCCAATTCTGTGACTGTGAGGGGTAAAATGGGGTATGAGGGTTGGATAGTCATTGCTTATGTCATCAAGCGCTGCGGTCTCCCGCGCCACATTGTAGCTGGTGGGTACTCCTTTCTCCAACCGTATGGGCATACCCCACATATTGCATTATGTGAGAATCAGCAATAGTAAGATAATGACTATGAGTAATATATGTATAAGCATACTAAGGCTAGGCATTTTGTTGTGTCCAATCATTCCGAAGCTTGAGAGGCTCTCAGTAGACACTTTAAGAAAGAGCTTGCGGCGCTGACCCCACATCATGTAAGGAAAGAAATGGTCGCGTTCTAGCTTGCCTTGCTCAAAAACAATATGAAGCTCTTCTTCTGAACAACTGCAAGTTCTCTTTCAATCTATCATTCCATGACGTCGCTTCTATATCAAATTGCCATAACTTCCAATATCTATCCGAAGTCAAATCACATGCTCTTCTTATCATGGACACCCCTAAAGCAAAAAAGCATACCTGTCCCATTTGTCAGAAAATCTTTGGGCGGATAGCACATTGTGCACGCCATAAGAAAATACGTCAGTTCATCTGCTGTCTGGCGGAATCAAGTTAACAAAGAATGCAGACGCGAAAGAAAAGCCATTCAAGTGTGGCTCGTGTCAGAGGGCCTATTCCAGAATGTACAGTATTTAACCGTCTCCGGTCTATCGTAATTTTCATATTATATCTGGAGTTCCGACTTTGAATTACTAGCAATGGGTGCTGATGGATCCATGACCGCGAATTAGGGATGCCCTTCAACGCCATGAGAAATCCAGTCACGGAGCTGGCAACCGTCTGACAGCACGTCATACTCAGAATGACCGGGTATTACCATCTCCAGACAAAGAGATTCAACCCATCTCTCGACAATCACCAATATCAAATCACTCTCCACTCTCTATTTCCTTACCCGTCTCTGCTCAACCTCTGTTATACCCAAGTCCTGAACACAGCCCTTTCGCGCAAATTGAGCAATCATTGGCATGCTATCATCCTGTATCGTCGCCCTGGGGCATTTCGACAGAATTGGGCCAACTTGCAGATACTGCTTGTCTGGATTCAATTCTCTCTTCTTGCACCATTGAAAGTCACCAACCTTCTACTACCACATCTCCAAGCTCAATGAAATCTCCTTTAATAAAACCTGCAGAGCCAGTGGAGGATTGCGAGCCTTTGTTCAAAATGTTTGATCCATTATGGGATCCATGGAAGTCACGACAGGACGCTGTTTGTTCTTACATGTCTGAGATCCGCACCATGCGAAGAGGATTCTGTTTCTCATAGGCATGTATACATGGCACCCTGTTGAAGGAGCTTACCCTTCATCTCATTGAGAACAAGGTTATTTGAAGAAAGGATACATGTATTAGGGAACCAAAAGCTTTGAAAAATGGATTTATAATTACTGAGTAGAGCTTAGTAGCAAAAGATTGCTATTGTTCTGAATATTGCACTTTTCCTTGTAATAAAACATTTAAGATAGGCTGGAGCAATAGTGGTAAGAGTAGGGATTCATATTAGGACCTTTAGGCTTACTATGCGATCGATCCCCTTTTTCTCGTCTCTATATATCAAGGGACTCGAAAGTTTATTGCTAATCCTCGGTGGACATTTCTGGTCCTCCATTCAAGAGAACATCATTCTTCCTCCTGTTTTATTACTGCGTTAATGTCTGCCTGCACCTATATAAATGACAAGCGACCATCTAGAGCTGATTTATCCAAAACGATAAGCATGATCATTTTCCATGTCTTCTAAAATGTCAAAAGCCGCCTCTATCACCATGCTCTGTGTGTCAGCCGTGCCATCACTTACTCGATCATGGAATTGAAAATCATCTTTGTTGATCTTCACTACATGTAAAGTAATTCACGAGTTTATTTCGGAAAAGAATAGTCCAAATTCACTATATTCATCTTATAACCCTGACGACTGCGCGCTCGTGAGTCAATTTGTTAAAGAGTCAGAGTGTGCGATAGTGTTTACATCTCCAGGCATGAAGGGAAGCTCTTTTGTAAACAAATAGTTACTTCCATCTTCAGGGCTTTATTTCATCTTCTGACTTCGATTAGTCCCCAAATAATCAATTGCCACTCATAAAAGAAGCCAATGCGTCTGACATCCTAGTCAAGGGGATTAACAAAGAAAGTTCAAAAATGGTCTGCCGTCTTTCAGATCTGCTATTCGGGCCTGGTATGATCTCGACCCGAGCTGCGGCTTGCTGGAGATCCTTCGCGCCGTAAACCTTTGCATTCAGCTCTTTGGCAGCAAAATTGAACACAGGCCAAGGAGATCGTTCGTTCGCAAATCGAATGAGATCCTTTCCGAAAATGTTGGCTGTCTTGCGCTGATCTTCTGTCAAAGATTCGTTGTAATTTTGGAACAGGTACGCCACATCGAGAAGGTGGTTTGCATATCCCTTCCACTGCCCTTCCCATGTGTTGGGCTCATTGAAAAAAAATATATAGGCATTTTGATCCCAGCCATGAGCGTAGACCAAGACTGGAGCAAGAAAACAGATATCGTTGCCGAATTTCCAGATTGCCATCTCAGCCTCCTCTTCGGACGCAGCTTCGGTGATACCGTACGCTTCAAAGACTGATAAGGCGTCCTTGGATCCCAGAAACCGTTCAAAGGAGTCTTTGAATCTTTGAACAAGAGCTGGTTTGGGAGGCCCCATCATTGCAAGAAGGATGCTTCCCTAGAAATAATTAAGATATGCTTCCAGAGTATATCTCGGATGAAAGGACCTCGGGAGATGACTCACATCCATTTGGCAATCACCAATCATAATATCCTTGCACCACGATTTTCCCGGGTGCATAATACCTTGAGATTCACCCAGATAGGTTTCTTCAAAGTCGGTGACTGGTAGGTCTAGATCACCACCAGAGGTGGGCAGAAAGGGAAGCCCCGGCGGTAATGCAGCCAAAATATCCTCTGCTGGCATGTCACGCAAGGCCTTGACACGTTCTTGAGCAGGGAGATTGGAGAGGTTCAACAAGTGCAAAACTTTCTCATAATTTTGCTCATTGACGCTCTCTGGCAAAGGCTTCATTAGCAAGTTTGTGCCACCCATGCTGACAAGTCGCTTGAATAATGGTAACTTCGAATGAAGGTGCAAAGTTCCCGATACTGTTTCAAAAATCAGATGAATGCCTCGGAAGGGAAGTCCAGTCTACATACCCCCACCAGCGCTTTCTCCAACAAAGGTGACATTGGTTGGATCACCACCGAAACCTGCGATGTACTTTTGAATCCAAAGTAATGCCGTGCGTTGGTCATGGAGGGCATTATTTTGACTCCCCCCAAATTTAGCTAGTTCCTCACTGTAGAGGAATCCAAATGCACCCAGTCGGTAGCTGTCAATGAAAACGAATTAAAAATTGCGAATAATAGACAGATTACAAGGGGCCATACTTAATATTGATCCCAATGATTGGAGACCTTTCCTTAATAGACAAGTCCACCAGACGGCGAAAATCATACTGTGGCCAGGCATTGGAACCAATCATGAATCCACCGCCATGTACAAACACTACAACGGGAAGGTTGTATGAAGCATATTTGGGGGCCGTAATGTTCAAATTCAAGCAGTCCAGGTCGGATTGTTCAATTTGAGGATAAGGAAGGGCCTGCTGTATGAGTGAAAACTCGTTTTCGATGCCATTGGATGGCGATGGTGACGCCGGGCTAAAATCATGAAATCCAATTAGCGAGTGGTAACAGCGCTTCAGAACAATAATTACCCTATCTTCGTCGCATCCAAGGTTTCCCCCTGACTCCCATTGTACAGTACCGGTGGTGAGAACCTTCCAGCTAGTGAAGCATACTTCACTCCAAGAAACTGTACAGTCTGATCATGTTGTTGTCCCCGAACTTTGCCAAGAAGGGGATGGTCAAGTAGATGCTCATTCAATGTCATTTTGGCGGCGTGTTTAATGAATTGAATAGTACCGTGTATGTCTAAAATGGCATTTGAGATCCAGAAAAATTGTAAATTCTCTATTTGACAAGACTGTAGAAAAGTGGAGTCTAGTTTACCTTTATATAGTCGTTAGTGAAGAAACTTGTGTACTGTTATTTTCCACCACTCCACCTGTCTCAGCAAGTGGGTAAATTGCATCCGCCTAATTTACGCCAGTATTAATGCGCTAGTATTGACTCCAAGCAATGAGTCGAAAATGGAGGAGAACAAAAAAGAATCTCCACGCTACATTGGCGTCAAACCCCACATACCCCACATTTACTCCACATGCCCCGTGCGCTACTATCTACGTCAGCAATTTCGGAAACCTTGAGGTACGTATATCCATTCAAAGACGGAAAAACTAAAGATATGTAGAACACTTCCAAGCGATGTATGAATCTTGGCTATAGCTATGTATAGTCCCTCAAAATTGGGAATATTTCGTACATGAATTTCGCAACTTAACCCCCAATTGGAAGATATGGGACTTTGAATTATGTCGTGAAAGCATTCAGGAACACCACAGCCCAGGGTCAATTGCCCTTTTCTCAGAAGACATTAATTTCTGCAGTAAATTACGCGTACATCTGCTACGTCTTTGAGGAATACTCGTATGTCGAACTCTATTCACTATCACGAGCCATTTATCTCGCTTGGCCTACTATTACCCCAGCCTTGAGCTAGAAAGCCACAGTGTGGGGAAACGTTAGATCCCTAGGCTCGATCTCAATCTGTCATTACTGTTGGGAGAAGATGGGGAAGTAATGACTCTTCCGAAATTTATTTTCTCAGCGCTTCGTTGGGGAAAAGCGCCTCTGTGGACATAAATAGGCGATTTCCTATCTAATTCTCAGAACTGAGAAGATCTCAGACTCATCATTCAATATCCTACAGAGTTTAACATACTCTCGTTTTCAAATGGGGTATTTAAACATACTTGAGCCTAGAGGAGCCAAGCTTGCTCCAGGCACCGTATTCCTGAATCGCCCAGCCGCTTGTCAACATGAGTCCACCGAGAGCCTAAAGCACGTTCCTGGGAAACATGGCAACATCATTTTGGCACCGCAGCCCGATGACGACCCCAACAACCCGCTGAATTTCCCATTGTACAAGAAACGCTTGATGATGGCGATAACTTCACTGGGCGTCTGCCTTCACGGTGCCACCGTTAGCCCTCTTCTCAACGCCGGCTTGGTACAAATCGCAGAAGAGCTTGACACATCAGTAACAAACGTCGTCCAAGCAAGTGGCTATCAGTTGCTCGTCGTGGCATTAATGGTTCTTTTCGTGAATGCCTTCTCACGAAAATGGGGCAAGCGCCCCACTTTCCTCCTTTCGTCTGTCATCGGGATTATTGGCAGCGTGATTGGGGCGACCGCTACGAATTACAGTGGCCTTTTGGCGGCAAGAATAGTTCAAGGGCTTGGCGTTGTTGCCTACGAATCGCTTGCCCTACCCATGATTGGCGATCTGTTTTTCGTGCACGAACGCGGTTTATACATTTCAATAGTTAGTCTTTTGTTAGGAGGCGTATCAAACTTCAGTTCAGTCATTTGCGGTCCCATTACCGTCCACTTGGGTTGGAAGTATTTATTCAATCTCCTCATTGTCTTCGAAGGTGTCCATTTATTATTGCAATTCCTATATGTGCCTGAAACCCAGCATCGTCGTGCAACGCCAATAATGACCTCAATATCTTCTTCGCCTAAGGAGAGCGCCGTCGGCATTGAGGAAATCGAAACCCTTCGCCCTACATTCTCACCAAAAAAGCCTTGGACTCAGGAGCTCCATATATTTACAGGCACTTACACCTCAAACAATTTCTTTCTTCTGCTCTGCGTACCACTGCTGGCTTGCCTCAATCTATCCGTTCTCTGGTCTATCTTGATCTCAGGATACTTTCTCAGCTTGTACGTGGCCACGGCGTATCTACTTTCCCAAATTTTCACTGCGCCTCCATACCTCCTTACCTCCAGCGGTGTGGGTTACCTTTTCCTGGGCCCGTTCATCGGCGGATTACTGGCTAGCGTGCTTGCTAGCATCTTCAATGACTCAATTGCGCGAAAATGCTCTCAAAGAAACAATGGCTACTACGAACCAGAATATCGCCTTTTTCTAGGTGCCGGGGGTGCTCTGGCAGTTGTGGGCTTTGTCTCATTTGGCTACGCTGTCCAAACTGAGCAATCATATTATTTGACAGCATTTCTACATGGCCTGGGCCTGTTCGGTATAATGTTTATTCTGATTGCTTCAGCCAGCTACGCACTTGACTCTTTCCGATCAATGGGTACTGAGATTTTCTTGGCCTCTATGGCCTTCAAAAACGCTATTATCTTCGGCTATTCATACTTTATTAATGACTGGGCATTGCGTGCTGGGACGTTCCAGGTCATGTGGGTTCTGTCCAGTGTTGCAGGCGGACTACTTTTGACAATTCCCATTGTGTTCTTTTTCGGCAAAAGATATCGAGCTCTTTGGGGCAGAAGTCAAATTTTCAAGGTATCTTCTCCTTTTTTTGAGGACGTGGAAGTTGAAGAGCAGCGAGCTACTCCAGAATGAAATTATCGGTATTTGCCTTATTGAGTGATTGATATTTCCGTGGTCTCTCAAGTCCGGAGGCTTCTTGGTCTCCGGCACTGATGTATCAGTTTTACCTTATTTACATGCAAGCCTCCAATGTAACAAAAGTATGTCGACTAATACTATTTTTGTAGCACTGAGCAAACTATGGGAACTCATAAAATCTACCTCAGATATAGAATAAAGGTTGGTATCGATATCCCTTATTCAAGATATTTAACAAAGATGAATTTTTGTCTACACGAACTACACAACCTTGAAAATTTACATGGTACTTGTATAGTGATTATACACTATGAAGAGGCTGGCATATAATGAATATTCCATGAATACCACAGTCTGCTTACAACACGTGATCCCGACGTTCCCCGTTTGTCTTTCTTGTGGAGGTCTTATAATACTGAGTGAAGTCATGCTGTAAGGCCATAGCGCCCTCGTTAAGCATGTTCCGTGTTTTGACATCCGTCTCGGCCTTCTTGACTAACATGAGAAACTCATCTTTCTGCATCGCTTCGTTTGGATCTTGATCAAAAAGGCGGCGAAGGTTTTCACTTGAGATTGGGTTAACGATCTCATTATACTTGGCCCGTCGCACCTCGTCGTAGAGCGTTAATATGCCTTCATCGGCCAACCCGTTGTAAATTCCAAAGAGACAATCGTGCAGCCCACCGACATCGACGATTCCTCCAGTCAGGCCAAATCCACCAAACGGGTTACACACTATAGTCAGTTAGCATTGTGAGATAAGTTTAGAAATTACGTGAGGAACCTACAGTGCGCAGCATCGGCAGCTAGCAATACCCGCCCCATGCGCATTTTCCGGGCCATTCGTTGATGTACCCTGTAAGGACTGAAGCTGACCATCTCATAGTCCTCCGGATCGGGATGACCGGGTAGCATAGTCTTAAACTTCATGGGTTGTCGCTCCTTCAATTCTTCGTATGTCAAGCCTGGCAGCTCGCCATAAGTAACACGCCACAGGCCATCCTTAGTAATCTTGGCGGCCATATACCAGTGCTCAGGGTGGACGATGAAGCTTGAGTCAATTGTGAACCCATGTTTCTCGAAAGGGTAGTATGTCTGGTAGGAAAGAATTAGATTTGAGCGTATGATATGAATGCAAAGGGTTGCTTACATTTGTGGCAACAATCTGCTCGTCCCAGGTAAACCCAGGAAAGTCTTCATCACCAAATAGACTCCGTCTGATGATGCTGCTAGCTCCATCGCATCCTACAACATATTGCGCTTTGAAAGATTTCTTGCCCTCGGGAGATTCGACTTCAACCCAGGCATTAGAGTCATTCTGACCGAGGCCAACAACTCGATGATTAAAGCGAACATCAATGCTAGGGTACTTTTTCAGATGCTCCTCGAGTATCTCGTGTAACTGGTTCAGGGGCAAACAAATCAACGGGTGCGGCTCGTCCTCAGACGGCCCATTGATGGTAGCCAGGATATCTCCATGGAGTTTGCGCCAGCAAACACCCGAAGGGAGAAACCCGCCTTTGGCTTTCATGTCCTCGAAGACGCCTGCTCTCTGCAACTCTTTCACAGCAGTAGGAGCATAGTGTGTGGCCCTTGGACGATCGTCAAACTTCTCAGCAGCTTCAAGCAGCTGCACAGGGATGCCTTGCTTTCCTAGCAGGAGAGCAAGCAAGGTTCCACTGGGGCCGCCCCCGACAATGATAACGAAAGGGTCGGACATTTTGGTATAAAGTTGGTTTATATGGTCACACTTTTGGTCACACAAGACGTTGAAATAAAGAGTCAGTTGGCTATGTCTTACAGGGATTTTGATGTTTTAATCTGATTACCCATCATCCCACGATTGTTTAACAACCCCCCTCCTTTTCGGACGTCTTCCCCACATACCAGCCATGCGATACCCCACATTTTACCCCAACTCACAGCCCTCCACTTTCTTTCTCCGCGACAAGTTTGAGTCAGATATGTCCACTATGATCCAAATTGCACAGACGTTTCTTGAAGAGAAGGAAAAAAAAAATTGAAAAATTAAAAAGGTAAAAAAGAAGGAAGCTGTCTTCAGGCACTCCGGGCCTTGTCTGACCTATGTAGATTTCTTGAGCGCCCAGTTAGACTGAGTGTTGTGACGTGTAAGCAGCTCTCGAAGATACGGAATATTCTGGAAGTATCATTCTTGCTAATATCCCCTTATTGGATGAAGAACATGTGGCAAAAAAAGGCCTTTTGCTAAAAATTAGTTACCACTGAAACCAAAGGGCACGGGTCTCGGATGATTGCGCGGGCAGTAATGGTCCTGATCAGAAATTGAACAATAGCCCCTTCGAGAATCCGCCAAGACAAACTTGACAATGATCCCCAATTTGCGGGTTCTCATTGTAATTGCATCAAATCAGCTTCACCGGCTGAACTGAGCTGTGAGTCATACGCGCATGCCAGTTTCTCGAATAAGCTCGCAATCCGGGGTGTGACTAAGACAAATAAGTACAAAACACGATGTACATGGGAGAAATTTTTCGCTTACCTCCCCAGACCCAAACATCGTCGTAGAATTGTTTCCACATTCGTAGGATGCCTGCAGCAAGGGATATTTGCCCCTCAATAACATACGCTGTATCCACCAAGATGCTTTTTGCTGCCTCCAGAAGGTCCAACTCCGCGGTATCAATGTGCTCATTACCTTGTCGTGCAAGCTGAATCTTTTGTATGCAGTTGCTTAAAAAGATTGCTATCACCGTAGTTAGACTGGTTTCTCGTGCAGCTATTTTCATTGCAGTGGTATGCCCTGCTTTGAAATCGATGGAGTATGACTTACCACAATCAATTCCGACAATTGCATGCTCGACACTCCAGTTGAAGGCAGCCGTTTTACGCAGGATGTTTGCGTCAAGTTTAAGAATCGTCATAATGTTGTCAAATAATGAGTGGACGGATTTGATAGAAGCTCTATCCCTTGTCGAACTTGAAGTGACGTAGTTTGTTACGGCCATAGTAACATCTTCCTCAACATCATTAAGCAAAACCATGCGGTCAAGCCCGCAGATTCCAGTAAGTACCCGGACATGAACACCTCGGAGCAGGGATAAGCTGTTGAAGAGTAGAGGACCTTCGGCTTCATTCCACGTCAACTCATTGGTAGTACGGGCTTTGGAAATCATCAAATAGCACCGAGCTAAGCCAATCTCGATGTTTGAGGTGAGCAAAGATCGGATGGCCTCAGCTCCATGTAAGTTTAGCGTTACCCCTGTCAAGGTCTCGGTGCTTTGGATCAAGTTCCATGTGTGTATGGAAACAGCATGCATAACGATGCTCACGGCGTATGGCGACCACTGATCCAACCCATAGACGGTTGGCGGAGCTTCCCCATACAACAGTTGGGAAACAGCGCTTCGCAAGCTTGGTAATTTGTCCCGGTGTCTCCCCTGGATGGCAAGTGTCCAGTCAATCTCGGTCGGCGCATGCCATAGTTCATCAGCATCTGGCATGTCAATATCATACTCCTGGATGACAGAAGTAATAGGCGGAACACCATATGTGAAATTGAGGATATTACTAATCCTGAGAATTGCATATAGCACTCTGTAAAAATTAATCAGTGATTTTTAGAGTCACTCTGCGAGTAAACGAACCGTTTCCTGGACTCTCTGTCAACCCAGCGGTGCCAGGACACATCAGTGTGCCATGTATCACGCTGTAGGCGAGATGCCAAAATTCGATATTCCTAAAACGATCAGCACAGGCTAGTCAATCAGACTTGAGAGAGCCTACGCAAGCAAGAACTTCAAAGAAATCCGTTAGCCCATTCGATAAGGATGAGGAATACAGATGTATCGAGAACTTACGGCCAATACCGTCGACTGCCTTCCGGCTAAATGTTGGTTTTCCACCAAGCGTAGCAATAAACACAAGAAGGACTCTTGTTTGTAGCTCCCAAATAGGCTTGAAGTTTCCCATGGGCTGCTTACCCAACGTTTCGAGATCTTGTGTTTCGAAAGATGGGCTCGCCGAGTCGCCATCTCTCTGAAATGAGAACATAGTAACAGCTCGCTCTGCTGTGAGGAAGAGAAATGCCGATAGCCTGCGGTCTAGTCGGTACAGCGCCCCAATAGCACACATGGCGAGAGTGAGCGGGCTGTCTAGCTGACCTATATTCAAGGTAGGTAGGTGAAAAAGTCCGACATGAATTTCAAATCGCTCAAAATAGGCACGCATACAGTTCTGGAGCACTGTCGACGACGGTATTTTCGTTGTTATCTCTGTATCACAGCCCATGGCTAGAAGATTGGATATTAGATTCTGTCGCATACCATCCGTAATCATGGCAGGCTTGAGTCTAGGGCAATCGCGCATGACCACGGTAGGAATAGAGGCATTCTGATCGTTAGGCAAACCATCTTCAGGCGGTGGAGATATTCCTGCAGCTAAGACTGGGAAATGACTTTCTTTGTTCACACGAAATGCACTCCGAGAGAGTCGTGGCCCTAGGCCAAAGTCAAGTCCACCATTAATGTTAGGTGGAGGGGGAATATCTAGCAGCGCCCAGTAGGGGCTCGGCTCGTTTAAACCTTCGCTTAATGCACATTCAGGCTGCGGGCCTGCTGACTGAGAGTAACCTAGCCCGTACTCTTGAAAGGCCTTCTCCTGCATAGCGTACTCTTCCGTTGTGGCGAATATATCAGTCGTAATTTGCCGAGGAGACGTGCTTTGCAGTCTATTGAGCGTGGCCAAATCATCCATTAAGGAAGTATCTGGAAAAGGCTGTTGGGGGTTTGGGGTTGACGGCTGTGTCAGGTTCTTAGGATTATTCCCATCCAATGAGGCAGAATCTTGCGGCCGCGATGTATGTGTACTGGGAGACGGGGGTGATTCTGAGTTTGTTTACAGCTGCTCAGTCACCATTCAGATTGAGCGTCGGTAGAATATGACACGCACCTTCGCTCGCAACGAAGTCGTTAGCTCCAGAGACGATTTCCGAAGTTGAATTTAAATTCCTATCCGCGCCAATTATTCGCTTCGTGTATTTGTCTTTGTGTAAGGTTTTTTCATGTCGCAAAACCAGGTCTCTTGTATCGCGATCAGTAATGTTCCTACATATCTGCAATGAAACCAGCAATATTACCGGCGGGCGTATTTCCGCGAACAATATCGACAAGAGAAAGGTTTCTCCCGCGTGTCTATCATTCCATTCAGAATTAGCATGTGTAACGGGATCTTCGTAGAGGGGTGAGCTGACGGCTTCGTTGGTGTCGGTTGCAATGCTCACTACGGGTAAAGGACTTCGGACACATCAGGCACCGGTACTTCCGTCGTGATTGGTCCGAGCCGCATTCCAGACCTTCTGCCACCCAATTAGACGACATACTGAGGCCGTTTCACCAACAAGAAAATGTACGTAACAGAGAAGAATGGTCAGAAAAGGGGAAAGGGTCCTTTAACCCCGGGCGGTGAATGGAAAGCGGGGATAAACAAATCCCCCTACGTCATTCTTTGCTGGCTGTGTCTTCCAGCTAGATTCGTCTTGTACCTAGCTTGGTTGTTGTTTGCAAGTCACGACCCTGAGTTATGTGTACAGATCAGGAACAGGACAGTATTAGCAGTAGAAGATATTGTTAGTTCCGAGAAAAGCAGCATGCACTAGTACTAGAAGAAACCCGATATTGCTAAGGATCTACTCCGTACCTCCACCTTTACCGACGCAATTTAATAAACTTTTCGCTTACCTCGGGTTTTTGCGGGGTACTTCAGCACTATCCCTGTTCAAGTATTGGGCTCCATTTCTACCTCCGAGATGCCTCCTGCTGAATCTAACAGTCGCGGTCGAACAGAAAAACGAGGTGCAGAACTGTCTAGGTGCCCCAACACGCCTCACCTGCACCGTCACTTACAAATTGGGCAATATAGGCGGCTCAAGAGCCCAGCGGACGCTACGGGTATGAGACTTTTTGATCACGTGACGATTGGACCAAAAAGTAAGTTTGAACTCTGGGGCGAGTGTTTATTTAGTTCAAAAAGGCTGTTTGGCTATTGATCGACTTTCCGTTTTCCCTCGTGATAAATCGTCCATCTGACCGGGATTTGTACCGGTCAGCCCAGCGCGTCGTCCACACTCGCGTTTTTGCTCGAGTCAGAAGTTACCTGAAGCGAGCGAACTTTGCAGCGGATGTTCTTTTGTTTCACAAACCATACATTCTCGCATTCTGGCTCTAGGTTCTGATTCACGAGCTCGAAATGGAAAGCCCGAATCAGGTTAGGCACTAATGTTCCAATCTCCAAGAGGCTGATATTTTTGCCAATACAAGTGCGTGCGCCCCCTCCAAACTGTGGTTTTTGTAAGCATTTTGAATCGTGCAGGAGAAATAGATTCAATATTCCAGTTAGACATACTGCCATAAAATTTCGGTCCATCGCCGATGATAGCTCAGAGCTTTCTAGCCACCGCTCTGGTCGATAGAGTTCTGCATCAGGACCGAAAACACCCTTATTAGAATGTATAACCCATGCGTTAACACCAACGATTGACTAGGGCTCACAAGTCATACATCATTTAGCTCACGATATCTATAATATATGGACGACAATAGAATATGTGCATTTTACTTACCCCAGCTGGGAAGAACTTTCCGCACAGTGTAGTACCACCTTCGGGGACAACTCGCGCTAGCGGCAGGCCTGTAGCCGGATGCATACGGAGAGCCTCTTTGATACATGCCTGCAAATATGGCAACTTCTGTGCTTCTTGGAATGAGACATAAGGTGAAGAGAGATTTCCCTGCTTGTCTGCTTCGTGGATTTCCGCACAGAGCTATTTTCTTCAGTACACGCTTTTCCAGAAGATACCCATGGAGAGGATTATATTCTCTCATACTAACCATTTCATATTTCGAAGGGTTTGCCATCAAACGATACATGACAGAGGTCAAGGAGACAGAAGTAGTGTCTGAGCCGGCACCTATATTGGTGATACAAGTCGTAAAAATATCTGCCTTGCTCATCTTAGAGGGGTCGTCTGAATGCATTTTAAGCAGTCTTGTTAGGAATGACCCCCCTTGGCCAACTTTGACACTGTCATCCCTTCCGTGACCGAGATTGTTTGAAGCAGTGGAAATTTGCTGCTCGGCAAAGGCCTGGAGGTGGGATATTCCGGACATCGGAAGCAGCATCACCAGTTTTGACAACAATGGGTGCCATTCCGAATAAACACCGACTCTCGCGGAATAGACAAGATATGAATGAAGAGCGGCAATGAGACCATTTTGGTCCGCCCCAGCATCAAGAAAGCCGAACCGCTTTTGTAGCTGCCCATGTCAACAAAAGTCAGGATATCACTCTCTATCATATGTACAGCCGAAAAAAAATCTGGGAACTGACTGTGATAGAACCGATTACGTCGAAAGCATAATATTGCATCCATTGTTGCAGATCGAATGTTTGGGCAGATGCGGCGAGCTCACTCAACCTCTGAAACAGAACACTAGTACATTCTGATACATATGCTTCCATTGCCACAAGGCTTGTCATACTGTATAAGGCAGCAACTTTGCGTCGATTCTCACTGTGACGCCGCGGATTCCGGTCGGTGAAGAGGTCGTGCGATTCAGGGTTGGCATTTGCGCTGGCTTGATACCACGGTGCCTGCAATTATGGTAAGTGGAAAAGTTGGAAATCGTAGCTATAAACGGTATTACCTTGATAAATGGCGATGAGTGAGAATATATAATCTTTATGGCTTCCGGATCATCGATGGAGTATTGCCCTGGAGCTATACGAACAACTGAGCCTACACCAGACCGCACGCCGTAAGCATTTGTTCTATCCACTGACTATGATACTTATAGGGGCTGCTCACCGTGTTTTTGATGAAGGCCAACATTTATCTTGTGAAAATCACCTCTAGCTACAGCGTGGAGGTACCAAAGACGAGAAAACCGGGCCCAAAATGGCCCTGGCACATCTCGAAGAGGATGCAACCAAGCCTGCACTAGCAAGACCAAAACTCTTATTACCACCAAAATACCGAAAAAAGTGATGAAGTGGGATGTATGAAAGCTCATATTGGGGGAATTGTGCAATGTGAGATGAAGTTTCGACCACGTCTTGGGATTTGTACTCATTGACACTATGAGCTATCGGCCTATCGTTTGCAAGAGAGAATATTTCAACTTTATTTAAGACAGCAGGTATTACTGGTCATTATTTCGCATATGGTGTTATCTCATTTGGAGTAATTTGGGGAGAATCTTCTCTTCAAACTGCCCCCCACTTTTCCCCACATCCCCGCTTTTTCAAACTGCCTTTGTGGGGTAGCCAAATGGTCCCATGTCCTATGGACATACGAGTGGAGCGCACATAACGCATCAGATGTGATCATGTGGAGATATGATAAGAAGAAAGAAGTCCAAGTCTGATCTAGGGAACAAGTAGGTGAGCATGCGGTCACTTACCACATTCGTTGGGCAACTATAGCCTAGCAGCCGAATTGAAACTTATCGATTTTTCTCTAATACTAATGAATGCAGCGGGTACGAAACTCTGCTTCTATACTACTTCTACCAAATTACTCTGTCGACTCATCGAGTTTATCATTCTCATTTACAAAGGCGATCCATCGGTATGCCCTGGCCCTAAACCGGGCTTTATTACTTGTATAGACTTAGAAGACCTATATCGCTGGCGATTCAGACCGAAATAATAGGTGTATTCAACAGTAAGTTACGATTTTCTATTAGTTATTAGTTATAATTAGTAAACTATATAGTATATGATTATCTCTCTATACTCACCTAATATCGCCGAGGCTAAGTAGCGCTATTCTTGACCCTAGCACTAAGCTTGTCTTATAAATCTAATTAAGTAGTGTGATGCGATTAATAAAGTCCGGATCGCGCGCGAAAGGGACGGTTAATAACGGATTAGGTGGAGCTCCTAGTCGCTCTAGTTCGGGACACGGCGATTAGTCATAAATAGGAGCTTATTCCGTTCCTCTAACTTACCTAGAGGCAGATGGAAGTCGATTGAACCATGGTTATCTCCTACCTAGAGCCTATTATCCTTGCCACAGAATGATATTGATGCCATAGCAGACTGAATCATGACGCCTTTTATACTTAAGTTCCCAATTGACCATGACCATGCTCAACATCAGAGTCGACCCCCATAAGTGGCAGGAGTCTCAATAATCCGCTCGCAGCTCTCACTCCGACTGATCTCAACTGTCTTGCTTATCGTGTTAGGCTTCGCACTGCCCCCGTTCCCTCGTGAGGTCCAAGCCGAGCTTTGCAGTTGATAGCCCCTTTGATCAGAGCCTCCTCGTATAGCAGCACCGGGGTATGCCTCTCTGAAACCGCTGCTTTCTCCCTGGGCTGTTCCAAAGATGCGTCGAAAAACTCCAAGCTTTCGAAGCGTTGGGAGGGATCCTACAATAAGTCCGATATTGTATTCCACCACCATCCAGATGAGAGACTTTGCGATGGAATCTAGTGGAAAGAAATGTTAGTTGAATGATACTAAAAGGTACACTCATGTTTTTCGTCACGCACATGTATAATCAGTGCTGTTGTTCTGATAGGCTAGTGTTGGTAGGCGAGCCAGCGCTGCAACACAACTCAGAATTCCTGTATGAGAAATATCATTAGTCCATCCGCAATTTGGCTTTCTCTGTGCATTCTAAGTAAATGGCTTACCAAGAGCAAAGAGGCCTGAAATAGACAAGCGACGCCGCAAAGGCATTTGAAGCTTCCAGATACTGGGCATCGGCAAGACGATGATTGCCAAATCCACCAAAAACATCAACACGCATTGATACATTGTTATTCCAAACAATGCATCGTTGCTGAAGCATTTCTTTTTCGTAATTGACTGGTCCCACGTTGCCTGAATTGGGATGCACTGAACTACCATAGCGACTTCGCCGGAAATTGTAAAGAGTACCAAGAACACGATCAATCCCCATGCCCATAAGCGGACACAATTCGCAGGGAAGACCCGCATAAGAAATGCTAGTAGGCTGACTTTGACCATGGATGCCACGACAAGATAAACTGTGTTTGCAATGTAGACAATCTGAGCATGTCAGCCATCCATCATCATGAAAGGCGCGTGCAGGAAATTACCATCATCATCGTCGGGAGATCTTCCAGTGGGACGGAGGCTTGATGGTATCCGACTCCATAGTAAGTGACTAATACTGCTAATGTATCGAAACCCAACACTAGAATCTGATAATCACCAAATGTTTAGACTCGACGGGGTTTAAACGGATTTATCGTCCCATAGAACATACCAGAGCAACAATCACGCAGTAGTCATCGGCACCAAAAGAGCAGAGAACAAATTTTCGCAGGTACAACTAGGAAAATTTGCGTTGTTTCAAGTGGACAACTTCCAGAACATGTAAAATAGAAAAGGAAAGGAGACCTACCCGTGTCCCACATATTAAAAGTGTCAATCCGGCCAATGCGAGAGTAATGCCGCGCACTATATTAGCCAAAGCCGGAGCATCTTCCAGAAATTGAGGCGCCGTTTCACTCATGATTGATCTCGGAAACCCCGAATGCTCCTCTAACAAGGATCAATATATGCAATTTAATAATCACAAATAAACAAAGCCGGAGCAGCAGCTGCTCTTGAAGAAATTAAATTGAAGAAATGAAATCAGGGGCCAGAAGTCGCCTCTTCGGCTTTTGCGCCGGACTTTCTCGCAAGACTTGAATGGTCCCCTTGAATCAGGGGGATTTTGGAAGGATATTCAGGCTGAACGAATGAGGACGTGAAATGCCAGCCGTCCTGAATCCTTTGGAGAGCAAGCTAGCTCTAGCTGAGCCTAGCCTGGCTAGTAGTGAATCCTTCCACAAGTTAAATCGCCAAGAGAATGGCGCCCGGCCGCCCGGGTTATGGGAATCCCGCGCTGCCAACGCCTCTAACAGGTTGATCTATGCCTAATCTAGTTTCGTTCAACCGCACTAAAATCCTAACGTCGCGCTAAAAGGGTCTGGATCAGCCCAACTATCCATTTATACAGGACGATTTAGTGGGCTTTGTGCTCAAAATTCCACTGTGCACATCACAATGGCTTTTTTCCCAGGTTGATAAATAGGCCCAATTCCATCCTGCTCGCGATTCGAAGGCTTAAGCACCAAAATTCCGGCCGCTTTTCAACAATGGCACACGTCGCGCGTCTCCTTTCCATTTTGCAGCTTTCACATGAGCCTGCATCGGCAGTCGAGACTATTCTTCAGGAGTTTGACGCATTGAATGATGCCGAAAAGAGTGACCGCGGTCTAATCACTGCGGAAGCGGTTTTCCCCTTGGTCTTTGGCCAGGATGCCAGTATTCGAAGTGATCCCCTTTTCTCTGAGCGCAACAACACCGTCTGGTTAGATGAGCCCTGGCCCATGCTTGCATGTGTTGGATAAATTGCTAAACGGCTAAATCTCATAGGTCTCTCAATTGTCAACTCACCCCAGGTGTGATCGTCCTCCCCCGCACAAGTCAAGATGTCGGCAAAGTCCTGGCTCTCTGCCAAGCACTCAACACCAAATTTTCCGTTCGCGGTGGTGGCCATCTTCAAAATCCAGGGTTCAACAGTAATGAAGGCGGAGTCGTGATTTCCATGAAATGCTTCAATGCCGTCACGGTGTCGCAGGATCGGTCCACAGCCGACATCGGCGCTGGTCTGACCTGGTTGGAGGTCTATCGAGATCTTGAACCGTACGGTTTGGCTGTCACTGGAGGGCGCGTTCCCTCGGTCGGTGTCCCTGGCCTACTTCTGGGAGGAGGCCTCTCCTTCCAGAAGGGTAAGTATGGTCTCAGTTGCAATGGCATTGTGGAATACGAGGTGAATCAGTTCCTCAAAGGCCCCTGCGATCTCTAGTACTGACGTTGATCAAGGTTGTCCTTGCCGACTCGACTGTCGTCAAAGTCAATGCCACGGAAAACAAGGATCTCTTCTGGGCTCTGAGAGGCGGAGGCTCTAACTTCGGTAAGGCAATCGGGTTCATGGAATTGTATAATACGATGCAGGTTCGAGGTTCGCTAATTTTGGAAATCAGGCATTGTTACGAAATTCACCATGTCGACGGTGTCCAACCAAGTCTGGGCTGAAGGCCGACTTTTCGCACCTAACGAGAACGACAAACTGCTGGAGGCGCTCGTTAGCTTCCACGATGAAGGCGAAAAGGACCCTAACGCTTCTCTTATCTTTAACTCCGTCCCAGAAGGTACTTTGTTGGTATTCATTTACGCCGAGCATGCGGAGGAGCGACCAGCCGTCTTCAACGCATTCAACGGCATCAACTGTATCCTTGAAATGGTACCTGGAAACAAATACACAATTTTCCAGATCGTGAGTGGGTTTGAGGCTGTGACTGCCTCTGAGCCGAAAAAAGTATTCTACAGTCCCCAAAACACATATTACCCGGGCATTTATCTGACACTCACATAGCCACGATATGCGAACTATGTCAAGCTTGCCGGATCTAGAAGTCTACAAAACTGCAAATGAATGTCGCTACCAGCAGGACGAATTGATGAAGAGCATCCCTGGTGCTAAGATTACTTTTACCCTTCAACCCATTTCATCGAACGCAATCAAAATCACAAATGCGAATATGGGCTCTCCGCTAGGCATCACGGAACAACCTCATCAATGTACGTACCGAGTAAATCGCATTTTCATCATCGAGCTAACTTGAGACAGGGTTTCTTGTCATGACGGAATGGACGAACCGAGAGGACGAGCCCGCTGTGCTGGAAGCTGCTCGTAAAATCATCGATGCCGCCGAGACTATCGCAAAAAAGAACGGGACATATCTGAAGTTCAAGTATGCGAACTATTCATCGCGAGACCAGGATCCCCAATCAACTTACGGTGCTGAGAACTTGGCGAGACTGAGAAGTATCGCGAGCAAGGTCGATCCCAATGGTGTATTTCAGAGCTTGCAGTATGGTGGCTGGCTGGTCAGCCAGACAGGAAATTAGTCATGGAATGTAATATGAAAGGTAGAAGATTATTATTCTTGGTCCGAATATATGCTATATGGGTGCATCTCTTCCCGATCATTGGCTATGTAATATATGGTAAATATTAATCTACGTTTCTAGTATATAAGTAAATAATTCAAACTATTATTTCACGAGCTCAAGCCTATATCTAATTACCTATCAGTAATATCCCTAGGAAGGCGGTCCGTATAGCGCGCTAGGCCGTAGGATTCTCACCTATTTCTCACCCTATCTATTACGCACTCACCCTACTCACCCCTGGTCGCGCGACGCTAAAGCGGCTCTCATCCATATCTCATCCTGGCGGCGCCCACCTAACTACTGGCTGCATTTAAGCCACGCCGGTTAGTTAGTAGTATGGTGGGTGACCACATGCGAATCCTGACTGTTGTATTGTTTTGTTCTTTCGATCTAGTTGTCAACCGTCAGTAACTAGAATGCGTGATTGTCTCATATTCGCGGTGTGCATGCGCTTTATACGACACTAGTCTCAGTTCGGCACCCAGGAATGTGCTGGTGACTCAGACGCCTACGATCGTTGCTGAATCATCCATATTGATAAATGAATTAGTACCCACTTTATTGAACATAATGACTCTTCTCTTGATCGAGAATCTTAAATCTTCATTTATCCATCATGGCACGTCTTACTGACCTCCCAACAGAGCTCTTACGGTCAATAGTTCAACATGTCACCTATACCATTGATCTATGTGCGCTTTCTCAAGTCAATCATCATTTTCACTGTCTCACAGACGAAATACTCGAAATCTATCTCCGACTTGTTTTTCAGTCAGGAAAACCACATCCAGAGCGCGAGGCACTTTACTCGGTCTGTCGGAATGGAAACGATGCGTGTGTACGCAGGCTACTCAAAGCTGGAATTCGGCTTCCTGTTCCTTCATGTGGTTCGCATCCAATCATTATTGCGGCACAAAAGGGACACCCGAAGGTCGTGCAAGCATTTCTGGACCACGGAGTAGATCCTAATCCACCCATTGGATTCTTTGGATGGGAAGGATCGTATGGCAACCCTTTGACAGCTGCAGTGGAAGGTGGTCATGAGCCAGTGGTCAGCCTTTTGATGGATCATGGTGTCGATTTAGAGTTTGGCAGACTTGAAAGAACCAACGTCAATCAGCCCTTGTCTATAGCGACGCAGAGACATCATGTATCTCTGGTAAAACTCCTTCTTGACCATGGATGCAATCCGCACACTCCGGACTTCCTACTAAGTGACAGGCCTGAAAATTCCGCGTGGAGAATCGCTGCAGGTCATGATCTAGATATCCTCCAAATATTCATTGAGAGAGGTGCGGGGCTTGTTTCCGCTTCTTTCTCCACCTCACTCGATCCCAGACACAGCTGTCAATGGGTGCTACTGGATGCTCTGCGTCAGGATGATTTACCACTTGCCAAGTTCCTATTGAAACAAGGTATTAGGCTCGAAAATCCATTTTTCTTGTATTCTCATGTCCTTGAACATGTCCAAAAGAATGATCCTTTACACATGATTGGCCTCGTAGCAGGCAGAAATTCCCAGGACTCTGAGATTTTGCTGGGAATGATTGATTTGGATGGAATCATTGACGGAGAATATCTGCGCCCAATTGTTTCTCTCATGGTTGGTGCAATACGAGGTGGCCACTATTCACTGACGAGGCTTCTATTGAATGCGGACCCGACCACGAAACGTCCAACAGTCTGCTTTGAGGGGTGGAAAGATCATTTAAGTTCTTTTATGGTCATTGCCATAAAACACGGTCATATCAAGCTTGTGAATCTGCTACTTGATTATGGTGCAGATCCTAGGGGTGTGGTCAGAGACTTACAAACCCAAGATGGCTATTGTCCACCAGTCTTTGTAGCAGCCGAGAGAGGCTTCACTGATATATTGAAACTGCTTCTCGATCGAGGAGCGAATCCCTTCCCACGCCAACCTCGCACTCTCTTTGAGGTAGTTACTTGTCATTCATTATCTAAGCCATCCATAGAGACCGCTCGGCTCTTGGTCGAAAGAGACATTGTTACATCTAAGATAGGAGATAGCGGCAATGTCCTCGTACAAGCGGTGATGGGAGGAGCAGAAGTCTTTTTGCTTGTTGTAGAGCACATGAGCATCGAACTTCAAGGAGAAAACCCTAACCATCAAAAAGCAATGGTTAAAGCCGTTCAGAGTGGAGACACCACTATCATTGAACTGTTCCTCAGAGCCGGATTCGACCCCAATACTGCGATCAGCTCAAGAAGCCTCCTAGCTCTCGCAGCAGCGGCGGAATATAAATCTCCTGGACTCGGTGAGAGTGCAGTTGATCTTTTGATACAGTACGGAGCAGATGTTGAGTGGCGACCCCCTCAACGTTGCCTCACACCCCTGTTTGAAGCCATAATTAATGGTGACATATTCTCCCCCTCTCGGGCAGAAGCCGTTAGGGTCCTCTTTAAAAAAAGGTGCTGACCCATTCGTCGCGGGTGGATGCAAGAGATGCGAGCAACTTCTTTGCGTGAAACAAGGCAAGAACGCTCAGAACTTCGATATCAAAGTTATAAAGGCTTTTCTCGAGTTCTTTGATAGGGAAGAGACGCCTTTATCTGATGTCAAACCTATGATCAAAGAAATTGCTCAATGCACACGAGATAAAAAGCTAGCCGAGCTTTTGTGGCGCTGGTACTGGCGAAATATCTACCCTTGTCCAAAGGACTGATCTTGCATCCTCCAATCATCCATTGCCATCCTCTGTCTAGACACACACTGTGGTGAGCGCCAATCTTTGAGGAATCCGTGAAATTCTGAAATACTTGATGAACTTTGACCATGACTTCCAGGGATATGTGGGCTCCTCAGATACTCTTAGTCAAAATCAACATTATCCTAGCTAAAGCCGTCAAGAACGGACAAAATGTTTTCTGCAAATTCTTTTGACAAGCAGCAGGCATCGAGATTCTGATAAATGATATCTAAATACATATTAAATAGTGACCTTAAGGGAAGAGAACCATGTGGTCACTTTTTTATAGTATCTACGACCTCTTCATGGATTGCACTTCTAACGACAAACAAGTATACATGAACGTGTCTAATAAGACAAAAAGGAAAGACCAGCCTGACAGTTTCGAAGTGTCTCTGGATCATTTTTTATCCTACCTTTTCACATTCACCTCCTCAGATGTGCACTACATAATTCTAATATGTACTCTGTCTAGTACATACGACCATAGGGTGTGGAGAACAGGGCTTCCCGTCCGCTCAGCCGTACTTAAGCCACACGCCGGTTAGTTAGTAGTATGGTGGGTGACCACATGCGAATCCTGACTGTTGTATGTTTTTGATTTTTTTTTTACTTTGTTGGTTTCATTTGGGAAGTGGATAATATACATGATTAGAGCTTTGGAGAGTGGGTAAAGAGGTAAGAATGATAAACGAGGTCTGATCTCGCTAGAAACGCAAGTTTCGCCACATTGTCACGATTAATATGATAATTAGTAGAATGACAAGTTCAATAATATATTTCTTTCGATCCCCATTTCCAAGGATGCCAACGTCACACACTGATGTTAAGTTGACTGCATTATGTTTAAATAGAAGGTGGTGATTAAAAGCGGTAAAGGGGTCTTAAACTTATCGAACGCTACTGTATGCCGAGCGTACCCCGTCTACTACATAGAGATAAAGAGAGAATGGTACTTGATGAATAACCCTCTAGGGCTATCCTTAGTGGGACTTTCCCCTCTCAGTTCGACAAACATCCTTTTTCTTATTAGTAAAATACCGCCCTTTTGTTCGACATTATATCATAAGTTTCCGATACGGATAGATGGTTCATCCGCTCACTATGTCGGGCATTTCTATCAACCTTGGATTTGTAATCAATTCGCTCAGTCCTAGTAGCTGAGAGGAGTGAAACTGCGAAGGAAAATCTATATTGGTTTTCCTGCACCAGCCTTTTCGCCATATTAATTTAATTCCTATTCACAATTAATCCTCCCTTCACCCTTCTCTCCCGTCCCGACCACAAAAGGTTGCTTACTTTCCTGTCAAATCAGAATGACTCTCAACACGCAAAACCGCATCATCGTTGTGCTTGGGTCTACAGGACACCAAGGGAAAGGCGTAGTTAGTTCGCTCTTGAGTGACAATTCGCGGGAATTGTGGAATGTCCGCGCAGTCACCAGGGATGTGAATTCCGTCTCAGCTCAACGTCTTATGAATGATTTCCAAACCTCTGACCACCGCCTTAGCCTTACTACTGGAGATATTTTTGATATAGAAAGCCTGCAGAACGCTTTCTCTGGGGCTTATGGTGTGTTTGCGGTAACGAGCGAGACCAGTTCAAGAACGATCGAAAAGGAGGACGACCTCAAGCTGGAGCTTGAAAGCGGGAAGAACATTATTTCTGCCGCGAGGATTTGCCGCATTGAGCACTTTGTTCTCAGTAGCTTGCCAGACATGAGACGAGCGACTTCTGGTCGCTTTGACAAACTTTTCCACATGGATCATAAGTTTGTCATTGAGCAGTGGGCAAAGCAAAACCTGTCTGCGGTCACTTGCCTTCTTCCTGGTTAGTCTTCCTGTTGACGCCAAACGTTCGTGTGGATCTGCAACCAACCATCCACAAGGTCTCTTCTTCACCAACCTGGATCGTCCGCAGTACTGTCGACGAGAAGGTCGGTTCTGACAGATCTTTCCCTGTGATAAAAACTTCTAACTATTGCAGCAAATGGGGTCGTTCGTTTTTGTCCCCCGATTCCGTCCACGAAACTAGTTGAGTGGGTTGATCCTGTACATGACATGGGTATTTTTGCTGCAGGTAAGTTGTGATAGCGAATCTTTGGTAGTCGCTTTACCAAGGAAGACCTGGTGGGATATCTCACACCCTCCAAAAGAATACTAGAGAGTAGTGACTAATGGTCAATGAAAAGTACAAAGCTGACATTATCTCTTAGAGGTATTCGCTTTAGGCATTGCGAAAACAAAGAACAAAAATTATGTCGTCTGCAGTCCGAAATTGCGGATGGGCGAATTTGCATCCACTTTTACGCGAGTCACTGGCCAGCCAGCGATTTATTCCCCAATCTCGATGGATGAATGGGCTGATATGGCATCCAAAGCGGTAGGAGACGGATTCAAGGAGGATATTCGCCAAATGATGGAATGGATCTCGATATTGCCAGAGGATAAGATTTGCTACGGGGCTCTTGATCCAGCCGAAGACTCATCCTGGGAGGATCTCCACCTACGAGCTAGTTCTTTCGAAGACTGGTTAAGACGTTCTGGATGGGGAGGCCCTTGAGAGGAAAACCGTAATATGCTTTGAGAATGCTAATGTCTGCGAGTGAAATAGTACCCAACTGTTAAGCCAAATCTCGATGCCAATTATAATCTTGCAAAGTGATCTGATCGCATGGCCCGCCATTGATACGATAAATGGATTGCTATGCTTCCGGGCGTATTTGTCCTGAGAATATTAGTACCGTAATTAATTGTATGTCTCAAGCATAAGCTGCTATCTCTCTCACATAACAAGTTGTCTTGCGAGGTCCCGTCTCTTCCTTCTCTCGGATTTGATACAATGTAGCCACGGATGTCTTTAAAGGTCATGACATACCCGAGGTAGCAAATTGCCAATGAGCCATTATTGATGTTGGGAAGCGAATGACTGAGTCTGTTTTGAAAATGCGTACCAGAAAACTTTGTGGTCCTGCAACTTTTCGTCAATAAACATTACCTCGGCCTGATATTAGATAATTGAATGATAGCCATTCATCCCTTCTATGACTAGCTACGATATGAGTCACGAAATACCATCCACTTTGTCTCAAATGATATATCTTTGTCGAAGTCCACACCAATCTTGCTCATTTGATACTCTTCCGAGAACACAGTAGCCCTGGAGCTTCTATGTTCGATAGCTAAACCGAAGATATACAGCGAATCCTATGAGACTTTATTTACCACGACGAGATTCTAAAATTTGGGAAGGAAATGAAAGAGAAAAAAAAAAAAAAAAAAACGAAAAGAAAGACACCATGCACAATATTATTGTATGCATTGCGGGGGGAAATAAGACAAAAAAGTAATGCCCACTGGCGGAATCGAACCGCCGATCTTCCCATTACGAGTGGGACGCTTTACCACTGAGCCAAGCGGGCCCGCTTACGAATACCACTGACAGCCATGTTACTCAAACATTTCATCTCATGCCCTGATAGGATGCATCCGAACTTTCCGATCGGTGCCAAGAGGAACTACGGGATGAACGCCCCAACTCGCGTTTGCCAAACCACTGTTGGCGATGACTCATTTTGGAGTCTTTAATGCAGTAACATAAGCCCTGGAGCATGATTAGATGGGCACTTTTGCTATGATCGATATGCAAACTTCCAAAATCTCAATAACCTCAAGTCTCGAAATCAGAGTTGGCATGTTTCGGGCTCTTAGCTCCGCAATATATATAGACCGATTGACTGTGGTCGCAAAACCATTTCATATAACGACGGAAATCCCCCCTTTGATTTGTAGGGGCATTAGACTCACATGAGTATGTTTTTAACATAATTCGAGAGCCAGAAACGGGATATCACATCTTTAAATATTTCCAAGCGTCCCGCATTTCCTGAAGCAGTGGAGTTTATATCATGTGTCTGGGCAACCTTGGAATTTGGTATCACGAAAGTCCTCCCCAATGCAATTCCTCCGGTCGGATTGTTCAGATCAAGGCTTGCGGGTCTTCCAACACTTAAGCCTTGTCACCATTGTTCATTCATTATCTCCAGCCTTGGAAAGTTGTTCGATTAGAAAGCCGAAACTACCAGAGCTGCAAAGTTGGTCTCGTATTTTAAGCCCAACCCTTCAAGGAACTAGACCCTAACTAGCTATACTGAGCTTGCAATACTAGTAAAAGCCTCGATCAACTGAAATAAATTCTAATATGCTCGTAACCCATAGCACCCAATAGTTTGGTTGTCCAACTAAGTAATTCAATCGACATCAGTGCTTGTAGCAATTGATCGAGTGGATTCCAGGTCTCTCTGTAGGTCTGCAATCTTTGACTCCAAGGCGATTACACAATCGGTCCCAAGTGGCATGCGAAGATAATCATAACCAGTCACGGTAGCCTTGATTATTGCCCTCGCAGCCTTATCCGGGTCCCCTTTGACATAGTCCGGAATCGATGTCAGCTGTCGAAATCCAACGACCATCTGTTCAACGGCGGTACCCTTATAGGCCTCGCTGAAGCCATTGTCAAGCCGAGCGGGAGTAAGGATGCGGCTTGAGAATGGAGTCCGAAAAGCACCTGGCTCCACTATTAAGACCTTGATACCGAGAGTCTTGACCTCATGAGAAAGCGACTCGTGAACAGCCTCGATGCCAAATTTGCTAGCCGAATAAGTCGCTCGTCCAGGACGTGCTATGAAACTGTTGTTTGTTGAGTAAATGAGATTAGATACCATGCAATGAAAAGGAAAACGAAGAGATGAACATACCCAGCGCCACTGCTGATGAGAATGACATGACCAGAGCCCTTTTCACGCATGATTGGCAGACAGGCACGGACAGCACGAAGAGGCCCATAGAAATTCACTTCCATTTGATCGCGAACTTCCGACTCACTATGAAGAAAATTTAGCTAGGAACCTTATAGCAGAGTGAGAAGTTTAACTTCTGATAGCCACAGACCTTGTGTCTTCAACACCACCGATGAAAGCGTAGCCTGCATTGTTGACCAGAACGTCTACGTTGTGCTCCTGGGAGCATTTCACGAACCTATCGTACGAATCCTTTTGAGCAGGATCTAGACCTATCCAAATACCACCGTTCTCTGAGAAGTCAGGATAGGAGGCTTCAGCCTTGCCAACGTCACGCGTGGTTCCGATAACCTTGTAGCCAGCCCTGAGAGCCTCCGAAGCCAGTGACTTGCCCAGACCCGACGAGGCGCCAGTAATCAACCAAGTCTGGCTTGTGGCAGTCATGTTGATTGAGGTTGAAAAATTTATTCTGACAGGAATGTGAGAGAATGAGATCTGCGTATAAGTCGCAGTTGTTGAACGGAGACAGCGGAGTTAAGACATTAACCCCTTCCCTAGCGTGTTATCATTCGCTTTGCCCCCATAATAATCAATCATCTAATTACTACCATAGTACACCCATTGTACCATAAAAAATTGCGCATCTACTATATGGTTTTCCACTGTGACTATTGCATGCCCGCTTCCTCATATTTTGCAAATTGCGGGTCCAATACAAGCATGTCGCCGTCCGTAAAGAATACTGTACAGCTTGATTCAACTGTGTGAGCAAATTAATCACGATGAAATCAAGGAAAGAACGTCAAAGTCAGGGGCATGCGCAGTTTCATGTTGTTCTTACAGTCATATACTACGAAGTGTGTACCTGACAACAGCGCACCACAGCAGCTTTCGTAGATCGCTTCTCGTCGCGGGCAAAGTAAAAGTATAGCAAGTAACTGAAAATGAATGGATGTACAGACGGCTGAGTTTTCTGTGACCAAGCCTAATTGGTCAAATCGCCTTAGAACGTGCTGAGATAACAGCAGATTCGATTATTCACAGGGTCCACAGCGAGATGAAATAGTTAACTAGATGGATGTATACAGATATTCGTGTGAGATGGAGAATGAGATCCTTAGAGAGCATGACTGCCAGAATTGATGGGATTTTGAGGAATTTTTATGGTCGGAGAGGACGTAGAGAGATTAAGAAATTCAAGTGATTTTGGCCAAAGGCTTATGAAATCAAAATAGGAAAGCCTGATATCTAAAAAGGTGCTGTGGTTTAATGGCAGAATGCCGCATTGTGGTTTACTTGGTGTCTTGTACCCAAAATTCCCAACCTGCGTCGATCCCGGTTCGATTCCGGGCAGCGCCATTTCTTTTTGGTATCTTTTTCTCTTCACCATTTTCTATTCGGTATTTTTTTTCCGCCTACAACCCTATATTCTTGCTGACTCATGGTTATGGTGGTGCAGCTGGGCGAATTTTTCACTCAGTATATAACGGTCACCGTGAGCTAAAGACTTGATTCTGACTCGTATGGCATTATTTAACGGCAGTTAAGAAGCTGAAGTGTAGTATACGTAAGTAAGCGACAATTCCAAAGTGCCGATTATTGGCTCCAGTATGCATGATTCTTATCAAAATTATTCAGTCATCATTTTAAAGGCTATGGTGGTACTGTGTAGTGTACAGGTGAAACACCTGGGTATATTTGGTGTGGAATTCGAAGTACATATGAGTGCCAGTGAGGGTGATTAGATTCTGAAAATGATCCTTGGAAAATGAGAGATAAACCGGGCCCCACTTTCAATAACAAGGTGCTGTGGTTTAATGGCAGAATGCCGCATTGTGGTTTCAGTGGTGTATATCCCACAATTCCCAACCTGCGTCGATCCCGGTTCGATTCCGGGCAGCGCCATTCTTTTTTATTTATTTTTTCTTTGTCCACACGATAAACTTCCAACAAGTCTATCAGGTTAATAAATAATACAGAGCATTCTTTATAGTCTGAGGGTCGAAACATAGTTCATATATTAACAAATAAGAGAACATCTCGAACCCGAAAGCTCGTCAAGAAGCATTTCCTTGTTTTGCTGCTTGTTGAATCAGCTCCTCATGACTAGGGCTGCGCACAGTCACCTTCGCCGGGAAAGGCTGTTTATGGAGAGAGAAGTGATTGAGTTTCCGCGTATTGACTGGTCCATCCTAGATTTTGTTAGCCGCTAATTTCGACAGCATAAACGAGGTCTTACTGGTGTCAAGTCAAAACAGAATACGAGCCTCGCCATCGCAACGTACAACGCTTGCTGCGCGACTCTGTACCCAACACAAATTCGCCGTCCACCTCCAAAAGCCCACAGCCCCTGGGTGATATTCCCCTCGTTCCCATCCAGCCAGCGCGATGGATCAAACCGATCGGGCTCATCACATTGTTGACTCAACGCAATCCCGTTGATCACAAAGCACGTTCCTTTCGGGAAATAATAGCCCTCGTACTCGAAATCTTCGGTCAACTGATGCTGCGGTGTGATCGGCGTGGTAGGCCGCCAGCGCAAGACCTCCTTCACCATGGCTGCAAGGTAGGGCAGTTTCTCAAAATCAGCCATACCGGGTAAACGCAGTGTTCCATCCTCTTCTACGCACACCGCGTCCATTTCTTCACGAGCCCGTGCCAGTATCTCCGGGTGGCTGATCATAGCCATGAGGAAGGTGTTGAGCGTCATACGCGTGTTGTCACTGCCAGCAGCAATGACAGAGGTAGCCAAATACATGGCTTCCTCTTCCGAACCCTTATACCGCATCTCTGGATGGAGGAGTGTGTCTCTAACGAACCCGGGCTTGGCCGTCCCATCTTGAACGGCATTCCGGATCGGATCCCACCAATCCTTGAACACTCGGTGGTGGAAGTCGCCCATCTTCACCCAGACAGGCCGCCACCACTGCAGAGCAGTAGGTACCCAGTGGCTAAATTGCGGGAAATAGTCGACGAAACTGCGGAGTAGACTCCAGGTAAACTCCATGGTGACTTTCTGGTAATCATCCAGCTCGGCTTGGGTCTTGTCGAGATTCTCCCCCATGACAAGGCGATACAAGACGGCGATGGAATACCGGTAGTGATGCGCGTACCATCTTGTAGGATCGTCCAGGTAGGCCGAAAGCAATTGTAGGGATTCAATCTCCTGCCAGTTCCCGTAGACGCGCAGCACGGATCCGCTGAGGAGATGATGCATCACCCTGCGGCCTTCCGTCCAGGATGCAGTGGGACGGATGACAGTCCGCATGCCATGGCTGACCAAATCACCAGCGATGGGCATCTCGGGGCGTTCATTGGTGATTTTTCCATGTTTGTTGATGAGGTCGGCAACAACCTGGGGCTCGTTTAGCACTACCCAAGTCTGGGAGCCCATGTGAAGGGTAGTCATGGGTCCATATTTACTGAGCGATGCAAGCTGTGTGATAAGTCAGCACCCGCCTCCAGGTTGAGTGGCATTTGGGGACTTACGAACGGGGCCCATAGTCCTGCGTCGCGTGCCTTGGTGAATTGAAACATGTTTCCGAAGACTGGAAGTCCCGGGGGCCCAGGGGGCAACTTCCGCCCGCGGCTCAGTATCCGCCATAGGAAAGTGTTAGGGATAACATATTTGGATAGAACGCAAAGCGTAGCTAAAGCTCCAATGGTCAGAATTTGCTTGGTGTTCAAAGGTTCCATGACGAGTGGCCCCATTGTATTTGGAAATTGTGCAATCTTCTAACCTGATGACGAGTCCTTTTTCTTTGCAGCCGGATCAACAATGCCCTTTGTACCAGTCCAACAATGCTTTCTCCGGCTTGCCGGCAATCTATGCAGCCTCGATGTATTGCCACTGCTATGATTCGCGGACCGTGGCCGTTATTGGGGGCCAAGCCTAATCCCGATCTGGTTGGGCTGACGGTATGATTGTTTTGCAAAATTACCGCTTGAAGTACCCTGAAACGCGAACAAAGAAAAAACCCCTCACTAGCATGAAAACGTGTCTAGCTCATCGTAGATGATTTGGACAGGCCAACAGATAGCAGGGTATAGCTGGGGGCCAAAATCCCCCATCTACCCTGTCCGTCAGCACCCCTCATCTCACGGATTTATTCCTTTACTTTCCCTCCCAGCCTTGCAAACACGACGGGTATAAAGACCAGATCCTTTGAATGAGCTTGTTTTGTTGTTGTTCCTCGCGCACCCGTACCTCCTCACCCAAAAAATCAGCCCCCACTTCCAAAATGGCAGACATTGAGTTTATCACCCTCACTACCAAGCCCTCGGCGCAGCTTAGCTACAGCTTCCAGCCCTCCCCGGAGGCTACTAAGCCCGTGCTGGTCGTATTTCTCAACGGCCTGGGGCTTCCTCAAGCCTTCTGGCACCCCGTCATTGCTCAGCTGAAGACACTCCGCGAAGGTCGCAGCATCCCCAGCTTCTTGACCTACGATCGTTTCGGTCAAGGTCAAACCGCCGATCGCGACCCCCAGGATGCTGATGCAGAGGACCCTACACACGGCCACGACTGCTTAGTCGCCGTGAAGGATGTGCGGCAATTGATCACTCAGATCACATCTGAGAAACTAGGTGTCTCCGACGTCAACTCCGTTTCAGTGGTCTTGGTCAGCAACTCCATTGGCTGCGCATTGGCCCGTCTCTACGCCCAAGAATACCCGGGCACCGTGTCAGCTCTATTGCTGTTGGACAGTGTCCTGGCTAACTCCGACTTTGTTTCCGTGTTCCCCGACCCAGACGCTTCGGATTTCGACCCCGCTAGTATCCACCCTATTCCTGCGGAGGCTATCCGCGCGGTGCGGGCCGGTGCCCGTCGCATCTTCCACCCTGACGTTGGAAACAAGGAAGGACTCAGTCGCCGCAACTTGCGCGAGCTGCTCCCTGCCAGTGATGGACCTTTGCTCCAGGGTCCTGATGGTCACGGGCCTTATGTCACTGTGGTCGGCCATGACTTCGATACCTTTGCTGAAGAGTCGTCCAAAATGGGCCCGCCTAAGCCGGTGACTAACCGCTTTGTCAACCCCTACTGGCAGCGCTACAATGAAGGACTGGCTAAGATTACGGAGTCAGAGTATAGCAAGGGTCCCATCATTGCACCCAATGCGGGTCACTTTGTGCAGAAGGATAATCCGGAATTTGTGGCACAGGAGCTCAATGAGTTGCTCGAGAAGGTTCTGTAAGATTATGCTTAATGATAAGACTGTTGGATAAAGACTGTGATGAATCAATCCCATTATTTGAAACTGTGCCCCATAATGAATATGATCTTAGCAATTTTTGCGTATATGAATAATGTGTGAGATTAGCTGGCTCAACGTCACATATCCAACCGTACAGACCAGGGCTAAAATTCGCCCCCAATCACTGCTTCAGCCTCCGTATTACCATCAATTAATCAGCTGCGGTATAACTCCAATTGAATCAATTAATAGCATTATCATGCCATGGCCAACCTGTGCTTACTGCGGGGTGCGGCAGGTGTGGAGACCTGAACACGATACAAAACGGTAATCTTGCACTGGTAATTTTCAATTCGAAAATATGATCCGATCGACAATCTTCAATGCAGATTGGAAAAAGCTCCGGGGTTGACCTTGGCATTGGCATGAAGGATGGGGGCGGTAATGTTGAAATTAACCTACAACCTATACCGTACGACCCAAGAAAAGAAAAAGACTCCGTATCCAAAGTTAGTTCAGCCTGCAGGATGCCTAGTTGACTCAGACTAATCATTGAGTGGCTTGAAGCTGAGGGGCCGTCTTCTTTAAGAGGCTAGGACCCATCGGTCTGGATTCATATAGGCTTCACGCTAACCTTGCGCTAATCAATCCTTTTCCTCAGCCAACAAAAATTGACAATAAGCGCCCCACTCGGGTGGAGATTGCGCTCACTTGTGAAATCCTTCTGCTACGGAGTCCTATGCCCTTCACTCCCACTTGACACTTGGGGCGCAAATGGCACTGTGGCTTCACAGGAGCGATAGGCCTTGAATTATGCACGTGTCTATTGGCCTGATGATATTTTCGTTTGGCCCCCACGGCGCATAGGTGGCGTTTCTGCAGGGAGGCATAAGCATCCTGACCCGCATCATGGTAGATAGGCAATTGGAACATATTCGACATGAGGGGTAGTTGAATGCGAGGCTGATGGAATCAGCAAAAAAAACTCAATCCCTTGAAACTTTTTTGCTTCATCAATTTCAATTTCTGCTTTTCATCATCTCTTATTGCATTATACCGTGCTTAATTGACTTGCTGGAATTGACCCGGCCGTTGCTACAATGACATCCACATCAACACATGTCCCGCCAGATGTGAGCATTGGCTACAGGTTGGAGGTTGGCACAACAGTCACCTTTGTCTGTGCCGTTATCGTCGTCAGCTTGCGCATGGTGGCACGTAGTATATACGCGAAGATGAGCTGGGACGACCTTCTGATGCTTCTAGCTCTGGTAATGCCTCCTACCCAGTTTCTGTCTCTAACCAACACTAACGTTTGCATTCATCAACAAGGTCCTTGCCCTCGTTGCAACAGTATTTGACTACATCTCTGTCAATCACGGACTCGGGCGACACCTAATCTATATCCACAAAAACGATGCAATCTCCGCCTTATACTACGACCTACTATCACAGGTCTTCTGCATCAACGCCCTCAGCTTCGCAAAAATCTCTATATGTCTGTCTTACCTTCGGATCCTGAAGGGAACCCGCCACTATGTGCTGCGTGTGGCTTGCTATCTTACTGCATTCCTGGTATTTGCCGTCAATACCGTGGTGATTATCTCGCTTTATGGGCAGTGTGATCCACCCCACAAATCTTGGAACCCGTTCCTACCAGGGAAATGCTGGGCATACAGAACAGAGATTGCACTGGTGTTACTCCAAGGAGGTAAAATTTCCATATTCACTCTCAGCTCCCAGTGGCTAATATCCCATACACAGCCTGGTCTGCCGTCACCGACTATTTCCTCTCCATCCTTCCTTTCTTCCTCTTCAAAGACCTCCAAGTCAGCCGGAGTAACAAAATAGTTCTATGTGGATTGATGGGACTTGGTGTGATGTAAGTTCAACAATGTCAACCCTTTTCTCTTTCCATAAACATGCTGACCATACTTTATAATACAGCACCGGAGTCTTCGCTACAATTCGCACCATTGAATCCGGCCTTGGTCTCAAGAACGGAACCAGCGATGTTTCCTACACAACTGTCATGGGTCTGATGTGGGCAGGAATGGAGCGCAACATTGCTATGATGATCGCCAGCGTACCGGCACTGCGCCCGCTGGCGGGGCCTATAGCAAATCTGACTTCGCAGACGATGTCTTACCTGGGCGTTCGCTCAACCAAGACTCAACATACATATGAAATGAACAACTCAGGCAATTCATATGAGAACAAGTCTCAGGGAAGCTCCAACCCAGCGAAGAAGTCGTTCTCAACGGCGGCCGTGGATAGGTCGACGAGTCTGGAGAGGATTCTACCGGAAATGGCGCCAAGAGATATTGTTTAGGGAGCTTTTTTAAGCAATTGTATATAGTGATATTCCTTCCATGTGATATTTGATGATTTCGCTGCGCCATAGACTGTAATCGATATACATGAAGCTAAATACTGATTATTTGGGGTCATCTCTACAATACTTAGTGATCCACGATGTTCCTGGTCTGGTATAGCACCATATTTGATTTGTAAGGTAGAAAAAATGGATACATACACTATAATGGCTCGGGAAGATTGAACTGCATCATTCGAAAATTCGAATACAAGGTCCGACTCAACTCCGGTGCATCGTTCTACCCCGCTATTATCAGCTCGTGGCTGATCATGATAGTAAGCCCTAGGCTTTAGCTGACGTTGCAATCAAGGCTGATAGTAATCTATTGCTGACAACGTATTCACGTGGGCACCTTGCTAGCGTCTCGGCAAACTAAATTTAACCAATACTTGGCGGCTCTATTGGGACATAATCCCGGTCTCCAAAAAAAACGTGGTGACTTGTCGGTTAACTCCGCCGAAGGATTGTAAGCCGCACGCCAAGCCCGGAGGATTGTTAGGATTCATGCCATATTTCTTGAAACGCCACCGAGGCACTGTTGTATACTAGGACCACCTACCCCAGGTGCATGGATCATTATAGGGCGTTCATTGGCGGGACGACCCGGCCCCCACTAAATCCACAGATTGTTATCGGAGCTGGAATGACCATGAAAAATAATCTTATTATTGAACCCTCAATTGCGCCTCATGGGGGCGGAATCCCGTAACTGTACACGTATTGTTCATACCATTACGCGCAGGTAAAGTCACCCGAAGGGCTGGGAATTTAGCGTGGGCTCATAATGATAAGCTAGGAGCTCTGTGAGATGCATTCGTTCAGATCGTATATATCAGAGCCATTGGCCATTCTATGGTAAATCAGTCAATAATCATATCATCAACAATGGTGTTCGAAAATCCCAAGATCGAGGTTCCTCCCAATTGCGGCCGGCGGCTGATGCCTACCGTGTTGGATGAGGTTGCGGAAAGTGATCCCCAGCGCGTGTTCGTCTCCGTGCCCAAGAGCGCAAATCTCGCCGATGGGTTTGAAGATATCACGTTCAGCACCTTTGCCAAAGCTGTTAACAAATGCGCGTGGTGGATCCGCGAGCAATTGGGGGAGAAGTCCATGCCGAAGACCATGCTCTACATGGGCCCATTGGACGTTCGGTACCTGATCATTATCTTAGCGGCTGCCAAAGCAGGCCACATGGTAAGCCAAGTTTACTCTGGACATGCCGGAGAGAAGTGCTCACATATCGATCTAGGCATTTTTCAGCTCCCAACGTAACAGTTTGGAAGCTCACCTCTCTCTGCTCGACAATTGCGGATGTGACACAGTCCTAATCCCCAGTCGCTCACCCGCAATTCTCAATTCCATCCTGGCCGCTCGGCCAATGCAGGAGATTTCCACTCCCGAAGTCGATTTCTTTTTTGAGGACCTAGACCAGGTCAAGCCGATGCCATTCAATCTCACATGGGAGGAGGCTAAGACTAAACCTTTCTGCGTTTTGCATACTTCCGGGTCGACTGGCATCCCCAAGCCGGTCTTCGTCACATACGGCACTTTTGCCAGCAATGACGCGCACCAACTCATCCCGTCCCTGGGAGGAAAACCTACACTGATCAACTACCTATCTGGCCAACGCCTTTTCCTAGCTCTACCCGTATTCCACGCCGCATGCCTCACCTTCACACTTGTCTTCAACATTTTCGGCGGGGTGACCTGTGTGCTCCCACCCCCGGGCCCACTTACTGCAGACCTAGCCAACGAAGTCTTCCTACATGGCAACCTCGATGGCGCCGTGATGGCCCCCTCCCTCATTGTCGACTGCTACAACAACAACAAATACTGCGTGAACATGGTCCAAAACCTCAAGTTTCTCGCCTATGTGGGTGGAGCCTTACCTGAGCCCGTCGGTAACGCACTCACTACCCGCATTAAGCTGCTCACAATGATGGGCTCCTGCGAGACTGCGCTGCACCCACTGGAGCTCAATGAAAGCCCCGACGACTGGCAATACCTGACCATCAGTCCCTGGCTCGGCCACAGCTTCCGTGAAGATCGTGATGGGCTCTCGGACCTTGTCTTTGTTCGTGACCTAGATTCAAAATATGAGCCATTCCAAGGCGTCTTCCGCACTTTCCCTGATCGATCTGAATTCGCCATGGGCGATCTTTTCGAGCAGCACCCCACTCGGCCAGAAGCGTGGGTTTTCCGCGCCCGCACAGATGATATTATTGCGTTTACCACTGCGGAGAAACTGAACCCAATCACCATGGAGAGTGTTATTGCCACAAACCCCAAGGTCAAGGGCGCCGTCGTGGGCGGACAGGGCCAGTTCCAAGCTTCAGTATTGATTGAGCCGTACAACCATCCCACCAACAAAGAGGCGGAGGAGAGCTTTATCAGGGATATTTGGCCTAGTATCCTTCAAGCAAATCGCGATTGTCCAGCTCATGGGCGCATCATGCGCGGGTTTGTCATGTTGACTAAGCCCGAGAAACCGATGCCGGTGGCCGGAAAGGGGACTGTGCAGCGGCACCAAGTATTGAAGCTGTATGCGGATGAGTTCCGGGAGTTGTATGAGCGAATGAAGCCTCATGTGAAGGAGGTAGCTGTCGAGAAGGAGCCACAGCCCCAGATCAATGGGGCCAGTGATGACCTGGATCGTAGGGTTCAAGAAGCGCTGGACCGGGTACTGCCAGGCGCGGTTGAGAAAGCCGTGCAGGCTGTGTTGGCTAAGATGCTAGCTGGATTCTCAGCACCGCAACAACAGATCGTTGCGCCCGTAGAGCGCACACCGGAAGCTGCCCCACCCGTGGTGAACGGACACCCGCCGACGCGGCCGAACGGAGAGACCGAGTCCGCCCCATCCGGTCCTCCCGATCTGAAGAAGCTCATTTATGACCAATTGGCCGAGAACCTGGATGTGCAAGAGGCTAAGGATGATTCGGACTTGTTCGATTTTGGACTGGACTCGCTGCAAGTAACGGAATTGGCTAACGCCCTAAATGCATACATCATCAAGTGGTGTCCCGGAAAGGATTTATTGGAGCCCAAGGCTGTGTATGACAATCCATCCGTGGAGAAGATATTGGCCCTAATGGAGGATGAAGTGAAAGCTTGAGTTGATGAGATGTAACTTGGGAGACAAAATGTCCATCTCCACTTTTATTTAACTTCTGTCAACTCTTTTTGGGTACGGCCCGCTACAGGTTATTTGTATATACCATGTTCTTCATGTTGAGTGATGGATACAAGTACTGTACTCAAATGAATATAATTTTTTTTGTTTCATTGTTCCTGCTATCAGTTGCAAGTAGTATGATACGAGATCCCGGTTAATTGAATTCTTAGACCAGATGCGTCCATACCGCCGTGCGAAAGCTGTTTCCTCCTTAGTAGGTGAGTTCAACTCTTTATGATCGCCAAGGTTGAATATCTCGCCATCCTTGTTCATTCTTCATTTATACCATCTTACCCTTAACATAAAGTTGAAAAATAGAAAGAAAGAAAAGACTTTGCAATATTCGTGAAAAACAAAAAGGAACTGCTCACGTCCAGATTTGAACTGAAGACCTCGGCATTACTAGTGCCGCGCTCTACCAACTGAGCTACGCGAGCTGTTATTGACACCTGAGGCAAAGAACGGCTACAATATCTGACAATGACTGAGTTGAAAGGGAAAAAAGGCTGCAACAGACATGAATGATTTTTATTTACTTTTCCATCTTACTCTTCAGGTCTCACATTCAACAAGACAGTTAGCAATCTAGAAGCTGTCACGACCAACAGTCTCATATATACATTGATCATCTTTCAAGTACCAATATTTAAACTCTGAGCCAATACTCCCCCGCCAATCCACCAACGACGCAAGCCCCCATCCACCACAACAGCCTCGCAAACCACATTCGGCAATCCTTGGGTTTGTCCAGCTGCACTAATCTAACCATGCTACCCAAAGCCATGGCTGTGCCCCCGACTGCACCGATCCAATATGACCATCCCCCGAACCCTAGTGTCCATCCCGTGGCCGCCAACAACCCCACCTCCACGGTTGCCAACCCACTCAGGACGATCTTTGTTCGCCCATGGCACAGCACTGCCATACTCAAGATTCCGGCTTTCAGATCATCTTCCAGATCTTGGTGAGCATATACTGTGTCATAAATCATCGTATGTACAACATACGAGACATACAGACACCCGAGGCCAATTTGCGTGGGAAGATCCATGTTAGAGAAACTGACTCCCAATGATCCGTACCCAATAGCTTGCGCGAATGCGAGTGAGATACCGAGTACCAATTGTGGGAAATGTGTGATCCGCTTGCAGAAGGGGTAAATTGCCATCGTAGCAACGAGAAGAGCAGCCGGGGTGGCTACAGTTTCGGGCGATGGCAGAGTGAACAAGGTGACGATCCATAGCCCGAAGACAAAAAGTGCAAAAACATGGGCTTGAAGAGAGGTGACTGCTCCACGCGCCACTGGGCGCGATTTGCAACGCGCAACAAGACGGTCGTATGGTGCATCTATCGCATCGTTATATGCACAAGCAGCGCCGCGGAGAAGAGTATTGCCCACAGTGTGCGTGATTGAGAGGGAAAGAAGGCTGAGCGGGGATACGTGTGAAATTGAAGATGGGGTCAAGATTGGGGATGCGGCTGCCAAAAAGGTTCCGATTAATGTGGGCACGAGCGAAGCGTATACTCCCGCGGGCTGGTGCAGCCGCAAGAGCTCGGCATATGGGACTAGGGAAGGGGGCAAGGTGGATAGAAGGCCGCCTTTTTTCGCTGGAGTAGCGACCGCGGGGAGAGAAGCAGCTGCATTGAGCTTCAAGGTGGTCTTGTCCGGCGTAATGACATGTTGCAGATGGGTGGTAGTGGAAGCCATGATGGGCGGATCAGAAGAGATTGGTCAATTGTGTCACGCGCACTGCAGGAAATTGCGAGTGTAATGCGTCAAAGATTATATCAAGTCGGAATTTATATCACCTCTCTAATCCATCGACAGGGCTATGCTAATGAACCTATGTCGCAGGGCTTTGTCTTAAGGCTGAATCAGCTAGGGCGTGCATGTGCATGCATTTGCATACATATAATATGATCTTACAGCTAGCAACAATGGTATAGACCACGTATTGGAGAATTCTGACAGATACGAGACGCAGTGGAGTGGATACAACGGAATGGCCACCAGATACGGGTTAATCAACGGACATATGGGGCTGATGGATGGACACGGGCTACTGACATCACCCGTCAGCCCATATAACTTGCTCGTGCCATGTTGCTTCACTTGGCCCATATTCAAAAAGAAGACTCAGCTATCATCATCATGTCCGAGTCTAAGCCCCAGACACTACTGTCAGCCCGTGGTAACCTGAATCTGACACAGATTCTTGGCCGCATCCCGCCCCAATTGCTCAACCCAACAGAGCGCCACAATGAAATTGATTTGTCGATGGCAGAGAATCGGCTCATCCGGGAAGAAATCCTGCAGCTGGCGAGATCTGCAATCGAGAATAGTCTTCGCTCCAAGGTAAGTCATACTCCAGCGCACATGTGCCCCACAGCTGACCTTGGCAGCATTTGGATTGGCCCAAGGGTTTCTTTGGTGACGCAGAACTACTCAAAATAATATCCACTGTCTTTCAGAATAGCTTTGGCCCCTATGCACCCGTGGAGTCCGACCATATCGCGGTGACTGCCGGCGCTGCCGCCGGTCTCGACGCTATTCTCTACAACATTTGTAATCCAGGCGACGGAGTACTCGTTCCATGTCCGTACTGGAGTAAGTGGCTGATCCAGCCCCCAAATCCTTCATATCTAATTATTTTAGGTGGATACGATGCTCTGTTTACACTACACTCGGAGGTTCGCCCAATTGGGGTGGTCGTTCCTTTGCTCGAAGACTCCTTTGGGCAGGCATTCATTACGGCACTAGAGGAGTCCTACCAAACAGCCCCTTGTCCGATCAAGGCGCTGGTATTGGCAAATCCACACAATCCCCTCGGTCGACCGTATCCCCGATCCATCCTGGAAAAATGCATTGCGTTTTGTCAGGAACGCAATCTCCACCTTATCTCCGACGAAGTGTTTGCACTCAGTAGCTTTACCAGTCCGGATATTCAAGATCCCGACCCATTTGTCTCCTGTCTGAGCATTGACCCGACCCAGTTTGGATGCGACCCGGAGCGTGTTCATGTCGTCTGGAGCATGAGCAAAGACTTAGCCGCCAGTGGCGTACGCTTGGTACGTTCTATTTTATCTACAGCCCTCCTCACAATATAAAGTGGATCGCCAAGAGATAGGCTCTGATCTACTTTTAGGGCTGCGTGGTGACACGTAACCGACCCCTGCGCAACGTGGTCGGACTCGTGGCATCTGTGCATGTATCGGCATTGTCAACGGTTTTCGCAAAGGAGGTCCTTGCTTCACCGCAGCTACCTGCGCTGTTATCGCTTAGTGCGGACCGACTGGGGGTGAGCTACACTACTCTGACGACTGCATTCAAGGCAATGGAGATTGAGTACTTCCCCTGCCACGCAACGGTATTCTTGTTAGCTCGGCTGGCCCCGCACGCAGATACCTGGGAAGAGGAGATGACGGCCTTCCGGGCTTACATGCAGGCGGGAGTTTTGCTGGTACCGGGTAAAGCCTATCATATGCCGGAGCGGCTGAAAGGTTGGATGCGGGTCACATTTGCCGTGACTGCAGATGAATTAGCGGAAGGAATTGGCAGGATTCAGAAGGTATATCGGAGTTTGGCGGCATGAGGATTTGGGGGCCATAGTGATTAGACGGACCAATCATATTTTTAGTGAATTTATTCTATGCGAGTGAAGTCCCTGCAGAGATTGTCGGAAACATTGTTCTGCATGTTACCTTGTCCCGGAAATAATAGCCGTTGATAATTACGAAGGACCACCTGGGTGGATCGTGCCTTTTGAAAATTACCAGTTGTAAATATGCAGGTGTGCGCAGGTACGGTACCTTATGTCCGGTATTGGACCCCAACATGGACCTGTCATGTGCACGGACTCTATATTATCCAAGGCTCCACTCTGACCATGCTCTTGGGATCAAGAATCACACGTGCGTTTATCAATTTGGCAGAACCATGGCAGCACACTCTGATGACGAAGCGGGGGGCCGGAATATGGAATGTTATCTTTAGGATCTGAATGATACTAACGCAGAATAGCTTCATGGGGGCGGTGCTCCTTGGGGCTCGCATGATGGCGAGTAATTACCTTTATCATCGGTGGCTCGGAAGTCTCGATGCTACAGGGAATACAGGAGGCCGAACTGTTGCGCGAAATGGAGATCACCGAAAAAGAAACTTCTTTGTCCAATATTTCACCGTTGGCAGATGTCGAGAAAGCATGGTTAAGCCATTCTGCTTCTTCGAGTACCACCTATATTCCTGACGAAATCTGCACCCCTTCACCGACCACGAAGCTATACTTGGACTCTCCAATTTTTGAAAGGATACCCTCGAGAGAGTACATATTCTGGACTATCTACCGGCAACTTTTTTCCGTTGTTTTCATTGCAAACCTAGCGGTCTTGATCTGGATTTTGGTCTGTGATCGAAGTATTGTACGTGTAGCCGATGCTACAGCCGCGAATTTTCTAGCTTGTGGTCTTGCCCGCCAGCCTTTGGTGGTGAACGGCTTCTTTATTACACTGTGTTCGATTCGCAAGTCTCTGCCTATTTGCCTCCGACGTATTGCTGCCAAAATCTATCAATATGGGGGTATACACAGCGGATGCGGAATTGCGTCTTTGTTATGGTACGTGGCGTTGGTGGTGCTGATGACCCGCGAGTTCTGCATTGCACCAACTCACACTCTAATTACCACCATCTCGCTCGTCCTCTCTCATGTCATCCTTGTGCTACTCCTAGCTATTATTGGAGTCTCCTACCCAGCTTTTCGCGTTCGTTATCACAACGCATTTGAACTAACCCATCGGTACTGCACCTGGGTAGTCGTTGCTCTCTTCCTTGCTCTTCTCATCATCTTTGCCAAGACGGTATCCTCTCACTCTCAAAGTCAATACCTTCTCCATTTTCCCGCATTTTGGTGCGTCTGCATCTCGGCTCTGGCTATTATTCAACCTTGGACTCGTCTGCGCAAAATCACCGTCCGCGCTGAGGTCCTCTCCTCACATGCTCTACGTCTGCATCTCCCAGGCTCCACCCGCTTCGGCAAAGTCATCTCGCTGTCGCGGAACCCTCTGCGCGACTGGCACAGTTTTGCTACATTCTCTGATCCAGAGTCTAGTCAAAATGTCGACTCCTCATTCTCTTTGATTGTTTCACGCGCTGGTGACTGGACATCTTCCATAATTGCCAATCCTCCAACAACCTTGTACACCCGTGGACAGAAGACCTACGGTTTCACCCGTGTGATGCGTCTCTTCCACCGCATTGTCCTTGTTGCTACAGGAAGCGGCATTGGACCTTGTCTGGCATTCTTGGCAGAAAAGCACAAGAGGCCTTCGATGCGCCTGCTGTGGCAAACTCGGGCTCCCACCCGGACGTACGGGTCTGAGGTGCTGGAGCTTGTACATCGACTTGATCCTGGTCCAATGATCGTGGATACGGATAAATGTGGCCGGCGAGTTGATTTGGTTCCCATGATTGCGGACTTATATCACGAGTCACAAGCAGAGATGGTCTGTGTAATAAGTAATCAGCGGTTGACGGAGGAGGTACTGTATCGATTGAGAAGTCGGGGGATAGCGGCGATGGGACCTTTGTTTGATTCATGATACTGGGCATTTGGGTCCATTGGCGGGCTGTTAAGTCGGCCAATCGATTCATGTATTATGTGTAGACGATATATCACATTCCATTCTATGTTTTGCAAATAGACTTTGTGATTGAAAAGCTGGTCTTACATCCCTTTTCAGCTTCATGAAACAATCTTTGCAGTTCAAAGGTTGTAGGTCGACCTGACTATTCGTGGAAATCGCGATAAAAGGCTTGTAGAGGTCAGGTGATTAGACACTGTAGATACCCCAGCGCTTGTCCCTTTTATTCTTCCTTCTTTTCTCCATGCCACTTTAAAGTATCTTATTTTCCCGTCGGTTGTTCACTTTCTGTCTCTTCTGGTTCTTGACCAGCACACCACGCTCTAACAGTGTATGAGCCCTCGTTCGTGAGCCTCGACTGAGTCTCACACCTGGTCACTGGACCCCTGCCTTGAAGGAGACCTTCGAGGAAAATCACCACATCTTTAAGGTACCTCATATAGCCATGCAAGGGCTCATGTCTAAGCTTTACCTCATACAGCACCAGGCCTTTCAAGATATCGTGCCAAAAGTACGCTACCCTACCTCACTCACACTTGAGAGGTACGCGATTTGCTTCTCCGTACCTTCATCCTGCCCCACCAAGCAGCACGATCCGCATGAACCTGCAGCATGTCAATCCCAATCGCTGGGATTGAACGCAACAGCCCGGCGCTCACAGCGACGACTGGCAATGACGATGATGTCCCCTTTGACACCACACAAGCTTCTCGGGACTAGGATTTAGTGGTGATTGAGCCTCGCTCCTCACAAGCTGATGGCTTACCAGCAAGCTCTTTTGCACTCTGTTGTCTGGGCATGACGCTAAAGAAGACTGAGGAGTATGATACATGGAAATGCCAGGTCATGGCAGCACTGAAGAGCTACGGCATAGATGCTCTTGTGGACTCGAGTATTCCCCGACCCTTGATGAATGACCCCAAGGCCAAGAGATGGTATAAGCTGTCAGTGAGCACCGGTACATGGCTGCTGGGAGGTATCTCAGGTGACTCGAATGCGAAGCTCAAGACACACTGCACAAAGCTGACGTTTGGAGATGACGTCCTTACCGCAATTCAGAAAGAGGTGCGGAAATGTGGGATTTATGGGAATATAAAGCTGTGGTAGAAGTACGACGAGATGAAGTTATCAGACTATCCCGATTTTGCAATCTATCTGGACAATTCATCATTATGCATACAAAGATGACTGAAAGTTCCATGGTATTAACACCTTATACCGCGCTCTTACGAATCATGACTCAGCTCTCCGCATACGCGAGCCTTAGAGACTCGGTCATGGAATCAGCACGTCTCAGCAACGTATCACCAGCCAATTTTACCAATATGTAGCTTCATGAGACCATCCACAACATCCGAGGATGTGTTTTCACACAGCAGACCACCATGATGGGATACGCAGCGACACAAGTCAACAAAGCTCAGAAGAAATTCGATCAAAAGGAGGTGCCTTTTAGCGAGCCGAAGAGAATAACACTTGACGGATATTATGCATTTCGCTAGAGATCAAGGTTTTGCGCTGCCGGGTGTGTTAAGAGGCCAGGCCATTGGACCCTGTAGATATCCTAGCGCTTCTCCCGCTTGTTCTTTCTTCTCTTCTCCAGACCTCTCTTGATTTCTAGGTCTATAATGCCACATTGTTCCGTATTCTCTTGGTTTACTGTCTCCTCTGATACCTGATCATGACACCGCGCGCTGACAGGGCTGCATGAAGGGTCTGTATTGTGTTCACTGTGCGTTTCACTCTTTTCATTCGGTAGAAGCTTTATGCAAGACTCCCACGGGTGCGCATAAAGATGTTGGAAGGCCTGCTGCGGGGTGCAAACTCCTCGTCGACAAGATATTCGATCTCAGAGCTATGTGGCACAAATCCCATCTGCCCGTACACATGACGCCCCATAGCTGACGCCTCAGTGATGGCTTCTAGATCCCCACGTCGCTGAGCCTCATCCAAACCCCACTGCACTAGTGCTCTCGCAATTCCTTTTCGTTGGTGGGTGGGATCAACGGCACACAGATCAAGGATCATGACCGCCGGTGGGTCTGCGGTAGACTTGGCCTTGATGACCTCGGCGCGCTGTCTATGCAGAGAGGCAACAGTCTGACAAAGGTAGCGCTGTTCGGCTTTGTTTCCGGGGTAGATCTCCTCGAGATTCATGACATCGCATAATTCTTCCTCTTTCACCGCCGGATCGCCGAACCCCGCTACACTAGAAGCCTGCACCCAAATGGCGAAGCCAGCAATAATGCGCTTGTTTTCCTGCTGCGGAGATGGAAGTGTGGCTTTGAGAAAAATTGTGTTGGGTCTGCCGTTCTTGTCTTTGGTGGTGTCGCGCCAGCGACCTACCATCCGGGCAGCTCCGAGGCTTCGACCTATGGAGGTTTCCCACCCTGGAGTCATGGCTATCCAGACGCCATCTTGCGCTTGGCGGCCGAATGCTTCGCAAACACAATCAAAGGCCTGAATTATATCTTCGGATTGGTCAATGGGCTCGATGCGCAATCCGCTCGCTTTGTTCATGGAAGACATGTTTAAGGCCTGTTTGGTGTGGATGGACAGGTGTGTCGTGTATGGCTGTGTGTGAATAAAGTATCCAAAAGGCTTGACGGAGGAACACTTGTCCTTTGTGTTCTGGTGAATGCCAATGCGCTAGCAAGAACGGGTGTGTATGCTTGGCGCTCTTGCTACGTCAGGTCGGGACAACTCCGAGGCATCATTCTTCCACAACTTTAATCAACTCACATTCGGCTTGACACGGAAAGTAATGTGAATTGTTCCAAAAGAAGAAGAGAGGGAGAAATCTATCCTCACTGGACAATTGTGTTACACGCCTGGAACCTGCAAGAAAAAAGTATGAAGAAGTATGAAGAATCCAAATCTGGAAAGGGCGTTGCTTTAAGGCTTTGCAATGAAGCTTAAGTATCAAGAGCACTGACTGCTCAGTCAAAAAAGAGAAAAAAAAAAGAGATGGCGCTGCCCGGAATCGAACCGGGATCGACGCAGGTTGGGAATTGTGGGTACAAGCCTCCACAGAAACCACAATGCGGCATTCTGCCATTAAACCACAGCACCCGATATCTGGAATTTTGGCAATTTTTGAGTTCATGGAGCTATGTCCGTAGACTACGATCAATAATACTACCAAGTATCAAAAAGATCAAAATTATTCAACTCTCTCCCACCCGCGGACGTTGAGTTATGACGAACGTTACAAACAACCACGGACTTGATTAACAAAAAAAAAGTGGCGCTGCCCGGAATCGAACCGGGATCGACGCAGGTTGGGAGTTATGGGTACAAGACACCAAAGAAACCACAATGCGGCATTCTGCCATTAAACCACAGCACCGGAATTCTGGACATTGGGCCAAGTTTATGTTCATTGAGCGAAGGTCCATATCCAAATCATATTCACCAGGCACGGATTACACGAAAGCTTGAAAATTGTTTAACGTACCACGGCCAAAAAAAAATACAAATTCCAAATGTGAGGTTGATTGACCATGCGTGCTTGACATCAATCAATATGGATCAAAAGGCAAAAAAGAAATCTCTCCCTCGGGGAATCGAACCCCGGTCTCCCGCGCTTATCGGTGTTAATGACAAGCGGAAATCATGACCACTAGACCAAGGAAGAGGAGATAGTCGAGTTTCCGCTCGACCACTTGGTGTTGGTTGATGTCCGTTAGAAGACACGTGGCTAGATAGCCCGCACTAATGAACAAGAAGATTATTGGTATGCGCAGTCAAGGTTTTCACACTCCGCTATCTGACTCGTACCCCCCCACCATATATATATATCTACGTAACAGTGCACCACATCACCATCAATACAATGATAATCAAAAGTTCAATCTTGGTAAGTGTAGAAGTAGTACCCGCACAATAGATCTCTCGCTTGATATCTTGTATAATAATGCTGAGTTTATTTCAAGATTCTCACCACTTACAAACAATTCCCATAGGTACTTCATATCAAAAAAATTCCCTCTGACCTATGGAATTACGTTCCCAAGGTTTCACGCTCCGACCAACTGAGCACACACCTTTGGAAGTACACCCCATTCCAAGTTTCTCTAAGACATTCTTTACTTTTCAATAAGCTCTGCGCGTAACTTAGATATGACTTTTTTCGTGTTTGGAGGGGAAAAGCACGTTCCACCCTTTCTTGTCAAGCTATCATTTCCTCCAAGTAGATTGCCAACCAAATGTCGAGGGGGTGTAGTTAAACTTTAGACGGTCGGGTTGGAAGTCGGGTGTTACTTCGTTGGATCAGAAGCTGCTTTCTGGTAGCGTATAGAGCTTCGACAACTGGTGCTTTTCTCTCTCCTTTCAATTTCCTCTCAAGTGTCCATAGTTATAAAGACAGGTGGAATGAGGCTTATCGTGGGTGTTCTGGGTCTAGTGGATACTTAGTGGGGTCCATCAAGCGATCACAGCAGCCATGCTGATTGAGTCGCCCCCATCATTCAATTTCCTTTGCTACATTGGTATCAGGCATAACACCCACTACGATGAAGATCTTAATGCTCCACGGTAAGTCTTCCCGCAAAAATACCAATCACCAAAGACGATACTGACCCACTCATTAGGATCCCGACAATCGGGCGAACTTTTCAAAGCCAAAATCCAGGCCATAGAAAAGCTCACCAAGCAAGCGCTCAACTCCGACGTTGAGTTTGTCTATCCGACAGCTCCATTCGCACTAGAGCCATTAGGCGAGGTCTCCGAACTACGCGACCGACATGGCACATGGCGCTGGTTCCAGTCTGAATCCTTCGAGAGTCTTAATCAAGGACTTGATAAGAGTCTAGATTTAATCGCATCTATCCTCGAGACGTCTGGACCATTTGATGGGATTGTTGGGTTCAGCCAGGGAGCTGCGTTAGCCGTCATGGTCGCCGCCATCCTGGAAAAAGATCGGGGAGCGGAATTCCGTCGCTTGGAGGCGGAGGGCGGGATGCCGTACCCCGCTAGCCTTACCAATGGTGGGCATCCGCCGCTGAAGTTTGTGGTGGCTATTTCAGGGTATAAGGCTTCACATCCGGCTTATCAGCCTTTCTATGAGCCACCTATCATGACGCCGAGTTTGCATTTTATTGGGGGTATGGACACTGTGGTTGACGAGGCTACATCAATGCGTTTGGTGGATTGTTGCCTTGGTTCCGCGGATGAGGCCAAGGCAAGCGTTATTCGGCATCCTGGAGCGCATGTTATTCCTAGTGGGAAACGACAACTTGTCGGAATTGTTCACTTCATCAAATCTTGCATTGAAGCGTGAAAAAGTTGAAGCGTGAAGAAGAAGCTATTGAAAAAATAGATATTTCGTTTTAGGCCTTTTAGGCACGCTTCTCATTCAATTCCGAGACCATGCAGGTTCTACGAGCAATGGTCCGCATTGTCCGAAGGGTTTCCCCACCACGTAGGGAACGGATGCGATGCTCCACTCGCACCCAGAACGGCAAACGACAGAACAAAGATAACTATCTGAGATCCTCCATCCATCGCGGCTCCAATAAGGTAGTTGTACTTATTGTAGATCTGTGGTAGCCGGCGTCGAAGGTAAAACTGAGAGAACACACCGACTGCGATAGAAGACCAAACCCACGAGGTATTACCATAGTAGTTGTATCCAGTATACAACGCGATCATAGGGGTATTGATAGGCCAGTTGCGCAGACGAGGCCAAACTCTGTTCAGACTCCAGTGAATGACTGGTAGGACGAGTCCGATGACAATCCCCATTGGCACAATCCAGTAATCTCCACTCAAACTGTAAATCCTTTTTGCCATGGCCCATGTGATAGCTTGCGAGTTCATGCTTTGGAGAGTTGAGCCACTCCAGATGCTGTTACCCTCGGGATCGAGAAGAATTTCCCTTTGGCTGCTGACAATTGTGCTCATCACGGCGTAATTCAAGCCTGCTCCGAGGAGGGTACCATAGATCTGGGTGCCGAACATGACTCGGTGAGGCACTTTGGTGTATTGACCTACCTTCAGCCAATTCGCTAGATTGACTGCAAGGAGGATGACCTGGTGCGACCAGCTGGCGAAATAGAGGTTGGCTAAGGGTCGGCCTGGGTGGACGGCACCGGCAACCATCTTGGACAATTGATTGGTTCCAACACCGGTTCCGTACAGTCCATATAGGATGCAGGAGAATGGTGCAATGAATGCGCCCACAAGGAGTGCAATTATGTATCCCCAGACTGGTAGAGTGGTCTCGCCTTTAGCAGTGACGATGATTCCGGCGATAAATGCAAGGCCAAAGAGCACGATATACCACCATTGTGGTACTTCTTTGTATTTCAACATGCCCTGATAATGTGGATCAGGCTGCTTTCTGGTACGTGCCTGCTTCCATGCAAGAACCATGTCCTTGCTGTAGAATATCAGCACATGCGATATTAGGGCTCCAATGGCAAGATTCTGTGTGAAATATCCCCAGACAGTGCTGGAAGTCAAGTACGGTAATCCTGTTGCTTCCAGTTTGGCTTCATCGATAATGCCTTGACTATTCAGAATAGATGTTGTCGAAAAAGTGCTTCCGTTGCTTGAGAAAAGCGACGTCGACATAAAAGGGAAGCTTTTAGCATTCCAAGTGTTACTGTAGTAAAGACCAAGCATGGCAGGGTACCAAATCACGTACCCAATCCAAGTGTTCACCTGTTGTTTGAATGGCAGCGACAAGTATGTGCTCTGGATATATTGCCAATCAAGAGAGAAGTTCAAGAGTCCCATCCCCTCGTTCGACGAGGCACCTCCAAAGACAGTCGCAAAGATCGTGCGGGTCTTCGTCGGCGCTTTCATCGATGCGAGACAAAATACCGAAAGACCCCCGGCCCATGGTACAATGTAGGCGGGGAAAAATTCCCAAGCTGCAGCCAAACCAAGAGCCCAACCGAACTTCTTGAGCCGCTCTTGATTTGCTTTCCGATCGAAATGTAGATTCTGGAAAAGCACGACTTGAGGTAGTGTTGACCAATAAACCATCTCAGCAGGATAGACAATCAGTGACCTCAACGCACCAGCCAAAACGAATCCGCACAGTGAGATAGAAAAGGTGGCCAAAACGGCAGTCGTGGCGGAAATGCCTCGGTCGTAGAACAATCTCTCGATGGCGTACACCTCCACTCCTGATAGACCGTTGTTGCCAGACGAGGCGATGAGGGATGCGACAACATGCTCCTTGATGCCGAATGGTTGTCCGAAATTGAAAAACTTGAATGTTTTCCGTAGCCAGCTTGTCTTGAGCCTGTCGGGATTCGGTGTGAAGAAAGCCCATGCTTCTCCAAATACAAAGACGAGTACTGTGTGAGATATTAGAGGATAAGCCGACGAGTGCGCATTGGAGGGGCATACATTGCAAAAATACCGCCGAAACTGAGACCTGGACTGGTTTGAAAGTGTAAAGCATAGTGATCACACTAGACAGTGCTGTGAAGACGGTGCCCAAAACGATCGAACGGAAAGTAAGCGACGGATCACCGTCATCTCTGGTCGATACAAGGAAATTGGAAACGTCAAGACCTGCTTGTGTCAGTGACTGGTTGGCATGCAATGGGTCCGATTGCAGTTACCATTTCGAATGACTGGATGGCCTTTGACATATTTCTCATTGTTGTCTCCTTGAAATCCAAGCTCATCTTGAACATCTTTCTCGTGAGTGGATTTCTCAACGATGTTATCATTCAAATCCACAACTTTCTCCGTCACATTTCTTTTCTTGTCCTCAAGCACGATATCCACAACCGTCTTGTCAACGGATGCGCCGATTTCAGCCATCGTTACCTGGAGGATGTGGGAACGCAAGCAACGAGGAACCGGTTGAGACAAGCGAATGGTGGAAGAAAGATCACAGGAGAGAGGAAAGGGTCCTTAGTAAATAAGGGTTCTTAGTAAATGACTTCTACCATTTCAATCAATTCCCCTAGTACCTGGAGCCAATCGTATCTGACCCCGATGCTCTCGCTAACAGGTCCTACTATAGTTAAGGTAATGGTGCGATTTGCAACGCAAATGATGTGTTGGTTTTACTTCCACTTATTTACCAGACCAACCACAGACTATAAGGGTCTGTGGACGCTAAAGCCCAACAAAAGAGGGGCAGAAAGTAGTAAATGACCGAGTCACATTGGCCGTGCAAAGTCATTGACAAATGGAAATTGCGCAATTATAGCCTGTCATGCCGAAGTAGAGTCAAGCTTTGAACTGGCCAGTTACACTTCTTCCCGCTGCCTTCAATGTGGGGCTGTACACCAGTAAATTGATAATTCGCTTATTGTGGGACACGCTGCAGGTTTGGGTAGCATCGGCTATCTGCAAAGCATTACGGGCTTAGTACAACGAATGTGACACCGGTCTTCGAGGGGTTCCCGGTCGTTTAATCCTAGAAATCAACTCAAATTTAATATGACTAACTGCATCACATCTGCTTAGTCACCATATACCACTGCCCCCCACCACACTAAGTACTAATGCGTGTAAAAGAAAATTTAGGGGTATGAATAAGAAATTCATGTATTTTTGCTCAATTTCATGTCTTCTTTCCGAGCCTGAGGTGCAGGTCGCGTATAGCTTTTTCAGAAGACGCACATTTAGTTTAACTCTTCTATTCTGATAAGGCAACAATAGCTCAACCTGGGGGATGGTAGTTTGAGACAGACAAACAATTCCTATTAAGTAAAAGATTATACCCCAGAATACGTGTTTCTACCGGAGTTTAAGAAATAACTTCTAAAGAGCTTGCCACCACGAGACAGAGATAAACAAAATATGGGGGGTAAAACGAGATTCAAGCATTTCAATCAAAGTATCGGAACTCAGATTTCGAGTCTCTTTTGCAACAACCGTAATACCCAATTGTTGATGCCAGTATCCTCTTCGGCATGTTTCAGCTCTACTTCTATCATCCTCTGCAGTGCCAAGACAACGCCCTTTGCATACTCAAGCCCCCCAGCCGAGGTGATTCCCTCCAATGCCAACTCTCGGATTTCGGGGGCTAAGCCGTTGCCTGTCTTCCGCAGCTGCAAGATGTTACGTAGGCGGTCACAGAAGGGCGTTACTTCACTCATGGCGTGAATTAGAGGTAGAGAGATCTTGCCTTCGTTAATGTCCTCTGCGAAACCTTTCTGTTTCGTGTACTATGCATGCTCTGTTAGCACAGCCCATCTGCCTTTTTCACAGAAGGCGGCAAATAAGATGGAGGATAAACATACCTCTGAATCCTTGAGGTTCATGTAGTCATCGCGGGCTTGGAAAAAGCGGCCTAAAACCTTCATCAAGACACTGAGGTCCAGGTCTTTGTTCCGAGTCGCTTCTGAGCGCATCAACTCAGCCACAAGCACAAACAGTCCGCCCGTTTCTTTATTTTAGTTGGCGTATTAGTATCATACTTGATCAGACTTGGGTAATTTGATCCACTCACTGCCATCAACCATAGCAAAGTACTCCTCTTCTGTAGGTACCTGTGTGTGCTGTTTCCAGTAGAGATCCATTCCCTGGCCAATATGACCTTCTATCAATTTCTCCGTGAAGATTGAGACTGCTTTTGGAGACAGAGTTCCCACAGCTTTCAGTGCCTTGAACATCACAAGGTTTGCAGAATTGATTGTCTGAGCTACCCCAAATATGGTATGAGTAGCGGGGCAGCTGCGTCGCAGTTCAGAGTTATCCTCAATGTCATCAATCCTAAATTGTATCGCGTTAGGTTTAAGAGGAGCCAATAGAAGGAAATAAGAACACGAAAAGAAACAAGGGAAGACTCACATCAAGGAAGAAGCGTGCAGCAGATTTGTGATTTCCTGAATCGTTTCCAGAGATTTGGGTGGGACATGATACCAAGCATCGAGCCCATCAATCGCTGAGTTCCGTACACCCTTTGACGGCAAAGATTTGAGATATGAAAAGGGTGCGAGGACCATCTGCTGCTGTGTCAGTCTTTTTGCTGGTGATTTCGGTTGGTTGAGCTCACGCTTTCATATTGGTCGATTTGTGGAACATCCGTACTAATCCCACCAATGACCTTATCATTTGAGTGCCCATTGCTCGTTGGTGCAGTTGAACCACCACCAAGGTCTTTTTTGGTATTTTCCATGCCGGTACGTGAGATAGGAAGACTCAGGCTGTCTGCAGGGTTCGAGCACTCGACATTCTGATGCGCAATGCGAAGAGCGGGATATGCATCAATCGCACTTAAATCGTAGCGTGCAGTGGTCATGCTCCACGCAAAATTCCCTGCTGTGACGAGATCAAGAAGTAAAAACCAGTCTTGTATCTTGTCTGTTATCTTGCCTCGAGCCAATAAATCGGCCTTCTGCTGGCAGTATTTCTTTTCGCGGTTGACAATCTCGGACCGCAGCATGATCTTGGCTTCTTTCCAATCAACATCGTACCACTTCATGAAAAGAAAAACAGCGTTTACTATCTCTCCAACTCCTCCATTTGCTTGGTTGTTTTGTAATTCCTTCTCCCAGGAAAAGTAGTCGTTTACTAGGACCCAAGCATCATACGCTGCACTTGTGACCGCAGACGTCTGCTCAACTTCTGCTTCTGTCAGTTTGAAGTCCATTGAGAAACATAATAGACTCATTGTCCACCTGCAAACCATAATCAGTCTCTGTTCGCCAGCCTTGGGGAGAATCGTCGTACGGGCACCCAGCGTCAACCACACGGAAAGGCAGATAGTCATCCAATTTTTTGAAGTTGAGATCTCGAATCTTCACGAAAACGTTTGACATCTCCTTCCACAGACGGAGGCACTCTCTTCCTTGCGCTGGATCAATGTCCATGAGCTCGACGGCCATTTTTGCCTGCAGTTGTCTCCTCCTCACGTGATCCTTGCTTCCAGCGCTCACTTCGGCGTCGAGATCCAGGCCTTCGACCAACTCATTGTTTTTTTCCCAGAGCTGAGACAAGAAAGATATAGAGTTATTGATTGGGTCAAGATTTCCATGATGCAGCGGCCACACTTACCTGCGACTCATGTTTTTTCTCGGCATACTCAATGACTAAGGAAGTGGTATTAGAGAGGCTGAAGTGACAAGTTCTGGGGCACCAACTTACCATCATCATGGATATATGCATATTCAACCATGTAGGTAGTTAGTGCAAGCCGCTCTGGGATAGCCTCAGATGCACATAAAGCTGTGAAGTTGCCCACTGTCGGGTTGATGCATCCGACCGCATAACTCTTTTGATTAGAGTTCCGGAGAGCATCGGCACGAGCCGTCCCGGCTGAGTCAAGGAAATCCACTTGGCACTGCCAGGAACCTGCATCGGCAAGACGGGCATCAGAGTGAATGCGTGGTGTGAATTGACAGAAATATTCGTCCTTTTCGTAAAGATGAGGAGAAAGAGGGATGGAATGCTGAATGAATGTCTTTCGATCGGCAGAAGGATGGCCATCATCTAGGAGCGTAACTCCAGGCATTGCGTTTGACGATCGCCGCGAATTTGGCAATAGGAGTAATGATATGCTCAATATCGCAATCTTTCGCAAACTATAAGTAGTTCTTCATGACTGTAGTGTCTTTGCTTTGGCTCAAGAAAGATGATTATCTGCAAACGGACCACTGTGACTGTGTTGTTATCTAGATATGAATTTTCAACATTAGGAGGTATCGTCTGCGTCACTACCTACCCAAGAATGAAACCAAAGATAGCCCCGGGCTAGGCCTTTGCAGGCTTCATGTGTAGCTAGGGGGCATAATTGGAAGCCTTTGCATGACACCGACAGTAGAAGGCTTTCTACCCTTTACATCACCACTACTGCATGCAAGTGTACCCTTCATGAGGACCTTGACCTAGATCCGGATGAGATAAATACATAAATGTAACAACAGGCAAGTAGGATCTAAACGTTACGTCTGGCAATGTGGCAATGTGGCTAGAATTGCTTGTCACTCTAAGCTACTAGACTCATAAGATTGGGGCCGCCGAGAAGATAAAGAGATACGCGGAAGAATACAAAAAAAGACGGATACTGTGACGTCTGGCTCAGAGGCAACCAGTGTTAAGAATGTAACTGGCTATAGGTAAGATTATGAACACGGGAACGGGGAAGCAGCCCGTACGCACGTCAGATCCACTTCCTTGAGAGCGAGAGCGAAAGGCCCACTTATGGTGGACCTTGGAATGTCAGTTATCAGGGAATCTGCAGCTGCGGTAGATGCTTGGGCACTCAATCATGCGAGGATCTGGCTTTCTTTTCTTACTATTGGCCGAAGTGCGCCAGAGCACCCCTTGAACATCATTGGGCGTCATCTTGACTGAGTCTGCAAAAGGTCTCAGCCACGGACCCGTTGTAGTGTATATACTCGAAGTAAAGTGCATTGCAACGGTCGCATCTATCTTGGAGACTGCAAATGAGCCCATTCCGTGGTTGGTCTTGAACGGCGGGACTAAGGGAAAGACGACATACATTATGGCGCGAACTCGAGTTCGGTACCAGGTCGTGCAACACATTCCCGACTATAAGTTTGACAAAAGGCCGCAAAGTCCATAGTTGCCTTTTTGTTGTGGGACTCCGAACAATCGAAAGACTCTCGTGAATTGTCAGGAAATTCAATATCCATCCGATAGCCATGGCCTTGAGGGGACTTGAGGGGCTCAACGCTCTTGGTAAGCAATGCAACCCAAATACGACTCGATAGTATTACTACTTGCTGTGGTTGGTCTAACTAAAACGTGGAGTATCTGTATAGGTAAACTCCCTGCTCTCCTTGAAGATCTTCCAAATTTTCTCCAAAGCTACGAAAAGGCGATGTTGGGTCTGGCACACATAACTGAGTTTGTGATAAGCTCTATGGAAGGCTGTAAAGCATTGATATCCGTGCTTCAAAAATACATGGTCAAATTCCGAGATGCTGTTAGCAAAATAATCCAGAGCGATTTTGTCGGCCATATCCGAGATGCTATCAGCAGAATGAGCCAGAGCAGTTTTGTCGGCGGTCTCCGAGTACACCCATACCTAGCTGCCTTCCTTCTTCTCGCCCTCCTCGGTTTCAGCGTTTCCTTTTTTCTTGTGTTCTTTGCTTGCTTGTCTCTCAGTGCTGTTGCTATGGTGCCGGTATTTTCTCTTTTCATGGTGGTCCTGGCGACGCTAATGCCGATGGCAATATGTGGCGTTGGTGCATTGGGCTGCAGCTTGTGGGGTTACAAGATTATGTCTTGTAAATACCAATCGCTGAAGAAGTCGTAAATCATAGGATTGGTTGGTGGGACTGGATGTGACGAACTCCTGATACCGTTTCTGGTTAAGGTCTAAATATCAGGAAGATTAACTTCGATTCTAAGTTCTTAGGATAAGGACAATCATGTTGGCATTTTTGAACTTTTCTCAAACCCTCCAGGGCTTCGATTGAATACAAGCCACTTGAATGAAATATTGATCGCAACAAATATGTTATTGTACCAGATGCCATTAAAGTGGCTCGATCTCGCTTCCTTGCATCATGGCTTTGTGGCTTTGTGGCTTTGCTCGAGGACGAGTAATCTAAGGCCAACAGCAATAACATTGCCTGGCTGAGGGTGATGATAAGGCTGTCAACTAATGTCCATCCATACCTTAGCCCCATATCTAACAGAGAAGTAATTGCGATCAAGAAGATCACGTAGGCCATCCAGATTTTAACACGAAAATTAAAGGGTCCATATTCAGGTCACTGAATTATATGTGAAGACAATAGCTTCCGCAGCAGACACTGCAAGCTTCGCGTATTTCGAAAAGCTAGAAGCAGAGTCTCGCGAGTTTGGCGGTAGATGCTTCATGCTTCATGCGCCTAGAGCGCTGTCGCTATAGAAAAGAACTTGCGTGAATCTAGGGTGGTGGAGTGTTATGGTTGGATCACCTGACCTACATGCCACTTCGTTCCTTTTCATGCCACATATTACCACCACATACCTTCTATACAATCTTGTACATTCAGCGTCTTACAAGTTGCTTTTGGGGACCATAGAACGGATTCATAATGTCAGGACAAGCATATGACTACGGCACAGTGTCTTAGGCTGAACCGGTCCCAATGACTGTAGAAACACGGTAACACTAGGGTATTTTCAGTGAATCTTATTCATATATAGATCCTGAGCTTCTTGGTGTCTTTAAGTAAATTCCACATGATTTACAGCGAAGAACTTCATTAGTGGTCTGTTCTGTCCAGAAATGTGCAGTATATCGGGAAGGAATGGCTTGACTTAGCTGTAGCTCACTCACCCAGCTCATCTCCGGTCCATGACGCTAAAGCGGTGCTCATTAATGTCTTACCTGGGCCGCAGCACCGCACGACATGATAGTTATTTGAACTGAAGAATGTAGGTTTAATCACATTCCTCCATAGTACATACGACCATAGGGTGTGGAGAACAGGGCTTCCCGTCCGCTCAGCCGTACTTAAGCCACACGCCGGTTAGTTAGTAGTATGGTGGGTGACCACATGCGAATCCTGACTGTTGTATGTTTTTGCATTTTGAATTTTGTTTACTCATCTGTTCTTGATTTAAAAAGTGGATAGTACTTATGATTGGAGCTTTGGACAGTGGGTGACAGAGATAAAGACTTTTTGTTTTATACGAAGCTGGCGCTCCTACCGCGTTTTTTGAATAGAAGCGCCAATTAGTATGCCGTACTGGTTCAGACTTTACAGCAAAACTTTGAGCACTGTGCTAAAGAATAGATGGTACAACTGAATTGAAATAGGTGGAAATGGAATCCTACTCTCATAGGAATCAATGAAATGCTTACGCTGCCTGATGCACCGCCTTGGAATTTCGTGACTGCTATGACTTGCTTACCTTCATTGAATGCGAGAATAAAATGTCTGGCTCTGGTTTACCATCTTACTAGCAACTATCTATCCTTCTTACAATCCGTCCAGTTGAGTTTTATATCTTCTATACCTGGAGACATTGTCCTGGGGCCTCATCCATTTCTTTCAAGGGTCACTGCTGCTCACTGCTCGTAATTGCTGACCTCAAGCTATTGGTTAGTCAGGACTGGCGTGCAGCAGGTATCGGTGCCATCGCAATAGCCTCCCACTCCGCACGCACCTTGGGTCGAAATTTCGCGTTGAATAGACCATTGGTGTTGCGCCACGTTTGTCTGTTTCGTGATCCCCCCCCACAGGGCCTTATCACGCAAGCCAAGCCCTCTGCATAATGCCTGGAAAACCTGAACTCAAGGGATGCAACCGCCTTATATCGCCCAGAATCTTTGCATTCATACACCCGGTAATGCGGACAACCACCATCCGCCAAGTTCTTACCGCGGGGCTGGTTCCATTGTCCAGGAATCTTCGTGAGAAAGCGCAGCGCAGTCGCAAGGTATGAAGACCCGTCCACCATGTCTGCCTCCACCAACTGACCTTTTCCAATCTGAGCCAGTGACAAAAGAGTGAAAAAAATCCCCGCAAGGCAGACCAACCCACAACCGGCAAAGTGGGCAGGAATATTCCGGACTTGGCGGCAGAGGACGCTTCAAAGTGAACGCGAATGGAAGGCCCAAGCATCGACAAAACACCGAAGACTGCGAGGTAATTCGGATCGTGAGCTGCTATGGCCGGATACTTTCCATCAAGATGAAATTCGGTCAGCTTCGCTACAATCAGTCGAGGGTTATGCTTCAGCAAGATGTCCTCCGCCCCCAGGTTGAGCTTTTCAAGCATACCCGGACGAAAAGGATCTATTAAAACGTCGACACTGGGGAATAATCCGGAGAAGTAATGTCCGAATATCTGTGCTTTTGAGATCAATGCGGACAGACGACTTGCCACGAATGAGAACATCGGGGCTGGGAGCGGGACCTAGTTGAACCCGTTCTATTCGCAGTACTTCGGCGCCATTATCTGCCAGGTGAAGACCTGCGAGTGGCCTGGAGCCAGGCCATCCGATCATATTACTCGAACTTTGTCAAGAGATCGCATGGTGAAGTTGAGAATAGGCTCAGCATGAAATGACAATGTTGAACCTGGCTTTTGGAATGTTTGGAAATGGGAATATATGCTTCGATAAGAAATTAATAGGCAGTGGCTATGTCTCTAAGGTAAAGTATCGAGAACATTGGAAGTTTAGGGCGTCGTGGTTCGAAGTCGGTAACTGGGATTATGATCCGAAAGCACGGCACACATGAGAAAGTTCATAAGTTTCAATTCCGAATCTGTGATAGAGCGACCAGCCCATTCTGACAGATTGGGCGACATTTATGCCTAATAATCTCGAAGAGAATCGATAACAAAGAAGAAAACAGAAGCAGAGAGGGGGTTCCTGACTAAAGGTAACAATTCATATCCCGCTCGCAGTAACAGCAGGCCAATTATTGTAGCATAGGCTAGGGCCTCTGAAGCCGAGAACATAAGATCTCGTCATGCAGGATATTATGCACAGGCTCATATGGGGTATCTATGGAAAACGACATGTATAAATAGAATCAGCGTTGTTCAATATATCTGAAGCTATACATCAACATCTAATAACACTTCCGCTGACATTCTTTATTTGTTGAAAATGAGTTGTTGCCCATTGATGAGATTCTCCTCTAAATGGCTCAAAAGCCCCTCACTGAGTGATATTCATCAGGAGTATCGTGGTTCCGACTACTTATGAAATGCTATCTGTCTCATCATAGGGATCATTTGGATCATAAGGGAACTTTCTCACAACGACATCTCCAACATAATCCCACAAGCTAAACTCAGCTGGCGTAAAGTCCAACTCACATTTGTCATCGTGTTGTCCAAAAGTGTGAACAGCTGAAACGTTGCCATCGTCATAATCAATCCTGACCATATTCACCGTTTCCCGACTTGGATCGCCCAGCATATAGTTCAGCGGCATGAACTGCACACCCGAGTGAGCGGTAGTGAATACGGTATTTGGCAAGTCACCTGTGTGCGGAACATGGTGCATGCCGAGATTCAGCCAGACAACCAGATCCTTCTGCACAAGATCCTCGCCGTTGAAGAATTCGTTGAAATTGATTGGTGGGTTCTCCACATCTTGACTGTTCTTGGGGTGAGCGGATCGCGGTTCTGTGTCGTGATGCTGTGTAACTTGGATATCATGGCCAGCCCACTGCCCGGCATTGCGGAGATTGGTCGAATTCTCAACCGTCAGGTGGATGGTTCCTGTCGAAGGCAAGATACGATATCCCCGGTACTCGCCATAAGGGTTAGTCTCATCCATGTTGATCACCTTGACTTGCGTGGCAGAGTTGGCAGCCCAGTTGAATCGGCTTTCATCTTCGCTCTTGACATGGGAACGTGTGAGTTTCATGGTATTGCGAGGAGTATCGGACCACGGAAACGTTTGAGTTGTGGGTACTTGATGAACCAGTTCCATGGTATTGTTCACTCCCAAAATGTCAAAATCGGCTTTGAAATTCAAAACATGGTCATGCATAGACCCAGAGAGAGCCTCGTGCACTTGGTAACCGAAATCTTCATTATGGGCGTAATAGGCCGACTGAATGTATCCAGAGGCTCTTACTTCAACACCGATGGATCCATCCATATAGAAGGAGTAACTGAAAAGTCCCGGTTAGAATCCATGAGAACACATTTGATACGGGGAGGTTTGTCTCACCTGAACATATAGTCGTAGTTGCCGACAGTGGACACTGAGCGGACGGTGAAGTAGATGTTCTTGGTGACAGCAACATAATTGGAGCTGCTATGCCGCTGCATGGGATAATCTGCGTCATATTCAAAAAGACAAATGCTGCTGATATGCGTGTGTGTGGTTTCATCGTCATAAAACGAGCTGTTGAGATAGGTCGCATATGCTGGGCAGTCATAACCCCGTGCCAATTCAAACGCATATGGCCCAAACCCGTAGTATGTATCGAGATACGTAGTCATAGATTGAACAGGATCATTACCTGAAAATTGTTAGTGAAAGGAGAGTGAATCCAAGACAGCTAGCGCAAGGAAGCTTACCCGCATAGTGGGCCATGGCCTCTTGCAAACCCATTTCATACAAAACTCGTTGACCCTTGTAACGTATATCATGAAGGGCCATTCCAGTATCATGGGAAAAGCTGATGTAAAACGAAAAGTCCATCCATTTGACATACTTTTGTTCCACATCTACTCCAAACCGTGACCCCGAGGGTGCAACCGAAACTGGAGGATAAGATTGATCATGGGGCAATACCTTCCCCTGCTGGTCAGTCTGTGCCCACTTGCCATCTTTATTCTGCCCGAGTCTTTCAAAACCCGGGCTATAGAAAGCCTTCCGGAACTCATCAGTTGTTGCGTAGAATATATTGTTGTATAGCCAACCTAAAACTTTCCATTTCGAGGGGTCTCGGCCAGTCACATCTGAGTGCACGTATAGGCCCAAGGGAAGCAAGGTTGAGTCATCAAAGGCGCTGGTTGGGTCATTCCAGAACTGATCCCATCGTCTAATCCGACCGTCTGACTGGTCCAGGGGGTCTATTCCCCATACATTGATGGTGTCATTATCAAGCCCCATGGATGTTGCATTCCAAAGGCTAAGAGTAATATCAGATACCGAAGTAGAGATCTCTACCAGCCAATCATAGTAAATTAAGCTCGAATCTGCATCAATATTCCGGACTCTTCCTTTAGTTTTGCGAGTGTATGGATACTCGAGAGGCTCCCACTTGGTGGTTCCATTCACAATGGGGAATGGGCCAACCAAGATATCGGCAAAGTACGGATCAACGGTGGATCGATGATCAATTACCACGTGGGCATATCGGGGAGGTGCTTTGGCACCATGATCGATAAAGTCGAGCGAGTTCGTTTTGTTCGGCTGCATGAGCTCAACAAGTTCACTGTCGACAGTTAGCCGAAATTAATCGAAATTTTGGGATACATGCTCTATGGCATACATTGAATTGTCCCAGTCGCCTGCTAACGAAGTGACGGTCAAATTCAGATCCGATTGATCAAACAACCATATCAGAAGACTTGCAGCTTCGGTATCCGTGAGGCCGGCCCAGATGTTCTCTCGTGGTGCATGAATTTTGGTGTAGTTTGATTCAATGCAAGATGTAGCCCCAGCAGCGCTGCGTCTATGATTTAGATCGCGATTATTCAGAGTCCTAGCCAGCCCGTTGGAGAGATCGCGTCTGCTGTCATGTTGCTGTTTTGGTGATGGCCGTTTTAGATCACCATGGAATCTACCAACAGCCGGATTGACCAACAAGACCAATCCAAGTGCTATGGCAAGATACCAAGAACTAGAAAACATGCTTGGTATGATAAAATGAATCCCAATGTCTGTCATTCTGATAAAGGCAATATTGTCCGTCTTTGTCTAAGGCTTTATATTTGCCTGCTTCCAATCCTTCCTCTTGGCACAAGGCATTTTGCCATAGTGTAAGATATGAATGTCACCATTTGAGGCTACAAACACCGATGGCGTCGTGCGATAATTGGTGGAAAGCACAGCCTCGCAAATATCTATTATACCTAGCAAGGATCATTGACAATTAATCTCGCGTGGACCTTCTGCCTCAAGATGCCATTGTCGCTCAACGCACATCTTCGGTTTGGCAGTTGACGAATGTTCTATCTACTGATAGCGAGCCCGGTACTTCTTTCTTATTGGATACATCCTTAACCGGGCCCGACCCCTCTCCTGGGCACGCTAGCCGTATCACTACCACCTAAGTTCCCGGGGTATACCGGGATCTTATCAGTGAAATCTTTATCTCTCATGTGTTATCCAGTCAGATTATCTTCTGCTTCAGTATGTAAATATATGTCTCCGCATTGACTTGCTCGTTTCGGTAAAGTCCCTTGGTCTCAGTCAGGTAGATCGTTAGGGTGGCCTTGGAAGTCATTGGCTCAAATATTCAAAGCTGAGATCTATGCGACGGTCACATATAGGATTTATCTAGTAGAGTCTCAAACCAGAATGTGTAGCCGCAATGTAACTAGCATTCAACTTACACCATCTTTCCTTCTCCAAGCCACTAGGTTCTCCATTCTTGTCTGCCGCTGCTCCTAGTGGATGAACCTGGCCGTGGTCTCTATGCCGCAGATACCCCACATGCCTCAAGCCTTTTCTCCTTGTTAGCTAGTCATTGCTGTGGTAATGTAGGCGCTTATTCCGACAGAAGCACGAATATGTCCGTACTCTAAACTCCACGTAGTAATTACTGACTAGAATAAGGGCGACTGAATCGGTTCTAACTGCCAATATCTTGATTTCGGACAGCAATAATACGTCCACGGGCTACAGGGCCTGTGGAAACGGGCATTGCCACGTCATGCACCATATCCTATACTGCGGTATGGGGTGATTCAAGCTGGGCTATTGCAACGGCCTATGGTATACTGCAGGCCATATAGGCTGGACCCCCGGCTGTTGGTAGTGACTTTTTAGAGCTGTGCCAGACTACGAGTACTGTGTCACAGGTTGGTCGTATATTGAAAAGATATCCTAAGCTCCATCGATAAATGTGATAGAAGAAGCGGACCAAGCTTGTCCTGAGTCAACATGGCTCGAAGTTTCGCACCGGCATACAGCCCTCATTTGGCGCAATAATGATGTCGAATTTCGAGTGCTCTATAATCCCGAAATTCTCATTAACCAATTGCTCTCTTTCGGCCATGACGCTCGTTATCCCAAAAGAGAGCTAAGAAATTAGTAGGACATAGCGCGATACTTAGCTTAAACGAGAAATCGTGGGAGGATGACGATAGATGACTTGCGGCCACAGGTAACCTGTAAGCAATGAATACAATATAGGATAAAGCCGGTTAGCCGAAACTCTCGTCTACCCGACTTCCGATCCGATTCCATTATCCGGCTCATCCTGTACATCAAACCATTGCATATCAAAGCACATTCACATAAGCCATCGACCTGAGATAATCACCCAGGGGGAAAGATAAACTAATTCTATGTTCTTACCTAGGCGCCATCGGGAGCTCATGAAGTCTCTTTATGGAAATTATCTCCCTTACGAAGTGCAACATGGATACCCCGTCCTTGTAGATAGAGAAGCGTTGGGTTCTGTTATTGAAGCAATAACACCAGATGCATAGAGCTATCATGATGTTGTTAGGTCAATGGCCTATGTGAATATGCTTGATATGCAATGGTTTGATGTACAAGGCGACGAGGACAATAGAACAGGATGGGAAGTCGGGTTGGACAAGGGTTTCGGCTTCCAAGCTGTATCCTAGATTATATTCTTTACTTCAGAGTTCACTGTGGGTTCAATGCATTTATCGTGAACCTCCCACGATTTCCCGGCCATATATTTGCCACATCATCTGGCTATACAGCATAGCATGGTTATCAATTCCAGCAGCTCCTTTTTTCAAAGCGACTATTATCTGTTGACATCCTTCTGTTATATCTCAAGCTTTCTGATATATGAAAAGTGTCATCGCGTGAAAAACAATTCATTGACTTGTCAGTGTCGCAAGAGAAGATTGACAATTCGAGTACTTCTCGAATCATTAGTGGACCCTGAGTTCGTATTATGGGAAATCAAAATATTCTCCAACGCGCAGTTCATATTTCATATCAAATATTTGAAGCAGTGCATAAGTGGGAGAACTATATTCAACGCGTCTTTATCAAGTTGAAACTGAAAATGTGAAAACAATACAAACCAGCAAGCTTTAGGTACCAAAACGACATGAAAACACAATTAAGCTTTGCACCACGTGCACAGACCATAATTAAGCCCACAAAGCCCAAGACCTCTTTACAGCTCGGCCGTAGCATTTCATCTCTTTCAACTTGGAATGAGCCATCTCTCGGATATCAAGATCTCGCTCTTTACCGTAGGTGGAAGTTCATTGCTTCGCTAATGAAGAGCTGTAGTCAGTGCTACTAGATGGGCCGCTCCACATCTCATGGGGCAAGCTGAAGAAGCAAAATGCCACTGGTCCTAATGGCGCTGCATTGAAACCTAAATCACACCGGGTCAGTCGCGTGGGAGTCAAATCCATTGGACTAAGATTTTGAGATCTTATGCCAAGACTAGGACTTGACAGGAGTCACGGTTCTCCAGGTCCGGTCGGCTCAGGCTCTGGATTTTTAGATCCGCGATTCCACAAACGGGCTCCCGAAACCGACCCCGCAGGTCCTCCAAGCATTGAAAACTAGGGAAACTCCCTGACCTGCATATCTTATGCAGTTTTAGTCCTTATTATCAAGTATTCGTCTTACATTTCTACACAGAAAGAACAAATAGAAGTGAAGCAGATTAAGCATATTTTACCTCAATATAATGGCATCTAAGTAAAGTTCTATCTTTTCTATAGATTTTGCAATGTATATACATCTTCATCTCTTCGTATAACCTTCAGAGCCCGCCCAGATGTACGCCTTCGCGTACAGCTATTTTCTGGAAGAGGTATCCCCTATTCCTATCTTGCTGAATAAGCGGCGTCTGGGTAACTACTAGGTAGGGCTGCTGCTTTTGGTTCGATTCTTGGTCTTTTACCAAGGACACTCTCGTTGGCTAGTTGATTCGGCTCAGATGTTGTATCAGGGTAGGCCTCTTCTTCCTCATTATCAATAACCAGATCGAACACCCCCTCTTTTTTCTCTTAGTCTCATTCTCTTCCTGGCATGCATTTCTTTTGTAGGCTAAATTCTCCAATTCAATATGAAAGCGTGTTGTACACAACATCATACGATCTTAGATGGGGTTGGGCTTCAGAGATCTCGGGTTAATTCAGATATTAATAGCACTATTAAACGACCGCTCGACATCAGCACCGGATGTAGGAGTAGGAAGACCATCTCTTGCGAGGCTTGCAGATAGATCTCATATATAATTTGAGAGGTCCGGTATCCCCCGCTCTCCGCCCATAAAACTAAGGGTCCGTGGGCCGTCAAAAGGCCCACTTGCGAGGATAGGAAGTTCATTTTGATGGTCGTTCTAGAACACAGCATGTTAATCAAACGAGTGTCTATTGGGAAGGTTACTATATAATAAGGATGAGAGACAACGTCCATATACTACTAACTAGATAACGCCTAGGCTCATCATCAACGCTCGTCTTAGACTGGCTAGATTAGCCGGTCGGACCATTGACTCTAGATTACAGACCTATGCTACGTAAGGTACACTACCACGCATAGGGTAGGCTAGAATTTGGCAGGACCCGACCCGTGGGTAGACTTTTATTACGCCCTGCCGAGGCCGAAGGTGACCAGCCTTTGTAAATAGACCAGCACTAATGCCTGTTGTTCTTTTGCTCGTCTCTCCATCACATCATTACTAGCATATTGTTTGTTCGTTCTTCCTGTATGCGCAAGCTGTATAACCTTGCGCTTCCCTTCTTTCTTGCCCCTGATCTTCTAATAGCAGCAGGTGCTGACAGTATGAACGACAATGTGAGGCCCACCTAAGGTCCGTGGGTAGTCCATGAACAGAGGCCAATGCCCTTACTCAGGTCCTATGCTGAAGTCTGGGACATCGGGCAATGTGAGAAGATAATCCGCGCTGATCCGGTTTTCAATAAGGGTGCACACGGCGTTACCTCGTAAGGATTCCTCTTTTTCGGCCGGGAAACTTTATCGTTTCTTTCGATGATATATATATATATATTCGATGAGGAATGTTGCTAGAACTGTGCAACTCAATATCACCATCATTAACAGCAGCAAGCTGCACTCAAAGGGCTGTGGTGGCGGCTTACTAAGACCACGTCATTAAAAGCGTTTCAGACGTTACCCAGGCCACAATTCTTCCATCAATTGGACTGGAAATTCTAATTCGAATACCACCGATGCATCTTTTTCCGTCCTGGCTTAGTAAAGCTGAGCTTATGACTAGGCCGCCGAGATTGGCTTTGCGTCTTGATTTTTTCTCATCCCAAGATACTGCTCCCCTTAGCAGATAATGGCGCGGGCGGGGTCGAGATCGAAGCGAAGTATATCTTGGCCCCCACGCCCTAGCAGGTGGCCTGTGCGGATAGGAGCGAATAAGGATACCTCCGACCAGCATAAAGAGGAACTGCTTTAATATACTTGCTGCATGGACCCTGGAATTACTAATTTGCTGTCGGGAAATGGAACTTCAAGCGTCTCAGCTACAAACTTCATGCGCAGAAGTGGCAAGTTGGAGCGAACTAAGGTTTATGCGGCTGATGGCCATCACGCAGCTCTCCAAGCCAGCGCTTGAGCCTCTCCGAGTCTCAGTACAATGTGGATCTGACGCAGGCGCATCCAGATAGTAGGGAATACGAAAGACCGGGAGGTAAATAATCTTCTGTTTCTTACCGACTTCGCTGCCCACATAATTGGAAGCCATAGACATTGCCCACGCATTAACATGCAATTTCGTGATTTACCTACAAGGATCTCCTGCTGACTAACACTTCATTAATTTGCGTTGCTTGCTTCTCTTCTCAATTCTCTGTCTACCTTATATATTCCTTGATCGGCAAGTGAGCCATTGATTCTTTCTTTCTGCTTCCCTTTGTCGCGATCAATATCTTTGATTATGGCTCCCAACGAATGTCGCTCCCACAAGTCCAAATCTTGGGCCGACGGTCCTTGGCCCCTGATCGAAACCCCCTCAAAGACACAAGACACTGTAGGGCCTCTTAATTCCATCGTCTGTCTTTCTCTCTTTTTGCACACCTGCTAAAAAACATGGCAATAGTCTAAGCATGCGTCAATCTACATCGCTAATGAAATGGCTTTTGCACACAATGCAATGCTTCGGGGATTAAATTCACTTTACCTTCAAGTAGATTTGTCTGATCCGAAAGACATCTCTGACTTCTTGTTCTTTCTTCGCAGCTGGGCTGGGTGGGTGTCCCACCACCATGTCCTGGAGGAAGAGCGCATGTTTCCGCAGTTTGAGGAGGCAATGAAGCAGCCCAACTTTCTACAAGGGAATGTCGAGGAGCATCATATTTTTCAACCAGTTCTTAAAAAGCTGCTTGCGTATGCGGATATTAAGCCTGAGGAATACCAAGCCTCAACTGTACGTAGCTTGATTGAGGAGATGGCGCCTAGCTTTCGTGAGCATCTAGCCCACGAAATCACCAGCCTATTGTCGATGGCACCCTATGATAGCCAAGCTTTACTCAAAGTCTACAAGGGTTGCGAGGCTGAAGCAAGCAGACAAGACAAAGTAAGCTTTTTTTGTTTTCTCTTTTCCTGTTATTTTCTTTTGTTCTTGTTCAGCCGTTGCTCATGTTCCCTCCACCAATCTACGAAAACGTTTCTCGAATTTGCTAATGATAAATATGATTTAGTTTGTGGTTCCGCCTATGGTTCTTGGACTGCGTGATATCACCTTCGAGGGGGGCAACCAATGGCCGGCATTGCCACCGCTGTCTACCTACCTAATTCATTACTTGCTTGCACGCAAACATGCTGGTTCTTGGAGATTCTTGCCATCTGATGCATGGGGCAACCCTCGCCAGTTGAAGTTTGCGACCTCTAGAGTAGAGTTAATCTCTGTGGCACGGGATTGAGACCGCTTAAGGACCCGAAATGTTTTTTATTACATCTAAAATTACAATCCATGTGACCTTCACTAGCTGAACGTCTGCGCATCCATAAACCCCCCCAAGGTTATCATCATTGGATTTTTCATTTTAATAATCCTCCCTGGCCAAGAAATGAAAACATAATTCGAAATGCCAGAAACATAATCTACGACAGTGGCCCAAGCTGCATAGAGCACAGATTCACCATAGCCCAATCAAGCCTCTATGTTGGCAAGCCACGTGCTCCGGAATTATGCCGCTTAACTCCGAATCTCCACATATGACTTGATCTCACACGCACCGTCCGGAACAGCACAACCTAGACATCATGGAGAAAGCATTCTTTTTCGTCAATGGAATCGCGAATGATGAGAAATCCAAGAAGCTCATGCGTCGGCATGTAATGAGGGGCAAAAATGCTGGAAAGAAAATTCACCGTCGCTCAAGGTTGGATTTACAAGTCACTCAGAACCAACCAAATGTTTCTGACGGTTCTTCACGTAACTGCGCTGAAGGTAACCAATTTGACCACGCAAAATACGCGAATTGGAGCTACCTGTCTCCCGATAGGCTGTCAATTCAGTTTGGAACTACATTCCTCACTTTTTCACTTCCTGTGGAAATCACACCATACTCGCTCGAGATTATCAACAAATGTGAGATACTCAGACCAAACAGCCCATTGGATCTCTTTTGACAATATCCAAGTCTTCATGTATACTGCAGATAGAATATACCCAGTCAAACTTGGAGTCTCGTTGCATGATGCTAAATTCATGTGGTTGCGGTATTTATTTGAAAGCGAGGCCAGTGAGTTCACAAGTGCCCCACAGAAGTTTATCTTTCATGGAATTCTTTCTAATCAGTCGCGTAGCCTACCAGTGCCAGCTCGCGATGATGCAGGCAAGCAACGAAATATTTCACTGCAATGGCGAAAGCTCTACAAAGGCGATGTATCACCTGTCTCAGACGTTCGCTCAAGTCAACAAACGACTTCAAGGTGACGATGCTTTATCAGATTCGACTATAGCAATTGTTATGACGCTAGTTAACCAAGAACAAATACGACAGCACTTGTCTGCGGCTATGGTTCATGTTAAGGGACTTGAAAAGATGATTGAGCTTCGCGGAGGACTGAGTCAACTTGAAGGCAATGTTCCACTTGTGTTAAAAATTTGCAAGTAAGTCAATGAGTATCGACCACTTTTCAACACGGGCATCTAATATCGTGCCTTTTCAGGACCGACATAATTTTTGCCTTACAACAAGGAGGGTCGACATCCTTCTTTCGTGACCACATATATGATGTTCGAAAAAGCCTGCGGGCGCAAGATTTACCTTTTGATCAAGATCCAAATGTCCGACCTTCCCCGCTCGAGAATATCGACCCATACCTTCAGGACATCCTTTCAGACGCTATGAGCGTTTGCTCGCTGTTCAATGAGATTGGCAGCAAATCGTTCAACTACATCGTTTTTCTCGAAGTCTTGATATCGCTTTGCTGCCGCCTGTTAAAGTTTCGTTCCTTACATGACGCCAACACTCTGCTTGACAGCCAGTCTGCACATCATATTGGGCTGATCACTTTTATGATGACCCTCTTCCTACAGAATGACCGCTGCCGGTTGATCAACTACAGTTTGGTTCCTGTTTGTCTCAAGAGTGCTCTTCGGGACGATCTTTATGAGCAAAACATCGAGCTTTCCTTTTGGCTTACGGTCATTGGTGGTATATGGATTTCCGATGAGCCCGAAAATGAATGGATTGCTTCTAAGCTAAAAATGGGAGCCCAACGGCTCGGTCTTACTTGCTGGGAGGATGCACAAGAGATCGTTTACAAATATCCATGGATAAACGGTCTACATGATCAGCCAGGCCGTATAATTTGGGAACGGGCAAATCAAATTCACTAATTCATCATGTAACATCAAATACATTTGGATTGGATTATAATCAAATTGTCCAATGTAGTAACAGCGTATGGACAAGAGAGTGATGGCCAACTGCAAAGGAGACTATGCTCGTTCACCAAGAAAAGCTCTGCCCAACCAACTTCTCGGAAACTTCCCATAGCTTTTCTGCCTCTTCACTCGAAACTGCAAGAAGTGCAGCTTTGCCACTAATATGGCAATTATCTAGAAAGGCCCCCCAATTCTCGCTACCATCCTTAGTCTCCCCGACGCTATATCCCAGCTTTGGGTCCAATGCCGCAACAAGACTAGTCGAGGCTCCTGCGCCCAATGTCTTATAAGACCAGGCCCCACTTTCAAACATATCCTTAATAGCTTGGAATGTCTCAGGGGGAAAGTTCCTTGCAAGTTCGGTGGAGATGATGCCTGGGTGAACTGCAAGAGATACGATTCCGTACTTCTCATATAAACGCTTGTTTGCACCAATACCAAAGAGCACGTTTGCCACCTTACTCCGATTGTAGCCATCCAACGGGATATACGACTTCTCTCCGATGTCCGTATATCCCCAAGCCTTCATGATGTCTTCCCTGGGTTGCTCTTCCTCTGGAAGCTCATTGTTCTGCTTGTCGAAGTTCATGTCGCTCCAACGAATGTTTGACACCTGGGGTGATCCAGAGCTCACATTCACCACTCGCGTGGCACCCTTCGCACTATGCTTGGAGGCCTCGATGATCTTCGGCATGATCAAACATGTAAAGAGCCAGTGTCCAATATGATTTGTTGCGAAATGCATCTCGACTCCATCTTCGGTCAGGGTCCGCTCTTGTACGCCCATGACACCAGCGCTGTTGATAACAATATCGATCGTGGAGACATCCTCCCATGCGAGAACCTCAGCAGCGGCTTTGCGGACGGACTCCTGGCTGGAAAGGTCCATCTGCAAAGCCCGGTATTTCACGTCAGGGAACTCAGCCTTGAGAGCATCGATGCATTCCTGAACTTTGGAAGGGGTGCGACCGGCAACAATCAAGTACGAGGGAGACTGCGATGCCTGTGGATGTTTAGTTCATTTCAGACGAGGAGGTTGCGGGGTCCTTACAAGAGCTTGGGCGGTAGAGAACCCAATTCCAGCAATGTTAACGCCAGTGATGAGAATGGACTTGCCACGAATGTTGGAAGAAAATGCCTCTGCGACTTCGCGGCCTTCCGTATTCTCGTTAAATGTAGAATATGTTGTAGTGGCCATGTTGTCCGTAGAAGGTTGGGCGAAGAGTATTGGAAGAAGATTCAAAGCGTATTTGGAGACTGATGATGTGAATAAGGATGTCAAATTCAGATATTGTGGGCAAGAAGCTCAGCCTATTTATAATTGTTCAAAGGCCACTGCTCTGGCACCGATGCTTCCCCATGACATCCTCTATAGCTCTGGAGCCAATGAGAGATTTGCTACCTAATCGGGGAAGGCGCAACAATCAGTGGAGTCGTTCCTCAAGTCCAGCCAATAGGAGATTCACTTCCCTTTTGGGTTGTGGGTCAACCTATCATATCATCGCGTCCAAGACTCAACTTGTGTTTCGTTCCCCTTATTTAGAGCTTGGTTGGAAGTTTGGTACGGAGATAATCTTGTAGTACCCGGAAACTAACACGGAGGTTTCATTAACTCCGAGTCACAAATGTAAGATACAGCCCGCATGGCCAGATGTAACACAAGTTTACAAAAATCAATTGTCGTGCCCAAGTGGCTCTCCATCAATCCATCCCTGCCATTTAACACCCCCGCTCTATCTGATTTCTGATACAAGCAAAGTTCGATCCTCACCTACTTGGTTCCACCATCTCCACCATCTCGTCTGTTCCCTTGTCATGACTACCAGCCTCCAAATCCAAACTCTTCGCCGGCGTCAAGTCCTCCACACCAGCAACAGCAGTCTCAAAGCGACGACCACGCTTCTCAGGTCCGACAGCGGTTGTGAACATGATACCCAAAGCAATAATGGCAGTAGCAATACCCATAACAGGCCCATAAGCCGAGGCACGAGCACCTGACGCAGTGGTAACCCAGGTCGACTCCGCAATAGCGTTGACAATCTGCGCAGACGGGGAGCTAATCATATTACCAAGTTGATATGTGAGGCCAGGGAAAGAGGAACGGAATGCTGGGGGAGACAATTCGTTCAGATGAATCGGGATAACACCCCATGCTCCCTGTATAAAGAACTGGATGAAGAATCCAGTTGCACTCAAGGCGCGCTCGCCTTCTGGGAGGATCCAAGCCGGGATCATAAGTGCAGATAGAAGGGCTGCGACGATGATAGCGCGTCTGCGGCCGACGAATTGCGATAGGTAACCAATGATCGTACCGCCTACGCATGCTCCAGTTTTCATTAGGATCGAGGCTCTCGAGGCACCGGAGTTGTCGAGCTCTTTTTGGGTGAGCATGAAGGTTGTATAGGAGTCTTGGGAGGTATGGGAGTAGAAATTGAACTGTGAGTATCTCGGTCAGCTTTCAATGAGCGCATAGTATGAAATCGGGTAGGTACTAGTTGCAACTTACCCAAGTCATGAGGATAACACAGTAAACACACATGCGCCACTCCTTGCCGAGCATTGATCGTGTCTCATTCCAGAACTCAGCGGCGCTTGTCTTTCGCTTGCCGGCCTTCTTGGCCTCAAGGAACTGCTTTGACTCTGGGAAAGCAATGCGCAAAAGACCAATTCCAATAGAGATACCGGCTAAAGAGATCAATCAGTATATTTGCTTTAGACTGCTTCCAATTTCACTTACCAGCAATCCAGAAAACCGTCTTCCAGCTGTCCGTTGACCCACCAACACCAAGATTGGCACAGGCTGCGAAAACATATCCCATGGAATACCCTTGCTGCAGGATTCCAGACATAAGGCCACGCGCATTGACACTAAGTAAACATTAAGCCAATTTTGCATCTCTATTGAGAGACTGGGTACTCACGGGCAGTGCTCCAAAGCCATAGCAATGGCATTCCCATACACACCTCCCATGAAAAGACCGAAGAGACTGCGTACCGCCAAGAATTGCTGGAAGGTATGGCTGTAAATGGTAGCAATCTGCAAGAGCCCAAGCACAAGCATATTTACTACCATTGGCCACTTGCGACCATATCTGTCTCCAGCGAGCCCAAACAGAGCAGCACCAACACTTCGAAGAAGTAGGGTAAGAGTAATCGCAGTAGTGACATCAGTCTTGGATCGATCGTAATAATCAGAGAGCTTCTTCGTCTGGATTGAAAGCGCATGGAAGTCAAACGCATCCGCAGTCCATGCTGCTAGTCCAACCAAAAAGAAGAGCCAATCACGAGCCGAGAGCTGGGCCATGAGACCAATTGGGTTCTTGAGGGGCTCAGGAGACTGCCATTCTGCGTGCGATTCGCCGTACTCGTTAATGACTTCTACGCGCTGCTTCCAGATAAAAAGGTCCTTGAAAGATTGTGTAGCGGTAGGCAGGAAGCCCTTGGCAATGGGATCGGCTCGTTCGTTCGAAGACATCGAAAAGAAGATACAGACGCGATGAGCTGAAGGCGATTCTGTATCCTTCCCGCCGGAAGATGACTCTCACCCAGCCATATCTATTTATACGCGCTACCGCATCAGTCAACCCCGCATTATTACTCCGCAAAATCTTCGTAGTGAACACCAAGATACCGATATCCCCAGATATGTCCCGCATGACCACGCGGGGGCATGCCGCTCCGCTGGTAAGCCAAGATAATGCCAAGCACTCGGCCAAACCTGCCACTCCAATACCAGGGCACCGTATGAGGGATATCCCGCATAGCGTTCTTGGTAAACGGCTTAGCGCGGGGAGGACTAACACCGAAATCCTTTCGGGCTTGGCTGCTCTGGGAGATTGATGACCGGTTGGGCGAGACCTTCATCTCGGCGATGATCGGCCAATGATTCCATAATGATCAGGCAGGACGGAAATACAAAAACTGTGTCTGTGCAAGCCACAGACCCCATGTGCGCGGAAGTTGTCCGGGAATGTGGCTTGAAGAAGTCAAAGGTATTCGTGTGATGTGTGGTAGCGGTCTCGGGACGGGACCTCAGGGTAGATGAACGCATGGGTGCAGTGTAATCGTGTTTTATGGGTTATAAATGGGCGGAGGTGAAGTAATGTATACTCAGTCTCCAGGAAGGGCATTGATTGCTATATCAATGAGAATGTCATGCTGAAAAACCACTCGAGTGAAATCGATTTGTGGGAATAAGGAAAGGAGGTTAATGCCCGCCAAGAGAGTCGAAGGTCAAACCGCCCTTGGCGTGGGGAGATAGGCCCCAGGAAAGGCCAGTGGATCTGGATTCTCAACATTCGTGATGCCCATACAGCCACACGTGGAACTGAAAGTGTACTTAAAGCTGTAGAAACGAGTGGTATCATCAATCATTTCTCTGTTATAATGAGACCAAACAATATTAGAGCCAAACCCACAATCACTTGCACCACTCCGAAGATACCATCTCAGATCCTAGTTCAAAGGCCAATCCCCTAGTGTGATCTCTCATTACATTTGAGTCCCCTATGACGGAGACTCGATATTAGGCTTTATTAAATCATGCCGGGCAAGTCGGTCCGAGGAAGTCATTTGTGCTGAAAAGAGCGGTATCTCAAACAATGAACTATTTGTGGAAGACGACAAGGCATCAGAGCTAGTTTGAATTGGGGTAACAGCTCCCTTTATCAGTGCTCGCGATGGAACTGTAGACACGCTGAAACATTGTGCCGGCGGACGGACGCCTGAATTCATATTAGGTTTGTTGCAGGCAGTAGCGTTGATAATATTGTTGTTGTTAATGGTAACGGGAATCTTCGTAGTGGGTAGTTTACCTCCAGCACCTGAGCCTTCATGCGTAAGTTGGGGAGAAGAGGGAGCTGTGAGTGGACCGACGCGCTCGAACGATGGCGAGGGAGGCAGTGGTACCTCCTCGGGCGTAAGCTCTTTCTTTACCGGGACGATCATGTACCGGAGTCGCTTTGCGCATCAACATTTGCTTCGGCGAAATTTTCGACTTGGCTAATTGATCCTCAATTGGCTTACTCCATGTTTTTCCTGTCTTGTCCAGGTCCGTATTTTCCGGCCACTTTGGTTGCTGCACCAAAGGAAGATCGTCGAGCATGTTTTCTTTCTTGACAGCTTTGAGGACAGTAGGCACCGGACGAAGTATAGGGATCTCTTCCTTAACCTTTGGTGTGTACAAAAAAGTGACAGCTTCTTCAGGGGCGGTTTCTTCTTTGATTAGAGTGGCGTTATGGAGAGCCAACAATTTTTCAGCAGTGACCACTTCCAATTTGTAGTGTATTTTTTCTATCGCCTCTCTCCACTGAGGCTTGAGGAGACCACCTTCGCCATATGGCCTAGCCATTTCCATGAAAGTTGCCCAGCCACTTACGACCTGCTTGGCTAGTTCTGCACTTATTTCAAACCACTCTTTATGGCTTTTCCCACACCCTGGGGCTTTGCACATCCGCTCCCGGCGCCATTCCTTGATTAGTTCGTAATGTGTGAGGGTCTCGGCCCGCATAGCATTATGGATGGGGCTCGTATTGAAAAGTAGGTTTGGTGTATATCCACAAATTGACCAGCTTATCAGTCTATTAGAAACGGATTTGGCTGTCCAGCCGATCTTAACATGGCCTGGGGAGGAGATCCGATCAAATATATAGAGTCTGCCTATCTCGAAATCTCGGTCCACGAGAGGATCCAGCATTTTTCGGTACACACAATCGTCGGGAGAAGGATCGTTTATATGTGGGCGAAATTCCGATCGCAGTTTCTGAGGGGGAAACCATTGTAGTATTCGAAGGTTGTTTTCGAAGCCATTCATCTGGCGATTGCGGAGTTCGTGCCGTAGACTGGGTTGAAGGCTGCTAAACGGGGCTGCCAATACATTTGGAGGGGTCAAAGGGATCTTTGGGAAGTTATGCGAGGCCCCAACTATCGAGGATTTTTCAAAGGTGCGATATGACGTTGGGATTGATAATGAGTCGCAAGATGGAATGTCAGGGTCGGGAAACTGTTCGTCCTTCACCTGAGTACTTGAGGTTCCCGGCTCTTTTAAATTGTCGTTGTATTGCTTCCCTTGCCGTGCACATGACGCAAGCGCTTCATTATGGAATAATTTAGATGCTCGTAAATGAATTTCCCCAAACCACCGCTGAGCCAGCGGTGATAAAAGTTCCACGTCCTCTATACGATCCCGATGTTTAGCACGCGCACAGCAATTGCACACGGCGTACTCTGTAAGAGTCTCGATATTTAGAAGTCTTGTTGGAGCTTTCAAAATGGAATCTCGAAGAGATATCGCGCGTCGTTTGTCTTTTTCATCGCAATAATTTTTGCATCTTGCACCTTTCTGAGTGAAGAAAATGCACCGGCTTTGCTCTGAGGGGTCAAGCTCATGAAATGATATGAAGAAAGCAACACCAGGATTGTAAGACATCGCGAACAACAGTAATAGCCAAGTAAAATTCGACTATTCCGGACAAGAAGGGCGGTATAAAGGTATGTTGCTACGATTCAATATTTCTAAGGCAACGTTGATTGAGGGGTAGAATACTTGCGAAGTCAGTCTGAATTCCCTGCCAACGAGCAAGTCATGCGGTCGTTCTGGAAAAGATGATGAAGTATTCTTGGACAGCGCTTACTTGCAGCTTTGCTCAATCTCGATTGGCTGTATTTTGGCCACGCGCTAGAAGGAAAACACGACTTCCTTGGGTGTAATTGTCTTCGACTCCGACTGCAGTGCTCGAATTATAGCTTAGCTATTCAGCAAACTTGTATAGCTTTAGAAGTCGATGTTATCAAAGACAAATTGGGCGCAGAATGAACGAACGGGCGATTCTGGCACTCTAAATTCGAAAGGCCCCGTGACATGATCCTGACAGTCAACGTACGCCACGGTGACGACTTGATTTCCCATTTTCTATATGAGGACGCTTCGAAAGATTCATGAACTTGACATCTGCTGCTTGGTCCTTCTGGGGAATTCTCCTTGTGGGCCCTGCTTTTCGTCGAGGATCTACTCTAGGAGCATGGTCGTGTCCCCTGAGACCGATGGAGGCTCAAAGTGGGGGGTGGCCCGCACCCGCTCTCTCGTATCTCCAGTATCCCGACCCATGGCATCCGCACTTTAAACAGACACTTGTCGCTCTTCCGACGAGACCACGTTCGCATATGAAGTAGAATTTGAAGTGCAGTACTTCCCGCGGAGGATATTGATGGGCTACGCGGTCGAGAAAGGGCCGACCGTTGCTTTTACCTGACAGTGGATACATAAGAGACAGGGGGAGGGGGAAGCGGCCGCAGAAATTCCTATCACCTACGAAGCTGAACAACCCATGGGACCATGATTTGACTCCATATAAAGCTCCACATTATGCAACATCCTCACGACCCTCTTCGTTAATCCCGCCGTATCTCATCCTCGGTTTTCGCGCGTTCGCGGCCCACCCAGCATGCCTCGCTCATTTACTCCCAACACACAGCCCACTTACCTTTCGCTACAACCTCAAAAAGCCTCTCAACAAAATACCCTCTATCCCCCAGTTCAAAAATATACCAGAGACAGCTGCGCACAATCTATCGCCGATGGGGTATCTGACATGGTCCACCTTGGATGATAAGACAAAGATGACCTCGGCTAAGAAATCCGCACCATAACATATTTAGCCCAAGTACATGCGATGTCTTTGATAATCCTATTCCGGTATGTATGCGTCTTCAACTAATTCACATTCAAATTATTGTAGGAAACTATACTATATAGTCAACATCTCGAATTACGTAGTTGTGCTGAGCAAATTACCGTCCACGGATCTCTACAACCTTTGGAATGAGAAACATGTTGAAAATTAAGCCTGATACAATATTTGACATAACATCCTTAATTAGACTAACTTAACATATCTCATGGACCGTAAATTAATTCAACCCTTCGCATTGCATCTTTTGTTTCTCATGCAGTCGCTGGTATGAGTCCCATGTGGTGTTTGAATATCCGTTCATATCTCCAAATGATAGCCATAAGCGAACTCGTCATCAGCATCCTAAAGCTTGCGCGATTCCGGTAGAGCCCAGGTGTAAGCGACCTTGTCATCACTGTCTTCACGCTTGCGAGATTCCGGTAGAGCCCAGGTGTAGGCAACTTTGTCATCACTATCCTCACGCTTGCGAGATTCGGGTAAAGCCCAGGTATAGGCAACCTGATCGTCACTGTCTGCAGCTTCACGTACGGCTGGATCAAACGATTAGCAGGGAGGTTCTGAAAGGGCATCTGGAAAATCTTTACTTACCTTTGTCAACAGGCATAGCACTGGTGAGCATGGCACCTGCCAAGCAGGCGAAAATAGCAGTGGAGAACTTCATCTCGATGAAACGATCTATGAAAAAGTCCGATCTCAAAGCGTGTTTCTGTTGAAGTCGAATTACTTGAGTCTCAATTATGCAAAGGCAGGTGCGGACATGGATGTCTAAACTTTCCCGGAAAACCCCCAACTTAAGAGAGACAGATCTCTCACCCCTCCCACCCATCATGATGGTTTATTTTACTTTAGCGGGGCGGTATACTTGACCCACTAAGGATCCCGGGCAATATGATGTTCTGTAAAATAATGAGCTCGTATCGGGATATACTCCGTAGCAATGAATACGAAGGAAGGTGAAGTTGGGAATGATGAGCGCTAAATCATTAGTGGATACCGTACAAACCCCATTGTCTAAGAGGGGTGGCATACTTGACCCAATGAAGTACTCCGGAGATTTGTTGGTTCTGTGAATCAGCTCGCTTGCATGAATACCTGACGATGCGATCTGCAAGCCACGGAAGGCTCGCTATCGCTAATCTGATTCCCTTTTGGAGCCTATGCCATTTAGTGCTTTCAGCTTCCAAATCCCGGGTCGCCTAGATGCGGGGGCGAAACTCAACTATAGCCCTAAACGAAACTATGCACCGAGAAATTGGCCTTGAACGCGACCAAAAATAATTTTCTTACGTTCACTACAAGCGCTGAAGTATTCATTTACAGCTATGCTAAGTGCTGCAATGTCGTCTCTTATGGGCTATACCGATGCCCTCGACTCGGTTGGCGTCTTGTTGGAATATGAATTGGCCTTTGAAGCGAACTCTGTTTTTGTGATAATGGCTGTCAACCCACGCAAGGTGACAAACTGATTCGTTTTTGCCAGACACGACTAGTGCCGTGCGATTGCAACATCGCTTAAGCATGGGGCGTAAATATCACTATACACTTTCAATCAACCCGATAATACTAGCTCCGCTAGCACGCCACTCATCCTAGGGCTGATCTCTGTTAGCCTCTCGGAGAATAGTCGATAAGGCAAGGCGTCCTACCATTCCCCTCACCGAGTGGGGTATTTTTGGTCAGGATTTCCTTGGGGAACCACTTTTGACAGCAAATTTCGCCCCACATCGTATCAGTGGACCTAAAGCGGGATCTGCATCATGAATGACGATACCCAAATTTTAAATAAATGACGGTTTACATAGAGGCTCGGTCGGTAATTATGATGATGACACACGGCTGATAACCATCTTTGTAAACAATCCTGAAAATTAACTGCGTAGAAGTTATGCAATTCATACTGACATACCGATCCACTTCGGAATAGTATTCCGCTAGTTACCTATCCGATTATCTTCAAGGTAGTAGATGATTCCTTCCCAATCCCAACTATCAGCTCATCAATAGCAATCATGTCTTTTGAGAGTGCTCCAAAGTCCGATGAGCCGCTTATGAGCGGCGAAGATGGGTATCTCGAAACCCAAGCAGGCTACAAATCTTCTAAATCTCAGTCTAAGCGTTTATTTATCTGGAAAGCGATCTTCGGCATCTTTGCAGCCGTGGTGATCTTTGGATTGGGTGTAGCGACGGGCAATCACTTACCACCCAAGCGCCAGGGACTACTAGGTATGGACAACCAAAATTAATAGCCCATCATCTGCTAACATAGCTATGCAGCACCGGAGGGAAATGTCAAGTTATTCATGGAATACAATAGCACCTTTACTCTCCATCCGTCTCCCGAAAGCGATGCCGCTTGGGATTCACTATTCCCCAAAGGCAAGGGTTTTGTCCGGCATGACAAAATTGCACCTGAAACATCGGGACTGGTCGTCTACCACGGTCTTCACTGCCTGAATGCACTTCGTGGGGTTTACTATGCTTCCGTCGACGGTGTGAACACACGCGACATGGAGGATCATGCCCAAATGTCCCATATGACTGACCCACATCACGTCCGCCACTGCTTTGACTACCTGCGGCAGAGCTTGATGTGCTCGGCTGACACAAATTTGGAGCCTGTCACAAAAGAGTTGAAGGGTGTGACTGGGTGGGGATTTACAAGGACTTGTCGCGATCTGGATAGTGTGAAGGCATGGGCGGAGGAGAACTGGTCTAATGAGATTTGAAGATTGAATGGTTTAAAAGCTAGATGGCAGTGAAGATCCTATGCTTTAGTGGGTCGATTAGTGGCTAATCGTTTCAATCATCTTCCATTTCTGGTCTTTATTTTATATTCATCTAACTGTGTCAATTCACATCACACTTTTGGACCAACCAGAGCACCAGGCTCAAACGGGTCAACGGCCTGCTCGTTATTCCATGTCCGTAATTTCTCCCAATTGACACAGGTATGATACCCGGGCGCATCAACCGTCAGGTGCGCCTCATCAGGATTATTCGGATCAATCCACCGAAACCCACTAAGCGTTGGGTCCCCACGACACAAAATCGTCTCCCGCATGAGCTCAATACAATGATCAATATGCGCCTCCTCTTCTACCAAACGCTCCTCCGTGAAGTTGGCCAGGTAATGCCTCCGATAAATGTAATGTCGAATACGTTTCAAGCAGTGCATCTCGTGAAAAAGACCCATTTGTCCGACGTAGTATCCACCGTTCCCATTCAGATCTGTCATCTGTAAAGATGTCACGTTATAGTAGTCAAGATCCTCTTTCGTGACCCGGATGTTCGTGTGCTCAAACATGTAGTGCCATGCTTCTTCGAGTTCTGGGCGGGGTTTGCCAGCATATGGATTGTTGTGAATGCTCACCGGTAGCGTGCGAGATTCGTATTCGAGAGCGCCGGCGGAGTGGAGGGATGGGTATGGGGTTGCAAGAGACCAGTGTGTGAGTTTTGCTGGTTGTTGTGATGTAAGGAAGTGGTTAGGCTTCACAATGAGGAGGACATAAAGCAAGGCGAGGAGTATGTATGCGGACGTGAGGAATGCATAATGGAGCCTCAGCCATCTTTGTTGTCGCGAGCGTAAGGGAGGTATTGCTTCGTCTTGGAATGATTCTTCATCATCGTTTGAAGGCGCGAGATGGTACCTCTCCTCGTCTTTGGTCATGGTTTCATGGGGTGAAGGACGATTCAACGGCCCTTGACGAATGCAAGTATGCCATACGGGTCACATCCAAGGTGCCCATGGCATCTGAAGATATGGGTATATGACATTGATAATGTTGACGGTATCGTCCTTGTAAAACAGGCGGTCGAAATCCATAACAAAAATGACAGTACAGACGGGAATTTATGCCAAGTATACTTTAGACTAGTGGCCAAAGCGAATGTCACCACGGCTTCATGTATCGGTCCGTGTCTCCCAGATAGGAATTTCGTCGAAGGGTGAGAGCAGTAAGCGCCCCCGCAGGGTACATTGAGAATGACGGCGTCGCCAAGACCGTGAGCTCGCCCCGGTGGAGTTGGCACAGAAGAATACTGCAACCCTGCAGGGTGTTGGGCTAGCCTGAAGGATGCGCTAATGCGCCTAAGCGTGTTTATTGATTGATTGGTGCGCCCCAATTCGGATTCCGTCACGGGAGTGGCCGAAGCGAATATACACTAGCAAATCTACCGCCCCAGAGGGTCTCGAAGTATCTCAGCTGACGAAACTTGATCTCTTTGTCTCCCCCCCCCCCGCTCCATTGTGTGCTAAAAATCAATGATCGAACCTTACAACTCTTGAGATCACTTAAATCTTTTCCATTCCCACGGTCTAGTTCAACACAAACCCCACATTTCTTTTCGTTTTTTGCGCTATTTTTCTTTCATGCTGACCGTGGCCTTGGGCTCCCGGAGTGCATAGCAACGCAGCTTACCGACCTGGTTGCCCAACGGGCACATAGCGCAGCGGCAACCACTGTCGCCTGCGATTCGCGGGGCCGAGGCTAGAAAAGGAAAACCTGTTCTGATCAGCATGTACCGCCGGCAGTCGAATCTTTTAAAAGCGAATGGTAGAAGATGACAAGGTTTCTTTTTCTGCAGGATTAACTCCTGCATGCTCACTGCATAATCCACCAATCGCTCTGATATCTGCCAAACAATACACCAAAATAGGTTGGCCATTGAAAATAATGCCAGAAAGTACACTAGCGAAGAGTGACTATGGCTGCAATATGAAAGTACCATAATCGCATCGTCCAGATTGAGAACGCAAACCGTAGTAACCCGTAAATCTAATTCCTTTCATTCCTTGCACAAACTTCAGCCCCTCACATACCTCTACTTTGGCCCCCATATTTACGAAACTGATCCATGGATTTTTCCAGCCAAATAGCCTGCACATGCAAGTGGCGTTGATCGACTAAGACTATATACACAGACGCTCGAAGATATCGAATAAGCATACGGGGGCTGGAATTGACTGTTTATGACTTACCCGCAGGCCCTCCATCCTTCATCTGCAAAATCCCAAACATCACATCCACTTTCACCCCGTATTCGCGATCCGCGATCGGTCGGTTGAGATATGGGGTATACAAAGGGTGAGATGATAGCCTTAGGCTTCATCTTTGTTGTTCTGCCAACAATATTCGTCGGCCTGCGCATTTGGGCACGTTTTATCCGTCGCGCTGGGCTGGGTGCGGATGATTATACTATTTTAGTTGGATGGGTGAGTTGTGCGATCGCAAGTATCTGGCTTATAGAGCTGATTTATCGCAGGCTTTCACTCTCTCTGTCTGCACCGTACATTTGATCGCAGCCATTCATGGTCAATTGGGACAGCACCAAGCGATCTATCCAAATGGGGAGCCAATCTTGGATGATCCGCGTTTTATTATTTATGAAAAGGTTCGTCGGCGATCATCGATAGCAAGGGATATGTTTGAAACACGCGACTAACTTGACGCCGCGGTCGCGTCTAGTGTAAATTCTCCTTGCATATGTTATCAGTGCTTGGACTGGGATTCACTAAGATTTCTGTGATTCTACTCTATCGGCGCATTTTTCGAATGCCGATTTTCCAGCGCATATGTCTCGGCTACATCGTCGTCATTATCGCGTGGACTATTGCATTCTTTTTCGCCTGTCTGTTCCAGTGCACGCCGGTCACCCCTTTTGTCGAGGGTTTTTACGGAAATAAATGCACTAATGTTCTGGTTCTATACAACACGGTTAGTGGTACAGACGTTGCTCTCGATGTCTTGATCATCATCCTACCGATTCAGCCGGTCTTGTCCATCAAGATGAGTCTCCGACAACGGCTGGCAGTGCTGGGAATGTTTCTTTTGGGTTTGCTAGCGGTCGCATCCAGTATTGCGCGGCTCGTTTCCTTCGTGCAGTGCGATACCGTCTTGATCGAGCACTATAACGACGAGACATACTACACCTCCGGCGTGTTTGTCTGGACAGTGGTCGAGTTGGTCATGGCGGTGATTAGTGCTTGTCTACCCACGCTGCGCCCTTTGTTCATGCGCGGCAAGAAGAACGCTACTCCAGACTACCCTGAATATCCTCGTCAATACGGGTCCAGTTATGGGTCCGGTAAATCCGGTCGCCGGTCGGGGTACATGCTCAGTGTGGATACTCGCCAGGACGATTTTGATATGCCTGCGATGGCTTCACAGGATGCGCCAGGAGTGCAGATTCAGATTCAACGATCTTCAGTTGATGATCGGGAAGAGCCGACTGATGGCGTTATTCATGTACAACATAGTACGACATGGTCGGATCAGGATTTCCCTGCGCAGCCGAAACAGTCTGTTTAGATTCTTGTGTATACTTTTTTCATCCATAAATTGGCTATACGTTTAATGAAGTTTTGACGGTTCTTTGTTCATGGCGCAATAACTTTCTATACGAGATAAAGTTTGGTTCTCTTTGATGGATTTATCCATGGTTGCGTCTACATCGACTGTGGGGCGTATACTTCACGAAAGCCCCGCTCGCTTCTAAGGTCCAACTCAAAACAGTGTTAATCTAAGACGATCCTTCTCTCACTGTGCTTTGACACAACTCGCTTAACTTCCCCTTCTCGAAGCAAAACCGGAAAACGAAAATCGAGGGATTGGACCTTCGGGGTAATATAGAGTTTAATCTACCCTTGCATGCCACGCGAGATTACAAGGGGCGCACGACACGGAGGAATCCGATTGCCTGAATCCTCCAGAATACGAAGTAAAGGTACGCCATCTCGCGTGGTTTTTGATGCACACGGATTCGGATAGATTGACCTCGTGGCCTCGTGGCTTCCAAGGTCTGTTTTGCTTCCCCTGATCGTGGATTTCAAATCCGAACGCATTGAGGTGTTGCGACGCGAGCCAAGAGGTATATATTTCAGTCATTCTAGTAAGAAGTGCGATTTCCTTATCAAGGGCCGCCAACTATCTTTGACTGAAATTTGTAAAGCTTCATTATCTCTTTTTTTCCCCTCTTTTTCCGTCATGCCTTCCTTGGTTTCTGTGGTCGGGCTGGCCCTCGCAATAGTCCCGGTGATTGCCTCCCCAGCCAGGACCAGCTTCGAAAGCTGCTTGCGACCAAAGCTTTCAAAATCAGCAAAGCTGATAACTGCTCAATCGGATGTCATTGTTCCTCGATGGACTGAGTATAAAGAGTTCAGTACTGGCCACATTGTGAATGTATCTACTGAGGCAGACGTTCAAGCATCGGTAAGCGCCCCCATCCACTTACACGCGTTAATTCCGACGCACTTACTAAGTATTCAAACCTGCAGGTGCAATGCGCCAATCAAGCAGGCGTCCAGTTCTTCGCGCAGTCTGGCGGCAATGCTTGGGCGACGACCTGGAGTCTTGGAGAAAATGACGTGGTGATCAATCTTCGAAATATGAACAGTGTCGAGTTCAATATGGAGCGTACTCTTGTGAGAGTGGGGGGTGGTGCGACGGTCGCCGAATTGACGGACGCTGCGTACGCCAATAACGCGCAGGTCGTGACTGCCAATTGCAATTGTGTAGGCGCAATGGGCGCCACGATGGGTGCAGGATACAGTCGTATGATGGGTGAGCGTGGGTTCATGATCGACAATATCGTGTCTTTTCGCGTGGTTCTGGCATCCGGGGAGATCGTTGATGTATCGTCAAAATCCAATCCCGATCTGTGGTGGGCTATGCGTGGCGCCGGTGGGAACTTCGGCATTGTTGTTTCGTCTGTCATGAAGGCTTATCCCACGCCCGCGGCTCAAAATGGTGCCTGGGTCGGTAACCTGATTTTCAGCGAAGACAAGATTGAAAGTGTCGTCTCCGCTGTCAATAATTTGACTCTGACCTCTAAGATGGCCATCTTCTTCTACTTCGCTAATGGGGGTGCGCCCGACTATACTCCGATATTTATGGTTACTCCCTTCTACCTCAGCGGCGGAAACACGACTGCTGCTACTGCTGAAGCCCGCGCAGCCTTTGCGTCGATATTTAACTTGGAGCCTGAGGCAGATACCACAACATGGACACCTTATAATGAGGTCAACGCTGGCAGCGAGAGCTTCTGCGTCACGGGTAGTCGCAAGGTCAGCTACGGCGCGGCGCAAGGCCAACTAGACCCGACAACCTGGCGGACAATCTACACCGATTATACAAACTTCCTCACAGAAAATGGCGGAGACAACGTGGGTAGCTCGCTTGTTCTCATGGAAGCCTACAGCCTGCAATTTGCCGAGCAGAAGGGCGACTACAGCTCAGCTTACGCTTGGCGGTCTACAAATCGTTTCAATACGGTCGCCATTGCTTGGTATACGGACGAAAGTTTAGATGAGACCGCTAATCTATGGGCGAGTCAGGTTCGTGACGACTGGCGGGCAACTAGTGGATTAAAGTCAAACTCAACGTAAGTTTTCCACTTCCTTTGTCCTTTCTTGGCGCGGGCCGTATTTCTTACATACTTCCACCTTGCAGATACATTAACTTTGCTTTTGGTGACGAGTCACTAGAGGATATTTACGGTGATAATGTGCCCGTTCTCCAGGCTCTGAAGTCATACTATGACCCACAGAACAAATTTAATCAATTCTTTCCCCTGCTTTAACCGTGCGAAATTTGATGCTGGGCATGTTCAGTGGGTAAGCCCAGATCGAGCCGTCCGAAGACTGTGTGGCCCCTTCCGAAGACTGTGTGGCCCGAAGAACATCCTTGTATATTATTGACCAGTTTTATTGACAGTCGGATCTCCGGTGCTCGGAATTATCGGAGGTAGACCACGGCATGTACATACATCAATCTCACTGTTGCATTTTCTTTTTTTGGTTTTCGCCCCCAATTTTCGATGGTCTTTGCGCGGCTAGAAGATTACGAGACTCCACACAAAGTCTTTCAAAACAAAGAATGTTGGCCCCCAAAAGAGGGGTTGAGGGTACATCGTCAGCGGCACCGGGGTTTGCCCTGATCCGTCGTCCCCTCAGAGTCTTCCCGGTTTTCATACCTCTCTCAATCCACCCCGCACAGTGGACGCTTATGTAGGTGGCTAAGCAGCGCAAGTTATATTTTCTTTGTTGCGGGTGGTGGGGATGCTTCACGTGTTATGGTAAACGTGATACAACATGGTATCCGGTGATCAGCAGGTAAGTACTAGCTCTGTAGATCGCTGTCAACGCTTGTGTGGGTCTAATCCTGAAGTGGATATGTTGCCATCGTCCCACCTGGATTGAACATGTAAGCGAATCTGCAAACCCTGGCCATTTCCATTGCCCCTCATTCCCGAGCAAGGCCGCCCATCAATTGTAAGCTCCATCAGACTCCAAACTCCCCCTCTTGCTCCCGATGCGTTCCCTTCTACATGCTGTCCATATTTAACAAGTTGGTTCATCCTCCACAGTGGCATTCTAGATCCTGAAGATAAATCAACTTGTGGCGTTCTTAATAAAGTATTGGATAGATTATTCCCTCTTGATACCAGCATGACAGACGCAGCCGCCCACCTGACAGCTGTCGAGAGCTTTTCTAAGGACCACCCTGACATTAGATACATATCACCCTCCTCCGCAGAGTTCGGCACCGCCCGTGAAGTATGGAACGGCTCGCGCCGCGATCACCCACTTGCCATTGTCCAACCGCAATCACCAGCTGACGTCACAGCCGTGATCAAATTCACAAAGTCCAGCGGTATCCCCTTCACACTTCGCTCCGGTGGCCATAACCTGGAGGGTCTCTCTGTGGTGCAGGATGCCTTGCTTATCGATCTACGCGCTTTGAATTCGGTAACCGTATCGGAGGATCGGAAATCGGCAACTGTCGGCGGTGGTATCTTGCAAGGCGAGTTGGTAAATGAGCTCTGGGATCAGGGACTCGCTACTCCGACTGGAACCATTCCAACAGTGGGATACATTGGCTGGGCCTCCTATGGCGGCTACGGGCCTTTCTCATCGCATTGGGGTCTGGGTGTTGACCAGATCATTGGGGCAACAGTTGTCAATCCCGACGGGGAAATTATCAAGGCCGACGAGACAATTCTCGAGGGCATTCGGGGCGCGGGCGGCCTTTTTGGCGTGATTATTGATCTCACTATCAAGGTGTACCCTCTTACCTATGTAAATCTTCCCACGAATAATTGGAAATTTGATGACCCATACTGACCAGCTCTAGATTCTCTCCGGTCCCATCATCTTCGACTCGAGCGATATCGTCAAATCCTACACAGACTTCAACACAGCCTACCACAACCTCCTAGATACAGAAGGCCTCCCCCCACAGCTAACCCTCCAACGGGTCAGCTTCCAATCCCCTCGCGGTCTCGCCTTTGCCGCCCTCTTCTGCTGGAGCGGCACAGACCTCGAAGAAGGCAAACAATGGAGCGAAAAGATCGCCGCCCTAGGCCCAGCAAAGATGAATATGGTCAAACCCACCACGATCCCAGAATGGCTCGGCGGCGCAGGCGCACACGTTCCTAACAAGGTATACGGGTCCAGCTGGTCGATGAACCTATCCACGATCACAACCGCAGTCGCGGAAGCAATCGCTCGTAACCTCAGCATCCTACCCAATGATCCGGGTGCCATGTTTTCTCTCCACCAACTTCGTGGGCCGTCTGCCGCACCACAGGAACATGGTTCTGTCTTCGGGTCGAGAGAACCGCATTACATGCTTGAGATTCTTGCGTACGGCGGCACGCCTGAGAAGCAGGCCGAGTCCGTGGCTTGGGGGAAGAAAATGGCAGATGAGGTGGAGAAGGCCGCTGCCGGGAGTATGTTGCCTACGGCGTATGTGTCGCTTTACGGTTCGACTCACGCTGGCTCTACGGCGCGCTGGGTTGATAAGGTTTATGGGGAGAAGGCTGGGGCTCTGCGTGATATCAAGGCGAGTTTTGACCCGGAGAATCTTTTCAAATTGACCGTGCCGCTGTTGGAGTAGAAGGCAGACTGGAAGTAATATTCCCATTCAGTTGCTTGGGTTGAAGCCACAATGTCCTCGGAATAATGAATACCATGTGGTTACAATCCATTCGCTTAATGCATCGTATTATCTTTAAAGTCTCTTAATGTCCAGCAAAAGATAACAGTGAAATCAAGTGAGAATATCTTACCGATTGCAAGTCGGCAGATAGAGAGCACGGAAATTTCTTCCAACTCTTTGGGATCTCCCCCAGCGCGAAAGTACAGACCAGAATCGCTCTTACCAGTATTGAAATTCAAGAAGACCCCAAATACCATACATATCTTTCAAATGAGACAAACTTTCACCCGTGCCGCATGCATGCACGAGCGGAGTGGGGAAAGATACCAAACCCCGTATTTTCACCACTGATACCGTCGGACGCAACATCCCGTGCTACTAATTCGAGTCAGGGCCGCAATGCATCATCTCACCGGAAGTCAAAGCGTGGCGCTGATCTGGAATTTTATCTGAGACTCGTTCTACACACTCTTTATGCTGTCATCTATCCCACGCCGGGATGTTCTCGTCCAAAAAAGAGGATGATCGCTATTCACTCTTAGCAGACGTTGAAGACCACGATAGATCCAGGGAAGAAATTGACAAAGATGATGAACTAGCGTGGAGGAACAAGCAATCGTATTTGTCATATTTACAACGACCTATATTAATCCCATTGCTTGTTCTCATCATCTCTGCGCTGTCGGTGACCGTGGTCATTCTGTCTCTTGCGACACCGAAAGGATGCCGACACCCTCGGATTCGACGAGAGTGGAGGACATACAGCAAGACTGAGAGACAAGCATATGTGGATGCGGCAGTCTGTTTGACACGGACGCAATCACCGACTGACTCCCGAGTCTCTATTCATGACGACTTTTCATATCTGCATAGCCGCATTGGCAACTACTGTAAGTCGACGTCTATATTCGTGCATAAGGAAATCAAGCTTACAATGGGACTTTTCTGTTCTCCATTTAGCACACGACGCTGCCCCATTCCTCCCATGGCACCGCTATTTTATCCACGCGTACGAAAAGGCATTGAAAGATCACTGTGGCTACAAGGGGACTCTGCCGTGAGCAAAATCAATATTCCCAGGAAAACAATCGCCCGGGTTAACATATACAGTTATTGGGACTGGTCAAAAGACTACGAAAACGTCCTGGAATCGCCAATATGGGACACCGATGCTGGATTCGGGCCTAACGGTGACCCAACAGGCCCAGAAGGCGTCTCGAAAGGACATTGCGTGAGAAACGGTTCATTCGCTGGCTGGACACCAGCATGGTATCAAGGCGAGTATCGCCCGCATTGCCTGTCTCGCGGTTTTCTAGACGTGGTTACAGCGGAAAAGGTGAGCGCACGCACAGTTAAGCCAGAGATTTTGGAAGCGGTAGTCGTCGACGAGCCGAATTTCTTCAACTTCACTTTGCACGTGGAGGACGTTTCTCATCTCACTGTTCCTTTCCTTGTTCATGGTGATTTCAGGAGAATCACGGCGCCCAATGGTGAGTTATTGCTTCCCTGCCTTCTCTCAAGACTAAACATCTAATACTGTAGTGGTTAGATCCTGTTTTCTTTTTACACCATTCTCAGATTGATCGTCTTTGGTGGAGCTGGCAGAAGTACTCTGGTGATAGATTCCTGCAGTACAGTGGCCCTGCGCAGCTTGGTGGGGATGAGGAGGGCATGCTTACTGATTTACTCGAGTATGGTGGTTTCCTGCCCCTTAATCCCAGTGTCGGCGATCTCATGGACACGGAAGGAGATCTCTTATGTTATCGTTACGATGTGGGCGTAGTAGGATCACATTGAATAACAAGCATACTCCAAATGCATGAAGGCCAACTTCGTAGGTATTATCTCTCCGATCAACTCCTGGATAGTAAAACACAAGATTCATTGATCATGCATAAACTTTGGGAAAATGAAATTCTTGTTGATGCATACAAATGATGCGCGATTCAGCTTATCCGACATAGCACGACACGCATCAAGGCAAATGGGTAGCTGACGAGTGTACATAGTCTCCCTCGAGCGATTCCCATGATGTACGCAATATATATAATTGGTCTGCGACCTTTGGAAGTGATCGGTGTATTGTGAACTCCTCTCAAAAGGTCTGCGGGCAGTCCTTCTGCTGTGTCGGCCAATCTAAAATATCGCAATGCCAATGATTGTGATGGATTCGATCTTATGGTGGCGGTTATTGCAAGAGCGTGCCGTCCTTATCTGATAGCTTTGCGTTTTTGCCCTCCAAGTTTTCATATCGTTGATAATGCTATTTAGTACTACTATATTTCATCAAGGCCGGCTGGCCCAATGGCAAGGCGCTTGACTACGAATCAAGAGATTGCAGGTTCGACCCCTGCGTCGGTCAATTTTTTTGGTCTTGAAAAGACTTGGGTCCATCACAGTGGATCAGATTTTTTTTCTCGCTTGCTGCGGTTGGTGGATGGGAACTGCGGAGCCCACCCGAACTCTTAGCCCAAATAGAAAGCCTCATTAAATGAGCGTCTAGTTCTTCTTTGAACCGACCCTGGAAATTGAATGGGTCAAAAGTCTTGGGTGTAGGTATTAAAGTCGTTCTTGAATACAATCCGTTTCTCGTGCACGGTGGACCTTAGGTGCATTGCCGAACAGAGGGGACATCGAGAATATACTAGAAGAGGGGGCTCGGTTTATGAGCAACTTCCGCGAACGTCAATCGGTTGCATATAATTATTTTCTTTGTTACTCGCTCTCAGAAATATTTTGATCTTGCTAAGTGTTCACATGCCGCATGGGAAGTCTCGACCATCGTTGTTCTTAGTGAACTACCTGGCTATTAGAATCAGTACGTGGTCATCATGAAGTAGATATACAACATTGGAAGAGAAATATTCGGCCAAAGGAGTCTCTGAGAGATATTACGTCCTCTGGAAACCATTCCTGTGTTGCTTGGCAGTGATCGGGTGCTTAGGCATGAGTGCTTTGGTGGAGAGATGGTTTCCGATTGTAGCTCTCATTTCTGTGATCGGAGATGTCAGAGCCACTCATTGTTATTACCCGTCCTAGGCAAAGTCGTCGAGATAGAAAAGGGGCTTAATGCTAACTTGCAACCGCCGGTAGGAACATTGACGCAGTTGAAACTTTCATGTTAGTTGTTCAGTTGATGTGGACCAAAATTGTACCCCCTACCACTCCCACCACCTGACATGTTCTGCATAGGTGGGCTTGAGTACCAGTTTGTACGGTCGGGTTTATCCGATCGAGATTGCAGCTTTCGATCGCCAAAATGGAGTTACAACAACCTTGACAGTACTAGTCTGTGCCCATAACGCCCCCACCTACGTAGCCGACAGATTGGGTAGATGATCTACCACGTGGGAAACGCACTACGTAGTCCGACTCCATATGGTCATACGATAGTGGATCTATGGATGAACATCTGGATTTCAACATTTCAATGACGATGCGATAAGCACTTGGGAGAGGCAAGAGATGACGACCATTGTTATGTGCTGAAAGTATCTCGACAAATTGACTTTCAAATTGTATAAGTCATGCTAAGGTGTATCTTACCGAGTTGATTTTGGAGTAAAACAGCTATCTATCTTGTTTTCCAAGCATTACTACGGGGCCGGCCTGAAAGCTTTTCACTAGTTTCCCCCGGATTTTCTGCGCCTGTCATTGCTTATCTTCATGTTGCCAATATCAGCACCACAGCTCCTATTTTAAGCCACCCTTGGCAACACCCACAGGCCTGAGCCAGTGTCATTTCCCTATTCCACTTTCACTTTCAGCACCTACAAGCTGCATCAAAGCCGTTGACGGGACAACTAGGCTAATTTACTTGAAAGTTGTGGTATGCGGATGGGGTGCCATAGTGCATTTCATTACGTTCACTTCTTCAGCTGTACCCCTATGCTTGGATTCTGCTTAATGAACGAATCGATGTTATTAAAATAAAAGGAACAGCAAGATCTGAACACTAAAGCAAAAGAGGGAGCACCAGGATGTGGTAGAGTAGACCCGCTGTGCGGGTGATCACACTCGATTCTTGATAATTGATGTATCACAAGTACATGATATAAGGTGTTCTTATCTACAGTTTAGGGGCATGAAACTATACAGTAATTCAATTAAACTTTCTCTATGTAAACAATGTACTCTCCATCTATGCCTTATAGACCCACACCATCTGTAAGTGGATATGGGTGGTCGAACAGATCCTTCAAGTCAATTCCAAGCAGTTGCAGCCCATCTATATGGTAGCTCGGATCATCAATCAGAGGGAGAAATAGCTCATCGGCTTCCTGAAGGGCAGCTGGGGTCCACAGTGGTGTAGTACTAGCACCGGACACCAGTGGCTCTTGAGGCAGGGTTGGAAGCGAAATAGCCATTTGGCTATAATTCTCCGTCTCGGCACTGGGAAAGATGACAGCAGGTTGCGCAGCTTCCGTCGCCTCTGGAACCGCTTCAGGTTGCTCGCTTCGAGCCGGCTCATTGGTTCTCGGGTCTGGAATTTTGTGTGTATTTTTAATCTGTCGTTTCTCGGTCACGTACTGTCGCGCCAGATGCGCAAATTCCGCGATTAATGAGCCGGGCAGAGTTCCCTTGCTTGCGAATTCTAATCGACTGAAGTGTCCACCGGCAATATCGAGGAGTGCAAGGCTTATCCCGGTTTCGGGATGTTCGGGGTTGTGGACCACCAAGTCGAATAGAATTAGGAGACATGAGAGTGGCATCACACCTAGGATCCTAATATCCTAATATCAGTAACTCTTCACCATATCTGAGTATATCCCAGTGTATACAGCTGAGAATTTCACTGCTCTAGGTATCTCGTTTCGGTGGACTGACCAGATGGGCGTAGAAGGAGCCACGTCGATATATTTTGTCAGCTCCAAAACAGATCTGGCTGTACGCATCAGCTCTCGCTTTAACTCCAACTGTTGGGTGGCTCGCAATCGGGCTGCACTAAAATGTAAAAGTGTCCACGAAAGGGTGAGCAGTGCGTTTAGATACAGATAATGCGTCATTAGCGCAATTGTCTGTGCAAGTGGTTCGTGTAGCAAGCGTGGCTTCAGTTGTTCTCCAGCACGAAACCTCATGGGACTTGACAAACGCCAAGCTTCCAGCTCCTGGAGAAGAACCTGCACCTTTGTATTGTAGTCTGCAACTGATTGATTGGTCGAGCTTATTGTGAAAAGATCATTATGGATTTTTGACACCAGGCGGCCATATTGGAGAAAACTGAAAAACCAATCATAGTCGTGGAAGGTTGACACTTTCACGTCCGGGATGGCACAGCTGATATTTGAGTCTTGTAGTACCTAGATCTGTTGTCAATGAAAATCTAGCAGGACTGCGCGAGGAAATATATACCGAAACTTTTCCTGTTATGAAGCAGGAGACTTTCTCCATGAAATACAGTACCCAAAAGGTGCGCCGGTGCGACTCTTCGCCGAGGCCATTAGACTTGTTATATCCTAATCCCTGTGCCATTATTGAAGCCTCTGATAGCATAAGCGGTTCGAATTGGAAGGCCGACGCGGTCGATGAAAAGATAGACTGGAAACTTCAGCATAATGCATTTGCTCCTGGGATAAGATTAACTTTACCATTGCCATTAGCGCCTAAGAGCTCATTGAGGCCGTTAGTTTTCTTTTGCGGTCATGGGAATGGATCTAAACAGACCTGCACCGCTGTGAGCGACCCACGACAGAGGAGAATGTCCTGAAAGTGCGATAGCGAGCGTTCAAAGTATGTCCACGCCTCACCTATACCGGCTTCAAAACTGCCACCATCATTGTATTGGCAGCCAATTGCCACCACAGCATAGTAAAGCGCGGCCCAGGCTCTGTCTGTGGCTAGTAAATTTAACAGATTTTGGGATGACGCCTGTTGTTGAAAAGTCTCGGCACAGAGAAAGGGGTAAATTGGGTGGACCATCTCAAAATATGCTGAAATAGAAGCCAATAAGTAACCTAATTTATAAAAGTCGGGATTAGATATACAAACCATAGATATGTGCCTTGAGTGACTCGTGAGGTAGATCATGCAGGTTCGGTTCGGAAAAACGCCCTTGAAACGCCTTAGATCTGGGAATATAAGTAGCAAGCTTCATCTTAGATGCTACAAGCTTTCGAATCTCTTCAAGGAGATGCGCGAGTCGATCATGGCCGAGCCTTTCACTGATCAAACGCACTCTCTTCTCCGGAAAAAAAGATATGTTTGGGTTCGGGCCAAATAAAGCCATCAACTAGGTACACGCATTAGTTTGGTAGTCCAGAGGTAATCGCTTAAAAGAATATTCTTAATACTTGATCAGGATGATTGACACCTCTTCGAATGCGCGAGGCCTGCCTATCGGCAAGCAAGGAATCGATGTACAATGTAGACAGCGCATTGTTGCGATCGAGTGGCCGGGCATCAACGACGTCATTTTCATCTAGGACAGGCCTAGTCCTCACCGGTATTTCCCCTGGTGTTCATGAGCGTTATCTTGCGATGATTTTGGGTGGCAACTTACCTGGCTGGCTCAGCTTGCGCTTTCTGGGCTGTTTGATGTAGCTAAAGCTACACGGACTGTTGCGTGACTGTACGTAATGATCGTCATTCTCCAGGATCTCAGGGAAACTGATTACTGTTGTTTAACTCACGAGACAGAATTCGCAAGCATCGGCGCCACTCATCTCTGGTCTCCGTTAGCGGGTCTCTCGGATTAGACCGCGCGGCGGGGCAACACTTACTGCATCGAACCTTTCGGGCCCGGCACGTATCGCAAGCCTTGTGCAATGACATATCCATCGTGAATAAGATCAGAAATGCAAAAGTCGGAGACGGAGGCGAGCGGGTGTTGTTATTCTTAAGACGTTCCCACCTTCGGCGCCGAAGGAAGCATCCAATCACGTTACTCCATCTAACCGTTGCAAGCCCCACCACCTTCGGCTCCGAGATTGACAAATGATTAACCGGAAAATATTATACATATACTTTAATGGCTTACACAAAATCGTCACAATGAGCCCCTTTAATATATTCTAATGCAATATGACGCTAGTTTGGTCAATGCCGGTAATCATCGGGGGCGTGAGAAGGACTATATATAATCTAGGGTCTTCGCTCGGGTCCATCTGAGCCCTCAACTGGACATTTCTTCCAATACTCGTCAGCAGACTTACTTCTACTTTGCGCTTATTTCAGCAATCCCACGATGTCTTCCTCCGGAGACGGGTCCACTCTGGCCTCCGATGAGAATTCAGAAAAGCCCACTGACATTTCGCTGGAAAATCGACATAGAATTGCGAGGCTTGCTAGACAACTGACAGAAACTTCTATCCACCACGCGGGAGCTCATTCAACGGCATCTAACCCTTTTAATGGTTCTGATGATCCCAAGCTTGACCCTAGCTCAAAGAGTTTCAATGCCAGATACTGGGCGGAAACCGTACTTGGGCTGATGTCCAATGATACCGAACGGTACTTGCCGCGAAAGGCCGGTGTCTCATTCCGCAACTTGAGTGTTCATGGATTTGGCAGTCCACTCAGCTATCAAAAAGATTTTCTGAATGTTGTACTACAAGTTGGCGACATCGTATCGGGTTTGGTCAATCATAAGGATCAGAAGATCCAGATCTTGAGAGATCACAATGGCTTGCTCCGGAGTGGTGAGATGCTACTTGTCTTAGGAAGACCAGGCAGGTAGGTAGCTTTCTTCCCTCGGAGCTTCTTCGATCTAATTGCATTGCAGTGGGGTTTCGACATTCCTAAAAACAGTTGCAGGAGAGACAAAAGGACTTCACTTGGATTCATCCACAGAGTTCAATTACCAGGGTAAACCAACTCCAAACCAGAAAATTTCTAATCTCCATACTCACATACTATTACCATTCAGGAATTCCCCGCAAAGCAATGCAAGGACAGTTTCGTGGAGATGTCATCTACCAAGCCGAGACAGACGTGCATTTTCCCCACTTGACTGTTGGACAGACGCTTCTGTATGCGGCTCTAGCAAGGACTCCCAGCAACCGACTGCCTGGAATTTCTCGCGAACAATATGCACAGCATGTGCGCGATGTAATTATGGCTACCTTCGGTCTCTCCCATACCATTAACACCAAAGTTGGTAACGAATTCGTTCGTGGTGTCAGTGGTGGCGAACGCAAGCGAGTCAGCATTGCCGAGGTTGCTCTTGCACAAAACCCAATCCAATGTTGGGACAATAGCACAAGAGGTCTAGACAGTGCCACAGCGCTGAAATTCGTTCAAACTCTACGCCTCGCCGCGGACATCAATAGTACAGCCACGGTTGTGGCCCTGTATCAAGCCTCTCAAGAGTCATATGAGGTACACACCAGCTTTTCTTCTGTGTTCCCTTTATCTCATGACTCAAATAGAAGAACTGTTACATGATGCTAATTTCATATGGGCAGATCTTCGACAAAGTTGCCGTCTTATATGAGGGCCGCCAGATATACTTTGGACCGGTTCATCAAGCCAAGGAATACTTTATTGAATTAGGATACCAATGCCCAGATCGACAAACCACTGCGGACTTTCTGACATCTCTCACAATGCCCGTCGAGCGAGTGGTGCGGGCCGGGTTCGAAGACCGAGTGCCTCGAACTCCTGACGAATTTGCGAAGGCATGGAAGGATAGTGCGCTCAATGCTGAATTGATGCAGGATATTGCGGAATTCGACAAAGAATATCCGGTGGGAGGACCGGCAGTAACTCACTTTCAGGCGTCCAGAAATGCTGAGAAAACTTCATTCATGTGAGAAAATATCGTGCTTATGAGGAATTCCTCTTAGACTGACGACCACCTACAGGACTCCTCGCTCACCCTATACAATTTCTGTTCCACTACAGGTACTCTTATGTATTCGTCGAGGCTTTCGTCGAATTCAGGGTGACATGAGTTTCTTCATCGTTACCGTAGGTGGTAACTTTGTCTTGTCTCTCATTCTTGGCAGTGTCTTCTATGACCTACCAGACACCAGTGAAAGCCTTAGCAACCGCTGCATCCTCCTATTCTTTGCTTTGCTTTTCAACGCTCTCAACAGCTCTCTTGAGGTATGTAATATGAGAATCGAGTTACCTTCATGCACTATCTGACATAACGCTAATCATCCTTTATTTAGATCCTGTCTCTATATGCTCAGCGACAAATCGTCGAAAAGCATGCGACTTATGCGTTCTACCATCCACTATCTGAAGCTCTGGCCTCCATGATCTGTGATCTTCCTTCAAAGATGTTGTCAACCATAGCCTTCAATATCCCCCTGTACTACATGTCTAACCTGAGGACCGAGTCCGGCCATGTGGTCATCTACCTGCTGTTCTCTTTCACCTCAACTCTGACTATGTCAATGATTTTCCGCACCATTGGCCAACTGACCCGGACCATTGCCGAAGCTCTGACACCAGCGGCTCTCTTGGTTATCGGCCTGATTATATATACCGGTTTTGTGATTCCTATTCGCGACATGCAGGGCTGGCTGCGTTGGATTAACTACATTAACCCCTTGGCCTATGCTTACGAAGCATTGCTTGCAAATGAGTTTCACAATCGGGAGTTTGAATGCGAAAGCTTTGTGCCCGAAGGAGCAAGCTACGAGAACATCACAAGTGCTGAACGGACATGTTCAGTGACTGGATCTTCCTCTGGGTCATCTGTGGTTAGCGGCAACCTATACGTTCAAGAAACTTATGAGTACTATTGGTCCCATGTCTGGCGGTTTGTCTCACCATGCTTTCCGGGAGAAGAACCAATCCAGCTGACACCATTTTAAACAGAAATTTTGGCATTCTGATCGCATATGTTATCTTCTTCATGATCGTGTATATTTTGGCAGCTGAGTATATCTCTTCCGATCGAGGCAAAGGCGAGATTCTACTCTTCAAACGCAACCATATTTCGAATTTTAAGAAAAAGCAGCAGACTGATGAAGAGTCTCCGTCCGAAAAGGGTCCTGGGGTCGTTCACCCTGGCGCAGATACTGAGCAAGGTAGTGTTGGAGAGGAGAAGACAGTTGTTATTCAAGAACAGACAAATATTCTTCATTGGCGAAACCTTACCTATGATGTTTCTATTAAAGGCAAGATTCGGAGAATTACGGATAACGTCGATGGTTGGGTCAAGCCAGGAGCCTTGACGGCCCTAATGGTATGCACAATGTTTCAATTGGACATCGATTTCTCCAATTCAAAGGCTGACTCATGGTACAGGGAGCCTCTGGTGCAGGAAAGACCACACTTCTCGATGTGCTAGCTAATCGAGTGCGAACTGGTGTTGTAGGCGGCGATATCTTCACGAACGGCCTTCCGCGAGATGCCTCGTTCCAGCGCCGAATAGGTTACGTCCAACAGCAGGACCTTCATCTTGAGACTGCCACAGTTAGAGAAGCATTGGTATTCAGTGCCCTTCTGCGACAACCGAAGACAGTCAGTAAAGAGGAGAAGCTCCAGACAGTCGAAGAGGTCATCGATCTTCTTGAAATGAAGCCTTACGCAGAAGCTGTCGTCGGTGTCCCGGGAGAAGGTCTCAACGTTGAACAGCGGAAGCGGCTGACAATCGGCGTGGAGTTGGCAGCAAAGCCAGATCTCCTTTTCTTCCTGGACGAGCCCACATCTGGTCTTGATAGTCAAACTGCCTGGTCAATCTTGTTACTGCTACGAAAGTTGACGAACCACGGCCAAGCCATTCTCTGCACAATTCACCAACCTTCCGCAATGCTCTTCCAGCAATTTGATCGCCTTCTTTTGTTGGCAGCTGGTGGTCGCACAGTGTATTTTGGAGATATTGGTGAAAACTCTAAAACACTGACCTCTTATTTTGAGCATTATGGAGCCGAGCACTGTGCGGTAGATGAAAATCCGGCGGAGTGGATGCTCCGAGTGATTGGGGCTGCTCCAGGAAGCACCGCAATTCGTGACTGGTCAGAAACCTGGCGCAAGAGTCCAGAGTACTCAGAAGTCCAGAAGCATTTGACTTTCTTGGAACAGGAAGCAAAGTCTGACGGGCAAACCCAACCTGGCCTGACCCAGGAGTTTGCCAGTCCATTCCACATGCAGCTGCTGCTTTGCACCACGCGGGTATTTGAGCAGTACTGGCGAACACCTTCCTATCTATATTCTAAATTGGCTATGTGTTTCATCACTGTGAGTTCTAAAATTCGCTCTCTCCAGAGTGTTCTACTCCATGCTAACATACCCAACTTAATTTCCTAGGCTTTGTTTATTGGACTTTCCTTTTTACTGACTCAAGTCACGGTGCTCGGGTTGGAGCATCAGATGTTTGCCATCTTCATGCTTCTCATCGTATTTCCTTTCCTTGCGTACCAAACCATGCCAAATTACATTCTACAGCGTGACCTTTATGAAGTGCGCGAGTGTCCATCAAAGACATATTCCTGGGCTGCCTTTATTCTGGCCCAGGTCATCGTTGAACTTCCTTGGAATACGGTGGCTGCTCTGCTCACTTTCTTTCCCTTCTACTATCTCATCGGCATGAATTCAAATGCTGTTGCAACGGATGCTGTCGCCGAAAGAGGAGGGTTGATGTTCTTGCTTGTGTGGGCTTTCTTGATGCATTGCAGTACCTTTACCACAATGATCGTGGCCGCAGCCGCGACAGCTGAGATCGGTGCAATTCTAGCTTTGCTACTGTTTACTTTTTGTTTGATTTTTTGCGGGTAAGTTCACCTATCTATCTTCCCAATGACCTCTACTAACCATTTTATTAGTGTCATGGCTTCCCCTACTATGCTCCCAGGGTTTTGGATTTTCATGTATAGGGTTTCACCCTTAACCTACCTCATCAGTGCCATGCTTTCCGCTGGGCTAGCAAATATTGATGTCCAATGCTCTGATTTGGAGCTAGTCGTTGTCCAGCCTCCTTCTGGCGTGACCTGTGGATCATATTTGGCTGATTATATCGCGACAGCTGGCGGTGCAGTGTACAACCCCAACGCCACCACTAGTTGTGAGTTCTGTTCAATAGCAGAGTCGAACGTGTTCCTGGAGTCGGTTTCGTCATACTACAGCGACCGCTGGAGGAACTTTGGTTTGATGTGGGTCTATATCGTTTTCAACGTGTTCGCTACCCTGGTTCTGTACTGGTATATCCGGGTTCGTGGTTGCCCTGGATTTTCGCGCCTTGGGGCCTTGATTAGTCGGGCTTGGAAGTCTTTGCCAGGAAAGAAGGCCAATTCGACTTAAGTGATGTACCAGTCGGCAGAAGGAGGACTGAGGTGCACTTTAGCTCGGAAGCTAGACCATGTTGGGGTAATTTGTCAGTAATAGTTTATATTGAGAATTTTAGAATGTGCCTTTCAGAGCGGATTACAAGTATTAGCGCATACATTTTCTACATTCGAGGACGGTAAACCAGAGCCTCCGGTCCATGAGTGGACAGTGCAAAAGCCACTCTGTAGCTTTCTGCAGGCTTGACATCCCGCTCCTATAGCGCCTCTTTCACTATAAGTTGTGCAATGCAATCCCATTCGCGTTACTGTACAATTGACTATCTCACTGTTCACGTACAGGAAAATGACTTCTCCAACTGGCTATACATTGAGATTAAAGTAGGCCAGCATTGGTGAGGTTTTGGGTCACCTGTTCCTGATCCGGGGTTTGCTCCATTGCTTGCAAAGGCTTTTGCTTCCGACAGTAAATATAAATTACTTCAAGTACCATCGCTCCAAGTGTTGAAAAGCTATTTGTTATTAATTGAATATTCTTTTTGCAAATAGGACATGTGCAAGAGGGAGGGAGGGGAAACTGGGTTATGATAAAACTTACAATGCAATGAAGCTAAATGCCTCTGCGGCATATTTTCGGCTGCAAACCGCCTCGCCGTTCCAACGAAGGATACGGCAGTTGATCTGGTTAAAGTCGAGAGCCAAGAAAATGAAGGCAGTAATCCATCTACACAAATTAGTTAGTGTCATTTTAGGGGAGTGGAGCTGCTGATTTATCGCTTCCAGGGTTGCTCACAAATAGGAAAGCACAGTATCTGTCGCAAGTAACAGGAAAATATGCCATGGGGCACGTCTTATAATGAAGCTAGTAGCGATTGACAGAGGTAAAACGACCACAGCCAAAGCAGCCTAAATTTTTGTCAGTCGTGCGATAGTGTAGTAAAGTGGGTTTCAACGCACAATAACCAAAGAATAGATGACCGTGACGGTTTTCGTGTCTCGTACTGCCCATGCTGTTATGCCAAGAACGACGACTGCACTGACAAACTGCATCAAGCGAGCGACATAGGCCACAATACCCAAAGGGTGATGGTAGAAGCTTTCCATTGCAGATGTTTTCCAAAGGTTATTTGAATTCACTAGGCAATTGCCTGGTTCCTGAAACGGGGAATGGGTTATAATATATGTGGTATTACTAAATTTTCGATTTTCAGACTTGCCGTTCCTTCGAAAATATCGATGATCTCACCACTTATGGTTTGTTTCCAGGGACCCTACTTCATCAAAAATTACCCAATCACGACTCGCAAAACTTGTCTCGAACATGGGACTACTTCTTTGAGCAGTGAGGTACAACTTCCTATTCTGATTCAGACTAATCCGATGAGGCAAAATCTACACCTCATTATAGATCTCGTGCGGCTGGAATGCGTTGCCCTGAGGGCGTAATCAAGGCGCTACCTCACTTTATGAAGCGGAATTCTGTATAATACGCTTGATCTGCTCTCTTGCTTTTCAGCGGGAAAAAAGTCTTTTTACGACCATGTTTTAATGTGGTTGTTACCACTTCGTCGGGTGCCCAGTTATACCCGTCAAAGTCAATACGTTGTAGCATCCTTTTCATTGATAAGATACCCTGTTAAGAAACCTCATTACTGACCATCGTGGTCGCGAAAGTCGGAAATGGAGCAAACCGATCAACTGAGCAAGTATGGTGTTAGATGAAGAGAGGGTTCGATGACCGACTTTGATCATGAAATGGGCGCAATATAGGTAAAGTGGTCCTCATCGCGTCTACTGACAATTCGAGTTTTGGCCTCAACCGTCTTTTCTACTGTCACAATACTGTCATTGATGGCCTAAAGAGGTGAGACTTAATAGCTATCTCACTCCGGCAGAATCAACGATCGTGCGACCGCGGATGTAGGGTAGATGGCAGATCAATGTCTGGAAACAAGCTACCGCAATGCATGGTAGTCGTGGAGCGGAAGAACGTGTTAGGCACATGGCTCGAGCCAGAGCCAATGATACTGACAGGAACATGTTTCGAGGACTTCTGCAACCCACAATCGTGAGCCAGTTTCGTCGCGCAAGCGTGGCAAAGGTAGCTCTAGGCCAAATGTCAAGTCACCCAATCAGGGATCGATTGTGTCAAGAGTCATGACGAATAAGGCAGGAAATTCAACTATGAAAACGCGCACAGACAGTCTGCTCATGGATCATATGATCATACTATTGGAATCATGAATGGTAAAAGGTATGCAGCTTGGAACATGCAATGAAGCCAAGTCGCTATTTAGTTTGGGACACATTAGCGCGTAAATTACCAAGCACAATGTTTTCCAGTATACGATGTTGATCAGATGATTTGCAATATATGTTATCCTCGAAGTGACGGCGTAATAGTCGTCCAAAAACGGAAATACGACCAGAACAAAACCAACGTCCGTGCTTTTTTTGTATGACGTCGTCTCACAATTGATTTCAAAGCTTAGCTAAGTGAACAAGGCGGCTGTAAAGAAATTCTCAAAAAACAAATATTCCAAGCTTGAAAATAAAGGGAACCATGCGTCCTAGACATTCGACATTGTGGGTCTAATTCTATCATATCACCATGAATCCCTCTTAGTATCGACTACTTGCTGTTCCGAAAGAAATGACCGGACTCGATAATTAAAGTTAGTCATGTCTGGCCCTGAAAATGTATGTTCATCTACTTCTCTTCTTCTAATCGTGATGCAAACCATGGCTAATAATTCGCAGGGGCTCCCTGATCGAGGGCTAGCCCTTATACTAGTAACCTCTATACTCACGTTTTTAACTGTGATAGTGGTCGCATTAAGATTGGTTGCACGAATCTTCATTCTGCATGTTGCTGGACTGGACGATTGGTGTGCTCTGGCCGCAACAACAGTTGCTATTGGAGCAGTTGTCACAATGGGGTTAGGTTAGTATGATATGTCTCTGGTAAACCAGTATCGCTAATGTGAAGATTTTTAGGGGTCAAATACGGAACAGGAAAGGTGGAGTCCAGCTTGGATGTCAACTTAAACGTATTGGGAAAGGTGATCTTCAAACGATAACTCGCAGAAGACGGGGATTGACTCAAAATAGGTACAGTTAGCGACTCAGGTGCTATACATACTGTCAAGCGGGTTAATCAAGCTTTCGATATTGTTTCTATACCGCCGCATATTCCAGCATCTTCGAATCTTGATTCTACTCAGTATTGCGCTTATTGTGCTGATCAGTATCGCCTTCATTTTTGCCGCAATCTTCCAGTGTAGGCCAACTGGAGTTCTCTGGGCTAATCATGATGGGAGCAAAAATTCTTGCATCTCTATTCTGGTTTTCTGGTGTGATGTGGCTGTCATATTCCTGGTCAGCAACGTCTGGATTGTGGTGCTGCCTATCAAGCCTATAATTGGTATGTCAGTCCTCTCGTGTGAAATATGATCAAGTCACTTACTTTGATGACTTTCCTGCACAGGCCTTCACCTTGCCCTGAGGAAAAGAATGGCTATTTTGGGGCTTTTATGTTCAGCTGGGCTATTGTGAGTCTTTAAGGTTCTATATATTGCGAAGATGTGGACTCAAGCTCATAAAATAGGGCCTGTGCTGCTGCTGCGGTGCGGCTAGGATTTGTGGTTCATCTCTATCGAGGGCATGATCCCTCTTTGGATATTATACCGATCTACATCTGCTCCGTTGTGGAGATATCAACTGCATTAACGGCTTGTAGTATCCCTGCACTGAGGCAAGCTCTTCCCAAGTGCAGAGGATATATACAAAGTGCCAAGGATAGATTCAGCGACATTCAAACATCGGCTTCTTCAGCGTGACATTTGCCGCCCTGGTACCATTCCCTGCCTCTGCGCCTGACATATATTTCCATATATGGTGCTCTCATAGGCGACAAAAGTCTTTCACAATCTGCTCCCAGCTCTATACCAACTCAAAAGTCCTCCATTTTTAAGACACTGTACGATGGTTCTTCATATGGATGAGCACTGGGAACGGGACTGATTAGCTTAATAAACAAATATCGATCATGAAATATGAATCCGCCGTGGAAACTTGCATTTTCAAAGCCTCGACTGCTTTTTTGGCAATATCTTCCCCCACGCAGATTGTCTCAACCCTTATCTCTGGTACCTCCTCTAATTGTCCAATTCTGCCTATATGGGGATCTGCTGTGCTGCCCGGTCGGAACTGTCCAGTTCCCATGCTAGTCCAGCAGCATTCAGAATAGTTACCTGGCCCAGGATACCTTCCTGCGCCGGCAGCGAAGATGGCATCCTTGCAAACTGTAAGGGCTGAAGGAGGCACGAAGAAGACAAGCCTGAGTTTCAAAGGGAGGCGAGACACAGTTGCCATTCTGATATGCGTTGCAAAGAGTTTAGTCGGCGAGGGGAAGCGGAAACAGAAAGTTGGGTACTTTGGTGAGGTGGGGAAAGAGGGGAACCTGGTATACAGCACAGTACACTAGTGTATCCAGCTTCACTGTTGTACACCCTTAAATTATGAGCCTCACTATCAAATCACTAGCCTAAAATTTCCGTACCATTTAATGAAACAAATTATGATCGATGCTTGAGCTTTGATTTATGATGATTCCTGAGTTGAGAGATGGCTCGGCTCAAGTATGCAGGGTAGGTTGACGCAGCCCTCGCCCTATACTGAACATGATGACATCGGCTTTATTCGCTTGTATTTATCTTTCTTCACATGGCGAGAACCAGCTGGGAATGTGAGCTAGCCATTACATCGCAGATTTCCTGGTTGTTCAGATTTGCCCTCAAAAGAATACGTTCTTCTGTTCCAGCAGTTGCTTGTAAATATTGGCCTAATCCAAAACCGCCTATAGATGCTCTTCATTCGCAAACATCCCCAGTGAAAACTGGCCTGCATCTCCAAGTACAGAATGGTCGGGGGCTCTCATGTGTCAAAATTGTTTCATCCGTTCGTTAGGTCGGTTCCAAGATCAGTCTTATAGATCTGTCAGATCCTGGAGACCGGGTGACCCCAGTTCTGTAGATAGAGCAGCGCTTCTTCCTCTTGTTCTCTCCTTATTTCCTCCATATCACCAAGATACACAGATTGTTCTGTCTGTTCGTTTTTTCTTGTAGCAGCAAGCGGTAGCTGCTTGTGCTTCTTCTTTTCTCCTCTGATCCTCGACCAGCGTGTGACGCTGACAAGATCCTAACGCTGATCTTGCTCGGACGCTATTTGAGGCTAGACGTGTATCCCTAGCAAAGATCACACAGCTCCTCTTCACCCATATATTCTTCCGTTCCATCCTCGATCCAATCAATTAAAGGCGAGTCAATAAATATCGGCCTTTTACCAGTCGTGTGAAGACCACGGGCGCCCTTTTCAAGGAGCCAAGCATACGTGGCTTCAATAGCAGGAATGCTATTGAGGTACCCGTAGCTTGGCTTGATTGAATCCTGTACCATAGCCACCACCGTGCTTGAAGTTATCATCATGCACTGCTCAAGCCACTCGTCGATACCGTCGAAGTCACACATCCGTTTATCTGACGGGAACACAATTATAGCACCATCCTCAACGTACAACCGGTATGTGACGTCGCTGGCGTTGAGGCAGGACAAGAATATATGCGCAGCTCCCGGAAGCAACTCCGACTCCTCAAAAAAAGTGATATTGCGTGATAAAACTGCTGCAGTGGCTACTTGACTCCAAATAGCCACAGCAGCGAGAAAGACTGGCAAGAGTTGAAAATGCATAGCGACTTTGAGCATTTGGAATAAATAGGCTTCGAAACCTCAATATAATGACAGTCCTGCTTCGCAAAGTCGGAATTAGGTCAAATCAATCTTGGAAGTAGCTGCACAAACAAATGTCCTTAGCAATCCCGCAAATATTCCTGCTTTGGATCGCAAATCTTGTACTTACGACCTCGGGGCTCAACTATGAGACAAGGCAAGCTCATAGAAACAATATTATGGTGCAGTATGTATGATATTGGAGCTACTTATACTTTTACATTGGCTCTTTCTTCGCGGTGATGGAGCCCCTGGAGACGTACACTCTGCATCTATATGGAGGAAGACGCGTGTTCTTAGAGATTTAACTGGTGAGTCTAGCCATCCTTTTTAGCCACTTATCTTTAGTGTCTTGACGCTAGCATCAGTGGGGCTTGACTACAGAAGCGATGAAGATCTAGATCCCAGCAAAGGCTGGATGTTTGAAGCCTATGTTCATGAGAACAGTCAAGCTAGCCCATATTGAGACTAGTAACTAGTAGCGTACCAGAAAAGCTAGACCCGAAGGGGCCGCCGCCCTCGGGGAAATGAGCGGATTTTGATTCCGCGAGAAAGCAAATGGCGTATGCTAAGCCTTAAGCTGGGGCCCTGCTAAGAATATCTTGCCTGTAACTCAATCTATGACCTCGGGAATTACACCTATATCTGAGTCTTGATGACAATCTAATTGCATCGGTAGGACCAATAATTACGGAAGAGACAATACTTATTTGGTCATTTTCAATAAAGAACCAGTATCAGGCATTTCCCATCATTTTACTCATATATATCCTGATAATGGCTTTCAAAGTCTGTGGAGATTTTGCACGGCTGCCTAAGCCAGGCTCTCACCGCCGAGCCATTCTATGAGCAATCAAATTCATCATCCGAATGGGGAACCGGGAACAAGATATTTACAGTACCAGTCTCACCGTTTCTGCACCATTGTGAATTTTTGGGGCTCACTGTCAGAGCGCTAGCCTTGAGATGAGTGTGGCTCAAGGAAGCAAGCTACGATCATAGTCAATCTGTCGTATATTAACGACGATTACAAGGCAATTAGAGATGACTCGGCTCAAGTTTGCGACGTACCGCTAGTAAATGGTGGCTTTCGTCTTATACTAATCAGGCGACACCCACCTTAATATTGATGGAGCTCAAGGCACGCGCCCATGAGATGGGTAACCGCCAGAAAATCCGTTCTGTCTTTTTCTCAATTTCTACTTATACAATGAGCAACTGAGGCTACTACCTAATTGTTTGCTGCTTCGAACTACAGATTTATTTGAAGAGCAAAAGGAAGGTAACACAAACAATTAATGAGATAGACAAAAGCGGTCGGGAATAGCTAAGAATGTGACATATTGGAGGAAGTCCACCAGTATTACTCCATATCAATCGGACCAAGGATCATAACCTTCAGGCCATCCAAGGTCCTCCGCCAAATCTGACCATTGAAGATACTCGGTGTAATCTTCACGGCTAGAATTGGTTTCCCAATATCGAGTGCCCTGATTTGCTGGTGACTTACCCTTAGCACCTTTCTTGCCTTTTTTTTGTCGTTTTTGTGCCAACTTGCGCTCTTCCTCCTGGCGCCCAGCATTTTCTGCCCATATTTTCAGTTCCTCCGGGTTCATAATACACCAGATGACGACGTCTCGTGCTGCATATGTGTCTTCTAAAGCACTATGACCACAGTTGCTATTCTGTATATCCAAACTCAAAAGGTCCTTCGCAAGTCTTTTTAATCCCCATTGACGGGGTAGTGGCGTCGTAGATGTAACGGAGGGGAAGACAGCCTCTGAGGTCAAGATGGCAGAATCAACCACTTTCGCATGGGTCATGCCTAGTACTTCAAGATCATAATTGAGAGATTGACCAACCAACACAGTTGATTCGTCCATGAATTCCCACAATTTATCACGCGCTTCTCGCCAGCTTCCAAATGCTGCACCAGAGGCAACTGCGCTGGCCATGATCGTCGGTGTGACGCCACTGAACTTGGACCTCCAGTCGATCACGTCTTCGATTGGACTGACATAGCGATTTATGAGCACTTCACCCGTCAAAAAGTTGATGGCGGTGAGAAAGGCGAGTGTTTGTCGACCGCCTCTAACGCCTACCATCTCGCAGTCGATGGCGATAGCGCTAACTTTGCCCGCTACTGATAGTATCGTACGAGGAATGTCCCGAAAGTCACGCAATCGGATGGATGTCTTGTGTGCACGTTTGTTGTTGTTTATGTTTTCAGAGATATAGCCAGAACCTAGGATATAACCTTCCGTGTGAAGACGATTCCATGAATGGCACCTTGAGCGCAGATACCGTAGGATGAGATTTTGCTCGAGATTGTTGAGAACAAATGGCAAGACCGTAATCTCGGATGTAGCGTTTAATAGAGATTCTGTTGGTATCGACGTAAGACTTGGGCTAGTTGCAATGTAGCTTTGACGTTCCTTGCCTTGTATATGAAGCGCTTGGAGGTTTGTCACTGGCATATAAGCCAGTAGGCTATGTAATAGAGGATAATTTAGGGTTTCGACCTCCTGTTCAGGGGGTTTCGAGGTCTCTTCGGGGTTATCTGTTTGTACACCTCTCGACTGCGGTACTGGTTTGACCGCTGCATTTGACGATGGCAGTTTTGGCGATGGCACTCTTGACGACGGCACTTTTGACGATGGTACGCTTGATGATGGTACGCTTGACGATGTTACGCTTGATGATGGTGCGCTTGATAATGGTGCGCTTGATGATGGCACTTTTGATGATGGTATATCTGAGCAAGCGCCGTTGGACTTGATACACTTCTGGTAATGCTGTATAATGCCCAGTTCCTCCTTGAATGTTTTTTCGCAGGCAAAACACTCGAGGGAATGAGACGCCTTTATGAAATGATTTCTCGCCCCAACATAACTCCGAAAATTTTCTTTCGCACACCCAGGACATGAAAGTCGTATTGATTTATCTGCGGCCATTTCAAGAACTGAAGCCGGCTTTTGAGCCATGAAAGTGATGTGTAAGAAATCCAAGAAAACATTTGGAGAGACAGTTGGTAGTTTTTATTTCCTCTCTCAGAGACTAGGACTGGCTTCGAAAGCATACACGTAGTCGAGTTCATGCATACCGTGGCGCGAAGCCATTGGTAGGTACAGGGGTTTCCGCAGCACGGTTCATGGTCAGGCACTGCATTACGTTGCTTCGCCATAATCGTGGGGTGGCGCGGCCACGCGATCTTATCTTGGCTGGCTCTAAGGAGAAGAGATCGTAATCCGCCTTGTTGGTCTAGTCAAAAGTCATCACAGTAGGGAACTATCTGTAAGACTTGTTATCTCGAAAATAGCCTAATGGCTTCCAACTACTGGTTTTTCAACTAATTAGAAGAGCCAATTTGAGCCAATATGGCGATCGCGCTGGTCTGCGAATCACCCCCTCTTCTCACACTATTTTTGGATCGCCCCCTCTTTACACTCCGGTCGCACGATGTAGGACCAACATGCACTCGGAAGATTAGCACTCACCAAAAGTTCATGATTAGCTCTTGCGGTTATTGTCACCATAGACGCCATGGCTCGTCTATAGATGATACGGAGCAGGTTACCACTGGTAATGGCATAGAACGCGATACTGTAGACTGAAGTAAATAGTCTGCTAGATAAAAAATGCCTACCAACCCAGGTATTTTGGTTATAATTACAATTGATTATGTCCATTAAATTTGCTTAGTGAGTTACTGCACTAATATAATAATGAAGGGTCAGTAAAAGAGTTCCGTATTAATTTGACTCGGCCATCCATGCGGGCGGGTATTCTGGGTACGGATAGTATCTAGCACCTCGAAGGTAGTAGGATATCACGCTTTTACACGTCTCTCATCTAAGCCCTACGGGTGCTTGCCCTGGCTCTCTCGTGCAGCTTGTGTTGGTAGGTATTGTTCCAATATAGATTCGTGCTGCTGGATCGGCCTGCACATCACCGAGTTTGCGGCCAACCAGCGTTCCCTATAATATGTTGTTCTGAGAACGTGAATACTTCTAACATCTCTTGCACTCGCTCTTGTATGACAGCTGACATGCTCACCGTGCTGACTGTGCTGTCTTGACCTGGCAGACCGTACTTCTATATACATGATTCTAATGCAATTTGACCAGTATTATTATGTATGGAAGTGATCAAGCGGTAGATGTTGGAATAGCTGCATCTTTTTGCTATATGGTCCCGATTACAACTTGATCGCGCGACCCTGTGATTATTGAAATGCGGTGACGCGAACGTCGGACGAACTTTGCAAGTTTAAACCACGTGTTTCTCATGATTATGAATCCACGGGCCACGGCTTGCGGGGTAACTGCGCCAGATCGATTGTACAACGTGGATCAAGCCTAGTTCTGGTAGTACTACCTATCTTAGCCAAGTGGAGTAGTTAGACGGGTATTGTTGGCGGAGAGCCTTCAGTGATATCTACGGTCAAAGTCCGACTTATGATTATGACCAATCCTGGCTGATAGTCCGCAAGGGTCGCCTTTCGAAATCGGGGAACCAGATGAGATCGACACCAAACCATGGATCCGTGACCTCAATATACGGAACGCGACCCACCACATAACATTTTGATTCGCCCAATGTATTTTATCCAAAGTGTTGACATCATGTCCATTGCAATTCAATTTCACCCAAGATATAAATTTCCCACACATTCATTGCAGATAAGATGTTTTCATTTTTCCAATTCTAGCCACAGAGCCCAAATTCCCAATTACCTTATCACTCGCTCCAAAGAACAGCATGTCTCCGCCTCAGACTCCGTCTCAAAGTTTGTTAAGCTGCTTGCTGCCTTTGGTTTTCTCGGTATTGATGGAATGCAGAATCCCAACCCCCGCATCACGAAAATTTTGTGGAGAGGATTTTTGAACATCACGGCCATCACCATGATGAAGATAATAAAGACCATCCCGAATCGCAGTCCGAGGCACCACACAAGGAAAGTGAGAAGGATAAGTACAAGGATTGGTATCACAAGGAGGAGGATGAAGAAGCAGAAGGAGAGACATATGGTGGCCTGATGTGAGGTTTTTATCATGTGCCTAAACCGATGATTTGCTCGATCTTATTCCGTATTTGTGATCAATCAAGATGTCTTTCGAGAACTCTTCAATATATGACGTCCGTTTATCAGCAGATAGAGAGACTCTCCGTTGCTTTCCCTGCTTGAACAAAATTTAGTAAAATGATCTTAAAATATCCCCGCTTTGCTTAATGAGCGAAAGCTAAATGTTCTCATGTAAACTAATGCAAAAGCAATAGCCAAATAAGTATGCATCAAATGTAGGGGTAGAGCGGGTCATCAAAGAATGTTGTTTCAAAGCCACTGCTGCATAGGAATGATGATATCCGAGCAACTATCACTGTGAAACTTCTTTTCTCTTATAATATGCAGCGTGCAATAATTTGCTCTTTGAAATGACCCTATATTCGCTCTTTCGCAACAGTCTGACATGAACACCTCCCTCAGCCGTTCACTGATTACTTCTTGAGTGCCAAGCCGACCCAGCAAGGAAAGAGGTGGATCTTAAACTGCAATTCGCATGTCACCACATTCTGGTACCCAGCCTTTATATTGACAGTTTCGCTTTATAAATAGGGGCTATATGGCAGATAAGAATTGTCAGCGAACGTTAGTGAAATTCGACTTCTTCAAGCTGACAAAGCTCGCTACTTGTCCCCAAACAGACTTCTCTGAGCTACAACAAACAGCAGCGAACGACTAGCTGCTCACACATGCACGCCCTCGTGATGGGTGGTCATATATTTTCGAACATTACTGGTAAATACTGAGGTTACTTTTTAGCTGAGATCTCGGGCAGCTCTCCGCGATAGTTATCAACAACCTATAAAGACCGAATGGCTCCAGGAAAACCAGCCCCCGTTGACAAAGTACATTTTGCATCGGAAAGAGAGCGCAGCCAACGGATCACTATTGTGGAATTGATCTCACTAAGTTTAATTAATATACTTTTCTAACTTAATTACTTACATTCATGACTGCATGCTTCAATGTCCGTGCATTGATGACAAAAGCGAATCTGGTGTCCATCCGTCATCTACTAATAGTGAGTTTGAGTATTTGTTGTTTTTCCCAAGGCAGTAAAGCAGATTGAGGAGACATTTCTCGACTCCTTGGCGCGCTTCCAGACTCAAGGTGCCCAGAACCTGCACCAGGTCCATAACATAATTCACCTTGTATTCCCCCTCTGTAGAGAGTCTTCTCAGACATTCATATAGCACAGAGCGCAAGTTATGGACTGAATTCCCCCAAACATGTCTGGAATCCCTTAAAAATATCTCCAATCCATCAAGTGGGTTTGTTCCAGTGGGTGTTGTCGAATCCCCATCTGACAGGAAGGAAATTGACTCCTGTACTAGGACACTTATGGAAAACAAACACGCCAGCATTTCGGCTTCCCACTCTGTGATGTAAGCGTCACAAGAAGAAGAATGGATAGAGAGTTGGAATTGTTGACGCAAAAGTCCGACTGCGTCATGAGTAGAGGGGAATGAAGAAAGCCCTCTTGTGTAGAAAGAACCCATGAAGGTTCTCATGTCTTGAATGAATGATATCAGCCAAAGGCAGCGGACCTTCTGGATGTCAAAAGAGGGGGAATTTTGCATAACGGGGGGTGAGAAAAGAGGGCGAGAAATTCGTTCGAGGTTGTTCGCGGACTCGAGCCATGATGGCCGCGACATTAACGAGACACTGGAAAATTTTCAGTATCGCAGCCTTTCATACTTATCATGATATGCACCTACAGATAAACCACAAGTTCCAACCGCCAATTCTGGTGGAGCGCTTGGACACCACCTTTGGCGTCAATCATTCTCTGTAAGCCATCACGATGGATTTTCCAGTCTTCCACTGTACCCCAGTATCGCTGAGTGAAAAATGGTCAGTCATTATTTCACAGGGACATTCTTCTTGGCTGATACCTCAAACGTGAGCAGACGAACAACAGCAGCAAAAGAGTCATCGCTTAGCTCTTTCTCAGGATCGCTTAACCAAAGGCGTAGTATTCGGACAGCCTCGATCTTATATTTCAAGGCATCAGAAGAATTCGTTCCTCGTCCCGGGGGAGTGCCGGCGTATAGGTGAGATAAATGTGCAGCTGAATGCGCCATGATGCAATTGAAAGAAGAAGAATTTGAAAGGTCCAGTGGGAACCAAACATCCTTCATCGGATTGAATTCGGTGACATCCAAATTTTCGAACATCATAGCTGCATGAGTGCTAATCCCTACAATCCCGTCAGCAAAATTTTCCACAAGCATCGATGCCTTCAATCCTCATACATACAGTGATGCAAAAGTTTCTGATGCTGGCTCGTCAAGTGAACAGGACACGTCTGGAATGGGTCAGGCCTCGAGCTCGACAGCGCACAACTCGTACCGCACAATAGCTGAGCTGGAATGCCGTGATTTTCTTCTTGGTTCTCGATTACGTCGGAGTCCTCATCCTGTTGCATCCCTGAAGAGCTACTCGTCGAGCGCGGAAGCAAGGTTCGAGATGATCTCTTTCGGATATGCTTATTCGCCTCCCTGTGCTGATTTCGCCGCTTCCAGTGCTCCTTCATAGCATGGCTCCGAGCTTCCGATTGTATACCACCCATCACAAATTTGAAATGGGATGTTCCACTTGAGGAGCTGGAGACCGGCAGAGACATTTTTTTTTCTTGGCCATGAACAGGTGCTGTTAAGACAGCGAAGTTGACGGATCGAAATGTGGGGTGGGAGATAAAGATCACATGATAGACTCGCTCTACACGAGAATTCGGGCAGAGTAAGGGATATTCGGACACTGGCTCAGCTGAAACCTTGGCCCACAGGGGTCGGGTCCGAGTATGGTGATACCACAAGGGCTTGTTCGGTAGAAGTTTTGCCTTATGCACCAAGCGCGGTCTAGTCGGTCTCATTCGTCATATTTGTGTGGCTTTCTAAGCCACACCCATGGACCCGACCGCCGCCACACGCTTCGGTCTGTGGTCCATCACCGGTGTACTCGATTTTACGACAATGGTTCGGTAGAGTTATAAAAGGAAAATAAAGATTTTTACACTGCTCGGACCATTGACTATCATTTTAGTGTTGTCATTTTATCATTTTCATAAATAAGAACAGACAATTTCAAATCAAATAGCATTGCCTTCCGGAGACAAAGCCAAGTCTAAAAGCGCAGCAGAAATACCCTTCCTGCAGATCGATCTCACGCGGCCTTAATGGCTGCTTCAGTACGATTTTGCAGTTTCGACCCGAGATCCTTGTTGACACGACTAAAAAGGCCTAGAATTTCAGTGTTAGACTTGCACTGCAATGAACGAATCTTCTTCGAAGGTTTTAGTAGAGTACGTACTATAGACACCTTTGCGCAGTTCAGGGAACTTAACACCCTTCAAGCTGGAGACTAGATTGTCAATAAGCCTATCCTGGTGACCAGGCTCCCGGCCAATGACCTCCCACAATGCTGCGGGCTGGACAAAGTCTGCGTCGGTGATCTCGCTGGTATAGGCCGAAACTTCCCCCGCCCACTTTTCATGGTCGGTGTGCAGGTACAATGCTGCGGGATTTGTTTCTTTCACTTCCTGATAGAACTTGGTGGGCTTAATCGAGGAGCCAACATAGTTAGGGTCCCCACCATAGTTGTCGCCAAATTGCATCTTTCCGTCCCTCTGGAAAGGACAGTAGACTTGAGACTTGGCTGCGTTGGTAGGGAGCTGCTGGTAGTTCACCCCGAGTCGGTATCGGGCCGCGTCAGGATATGCGAAAAGTCGGGCTTGCAGAACTTATATTAAGTCAGTATCATGAAGCTTGGGAAAATTAATCAATGGAATCTTCCGACTTACCTGGATCAGCCGACGCAGCGAACCCCGGAACCATTGTCGATGGCGAAAATGCCGCTTGCTCAATATCTGCGAAATAGTTTCGCGGCTATTCGAGGTCAGCCACTACACTGAGTATATGAGAATGATTATGAAGACTCACATTGCGGTTCATAGTAAGACGACCAATTTTCTGCAGAGGAAAATCCTTGTGCGACCAGACTTTGGTCATATCAAAGATATTCCATTTGTAATTTTCGGCCTCTTCGGGGCTCATCAGCTGAACGTAGACATTCCAAATAGGGTAGTCACCTCTCTCGATGGCCTCAAACATGTCCTGAATCATGTAGTCTGGGTTCTCTCCGGCGATCTTAGTAGCCTCCGCGCTGCTGAAATTTTGTACCCCTTGCTGCGTTTTCACGTGGATTTTGGCGTATTTGAACGAGCCATCCTGAATGTAATCTTAGTGAAAAAATCTTGAGCATGTAGCAACCATAGCTTACCGCTTTCGTGAACTTATATGTATGTCCACTGTACGCGTTCATGTAACGAACGGATTTGGGTGTGCCACGGTCGCTGAAAAGGACTAGAAGTTGATGTATGCCTTCCGGGTTGCCGACGTGGAAGCTGAAATGAATTAGAGTCCGAATCACGAAGTGGAGCCCGAGGAAGAAACATACTCCCAAAACTGCGATTCTAATTAGATTCGTTTATCACCGGCTAAAAGCAGGAGGACTTACCATGTTTGCGTCGGGAAGATGGGATTGGGGGTGCCTCTTGTGGGATCGGTTCATTGAGGGGAACTTGATCGGATCGCGAATGAAAAAGACAGGCTAAGGTGGCAATAAAAGTTAGCCGAAGCATTATAGTATAAGGTGATTAGCGATCGAGCATACCGTGTTGTTGAAAACCCAATCGAGGTTTCCCTCGTCCGTGTAAAGCTTCATTGACCACCCGTGCACATCGCGAGAAGTATCAGCAGATCCAGACTCAGGCCCGACCGTTGACACGCGCTGAAGCACTGGTGTTTTCTTTCCGGCCTTGAGGAAGCTGGCACAGGTAAAGTCGGAGCAATCACGGGTGGCTTCGAACTCGCCATAACATCTACAGAGGGTCAACTTGAGCAAGTTTCAGGGGGATCTTAACAGCTTACCCAACAGCTTTGGCATGAACCACTCTATTCGAGATTTAACATCAGTATACTGCAGGGACATCAAAATTAACCGATTGGTTGCACAGACACTTACCGCTCCGGAATTCTCTCGCGAGAGAAATGAGCCAAGGTCTCAATAAGCTGAGTATCCTGAAGCAACCCAAGCCCGCCACCCTGTCTGCCCCGCATCAGAACGGCCGCGCTGTTGCTTGCAAAAGGGCAGCCTGTACACAGTCAGCTTTGAGGACATCTTCAAGATTAAAATAGGTTCTGTACCTTCAGCCAAAGTGTAGTATTTGTTGTCGCCCATGCTGGATGGTAATATGGCAATTGGATGATGGTGATAGGAATAATGAAAGAGACGTGCAAATCGCAATTGCTGATTCGGACTCGCCGAGAGGTGCAGTTTATATAGTCTTAAGCTTGGGGAAAGCTCATCTCGCAGTCCTTAGTTTTAGATGGATTTGCATTGGCTGTTAGTATTACCCTTACAGTCATTGGAACATTGGAACTCGATAACAGAAAGGATCCACCGTCAATGACCCCTCGCTGACATTACCCTATACCACTATCTCTCCGCACGAGGTGACGCACGTATGCAGTCCTAGTCCCCAATGGCCAAGACCCAAAGCTGATGTAAGAAGCAGACCGAGACTACTATCTACCCGAAAGGTTCGGTACTCTGAGGGCGGACCCCTGATTGGCTGATTACCACTACCTAATCTGGTTAGTGCAGAAATGCGCTGAACTCGGACCCACGTTCTTGAGGTCTAACCTTGTTGGAGCTCAACTGCTACACTTATGGAGTACCTTATGGGGCTTCAACCGGCCGAATCAACACCGGGGCTATGATCGGTGCCAGCTGGCAGGACTCGGAATGTGGGGCCTGACAATAGTAGTTTGAAGCAGAAACTAGGTGCAGCTTTTTTGCAGGGCATTCATCTCAATTGCAGGATCCACTTGCATGAGAACAAAGATGATCGGATAGAAAATACTGCTTCGAGATATATTGAGCTCAGCGTCGGGCTTCTGCTAATTGACTACCTGTACTGAAAGTATTTCCCTGGCCGGCTGGTACTGGCAAACTATACTACATTTATTATACGGTTATCAGCCTCGAGGAAGTCCTGTTGTCTTGAGGTGTGCGACACGGCTGAGAGTGCCATTCATCGGACTCGCATTATGTGAGAATAATATGCATGCACCCTGATGAGGAAAGAGGACGAGACCAATGGAAAAGTGATAGACGAGTTTGATCCCTAGATTCGTTGAGCTACTGCTTTGCTGCCTGCATCCAAGTCAATGACGTCCACCGAGGGGCTAGAAAGTGGATTACGAGTCTTACATCCTGCATGGAGTATAGTCGCTTTCAGAAAGCCCACCCAATCACTCGTGAAGGGCTTTTATAGCTCGTATTCACGAATTGAGCAAGTCCCATTTACTGCCGGTCATCCCAAATAGACTGCGGCACGGCCCTCGTGAAGGCCCAAGGTCTGGTACCTTTACCCCTTTCTTAGCCTGCATTGTGATTAAGGATCACTGCAGGGACTTTATTGGGGGTATATCATGAGGTTTGTGCATAACGAGAAGGCGGGGCAACGAAATAGGAATCTTTGCCGGTGTTCCCGAGCGATATTGCACAGCTGAACGTTTCACCTCTCGGCCGCTGTGGAGAGTGGATATGCAATATACTTTGCCCTTTCACAGTCGGCTCCGAAAATCTGCTACTGTTAGTGTGTAGAGTCATAAAGCTTACGTCTTCCATTACCAGTGCTTGAATCCAATAGAAGACAAGTGATAATGCTCGTGGTATCTATTATCGGAGACATAACAAGTCTTGCTTATCACAGAATGGACTAGAGATGGTAGTCTGGTCCACCGGAAGCGAACTAAATTTCCGCCGACACTAGTGCCTAAGCTGGTGACCTTACTGGCGAACTAGTAATACCCGATTGGTGTGAGTATGCACCCACGTCGTGTTGACGTGGAGCGATTTATCTCCACCAGCATACAATACGCGGGACTTTCACCCCAATAGATCGGTGGTCTGATATCAGATTCATCTATTTGAGCTTTGGAAAGATCCCAAGGTGAGGAATTGGCTATCTTGACTACCCCAATTAGTCTGATTGCGTTTCCTCTAGGTGGGGTTCGTTCTGAACATCCCTCAAGGCAACCATGAAGGGCCCAATAACGATACTAAAATCCTGATCACCACTGTATACCATTTTTTATTGGCTTGATAGTTATTCCATAATCAGCTTCACAAAACGTAATAATGTGTTTGCCATTTCATGTCTTATCAACCGAGCGGGCTCATGAACCCCACCAAGAACTCTATGCACCAGCGCGATGAATGATGAGCGAAATTTCAGAGAAACAGCTCTAGCATAAAGGGTGGGATATTTCTCCTACACCAAACCAGCATATTTCTTATCATCTCCCTCAATCACAAATTTCATCAATCTTCATCATGACTGTCCAAGACGGTGCTCGTTTTGATTTCATTGTCGTTGGAGGTGGCACGGCAGGCAACATTGTTGCTTGCCGTCTCGCAGAAAACCCCAATGCCAGAATCCTGGTCCTTGAAGCTGGTATTGGCAGCTCTAAGGATAACGAAGACATCCGAACACCCGCAATGGCAATGGAAATCCGAGGTAGCCAGTACGATTGGGCCTACAAGACGACCATGGTCAAGCGTCCTGACTACGAGCGTGTTGAGAAGCCCAACACTCGTGGAAAGGCCCTTGGTGGTAGTTCATCCCTGAACTATTTCTCCTGGGTGCCTGGTTCTAAGGGTACTTTCGACATGTGGGAGAAATACGGCGGGAAAGAGTGGACCTGGGATCCTCTTGTTCCCTACCTTCGCAAGAGTGTGACTTATCACGACGACGCTGGCTTGTATTCGCCGGACCTCAAGAAGATCGGAGGCGGTGGTCCGATCCCAATCGCCCATGCCGAGCTTCTCCCTGAGATGAAGGGTTTCCGTGAGCTGCTTACTCAAGCCTGGAAATCTACCGGTGAACCTGTCACTGAGAACATCTTCGATGGAACAATGCGTGGCCTGGCACACAGTGTCAACACTATCTATAAGGGTCGGCGCTCGGGTAGTTTCCTTGCGGTTGCGGATAAGTCGAACATCACAATTCTACCTGAGGTTCACTCGAAGCGCCTTATCATCGACGAGGCCGATCGCTCGGCTAAGGGTGTGACAGTGATCACCGGATCTGGGCAAGAGCTTAGCTTCTATGCCACACGTGAAGTTATCGTCTCTCAGGGCGTTTTCGAAACTCCGAAGCTGCTGATGCTTAGCGGTATCGGACCGGCCCCTGAGCTAAACAAACATGGAATCCCCGTGATTGTCGACTCACGCCACGTCGGTCAGCACCTTATGGATCACCCAGGTGTTCCGTTCGTCCTTCGTCTAAAGGATGATTTCTCAATGGATAGCCACGTCTTACGGAAAGGTGCTCTCCATGACCAGGCTTTGTCGGCTTACGCCAAGAGTCATGCTGGTCCTATGGCATCACCCTTCCTAGAGATGATCGGTTTCCCTCGTATCGACAAATACTTAGAGAAATCTCCAGAGTACCGCGAAGCAAAGGCTGCTAACGGTGGTCTGGATCCCTTCTGCCCATATGGTCAACCTCATTTCGAGCTTGATTTTATCCCTCTATTTGGCAGTGCCTTCCAGTGGCACTTCCCCCACCCTAACAAGGGTAGCTATATGACGGTAATGGTAGACCTCGTTCGTCCCGTCTCCGAGGACGGTGAGGTCACGCTTAATAGCGCGGATCCCCTAGTGCAAGCCAACATCAACTTGAACTATTTCAACAACGACCTTGACATCATTGCCGTTCGTGAAGGTATCAGGTACGCTTACGATGTACTCAAGAATGGCGACGGCTTCAAGGATATTGTTGAGGACGAATACCCTTGGGATATGCCGCTGGACGATGATGTAGCGATGAAGCGAACCGTGTTGGATCGTTCGCAGACTTCTTTCCACCCCTGTGGTACCGCCCGTCTGTCCAAGGATATCCAGCAGGGTGTTGTTGATCCTAATCTCAAGGTGCACGGTATCAAGAATCTCCGTGTTATCGACGCATCTGTCATTCCTGTTATTCCCGACTGCCGCATCCAGAACTCGGTCTACATGGTGGCTGAGAAGGGTGCTGATGCTATCAAGCGTGATCACTCAGACTACTACAACTAGTTTGGGACTATTTGGGGCCCAAACATTCAAAGTAGGGGGGCGCTTGAATCTTCCAAGGAAGAACAGCTGTTCACGGCAACTTATGCGGTTCCCGAATGGTTGATGGGTTTGTTGGCTTGTTTGTATGCCGTGCACTAAGATGAGCGCACTTCATTTCTTTGCTTTTCAAGAAATCTCATTTTAAGGACGCTCAAGTTTTATTCCATCCATCAGAAAGCCCAGTACATTTTAAATTCTAAGCACGACAATGTAGATGTTCCCGAGATTTATGTGGGCATGGACTTGGGATATTCATCAGTATATACTATAAAAGAATTTCAACGTTTGTAAACCATGCCCAGCATACCAGTGCACTAAAAGCTGATATCGCAATATTATATGGCAGGAAAGCACCCCGGCCTTACTACCTAATATAAAGTAACAGAGGGGTCTCGCACGGGTTGTATCTCAGCAATAAATTGGCGATTTCGAGCTACAAGTATATATCTGTAACTCAACCACTTATAGAAATTGATTATCTACTACGTGTTTTGCGGTGGCCCGCTGGCTTGGGTGGCCCGCTCGCTTGTGAAAGACAATGAGTTACTGTGTGGCTTATCTAAACAATATCGTGATAACCTTCCAAGGTTTCTCCAGCCTGTTGTTCTACGGGCAGGTCCCGCAGCATAACTATAGAAGTGTTCTCAGGCGCTTGTCCGCCTGTCCTCAGGCCCTCATACGGGCCTTCTATAGACATGTCGTACCATTATTACCTAGTAGCATTGAAAATGGGCACTAAGTTTAGTTATTGCTAAGAGATACAATTTGATTCAGGATTGCGGGGTTCGTGAAGAACCATCTGGACGATGAATATAGTATGTGTCATGTCGATCGATATGATGTATTTACGGTATGTTACATGGTACGTTACACGGTACGTACACGGTACGTACACGGTTCGTTGCGAGGTGGGTCTCATGCTTCAGTATTGTTGAGAGATACAAGTTGATGTACGATTGTGGGGTTCATCAAGATCCATATAGACGATGGATCTAGTATTTCTAGTGTCGATCGATACGGTGTATTTACGATACATTCCACGGTTCGTCGCATGTGAGGTGGATCTCGTACCCTTCAGCTAAGATGGGCATGTTGCCAGTCTAATTAAGGAATGGTCTTCAATTGCCCGATCAGCTGAATTAATAGTCATTTTTAGTCGGCTGTAGTTCTTTGAACCTTAGCGTTTTCTTCTCAGAGCACTTGCTACGCGTTCTTAACATAATTGCCAGAACTTCACGCATCCCGAAGAGGTCACAATGACACAAACAAGGAACAAGCGCGTGCAGAGGTTCCCCAATGACCCAATATTCAATCAACTGGCCTCTCTTGCGGCACAAGTCAAGCGACCGATTATCCACGACCCAACTGGCCTTGAGTTTACTTACAATCGACTCTTGAACGATGTTTCACGGCTGCGCGCTACCTTGAGAGAGAGTCTGCCGCCCTCTTCCTTTGACGAGCAAGGAATTATCAATCAGGAGCGCCCATACGTTTGTATCCTAGCTGATGCCGATTACAATTTCATCGTTTCTTTTATTACCATTCTGGCCATGGGAGGAGTCGTTGTGCCTTTGGGTAAGTTGGCTCATGAGAAATGCAGATTGATCGAGAGGATACTAACGTGTCCATGTTTATTCTAGCGTCTGGTGTCCTTCCCGAAGAGGCCAAGTATTTCTTTCAGAAGACGAAGTCCAGTATCTTGCTCGCGTCGGAAAATCGCATCACGCAATCGGTTGCCATCAAGGAATACATCTTTGAACAAGCAAGCACCGATATAGCAGTTGTTCAGATTCCTCAGACCGAGGAAAATCTTCAAAATTTTGAGATTGCAACTGATGATCACTTGACATTCACTCCCGAGCAGCCAGCAGTAGTCATCTTCACTTCTGGAACAACTGGCCGGCCCAAGGGTGTTGTGTTTCCTCGTCGCAGGTACCAATATCCGTCCAGTACCGATTACAATAGGGTTGTTATATCTTATCGCCCACCGCATTGGGTTGGCGGCTTAAGGTCGTTGATTCAGCCTGTCCTCCAAGGTCATGCGGTACATATTCTTCCAAACAGACCTGGACCGGATGTCTTCTGGGAGTACTTTCGCAAGGTCCCGTTCACTCATATGTCTTTGAATCCGACAAGCCTCAGAGAGCTCCGAGACTACTTCGAAAACAACCTCAGTCATCTTCCCCAGGAGGACTTGAACCAATACCTGCAAAATCTTAGGAATCTGAATGATATTGCCAGCTCTGGTGCTATGATTGAAGATAGTACTCTCCAGTTTTGGCGCGATATTCTAGGAAAGAATATCATTAACAATTCCTACGCACTAACGGAGACGGGACCTGTGACGAAAACGCAGACTGGCTCCACACTGAAGGTTAGTAGTCAACTCTTGAAGTAATCTGGCTTCTCTAATCATTGCATATTTAGTACTCAGTTGGTGTACCTTGGCCTTGGGTCTCCCTGAAGTTATCCGACGGGGACTATGGAGAAGCTTTAGTAAAGACTCACCTGTCATTCTCCGAGTGAGACCCCCAATCGATATACGGAATTATTGTTCATCTGGCTGACTGTTATCTACCAGGTACCTGGATGACGAAGAGGCGACCAAGCGTGCTTTCGACGAGGAGGGATACTTCCGAACTGGAGACATTTTGCGCCGCGTTGGAGACCAATATGTCTTCGAAGGGCGGGTCTCAACTGATTGTAAGGCGTGCTTGTAGCTTTACTAGATTCAAGCTAACTGGCTTTTTCATCAGTTGTTCTATTTTACGGGTACCGCATCCCTATAGTCGAGCTTGAAGGAAGTCTCATTGATCTCCCTTACATCAAAGAGGCGTATGTGATCGGGGCTCCAGATCACGAAGCAAAAGAACTTGCAGCAGCTATTGTTCGACTCAAGTCTTGTTCTGACAACGGAGAGGCAATTACTTTGAAGAAGATTCGCAAGGACCTATCCGCAACCCTGGCCACTCACAAATTGCCAGCGCTTCTGAGGATTCTTCAAGATAGCGAAGAAATCCCACGGACAGCGGGCGGCAAGTCTATCAAACCAGGACTGCTACAGAAGTTTTTTGGCATCGAAAACATTATCCCTAAAGGGTATTCATGGCCCCATACAGCATTCTGGGGCAATGGGATCGAGCAGGGCCTCAGACAGACGCGACCATGGGATTGGTGCGGGTTACAGCGCAGTGATTAATGATTCTCCTTGTACTGTTCAAAAGATGGCCTCGACAGATTCCCCCAGGACCCACTGGAGCTGTGTCACTGCGTTGCGTAGACCTAGGTCTCATTTACCTGCCAAGAATATACCATCTACTAGCGCTATTAATCGCTAAATTCTTTCTCTTTGCATTCTGATGGAAGCAAGCTGATAATCTGGTTCGTATTACAATTTTCCTTGAAGCTTTTCCAATGATCAAGTCTTCTAGAGTTTGCTTATTTACCTATCATGAACTCCCTTTTACCACTCTACCTGCACCGATCCATGCTGGAATCCGATCAAAATTTGAATAATATCATCGGCAAAGCCCCACTGTAGACTTTAAAAGGGAACTCTTCCGTTCTTCATTATTTAGCTAAGTTCCTAGCCTTCAATACAAAGTTCAAATCAACTGCACTTTCCCAAAACTCTACGCCCGGGACAGCGTAAGTACTTTTTGGATCACTTGACTTCTGAAAAAACGTCTCCCGCATCTTGTTCTTCAAGGGCTTACCGGAAGCAGTGACGGGGGTTCCTTCTTCACTTTTCAGAATTCGCAGAAGTGCTGGTAGTTTGTAAATCTCTGTGGTTGAAGAGAGATCCTGACGTATTTTCTGAAGATTAACCTCCAAGGCATCTTTTTGGTCAAGGCCCATAGTCTGAAGGCGAACGACCGCTGCAACAAGTTCTCTGACTTCATAATTCATGACTGGCAGAACATGGGCTTCAGATATGTACGGAAGGCTGTTCAAACGCTGTTCAAGCTCAATGACCGATATGGTAAAGGACGAATACCGAATCCCTGGCCAGTTGTTAGTAAGAGGGTGAGTCGTAAAACAGGAGCTTCTCACAATCGCATGACGCTCTGCCTTCGTAAAAGTATTGGTTTCCGACCTGACGAACTATGTCACCTGTTTTGTAGAACCCTTCATTATCGAACGCAGATTTCGTGGCTTCCTCGTCGCCCAAATAACTACATACCATGTCAGAAGGCAATTACAACAGGTGGTGTAAGGTCTATCTAGCCTTACTGTGTGAACATTCCATGAACTTTGATGCAAAGCTCGCCAATATCTCCTCCAGATACCTTGACTTCAGCACCTCTGATTGGCTCGCCCATCAAACGCTGACACTATTATTAGTAAAGTAGAAACCTTCTTCATGCTAAGGGATACGAACATCGATGAAGGGCGTACCAAGTGGTACAGTGATGGTCGGTCCTCCTAGTTCAGTCGTAGAAAAGGCGGGAACAATTGGCATATTTGTGAGTTTCCTCCAAAATTTAGCCGTATCGGGGTTCAGAATAGAGCCAGCAGTAATGACCAAGCGTAGTCTGGATATTCCAGACACATAAGCTGCACACTCTTCTGATGGCAGGTGTGAAATGGTAGTGAGATAATGGTCTTGAAGAGCCTTCAAGGCAATAGGTGTAATCGACGAAGAAGTGATATTGCTTTCCTTGAACGCCTCCCAGATGTGCGACACACCACTGCCATGCCTGAGAAAACGTACACCCCCTCCTTGCAGGACATTGGTGATAGGAAGGATTACGCTTCCTATATAGTTTAGGGGCCGGAACCCTAAAAATAATCCCGTGGGATCTTGCTGGCCTTGGAAAAAGAATCTTTCACGAGGAAGGGCAACGCCTTTGGGCCGTCCAGTACTGCCTGATGTAAAGAGCACTAATAAAGTGTCACTCTTGGGAATTGTTATACTGTCGTCAATTTCCATCGTCGTATGCGAACTTGAGCCCGCCCGTTCGATGGGGAGTATTTGAAGCCGTCGCCCAGCCGCATTCATATGGTCTTCAATTGCAGTGGCTTGAGTAGCTACGTTAGGCTCTGAAAGACAGAATGTTATATCTGTCTTGTCTAAAGCCCAGGCAGTCATTGTCAAAGGCCCAGTGATTGCTGGCAGCTAGTTGTCAGAGTCGTATCTTCCCAAAAGGGGTTTACTCACGCAAAGGCACAAATTTCCCCCCAATTGCTGCAACGGCAAGAAATCCAACAAGGAAGTAATATCCGCTCGCCGCTATAGATGCTATGGGCGTGGCATCGGACCCCAAAATTCCCCTGCCATCAAACCAGTGATGGGGAAGCTGCTCTCGCAAGACTTGGCGAAGATGTATTATGTCACCTAGAAGGCCTTTGTACCCTTCGTGGATGCCATAATCATCATGAATAATCACATTCGAGATGTTGCGACTGAGGCTGGCGAGTTGGGTGAATATGGGGTCGTTGGGAAAGCTTAAATTTGGGGAATCCATGCTCTGATTATCAAGGCCACCTTTGTTGGCAAGATTGAGATGTGCCCGAGACAAAATAGCAGTCACGGCAAGAAGATATTCTTAGATCTACGGACGGCCGGGGCTCTCAAAGAGAGAGGAAAGGCGTGTTTGACAAGAACACTGTAATTTATGTACGACATTGTATGAAAATTCAAGGTTCCCGATCATCTGAACTATTCTTCACCGACAGTAGTCCAGGCCTCCGAAGATAGAAATGATCTACCCGAGTACGATCCCAGCTCCACATTCTACTTGGTTGTCTCGAAGCTATGTGTATCTGCGGAAATTTGGCAGTACACGTGGTATACGATGAGTTTGGGCCCCCCAGCCTGGGTATTTATATAGAATTTTGCTACCCTTTTCGGCAGCCAAAGCACCATATATCATATCATGGATGTTGATAGAAACGGCACTAGCCTGTGCAAGCTAGGAGCTATTTGGAGACTTTGTAAATCTCGTGAAATAACAGAAATCGCGTGTTGTGATCGTGTTGTCTATCAGCGTGTTTAAGAGCGATCAGCTAAATAAGGTGGGTACTTGAAGGCGGTCGGGGGCGGTTCTCAAACTCAACATACGGCACTGTAACAAGTACATGTACTGTTTGTGGGGCCTCGGGAACCAAATAACAACACAATAGGCACCGGTGGGTCATAAATACACACGTGCAGAAAACACAGCGATCAGATATAATTCAGGCTCTAATTTGCTACATGTGGTAGGTCTAAGCCTACGACAAGTACACCTATACAGTATATTTTCCATTGACTCTCGTCCACCTCCAGGGCTGAATCGTACTCCATGACAATAATATTAGAACAGCGCACTCAAAAGATTTCGCACTTGTTGTGGATCCTTCTTCGCAATTTGAGCTGCCTCGAAGTTTTTCACGAACAGGTAGTGCTGCAAAATCTCACTATTCATTATCGTGCCCAACTCTGAGGATGATATTTCCAACTGCTGCAGCGCTTCTTCCAAGGTTCTTGGAAGATCAGAGTTCGGCGCCGTAGCCTTTGTTTCAGAGCAATCAGTGTCCATGCAGTGACGCACAGGAAGCGCCGTGTCGGGCCATGTTAACCGCTGCTGCTGCTCAATGCCCAAGAGGCCAGATCCCAGTATCGCTGCCAAGGCCAGATACATATTGGCAGTCGCATCAACGCATCTCACTTCCCAATGGCCAGGGCGTATCTTTCGAATAGGAACCTCGCGGTTTTCAGTCCCCCACGCAACCCTGTTGCCACCAAGATACGGTTGCGCGCGCTCATATGAGAGGTCATAGGGCATGCACGTCGCGCATAAGGATGGAAGGCGATGCAGAATTCCAGCAAGGAACTCTCGCTCATGTGTGACATCGGAGATAGAAATATGGGTATGTTGCCCAGTAGCCTGGCGCCGGGCTGCAAAAGGCTTAGGCGCCATGGTTACCACAAGCCCATGGCGACCAATCATTGTTTTGAGCGTATCGTGAACCAAAATCAGTTCATCGACCGCCTCCAGAGGCGAGCGTGGTCCTAATGATAGCTCATACTGACCGCGCCGACCTTCAGTCTGCACAGCCTCAATGTCAACGCCATGGTCAAGTAGCTCGATGATGACCTCTTCGATGTATGAGAAGATTGGATCCCGCAAGCCGTCAATCGCGTAACGCCCTAGTCCCTCCGCAGCTGGCATCAAGTCATAACCATCTCCATCAATTGTGGAAGAGGTGGAAGAAACACGTCGTAGAACTTCGAACTCAACTTCGAAACCCACCTTGAACTCAATGCCAAAACGCTCAGCAGCAGTCTTCATGACATTGGCCAGGGCAAGGCGTGGGCAGAGGTCTAGGTTAGGCAGTAGACGCGATGGCGTGTTGCCAATCACACCACACATAACAGTGGCATAATGTGGCTGTGCGGGCGTCAGACGCAACGATGCCCAGTCAGGGATCAAATAATGACTACCCGTTGGATCCAGGCCAGGGACAAGGTTGTTGTCGACGATACAGTGAAAGGCAATTGGAGGTGTATGGACAGGTTTAAGTGCTTTCGTCAGGGCCAGCAAGCGTTTGGGCATGATGATACGGGCGCGCACTATTCCAGAATGGTCCTGCCATTGCAAACGAATGAATCTCACAAGAGGATGAGCCACGATAAAGTCATGTAGATGTTTACCCGGACTTTCATCCACCGATTGGGAACCGAAAAGGGCAGTGTATTTGGCGAGCGATGGGTAATTCATGGTCTCTTAAAGTTCAAACCTCGCTCAAACAATTTGGGAATGAAAGAGAGGCAGGCTAGCAGCTCTGGCACAATTTATGCGTCATCACACATGATTCACCGCCGTCAGATCTGCGTGGTATACACTTTAAATAATTTCAAGGGTGACATGTGCCTTGTTTGATAAAATAATGTGGATGCGTAAACTAATTCCTCCGAATGACCCATTGTGGATCGCACTCCTTGTAATTTATGACAGTTTGTGTATCTCGATCTGTAGTGGGAAACTTCAATACGTTCAACATCAATTCGCACGTCTCTAACCACACCTATAATATAGTATGCTATACTAGAGTAGGGTATGAGAATTGCATATTTTTATCTAAAGCCGTCATACAAAGGTTACGACAAGCTGGGCTATTTAATGTTGTATTTGTATCTAAATACCAGGGGCATGCATGTTCATACATTAATTACGGCTCCACTTGTTTGGGTCGGGAGCTTGAGGATCTACAGCTGCTCGGCGTCGGAATTTTAGTATCATCGAAAAATTTCAGAGTGGCCAAATTTGGCTGTCAGGTCTCTGGTTGTTCTGACACAAGTATTGCTAAAAGGTTGCTGATCCTTCTTGACATCGAATAGGATACCTACACATGTTGTCGCACGGGGATCTGGTTCGCCAAGACACCACTTGCCGGGCTATGCATAGGCAGCCTTAAATGGGACGATCTCCGGAGAGTTCGAGCTGAGCTTTGCGCTAGTATCTTGCCGATCTTTGGTGATCCAAGACCTTAGACTGCGGGCCTGCTGGAGGGTGGGGTTGAAGAAATTTATTCGGATTCTCGACGCCTACTTAGTTCTACTTGATTACGGAAGATGATAGTGCTGAACAGTCTGGGACTTGTTCCACGTGTCTTGAAGAAACCGTCAGTCACCTATGTAAAGAAACTTTTTATAGTTGAGCCGGGTGTAATTTGTTTCCAATTTTTGGAGATTGAACCTTTAAAGGATGATACCAAGCCATACAAGAATACAATAGCCCATAGCCAAGATATCTGAGTGTTCAGGGCCACATCTCGTGTATGCTACTGGGAAATGGGTTAAGTGGAGCCGAGATATTGGCGCTCCAATTATGCGTACTTTACGTATTAGTGGGAGCAGCTCAAACTTTTACGCCTTGTTGTTTGATCGGTGGATTTGGTCTGGATCATGGTGGCTGGATGGAAAATTATATCCAGATCCACTACCAAGAGTTGGCACAAATTATGGATCGATAGTGACCAATGAGAAAAGGAGGAACAATATCTGCGGACTAGGGACAAGCCACTTTGCATCCATACACTACTCTTTTAGGAGAAGAACGTCATTATGTGGGCCGGAATCTTCGCCACAAGAGAATTCTGGTCCGCGATGTGACATCCCCAATCCCGAGTATGATCTACAGTACTGTAGCGACATGGCTGTAAGACTCAAGGCACTCAGCTGCCACGTGCTGTCGACGATCTACATCAGGCCGTTGACACGGTCGTATAGCGTTAAAAGCGCTGCATCAAAGGTGCGCGCAGCGGCAGCAGTAGAAGAGATTTTTTTGGCATCATCGTCTGAATTGCTAACTCGATCCTACCCTCCTAGTGGATAGAAACTTGATTTGTTTATACACGAATTGGTGATTGCTGTAAAACACAAGGGGAAAGTTGAAGACGCGAAACCATGATGGGATTGCGACCCGCTTGTGAAATACGTTACCCTTGGAGACAATGAAAGTTTAGGAGATGCGCTTTCTCCTGCATGAATGCGGATCTGAAGGTTAGGCCCGATGGCGACACGGCTCAAGTGTGGAGTCTCCACCGATCGTACCAAAACTTGACTAGCGCCTGCGAAATAGTATAACAGGACAAAATTTACCGTAACCATCACTGTTTTACTTACGTAGTCCGTAATATTGCATGGCCAATGGTAAGAACAGCAAGCTCGAAAACAAGTGTCAGTATGGTAATATTATTCCCATTTACCAATACCTACTGGTAAGAAATGTATTTTGTTTTGCTAAAGCCTCATTTGTTCAAAAGTCAGGGATTGTTTCTGATTCTCATCTCACTCCACACCTTCTCATTGTTCAGATCACCTTTTTCCAGACATGTTGAAGCCCAAGATCAATGCGTCGGTGGTGACGACCACCACTCCATTGGATCCATTACGAGCGCTTGAAAGACTCCGCCGAGTAAATTCCGACATCACCTTCGTCCGGTTTCAATGGCAGGACTATTCTGGTGTGCTGCGTGCTAAGATTCTCGTAATCGAAGCATGTCTCGCCATGATCGCAGGCGGCAAATTTCTCCACGCCCCTCCAATGGCTCTCGATTGTGTAGTGAATAGTACCGTGGTCCCTGGTACAGACCCAATTGGTGTCTACTGGCTTATTCCAGACTGGTCGACTCTACAGCTCCACACCAGTCCTGGCACCGCGATTGTGATGTGTGGTGTGGTCAAAACCACGCCGTCCAGCCCAATTCCTAGTGGAGAACTATGTCCGCGTCAGGCACTCGTTAGGGTAGTTCGAGAGGCAGCTCAGCGATGGCAATTAGATTTTCTCGTTGGGTTTGAAGTGGAATTTCAAGTGATGAAGCTGTCCGATGGCGATGAAAAGGGCGCTGTGCGTCACAGTTGTGGACAGGGCCACTTTGCGGCCTCTAGCCTGCTTTATCCTTGCTGGTCCTATGTCGAGGACTGTGTAAGGAAACTTCGGACGCTTGACGTTCATGTTGAGGGATTGCACCCGGAAGGAAAAAGCGGTCAATATGAGATTATTCTTGGGCCACTACCCCCGCTCCAAGCGGTCGATCAACTTGTGTTGGTCCATAATGTTCTTAAACACACATTTTCCCGTCACGGTTATATGGTGACAATGTCGCCTAAGCCCGTGCCAGCAGTATCGCGGGAAACCAATGGCCAACATATGCATCTTTCGATCCATCCCGCCGGCCCAGGCCAAGAAGAATACTTCCTAGCGGGCATTCTGAAGCGTTTACCGAGTCTATGGGCGTTTTTTCTACCCCAAGATGTTTCGTACGAGCGGGTTGGCCCATTCATGGCTGGTGACTATGTCGGATGGGGTACAGAGAATCGAAAAGTTCCGATCCGCAAGATTGAACCTGGCCACTGGGAGATTAGGAGCATAGATGCGACAGCAAATATGTATTTGGCATTGGCCGCAGTTCTGAGCGCCGGGTTGCTTGGGCTTGCGGGAAGCGAACCCTTGAACTGGCCCGACATGTCTACCGGTGATTGGCCAAATTTGTCACAAGAAGAGATCTATACCCATGTTGAAGTACTACCAAGGTCGTTGGATCATGCGCTGTCGGTGTTGAATGATGATTTTGGAGATTTGGACAAAATGCTCGGCAAACCTATTATGCAACACTATGTGAAGCTGAAACGACATGAGTTATTACAGATCCAACAAATAGGCCCCGAAAAGGCAAGAGACTTGCTGGTTGAGATATTCTGATTATGTATTGACACTTGCGTATCAATGAAGCAATCCCCCAATTTTTCGTAATTCATTTCGGTAGCCTGATTTATATCACATGTATTCCAGCCTTAGCCCAAGTCGTGAAGTGAATCACACTAGAGAAGGTACAGCTTCGACGGGATTGATATATGTCAGCACGTAGTTCTGGAGGATCAGAGGAGAATTGAAGCACATGCTCGTGGAGCTTGCTTCTACAAGAGGAAAGGACGAAAAGACAAAGCAATGTGGTAATATTGGTGCGGTATGGAAGAAAGAAAGAGAGAACAAGAGGAAGAAGCGCTGCTCTATCTACAGAATTGGGGCCACCTGACAACCAGGCTCTGACACAACCCAAACATTCTCCGGCCCTTGGGCATGCAGCTCACCAGATCAATTCTGTGTTCTATTACGTTACCCCAGTGAGAAATCACACCAATCCTGGACAACAGTCTTACTCGACAGCAACGAAACGGTTACCTATTTCCGTCGCTTTTAACGCTTTGTCGTACCTATCTGTGTTTCCCAGTATATCTTTCAAGATATACATAATGAATGATCATGCAACACGTTTCTGGAAATGAATTGGTATTTTGGATCTTCTCTTCAAAGCACCAATCACTAGCTACCGCAGCCTGATGAGGCTAACAGGCTCGTGCATTCTAGATTGCCCCTCCCATTCATCCCTAATATGAATCCTATTCATCCCATCATAGTCCCTTTTCACTCATTTTCTCTCACTGTATTGCATTTCATCTCAATATGCTCTTGTTAGAAAGGTATTTGTCTCCTCTCCGTCTTGAGATTTAATTAATCAAGGATCGGTACTATGGAAGTAGCCTTTGAGTTCCGTCGTAACATCGAATACTAATCAAATTGCCTATAACATGCAGATCATACGATAGATAAGACGTAAAGGAGTTTTTGAACGTCAACATAAGAAACGTGCGCAATGCCAAGGTCTAGTTATGGAAGCTTTCAATTGATGTATGTGTATATAAGTGTAAGACAGCCGCTACTTGCTGGATAATTGGAACCCAGGGCTATTGATAATCTTGAAGTTTAGGGTAACTGTGGTGATGGTGTAGAGATATAGAACACATTACCACAGTGTCATGAATGTATTTATGTACCTAGCACGCTTTAAGTACACATCTAACAAGTGAAGTCAACCTTGGAAGCATAATTCTCTCGCCCCCGTCTCCACCATGGAATCATTCTTTGTAATCCAATGGTCGCGGATATAGTGCCACCTGTGAGACATATGACACAAAGCCAATATTTCCACCACGCATTTTCACCACTGACTTGATTCATACCGAAGACACCCTGTTTAGTGCATTTAGTAAACTAGTAAACTAGTACGTATGTAATGAAATGTGTAACGTACCGTAACCAACCCTAGAGGAAGGTATATCTGATTGAATAGTACATATTAGCTAAACTCGATAGACAAGTAAGGAGACTTACGATGCTAATATAAGTCAAAAGCTGGATATTTTCTCCTTGATGAGTAGTCGTCATGCTCTCCGCAACTAACGAAACATTCACCAACTTGAAGATGCATTAGAGTTGCGTACTAGAGCGAATTGAATCTTTTATTTCTGGCATACCATGTCCGACATCTTCTCTAATGTCTCGATCTGCTGCTCTAGGGTCATCCGGGTAGTAGCCAATTCGGTTGCAAATTGGCGTATCTGGTCGAAACACTCGCGGAATTGGTCGTACAGGGCGCCTTTGGTTTCGAGGTCAAAGTAGACACTATTCTTCGAGTGAAAGGAGACTAGCGTATCGATCACTCGGGATAGCAGGTTATGAAGCCTTCGTAGTGTGCCAAGTATCCAAGCATATTCTTTCGTCTTCTTTGAAGACGGGTCAAACTCGAGGAACACGTCATCCTAGTTAGCGACTCAGCCTGTGCATATACATATTAGGGACTCAAATGGTAGTGGAAATATATACTTACGTGCTTATCAATATCACCAATGATGATCTCCATCAAGACTGCCCATTCCATGGTGATCTGACTCGTGCGAGTGACTAAAATGGAAAGGAAATAGTATCGTGGGTCCCAAATAGGAAATCGGTTTAACCGCGAGCCCGCCGATGGCCCATCCACCTCATTTAGGATGTACTCTGTAATGGGGCTACTGGTTTTAAAATACGCGTCTTCGCAAAAATAGGCGGTCCAGAAGAATTCATCGACTCCGAACACGACCAGGGAAATTTGCACCTCATAGATGGCATCCTGACCTAAGGGGCGGACGAGACGGTGTTTCCGAAGTTTCCGACCGTCCCGGAGTTGGTAAATATCTTTCCTAAGGGCGTAGTGCGGCAAATGAAACTCTAGGGTGAACCCATTGGTCTAGAATTTCGTTAGCGGCTCTCAGTCTTCTTATTTTAATGGTGAAAATACCTGCGAGACCCCCATGTACGAAGCAAATGCCACATATCGTGACAAGAATGACCGTATCTGGGGAAGATGCATATAATTGACGTTTGAGATTAACGCAAGGCCCATCAGAGGTGTCAAATCGACAAGATATCTGTCTAATTAGCCACAATCAATCGATGACGATGAAGACATACAATATTCGGCGCTCAGCATATCCTGTTCTCTGGGATCATCAGTAGCTGACTTCATGCCTCGAAAAAAGAGGGAAAAGAAAGCAAAACAAGACATACATTCTGATTAAGATGCGTATAGAGCATCTCCGCATCCACACCGAAGACACTAACATGAAAGCCCCCAGGAGGTCGTCGCAAGTATTCTTCTGACTCCCATTGTCGGACAGGCAGGAAAGCCGCGCCTTCCGGGATGCTCGTGAACCTCAAGCAGGGATCACATCGGTCATCGATTATGGCAAGTATTCTCCTATCCGCTGGTGAGCTTTGGACCCGGATGGCCTCCCGAAATGAGCTTTTGGCTCCGGTCTGCCAGAGGAATAGTCTTAACAGCTCATGGCGGCGGGGTGGGGACAGATCGGGATTAAAGCTGCGGAAAAATTCGTCAATCACTGATCCACCGTTGGGGACGCGCAACCGGTTATCTTGGCCGTGGTAGAGAATCGTCTGGCGGGTCGAAAAGTCTTTGCGCCATCGTAGAGAGTTTGGAGGAGGACAGTGAGAGCTGATTAGGGCGTTCATTGAGTGGGAGTTGAGAGACTGTGAGAGAGCAAGAGAGAGATCTAGAGGTCCAGAATAGCTTCATATTGTGAGTGCCAACAAAATACTCCGCCTAGCGTCGGGCCGCGAAGCTGAATTTTGGGCAACTGTGCAGGTCGGGCCAGTCCGAATAAGCAAATAACAAGTACAAAAATGCGGACCGCCAATTAGCGTATTCCGAGGCCTAAGTGGTACCATTTGTAGCCTATATAAATAAGCAGGCAAAGATTTGCAACTGACAATTTCCTTTTCAACGCCACGGTGGCTCTATTGTTGATATTAACAGTCATAGTGGAAGTCGGTAACTAATTACTTATGTGAAGATCCTGGATAGTTCTTATGGGGTGTGCTGAAGTCCTGGCGCTGGCACGAATTTCGAGAGAGGGCAGAGCGGGGTTCAACTGGAGACGACAGTGTATATAGTACGAGCACGCAGAGTGAAGGAGCGCTATGAATCAACACCCTTGTTACCACATTTAGTGTAGCGCAGTATTCAAGGTTCAGGGAGTAACATTATTGAGTATATACTTAGTACGTACGTGCTCACGCTACTCTATAGACCGCGTTGGAATGTGAAGGTGATTTCAGAGTGATGTCCACTGCGCCACTTTTCTTACCAATACCATGGCTCCAATGAAGCATTATCTCGTATATTGACATGAATTAAGCTAGGTGATGCGATTTCAAAAGATAAGCTGATCGCCATCTACTTGAGAGACTCATCCTTAAGCATGAAACACTTTAAGAGGGTTCAATGTGAAGATATCGAACATCTTGATCTAAAAAGATTTAGATCATACCAATATCCCGTGAGAAGTATTTGTGTCCAAGCTGGTCGCACGACACGTATAGGAAAGCTAAATACCGTGAACCTGGATATCGTTGGTCCCGATCAAATCTGCCTTGATGACACGATAGCACTGTTAATGGAAGTCAAGAATCCAGTAGTAGCACTTTTAAACGCCATAAAGACAGGGCAAGAGAATCATGTATGGTTGCTGTTGACACGAAGTGACGTCGGCATAAAGGTGACCGATCAGCTTGGTCGGACACCACTTTCATGGGACGCAGAGAACAGGCATGGGAGTATTGTCAAGCTGCTTCTTTAGAGAGGCGCCACAATCGAGACACTGGATAACTTAGGTCGGACACCGCTATGGTTGGCCGTAAGCACGGGCATGAGGGTATTGTCAGGCTGCTTCTTGAGAACGGAGTGACGACTGAGACACAGAAAAACACAGACGAGACACCGCTATTTTGGGCCGCAAAGAACGGGCATGATGGCATTATTAAACTGCTTCTTGAGAGAGGCGTGACAATCGAGACACAGAAGAACTTCGGCCTCACACCGCTATCATGGGCCGTAAACAACGGGCATGAGGGTGTTGTCAGGCTGCTTTTTGAGAAAGGAGCAACGACCGGGACACAGAAAGTTTTAGACCGAACACCGCTATCGTTGGCCGCAAAGAACAAATATAGGGTTATTTCCAAGCTGCTTAACGCACTGACATCACATGAGTAGGCTTACGCAATCTTATTTGCAGTTTACACTACCTGGATGAAATGGTGGTTTTGGTACACGATATTCTTAAGAAAAGAAAAACCATTGTAACCTAGTATTAGACGTGTGTTTGTAGACGAAGTCTGATAAAAAAAAATCAAAAAGGCGCATATCAAAATAGCGAATTTTATACACATCTACTTCATTTCGGAGTTCAAGTAGAACTAGGTTATTTTCTCAGTGAATGGTGATGCGAGAGACTAATAGGGACTAGATTTATAGGTTATTCTCTCCTTTGTACGGCATGGGATGTAAAATCAATAGATCTCCCTTTTGGTTAAATAGGGTAGGATTGTCAATGGTAATGAGGTAGGCCAACCTTGGAACATAAGTGTGGCTGATTGGAATCACTGCACGTAGTAATGTAAGACATCCTTGGCTGGTTGCGGTTTGGAGCTTGTCTTTAAGGACTTGCTACATCTTAGCATTTTTTTGTGGAGACTATTTATCAATATGATACTTTAACATCGGGTTGCCATTGAATATAGCTGGGGGTACCGCCAATGGGATCAGAGCTCGCGTATACCAAGTCCACTTTCCGGCAAAGAAGTTCCAAGAGTATAGAGGTATGATATTTGATAAGGAAAAAAAAAAATAGATAAAGAAAATTGGAAAGAAAAATGAGAAAAGAACGCTGCGCTTACTCAAGCCTTACCACAGCGGAAGAACGTTTCCTTGCAAGTCAACGTCTTTGAGATATGTTGAAGCGGGGCCTTAATGGCCACACTGTTAAGCCCGTATCGAGCTTTGCGCAGAAGTGTAAGGACAAATGGCAGTAATCCTTGTAGCTCAAATTGTCAGTTTTCAACATCAATCCGATATGGTGTAGTGGCTAACATCGTCGTCTCTCACACGACAGCCGGGGGTTCGATTCCCCCTATCGGAGTTTCTTTTTTAGTTTTGCCACATTGGAGACTAACAATATTTTGATCCATATCATGGATGTATATACATGTAGTAGGTATATTTCATTTTTGATGCAATTTAACTATTCCACCACTTTCCCAAACTCTGTATATTCTAAGTCAGCACCTTCCCGCATATCATGCTGAAACCCGCATACAAACCATTTGATTCGGCTTCCTCAACTCGAAGAACACATGCTCATATTTCCTGAACTCATATGGTGTCTTCAGAAGAAGTACCTCCTTATGCTTATTCGTCCAGCCTTTAACACTTCGTAGGTGATGCAAATTATGAACAGCACAAACTGTCGGTTCCATTAGGCTGACATCCAGGTTTGCAGGGCTGACGAGTAGTGGATTGTGTTTAGTATCGCCTTCCAACCTGTATTCCTCCCTCAGTGCCAGATGCTCTTTTTCAGGGCTTGTTGGGAAAGGGGCGTAGGGGGAGTTGTGGCGGGCGACTTCGTCGTCTGTGCCTGATTGGCAGCTTTCTGCATGTTCTGGGTTGAGGATGCACCTTTCCAGTATGACTTCTTCTGCTTGAGTGATTTTCTGTGCTTGCAGGTAGGAGGTTGTGTGGAGGGGCTGAGTGTGTATTCGGTGAGTTAGAGTGCTGGCTTGGAAAGCCCGATGGAGAGGTTTGAGACCTTTCATGTTGGATCGTATGATGAGCCCTCTGGTTTGGTCATATGGGATGGATTATCAGGCTTTGGCTTGAGGGATTTAATGTTTATATAGGGTTTACCCCGGATACACGAAATAGTTGGGAATGACATCATGAAATCGTTGCAGGCGTCCTATTCATTGTTCATTCAGCTATCCTCGGGTAGAGAGAATGTACCATGAGATGAATTTCCAGATGACCTCATGACTTCAAATCCAGCTGTCTGGACCTACAAATGCATGTTTTGACTATATCCAATGGTAGTGAGTTGAGTGAAGCTCATACGGTCGTGCATGGTTGCCCTAATTCAATGAGTTGTAGGAGTCCAGTCCCTAGTGTGTAGGTTGTTAGAAGCCAGGTACCTTCTGGGTGGCATGACACCAATTCGGTGACTTATGGTTGACTACTTGGTAAAAGTGACATACTAACATAAGAACATACAGAGTACAAGTAGTATACCTAGTAACCTTGAAATCTTGGGAGAAACTGTTTGCCATGTGTAGCACCCTCGGTACCTAGTATACCTATTTTATCCTAAGACCTTGTTTAGGGAACCTTGTAAATTTGGTATAACCCTACCAAATTGAGACCTTGGAGGTTTTGAGAAATTGTAACAATCTGAATGCCTTCCAATTTCAAGGAGCCATAATTACGGAACAACTCTTTCTAATGACAAATGCTTCATATAGGTAAAGTTGAGACCGTGAAGCCGTTTCATTCGCCAATCAACGCCGGAACAATAAAAAAGGGAATCATATAATGAGAAGGGAAACCCCAAACAATATGCAAAAATCAAAGAGCAATAATAAGCTCATGCTGCGAGGCAGAACCGAGTAATTTCAACTCTCATTCCTCCCCGCAAACAGCACGCCCGGCCTATAGGTCAAGCGTCCAAACCATTGAAAGAGACAATTCAAGAGGACCGCTGCAAAGCCGCAGCAACATCAACCAACAACGCACCAAGCTCCTTCGCACCCTCAGAATTACCCCCCTCAATCTCAAGCCCCTTCACCAGAAAGTTCTTCGCCTCTTCATACCGCGTCATCTCAGCACAGCACTTTCCAACCCTCCACCAAGCCTTCACATTGCCAATAGGCTTCGAATCAATACTAGTCTTCGCATCGACCAGCGCCTCCGGCCAATTCTGGTTTCCCATATGAGCTTGTGCCCGATTCCCAAATAATCCTGCGAGCTCCTCTCTAGCAAGTCCAACGGGTTCCCAGCCGGGCCGCGCCAGCGCCATGTCAATTGCGTAGGTGTACAGCTTGACGGCTTCGTCGTAGTTGTTTTTGCGGAAGGCAGCGTTGCCAGTGTCGCGGAGCTTGGTGATTTGGGCACTGCGCTTGGGGTTGACTGGCATAGGAGGTGGGGGAACATTTGGGGGGTCGAGTGAGAGGAGTGAGCGGTGGAGAGCGTTTAGTTCGTCTAGTTCAGTTGTCATAGTTGTTGTTTGGGATGGTGTCGGGAGGGATGCTGGGTGGCTGATTGCTTTAGAGGCTGGGTCCATGTACAGGCTATATTGAGTGAAGATGTCGATTTCGCTAGCCATTTTTGTGTATTTGTGGACTTTGGAGTCCTGGTGGTGATTTGTGTGGGCTGGTTGGTCTTGTTAGTCCGGAGGTAATGTATAGTTGTCGAGATGGCGACTGGGAGGAGTTGTGATGTGGTGATCGGGGGATGATGGGTGGCTATCACTGAGGTAGGGCTTACTTTTATATGATATACCAGATATGGTATGCTGCCAGACAATTGAGGACTGGTTAATGTGAGGCGAGTTAACAGAGCGAAATCCGTCGCGGAGAGCAAGTTGTCCAGAAGCACGCTGGCCGACAAGGCGGTGGCAGAATCGAAATCAGGTACAAGATCAAGGTGACGATATGCACGTGGTTTTGTTTATGCGACACCAGGTACATTGGATTGTTTAGTTTCAAGTTCAAGGGTATTCGTGAGTCACATATGCTATCTATTTGCCTACATTCAGTACAGAACATACAATCATTTGGAAAAGGCAGGAAACAACCAAGGCAGTAGCCTATCCATGTAGAGAAACAAAAATAGGGAAAAAAAACACAGAATTATGCGCCCGCCAACACCGTTCCGTGATCATGTCCGGGACACAATAAAAAGCAGTCGCCCAGTGATTTTGGGTATTTATTGCCAGCAACCATGGCCTCCACAATTCTCATCCAATATTTCACACCAAAACCTCTCTACCCCCGGTGTTGGAACCCGCCAACCGTAGAGCCGTAGTCAGACGGGGTATATGCGTCTGCTGGTGGGGGGTAATGTTGACCATGGGCCCCGCCATAGGGTGTACTGTTATATTCGCCAAGATGACTGCCTCCAACCGAGGACTCGGTAGGGTCGTAGGCTCCGTGCATCGCAGAGCGACCATTGGGGTTGCCTAGGTCATCGATTTCGCTCTGTTCCAACAAAGCATAGTCTTCATCACGGTCACTCCGTGTTGAGCCCATGCCACCAACACGGCTGGATCGGAAGTCGTCCTCGTCCTCCTCGAAATCGTGAGCGGGGTTCGACGAAAAGGCGGCCTTGGACTGGGCGGCGAATGTGGGGTCTGAGACGGCGTCTGGGAGGGTACCGGTGCGGCGGAAGTGCATGACATTGCGGAAGGACATCCATGCAGTAGCAGCGAAGAGAAGGCTGTTTAATTTTGTTAGCGCTGAGGTTATTTCACCTGCCAAAACGCAAAGAGTCCACGTACAAGATGACGACACCGATAATGGTCGTTGCTTCACTCAAGCTGCATTTAGTAGCGCTGCCATAAGCCCAGTTGTGACAGCCGGATGCGCTGCTGGTGGTTGTACTCGTGCTCTTCGTTGTGGTGGTGCTGCTATCGGCTCGGCGGACTTTGGTGGACGAGCTCGAGGTGCTGCTGGAGCTGCTATCACTGTCGCTGCTGGAGGTTTTTCCAATACTCTTTCCCTGGGCGACATATGAGGCCAGACACACCCATGCGCTGAACCAGAAGATTGCGTAAAGGACATCGACTGTGGCGAAGGCGTAGACGTTTCCGAAGCGGCGAGCTCGGGGCCACATGGGTACTGCGGCGAGATAGATCAATGCGGGAAGACTGATCCAACACTGATTGGAGATGTTAGCTAACGGGTTCCGGGTTTTCAGGCCTAGCTAAATAAAACGGGACTAGGGGTTTTGTTTAGGAGTCGCGAACGTACTAGGATCCAGTACCAGACTGTCCGTCCATCGATACCATCGCCTTTAGTCCAGATAGCGATAGTCAGAGCCCAGGCGAGGAAGATGATGAACCCTTGCGCGAAATGAAGGATGTTCTTCGTCCTCCCCAGGTTACCGGACGGTCGAGGGAGCTGCATATTGAATGGTGGAGGAAAGAAGACTGCAAGGGCGGGATCAGCCCTTTCAAAGAATCACCCGACAAGGGGGCCTCGGCAAGAAAGTCAAGATCGCAGAGAATGTGCGATTGATAGGGACGTCCAACGGGAAGCAAGTCGGGATAAAAGTGGCTGTCAGACGAGGAATGGGGGGGGAAGACAGATTTGGAGTTTCGAGGACGCGCAGTGTTTTTCTTGGCTGTTGCGTATTAACCTCAATGCGGGGAGGCTCTATTTGCGATCCGGGGTAAATAATATCAGATGATCAAGTTTGAGGATGATTGAAGGTGTACAGAAATGATACAAGAAGAAGCGGAGGAGAGATTAGGCAATAATAATGATGTTCTTGTGATTCCCGGCGATCGCCCAGGCGACAGCCCGTGTGGTTCTATTTTCGGGCGCTTCAGCCACGGTGGAACCAGAACCAAAGGAAAGACTAGACTTGATACCAGCAATAAGATCGAACCAGATGCCTAGAATTCGACTGGCTCCACTTCATTTAACGCGATCGTCATAGGCAGTTTGACCTTTAATTATCTATGTGGCTATGTACTGTGTATACGAGGGATACGATAGTCCGAGTTTCGGTGACATTAAGACGAAAAAAAAGAGCTCGATATGATTCGCCCTGGTGGCGCACGTCAGATATGGCACATGCTAGTAAGACCAACGTGGAGGCTGAAGATATGGAAATATAGACGTTCTTGTATGAGAATTTGTATCTATATTTAAAGTTGGTAATGGCAGCGGCTCTTCCTTAAGCCAGCGAGTACTATACAGTCACTGAACCTAGTCACGATTTGGGCTTTTGCGCTAGGGTGATGCAGAGGTCAGGCCCTGCAGCGCGAAGCTCGGTCCGATGGAAATAGGGTCAATGATTATGCGGCAGTCGTTGAAGGACAAGAGTGGCTGCGAAAAGAGTGTTTAGTGTAACCAATGATCCCTATGGCATGTTTAAAAGTAGAGAACCGAAATACAACATGGCTGAAAAACTCAATATACCCCGAAAATTCATCCAGTATCGTGATCCATAGTATTCATACATCATAATGTTCATCCCGCATGGGAATTCCCCGTCAGCTCTGCCTCTCTTGTGTGCTTCATAAGCTGCCAAACTTCACGCAGGGGCTGGTACACGTGCACATGCCACCACCACGGAAAGGGGTCGTTGGGCGAGAACCGCGCGTCCTTCCAGAAAAGAAATGGTACAATTTCTGCCTCGACAAGGGCGACCATACGTTTGGCAAAATCCAGAGATAGAAATAGCGAGATGAAACGAGAAACAATTTCATGATCGACGATTGTTGGTCTCGAACGTGGGCTCGGTGAGAGTGTCGCAGGAACGTTCCAAGAAGCAGGCTCGATTGGCTGCTGAGATAAGACAGAGAGGTAGCCACGAACAGGGCATCGTGCATCGCGGAGAAGGTTCTCCAAAGCCACGGCTCCGGGGACGCAATCGGCGATATGAATGGTGTGGCGGACTGAAGATGCATCGAACTCTTCGTCAACCAAAAGTCGCACCGATAGGTGGCCGGTCATTCGCACACCACCCTTCTCAGCAAAACTTTGCATGAGTTGATGCACAGCTTTGGCGAGAGCTTCGTCCAAGGGGGAGGCACCCCAATGTGGGGAACGGGATTCGGCCAGGCGGACTTTAATGGCGTGGACATATCCCCGTACGACCAGCACGTCCGCAAAGAATTCTCCAAGTCGGGTTTGTTGCTGTAGGACCCAAGGGGAATCCTTGGAAATTTGTATTTCGCTAACTTCCGAGTACGTCTTACTGACAGTGCGCTTGGGCAGAATGACAGCTACTCCACTGGAATCAGAACTAACGCGTCGTATGTTATAAGACTTGGTCGGCGATCGGTTCAAAATCTTGTGAATAGAGTCACGCGACTGAACCTGATGGTACTCGAGCAGGGGAAGCTTTTTTTCAACCAAAAATTGACGAAAAGACTCTGTATTGCGGAAGCAGGTTGTCATTTCTGTATCGAATGCGATACACTTGCAGCCTGTGCGACTCTCCACTACTTGTCGGGCAGTAGCGTCTTCGACAGCAGATGCCTTAGGCGAACATGGAATCCACACATCGACCTTCTCACGCTGGATGATATCCAGAATCTTCGAGAGGTAATGGTCTTTTGGAACCCGGTAAAATGCAATCAAAGTCTTGGACATACCTCCGCCCGACCGAACTGGAAGGTCCAGGTCAGAGACATCCACGCCGACTACACGGTGACCCTCTGCATCCCAAGCACGCGCCAACGCGAGACCTTGCGAGGTGCCGATTCCGGTAATCAAGACCGTCTTAGGGTAGAAATGTACATCTCGCAGGACTTCCTGACGTCGACGTCGATCCGGTCTCGAGCGGAGACGAGCAAGTAGGATAGCAGCTAGGAGAATAAAATTATCGAGGAACAAAAAAGCAAAAGAGAGCCAGACACGAACGAGCCCTTTTGCCAAGGCCAGCCCGAGCATCTTCATTGAGAAGAGCATTCGGTGATTCGCCCCTGGAACCACCATTGGGACCAGGAGAAGAAGATGTCTAAATCCTCAGAGGTTGTACGGGAAGGAAGCAAGGAGAGCTAGGGTGAGGTTCAGCCCAAATGAGGGGCTGGTTGGTGGGGAAGTCACATCTGCAGGTCGAGTGGCAAGAGCTTAAGCAATACATTCCGAAGACATTTACTGCGAACATGTACATTGCACGGACCATATAAATACCAAGTCAATCCCCAGAATAAGTCTCGCTGTCAGTGGCTTTCAAACCCACCGGGGATCAGGTTTCCGAGTCGATTTATCTGATCACTCGGCATTATCGGAGAATCGGGGTTGATTGCCTGTAATCCTTACCTCCGAGGCAACCACGTCGTCATTCTCCATTGATGAGCTTCATTGCACCAATCACTGACCGACATCGGCGGAATTGCTTTATTTTGCGCTCCAAACCAAAGCGCATTCGGGTCCACGTTCGGCACTGACGCATCCTCTCTAGCTTCTAAATTCATATATATCATGCGGGGTACCCTTCTTTCAACATTGTCAATGAATCGCGGTTTACATTCCACCCTCAGGATTTATAGGTGTACGTCGGCTTCAAAACTCCTCCTTACTCCGAAATATACTTCTCGCGCCATTGCATACTCTCCCGTAAGGATGTCTGCACGACCGGCTTCGCCACCTCCCCACGCCCGCCCCGGGCAGACTTCTGTAAGCTCATCTTTGATTCGCAAAACCTCCGGATACAATGGGTTCTGATCGAATGCTCATGTGGCTTGTATAGGATGAAGATCACCGAACCAGGAGACTACTCCGCTGGGTCTTCGCCCATGAAAATCTTGATGAAATTCGTGGACACCCCGACAAGGTCCTAGCTCTTATCGACGAGTTCAGCAAGGATGAGCGCATGATGACTGTCGGCCAGGAAAAGGGCAAGCACGTCCTAGATGTGATCAACGAAGTCAAGCCAGAGACCATGATCGAGCTTGGTTGCTTCGTGGGCTACTCTGCTATCCTATTTGGTGACGCATGTCGTCGTAATGGCGGCAAGCGGTATCTCAGTCTGGAGTACAACCCAGAATGGGCTGCCATTGCTAACATGCTCATTGAGCTTGCGGGTCTTCGCAGCTTCGTGACCGTCCTTGTCGGCCGCAGCGACGTGACCCTCGACAAGCTATACCGAACCGGCGATGTTAAGAAGATCGAACTTATGTTCATTGACCATTACAAGCCTGCTTACTTGACAGATGTCAAGCTTTGCGAGCACCACGGCATGATCGTTCCAGGCTCCGTGCTAGCCGCTGACAATGTCCTCCACCCGGGTAACCCACCGTACTTGGAATACGTCCGGAGCACAGTCGAGCAGAAGCGGGAAGCTGCGAAGCAAGGCCCCACCAAGGGATACAACACAGAAGGCATGCGCGAGCGTGCCGTGAATTCTTTCATGCCCGAGGGTGATGTGCCGTTCCTTGAGACAGTCGGGAACCCCAACCTCGTATACCAGAGTGAACTTCGGCAACCGGAAGGACACCGGGTGAGTCACATCCACTCAATGATTAATCAGACCACTGGCTAATTAGAAAACAGGATGCAATTGAAGTGACACGATGTGTGGGTGTGCAGGAAGCCTAGACATCGTAGACAGCCTAAATGACGTGCGTGGGGTCAATTTTATTGTACAGCGGTCCCAGCCGCCACCAATCTAGATAATTTGAGAAAGAAAAAAAGAAAGCGATTATCAATCATCCATTAAAAACCGCACGACAGTACTCCGTGAGTCCTCTGTATTCAGATATAGAAAAAAAAGATGCCGACCTGCCACATCGGGAGGCCGACAAGAAACGGTATTACGGCATTTGTCAGGTGCTCCGCCCGAGCCAAAGGTTGCCGTCGCCAGGACCTTCCCCCGCATCGGCGCTGCATTTCCGTGGGGGGGCTTATATAAATACCCTTTCCATCCCACATCTTCATAACTCCCAACACTCATTCCACTTCCAATCAATTCACCATGGCCTCCAAGACCTTCAATGTCGGTATCATTGGCTACGGCTTCAGTGCCAAAATCTTCCACATTCCTTTCGTGGCGCAGATCCCGGAGCTCAAGCTCCATGCGATCGTGCAGCGCACCCCCAAGGCCAACGATGATGCAGAGAAGGATCACCCCGGCGTGAAGTCTTACCGTACCACTGAGGAGCTGTTCCAGGACTCTGCTGTCGACATTGTCATCGTCACCACTGCTCCGGACTCCCACTTTGCTCTGTGCAAGTCGGCGCTGGAGGCGGGCAAGCACGGTTCGTACTCAAATGACCCAATTGAGAGGAAATTATCTAAATTGCGATATCTAGTTATTTGCGAGAAGCCTTTCACCCCCACCTACAAGGAAGCTGCCGACCTCGTCACCATCGCGAACAAGCAGAACAAATTGTTGGCCGTGTACCAAAGTACGTCACCGCGCGACCCCACCTCCAACCCGATCTGCCACCTTTGCAAACCAACTAACATATTGAAATAGACCGCCGCTTCGACGCCGACTTCGTCACCCTCTCCAAGCTCGTCAAGAACGGCTCTCTTGGCCGTATCTCCGAATTCGAAACCCACTTCGACCGTCACCGTCCCGAGGAACCCGCTGCTGATGCCTCAAAGTGGAAGAACAAGGTCGTGCCCGGCGGATCTGCCATCCACGATCTCGGTTCCCACCTCCTAGACCAAGCCGTGCACCTCCTCGGCCTTCCCAAGCGCGTAACCGGTTTCGTCGGCTCCGCACGCGCAGTGAACACCAACGGCTTCGAGGACTCATTCACCGTACTGCTGCACTACGCCAACGGCACCTTGGTCACCGCCAAGGCAACAGTCGTTAGCCCTGAGGAGGAGCAATTGCGATTCTGGATTCGTGGTGAGAAGGGAAGCTTCAAGAAGTTCCACCTCGATATCCAGGAGGACCAGCTTAAGGCTGGTGTCATGCCCGAGGACAATGGATATGGACGTGAACCTAAGGAGCGTTATGGTACTTTGACTACCTTCCAGGACGGAAAGCCTGTCAAGGAGATTGTTCCTACTGTTGAGCCCCCTACTTACACCGAGTACTACCGGAAGTTTGCCCGTGCTCTTGCTGGTGAGGGTGAGCTTCCTGCTAGCGGTGAGGAGGCTGCTCAGGTTATCCGCTTGATTGAACTGGCTCGTGAGAGCTCGGAGACTGGCCGGACTGTGGATGTTTGAATAACATTTATGTATGAAAAGCAACGAGATTATGATTAGCGGTAGATAAAAAGAAGGTTGGATTTGGTTTACTCAGCCAATTACATATGAAATTTCCTCCCACAGTATGTACTTGATCCCCTCTGCCACTTCTTGGCGTTCTCTTTCCGTATTAGTGGTCAGCCCTTGCCGCTTGTTGCTCATTGAGTAGATCTGAGCACCCTAATTCGCTCACTGAGTCTGCTGAGCGTACTGCTGTAGGGGTGAGCGGCCTGAGCAAGCGTCATCAATAAAATGCAACAACACTAGTCCCATCACGTGCAAAGCTCCATTTTTAAGGTGTATCTCGTGCAGGCACGGATGCCAACGACCAGATTGGCGATATGGGCACTGTGGATTGGGATCTGAAATCCATGCTGCCCCGTGGGCTGGGGACGGATGCGTAGGAGAAGCACCAGTTGGAAGTTGGAAGGGATCAGTAGCCAGTATGTATACACATACCTACACACCTTTCGAATGATTGTATAGTGGTCGTAATGGTAGTCTGACTCCCTACTCCCTCGACCCTAGCTCAAAAGCGAACTGCTTTAAAAGAGGTGACATCCTCCAGCGTGCAAAGAGCTGCGCATTCTCCACCAAGATCCGCCGCAGCGTCTCCTCCCTCTCTTCTGCACCAGGCCACACGCCCTGCCATATGCGTACATACGGCTCCATGATTTCCAAGGCCTCCTTGGCCCACCTCCCTGCCCTCTCCTCGCTAATCCTCCCCTTCTGCACCATCCGCTTCTCCAGCTCCCCTAGGGAACGTTCCCTCTCCTGCTTGTCCATCACTGCAGCCTGCATAACCGCTAGTAGTATATGTGACCGGATTGACAAGTCCAACTCATCCATTTCCATTCCTTTGAGTCCCAGTCCAACTGTCTCCTCCACCGCAACAGCGGCTAGGAACTCTACCTCCTCCTCACTTCCGACCTCTTCCTCCCAACCCCTCCACCACGCCTGCTCTCCAATCCCTCCATCGGGCAATCCACACCACTTCACCTGCTCTGACTCGCCATCTCCCTCGGCAACCTTTTCCCCCGATACCTGTGCGAGGTACTCTGCTTCTATACTGTGTATATCATACTTTCCCTGCGCGACCAATATCCCAAAGCTATTAGGTCCCCATGCTTCCCGGGAAGCTTTCTTAGGTAGCCGAGATGAAGATAGACCAGGAGTAAAATAGTCAAGCCAGAAGCGCGCATGTGATTCTGAATAGGGTGGTGCGCTGGGGTGGGCCGTGAGCAGGCGTGTCATGGTTGCCTCTAGCGTTCTAAGGGCTACTACAGTAAGAGTTACAAATGGCAGAGAGGGCTGCCTGCGTCGCGTGCATGAGACAGTGTAGGCCCAGCGGGGGAGTTTCAGGACGTTTGCGGAGACCGTACTGTGGCACGGCTGGCATAGTGGGGAGGAGGAGTCAGGGAGGTCCTTGAGGTCGGGCAGGCGGTACAAGCGCGCTGTGGTGCGCTGGGCGAGGAAGTTGATAGAGTAGTAGGAGCGCCAGGCGGAGGAGTGCAGGAGGGCGTGGTGGGCTGTGTAGAAGGCAGGGAATTCAGAGAAGGTAGGGAAGTCCCCTTCCAGTTGGGAGGAATGGCGGTAGATGGCTGCTGCTAGCTGTGCGAGGTAGAATACATCCAGGGTACTGTTATTTGTTAATTATACAGTGCTATTAGAGATTACCATAGTAGGAGAAAGTTTACCGGTTAAAGCGTAACTCACCCTGGCCAAAGGACCAGCCATGCGCGTGTAGCTTCTCCACCACATCAAACACCCCGTTGTCGGTCCACAGCCCTTCATCTAGATAGATGAATGCGATCCGTAAGACATCCTCATGGCAGGTCACAGGTACGATGCCGCTTTCAACATTGGCCAAAAACTCTTGAGCGCTCATTGTAGTGCTCAAAGCCCTTGCAGCGGTAAGGAAACAAGTGGTAATTGAGGAAGAGAATGTAGTTATTAGATCCCGAAGGACTGGGATCAGGATGCACTTGTGACCTTATCGGGTCTATGCCTTCCAATTTTGCGTCGTTATGGCTGAGTGTGCTACCTTGAGAGCGGCATGAGACTTTGAAGATCATTCACCTCCAGAAAAGGAGGAGCTTGGTGAAAATTGAGGGCCATCAAGAAGTAGTCGCAGAGTAAACATTATTGTGGGGCAAGTGCCTTCTTTAGGTATGGTCTGAGTGTAGACTGACCCAGACAAGTCACGTGGTCAACCAGTGAGGTCCAATGAACGCTCAGAGTCATCTACCAGTGGCATGATTCTGGGCGCCCTCATAAAAGCGGCGGTAGCTAAAATAGAAAAGCCCCTCCCAGCAGAGGAAATCGAGTACATATAGGCTATAGCTACCTGAGTACTAAAAGGTTCGTTTAGCAATGAACCTCTAAGTTTAGATGTTGATCCAGTTTCGTCTTCAAATTTCACCTCTATATAAGTCACTTCTCTTCGCTTAGAGCGAATTTTATTGACCATGTTGGAATAACATAATTTGGTGCTCGATTGAATGTCGGTGAGTTAGGCACCTTTATATTTCAATATCATCCGATCACATGATTTCTTGATCAGGAGTGCATAGATTACAACCCTTCTTAAGTATCTCTGTGGCCGAATAGAAAGTAAGTACTAAGAAGTGATATTCAATCGTCTGTAGGCTCGTGGCCATGCCGCTTAAAGTCTGAAATATCATCGTAGTGTAAAGCTTGGTGCTTTATTGTTGGGTAAAGTTAATTTTCTAAGCATAAAGAATGGGTAGCTTGAATGTATCATCATTTGTGTCTTGGGATATGAATCAGCATCCTTTTGAGAAACAAATCATATCAGCGATGTGTTGGTCGTGCCGCCCTACCTAGGGAGTACAAGGCTTTATTAGGCAAATCATCAGGGCATGTAAGATCTTGATTGTTTGCACAGTAGCAGTGACATATTCAATGCAATGATGCCATGTCTTTATCTAAGATTAGGCCTTGCGCATACCGAAAATTAGGAATTTGTATTAGATTCCCCTGAAATCAGGGCAATGGCAATTTGATCCACACTTTATTGGCCAGCATTTGTATCTTTGACACCAGGCGACATGTCTCATCGCATCATGCGTTCTTTCGCCTTATTACAAACCTGCTAGGATTTGGGAAGCTGCATAATGAGGAAATGCTGAACGACCGTTCGAATCCTGCAAATGAGATTAGGCTGTAACCTGTACAGCCAGGGTAAGTGCATAAGCCTTGGCCAAGTGTGTAACAAAGTATAATTTGAAGCTTGCGAAGGAAAATGAGGTTTCACTTGCAGGACTCAGACCACGGGAGCTATATCAATGCGCTCTCAGCGTGATTGGACCCTTAAACTATATCCTTTTTCAGTTCAACCTATTGCCACCCTAGTCTTCGGGAAGAGTGTGGCGCTGGGAAGGGACTTTTGGCTGCATTGGGCTGCGGTGATTACGACGCATTACACCTAGCTACAGGATGCATAGTCCCGTTATTATGTGTCCCGGTACAGAAGGAGCCAGGCAATCACCATGCGCCATCATTGAACACCCAATAAGAGCTGTTCAAAATGAGAATGGCCAAGGCTACACCGGGAGCAAAGTCGATAAGAGCGGATGACCCCTCTTACATTGTTAGTGTGACAGCCTTGTCGCACTGCACTGCTCAAATTTGGGATGCAGCTAAGGCTGCATGGCTAACTCCCTAGACCTGTACTCTTGTTTCGTAGTCCGAAGCTCATAGTCATAATATATTGTAAGAGATGGCAAACCCCGAGATTACCGAAATTGAAATTTTCTTGGAGATGGAGAGTTCGTACACGAGCAAAACCCCGCTATAGATGATAAGACCCTCTGATCTGCACGGTGATTCTGAATGGGGGCCAAATGCAAAAAACATCACCAAACCGGGTTTCCATTGCGAGAGATGAACACGAAATGCGAGCCGGTTCTTCCATTTGTCGCGTAAGGTTTCAACTCCACTAGTCACTAGTGTTTCAGAATCACTAATCCACATGGACGAGAACCGCCACATCTGGCCCCAAACGCTGCTTTGATCCTCATTGGTTCCTACGTCAGCATCAGCGGCTCTCTGACATCTTATTGCTAGATTCTCAAGGTGTTACCACCGTGAAATGGCGGGGCCACGTTTTCCGTGCAGCTCAACCATGCTGACCACATGGTTGTCATGCAGGAGGGGGTAAGGTCCGAGCAACTAGATTAACTATTCCGAGGTAGGCTCTTTCCAATTTGCAGACCGCTTAAAGACTGCAGGAGCATAATATATGTATCAGCACAGTTATCCTTAACCCCATTTTCTTTTATTTATAAATGGACTAAGCCACACAAAACGTCCAGGCAAAAAACATTCCGTACTATGGATGTTAGTCAATTGCCCGATTTCAAGATCTTACCATCTGACCTTGAATACTATAATCCCTACAATGGAAAGGCCACGGCGTCTGAGAAGGATTCCATCAGCCTTAAGACCACATCCTCATGGACCTACTGTGGACCCCTCTTGAGTCTCGACCCAGAACTTTTACCGTCATCCTTCAGAACCTGGGCTGATGCTACGATCAACGGATCACTACTTGATCCTCTACTCTCCTTCCTGGAATTCGTTCACGACTTCCTATCAACAAACAACCTATCCAACTACTGGATCACTGTCCGCGCCGACACGGGCAATCACGACTTCGATATTCCAAGATGGCACACAGACGACCTATTCTTCTCATCTCCACCAACAATCCCACAACACCGTCGCCGTTCCTCACTAAATATATTCCCCAATATCACTCGCACCAGGAAACAATCCACTCCACAACGACGCCAAAGTGAAGACCTCACCCATTTACTAGAGGATTTCCCAGCCCCACCTGCCCAAATAACATCCGCAACACCCAACCCCACAAACTGGAAACTCACCACAACCCTCCTAGGCCCCGGAACCCTGTTCATAAACCCAGAATCTAGTCCCGTGGCCCGCGAAATCGAACGCAAGGTCAAGCGCTCCGTGCGGGCCGAGAACCCACATCACATTTGCGCGTCTGTGCGTTGTATTGGGTGCGCCACGGCTGCGGAGTCGGTGAGGACCCGGCTTATAACTGAGTTAGAAAGCTACCAGGTTGTGCAGGCTCAGCCGGGGGAGTATGTGTTTTTCCGGGTTGGGGATGAAGTTGGAGCGGTGCATTCGGAGCCTATGTCTAATGGGGATCGGATCTTTGTTAATGTTGTTCCTGGGAACGAGGCGGATTTGAAGAGTCTTATGGCTAAGTGGGGGATGGAGTATCCGCGGGCTTGGTGTGTGGGTTTGCCGTTTCAGACGGCTGGGGAGGTGCATTGGAGGAACATTGATGGGTTTTGAAGAGGTTGAATGGGGTTACATTGCGCGGTTGATACCCAGATCGCTGAAGGAGTATGTTGTTTATTGTGGTATAGTGGTCACGAATGATGGTATTTATTGGTGCCATTGTACTTTATGAACTGAATAATGATTTTCTTGCTTTTTGGTTTCGCTAGACATATGTCAAAAGCCTTTAAATGCGGGATTGTTGTCTCAAATTGAGTATTAATCTTCCGGACACTCAAATATGAACACATATTCACATGCACATGGGCGGGTGTGCATTTGGTTGGTTTCAGCTAATGCAAGGCTGGTCGCTATCTTGTCTCCACCGAGATTTGCACATCCAAATATAGGTCTTTGGGAACTAATAGAGCTCCCAAGTCCCTACGCAAAAAATTCAAACCTTCGATTAGTTCCAGGGTCACTAACGTCGTATAGATCGAAGATGATCCTAAAACATTGATGACATCATCAAATGCCAAGCCACTAACACCCGATGGAGTTTCTGTTACTAAATACAAATCTCATGAGTGGTAGTTCGTCAATTACGATGGAGCACATGGATGAGGACTATGTACATAAGGGGAAAGCCTACGTTTATGCCTGAGCTGGCAAGTCCGCGGAGATATCTCAATTACTGACGCGTTAGATGGTGAGGGTCCGGGTACCCCTTCCCTTTCGTGCAATGCTGCCATGTCTATGTTTGAGAACTTACTGCTATAAGGCTGATATTTGCCCTGCTTTCACAGTCTCTGGGACCGTTGGAACAGGGAGTAAAAGGTATAGTTCTTCCTGAGCGAATGGTTGTAGATCTGTCTTCCCCTGTTTCCTCATGGCGGAGTCGACGGGTGCCTCAGGGGTGCTCTCCCGAGCTAGTTCATGGCAATTTGATATTGATCGATACTTGAACCCATTCATTCCAGCGCCGAAATGGCACTTGGTATCCAGGCCCGTGGCCCATTATATGGGCTATCGTGCTGAACCACCCAAGCAGCTTGGGAACGTTATTATTGCCATTTGGTCTCTCATCGGTGTATTCTGTGGCGTGGCCCTGGTGGCCTCTGTTTCCCAGCATGTGCCATCCTTTAAGACTCGGGATGCTCCAGCCATTTTAGGCAGTTTTGTAAGTTGATAGCTTCTACCACGGTCAGTGACTGCACATTGTCACTAGGCTTCTGCTAATCAGGATGTCTTCTAACTAGGGTGCTGCAGCCGTTCTTGAATTTGGTGCCATCGACTCGCCTTTTGCACAGCCGCGAAACGCATTCTTCAGCCAGATGATTGCCTGTCTGGTAGGCGTGAGCATTTCCAAGCTCTTTGCCTTAAACCCGAACGCCGAGAACTATACTTCCCTTGGAGGTGCCTTGTCCTGTGGGCTAACCACCTTCCTCATGGTTCTCACCAATACTGTACACCCGCCGGCGGGTGCCACATCGCTACTTGCCGTCACCAATTCCCAAATTGTAGGGCTGGGCTGGTTCCTATTCCCAGTGGTAATCTTGGGTGTCACTCTTATGCAGGCTGCGGCGCTGCTAATTAATAATATCCACCGGCGGTTCCCATTATACTGGTGGACATCCCGTCCTCTCTCGCGATCGCAAAACCGAGACGTTAAGCAAGATAAGGAAGCTCTTTCTCTTCCCAGTCAATACGAGGACAGCTTGAATGAACCACGACAGCTGGTGGTGGGACGAAGCGAAATTCTGGTTCCGGATGGAGTATACCTGACCGCAATGGAGCGCAAAGTTTTAGGAAAGATCCAAGAACGTATATAATGGTGGTGAAGAGGATGCATATCTGTATAGTCAAGGGACGACAGTGGTGACGGTTTATCAGTGGCAAACCACAATTGACACCTAAGGCATCAAGATTAAATTGTGCGGTGACGTCGGAACTCCCAATCAGCGTATTCACTGTGGCCCACTGTAGAGATTTTTTTTTTGATTCTCACTGGACTTTTGTATCGAGTAATTAGGGGGTTTGTGCACAAAAAGTCCACATTAAAGATCAAAGTTTTCAATTTGATTTTTCCTTTCTCCATCCGAATTTTTATCTGGAACAAGGTCTATTCTTGACGCTGACGTCGAGGATTAGAGATCCCAGAGTTTTCTATCGATAAGGGCTTTCAGGCACTCCCCACCCAACTTTCTCGCCCCTCTACTCTCCGCCCCGCCAGTGACGCTCCACTCAGTCTTTTTGCATTTCTTTTGCCCTCAATCTCTTCGTTACGGGTCTTCCACTTCCCCTCCGTCCTCCCACCCCCCTCCCACCCTCACTTTTTCTTCCACAAACACACACACATAACCGTCACAATGGTTTCTGCCTCAAAGGCCGCCCGTATGGCCAAGCGCGCTGAGGCCGGCGACAAGAAGTCCAAGAAGGAGGTTCAGTCCACCGAGGACCAGCCTGCCACCACCGACGAGAAGATGAAGGAGGTTGAGAAGCTTACCCAGCAGATGGACAAGCACGGTCTGTCCGATCGTGTCACCACCGGTGTCCTGTCTTCGCTGCCGGCTTCCCGCGATGTCAAGATTACCTCTGCCTCCCTGGTGTTCCACGGCAAGGTCCTCATCACCGACTCCACTCTCGAGCTCAACTTCGGTCGTCGTTACGGTCTGCTCGGTGAGAACGGATGTGGAAAGTCCACCATCCTCAAGTCTATCGCCCAGCGCGAGTACCCTATTCCCGAACACATTGATATCTACCTTCTTAACGAGGGTGCTCCCCCTAGTGACCTCGGTGCCCTTGAGTGGGTTGTCCGTGAGGCACAGAACCAGTTGGCCGCTATGGAGAAGAAGGCCGAGGACATCCTCGAGGAGAATGGTCCTGAGGACCCTATTCTGGAGGATCTTTACGACGTAAGTGATTTCCTGCAAGAGAAAAAAAACCTCCAATTCCGGTTTTCCCAGTCTGGAATCGAGACTAACATACTTCATAGCGTATGGACAAGATGGACCCCTCCACCTTCGAGATGCGTGCCTCTTTGATTCTGACTGGTCTCGGTTTCAACAAGACCACCATCCACAAGAAAACCAAGGATATGTCCGGTGGTTGGCGTATGCGTGTGGCCCTTGCCAAGGCCCTTTTCGTCAAGCCCTCGCTCTTGCTGCTTGATGACCCCACTGCTCACTTGGACTTGGAGGCCTGTGTGTGGCTCGAGGAGTACCTGAAGAAGTGGGACCGCACCTTGGTGCTGGTGTCTCACTCTATGGATTTCCTGAACGGTGTCTGCACCACCATGATTGATATGCGCATGCAGCAGCTCATGTACTACGGTGGTAACTACGACTCTTACCACAAGACTCGCTCCGAGCAGGAGACCAACCAGGCCAAGGCCTACACTAAGCAGCAGGAGGAAATCCAGCACATCAAGAAGTTCATTGCCTCCGCTGGTACCTACGCCAACTTGGTGCGTCAGGCCAAGTCCCGCCAAAAGATTCTCGACAAGATGGAGGCCGATGGTTTCATCCAGCCCGTCATCCCCGACCGTGTCTTCACTTTCCGCTTCGCCGATGTCGAGAAGCTGCCTCCTCCCGTCCTGTCCTTTGACGATGTCAGCTTCTCCTACTCCGGAGAATGGGCCGACACCCTGTACGAGCACCTCGACTTCGGTGTCGACATGGACTCCCGTACCGCCCTTGTCGGCCCCAACGGTGTTGGCAAGTCCACTCTCCTCCGTCTGATGACCGGCAAGCTCAGCCCCATCGGTGGTCGTGTCTCCCGTCACACTCACTTGAAGCTCGGTCTGTACAGCCAGCACTCTGCTGAGCAGCTCGACCTGACCAAGTCCTCCCTGGAGTTCGTCCGTGACCGTTTCCCCGAGAAGTCCCAGGACTACCAGTACTGGCGTCAGCAGCTGGGCCGCTACGGTCTCAGCGGTGAGTCCCAGACTGCCATCATGGGTACCCTGTCCGAGGGTCAGAAGTCTCGTATCGTCTTCGCTCTGCTGGCCATCGAGTCCCCCAACATGATTCTGCTCGACGAGCCTACCAACGGTCTCGATATTCCCACCATCGACTCCCTGGCTGATGCCATCAACGCCTACCAGGGTGGTGTCGTCGTCGTGTCTCACGATTTCCGTCTGCTTGACAAGATCGCCAAGGACATCATGGTCTGCGAGCACAAGACTGTCCGTCGCTGGGACGGCAGCATTGGCCAGTACAAGAAGCACCTCCGTGACAAGATGGTTTCCGCTGGTGCCGTTTAAGCGGTCTCGGTTACAACTTGTTACCCTTTTCATTTTATATCTTGATGACGACGAAATGCTAGACGAGAATCGAAGGAATTACAATGCTTCGCGCTCTAAAAAGTTCGGAACCCACAACCCGGAAACCCCATCGGTCGGTCGAGTCTTACTCGAGATAGTAACGGCTCGAGCCACCCTGGTCTCTCTCCACCTCTATACGTTGTTGGTTCTTGATTCCCTTTGTGTTTTTCGTTTGTTTTTTCTTATCTCACTTAGATCGGTGGTCATTTTTCTCCCTCGCACCTCCATTAGAATTGGGCATCAGAGGGTGGCTTGTGATCGTTCGGTCTGGTTCGGTTCTATTTTATCTCTTTTCCTTGCCTGCTTTAAGACGTTTGTTGATGACTCCCCCCAACCTTTCTTTTCTCAATATATGATGTGGAAACCTCCATCTGTGTTGAGAGTTTCTTGATTTGCATCTTGTTTGATAGAGTAACTGGTTCTTATACCTGGACGGCGATCCGGGTGGGGCTAGTTCTTGTTTCTGTGTTCTGGATCGATGTATCTACGGATTCTTCGGATTTTGAATTGGAATGGTTTGCTTCCCACAACTTGTTTGTAGAAAATACTTGGTAGTTGTAAATCATATATTCTTAATGAAGGCTGAAGACTAATAGATCTAGTGTTTTTGAGCGATAATTCACGAGCCCTGTGATTGTTTTGTGAAGAGATCATGGCTAGGGCAGCTTGCACCTCAAAGTTCAGCCACAAGAGACTGAAATCATTGCTTAGTCCGCTCCGTGACCAATTCAGGACCAAAGATATCCGAAGCGCCGCTCCGTGCTTTCTCCTCCAACTTCCGCTTCTTGGCCAGACGTTCCGACTCACTCTCAGAAGTAACCTGGCTCGACACAGCTTGCGGCTGCGCAGAATCACGCTTGTGAGCCAGGTTAACCTTTTCGGGATTCTGGCAGTGATAGAGCTTTTTGGCGATCCTCTTCAAGTCCTTCATTTGATTCGGGTCCGAAGAGAGAGTAGTGTATGCCTGTAGAAGAGCAGAGCAGTCGGTCAAGACTTTGTGAAGCTTACTCCGCAGTTCGTATAGGGGGTTCTGAAGATCTGATGGGTCCGTACTACCATCAGTAGTTGGTGTGAGGGGCCCACCGAGCTTAGTATCAAGATAGAACTCAGCCAAGGGTCTATCGGCGAGGAGGAAGGCCGAGAGCCAAATCTGGGAAGGTGTGTAGAGGAAATAGGCGTCTGTCATTTGGGCAGCGGATTTAAGGGTCTCGCGGGTTGCGCCATGCGCGCGGGCGATGCGATCTGATAATGAGGAGGATGGGAATGGGGCGGGGGCAATGGATTGTATTCCTTGCAGGAGTTGGTGCGGTGTTTGGTGTAGAAGATGAGGTCCCGGTGCGCCTTGTCCTTCTGCGATAGCTTGGAGCTCCATTACGCCACCTTCTAGTCCACGGAAAGGATGGCGGACGTCAAATGTGAAACGCAGACCTTGCATGAGCAGAAACTCAGGCGATATAACGTCTTCTGTGGATGTATCGCCGGGGATTCCGTCTGCGAACTGCCTTAGGGACATATAGTAATTGTCGGTTTTGGTCGCGAGGAAGAGCGCGCATGCCATGATGGATTTTGGGTGATAGGTCATCGGAGAATTGGTTAGGTAAAAGCGGCGGAGGTATTGGATTGCAGTCGCCTGTCATGTATAGTGATGTGGTCAGATCAAGGCAAGGTGCTGTGAATGGGACCTCAAGTTGACTTACGCGAACCATTGTTGGAAGCGGTGGCTTATAGGTATCACCTAACTCCAGTGTCTTCTCGCAGTAGTATCGGACCAGAACAAGCTCCTCCTCTGGTGTCAAACACTCTATCTCTTTCTCGGTTGGTTTCTTCGTCTCGCCATCGCTCCCTGGCTGGGGTGTTCCAGTCGCGGACGGCGTGGCAGATTGTTGGGTGGAACGAGCTCTCTGTAAGGCAGCTCGTACTCGCCCACTTGCTATTATATTTGTCTTTTCACGTAAAGCGCTGAGAGATGATTCAGTGTAGGACCATAGTCGGAACTGTGAGGAGGTGCGGTAAATGTCATCCTCGATCATGTTGGACGGAGGCCGAGCTGCGCGCTGCGGGGCGACGACCGAATGGCTGACAGGTGTATGATAGGTATCTCTTGCCTTCTATCTCAAAGTCTTCCGGGTTAAGAGCAGGTGAGGGTAATTGGAGAAATACCTACAAGCTGCGCAGACATTCACTATAGTGGAAACAAAGTTCGCTGCGGCGAGTTTGAGGTCGTGCGCTTATCGATAAGGAACCCTATCAACAAAGTATTTTCATTAATGTCATGACAAAGGTGATACTCTTGAATGATTTGACATTAGTTTTTAATTTCTAGATTATTATGCTCACCTGGCATTCACTGTGATTTTTATCCGTTATATTCGTCATCAGATATAGTCATTCAATGTGAGCGCAGGATATATTCAAGGATGCAGTGAATGTAAATGTCTCAACTGGATCAAGAGTTTTAGAAGCTTCGACTAAAGTTAACATGAAAATTCGGACACAGTATACCAATATCCGCTACTGGTTGCTTTCATTCATGCATGCATAAGTTACAGATTACTGAAAGTATAATCTCACCACTCCCAACCCTATCTACGAGTATCTCTCGTCGCTCATTCAATCATCAACCATAAATGCCCACATTTAGGGCTACTCTCCAAGCAGGCGGTTAGTGATGTCGCCCATTTGACCTGCTGACAGCTCAGCATCCATGCCTCCATTCCGATCGATTCCAACATCTCGGAACGCTGATACAACCCGAGCCACATCGAAACCCATACTGCCAAATCGATCGACCAATTCTTTGTTATATCCGTCATATCTAGGATGAAAGGTAAGCATATAGGCTCACCAAATTGACAAGCCGCGAGCACTTACTGAGCTAAATTATCGTGAACAGCCTCTGGTTCATCTTGACCACCGTTCTCAATACCGCTCGAGGGGGCACCAGCATAGATCGTAGCCCATTGTCGCGCAACACGGTCGAATTCTTTTGGTGTCCTCAGAAGCATGTTGGCCACTTCGGCATCTTGTGGGTCCTTCGGCTCCGGTGTGCTGAGCAAGGATTGCAAGGAAAGCAGTGCGGATTTGATGGTGAGGACAGGCGACCAAGCACTGGAAAGAGTATCAAGGCAAATAGCACCCTGCATATACATAATTAGTATGATTTGACTTTGAGTGACAACATATGTGATGGTCTCAATTGCGTACGGTCTGACTGCTGACATTTGGGTGCCAGACTTTGGTCTCGAACTTCATAACAGGAGGCCGGAAAGGGTAGTCGGTTGGGATCTTGATGTCGATGTTGTATGTACCGCCCTCATAAGGCGTACCTGGGGGTCCCGGAAAAGAACCGCGCAGGTGTGTTATGTCCTCTTGTTCGTTGACGGGCGCAGCCGTAATCTGAGACTTGGTGTCGGCATGGATGTCGGCCAGTTCCTTGCCAATGCGTCGCATTCGATTGCTGGCCATGGTGTGTGGGATATTTGTTCAACAAGAAATAGCTTTTATAAACAGAATTAAATTGTTGTGCCTTGGGGACGTAGGTGATCGTGTGAGGAATTACCAGCCACAGGAAATGACCGGAGAGGAAAAGGTACAGCGCGAAGCTTAAATCTGGGAATTTGATATCAACAGAAGATTCCAAAGAACACCCATGTGCGTTTCTAAAATAGTACAGCACAATCTATTTGTTTCTGGGGTGAAACAACTAGAAATAACGGGGATCCTGAGAGCCTTACCAATGGAGGGGAACTATGAGGGACGATCAGTTCCAGTCGCAGCTTTCAGACAGCTCCACTTGGATTCGACAGATATTGAGTCCAATGCTTGTAATTGTAAATTGGCCTGCACAGACTATCAAGCGTTATCAAGTCCAGTCCGAAGCTGAATATCCTGTTTGGTCCCGCATGTTGAACGTTTTAGCGCCCGGGGACCGCGGGCACTGTGATTCAGGCAACAAGGCACCAATGACGCAGACCACTTACTTCCTGAGGCATGACATGTCACGTGCACATGGCAACAGCTGCCAGCTCTCGCGGACCCCGAAGCTGCAACACGCAACGGTATTGACAGCCATCTCTCCCAACTCTCACTTCCCATCTCCATCTTGCGTAAAGCTTGATATTCCCATCCATCTATATTATCCGCGGATCTTCCCTTGAGGATTTGACAGCGTTCCTCCCGCTGGCTTACAAACATGGTTCGTCACCCTGTCTACTCGGCATTCAGCTCGCATCCACTAACAATTTATTGAATAGGGTAACCAGCAGTCGAACATGGGCGGTGGCCCAGGTGGTGATGGTCGCGATGATAAGGATAAGAAGGTTTGATTCCTATGTTACTCAGTCTTTCAACCAGCTCTGACGCCCGAAACTTGCAGAAGGACAAGCCGAGATACGAGCCACCTCCACCCCCTACCACCCGCATCGGAAAGAAGAAGCGCAAGGCTGCCGGTCCCAGCACAGCTTCCAAGCTGCCAGACATCTACCCGACTTCGCGATGCAAGCTCCGTTATCTTCGAATGCAGAGAGTCCACGATCACCTCCTGCTGGAGGAGGAATATGTTGAGAACATGGAGCGGATGCGCAAATCCAAGGCTCAAGGGAACGTGGACCCTGCCAGGTCGGGTGATTTGGATGTGATGGACCGCAATGCGGATGAGCGAAGTCGAGTCGATGACATGCGAGGAAGCCCTATGGGTGTGGGTAACTTGGAGGAGTTGATTGACGATGACCACGCCATCGTTTCCAGTGCTACTGGCCCCGAGTACTACGTATCAATCATGTCCTTCGTCGACAAGGATCTTCTCGAGCCCGGCGCCAGCATTCTTTTGCATCACAAGTCGGTATCAGTTGTTGGTGTTCTGACCGAGGAATCGGACCCGCTGGTGTCGGTGATGAAGCTGGATAAGGCCCCCACAGAGTCATACGCCGATATTGGTGGTCTGGAGAATCAAATTCAGGAGGTCCGTGAGTCGGTTGAATTGCCATTACTACACCCTGAGCTTTACGAGGAGATGGGTATCAAGCCACCGAAGGGTGTTATCCTTTATGGTGCTCCTGGTACCGGAAAGACCCTGTTGGCCAAGGCCGTCGCCAACCAAACCAGCGCTACCTTCCTTCGCATTGTCGGCAGTGAGCTAATCCAGAAATATCTGGGTGATGGACCGCGCTTGGTCCGTCAGATCTTCCAAGTTGCCGCTGAACATTCCCCGTCCATCGTTTTCATTGATGAAATTGACGCTATTGGTACCAAGCGTTACGATTCAACATCTGGTGGTGAGCGAGAGATCCAGCGTACCATGCTGGAGTTGCTTAACCAGTTGGATGGTTTCGATGACCGTGGCGATGTGAAGGTCATCATGGCCACTAACAAGATTGAGACTCTGGATCCTGCCCTGATTCGACCTGGTCGTATTGACCGTAAGATTCTCTTCGAGAACCCCGACCGTAAGTACTACTTTATTCATAACCTCATGAGAAGCCCCACTAACCTGTCTTAACAGAAAACACCAAGAAGAAGATCTTCACACTGCACACATCTAAGATGTCTCTGGGTGATGATGTGGATCTGGACGAGTTCATCAACCAGAAGGACGATCTCTCCGGTGCCGATATTCGAGCCATCTGTACCGAGGCTGGTCTGATGGCTTTGAGAGAGCGTCGTATGAGAGTCCAGATGGATGACTTCCGTGCAGCTCGCGAGCGCATCATGAAGACCAAGCAGGACGGTGGCCCCGTCGAAGGACTCTACTTGTAAGCGCCGACCCGTGCCCTGTCGGGGAATGTACGCTATCGACATGTGCGGTGGAGTTGTCTTCGAGCATTGATCTGTGTATTTTAATGGACCGCATGCGAATTTATGGACGAATGGCATACACTCATAGTATATCAATCATCGTAGTGTTGTGACACTAAACTAGTAAAATGCTCAATTCAGATAAAGCCAAACACACTCCGACTTAGACTGCAATATTAGATTAGTGAAGTCTTCCACTTGACACTTCCTACAATGTCGCGTCACTGCCCCGTCTCTATATGCATAAAAGTGATCGCCACCTTCGGTGCAAACACAGCAAACAAGCTCGGCCTTATCAGCGCGATCAGAACTTGCGCCAAATCATCATCTCACATCACCAACAATGGACGACTTTGACGAGGAAGCCTTCAAGAAATTTTTTCCTTCTGGCTTTGGCAAGCAGGAGAAGGAGATTGATGTTGAGTCGCAGATCAATCGGTCCAAGAGGACTGAGGTTGCGGCCAAACCACTAGCAGACAATGAAACGCAAGAATTAAATGCGCCTAGCCATGCAGAGGAAGAGAGAAGGCCACAAGAACCAAAAGAGAGCGATGAGGATTCTGACGATAACGATGACTCTGATGATTCAGACGACGAAGACGAGTTTCCTGTTTCCCACGAAATGGTTCTCAAGACACACGAGCGCGCAGTCACTACTATGACGCTGGATCCCTCAGGAGCTCGACTAATGACAGGTTCAACCGATTGTACTCTGAAGCTTCACGACTTTGCTTCTATGACCCCCTCCACTATTCGCGCATTCAAATCAGTCGATCCCTCCGCCAAAAAGACGTCTGCCTCACAGGACACCCACGCTGTCCACTATGCCGCATTCAACCCACTCTCGCCGAGCCATGTTCTAGTGGTCTCCGCGACTGCGCAACCTCGAATCCTCAGCCGAGATGGTGAAACGTTGACAGAGTTTGCCAAGGGAGATATGTACCTACGCGATCTAAACAATACCAAAGGCCATATCGCAGAGGCAACCACTGGAGTCTGGAGTCCCTTTGATTATAATCTCTGTGCTACCGCTGGATCGGATAGCACGGTGAGAATCTGGGACGCCAATGTGGGCCGGTCACAAAAGGAGGTGATAATGCACAAATCAAAGGTTGCTGGGTCTGCTGGCCGGACCAAGATGACCGCTCTTGCTTGGGGTTCCCCCAAACAAGGCGGATCGAACGTTCTGGTTACTGCCGCTCTTGATGGAAGCTTGACCATGTGGAGTGGGAATGGGCCTTATAGACGTCCTAGCGCCGAAGTGCGGGATGCTCATACCCGAGATACATGGACCAGCGGACTGGATATTAGTTCCGATGGGCGGCTTGTCGTCAGCAGAGGCGGCGATGATACGATCAAGCTCTGGGATACCAGGAAGTTCAAGACCCCGGTCACAACTGTTACCCACACCTCGACATCTTCTCGCTTCCCCACCTCAAATATTCAATTCTCTCCGACATCTGCGAATATCATCGTGGGCTCAGAGACTGGACATCTGCACATCCTCAACCCGGCAACTCTGAGACCGGAGCTCATTACTCCTGTTACCCCTGGATCGCCACTCATCACTGTCTTATGGCATGAGAAGCTTAACCAAATTCTAACTGGCTCTGCCAATGCCGAAACCCATGTGCTCTACAATCCAACGATGTCGACGAAGGGTGCAGCCTTGGTCATGTCCAAGGCGCCCAAGCGTCGTCACTTGGACGACAACGCTGCCCTTACAACGGATCTGACGAGCGGTCTTGCCGGCGACTCGGTGGTGGTTGGCTCTAACGGCGTGCCGCAATACTCCTCGGCAACCTATTCAGCTCGGCACCCCAACGTCGGTCTGACAGCCTCAGGCCGTTCCCGTGATCCCCGCCGACCCCATATGCCAGCTATCACACCCTTTGGAAAGTCCCAGCCTGATGAGAAGCATATTCGTGAAAGTATCCCACTCAGTTCCATGCGCGATGAAGATCCGCGCGAGGCTCTGTTGAAATACGCTGAGAAGGCCGAGAAGGATCCGATCTTTACTAGGGCATACAAGGAGACGCAACCCAATGCAATCTACGCTGAGGTCAGTGATGACGAGGAAGAAAACGGACCGGAAAAGAAGAAAGCACGACGATGATATGTCAAAACTAAGCTTGGTCATTTGTATATAATATCTCTCATTGCGATGATTGATAGGGTGCTTAACCATAGGAACAGCAACAAAGACGGACTACCATGTCGCAAACCCGATCATCTTCAGGCACTTGTATTTTTTTTTTGGTATTGCCTTCTAAATGAGATCCAGACCGACTACATGACACAAGCTGTGCGTCCTGCTCCTTGCATTTGTTTCTTAGTAATGTCCCCTCTTTCATCTGCTCCATGACGTCTTGCAAGAGGCTGTCAATCACCGCTAGGATGCTCGCCCGTCCCAGCAACCAATGACAGGAGCACGACTTTGCGGGCTTTGACCTCACATTAACTCGTAAGCTCCGGCATGAGCCATGTTTCACTGGAGGGAACTCGTAGATTAGATTGTTTTCGCCTTAGTCTGGAGTAAGGAGAGAAGGCCGTGGTTGGTGTTAGTGCTGACATGAGCACCTCTCCGCTCTAGCTTTCTCCGTCTGCTGCCGACTTCAATAAAACCTCCACACGCGACTGAGAGACTTCGTCATTGCTAGAAATTCTCCAGATCTTCTCTGGACGACTAAAAATGCAGTCTTTCGCAACTTGATATGCTTGCCGTTTATCCCTGGGCTTATTAGAGTCGACAATAATCCGTTGTCATTTGGGCGGCTCCAGGAGGACTCCGGGCTTCGGTCGGTACCCCGATTCTGCCTATCGGTTGAGTCGATCAGATACGACTGCCTCTACTTTGTCGCGGATCACTTAATTCCACAGGGCTAGATGGCCTCCCACCAGCAGCCCTTGGGGATGGGCTCATTCTCCTCTTTCGCTTCTTCGATGATCGCGTCGTCTACATCTGCCTCATACACCGTCGCCTCCTATACGCCATATCCCCATTTCGCAACATCCACTCCTACCTCCGTACCCCATTTTGAAACCCCCAACGACCAAGGGAAAATGCACCAATGGTCCTCGCTGATCGGTATCGTCACGGCTTTGATCGGAAATGTTCTGATTTCTTTGGCGCTCAATATCCAGCGCTATGCGCACATTCGAATTTCCCATGAATACGAACTCGATAAGCTCCATAAAGAAGATAGCTGGCGCCGAACGCAATCTGGGGAAGAGTCGTCAAATTCATATGGGACCATAGGAGAGAATGGAGGTCAGACTCGTGGCCGGGGGAGATTGCCGCCGCGGAACCGTCGCAGTAACAGCGAACGCCGCGAGTTCGAGGCTTATCGTGATGACGAGAACGAGACCATCTCTGGTCGTCGCAATGGTGATTCGACATCGGAAGACCACATGCGTGCCTCCTTTACGTCTGATCGCACCGCTCGCCCCGACGACTCGGAAGGCCGAAAGTCTTATCTTCGATCGCCATATTGGTGGGCTGGTATCATCTTGATGTGTCTTGGAGAGACAGGTAATTTCATGGCATACGGTTTTGCGCCGGCATCGATTGTGTCACCACTTGGTGTGGTAGCTTTGATCTCAAATTGCGTCATTGCACCGTGCTTGCTGAAGGAACAGTTTCGAGGCCGAGATTTCTGGGGCGTATTGGTCTCCATTGCCGGTGCCGTAGTGGTTGTTCTCAGCGCCAAGTCGTCCGAGGAGAAACTTGGACCTGATGAGATCTGGGCTAGAATTACCACTTGGGAGTTTGAGCTTTATATGGGTTTGACTATCGGGCTGATTGTTATTCTCATGTGGGGCAGCTATCAATATGGCCCCCGCTCAATTCTGATCGATGTTGGACTGGTGGCACTTTTTGGTCAGTTTTTGATTGCCAATGTTTATATTATGATCATAATGCTGACAACTTATCACAGGTGGATACACAGCTTTGTCTACTAAGGGTGTTTCCTCCCTACTGTCATTTACCCTATGGCACGTCATCACGTATCCTATCACATATCTACTTGTTTTCGTTTTGATTTCGAGCGCATTGATGCAGATCAAGTACATTAATCGGGCTCTGCAACGCTTTGATTCCACACAAGTGATTCCGACCCAGTTCGTGCTTTTTACCCTCTCTGTGATCGTCGGAAGTGCAGTCCTCTACCGTGATTTTGAATCCATGTCTGTTGCCCGTGCAGGAAAGTTTGTTGGAGGTTGTCTAATGACTTTCCTGGGAGTTTACTTTATCACAAGTGGTAGGGTCCGCTCTGATGACGAGTCTACATTCTCAACCGAGGACGAGGAAGAAGCAATTGGCTTGTCAAATGGTGAAAGATATCGTGACAGGGTTGATATGTCCCCTCCGGACCAGCCCTTGCGAGCGGCCAAAGCGTTGCAGACACCTGGAATTGGTTACGATGGCGCAGATTCACCTGCAGGATCTTTAACCAGTCAAGGTATTGAAGGAGTTGATGACAACGACACCACACCACGAGGCGTTCTCTCGGCAGCGCCATCTTCACCCACGCGCTCCTTGACTGCTGATTCAGCCCTCTCGGGCCCTTTATTCGAAAATCCCTCACCACTGCGCCCTCCATCTCGCATGTCCAACCCCTGGGTAGAGTTTCAGGATCAGGCTCTCGCGTCCCCCAAATCTGACCCCGAGGTCCACCGCCCGATGACACCCCCAGCACATGGAGAAGCCACAGGTCAGGAGTCAACAGTGCTTCTTCGCTTCCCTCCAGCCCCGGGAATAGATGACTTGTCACCTGGTGCTAATACCACAGCTCTTCGAAGAGCCTCGACACCTGCTGTAGGCGGTTCGCCTCATCTTGCTGAGAGAGCCCACGCAGCTCTTGAAACGCCTACAAAACGTGTCTTGCGAAATTCTATTTCGCATAGGTTCTCCCCTGGTCCACTTCTTCCCACACTCTCGGGTGGCTTCAGTGCTGTGGTTGCGGAATCTCTTCGACGTGGTGAAGGCAGCCCTTACAAGGATCGTTCTGGTAGGCGGAAAGCCGGACGCCGAAGACAAGTAGACGGCGTATTTGGAGATGCTTTGTATCGAGACTATGATGGAGATGCAGGCCCTCTCGGTGAGATCGATCGGGTTGACACTCCTCTTACGCTGGCTACAGCACGGCTTCAGTCTGCTACGAGCCTAGTCGATCCGTCTGCAGAGGCTGGCCGCTCTACTCCCGCCCTTGCCACGGAAGTTTACAACACGCCAGCTCCGAAACCAGACGAAGAGGGTACTCGTCTTCGTAGCTTCAGCGACTCGTGGAGTGGTGGGCTTGCTTGGCTAGGTGGGGCACTGCGAAAGACTCAAAATCACGAGAGTGTCGACAGCAGTGCAGTGACGCAAGGAACTGTGACACCACAGGATGGCGAGACACCGTCTGCTCAAAGTGGTAATCACGACAGCACCAATGTCGATCCCGAATCTCGATCATAACAGCAAGGGGGAGCTTCTCACCCTACAGAGTAAATCTGTGGTACATGCAGAGTGGCTGGGTCACTCACATTATACATACATGCAGCCTCGTCCTGGGCTTATCTTCTTTTCATACACCCTTCCGTGATTTCTTTTTGGCACGGTGTCTTCTTTCCCTTTTTCCACTTCTGATGGCATAAGACCTTGGTCTGTAATAAGCGATGCATTTTGCGGGGTATGTTCTTCTTTATCAGGCATCTAATATGTTTCGTGTTCATTTGTGATCGTTCTCTTATTCTCCGTTTCATATTCGGGATCAATCTGGCGGTTTTTTGTCGCAAAGCTTCTGCCACCAACTCTCATCATTTGTACATTCCATCGATCTCTACTTTAGCCGAACGACGCCTCATTCTCGGACAGCCATTATTCAAATCTCCATAGTCCTTGTTGCGACGCAATAATACGCCTCCAAAGCTTTGCGTCAAGTCCACCGGGAAAAGTGCAATGGAATGCGGTCATAGGTGGAAAATAACGGCCACAAAGTACATACACATACCCTGCACATGTGTCAACCTACATCATCTAATTTTCAAGGCACGAAGGTCCCGGAAAAACCTCGGTCATACCATTTACGCATATCCAATTTAGCCGAAATTCAACTATAATATCCCGATCTGCAACGAGCGTGGTAAGCATCTCGGACCCTCCGGTCTCTGACCCCTGCAATAACATTAGTTCACCCCACATTCACTCACAAAACTGTAACCGATGCCCCGCGCGGGGATTTTGCTCCGTCTCGTTATAGTCTTAGCGGCCCCAGTTCATTCCCGTTAAGCCACTCATGCTTAGCCAGTATAAACACCCGTGATCGTTTCATCTCCGATAGCTCCTGGACTCGAGCTAAGGTTCGATCTAATATGCACAAATACGTTTTTCCCCGCAGCTCGGAACAAGGAATTATGAGCTCTTTCCTTTGCATAGATCATGCTTATATGCGAGAATACCCCTGCGTGAGCTGATCTGCAGGAGGAAAGAAAATTCAAGTTTTAATTCCTACTCTCGGAGCTTGGAGCTGGGCAATTGTGCCTCAAAGATAGAATTGAACATCTGGCATTTTAATCCGTTTCTTCATGATGCTTGTCAAGGGGCTTTCGAGGGGCTTGTTGCTCGTGCAGCTACTGGGTGCATTGGTGTGTGGTAAAGCGATATCGAGCACGCCGCTTTACAAGGATGCTAGTGCGCCTATAGAGAAAAGGATTGAAGATTTGCTGGGGAGGATGACTACTGAGGAGAAGATGGCTCAATTGATTCAAGGTACGTTCTTGGGCCATGTTTTCCATGAGACAAATGGTTTTCATTCCAGACCTAACTGTATTTTTAAGGAGATGTCACCAATTGGATGGACGATACGACCGGCGCATTCAACTACAGTGGACTAGTGGCCAATATGGAAGAGAAGGCAGGCATGTTCTATGGTATGCATGTCTCGTTCCGTCGTCTTGGAAACCCTACGCAATATCAAATTCTAACACGCTATAGTCGGATACCCGATTTCCTGGGATTGGTTGACGGAGAATATCAAGCGGGGCCAGGACTATTTGATGCAGAATACCACACTTGGTATTCCTGCTCTTGTTCAATCGGAAGGTGAGCAATCCAGCACTATAACACAGTAAGACACGAGCTAAGCACTATCATGACAGGTATCCATGGTTTTTTGATCGGCAATGCTACCATTTTCAACTCCCCCATTGGCATTGGAAGTTCTTGGAACCCCAGTGTAAGCCTTCGCTACCTTCCAATCCAAATTAAGCCGCTAATATTTTCCAGCTTGTCCGCAAGATGGGAGCAGTCATTGGCACCGAGGCTCGAGCATTGGGTGTAAATCAGCTTTTCGCACCCGAGGCCGATCTGGCTCGTGAGCTTCGTTATGGACGTGTAAGGATCATTGCTCTTCATTAATCCTATATGCAAGACTAACATAACCCTGCTATAGGTCGAAGAAACATTCTCCGAGGATGGTTTCCTGGCCGGCGAGATTGCGTATAGTTACATCATGGGAATACAGAGCAAGAATGTGTCGGGCATGGTCAAACACTATGCGGCCTACAGTAATCCAGAGCAAGGGTTAAACACCGGACCAGTCCACGGAGGAGAAAGAGAGTTGCGCACAACGTGAGCTCAGTGGTCTATGGGCGATGACATGGGATGCTAACAATTTTTCCTTTCCAGATGGTTGCCGTCTTACAAGCGCGCTATTATTGATAGTGGTGCATGGGCTGTGATGACTGCCTATTCCAGGTGATTGTCTCTCATGTTGATTTCCATATCAGACGACGCTAATTCTCCCCATAGCTACGACGGAATACCCATGGTTGCCGATTACCACACCATCACCGAGATTCTGAAAGAAGAATGGGGATACGATTACTTCGTCATGACCGATGCTGGTGGCAGTGACAGACTTTGCTCTTACTTCAAGATGTGCCAAAGTAGTCCCATCGACATGAACTCCGTGACTCTGCAGCTGATGGAGGCGGGTGTTGATGTGGAAATGGGCGGTGGCTCTTTGTAAGAAGCCCTGGTTACTTGTCCACTGAGTTGAGACATAGAACTAACGCATGGACAGTAACTTCCAAAAGATCCCCTCACTGGTCAAATCTGGAAAGCTTGACATCTCCATTGTCGATGCTGCCGTCACGAGACTGCTTCGCGTGAAGTTTGAGATGGGTCTTTTCGAAAATCCATACTCGGCTGCAGAGAAGAGCCAATGGTCTTCCCTCATCAATACTGCGGAGCATAAGCAAGTTGCCAAAGATTTGGATAAAGAGTCAATCGTTCTCTTGGAGAATCACGATGAGACTCTGCCTCTGAAGAAGTCCGGTAACATTGCTGTGATTGGTCCTATGGCTCATGGATTCATGAACGTGAGTCCAACAATAACCGTCGATATAGTTCCGCTTCGAGTTTAAGTGCTGACCACTATCTTAGTATGGTGATTACGTCGTCTACCAAAGCCAGTACCGCGGTGTCACCCCATTGGATGGTATTAAAGCCGCAGTTGGCGATAAAGCAACAATCAACTATGCCCAGGGATGCGAACGCTGGAGCAGCGATGAATCTGGGTTCGATGAAGCAATTGAGGCGGCAAAGAAGTCCGACGTTGCCATTGTCGTTGTAGGAACCTGGTCTCGCGATCAAGTCCAACTCTGGGAAAGTTACAACGCAACGTAAGTGATACCCACCAACCGCTAAAATAATTAGAGTCGAACTTCTTACTAACAAAATTTCCAGTACTGGTGAGGATGTCGACGAAGACAACCTCGCTCTCGTAGGTGCCCAAGGGCCTCTCATCCAAGCCATCGCCAACACAGGCGTACCAACTATCGTTGTCCTTTCAAGCGGCAAGCCCATCACAGATGTCTGGCTCTCCAATAGCACCTCCGCCCTGCTACAGCAATTCTATCCATCGGAAGAAGGAGGTAACGCGCTCGCAGAAGTGCTATTCGGCGATTACAACCCCTCAGGAAAACTATCCGTCAGCTTCCCGCATTTCGTCGGAGATCTCCCCGTCTACTACGATTACTTGAACTCCGGTCGCTCCGTCTGGACCTCCGGCATGGAGTATGCGAATGGAACTATGGTCTTCGGTCATAATTATGCGCTCGGTTCACCCATGCCGTGGTACTCTTTCGGTTATGGCAAGAGTTATTCCACTTTCAAATATGGCACTGTCAGCATTGACCACAGTAAAGTGTCTTCGCAGGATACTGTTACGGTGAGTGTTGACGTGACTAATACGGATACGACGCGCGATGCGACCGAGGTTGTGCAGGTTTACATCTCTGACGAAATTGCCTCCGTTGTTGTGCCGAACCGGCAGCTTAAGGGCTTTGATAAGGTCTTGATTCCTGCTGGTAAGACTACCACTGTTAAGATCCCGATCAAGGTTGCGGATGTTGGACTTTGGAACAAGAAGATGAAATATGTTGTTGAGCCGGGTGAGTTTACCGTGCTGGTTGGAAGCAGTTCCGATGATATCAGGGGAAACGCCACATTTACTGTGCTGTGATAGGTGGGCCATTTAGAAGAGACGAAAATAGCCTACAGTTCTCCATGATCGAACCGTGGAAACGATCAATGAGTTGCCGTGTTTCAGACGAGTTCCAAGGTTCGACATCTATCTAACCTTGGTACTAGCCGTTGAGCCGAGTTCTATCCATGGGTGTGAAAACTTGATTCTATGGTCATTAAATATTATTATACAGTCATATAATACTAGATCACAGATCTATACGACTGAGTCGTAGTATGTGTCTGTGTCGTAGTGATATCCAGCCCGATCGGAGCGTCAACTCTTGTCAGGGTGAGACGTTTGTACGCACGTTGCGAATCCGCTCTTTGAGGCGGGCGCGCGGTCACAAGCTGCTCCCCTTCCTCCGGAATTGTAGGGCTCTCCACATCGCTCTCAAGACTCAAGACGACTCCAATGGCTTCTTGGTCCTCGATGATCTTCGGGTGACGCTTGGCGAAGTAGCGGGCATACTTGAACAGCGACCAGTAGCAACTGAACACGTTGATGAGCGTCAAGACGATTTTGTAACCCGTATAGTAGAAGATAAGGACCTTCCAGTCGATGCGTTCATTCTTCTTTCGGAGGTGAATCTCGTTGAACAGCACCACGTTGACGATGTACATGGCAATTGTGGCGCCCAAGAGAATACCGGAGAAACTGGGACGCACGACGAATGAAATAGGGAAATAGAAAGGAGCGAAAAGATAGATAAGAGTTTCGTACACCTGGAAGGGAATTAGTCGAGGTCTGGAATTAGATACCGGAGTGAATAACATACCTCTTGGAAAACGCAGAGCTTCGCTCCGATTTCCCACCAGCCAAGCTTCCAGCTTGTGAGGATGTATTTCATATCGTAGTACATTCCAATAACGAAGAAGAAGTTCCAACGTTTAAATCTTTGTTGGAAAATGGTCATCTCGCCGAATCCACCTCGGCTACCGCCGCCAGCGAAGAAGACTGATGAGGGGGTTTCTGTCTCGACGAAGACAGATGTGCACATTGTGACACGACCTCCAAGACGGCGACAGGCATCACCAAAGAACCAGTCCTCGGAGACCGAATATCCAGGGTGTTCGTGGAATGTCTGCTTGAGGAACTCGGTATTCCAAAGAGAGATAGCACCGTGAGGGAACGTAGCACTTCCAAGCATACCAAAGAAAGCTCGTTGAATGCCCGACATTTTATATTCCAGATCCTGTGCTTGTTGACAGTACGTTCCCTTAGATGAGCCTGGTCCAACACTCTTAATTGTGTATCCAAGACACTTGACCTGGCCCTTAAGTCGATCACTGACCACGGGGAAATTTGGCGGGAGAGCGCAGTCGTCATCGATGAGGAGGACGTTCTCGAAGCCTTTGGCCGCGTAGCAACCGGCGAATTGGGCTACGATCTTGGATCCCACGGGAACCCAGAGGTGGTTCACTCCGAAAGGACGGCAGACCTCTTCTGTGTCGTCGAGGGGCGTTTGAGAGTTTCCATTGGCAATGACGAAGATATTCTCAGCAGGAAAGACCTTCAGGGCGGCCTCCAAGGTGGGACCAATGATCTGGGCAGATTTATAACAGGGAATGAGCAGAGCGGTGTTTTTGGCGCTGGAATCATTCTTTTCCAGATCTGCATTAACGTATTCAGTTGCTGGCGGAGGATCCTTTTCGAACAAGATCAGAAGAGGGCAGAAAGCGTATCTAAGTAGATAATTAGCCATTGTTCATGGTACAAGGGTTCAATATGGGAATCTCACAAGAAAGCGAGACCGAGGAGAATTGCCCATCCTCCTGTGACGGTAAATTTGTGGGCGACGACCCAGTATAGCCACCAGACAGCACCCTTCCATAGGGGCATGCCAACGAGGACAAAATATATAAATAAGACGAGAAGGAGGTAGACGCTCACTTCGAACAAGACGCGCACCCAATGTTTTCGTTGAAGAGCAACACCTCTCAGTTTGGCTTTCTCGTAGACATCGTGCATGCTACTTTGGCGGCTATGGAAACTGACGGAGCTATTTGAACTGAGTGGTGGACTGGGGTGAACGGCTGACTCTCTGATTGGCGTTATAGGTTCTTTTTCCTCTAGAGGAGGTGTCAAGCGTTTTCGTTTGCTGAACTCATCCCATACTATAATCTAAGTCAGAATCCGGACCTTGATCACATAGTACCAGTTGACATACCATATAACTCGGGAGGGTTACTGCGAGGACGAATTGCAGCAGGGCGTCTTGGACCCCGTAGCGCCGACAGACTAACAGAACGGCTAATGCCACCTTGCTTTTGACCTTCCTGAGGTTGAAATTCGACACGGTCATTTTGCGGGAGGGATTTCTCCCATTTTTTCAATTCCCATGGTGAACTGAACTTTGCTGTTGTTAGCAAGTGCTTTGGGATTGCAACGTCCTCCACCATGGTGTGTCTTCGAGCATCATGTCGGTTAGACATGGTGGGCGACTCTGAGTATATAAAAGAATGACTGTAATAATGAGTGGACTGTGACAACGAGTGGACTGTGACAACGAGTGGACTGTAATAACGAGTGGCTAGTAACAATGCAACGAATGAAAGGCAACAAATGTCACCGCATGAAGGAACGAATGGTCGACAGTAGTGTATGAGAAGGAGAAAAATCACAATGCGGAGTTCTAAAAACTTGCATTTGTCCCTCGGCGGAAGAGTTCTTCTGTTCCATGTGGAGACTATGTCGTAGCTTCTCCATCTAGATCTCTACAGCGCGGATCTAGATGGGGCTGACCCTGCCTTGCTGTCTCGGTCATATCCTTGGAAGTCTTGAGACTCAAATTTGCCGACCCAAGGAACCAATGGACAAAAAAAGATTTTAATCTATACAGCTTCTGTAGATACATCATATTCGACCTTTTGCTAAAAATGATGTCTTCTCAGCTTGAATATCCGGAATCATTGTGCTTCAGGGAAATAAAAATTAGTAAATCTTTCTTTGACTGGATCCACGTCTCTCATGGGGCCGTCTTTGATGGGGACTTCTCATACTAGCGCAAGCATAAACTGGAGCCTTGGGCAAGAAAGATCAGCCTAGTTACGAATAATGGCTAGAAGCCACGAGTCCATCGGTTTAACCTACGATCTAGTGATAATTCTTCCACGTTCTTTAGATACAGGGGTCCTATAGTCCCCAAACCCTCAGGCCCCCCCAAACCTGCTGTTTTTTCTTGAAAACATCGACATCACAGGCCTTTTCTTACTAAGCTGTTAAATACCGTTACTATTCCACTCTTCTCCGGCCATGTAGGCACAGAGTTTTACGCCCCACCTTACTTCTTCTATTTTGCTAGTATTTAGATCTCGGTTATCGGCTGGCAGAGTTTTTAGTGTGTCAATTATTAGCCAAGCCAGCCTTACGAGCCATTCTTTGCATGGTCCACAGGCAAATCAGAAATTTGCAAATTGGTTAATAGATCGACGAATGTTATGCCTTGTTTTGATCAGACTAATTCTTGCTAGTTTTTCATATGGTGGTTTTGGTGGAGTCCGCGTCATTTCCCGCCCACAATCAGCCACACGCGGCCGTAGCTAAGCTGTGCTTTTAGTACCCGGGCCCCACTCTAACTACCGACTTACCACGGATGATCGGGTCAACACGATACCGAAATTGGGACCGTTTCTCCAGACAAGTATTTTTTTTCCCACTGTTTCGTTCCACTGGTTCGGATGTACTGTAATGTTTTGATCATGAACTGCTTGGGGTCAAAACTTGGAAGCGTCTTCTAGAAGGATGACCGATGACTAAATTAAAGTTCCAGGCACGGAAAAGCTTGGTGGAGCTTCCACGTACCTTCCGGACCTTCTACATTGGGGGCTCGCCAACCTGGATAAAATTAGACGTGCCAAGACTGCTTAAGCTCCTGCCTTAAGGGCGATCCTAATAAAGTACGGAGTCATAATGGGTGATTTGATAATTTTTTAGCCCTTGAGTAGCATTTGAATGTCCAAGGGGGCTCGGTGGTACTACCTAACCCAGTAGGTTGGATTCTAGCCCCAAGAATACAGTAATACACGTTGCAAAGTAAACAATACCCCGGGCCCACCGAGGCTTAACACCATCCGCGCGAAGTGCAGAAAGCATACGAATCAATCTGACGTATTACACTCACCGGGGTAAACGTGCCAGCACCCATGTAGCTCTCAAATCTCGTACACAAACTCCTACATTTGGAATGAAGCTTTAATTTGGGTGCTCTGTAGATCACTTGAAGTTAATTTCGTGAACAGCTCATACTGATCCGGCCCTTCCGGCAAGTGGCTCTCACAATTCTACTTTGGCACGAAACTCGATTTTTCATGTGGGGAACCTGGCTTGGAGGGGAATCGGAAAGCTTGCCAGCTTGGCACAACGGTGTACACGAACAAATGATCATTCGAGGCTAGAATCTCACCGATCATAATCTTCGATGCCTCATAATCCTAAACCTGAATTCATCCGGTGACTCCAGGCGAGCTCCGAAATTTTCATCATGGAATGTGGGACATGTCAAAATGGCTGAAAAGGCGTTTTACGCCAGAATGGTTCTTCCACGCGTAACGAACGCTAATGGTGCTTTGGCTGCCGGGGCTTGAACGCCCAACAGCGTTGAAATACGTCTACTCTGCATCTGCCAAGCATCTCACCCCTACCATTCGAGGGGGCTGTCGGCGGTTGAATAGAGCCGCACGCACAAAGAAGAAACCTACATATTAGACAAAACAGCAATGCAGAAAGATTGAGTCTATCTATGTGGAATTGGTTTTAAAAATAGAAACTTAGTAAGAAGTATCAAAAAGAGGAAAGAGGAAAGAGATATTGAGACACTGTTTACATTCAGCATTGGACGCCTGAGGCACTGTAGCGGTCTTTTGTGGGAAATTCCGGGCGTACGTCATCAACATGCATCCTTTTGTTTCTATTATCTCATAAAAACATGAGTCAATACGAATAGCTTGCATGAGATACTCTCCGGCCTATGTTCCTTCAACTGACCAAGCGTAAGAATCTTGTGATAGGTGTGCTCGGACGTTCTAACCATGGTCTACATTGTATATTATGGTTTGTTGTGGCTCCATGCTCCACGTCACTCTGGAAAATGGAGTGAGCTAGATTAAGCGATTGGAAGCTACTTGGTACCCTAGGTGCCGAGCAGCCAAAGCACTCGGATTGATCAATAAACCACAATTCTCTATCTAATCCTGTTTGATACATGTCTTACTTTCAAGGCCCGTGGGCTGCGACATCCATGGACCCAAAATAAAACAGTAATCGATGGCACCTAACAAGCAAATCAAATCCATATATAAGTACAAGTGTTCTATTCACATTACTTCACATCCTTAATATCAAGTCTCTGTCATCTTGCAAATCCATTCCACGAATGCATCTGCTTCCCTGGTGGGCCCTTCATTTCCTAGCATCTTAGAGAATATAGATTCGCCGTGCGACATTCCTTCAATGATGATGGTGGTGACTTTTCCCAAGAACTCGTCGTCCAGAATAGCCCCCATTTGCTCTATTTCACCAATGAAAACCTCGTTACTACCATCTGTCAGCAAGATCTTAGGAATGGATAGGTCTTTCCACCACCCCCCGGGGGCAGTCAATGGTTCAGAGAATGAACTTGATGTGGACGTTCCCATGTAGGCCTCCGACCATATCTTGCACATCTCAACGGAAAGCACGTCTTTTTTCCTGTTCCTAGTCCAGGATGATGCCTTCGTAGAGACCCAGGGGGAGATGAGGGCTAGACCCATGATTGGAGATTTCAGCTCTAGCTTTGGGAGTGATGGGTGGGGACGGTTCAGATGAAGTGCCAGGCCTAAAGCTATGCTACCCTCTGCCGATTCTCCTGCTAGGACAATCTAGTGCAGGTAAGCATTTGTCTGCATATCTCAATAGGCGCTTTAATTCAGGCTTAGAAAAGCTTACTCTTGATGGATCGATCGCCAAATCACTGGTAACATATTCCAACAGTGCAACCGCCTGGTTTAGTGGACGGGGTATTGTGCTTGTGGTGCCAGATCTTGTGGAAATACAGTCAGAAAGTTCGGTGGAATGAGGATTATCTGGATATTTACCATATTGAAGCACTAAAGTCGCAACTGATTTATGTGTTTTTTGGTGTATATTGTCAAGCAAGCACTTCAGTAGTACGAAATGCCCGTTGAGCGCCGGAAAAACATAGCCCCCACCTAATCGCTCAAAATAATATCGTTAGTACCACGTCTTGTTATCTCTTGAAGAACGAACCATGGAAAAACAAAATAATAATATCGCTCTTACTAGATCCGATCCAATGAGCCTTACTACCATCATTCAATGTGACAGTTTCAGGTATAAGCCGTCTTGACTTCATGAAACTGCGATATGTGTATGAGGTAGATGGGGCCACGTCGCTAATTAAGTCAGATATTGCTATCACGAAGGGAATAATCTCCGAGGTTTCATACTGGACATATTGAGCGCTAAGTCGTGATAATAAGGTCCGCGATGCAACGAATTTAATATAACCTAGGTAGGTGGGTGAGGTGTCTGTCCCCCGAAACGGGCCAGATATTGCTGCCCATATGGCGGCGATTGCTAGATGACTCGAGTGGTGAGTGGTTCAATCTAGCCGGATAGATGGGGAGATGAGTGAGAGAGTGAGTTACCTGTTAATCTAAAGAGCATATGACAATCTAATAGCCAGCATTCTGGAAATGGAATGTCGAAATAAGCTATCTGTTTAAATGAGGCCGAAACTTTTAAGGTTATCGCAGATCAACCTTTTGAAAGCGGCTTGTACGACTCGAGATACCGATAATGCGGTTGCCGGCCCCGATTAATTATGCTCCCCCCTGAGTTGTGACACGAGGAGTTCCGGTGACGAGAATCAATTGTAGCTTTTATAAAATGAATTATGGGGTTAAGAAGAGTAGTGGTGGTGTTGTTGCTGACGAGAGCGCTTAAAAAAGGGGATTATCTCTATATGAGGGAGATTGTATCAGGAGAATCCCGCCGAACCAATCAGTCAAGGGTTCGATGAATCTGCTAGGAAATAAAAGCAAAATACCAACCACATTCTATCTAAGACCATGAGTGTCAAATTTTTATCATGTTGAAGGAAGAGTAAACATCCTTGTAGTTCATTGACATGACAATAGGAAAGCAAATTAGATACTATTGAGCAGTGAAGAGGTTGATCGTCCTGAAACGGATTTGAAAAACGCCAAAAATCCTCATGAGAGCTAGTATAACTACGGGGTCGGAACCGACATCGGTTCTGACCTCCAGATATACGGCAGATGCTACGATGGGACCTACTACGTTTGCGTTTCTATTTTTCGCGGAGACGTAATCAATAAGGCTTTTTTGCGAGACCTAAAGATTGTATTTCAATCGAAGAAAACGCTTCGTCAGTCATTGTTCAAATACTCGATGAGTCTTGTTTCCTTTCAGCTTCCCTCCCGGTAGATTGCTGAGTATTGAATTTGCCAGGAGATGCCGTGTCGGGGTGTGGCGAGGCAGGAATTTCCGGGGTCCTCGAGCTTCCGGTGGGCGTCGATGGATTACTGTCATTGGATCGAACTTCAGCTCGTCGTGTTTTGGCTCCCTCCTTTAGTTTTTCCCAACGGTCTCGGTACCGGTTGAGGACATTCTTCAGCTTGTCATTTTCTTTCCCAACACGTTCTAATTCTTGCTCGCCGCGACGAACAAGGTCCTCCAATTCCTTGACTTTGTCATCTGGGTCTGACAAAGGGTTTGCAACTGACATCTGGGCCACTGGAGAGGTGTTGACAGATGAACCATGTGGCGCAGCTTCGGGGGATTGGTGATGGATTGCCCTCAACGACTGCTGTAGCGCCATGGATGACGATTGTGCATTGACTTCCCACATGTGAAGTCGTTTAGAGAGGGTGTCAGACAGGTGCTTCAAAGCTTGGTTCTCCATCTGTAACTCCTCCAGGGTTTTAGGATTCTGGAGGCTTGTAAGTTTATCGGCAGCACCGCGACGCATCGTACGAGTTTTGGAACTTCCTGTACTCAGACGTAACTCCGGTGAAGATGGGGTTTCTCGTGCATCCACAAAGTCTTCATCGCCGTCCTCCAGGCTGTTCCGACGCGCCTCTTTCTCCGCTCTAGTCATGATTCCTGCGTATGACATAGTCCCACCTGTTGTAGGGACCACGTAGAAGGACTCAGTGGTGTTTCCTGGGCTGGATCCTGGATTATCGCGAATTGAGCGTAAGGCGGCCTGGGAGAAGAGTCGGTTCACATCCGACTCGGCCAGAGTACTTCCCTTATCGGAAGTCGCATGATGACGGTCTACCTTAGTCTCTGCAGAAGACTTGCGCGTGGGAGTGTTAGTTTTGGTAGGGCCCTCTGTTCCGAGAGGTAGTCCTGCAAATGCCAGAGGCGCAGATATTTTAGAGATAAGGCCTTCGAACGTAGAATAGAACCGCTGAAATGGTTCATCCGCATTGGAATATCCAGTCTTGGCAGATTCCGGAACGAGTTCTTGAGACGTGATGTCGGTGGGACTGGGTTGTGGATGTGGAGGTGACCAGGGCTGCCTAGGCGCCGAGGACCGACTGGATCGATTTTTATTGGGAACCTCTCGCAATCTAGATTCGCCGGTCTTGATTTTTGACGGTCCATCTGTCATCTTCGCCCCAGCTTGGTGGGCGGAAAGGGTTGGCGATACCGGTGATCCACGACGAGGTTGAGCCGGGATGCCTCGAGCTGAGGCCAAGTTGCTGGCAATCGATGAGGACTCTCGGCTGGGTATTCGGGCATTCCCTGGGAGCCTTGGTGGTTGACCTTGAGCATCCTGGCTGATAGGCGCGCCGGCCTTTGTATGTCCAGTATCTAGGGAGTGCTGGGTGGTGGGACTTGGCGAGGCCGTAGCGGTTGCTTCCTCGGCGTTGGCGGGGTGTTCATGCTGGAATCTCAGAATTTCGGCCAGCTTCTTGTGGTGATTCTCGAGTAGTTGCAGAGTGCGGAGAGCCTAAGGTGCACATAGGATGATCAGCACCACAGTACAAACCTAGGTACAAGAGGACTCACTTCTTGATCAGGGTTGTCAAGAGCTGCAGCTGCAAATTCGCCGGCAGCTAAATCATGCTCCTCGCTAGCAGCGACCGGGTTTGACTTGCGGGTTTCGAGGACTGCATTGCGGGCATGGGTGTGGGCCTTGCGACAATCAGACTAACCGACGTGCGGGGGAGTGGACTAGAACAGCTTACCAGAGTGAGCGGCGCGGTCTCCATATTTAGATATTGAACGGCGCATGGGCCATAGTCGTCATCCGTTGAATGGTTGGAATGTTCAGAAGCTTGGAGTGACACAATAAGGAACTGAGAAGAGAATACAGAGTTGTGTTATCTGCTTACTGTACACTGTACTTGTAGAGAGTTTGCATACTTAGCATTTGCCCAATTTTGTCATTTTAGCTACTCGATTTTATCTTTATTATTTAGTAGCGTAAAAGTTATTCATAAAATTCCATTGTAACTATGCCCTTAAAAGATCCCATCATACCCTGTAGAGAGCTGACTGAAAGCAGCGTGCATTGACCATGAACTGTCACATCCGCATTCTACGAGTGGAGAAAGGTGTCAAAAGCTACAGGACTTTAAGGAGACGGATGGGGTTAAAGACATAGATAACGAAATAAATGAGCTTCAGCTTAATAGAGTATTATTGATCAATGAAACAGCCTGTTCAACTTCCTATGTTCCTGTTCCAAAGGTTGGGGAGCTTCCTCGGCATCTGACTAAGTCAACTACTTTCCCCTCGAATTGCATCAGGGGATTTCCACTCACACACGCTCCAACCAAACGGGAGACACGGCGCACAATCCTCATGCTGTGTTCCCAGCCTCAATCTTTCATTCATCTCACCTCGCTTCGGCCCTGATCCCTGCCCATGGCCGACTCCTCATCCTCAAGTCTGAAAGGCGGCGGAGGCGGGAGCAGGTCGCGCCGCTCTTGGACCGTGTCTGCTGCCGATTCAGATATATTGGAGAACTCGAGTCGGAGTAATGGCCGCTCCTCAATTGAATCCTTAGAAAGGCCCAAAACACAGGCCGGAGAGACTCCGGATTCCGCAAAGGCTGGCTCCAGCGGTTTCTCTAAGCTCCTCAAGTCCCGGCGCCGGCGGAAGGAGAAGAACAACCAGAAACAGACCGACGAACCCCCGGTGCCCGAGATCATCACCGAACAAGAACTACGAGAAACTCCTTCCAATACATCCAACGGGGGTACTTCGGTAGCTGTGTCGTCAGCTACTTCGTCCAACAACAGCTCCGGCCCGCCGGAGGGCGAGGTCATCCAGTTATTGACCGATGATTCCGAACCCGACAAGTACATCAAGCATCTTTCCTGTTACTAGTTGTCTGCCTCACTGAAACTAACTCATGTCGTCTCACAGAACTCCACCGCTGACCACACGTAACTCACACACCGGTTTCTATACCTCCTCCTCCCCGCTCATCAATACCACGTCAGTAGATTCCGCTGCGGAAACTGAGGGTACACAAGAGGATGTCACGTCAGCGATCAGTGACCCAAGCGCAACCGGATCAGATTCAGCACAGAGCGAAAACCCACGGAGGCCGCGCGCCCAAACGAGTATGACTTTGGACGTTCCAGATTCCAGCAGCAAGAAACGCAGTGTTTCACCCGGGCGACGATTGAAAGAAGCATTCAGCGCGACAGATAAAGACAAAAAGAACACAACCGAAGACACAGACGCGTCGTCATCCAAGTCCGGGGGTAGCAAGAGTGGGAAGGGTCTTTTTGGGGGCCGACGTAGCAGTCTGTCTTCCAGACGAGCGCAAACTCAGGCCTCCCAAGAGACCCCTCCACCTGTCCCCAGCCCCATTCGTACAGATGTATGGAATATGGACAATAAGGAGGACAAGGAGGATAAGCCACGCTCTTTGCAAGCAAGCCCGTTGCCGAACACCCCTCCGCATACAGCTATTCCCATCCCGACGCCAGCTACAACTGTAACTCCACCTACTCCAACGGAACACCGCCCACTCAATGCCCAAATAACGGCTGAAGCTATGACGGACTCGCCTGAGTCAATCACTGGCCGAAATTCCATGTCTTCGGCCGATGTCACCGTGAGCCCTTCAGGAAACATGATATCGCATCGCCGGGTGCGCTCTGCATCTGCAGCTCACACCCCGAGCAAGCTCTCCACTTCCATGTCAGCCTTAACTCCCCTAGAAGAAGCAAAAACCCCAAAAAGCGGAGGGAGTCAACAAAGTGGATTTTTCTCATCGATGTTTTCCGCCGCCCAAAATGCGGCATCCTCTTTCACTAATACTATCAATGCCCCGCCAAAGAGCCGACCCCTCTCCCAGCCATCCTCGGCTGGTATTGATGGCACACAGAAAGGAAATGATAATGAAGAACAAGAGAACGTTCTGGAGAAAGCGAACAGCAGCGAAGACGGGAAACCAGCTGCTGTGGACACTCTAGGGACTGGAGATCTCAACTTCAGCCATTTGGACATCGATACGCAGCCAGGCGAAGTGGTTTCAAATGCCGATGGCGTTCTTGTCACAAAGCTAGGAAGTCCGCTTGATAGGCGCAAGAACACGGCCGTGTATCGGCGCGATGAGGAGGCGTCGAAGCTGGAAGACCAACGTGCCACGCGTGCCGTGAACATGGCGTACGAAAGGCCTCTTGACGCATCGGTACTAGGATCGCCTGGTGAGGATGCCATCGAGTCACAATCTACCATCTCCCTCCCAAGGGATGGCCTCATGAGTGGGGATCGCACCCCTCCAAGTGGAAGTGTCATTGATGGCGACTTTGGAAGTGGCGGTATTAGGCGCACTGGCAGTGTGCGTAGTCGACTCGCGCGCCGTCACCGAGGTTCATCTGGAGCTACCGCTTCAACAATTGGGGCCATTGGAGCTAGTGCCATCAATCTGGGCGTTCCTGGCGTCAACTCAAGTGTGCCTCGACTGACAGGCTTCGCGGTTGCGAGCAAAAAGCGCAACAGAGACTTCCATCAATTGTTCCGCAGCGTGCCCGAGGATGATTACTTGATTGAGGACTACAGCTGTGCATTACAGCGTGAGATCATTCTGGCCGGTCGTATCTACATCTCGGAGGGCCATATTTGCTTTTCCAGTAACATTCTTGGCTGGGTGACCACACTTGTCATCAGCTTTGATGAAGTGGTGGCCATCGAAAAAGAAAACACAGCTATGGTCTTCCCAAATGCCATTGCTATCCAGACACTTCATGCTCGCCATACGTTTAGGAGTCTGCTTAGTCGTGAATCTACCTATGATCTGATGGTCAACATTTGGAAAATCAATCACCCCTCTCTCAAAAGCTCTGTGAATGGAACCAGAGTGACAAATGGAACTGGTGACAAGACTGAGAAAGTTGGTGAAGGTGAAGCCGAAAGCGACAGCGAGAGCGATGTCTCGGACGAAGATGAAGTCTACGACGAAGATGAAGAGGGGGATCACGCCGAGAACTTCTTTGAGGCCGGTGCTAGCGCTAATGCCAGTGAAAAGTCCTTGCCATTGAAAACTGGCTTGAGTCGGCAACCTTCGGGCCTATCTGGAAAGGGAGCATCTCCATCTGGGGCAAACTCCGGCGCGGACGCCAAGAATGGGGACAAGGCGGCTTCCAAAGAGGCTGACTTCCCTGGTCCAGCTACTCACGCTCCTACCGAATACACGAATCCTGATGGACAATACGAAAAAGTCATCAAGGACGAACTTATTCCGGCCCCCCTTGGAAAGGTTTACTCGCTGGTCTTTGGACCTTCGTCAGGGGATTTCATGACCAAGTTCCTCGTGGACAATCAGAAGTCTGGTGAACTCCAGTTTGAAGGAACCGCGAAAGGTCTTACTAATGAAAGCCGAGTCCGAAAGTATTCATACATCAAGCCTCTCAATGCGCCCATTGGTCCAAAGCAAACCAAGTGTATCAGTACCGAGAACCTGGACTTTTTGGATTTGGAAAAGGCCGTTCTCGTCACGCTGAGCACGCAGACTCCTGATGTTCCCAGTGGAAACGTCTTTGCTTGCAAGACAAAATACCTTTTCACGTGGGCACCAGGTAATCAAACGCGGTTCCTGATGACGTGTACTATCGAGTGGACGGGCAAGAGTTGGCTGAAAGGTAAGCAATTCCTAACCTAGATATCGGGATATTATATGCTAATCCAGCCCAGGTCCGATCGAAAAAGGTGCTATCGATGGTCAAACGACCTTCGGTAATGAGCTAGTCAAAGCATTGAAGGCCGGTGTTGTCCCCCGTGGACGGACTGCTGGTGGTGGGCGATCAAAGGGTCGTCGCAAGAAGGGCGATGCCGGAGCTCGCGAGTCATCCGAGGCGGCATCAAACAAGCTGGGAGGTGATTCCACCGGGGGCCAATCCGAGTCCTGGGGTCTCCTTGAGCCAATTCGCCCCATCTTAGAGCCATTTACAAGCATGTTGAAACCCCTGTGGAGCGGGAACATCGCAATCTTGCTCGTTGGCCTCCTCATATACCTCGCATTCTTCCGAACACCATCTACCCCATCTATGATTGGACACCATCCGGCTCACCATGGGCTTAGCCTCCCGCAAAGACTAGCAGCATATGACGAAATGTGGCGGCGCGAGGAAAGCGAGCTGTGGAACTGGCTGGAGGATCGAGTGGGCATGGATGGCATGGTTTTCCCTGCCCTTCACCACAGAATGCCTGCGCCCACCCACAAAGCCCCTCGCGTGAATGTCGCAGACGAACTAGATCTCATTGACCGGCTTCGTGAGGAGAAGGTTTCAGATCGGGAGATGGACCATGCTATCCGGACTACACGACAAAGACTTGACATCCTTGAGGAGATGATGAACAATCGCAGAGCGGACCGGGATCCACAAGAACCCCTTCGCTCTGAATTGTGAGTTTCCTGATGTGCTAAGTCACCTGTATGCGTGCTTAGATCCGATCCTACCTGCTTCATTCGCTCTCGTATGTCTCTCTCGCCAAAGCCCTTTCCCCCGGCCGGTTTTTACAAACTCCATGGCCTCCTCACAGCTTTCTCTCACCCCAAAGTTCGTTCCTTCACAAAATCTTTCCATTTCCTGGTGTTTTGCTTGGGTTACATTATGGGTCAACGAAGCCACCTAGCCGTTGATAACCCTTCTCTCCTCTTAAGATCCCACCCACAGTCATTCCTTCCCCTTCCACCTCTTTGCTCCTCTTGTGACACGGGGGCCAGTGAAGTTTTCCTTAACTGTACATGAGCACCAACTGCCTGTCTATACAGCTGTATATATTACAGCACCATCCTGTTCTCTTTCCTTTTTATCCTTGTATGTTAACCGAGCGAGTTCATTTCACCCTACTGAGTAGGCTTGATTGTATACTTCTTTTTGTCTCATAGCGTTTCATAACCGAATTTTTTACTCTTGCTCTGATCGCTGGTTTTCCCTTCCAAGCTCTTGTAGCCTAGTGTCTGTATTGAGTATCGATTGGCCGGGCCTTATTTCAATAGCCAATGGGTGAGTAGCTTGTCTCATCATCTGATTCCTGCACCATTTGTTCCGCCTCACATAGTCATTAACGTAGTCATTTATTACTAATTTGTACGTCACGGATTTTGGCGCTATCGTCTCTTCAGCCAGATAACATTGTAATTTGAATGACTTCTTTCCATGGCTCTAATTTCATCTTCATTGCGCGCATCGAACATCGAACCCATTATTCAAAGTAAATGACGTATATTCATATGTATAGTATAAGGCCGATTACTAATTGACATATCAGCCAAACATCCGTAAATCAATCTATTCTGCAGATTGCAAAACCAGTGCTCTGCTCTTAGCAATCTTCCTATTGCCTGCCACAGAGGTCTTCCATGCTGAAATCTTCGAGTCGAAGACATTATCAATCTGTTCCAGAGTGAGACTGGCAGTCTCTGGAACGAGCAGGAATATCAAAGCGGCAATGACAACTGTCACACCTGCGTAGAAATATCCCACATTCGCCCCCATGTTGCCATATTGGGCATCAAGCATGTATGGCGTCCAGAAAGTTGCACTAAAAGAGAAGATTCCATAGACGATCGTCGTATTCGCTTGTCCGTAAGTGCGCAGTGACACACTGTGCATCTCTGCGGATGCTAGATAAGCAGTTGGAGCGATTGTTCCACCAAAGATGAATGACCAGAGGCAGAGAAGCACAACAACAACGATCTTAGAGGCGTCATCTTGACCTAGTGCCGAGCTAACAGTTGATAGAATCAACATGCAGACTGCCATCGCCAGGTACCCGAGCAACATTGTGAGTCGACGTCCTCCATATTCAACCGCGAAGGGGCCAATCCCTGAACCTCCCAGGATGCAAACACCGATAATGACGTTGATCAGATACGGGTTGCTGACCCCGACACCCCTGAGGAATGTAGTGGCGTAAGGCTGCACAAACTGAATCCCGGTAATAGAAAGCCCAATCTGAATAAGTGCTGAAGCAGCAGTCCTCAGAATATGCTTCTTCTGATAAATCTCATACCAAGAAGTCGACTTTGCAATCGCCCTCTCAGCCTTGATATGAGCCTTGACATCCTCGATCTGCGCTGTAATCTCCGGCGCAAAAGGATCCATCTGATAAAGAATCGCAAATGCCTTCCTTGCTTCATCCTCATTTCCATCATTATTAAGAATCCACCTAGGCGACTCGGGAAACATCAAAATCCCCGCCCCAAGAATAATTCCGAACGGAATCTGACAAAGGATAGGCGTCTTCCACTGCCAGTTATTCCCCGGCTCCAGCTTTGCTGATCCCGCGCACACGGCACTCGACATGACGTTGCCCAGAGCTAATCCGATATTGTACAATCCCAGCGCGAACCCGCGCTTCTGTGCGACGATACACTCTGATCCGTATGTTGTGCTCGCGGCGATTAAATGACCTAATCCGATTGCGCTGATACACCGACAGATCATGTAGTGGAGGAAACTTGCATCGCCAGTTCCGCCTGTTCCCAGCATACCAGCTGCACCCACTATGGAGAGTGCACAACCGATTTGGAACGTGCCGCGACGACCGAGGAAACGGCCTGTGAGACCTGATAGTCCACCTCCGATTCCGATGAACATGTAGTTCAGACTGATGAGGGATTGTTGAAGGGGTGTAATGGAGCATTGTTCGACTATTGTGTTGGTGATTGGATCCATTAATTTGGTGCATGTTCCGAAGGCCTTTTTGTATGAGGGCATGATTAACACGGTGCCTGTGTATCCATTGTCGAAGTTGACGATCCATGCCGCGAAGGATACCCATAAGGCAACGCGGAGCATGGCGGTTGTTGAACCGGGTGCCTTATTTGAGGATGAGCTGCGCATTGCGGAAAGAGCCCCTCCATCTTTCTCGGTTTCATCGTCATAGCACCGCATCTTTGCGTTTCGAAGGAGTTTTATGAAGACGATGTAGGGATAGTTTGTTCATTCATGTGCTTTTATTGAGCACTTGAAGAGCATTTCAGGGCTGTTTTATCCTTTCCTTGGGTTAACCCCATGGTTCCTGCATACCAGGGCCACGCCATCAATGCCTTGCTTGATCATTAGGAATGCTAGCCCTCTCCGCTGACCAATGACGTTTGCCTGAAAGTGCTGGTGACTGATAAGATCCTTGCATGAATAATGTAATAATGTCCGAGTGGTTGAATTAGATCATGTTCATTGGATGCCCTGGGGTTCTTGAAATCACCGGCCAGATTTAAGGTAAGCCAAGCTCTCTGAACTGTTTCAAACTTTCAGGCGAATGTACCATGAGCACTTGTTGAGGAATGTTGCTCAATACTGGCTTAGGCATATCGTCATTGACTGGATGCTAGCTAGCTTGAAATTTGTGACTGTAGATGAGAGGTGACTGGAAAGCACAGACTCCCAGTCTGGAGTTGTGTACAACGCAGCATTCCATATGGAGTAATTGTTTCGTATGTCATTTTAGTTTCATGTGCAAAGCACAAATCTTATAATAGTACCAGGCTTCAGTTCTGTGAATGATGTCAATTTCGTGAGAAGCTGTCTTTGGTAGAGTTCATCCTGAGATCATACTGTGGGTCCTGATCATAACTGACAGGACCCGCAGGGCCGCAGCCGGCAACAGTCGACTCGACACCTTGTAAAGCACAATGTGTTTCGGCTCAGAATCGACAGATAACTTGACACTGGTCATGCAAAGTGCGGCTCAGTAAATATCGACAGATAATGTTAGTCAAATGAACAGGCGAGCTTAGAGCGTCAAGAGTACCTAGCATGTGGCGCCGCAAACCAGTCCTTGCTCACGCGACAGTGCTACTAGAACCACAGCAGGGGAGGACCTACACTCATATTATCAAAATAGCTCAAGACTCGAAGGAAAGGAAATGTATCAACTATGAAAGTCCATTTGCTAAAGGATTTTGCTAATCTGGACTTCAAACGCAATGTATAGTTTAGTGATCACGTGGAACGAACCATAATCAGACTCCACAGACACCCGCATTCACCCACACGCAACCCACAATGGAGCTCCGAACTGTCATCTTCTTCCTAGTACTCTACGTCGGTAAGTAAACCATTGCCTGGCTACTACAGTAGCTGTCGCCAGGCATCTGCGACAACTCAGATCAACAAACGAACCCCAATGACTAACGAATCCCAGGTATCCGCCTCTACCAAACCCGCCGCAACTCCTCCGCGCCCATCATGTCTCACGGAAAGGTCGTCAACATCGACAAGTAAGAAACCCGTCCATTGAATCTCAATCCAAAATCCAGTCCGAGTCTAACGCTTTCCCACAACAGCGATGTCATCTTCAAGGCCCTCACTTCCTCCGGCCCCACTGTTATCGACTTCTACGCGACCTGGTGTGGTCCCTGCAAGGCTGTTGCGCCTAAGATTGGCGAGCTGAGCGAGAAGTACACCAATGTGCGCTTCGTTCAGGTTGATGTTGATAAGATGCGCGGCGTTGCGCAACAGTACAATGTTACTGCTATGCCTACCTTTGTGTTCCTGAAGGATGGCCAGGAGCTTGCTGAGAAGCGGGTTCGGGGTGCTGATATTCGGGCTTTGGAGGCTGGTATTCAGGCTATTTCTGCTTAGATGTTGCGACATGCTTAGCGGAATAATTTGGTGTGGAGATGAGCATTTGTACATGGTTGTTTGAGGTTGAGGAATAAGATTATGCCTTGATGATTCGCTCTTTGATTAGTGTTCTTTGAACTGTTCAAGCTTTGGTGTCTCGCTTACACTGGTAAGTGGGAATTATGTAAGTCATGTTGGCAGGACTAGTAGGTTCCATTCTTATTACATGCGATGGGAGATGACAGCAGTACTGTGAAGCGCAATGTTTATGTGTCTCTGCAGCGATGCTGCATTGGACATGAGGCAAGGGATTACTACTACTACTAAGAAGAGCGAAGTGGGTAGAAAAGAAATTATGTATTAAGAGGGGAAGAGATCCGCTCTATGATGCATAGAAGAATAATTAGGTCTCAAACAGACAAAAAGAAATAACAGGTGAAGGTATATCCCGTAGATCCTCCAACTTTCAACCCCATGCGAACTGAATCCAAGAAGCGATACGCTTAGAGGATGGAGCCGAGGGCAACGCAAGGAAGACCGGCGCCAATGAGGTCGCTGCTCTGTAGAGAGTATGGATGTTAGTAAGTTGCAAGGATAATGAAGTAGAACAAACACTTACGGCAGTGGAAGGAGAGTTGGCACAGCAGGCAATGTTCTGCTTGCACTTCTGGTTGATCAAGTCCTGGATGGGGACGGCGATGAGGATGGGGATCTGGACATCCAGCTTGGAGCACTGGTCGAAGACGCCGAGACCGTCGGAGCCGGAGCCACCAGCGATCAGGTTTCCGAGGAGGCCACCACCAATGCCGGAGTTGATGTCGGTGGTGTCACCGGCGTAGGTGGCCTTGTTGCAGCAAGAGAGCTGAGCCTGGTCACCACACTTGGCCTGAGCCTCCTTGACGGTCATTCCCTTGGGAACGGGGAAGCGAACACCACCGTGCTCCTGGGCCTGGAGAGACTCAGTGGGCATGGCAGCGGCCATGGTGGCGAAGGCAAGAGCAATGGCGGAGATAGAGAACTGCATTTTGAATGGAGAATTAAAGATTGTAGTCTTTGAAAAAGTAGATAGGGTTTTTTGGAGAGTCTTGAAGTAGAGAGAAGAATGGAAGAGTAGTGTGTGATGAAAAAAGAAGATGACCACCGATCTGCTGCCTTTTATCTTCGAAGAGCTCATTGTTTGCGTTGGTCCTTGCTAGCTATTTTTCTCGTTAGTATCAAAAACAATGGTCCCGTTATGGTCACGGGAATGTCCCACGCAAGGGTGTGGCGCCCGTGGACCCTGAATTGGCAGGGCTAGAAGCCCCTCAATTGGCTAGTTCTCCCCTTCGGAATTTTGTCATTTGTTAGAATGGACTCCCTTTGGTGCTAAAGTACACGAGCCCTGCATTCCAAGGTGTGGTGGTATCCATGAAAGATACCCTGTAGATCTAGGTAATTTCCAATTCCCTGCTTACTCCATGTGAAGCATCTTGCCCTACGAGCACACGGACTTGGATCGTGATTTCCTTGATTGCAGTGGAGATTATTGGATTCGACTGGCTGGATAGTCAATCTCGATCTCCTTTTCCCTAAAGAATGACGCACTACAAAATTTTGATCTCTGTTATGATCTACGTACTCTATGTAACCTTTTCCCTTTAGCCCATGTGCCATGTAAACTCCGACCTTAGCCTATTATTCGTCATCTTGGCTTATCTATAGCCACTAGTAATTACTCGACTAATTTACTTAGCAAGTCAGCCGGTAGTCCATGACTACCTAGTATAAATCACAATCCAACCTGTCGCCAAATATCGCCCTACCTACTCAAATCGAATAGTTGTGTAAAAGCGTAGTGGGAAATGCATCCCGGGTCACATTCATCCCGGTACCCAGGTGGATCGACTGATCAAGTCTCATCTTGATAGGAATCAAGAATAGTGGGTGCCCCATAGTAGGGACGGCATTGAGCAGGGTTGCAAAGCAATTCAACCCTGTCGACCTCCACTCATCTCAATTCTCGACCGATCTAACCGTGTCCATTCTATGTTACGATGGGCGACCGATGAGGATCTACATGTGCCTGCTAAATTAGTATTCCCTGATTACAGGGAAGGAATGGATTGTCTCTATCCTTGATACCCGTGGGTGCAGATCTATCCCTATTTTGGTGGAACCAGCCGCTACACTCGTATTCGCGAGATTGATCTTATCCGCTTATCGAGATTCACTTCAATGTTTACTGCAGTGTTGCGAAATCAAAATTGAAATACCCATGCCATAAGGATTCTTGTCTTGGGGATTGTGATCCAGGGCTGGTGTTGAGATATCCTGGAACTGCCCCTTGTTCTGCGGGCACCTTCTCCTGTCGAGGCGGTCCAACTGCTGGCAGATCCAATGGCACATTTGAAAGAAATCACTGAGCTAGAGGGTAGCAGGTATAGGCTATGTGGATATGTAGTGCCTTAGTAGGCTTGTAGTTGATCAACTGCGTATGCTGAATGCCAAGGTTCACTGATGTTAAAATGTTGCCTCACCAAGGTTGTTAATGGCTCATGGCGTCGATATAAGGCTCGCGATTTGTAAATTTGGCAACATTTGAATCTTGAATTGAAATTGAATATTAAAGATCTCGAAAGCTGAATGATTGTTGCAGCTCTAAGTATATTAATTCATGGTATTGTAGTGATCTTGAAAGTCTTGGATAAGTTCAGAATGTGAAGGTATGTATATATATTCATGCATGTCCTTCAGTAGTGCAGAACCACAACATGTATATTTAGAATCCCGTGGACCTTGGAAGGCCAAAAAGCTCTTAAATCCAGTCACCCTTACTGGAATTGACCGAATCTTCAATGTTCAGGTCTCATGCGTTTATATTTCTATATGCACCTGAAAACTGACCTAAGTTCTATGTATACTCAAATCCTCTACGACACGTGACCAGATTTGACATATTTCCAAATCCCTTCTAAGATAAACGATGTTACGAAACTTGAAGAGTCATGATATCAAGATTGTTTGATACACTGCGGCGCAGCCCTGCACAGCCTCTATGGGCCTATTTTTGTCGTAGTACATGTAGCTGCTTACAGATGCATGTTCCGCCGGGCTGCTGTTGCCCCGACCCTAAACCTAATCAGGACTAGCACGATCACAACGGGCCGACTCCATCATCGATCTACAAGATACGCCACCGTTTTAGGATGAATGTTCAAAGCCAACTATCCGAGGCCCTGATGCGATGGACGCCTTGTTCGCGAAAAGAAAAGATATAAGCCCGGGCTTGATTCCCATGTATCCCAGCCTCAACAACCAAAAATTCAACTCAACTCATTCAAATTTTGACCTAAATATCTTTAATTCACTAGTATATACCTCACAATGTCGACAATTGCTTTCTTCGGTCCGACAGGTGGATGCGTCAACGCATGTCTCGCACACACCCTACTGAATGGCTACAAAGTCATCGCTCTAGCCCGCACACCATCAAAACTCACAACACAACTCCTCGAGCAACCGGGCCTAACAACTGAAATACTGGATACCCAGCTCAAAATCATCCAAGGAGACGGAACGGACATCGAAGCTGTAATGAACACAATCATAACCTCAGAAACCGAATCCGACAAATCAGCTCAACCTACACTGGTCAATTTGGTCATCTCCGGGATGGGCGGCACAGGTACAATGGCATTTACCAAGCCATGTGATAAGATGTCCATGCGCGTCCCAACTCTACCGCATGTAGTGATCCCGAATCCACATGTCGCGGAACAATTCACCATGACTTTGCTTGAGGCCCTGGGACAGATTGCGGAGAGGTTTGACAGTTTTGCTGATTATGCGGCTGTCGCTCCGCGGGTGATGGTCATTTCTGGGACGGGAATCAAGGAAGGATTGAACGATGTTCCATATTTGTTTAAGAAGATGTATGATGTGCTTCTTCCTATTCCGCATGAGGATAAGAAGCAGATGGAGAGGCTTTTGGAGACGGAGAGGAAACAGAGGCAGAGTTTGCTTGTTGGGGGGTTGATTATTGTGCGACCTAGCTTTATGGAGGGGGATCATAAGATTGCTGCTCCGGGTGTCGATGATCGGTATGAGAAGTTGAAGGTTGGGACAGAGAAGAAGCCGGCGGTCGGATATATGATTCCGAGGGCTTGGGTTGGACGGTGGATGTTTGAAGAAATTGTTAAGACCGGTGGGGACAAGTGGGTTGGGGAGGGTGCGATCCTTACTGCTTGAGCTATTAAGATGTGGTTTTAATTACTTTAAGAGTTTGGAGGTTTCAAAGTTAGATGTATAGCATTGCAAATTTATCCAATCCAGGCAGCATATGGAGCAGATGTTAATATATAGAGGGAAGCAATTCAATCATAGCAGATGTGTTCGGTCATTTGACATGAACTCACGACCAGATGGGGAATCATATGTAGAACATAGGAAAACAGAAACAAGATAGCTATTATCGCAATGTGATCAAAAAAACAAAAGTCTGTGCTCAAATCCAAAAAAACGCCTGGCTTCTGTATATAGCTTCTTTGCCGACCACAAGTTTAGTCGGATGGTATGTAGACTGTACAGCGGGGAAATTAGATGAGCTCACGTATATCAAGAGCCAAATCTTCAAATATCGGTTCGTATCGGTCGTCAAGTCGATGATGCGAGCAAGCGAATCAACTAGCAATGTAGGGTTCAGGGACACCGCGGAGGTCACGATCAACCTGCATGCTACGACGCTCTTGATCAACCTGCATGCTACGACGCTCTTGATCAATTTGCATGCTGCGGCGCTCTTCCTTGACCTTACGTTTCTCCATCTTCTTCATGGCTTCTTCGGTCAATTGCTGTCGGAAGAGGCGCTCCACAATGTCCTTCTTTCGCGTCATCCGGTCACCAATCATGATCATTATACCACCAGTAATGTTGCAGGTGATAGAGCAACAAAGAATGACAGTAGTCAATGCAAATGGTCGGTATTTCGGTGGTTCCATACTCCAGGTACAAGCACCGAGAGCCATCTGAAGTAGAGAGTGACAATCAAGGATAACGACGATAGCGACGAGCATGCGCATCGGGAAGGCGTGGTGAGTCAATGTCTCATGGGGTTTGTAGAAGGTGTGTGATTTGGCGAATTTGTTCTGGTGATGCTGCAACTTGAGCTGCTGCGCTCTTTCAAGGACAGTGAACTCGTGTTCTTCATCCTTAGGAGTGTCGCCGAATTCGACATCCACATCCTTCTCGGGCCGAGCTGGGAGATCATTCTTGTCTTTGAGATCAGGGAGCTTTCGCTTGTCACGGATTTCCCAGGTTTTGTGAGTGTAATGCGCGATGAAGATCATGTGGTACGTGTCGACAGCTCGAAAGGGGGCAAGTCCATCACCCATAATGGCAAAGAGACCCACTAGGACGTTGTCGATAATGTTGATAAGATAAGACTGCTTGCCAGCAACATTAATCCAGCCTAATATACTAAATTAGTACAGGTCGCATTATGATGATACTCCACGGAAAGGGAATCATACCAATCAAGAAAAGAACCCAGGCCAGACCGAATAGGGTGATCAGGGTAGCATAGAGGGTGACCAGGAAACCAAGGGCTAATTTGCTCGTTAGTTTACGATTCAATGACACTTGCCGACTGACAACTCACGTTTTCGCACGTATTGCCCAAAACCCTTCATAGCTCGCTTAAACTTGGACCGACGGGAGTGAAGCATATGCCGGACATGGTCATTCAATTCAGCAAAGTCCTCGTGGGTCCATCCCGCCAACTCGTCATCGTGACCTTCCGGCAGGACAGCATATCGTGGTCCAGCTAAAACGGATGACATGCTAGAGAACGGGCGAATTTGTTCCAAGGTAGGGCGTTGCTTGGTGTCATCTGATACCTCTCCTTCATCCGTGCTGGTGCCCTGCTCCTCGTCCGGAGGCGGTCTCCGAGTGAGGGTGTAGGTAGGCATACGATTAATCCAACCACCTAGGTTGGGCACGAAGAGCGAATTTTGAACATTGGTCAAAGTCGAGAGGGCGGAAACCTCCGGGTCTATAACGGGAAGTGTCAGTCAACCAGTGCAAGACAGTGTAGTATGCCTGTATCTGATAACTTACCGATCACGTCCAGCACATCAACTACATGAGGACCATACTCGTTGATGCCCACCTCCTGATTCTCAGGAACCGTTGGTTGCGGGGCCCCAGTCACGGTGGAAGCCCGGTTACGAGTGAATGGTCTCAGCGCCGCCTGACTCGTACGTCGCAACATACTCCGTTGAACCGGAGGCGGAGCCTCTTCGGCCCCCTCCACATCAGGTGCATCGGATTCGGGCTGTTGAGTGGGTGCTAGCGGGGTAGGTAACGGGCTTCGTGATGATTCCTCAGCCAGCGGATTCATGCGCATAGGGGTCGCCGCTCGCGACAGGGCATCGGAGGAAGGACCGGAGTAACGCCCTGGCCGTGGCTCAGAGTTACTGCGCCGTCGACCCGAATGTGCAGATTCATCTTCTTCTGCAACGGGAGACCGTATGGATACTTGTCGCTGAAGAGAGGGCCCCGGGGTTACCGGCTGCGGCTGGATGTTCTCGGTATCTAAGGAAGGGAGGGATGGTAAACGCGACAGGCGGATGCTCGGTCGGCGTGATCGTGCAGAAGGAGCCCGAGGGCGCCCAGGCGATTGCAAAGTTGCCAATGCTGGCCTTGGTGGTGATGTCTCGCCGGACTGATTGTCCGGACTTCCCCGGGCATTCCCATCCTCCGCAGGCTCGATACGATCCATAGGGGTTGATTTTAGTTGGGGGGAGGTTCCGCAAGAGGGGCTGGCGATGATGGGGTAATGTGGATAGATATGCGACCATGCAACAAAAAGCACAAGTAGCGCAAACCACCCCCAATGTAAGATAAATAAGCACAGATCAAGCCGATATTGACGAATCCGAAAGTTTTTCCCCGATTAATCTGAAGGCAATGGCTGGGGGATGAGTCAGCAACCCAAAACCCAAATCTTGTTTTCACATAGTGACGAGGGAGTGGAGCAAGGAGGCGTCTGTGCACGTTTACAGGAAGCTAATGTGTCGATCTCCGTTCTTTTAAGGACACAAATCCTGTTGACCGGAGATGATCCAATGGCGATCTTCTATAAAATCGTCGTCAGTGCCTAAGTACTTATCCATTGTAAAGGAGAATAAAGCCTTGGCAATGATTGGGTGGCGATAAATTATGCGTACCAAAACCTCCGATAAGGGAAACAATCAATAAGTGATCTAGATTCGGGTCTAGTGGAGCCCAGTGGCTTGACCCTTTACTAGCGTTGCTGTCATAGACATGTCGTCCCTAGTCATGAAATGCATAAATATCTTGGGTTTGTACGCGCACGTGGTAGTGGGCTACATTATGTACCCACCCTAGTGCCATCTCTGCAAGTTGGATCGGAATGTTTAATTTGTGAAATAGAAGATCAATGCGGTGCAGCGGAGAATCACCTCCATAAAGTCGCTATCACACACAATTGATTAACACATATATACATGGAATTCTATAAAGCATCCTGTACGATTTCAAGCTGGAATAGATAAAGTAGGAATTAGGTATCTAGTTATTTTCGATTCCTTATATAACATCCCCGCTTAGTTTGCGATATTTCAGATTCATAGGTAACCTGGACTTCGGCTTCAAGCTTGTGCGCTTAAAGAGCAACACCTGGGCGCCGTCTAGCTAGAATTATTTTCTATTGTCCTTCCAATACGAAACACAACTATCGCAAACTTCACCCAACTGTACTTTTTACCATGTTTTATTACAGCCACGCACCACCTATTTCGCCCTAGTATATCACCCTAAGAAGCTCAGTGGGTAGATAGTAGGTAGTATGCCTTCATAATGAATGATAGTAGTGAGAACCTTCGAAGTAAAGGGGTTGTTACCCTGCAGATGCCCAGGTTATAGCAGTAAGGGATTCGTTGTGCGTGGCAGTGACGAACTACACTACGTACCCTCACTTTCGGCCCTAGCCCACTTTTATTTCCACGCTTATTTTCCTCCTTTCTTCTCTTATTGCGACGCACCCTTAGCCTTCTTTTCCAAACGCACGCACCTCTCACTTTCTTATGGCCACGCACCACTCCACTATCAAAGCCTTTTCAGACAAAAGTTCGTGATTCCCCCCGTCAGTCAAAGTCTCGAGATCGAATGACCATAGGAAATCAAGCTAACAAATAACGAATCATTGTAGTGGCAGAGACGCCTGCTTCGCAATGGAACGAGTCTTCGTCCCAGGGTAGCCAGCCACCAGCACCCACTCAACCAGGCATTATCCCAAACTTCTCACCAGCAAGTCCCCAGGCAAGTGGCAAACACTCGGGCCAGTGTAGCCGACCCCCAGAATTCATCCCAGTAGGCGGAAGCAAGAAAAAGAATAAGAAGAAGAAGAGCAAAGCCAAGAAGCGGCTGAGATCGCCCGAGCCATCCAGCAGCAACGTAACAACTCCGCCGCTGCCCCGACCCTCAAGCCTGCAGGCAAGTGAAAGTGGTTCAATCACATGGGCCGAGAAATCGAAACGCCAAAAGGTAGTAGCAAAGAAAGACCTACACACAGACAAGTTCTTCAAGGGGATTGCAGCAACAATTCACAAGACCTTCCCGGTCTACGCCTTTGCAGAGGAGTTCGGCTGCAACCCAGCTGAGGTCCTCGATGCCCTGAGTGCCGTAGTTGAGGCACCACTCTGCAGTCCGCAGCCTTGGCACTTCGCCGATTCAGTTTCCAAATATGGGAAGCGCCTGATTGCTAGCTGGCATGATACCCACTGGCCAGCGGCTCATGTGCCACAAGACCAGTTGGACTATTATGAGCGGTGCGAACGAGAGGAAAAAGCCAGGCTCAGCAAAGCCAACTTCGAGGCCCAACAGCGCTACAAAGAGCGACAGATACGTGCCATCGAGTCTATCGTCAAGGAAGGGACTCCCAAGCCTATCGAGCAGTCTGTCAGCACCGAGGCTTATATGCCCCCCGCACCAGCTTTCTCAGACTCAGATGGCATTTCAATTTCAAGTAAGTTTCCGGCCTGGAAAGGAAAGGAGCCTGTCCGACGAGAAATTCAATCGTCGCCTGAGGAAGGACCGTCAGTACCACGTTTCCGGTCTCCCAGGCAAGTAGAGCCGTCTGTCAGCCCTGAGCCTTATACGCCCCCCGCAGCCATTATCTTGGACTCGGATGGCGTTTACATTCCCAACAAGGATCCAGCCTGGAAAGGAAAAGAGCCTGTCGGACGAGCAAGTCAATCGCAGCCAGAGGCAGGTCCATCGGTACCACAAATACTATCGAGTCACGAAATCGAAGTTCGCTACGACGTTCATAGGCCCGGTATCATGGACAGTCAATGGGCTGAAGACCTCGGCGTGCTTCCAATCTCAGACGAGATGGATGACGCTGAGCTGCAACAGGCCTTGGCTAAGGGGGTTTTATTCCAAGAATGGTGACGGGTGGATTGAATTTGTCTGATTGTATTAGCAAGCTGGCCAAGGGGCCCACGATAGTTACATAGCAAAGCTTAATGTCGATTCAACGTCTTTGCAACATTTCAGCAATTCCAGCAATTCAAGACTTAGATCAGGTTCCTACTTTTCGACGGTCAGGCTAGACTCCGTGAAGGTATGGCGGTGTGGTGCTTTAGGAGGGGTAAGTAGCGGGGGATTTTTTCTATTTTTCTTTTTTTTTTTTGACTCCAGTCAGTGTGCAGCCTGCAAGTCATTCATGTACGCAATACGGAAGTTCAATGTTTGCTTTTTGTGAAGTCATACAGATCATCGGCGCGAGAAATTGTAGCATGAAGACGAATTTCGCTATAAATTATTTCCTGGTGAATGCCTGGCTCCATAGTTGTACACCGTATTTCGATGATGTTTTTTAGCCCGAAACGTGGAGACCATGGAGGCAAAGTGGAGCCGGCTGAGGTGGAAGATCCGATCCCTTCACGGTGATCTTTCAGCAACAGAATGCCATTTTGGGCGCACTGGGTCTAATTTGGAAGAGATGCGATTAATCCTAGAAGCATACGAATTGGGAGATAATCGCATATACACGGGGGTTCTATGTTGGAAAAGGTATGATGGGGAGGGTTTATGAGTAAGAAGTGGATCGAAGCTGGTAGCAACTCACCGAATTGAGTGGCGCGACTATTCTCCCATGACATCAAAGCATTGTTGGTTGCCTTGAGGATAGAGTGGGCAGAATTTGGGGGGAAGAAAGTCTAGGCGCGGAAGCCCCGTATTTTCCCTAATGCATAAGCCATGCAAGCCTAAACCTTAGGCTTGACACCGCCCAAGAAAGGCCAGAACTCTGTCGGGTCCCAAGACGGCTAGCGCACACCGCCTCCTCCTTTCCTCCAAAGCAACAACTTGACCCTCCCTTCTCTTCCTTCCTTTCCTTCAAGAGTCAATCTACTGCTTTTGAATCCCCATCCATCTCTTCTTCCCCCCCCCCAATCGGTATCTAGGGCACCAAGCTACCCTGCTCCTTCCCTCCACCCTCTCGTCAAGTCCCCCATCACCGGCAAATCAACAAACAACCCACCCCTCTTGTTTGTTTGACACAGCTTCAAGCTTTTTTTCTCCCCGAATCCTTTTTGTGTCAACAACGTCAAGATGTCTGCCGTCGACGCCCTTACTGATAACATGGCTGCTGCCTCCATCAACGAGACCCCCACCACCAACGGCGCCGCGCCCGCTGCCACCACCGACGCTGCAGTTGCTAGCGCCGACGAGGGCCGTCGTCTGTACATTGGTAACCTGGCATATGCCACCACCGAGGAGGAGCTGAAGGAGTTCTTCAAGGAATACACCATGTAAGTTAAACCCCCCATTTGATTCGGATTTCCGTCTCCCTCAGGCTCCCGAGGTCCTATGGTAGCCCTCGAACCATCTTTTCATCTCAGCAGAGTACTGACTTGATTCCAGCGAGAGCACCTCGATCCCGGTGAACCCCCGCACTAACCGCCCCGTTGGCTATGCATTCGTCGACCTTGTTTCTGCTAACGAAGCTACCGCCGCTATCGAGAGCCTTTCCGGCAAGGAAATTCTGGCGCGTAAGGTGTCTGTCCAGCTTGCCCGCAAGCCTGAGCCTGCTGAGGCCAAGGAGGGTGCTGCCAGTGGTGGTGAGGGTGCCAGCGGCACTGAGGGTCGCAAGCGCACTGGCGGTCGGGGTCGGGGCCGTGGTCGCGCTCGTGGCCGTGGTGGTCGCGCTGCTCGCGGTCGTGGTGTACGTCTATCATTTCCTGAGGATCTCCAATTGCGATTTTCCCATGCTAACTTAATTATCAATAGGCTCAAGAGGGTCAGGAAACCGCCGATGCCACTGCTACCGAGCAGGCTCCTCTGGCTGAGACCACCAACGAGACCGAGGCTGCTGATGCCGAGGGAGCTAAGCAGCAGGGCAAGCCCCGTGCCCGCACCCAGAAGCAGCGTGGTCCCCCCGAGGACGGTATTCCTTCCAAGACTAAGGTCATGGTCGCTAACCTGCCCTACGACCTGACCGAGGACAAGGTGCGTCAACTCTGAACAGCCCACGCATATTCAGTATTAGAAGGAGCTAACCATTTCCACAGCTCAAGGAGATCTTCTCCGCTTACGAGCCCATCGGTGCCAAGGTTGCCTTGCGCCCCATTCCCCGCTTCATGATCAAGAAGCTCCAGGCTCGCAACGAGCGCCGCAAGACCCGCGGTTTCGGTTTCGTCAGCCTCGCCAACGAGGAGCTCCAGGCCAAGGCCGTTAGCGAGATGAACGGCAAGGAGATTGATGGTCGTACCATTGCTGTCAAGGTCGCCATTGACAGCCCCGGAAAGGAGGACGACGATGTCAACGCCGCCGCCGACAAGTACGAGGAGACCACCGCTCCCGCCGAGGAGAATGCTACCCCCGCCGAGACCCCGGCTGAGGCTTAAATGCCCCAAACGAATCATTTCTGAGTGCAGATGGCTTGCTGACTGGCTTGGAGGATATGTGAATGGGAACTTGGAGATCATATGGACATGATAATAGTGTCTTGGATGTTTTCCGTTCTTGTTTATTTCTCATTTCCCCAAGGTTTGGTCTATTATTGAGTATCTTAACTGTTCGCCGCCCAGGGGAGGCCAACACTGGAGATGAGGGTGTGATGATGACCTTTTTTTGTATGGACGTCATGGAACATACGTCCATGCTGGAGCGCAATCCTTGCTGATGCCTCCATCCTTAACGACTTTTTGCCTTCTGTATTGTATCTTAGCACCCATTTAACTAACTGATGACGATCTGCCTGCTGTGTTCAATTGTAAACTGTCTTAAATGTCTTAGTATGTCACAAAATGTCTGGATTGCGTAGATGTTTCCCTAGCGCGACCCTTGGCGATGACGCTTTAGTTGGGGTGACCCTTGCCGATCATTTTCGTGCGGCAAACATCACCCTCCAACGCTCGCAAGAACACCCGAATCCTATCAACTCAATAATTTTTGACCGTTTGTCAACTTGTGTCATTTGCACTATTAATTTTGACTAGTGTCGTCTGGTGGAGCACAAACTAAAAATAAGGGGCGAACCAGGGACCAAAAACAGAAAACGCTCCGAACGACCTGCGGTCCGACTCCGCCTTCAACCCAACACCTTCATTCCCCCCAATTGTCACGAGCACCATTGTATAGAGCAATCATACCCATCATGTCTCGCATGTGGGAGGTCGATCCGGAGACAAGGACAAAGGTGCGCCCATATTCTTCTACCCATCGCCAGTCGCCCAACGGCACGCGCCAAGAGCAACACAAGCCAGGATACTTGTAACTAACCATAAAACCGGGTCCAACAGCTCCTCCAGATCTCTAAGACAAACGGCAACGACCGGTGCTGCGATTGCGGTGCGCCTTCGCCTCAATGGGTGTGTATTCCCTACCTACTCTACCACCGATCTCTTCTCCATGTTATTTACCCCCGCAACGAGACGGTCCGCCCCGATAACATCCCTCAAGGAGGAAGGCGACACACCCAGCAAAGATCCATAGCTAATTAGACTCTTTCACATCCAACAGGCATCCCCTAAATTCGGCACATTCATCTGCCTCAACTGCGCAGGCACACACCGCGGTCTGGGCGTCCACATCTCCTTCGTCCGCTCAATCACCATGGACGCCTTCAAGCACGCCGAGATCCAGCGCATGGAGCTAGGCGGAAATGAGCCGTGGAAGGCTTTCTACGACGAACACGAGATCACCGTCTCTGAAGGCCGGACATTCGAGGACTCAACCATCAAAGAGCGATACGAAGGCGAGGCGGGCGAGGAGTGGAAAGAGCGCTTGTCATGCAAGGTTGAGGGGAAAGACTACGTTCCCGGTCAGGAGAAGAAGAAGAATATTGCCGCTGGCGTGTCACGATCCAGTACGCCAATGAGTGTGGGCACTGGCGGTGTTGGACCCGGCAGGACCGGGTCGCCTGCTTCAGGCATGCAGCGCACGAGTAGTCTGAGGTCGGCTGGGCCGCCAAGCAAGAAGGAGCAGAACGAGGCTTATTTCGCAAAGATGGGCACGGAGAATGCTACTCGATCGGATAATCTGCCTCCCTCGCAGGGCGGAAAGTTCACTGGGTTCGGAGGTGGTATGCCGCCGCCTTCAGCTGGGGATCGTCGGTCTTCGCCATTTGGAGGATTCGGTGGCTTTGGAGGCTTCGGAGGAGGTGGTGGAAACCAGGCTCTTGACGAATTTCAGAAAGATCCCGTGGCTTCGATTAGCAAGGGATTGGGATGGTTTGCGTCGGCTGTTGGGAAGGGTGCGAAGACTGTTAACGACTCATATCTTCAGCCGACTGCAAAGCAGGTATGTATCCCATATCGAATTTTGGATTTTGTGTGCGAGACTGACAATCGTACCACAGCTCGCAGAGTCCGATTTCGCAGCTCAGGCTCGTCTCCAGGCTGCTAATTGGGGACAGAACTTGCAGACTGGTGCCCGGGGCGCGGCTGACCAATTCAACCGTTTCGTTGAAGGAGAGGAAGGCCACGCTGGTGGTCAACGCTCCCGCGTCGAGCCTGAGCGTCGTGACTTCTGGGACGACTTCTCAACTATCGCGTCGCAGGAGCAGCAAGCCGCTGGCCATCGCCGTGGCGCCTCACGCTCCGATGTTGTCGGAACAGCGGCTATGCGGAAGACTCCCGCCACAGGCTCGTCATTGGCAAACTCATCCACCTCTAATGCTGAGACTACCACTGCCCCGTCTGGGTTAGAAGGGACGGAGAGCGGTGCGACATCAACCACCAAGGGGAAAGATGACTGGGATGATAACTGGTAGATGTATATACTCATTGGCGTGTTTTGTCTTTTGGTTCCATCTGCATGTTTTTGGGTTTTGTTTACGTGCGCACGTGTGTAGACGGTTTCAGATGCCATGATGATGTGCGGTGTTTCTTCCTTGTTTCTTTACTTGTTGGTTTATATACCTGGCTTCTGAATGAAATGGTTCTCCCCCTTTTGTGGGAGAGATATCATTCTTATAGCTTTGCTGTCCGCCTTTTTACCTCAAATCTTGAAAAAGTTTCCAGATAATAGTTTAGACGATGCGAGACCTCGAAATCCGCCAACCACTAGGTGCTCATTTCAATGCAATAGATCACTATAACCCAGCACCAATGTGACAATAAGAGAAGCAAACATCATTGGACCAAGCGCACGCAGCCTTCCTTGACCATTATCGCTTCCATCACTATCAACCAAAGCAAAAGATATAAATGAATTGCCGTTTTGCCCGTCGTTTTGCCCAGACTGGACTACTTGTGTCGAGTTGGCCGATGCAAATGCCCCTTTGAAATCCACAGTGAAGCTCACGTTGACCCCAGCCACCGCGTCGATCACGACCCCCGTGACGGTCAGAGCAAAGGTGTCCGAGCTAACAGAGCCATTGACAACAGTCCCAATTGGCAATGGAATATGCATCCCCGCATATCCGCTGCAGAAATCGTCGGAAAAGGCCATATCATCCTGAGTCCACTGTGCAAGCGATATATTGGTCCACTTCGTCTGCGGTCCTCCAACGTAGTCCCCTCTGAAGGTGGTCAAATTCTGGCTAGTGGATAGCGTCAAAGGCACTGAGTCGCGAGCGTCTACTAAGCCGGCATTTGGACTCGTGTATGAGAACCATGAAGTGGTCCTGAAGAAAATCGTGTCGCCGAGACTATCACAGGTATCGTATGAAGTCGCGAAGTCTTGTAGCGACTTGTCTGTAGCCCAGGCTTTGAACCCAATAACAATGCTATTCTTTGGTCCTTGAGGCCATGGCGATTGAGGGGCGATGAACGCGGCTCCCAGCAGTCTCACTGGAAGGACGGATTGGTTGGTGAGAATGCAGGCGAGCTCTTCTTGCTCAATTTTGCTCTTCAGGGAAGCCTCGCCGAAATAATACGCGCCGCCATAGTTTGGATCTGAGGTGTAGTTATCGAATCGGGTGACATCGAGATCATCGATCATTGGTAGGTAGGTGTTGACACAGGAGGAACTGCCTTCAGAACCCGAGTCTTCATCTCCATCTGAGCCACTGCTGTCCCCATCACCACCCCCACCCCGGCCTCTTGCCTCGACTATCTGAATGAGCTGAAGGAATACTAAAGTCAGTAGTAAGAGCCAGCGCCATGTTAGCGGCTGCATCTTTCACCCGGCTACGGTGGGTAGAACCACGTGTAAGCGCCGATTCCACCTTCGATTTGAGATAGGATTTTGATTGGGATGGGCCCTTCAACTATTAGTACCCCCACCGAAGTAAAACTATGTTAACCTTTCATTAGCTCCACCAATTAAACTGGCTAACTTAGCCAAGCCCGTATTCGGGGAGGATGCTTTCATGATGAGCCTCTTGGCAAGGCGCAGCTACATATCAATGCACCGACTGGGAGGACTAGGAAACCTTGAATGTAGAATTATGGAGCCCAATAATGGAAAAAGGGGTGGTGTCTTTTCGTAAAAGATCTTGGCCATTCTTGCCTTCGATTGAGTGGTTCGAGGATTTGCGGTATCGGTAAGAAGCGCTGTGAATAGCGACAAATCCTTGGGTCCTCAAGTCCCTGTACAGTGTCGTTTAATTTCACATCGCTTCTGTATGATACAATCTTCACATTACTGCTTGCTACCTTCTTCATCGCACTGGTCGCCATTCCATTCATGGTTCCGATTTCGAAAAGCCTGGCTCGATCACAGAAGTGCTAGGCTGAAATAGTACCAGAGCGTTTGGCTGTGGCCGCAAGCATGTTGTTTGATACGAGAGCCGTACAAAGTTTGCGCTTTACTAGAAAGCCTTTCGACAGCTCTTGGACAGCTTTTTTCGTCTCTTAAATTTCAGGTGATGATAATCTGGCAAGTTGCTCTATGTAAATTATTTTCCCAGTATCAAAATGTGATTGATACTCTTACTAAAGCTTTCGCGCAGATTTTCGAGCAAATGGCTAAACGAAAGAATAGTTTGAGATACTCCAATCACAGTATTTTTGATCGGAGAATTGAAGGGCTTTGAAGGATCAACCCTATTAACAGCATCCATCTTAAAGAGCAACCAAGCCCTATTCAAGATCTCGAAAAACCAAGGGCCTCTGTTCGACAATCCTGTGGCAGCCATAGTAGGTTTCCGGAGTTCCAACAGATCCAGGTATAGTTCAAATTACACTTTGTCCTTCGAGTCGCGATGGCTGTGGTTCCGCACTTGTCAGTCCTCTCTCTAGTGGCAGAGTAATCATACCTCTTTTGGTTTCCAGCTGTGAATCAATGATGTTAATTGATTTCATGGGTGTGACTCCTTTTGAAATAAGCGTCTGTAGGCATTGACCACTGCCAGAAACCCACACTTGATAGTCCGGTCAAGCGAGGCCAAGGCCAGAATTATACCACATATGAGAAGGTGACCGAAACAACCCAATTACTATGGCCCTTCAGTGTCTGGAAGCATTGGCTGCTGGCATCCTATACCGTTGATGATTTTATTTCTCGAGGCAGAGGCGAGGAGACAGAATCATGTGGCTGGGGACGGACCGGGCCGGCTGAAAGACGGCTAAGATTGAATTCTCGGGCCCCGGTGCAGTGGGGGCGTCCCGCATGTCTAAGCTTGGAGATCCACCCAATGTCGAAGCTACTAACGGGGCAAACAATGTTTTGGCTGAGCCTGGAATATTTTACTGACTTATTGGCTTTGAAAAATCCGCTAGTATTATGATTGTACTGTAATTGTTAGCATAACGAGTGGATTGTGGATGGAGGGAATGGGGGTTAAGAAAGGAGGGCAGTAGGAATCCAGAGGGAAATGACTGTGGCGGAGGTGAAGCCATAATGGATTCTGCAATATCTAAATACCATAATCAAAAAGAAGTACTCAAAGCCAGGATTGAACGCGGGACCTTTGGAAATCCATGGCACAAGTTCTAATTTCCTTCGATCAGCCTCCATACTTAACACCATATATAAGAATCTTGACTCGACCAAAAGCTAGCCATAATTACAAAAGGGTGAATATAAAGCGATTTCTACTGAGAAAAAGCTCAAATAGCTCGATCATATCCTAAGGTTGCTACATTATGAATATCAAAGCGAGATACCTACTAGAAGTGGGTCAAATCGCAAAAACGACGAAAATTCTTACGTTCTTTCCTTTATAACGGCGTAATAATGGGTCAAAGTATGCAATTCCTCCCCCTTGGTCTGGGTAACAAGGTCCGTCAGGTACTGTCGATCAGGTGACTGGTTGTATATCTGGCGGTGCTGTAGCATCAGCGCAGTTGGGGCCCAGCTTGCTGGGGGCGACCACCGATGGTGTGAATTCGTTCAGGGCTACACGACTGCCTCGTTCCTTGACATGCAGATTCGACCGACCGGAATTGGCTTTTTTGTCATCTCTTACTTTATTTGAAGCTATTCACACTTGCCTTTTTTTAATTCCTCTAATCCTTTACTTCTTTGAGTTTTGAGGTTGTTCCTGTCTTTCCACCTTTCTCCATCCGGTTCCCAACCACGTTCCCCATCACGTTCCCCATCCTTGCTATAACCTCAAATTTCGCCATGCCTTCCCATTCCCCTAAGTCTTCACACTCTTACCATCCCCCATTCTAGGTCTCCATTCCCGTTTTCCCGTGCCCCTATCCCCCCTCCTTTCCTGTCTTCCCATCCAACCCGGATAATCCTTCCACCCACCCACAATACTTTCCCTTCCCAGGCTTACTCCCATTTCTATGTACATTTAATTATTTCAGCCAACAAGTAGAAGATGAGAGTTATTCCTCAGCTCGAGTTCCTTTTCCCAAGGCCAATTCTTGTGGCTGGGAGTCTACTACGTGCCCTTAATGCTAAATCCAAGGCTAAGCTATATCTCCCTATAAATGCAATACATTGAAGGCAGTTCTGACTACGCATTTGTCATAAAGTCGGGTCTAGATGTATTCGAATACTCGAGTACTCGAGTCCTGCCTGCATGCACAACATTCCCAGTTGCGCGAATTTCCCATCGGATCCGACTCGCATGGTCCTCGCTGCAGGAAATTAGTTGACCTGCATATACATACGAATTCGCGATTTGAAGCTCGGAGCCGATTCGGAGATTTTACGGTTACACACAGTATTCTCAAATCAGCCAGGATCGCAGACAATATGGAGTTTCGTTTGGGGTTCCACCGGTCAAGGCAGGGGTTTGCGCCATTATGAACCGGCCTAGATTACATGGAGTGCAGGACCTCTTATTGGATCGGCGTAATGGATCTTGACGATGCGTCATTTTCAATTATTGTAGATCGAGGCTGGAAAAAGTAATCAGATCCTTCGGGATTGGTGGCGTTTGTGGGCTTCGGAGATATCGGCGCCTGGTATCAGATCTTGTCAGGGGTTCCTGGGCTTGTACGAAGCGGTGATCTTGTTGACTAATCAAGAATGTTTGGGTATGATTGGCATTGTTGGCACAACTCAGAACCATCTATTTGTGCTCGGTGCATGAACTGAGGTCACGGCATCTTGGCTAATCAGTCTATTAATTAGATTGATTCGTACACGGCATGTGGCTTTTTCGCTAAGTAGTTCATGACAAAATATTGCACTGTTGCTCTATTCCAAGGTCAAGATGCGAGGTGATCGGCTGAATTCGGGAGATCATACGATCTATACAGAAATCGCCCCCACTGTCCGGGGTATGACGTGGAGAACAGGAAGATCTGCATGCGCCAGCGCCCGAAGCACTTTTTATCGGTTTCTTCTAGACTCCACTTATTCCAAGGCGTCTTTCGTGCATATAATCTTACATTCTGCATAGATTAAGGCGTTTCAGGATATAAAAATGGATAGTCCACGTGCGTCATAGTAAGCATTGCTTTTTGTCATTTCCTTGAATGAAGGATTAGTCCAATTATTGTACAGGATCAAGACTCTGCCGTAGTTCGCTTGAGACGAATTTCGAGTCCCTGGGCACCTGGCGGTAGATCAGCCCCATTGTCATTTCCGTCAAAGTATAACCGCCAAATATCGCGCGCATCAGTAAGTCCCAACTCAGCATTGATCTGTTCCTTAGCCTCATCCTCCGGAAGACGCACAGCCAACCAACCCTCCCAGCCCTCCATAGTCAAGTACTGCTCATCTTTAGTCCAGTCAAAGGGCCCACATATGTGACCTTCCGAGTCGGGCCGACCACCCCAACGCATCTCGTGCGTCTTAGCGTCTCGAAAGACCCAGCGCAGAGTTGGTGCCTTTTCCCCGCTAATTGTCACCAAGCCCGATGTGTTGTCCGGCGGAAAGTCGGGATGTGTATAGTAGCCGCCGTTAAATGACACCATTGTCGAGCTAGGATGCTTAGTGATGTAGAGCTGCAAGTCGAAATCGATGTTATTTGTCAATTCCCTGATTATATCGTGTCTGACAGAAACTCACTTTCCCATCCAGACCCACTTGGACCTGGGCATTGTGAACCTGTTGGCGCATCTTTGGTGTTCCCTGTGTAAGGGCACATGTGGCCACTAGGTGTCCACGTTGTTTCCGTGCTTCGTTGCGTCGGCCTTCCTCTGCATCCCGACTCCCCTGAGTTGCCTCATTCAGGCCAATCATGGTCGGCAACATGGCAGCCATCATCACGATGCCGATCACCATCGCTGTTGAGCTTTGTGGTATAGATACCTAGGGGATATTTGGTGTGCGGGTAGAATGGCGGGCATTAGGCACATCGCACCTAAATAAAGAGCCGTTCAGCTGCAGGGGGTGTTGTAGTTTGATCAGGAGAGGTAAGTGGAGACGCTTAGCCAAGCTCCATATACGCTTGATAACTACCCACCCCACTTAGATGCCGATGAGTCGTATGATCAAATCTGCAACTAAGTCAGGAACATGGGTTCGACAATAATGATTCCGAAAAGATGCATATCCTAGGGTCCAGACACGGGTCAGGAGGAGGTTGAAAAGGGACCCATCAAGTCGAGCAACCAACTTCTTCTTTCTCTCCATTCTCATCAGTTCACTCTGCAACATACGTTTCCGGCTACTTCCTCTTTTAAGTCAACCAAGCCCCCTCTACATCCAAAATGTCTGAGCCTGTCAGCAGGTATTTATTCCCGTTTCTACTTCTACAGCCCTTACAACTTAAGCCTTCCTTGTTCCTTGCGTTTTGAAGTCTATACCTTCCTCCTCCACTCATGTTCAGAACAAAGTCCCAAAAGATCAAGCAAAAACAGAAGCAGAAGGATAAGGAGAGACAGTCCTCCGTCTCATCTGGAGTGGGCTACTCTGGAACAAAGAATTCATCCTCTTCAACCCTACCGGTTCAGACCCCAACTGGCCTGAAGGGTGCTATGGATTCAGCACCATCGCTAGTGACCCCAGAGTCAAAGCCAGAAGCTCCTGTTCTATCTGAACCTGAGCCTGATAAACATGTTTCACCGGAGCAAACTGCTTCGGCTGCAGCTCCGACTCCGCCTTCGACTCCTCCGCTTTCTCGATCAGCTCATATTGCTCTCTCTGAGCCAAGTATGCCTGTTCGTTCAGAGCCGACTGCTTCTGCTCCTGTTCCTGCTGCTTCTGCTCTTGCTTCGGAGGACAAGCAAGCTCCTGCTGCTTCCGAGCCTCCTCCCACGAAAACTAAGCCAAAATATACCGCTTTCGTTGAACCCGAGCCCGAACCCGCTGCTAACAATCCCTCTCCACCACCTAGCGTTCCCACGGAGTCTCGCCCCCTCGGCGGCCGCCGCGGCAAGTCTGATGACGATGCGAACGGCACCACAAAGGGTGGCGAATTGGTTGCTGGTAAAACTGGGGGCATCTCCGACGCCGGCCTGCAGATCCCCGGAAAGATGCTCAACGAGGAAGAGAAGAGCGCTCTGAAGATCAAAATTCACCTCAACCTTCACGCTAAGGTTCGTCTTGACCTTGATGCTCAGATCTACGGTGATGTGGTGATTGGTCTGCTGTAAGGCTGGAAGACTGGTCTTGACTGGTATGTTCCTGAATTGAATCCTTTATTATTTTGATATTGATGAGCTTGTCTAATTGGTTTTAGGGAAACGAGTTGGTTGTTACAAATGTATATACGCAATCCAGAGTATGAGTCTTGGACTACTTTGTGATCGGCTGAAAATTCTATATGCTACGTGAAGACAATACCTTAAAGGTTTTCTCGGAAAGATTTCTGCTTTTGATGAGTTGTATTTGCCTCAATTTATTGAGAACCCATGTGAGTATGTTGTTTCTGGTCACAATAGCCGACGAGCTACCCGCTTTCTAATCTTAGGTTTGACCTTGTTCGGGAGGCAATATCGGAACAACCTCGCTTCAAAACGAGCTAGCAACTTATATGGAGCATTTCCTGGTCCCTAGCCATGCCAAGTATTTGAGTATCAGACCATAAAACAATTCAGCAAGCTTATTGCACGTGCAGTTTGGAGCCTCAGGACAGCAAATACGATTTTCCTAAACAGGATTAGCCCGGATGGACCCTGAATCACGGAGATTCCGCTGCATCAATCACAAGATGCGATTCTCGAACGCCAAGAGGCTACTACAAGGCTAGGCTGACCCTTCGAAAAACTGGAATTGAATGGCCCCCAAACCTTCAAAATCCTCTAATCAGGGGGCGATCTTTATTTTAAGGGTCTTACAATCGCTTTCCTCCAACGTTTTCATCGTTTCAATCACGATCAAAACACCACACTCGTTTAATCACAGTCGTTAACAACATGGGCAAAGCATTTCCAGGTCCTGAGACGGGCCTTTGGCGAATTGTCCTGCGCCTGATCTCTCTTTTTGGCTCTGTCTTTGGAATCATCGCCTCAACCGCTGGCGCTTATTACCCCATCAACTCCTTCTGGTACTACCTATTCGTAAGTCCAGACAACTTGCAGAGAAAATTAGTCTTCGCCATCTAATAACCCAAACAGTTCAGCATTTGCGGGTTTTGGTCCTTGATTGTTCTCGGATTCCTCTGTTTCAAACTTGCCCCGCACCCTGGCTGTTGTATCGCTTTCGACTTGCTTTTGATCGTCGCCTCTGCGTGGCTTGTCGCTGTTGCGGGTATCGGAATTACCTATGATTATACCCGCTGGATGGGTCGCGATATCGCTTCGCTCGTGTTCGCACTCATTGTCTTGTATGTTATTCTCAATGCGATGTCTGTGTGTTTTGCTAACTTTTGACGTTTGTAGTGTCGACCATTTCATGATGTTTGTGTTGGCTTGCATAGATGTTGACAAGAGGCGGAGACTGCATAACCCTAAGGCTCCTTACCGAGAGGTTTCGCCTGGGTCTGTTTAATGTGGTGCTACTCCCCGGGTCGATGTGCGGAGGAGATGATATGCACCCTGGTCCTCGGACAAGATCGTTGTCTGGGTCAACAGATCGACGAAGCCGTGGGTTGGCCCGTTAGTTATATGAGAGGTCATACTGGAAAAAAGATTGATGAGCGGATGATATACTTCATACAGAGCCTCGCCACTAATTGTCTCTGTCTATATTAATATAATGTTGCAATTCTCTGAGAAGGAACTAAAAGCGCCTAACAGCACCGCAGGCTATCTTGATTTGCCATTTTCGATTTAAGGCTGTCTTAACGTGCGAATCTATAACACGTCAAAAATAAGCAGCATCTACAATTCTAGTCGACACATCGCACATGTCGAACCATCGAGACAGTCTCTTGCCCTAAAATGCTATAATCCACAAATCCGAACTTTGCATACAACGATGCTCCATCCTTGCTAGCACTGACATACATCTCAACACCCTCAGCATCGGCAATATCACAACCCCGTTGAACGAGCATAGAAGCAGCTCCCTGTCGCCGATAATCTGGATGCGTAGCGACCATATCCAAAACTCTCAAAGCATTAGTATAGCTCAACTCATATTTCGATACAAACATACAGATGTGTCTCCGATTTCCCATAACCCGCTTTCTATTATTGTCGCCTCTGTTCACAAACTCTTCACAGATTTGCTTAGGCATATCATCATGCCACTGTGGATAGCGTGGTCCACGTTCTTCGGGCGTTAGGGAATCCAATTTTGCATAGGCTGCTATTCGAGGTCGGTCGTTGGCGTCTTTCAGTTCCGGGTCTATTACCTTAAGATAACGTTGGAGTGGTCCGCCAAGTAGATCGTTGTGGATGGCATGTTGAAGCCACTTTCTCATGCCGGGCGTATCTGGGAAGAGTTGTCGTGATTTGGGGTCTGAGAAAGCTGCGAACCATAGGTCCATCAGAGCGGGACTATCCTCGATAGTCACGACATCAAGTTTCAGTTGGCCTGTACATGCCATTTTGCAAACGAAAGATGAGATAATTGTTCCAAGGTAATTAGGCAGTAAGATAAGGCATTTCACTAGCAAGCGCCACTTACATGTACACGTCATCTAAACGCACCCCGGGACACTATTGAGGCGCTAGAGTACAGGTGCATATAGCTCAAGTTGACGGAGTTCCCCAATCGAATTAATGGTACATGGAGAAAACTCTAGAATGAATGTAGAGATACAATAATATACACTTCTATCAAATACACATCTCAGCATCTAATACTTCTTATATGCACAATTAGAAACCACCCCTCAGCTCAGCCAAAACAGCCTTTTGTCTCTGAGCAGACATGTTCTCAAACCGATCAACACTCATCACGAATGTACCACGGCCAGCAGTTAAACTGCGGAGATGCTTCAAATATCCAACCATCTCCTTCAGCGGAACCTTCGCGGTGATGTTGCGCTGTCTTGAAGCAGAGGCAGGCATTTCAATACCGATAGAGGGTGCCTCGAATGGGTCTGCGGGCGCATACACACGTTTCGGGTCAATGGGGGGAAGGGATTCGGAAGAATCCGTGGTAGAAGCCGATACATCATCGTCCAGCGAAAGGATGTGTCCACCTCGTGAAGAGGAGATATCATGAACAACGGAGCCAAGGCTTGCTTCGTCAACGCTGATGATGACGTTCATGACTGGTTCCATCATGACTGTTCCAGCACCAGTAAGCATATCTCGAAGCGCGGCGGAAGTGGCCTGGCGTGCTGCTGCTGAGAGTGCCGATGTGGTGGAGTCTCCGCCGAAGAGATGCTCAACGGGGTCGATTGTGAGGGTGACCCGGGTGTTATGCATGGGGAATGTAAACTGAGGGCCGCGTGCCAGCGCTGCCAGAGCGCCGTTTTGCAATGATGTACGGAGGGTGTTCAAATCCATGCCTGGTGGAAGGAAGGGGCTAGTCTCTTCTTCATTCCTGCCGGTTTCCACCTGCAAACCCAGGGCGCGGATGATAATTTGGTTTCCCTCGATAGTCTGGGCGAGAATTGTGTCTTCGTCAGCGGCTTCGGCAACACTTTCCTCATTGCAAGGTTCCACCATCGCTGTGCAGCCAGCTTTGCCTTGACGACCTGCGATTTCTTTCTCGAAGATCTTAGTAACAGTGTTCGAGACGCCTAGGGTAGATTCTCGGTATCCGATTTCAATGCGTCCCATAGATGCCTTGGCTTTGAGGTCACCAATCAAACGGTCACGAGCAATTTCGAGGTGCAATTCTCCCATTCCACTGAGAAGCGTTTGGCCAGACTCTTCGTCTACGCTGACATGCAGGCTAGGATCTTCTCTCAAGAGTAGTGAAAGCGAGTCTTGTACCCGCTTTTCTTCACTTAGGCTATGTGGTTCCACACTGGTAAAGAACACGGGTGGAGGGACATCAATCGGGCGTAATTGAAGTGTGGTCAGCGGTTCAGGAGGCGTAGGTTTATTTCCTGCGTATGATAGCAGAGTGTCGCCAGTTCGAGCGTGCTTCAGACCGACCACGACACCAATGTGACCAGCGGGGATGGAATCCACTTCCACCGCATCGTTGGCGTACATCTTCAACAATCGGGGAGCACGTTCAGAGAGGTGCAGATTTGTATTGTAAAGCAAGCTGTTGCGGTCAAGGGATCCAGAGTACACCCGCACGTAGACCAAGACGCCACGCTTCGGATCATTGACCACTTTGAATGCTAGCGCACAGCTATTGAGTTTGGCGATAGCATCCTTAGCATTGATCTGAAGACTCTTCTTCTTTTTCTTGCCCTTACCAGAGGTGCTGGCCTGTTCATCCTGCTCCACGATCAGATCGCCTGAAAGTAGTCGTCGCAAGCCTCCCTTGACACCTCCGATGCTCACTTCGGGATCCGGTGCCTCTGGTGGGCTCGGAAGAAGGTTCACCACAGCGTCAAGCAAGGGCTGGACACCCATATTCCGGAAGCTGGCACCTGCGAACAGAGGTACAATTCGACTTGTGGGGTCAAGTACGCAGCGCCGGAGACTGTCAATAATGTCCATTGAGGACACTGCCAAATGGTCTTCGTACTCGAAGAACTTCTCCACCATGATTTCATCCTGCTCACTCAACAATTCAACTAGAGCAATGCGAGCTTTTCGGAGCTCCTCTGCTAGAGCTGGTTCTTCTGCATCCAATTGCTCTAGGTTCATCATTTTCACAGAACGACCATCTTCTCCTTCCTTCCACTTTAGGCCTTGAAGATTGATGGCATCTGCGATGCCAATGAAAGGCCCGTTGCCTCCTTGGAACCAAGGGATATGGCATACTGCTGGGTGTACAGACAAGCGAGAACTTACTTCTCGCACTGTTCTGCCGAAGGCTGCACCATCACGGTCTAACTTGTTCACATAAAGTACTCTAGGAATCTTATATGTGCTGGCCTGCTTCCAGACCTGCTCTGTCTGTGCCTCAACACCAGCAACTCCGTCCAAGATACAAACAGCACCATCTAGAATGCGCAAAGACCGCATTACCTCAAAAGTGAAATCTGCATGTCCCGGGGTATCAATAAGATTAATTGTATGCGAATTTGCTGAGCGAGGCACAGACGGGTCCTTAGTCACAGCTGGGCCTTCGGCGCCATCCCCAGGAGGCCAATGGAAGGTGATAGCAGCGGACTGAATGGTGATTCCACGAGCACGCTCCGCGGGCAAGAAATCTGTAACAGTCGAGCCCTCGTCCACATCACCAATTCGCCTAGTGAAGCCGCTGTAAAACAACATCCGCTCGGTGGTTGTGGTCTTGCCGGCATCAATGTGGGCAATGATGCCGATGTTGCGAGTTCGCTCCAAAAAAGCTTCGTCCTGCCATTTCGAGATTGATGTTGAAAAGCATTTCGCTCGTTGGATATTGAGCTGTAGGCTCTGGGCGCAGATATGGCTCTTCACAGGGTTGAAGGATGACCTATAAAAGCCCATACAACGCACCCCAGATTGAGGGAGGCGTAGTAATGGAGCTACAACCATAGCCCGTGATAACTTCTCTCCAAATAGGAAGAATTATTGGCAGTCTATGTAGAAATTGACATTGATGATCTGCCAGGAATGTTCAACGGTTTCAAGGTGGATGAAGCTAAAGGGAAAAACGACGGAGCTGAGGGCGGGCTTGGCATTCCCGATCGCCCATACGTAACTCGCACCAACCTCTTTCTCTCTCCGCCTCTTCCATTGTACAAACGTTGGTGCTTGACTGGCCCATTTCTGCTCTTCGTTCCCATTTGAATTGTGCTTCATTTGTCATGAACCTTTAAACGTCCCATTGCTTGCCTATTCCAGCTGCCCAAGGTACGTTCCTCAGTTGGAGCTAGCCGGTGATTACTGTGGGGGTCGATCCCCAGCCATTAATACTGACGCCTACAATCCACTAGCAGCTCCTGACCCTTCAATCCCTGTGAAGGTACTCCTTGCATCAAATCCTACCCAAGATGGACTACTCGGCTGTCTCGACTGATCCCGAACACCCCGCGGGCCCCTCGCCCTGGGGCTCTCCGCGCGCTGACCGCAACACGTTCCCCGCCTCCAACAGCGACATCCCGTCATCCCCTTTGCCGGGCCAGGACAAATCTGCGGTGGAGACAGACGGAAGCCATGAGCCAGTGCCACAATCTCCGGACCTCTCGGCGCAACTTCAGAGCCCTCAATTGGGAGACCCGGATTATGCCGAGGGGCAGTCTGTCCTCGACAACTCCCAGCAGCATTCACAGGGCCTCCCCACACGTTATCAGACTGGATTGCGCCAGAACTCCCGCCCTCCCGCGCCAGCATATAAGATCCAAGCCAAGATTACTAGCCTGGAGCGAGCAGGAAAGAAAGATCCCATTCTCCGCTTCGATGTTCACGTATGTCGACTCCCCTGTGAACACAGATGAACTCAACTAGGGCGGCGCACTAACCCATACTCGCTGTTACAGACCAATATTCCCAAGTTCCGCACTACTCAGTACCGTGATGTCCGCCGTACCCACGCCGAATTCTCTAAACTCGCCGACCACTTGATCTCAGCCAACCCAGAAGCTCTAGTTCCGGCCGTACCACCACCTGTGACCCCGGCCGGTGCAGGTACCGATGAGGATGAAGCGCGAGTCAAAGCATCGATGCAAAGATGGCTTAACACTGTTTTGAGCAATGAAGTCCTCATCCACGATGATGAGGTCGTGCTGTTCGTTGAGAGCGATTTTGGCTACAGCCCCGTGGTTCGGATGAAGCAACCAGCTACCGGAGTGCGGCGTAAGATGTTGAAGCAGTTTGCGCCTCCGCCCGATGACACACCTGAGCTCCAGTCTGCTCGCCCAGTCGTGAAGATGTTTTACTTGGCTTCGATGGATACTAGTCATAAGGTAGACCGAGTTGTCAAGGGTCGTCGTGGTATGCTATCAGTCCACCATCCTTAATTTGGCGAAGATTAACAATTTTAGGTGTTGGTCTGGCCGAGTCCGATTTCGGAGTGAAGATTGGCCAAATGAGCGTGCAGGAGACGCATCCTGGTTTGGCGGGTGCCTACCGCAAGCTCGGCAAGGTTATTCAGTCCGTTGGTGACTTCCATGCTGTGCAGGCCACCGCGGAGGCCACAACCCTCGGTGAACCCTTGAGCTACCACTCCCAGGACGCTTTCATTGTGAAGGAGACCCTAACCAACCGTCACATCCTACTACGCGATCTTCTCCAGGCTCGACAAACTGCTCAGAGCAAGCGTGCCGCAGCAGACCGACTGAAGGTCAGCTCCTCAGTGCGCCCGGACAAGGTTGACGAGGCAATCAATGCTCTTGAGGAGGCCCAAAGCCACGAAGATTATTTGACTAAGCGCACCCAGCGCGTCACTGGAAACCTACTGCAAGAGAAGCGCCGTTGGTTCGACCGCACCACCAACGATCTTCTGTTCAGTCTGCGAGAGTATACTTTGCGCCAGATCGAGGCGGAGCGTCGGACCTTGGCAACTCTTGAGAGCGTCCGACCCGATATCCGAGCCATCGATAATTCTGGTGGTTTGAGTCGGCTGGGCCGTGAAGCACACCCCGCTCAACGAAGACCTAACATTGCCTCCAGCCAGGGTCCCAAGGGTGATGCCTGGAGTGGTGTCCCCCGCCGCGTTGACAGTGCCGGTCGTAGTATGAGCGGTAGTTTCACGGCTCCTGTTGAGGATGAGGGTGACGAGAACCCTGAGTCTGGTCCGGGGCGTGTGCGTTCTACCAGCAAGGTTGATTCTATTGCTGAGGACGATAGCGATCGACTGGATGCTCGCAACGCTGCCAGCCGGCTGGCCACCAGCACCTTCTGATCAAGTTGCCGAGTTACGATTCTGTACATGTAGCCTGGACACGACTTCGTGATTCCCCTTTGCCTTTTTTATAACTCGTGTCTCCTGTTATGTCTTTCCTTTGTGTAGGTCTCGGACCTAAATGTTATGGTTATCCTGATACTCCGGTTCTTCAAACAGTTCATTCTTCGATGTTAATTCATATATACCTACTATCATCTTGTATTCTGTGCACCACATATGCCAATACATCCTATTGCCAAATATACCACAGATCATGGCACAATCTATTCGCTCCAGCCCTGAAATCTTTCTGCTCCATCTTCCGGGAGCTCATACCACGGCGCTTTCTCCTCCAGAAAAATATGCGCAGATGGTGGTGGAACAACTGATCCATCGTCAAATGTCCCCGCCACTATTCCTATAAAATCCGGCTCTGAATTCAAGAGCATGCTCATAGTTGAGCCGCAACGCGGACAGAAAGTTCGTGAAGCGGTTTCACTTGATTTCCAGATCGTAGGCTCGACTTCCCACTTGATTGTATTGATAGGAAAGTTCACGAAGGCCTGGTAAGGGGCACCGGCTTGTTTGCGGCATGTTGTGCAGTGACAATTTACCAGTCTCGTTGGTGAGAAGCTGGCTGTATAGCGAATGTGATTGCATGCACAACTTCCTGAGATCATCGCTTGAGAGTGGGGTATATAGCTAGGTGGTGTGATAGTGAGCTCTGGCAGGGATGTATAGGTCTAAGTTGTTTCGCGGGGTCGAGTTTGACATCATGCGGGGTTACGCGGATGCTCTCTACGTATAAAATCTGGGCTTAGATAGCACTCGACGCAGCTGAATAGAGCTAAAGCTTCAAAGTAAGACCACACAATTAATAAGTCTCTATATTCCTGGTTAAAGTAAGAATACACATCAATACTAGAACTATCTCCGAGATTCTCGAGTCGGGGATCAACATGACGTCCCCCCACTTTTGGATCCATCTCGGGTCCCAGTTCCTCCATTCAATGACAATTCTGATTTCAAAGCAACAGATCTCAATCGAATTGACCGGTCTCCATTTCAACTTTCATGTTCTTCCTTCTTCAACTTCGCAGCTGAATTTCACGTTCTTCTATCCACAAATATCCTACTAGCACCCAATATGGCTCCTCAGGTCTTCATGTAGGTCACCCCCACTCCGGACCCGAGCTTTAGTCTGATCAGATCGATAGTACTGGAACCACCGGCTACATCGGTGGTGATGGTCTTTACGCCATCGCCAATGCCCATCCCGACTGGGAGCTTTCGGCCTTAGTCCGTAACAAGGATAAGGCCGCTGTGCTGTCCAGCAAGTACCCCAAGATTCGGGTTGTACACGGCGACTTGGACTCAACTGATATCATTGAGGAGGAAGTCAAGAAGGCCGACATCGTTTTCCGTGTGTTTTCCTCTATTCGGCACGATTTATCTTGTACCGCTTATTAATCTGTTCTCTAGACTTCGCTGACTGCGATCACGTCGCTGCTGCTGAGGGCATTGCCAAAGGCGCCAAGCACCACACCCCGGAGCGCCCACTCTGGCTGATCCACACATCAGGAACAGGTATTCTGACCGTAGAGGACCAGCGCGCTGGAACATATGGTATTGAGCGCCCTAAGGAATACAACGACTGGGAAGGCGTTAGCGAACTTATCAACCTCCCCGCTGATGCTTTCCACCGCAATGTGGACGAGATCATTATCAATGCCGGCAAGGAAAACCCCACTAGCGTCCACACGGCTATCGTCTGCCCACCCACTATCTACGGCCAAGGCCGTGGACCTGTCAACACCAAGAGTGTGCAGGCCTATCTGCTAAGTGCGGCCGTAATTAAGCGCGGCAAGGGATTCCTCGTCGGCAAGGGCGAGAACGTCTGGCACCAGGTCCATGTTCAGGATTTGAGCAATGTTTACCTCGCCCTGGGTGATGCAGCTGCCGAGGGTGGTGGTAAGGCTACTTGGAATGACGAGGGATACTACCTGGCTGAAAATGGTTCGTTTGTCTGGGGTGATATCCAGCGGGCGGTTGCTCAGTCTGCGTTTGAGCAGAAGTATATTCAGTCTCCTGAGGTCGAGGTCTTGGATGGTAAGCAGACTACGGAGATCTTGTCAGCTGGTATCTATGCTTGGGGCTCGAACTCTCGTGGTCACTCTCTGCGAGCACGAAAGCTGTTTGGCTGGGAGCCTAAGCAGCCGAAGTTGATTGAGTTGATTCCTGAGATTGTTGCAATTGAGGCTAAGGGACTTGGATTGTGAGGATCTGCTTTTGTGTATGATACAAGCATCTTAATGCTATGATGATAAAAGATAAGAATATCAAGCAGTTGCTCATATTGGATTCTTACTCGGTTTTGTTATCTTATGTTTAGATTTCAAATTGGCCTGACATCCCAGTCTGAGGTGCACGTGTTGGTTGTATGTATTTTATAGAATTAAGGCAGTGATGAACATTCCTAAGCTTATTAGCCATGTTTGAGGAGTCTATCAATTGGACTTTACAGTGAATGATACTGAGAGAATACACGATCCAAAAATGAATTAGCTGCCACATTGTGGAAAGGTGCAGCTCTGAGATAGTAGCAGTGTATACGTGAATGTTGACACCTCAGGCGCCAAACTCACGGGCTCCTTCTTTGCTCCGAGCTTTATCAACGACTTTCATCTCCATCGCTGCCCTCCGCGCCGCGCACCCCGTTCAACAGCTCTGGGATCAGACGTATTACTGGTATGATTTTCTTCTTATTATCTCACATCTTGCCTGCCCTCCTTTCCGCATCTCCCAATTGCTGACAATCGTTTCGCGCGGCTCTTTTAGATTCAGCCTCATGAGCTGCAACCTACCGACATCACAGCCGACCGTCTCTGCCCTCTCCGTCTAACCCTGCCATCCACCCACCATGGCACCTGGGCAGGGGAGTAAGAGAAAGCGCGGTGAACGAAGTTGGCCGAATGAATCGCCCAATAGCGAAGGCCCACGACCCTCACCTCATCGACCCGGTGCACTCAACATGGCAGGACACGGCGGGCATCAGTCGAGTCCCATACGGGACCAGCAAGACGGGCGCGATCGGTCCCGCCGACAATCCAACCGTGGGTCTGGTGGTCGAAACAATTCCCAACGCCGGTCCTACGACGGCCAGAATTTTTCGAGCTCGCAACAGAGAGAATCCAGCGCAATGTCTCCTCCCCCGCCAGCTCAGCCCAAGGATGCCCCAGAACCTTCTCAGGTCAATGGCGAGTCCACGGGCATCAATCCTACAACCTCATCTGCTCCCAACACCCCCGTTCTCCAAGCACAACCGCGACCTGCGTCCCGATCTGGCTCCGAGGCCATCGTCAGTCGCCCCGCCGGCCCGCCTCCTCCCTACGATTACGAGTACATCACGGATAGCGCTGTCCAAGAGTGGTCGTCGACAGGAAAGCAAAAGGTCTTGGAAGAAGGAACCGCAGCCCGATCACAGCAGGATTTGTCGCGCCTAGCGTCGATCTACCAGGAGCTCATTCGGTCTGCGATGTACGGTCGCCTTTCCCCGTCTGAGGCCGGTTCCGCAGTCAAAATTATTCTCGGAGGGACAGCTGCATCGCAGGATGTGGATATGGAGGCCGAGGGCCACCAATCCTCGGGCGCGCAGTTTGACGCGCATTCTTTATTCCTTGATACGCTTTCTATCGTTACAGATGCTGACACCTCCAATCCTGCCCTCAAACCCCTCGTTTTCGCGACCTCAATATCCCCAGATCTCATGCGTCTCCAGCTTGAAACGCCGCTGTTGCAGTCATTGGGATTGGTTCGCGATACCTTTGCGCGCATGGGCATTCGCAAGCAGACCAATTTACTTTACCGACAATCGAACTACAATCTACTGCGTGAGGAGTCCGAAGGTTACTCTAAACTTCTCACAGAGCTTTTCACAACAAGCAACAATGAGCGGCCATCCAGCGAGGTGGTTGAAGACACATTCGAAAGGGTGAAGGCCATGATCGGAGCCTTTGATATGGACGTTGGTCGAGTTCTAGATGTGACATTAGATGTTTTCGCTGCCGTCCTTGTCAAGCAATATCGCTTCTTTGTCAAGCTTCTCCGTGCCAGCTCCTGGTGGCCTAAGGAGGATCCGCTTTATGCAGTGGAAGGGTCCCAACGCGCCTCGGGCCTGCCAACTTGGGCCCTGCCTGGATCATCGGGGTGGGTCACAACTGAAGAGGAGCGATTGGAAACCATGCAGGCGAACGAGCAACGTGATCGAGACTTCTGGGATCGTGTTCGTGAGGTTGGAATTCAAGCTTTCTTTGAGCTTGGTCGCAAGCCACTTTCAGAAGAAGAAAAACAAAAGGTACTCCCTGAAGCCAACAGTCTCCCTGAAGAGGAAGATGCGACCAAGGCTTGGGTTGAAGAGACGGGCACACTGCCACCAAAGGGTAACCGAGTTGCCGCACACCTCCTCGGTTTCAAACTGCGATTCTACTCTTCCACAGCTCGGACAAAATCCGATGTCTTGCCCGATAACCTGATCTATCTCGCTGCATTGCTTATCAAAGTAGGCTTCATTTCGCTTCGTGATCTCTATGCCCATCTTTGGAGGCCCGATGAGTCCATGGATGATTTAAAGTTGGAAAAATTGACGGAGAAGGCGGAACGAGAGAAGGCCGCAAGACCTGGAGGTGGCGTCAATGCTCTCATGATGGCTGGCGCTCTATCAGATGATACAATCCCACCACCTCGTATTCGTGACTCGGAGACGAGGATGGCCACTCCATCAAAAGATCAAGACGCCGACAAGCAATCGACAAAGACAGAGAACGAACTTCCAGAGCCAAAGGATCAAAAGGTCCTGCTCTTGAAGAGTCTTCTAGCCATTGGTGCCATCCCCGAGGCCCTCTTTGTCATGAGCAAGTTCCCATGGTTGATGGACGGCTTCCCTGAACTTCCAGAATTCATCCACCGCATCCTCCACCATTGTCTCAGCAAGGTCTACGCTCCCCTTCGTCCTGAGAACCCTCCGATGGACCCCCGCCATGCCTTCCCTGGACAACAACAAATTTTGAGCACCGACCAGTCCGGTGTAGCCAAGGGCAGGCTTCGACTTGTACAGCCCCCGCCACAGCGAGTTCTCCGATGGGCTCAGCTGGACAAGGAAGATACCAGTGATGGCACCGACTACCGCTTCTACTGGGACGATTGGGCAGATAACATTCCGATCTGTCAATCCGTTGACGATGTGTTTGCCCTTTGCTCCTCCTTCCTCAATCTGTCCGGCCACAAGATTGGACAAGATACAGTCTTGCTCTCAAAGCTCGCGCGCATCGGTAAGCACAGTCTGACCAATGACAGCTCAGAAGAGAACAGGACTCGCTGGCGAGACCTGTGCAAGCGCCTCCTTTTGCCTTCGCTCAGTTTGACCAAGTCCAATCCTGGTGTCGTGAATGAGGTGTTTGATCTCATTAGTCTCTTCCCTCGCGAGGTTCGGTACAATATGTACGCTGAGTGGTACTCGGGTCAGACGTCCAGACTGCCTGATATCAAGTCTGCCTTTGATCAAGCAAGGGCCGAGACCAAGGACGTCCTCAAAAGGCTGAGCAAAACCAATGTCAAGCCGATGGCTCGTGCACTTGCCAAGATTGCCTATGCAAACCCGGGCATTGTCATAAATGTGGCTATCAGTCAGATTGAGTCATATGAGAACCTCATTGAAGTGGTGGTCGAGTGCGCACGTTATTTTACCAATTTGGGCTACGACATTCTGACTTGGTCACTGATCAACTCTCTTGGTCAAAAAGGAAGAAGTCGAGTCCAAGAGGGTGGCTTGCTCACCAGTCGCTGGCTGAACGCTCTGGCTGCTTTTGCTGGCCGAACCTTTAAGCGATATTCCGTCATGGACCCGGCTCCGCTGCTTCAATATGTCGTAGAGCAGCTGCGCCGTAACAACTCAACAGACCTCATTGTTCTGGAACAGTTGATAAGTTCAATGGCCGGCATCATCTCTGATACGAATTTTAATGACAACCAAATCCAAGCTATGGCAGGTGGTGAGCTACTCCAGGCACAAACAATTCTGCAGCTGCTTGATAAGCGACACGAGTCGAAGACCACCTCCAAACGGTTGATCAAGTCACTGACTCACACCAAACTCGCCGGCCAACTTTTGGTAGCAATCGCCCAGGAACGACTCACGTGCGTCTACAACGAAGAATCCACCGAGCTTAAGTTGCTCGGAAATATCTTCGATGAGATTCACCGCATCCTTACTCAGTATCTTGATCTCCTGCGCAGCAACTTGTCGATAGATGAGTTTGACTCATTTGTTCCCGACCTTGGCTCACTGATCCAAGAGTTTGGCGTCCAGCCTGAAATTGCTTTCTGGATTCAACGTGCCAGTGTCTCCAAAAAGATTTCTGATTCCGAACGCTTGAAACAGGAGGCAGAGCCTTCTCCCAAAGAAAACCACCCTGCTGAAGATGTGAAGATGGATAATGCTGATGACGGAGAGGTGACAGCGGAATCTGGCCTCGATGTCGATAAAGATGGGAATCCTACAACCCCCTCGGTCAGCCTGGGCCCATTGTCCGCGAATCCTGTGATGCAAGACTTGATCGACAATGTCAAGTCCGTCTTACCTGCCGACACGTGGGAGATTGTGGGGCCGCATTTCTACGCAACGTTCTGGCAACTCTCTCTTTATGACGTGCATATCCCTGGAAGATCTTACGAGGATGAGATTGATCGACTGAAGCGCCGAGTGGTCATGATCAACAATGATCGCTCAGATCTCAGCATGGCTGGCACTAAACGTAAGGAGCAAGAAAAGAAGCAGATCACTCAACTTCAAGATCGGATTCTTGACGAGAATAAAAACCATCTGAAGGCGTATGATCAGACTAGGAGAAGACTGCAGAAAGAGAAAGACCGCTGGTTCGCTGGCATGCGTCTCAAACATGATGTGCTGAATGTCGCTCTCCTCGAAAGATGCTTCATTCCCCGGTTGCTTCTGTCGCCGCTTGACGCCTTCTACTCTTTCAAATTTTTCAAGTTCCTACACAGCTCCGGGACCCCCAATTTCCGGACTCTTGGTTTGATTGATCAGCTGTTCCGTGAACAACGGTTGACGGCGCTCATCTTCCTTTGCACTTCTAATGAGGCTGATAACTTGGGACGATTCCTTAGCGATATCCTGCGTGATCTTGGTCGTTGGCACGCCGACAAGGCTGTCTACGAGAAGGAAGCTTTTGGCGCCAAGCGAGATCTTCCTGGCTTTGCAAAGAATGTGGACCTCGAAGGTGTACCAACCATGTTCTTGGAGTTTGAGGACTTCCGGCGTGTGCTGTACAAGTGGCATCGCATGCTCTGCCAAGCCTTGAAGACTTGTTTCAATGGAGGGGAATACATGCACATTCGCAATGCGATCAGTGTTCTCAAGGCTGTCGTCCAGAATTTCCCGGCTGTCAATTGGATTGGCCGTGACATGTTGACCTGTGTTAACAACCTAAGCAAAAATGACGAAAGAGATGATGTCAAGATTCCTGCCGCCTCATTAATTGGAGATCTCAATCGACGAGAGAAGAAGTGGATGCTTCCACAGGAGTTTAGCCTCATCAAGGTCCTGCCGGGTGACCCTGGACAGCCCAAGTCTGGTTCTCAACCGCCTAGAGGCTCCACTCCGACAAATCTGAATGCCGCGGCACCTGAATTCCAGCCCACAGCCCTAGAGTAAGTCGCCATATGCGAACGATCCGATGCACGACCCAGCAACTGACTCAACCACTAGGTCCAATGATATGAATCAAGAAGCTCCTGGCAAGATTGAAGTCGAGGATGGTGAGATCGAAGATGCGAAGATGGCGGAGGCTGCCGATGCTATGCAGCAGCGCGCATCAAGAGCCGAGAGTGTTCAAGGTGGAGCAACAAACTCTATCGCCATGGACACCAGTGGTGATTCGACACACATTGACCGCCAACCTGCAGAACAACGTAGCCAGGCTGATACGCCGTCCGGCCCTCGAACGAGTTCCCGAGCTCCAGATTCAGGGCGCATTGCCGATATCCCGAAACGTCCAGAGCCTGAGCGCATCAATCCACGTGAGCAAGCGCGTCGTCCACGTATCAGCGAGGGCAGATTGCCCGCACGTCCTGAACCTGCGGATGATCGACGAGACAGACATTCTGACTTTAACCCACGGACTCGTCATGGTCCCGACCATGGTCGCCCGTTCGACGGCCCTCCTGGAGATGTCAGAGGCCATGGCCGTCCCTCGGAGCGTGAGCGCGACTTCCCAATGAGGCCATTACCAGACGATCCAATGCGCGGCCCACCATACCGTGAGGGTCGCTTGCCACGAGAACCAGAGTGGCCAATGGATCGCGGAGGACGCATGCGTCCCTCTGATTCATTCCATGGTCCCGAGCCTCCCGCTCGCCCTGAACTCATGCCGGACTACCCTGACCGGCCTGGCAGCGGCCCCCGTCGTGGCGAACCAGCTCGGCCCGACAAGGATGACCGACGGCCCTATCCACCTCGCGGTCCCTCACCCCCACGATCCGACTTGCCCAATCGCCCAGAGCGATTCCCCAATGATCGTCGCTCCGCCAGCTTCAACCAGCCACCTCCTCGCCATGATGACCTTCCAAGAGGCCCACGCAGCGATCGTGCAGGTGCTGACCCAAGAGACCCTGCAACCGGCCCCGATATGGAGCATGGCCGACTGCAGCCTCCGAATGATATTCCATCCGGGCCAGGTCGGGCCAGACGGGGTGGCCGTAATGCCCCTGGTGCACAGCCTACTCCGGCCTCGACTAATGGTAAAATGCCTACTTCTGATCAGCAAATCCCAACTGGCCCTGGCCGACAAGGCGGACGTACAGGTCCTGCCCAGACTCCTGCCACACAACCACCAACTTCCGAGCGGGGCGAGGTCTCGGGAATTCACCCCGATCGACTCAAGCAATTCGAAAGCCCTCTGTCTCAACCAACACCAAACACAGCCATGAATCCTCCCTCTGGTCCTCGTGGCGCACCTGGCGGACAACAGGGCTCTCGTGGGTCTGGCAATGAGCGCGGGCGCAGTGACAAGCGATTTGCTGGCCTCAACACCATGTTGCAGCAGCAGACCACCAACCCTGCTGATCGCGTCCCTGCCACTCCCCCAGCTCGCGGACGGGGTGCTAACCGACAATCGAATGCAGCAAATCCTTCTCCCCAGACTGCGAATCGTCCCCCCACTGGCCCAGCTGCATCTGGAGATGATAATAATCCTCGCGGTGGAGGCAACGGTGGCCGAGGTGGTGACCTGATGGATAATGCTTCTACCCCTGAAGCTCGCCGCTCAGGACGTGATCGTGATCGTGAGAATCACCGTGAAGGCCGCGATCGTCGTGCCGATGAGTCCACCAACAGCGGTGGTACCAGTCGCCGTGAAGAACGCCGCGAGCGTGATAGAAACCGACGCAGTGATGTTGATGGTGGTGCCAATCGAGAAGAGAAGGACCGTGAACGCGAACGTCATACCGAATCCCGCGAGTCTATGCGCCGCAATCCTAGTTCGCGTGAAGAGGCCCGACGACGAGACCGTCGAGACCGCGAAGATGGACCGCCAGTCCTTGATGGCCCTACTCCTAGTGCCAATGCCAACGCCAACAAAGAAAGTGAGGGCCGCATTCGTCCTTCTTCTTCAATGGGAGCACCGCCGCCCCCACCACCTCCACCTCCCCCGCCTCCATTGCCCACTGACGACAACCCACGTCGCTGGAGCTCTGGTGGAGACCGTGGTAATCGATCTGACAACCGTGACCGGGAACGAGAGCGCCGAGGTGACCGTGGCCGTGATCGTGACCACCGAGAGAGTGGCGGCGGCTCAAGCCATCGCAAGCGTGGACGCCCCAACCCTGAAGAGAATGCCGGTGGTGGTGATGGAAGTCAGCGTGGCCCACGCTCGGGCAACGATAATAAGCGCCCCCGTCGTGGGCAGTGAGTGCCACTTGGTGAATTCGCACGAGAGGTGATGTGATGTCCGTGCCAATCCTACAATACTTTACTTCGACGATTCCCCTTTTCTCTTTTCATCTTTCGCTTTTTTCTCCTCTTGTTTTACAAGTTGCATCCTGGCCGGTGTTTAGGAACCACATCCACTCTGTATTTTCTTTCTATGTGACACAATATCGAATTCAAATGAAGACAAAAATTTTGATAATTGCAATGGGTTTTTTACCAACTCTCCTAACATACATGGAGTTATGACTAGTATGACTACCTGAGGTATTTTTTCTGTAGTTAGGTTTCACTTCCAAGGTTTTACGTTCACTCGGGAGCTATCAAATACCTGACGTGATTGTCTACTCGACACCTCTTCTCTATTTCTTGTTATTATTCCTTGTTTGAACAACAATATTGCTTCCTCTCTCCACCACGCCCATTACATCAGAATTATTCTTACGCCAATTGAATTATGAGTAAGGAAAACACCCATGTACGTTTTTAAGTAGGTACATTGAGAAAAAAGCATTAGACGTACGGAAGCCTATCGTTACTTGATCTGTGAGAGAAATATGTGGAAGAGTATAAATCCGGCATCAAAGGTATGCTTATACGACGAAGGACTAAGTTCTGTACACGTCAGAATCAGAGGCTGCTAGCAAACTCACTTTCCATCACCTGGTCATAATCATAACTAATCTTGGAAACCATTCCTTACGACAGCAAACCGTTTAGGCAACAAGGCACTATAAAAGCTTTCAATATTTTCCATTTCTCTTTACTTCCTTCATCACCCACTTACACTTCCGATATCTTATCTTAAGATCCATAAATTCCTCACTGCTTTCTTTCTTCGCCCCTCTTTTCTCTATCTCCTCGAGCAGTAATACTCCGTCTTCCACCAACTACATCCTAATTCCTCGATCACTCAACCCAGTCCCAGACCATACTAGCTAGTCTGAAGATGGGAAGCGATCTCGACCTGCAATCGACGCATGATACAATATTACTCTCGCCTATGCGCCATCTTTAAGCTACCTCAGGGAGAACCATTTCCTTGCTGCCAAAGGCAAGTGATCATACATTCGACTTTTATCGCCATTCCTCATTGAGGAACATGATCCTAACATCTATATCATAGTGGTTTTTCTTGGGCATTGACAAGATATCACAGGCTTTCTGGCAGTCCATGACCTTTCAGACTGCTACAAAATAATGATCACCACGCGCACTGACCCACATGTTGAGTTGGTGGACATATTGAAGTGATGGTATCCCAGAATACCAGGCTGAAATCAGCCAGCTGAAGACTGGGGTGTTTTCGGCCTTGAAAATCCGGCAAGCTATTATCATCTCTGCCGATGAAAATCGATGTTCCGTCAAAAGGTCATTATGAGGCCTGTCGCCAATCCCACTTTGTCGACAGATCACAAGAAAAGGGCTACTCGAAGCCTTTTATCTTTACAAAAAACATGCTAGAACGCTGCACAGATTCCAGTTTCACAAGCCCCACGCCCCGATTCTGTTTATATAATCTCTCTTAAAGGGAAAAACAGGCATATGAAGACTAGTTGCTCGATATTTATTATATCGTGACACTTGACAAGCGAAAATGAGGAATTCGGACCCACAACCTTGGGAAAGTCAACAATAAGTTAAGGTAAGTCCATCCACATCATATCACTTGATCCAAATGTATCATCCTAACGTCTAATAGAGGACTGTACGCAATTTATGCGGCTGTAGGACAAAAAAAGTCACAATTACGGCTTCGCGTTTCGTTTCTTTGAATCCTGCGTGATGGGTTTGCTCATCACGTTGGGTTGAGAGAAAGATCTGAAAAGTCATGTACTTGCTTTGGAATGAAAACTTTTTGTGCAAAGCTACATGGTGAAGAAGACAGGTACCGCATTGCCAGAAGAAGTGCCCAAGGACCAGCAGAATAAGGCGGTTATAGAACTCGACAAGAGAAGAGCGAAATGACGGAAGATCGGAAAACCAAAGGCTGCAGCTGGAATTTCTGGGGCTTCAATGGACCAATCTTTATCAAACTATGGGTGGTTACGTTTACGAGGGAAATCTGCAGAGCTTCAACGAACACAACTCAATGCTAGGAGTGACTGCGTTTCCGGGGCTGGATTCAGGTTCGATACTCCGAACGCAAGACGGGAATGGTCCCATTGATTTGCAGGCCCGGACTGTTTCCGCAGGCTGGAAATCTAGACAGTGGAATTCATAGGACCTGCCAGGACGAAGGTCGATTCCTTTGATACGGCGATTATGGGCTCTATATCATATAAGGCTCACTCGAAAGGAGTCGTTTCACTGAGACAACGCTATATTGCGATCTGCAAATTGTGTTTGCTCCAGCACGTTGACTCTTATCATGATAACCGAGTGGGCTGAAAATTATTATTCTACGCTTAGGGTTAATACAAGCCCGAAGTTCTCGGAGCGAATCGCAGCAACTTTCAAAGTTATTGAGGAAGTGAGTCATGTCTTCAAGGTACAGCTCTCTGCCATAGCGCGAAAAGCATCTTGACTCGAGATGTTTAACAATGAAAGTTTCTATCGCAGGTGGAGAGGCAGACCTTGTGGATTGTCCCTGGTACTTTTCAATATCAGTAGAGGAACCTGATATCTGGAATATATATCTCGAGTGCTTAGATTCATACTTATATGTACATAGCGACAAAATTGAAAACTTTAAAAATTATTTCCCTGGCTCAATTCACTGTTTGGGCGTACTCTTAGAGATTACCAGTCATTCCTTCAATTGATCTCATCATCTTAGCCACTATTTACGGGGCGTTGTTCCCTTGTAGGAGTATAATTGTGGGAAATCTTTTTCTATTTCAACCGTCCGCTATAGGGCCTTGGATCGTCATCAATATCATCCAATGGGGTGATGGCGCAATGGTAACGCGTCTGATTCCAGCTTGGGAAATCCAGAAGATTGGGAGTTCGATTCTCTCTCGCCTCATTTCTTTTTTGTTTTTGATTTTTTTTCATTTGTGGGAGTGGTTGGATTATAGGTGGAGCCGCCGGAAATTAAAATTATTAATTGACTGTCACGTGTCAACCAGCAATATCCACGGTTAATTAGGGTTGCCAAGTGCTCTATAGATCGGGTTGCTTCTGACGGTTAGCTGTCCGTGGTCTCTCTTTTTTCTGCTCAGAGTTCATCTCAGTAACCCTGTATGAATAAAGCCGTGAATTGGATCTGTGGCGTATCAGGCGCCTTACAGCGCAAACATCGATCATTGGTCGAGAGCGTATGCAGTAAAACATGCTAGAATGCCGTTTTCCAGTCATGATTGATGCCAAGTGCAGTACTGATAAAGGTCAAGAAAACAAGCAGCGAGGCTTCTGTCTACTATGGAAGTCACACCTTGGCAGGATTTCTTAGGTGATAGAAGGAAGAAGACGAAAGGGGAGTTAGTGTATTGAGAGCTACTGCGTCAAGGAATGATTTCAGACTTCTGGGGGTGCACTTGGCGAGTCTAAATGAATATCTGATTTGATTTATCCACCTGCTAGTCCTGAAAGGGTCAATTTCTTCGCTGATATCCGGTAGATCCATAACAGATATCTTGAGATTGTATTACCAATGAGGCGAACGGCATTAATCTTGCATGTCGACGAATTAGGTCGGGTAAAAGACGCCAAGTCCAATGTTAGTGCGCTCGCTATGTCGAAGAATGCTAATCCATCTTGCGCCATCAACTCCAAAGATAACAAATGCTCAACAAATGCATTAACCCCGCACCCAAGTGCACCGCCATAATATCACAGATAAGCCTTGACCTCCGCTATGAAACAATGCACCTAGGACGACTGGTCTCGCTGTTCTCTGAGAATCTTGAATTTCTGTTCTCAATCCGAGATCTCGGTCACAATGTCTCATGAGTTTGCAGAGAAGAAAGCTTTGTCCCAAAGTCCTCAGGATGATAAAATCACCCATTTCAATATAGATGAGGCACCGATCCCCGGGAAAACGACTGTTCATCGCGTTAATCGTAATGCGGATGAACCCCTTCCCAAATCTGGGGACATTCCTGGATATGACGCGGAGTTGATGCAAGCGCGTGCTACGCTTAGCTCTGACGAGGAGAAGAAACTGCTGAGAAAGATTGATTGGCGCCTTCTTCCTTTGTTGGCGTTGATGTATATGTTGAAAAGCATTGACGCTTCAAATGCAAGTGTCGATGTTTTCTATGATTGTGATTAGTGCTAACAATGAATAGCTCTCCTATGCTCGAACAATGGACGAAGGGACATCCTATAATATATTGACAGAGCTGGGAATGACCTCTAATCAGTATAATCTGGTCACGGCCATGTACTATGTAAGTTTTGCCCCACAGGTTCCAACATTGGCTGACATTTCCAGGTTCCGTACATTGTCGCGGAGGTGCCGTCAAATCTTCTACTGAAGAGAGTCCGGCCTTCAGTCTGGCAAGCGCGGATTCAAATATCCTGGGGTATTGTTCTCTGCTGCCATGCAGCTGTGGTAAACAGACAAGGCCTCTACGCTGTTCGGTTCTTCCTCGGCCTTTTCGAGGCGGGCTTATGGCCCGGTATGCTTGTGCATCTATGCTACTGGTACCGACCGGACGAACTTGCTCCCCGCGTTGTTTACGTGACGCTTCTTGGATGCTTCAGTACTGTTCTCAGTGGCGTGCTCGCATTTGCCTTTAATGGAGTAACCACGGGTGGTCTGTCGGGATGGAAGTGGTATGTGAATCTCATCCCTCCAACCGAAAAGAGACCTTTGCTGATTATTCTTCAGGCTTATTTTGACGGAGGGGATTGTCACTGTTGTACTAGGCCTCTGCACTTATTTCTTTTTGCCAGACTGTAAGTCCTTTTTGATCCTTATATACTGAATTCCGCTAAATGAAACAGTCCCATCGTCTGCAAAGTGGCTCTCAGAAAGAGAAAAAGCTTTTATCCAGGCCCGTCTACCCAAGAATGCCCCCCGAGCATCTGAAGCGAACTTCAACATGCGAGAGCTCATCGCAACATTGAAAAATTTGAGAATTTGGCTGTTTCTATTTTGCTGGGCGTTCTTCACAATCGGAACAACAGGTCTTACTTTCTATCAGCCAACCGTGATTGCTAATCTCGGCTTCACGTGAGTCAAGTCCGCAACAAAGAAGAACAAAAAGAATACTCATAAATTCCCAGATCCATGGGCACATCGCTTCTGCTGAATATCCCAACAGCTGTTTTCGCAGTCCTCCTAACAGTCGGATTTGGTATTTTCGCTGACACAGGCCGAATCCCCCAGCCCGCTATCCCACTTGGATTCCTGATCGTCATTGAAGCCTGTTACGGTGTACTCTATGCATTTCCCAATAACGGCGGCGTATACGCAGCAACAATCATATCAACAGGATTTTCAACCGCATGGTGCGTTATCTTTAGCCTCATAAACTATCTATCCACTAACATACAAAGGTACACAATGATGTGGCCCTGGCGTGTACAGACTACCGAAGGTGCAACGGGTTCTGCCTTTGCAATCGCATTTGCGAATAGCTATGGTCAGATCGGGGGAGCGGTAGGCTCACAGCTATTCAATTCGCGGTATGCACCGCATTATTCTACGTCTTTTGGAATAGCGATGGGCTTTGTGGGGATGGCTATTATTATGACAATTGTTACTTGGTGTTATACTTGGAGGGTTGATGTTGATACCAGACGGTTGAAGAGGATGAGGATTGCTGCTGCGAAAGAGAATCAGGCTATTTTGGATGATGTTGATATTCATCGTGGTGAGAAGATGGATTAGACTAGTTGGGGAGTAGTTGAAATAGACGGAGAACTTAGATAGAATGATATACATAGTTGAGAGAAGGATAGTTGGATGGGATGTCACTACTTTTGAAGGCATAGATTGTTTATGCATAATTCAGGGAGTCTGTGCTTATACAGGGACTATGTAGGACAAGAGATACGCCATTGCGGGGGAAGATTACGATGAATCAACCCCTCATCTCCTTGCATCTTGCATACATCTCGTTTCTCCTAAAGCTCGACTCCTGCAACCCCCCAAAGCGAAGAAACAGCAAATCATAATGAAGAAATCCTACCTCTGGAATCTCATTGCTCTTACAGGCCTAACCAATGCCATCGAGCCCCAACAACCCCTGCATCAACAAAAGATAACACAAAACGAACCAACAAACCTCACCCAAATAATCACCTCATCTCCCATCCTGACATTCCACAAAAACATCGTAGAAATACCCTCCATTAGCGGAAACGAGAATTCGGTCGGCGAATACATCATAAACTTTCTCCAATCGCAAAACTTCACAGTCGAAAAACAACTTGTCACACCAGCAACCGAAACAGAAAAAGAAAGATTCAATGTCTACGCCTACGTAAGCGAAAACAGATTCCCAGATGTCCTATTAACAAGCCACATCGATACCGTCCCACCATTCATCGATTACTCTCTCCACGCGCCTTCGACAGATTTCAGCCGCGAGGACCTGGTCATCGCCGGAAGAGGCACAGTAGACGCAAAAGCAAGCGTCGCAGCAATAGTATTCGCAGCACTAGAAACACTCCACAAAAACCCCTCCGCATCGCTAGGCCTGTTATTCGATGTCGGCGAAGAGAAATCCGGCATAGGCATGAAATTCTTCTCAGATTCAGAACTGAACCCTGATCCAGCGAGCTACAAAGCTGTTATCTTCGGTGAACCTACCGAGCTCAACCTTGTTGCTGGTCACAAAGGGACTATGGGCTTTAAGATAATCGCTAAAGGCAAAGCTGCGCACTCGGGATATCCGGAATTAGGCAAGAGTGCTATCTCAGCTATCCTGCCTGTGCTACAGCATTTGGATAATCTACAAAATATCCACCCTGACGAAGGCGGACTTCTGCGGAGTGAGAAGTTCAATACCTCGACGTTGAATATTGGTGTGATTAGTGGTGGACAAGCGGCTAATGTTGTGCCTGCGTATGCGGAGGCGGTTGTTTCCGTTCGACTTGCGGCTGGAACACCGGGTGATACGAGGGAGATTATTGCGAAGGCGGTTGAGTCTGTTACGGGGGGTGATGGGAGTGTTGTTGTTGATTTTGGGGATCGCGGTGGGGCTCCGCCTCAGTATCTCGATGCTGATGTTGAAGGGTTTGAGGTTATTACTGTGAATTATGGAACTGATGTTCCGTCTTTGGTTATTCAGGGAGAGAAGAAGGTGAAGAGGTATTTGTATGGGCCGGGGACGATCCATGTTGCCCATGGTGATGATGAGGCTATCACTGTTGGGGAGTTGGAAAAGGCTGTTGTGGGGTATAAACGGTTGATTGACGCGGCTCTGTAGGGTTTAATGGGGATCTCTCTAGAATAATAGTTGGAAGTATTTGAGTGTACAAACTTGAAGGTCTTCTTGATATCAAAATAAATTCAAAACATCGGGCTCGGGGTATCTACATAAAGTCGACATATGTGACATGAATAAAGTAACAGACCACAGAAGAGAATCGCTAAGAGAACAGAAAAGAAAACAACAAGCCAGTCAATCAAGCCATAGCAGCCACAGCCCTCCGACCCTCAACCATCCCACCTTCTTTCTTCTTCATCCCCAACCCAGTCAACTTCTTCAACAACTCCTGTGCCCGTTTCCGGCGATGTCTCGTCGGAACATCAGAAACATCATAGAAGCCCCCAAGCGAAACAGGAATATCCCCATCTTTCCCCCAGACAGGATACGAGAAATTACTCGGACTTTTCTCTTGACGAAGATTGCCCATCGAGAGCCCGCGATACAATCCTGACTCCCGACTCCCGTGCAACTCAAAAGCCTCCCATTTAGACTCGCGCAATTGGACAGGTCTCGTTTTCTGTCGGGTACTGTAGAAGCGACGCGGAGCGGGACCAGGTTCAACCGCCGAATTAGGTACCGAAGTCATGCAGTTCCGGTCTTTGGGTAGATGCACAGCTGAACTAGATGTCCAGTGTTCGCTGTCAGTTGGAATATCCAGTGCGCTGAGCCAGGTGGTGCCCTCTGCGCCGAGGAAGTCTGATTCCGGGAAGTGGTCAATGGGTGATCCGACGATTTGGGTATCGTCCCGGCCCCAGGTGGTTTCGAATTGCGGTGGGCTGTAGGGGAAGAAGCCGGGGCTTGAAGAGCGGGAGCGAGAACGAGATGTTGTTTCTGTAGCGATACTGCGGCCGCGGGGGCGACCTTCGAATTCCTCCTCTTCTGGTGGCGGTGTTGAGAGTCGTTTTCCGTAAAAGCGTCCTGTTCCTGCTGAAGCGCTCATCGCCGAGAGACTACCCTGGTATTTGGTTGATTTGGGAGAGGGTAGATCTTCGAGACCAAAATCCCATTCGTTGGGCACATGATTATCGATCGCGACGGGCGAAAGTGAAAGTTGGGCCATGACGCCCTGAAATTGTGGGCGTGATTCATGTGGAACTTGGATTGCGCCATTCTGTTCTGTGTGGAAGGATGGCCAGATGGGGAGACCGCGTTCAATACTTTCGACGAGTAGACCGCAAGAGTGTTTCACGTTGTCTTCCAGGTCCTCTTCGATATATTGTCGATCGATTAATGGTTCCACAGGGCAAAAGTACCCCGGTTCATCGGTGAAATGATAGTATCGGGTTGGCTCTGTGTCTAATGTAATGCCGGTTGGGTGAGACGAGACAGGGGTCGTAGCTGAGCGAGACCGACTGCTCGATGTGCTGGGTGTTGGCTCCGAGAAGTTCATGGTTGCCGCGCGGCCTCGACTGTGAAGATTGCGAGTGAACAAGCGTTGGCGCATCTGTGCAGCTTTTTGAGAGAGCTTGCGCTCCATCGTTGAATGGTGAAATACGGTTGTTGGTGTGCTGGTTGCAGGGAACGTGGCTTATAGGAATTCCGGAAGCGGGTTGTAGAGAAAACAATGAAAGACGAACAACAAAGTCGTCCACGCCGACTGAAGAGTATGGAAATGTGGCGAAGGGAGTCAATTCCGGATCCAAACGAGGTAACAATCGTCTCAATTCCGGAGGAAATCGATTGGATATTAGTTCAGAACCCAACTTAGGTGTTGGCTGTCCAACGGGTTGGTATGCGGGGGATGACAACGAGGGAGAGAGAAAAGTAAAACGGTCTCAGAGCACGAGCATATATTGGAGGGATCTGTCAGCTTTATTCAAGGTTGGCGCCCTGGTCTCTTTAATTTTAATTTTAATTCGATTTTATTTCACATAGGGTCATGTGGAGTTTAGCGCGGACAAGGATTAGATGGGTGTGATAAAGAAAAACATAGATTGGGAAGCAATGAGGCTAGGGTGGAGTCGAACGGTTAGGGCTGGAGCTGGCTGAGTGGACTCAATCCGGTATCAAGGAGTGGTAACCTCCACCTCGGTCCATAGAAGTGTGATAAACAACCCCAAAAGCGGTGCGGGATCACCGCAAAAAGTAGTTCGTTAGTCTAGACCTGACACTAGTTCGGGGGGGCTGTTGTCTTGGCTTGCATCAAACGCCCTTTATCTGCTTTTTGAGATAAACAAAGGGCGCAAGTGAGGGCGATAAAGAGACCGAATCAATACTTCGTACCGAATAAAATAAAATAAAATAAGAAACAAAGCACTAGCCTAGATTAGAAAAGCATACGTGCACGTATTCATCTTATTCGATCATAGGGTCCAATAGACCCACCAGGAATGTTTGAGACAATGGGCCGCTCCTTGCAATCGATTCATGGGAAATTACGGAGCACAGTACACGATGATTTTCTAGGTGGAACTCCTATGACATAGATGTTACTGTGTACAGTACTTTACTCCGTTCTTCTTTTCTAGAAAGCAACTTAATCCTGCGCTCACCTTCGCAATCATACCCAAAACCTGCTCCAAACACACTAACATAGGCCAGTGACCCACCAACAATGCGCGTACGCTCGCGCCCATTTCTATGATTTCACGGGTAAATTTGTCTCCATTCGCGCCAACGAAAATTCTACCGAACCACTTTTCAGCTGTGCTGGTCCATCCATTCGGCAGCGCCGCCCCATCGGCCCTCATTTCCTCCCGGATTTTTCTTAGGCGAGAAGCTTGTTGACTCGCCTAGATAACTTGGCACAGGCCCGTCATCGGTGAGTCACACCACTCAGAACGTAGGTCCTGGACTTTGCATACTGAACACCATGTTGCGGCTGGAACGCCCCGCGTCCGAGCGCTGAAAGGTATCGCATTGGAGTTACTTTGGTCTCAGGGCTCTCATTGGAGGTGCCGGGATTGGTCAGGTTTTTGCAGAGTGGTACTGGTGGCTTGGGCGGCTTATCAGACCCTAGACCCTGACAATTCACACGAGTTAGCTTTCCTTATCGTGGCCCAATCGGGTAAACGGCCATGCGCTAAGATACACCGTTTGTTACTATTGAATGCCAAGGCAAAAGGAGATTGTATAGAAATGGAGTAATCTACTCCGTAGCGTGTTCCATTTCCTGTAATCTATCTACTAAATGCGACTTGGTCGCTCGATGGACCAATGGTCATCGTGGAATTAAAATTGACCCATCAACCTCGGAGAGAACTTCGGAAGCGACCCGGAGGATGGGTCTGATGGAGAGCAGTTGGATGCTTCTTGTGCAGTCTTCTCGACATGGATCACGTCCAAGTGAGATTCGAGAGAGGCAGTTGGATGCTCATCTCCCTGACTAGCGAAACGGATAAAAGAACGGCAACCTCTACTTCCCCTGGTGCGCCATGACTGCTGCCCAGGCACGGACGCCACTCAGTCCTGGAGATAAGATATCAAGTGGGACCGGGCGCGAATCCGTGGGGACAGGAGCATGGGGGTGGCTGCAGAATATACTGCGCCGGGCACGATTTTCAATTGGTGGAAGGTTTACCACGCGGTAATGTCCTCCACCTCGGCTTCGCCGAAGGTGCTGCTCTTGGTGAGCTTGGTGACGCTTGCGACAGCAGCGGCACCCTCCGCACTAGTATGGGCCATGATATCGGGCAGAACCTCGTGGAAGAATTCCACGATGTGGCGGTTGACCTGCTCGAACTGCAAGAGGAAGGCATCGTGACCCTCCGGGCTGTCGATACGCTTAAGGCGGGAATCAGGAATTCCGGCCGCAACCTCTTGCTGCTCAGCAAAAGTGAATAGGCCATCAGATTCAATGCCTAACACCAGAGCAGGTTGCTTAATCGAGGCAAGTGCCTCGCGAACACGGTCCTCTGATTCCACACTGGCACGGTGGCGGGACACATCGTGCGTGTCGAGCTTGCGGGTCATAGCGATGTAGCAGTTGGCATCGAAGCGCTTGACAAACTTATCTCCCTGGTAGCGAAGGTAGGACTGCGCCGAGAAATAAGTTGGCGGCCGCGGGCGACCGGCAGAGTCCGTCTTCACTGCTGAAACCTCCGGAGAGAAAGTCTTGGTGCCTGAAAATTGAGGGTCCATGAATTGAACATCGGCCTGAGTCTGAGGGACTGGCGAATTCTGGCGGCTCCCAGAGCGAGATGTCGCACCAGTCCGGTGTCCATCATTGTGGATGGCCCAGTGCTCATTGGGAGGAGTAGGCAGCTTCTCACCGCCATTGATGTTAACCCGCTTGGACGGGTCGGGAACATTGCGACCAAATCGCGACTCAAAGGAGTCTCGGCTACGGTATGTGAGAAGTGCTGACATGCGGGCTGCTCCAAGACCACTAGCAGGAGGATCATTGAACGGGTAGTATCCATCATCATACTTGGGGTCAGAGTAGATGCTCTGTCTTTGAGCTTCACCCCAGCTAATGCACCATGCAGAATGGCGTGCGGATGTCGCAATTGGCACAATCGCCCGAACATAGTCCTTGCCAAAGAAGGCATATTCCAGGGTAAGCATGCCACCCATGGAACCTCCGACAACGGCGGCGATCTGCTTGATACCCAAATCGTCCAGGACCATCTTGTGAATGCTGAGAATAAATGTTAGAATAATTCAGACATTTTTGCGGGACATGACCTACTTCACATCGTCACGGACGGTGGTCAAAGGAAACTCGGGTCCATAGTAGCCATTTTCAGGCTTACCATCCTTGTATGTCACGGCGCTGGCGCTCCCGTAAGGGCTGCCCAAGCTGTTCAAACAAATGACGAAGAATCGTGACACATCGAATGCTTGACCCGGACCGCCGAGGAGTGGGCCCCACCAATCGGCGACATCGGCGCTGCCGCTCAATGCATGACAAATGACCAAGGCATTGTCGCCCTTGGAGTTCAGAATACCCCGCGTGGTGTAGGCAACAGGTACATTGTATAATGTAACACCGGACTCGAGTGTGAAAGAAGGGATGACGGCAATGTGCTGATCCTCAATCAAGCTGGCGTAGGGGTTCTCCGGCTGCGAATCGACTCTCTCTACGGGATTTAGTAGCCGTCTAGTGTAAAAGGGGGTGGGGATTGACTGACGGAGTCGCTCAACAGGAGCAGTGCTTGCAGTGGCCATTATGGCAAAAGTATAGAATAAAGCAAACAGAAAATATATGGGGAAAAGGAGGAGAGGAAAGGGAGAGTCTCCCGTAGAAAAGTTCCCTTTGGTCCCGCATATGAGTCAGGAACCCCGCGGGCAAATCCACCCAATCACAACGAAGGCGGTGAGACTTCCATTGTGCGATCAAATTTCCAAAATTCAATTTCCATCTCTTTTCTTTCTCTCTTCATACACAACACTCTCGCCCTCACCAACCCCAATCACCACCCCCATCCATCAAAATGGCCAAGACCAAGAAGTCCGGAGAGACCATCTCCTCCCGCCTTGCCCTCGTCATGAAGTCCGGCAAGGGTGAGTTTTCATCTTTTCCAGCGTGCTCATCGGTCGCTAATGAAAATTTCCAGTCACCATGGGTGCCAAGTCCTCCATGAAGACCCTCCGCTCCGGAAAGGCCAAGCTGATCCTCATCGCCGGTAACTGCCCTCCTCTGCGCAAGTCCGAGCTTGAGTACTACGCCATGCTCGCCAAGGTCCCCGTCCACCACTTCAACGGCAACAACGTACGTTTAATATCTTACCCAAGTCGGCAAATGCCGCGGCTGCCCAGCAGCTTTACTACTCTGAGAAGAAGTCGGCAATGCCACTTCGGAGAGTGAAGTTGCTCAGCGATGGGATCTCTTTTGAGGCCCGGAGAGCGAATTGACTAACCCCTAAATAGATTGAGCTCGGTACCGCCTGCGGTAAGCTCTTCCGTTGCTCCACCATGACCATCCTTGATGCTGGTGACTCCGACATCCTCACCCGTGAGGTTTAAATGCATTAATTGCATTGCCCAAAAATATAACGGGAAATTGAATGATTGACGACATCTGGGTTGGATGCTCAACGGCCTCCAGCCCATCCCAAAAAGTTGCACGTACCCGGTTTAGTTGGGACGGTGTATTTGGGTCAAAAGTGGGAATAGGCGTTGTGTACCATAGTCATACCCTCAATCTATCAAGTTTACCTTGTGTATCAACCTTGGAAGCTCTTCGTAAACCCATAAACTATTCTTCGTAAAACGTTGGAAAGTGGCGAGTTCCAATCATCGCGACCTTTCCCACTATCAAAGTCCTCTTATTAACAAGCCGCCCGTACGATTAATGACCTCAGTATTGACTTCGGATCCGTAACTCTATGCTGTTGGGTAGTAGTACAATTATGGCTCCAGATATAAAACTTTTGTAATTCTTATGATGCATTCGACTTGACAGACAGCATGGGATAATTAGAGTTCCGAGAATCAGGAGTACTGGGTGTCTGCTTGGAGCATCCTTTCCTTCGATCACACTGGCCATACATTTCGGTATCGATGTTGAGAGAACCCGGAGTGGACCGATCACCACTCCACCTCGGTTGTATATTTAGATCATCACAGTGAGATCCTTGGATCTCTTCAATGGTCGTCGGGGAACTGTTTATAACAGCAACGAGGCTATTCAGCACCGTGAACTCCATCTTCAACTTGATGCTGTACACCAACGGCTTGTAAGACGTCTGAATATCAAAGTAGTCGCTGTACTCAAGTGCCAAAAGCGAAGCATCGAGTAAGATAGCGATAGCGTTGACGATAATGAGATTCGTAATGACTCGCTGGCCGCGCGGGCCTTTAAGAAGCAAAACAGGTCGTAGTCCCGTTACCGTCTCCCAGATATAGAGAGCACTAATAATAGTCTCTTGAACCGAGAATCCAGTCAATTGAACCCGTTCGTAGATATTAAATGGCGTAATGAAGCTGTCGACGCCGTGATTGCTTCCAAGAAATAGGATCGTCGTAGGAATATGAAAGATGCAGGCGTTGATTATGATCATCCACAACACATAACGAAAATACTCGTGGTGGGTGGAGACAAGGTGGAGTCGAGAGTATAGGACCACCGATTGGCCAGTTACCATTGCATACCAGCCTATGCAGATCAGGATGGACATGGGGAAGTTCGGGGCGAGCGCGAAATAGCGAAGGAATCCCGAGATGGCGTGGGTGAGGACTCCCAGGGTGCAGACCAACATGCTCCAGAAATACAGGCCACGGCGCCGGCGGAAGGTTGTAAAAAGGGATATAAGAATTTCGACGACATTGTAGCAGGCTAGAGCGAATAGTGCTGCAATCACCATAGCAATCGCCCGCGATACTTGGATTGGTCCCGTTTGGCCTGCCATTTTGGTTCGATCGCCAGCGAGATTTATAAGGACAGGGTTGTCTGACAGCGCGGGTTGGCTCTGATAGTGCCGCAAGGATTTTGCCCACCGCTTGGCGAGCTCACGTTGGTGTTTGCATTTCGATGATAGGTTTCAAGGTCGCGAGCCTGAGTAGGGGCACGGTTGTGTCTTTAGGTAAAAGACCCGAATCGAGGGGCTGAATAGGGGAACAGGCGTATGTCTTGGCATAGACCGATCTGTCTTCAAATCGAACTGAAATGAACGCATTTAGAGTTCTGTGGGGCTGAGCTGATTGGTTACCATGGTACTTTTTGACATCACCACTAACGGGATTTGCCTTGAACACGCCGGGTACAAAGTAACCAAGACGCTCTGATTTGTCTAGATTCCTCAGATTAAAGTTCAATTCTGCATGCAGCTCTACTTGAAACTAGATTCAAGAACGTGGCTTGAGATAGCCATTTAGACGTAAGTACCTTCCTAGTTCAGAACACATATTGTAAGACAGTCCTATGTGGGGCCTCCAAGCCGCTAGAGCAGACAGCGCATTGTCTGTTTGGTGCCCAATCCAATTAGCCGTTTAAGATGACACTATCTTCGTCGGTCGATGGCAAAGGCCTCGATGCTTCTTTTTCGCGTGCCGGTATCGAACCTCTCAGCTTGTCTACGTTATCTAGCTCCTCAGCCTAGAACAAGGTTAGAGCCATAATGGTGGCTGGAGACCCACAGCCCAGTCAAACCATTGTCCCTTTTCGATATTGCAATTTTCAATGAATCTCCTAACTATATATTCTATATGGTACTCACAGAAAGAAACATGATGTCACGATCGTGTAGGCGTAGTGGAGATGGTCGATTCTTGGCGATCTTCATCACTTACAAGAAACTCGACATCCTAAAGATTTGGTATAGCTAGCCATTGGCAAAACATTTATCCAGCAATTAGGAGAATCATCCAGAGGAAAATCCTTTCGTTGAATTTGGAAGCCTGCGACCCGAGATGGTGGGTGTTGGGATTGTTTGGCTGTGCTGTCGATCAAATCGCTGCAGCCTCTTACTAGTGTGGGACGCTAAAGCCGCCATGGCTGAATTGGGGTATTGGAGAATGTTGAGAAGGATCCGAACCCCTGATATTTTCATTTTGCTTCGACACTATTGACTTACAGGGGGTGGCTGGCATTCATTTGTGCCGTACCAAAGTCATATTTTGACGTATTCCCCTGCGTATTCTCCTGCCTACTCTCCTGCTTATGGCTCCGCGGAATTTGCGTTTTCGTAACTGCGCGTGACACAGCCAAATTTCCAAAAACTGCCTTTCGGTCTTTCACCGAGGCTTGTATGCCTTGCAAAAGGCGGACACCCTCCGGATGTGATTTGCCCAGCGGGTCAAGTTGACATGTCTCTTCTGCTTATACGTTTGCATTTCGATTCGATCGTGCTTGCTCGATATCTTAAGCTTTTTAATTGAACACCGAAACATTAGTTGAACCCCCTCACTAACCACAGTTAAAGTAGCGCAGTATCCAAGATTCAGAGAATAATAATATTGAGTACATACTCAAGTACCTACTTGCTCACGTTACTCTATAGACTACGCTGGAATTTGAAGGTAATTAAAGAATGATATGATACCCACTGAGCTACTTTTTTTTACTTACATCATGTCTCTAATAATGCGTTATCTCATAGATTGACAATGACCAAGCGAGGTACTGCGATGTCCTCAAAAACTTGAGATAGAAATGATATCCCATATCTTCCACAGAAAGCATCACCTTTCCTCTTTGGGAGACTTGGCTGCCAATGGTACCCTCAATTTGCTTGAGGCTTACTTCAACAAAGCCCAGGCAGAAGTCCGTACTTGCTTGACTCGTAGACCGTCTGCTTTGGACATGAATTCCATACACAGATGCAAGCGTGCTTACTCTAGCGGGTGGAACGAGTTGCCATGGAACGATTTACCAGGTGGGGGCTTGGCGAGACCAATCCGAGGTAAAACAGTTGAAAGGCTTGGAATTCAACGCCAGATCAACCAGATTTCGGAATAACCTGAACTATATTCCCCTCTGAGAAAATTACTAATTGACAGCATATGTTGGCTAATTACTCACAGTCAAGCATCTTCAGCATTTTTGGCGGGGTAAACAGTACCCCCACGCCCAGTCTGCGGGGAAATGATCTACAAGCACGCTATACGCACTTCCACGGAGATTATAGCCTAAAGTCCTCTTGAATCGTGCTAACGAAATTTAGCCTGAACAATTCCCCCTAATGTCAATGACGCAAGGGTGCAGGTGGGTATAGCCGAAAACCAGCCGGTCTGCGGACCTGGGATGTTATCGTAACGGTATAAAAGAAATAACAAAGTTGGGGTCAGTGCCATGGTTCAATCAGCACTCAAACGCCACCATGCAAGCCACGTGGTTGCTGGCTTACTTGACCTTGGGCTTTGCTGCCGCAGAGACCGGCTTAGATGGTTGGCTGCGATATGCTCCGTTACCTTGCTCTACTCAATGTCATTCCCAGCTACCCGTCAACATTCTTGTCCTCAACTCGACCGAGGCAAGTCCTGTGTATGTTGCCGGATCCGAAATTCAGGTCGCATTAAGTAGCATTTACGATGTGAACGCCTCGATCGCTCTCAACCAGTGCAACTCATCTTCATCCGTCGTCGTTGGCACAGTTGACCAATACCGCCAAACCTGCGGTTCAACAGTTGGCATCCCTGAATTGGGTGAAGATGGATTCTGGCTGAGCACTCGGGGTAGCAAGATCCAAATCCTCGGTCAAAATGAACGAGGAGCTCTCTATGGGGCATTTGAGTACCTGTCAATGCTTGCAAGGGGGAATTTCTCTCAAGTGGCCTACTCCACAAGCCCTTCCGCTCCTCTTCGCTGGGTGAATCAATGGGACAACATGGATGGAAGTATTGAGCGAGGCTATGGAGGCGAATCGATATTTTTCAAAAATGGGGCTATCGTCGACGACTTGACTCGAGTCCGCCAGTATGCTCGTCTCTTAGCATCAGTCCGGATCAACGCAGTCGTGGTCAACAATGTGAATGCCAATGCCACCCTTCTCACTCCCCAGAACATTGATGGACTAGGAAGAATAGCCGACGTTTTCCGACCGTACGGTGTCAAAGTCGGTATCTCGCTGAACTTCGCGACTCCCGAGACTTTGGGTGGCCTTGACACTTATGATCCCCTCAATGCAACTGTAGTCAGATGGTGGTCCAACATGACGGACCAGATCTACCAAAGAGTACCCGACATGGCGGGATACCTCGTGAAAGCAGACTCCGAGGGTGAGCCGGGCCCACAGGTATATAACCGAACCTTGGCAGAAGGTGCCAATCTATTTGCCAGGGCTATCAAGCCTCATGGGGGTATTGTCATGTTCCGTGCCTTTGTCTACAATCAACTTAACGAGTCCAACTGGGAGGCAGATCGTGCCAAAGCAGCAGTCAACTTTTTCAAGCCCCTCGATGGCAAGTTCGATGATAATGTGGTTGTCCAGATCAAGTATGGACCTATTGATTTCCAAGTCCGTGAGCCGACATCACCTTTATTCGCCAATCTTTTCAAGACAAATATTGCCATCGAATTGGAAGTCACTCAAGAATACCTTGGACAACAATCTCATCTTGTTTACCTTCCTCCTCTCTGGAAGACTGTCTTGGACTTTGATCTTCGCGTCGACCATAAGCCATCTTTAGTCCGTGACATTGTGACAGGTAAACGCTTCAATCGTACCCTTGGTGGATCGGCAGCCGTTGTCAATGTTGGTACCAACAACACATGGCTAGGAAGCCATCTGTCAATGTCGAATCTCTATGCCTACGGCCGTTTAGCATGGGATCCTACTGCAGATGCCCAGGATATCCTGCAGGATTGCATTCAGTTGACATTTGGTCTGGATCGTGCTGTCCTCGATACCATTACTAATATGTCCATGCAATCTTGGCCTGCCTACGAAAGTTACAGTGGCAATCTGGGCATACAGACTCTGACTGACATCTTGTATACCCACTATGGACCCAACCCTGCCTCTCAGGACAATAACGGCTGGGGCCAATGGACTCGTGCTGGCCGTAAAAGTATTGGTATGGACCGCACCATACACAATGGAACAGGATACACTGGACAATATCCAGAGGAGATCGCATCTAAATACGAGAACATCCAGAGCACACCTGACGACCTTCTTCTATGGTTTCACCATGTCAACTACACCCACCGATTGCATTCTGGGAAGACAGTGATTCAACACTTCTACGACGCCCACTACAGTGGTGCAGAGTTAGCCCAAGGCTTCCTTGACCAGTGGGAGTCCTTGCGGGGGAAAATCGATGACGAGAGATACGCCCATGTTCGACACCGTCTTGACTACCAGACAGGGCATTCTATCGTTTGGAGAGATGCGATCAACAACTTCTACAACAATCTCTCCGGAATAGCAGACACTGCTGGACGTGTCGGCCATCACCCGTGGCGAATTGAGGCCGAGGACATGAAGTTGAATGGCTACGATACCTACACCGTTAGCCCATTCGAAACAGCCTCTGGCTCTGTGGCTATTATCACGTTATCCAATGATACAGTGGGTACAGCAACGACCACACTCGACTTTCCCTCGGGCACGTATGATCTTGCTATAAATTACTACGACCTGTACGGTGGGCAATCGAATTGGCAGGTTTATCTCAATGATAGACAGGTTGGGCAGTGGGTGGGTGATGCGGAGCATCATCTGAGCCACACACCTTCTATATATTTAGATGGGCATTCTGCTACCCGAATCAAGTTCAGGGGGAGTCAAGATCAGCAAAGGAGATACGTTGAAGATCGTTGGCACGCCTGATGGGGACGAACCAGCGCCGGTGGACTATATCTCGGTGCTTCCGGAGGGAGTTGTGGATTGAGATTACTACATAGATCTATTAATAATGTTCAATTCACGCTGAGCTCACAAGGAGCAAGCTTACCAGTCATAAACAATTCGCAGATCTTGAGACATTGTTAGTCTTGACAGGTGCCAATAATCCGCATACTGAAAGGATTCCAAGAATACTATGGATGATCAATTGTCGTGTTAGGTGCCAACCGTAATAATCATTTATGAAAAACCAAACAGCAATGAGCTACAGTGTAGAAGGTGGGGCGTGAAGCGCAAGTGAAGGTGTCCCTTTTAATGACGGAGTGCCAAGACCTTGAAAAGCCGCGCGCGTCCCCGGATTCAATCCCTGTACACGCTAACTTCACTTTTTCAACACACAAACTCATCGACTTCCTCACATGTTACCACAAAATGACTGATTACTCCTCATGGAAGGTCGCTGACCTGAAGTCAGAGCTGAAGAATCGTGGTATCCCCCAGACTGGCCTCCGCCTCAAGCAACAGATCATCGACAAGCTACTGGAGGAGGATGACAAGTCGCAACCTGAAGGAAATGGTGTCGCCTCTGAATCTGAGCCACAGCCTCAAGCTGAAGAAGCACGAGAATCTGAAGCTGAGCAGGCACCTGTCCCAGAGATCGCCCCTGCGGCGCAAGAATCGCAACCTGAACCCACACCCGAAGAACCCCAAGAGAAACCTGCAACACAAGAAGAACCCGCTGAACCCACTCCTACACGCGTCGAAGAGAAGCTTGAGGACGAGGCAGCCACGGAACCTCAAGTAGATGTTGAGAAGCCGGTTGAGGAGGAGAAAACAATTGAAGATGTGGAAATGAAACAAGCTACGGCGCCTGAGGAAAAGGTTGAAGCGCAACCGGCCGAGGAGGTTCCCGAGGAAGCTGCGGAGCCCACCAAAGATGCTGAACCTTCAATGCTGCCCCTTCCCCAGACATCCGAGGCAAATACGGGATTCTCTACCCCTCTTCCCATTGAAGAGGCGCTGGAGGATAAACGCAAGCGCAAACGTCGCAGTCAAAGCCCCGTCCCTACACCAGAAGCGATCGCAAACAAGAAAGCTCGAGCACAGGGAGCTAGCCCCGACGTTCTTATGGAAGAAGATCACGAGGTTTCTACTCAGGAGAAAGACACCGTGGAATCTACCGAGGAGCAGAGTGCACCTGCAGCTAAGCAAGCCCCGTCAGGGCCTCATAAGGATGCGCGCTTCCGGGGTCTCTTTGCACCCACCCGCCCAGCTGCGGACAGAATATCTCCTCCGCCTCCGGCTGGTGATGTTACAATGGAAGACGCAGAAGTCGAGCCAGCCTTGCACCCCGCTACAGCTGCCCTCTACATTGATGGATTGATGCGCCCAATGCAGCCACAAGCACTCCGCAACCACCTGGTCAGCCTCGCAACTACACCTGGGTCCGAGCCCGACCCCAGCGTAGTCCAGGACTTCTTCCTCGACTCCATCAAAACCCACTGCTTCGCAGGATTCACCGACCTTGCCGCCGCATCACGAGTCCGCGCCGCCCTACACAATACTATATGGCCCAACGAGCGCAACCGCAAGATTCTCCGCGCCGACTTCATCCCTGAAGACCAAATCAAAGAATGGATTCAAACAGAGGAGTCATCCCGCAACCGTTCTGGCCCGCCTGTCCGCTGGGAAGTGCGCTATGAGTCCACGGAGGATGGTATGCGTGCCATCCTTGCAGAATCAGAGGGGGTGAATCCACGCGCAGCACCGCCGCGAACACGAGAAGCTGGGTTCAATAGGACTCCACCTCTTGGTCCGCGTGGCAGTGCTACGCAGGCGCAGGCGCAGGTGGATCGCCGGCAGTCAAATGCCCCACTTGCACCTCCGTCGCGGCCCGGACAAGGGTTTAAACCTCTGGATGAGATTTTCGAATCTACCACCACGAAACCCAAGCTTTATTATAAGCGTGTTGCTCGGAAGGTTGCTGACAAGCGTTTGGATCAGTTCGATGAATTGTTGACCAAGGGATCGTTCCCGCGTCGTGGGGGTGATGAGATGCGTCGCATTACTTTTGAGGATGACGATTATTTTGTGGATGTGGGACCGGAATATGGCCCTAGAGCTCTGCAGCGACGTCAAGGACGAGGAGGACGGCCTGGAGGTGGTGGTGGTGGACGCCGTCGCGATAACTAAGAACCAAAATGACCGAAAGCAGAAGATTCATCCATCTCTGTACCTGTATGATACCTTTATGCATTAGTGTATGATAAGTCCAAGTATTTTTATATTGATTTTTCAAGGTTCGAGTTTTCGAGGCTTGGAGTTCCTCACCCGCGGACGAAGTCAGGTACCGGGACTCTCAAGTATATATGGAGAAGCCAAGCCCCCGGAAGCCAAAAATAGCGATCAGGCTCATTCAATCCGATCGGCAAAATCTAGCACGTTTTATGTTTTGAGTCGTGGGGTTCAAGCCACATCTTTTTCAATCCTGCAATCTTATTCGAACTGTCCTTTCTCCTTTCCTCGTTATCGCATTGTTTCTCTGTTGATCTCCCACGGATCAAACGGGGCAAAAAAGTGTCCGTCCTCCGACTCTCCGACACATCCCCCTTTCAACATCTCGATACTGTCGCAACCGGCACACACCAGCCAGAATGGGCTGGACTGTGTGTAATGCTACGGAGGAGCATGAAAAAAGTATGATCCTACCTCTACTGCGAGAAAAGAACACCAGAACTGACACGACTCGCGAACAGTCTCCGAAACCGCCCTCTGGGATGGCGGCGTCACTTTTCACGACCTGAGCTTGATTGTGGGTGGTGTATGTGGTTTACTCGCCTGCATCATCTCCATCGCCCTTATCATGGCCCATGCCATGCACTACAGCAAACCTATCGAGCAGCGCCAGTAAGTTGTCACTTGGTGGAACGCAGCCAGGCCGCAGCGTCCGAGCGGGATTGTTGAATCTGGAATGCCACGAACCTGTACTGACCGTTGCTTTCTCTGTCCTATAGTATTATTCGAATCCTATGGATGGTTCCTATATATTCGATCGTCGCATGGCTCAGCATCATGTTCTATAACGATTCCGTCTACTTCGAGGTTATCGGTGACTGTTATGAAGCGTTCGCCATTGCCTCTTTCTTCTCCCTCATGTGCGCCTATATCGCGCCCGACTTGCATAGCCAGAAGGACTACTTTCGCGGTATTCAGCCCAAGCCATGGGTTTGGCCCTTGAACTGGTTTCAGAAGTGGGCATGGTGTGGAGCGAAGCGAGGGGCGTGGCGGAACCCGCGAAGCGGTTTGACGTGGTTCAATGTAAGCGGGGAATGCGACAGGTTGGAGATATGTGCTGGAAAACTGATACTAATCCATGTATTTGTTTCTAGGTGATTTGGGTCGGTGTCTTCCAATACTGCTTAATGCGCGTGTTGATGACCATTGTCGCGGTCGCCACTCAAGCTACCGGGAGGTATTGTGAAGAAACGCTCAGTCCTGCCTTTGCGTATATTTGGGTTGTCGTCATTGAATCCGTCAGCGTCAGTATTGCGATGTACTGCCTGATCCAGTTTTACATCCAGATTAAGGATGATATCAAGGAGCATAGCCCTTTCTTGAAAATCCTTGCGATCAAACTGGTTATCTTCCTTTCTTTCTGGCAATCGGTATGTGTATTGACCCTCTAAATTTCTGAAATATTTCTAATCATATTCATTTTACAGGAAGTCATTAGTCTGCTCATGTCTAGTGGCATTGTCAATGGTTCGAAGAAGGTTAACACTATCGATCTCAAGTACAGTCTACCAGAGCTCTTGATTAACATCGAAATGTTAATTTTCGCCATTTTGCACTGGTGGGCTTTCCCCAAGAAACCCTATATGATTCCCAGCCAATCCGCAGAGGTGACCGATTTCTACGGCGCTGGCAAGGGATCCTACGAAGGAGGAAGATGGGGTTTCAAGGCCCTAGCCGACGCAATGAACCCACTCGACCTATTAAAAGCCGTCGGGCGTAGTGCACGCTGGCTGGTCGTCGGCTTCAAAAAGCGCACCCTGGATCCCAGTTATCAACAGTCCTCGACCGACGCAATCGGCCTGCAACCCCCAGAATCCGGGGTCGTCCAGGGAACTGCCTATCAGGGCGCTACACCCGTGGCGGGTGGTCGGACAGACCGTTACGGTGCTTCACCTTCACCGGACGAGGAGGGTGCCGTTCTTCTCGCTAACGCCCAAGCAAACCCGGAGGTCGCTCCTTTGGGTACTTCGCCATACGCCTCTGATGCGGAGGAGTATCTCGCGGGACACTCAGGAAACCGTTACTACGGCCAAGAGAGCTCGCCTTCACCCTACTTCCCGCCTGAAATCCCCGACACTGCCTATCACAGCAACACTTATGACCCCCATTCTGCAGTCCCGAACCCCTATGCAGCCCCGAACCCCTATGCAGCCCCTAACCCTTACGCCGCCCCCCACCCTTATCCAGTCGATGGCCCGCTTCGTGAGCAGGTCCCTATGCCCATCCCAGATCCATATAGACCTCCACCACCATACCCGGAAAGTCATCATGAACGATAATCCATACTCGATTCATGATATCTCTATGTTATGTGTGATTCAATCTAGGTTTTGCACGACAATCGTGATTCTGGCAAAAAAGATTTCGGGCATATTCTCTATCCCTACGCTACCCATGAGCAGCTCTTGATTTCAGTTTGATGTTTCTCTTCGTTTTCATCTTGGTTTTTCTTTGGATATGAATACCCGCCACTTTTTCGTTGGCATGTCCTCTTTCCGCATATTTCTCTTCTTATGCAGTCATGCATGGTCATGGCTTGCATCCTATTCAATTTACATGGTGATACCGTCAACAATACTTGTACAATAAACCGATATGAATTAAGGAAATCTTATGTCTATTTTCGTCCTTCATCCTTGCATATCTCTGAAACTACAATGAAATGAAATATATAAATCACGTTAATTGTCATTATCTCGTCTAAAGGCCTCGTAGGATGAGAATGTGCTCAAACGCCATAAAAAGCAAAAAACACAAAGCAAAGGAGCGTGATAGCCCCATGATTTGACATATCTCAACTTGAATTGAAACTCATAAAGATCATTCAAGTTTTCATCAATGGCTTTTATAAGCTCGAATCTCGTTTATCAAGTGTAAAACCCAGCCATTTCATCCTCGGGATTGAACTTCCCCGCGTAAAGCTCTTCCTCGAAGCGCGCCGCCATAGGATTGGCACCTTTCCGCGCGTTATTCGTCTGTCGCCCTAATTGCACAATGGCAGATTTCCGGCCGAGCTCACGCATGCATTTGACCGTGTCACCTACTTGTCCAAGCAGGGAAGCGAGGAGGACGTCGTTCTTTTGGGAGACGACGTCTTTGGCAAAGGTGCTTTGGTCGGATGGGGAGAGGATAGCGAGGTGTGAGATAAGGGAGTTAACGTCCCGGAGAATGGGATGAGACCATGCTGTTGGTTGGGAAGAGTTTGCGGCACCTGTGTCTGTGGAAACGCTAGAGACGTAGGATTTTATTAAGCCAATTCGAGATTCTAGGATGCGGACTGCGTTGAGGCGGGTGTTGAGGCTTGCGATCACTGACAAGAGAAGAAATCGTTAGATTCATGTGTAAAGTGTATCAATGGATGAATCAGGAGGATGGGGGGATGGTGCCATGCAACACTTACTCTCTTCCTCTTCCTGGGTTAGCTTGGTTGCGACTGGCTCTTCCTCCTTGCTCTTCTCGGTACTAGATTTTGTAGATTGCAGTTTTGTGTCGTTTGCTGCTGACGCGGAATGCGCTTCTGCTGCTGCTGCTGTGCCGGAGCTTTGGACAATGGTATTGACACCAATCATCTCAGCTTCGCCAGTCTCAACGGAATACCGTAGTTCGCGGAACCTCAAGCTAACCGCTTCCTGGCCGTCGATCTCCATGTCCTTAGAAGCATCATTGGCACCTTCATCCTCAAGAACGCTTTCGTAGATCGTTAATGGCAGCTTCGAATTGTGTGCCTCGGATGCTTGGAGTTGTGAGGGGTGGAAAGCCAGGAAGACGGCGGATTCGTTGTATTTCTCTAAGAGTTGGCGGTGGAGAGGCAAGTGCGAGGCTTCGGGACCACTTGATGGAGTAGTGGACCACCATCCTACTAGTTCCAGAGGTGGGTCTTTGTGCACGTCCTTGACTGTTGACTTGGTAAGTGATATAGCTCAAGATGTAGCCTGGTGCGGGGAAGGTGTACTGACATTGCTGCAGTCGTTGCTCGAACCATGAATCAGGAAGTCGAATCTCGCCATCAGACCCGGTTGTGGTGAAACATTCGAAAGCATGTTCTAATGTGATCTCTTGTCCGTTCTGTTGGCCTAATAGAGCACCTAGAACTGGTCCTTTCTGCTGGCGTGCGGTATGGCGGGTAAGGTGGTCGGAGATAGTGAGAAGGACAAGCGGGTGAAGCTGAACGTAACGACCCGATTCGGACAGCTTTTGAGAAACAAGAGAATGGGTATCCATGCTTGCGGTCCCTATCAGGGTTGTGAAAGGTTGAAGGGTTGGAGTTGAAGTGATAGCTGTGATGCGGTCTGGTTGGCAGAATACATAACTTTGCCTGAGGCCACACAAAAACAGCTTTCCCCGCCAACTGATCTCATTTTCTAGATCTCTTTTGGATAACAGCCTCAAGCTTCCTTATCATGGCGATCCCATCTACCTTTGATGCCGTCAAGGCGCATCTTGCCGATATCCAGGCAGACCCATCTACGTCCATTGATATCTCCCTTATCGAGCGCCTTAAACTCCAGCTCGTTGCAAACACTGATCCAACTGTCCCCGCGACACTCTTATCGCAAATATCAGCTCTCTTGCCTATCCTTCAGGAAGATCCCACACCCCTCACAACTCTTGCAACTAAAGCGACCGACTATTTTAGCTTTACTGATCTTCGCTCTATCGAGCCTCCCATCGATCTCGTCGCTGGCTTTAAAGCCCCATCCCCACCCATCAACCTTCTTGCTCTCTCTTTGCTGGCCAAGGCAGGGCTTGCATCCGGTGATGCTGCCATAGTAGCAGGGGAACTGGGCTTGGTCGCATCGCTTGTGGAATTATGGCTGTCAACTTCGTCTACTGGAGTCGCACAGGCAGCTCTCGATACCTTGTGGGCCCTGTTGGAGGTCGACTTGGCCAACCACCTTGAGAATGGAGAACGTGAACTTGCCAATGAAGAAGGACATACAGGCCAGGGTCTCATGTGGAGAAGGGTTTTCACAGATAAAGATGTCTATGGGATTTTCTTTGGCCTGTGCAGTCTTCAGCCCGGTGCACCAGGAGAGCTGTCTAAACGCGAGCGCACTATAGCCCAGGGAAGATTGATGGGATTCCTGGTTAAGGCGGGCAGTCTTCGTTGGGACATTATCTCAAAATCCCAAGTTCCAGAGGTGGAGGCTCAGTATAAGAGCACCAGCCTCCTCCATTTCGCAGCTTGTCAAATGGTGGACGTGAGTGATGTCTTGATGCATATGACCCTTTTGAGCTTTTATCGGGAACTTCTGGAAATCGATGCTCCCGGTCTCGTCGCTCGGCGCTATGTGCAATCCGCATCGACTTTCTCGTCCCCGGCATTGGACTTCTTGGTCGCGGAAAAGCTCCACTCCAAGGTACTGGAATATTACTTGGACGATTCCAAGCTTGATCCTGTGGACCTTATTTATCTCCCGGGTCCTGTTATGGCGTATGTCACAAGATATGCCGAGTCCTATCCCAACCATCTTCTACAAAACCCCCCGACTCTCCTGGATGGCATAATTGCGCGCATCAGCCGGGCACTTGCTATTCCTTCCGTTCAATGGGCACACGGTGAAGTTCCCACAGGACATCTCGCCATTCTTGCTTCCCTTCCTCGAGTACTGCTCATTGAAGCTGGCAAGCACGGTGTCAATCCTATGTTAGCTATACCTACCAGCCCGACCAATGGAGAGGCTCTTGATGTCCTGGGCAAGATATTCCGCGGGCCCGTACACACCGCAGTCTCTGATTCTATGGATTTGAATACCTCAGGCCAGACAGCCACGGATTGGCACCACGAAGCTGCAGCAGCACGCATGCTGTACTTCCTTTATCTAAACGAGCATCCCAACTTTTGGAATGATATTGTTGCCGCCGCCGATATTCTTGTGATGAAGGATGTTGCGTTGTCTGCCATCTCCTTAATGAGAGCTATCGTCTCCGCTAATTGGCAGCCATTGCCCCCGGCCTCTCATGTTTCCGGGGCCTCGTCTCGGTTCCAACTGCCATCTGAAGAAGGCCTGGGGCAATTGTCTCCAGCTTCTAGTGGGCTGCTTCCTCTCTCTGGGCCATGGGCCATTCTTACTCCGCCTGCCCTGACAACCCTCCTTCCATATCTCTTCAAGCCACCGCGATCATACGGTGAATTCGTGGGTGGCGGTGCTGGTGATTCTCAAAATGCTGTCTGGAAGGTGGCAACTGCTAAGCATGATGTCTTGGTGGCACTCTACCGCGCGCTTCAGGAAACCGGTGGACAAATGGAAGGATTTGAAGATATTCTGCGAACACTGCGACAACGAGTGAACGAGGGTCCCTCGGGCCCAGTGCAGCAGACTTCTGCCCAGGTGGAGACAGTCAACCTATGATGAGTATGAGAAATAATTACGAAGTGAATTAGAGATAGTAATCGTGTACTACCCCACTTGTATCAGAGCAAATCTTTGAAGTATCGAATTGATCGACAGCTGTTATCTTAGCGCGGGGAACTTGAGCTAGTGAAGCCCTAATTCCAGTTCGGGCCATGTCACGTTCCGGAGATGGCGGGCGGTGAAGGCCTTGAACGCTATTTTCCTTGGAGTCGCAACTTTCTCCAACACACCTTTTATGGCGCCGTGAGTGAGACTTGGGATTCTCACTACGATCCAGTAATTATAATAGCGGTGCCGGGTGATCATGTCACGTTTTAGTAAGGGCAAGCGCCTTCCTGGCGCCGAATTCACTTGGGATGCAGACCCTGGTGGTGTACCAGACACAGCTCCGACTCCCCTCTACCCAGTATGGATTCCCCAGTCACAGCAATCTTGAGCTTCTTTTCTGCTATTTTCTTCTTCATTGTCACTTTAATTATGCAGCAAAATCTTACACACTACTCTGAGCAGGCATATACCGTCCCGTGGACCCGAAAATTGTCATCTAAAGAACAAAAAGAGGTCGATCACTACCGACACCACCGCGAACGCGATCAAGAAGGCCCGCACTACTCGGTCCTAGATTCCTCCTCTTCATCGGCCAAGAAGGGTACTGCTGCGCGCGTCAATTTTGATCCATTCACGGGCATGCCGTCTTATGCCGGACGATACCAGAAGAAGCGGCGGACGCTCCCACACATTGATCCCACTGGAGGGCCTTACGAATTCAGTAGGTTGCAAACTCCGCTCGATCTTTGCGAATATACCGTGGACTACAGTTTCTAACGAACTTTTGCTACAGTTATGAAATATTTCCCTCGCGAACTTTGGCAAACTATTCAACCAAGCTTCCGACCAGACGTCGACATGGATGGGTATAAACCCATGGCGGGCAGTGCCGGTATGAAGCGTGGATTCGAGGACGACGAAGATGACGGTGATGACGAGACTAAAAAGAAACGTGCGAATGGCGAGGGCGATGAGGAGGGAGACGGTGACGAGGAGGGTGATCTTCTTGATGAGGAGGAAGGACAGGAAGAATGGGAAGAGGAGAACGACTTTGAGGATGACGAGGATGAGATGGGCGGTGATTACAATGCGGAGCAGTACTTCGATGGTGGTGATGATGACTATGGAGACGACGACGGCGGTGACGGTGGTGGTGAGGATGTGCTCTGAGCGGTTGATCTGAGATACCCTTTGCTTGCTTTTTTAATTGGGCTTATTGCATTTGAGCGTCGGTGCAGTGGATATCTAGTCCATCCATTTTGTACTTTGGTGAATAAAAAGGACTGGAACTGTTTTATTTTCAAGAGATGCTCGACGAAAGCTTCATCTTCGTATGACTCGACTGGTATAGACTGCTATGTACTTTGGTGGTTATTATTTGGTGTAACACTTACTACACTGTGCATAATAGCCCGGCTAATGCAAAATTCATGGGTTGGCCGAATGGTAATTGCCCCTGGCAAGTGTAACGAGGTATGTTGATATTGAGTTTCAATTAACTCTACACAGGTATGGAGTGCTCAGGTGTTTGAATGCATGCATTTGATAGGCCCCCTTGCGCATTCTTCTACCTTTCAAAGTTTTATCCAGTTATGCTAACTTTTCTTCTATAGATAGCATCTCAATATGCAATCTCAATATGCGATTTCAATCCAATGAACCTTCATATGTAAGATCTAATATGTAGACAAAGGCATCATCAAATAAGAAAATGCAATCTTTTACGTCCTGGTGCTAGGTATCCATTCCATAAACAGAACGTGCTTTTATAGATCGAGGCTACAAAACCGTTGCGATTTCGGCCTGGATGACGTCAGCCGTATCGGCCCCGCGCCGAGGGAAATTTGGAGCTGGAGGGGCAGAGGACTACAAACACCCCAGGAACAATATGGAGGACTCCCAGAGACCCGGCCACACAAGGTCGGTGCTAATTCTCTACGGCTCCGAGACTGGCAATGCGCAAGAAGTAGCCGAGGAATTGGGTACAGTGACCGAGCGACTGCGTTTCGTGACGCATGTTTCCGAATTGAATCAGGTGAAGCCGGTGAGTACAATTGGACGTATTTATCGAATTTTACGATGGACAGACTGCTAATATAGTGCTGTGGTTAGGAAACACTATCTTCCTATACCATTACTATCTTTGTCGTGTCGACTACCGGTCAAGGCGATCTGCCGGCGAATGCGAGGACGTTTTGGAAATCGTTGCTGCTTAAGAAGCTCCCGCCGACATATCTGAATGGTGTGAATTTTGCGTCGTTTGGATTGGGTGATAGCTCTTATCCCAAGTATGTTTCGAGTGATATCAAATACCCCACCGGGTGCGCAAATGCTTACGTCTTCAGGTTCAACTGGGCTGTACGAAAGCTCTATAAACGGCTGTTGCAGTTGGGTGCAAATGATATCTATCCTACGGGCGAGGCAGATCAGCAACATCCTGAAGGGTGAGCCAATTCTTTCCTATGTGGTAGCAACCGGAACTAAGACCTCGGCAGGCTTGAAGGTACATTTCTCCCGTGGATAGCCGATTTCCGCAAGAATTTACTGGATCGACACCCTCTACCTCCTGGACAGCATCCCATACCAGATGACGAACAACTACCGCCGAAGTGGATCCTGCAACTGAAAGAAGAAGACACTTCCGCCCCAGTTTCGCAACCTACGCCCACCCATCAAATTGTTCAAATAGATGAATATCCCGGTTTGACGAATCTGGACCATGATATTCGACCACTCCCAGATACCCTCACCGCAAATCTGGACGACAATCGACGTGTTACCCCACAAAATCATTGGCAGGATGTCCGTCGCATTTCGCTTACGGTTCCCGAATTCGTCTCATACGCCCCGGGTGATATGATCGCCATCACACCCAAAACCTCACCCACCGACGTACAAAACCTCCTCGATATCACGGGCTGGAGCGATGTTGCAGATAGACCAATTGCTCTTGTTCCTACACAGAGTACACCGTCACCATCACCGATACCCGGCCTCGACTCATACCCTAATCTGACCCTTCGCACGCTTCTGACAGACTATCTGGATCTCAAAGCCATACCCCGCAGGTCCTTCTTTTCCACTATTGCCCATTATACAAATGATGAAATGCAAAAGGAGCGCCTTTTAGAATTTACAAATCCAGAATATCTTGATGAACTCTGGGATTACACCTCCCGGCCACGACGGAGTATTCTCGAAGTATTGCACGAATTCGACACAGTGAAAATTCCCTGGCAGCATGCAGTATCCGTACTCCCGGTTATGCGGGCACGTCAATTCAGCATTGCCAGTGGTGGCGCACGGAAGCGAACCGCAGATGGAAAGACACAGTTTGAGCTCCTCATCGCTATCGTCAAGTATCAGACCGTGATCAAGAGGATCCGGGAAGGTGTCTGCACCAGATATCTCTCCACACTCCGACCAGGTAGCACCCTCAAAATCCAGCTCCAGCCCGGTGGACTCAAATCCTCTATCCAACAGTTGACTGGGGCCACTATTCTTATTGGACCGGGTACAGGCATTGCACCTCTTCGATCTATGTTGTGGGAGAAGGCGGCGCTGGTCCAAGCTTACCGCGAACAAAACCCCGGGGTAGAGCCTCCCATTGGTCCCACAGTTCTACTTTACGGTGGACGAAACCGTAATTCAGATTTCTTCTTCTCGGAAGAATGGGACCAACTCAACCAACTCATTCCCCTGCAGGTTCTCACTGCCTTCTCGCGTGATCAGCAGCAGAAGATCTACGTGCAGGATACAATTCGTCAAAATTTCGCACTCTTCTTCCGACTTTTGCATGAACTGCAGGGATCTGTTTATATCTGTGGTTCGTCAGGACGTATGCCTCAAGCGGTGCGGGAGGCATTAATCGAGGCCTTCCAGAATGGAGGTGCGCCTGTACCCGGGCGACCTTACACTCGGTCGCAAGCGGAGGAATACTTGATTTCTATGGAGAAGAGTGGACGCTACAAGCAGGAGACGTGGTGATTTAAATAGAATATACAATGAAAATATTTGAATTTATGCTGACTGGTGTTGCATATGGGATTTGCATGTGCTCGGAGATTTAGATATGTAAGTCGGCGAAACGACTTGGTGCAGCATGATTGTAAGAAAGAAAGGCTCAGTCACGAAATGAAAAAGCTATCCAATTGGATTGGCATATCCGAGGATATAATTACGCATTTCTGAGGGAAATAGTCCCTCTCCAATACGTAGGCTGTATACATAACCTCGGCTTACAAGGATGAGCACATCAGTCGATCAGGGCTATACTCGGGCCGCGTCGGCGTTTTCAAGGTCTTGGCACTCCGTCACCGCAGTCCTTTCTCCATCTCACACCTTTCCCCTCAACTTCTCCCAGTGATCCCTTCCAAATTGCTCAACACAGCAATTTAATTTCACCATGTCGACCGGTCTGCGGATATTAGTGCCCATCAAGCGGGTGATCGACTACGCGGTAAAGCTCCCCAGCAAAACCAGGCTCTCGAACCACAGCTCGAATTTCACGAATACCTGCACCTGACCTCGTGCACCTTCAATGGTGTAAAATCAACGAGGAAAAATAAATAAAAAACATTCACTGACGTACGCATATTCGAAATCTACCAGATCAAACCCCGCATCAACAAAACCCAAACTGGCGTCGAAACCAACGTCAAGCACTCCCTGAACCCATTCGATGAGCTCTCCGTCGAAGAGGCTGTCCGCCTCCGCGAGCGCAAGGACTCCCCAATGAAAGTCGAGAACATCCTCGCCCTCTCAGCTGGCGGCCCCAAAACCCCCGACGTCCTCCGCACAGCAATGGCCATGGGCGCCGACCGCGCATTCCACATCGACGTTCCCGAGTCCAGCGACGGCGGACCCGAGCCTTTGACAATCGCCAAGCTACTCCGCTCCGTCGTCGAGAAGGAGAACATCAACCTCGTGTTGCTTGGTAAGCAGGCGATTGATGGCGACCAGGGCCAGACAGGACAGATGCTTGCTGGATTACTGGGTTGGCCACAGGCCAACCAGGCCAGTAAGGTTGAGATTAAGGATGCGAACGGCACTGTTGAGGTTACGCACGAGGTTGATGGTGGTGTTGAGACTTTGCGCGCTAAATTGCCTATGGTCATTACTACTGATTTGCGGTTGAACGAGCCTCGGTACGCTTCTTTGCCCAACATTATGAAGGCGAAGAAGAAGCCTTTGGAGAAGAAGACGCTGGCCGACTTTGGAGTTGAGGATTCGAGGCGGTTGAAGACGATTTCTGTTACTGGTATGTTTTATTCCACAGTTTGGGTTATTTGTTCGGTTGCTGATCTCATTTTCTCTTTGCAGAGCCCCCACCACGCAAGGGTGGTGGCAAGGTTGAGGACGTCGATGGTCTTGTTTCCAAGCTTAAGGAGATGGGTGCGCTCTAAGCGTCATGCCTAAGAAATTCCTGGGGTTTCCTGGGTGGTTTCTATGATTTTGTACTGTTATACCATCTGTCATCCTCTAGACTTGTTTTGAACCCAGTTATTTTCATGGGCTGTCTAGAATTGGATTTATTGTTGAATGAAAATAGTGCTTTTAGTAATTCAAACCTTCAGTAGCGCAATAGCATAGTGTCATGGAACTCGGAGGTTGAGTGAAGACTAGCAATAAAGGTTGTTTGCTTGATTTGACTAAATTGCCGATCACTAACAGCAGAACCCCACTTCATGCAATATATGCAGGTAGATTTGTAAGGCAATTTGGCGTCATAAGCCATGGCAAAAACAATAAGGACAAAACTAGCGATTTCGGGAATTATGTCTCGAAAATTTCAGCCTGATGAAGCGTACCTGGGCGTACCTAGGTTCTCGACTGGTCTCGATTCCTTGGATCTATGGAAAGCTTTGATTGCCGAAGGGTTCGAAGTGGGGCTTGTGATCTATCGCAGACAATATACCCGGGTTCAGCTGGGATTGACATTCATGAGTTGATCTATTGATTGCGAGAAGAGATGTATGTTCCGTTCAACATTGTAGCGATCCGAAATCATACATCATATGGCGTGAAGAAAGCATGCAGGAACTAGTAGGGAGTATATACAGATCTAGAAGTCGATGACGTCTCTCCGCGCGTTCCCACTCATTTTGACTCGTGATTCCAGCTTTTTGGCCACGGGCGCCACACTCGCCCTACGATGGGCTTCCGTCTGACCCGATGCTCGGATTTAAATTAAATATGCTTGGTGCCTGCGCCCCCGCTATTTGATCATTGTTCTTTTCAAGGTTTCTCTTTTTATCTTTTTACAACCATATAGATATCTCCGGATCCGTGTTCTTCCTGTAAGTGTCGGCTCTAGTTCCTGTGTACTGTGATACACATTCCAGACGTGTCGCAAAACCACCAGGGTCATCCCAACTTTTGAGCGACATAAGCTATCTGTGGAACCATTTTACCCTTTTTTGCAACTATACTCGCACATTGAATCTATATTAACGATATCAAAACTTCCAGATTCATCGTTGGACAGATCCTGTTAGGATCCGAACATTCCTCCCCGCATTCTCCAGTGGCACAGATCTGTCCGGATTCCTTCTTAATCGTGCATTCCGGATCAATCTAAGAAGCATTCCATGCTGTTTGCAGCGCAACTGCCGCGTTTCAGATAGTCATAGATTTGGCTTTCCCGTGGTCAATTTTCAGTTTTTATTCTTCCACATACTCTATCGCCCACCATGGCCGAATCGACGTGGCAAAAAACAAAACGATTCTCCAAAAAAGGCTTCGACAAAACATGGGCGACCGTCGACAAACTTGGCGCCCCGGTGAATCGCCTTTCGAATAAGCTTGGCGCCGAAGCTTTTTGGCCCATGGCCATTGATAAAGAAAGCGATAAGGCTGCGCGCATTTTGCGCAGTTTTTGCAAGGATGGATTTTATGCGGCCGAGACTGATGAGGGCGTCGATGAGAATGGAAAGATCAATCGCCCCAAGGGCAAGCAGACGGTTATCAAGAAGATTCCCACGCAAGTTATCAAGCAAGCCAAGGGTATTGCGATCTTCACCACTATGCGAACTGGTCTCTGGGTGAGTGGTTCCGGTGGCAGTGGTGTTTTGCTCGCTCGGATCCCCGAGACTGGTGAATGGAGTCCACCATCTGGTATCATGCTTCACACTGCTGGAATCGGATTCCTTGCTGGTGTCGACATCTACGATTGTGTGGTCATTATCAACACACACGAAGCGCTGGAAGCGTTCAAGAAGCTGCGCTGCACACTTGGTGGCGAAGTCAGTGTTGCGGCTGGTCCCGTTGGAATGGGTGGCGTGCTCGATTCCGAGGTACACAAGCGTCAGGCCCCGATCTGGACCTACATGAAGAGCAAGGGTCTGTACGCGGGTGTAGCCGTCGACGGCACAATCATCATCGAGCGAAGCGACGAGAACGAACGGTTCTACGGCGAGCGTATCTCCGTCACTGATATCCTCGCTGGTAAGGTTCGCCACCCACCCGAGTCGATCAATACCCTTCTACAAACCCTTAAGGCCGCCCAGGGCGACCGCGATATAGATCAGGTTCTGCCTCCTGGTGAAACACCCGGTGATATCGACTTGAACGACGGCCACGCCTTCGGTGTTCCATCGGCCGAGGATCCCGATCCCTACGGTGTGAAAGCGTTGGAGGCTGAGGGCTTGTTCATTCGGGAGGCTAGCACCAAGGTGAGGCCAAACCCTGAAACATTCGAGTTCCGGCCCAATCCAAGCAGCCCGGTTTATGCTACTTTCTCGAGGCGCAGTCTTGATAGCTCGCCAAGAAATAGTTGGCGCACCAGTATGCAAAGCTATACTAGCGTAAACCGCGGGACTCAAACGGACAGCGGCACTCAAACGGACCTCCCGCTAACCTCACCACCATCAGTAAGCCGAGCGTCGTCGCGGAGTGCAAAGGAATCGACGAATGAACCTACCTCTAGCCCGTGGGACGAACCTAAATGGGACTCGGTGCCGATCGGTGGTGAGGAGAAGGAGCAGGATAAGGATTTGGAGGATGCGAAGAGACTTATTGCACAAGCTGAGATGAAAAATGAGAATTGGGATGAGCATGAAGAAGAAGATCAGCCAATTGATTATGATGAGGACTTTGAGGTTCATGAGGTTAGCAGCGCGACTATGACCAAGCAGGAGTCGCCTATTGAGGAGCGCCCGGCTACTGCGGACTCTTCCTCGCGCAGCTCGCCCAACTTCACTCGGGCTCGTCTCGTCACCATCCCTAAGCGACCTACCCCGCCTGCCCTTCCTCCCCGTCACCCCCGTCACACCTGGGGCTCCGGCTCCAGCCGCGAATCTACCTCTCCCACTGCCCTGTCGCACTCCAGTCGCAGCACTGAGCGCACCGAGGCTGCTGGCGATTTTGGTGACTTGACCGAGCCGGTCAGCAGACCTACTTCCCTGCCTTTGAACGTGACCAAACTTCAGACGAACACCGTTCTGCCCGCCGTGGTTGACGAGGATGATTTCGACGAGGAGGATTTTGCCTCGGACACTGAGTTGCCTGTTGAAAAAGACGAGTTCCACTCTGTCAACGGCGACGAGGAATCCGAACCCAAGGGTGAGGTTCAGACTTTGACTGGTGATGTTTCCAATATGGAGATCAATACGGTTGAGAAGAACGAGTTGGAGGCTTCCTCTCCGAAGTCGGACATCTCTCCACAGTCTGATGCCAATGCAACTGAGACCAATGCCTCCAGTGAGGACCTTCAGCTTGACACTGTGGAAGTTGCTGCTGAGAAGTTCCATGAACCCAAGTCTGAAGAGGTGAATGACAAAGTCAACTCTGAAGACCAGACCCATGACCTTGTCAACATCCACGCTTTGAATGCCCAGGCTGCCTAAGTTCGCAGTCCGGCATAGGACATGTCTTTGGCATAATTGACTACGATTTTCTTCTGTACACATCACGATACGGCTGGCTGGTTGGAGTTGGCTTGGATACGATACCCTTTTTCATTTTCATTTCATGCTTGTGCTTGGTGGTTTCTTGTTTTCTTCCTCATCACATTGTTATAGGTACTATTTCCCAAAATAGGCTCGTTGGTTAGGTTCATCTGTTGCATTTCAGCGTGTTCTGCATTTCAGCTGACAGTTTGGTGTCATGTTTTTGATTTGATTTTGTTTTGAGACTTCATTCTGATGTTCATTCCTTCATTTGTCTATAGATCACTTCCGCATGAGCTTCGTTGAACAAATTCACTCTTTTATAATATTGATACTGCATTGCCCGTTACTCTCCAGAACTTAGACAAATTGATAGTCAATATGCATAAAACTAGCGACTCATTTTCCAGGATCAAGTCTTAAGTTGCAAATGGACTTGGCGATGTTCACATGCCATAATAGGAACGCTAATCAAAAAGAAAGACTACCTTCCTAACCTCCTCGCCATAAATGCCAACTCCTCTAAAATCAGATATCTACCCTGACAGAAGTCTCTAACCTGCCAAAGCCCCCTAATGTATCGATGCACCAGGCTCATTAGACTGCACATCAACAGGGCCCCTCTCAAAAGCAGGTAAATCACCCGCTACAGCCGCGTTACTGGGTGTTTTATCTTCAAATAGCTTTAGTGGGGCAAAGCGATTATCCTTACCCCATGTGCAGGGTTAAAGGCTTACAGCCCCACAGCTTTCAGGGCAGCGGTGCTCTCGCCGAAATCTGAAAATGGGATATTTAGGAGTAGAATCTGGGAAAATAAAGAAAATTAACTTCCCACGGATCCTTGATTAAGCGCTAGTTGCCCAGAGCCTGGACACCCCGTTCCCTCCGATTTTGGTCTAAGCCAATCCGCAGTTCATCCATGATCGCAAATTTACTGACTGTAGCTCTAGTAGAGCCACTTGGAATTTGATTTTTACTATCTGGAGGTTGTACTGCAGCACGCGGGATGTGGCATAGATGTAGCACAAGCAGAGTGCGTCGGGGCCTGATGGGAGGGGAAAGGGCCCCTCTGTTAAGATAACAAATATGAACAGTGGGAAATTTACTCACTTTCAATAATTTTAAAACATGTTTGAGTGTCTTGAGGGGCAGGTCGCTATGCTATATTAGGTAAAAGGCCCTGGTTTGCAGATAAGTTACTGTTGGAGCATTGTAATTGAACACCACATAATTAAGTGAACACCCTTACTAGCCGTATTTAGTAGCGCAGTATTCAAGATTCAGAGAGTAATAATACTGAGTACATACTCAGGTATCTACTTTCTCACGTTACTCCGAGACTACGCTGGAATTTGAAGGGGATTAAATACTGATATGATACCCACTGAGCTACCTTTTCTTACTTACATCATGGCTCTAATAAAGCGTTAATTCATATACTGAATCCGATCAAGCGAGGTGCTGCGATGTCCTCAAATATTGAGATGGCTTTTCTTTTGTTGAAATAAAATTTACTGCGCGCCTTCAAATATGGTTAGTGAGGGTGTTCAACTATTTTTGTGGTGTTAAATTATCGTGCTCTTATTTAGCCAATATTCCTTTTTCTCATATGCAGGTTTCCCCCTCTTTCCATCACTACCTTAGATAAATGTCAAAATGATGGTGGTCGAAGGACCAATGTCCTTTCATCTAAGGTAAGCACATTCTGCCGAGGCCGCGGAAAAAAGAGGAATTTCTGTCAAATGAAACATGCTAGGCTACATTTAGCTCGGCTACAGATTCCAGGCCAATGATGCCAATTCTTACCCGACCTTAGCTCCCACACTAAATTCATATTGATCACAGCAAATGATCTCACTAATCTGGGAGTATCATAGCGAGCCAGTAACCAGTGGTACTGCTGGAAAGAATTCTTGGCGGCCCGTTTTGCTTCGGCGACTAGACCCCTAGACAGTACTTGATCACCATCTCACGCATTAGTGTATTCCACGATAGTCTGCATCGTCCTTTTTTTCCCCCTCTTTATTTCTCTATCTCTGCGACGTTGATTTTCGATATTAGTCTCCTCCCAGATACTCTAAAAAGGACGTCACAATGGCTAATTTGGTGACGGTGGGGGCGGGTGGTATTCTGATCTCCTTGGTCATCAGACTTATCTATAGAGTCTACTTCCATCCTCTCAGTAAAATCCCCGGACCCAAGCTCGCAGCTGCCACCAGTGCATACATCTTCTACTTCAACGTCATTCAACAGGGAACCTTTATTTGGCAGCTTGAACGACTACATGAAGTCTATGGTTAGTACTATCCGTGGTCGGCTGTCCCCGAACCTTAACTTAATCCGACCTAGGACCCATTGTGCGGGTCTCCCCGAGAGAAGTCCACATCAAAGATTCAAACTACTACGATGACATATATGCTTCCAGCTTAAGAAGGCGAGAGAAGGACTTGATCACTGTACGCCAATTTGATATCGAGGGATCCGCGTTCTCTAGTGTCTCCCCCGAGGACCATCGTGAACGTCGTGCACCCTTCGAGAAATTCTTCTCCAGATCAGCTATCGCAAAAATGGAGGAGACAATCCAAAGCAGCCTGGATCAATTGTGTGAGCATCTCGCCAGCGCCTGTGAGTCTTACAAAGTTGTCAACTTGGACGCAGGGTTTGCGGGTATGACCGCAGATATCATCCATAAGTATACCCTTGGATACAACAGCGGGAACCTTGACAACGAAGATTTCAATGAAAATGTCAGAGATGGAGTCAATGCGCTATTCAGAGGCGCTCACCTCCTATTCTTTTTACCTTTCTTGCAGACTTTCTTCGGCTCTCTTCCGCTATCAGTGCTGAGATGGGTAAACCCCAGCGCCTACGTCCTTGCAAATCAAAAGATGGGTGTCCACAACTATGTGGTGGATGCCCTTGCTGGCAAACGCACAGAGAATGGATCGATTATGGAGTCTCTAGCCAGTCATGGCCTAGCCCAGCATTTGCGAGGCGCTACTAGACTCACGAATGAAGCCTTCTCTATTCTGATCGGAGGCACAGAGACAACCGGTAGATCCCTCTCGCTTGGCTTTTTCAATATTCTCAGTGATAGCACTGTGAGAGCCAGAATGAGAGAGGAACTGCAATCTGTTATGCCAACGCCCCAGGCCCGCCCAACATGGAACCAACTGGAACAGCTTCCTTACTTGGTTTGTCTTCACTTGGTTGATCTACAGTTTGTACCCAATCTCAGCTAACATCAAAGTAGTCTGGCGTTATACTAGAGACCCTACGCCTCTCAACGGGAATTGCCAATCGATCACCTCGAGTTGCACCCACGGAGACACTAATCTACAAGGATCATACTATTCCGCCAGGAGTCAGTAATCATGTCTCCAATCTCAATATGATTCCAGGCTAACCTTAGATCTATCAGACCCTTATTAGCCAAACAAACTATTTTGTCCTCATGGACCCTGAAATCTTCCCTGACCCTCACACCTTCGACCCAGACAGATGGGCACGCGCCGCTGCCCAGGGCGAGCCACTGCAACGTTATTTGGTCAACTTTTCAAAGGGAAGCCGGATCTGTCTCGGAATGCAGTATGTTTCATGATACTATCAAGTCTTCTGACTGTTGCTAACTATTTCCCGCAGCTTGGCATATGCTGAGATATATCTAGCGTTTGCAACGCTTGTTCGTCAATTTGAGTTTGAGTTATATGATACAACCGAGAAGAATATCACTTTTGCCCGTGATTTTGGCACACCCTATCCCGATGAGGGAAACTTCAGCCTCAAGGTCCTGGTGAAAGCCCTGGTTCAAGAATGAGTCCTGGGTAGTACCGAAAGAGCAGTTTCACAATGCTTTCATATGCAAGTATACTTCATCTAGAACATATATATATCACATTCAATAGCATTTTTTATCTTTCCTATGATTGGTGCCTGTTAACTCTGGAGGCGTTCTTTCCGCCCCACTCATCTCGCGCTAGACTGAATCAAGAAGCAGTTCCCACCAGGAAATTCATTTCCGGGGCCATTCGCTGTCAATTCATAACAACTCCCCACCACAGCCTGGACGCTTAGACCAATGCTACCTAGATGGCTCCTCCGAAACTCCTCGCCCCGACACCGGGCCGCCCTCATAAGACCAAAGATCATATAATAACCGCTTCTACCAAGGCAACAACCGCCTGTTCATCCTGTCAAAAACGCAAAATAAGAGTAACTCATTTATCAGCTCTGCTGACAAACCGTGCTGAGTAATCATTTTGTTAACCTCTACAGTGTATTGGAGGTATACCATGCTTGCCCTGCCAGAATGCCAAAATTGACTGTGTGAGCAACTTGGAAAACGATGGCCGCCGGAAGATTACTCTCAAACGCAAAATCGAAGCCTTGGAGCAGGACCGCAACTTATTGATGCAACTCATGGATACGATCCGCGAAGATAACAAAGAAAAATGCCCTAGCGTCCTAGACTTGATCCGGAGTAATGCGCCTTTAGAGGAGATTAAGTTATATTTTGCGGAAAGTCTAGACCAAAGCAATGACGGCAATACTCCCCCAAAGCGCCAAGAATCCGTTGGCAGCTCTGCCAGTACCCCTCGCAACGTGATGGATGTCAAGCGGATATGCGATACTCCTATATACCCGGTTCCTGCGCAGCCATGGACATCTGTGTCGAATGACGATGCCCTTGTGTCACACCTGATATCACTTCATTTTACCTGGAATGGAATCACATCAAATTGGATTGACCGCGATCTGTTTTTGAGAGATATGAGATCTGGAAACCTAGATGCCAACTTCTGTTCACCTTTGCTTGTTAATAGTATCCTGGCCATGGCATGTGTAAGTAATTCTGCGTCATTAATCCATAGTCTTGTATTAATTGGTGGAACGTCATCAGTTAACATTTTTACGATCAAGCTCTACTCAGATTGGCCCGAAGCCTTGGCCGTACCAGGAGACCCCAGCACGCGAGGGGCACATTTTTTAAAAGAGACAATGCGGTTAATGAAGGAGGAAGAAGGCCGACTGACAATTGAAAATCTTCAAGCACGGGGTAACATCTTTATTTGGTAACCTCTCCTTTATCCTCTTACTCAGTTGATGCTGACTGAAGAACAGTCTCACTGGTATGGGAAAGGACAGACTTGGTTGGTTTCAGCTCGTGGAGATAGTTGATTGCCTTCGTGAGACGGAGAACAAAAGACAAAACATGATAACAAAGGCCGGTGAAGAGGCTCCGGAGATGACTCGAGTCATTTCTACTGCGATCTTTGGATTATTCAATATGTGCACGTGAGTTATCGAGTTCGCATTGAGCCTTGGGAGCTTTCTGACATCTCTAAAGAAACAGCATCATGAGCCTGCAGAAGCATCCCATTATCAAAAGACCTATACTACTTGAGCGGCTCCCTAGGGACCATGACCCTAACGACATTTGGAGTCCTTATCCCCGCCAGGCCGCGCCCCAACCAGCTCATACCAATTGTGTGATCAATGGCGTCTTCGATCTGATGCTTATCGTGTGGGAAATATGCGACTACTTCTTCGGAGATAACAAGCCGGAGATCTTGGAACTTGAGAAGGTCAATGCCTTCCATTATAGGCTACAGAATTGGGCCGACAGTCTTCCCGAATGCATCATCCTAGGATGCAATGCATTACCCGGAGTTATGGACATGCAGTAAGTCACCCAACACATATCAGTTATCTTTCCAACATTTGCTAACGAACTCGTAATAAAGCATGCGTTATTATACAGTTATATTAGTTATGTTCGGATTTGTTGAAGCTAATGTGATAAAGGGCGATCTAGAAAGCAAACGCCGTATCAAAACCCTGAAGTTAGATGCAGCGTATAACATCGGCACATTGATCAATTTATTCCGGCTAGAGTGGCCTGCGGAGTGTGTTCCAGGGACCGCAATGCAGTATTGCTCCGTTGCGATGTTTACACTTCTTGAAAACCTAGACGATGCTCAAAACAAGCAGGTGTTTGTCGAATGTTTCATCGTTCTTCGGGCCCTCGCACGCCGTTGGCAATTGGCGAAGGGAATCCTGCGGCTTATCCAGCTGACAGCGATGAAAATGGAAGCTGCGCTTCCCACTGAAATGGAGAACCTCTTTAAGGATTTTGAGGCCGATCTCTGGAAAGTAGAAGATTCTAGGAAGTTTAGCAGCCTTTATCCGAACTTTTCGGTCGCTGTCAACCAACAAAAGGGATCAGAATATCACCAAGAGGAGGCTGAGTTGGATCGATTCCTTGCATCATGGGATAATATTGACTTGGCTGAGACTGTTATGGGACAGGCGACAGAGGCAAGAGACGCGAGTAATGACAGTAGCGGAAATAGTAGGAAGTAGAGCCTTGTTTTGCTGTAAGCAAGACTTGTTCTTAGCTGGATTTGTTTATGTTTTGCTTTCCAGGAGAATCAGCCTATCTGTTTTATATACTGTGATAGATAAACGAAATCTCAGTCTTGAATTAATATTATGGTTCATATATCAATTCTTGCAGTATTATCAAGTTCTACTATCTATGCGGGCTACATTGACGTGGAGATATGGAGCTAAAGACCGGTTATCTCCGACTATATTGGGGCGCCTAACGGCACACCCAAAGCTTAAGTGACATTCACAACTTCCTTGATTCATAATCTCCCACCTAAGAACCACCTCAAAGCAAACTTCAAAATCAAAATGCCCTCGGAAAAAAGTATTCAGGCAGGTCTATCGCTCATCGAAAGCGACAAGTCCAAGGTCCTCAACTTGACCATCGGAAGCCATGAAAACATCGAGCCCGGAGTGTACATTCCCCGCGCAGGTCAGATCCCTTGAACCCACACCAACACCGCAACATCAACTAAACAAGTCAAAGATGCTCAATCACCCCCAAAGCTCTCCTTCCCTGGCCTATCAACCGACAAGACTTACTTTGTCGTATGTCTGGACATTGACGCTCCTTTCCTGTCTTTCAAAGTCCTTGGACCCATCCTTCACTGGATCCAACCTGGAGTCAAGGCTTCTGAGTCGGGACAGCTAGATCTTAGTGCGCCCTTCGTTTGCAACTATATTGGTCCTGCACCCCCACCAGGTAGCGGTCCTCATCGCTATACGTTTTACCTGTATGAGCAGCCTGCTGGATTCGAAACTGCAAAGTATGCTCCGGCCGATGGTCAGAAAATGGGAAATTGGTCGCGGATCCGATATGATCTTGATTCTTGGGCAAAGGAGATCAAACTGGGCCCAGTCTTGGCTTTCAATTACTTTACCAGCAACTAGATCTGATTGGTTGCTCATGGCTTGTTCGAATACCCTTGTGTTGCCTGTCGTTATCTTTCAAATGTTAAATCTTTGTTGAGATGAGATACGTATGTTGGATTGAGTACACAGTATTAAGTATTTGGAGTAGTGATAATATCGAGTACATACCCAGGCACCTACTGGAGGGAATCTCATTAAGTGTTTTGATTTTGTTACTCTCTTCGACCTATTAGATCTGACCTGAAATTTATATGATATTTTTTTTGGAACCCTGGGGAGTTGTTCGTGGTCAATTCTGCGAAACAGTACTTACGTCGAACCCGATATATGACTGGATTCGACAACGCAACCCGATTTCCACCAATAGATTGAGCACAAGCTCCTGGTCATTCTGCTCAGAGTTACTACAGGTTGCTCTGATATGTCCGCCTAGTGCTCCATCTCGGTCCTTGTCAGGTGTCATGGAATATCTTTTTCCCTCGAGTTCATCCACCCTCTATGTTTGCGCTTTCCATCATTTGTTTCCACAATGCTGACTTATATGAAGTGGAGTAGCCCAGCCAAGTGACCCATTGCCTTGCACAGCTTGATCCTGATTATTTTGTGACAAATAAGTTTGCAGCGCCTTTCTGGCGTTTGTTCCAAGCTCGTCTCAGTTTGTTTGCCGGAAATTTCCCGCAATTTTGAGCTCTCTCCTAGGCATAAAATTCAAAACCCATGATGTCGTGTATGATTTTTCCTACAAACGCTTGTCTTCCTCAGTTCCTTGCCTTCCCCAGTTCCCCCCTTCATACCAAACGCCATTTTTGCCCCCTCTGAAGCCATTATGGAGACTGACATGGGGGACAAGAGCTCGAGCACTTTGGAAAGAATAGACACTACAAACATCGAATTTCCGGAAGACTGTGTGATTGCACTCTATGGCAATTTGACTCTGGGCAGAAAGCATGGTACGTTAGAATACGGCTGGGGCTGGGTGTATCTCTGGAGTGAATGGCTCACTATTCCATATCCTATACAGACGAAATTCGGGAAGAGATCGAGAAATGGGGCGCCAGCTTTGAAGACTACGACTCGCGAATCGAAAAATGCACCCATCTCATTACGACCGAGAAATACGTTAAAAAATCCATTATGCCTGCGAAAAGTAAGCAGCAAGCTCTATATCCATGAGAGTTAACCCACTAACAGACTTTCTGGGATAGTCAAGGATGCAGCTAGTAAGGGCTGCGAGATCGTCACCCTCCCATGGCTTCTTTTGTCTATCGAGTGCGGATATCCAATCGATGCCAAAGACTACAGGCTGGAGACGATAAAGATAGCTGGACTCAGGCCGAAGGCAAATGACAAGGCCAGCCCTAAACCAGAGGCTGATGGGCCCAAGCCTGACATGAAGAAGGCTAACAAAGCCAAGTCCAAATCGAAGGAGACCGATGATCCTGAGCCCAAATTGAAGGAAGTTGATGAACCCAATCCCAGATTGAAGAGGACCGACAAAGCCAAGCCCAAACCGAAGGAGGCCGATGAAATAAAGCTCAGGCCGATCAAGGCCGATAAACCGAAGCCCAAACTAAAGGCATTTGGTGCAGCTGGTGAAGCCAAGCGAACACTGGAAGGTCTTGAGGATGCAGGCGATGGTACAAAGAAAGTAGCCAAGACCTCGTCGGACGCAGATTATCTTCATTATCTGCAAAACAATGTGCATAAATTCTTCCCCGATCTTCCAAAGGGTGAGTATACTGCCGAGGGGGCTCTTGAATGAGTTGCTGAATACACAAGCTTGTTCTAACCAACTTCAAATAGATCTTTCTGTTTGGGAGCAGGGCGATGATGAGTGGGATGCGTTTTTGATCAAGCCCTTAGTTCGAAAGACTGGAGAAACAACCCGCCCGTTTGTGATATGTCGCATTCAGCTACTTTGTGATCTGATTGCAAATCAGTATCATACATACAGCCACGAGAAGACCGGGGAAGTGATTGCCAAGGCCAGTCGGTCAGGTCTTGGTAGTCTGGAAGAAGCCAAAGCCGCATTTCAAGAGATATTCCACGATGCTACCGGCCTTCGTTGGAAGAGCCGCCTTAAAGACCCGAAGAAGGGGAAGTTCATTTTTGTCGAACACCATTTTAAAGATGAGGAGGCTTGTCCATCTGCTCTGGATATCGCCAAGACACTTTCACCAGCGGTGAAAGCTGTGCTCAGTCATATTACACCCAGCAAGGATCAGACTAACCTCATCAAAGCCTTCTTAAAGAGGCTACCCGCCGGTCCCATCAGAAATGGCAGTGTTCTGGTGACTGTGCAGCATTTGCGTGCTGGCATTGCTCTTCTAGAACGATTATTGGGCCGTCCGGACCTTGCAGCCGAAATAACTTCCGATGACAGCCCTGCGTTGATGATGCTACAATGTTATCACTGTCTCGTAGGTGATGGATTAAGCAAAGCTCCCCGCTCTTTGGATTGGATCCAGCGCGAGCAAGATCACTTGTCGTACCTCCACGTTCTTGCGACGGCCTCTCAGTCGAATCGACCTCTTGGATGGGTTGAGAAACAGCTCACGCAGCATCTACCCCGAGTTCTTGGCCTTACTCACATGGCTCTAGGTTATTAATCTTCACTTTTCATGTCCTTTCAGTAAAATTTCCATTAGAAACAAGACGCTAACTTCTAATAGTGGATCCAACCACCAAGGAATATCGAATTCTGGAAAATTATTTCAACTTCTCAGACATGCGTCATGCATATGGCATTGGTTACAATGTAAGTTCACTTATTGCATTCTAGTTCATATACCTTTTATTATGAGAGGGATTGGTATAGTCGACTAAGGGAATCTTAGTCCTACGAAAATAAGCTAAAAAACATTTTCCGCATCGAGCGACTGGGTGAAGCCGACCGGTTCCTCAAATGGGCAGACGCTCAGAATGACCACGGGCGGTGCCTACTGTGGCATGGATCCGGAAATGATTATTTCAAAGGCATTTTCGAAACGGGGCTGGTCGGGGGCCTAGTGGAACCCAAGATCTTTCTCTCTGGGCTTGCAGGCTACTCGACCACTTACTGCTACAGGCGGACCGGCTTTAAAGTCGGCGTTTCTCAACTCATGCTTCTTTGTGAGGTCTGCTCGCCTGAATTCAGAGAAAATAAGACTAAGGGCGATCAGTGGTGCGATGCAGGGTGTGTGCACCCTGACCTCCAAGGAGTCAAAATGCTGAATGTTCCCCCCGGTGTGAAATACCGCTTAGGGCTGTGGCCGATTCAAAAAGAATACAGCTATCGGAAATCAGAGCAGATCCGAATGCGATACTTGTTTGAGTTTGATATGGAGTTGAATACAACTTGAAATGCAACCGCGGGATGATTCAATGTCGTCAGGGTTCTATGTTGAAGCTGAGACAGGAAGAACGTGGTTCGACTCTTGATGGTTCTCTATGATAGTTGAACTGTACCTTGTTTAACTTAGAATGGAAATTCATGGTTTGTAATGACTTGTTAATTCCACCTAAGACATTCTGTAGATCTGACTCTAGGAATCAAGGGAGCGCGATCATTTAACACCACAAGATTAGGTGAACACTCTCACTAACCGCATTCAAGCAAAGCTGTAATTTCAGTTCATAAATTCTATCTCAAGTATTAAAGGACATCGCATCACCGCGCTTGATAAACGTCGATATACGATATAATGCTCCATTAGAGCCATGATATAGGTAAGAAAAGGTGGCTCAGTGGGTTTTACTTGATAATCATCTTCACATTTAGTAATAATCTACTACTTAATATTATCACTTCCTGGCTCTTGGATACTGCGTTACTATAAATGCGGTTAGTGAGGGTGTTTAATAAAAAAGCTCCAATCAATCATTTAGTATCATCGGTAGCAGAGTCATTGAGCTCGGCAAGATAAGACTCACGATCTTCCCCACTCTCTTATCGCGTTACGTCGCCGATCACTGCTCCACTGGTCCCCGTGATGTGTCCAGGTGATTCATAAAGTAGCTGCTTCCGCAGCCTTGGTTCCTGCGCTTCGTCAATCACCTCCCCATGGCTGTCCCCATGAAATTGCTCGCCGCCGCCTACTTGGCGGGTGTTACCGCCGCCCAGTACTTCCCATCAACACCCGAGGGACTGAAGGTCGTGAAGTCAAAGCACGATGAAGGTGTTAAAATATCATACAAGGAGGTAGGTCAATGTCAGGTCACTTCATAATTACGAGTCGCTCGCTAATTCCGTGCAGCCGGGAATCTGTGAAACCACCGCTGGGGTCAAATCCTACTCCGGCTACATACACCTACCACCGGGGACCTTGGGCGATGTAGACGTGGACCAGCAGTATCCCATCAATACATTTTTCTGGTTTTTCGAGTCTCGTCATGACGCGAGAAACGCGCCGCTGTCTATTTGGATGAACGGTGGGCCCGGCAGCTCGTCCCTGATCGGTCTCCTGCAGGAGAACGGCCCTTGCCGCGTCAACGCGGATTCCAATTCGACCGAACTCAATCCCTGGTCTTGGAACAACTATGTCAATATGCTGTACATCGACCAACCCAATCAGGTGGGTTTCAGCTACGATGTACCCACGAACGGCACTTTCGACCAGATCGCGTCCGCTTGGAATGTATCCGAGTGGACGCATGGCGTTCCGGAGCAGAACAATACTTTTTATGTCGGCACGACGACCAGTCAGAAGAATACCTCCACTGCTAACAGCACCGAAAATGCCGCCCGGTCACTTTGGCACTTGGCGCAGACCTGGTTCTCCGAGTTTCCGGAGTACAAACCACGCGATGATCGCGTTAGCATCTGGACCGAGTCATACGGCGGTCGCTATGGACCGTCATTTACTGCGTTCTTTCAAGAGCAGAATGAGAAGATCAAAAATGGCACGATCACTGCCCCTGGAGAATCGCATTATATTCACTTGGACACATTGGGCATTATCAATGGTTGTGTCGATCTTCTTGTGCAGGCGCCGACGTATCCGGTGATGGCGTATAATAATACTTACGGGATTGAAACAATCAACAAGACTGTGTACGAGGAAGCCTTGAATGCATGGAGCAAACCCGGTGGGTGTAAGGACCTGATCACAGACTGCCGGGCCCTTGCAGCGGAAGGCGACCCACAGATGTATGGCAACAACGAAACCGTGAACAAGGCTTGTCAGAAAGCGAACAGCTTCTGTAGCAATGCCGTCGAGGGTCCTTATACTAATTTTGCCGGTCGAGGCTACTACGATATCACCCATAAAAGTCCCGATCCATTTCCGCCACAATGGTATTTTGGATTCCTCAGCCAGCATTGGGTGCAAAAGGCCCTGGGTGCTCCCATCAATTACACCGAGTCTATCGACAGTGTCTATAGTGCATTTACGTCAACCGGTGATTATGCCCGCGGCGATGTGCACGGCTACCTTCGTGATCTAGGCTATGTCCTAGACTCCGGTGTCAAGGTTTCACTCGTCTACGGCGACCGGGATTATGCCTGTGATTGGATCGGCGGCGAGGATGTCAGTTTGGGCATCAACTATTCCAAGGCAGAGTCTTTCCGCGCGGCTGGATATTCGCCTCTCCAGACCAACTCGTCATACATTGGAGGACAGGTCCGCCAGCATGGCAACTTCTCTTTTGCCCGTGTTTATCAGGCTGGTCACGAGGTGCCTGCTTACCAGCCTCAGACTGCGTACGAAATCTTCCACCGCGCCCTATTTGATCGGGATCTGGCTACTGGCAAGATTGATACTGCTCGCAATGCTTCCTACTCCACCGAGGGGCCTTCGTCCACTTGGCACATCAAGAACGAGGTGCCTGAAAGCCCCGATCCGGTGTGCTATATTTTGTCTCTCGATGCGACTTGCACCGATGATCAGATTGCCAGTGTGGTCAACAATACAGCTGTCATCAAAGACTATATTGTTGTGGGCTGAGTGTTTGTATAGATATGTTTTTCTTGTGTCCAGGTGCTTCCTGTTGAAGATAGAAGCTGACACAGGAGTACCCATATAATTGGTCAGGATTGGTACTTTGCATTTGATTGGATGGCCTTGCATGAGAGCTGTCTTCTTTGCATATCCCAGCGATTTCGGTATATTTCCGAGCTTAAATAGCTTTTGAACCCCTTTTTGATTGAATCTTGGATACCTTTCGTCGGCAAAGTCTAAATATAATGTGTTACTTTACAAATATCATCCATCAACCTCACTTCCCCGTCCCTTGGTATCCACTGAACTCTTCTTGTCCCTCTAATACTCTCTTCTTTCGATACATAAAAGCTTCCTGCCATTACTTCTGACACCTCAACTCTTACCTGCCCTATCCTTTGCATCCTTCAATCTCTATCTATCGAAGTCTTAAACTATCTTTGATACCTTCTCTGTCCGATACAAAAACTTTCGCAACGTCACTTCACATATATTTCGACTTCTCTTCGCCTCATCTTGTCACCATCCGATCACTTGATCACAATGTACTTGATGCTTTCGTCACGCTCTCACAATTTTTTCATCAGTCCTTTCCGATAGTCTCCATGATCGACCCTGACAGGACCTGAAGACGAGTACAACCAACAACAAAGACTCAATTCAGCCATTCGGACAGAAAAATATCTTGGCTTCATAGCGAAGAGTTGCGGATTGGTTTGACCAGAATGCGAATTTACATTAGGACCCATCAAAATGTGTCAAGAAACTATGGGAAGCATTTGCAACGCTGGAGACCAAGCAGGTGATATCGCCAAATCAGGATTACTTGAAGTTCTTCTCATGGCGGCGGAAGACTTGGTGTTCGTCAGTTTCATCAAGAATGAACATCACCGGTAATTTAATTGATCGACATACCCTCCCTGAGAATGAGAATACCTTTTCGCGATGCACCGATGGGTGCTAGCGAGGTATGACTACTATGCGCTATTTCATAGGCTGCCTACCGGGACTTAAGAATGTTATTATCGACCGGGCATTTTATAATCCAGAAAAGCTAACCTGCACAATACAGTTGCCGAGTTGTCTATGACCCATATGCCTCTGTAAGGGAGCCACTCCCTCGGTTTCCTCTACTTCCTCGACCGGCGCCAACCTTTGATGGGTTTATGCTTCTGGGAGAGACGCAACCAGTAAATCCACGGTGTTCATTTGCTCGTGTCTCCAATACCGGCACATTGCAAGCAAATAGTCCATACCAGGGGAGTGAACATCAGTGTTATGATTTATGGTGAAATTATGATATGATGTTATATTTATAAGGTGAAGGACTTGATATGAGCTTCCTTGTACTTCTGGTTGAATTATGTCGATTGGGGTGTGCTGACTTTCTTTTTTGGATAGTGATGGCGTGGCTTGGCTAGTATCTCAAGAGAAGAGGGGGGTGTGCATGATTACCACGGTCATTATCTCAACCCAATCACACTTGCGCTGCGATTAACGGTAAATCTAGCCGTCAAGATCAGCAAACAGAAAAATCTTGCGCGACTTGCCAGGGATGTTCTCATCAATGGGACCTTGAGTCATCCATGATCAACTGTTGGGGCAGTTGCGGCCACAAATATATCACGATTGCCGCAGACACTTTTTCATCGACTCGTGTTTCTTCGGTCGAACGAGTTGCAATTTATGCAGTCATTTGCAGTACATAACTAGATCTCTCCTTCTGGTCTGCGTGTACACTAATTACCGTAATCACCATGAATATGGGGTTATAGTCTGGATATTCCAATGGCGTTCGTTTTGTAATGCCAGAGCGGAGAAGGGAACCGTATGCTAGGACCCTAGACTTGGTGATGAACATCGGCATGGCATGTCATAATCACATTGCGAATGGCTATGGAGAGATTGAAGATATATCAGGAATTTGCTTCATGGATGAGAGTCAAATGGTTTGCGACCGGGTTTTGTAGAATATCGGTTTTGGTTCTATACTATATTGACTTTGTATGGAACCTTCTTATCTACATACAGTATCACAAAGAGGCCAAATATAACGGCGCTGTGTCGATCAAACAAAAGATACCCCACCTGTAAAATTTGTGGCTGGCTATTTTTACTTCTTGCAATTAGAATCAGACATCAGACAACCCACCGTGTGATCAAAGGCACGGAAGCTTCTCGAAGCTTCCGTGCCCACGACGTCATACGTCAGTCACTCCGCACTCGATAACGTATGAGAACAGTTACAAGTCCTGTTTCTCTTGCAAGGTCGGACCATCTGCATTCCAAGCTAGATATCTATTCTTTCTTATTTTCCTGCTGCTCCACCCTTTCATCCATTTTTCTTTCTGCTCCGAACATCCGACTTTGCGCTCAAACCTCGCATCATACACTTTCAGACCGCCTCGTTTCGCCCCGAATCTTCTACGTCATTCGAGAACTACACCACATATTCTTTCAGACTCTTTCTTTGACGGCGTGAACCGACCGTTGGCTTTTAGTCAAGCTCCAGTCCACCTGTGATTTTTGGTCTTGATTCCAAAAAAACTCAATTCCATCCTACATACACAATGGTAGCTGAAACCAAGCTCTATGATGCCTTGAGCATCAAACCCACCGCAACCCAAGATGAAATCAAGAAAGCCTACCGCAAGGCTGCCTTGAAATATCACCCAGACAAGAACAAGGACAATCCGCAGGCATCTGAGAAGTTCAAAGGTAAGTTTTACAACTTTCGACCCCGCTTTCTACCCCTCCTATTGGTTTAAGGCGTAAGATCACCATGACTAATACCTAATCGCAGATGTATCCCAAGCATACGAAGTCCTATCTGATCCCGAAAAACGTAAGGTCTACGATCAATACGGCCTTGAATATCTACTCCGCGGCGGCCCCCCACCATCAAGTGGTGGAGCCGGAGGTGCAGGCCCTGGTGCCGGGGGCATGCCCGGTGGATTCGATTTCGGTGGCATGCCCGGCGGCGGCGGCGCACGCACATTCCACTTCTCGACCGGTCCAGGCGGCAGCGGAGGTTTCCGATTCCGTAACGAAAACGACATCTTCACTGAATTCGCCAAAGCGACTGGCGGTGGCGGTGGCGGCGGAGGCGGTCTCGATGATGATATCTTCTCAATGCTCAATGGCGGTATGGGTGGCTTTGCGCGTGGACGTGGCAGCGGAGGAGGAGGATTCTCGCAAAAAGCACGCCGTGCACCGACACCCGAGCCGACTGTTGTTGAGACCGACTTGGTGCTCACCTTGGAGGAAATTTTCAAGGGCACTACCAAGAAAGTTAAGACGAAGAGCAAAGCATTTGATGCTAGTGGAAAGCGCACTGTCGATGAAGTGACGCTGGAAGCTACCATAAAACCTGGCCTGCGCGCTGGATCGAAGATTAAGTATAAGAATGTTGGCGACCAGGAAGAAGGCGGTCGACAAGACGTGCATCTTATTGTTAAAGAGGTTTGTGATTACTTCATCCCTTGCTTGTGAGTCTTTGCTAACATTGTCTACAGGCCCCACACCCCGATTTCAAACGTGTTGGCGACAATCTCGTTACAGAAGTGACCCTCACACTTAAGGAAGCCTTGACAGGCTGGGAACGTATCGTGCGCACAATTGACGGCAAGTCAATCCGCGTCAGCAAGCCCGGCCCAACACAACCCGGCCACGAGGAACGTTTCCCTGGTCTGGGCATGGTGATCTCCAAGAAGCCCAGCGACCGCGGTGACCTTGTCGTCAAGGTCAATGTCAAGTTCCCCACCAGCTTGACCGCTGAACAAAAACAAATCTTGGGCGATGTGCTGTGAACGTGATTCTTGGATATTTAGCATGCATACTGGCGTTGGTGTGAGCGATACACAAATGGGCGGTTTTAATGACAATGATTCACAGTTTGGCTATGATCAGATATGATTTTTCTATTTTATTTTTAGGAGTTCAATGATACCTCAAATGTTTCAATACATTCTATCTTCAATTGTGACGTATATGCGTAGTAGAGAACGACCCTAAACCCAATCGGGCCATGCGGAGAAGCACCTTCGAGCTCCCAATTCCACTCCCGCTTTATTTACTGTCCACCTCCATAGCTCCACCATGAAGCGACGAATCACCTATATCCAGCGCCCTGAGGCGCCTTTCGCGCCGGAACAAGTGTCCCTTCTCTCAAACTCCGTTCAGATCCAGGGTCTGGATGCCGCCCGCGAAGACCGCATTACCTTCGATTTGGATGACCTCCCCGAAGAGGTAGGGAAGATAATGATGCCGTCGCAGTAGTATAGAGGCTGACTACTTTGTTTCATTCTCATAGCTCCGTGCCGTATGCCGTCAATCACAAGAACTCCACATTCGTTGGGCTACCGAGCGGCCCTTCGATGCTATCGCGCCCTTTGCCAGCAGAGTCTCCCCTGGTCTACACGTGCATTATACTCCTGTTACTGCGGGCCAGTCATCGTAAGTGTATACTTATTGGAAAGCATATCTAAGGTGCATCGGATTGTTGACTGGGACGATTAGGGATGCATTATGCTCGGTCCTTCGAACCGCGTTTGGGGTCGTAGAAGATGATGTGATTTGCACAAGTCCGGAGGTAAATTGACCTCCGCTAATTCCTTCGCATTGAAAATACTTGGATCTGCTTGGCTATATATTGCTCTACTGGATTAATCTAATGCGCTGCGATTATACAGGACACTTTCATTGCACCCCCGCTCCGAGCCACCGAGTCTGGTATCGCAGCCTCTCTACAATACCATACACAGCTACCATCCTTGACATCACTGATTGATTTCCTCGTCAAAAATGCGTGTGCAAAAGACGGGCCATGCACTGCGCACGATCTTGCCCTCCTCCTCAAGGCCGACAATGTCGACTTGGACTTTGATATCACCTCGAACACATTGACAATGTCAGGGGTCTGGAATAATGCTCCAGAGACAGTCTGGTCGGAGACGATAAAAGGCCCTGTTTTGAAGGCTGACAAAGTCGAATTTGGGCTGTTGGGAGCGGAGAAGGGAATCGATGCGGATGAAATCAAGGTCGGAGGGCTGTTAGCAGTCGTAGGAGAGGACAAGAAATTGAGTATGCTGGACCCTATCACTGCTTTAGGCGGGGCTATTATAGGAGTGTCACACTAACTTGATATAGAACCTACGATGTTCTCGTTCCCTTCACGGCATCACGCTCTGCCCCAGTCCGCCAGCTACATGGTCTCATTCGCAAAGCCAACCGGTCTACATCCGACAATGTCCATATCTATCCCTCGCTCTTCATTGGGCCTACCCCCAGCACCCGATGACACGACCTGCGGTTTGTATACGTACGTGACACTTCCATCATCTGTCTTCGCGGACCAGTATCAAATTGGCACGACCGATTCGCTTTTCCTCCGATCCCATAATTTAGCAGGTCTGCGTGCCCATGCGGGTGAAACAGACCTGGAGGCCCCAGACTGGGTCGTCAAGCGCTGGGGCTCGACCTGGCTCATTGAACTAGCTACACCCGTGGACCAGGACCTCGACAGCGTTGTGAAATCCGCCAATTGGACCGCTACCATTCCCCTTCATCTACGCTACCTTAATCCTTCTGATTCAGGGTACCGATCTGCGGATGTCCCTTGGCCAGTCGTCTTCTGGGCTTGCAGCGCAGAGGATGAAGAAGCTGGTATGGGCATCAATCCATTTGACCGCAAGCACCTCGGTTATGACAGCCTTTTTGCTCCCCGTACACTCTTCTACCAGTTTCACCCTCAGTCCGATCATCTTGTGGAGGAGATAGATTTCCCTGTCCTTCACCTTAAAGATGGAGAGGGCCTTTTCAAGTCTCGCAACATCGAAGTGGCCACATGCGCTGTCATCTCCCTTGGATTCTTGTGGATTCTGTGGCGACTTGTGCAAGTCACCTGGTCGTCCGGTCTCGGTTCCAATGGCAAGACGGAACGTTCTCATAAACGTGATAAGAAGGAGTAGAATATTCTGCAGGCTATTCTCATTACATTTCTCTTTTGGCGACTGGGATCATATCATCCCACATGCATTGATATGGGCGTTTGGGACTATATTTACCATCTCGAATTATCTATAGAAACATACAAATCACGAACCTTGGAAGTATAATATGGATATCTGTATAGAGTGCAGCAATGTTCTTATCAGCATATCACGTCTCTCTGCCGGATATACCGGGGATCTCCGACCTCCACTATCTCCAAAAGTGCGAACTTGTAATGTATGGATTGATCAAAATTAGGAATTAATCATTGCGGTTGTTAATCAACCTTCCATAATAATGATCTATGATTCAAGGCATCATTTATTACAAGGATATGCGGGCGGCCCCGGCCTTTACAACACTGGCCAATCCCGTCCACGCCCGCACTGCTCTCCAACTTCTACAATAATGGCCGACTCCAAGCCGCGCAAGCGCTCTCGCGCCGCCTGTCTATCATGCCAATCCCGTAAAAGGAAATGCTCAGGCGAAAAGCCCTGCGCGACATGCGTGCAGTCCGGCGTGGACTGTCAATACAGCGCTGCCCCGCGCAAGAAGCGCCTCAGATCCACTAGCGCGTATGGCACCAGTCTCCCAGCGCTGGATGAACCACAAAGACCCCCAGATGGTCTAGCATATCCAGTTCCGAAGGCCGTCAGCACTACCGAGAGTACGACCTCTCCTGCCTCTTTCAATCGGGTCGGCGATGCAGGGGTGAGCCATTCCCTCGAAGCGAATTCTGGCGCCGCGTTTGTTCGCAAACTTGGGCTGCGTATTGATCCAGCTCGTGCGCCGAGATTGCATCTTTTTGCGTGGAATGTAGGGGAGAGGCGATTGTCCACTGCGCTTTCTGCAGAGGCGCTGGCGCCGGTGCTCATTACGAAGCTTCTTTCGCAGGAAGAGATGCGACGGTTGGCGGTGATCTACTTTGAAAAAGTCGATCCATGTTACTCGTTTTTAGATCGTCAACATTTTTTCTCTCGTATTACGCACCGTTGGGAAGCGCAAGTTCAGCTATCGGAACAATCATATGATGCCGTCTTATATGGCGTCGCGGCATTTGGGTACTTGTTCTCACAACGCGAAAGAACTCCCACAGAGCTCCGCGTCGTTAATGCAGCGCATCATATTCTACAAAAGAGCATACTGGGTGCAGAAACACCCTCAATCGATATCATAGCTGGCTGGGTTCTTCGTGTCGCCTACCTACGTATGACAGCCTCGCCACACGCCGGCTGGATGGCAAGTTGCACATTGATGCACTTAATCGAGGCAGCAGGTCTGCATCTCGAATCAACCGATTCAGACTCAAGTATTCTCCAAGGCACACAATCCCAAACAAATCCCCAGAACAACAGCACCGAACCCAATACCCCAGATACCCGCCGCCGTCTCTTCGGTATGGCTCGCCACCTAAACACCTGGATCTCATTCGATCTAGGCCGCTCCCGCGTCGTTGTCCACGGCGCAACAACCAGGATCATTCCCCAAAACCCCAGTCGAGCAGATCTCCTCCATCTTCTCCCCCTATCTGAAAGTCTCGACCCGACAACCTCAGCACAACAAGACCTTCCCGACCTCGAAACAGCCCTGTCCTCTGTTTTAGACCTAGTCTACACAGAACCCTCCTTAATTCTAGTCCAATGCAATTTAATGCTTTGCATATACCGTCGTGTCCGCGCTCTAAATGCCCACGCTCCACTCTCAACCCGTCCAGAACGCTTCCTCGCAATCGCAAGTCGTGGCTTACGCGCCGCACGCGAAATGGTAGCTTCTACTTGCCCGTGGCACCAGGTCGCTAATGTCCCCTTTCAAGTCGTCTGCACACTTCTGGCAATCGATAATCGTGCCGCGTTGGAGCTTCTCCCAGATGCGATGCTCACGCTAAGGGAGGTGGTTACGGTCTACGACACGGATGTCATGCGAGAAGCGTATTCAACGGCTTATTTACTTGTTGCTATGCATCAGCGACGGAAGGAGGATGATACGCGCGCATTGGGTGATGTTTTAAGGGCTAATTCTGCTGCTGCGGCTGTCTTTAGACAGCAGGATGTTGGTGAAAGTGGAAGGAGTAATGGGGCGGTCGGTGGCGGGGAACTGGAGAAGACACATCTGGAGGAGGTGGTTGAGCAGGTCAATGCACCAGTTTCGGATGTCGAGCTCTCTTGGTTGGGGGATTTGGTTATTGATATGCCTAGTTTGCAGAATTTTGATCTGGATCAGTTTCTTATGACTGATGTGCCATGGCCGTTGCCTGAAATGGGAATATAATGGGGTTAATTAGGTGTAATGACTATTGTGATAAAATACAGATATGTCCTCTTTGGATACAAATTCCTAGTCACTCCGGATAGACTTTTTTTTCTATATCATCTATATCAGGTAGAAATAACTAGAACTCGCTATGGGACACTTAGAAATCAACTTTTAGTTCGCAAAAATGAGCGCTGTCCTTCCAGCACTAGAGCGGGGACTATTACGAGATAGATTTGTTTTTCCTCACATTAGGCGAAAGAATAGTGCAATAGGAATAGCCATATCTGCGCTATTACACCGACTCCTTAACAACAACCCCACTTCAAATCCTAAAGGGCGTCCAGGCGCCTCGACGACTGCAGCCACCAGGATATTTGAGGTTTCCAATTGACATTCGGGACCGGGCCGCATATGATGCCATAGAAACCTTACGGCATCCACTTGGGATCGCTTGAGTTCTGCATGGTTCATAGTACTGTACAGTACTGCGGGTTTTTGGTTCAAGCGGCGGTCAACATGTTTGGTTGCAGGTGGCTGGGCGGTGGACCTCGATCGCCAGGGCTATGTCGAATTGGGTTACGATTGGGTAATTGGGACGATCATGACGGGACTTATGTCAATTCCAGGTTTTTAAGGCTGCCATTATCTTTTTTTCTGTTTGTTTCAAAGAGCTTTGTAAACATGGTGCGTACTGTAGTTTTTGATCTTTGAACTTACCGAGTAGAACACAATTGAGGTTCAATATTTTTATCTAGGTGATAAAAAACTACAGATACTGCCTATCTACTAGCTAACGATATCTTTGGAAATCCAATGACTGCGATTTGCTAATTAGCGGTGAGATGCTATTAGGTACTATCGGGTCTGATAAGGCGGAAATGGACCAGTCAGCAATCGTGGCCTGCCGATGTCGGCCCGGGCTCTTGATTGGCCACCGCCGCTCGGGGCACGTGCCCGCACTGAGTCAACGAAAAACCTCTTTCCGGCTGCCGTCCTCTCTTCTTTCTCTTCCCCAGTTTACCCTTCACACTCCACTTAAAGCATTCGATACTCATGTCTCACTAAGGAATTTATTTCCCTCCCTTTCTCTTGACTGCTACACCTAGAGTCGCGCTTATGTGTTTGGCACCCTCAACTTTCACCTCCCAGGACTATATCTCGGGTATGTCCCTCGATCAACAACCTCTTTATCTCGCCATTGACCCTCCATACTAATACTTTTCCCCCCTTAGATCACCTTTGGAAGTCTTCCATTAACTGAATCGACCTACGTGTTTATTGTTCAGTAAATTATCGCATATACATCTCAAAATGTTCATGAACGTCTTCAAGGCCATGCCCACCCGGGCTGCGGCTTTCACCACCATGAAGAGCCCTGCTCAGGCCCGCTTCATGGCCACGGTCCGTCAGCGTGCTGCTATGGAACCCGCTACCTTCACTATTCGTGACGGTCCCATGTTCACCGGAAAGTCTTTCGGTGCTCGCTCCAACATCTCCGGCGAGGCCGTCTTCACCACCTCCCTGGTTGGGTACCCTGAGTCCCTGACCGACCCCTCCTACCGCGGTCAGATTTTGGTCTTCACCCAGCCTCTGATTGGCAACTACGGTGTTCCCTCGGCCGAGAAGGATAGCAATGGACTGTTGAAGTACTTCGAGTCCCCCAACCTGCAGGCTGCCGGTGTCGTCGTCGCCGACGTTGCTGAGCAGTACAGCCACTGGACTGCTGTTGAGTCTCTGGGTGAGTGGTGTGCCCGTGAGGGTGTTCCCGCCATCTCCGGTGTCGACACTCGTGCCATTGTCACCTACCTCCGTGAGCAGGGTTCTTCCCTGGCTCGCATCACTGTTGGTGAGGAGTACGATGCCAACGAGGACGAGGCCTTCACCGACCCCGAGCAGATCCACCTGGTGCGTCAGGTCAGCACCAAGCAGCCTTTCCACATCAGCGCTGCTGACCCCACCTCCCACGTGGCTGTCATCGATTGTGGTGTGAAGGAGAACATCCTGCGAAGCCTGGTCGGCCGTGGCTCCAGCGTCACTGTCTTCCCCTTCGACTTCCCCATCCACAAGGTCGCCCACCACTTCGATGGTGTCTTCATCTCCAACGGCCCCGGTGACCCCACCCACTGCCAGGACACTGTCTTCCACTTGAAGCGCCTGATGGAGACCTCCCAGGTTCCCATCTTCGGTATCTGTCTTGGTCACCAGCTGTTGGCTCTGGCTACCGGTGCCAGCACCATCAAGCTCAAGTACGGAAACCGGGCTCACAACATCCCCGCTCTGGACTTGAGCACTGGCCGCTGCCACATCACCAGCCAGAACCACGGTTACGCTGTTGATGCCTCCACCCTTCCCTCCGACTGGAAGCCTTACTTCGTCAACCTGAACGACCAGAGCAACGAGGGCATGATCCACAAGTCTCGCCCCATCTTCAGCACCCAGTTCCACCCCGAGGCCAAGGGCGGTCCTCTCGACTCGTCCTACCTCTTCGACATCTACCTGGACAGTGTGCTGAAGTACAAGAACAGCCAGGCTGGTCTGTACCCCCAGCGTGACAGCCGCCCCAACGGTCTGTTGGTGGACCTTTTGGCTAAGGAGCGTGTGGGTGTCCAGCCCACCATCGGTATGCAGAACATTGCTGCTGCCGCTGCTGCTGCTGCTGCTTCGGCTTAGTTGATCTGATGTTTTATTGGGAGTTTGGCACTTGGTTGGAAAGGCAAATATGGGGTTCATTTTGTTCATAGTTCATTGTGACATTTCAAATTTTATTTATTCAAGAAATAAGTTATAACATAACTATTCCTTTTAGTAGCTGCATGTAGCTGAAAAATAATCTTGATTGTAAGATAAACAGTAAGTATTGTCATTGAGCATATCCTTGTCTTCTGCATGGCTTTTTTTCTTCGTTATCAAATCGTAGAAGCTTCACTGTAGAAACTATTTGGCCACAATGGAAACCACATCCTCATCCGCTATCGCATGCCCCAAGCCCACACGTTGTGGCACATGTCTGGCACTGGCACCCCACACCAAGGCATATTTAAATGTATCCTTGAGGGTACGGTGAATCTGGTCACACACGTCTTCAATCGTGGAGTCCCGACGCACGATAAGCGCCTCATCGAATTTAGGGTCTGTTCCCTTTCTGTATTCCGGTTGTCAGTTGGATTTAATTATTCTTGCAAATCGTATCCCAAGTAAGAGCAGGGTTTTCATACCGCTTGGTGTAAAGACGCATCAATCTCAACTCCTTCCAGATCCGCTCAACAACCTCCTGCACTCCTAAATCAAGTTCACAACTCATCACGGCTGTGTAAGGCTCACGAGCCAGCTGGTCCAGGAACTCGAGGCTGACGCTATCAATCTTGTTGTAGACATAAAGGCTAGAACAATGTTAGCGAATCCACATTATGATCATCAGGCCACTTCAGGTCTTATTCTCACCAGCGAATGTACTTGCGGTGGTCTTTCATGATGACATCGATGAAGTCGTCAATTGTGGCTATCATTCAAATTAGTAATTTGACACGCATCGAGGTTCAAAACATGTATCACACTTACCATTTTCATCTCGCACCAGCACTTCACAGTTGAGAATCTTGTAGTCCCGCAAAACGTTGTAGATCATCCGCTCATCCAGACCCTTAGGTGGTTGCGAGAAAGTGATCTTCATGCCACCAGCACTCTTGACCTTGAGATAAATATTCCTGAGCACCAGTCAGTCATCCGCAACTAACAACCTATCATCCCATCAACTGAATACATACGGGGGCTCCTTATTCAAACGAATGCCAACGGCATCCAACTCCGCCTCCAACAAAGCCCTTTGCTCTGCCTTCTTAGTCGCATCCAAGACCATCAAAATCAAGTCACTGGTCTTAGCAGCCGAAATAACCTGACGACCACGACCCTTTCCTTCCGAGGCACCCTCAATGATACCGGGCAAATCCAGGATCTGGATTTCCGCACCACCATACTCCAGGACACCGGGAATAGCTGTCAGAGTAGTGAAAGAGTAGGCTGCAGCCTCACTCTTGGTCTTGGTGATCTTGGACAAGAAAGTGGACTTTCCGACGGATGGAAATCCGACAAGTGCTACACGCGCATCACCGCTCTTGCTGACATCGAAACCAGCACCACCACCGGAGCCGGCACCACCTACTGGCTCGAGGAGTTGAGCTCGCAGACGAGCAAGTTTTCTGTTAGAAAGTTAATTTGGTGATCTTGATACATCCACCCACGTGGGTAGAGAGTGCGGAATGCGTACCCTTTCAATAGACCCAGATGATATTCTGATATAGAATCAATACATGTATCAACTTGAAATTTCAACCAGGCTGGATCTTACCTGTCGCCTTATTCTCTGCGGGGCATGTTAGCGGGGTGATAAGCGTTTGGATATCGGGTCAACTTACTCTGCGTCCGGCGCATCTCATCCTCAATCCTGCAGATTTATAAGCATCAACCCGTAGACATCATCTCCAGGGTACATACTCCTTGATCTTTTCTGTAATGTTCACCATTGTGCCGGTTGATTCACTCCAAACTCGCTAAATGAGAAATATCAATTCGAGTTAAGCGTTTTTGTTCGTGAAAACCGGCCGCCAAGATGATTATGTAATCGCTTTTTGCACCTCCGTTCAAGCTCCGCGATACTGCGAACCTTCATTCAACGTTCATCTCTCCATTTTCGCCCCAACCATGGCCGAATCACCAATCGCTGAGCCTGCGATGGCGCAAGATACTGCTCTCGTGTCGGAGGAGCAGTCAGAGCAGCAACAGCAGCTTGAACCCGTCAAGAAAACCAAGAAGATCATTCGGAAGAAACGCCGCCCAGCTCGCGTTCAGGTCGATCCTTCAGAAATCAAGTCTGAACAGCCCCCACAGACTGGAGATCTCTTCAATATTTGGTACAGCAAATGGTAAGTGTTTTCTGGCCGCGATCGTGCTCCGTTTGCTTTGCGCCGAATCATTCGCTAACTTGCGCTTGAAACAGGTCCGGCGGTGATCGCGAAGATAGATTCGGATTGAATACACCTGCACCGACGAGATGCGACCCTATTAAGGATTCGGGATACACCAAGGCGGATCGCGTGACTGGTTCATTCTTCTGTGTACGTGCGCTCAAAATTCCCCGCTACGAATCAGTTTGCTGATACTTGGTCTCGATAGCTTTATTTCGCGAAGGGAACGTGCTGCAAAGGAGCGGACTGTGAATACCTTCACCGGCTACCGACTATTCATGATCTCTTCAATCCTAACGTGGATTGTTTCGGTACGGAACTATACCTTGAAACGATAAGTGATAAGTGGTTCATGAACTAACGTCTTTGTGATGGAACAGGTCGTGACAAGCATTCGGATTACAGAGATGTATGTTTTCCCCTTCGATAAAGCTCACTGAGGCCATGATACCGGGATAGCCATGCTGACAACTATATAGGACATGGGTGGTGTTGGATCTTGTAAATCATATCGAGAACCCTTCTTTTGTTTCCTCTACTGACCTTCGATATAGTCCAACGGCAAAATCGCACACTCTACGTCGGCAGAATTCATGTCTCGGTATGCTTGCGATACATCCATTGTCAGAAGACCGGGAGCTGACTATATTGTTACAGGACGGAATTGAAGAAATTGTGGCCCGCCATTTCGCGCCATGGGGAGAAATTGCACGAACCCGAGTTTTGACCGGCCGCGGAGTTGCTTTCGTGACATGTGAGTTATCCCAAAGCTCATATCGAGTACCCATGCTAATACCTCATAGATGTGAACGAGGCCAACGCCCAATTTGTAAGTGGAATCGCAATGCGCACAGGGCGCTTGACTAATATAACATACAGGCCAAGGAAGCTATGAGCCACCAAGCCTTAGATGACAGTAAGTCTAACTGAAGTAGCATGAAAGACTGTTTATCTAATACATTCCAACAGACGAAATCCTGAACGTACGATGGGCAACAGTTGACCCCAACCCAATGGCACAAAAGCGCGAGGCACGTCAATTGGAAGAGCAAGCCGCTGAAGCAGTGCGCCGCGCACTACCGGCAGCTTTCGTGGCCGAGATCGAGGGTCGAGACCCCGAAGCTAAGAAGCGCAAGAAGATCGAGGGCAGTTTCGGATTGGATGGATACGATGTTCCAGATGATGTGTGGCACGCTCGCACACGACAGCTCGAGTCAGCACCGGAGGCTGCTCAGCTTGAGGCTTCGGAAGAGCAGTTGATGATTGAGCCGTCATACGCACAGCCTGAGCCCGAAGCTCAGAATGGAATTTTCTCTAGTGCGACTGTGGCTGCGCTGCGTGGACTGGCTGGTGGTAATGTTAAGACACAGGCTGCGTCCAAGCCTTCTGGGCCTTTAGTTGCTTATGGAAGCGATGATGAGAGCGATTAGACTTTGGTTTATGCTGTGTGGGCAAGACTGCAATCTATAACTTTGTGATTCTTTGTACTATAGCGATACCTCTTCAAAATTCAAAAGATTCTTGCCCCAAAGCGGTCTTCGTTAATATTGACGTTATTCATAACGGGGTATCCCGAGTACTCGCTAAAACATGCATGACATGACGATGAGGGGGATAGTTCCAGGACAGCCTGGAAGAAAAGTCACAAATACAAACAACCGCCCATAATACAGGTATGCAGGAATGCCTTGATGCAGACAAGATAAAGCAAAGATTCAAAGCACTGACTCCCCTTTTCAAATCCCCTTCCCCCCTCCTCCCCATTTCTATTTCTTATTCATAATCATCTGTCGCTGCAGCCGAGGTCGTAGTAAACGCACGAGCCGGTCCGGTAGTTGTAGATAAACGCATTAGTGTAGCCATCAGGTCTCTCACTAGACCGAGCCTCAGATGCAAAATCCATGAGAAGATCATAAACTTGACTGAGGTACTTCCGTTCAGTAAGCGGAGCATTCTGAATAACACTCCGCCAGCTCTCCGTATCCGAAAGTCTCGTTCCACGAATAGCAGCAAGGACCTCGTCACGGGTATCGATAGCAGCGACAGGTCCATTGCGGGCACTATCGGCAACTTCACGAGAAGAAAGTAAAGCCGACTCCACAATGTTTCGTCGATTTGTCTTCTTGCTCCGATGCTGAGGCACGAGAATACGGACGTTGTTCGCTTTTTCGTTGGATTGGATTGCGTCTTGCTGGTTTGGTTGGCGGAATTGACGTTGTTCGGACGTTCCTTCGCGGTGGTGACGGGCCTGGACTTCGGATCGGAGCCAGGGGATTAGCTCTGAGCTTCGGATGTCGAATTCTTCGCGACGGACTAGATTGCGGACTTTGTAGCCACGTTCCTTGCTGTCTGCCTTTGCGATTACGATCCAGCGGTGGTTGTGCTCCCGGTATTTCGCCATTAACTCTTCCAGAGAGGAGGCGTCCACGGCTATTTCGGCGCTGATGTCGTTCGTCCAGAGGTCTTCAGCGATCTTTATTCCGGTCGTACGGAGGACCGTTGGATCGAAACTGGCGACCAGGACATCGCATCTGCGGGTTGTCCAGTAATCTGCGCCGGTGTCTGTTTCTTTTGGAGGGGCTCTGGTTTGGAGGTATCCGGCCATTGACATTACAAGTCGATCGGAGCTGAGGTTGAATCCGACAGCGTGTGCTTGTGGCCGACTGGACAGGGCCTTCGGCGAGAATTCTTGGATCAGACGGTCATATCGGCCACCTGCAGCGAAGACATCACGGCGCTTTTGATCGAAGACACATTGGAAAAGTATGCTTCCTCGGTAGAACTTGTCGTTCAAGCTGCTCAGAGGGTTGATGTAGATTTTGCGTTTCACACCAAAGCTTTGCAGGTAGGTCATGAGCAGGTTCAAGCGAGCAAAGATGGCGGGAACTCGATCTGCGTATTCGGTGCCTTCCATAATGGCTTGCAGTCTCCGCTGCGTTTCTTTCGGTGTATCTATTATTTGAATATTAGTATTGTTTGTTCGACGGCAGAATATTTCACACATACCTCTGAAGTCAAACCGAGCAAGGTCGTCCAGCGAGGTAGACGCCACACCAATCGATGGAGACCGAAGTTCACTGCGAATCTTTTGCATCGTCCATTTCCCAACATTGAGTTTGCTGATAATCTCTTTCACCAACGGAATTTGAGAAGCAGTAATGCGACAGAATTCCATGATAAGCTGTAGGAGATCAGAGTGATTGACAAGGAAGCACATTGAAGCTGACCGGAGGGGCGGAAATTCTTCAATAATCTCGTCTACTACTTTGATGACCTCGGCCTCTTTCAGAGCAAGATCCAAAGTGTTGTAGGAAACGATATCGAAGTCCACCTCCCGATGAGTCCGGGGCTCACTTCCATGAGCCGAATCTCTGTAAACAGTTCCAAAAGCAAATGTCTTTTCCAGCGAGCGATCCTGTCGGGGAATTGCACGCGCATTTGGGAGTGTGAGATCAAACGGCAGTTGTAGAAGGTGACCTGAAACATCCAACAACCGCACGGCTTGGCTGGAATAATGGTGAGATCGTGGGAATAGCATTTGTCTCGCCGATTCCACGGCGCCATGTCTTCGGAAGATGGAAGTCAATCTCTCCTGGACAAGGCCTTTAACGAGTAGCTCATTCGCAGCTGGGGCCCCGTGAGAGTCCATATCCCAAGCGATATCCTCGAATTTCTTCGGCGATTGTGAAAATATCGCAGAGAGAATTTTCTTGTAATCAGGGGAGTTTGGATCGGAGAGCAGATGCACAATTGCACGTCGAAAGGTCTCTTCTTCAACCTGAAGAGGAATCCTTCCACTAGACAGCAGCTCGACAGCTGTTGGCCGTTCGCTAGGCGTGTGATTGAGAAGAGACTCAATGATTTGGCCTTGAACAAACTTTTCAGATTGTTCAAAAGTAGATGGGAGTTTATGATCAGGCTCTCTGATCGCTCGAAGCGTTTCATCACGCTCCATGCCTGTCGGCAGCGGATGACACATCTCGAAGAAAATGACACCAAGGGAGAACATCTAACATAGATTAGCATTATGGATATATAGCACTTCTGGTTCAGTGATACTCACATCAACTTTCTCGTTGTACTGACCCGCATTTCCTGACTTCATCTCCGGTGCGACATAGTAGGTCGTTCCCAGACTACGGGTGAAATTGCCATCAAAATCACCTGGGGCGGACGAACGTACTGCTGTCGTGAATTGACCGCTAGTAGCGAGACCAAAATCACCAATGCGAGGGTTGTTGGCAACATCGATGAAGATATTGTCCGGTTTCAAGTCGCGATGAATAATGCCGTGGCTATGTATATGGCTCAGACCATCAAGAATCTGTCGGAAAAGGCGCCATGACCGATCGACATCATCACACAAGCCGTTCTTGATCAGATCCCGCAGTGTGTGCTTCTCACAATACTCCATTTGAATGTACAGGGTATTCAAGACCGGACGACCGTATGAGCCAGATCTAGTGTGGCTAAGCTCAGTACTGTCTTTGCTGTCCGTTGCGTACCATCCAGGCGAATCTTGATGACGACGCTCTGAGATTGTTCCCTCATTTTCTTCATCACTATCGCTGGCAGCAAATTCAATCTTGGGATACCCGCTGGAACTAATAAAATCAAGACCACCAGGGCTCAGTTCACGATGATCCTGGCTGCCAAATGAATCACCGTCGGTAGATGAAATGGCCTCTTCATAAATGTGATGGAAATCTTCCTCTAGCCACGCGGTATAGTACCGAACGACATAGGGGTTGTTCAATCGCGAAAGAAGCATAATTTCAGATAGGGTATCCTTCAACGCTGGGGCGGAGGACTCGGTGATCTTTTTGACGGCATAAAATCGACCATCGAGCTTATTTCTTGCTTTGACGACTTGTCCAAATCCACCTCGTCCGAGGTGGCCCGCTTCGTCAAAATCGTGATGGTATCGCGAGAATGTTGGGAGGGTGCCAAAAGAGTCCAGTCGGGGCCTCCTCTGCATGGATACAGAATTGGAAGTTCTTTCACGCATTGTTAAAGGCGCATCAACCCGGAAGAACTCCGACGGCAGCAGTTGGAAGGCAGTCGCACGTTTCTTGGGGTCAGGTCGGAAGAACTCCCGAAGTAGATCCTGCAATGACGGGGAGAGACCTAAGGAAACCATTAATTGGTTGGCAGAGGTATATCTTAGCAAGACATCTTTTCCGAAGGCCATCTGCAGCATAACAATGCCCAGGTCCCAGACATCAGTCTTCATAGTTGGTAGAGCGCCCTCCTGTGTCAGCTCAGGAGGAATCCATAGTGGCGACTTGGATGCATTCAGAGAACGCTTTGTACCAGGGGAGTCTGGCAGAGCCTCTTCCACGCTAGACTGTAGCTTTACAGTCGTTGCACCGGATCCATTCCTGAATATCATGACTCGGCCACAGTTGATAGTTCCATGGACAAATCCGCTCCGGCGATAAAATTCCAGGGCTTCGAGAAGTTGAATCATCCAGCCGCGGAGTGTCTCAACTGCAACAGTACCGACAATATCAAGAAGTTCAGAGAGCGAGCCTTTGTTAGCATGCTCAAAGAGAGCATACACGGTCCACAGATCATCCGACGAATTGAAATCGCTAATAGGACGAGTGATTTTGAATCCTACAAAATCAACTACATTGGGATGCCGAAGTCGTTTCAGGCTCTCCAATTTATCCTCGCTGGTCCGCATCTGCTCACGGAATGAAACAACATTCGAGCTTTTCTCATCTAGGAATATCTCCTTGAGGACTAGTTGCGGGACATGGCACCGACCTTCGGATACAACTGGCCTCACAGTGTATGTTGTCTTAGCCTGTTGGGAGTGCAGTAGTGTTTTTCCATGCACGGCACGGAACACCAATGGTTGACCATCAGTATCATGTACAGCCACCGGCGGGTCAAAGGAAATAGCACCCGGCGTGTTCTCCACAAGATCATCCACTTCATTGGAGTCCACCCCACTAGTGCGGCTCTTGCGTCGCAAAGCTCGGACTCGGTTTCGCTGCCGAATCTTATCCTGAAGCATTGCCTGCAGAGCGTGCTCTTCCGCCGCACTAGCAGCTTCCTGTTTGCGAATTTCCTCCTGCTTTTCAAGCTCCGCACGTTGAATGGCTGCCGCTTTTTGTTCCATCCGCTCCTCTTCAAGACTGGGGAGGTCTTTATTCTGCTCACGCGCTTGCGCTACATCCTCCAGAATATCCTGGATCGATACCGCCAGCTCATAAATCATTTCAGACCCCAAGAGGGAAGCGGGCTTTTCGCGAATGATTTCTTGAATGCGGGAGCGGGCCCCATCGCGAAAGTCGTCCAAGTTGTTCAGAGAAAGATTAGGGACGCTTTTAGGGTAGGTGGCAGGCAGCTCAACTAGAAGCCTTAGACAGATATCTGGATTGGAGGAGGCCCGAAGGTGGAGCTTAAAAATCACGTTCGAGGATTGCTATGTTGGGTCGTAAAGGTCAGTCACGTCTATAACATTGAAAGTCAAGAACACGAGAACAGAAGCTGATACACACCTGCCATGCTGATGGCCGGTTTTCGACGTCTTCAAAATCATCGCCATAGATTGAGCGAAGCGCTGCCACCTCATTAAGGTGAATTTCTCGGTAATTGGTAGTTGGGATCGGGGATGTTAAGGTCGATGAGTCGGAAGATTGCTTTTTCTGGCGGGGAGCTTTCTTCCTATTTTTGGGAGGCATCGCGGGGGCGTGGCGCGAAATCGCCCTACATCCGGATTTGAGTGAACGACATGGGGAACGAAAAAGAAAAATAACAATAGGAAGTAAGAGAACAAGGTTCTCCAGGGCTGTAATTTCGCACGAGGGGGAAAAACAGGCGGTCAGATAGAACTTGAGTTATCGATAGCAAAAGTGGAGTCACCGCTTACTATGAATTGACGTCCCGTTGGTTACAAGTATACTCGAACACGAATATGAGCATATTGCAAGAGATCTGGAAATCTAATGCGTATATTTTATCTGTACTTCAATATAGCCAGGCCAGAATGATTGCGCATAAGGTACAGAAGACTCCCTGCCCAAGTGTGGAGATGTCTGCGTTGGTTAAACTCCTATACATTTGGCACTGCAGTAGTCGGTGCCACCATTTGGTGGCTTCAACCTTTTGTCAAATTGACCCACATACGTACTGCGCAGTCTTGCTGCTAATCTTCAAACATTCGAGAAAAATTCATCAATAGTAAGAATGTTCGAATGGCCGTCTGCGAGTAGTATAAAACCCTCTGATAAGAGTGTAGAATTAGGAAGAATCAGAAAGATTAGCTACTGTACGCATGGTAAATGGGCTCTACGCTGTTGAAACATGGCTTTTGCCTCCAAAGTACGTTATGTGATCCACTTATCATCATTGTGGGTCGTCTAGAAGAGTTGGCCACCTAGGTTATACTAGTCGGTGTACAACATACGGGGTCATCAAGCCCATGATCATAAATCTGGGCAAGGACAGCGTAAAGAGATTCGAAATGAAAATTCATTTATTGGCATAGCCATTCATCTATCCTGCAGATCCAACCCGTAGAGAACCTATTCCTCTTCCAGGATACTAACCCCGGTAAATTGCATGTAGCCTTGCTCTGAGGATCCAATTGCCCTGCGAATCAGTGTCACCAAACTTGGAAATGCAATATGGCTCATGTAACTCATGGGCAAACGGTGCGAAGAATCGAGTCTCCCACTACCAAGATCAGCGGTACATACTGCGGTACATACCACCAATGACTCCACTTGCCTTGGCTGTGAGACTAGCAAATCGCGCCGTCGGCGAATCCAACTGTACTAGTAAAATCAAAGACCAACCCAGAGAATTGGAAGTGTCGAAGAAAAGGGCAACTTGGATGGCCAGTCAAAGAAACTCCGATTTAGAAAGAGGCATACTGTCACGTAGTAACCGTGTAGATTTGACGTTTGGATTTGGCAGTTAGCGGTGTGCGTGATGCGAGGAGCATGAGGTCACATCAACAGACAAGGGGCTATCACACGATTAGGGGCCGCCAGTCCGGCTGATGATTTCTCTGGGTGTCTAAAATTATATTTTGTACTCCAGGTCATTTTCTTAATTTGATGTTAGACCTTCGGGGCATTTGGAAAGACGCGGCTCCGATCTGATGTTGATTGATTACCAATAAGCGCCCTTCCCCGACGCGTTGTTTACTCGTCACAATTTCTCCCGCTTACCTCTCCGCACCACAGCAAAATGCTGGACTGGATGAAGGGAACTGAGCCAGAGGCCGCAGGTGAGTCTATATGTCATAAAGCAGAAAGCAAAATGTTAATAAATTACAGACACCTCTAAGGTGCTAGAGCCCCCCGAGACCCCAGCTCCCGTATTTGCGATTCGCGCCTTCAAGAGTGCTTTGTTTGGGACCCCAGGCGCAGACGATGAAAAAACCCCTCACCCAGCGCAGCCAAAGCAATCAGTTCAAGATCATCGGCGCAGCAAAAGCGATACCACCAAACCTGTGCCCATCCCCATCCCCCAGAAATTGGAGCCCAACAAACCCGATCTGGACGCGATAGCAAACCCCTCAGGCTCCCCAACAAAGAGCATTCTCGTCACGCCAGGGACGATCTCGAACCGACGGAAGACTGTCTCTTTTGGTGAAAGTGTGGTGGACAATGAAGGGAAACGCGACAGTAATTCGCTGAAGGTGGTCAAGACGCCCCCGAATCCATCAGGCAATCTTAGCACTCAGTGGTTGTCCGGGTCGGCCGGCGGCAAACCGCACAGCAAGCTGACGCAGACCTTGATGGATGCTCGCGATAATGCGACAAAAAATGCCGACTCGAACAAATCCTCGGATGCTACGTCCGATGCCAACACCGTCACGCGCTCCCAGTCCAAAGATGATAGCGAAGGGGAGGATATTACGCTTAATTTGGATGAACCCCGGTCGGAATCCGGTAAATACTGGAAAACCGAATTCGATAATTATCGCGTACGCACGAACCGCGAAATCAAGAAATTAATCCATTACCGGACTATTGCGAAGTCTTACGCCCGCAAGAAGGATTCAGAGGCTCTTCGACTGGCGGATAAGCTCAAGGAGGAAGAAGAGAAGGTCGCGGAGATGGAGCGCCAAGTGACACGCCTTGCGTCTTCGATCACAGGACAAGGATCCAAGGCCGATAATGAGCAGTTGATCCAGGACTTGACAAAGCAAACCGCCTTGGCACTACAATACAAGCAGCAGGTCACTTCCCTGCGTACCCTCCTTGAGCAACAGGGGGTTGTCAAAGGTGGAGAGGCTCAGGTCAGCAAGCCAGCCAAGGAAAAGCCATCTTCAGAGACGTCCTCTGATGAGCTCCGGAAAGCGCAGAAGGAGCTCAAGGAAGCAAACGCCAAAATCGATGAGCTGAAGCGTCAAAACCCCGACCTGAGCACGCTTGAAACTCTCGCACAGAGCTCAGAAAAGAAGGCGCAAGAGCTCGAAAGAGAGAATAATAGCCTCAAGCAAACCTTAGCCCGTGTCAAGCAAGAAATGTCGCGATATGAAGGCCGGCGCAAAGAAAAAGAGAACAAGTTGAAGCAAAGAGAAGCCAAGCTGGAGGCACGCATTCAAGAGTACCGCGAGCGCCTCAAGAACACCACCCAAGAGCACCGACAATCAGAGGAAGCATTACGAAAGAGCTTCGATGACGAACGCCGCCGTATGCAGAGCCAGATTGACCAGCTAAGGACAAGAGTGTCAGCTGTAGAACGCGCCCCTACTCTCCGGCCTCAGCAACGGCATTCGCTCAGCCCGCGCAAGGAATACACGGGCGTGCAGGTATACGACTTTGCAGGCCAAAGCCAGACCCAGACCCAGAACCCCGATCACCCCGAGGTAGAGGAAGAAGCCACAGAGGACATCGAGGCACCACCCAGTCCGAGTCCACGCTCTAAATCCCGTGAAGCGCGACACGCACGCAACGCCACAACCGGTACCCTCGAGCTTAAACGTGCATCCCGAGATTTGCGAGACATCGCCGCAGACGACGATGAAGTTACACACTACCTGAACGAAATCCTTCCTCGACCTGCTCTCCGTTCTCGTCATACAGAACCGGATGTCATTCCTCCTTCCTCGCCCCCTGATATCAGCGCGCTTAAGTCTCTCGGCCGTGGACATCCAAAGTACCAACCTGGTGAAAACCAGCGCACATATCGTTCTCTCTACCTTCGAGATCCGGACGCAAATACCAATACAAATACACAACCAGCTTATGCAAACTCACACCGCCCACGAACACACATCAGGTCTACTTTGGAAAGTATTTCCGGACCGACTGCTTCACGGGTGGGTAATTATGCTGGATACACCATCTCTGGTGGAGAGCGGCTTGGGAGACGGTATGGATTGGCTAATGTGACCAGTGAAGCCCTGTCCCCCGAGCGAATTGCTGCGGCCAAGTCGCGGTTGAGGCAGAAGCGTGAGAAAGCGAAGGCTTCGGGGAAGGAGAATCTCTGAGGTTCATGGTTGTTTGATCAGAGTTAACGATCCATTTCTTTGTTAATGGAGGTGGAATTCAGTCTTTTTTTCTGGATGTGTATAGGGATGTTTCTACTTATTTTTTAGCGACGAATTGAAATCTCAAACCAGAATACCAATGAATCGAGAAGATCCATGTACACCATTGTGGAGCAATATCTGCGAATCTAAGATCTTCAGGCTGATCATATTATTGATATAGGCTTTTCGGTCGTTTTTTCCTAGGTCTGGGTCAAAGATAGAGGTCATTGTCACGACATAGGCATGAGCTGGTGGGTAAATGTACTTATGATTTGATAATGAATAACTAGCTATGGAGACTAACAAATATGGGATTCACGTTCACGAACGCCATGCAACCGTCATACTCCCATATACAGCGGGTCGATTTCCATGGAAAGCGGTTTGGGCCCCAAATGAAGAGGGTGGAGCCACAAGTGGAGCCTCAAATGAATAGGGCTGAGTCACGAATGTAGATGGTTGAGCCACAATTCTAGAGGGTTGCGCCCCAATTGCAGAGGGCTGGCTCTGAGAAGCAAACCCAGAATACCCAGAGTTTATCTGAGCTGGTGTAATCTGACCATCTGTGACTGGCTTGGGCTCAACCACATACTTATTGAGAGTTGCCACACACAAATCGTGGGTGAAATCAGGGTTCAATTTCAAAAGCCTCGAGCTGATAATCCGGTATTCCCCTGCCCAAAGATGGAGAAGGCTTTCCTTGATATTGTCAATGGCCACTTTTCTCAGCTCCTGGTAGTCCGCTCTTGTTGAGTATATTTCCTTGATAACATCTTCAAAATCGTCGTCGTCAATCAGATCACAAAGAGAGGCTGAAGGCGGGTCATCGGGTCCGTAAGGCAGAAATGAACGGCGGAAACCTTCCATCATTTTCTGTTTGAGATCATCGATCATGAAGTAATCCGCCTCTGCGTATAAACGCACATTTTGGTATATTGCATCACGGTAATATAGCGAACCATCTGGAGGTAAATATTGATCCGCGGGGAAGTATGGCTCAGTAATATCTCCCGTGTACAGGAATTCAAGCACTTGCTCAATGAGCATTGGATCTTTGTCATCCAGACAGATCGGGCCCTAGATGACATTATAAGGGTTCAGTTCTCATTCCCACAGATTTAGACAGCCCTGAAAGCCTGGATGTATGTTGTCTCACCTCAAATTTGCTATCACAAACTCGATCGAAAAACGCTGATCGTGGGCAAATAACGAGCTTATGTATGTGAAAGGTCTTCCCTTGGCATGTGATTGTCATATCACTATGCTTTGTGTTTCGATACGCGCTGAACCCACATTAATGACGGTTTCAGTGGGTTAGAGGTTTGTTTTGTAGATATCCATATCTTACCCTTTAATGAGGCTAAGAACTGCCTCCGTGTGTACTAATGAAGTAGGCTCTTGGGCCTTGCTGTGAATTGCGGGAGACATCAAGGCTTGTGAGTCAGGGTATTGATAATTTTTGCGTTGTGTTGTTTCGAGAAGAGATGGGCCGCTTGTCGGCGCGGAGAATTTTTTTCTAATAGATTAAGAATCAGTTCAGGTACAGGTGGGGGTCGAAGGGTTAATATATAGCCTCAGATCATAGCCTACGCTGCCCAGGAATGCCTCGGAAGGCAGGATGGACTTTTGAAACAAACAGATGTTTTGATGCGGTGAACTATAGGCTCAAATTGCACCAGGAAGCAAGAACTAGTTAGGTACCTCTGATGGCTGCCATGCCGCTCCTGAATCGCTCGGGGAGGAAAGCGTAGACACATTGAGGGCCTATACTTAAGCGCCTACGGATCCAACTTCGGTGTTGTCAAGCAGTTGCCGCCCCCATCCTTTCTCCTCATCTTAGATTGGCAGAAAACAAAGATGCTAAATTTACAATCGAGTCTCTCTATAACGCGATGTCTCAAGTGGCCTAATTTTAGGCATCTTGATTTATCATATGCGACAAATTATTTCTCCGTATATGTACTTTGATCCATTTCTGATAAGGTTGCAAGATCGTCAGAGCCCTCAGAGACAGTAAGAATTGTGCTCACCGTACGCTCCTTCTTTCCACATTCAATAACAAAAGCTGACCATTCTCCAGCCCAATAACTATCTGATCGCCTCGTATATCATAACACCGTGGCACCGACTCAGGGAGTAGTCGAAGGATACGCAACTCGCAATGATTCAAAGATAGCGCTTTTTTCATCCGCTGGACGAGCTTCAAGCCATATAGGACCAATATTCGTGATGATAAAGCGGTTATCTGGTGAGAATTTGACGGTGGTGACATTCTCAGGCGTCTTGATTACGCGCCATGGAGGAAGCTTCAAACGACGGTCAATGACCCGTCCAGGATATTTCGAGGCTTTGAAAAATGACCTTAGATCCCAAAGGTTGATAGTCCTATCCTTGGAACTTGACACTATCTGCTTGCCGTCCGCAGAGAAGGCCACAGCTGACACCAATCCGGAGTCGCCTAATAGTGTCTTCTGATGCTCGCCTGTCGCAGTATCCCAAAGTTCGATGTTGTTGTTAGAACTTGACGCGATTTGCTCGCCATTTGGCGAGAAGGCCATGGCAAATACCCAGTCTGGTTTGGGTACTAGTGTCTTTTGATGCTCGTGCGCCACAGTCCGCCAAAGCTTGATGGTGTTCTCAAAAGAGGTTGAGACAGTCTGCTTGTTATTCAGAGAGGCCTCGGCTGCCACCTTATCAGAGTGGTCTATTAGTGTCGTTTTGTGGTGTTCGTCTATCATGGAGTTCCAAAGCTTTTTGTTGTTAACCCAAAGCGGGTCTCTCTCGATCAGCTTGGCTTTCACATTTTTAGTAAGGCCTTCGAATGTCTTCTGGTAGTCGCCTGTCGCGGCATCCCAAAGCTTGATAGTGTTATCCTCCGAGCTTGACACGACTCGTTTGCCGTCCGGGGAGAAAGCCACGGCTACCACGCTAGCAGAGTGGTATATCAGTTTCTTTTGGTAGTCATCGCTTAAAGTAGCATCCCATATTTTGATAGTATTGTTATCAGAACCTAACACGATCAGCTTGCCATCAAAGGATAAAGCCATTGCTGTCACACACTCGGCGTGGCCTAGTGTCTTCTGGTGGTTGCCTGTTGCAGCATCCCAAAACCTGATGTTTTCATTGAAGCTTGACATGATATGCCTGTTATCTGGAGAGAAGGCAACAGCCGATGCAAAATCAGAGGGGCAAATTATTGTCCTCTGGTGGCGGCCTGTCACCGCATCCCAAAGCTTGATATTTATATCAGAGATTGAGACGATCTGCTTACCATCTGGAGAGAGGGCCATGGCTCTAAAAGTCTCTGGGTAACCTAGTGTTTGATGATCGCCTGTCACTGTATTTCAAAGCTTGATATCTCTATCAATGCATCTTGACACAATCCGCTTGCAATCCGGAGAGATAGCCAGCTCCCTTATCCTGCTGGTGTGGCCTATTTCCTGAATCAAAGCTGTCCAAGTTTTCTCCATAGAAGGAGTCTTTTCCAGCCATTCAGGCATCTTATCAATATGACTTGTCCTTACAACGCAAGATTGTGGACTGAAGATAATCGCAGAGCTATAGGCTTGTAATGGCCACTTTTCAAGGGTGTGGTAATGTCGCAAGAAGAAACGTTTAGCATCCCGCGCAAATATTGAGACTGGATGCCTGTCCTTGAGCAAATTTACTAACTGAATTCCCTCATAATACATATATTGTAAAGACTCACTTCTGCTTGGTTTTCCAGGGCCTTTAATCCATCAAAGGCATGCGGTAGTCTGTTCAGCAGACTGAGACATTCTAGCCATTCCAAGAACTTTTTGTGGAAGAAAACCATCACTATCTCTTCCCCTATGAGCCCTTTCTGTGATAAGTCTGTGGGATGAACATCGCAAAGGTGCTGCACCCAGAAAGTCGCTGCGTAGTCCACACTATCTAGCAAGATATGTAGGTCCTCATCTTTGAGCGTCTAGAGGTATTCCCTGGTCGAATCTGGTCGTGGAAGTTGCATCAAGTTGATGCGAAGCCGTTGGGTCAAATAGGACACACAGCTAAGAGCAATTTCTTTATGCCGAAAAGGCTCGTACGAGTCCAGTAAAGATTGACCACTCTCTCCTTTCAAGAAGTCTTGAGCGGACTTATGCACAAGATAGATGCAATCTCCTCGTATTATGAGAAAAGAAGCACATCGATCTACCCATGCTTCAAGAGTGCTCTCTTCAGTAGAGAGACCAGACACGCTAGCAAATTCCTCCAGTCTCAGAGGCCTGTATGACAAAGTTATCACTTGGAGCAGCCGTATGCATCCCTTTATATCGGATACATCGCCCATCCTTAGCTGTTCGAATGCTCTAAGATAGAAATATGGGCCGCATGTCCCACATTTTGATATTTGTGAAGTCATATTGACCCTGACTTGATCCTTTGCCAGTACTGTACGAACCCTTAGTCATTTGTTGTTGTACCCCGCTTATCAGGTGATCTCTACAGCCTTGAAGCAGGGGCCCTGTTTGTTTTATGTTTGCTTAGTATTACTTGGTCTTCTCTAGTATGTATTCTATGGGATGATTGGTGCTTGATGCACAAGATAAATTTAGATTGTCTGATCCCGTATTGCCTTTACTTTGAAGTTAGCCGGGTATCTCTGTACCTATAGACCAAAGCATCGAAACAAAGGCTTGGTCATTATATCATCATATCGTCGAAAACACGGCACAATTCACTGTAATAGGACATGTGGTATTGTTTTATTCTCATTTCTTCGGATATACAAATTGGAATTGGGGTTTGGCCATCCAATGACGATTCGCGAGTACAATTCGCTCTACAAAGAGAGAAATATGAAAGCTTGTCTTTGTTCTGCGCTGGCTTTCTCTTCAAACTATGTACTCACCCTAAACACTTCCTTCATTCACACTTTTTGGCTGAGAAGGGATGGTGAAGGTACCAGTCAGCTCAGCTTCACGGCCCTCCCACCTTTCTATTGCGGGGCCAATGTACTGTTCTTTGGCATGCAGCCACCAATTAGCCAGACCGAGCAAAAGACAAAATCCTAAAACCACGCATGTGTAGTCTAGATTAGGAAGGATATTATTAGTCTAGCCTTCAGGGTACTATCGAAATTTCACGCCTGGGAACAAATGGGACTTACTCATCGTAGAAGCATCCGTCGGGATAGTGACTGGCAGACATAGTATAATAGTCATGAGAGTAATGAATGCAACCGCGTAGATATTAACAATCCAGCCCAAGAAACTGGGCATACGGAAGCTGCGTGCAGGGGACAAGTAGGTCGTTGATCGCTTTCGAGCAATTACTAGAAGAATAGGTATGATGAATGATAACTGCTGAAGAATAACAGACGAGCCTATAATTGCATTGAAGGCTTATTTGACGGAAAGTGGTTAGTACAGACTTCACTATGCCATTTAGTTTCAAGGCTTTCTTACCCGTTTTCGAAGCGAGATATAAGAAGCCACATAAGAATGTCAACAGCCAGACTAGGAGTAAGCTCCATATGGGAACGTCCAAGTGCGAATGAATATCCTGGAGGTGCTGTGAGAATAATAGCCCCTTGTCGCGTGCCAGAGACCAGGCCAGGCGAGACGATGCCTCCTGAGTGGCAATTATAATAGTCATCGCCATGACAATGCTGAGGGAGACTATGACTATAGCGATCGTGCGAGATCGGAACCCTTGCTCCATGACTACAAACGGAACCCACCTACGAGGAGTTACTATAACCGTGAAACGAGGGGAGCGTGGGAAAATAAAACTTACTGAGTGGTGGTCATGACTTCTTCAATGTCAGATATGGCATAAACTTGAGCCACAGCATAGGCAAACCCAGTGGTGAAGCCAATTCCAATCGCACCCATCATAGTGCGGGGTACGACGATTTCTGGATTGCTGGACTCCTCGGCCATATGCATGGCACCATCGAGGCCATTGTACATGTAGCAAGACGTCGAGAGACCGATGAGAAAACACACGCCATCTGGCCATCCAGTATAATTCATGAATGTGTTCCAGACGAACTCATGGGATTCCTTCGGGTTCCCTCTTACCAGTAAGAGAATGAAACACGCAAAAAATAGAGCAATTGAAAGAATAACTGTGTAAACAATTAGGTCAATAAGCTTTGTTCAAGGGAATTTTCCAATACGAACACGCAAGGTTGTGAGTCCAAGGGTTCCGTTTGAGGATAAAGGCGTTGTATAGCATTGCAAACAGCGCAAATCCTTGGTAAACAAAGAAAACATGCCAGGATTGAGGCACAAAATCCGAGATACTGGTAGATACCAAAGCCAAGAGTTGCTGAGCCGCAATGCTAGTGACAGAAACTCCAATAACGAGCCATGAGAAAAGCGCCAATAACCCACACGTATATGACACCCCTCGTCTCCATCGCTCTGGAGCGAGGATAGAGGCAAAGTGATATTGCCCACCTGCTGATGGGTAAACGGCTGCTAACTCTGCCATTGATAATGCTATGGCAACGTAGCCTGTAGTGGCGACGAGGATTGAGTAGACAAGGGTGGCTGGTCCTCCGACCAGGAGTGCTAGCTGAAGGCTCCCGGCAATACCAGCCCAGCTATTACATATAACAAAAGCCAGGCAGAGCAAGGTGATGCCGTTCAGCTGCTTCTTTGCCTGATTAGGAGTAGAGTCCCCCATTTTCGGTTGCGGGGTTGAACTAGTATTTCCTTCGAGGGCTTCGGAGGGTTTCTGCATTGGCAGATATTGCGACTTTCGTAATGTAGCAAGAGGCCGTATGATGATATTATATCGGCGTACGTTTACCATCGATTTGGAATTTGTCTTCACGGCGACTCTTATAGTTCTTGATGTAGGAAGCAAAGAACCACAGGCAGAATGAAGAAGTTGGACCTCGGTATAGTTTCGTTATCAGCTCTCACCAGACATCCTTGTCAGCTTGGAGGCTTCTCCAATCACCATTGAGGTCAGGAAACTTTTCCGAGGAGAAGAGACGGTATGAACTCAAATTACATGGAATGCGGTGTTCAGCAGAGTGGCCGTGGATAGATCAACCATTTCGGTACTGACTTTTGACCGACCGATCACACCACACGAAACAAAAAGCCAATGAAACTCATTTTGTCGCTAACTTGAAAGATAATGTTCTAAATCAAGGAATCTCTTCTTATCCATTAGGCTGTGAAGCACGTTGTCAAAAATCCGGCCCTTGCTTATCAGGGACGGTAGGGCATAACAGGAATGACAGTGAAGATAGGATTGCTGTTCCCTTCCATCTCCAGTAATAAAATTACCAAGCAAACATACGGAGCGGAGTAATAAGTGTTCCAACCTTCTCCGTCTGCCGGTTTATCGGGATTCGGGCTTCGGGTGTCGGATTTGGTTCATCAATGGCTCATTGCTTGTCTATGATGGTCCTCGTGTCTTCCCCACAAGGAGCCATCATATTGGGCCCAAAATGCATGGTCAACCGCACTTAAGGCCCTATTTCCACTTAGATAGCAGCTGGCTAGATAATCAATCTCAAGATACGGTTGGTGACATACGATGGATGAAATTGAATTGAGGTGTTACGGATCTCAAGTGTACCTGAGGGCCGGAAAACTAACTTTCACCGAACTTGCTGGGCGTCGAGAGGCAAGAAGACTGAGCCGGACCCCAATGGAAATTTGGCCAAACATGATGACCCTGTGGTTTCTGACTCTTGAAACCGTGCACAATATCGAATCCAATACAGTACTAGCAATAGCAATGATCTGCCAATATTGGATCCCCTCAGGCCCAAGCGCTTAACCGCATTAAAAAGGAAGCTAGCAAGAGCGAGTTTGAGAGCCATATCCAGTTTCCAATCCATGAAGCACTCACGGAGTACTACCCCAGTAATGGAGCGAACGTTCTAGGGATGAAATCTTCGCCGTTGGCTATGCACAACCCCGGAACAACTGCATTAGCTAACATTTCCTACATGAAGTGTCTCATCTCATGGCATGCGACTTAGTTTCCCCTCTTTTCGAATTGTGGATATGATCTTCTTGCTCCACAGGTCGGGCCTCGGTGCTCATGATCTTCCCCACTCGGTTGTCGGAGAGAAAGGGAGAAAGGGAGAGAGCTAGGTTATCTTTTCGCACTCGGAACAACCATCCGCCCGATTAACTTTGAAGCTCCGATACCGAGCTAATTAAGTTCAGCAGTTGGAGAAATGACCTGTTTTACCCTAAGTAGAGATGATCATCAGAACCGAGTACGATAATACCAAGCTCTGTATGGAGTACGGATTATGCAGTGGAATAAAATTGGGACAACAGGCTGACCAATCCAACACTCTATCGAGGCCAATGCACGGAGTAAGATAGTCCAGGTTCCACTTTTCATCGTCAAAGCTTCACGATCGATGCTCCGCATTGATAAGGTCTGTGTCGACATCACAAGACAATCCTTAACGGTACTCCGATCCATATGGTTATTTTCCAATGAGATTGGCGCGTACAACTTGCAGGGAGGGATCTGGCAACTGAAGTATAAGTAGCGCCACATCGACCATGTTATTTCCCCTAAATTGTAGCTCATTCCTCGATTTACTCCAAGTGATGGCACACCTACTACTTCGAAGTATGAAAGCTGAGGGTTTTCTGTCAGTTTTAATACTATTGTTTTCTTGGTGGAGTGTTGGTTCTTTGAGTCATCCAACCGACGGAACGGGGAGCTCGTATGGTCATGAGAAGCGAGCCAGGGATGGAAGCACGTTCCTTGTCGGCGTCGGAAAGGCCGATATCACTGGGTGAGAGACCTATGCTACCTTGCACTATGACTTAACTAACGAGCTGCAATGATCAGCGCGGTAGTCCAAGTCCCCTTTTCAGGTTATGGACAGCTCAACCAGACAGGGACCGGTCTCCGCCAGAGAACTTACGCTCGGTCATTCATTTTTGCTGATCCTGCCAACCTCACTAGCTCTTTCATTTACGTGGTACTCGATACTCAATCGGGTGATACTGCAGTTCGACATGGCATTCTTCAAGGGCTTCGAAACCTTGGAGGGAAATATGGAAATTTTGGAGAACATAATGTCGCTGTGTGTGGCACACACCAGCACTCTGGGCCGGGGGGATGGATGAATTACTTACTTCCTCAGATAGCGACACTTGGCTCTGATAAGCAGACTTATAACGCAATTGTTGAGGGAACTCTTCTTTCGATCCAAAGAGCATATGACAGTCTTGCCCCCAGCACGATCAGCGTCGGTACTATCGATATTCCGGATGGAAATATCAACCGCAGCCCATATTCTTACTTGGCAAACCCGGCAGCTGAACGAGCTCAGTACAGTTCGGATACGGATACAACAATGACACTCCTGGCGTTCGATCGTCTCTCAGACGGTAAAACTACTGGTGTATTGTCATTTTTCTCTGTGCATGGCACCTCGCTCTACAATAACAACACGCTCGTTACAGGAGACAACAAAGGTGTTGCAGCCTATCTCTTTGAGAGAAGCGTTGCTAACGATACTCGATTTGCTGATAATTTTGTCGCTGGCTTTTCACAATCAAGCGTTGGAGACTCGAGTCCCAATGTGTTGGGCCCATTCTGTGAAGATACGGGATTGCCGTGTGACTTCAAAACCAGCACATGCAATGGCCGGACTGAGCTTTGTCAAGCGCGTGGCCCTTATTTCAGCGAAGGTGACAACGGAGCCAAAAGTGCATTTGAGATGGGCCGTCGCCAATACAACGCCGCATTTCAGCTATATGAGCAAATAGCCTCCGGCTCGGGAGTACTGCTCTCGGGAGAATCGGCGGTGGCGTCTTACCATACGTACCAGAACATGTCGGGTTACGAATTCATTTCTCCGTTCAATGGTAGTCTTCAATCGACTTGTTACGCAGCCTTGGGTACTTCATTTGCAGGAGGAACCAGTGATGGACCGGGGGCCTTTGATTTTACTCAGAATAATACGTCTCCCAATCCCTTTTGGCAGCTCGTGCGGGGTGGGCTTCACCAGCCAGGGCCTACACAAATTCAGTGTCAATCTCCCAAGCAGATCTTGTTTGACGTTGGAGCTATGAACAAACCATATGCTTGGGCTCCTGATATTGTTGATGTTCAAGCCCTTCGTCTTGGCCAACTCCTTGTCATAGTTTCTCCAAGTGAGATCACCACTATGTCTGGACGTCGATGGAAAGCCGCCATTGCGGGCGCGGCCGAAAGTGTTCTATCCATCCCCGATCCTATCATTGTTCTGGCATCTCCAGCAGACTCGTACGCACACTACATCACAACAGAGGAGGAATACGCCGTGCAGCGTTATGAAGGGGCATCAACCCTTTACGGACCCAATCAGCTGGCGGCATACGTGAACCTTAGTCTGACATATCTGCCATATCTTGGAGTCTCAAAAGAGGTGGTCAGATTGCCCAAACTCCCTGAAGGCCCCAGCCCTCCAGTTACTACGAGTTACTCTCTCTCATTCATCCCTGCTGTCGTCTTCGACAGCCCTGCTATTGGCCATTCGTTTGGGGATGTCCTATCTTCTTCGCCAACCCATGTCTACTCGGTGGGAGATTACGTTTCAGCCACCTTCGTTGGGGCTAATCCGCGTAATGACCTGCGCTTAGAAAAAACTTATGCAGCTGTGGAAATGAAAATTGACGGTATTTGGGAAGTTGTACGCACTGACGCGGACTGGAACCTGGTCTTTCAATGGAAGCAAACAAACGTACTGCTGGGTACGAGTCAAGTGAGCTTGACCTGGCAGATTGAGGATCCGTACTACCTTTCAGGCTGGGGCAAGGCTCTACAAAGCGGGACATATCGTCTGCATTATTATGGAGAGTCCAAGGATCTGTTTGGGACCATCTCCTCTTTTGAGGGAGTGGGACCTGAGTTTAGCCTCCAAATATAGCCAGGTCGACTATAGGATCAGAATGTGTATTGTTTCAACTCAGCAACTTTCTATCTTTCTATCTATTTGGGGGGCTTGATGTTTCCATTTCCCCCCAAATTGCGGTGACGTTCTTAACATCATTTGCTCTCATATTGGAATTATGTCTCATATTTACCCAAATATCACTTTTTGTAGTACTGTAGAGAGATTTACCAAGCTATAGGGACTTTTAATCCTGACCTTATGCGAGACACCACTCATAACTCGTTTTTTTTCTGGACCTAGAGCTAAAAATATGGCTCATGTCTCCCGTGTTAAACCCAATGTTATGGTGCGCTCCCGAGCCAAACTTTCAGAGCCAAGAAGCAAAATCTCAAAATGCAGTGCTCTTTTAGATCAAGACATGGATCAATTTGTAGTTGGGAAAAAGTCAATGCCAAGCACGGGTCCTCCAAAGAGATCCATGATCTCCAGACCAGGAGTGAGCCTGCCATCTGCAAACACGGAGCTATTATAAAACAAGTGTGAAGAGTTCTGGGATAAATCATTGGTCATCGAGTGAGAGGCAACCTAGTCGGGAATTTAGTATGAGATAAACACCGTAAATCTCCAAGCTTTGGAGGCAATGCTAACCTTCCAGGGACTCTGGCTATGTGTAAATGTGCTTGTGCCATAAGTCTCAGATACAGATCGTTCAACAGCTGTATCCATGTCGCTGGCGCTGTTGATGTCGTTGACGTGAGCAGCCGGCGGAGAAGAGTGAAATGCGCGCGCGATGGACGCAAATTGCATTAGCATAGAGCCTGGTAAATACCCGCCAGTAGCGTACTCAAGAGCGCTAAAATAGCCAGTAACACTTTCAAGTAAGACAAGGCTACTGCCAACATCCACGTGGGCCGGATTGTGGATAATGAAGTCGAACAAGATAAACAGTGCAGTCATAGGCATGAAGACAATAATACTGAACATATCAGTAAATACAGACAAGCAGAAAAGGGAAAACGACTTACAAAAACGGGGTGGATGGTTCTTGGTAAATGGCCCGTGTGGCATCAATCACGGCACGTGCTGAGTTCATCATATCAATGATGGTTGACTGTTGAGATGTAGTCTGGTCGCGAGTAACATGAAGTCTCATACGGTGTAGAGATATTTTGAGCTCGTGATAGTGGTAGTGCACTCGAAGAGCTGCGAGGATTCCACATGGATGGGAGAACGCTTGTGGTCGTAACTTCGTGCCAGGTTGAAACTGACGAGGAATTGCTTGTCTTTGCTGCTCAAGGAGCCTCTCCAGTTCATCAATATTGACGAGATACGTTGCCTTTGAGTTGGTCGTTGCACTTATGGAGAACAAGTCGGTAAATATGCGCGAATAGAGTCTTGCAAACCGTATTGAAGTAAGAAACCAGTCAAATTCGCCGAAAACTGCCTCACGAACAACGGGTATAGGCGAGCCAATGTCACAGTCCATGATAAACTGTTGCACATGTCAGCGACGTATACAAGAGAGATCATTAGTCTTACCGAGGTAGTGCCGTGATGAAAAGTCACCGTTTTTTCGATGTAATATACCACCCAAAAAGCTCGACTACGGGCTGCAGCGTCGCTGCTGGTAGACGATTTATGTAAGAATGCTCGCTGTGCAACCCGTGCTGCCTCAGATATTATTTTTCCCTGTATCTGCGTGCCGGACAAATTAAGACAGAAGACGGCCTGTTGAAAGTTATTACCTTTTGTACTATTTACAGGCAGGATTAAATTTACCATGGCTGTGATTGACTAGATAGCGTTAGTCCTGGTAGGTGACTTTTATGATGCACGAGTGAAGGAAAGTCATAACTATTCTGCTTACCTGAACCTCTAGTAGGTCTGTGTTTAGCAACAAGACTTTCGGGTAAAGATCAAGTGCCACCTTGAAAAGACCCCAGGCTTCACCTTCACCAGGTGTGAATGCGCCTCCGCCATCAAATTCGCAAGCTAAAGCTAATACAGTATGATATAAAGCTGTCCACGCCAGTTCATTAGCATGACCAGTCTCAGTAGGAGCAAATGCTCTGGTCTCGAATTCGTCACGGTCCAAAAATGGATACAACGGGTGAATATTTTCGAAGTAAACTAATGTTAAAGGTCATTACCAGCTAGAATTGTGGGCAAGTATAGTGACATACTGCTGATCAGATCGCGTGCTCTTTGAGGCGATAATCTCGGCACATCGCCAGACTGGTTCCATATACTGGATGGACCAAGGTTGCGGTGGAGGACTTCCACACGAGACTTGACCATACCTGATATCTGTGCAACAAGTGACTTGAGTGCATCATGACCTAGTCGTGCGGAAAGATCTTCCAATCGGAGGTCGGAAAAGAAACTCATACTTGAGCTTGCCACTAGAACCAAATTAGGAAATATGCCACACGTCAAGTCTCAGTTCTCTCTTTAACAAACAATAATTCTCGTTGGCCTTTCATTCAGTTGTAAGTGTCAATTCATCTTAGAATTTTGACTCATCAAACTCACTCCTAGGAGAAATGAAGCATTCTGAGTGCGTCCAGTTGACTGCCGAATTTCAAGCAACTGGTCCACATAAAGGGGGCGAGATAAAGTATTTGGTGCCAGGTTTGGGAACTGTGAGACGTCTGGATTACTTCCATTTTCCATAAGCCTTTCGGAGGAAGAGGCGGTTGACAGTGGCGGTGCTTCAACCTCGTTGATTTCTTCTCGTGGAGGGCGGTCAGTGGGTGAATGTCTTGTGCTGTAATCACGAGACTTGTATCTCCTCTTCAGGGGACTGTAGACGCAATTTTCTCCATTCTTCTGTTGCGGATTGTTAGCTACTTTCTTTCCAACCGTTTTCCCACATACACGGCAGTTGGCACACGCTACTAAACGGTCCAGTGGCCCTAGCAATGTTTAGCCTTTGAAGTGAGTAAAAGGTATTCCATGAGAAGCCATACTATGGCACTTGACCTTGCGGGTCTTACAGGTATCGCAGACATTCGAGAGCCGCGAGTGGAGCATCGTAAGTCGGGTTTGTGAGAGGGAATGAAAGTTCGGGAGTGGGAATGGTACTTCGGGAGTCGCTTTTGCGTGACGCGATGACTAAAACAACTCGGGACTCGGAGGTCGATAATGTGCTAGTTCCTTTTTGCATGTGCCAGAAATCACGCTTGCTCTTGAACTTGACCTTAACGTTGACGCCATTCTCAGCCAGCCCGTCTCTATCCGAATTTCTCAGTGAAGACTGTTGAAAACGGTAGTCAAAGCACAAGCTCAATGCCAAGAATATGAAACCGCTGACAAGTCAAAAAATAATTGAAAATTGCTGGCTAGTCTATATATGTTCTCAACCTAAACTACCCCGTGATGCGCTCTAAACTTTATACAAAGTATCCAAAAATCCTTCCGCAAATTGAGAGACCGCATTCATATCCGCAATACTTCCCCCTACCCCGTAGAGCACCGCGCTCTTTCCACTCTGATGTACACTTTGCTCCCCAGCCTCTTTCCGCTCTTCATTTCGAAGCAATATCTCCGTGGTAACCTCAATCAAATCAGATATGAGGCTATCAACGGCTTCAGCTGTGGGTATAGTGAATGCACAATGAATAGCAGGTGGAGACTGCAGCGAGTTTAGGTGCCACCCTCTAGCATCCATAGCATCAGCGATATCGTATGTCTCAATCTCATCATTCTTGCTTGTGAAGGCGATGACACTAGCCAAGGGATGTCCAATAATCCCAAGATGACACTGCAAGACTGGGTTGGTGAGTATAGTAGTCTCAAATTTTTTCGCAGCGCCCACAATCTGCCGGCAGCTGTTTATGTAGCCAGCCTCCCCCATTCTCATCAGTGTAGCCCAGGATCCTGCGATCAGGGAACCAGGTCGAGATCCCGCCATGGATGGTGAAGCATACGCACCACCTGTCCAATCAGGAAACAGAAAGTATTGATAGTTTCGGTATGAGCGATTGCGATACAATAAGACAGAGCTGCCTTTCGGAGCAAACGCATATTTGTGGGTATCAACGCTGATGCTGGTGACTCCGGGCTGTCGGAAATCAAAGCCCCCGTCTTCTTCGTACGGAGATGGGAAGCCCGACTTTTTCAAGAAAGCAATGATAAGCGATCCCAAACAGCAATCAACATGGAGTGGAATGCCATGTTCAGTTGCCAATTCTGAAATCTTTGGGATATCATCGACAATGCCGTGCGGGTAGTTCGGTGCAGATGCGACCAGGAGGACGGTGTTTTGATTGATCAGCCGGCGAATCTCGGGAACAGATGCTTTGTATTCAGGAGCTGGACATGAAACCAGGTGGAGCTTGATTTTGAAATACTTGGCGGCCTTGAAAAATGCCGCATGAGCGGTACTTGGAATGATCCTGATCAATCAGCACTGCAGTCAAAGATACACAAACGATGACATACATCTCCGGACTTGTGATGCCGCGCTCAGCTGCTGCCTTCTCCCGAGCTGCCAGGCATGCCATAATGATAGATTCTGTGCCACCACTTGTGGTTACTCCTGCACCATCTTCGGGGCCATTAAAGGCAGTCAGGATCTGAATCGCTTATTAGAGACTGGCTAAAAAAATGGCTGCAATGTTCACATACCATTGCCACTATTTCTGCTTCCATCTTTCTGACTCCTGGAAAGACATCTGGGTGAATGGGATTTGAGACGCTGAATTTTCCAATGGCTTTAGTTTGCATCTCTAGCAGCTCACTGCCCCCGTGGTATACTGCACCGCTGACTCGACCATCCTCCCATCGCGTATGGTCCAAGTTGCGAAGGTCCTCCAACTCCGCTTCAATTTTCTCGAAATCCCATCCTTGTTTTGGAAGACACAAGTTTTTCTTGGCGTCAGGTACATGAATAGCCAATTTTTGTGCCATCGCGTCCGATATTGCCTCCGTGTCTTTGTCCACCCTTTTGAATATCCGTGGATTTGTCCCTTTTTCTGGAGATACCCGCCCACGCCATGATTCCAGGGCATTTGTCAACATCCCTACAATACCGTGGCGAGTTACAGTCTCATAAACTGTGTAAAAACTCCGTATGACAAAAATAGCACAGACTAGTCGAGAAACAATGTCGAACTTCGACGCCCCGCTTCCTTGCTCTAGGAGCAACCAAAACGACTTCGCTGTTCGATTAAGCGAATACATGGCAACTTGCAAAGAGCTGGACGTGAGATAATCAAGTTTGAAGCTCAGAGAAGAGATTTAGAAACAGCACTGCCCTTTGACTTTGCCTCTAGCGTTTTATAATAAATTCACGTGGGGGGATAGCATCGTGGCAACATCACCGCACCTTGCTTCGTGAAATCCGAGAGCCGAGAGCCGAGTAGCACCGCCAACAATATCCATATCCGAAGACCGAGATGGAAACTCCTATCTGCAACAGTGAAACTTCGGATAAAAGAGATATCAGGTAGCTCGAGATAGGTATCGGTTATCAAAAGCCTTCCTGACTTTCATGTTCCCGTTCATTTCAGATTGCGTGCATTCAAAGCTGACGGCAAGTCAAGATGCCTTTCTCCCACCACTCTCACTCGGGAGAGTTCTGCCCTAGTCATGCTCAAAACACCTTGGAACAAGTGATTCAGACAGCTATAGAGCAAGGCATGGAGGTGTTCTGCTTGAGCGAGCATATGCCACGCTCTGCAGACGAGCTATATGAAGAAGAAGTAAGTCTCGTTGACGTCTAAGCATTAATGTGGTTTTTTTAACCGATATATGTCATTTTAGGTCCAAGCTGGCGTAACTTCTGCATCTCTAGTTGACAATGAGGCAAAATACTTCATGACAGCGGTTCAGCTACAGGAAAAATATGCCTCGCAAATCAAAATTCTCGTAGGATTTGAGTCAGAGTGGATCCAGAGCAGCGCCTCGCTAAGGCTCATATACGATTCGCTGTCTAGGTATCCTTTCGAATTTTTTGTTGGATCGGTGCATCACCTCCATGGGATTCCTATCGACTGGAGTCGAGCTCTATACACAAAGGCGCGAGAAATCTCCGGCGGAACAGATGAGCGTGCGTTTGAAGACTATTTTGATGTCCATTATGAGATGTTGCAGATCTTAAGGCCTCCGATCGTAGGCCATTTCGACCTTATTCGGCTTCATTGTGATGACCCAAATTTATCCAGTGGAGGGCTTCAGAATTGGCCCGGTGTCTGGCAGCGTGTGAAGAGAAATCTCAAGTATATTTCGAGCTACGGAGGGCTTCTGGAGTTGAACTCAGCTGCACTGCGGAAAGGGCTCGAGATGCCATACCCTGCAGCAGAAATTTGTCAGGTATGATTTCGTCGTCAATCGGAGTTGTATGGGGATATCAAATCTAACAGCAAGCCAGGAGTTTCTCTCCATAGATGGCCGGTTCTGCCTTTCTGACGACAGCCATGGAATCGCTCAAGTTGGGGCCAAGTACCACGAGATGTTCAAATACGTCCAAGAGCAAGGCATTCAAAATCTTCACTTCTTAGAGCTGGCCCCTGTTGGGATGACCGGAGGGCTAGATCCACGATTTCCGCGCACATTGGTGAAATGCTGTTCTCTGGCAGGGGTGAAGGAGATGGAATTCTGGAAGCGGTAGATGTATTGAGCGGACCTTATAGAACCCTAATTTCTCCAATCCCAATTCAGATAACTGAAGACTCGTGTAACCTTGTCATCCAGGATGAACTAGTTCCAAAACCGAGAAATTAACTTCGTCCCTTCGTATCTCGGGGCTCGGTCATAAAAGCGCCTATCGAAAACTCCATGTTGCTACCGACCGATAATTAATATATTTCAAGGTATTGCCGCCGTCGAATACTGCGTCTCCATGACTGGGCATCATGCAGAAAACGAAGTACGCAACTGAGCAAGCGGTCTGTCAAACCACCCTCTACGTGGAATCAACGAAGTTAGAACTGGATGAGGATGGACTTAAGATTATACAAAGGCAAAGTATGGTTCATCGTTCATGATAATCCCCTAATGAGATATAGCGAAGAATTAACAATCTATAGAACGGTTTGCTTGTCAAAATCCACTTGAAATCCGGTACTTGCACGTGCTTTGGGCTCAGGCAACTGCAGAGCAATTGACGATTCACTACGCGGCGGAGCGGCACAAAACGCTACACGCGGCGAAGAAAGTATTTCAGCTACTTGACCAGGGCACTTCTCCTCGAATCCAGGCCTGGATTCAGTTGCTCAGGGACCGTGCCTACGGTGATTCAAAGGCACGAAAGAATGTGAAGGTTTATTTGAACCCGTTCTCAGGCAAAGGTTCTGCTGTGAAATTGTACTATCGATATGCAAAACCTCTTTTCGACGCAGCCCAGTGCCATATAGACTTGCATGAAACTTGTCATTCTGGCCATGCTAGTCAGCTGGTCAGAGAAGACCGCGAAATTGATGCATGCGACGCCATAGTGTGTTGCTCGGGCGATGGTCTACCATACGAAGTCATCAACGGCATCGCGCTGAGAGATGACGCTGGTCACATTTTGAGAAACATTCCTGTTGTTCAGCTCCCTGGAGGTTCAGGGAACGCAATGTGCGTCAACATGTTCAAGACAACCAGCTTCTCCCATGCCGCGCTCTACACCATTAAGGGTATTCGGCAACCAATAGATCTCATGTCAGTCACTCAAGGAGACAAACGATATATTTCGTTTCTGTCACAGAGCGTCGGACTATTAGCAGAATGCGATCTTGATACCGAGAACATGCGGTTCCTGGGCGGCAAAAGATTTGCGGTCGGCTTCCTCCAACGCCTTTTCAACCCTCCCGTGTACGGGTGTGAACTCGCAGTCTACGATACCACTGGCCAGTCAGATTCTTACGCTGATCGTCCTGGCTGTCAGACCAATGAACAAAGCCGAAGTTTACCCCACTTACAGTTTGGGTCCGTCAATGACATCCTCCCGGACAGCTGGAAGCGCGAGCAACACCCAACATTGGGTATTTTTTTTGCAGGTCAATTCCCATTCGTGGATGCCAAATCTAAGGTATTTCCTGACGCACGGCCTGATAATGGACTGGTGGATATTATAATGGTGGATTCCGGAATTGGAGCTTGGAAACTTGTGCAATTATTTGAGAGAGTACCGGAAGGCAATCACTTGGCAATGCGCGAAGTTCATCACCGGAAAGTCTCAGCCTACCGGGTCATTCCCGTTAGGACTCGTGGTGCCTTTAGTATAGATGGAGAGAGATCTTCCTTCCAACCGTTTCAAGTTGAGGTTCATCCGCAGCTGGGTATGACACTGGTCCCACCGGTTGGAGTCGAAGAGCATAGATTAGGACATAATTAGGAGTCCCGCTATACTAAGAAAATCTCTAAGTGGCTGGATAATGGAAGATTAAAAAGAAAAGTGCGAGGTATGCATACTTTATAAACAATGAGCTCGCTGGATCATGGAAACTTCCGGGATCTAAACTGTCTATCTAAATGGCCTCTATGTGCACCATTCTATCAGTCTAGTCGGGAACCACTTATCATCTATGAGCTCATTCACCCGAGGAACCAATTATCATATCATCATCGCCATTAATCCATGTAAGCCAACCCCAGTTTTGTCCGACAGAGTATAGACTCAAAAGTCAATACTCCCAATTTAGGCCTTGCCATCGGAAAACGACACAACGGCCCATTTACCGCTCCAGGCCCACTTGCGAACCTTTTCATCACCCCCACCAGGCTGCTGGCGGAGCTTCTCGTCCACGCCGACAGGAAGCCCAACGACAGTATCAGCCTTGCAGGTGCGGAAGGCAAGCACACGGATACCAGATGTGGGACCCATGGGGCCGATGGCTGTTGTGAAGGCGGTTGTGGGGTCCCATTCGGCCTTAGTATAGTTAGCAACTGATTACGGTATTTGGGGGAGATGATATAGGAACTTACATCGTTGACCAGCTTACGGTAGTTCAAGTCGCCCTTGAAGAGAACAAGCTCGCTTTCCTTCAGGTCATCGAACAGCTCTGGTGCCACGTGTGGCAGACGCCAGTAGCCGCCCTGGGTAGTCCAGAATGCGTGAGGGCGCATGATCAACTTGCCATCTTGGTGGAATTCGCTCCATTGTTCGAAGAGGAAGCGGACATCCGAGACCTCCTTTTCTGAAAGTTGAGGGAAAGTCTTGCCCGAGTCGTCGGGGGCAGTGTAGAAAGCCTGGGGGTCGACCATGCAGTTGAGGAGGTCGGAAAAGTCCTTCGGTGTGACATCGGACACGAACCAGGGAAGGCGCTTAGGGTGGAGGACGATGGTAGTCGCCAGTCCGGTGGACAGCAGGTATCCGGCCAGGATCAGGTCAACAAACAGCTCAAAGCCGGAGTTATCAAGGACGATGTCGACGCGACGCTCGCCATCCTTCTTTTCTCTGCGTGCCTTCTGCATGACTGCGAAGGCGGCATCGAGATCGTTGACGAGAATGTTGCTCTGTGAGGCTTTGCGAGCCTCGGAGCCCTGCAATTTCTGGATATCCTCATATGTAAGGGAAGTCAAGAGGGACAGATCGGTAGCATTGCCCCACAGGCAGATCTCGCACATCTCCGAGAAAAGAAGCTTTTCGGCCGCCTCGATCTCCTCAGGAGATTTACCATCGGACCCTTTACCACTCTCAGCCTCTAGGGCCAATTCCCGGTACCGGGCAGCGAGCTCGATAACTGCAGGGCGAGATGACTTGAAAGTTGACATCTTCTGGCGGGCGAAAACATCGTAACCCTTCCAGTGCTTGGATAGAGCAAAGTAACTCTCAATGCGGCGGTCTGTGGTCAATCTCAGGGTCAGTATTTACGCAAAGTCATCGAGAAAACTCGATATGATGTTGCAACATACAAAGGTAGCACTCCGAGTAAAGCCAAGGCACATCGTGCCAGACCGGGTTTCCACGCTGCTCCAACTCCTGGTTGTAAGAGGCAATATCCGGGTGACCATCGTCTTCAATGGGCCTAATTATGGGTTTCGTCAGTAACGAGGAGACTGACCATTAATGGAGGGGTGTCAAGGTACTCACGTCAATTGGCGGTTGTGCTGCAGCTCATACTTCAATTTGGCCAGGTTCGCAATAATACCCTTGCCTTCATTCTCCTTCTCTGTGTTATTGCAGGATATCACTGTTCGGTGAAGGTCGTCGATGGCACCGGTCTTTGAGAGTTAGCAATTGACTTTTTCTCCTTTGAATAGTACTGCCGGCAGTGACTAACAATGATGACGGGCCATCGCTCGTTGGCCGACACCGAGGCAAAGCTCGATGGGTCGGATGTGAGATATTGAGCTGTGTATTGTGAGCTATAGTTCCAGTTCAATCACAGGTAACAGTACTTACGGGTCTCTGGATCGAATTCCATCTTGAATAGTGGAGTTAAGATTGAAGTGGGGTGAAGTTTAGCTCCGTCAAGGCGAGGGGAATCGCGGGGCAGAGGGCGGTGAGAGTGAGGGGAGGCCAAGGCATATAGCAAGCTTTAGTATTTAAATATTTATTCATGCGGACATTATGCATCGCGAATAAACCATTGATTTTAGGATAAATTTGGATATCCATATGTCAAGCCTACATACTACAAGGCATTTATGGAATCTTTAGACCGGAACCCCATAGCAATGCACCAAGGATTCTAGGTATAAAGGTCTATCATGGATCATGAATGTTATCCTCGGTGGCCACCAATCACATTCCAAAATTCGTGAAGACATCAAGTAGTTACATGTACGTGGATCTCTAGCTTCTTTTGCAAAATAAGAAAACGCCACCGCTTGCAAATCAACAGGGTTTATCACATCATTTGTGACAGAATTGAGTTCTGTGCGTATGCCTATACAAAAAGTCAGCTGAGCTCGATCAGGTTCATATTTCAATACACTTACCATAGGCTTAATATCAGGGTGAGGAACAGCCTCAAACACCTCATAAGCGAGCTCAAGCTCGGGTCCAATGTTGATATAGGCACCCTTGTTCTCCGTTGAGTCACAGTACCTAGGAGCAGAGAAGACGGTGATACAACGACCATCGTGCTCGACCTCGTAACCGCCCATGCGGACCTCGTGTGACCGAATAATGGCAGTAAGACCGTTGTTCTCACAGAAGCGCTTGGTAACATCGGGACCAAACTGCATGCCAACACCACGCTTGCTAGGTCCACGACCCGGCTGGGTCTGCGGGTCGGTCCAGAGCATCTCCATCATCAGGCCCTGTTGACCGGGCTGCCGTTGGTTGTGACGGTTCAGTTTGCGGACGTCGTCCAGGGTAATCTTGTCATCGGAGAAGAGACCTCCGTGCAAGACGAGGTACTTTCCGCCGATCAGGGTAGCCAGAGGAAGGGCCGAGAATGATTCAGAGAAGACCTTGAAGACCCGCTCGTTATACTTTGCCTTGCACTCGCCCTCAAATCCGTAGACCTTGTTCATGTCGTCTGTCTCATGGTTTCCACGGTTCAAGAACAGGCCGTTGGGACGGAGCCACTTGTATGCGTAAAGGAGCAAGGCAATCTCGCAGGACCATGATCCACGGTCCACGAAGTCGCCGTTGAAGAGGTAAGCGTGGGTATCGGAAGGCGAGCCGTTACGACGGAAGATCTCCAGAAGATCAAAGAATTGGCCTGTTGTGACGTCAGTCTGCATTTCCACGTTTTATCCAGTCGATCAATGTATGCATACCGTGAGTATCACCGCAGACGGTCAACTTCTTGCCAGTCTCAACACCAATCTCCACCATCGTGGGCTCATTGTAGACCAGTTCCTTTGTAGCCTTAATAATCTGCAAGACGTACTTGCGGTGAATATTTTTGCCGTTCTTAAATCGTTCAATCATATCGTCGATAAATTCCTGGGTCATCTTGCCGCCCAGGCGTGCTCCATCGTAGCCATCCTCAACCTTAATCGCCTCGATATCCAAGCCCTCGAATGCGGACGGCGGGTCCGCAACCTCAATAGCCTTCTCGAATTCTAAGCGGCGCACCAACTTTTCGCATTCTGCCAACTTCAACTTCGCATTCTGGTTGTTGGGCTCGCGCTTCACGACCGCCTTGAAATCCTTCAGGGCAGCCTTGTAGTTCAGGATAGCAGTGTTGGCAAGGGCACGTCTCCAGTAGGCCTAATCAAGCAGCACCAGTCAGCCAAGTCCAATATCCTGGTATCTCGCACCCATATTCGCATAGTGTGTTCGTTTGCTTTATTTTGGGATCGGGAGGACGGTGGTGGCTATAACGACTAACCTTGACGTAGTCCGGGTCCAATTCCAAAGCCGCGGTGGCGTCAGCGATAGCAAAGCCATGTGCCTCGACTTTGATTTGAGCCTTTCCGGAACGAAAACCAGACTGTTAGTGGAACTGATCGGGAAAAGAGCCGTTGTAACGGGGGCCGGAAACCGGGCGGACACACCTGAGCACGGTTGCAGAAGAAGGAAGGCTCCTGGTCATATTTCTCGATTGCTTGAGTATAAAAGTCGATGGCAGCAGGCCACTCATGTTGAGCGAAGGCCTTGTTACCCTGCGCCTTAAGCGCGTTGGCAGCCTCTTGGTTCGAAGCCATGGAATTTGTAGAGGGGCACGAGACCGACGATCGGGGTTTTAGTGCGGAGGGGATAAGGCGAAATTAGAAGAGAAGAACCTAGGTCCGAAACAATATCGTAATCAGGGAGAGATCCAAAGAACAAAGTCGCCAAAAAAAGAAGAGAGTGAAGGCGAAAGAAGAAAAAGGTCCCGAAGTTCAATCTGGTTCCTGGCGCTTCTGTCCGTCTCTTTTTTCTCCGGTAATGGGAGGCTTGGCACTCCAGAACCCTCGAGTCCGGACTTCTATCCTCTTTCACTCTTCAATCTCAAATCCATACCTACCACAAAATGTCGTTCTACGCCGCTCCGAACCAGCAGCGCCACTTGCGCGCCTGCATGGTCTGCTCTATCGTTCAGTCTCACACAGTCAGTGTTCATGTTCCTCATCCCAGCCCCCAATAGCTAGCTAACCTGGTGAACCGACAGAAATTCCAGCGCGATGGCTGTCCGAACTGCGAAACCTCCCTCCAGCTCCGTGGAAACTCCGACGCGATTCAAGAATGCACATCTCAGGTCTTTGAGGGATTGATCGCTGTCCGCGATCCGACCGTCAGCTGGGTGGCCCGCTGGCAGCGGTTGGATAACTATGTGCCGGGAACATATGCGACCAAGGTGACAGGAACTGTGAGTGGCATTGTTAGACCCTTGAACAATTATCGGGGTGATTGGACTTGGCTAATGGTTTTGTTTTTTTCTGTAGCTTCCGGACTACATCATTGGTAGCTTGGAGGATTCTGGTGTCAAATATGTTCCGTACGTGACCTCTTGCTGCCGCTTACTTCGATTGTTTGCATTGAATCGTTTTTTATTGCATATACTGACAGATCCGCTTTGCAGTCGCGATGGAACCACCGGCGAGGAGGATACTTGAAGCTTCGACCCAAAACCAATACCCAGGACTGTTCCTACGTACAAATGCTGCTCTCCGTTCGATGAAGGCTTAGCTCTGGATACCCTTGTTGAACATGGGACCAAGTCTTGCGTTTCGTTTGGACCAAATGGGAGATTTGTACATTCTCTTTTATACTATTGTTTTATCGGAGTTGGAGTTGGAAGCATTGCGCTGCTTATATCTTTCTGGGCATATGGTTACAAGACATGCTAGCAGGAGTTCAAATAAGCTATATGAAGATTTCAGATCACAGTGGAATCATTCGATTTTGATTGTGACATGAAGTATGTCTATTGAATGTACATGGCCCATTCCAAGATGGCATCACTCGTAACAAGGCAGAAACAAAGAAATATAAAAGGAAAAGTCGCTAATTAAATCCGATAAAAAAGGAAACCGTTTTGACAATCCAATCTGATGTTGTCCGAACTTAGAGGAGCTTGATGATCTTCTCGATGCTCTCCAGGAGGATGTCAGCGTGGTGCTGCTGGAAGACCAGCATGGGACGCAGACGAACGGCGTTAGCACCGCTGCCACCAATGTTGACACCAACGGACTTGGCCTTGACCAAGAACTGGTCACGCTTGGGAGTGTCCCAGGCAATGAAGGTACCCTGGCCCTTACCACGGAGGTTCTGGAAGTGCTCGGGGTACTTCTGGGCAAGGCGCTCAAGACCAGCGTACAGGTATTCACCGGTGATGCGGGTGTGCTCGACCAGGCCGAGACGCTCAACCTCTTCAATGATACCGCGGAAGATCAGGGCACGGGCTGGGTCACCCATCCAGGTGTTGAATTGACGGTAAGGCTTGTTGGGGCGCAGGGCAGGGTTGCCGAAGTAGTAACCGGCAGTCTGGGCCTTCTTGGAGAAGGTGACCATGTCGGGAGGAGTATCCAGGTTCCAGTGGTCGTGGGCCCAGAACTTACCGGTGGCACCAATACCGGTCTGCACCTCGTCAACGATGAAGAGGACGTTGGTGCGCTTGGTGATGTCGCGCAGACCCTGGAAGAAAGCGGGGGAGGCGTGGTTGTCACCACCCTCGGACTGGATGGGCTCGACCATGACGGCAGCAACGGGGTTGTGGTACTCCTTGATCAGGCGCTCAACCTCCTGGAGGCAGCGCTGCTCCTCCTGGGCGTTCTCCTGGACGTGGTCCTCAAGAGGGTACTTCAGCATGGGGAAGGTAGCCTGGGGCCAGTCGAAGGCAGGGATATCCATCTTGTGGATTGCCTTGCTGCGGGTGGTGGAGAGGGAGCCGAAGAGACGGCCGTGGAAGGCATGCTTGAAGGACAGGATAGAAAGCTGGGGAGAACCGGGGCCCTGGTTGTTCATGGTGGACAGGAGCTCCTCCTCGGTGAACTCAACTTCGGGACCACCACGCTGCAGCTGGCGGTAGTACATGAAAGCGGCCTTGTAGGCGGTCTCGTTGGCATCAGAACCAGCCATGGCAGTGAAGACCTGGTTCAGGCCCTTGGGAGCAGCCCGAAGGGCACCGGTCTCCAGGATGTGAGCCCACTCGGAGGAGGGGAAGTTACCCAGAGCCGGACGGTTGATCAGGGCGCTGGCCATCTCGGGCGACTTAGCAACCTCAGCGAGGTGGGGGTTGTTGTATCCAACGGGGATGGAAGCAATCTGGGCGTAGCTGGTTTGGATATCAGTAGTTGTTCTTCTTGTTAGACGGCTATGATGTCACTTACACATCGAGCAGCTTGTTGCCATCAAGGTCGAAAATGTAGTTACCAACAGACTTGTTGTAGTCAGCCAGCATGTTGATGCTGCGCACATCAAACACCTTATCGAGCTCAGCGGTGGCAGCCTGGTTCTTGGGGCCAGGAATGGCGGTCGAGACCACGGGGGCAGCGGGCTCGTTGGGGAAGAATGGCTTCTCGGCCGCACTGAGGCGAGCAGTGGTCGAGAGAGCACGAGCAGGGACACGAGTCGCCATGCGCATCTTGGCGCCGTATCGGAGAGCGGAGGCCATTGTGAATTGTTTGATGTTCAGAGGAATTTCAAAAAGCAATGAGGTCAATTGACTCTCGTGCGGGGAAGGGCGGGTTGGACAGGCTGTATCCAATGCAAGAAAATCAAATCAATCCCAAGTGAGGCCCGAAATTCCAGTGAGACAGTGAAGAGATATCGTGGAAAAGAGATACAAGAACGCGGGGCAACCAGATTTATATCAAAAGAAAGTGTTATCGGTCTGCCCTCTGGAGCTGTTGGAGCTGCTGGTTCCCCGCGTGGATACGATTGGATCTCGGCGGCGTGAGCCAATCAGGGGCTGCAGAGTCAGACGAAACGCCGAACAGTGCAATAGGATCCTCGACGGATTGAGAAAGTCTACGCAGGTGGATTGCTGTCCGGCTATTCAATATGGTAAAACTTGCTCTCGTTGCTCCATATTTTTCGGCGCCGAGTTCCCAGGTTGTCAGGGAAATTACACACAGCGGGATATGTAAAATCAAGTCCTAATTTGAAAGTCGATCCAGGCTTATCAACCCGATAAGCCTATCCTTATCAGCAGAGGCGCGAACTGCCGCGGTGCGATTAACCATTGCAATTAGATATCCTCTGTCTAGGTTTGATCTAGAGATCTTGCTATTGCTATGTGCACAGATGATTGGTTACTCAACTATGTAGCTTAAGTTATGAATACTATATATCCAAGGGTGTGGAATATTTGCATGCTTCTAATAGTACCTAACTTAGGGCTCCCCGCATACCAACCCGGACGATATATATAGATTGGTGTCATACCCTTCACGCACACATACCTATCAATCTCAACAACAGCGACCCCGCCATAATTGAAGTAAACAGTGAGAGCCACTATAATGGGAACATTTCCTTGAATACACCCGGGAGTTCATATCGCATACATTTGTAAAAATCCTAGATAATGCTCATGCACCTTCCCAAAGCGACCGGCAACGATAAGCACAGATAACTAGCGGTGTATACTACCATGCAGCCTCAGTCTCATCTCGTACCTAATAGTACATCGATGAAGTGGTGTAAATTCCGCAAAAATTTCTCCACAACCGGTCCCATGACCCCAAGAGATCCATTGCCTCTCGGAAACCCATTCCTGATTGGGATTCGTCCCAATTGGCGCTGTAGTGGATCCCGTCTAGCCTTCTGTCTACAAATCGGTTACTGGCCAGTCAGAATCCATTAAATTGAGCCTCCTTTCATCAAATGGGCTTGTGGTTTAGTGGTATAATACTCCCTTAGCATGGGAGTGGTCCGGGGTTCGATTCCCCGCGAGTCCATCTTTTTGCCAATCCATCATTCTGATGGTGGGGCTAATCAATAGATTGATATGTTGTGACGGAATTTTATTTTGAATTATTTGGATGAAAAAATGAGATGATTGTCATATATGAAAGTAGGCCAGCCTTATCATAAGCGGTTCCATAACTCAGTTGGTTAGAGTGTGGTGCTAATAACGCCAAAGTCGAGGGTTTCTTTTTTTTGCCTATCTTTTTTGTTCCTGGCGTCCCATGCTTGCAGAGAACTCGCCTCATCATTTCTTCTATCGACTTCCCTTCCTCTTTTTTTCTTGTTCTATCCAACTAGCCACCTACCGCAGACTGGGAGGGCCATATTTGAACACCACAAAAATCGTTGAACACCCTCACAGCCCGCATTTAAAGTAGCGCACGCACTATTCGAGATTCTGGCCGCAGGACGGGCTAGTGAAGAGCTTCCCATATTTTCTCCGGTTTACGCAGCGGTGCATTTTTCTACTTAGCCTATATAGACTGGAGAGCTCCTTTTCACGTATTCAGTAATTGATGATGGCGACGCATTGACTCCTATGAATTAGCTCTTGAAGACATGTCTCCAAAGGATCTTCTATATCCTCCCCCATTCTCATTTCCGCTGTCCTAAGCTGGGAATACTCTTTCAATCATGCCATTAGTCTCTTCGGTGATCCGGGGACTCAGAGAAGTCCCTTCTCTTCCTTATCACCAAAACTATCTATTGTAATTTCACTATTGTTTTCCGGGTGAATATTGTGTGCATGATGTTCATTACAAGCCAGGAAGGCTGATCATAAAGTATGGACATTATATATACAAGAGCTTTTTATATCCTAAAACCCAAATCACCACCAAGAACCAAGACAAACGAGGAACATGGAGTTTAGCAGGATTTTGAGAGGATTGAAAAAGAAGGACGTCAAAAAGCCCGGCCCATACCAACCGGCGACTCCACCCGCCCAAACGAGGTGGATGATTTACCGCTGGCAGTAGAGGTATAAACCATAGGATCTTGTTTCTTCTCAATATCATCAGGTGATATAGCACGGTTATCAGTCCCCACCATATCATTATGATACGCAAGCCTAGACTCAGTCCACGTCTCCATCTCGACGGTACGCAAGATCTCAAAGCGATCACTTTCATAACCCGCCTGACGTGAATCCGAAGCATGTTTCATATGCGAGTTTCGAGAGCGTCCGGTCGAAGACCAGAGTCTGTTCGAGCGATTTTGGCGGTTGTAGCCGTAGATGTTGCTGGTTGACTGGAGGAGGCGGGGGAGGAAGGTTGCGATGAGTGGGCGGAGGGCTGGTGCTGACGAGCAGATCTATTGTTTGTTAGTGGCTTTTATATACTTTAGCAAGTAGAAGGAATGCCTTCACATACCAAGCCTAAACTGATCTCCACGGCGGCAGCGACAAGGATTGGCCATCCTTGCCAGGTTTGGTCATAGCTGGCTATTTGGCTTCTCCAGACGTATACTGTGCGGACGGAACCGGCGACGTTGACGACGGCGCCTAGCCCGAAGATTGAGATCACGGCTAATCGTTGGCGAGTGGGGAGCTTGAGACTCCAGATGAGGGGCATTGGGATTGTTGTAACTAGGAAATCGGTGAAGATGTTGATGACACTGGCCGAGAAGACGATGTCTCCGTCGTTCATGCATTTGTGTGGATATGTGGGTTCGACTTCCCAGTATGCTTTGACGGGTCTGTATCAGATGTTAGTTGAAGTGTCTAGACCAAGATCGTGATCAGAAAAGGAACTCACGAGCACTGGAAGATGCTAAGGAAAGTGAACATGAAGACGGAAAGCGCGACAAAGATCATGGATCCGATAAAAGCCCAATTGTAGATCACAAAGCTACCCTTTCCAGCACCAAGAAGCCGTCGACAGAACCAGAGTAGCGAAACTTTGGTGAAACCCGATGACCATGAGAACATGAGCTGGAAAGCCAGATTCAGCTTTTCGATAGTGGGGAACCATGTCACGGGAATGTCCCAGACGTGTCTGTTGAAGCCCCATTTTTCGCTTGCAAGCGAGGTGACGGCAACCATTGCAATGGCGAAGACCAGACCGATTACAATCAAAATATCGTCGATACCGGCGGTGGAAGTAATGCGGAGTCGAGTATATATGCGGAGTATTGTAACCACAAACGCCAGGCTGATGCATACAACATTGACAATTAGGACACCATGTCCACGAGTCACCGGGTCAACGTAATTAGGAGTTGGCCAATGCGCCATGACGGCGGCTGGGGGAAGTTGCATGATGGGGTAGCTGATGTATAAGGATTGGACAGGACAGATCGTATTGGGAAGCGATGGTATTAGTGGGGAAGCATGTGCAGCGCCATATTCTGGTTAGATAGTCATAGAGTTGATAGTAAAGAATGTAAGAGTGTCGGAAGTCCTAGGGGTGCATTATAGGAGAATTGAAAGAACGAAATAAAGTCCCTCATCGAGGACCGGGATCTGGGGAGTATGAATTATTTTAATGACAGGCCGAGACCACAGACCCATGGAAGGATCCTGGGAGTTATATTAAAAACACTAAAGAAGTTAAAACCTAATTAGAAACATCTACTTTGATTCGTGTTCAGCCTTCTCCAAGTCGGGACTATGGACGACTCAGGGTAACGATCAGGCGACTCCATCTGCACATCACGGTAGCTCCACATCTCCGACGCGATGAGCCTTGGGTACGGCCCACTTAAGATTCACGCGATCACAAAAATGGGACCAACTCCGAGGCGAAGTGGAGCAGGAGGCGAATTAACAACTGACAATTGGTACATTGTAGATCCAGGTACCCATAGTTCAGCGCTCCGATCCACTCGGAGCGAGACTGGTCTGATGCATACATGAAAGGCCATTGGTGTCAGATTCCAGCCCCTGGTCAGCTCAGGCACGAAATCCGATCACCGAGTTTGCTAGTGAGTTAGGTTACATGTGCACGGCAATCGTGTCGGCTAGCACAAGACAAAAGCGCTAGCCGAGGCAGCGCCACTTCTCATTTGTTCCGCTATACCGAACAGATGGAAAGACAAGCGATGCGGGGTATGACTAGAATTTCCATCAGACGTGGAAGAATCTCCATCCCGGATCCACTGTACGACACTTTTCTACGTGAAACTCCACACCGGGTCCAACTGCCCCTCCGGAAGAGGCGCAGAATTGATTTCCACACCCCGGAGTTGTGGGTTTTGACCTACGGACAATCATCGCTGCGAAGTAATTTCGACCCCTCGACTTTGGCCGCTAACAACCGCCACCATGGAAAAGGGTTACAGAAAAAATTTGCCTCTGCCTGACATCATATCCGTTTACCCACTCTGCCCTGTGCCTGCCATAGGTACATTAGCCTCGACACCTCGGCCCATATGATACTCACTGGCCCACTCTAATCTATACTCATACGCAAGGCGGAATCTATAGTGCCGTTCACAAGTGCACGGTACCTGCCCGCACTAAGCCCTGTCCTGCTACCGATCGAGACCCTCTTTTATCCCGAAAAGATCAGACCTAAATGGGAATCCGTTGTTTTTTCTTCAATATTCAGTTGAGTCTGAGTTTCGAGTGAGGCGAAACAATGGGGTTTCAAATCTGAAAAGAACAAGATTTCTTGATTTCTTGACACGACGGCTGATTTACCAGCAAACCTTGGAACGAGCAACATTGCTGATCCGGATCCCAGACCGACGGTCATCACTCATTCACGTATATCTCCAATTCTATACCGAGTGACAGAATTTCGGCCGAGTCAGGTGGGGAGTTTCACGCTGATTACACAACAAGACCCACATATAATTGACTGAAAATAAGGCCGGATGATCTGCGTGAACTATCACATTCTTCCTTCCGGCCGGGACCCAAAGATCGAGATCTGATTCACGGCTCGAATTGAAGACCCATATTAATGCCCAACTTTCTTCAGCACTTATCAAGCGGGTCTTTGGAATCCATGGAATCTGATCAATCATTTCCCCTGACAGGTCGACTTCATTCATACTGCAGTATTGCACTATCAGATTTCGGGACATGACCTAAACCGGTAAATTAAGAATAAACTATCTGTCAACGCCCTGCAATGCAGCTAAATTAGCTGTGCGGTGTCGCTGCTTCTGCCCAGGTGTCTTCCAGAAGGCAATACTCTGTACAATATCTTGTTATACATTCGCTCGATCTTTATGAATTAGATGAGTTTGCTTATTATTGACCAAAGTCAAGCAATTGCAGATATAATCTCCTTAGCTCCGGGCTCCAAAATTAAGTATGAGGCAAAAGTGGAGATTTGGAGTCATATTACATCACAACGGTAGTTGATGGTAGATTGGGCGCCGAAAATGGCTACCTAGGACGCCGTTTTTGGAGCTCTTTTTACCGCGTCTGAGTCATCATTGAGCCACGTCTGATTACGTATACAGACACTAACCCACTTTATCATACTAAGGGAGAAGATTATACTAACTATTAGATTGCATTGTGTGTTAATTATTCAGCTGGAGAGAGGGTTAGCTAATGTAGATATGGAAAAAAAGGTGCCTACTGACTAGTTAAAAGTGCAGTAAATAGGGGTCTTAAAGAGTGTAATAACATCCTCTAGCTACATAAACGTCGACAAAACAAGATACTAGGCTGATAAGCAATGCCGATAAAAGCATGCCTTTAAAATATTGTTCGACTTAGGAAAAGAAATTTTCCCCACGCCAGTACTCATACATCCTGTCAAAATCAGCAACTGTCAACGACGACGCCTTAGCGAGCGTTGGCGAGTGAGATTCAGCCAGCTTAGTCTCTACCCTAGGTATGCCAGCTGCTTCACGTCCAGGAGTCCCCTCTGTCAGTGGCCTGGCCTTGAAAAAGCCAAGGATCTTGACAGCAGGATTGAGTGACTGATCCGACGCCTCCGGTGAAGACATCCTCTGAATCCAAGTATCGAAAGGGATAACGGGAACGTCCAGGTTCTTAGCCATGCGGTTGACAAAAGTATCCCACCTGAGATAGTTGAGAATAAATACAGGTTTGGTAAAGATAAGCGTTGGGACTTACTTTATGGGGCGTGGGTGAGCCAAGTGGAGAATGGGCGGCACGGTTTGGGCCTTGGTCAGCTCTATAATAATCTGGGCGGCTTTGTCGACAGGAAACCAGGCAATGTCCTGGTGTAAAGTAGTGCGCCTTAGCTTGAATTTTCTCTAACGGGTGTTATCACGACCAATTTACTTACCTCTTTTCCGGCAGGGAGGCCACCACAAACTTTCGAAGACTTAACCACTGCATTTAGAAGTGCCATTAGCAAAAAGAGGCAATGACAATAGCTGAATACTGTCTAACTTACACATGGGTAGCCAATCAGTTACGTTCCAAGCTCCATTCGTGGTGGATCCTGAAAGTTGGCCGATACGAATAGAGCAGGTTGTCAGAGGCGCAGCTTCAAGTAGCTTTTCACCAATGTATTTCGACTGCCCATAACCAGTCGGGGCTACAAACCGAGGGTCGGCAGTAGCCTCTGCAACCCAGCCGGTAGGATGTGCTGATAGTACACTTATCGAGGACGTATTGAAAATACGAGGATGTTCCTGTAGAGGAGATGTAAGGGCGAAGTTGATGAGATTAACCACGCCATCCATGTTAGGCTAAAAACATCACACGTTAGTGGGAGAGACAGGTCTGCGGCTGTATGCATAGTTGATGTAATACCGTACCTTGAAGGAATTAAGCCCAAGGTTGAAGTCGAGTCGCCAAGCGTTGTGAATGATAAGTTCCACAGATTTGTGCATCTGTATGTCCGAAGATGGTATCAGAATTTGTTCTCTTGCCGGGGAATACGGATTTTATTGCGGGTAGGTAAACTCGCCTGTTCAAACAAATCCTTGCTTATACCAAAGTTAGGCAATGCCAAATCAGCATCCACCATTACCACGCGGTCATTTGACAAGATATCGGGATCTATGCCTCGCTTGATAAGTGCAGATCTCTGTCGCTCCGGCCCAGTTTCCGAGCTGGGGCGGTTTACCGCGTAAATCGTGCCGACATCTAGGTCCCTCACGAGCTCTTGAAGCAAGTAGCACCCCAGCGTGCCAGTGGAGCCTGTTAGAATTACCGCAGCTTTCTTTGAGGATTTGAGTCTCCTTATGTATTCGCTCTCTGTTTTGTTTAAAAGGTCGACTTTCTCTTTCATGATCTCAGATGCTGAGCGAGCCTGGAAGGAAGAGGTGAAAATCTGATAAAAAGACGCGCTTAACAGAGGGAGCGTCGAGTTGAGATATACCCAGTTGGCGGGAATATTTTTCACATCCTTTCCTTCGGATCGAAGAGTTGCCAGAAGACGGTTTCGGATCATCGTTGCTTGAAGACTAATCAAGCTCAGAGTTAATAAAATAGAGGACAACTCGGGCTACCATGTAGGGGCAAATACCTGTCGCATCCTTGCAGGAAAATATCTTTCTCTACATCCAGCTCACCTCCATCAGGGCGCATAACTCCCGTTACGAGGTCTTGGACGTATCGGCTGAGAGATTCGAGGGATATGGACCTTGGAAGCGCAATCCCCGAATTGGCCGAACTTTCCACAGCTTCATAGATAGCATCAATTTCATTGGCGTAGAGCTCCAAAGCACGAGGTCGCGAAATAGTGCCCTTCGGAGTTAGAGGGAGAGGTTTCTCCCTAGAAGCAATGAGTATCATCTCTTTGAAGATTCTACTATGAGTCGGTGCAATATCATTGGCTTGTGAAACGGAGGGCCAGATAGCGTTACGATACTTCGCAACGTCGGCATCGTCAGTTACATCGATTTCTTGACCAGACGAAGGCTGTACGAGAATTCCGTTATAGAAGCGGCCACGACCAAAGTAGATGATGTTGTCGACCAAAATATTTCCCTTGATAACGTTCTCTGCGAGTTAAAATGTCTCTTAGCAGCAGATTCTTGGTCCAGGCGAAATGTCTTACCGAGAGGCCCAGGGTTTGTCTTTTCACCAGTGCTTAGCATCAGTTGATCGTCAGCGCGTCCAACAACTTTGAAAAAGCCTGGTTCAGTAGGATGCATCTCAACCAAGTCAGAGGTGCGGTAGATCCAATTTTCTGTGTCATTGAAGACACTGGGATAGTGGGTTGGAGTGCACTGCACAATTCGAGTTAATTATACGCATCGGGACTGAATATAGGGTCGACTAACGGGGAAGCAAATCTCGTAAGCATTATCACCATGCTTTTCAAATATAGGTTTTGCGTTCCTGGTGACTTGGATATATTCCCAATCTTTACCATATGGCTCCTTCGGAGCAGGCTGGGAGAGAACTCCGACCTCAGTGCTGCCACATGCTTAGCGCCTCATATCTCGGTGGTTAAATAGCGGTGTCACATACGTTCCCCAACCGTTCAACAGGCGGACTCCCTGAGCCACTAGAGCATTGCCGATAGGTGTCGGAAGCGGTCCGCCTCCTGTACGGAGCCACTCAAGTGTCGTTAGAAATCGGACGGCTTCAGGATCTTTCGACCATTCCTGTTACGTTGAAATCAGTTCGGCGACCTATTCAGTTGGTAGAAACTGGCAGGTAAAAATACTTACAACGAGATTTGAGGGGGGCCCAGTGCCTATTTGCACGCCTGTGTTCTTCCAAGCCTCAAGGACCCGTTCTGGTGTTGGACGAACCGGTGGCTCTTGTGGTGGAAAACAGGCAACGTGACTACCGCACGCAAGAGGGTATCCGAGCACATGAAAGAACCCCCTTTCACACGATATTAGTGATGATATTCAAACGAGAGATTCTGTCAACAGGGTGTGAAAAATATCAGTATGACTCACATGCCGTGAAATGGCGGAGCTGACTGTATCCCAATTCGCTTTCCACAGAGGTCATGATGGCCATAGCAAGGGATCCGGGCCCACTGCAGTACCCCAAGATGGCTCAGAGGGATGGGCTTGGGGAATCCCGTCGAGCCAGAAGAGTGAATGATCAGGGCTGTTTCCGAACTATCAAAGTCCGACTGAAGGGTATTGAGTGAGGGAGAGAAGCACGAGACTGGGTCATCATGCAAGTCAAACAGGTCGTCGAAAAGCGGTGCCTCCGCTATAGGTAAGTGATTCTCAGCCCTGACCGCATCGATCAACGTCTTCTCGGTCCTGTCTGAAGAGCCACTGCAAGGTTTCAAGAAGTTGTCAGCCTTCCAGAGCTTGTCCATGAGCCAAGGCGCTAGTTCCTACATGATTCCCACCGTATCCGTTACCTTTAGTAGGTGGACAACTCCAGATTTTGCGTTCCTCGGGCTGATAAGGAATGCAGTATATCCTGCACGCAGAACTCCAACCTGCCTTGTCAGCAGAACTACAGTGGAGCGAAATATTATTAAGCACACTCACAAGAATACTGTTATATGTTATGGTGTCTCGATTTGCTAGGAGTGCCAAGACCGGTCTAGTGCCGGGTTGTGGCTTTCCAATATGTTCATGAATGGATAAAACAACTCTAGAAAGTGGGAACCGAAAGCTTATTAGTATGTTTACAAAAAAGGCTCATGTCTGAGTTGAGATTCCATACTTTTCCGTTGCATGCGCAAGATGCTTCCAGGTGATGTGCTGTAAGGTTCCATCAGGTTTGGGATACACAGCCCAGGTATGCTGAGGTGAATGCTCGGCATGCCATTCCACCACTGGAACATGTGTTACCAGAGTCAGTAAATGTAAAAGATGTCTAAAACGAGAACTGGAGCCAAGGCAACGTACTCATAGGGAGATTAAGAGATCCATCAAGAGGAGGTTGCTTGAAAGTCCCTGATGTTTGACCATGGGTGGTGACGAAGTCGTCGGTCGATAGGCGCTGAGGAACCTCGAGGCTAGGCATTTTCTGCTATGATAAAAGTATCGCAATCGAGCTATCAAAAGACTACGCAATAGCAAACTGGCCGTAGGTGTCAAGATGTAAGCAATGTTAGACTTTTCTAAATCTTCTCGGTGATGATGAAAGAAATATGTTATGGCTTATGATTCCGAATCAGAGAGATGTGCAGCAAAAAGAGATCGTTAGTATTCCGGACCACAAAAGTGACAACATATTGAGACTTCGGAATAAATTCTCAGGTTCGGCAATAATACTTTTTGTTCCGGAAAAGAGCTAACAAGTAAACGCAACCTTCAAATGCAGTCCTATCAAACGCAATCCCGTATGTGTAGTTCCGTTATATGCGGTCCCGTCATGCCTGATTCCGTTATACGCAGTCCCGTCATGCCTGTTCCGTTTTTAATTACGGTAGCGGGCCCTCGCTATAAACTTGTAAAAGCTACGTGGGTCTGGTTATGGCTTTTCCGTGGAACTATGTGCGGATAATTATCCGATGCCAAGTGTCCATTTCTAATTGAATTTGATGATTCATTTAGACTTTTCAAACGATTTTTTTCATTTCATAAATGTCCGAACCCAATAATAATTGAGACTTTTTCGTCTACTTCAAATCCCATGATCCCTAGGGCCGGTCCTCGAATAACACTAACGTCCGACCATCATGGTCTTAGACCGTAATTTGCATTGTGAAGATGCAAAGGGACTGAAATACTAGAGCTGTATCCCAATCTAACGATTATTAGTTGATCAACAGTCATATGATATGCCTATTATAAGGTTTCCGGTTTTGGTAGAGATCGGCACCAGGAGCATAGCCTGAGTTAGTGCGGGTGCCGCCCTGAGCGCTCCCTGAGTACGCCCTGAGCACGCCTGACTACTCCCTAAGCAACTCTGAGCCCTCTTTGAGCACGCCCCGAGTGCCTATCTCGAGCCAGTCCCTGCGGTCTATTAACTTGCTTCTAGATTCTTGCCTGCTCCGATGCTAGCCGGGCTACACTTAGTGTTCCTGGGAGCTTAGCGATATGACGCCTATTGTGTCGCTACAGTGGTCTACCCTTACGTTCTGCGCTTCCCGTCGCCTCGATCCACCTTACCGCAACATTGGACCTCCTGGCCGAAGGGAGATACTAGTAATCTAATACTAGTAAAAGCTTTATTAATAAACCACTAGCAATATTCTCACGCAATAAAGCAGCAGCACTAGTAGTAGATTCCATTTACACCGACCCCTCGCCGGAAGTTAAACTCTGGGTTGAGGTAGAAATGTGACGATATTAATATTTATGAAAGGACCAAACTTTGTATAGTCGCAGCAACTAATCTCTCTTATGTCTAGTGGTGTCTGCCTGTTAGGCAGACACTCCTAATATAAGATCCCAAAAGTCGAATCACCAACGGAAAATGAACAGTGACTTCGTGGACCGCCAGGAGGAATCTTTTCTCTCATAATTGTCTCTTCCGGATTGCTGTTCCTATGTCTTCATTGGAAACATGACTTTTGCCATTACCCTAGATATGGCGGTTGCTTAAAAGGTCCACTTCAAAGTAGCCGGAAATTTGACGATAATAGCAGAGCTCGGGTCACTAAAGCTAAGCTTCACTCGGGCATTTAGGAAGTAGTGATAAACATCGCGTTCATGGATGGTTATCTCTAGGTTCGTTATCTTGCACAGAAGTCGTATCAGCAAGAGTGATCCTTCATGCTGTCATCTCATGAAATTGGAATCACCGTGCTTTGAGAGGACCAATGGCTGTATGATATAGTTGTTTCACCATGACCTGTCCTGTTATCTTCCTCGGCTTCTAGTTGCTAATTCGCAGGAACAATTGATTTATCCTTATGGAATTGATCATTTTATGGTATGATTGGAAGTCCTGGGGACTTGGTCGCGTCACTTAACAGGTTGAAGAATCAGATCCCTTATTCTTCATGTTTTATTTGCTCTTCCCCCTGCCCCTCCCTTAGAATCCCGTCTTATAGGACCCTCCATACTCCGAGTGTGAAGATTGACCGCCACTAGTATAAGTGGCTTCGTCACCCCCACCTTTATAATGCTTTGTGCATCCGCTTGCCCGGCTATTTATGAAGTCTCGTATTGCGCATTCACATCGCCACGAAAGACTAAGCTAAAAATACTCATAATATTCCCCGCATATTCTACATCACCCCGCTTTTACTCCGGATGTCCGAAAAGTCGAGCCCTCTACAGACCTGATCAGAACTAGCTAGGGCAAGCATAAAAGCTTCAGTCTTCCCTGGAAGTAGATAGAAGCGGACGCCCACAATATTATATTCGTCTATGTTATCATAAAATGGATGAATTCGAAAAGCCTGTCACTGCCCATATCGAGGAGAGTCTCAAGAAAAACAACGATGGCACTCATGTAGATCTACAAGCTGCCGGCTGCAATCAACTACAGCCTCGGCCCTCCGCGGACCCGAATGACCCGCTGGTATGTGTCTACCCAGAAAATTGAAACTTAGGGCATATCTCTGAACCGTCATTATAGAATTGGACAGGTTTCGAGAAACATACAACCCTGATGATCGCCGTACTCATGGTTTTCAGCGGGCCATTCGATGGTGCATCGCCTGCCTCGGGCTTCAATGTTCAGGCGAATGATTTCGGTGTCCCCGTCGCCGACATGCTTGAAAGCATTGGCACTCAATCGATCATGCTTGGAATAGGGTTGTTCATCTGGGTGCCACTGTCTAACAGATACGGTCGAAAGCCGATTTACCTAATTTCTGCCATCACCGCCATGATGGGATCTCTGGGCTGTGCTCTTGCGAACTCACTGGGTGGATTCATCGCGGGAAGAGTATTTCCACCCGGGACCCAATTGCATCCAAACAATCTATTAATATTTGTTTATCATAGATGGTCAATGGTTTTGGATGTTCAGGGCCCATGTCACTGGTCTCACTGACCGTTAAAGATCTTTTCTTCGTGCACGGTATGCGCTAGGCCCGCATTTGGGATTTGGGTGGAGGAAACGTGCTAATCTAACCTTCAGAACGTGGGCAGAAAATGGGATTATGGACACTCTTCTTTGGAATCTCACCCTACATTGGATCTCTTCTTGACGGTGTCATGACTACATACACAAGCTGGCGATGGATGCAATGGCTTACATTCTTCTTTTGGGTATTTCTCACCGGAGGTTGTCTCCTCATGCCTGAGACACTTTATTACCGTCAAGCAGCGCCGGAAAATATTCCCCTAAGGGAGCCCTTCTGGGAAAGAGTCAAGTTAAGAAGGTTTGAAGGTGATTTAACATGGCATTCGTTTTATCGACCCATTACTATGGTTTGGTATCCTTCTATTCTCTTCCCCTCAGTCTACTACGCAAACGTTTACGGATTTTCTGTTTATGGTTTTCTTGGCGTCCTGCCTTTTGTAAGAGATGGTTATCTCCTTCTGTTCGTGATGTTTTCTAACAAATTTCCTCCTAGGCCTTTGGAGAGCTGTATGGCTTTAACTCTGTTGGTCAAGGCTTGGTAACACTAGCATTCCTCGTCGGTACCATAATCGGAGAGCCCATGGCTGGGCCCTTTTCCGACTGGATAGTTCAAAGGCAGGCCAAGCGGAGCGGGGGCGTGCGATGTCCAGAGCAGCGTTTGCGCGCCATCTGGCTCGGTGTGGTCTTACTACCAGTGAGTTGTCTCGAAATTCTTGATAATCAAGTTCACAGAGCATCTTATACTCTATCTAGATCAGCCTTATCCTCTTTGGGTGTACGATCCATTATCACACACACTGGATCGGCCCATGCATTGGCATGGGCCTCTCCGCATTTGCGATTCAGATTATATCTACGGTATCGTAAGAACCCCCTACTAACTCAAATTACAATTCATGAACTAAACGCCTACAAGAGTCACATACGCTATTGATTGTTATGATCATGCTGCCGGTGATGTTAGCCTTCTCTACAACTTTTTGAGACAATTATTCTCTTTCTATGTGCCTTTCTACATCCACGGATATGTTACAAGTGTGGGGTACGCATGGGCGTTTGGGATCTATGCCATCATCAGCATGTGCTTGTCCCTTCCATTAGTGATCCTGAATCTCTATGGTACCATAATCCGCAATAAATTGGGGCACATTTACGACGCAGGACAGGCAGAAGTCGAGATTACATGATCTGCTAGCAATAACGAGCCTATCCCACGGGGTAAATAAGATGTTTTGTGATATGATGTTAGTGCGGATCAGGAATCAAGCCGCCATATCCGAATGTTTTCCCAGGTGTCTATACGAAGAGTCAGGTTGATTGGAAATCAGCTTGATCTTCTCAGTGTATACATATATACAAAACAATCAATGCAAACATCTATATAGTCTATCAAACCACGGTATAAACATATTGTGCTCTTATCCTACCTTGGCTAAGCATGCTAACTGTAAGGTCTTTCTATTCTTTCTATCCTTTGAGTAAGATACTAGTGCCATATACATAGAACTAGCATTGATGTCCGTTAACCCCTAAGCTCCAACTTCTTGTGCTGGTACGATAGTTAGCATTGAAGATCTTTTACTCAGTGAGTGTTCTCTTCAGCGAATTGATCCTAATTTGACATTTGCAAGAGTCACAGCCCCAACCGAAAAAGGTATTGCACGCTTATTACCACGGCTATCTCCTGCGGTGCCAAGCTCAAAGGCACGACACATGGACCTACAGACAGTTCCGGCGCCCGTGGTTGAAGTTCGAGGTACGGCATTTGAAGTCGGCTTCTATGTTCTACACAGCGACTAAAGCCCAGACGATAGTGAGACTGCCTCAGCCCGACTAAATTAGGCTGCAGATCATTCTTGCCAATAGAATGAAAATGCCATTCATCTAACAAGTCTAACACGTCATTGAGATCTGCGTCCGGCTTGCTGCTATCCTTCATCTCCCGATCGTGTAATTGCCGAATCACTTTGACGCCACACGGCATTCAAATCTGCCGTCTATAGCAAATTTTTTAGCGATATGATGAGCAAATCACCGTAAGCCAGATCGCCAATGCTAATGCTGTAGCTAGTGCCCAGGTCCGTGCTTTTACAGACACCGCTCTCGATAGGTGGGCAGAACGTACTGCTGGATGTGATCCCGTGCGAGAAGAGGGGCATTTATCGTCGTCTTTCTTTCGAAGCACCGAGACCTGTTGCATTTTGTGTTGAGTGAGAGACCTATTCAGGCTTATTACTAGCAGCCTAGCAGATCGAGAACCGGGAAGAAGGTGGATCAGCCAACGTGCAGGCTATGGAGAATCGGAAGACGAAGCTCATTATTCACGGACCACCAGCCTTCGTGAGTATAGCTAATCTAGCATCGATATAAAGGAACCAGGATCTACTTGCATTGCTCGCGTCTCTTGAGCAGGAAATGAGGCTCGTCTCTTCGATTTCTCTGGAGTAGGGTCTCGCTGGGCGACAATCAAAAGGATATCAAAGTAACAAATCGTATCAAGGCAAAGACGGGCGGCTCTTCTTCTCTGATGTAAATACAGCTGTATATAATTTTCAGTAATTAAGACTATCATGTTTTTTCAAAGACTGAAAGCTTCTGAATAAGACTAAGGTACAGCAGCCCTTGATCTCTATGGAATACGAGAGCAGCTTATAGGGCAGTATCTCGGTATCTCGCCCGATGTCCCATGCCATACCATCAAGGCTTCATAAAATAAAGATGGTTGTAACTTAATCGGGCCTAGTCAGTCTCACTATCGTCTTAGTAGTAGGACTTAAGATAGTATCATGTTCTTCCCTGCCCAGGTGTCAAACCATAAGGGTCGAGATCTGATTTATGGCCCACTTGTATTCTAGGCCCATATTGATGCTAGAATTCCTTTTCGGTGCTTATCGAACGAGTCTTTTGGAAACCATGGATTTTGATTTATTTTTTTCTATGACAGGTCGACTCGGCACCTAAAATATTTCGCGCTGTCAGCTTTCGGAGCAAGACCTAAGCCAGGATCGGGCTGTTTATTAAGGGCATAGAAGCTTGGTTTGGCTACATTGTGCCACTCCTTGTTTTTCTACTCTGTACATGGAAGCCACGGAGTCCGTATTACTCCGTGCAATATTTTGTTATATATCTGCTCAACCCCTCACAGATCAATAATCGTTGTTCTCACCATTATTGTTCCAAAGCCAAGCCATTGAAAATAACATTTCCTTACCACCGAACCCAAATATGAAGATCAGCATATCATTAGGGGTTTAAAATTACTTTGATATAGTTTCGGTGCTCGTGGCTGTGAGGTCCTCGGTACCACATGTGAAGGAGAATGTCAAACAAACACATATACTCATCTCACCTCAACTGATCTTTTCTTTTTCCCCAACACTCATCTCACTTTGACACCGAGAAATTCATGCTCGAACTCAATTCCACTGACCTGTCTAACATGATGAATAGACTCACCAGATGCAGGAGTAAATGGCCCCCATGCACCCCTCGTTTCAGGGGTCGACGGTCGCAAACAAAGCAAAACGAAACGAACTCGTGTTTCAAGTCCAAAGACCACCCCAAGAAAAAAGGAGAGCCAGCTGAGACTTATGGGAAACAAGGCTGATGTTTGCTCTGAGCTCCAGTATTCGTTTTTGAGCTGCTAGCTCAGGCGTCCCATAACAACGAGCGGGGATGCCGGGGTTGTTCTCTTCCGAAGGATTCGGGATGCATCCTTACAGGGATCAACGTGTACGCTTTGCTAATAAAACCCGCTTGTGGAGTCCATGTTGTGTGCCAAGAGAGTTGTGTCATACGCTATACTCTTAAAGAGTATGCACTGCGAATTGCTTCGCTGATCAAGCGATCTAAGACGCCGACCGACATTGATCTTCATCAGGTTGGCTAAGAGTACAGATTGGATTGCACCGAACTGCGCCTCAGCTAAGCTCTCATGACTACAGATTATAACAGTTGAGTCTTCGCGATGTCTTTGTGAGCAATAGATTTTGCATCTCTAACCATCACCACACTATAGCCTGCTGTTTAGCCAGCTTCGAGATCATGATCCTTATCAGGAAAGATTACAGATCTCTTTGATTTGACCGCTTTGACCACATTGTTTTTTTGTACAGCTTTTCCTGAGCTTCTCTAACGGCTCAGCCGCCATCAAAGTGGATCCTGATCCTAGAACCAACAGCTAGACTGGAGGCTGAATGGTTACAACGCATCGTCTAGGCTGTTGACTAGACAAGGGCCTGCAGGGCTATCACCAGGAATATCACATATGTGCTGCTGTGACGACACCGCTGTATGCCCAAGAGCAGAAAATATTCCGACGATCAGAAAAAGGAATTTGATCACGAACCGTTTTCCTGTCACGTTAAGGTTATGCCGCTGGTAACCTTGATGCCACCCGCAACCCTCAAAATTTTCGACGCAAATTGTATTTCGCATGACCAATGGGATCATATTACTACGGCAACTTTGAATTCTGATATGTATGGGATTCATTTTTGCTAGGCTGAATGGCATGGAATCGGTGACCGTGCGGGGATTGGGGCTGATGATCACTTGGGGGCCAACCCACTATGCCAGTAAAATGCCGTCGATATGTTGGCGCTTGTGCATACCCTGGCCCTATGAGCCCCAGAGGCTTACGACTAGGCCATAGAGCGGAGATCGTTCCCTTGTTATGATGTGCTAGTGTGATTTAATTTGCGAACTAGAGATCCTGCTCATACCTGCCCATGTATACCAGCCCATAAAAACCCTGCCTCGCCTGAGCCTTTTTTATTCTCCCAGGTTGTTCGTGATTTCCTTTCATCTTTGGGCTTGGTTGCTGTGGTATACTCGATATTTTTGACACTTTTTCCTGGGTCAGATCACAAGCACCTCCGATCAATATGAACGATACCAGTTACAACCCGTCCACAACGTCGTTCGCCCAGTCATCAAGGACTGAAGTCGAAATGGCTGCGGAACCCTTCTTCGAGCCAAAAGACATTGAGAACCATTCTGACCGGAAACTTTTCCCCGTGACAGATCTCGATAGAGGTCTTGTGGGCTGGGAGGGACAAAATGATCAAAACAATCCTCAGAACTTCCCAAGCTCGAAGAAATGGGGTCTGTTGATGCTTGTCAGTGCCATCACCTTCATTTCACCGCTAGCGTCAAGTATGTTCTCTCCGGCGGTTAGCTATGTGGCGAAGGATTTGCATGTCTCTGATGAGACGTTGCTGTCCTTTAGTGTCAGCATTTACTTGCTGGGTTATGCCGTAAGTCGTCCTGAAATCTGAACTTGAGCTTTCATATTGACCCGAGTTTCTTTGGAACGTAGGCTGGACCACTATTGATTGCTCCTCTGAGTGAGATCTATGGTCGTCGAGTTGTGCTCAGCTGCGGTAATTGGTTTTTCTGCGCGTGGCAGGTTGGTTGTGCACTTGCACCAAACATCACCACCTTGGTGATATGTCGATTCTTTGCCGGAATTGGAGGATCAGCCCCCCTTACGCTGGGAGCTGGAGTGATCGCGGATCTCTTTCCTGTTGAGAAGCGCGGCATGGCAACCGCTATCTGGAGCATGGGACCGTTGCTCGGACCCACCGTCGGTCCCATTGCCGGAGGCTTTGTCGGTGAAACCATCGGCTGGCGCTGGGTCTTCTGGATATTGCTGGCCGCAGGTGGTGCGGTGTCGTTAGGCATCGAAATCCTGAACAGGGAAACATACCCCGTTGTCCTGATCCGCCACAAGACCGAGCGTTCGAATAAGCAGATGGGCCGCACTGATCTCCGCAGCGCTTATACACCTAACGAAGACAAGGTCTCGGTGGGAGGCGCACTCAAGCACGGCCTAAGGCGACCGGTCATTCTATATCTCAAGTCCCCCATTGTCGCGCTTCTCTCCACCTATCTGGCCGTCGTTTATGGTCTGCTGTACCTTTTCTTCACGACCATCACTAGCGTCTTTATGGAAAAGTACGGCTGGACCACCGGTGTCTCGGGTCTTGCGTACCTCGGCATTGGCATTGGTTTCATCGTCGGTCTCGCCGTCAATGCTCTCACCAGCGACCGTGTCGTGATGAAGATGACCAAGCGTAACAACGGGAAATATGAACCCGAGATGCGTCTTCCTTTGATGATCTTCTATGCTTGCATCGTACCTACAAGTTTCTTCTGGTACGGCTGGACCGCCGACAAAGCCGTCTTCTGGCTCGTACCCATCATTGGAATGGCACCCTTCGGCTTCGGTCTGATGGGCCTGTACCTACCAGTACAAACCTATATCATTGACTGCTACCCCGATTACGCGGCTTCTGCGAACGCGACTTTGACCACTGTCCGATCCCTCGTCGGGGCTCTCCTGCCCTTGGCAGGACCGAAGTTGTTCGCTTCCCTCGGGCTCGGCTGGGGAAATTCGCTGCTAGGATTCATCGCGCTTGCATTTGTTCCTGTGCCGATTATTTTCTCCCGCTATGGTCAACGGATTCGTGAGAAGTTTCCTGTTGATTTGGAATGAATAAGAATCCGGGGGCGCAAATATGAGACATGACAGCAGCGCCGATCTCCCCGGGTCGGGACGGTACCCGCAACAGCCCAAACGTCGTGTACGGAGTACAGAGCCCAGTGTACAGTAACTTCTTAGGCGCACAGTATTAGCCTCGGGTACTACTCTGTTGCATTAGTTATTACTAATTAGTTCGTATAAAATAAAATTTTGAAGTTCATTGGAAAAACGCAAATCGTGCCAAGGCCCGTGATGGCGACCCCTGACGAGTCATTCTAAATTTACCGTGCGACGTGGCTATGAAGGCTCCACTTTCACACGCGTTGGAAAGTCTAGATCGACATGAAACAAGCCCCTTGAACGCCGACAGCGCCATGTTTCATTGCCACTGCATGCAATTTTCTCCGACTTCTCCAGCTTGTACTTCTCTTCTTCTTCTTTAATTTCTTCCCTTCTCCGTGTTTTGACAGTCTTTTCCTCTGTACTATTTTCTTTCTTTGATCCACTCTTTTGTGCGAAACCACTTTCGTTTACGATCGTCATCTCTAACTTTTCTACTTTCTTTCCTTTTACTTTCTGTCTATTAACTCACAATGGGGGACGACGCTCCTCAATCGCCTAGCGATGGCACCACCGGAGGCCTTTCCGGCGACACCAACGTCCCTCCGCCAGTCGTCACTGACGTCCACACCGATACCCATCACCAAGCTGCCCCAGCTCACCACAGAGAAAAAGAGGAGCTCTTGCCCCGCGTTAAGGCATTGACTCCTCGACCGACCTTCATGGAGAACCTCGCCAACTCCCGTGATAGACAGTTCAAGCTCAGTCGACAGGATTCGAGTGAGCTGGAACGGTACTTTGTACGTGGACCTGATTTTTAAACGGACAAGTCCCGAAAAAAAGAAAGACGAACCATGGATCGCGATAAAGACTAACACGTTCCGTTGATATAGCACGGACCTCGCGACATGGATAAGCACTCTAAATGGCCCATTTTCATGCGTTTGCATGGAAGTGTCATGCCTAAAATGATTCTGCCCATGTTACTGGTTGCTATCTGGTCGACCATAATCACCTGTATTTCGAAGTTTGTGCATAACCGTGAGTTTGCCCGAACCTTAATTTAAAGATGCCGCGCGTCATACGTATGTGGTTTTGCTGACTTTGCTTTGATCCATAGTCGGTATCAACGACATCCTTCTCACTGTGCTGGGTTTCGTGGTGGGTTTGGCTTTGTCGTTCCGCAGTTCGACTGCCTATGAACGGTATGTTCAGCAAATCTCTCGAATTAATTACTCAAGAAGCTAACGTACAAAAGGTGGGCCGATGGTCGTAAATACTGGTCCCAACTCATCCAGGTATCTCGCAACCTTGCCCGTACTATCTGGATCAATACCGGTGAACGCGAAGGAGAGTTGGGAAAGAAGGATCTTTTGCGCAAGCTGTACGTGGAAATATCAAGCTCAGCTATTCACCACACCAAGACTAACACATTTCAATAGTTCCGCCATGAACCTTCTCCTCGCTTTCGCCATTTCCCTCAAGCACAAGCTCCGCTTCGAGCCTGATGTTGCTTACGAGGATCTTGCTGGTCTGGTCGGATACCTGGATACATTTGCCCGCGAGGCGCATGACCACAACGTTGTTTCGCCTCCCCCGAAATCCACCTTGAAGGCCGCGGGCGAGTATCTGGGTGTTTCGTGGGCTGAGTCGAACCCTCGCAAGCTTATCAAGCGAGCTAAGAAGCCGCTCGGTCACTTGCCGTTGGAGATTTTGCACCATTTGTCGGCTTATGTTGATACTATCGTTGAGAATGGAACGCTTAAGTCTGCTTTGCACCAGGGACAAGCTAGTAAGTTTCACATGCGATTCTATGTGATTTGTGGTTGGAATACTAACGTACCTGTTAGTTACCATGGTGGCGAGTCTAAATGAGGTTCTTACTGGTACTGAGCGGGTGCTGGACACCCCTCTGCCCTCTGCATACTCTATTGCTATTTCGCAGATCTCTTGGATCTATGTTCTGGTTCTTCCGTTCCAGCTGTACAACTTCCTGAATTGGATTACCATCCCTGCTTCCATTGGTAAGAGTTTCCTGAAACACACAGAAGAAGACCTCTACTGACAAGTTCCTAGTGGCCGCGTACATTATCATCGGTCTCGCTACTATCGGCAGTGAAATCGAGAACCCCTTCGGCCAGGATGTCAACGATCTCCCACTCGACACATACTGTCGCCAGATTGCCCTGGAACTTGATATCATCACTGCCATGCCCCCACCCAATGTCGATGACTTCATGGAGCGTGATGATAACCTTGTCATGTTCCCCTTGAGTCCTCGCGGCATCACTGAGTGGCAAGAGCGGAGCGTTGAGGATATTCGTGCTGCCTTGGCTGCCAAGGTGGTTGCGAATGTGAACCAAACGCCCGCTAACTCAGATGATGACTCTACCGTTGTTGGGGCTGGATCCTCGATTGGGAAGCAATCTGTCTAAATTGCTTTTTTTTTCTTGTTGAGAAAGGAAGATGATAAAAGGTGAAAAGTTCCGGAGCTTCAGTCGATGGTGGTGGAAGACGTGCATTCTATTTCAGCGGCCAGATTGATCTTGTTTTTATGGGCTTGAAAGCGTGAGAGTTACGGCGTTTTCATGAGAAAATTAGAAGTTTGAGATTTGCGTGTCCAGACTGATCTTTGTTTATAATTTTGATATTCATCAGCTTTGATTGATCCGTTGTTTGAGTACCCGTTAATGTCGCCTGGATAGACTTAAGGTCGCGTCGCGGATATCTCGACGGGATTGCTTTGCGCGCAGCGCAGCTGTCCGAAGGACTTTCTGATTGGCGTAGACGGCTTTGGAAAATTTGGCCCGCGATTAGGCCAAGATTCCATCGGGACGGTGGTAGACAGGCGGCAAAAGCGCTCTAGGCAGAGACTTGCATGCCTTGACTTGGCAATAGCTGCCAAATTGGAAACACGCCGAGTCAAAAGCTCGTAGCGATGCTCCAAACGAACGTGAAAAGAACAGGGATGCCATTCCAACTAAGGAACGAACAAGTCCCGTCCAGATCCAGCAACAAGTGCGCCCAAGTAATTTCCCTTAGCGCAAACCCTCCACGCGACACTTGCACTTCCGTTTCCGCCGCCGCCAACCCAAGAGCTCAACGCCGCAACAACAGCCGCTCCATCGTCGCGTGGAACACGAACCCAGGCAACGCCGTACTTTTGCGCTTCAGTAGACGACGCAGGCTCGACTTTCAGGACGTCAATGGGAATAGATGTGCCCGTGAGACCGAGGAACTGGGACAGGGCAGAGGATAGGTAGGTGCGGGCGGAGAGGTCGTCAAGAGGTTGTAGAGCTGGAGAACCGGGTTGGGGAATACTAGATTTTCATTTGTCAGCTATGATTACGGTAGAACTTTTGGGTGTTGCGCACAGTTGTAGCTTGAGGTAGGTCCATGGTGGGTTGCGCGACGTGAAATGAATGGTGCTGCTGGCTTCTGCTGCTTTCCGCTTTGAAGCTGTGGAATGTGCCACGGAGTCCCCTCCTTGATCCTGTGTGGTGTCCATTTTCTGGGCTGGTTGGGGCATGATGTGTGTAATTGGAGATATTCGTTTGGGAGTTGCAGAAAAGCGGAATTTTACGTCACGGGATTCCGCAGCTACATAGAACAACACCACTTTGGTCGTCGACTGATTTACCAAACATGCTGATCTAGAGCCATTTTCCTCAGAAGCATCAATTGGTGATTTCGCGCTTGTTTTCAAAAGAGTTCTTCGTCGCCGATGATTCAATCAGTATTGTTGAAGGCATTTTGGGTATAGATCGGCTCCCGGAGCTTAGCTTGACTTCGTCCCCATGGCCGCCCCGAGTACTGGGCATCCCCACGCCCGGAGCACGCCCTGAAGGCACACGGCTCGTCCAGTCTTTAACCATCCCACAATTGATCGTAGACTAGCTTGCTGAGTCTGCTTATCTGGAGTGTTTTATCTCGGTAGCGTCAATAAGTGCTTGTGTGGCTTGCTGTAGAAAGGCGGCTTCGTCGTCAATCCGTAAATCAGTAATGCGCAGTGTTTTCTCGCGTGCCTTAGCTCCGCGGATCACTTCAACAGTAGATTTGGGGACTTTCAAGACCTAGGATGTCATAAATTAGTCTTTAGCATTATTGTTGCTTGGCAGCTTCAAGTGGCAAACAAACCTCTGCGATAATCTGGGAGACAGCAAGATTAGCTGCTCCGTCGCGTGGAGCCGCAGCGACCGATACGTCAATTCGATTTGTCCCCAATGCAGCCACCCGGTTGGCGGAGGAGTTGGGCTTCACATAACAGGAGAGGTGTAGGTTGTAAATACCTCTTGCAGTGCCGCGGGGAGGACACTTTATTAAATGCAGAAAAGGGATTTTGCCGTTCATTTGGCGAAATGTAGGGGTGTTGAAGTGGTTGAGTTCCAGTGGTGACAAATATTAGTAATTTAGGGTGTACAAGCTTGCAAAGCCACAGAATGTTTCAGTAAGTTCAATTCTTGTTATCGAGCGCACGAGACTGGAGAATACATTGCAAAACCTAATCGCCACTAATATTCGATGTTCAAGGACGGGGTAGGAGAAAAGGTAAGACGGATAATTGACATGCTTCTTCAATGCAATGAGTAGGCCCTCCGAGGGGGTTCCACAGGAAAACAAACAAATGGGATAGATACTGGACAATAGTAGAATAGAGTTAATGGAGCTGGAAATTGGGCCAATGGGAACCGCAGTCAATGGGAAACTGTGAGTGGAGATTGTCAAGCTGGGGCTTGAAACATCTAAGCCGATTCAACCTGCTCAGGAGTCTTTTTATGAGCTTCAGTGGGGGAAAACTCGGTCTCATCCCGATATGCACGGTCTCGATACAGAGGGGGACACTCGTCAATCTTGCGCATGAAGATGTAGCGCTTGATCCACCATGGAAGCACGACGGTCAGCTGGTACTTCGCATGAGTTCGTGTGGGTACGCCAAACACATAATCCAGCTCCTCAAGAGACCGTTGCATTGTCTCGGGCAAGAAAAGGAAAATGAGAACGAATGCAACAAGATTGAGAAATGCGTAGAAACCGAAAGCGCCCTGGGCAGTGAAAGCGCGCAGCATGTAAGGGAAGGTCAGCGAGAGGACTGACGCCCAGAAGTTGTTGGTCGCAACAGCCCAAGCCATGCCAATCTCACGATGAGACTGAGGAAAGACCTCGGCGGAGTATGTGAATGGAACAGGGCCCTCTCCTGGGGAATAGAACGCATCGAAGAGGTAGATGAAAAAGGCAACGAGACCAAGGTGTGCCTTGTTGTTCTTGGGAATCCAGAAACAAAACCCAGCTGCAAGTAGGGTCCAGCACATCTGTGGAAATGTGAAAAGCAGGAGACCTCGACGACCAAATCTATCGATACTCCAAACGGCAGGCCAGGCAAACACAAAATTGATCAAGCCAAACCCGAATGATGCGAGCAGAGCGTTGATGTTGTTCGCCCCGGCCAGCTAAAAGTCTATCAGCATGGATAACCAATGGCGATTTCACTGAGATCTTGGAAATTACCTGAAAGATAGTCGAAGAGTAAAATGCAATGATGTTGACTGTCATAGAGAGAAGCCATCAGTGAAATTTTCTGCTCAGGTGATCAAAGAGGAACTTACTTCCGCACATCTGCTGTGCAATCATGACTATGCCTGATGCCTGGGTCGCACGTCGCAAGCGTGGTACAGTAAAGAGCTCCTTGAACCGAACGAGTGCATTCTCAGTGTTAGGGTAACCAGAATCCGCAAGCGTGCCTTTCTCCATGACAAGCTGCGCATGGATCATGTAAAGGTCCCGAGCAGCTTGGAGGGAGCTTCTCCGGAGACGAAGAAGCGAATTGTACGCATCTCGGTGTCTTCCTTTGATCATCAGCCAGCGGGGTGACTCAGGACAGAACCATACACCGAGAACCAGAGGAATTGCAGGAATAAACGCCGATCCAAGTTGCAAACGCCACGAAAGCTTGCCTGTGTTGGCAACTGCCAAGTTCGCACAGGTTCCGAGAAAGATGCCAAAGGCTGTCCACACTTGCCAGCTCATAACTAGGCCTCCACGGATGTTGGTGGGTGCATTCTCGGCAGAGTAGACAGGAACAGTAACTTCTTTCAGGCCCATTCCGATCCCCAGAAGTATGCGACAGGCCACTAGCTGAGGCCAAGTCTGAGTGAAGGCAGAGCCGAGAGGTGCAAGAAGACTAAAGATTGCTGCCAGGAAAATCGTGCCCTTGCGGCCAAGGAGGTTGTTGAGGGGATCCGACAGCCAGCCAGCACTACCACGAGAATCTTAGTTAACATTGGAAGAAAGTTTGTATCATGAAGAAATACTCACAATAGAAAGATGGTAATGTAAGGTGTCGCATTGATAAGTCCAACAATCCATTGGTTGCGGGTGCATGTAACATGATCCGGGCAGGCAGGGGCATTGTTGGGGATGCCAAAGACAACGTCAAAGGTAAGATTGGCACCATTGGAGCCTGAAACGGTCAACTTCAAGTATATAAGCCAGTGAAAGCTCTACAGTCCACTTACCAGTTTGATCCCAGCCTTGAATGGCTGCCGCAATCGAGTTCAGAATAATGGTGTAGTACAGGGCCCAAGGCTGCCTCCAGCGATAGTTGGCCTCCACATGCAGGATCTCATGCTCTTGGCCATTCAGCAAAGGGGAGGTTCTGGCTGCAATGGGGTCCTGACCAGCCAAAGCACCCTTGCGAAGGGTGGGCAAGATGTCTTGCAACCCGTGGAGCTCGGCATACTCCTGGACGCTGGACATCAGCTGATCGTGCGGAATACCCTCGAGCGGGTTAGGAATTCTAGAAGGAGTTAGAAAGTAGAAAACATAAATCCTGGGACTCGAGACTTACTCGGCCGTAACATTGTGGGTCATGCTTCATATCAAGTCGCGTCAGTATATTCAAGACTATGTATGGTTTCAATACTTACCCTTCAGCCTGAAATTTGGAAGCCATCTTGGTTTTTGACAAACAAAATTCACAGATCTATGCTCCTTGGGGAGATCAGAGCTCAAAAGTGGAATGCAGTATGCAGTAATCAAAGTTACGGAGACGAGTGGGAGGCGATGTTGCTAGGAAAGAAGGTATGAAGAAGAGAAGTGTAGAAGAGAAGGAGAAAGATACACGTTATCAAAGGACGCGTTTACGAAGATCACACGATTGAAAGATCACAACGTGGGCAAGGACTACCATGGGTTCCGAATGTGGTAAGCTCTCACTTGGTTCCCCGTGATCGTCGCTAGAGTTCCTAATTCTTACTTCTATGGAACCTACATGATACCTAAATGAGTATCAATGAAGTAGAGAAGCACAGAGCATGCAGTGTATATTGTCAATTGGTCTATAAAGATATGTCGAGATTAATGGAGCACCATGGAACTTTGAATGCAATTAACAAGATGAGTAGCTCGAAGTCCAACGATTTTAGCCGAAACAGTCCCTCAAGCCAAGCAAGTCGTAGATGCTGTGTCATATCTGATATACTAAAAGAACCCCGCAGTGGATCGCCAAGCCGGTCTAGGGTCTAGCGCCAGACTTAAAATGTAGGTAAAATCGGATATAGTCCGACTATGAGCTAACTCGTAAATACCTACGCCATAGACGTTCATGCAATGCAGAGCGGTAATCAAACACCTTCAAATTCCAGCGTAGTCCACAGAGTAACGTGAGCAAGTAGGTACCTGGGGATATACTCAATATTATTACTCTATGAATCTTAGATACTGCGCTACTTTAAATGCGGTTAAAGAGGGGTTTCAATTAGTCTTGTGGTGTTCAGCTGAAAAGCTCCCGTGCAATACACTATCGGTTCCGAAATCATCGAACCACCCAGGTAGGTTGGGGGTTGCTGTAGCTGACATCCATCCGCTGCCTCCCCCAGGGGAGGATCAAACAACTTCTTGAACCAGCTAACCTCTCTTGGTCAACCTCTGGTGGTTAGAGCATGCGTGCAGCTCAATGACTAGATAAATATGAATTTCAGTCAGAGTTGGGGGCATTGCTTGAACAGTCTTTGACCTAGTCAGGGGTGGTGAAGTCTGAGAAGGATGAACGCGGACCACGTAGTCGGGGCTCAAGAGCTAGTAGATATCGTTACAGGGTTATGTAGGAGCGATAGATGGAATATTCAAGTTTCGAATGTATTTACATTATTCGTTCGTCTATTGGTAAGATACGCGCATATGGAACAACTGACAGTGGCGGGGAAAGCGGGGAGACGATTGAATTGATCTGGCTCGTCACCAGAACTTGAACCGGTCTTGGTCCTCTCAAGTCACGGGTGCCAAATTCATCCTCACCCCATGCACATCCTAATGAAATGTTCAGTATCCACCTCTCGTCGCTCTTCATCTTAATCGTTACTCAAGTGTGGCCATGAGTTCTCAACACAACTCACCACACCAACGACCTACCCCTAGTAAAGAAGGACACTGTCTAGGCTAGAAAAGCCAGCGGCCACTCCGCCTTCATTAACTTCCTTTCCTTTGGTTCGCAGTAGCCATCCACCTTCGTCATTATGGAGAATCTTTCCTGTTTTTTCCCAGAGGATAGTGCCGTAGACTCCTAGCTCTGAGATGACGTTTCCACGGAGAACTTCACCGTCATTTCGCAGAGCGACATTCTCGGCATTAGCCGCAGGGTTGATCAACTCCATCAAGACCCAGCCCTTCCAATCTGACTCGGGAAGAGAGCGCAGGAAATCCGGGATCTCTGCTTTGTAGACGTTGTTGCCTCCACCCTCGCGCTGTGGTTTCAAGACATGCTTCATGGCAGTTTCAAGGTTGAGAGCCAGGTCTCTCCCTTGTCCACCTGCTGAGAGATCATACTGTGGAGCAAACGTTTCACGTAATCTGGCAACGATGGTAGGGTCAACGTCCTTCAGGAAACTGGACAGGTGATCGGGGCCTGTCGGCTCTGCCAAAACTTGTTGAATCTTCTTACACCCGGCCAATTGGTTCAACACCGTGGGACACTTGATGGCTGCGGAGCGTTCCAAGTGTGTCCGGGCTTCCCAATCACGGCTGGATGTGTATTCATCGGGAGAGTAGTACGCCCGAAGATATACAGTTGTTACTTCAAAAGCAGATTCTGGAAAGTGTGGGGGGTGGTAAATTAGTGGGCGAGAGGAGTTATCGGCGGGGATAGATGTCTGATCCAAGATTTGGTTGCTTTTCACACGGAAGGTCGGGACTTTATGGAATCCTGTAAGTCGCTTCAACAGGGCCAATTGATCGAAGACGTTCCGCTCTCCATCCTGGACTATAAATAGTACACACAAAGGAAGCCCCGGTGAAGACTTTGACGGTCCGTATGCCTTGTGTGCTTCCGCAAGACCCCCAGAGAGAGTTTCCACAGCAGTGTTATCAGGCGGTATTCCGGATTGGAGGAGAGGGTGAGGCGGGTAGGTCAGCGGGGTAGACAGGAGCTCCGTATGCAGCGATCTCACGAGAGCCGACAGGCCACCGAAAGATGAGGATATTGTGTTGAATTCCACTTGCTTCAACCCCGGAGCATTGTTCGGGGTGACGTGGGCCATGTAGTCAGAACGGTAGAGACCTAAAGAAAGGTCTTGGACGTAGCCTTCCTTCTGCACAGTCAAATGGGTTTTCCAGAGATTTGCAACAAAGTCATCGACATCGGTTAGACTGTGAATGCAGACGTTTAGTATATACACCTCAACAGTTGAAGATTCCCGCTATCCTACTCTTCGATGATCTTCCCTAGCCAGTCTTCGTTGCATGTAATTGCCGCATAGAGTTGGTTGTAGACCGTCTGCAAGGCCTGAGCTTCCTGAAAGCAGACCTTCGGAAATGGACTGGGGAACAATGACACCGGAGCATTTGTGGCGAACACTCCATTTGGGTCAGCATTTTTAGGAAGAACTGCCGGCGAGGGTCGAACAGCTAGGCCATTTTGAATTGCCCAGTCCTTAGTAGCTGTGACGAGGTACTCTTGCTGTTCCGAAGACAGCTGAGGAGGGTAGTTGGTATAGATTGACTCGTCCATGACCAGGGCGTTCAACTGCACTCTGTAGGCAAATTGGAGAATAATTGCTAAGCAAAAACCCAAGTGGCATCCCCCCGCAAATATGATTTACAATCAGACGCATGGGCTGACCGCCCCACACTCACCGCCATATACACCGCCTTTAACAATATATACTGCCGACAGAAAACCACCCGTTACCTATCTGGGAAATCTTCAATTCACTTGATGTTGACCTTGTTTTGTATCCCTCACCACACAACGCGTCTTTTACATTGTTTTTTTTCCTTGGGAATCCTCTCCGAATACAAGGACCCACTTTTACTCGTCTTCTCATGACATTCCTTTGTGTTTAATGCCAGTTTCAGCCAAGACTACGCCTCCCGGCAAGTACTAATCCCCTACACGTGGGTTCATTCCGGGGGGGGCGGTAACTGGTGAGTTTCTAATGTTGATTTTAATGAAGGTGGATGGCCCCACATATGAGCTTGACTGACAAAACGGTATCCCAGGCCCCCCAGATGCAATATGGAGCCAGAGATCTCTGACCCAGTTGATTGGTCTGTCGATGAGGTTGTAAGCTTCCTCTGCGGCGCTGGACCTGCACCATGGGCGCAATCTTCAAATGCTCCACGGCCAGACCCGGCTGTACTTGGAGCAGCTCTCCGCGATAATGACATATGTGGAGAAGTCCTTATGCATGTCGACAACGACGGCCTGAAGGATATGGGCATAAAAGCATATGGCCATCGCATCATGCTGATGAAAGCAATCCAATGGCTACAGCAAAAGTCTGTCAAGTACAGCTCATCCCACAAAAATGCTTCCATTGAGGTCGCTGTTTCTACAACGTCTTCTCCATACCCGCATGAGGGCACCCCCGTGTCTGCTGCAATGACCCCTAACCCTGTAGACCTCATCACTTCCCCCAAAGGTACTCCTGCTGTTCACGCAACCCTTAAAACAAAAAGGAGGATTGCGCCTACATTGCTGCAAAAAGAAGTCCTCCCAATATCGGCAAATCGGACGCTGCCAGATGGCTCCTTGTCCCCATCACATGCAACTTCTCTATCACAGGATGTTTGCTTGAACATTGCCAACATACCCTCAAACAAGACTGTTTTGCACGACAACAGAGATGGCTTAGTTGAGAATAGTCCGGAGGCCCCGGCACGAACTGAAAAAGAAGAAGAATTTTTATCCTACTTGTTGAAGAAATACGTGCCAGAGGATGACGATGCTGGCCTTCCTGGATATGGAGAATCGGGATCAGAAGGAGAGTATGACAAGGAAACTTGGCAGGAAATAGTGCAAGATCATCCAAGCCTCGAAGATGATCACCCGAGCCCCGAAGTATCCCGACTCTCTGGCCTTTCCCGGGAAGAGTGTGATAAAATCTTGGCGCAATACATTACGGAGCAAAAAGAACTGTGGCGCCAGAAAGTCCTTCCGAAGAAACTTTCGAAAGCAGAAAGGCTGTGGTGTGCTTTTCGGCAAACCAACACGCTTGAGGATGGCAATGCGCTTCAGGATGACAATCTGCTTCAGGCTGAAAGACTTCGCCATTCAAACCGCATTGAGCATCTTCAGGACCGTCTGAAAAAGATTCAGCAGGCGATCATGGGTGTGTCATACAGGTCACCCTCGGCTTTCCGGGGAGCATGTGCGGCCATCGATATGACGATCTTTGATCGGTGTACTGAAAGATGGACACTGGATATCCTCGAATTGGATACATGCCCGGAACCTGCTCCACGTCCAGCAAAGGTCCATCGGCCTCGTGAGGAGCGGGATATGGAGTCGATATCGGCAGAAGAAGATGAAGATGAAACACTCACATCTGATGCGGAATTCTCCTATGGAGATCCCATCGAGGAGGATGACAATTTCGAGCCATCTGTCGATGAGGGTCAACCGGATTCCGGTAGCCCCATGACCATCTCATTGGAAGATGAAGATGCTGAAGTCCCATCAAACACACCTCATTCGGAAGCAGCTCATGGAATGCCTTTCGCTTTGGACTCTTCTCCCGATTCTAGATCCAGCCTGTCGCCCAACCCTCCCAACAAGCGACGACGTGTTAGCGATCCAGGCCGAAGGGTCAATGTCAGAATGAAGGCTCCAGGTCCTTTCTATCAAAACGACGACGAAGACATAGAGGTAATTGATCTCACCAATGCGGGCGACCAATCCAAATTAACTCCGTCACACCACGGTCATGCTTCGGAGGACATAATCAAGACTCCACCCCTCAACCCAACTGTAATAGCCGTTGACATTGCTGATGGCGACGAGAAGATATCCCTCAAAAGCCCTCCTCTAAATTCAGCTCCATTGCGACAAGATCATGCTACTGGGGTCATAATTAAGACTCCCCCTCTGAATCCCACATCACCCATCAGGCTCAAGCTTTCTCAGCCCCGAGATCGCCCAATTGAAATCGAACAGTCCTTGCCAAAGTCCACCGATGGCTCCTCCCCGGTCCTCCTCGACAGTGCAAGCGAACCCGCCCAGCCCCAAACACTCTCGACTGCACTTCCGGAGAATACAAATACAGATGACGCCGATGTTCTCCGTATGGTCGAGGGAATGAGCATGGCATCCATTGAGACCAGAAAAGATCGTATTCAGTTGTTAGCAAAGATTGTTATGCAATTGCCATCAAGTGAATACAGAGGCTTTCCGGAATACCTAGACAGGTGGATTGACCCAATCTACCGCGAAAAAATCCAGGAAGTTATTCGGGCCATGATGAACAACCAGCGAAAGCTCGATGACGTCGAACCTGCCGAAAGCAAGCTTTCAATGCGTTATGGCGCTTTGTTCGTATCTTGGTACCACTGTGCCAGCGTGACTTCAGCTGGACTTCAGCCCAGGCGACTCCAAGAGGCGCTGAAAGCGATCGAGGAGGATTGTGATGAGGGTGTTTTGTTGTCAGTCTTTCACAAGAAACTTCAATCGCTCATCAACACATACAATGTTTTGCATCCCGAGTCTTCACGACGACGCTCATTGGGTGAGGGCTCAGGAAAGGAAGATGATTTGAGCCCGCCCTCGTTGCAGCCTTCTAAACAGAGCCTGAAAAGGAAAAAGCAGTACGTGCCGAAAGCACCCAATAGTGTGCAGAAAAATGCTCAGGAACGAAAAGCAGTGCAGGACCGAGCCAGAGAGGAATTGAGGAAGGAGAGAGAGGAGAAGGGTTTGAGTAACAGTGACCGAGCGGGACAGGCGGTCACCTTCAAAGACCCTATCATCTACCTCAATCCCGCCCTAGGTGAATTCGTCAAACCGCATCAACTTCTAGGAATTCAGTTCATGTGGCGTGAACTTTGTGACACCGATAATCCGCAAGGATGCTTGCTTGCCCATGTTATGGGGCTAGGCAAGACCTTTCAGGTGTACGTTCTTGTCCAGAAACCCATTGTTAGGATTCTCACTCACAGTTCACTTTATGCAGGATATCCCTCTTAGTAACGATTGCCGAGGCGGCTGCCTCAGAAAACCCCAAAATTAAAGCGCAAGTCCCCGAGAAATTTCACCAATCTCGAACTGTCATTCTTTGTCCAGCTTTCCTGGTGCTCAATTGGAAGAAAGAGTTCAATTGCTGGGTTCCACCCAGTCATCACCTTGGAACTGTCTTCCAGATTATAGCTGGTCCCAACACCGACCCTGCGGAAAGAATGGCCACCCTTCAAGCCTGGAATGAAGAAGGAGGTGTTATCATCATGAGCTATGAAATGTTTCGGGGGTACATCAAGAACGATCAAAACCGCGCAAGTGGCCAGCAGCATAAGATGATTTTAGATGCTCTCTTGGTCAAGCCCAATATCGTGGTTGCTGACGAAGCACACAAATTAAAGGGAGAAAAATCATACATCAGCCAAGTGACTTCTCTCTTCGAAACCAAGAGTCGAATCGCTATGACAGGATCACCTCTTGCAAACAACCTGTTCGAGTATTACCAAATGATTGAATGGGTTGCACCTGGTTATTTGGAGACAGCGCAGTCTTTTAAGGAAAGGTACATGGAACCTATTCAGGACGGTCTGTACATTGACAGCAATCTGTACGAGCGGAGGGCAAGTCTTGTTGCGCTGAAGATTCTCAATGGGATTTTAGAGCCCAAAATTCAGCGCGCAGATCATTCAGTAATTGCATCATATCTGCCGCCCAAAAAAGAACTTGTCGTTCGTGTTCCCCTATCAGAAACCCAGCGAATGGCATACAATATCTTCGTTGAGGAATTGAAAGCCTCGGGCAATTTTGCCAGGTTGTGGCAATGGCTCGCGATCATGCAGCTGTGTTGCAATCATCCAAAACCGTTTCTAGACAAATTAGAAGATCGAACGGCCACCACAAGTCACGGAGTCGAAGCGTCTGTATTGGATGGGGACGCCGATCTCCCCCCAAAATTGTTGTCAAGAATCAAGGCACTCTTGGCCCCGATCTCCGACATATCGGACCCCAGCTTGTCCCATCGATCTTTGCTGCTCGACAGGATTCTGGACGAGTCAAAGAGAATCGGTGATAAGGTCTTGGTATTCTCCCAGAGTATCCCGACGTTGAACTACCTGGACCAGTTATTTAATAAACGGGGTCGAAATTACAAACGAATCGATGGAACTACTGAGGCTTCAAAGCGTCAAGGAATTTCGACAAAATTCAATGAAGATCCAAGTATGGAGCTTTTGCTCATCTCAACTCGGGCTGGTGGACTGGGCTTGAACATACATGGAGCAAACCGAGTCGTTATCTTCGACTTTTTGTTCAATCCGTCCTGGGAGGACCAAGCTATCGGGCGTGCTTACCGTCTTGGCCAGACAAAACCCGTCTTTGTCTATCGCTTTGTAGCGGCAGGGACTTTCGAAGAAATCATGTTCAATCTGACTCTCTTCAAGTCCCAACTCACAGTCCGCGTGGTGGACCAGAAAAATGTCCTTCGCGAGGGCCACAAGAAGCCCACGAAATATTTGGTCCCTGTCAAAGTGAGAGAGAAGCAACCGGTTGATCACCTTCTGGGGCAAGATCCTGAAGTCCTTGACAAGATCATTTCCGACGGCAGTCTTGCTGACAGTATTCTGGAAATCACCCAGTCTAAAGTTCAAGACGATGAGAATGACAAATTGTCCCCCCAGGAAAACCTACGCGTCAAAGATGAATTGACTCTGGAGCAGCTTAAACGCAGCGACCCAGCGGCATTTAGACTGGAAATGAAGAAGCGTAAGCTGGCTGAGAATGCTAAGGCCGAGGCAACGCGGCTTAAGTTGCAAGCCCAGCTCAGGCAGCAACAAGAGGAACAGCAGCAGAGGGAGCAGCGACTGCTGCATACCTTGTCAGATCCTGTTGGACCTCAGAACGATCTGCCCCGAAACCCCCAGCAGCAAAACCCCCAGCGGCAGCAGCAGCAGGGGGTCCTTTCCGCGCAGCAAGCTGCAGGCACCTCACCATTGAGACAGGTTGGTATACAACCAACCGCTGCGCCATCTGCACTTGGCCAGCCACCAGGCCCAAGTCTGTTTGGTCAATCCTCCCGAAACCTATCACCATCCGGTCACTTTCAGCAGGCCAACCCAAGTCCATTTGGCCAACCCTTCCAAAGCCCATCAATATTCGGTCAACCTCAGCAGGCTAACACATATCCATTTGGCCACCCTCCTGCACCTGCTGAAATGCAGCGACTGCTGCACCAACGCGGAACGGGGCTTATGCGCCATCAAGAAATTGCGCGGCAGCCTCCAAGCCTCTCACGATCGGTACCTAATGATAATTCGTCACATCATCGGGTGACTGGGATGAATTGGCTCCCTACGCTATTAGCACAAGCGTCTGGACCAGATGTCAATTCCACACCATACCCTCATGCTCAGGCACGCCCATCTTCAACCCCAATCCCCGACCATGTGCCAGTGAACCCGTGGCGGGCGTCCTCGAATGAGTCAGTTTCAAGATACCAATCCCAACCTACCACTCCAACTTTCTCCCCACCGAATCTGCAGGCCACTTTGATGAGCAGCCGCAACCCTGCAATGAGGGCTGCTTTCCCTTGTGATAGAGATGGGAATTGGGTTCCAACTCGGCAATTTCCCATTCCTCCAGCTCAACCACAGTCACAGCCACAGGCCACGTCGGCTCGTCCGGCTTCCTCGTCACTTGATTATCCTGTACCAACAGACGATCAACTGCCTCCCACCCAGACCGAGCCAGGACAGTAATGTCTTGGCTCCAGAGCTGATTATGCATGTACGACAACCATTTGATTTTTCCCAAGCGTTTAGCCATGCTTGATTCCATTTATTTCTAATTTTCATGATACCCCTGTATTCGTTATGTCATTTTTATTGATTGCATCTGTCATGACTGGGCCTTGCTGGTGGATGGGTCCAGACTAACCACATCTCATATACTGACCACAGATAGCAAGACTTTTGAATGCTTCATTTCTCCTAGTTCCAAAGATCAACTCCAAAGATGTCCATATAGTTCTTAAGACCTCATGATCCTAGATCAGCAACGTAGATCATGTATTTTACGACGGGCTCTGCCTTTCAGTCGAGTGTTTATATCAGGTATCCAGTTTGGTAGACGGATAGAACAATTTAGAGGATGGGGAGGTAGAAAGGGGAGGGCGAAGGGGAGCATGCACCTCAGATCTTTTTGGATATGTTCAGAAAATAGTCTTAAGAATGTTTTACAAATTTGACGATGATTGGAGAAATGATATTCCAAAACGACCACAGGGCATACATCAAGAATGATCCCAATGACTTAAACCCGAAGACCCTTGATCAGAATTCGACTTCACAAACGAAGCCAATCTCGACAAGACCGCAATTTCCAACTTCAGCTTCACGGTATAGAAGAAACACTTCGCAACCGTCTGCGCAATAAATTGCCCATTGTACTCCAAAGACAAAAGAGCGATATCCATCAAGATAATCACCGCATTGATCGTAATCAACTGATACATAATATTGGTTCTCCGCTTCGAACGCGACGGATAAGACAATAACAACCGAATAGTCTGCACAATAAACAACGCCGATATAACAATCTCCTGCACAAAGAAGACGGTCAACTGAACCTTCTCCCAGACATTAAAGAAGTTTGGAAACCTCGTATGACACGCATACACAGCGCCATAAGATGCAACAATCTGTGGCGTCTGCATCGCTATCGCATCGAAGATGATCATGCCAAGTACACAGCGCAGGACCGTCTGGTTCATCACAACAAGATGTAGCCGCGAATACAGCACGAGAGATTGACCCGTTACCATGATGGCCCAACCAGCAGTTGATAGTGTAACGGGGATCCATATTGGGGCGAGCTCAAAGTATTTCAGGATCAGACCTAGCGCGTCGGGGATCACGCCTAAGGAGGCAGAGATCAATAGGCTCCAGAAGTATAGACCGCCGTAGATATGGAAGATGGAGAAGACCAGGACTATGAGCTCGAGGGCGCTGTAGAGGGCGCAGCCGAGGAGACTGGCGATTGAGGCTTGGGCGGCGAAGCTGTTGCCCGTGTATGCGCCTGAAATGCCATCGACGGGCGCATCGCAGTTGACCATTCTGTAATTGCATGTTATAACCTAGCCGGGGTTGTTGAGCCTCAATCAGGGCCTATGTCAAGTTTGGAGGACCCTAGTAAAAATGGAAGAGGAGAGTCGTGCACATGTTGCCATGTGATGAGGTTGAAATTGTCGTGGTCTGGGGTTGGAATGTGGATGTGACGTATCCACGGGTCAGAAGACAAAATAAGGTTTATTGAAGAATGTCAGGGAATTGCATCCGAACCAATCTTGAAAAGCGGAGTAGGTTTATCTCGAACCCCGGTAGGCTAAGGTCCAAATGCTGGTTTATTGTACCTGAGGAGATCGAGTCTTAACTGGTATGTCCATAAACTATGTATGTTGATTCCTTCAGATGAAAAGTAAAGACATGAGCCCCAAATCTATTCAACAGTTCAACAGATCAATTTAGAAGATTCTCAAGATCAGCCACACGAGTCGCTCTATCCTCCGCCTTCTTCTTCCCCGTCTCACGGAAAGCAGCAAGCATTAGCTCACGCTTTCGGCCCTGGATATCAAGCACGCGCTCCTCAATACTGTCCTCCATGATGAGTCGCCACACAGTGGTCTCTCGCTTCTGCCCTAGTCGGTACACACGATCCAACGCCTGGTCTTCAATAGCAGGCGCCCACCAACTATCAGCAAGGATGGCTTGGTTGGCAGCAACGAGATTCAGACCAACGCTGCAAACGCTGAGACTTGCAAGAAGGACAGTGCAAGTAGGCTCGGTAGAAAAGCAGTTGATAGAATTATCGCGTCTGATGGCGTTCATTTTACCGTCGACCCGAACAAAGTTGATTCCACGCTGGGCGAGATGAGGTTCCACAAGGTCGAGGAAGGATGTCCACTGGCTGAAGACCACTGTCTTGGTTCCAGGTGCTTGGCCCGGGGCGGTCAGAACTTTGATTAGGGCCTCGATCTTGCTACTAGGGTTTTGGGGATCCGCGTCAACAGTAGTTGAATCTTCACCGAACTCCTCGGCAGGTGCGACAAGATTCTTGTTATCCTTTATATCGGCACGGCAAAGCGGGCACTTGTGCTGTCGTTCAATGACCTCCTCGATACAGCCTTTGCAATAGGAATGAGCACACGCAGTGATAACAGGCTGGTCAAAGTTATCAAGACAGATCGCACACACTTCCTGGCTTTCAATTTGAACCTGCAGCATGTCCTGCAAAGCCTTCATGTTCTCAGGAGTAAGTTCCACCACCTTCTGTTCATCGAGGGTTTTCAAGAGCTTATCGATACGGTTTTTGCATAGAGCCCAGTGGTTGCAAACCTGACGAAGGCGTAGAATGACCTCCAACAGATGAGAATATGTTCCTTGCTTATCCTTGAACTCCAACAAGGCTCCTTTTGCCTCAGATTGAAAAGCACTATACTTCTCAAGCTCATGGGATTGGAACTTAATACGAAGAACACGGGAAGTGAGCTTCGGGAGTCGCAGATTGATGAATTCCATGTCCTTTCGCCGCCTGAGACAGATAGTTCCCATCAAGGCCTCAAGAAGCAAGCGAGCTTCAGGCTCTCCGCTTGTAAGAGGACGGATCAACACGCTATTGAAAACGCCCATATCCTCCAAGCCTCCAGAGAGCTTCAAAAAGCGTACCTGGGAGTATAGATCCTTGAGAGTATTGATGATTGGTGTTCCTGTAAGGGTCCAGCGAGAGTCTGCACGTAAGGCGCAAGCTGCCTGAGAGCCCTGTGATTTAGGGTTTCGAATAGTGTGACCCTCATCAAGGACGATGCGCCGCCACTGGAGCGAGAAAATACCCGTTGCAGGTGTCCTTTCCGCTTTCAGTTGGTCTTTGTACTCGTTGGTAAGGGCGCCGTAGCTCGAGATTACCACGTCGTACTGAGACAGATTTGCAGCCTCTTTCTTGCCAGATCCGTGATATATTAGAACCCGCGGCATGGTCTCAGCTCGACAATGATCTTTCATCTGATTCCTCCAGTTACTCATCACGCCTACTGGGGCGAGAATCAACGTGGCTTTGCTTGAATCCGAAGTCTTGGGCGCTGGATTGGCCAGAATCAAGGAAATGATCTGGATTGTTTTCCCGAGACCCATATCATCGGCAAGAATTCCACCACTGGAAAGAGTTGGCGCAGTAGTTGAGGAATAATTGGTTGCGATGTTGGTGAAGTTCTTTCCACTGCGCTTCCACAACTGGACCACTGTATCGGAGCCAGGAGGTGGAAGGCTTGGGGATTCGCGCGCAATCATCCACGCTAAACCTTGCTTTTGATACGGAAGTAGTTCGGTAGACAGACCAGCTGGGGTATCAACCATCGGCATCTTGGCCATGTCGGACTCTTTTTGTCCGAAATTCTCCACCACTTGGCCAATCTCTCTGGGGTTGAAGGAGCTACTTTGGTTGATGAGATCCTCCATGGTTTCGGTGACTTCACCAAGACCTGTAGGTGTCGAAAGGTTGGCAAACATTTTCTCGTCGTCGTTGCCTTGCCATCCTGCTGCCGCTCTCTTAAGAGCCATCGCACGAGCATTCTTTTCAGCCTTTTTCTGCTCCGCAGCAAGCTCTTTCTGACGTTGCTTCTCTTTACGCTCGGAGTCCATGAACTCGCGCAAAGGAAGTCTATCATTCTGCATTTTTTGCTTCACAATTATCTTCCTGGCTGGTTCAGTCGGGCCATATAGCGGCAACGTCACAGGACAGTCATAGGGCCCCTTGACACCCGTCAGGATTCCCTCTACGTGAAGGTCTTTAGAGTCCTACGACAATTGTAAGCAACTTTCCTGAATTGAAGGGGATGGTTCGTTGAACAAACAATATAAGGAGCAAGCTTAGCAGCAACTCCCCTACCAATGTGGCCGATTTGGATGCCCATGATATTATCGATTCGGATAGCGTTAGGATCATACTGATTCTGCGGCTCTCGTTTCAAGATGACATGCTCTCCTGGGGTAGCAATTCCGTTGTAGAAACGAACACCCACGATCTTGGTCTCCAGATTACCTGAGTGAGGAAGTTCAGGCTTCATTCATGTATTGAAGGCAATGAAGAGATTAGCATAACTTACCATAGAGCATAGTTGTGGACACAGAAGATTCATCCACATCTTGAGACCCCTCAACAAGCTCGGTAGCCTGAGCATCATCTTCATCGGCGCCGGGAACTTGAGTCAAGGGAATAAATTCGGCACTTTCGCCAAACCTCTCACCATTGCTGATGTTCTGTGGGTCCAAGTAAGGGGTCGATCTGTTGACTTTCGTTGCACGAGCCTCCTTGTCTTCGGTCGAGTCGACTACATCAGACTTGCGCTTTCTGGGCGGCATGACGTAAATTGCAGCCCACCAAGGTCAATGCTCGGCAGAAGAGATAAGTAGGAAGTGCTGATCAGGTCCCGCACAATTTGCAACGTCGTGGGATTGTCATTTCAGTCAAAATTAGACAAGGAGATAGATCACAGTGTCACCATGTAGGCTAGTCCTGATCCGGAAACCACGCGGTCGCGGGAAACGCGTCATCACGTGGACGCAGATAACCAAGCTCGTCTTTAAGGATATTTGAGAATTATATAGGCAGGGAATTAGAACAGTAAGATACTTGAAGTATTACCTGCTTATAACTGTGTGTACTGACTTAATATGCCATCTTGTTCGAATCTGTAGGACGAAGCACTGTGGGATTTGGATCCTGTAGGAATCACGTGAACATGACACAACTCGGTCCAAACGTGTATCAACTTGATTTTTTGCTTTTTCCTTGATTTTCTCGATTTCAAGTTAGCTTCAAGTCAGCCGAGAATGAACTTGGACTGATGAAACTGCTGTGATCATTACAGTCTTGCAATTATACTTCATTTGCGGGGATCACGATACCCACAGACCCTACATTGATGCTTAGCGCCCCCCAGATCAGACAAGCTCCCGAGCATAGTGGCGCCTTCTCCGCATGGCTGATCCCCGCATTAGCTGGTCCAGATATCTCGTTCGGCAAAACGAACATGATCTAGACACTCTACTCCAACAAGGCACTTTTAAGCCCCTTCTCCTCTCCCATGTTATTTTCTTCAACTGCCTGCCTTGGATCGCCTTAGTCATTCCCAAGCGTAGAGGTGGGCGGTATTTTCGACCGTTGGTCTTTGCACTGAGCTTGGCAATTGCTCTTGAGGTTCTCAGGACTCAACGAGCTCTCCTCGGTGGAAATGGGTACATGATTGGCATGATGGTAGGCTGGTGGCTAGTGTGGAGTGCCACATTATTCGTATTCTCAGACGTCGAGCGTGACTTCCAGCGCATTGAGCGTGTGGCTTTATCTGAGACGCCACATCCTAATGGCAATGAGTTAAATGCGCAGTCAGGATCCATGCTCGGTAGCAATGACTGCCCTGCACCTGCACCAGAGGATACAGCCGCAGCCCAGTTTCGCTGGCAGTCATATCCCTCTAAGCTGTCACATCGCATTGAGTGGTGCGCAGGACTTCTGTTCAACCTCCGTGGCCCAGAGTGGAATTGGCGTGCACCTCGCCTTGGTCGACTGCCCCGAACAGTACACGCAAACCTGCATTCTGGCTTCCTGGCCAGCAGTCTCCGAGAAGAAGATGGAATACATATTTCTGCAAAATCTTGTCTTTCGAAAGCATTTCGCACGTTTCTCATCTCATATCTTACACTCGATGCATTGAAAGTCATCATGATACGGGACCCATACTTCCGGGGTACGCTCGTGGCGGACGCCACGCCTCCGTCGCCTCTCTCCTTCCTCGCATCCATACCTTTGGGTGTTCGCTTCTACCACTGCTTCGTGAGTTGTATGGGAGTCTACGTCGCCCTCGCTTATGTCACATCATTAAACCCCATCTGCTTTCTCGGGCTATCCATGGCATTCCCCAATGCTTCCCGCAAGTTAACAGCGGCTCCATTAGACGAGTCATGGCTGTACGCCGATACCTTTGGGCCATTCATTTCACCGGTCTTGGATGACGGCCTAGCGGGCGTTTGGGGAAGCTGGTGGCATCAGCTTTTCAGACACGGGTTCGTCTCTACAGCACGGTGGATTCTATCATTGCTCCCAGGTTCATGGGGAACATGTCCGGGAATGAAACGGGTAATCTATATCGTGATTGCATTCTCGTTGAGTGGTTTTGTGCATGCTTGTGGCAGCTACACGCAGTTCACAGAAACTCACCCCCTTAGGGGGCCGTTCCTATTCTTCTTTCTACAAAGCATGGCCATTCTCGTCGAACATATGGTCAAGGCTGTAGTACTCCCAAAGCTGCGTCTGGGTCGTACTCCACGGTGGTTGCGGCGTACTGCAAATGGCCTTATTGTGTTTTGCTGGTTACTCTATTCTGGAGCTTTCATCGCTGATGATTTTGCCAGGGGTGGCCTGTGGTTGATGGAGCCTGTGCCACTTAGCCCTCTCCGTGGCCTTGGATTGGCGAATGGTCAGGGATGGTGGTGCTGGGAGGGGCAATGGTTCAAATATTGGGATGATGGAACTTACTGGGGTAGTGGGATACGGGTGATCTGATCGGAGTTTATAATAGAAAAGGGCTGCATGTAGTGTGTATAGACGTTGTGGTAGAATTCGACTTTTATAAAAAGTAGGCCAGCCTAAGAGGGCCCAACAAGATACAAGGCTTTTGATTATATACTTTCAGTGACATTATACAATTATCCCTCCATGTTGACATCCTCATCGTCTTCATCATCAGTGTCAGAATCCATGTTCAAAGTGGGCATTTCATCATCACTTTCTTCCTCCGGCTCCGGGGCGGCCGGTGCAGCTGAAGCAGCCGGAGCCTGAGATGTGACGACTTGGGGTTGCATCCGCTCAGGTGCGTCGGCTTCAGCTAGCTGAGACGCAGAAGTCGAAGTCCGAGTGACGACAGGGAATTGTTGATTAGCACTCTCTTCAAGACGGGCCTTCTTCTCTGTAGGCGCGGGGAAATTCGGCGCCTGGATATTAGACTCCTCAACATAGGTTCGTTTGTGCATCGGAACCTGGGATGTGGTCGTCGTTTCAACAGGCGCAGGAGCCGGGGCCTTCAAGAAGTCGGCAGCTTCGGGAGCAGCGTTATACACTTCGTCGTCGGCCATCTCATCTGCCTCTTGCTCGTCCTCTGCCTCGGCATAAGCGTCCAGCTCCGGGGCAGTCATCAGAACTGGCATTCTAGGGCGGATCAGAGCCTCGACTTCGATGCTATCGGCATAACCCCGAGCCAGGAAAGGCATGATACTGGCACCCGCAGCACGACCCTTGATGGCCGGGATGGGGTTCAAAACACTTGCAAGCATAGCATTCTTATCGGAGACCAGAATGATCGTGCGGTCGATTTCAGCACGGAGAGATCCAACAAGAAGCTGTGGGGGAACACATGTCAAAACAGTCTGCAGGAGACCCGATGCAGCCCGTTCTAGCTCCGCGAATTGAGACGTCTGGAATTTGCGATTCTTCTGAAGGTCAGGGTTCAAGAAGGAGTCTGCATTAGCGGTGGCTTGACCGTTCTTTGTCTTAGGCTTAGCATCGGATTGTTGCTTGCCTTGAGAACCAGACTCATCAGACGAAGGCAGGAGATCATTGCAGCAGGCGCGCAGAACGCCGGTGATAGAAGTCACGCTCTGCTTCGACATAGCGGGGCCATTGAGCGATACTACCGTGCTCAGCAGATCATATGAGGCCAAGCGCACATTCCGGCTGGTGTTCTCGTTACGGAAAACCCAGGTGATTTGTTCCAGGATGTTCTGGGTGATAGGTGTGGCGCTGGTCTCTAGGACACTGGTGACATGGGCAAGCAAGTCCATACAAGCAATGTGAATTCGAGGCAATTCAGCCCACAGCAATTCCCGCTCGTCGCGGCCAATTTGGGGGTTAGTTTGCACACCAGATCGGGTTCCCTCATCCGAAGGAGCGGTAACAGATGTGAGACGCGATGTCACATCGAGAATCGAGCCTAGAGGGAGGGCAACAGTGGCGGTAGATGGCATAGAGACGAAGTTGGACAGCAATCGCAACAGTGTAACCAACCTATCAGATCCAGCATGCATGCCCTCCCAGCTGGCAAGTCCCAGGGAATCGGAGCTTTCATCAGCAAGGTGTTGGGTGAAGTTCTGTCGTGCGGAAACCAAGCCTCCATCAACCGACTCCCATTGCTCTACCACAGCGCGGAAAACATAATCCGCGGCTCGGTGGATAGACAGAACTGTCGCTCTGCAATCTTCGGTCCAACCGGATCCAGCCTTGTCCTTTGGCGCACACTTGTGTAGAGAGGCAAAGAGCTGCTCTGCGACGTCCATCACCGGGTCAGGGAAATACAAGGATGAGGACCCCAGAATTTCCGTCAGCAATGATCGAAGTTGAGTACCGAATGGACGGAAAATGGTAGGGTGCCGAGGGACCAGTTCCAAGCAGACTTGAAGAACAGTCTCCATGAACGGTGTGTTGGGCTTCACTTTGCGAGTCGATCCCGAGGGTAGCTTCGTAAGGACCGAGACCAAATTGAGGGCAGCGGTAATGAATGCAGGCAGGTGGGGTGTCGTGATCTCTCGGACCAGAGTTGGGTATTGGTAGGTGAGGTGGAAGATGCGCGTCAAGGCGATCATGGCCATCTTTCTTGTGGAAATAGGATCCGGTTTCTAGACGGCACTAAATGTCAGTCGATCAAGCCACAAGATCTAGATCCATAGCTCATGCAGAATGCTCATACCGCCAGAATGCTAATCAAGCCACGAACAATTGGCTCATAGCCTCGCAAGATCTCCCATTGTCCCGCCTCCACGGTAGCTTTCACGAGCACCACGGCGGTCCATCGTCCCTCAATGGTGCGGTCCTGCAGCAAAGTAGCCAGGCGAGTCTTCAGCTTATGAATCTGGACGGAATGATCGGACTCGGTTTTGCCTGATTTCTGAGCCTGGGGCGCAGAGAGGAGCTCGGCGCAATCAGTCAACGAAGTCGCAAGGAATGCAGCTATTGAGGGCAATTGCTCGACAGGTGTCGTGGCCAAGCGATGCGTGACCGCACGTAAAGTAGTTGTAGTCATGGTGACACTTTTCCCGATCTTTACGATCTCTAGATCTGGGGATCAGGTCGGGTCTTTTTTCCTGGAGGGATCAAGAGAATGTAGGATACATAGTTTCTTATCGGTAATTTTTTTTTCCAAAAGCTCGGACCCACATGATTCCAAACCAGAAAAACAGTAAGAATGTGAAGCCTCGGGTAAAATTACATACCAAAGCAATACGCAAAGGCCTCCACATCCCCTGGGCGATCATTCTCCCCGAACCTGTTTCTCTCGCTGCCCGCATGTCCTGTTCTTCATCTTCTTCTGCGCATTAATCCCAGTAAAGGACATCATGGCGGTGAGTGTCGTGGAGCTTCAGGCATATTCCTGTTGACATCCCCCAATTACCCATTCAAGTATCGGACCACATATGCTGACGCGCGGTGCTAGGGAGGCAATGTCGAGAAGGGACAACGTTATATCGCACTCCTAGACCAGGCGCGGGCCCAGGGCAAATGGGAAGAGGTTCCTGAACTGATCCGAAAAGTCACCAAGCACGCTCCACAGAGGACTTGTAGGTTTCTGAACTGACGAAGCTCCTCCCCGCGTCAGTGGCTTGCGCGCTAACCCGGAGATCTCCCATCCAACAGGTGTCATTCAGACCGCAACTGCCGAAACGCGAGTGGTAGCATTTATTCACCAAAAGACGACCAGCGAATCAACAGCTACACCCAATCTACCCGAGTTAATCCCCGCTTTGTTGACAACAATCGAGAACAATGATGGCACCCCGCAGGAGATCTTACAGGCTCAGGTGTGCTTGGGATGGGTTCATTGGACACTAAATGAGCCGGCGCTAGCGGCAGCTCGCTTGCCCAAGGATCTCACTGCCACCGTTGAGGCCCTGTTGAGCGAAGGCCATGAATTATCCGAGTGGACTGAGGTCTGTTTGGTCAAGGGATGCTATATCAAGGGTACGCCGGTTTCCATGCGCTTTTCGATAAAGCATTTTATATTTCTCAAGATGGAACTGACCGATTGACTTCTCTGATATAGGATCTGCACAGTCTACAGTTGCCAGCATCGATGAATCTCTGGAGACCTTTGCAGACTTGATTCCATGGCTGAGCAACGGCAAGCTTATCAACAATGCCAATTCCCAGTTCCTCAGCTGGTCCGAGACACTACTTGGCAAGGGAGCCGTGATGGCGAGTGAAGAAGCTGGCACGGCCACCCCATACTCAGACCCCCGACATGTGGAGATCGCTCTTCGGCTGTTCCGGCTGTGGTCTGTGCATCCTGCAGTTAAGCAAGGACAGGGCTCTCCTAAGGCCGCGTACGCTGGTGCTCCTGGTCAACCTTCACGCACTTCGATCTGGAAATCGTACTATTTGTTCCTCACAATTGTCCTGCAGGATGGTTTGCCCTACCCACCTTCCCATGACAACCCGGAACGCCCACAGCTTGCCAGTGAGCTCCGTCGAGTTGAAGCTATCTGTGAGAGCAATCTACTCCGGGAGGTCAAGTTCCCTACTGCTAGTTCCGACAATTCACAGGTTGAAGAATGGGTGGAGCAAGTGATCAGCAACTGGGAGATTCTTTGTGGCCCCGAATGGCAGGACCAGGACCTTGGTGAAGGGGGACAAAATGCCGTGGGCCGCAATGTCTTGGACGTAAGTGATAAAATAAGATGGAGACTGATAACCCTCGATGGTGGCTTACTCAAGACTGCAGATTCTGTATCGGGCGGCAACCAAAACCTATCATTCGCACTTGATCCTCAGACGTCTGTTCCATGTACATGCAGCACTGGCAGACTTTCACCTTGCGTTCAAAGCTCTTGATTCTTACGTCGAGATTGTCACTGCCGCCAAAGCACGGGCCGAGAAGTCGGCCGAATATGGAGAGCTGGAAAAGGATGAGATACTGTTGCAGACTCTTTCGGAGGGCGTTACCCTTTTGAGCTCCTATGGGTCCTTTGAAGAGGCAGAGAAGGCCAGAAACTTGACGGACTTGATCAAAGAGTACATTGATAAGCAGGCGACAAGCCAAACAGAGGGTCAGAGCAACGGCAAGCTCCTGCTTTCACATGGTCCTAACTGTACCAATACTCCAGATATCCCTGTCGCTATACTAGCCGCATCATACCGAGCAGTCGGAGTTGGTCTCGCCAACTGGGCTAGCCACACGCCTCTGAATGAGGCACGCGACGAGATTCGTGGGGAGGCAATTGATTACTTGGAGAAAAGCATTAACCCTGAGTTTGGACAAGACACCGACTTCGCCGCTTTATACACTCTTGCCCTAACTTTAGCGGAAAACCGTGATCTCGATGCTGCAATCGACTATGCTAAGTCCGCTCTGGCATCTCACAATTCCACCCCTGTCACCGAGGACCTTTCAAAGCAAAGAGACCTTGTATCACTATGGCATCTGCTTGCACTGTTGCTTAGTGCAAAGCAGGAGTTCGACATCGCTGAACGCTCGTGCGAGGCAGCGTTCGAACATTTTCCTTCGGAAATTTTCTCTAGGGGCAATCGTGACCGACGTTCTTCTTCGAGGCATTCACAGAATGGTCTAGGTGGACCTAAGCGCTCGCTGGTCAGTCGCTTGCAGGGTCGGGAGAAGGAGCGCATCCTTCAGACCCGCATCACGCAGCTTGCGTTCACCGAGGTTCTCGAAGGCCCGGAGGCTGCCGTTAACCAGACAGAGCAGCTACTCAGTCTTTTTGGTAAACTGTTCCAGGAGCTGGATCTTGACGAGGGATCTAAGTCCAAGTCCGATCATTTGATACCACCCAAAAGCTCTGCGGGGACAACGAAGAGCTTCCGCGGCAGTATCTTCCACCGTAACCGAATGTCTCAGCTACCAGACCGCCGGGGTGAGCGATCCGCGAGCTTACATTCTGCGACTCCTCCTGTTCCGGCGATTCCGAATGGTCACTCAGGTTATGATGCGCCAGAAATTCAAGTCACTGATGAAGATCACGAGTTAGGCCCTAGGATTGGACGATCAGACTCCAAAAGATTGACGAAGCGCAGCGGTAGTTCTTACAGGCATGAGAAACCAGAAGATCAAGGGCCACCAGTGCCTCCTCATGAAAATGAGGTTGGCATTGCAGTATCAGGCAACTCGACTCCCGTGCCACGAGCCCAGTCACAAACTCCTAACGACGAACAACCGCAGCATAAGCAAGCTGGCTATGAAGGTCACTCTCTGCGCCACAATCTTAGCCGTCCCATTGCTCACAGATTTGACTCTCCTACCAACGTCACTACCAAATTCTCTCCCACACAATCTAAGAGACACGCCCTTGCTCTACTGGTCAAGATCTGGCTGGTGATCGCTGGTCTCTATCGCCGTGCATCCCTATTCGACGACGCCCGCGAGGCTTGTGAGGAAGCCTTGAAAGAAACTGGGCGAATGGAAGCTTTGGTTGCCGCTGAAGAGTCTTCTGCTCGTCATTTGAATAGTCGAGGCTGGACTGCTGCACGAAGCTCCGAGGAACTCTGGGCTGATGTCTACGCCGAAGAGGGTCTTTTGTCCCAAGCTCAGGACAAGCCTCATGAGGCCATGAAATATTACGAGGATGCTCTTCTGCGCTGTCCCGAACACCCCATTGCAACGATTGCACTCGCAAACCTTCTCTTGGATATTTGGGATGAGAAACTTTCGCCCGAATCTACAAAGACGGAAGTAGATCTCAACGTCTCCCGTCTATCTTTGCTGTCTTCCAGTGCTAAGCTCAAGTCCGCACGAGCCATCTCAGCCGATGAGCTCAAGGTCCCTGAGACGACCGAGATTCCACGACCAATTTCGATCGCTACTTCCCCACATGAGGTTGACCCGAAGCACCTCCACCGTCTGGCGGCTCGCGATCGTGCATACGGCCTTCTCTCCATACTCACTAAACTCGGCAGCTCCTGGGACAACTCCGAGGCGTGGTATGCGCTGTCTCGCGCATACGAGGCTGGAGAGCAGACTGAGAAATTAAAAGAAGTTCTATGGTGGTGCATTGAGCTTGAGGACCGTAGGCCAATTCGGCACTGGTCCAACATTGGCTCCGGTCTTTATGTCCTTTGAAAGAGCAAAGGAATAAACATGTTTAATTAATATCCTTCTTGTATCTAGTTGATTTCCCTTTGACTGGTCACGCTTGATTCCCCTTGTTTTCATCTTCAACATCTGAGATACCATGTCCTTACTGCAGCCGGGAACTCAGAGCAGGACTGGATATGTTTCGTCGAGCGTTTTCTTGTTGTGATCTTTGCATTTATTGGAATGGAAAATCGTTCATCTTCTTCAACTTATGTCTTGATCTAGATACAGTATATGAGTGCTACAGGTAGTTACTCGAAATTGGCGTCTATTAAATTACTATTGCCGGAATATTCAAGCCAAACAGTGCCATTATCGCACTATAGTAGACCGGAAGTGAGGGCGTCATCAACCTGCCAGAAGTCTTTGTTATGAGCTTGAGAAGTCCAGAGATTTCTAATATGAAAGTTTCATGAAAAACAGAAGTAGCACAACTTTATGTACATTCCTACCAAACACATTCGGTGATTGCAGGATATAAGAGAACCAAAAGAAACTAGCGTGGAAGTGCGGAAGCTCAGTTCATTTCACTAGCCCCTAGCCAATTGGATTTACCGGGGAGCGGCAACAGGAGTCCAGGCAGAGTACTTGGGGCGGGTGCTTTGAAAAGGGTCAGTACTTCACCACAGGATGAGCATAAATATCTAAGTACGTACGTAGAGTAGGTCTTGAAAGCAGCGCGAGTCTGAGTAAGGTTGGGGCGGTGCTCGGCGGCCTCGTAGTGGCGCAGACCGGTCTGGAGGAGCTTGTCCTGGGTGGGGGGAGCATCAACCATGTAGGAGATCCAGGCGTGCCTGTATATTGATTAGCCCAGCACAAAATGACCCCCATTTCAAGATCGGGACGAGCTCATAGCGAACTTACCAACCAGGCTCAATCTGAGAGGGCTCCCACTCGGGGAAGCTGGTCTTGTAGTCGACCCATCGTGTCCGGACTGTGCGGGTCAATCAGTACTCCTATTCCCAGGCTTCCTGTTCCCCTCTCGAGCTTCGGGTTTGATGTCTTACGGGGCAGCTCCTCGGTCATGTTCTCGTAGAACTTGTTACCCCAGCGGTCAGTTCCGATCAGAGTTCCGGCCTTGGTATCACCTATAATCGAATCAAGTTAGTGATGCGCTCCCTCTGACCCCGCAAATGGGTACCATACCGATGTTCTATTCCAATAAAGCAAGAGGAAGTCCGCAGTTAGTTTCTCTGTCTCCCAACTCTTGTATCCTAAGTATCCGCGGGCGAGGTTCATACCTGCATCTGGTGGCCATATTCCTGTGCGTAGAGTTAGCAATTTGAGCTTCTTGAACGGAGAAAAAAGCATAACATTAACGAACCTTGAAGCCAATGCGGCGCAAATTGCGCAACGTCCGCAGGATGGTAGACATGGTGACGATGCAATGGGGGAAGAAACAATGTGTAATCCCAGTGTCGTGAGTCGTCGCGAGGTTGAAAGCGAATTGAAGTCCGCTGTTTGCACTGTTTGCACCCATGCTTGCTCGTCCCTTCCCGATTCAGAAATCTTTCAATAGTTTCCTCTTGGGAACTATTGCATTAGCTTGTTTCGCTTTTTCCACGTCATGTTCGGTCGCATTGGAGGCCAGGCACTTCGCTGTGCTACTCGTCGCCCGATTGCGCGCCGCAATCTCCCTGGTCGCAAGTTCTCCCATGCTGCGGCGAATGCATCCGCTGCTCCGGCGCCGTCACCTCTCGGGGGCATCACGGTTGAATTGGATCGCATTGCGCCCCGGTTCGAGATTCAAGCTAGCCAGGTCACAATATTGAATTCCCCGGCCCAGTTCTACTCGACTCTTAAGGTTTGTGATCCTGTAGGGAGCTTCATACTTAAGATCGTCTACTGATCCGTTATCGGCAGCACAAAATCCGCAATGCCCGGAGGCGCGTTTACCTCTCGACGCTCTACATCGGCAAGACTGAGTACGAATTGATCGATACCATAGCAGATGCTCTGCGCGAAAACCCCGACCTACAAGTCTCTGTTCTCTCCGATGCGCTACGCGGTACACGAGAAACTCCCCACCCGTCATGCGCATCACTACTTTGCTCGTTGGTGGAGGAATTTGGTCCTGAGCGAGTGGACATTCGGATGTATCACACTCCCAATTTGACGGGCCTGAAGAAGAAACACATTCCTCGTCGGATCAATGAGGGCTGGGGCTTGCAACACATGAAGCTGTACGGAATTGACGACGAGATCATCATTTCCGGGTAAGAGTTGACCCGTTGAGTTGAATTGTTGATACCAGTGATGCTAATACTTCATGTAGGGCAAACCTGTCCGATGATTACTTCACCAATCGTCTAGATCGATACCATGTGTACAGTTCCAAGGCATTGGCAGATTACTACGCTCGTATCCACCACGGCGTCTGCAGTCTAAGCTTCCAGGTCTTGCCAGACCCTAACAACACCTCCGCCTATCTCCTGGAATGGCCCAAAACCAATGGATCGCCATCACCCTTGGACAGCCCCGAAGACTTCATCGGATACGCGACAACCATTCTCAATCCCCTAATTCAAGCCTCCGACAACAAACCTATCCTCCCCTCCACCTCTAGCCAAACCTTTGTATACCCCGTGGCACAATTCACCCCACTCCTCAAGCCCGACACTTCCACCGAGTTTCCGGCTGTCACCAGCATCCTCCGCCTCTTGTCCGAATCATCTGCATTCGCCGGAGCCCGTTGGCTCTTCACCGCGGGCTACTTCAACATTCACCCCGTTCTGTCCTCGCTATTGATTGCCAGCACATCAACCAACCCCAAAGCCCCATCTAATACACAAGGCACAGTTCTGACTGCCTCACCGTGGGCTAATGGATTCTACGGCTCACCAGGTATCTCAGGCATGCTACCAGCAGCCTATACCCACCTTTCCGCACGGTTCCTCGATCGTGTTGCCGCCGCTCAAGCGACCAACTCCATTCAGCTGAGGGAATGGCGCCGCGGTACTGTCGGAACACCGGAAGGATGGACTTACCACGCCAAAGGTCTCTGGATCACGTTGCCGAACGAAGAGTATCCCAGTCTCACCTTTGTTGGCAGCAGTAACTATACGAAGCGGAGTTACAGTCTTGATATCGAGGTCGGCGCGCTGGTCGTCACAAATGATCAGGAACTGAAGCGCAAACTCGGTGAAGAGACGGAAATTCTCCAGGCGGATTCCAAGCCCGTCTCGCGTGAGGACTTGATGCGCACAGAACGCCGCGTAGGCTGGAACGTGCGGTTAGCCATGTGGATCGTCGAGAAAGTCGGCGGAGCTCTTTAGATTTCCTGCTCCGTGTCTTTTTCAAAGTGTATATATATTTCTCTCCTAATTGTACTTATAGGACATGATTGTCTCGGGCATTACGCCACTGACATATTCCGAGTCATGAATCAATGCATATATCAGCCATCAATATATTCAACAGATCCTGGAAGAAAAAATCCATCAAATGCTTGCAATATCATACCTGAGCTGGCCTGTTGAGGACTTTCCTTCTGCTTGTCCGCACCCTTCTGGTAGCGATGCTTATCAAGTGGCACGAGCTAATCAGTGTTGAATAGAATAGAATTTATAACTGAAAGATTCGCAGTGGCAAGAACACAAAGAATAGCGTAGGGAACTACCTCGGGCCAAAGTACATCTTTATGCACGAGTAACCTTATGAACTCTCTATGATATTCCACTGTTCAACGATCTAGCCAATTTATGGACAGAAGTGACTGAAGAAGTGAGACGAGCAGTCGGAAGTGGATGGATAATGTCTAACGCTGTTTTATCTTCATCCCCACCCTCCTAGACTGAAGATGAACATCATATATATGGCACCGCTTCTGTGTAAAGGGCGTCGGGGACAAACGACGTGTCAATTGCTGTCTCGTTTGGCTGATCTTATCGAAGTCATTGTAAGTGAAGCAGACATCGGTTCTAGCAAAGTAAGTCCCGAAGCACCGGAGGCAGAGGTCCACGAAGACGACCTTGAACATATTGGTCAACAAGACCTCAGCAGTTCCACGCTATGATAGTTCGGAATAGAAGAACCAGGATGAATGGCGTGATGCAGAGATCGAAGCACTCGAAGGGTTGAAATGGGCCGAGTGTCCCACACGTGCGCGCTGTGTACATGAAGCTGCTATATACAACCAGCTGAAACTGCCTGAACAACGAAGATCATTCCCGAATAACATTTTATCTCCATACAGATGCTATGACCAAAAGCTTCTATGTTGGTACAACTATATCCAGATGTGTATCGTTGACTTGTGGGCACCGAGAGCAGGCATGAAATGTCGAAGTGTCAGACTATAGAAAATGTGTACAGTATATTTTAGCTGGCTGCCCCGTACGCTCACGAAAACCCAGCAAACGTGAGAGTTGAAGCAACCTGAAAGACGCCCTCCTCCTTCTCGGCGTGATGTTTGACCAATTCCTCTCTCAGCTCAAAGGCTTCCTCAAGATCCATATGCGTCGTAGACTCAGCGCCATCGCCTCTGATCCAATCAGTCTGCTGGGGTAGAACATTCCACGTAGAGCAAAGCCGGTAGGTCGGATCAACAAGAGACAAAGTGAGAAAACGGCAGTGACCGGGCTTGGTCTTGTCTTGAAGCTGTAATGGGCCCATTCGGCGCTGGAAGGCGTTGGGGAAGGAGATCAAGCGGCCCGGAGGCACCTTCACCTCCCCGAGCTGTTGCCAAGCCGGAGAATACTGAATATCCTCGCTTCCCAAAAGTCTTCCTATATATTTGACGTCCCATAGGGCATGCTTTAGGTACAGGTCATCATAATCACTTCCCTCTTCATCTGAATCCTCGGCGCCGATTCGATCGTAGACCCAGGTACCCGTACCCGCTTTCTTACACCGCTGCCGGAAGCAAATTTGCGGCTCGGATACGTTTTCTGAATCAAGCGCGTAGATAGCGTTGGCGACTATACGTTCGTTTGCATTTCCTTCGGTGTGCCACTCTTCGCCGGGGAAGGATGGCGTCTCAGGGTCTAGCTCGATGCTGTGGATCCGGACGACAACCTGGAGACCCTGTTCCCGAAACTCATCCTGCAATGAAAGCGTATAGAATTGGTGATCGTCAGCGTCCTCTCCCTTTGGCGCATATATCCATTCGTAGGGTATCAACCAAGGGCTTGAGTTCATGAGTTTAGACCGTTCAAAATCCGGAGTGTTAACGTAATCGAAGTGCGCCGGGCCAACGATTGCTTTCCCAGTCCTCCCTGCTTTCCAGTCCTCGTACGAGTACGCGGTTCCTGGGTCCGAGTGCTCAAAGACGAATGTGCGTGCGTACTTGGCCAAAGCTGTGCGAAGCAGTCCCCAGCTGGCCTTCCAATCCCCCGGGATCCTTTCCGTTCTGACCCGATCCCAGTATACCTTATCCTTGGATTCAGGTTCTTGAAGATACGCCTCCACTTGAGCACACATGGCTTCGTATTCCTCCGCGGAGAGTTTACCCTCGTCTCCCTTGCAAGGCAAACTTTTCGCCCATTCAGGGAATTGGGCTTTCCACTCGACTCCGTAAGTGCGGATTCGCATAGGCTCACGAGGACAGGAGATAAAATTCCCGTGGAAAAGGCCGATCGCTTCCCTCCACTTGTTACGAACCAAAATCTCGTTCCATTGCTTGATGCTGCCGGTGATCACGGCCTCGATCGCGGAGTACATCTCGCGGTTCGTCGGATGGAGATTGTTGATGTATGACGAAATCCGAACCTCCGTAGACCCAGGAGAACCAGTGAAATCCACTTCACATGGCAGCCACTGAAATTTCGAGGACCAAATATAGGGAGCGTAGAGTGAGTAGTTTGAGCCATCTTTTATCAGTTGTGGGAGTTCCGAAATGATCGGGCCCTCTTTACTGCGTGACGACCAGGAAGTCTCGTCCATTCCACACGATTGTCCTCCGACCATGATTTTCGTTCTCCCATAGACAAGAGGAAACAACGATGGGTCAATGAGATTCACCACAGCTGACTCTGACTTCTGCCGAATGGCTTGATGAGATAATAGGTCGACAGACTTCGACAGCTGTGACTTCAGATCGGAAGAGATTGCCGTATCGGATTTATAGACACCGCTGCTCGTGTTGAAGACGGTCAAGCGGCTGTCTCGTTCAAACTGTCGAGCTTTGTCTTGCAACTCTTGCAAGCACCAGTCCCACGTTTTGTCATTGATCAGCGACGAAGATGCAACGGCGTCTTCTCGCCATTGAGCGATAACTTGCTGGTCAAAGACGGCGCAGTGCCAATTCGGTCGATCGGTGATGGTGTTGATTAGATCTAGAATGGCCAGTTCTTTGACTGTGAGAATGGGACCACGCCAGTCATTCAACCCTGTAGCGAATTGATCATTGGCGAGTAACACATTGATGGGAAGATCGTGGAGGCCAGGGACTTTGAGTGGGGTAGATTTATTATCCAAGGGAGTCTGAATGACTTCGGTCATTGTTCAGGAAATGGTGAGTCACGCTGGGAATGAAGAAGGAAAACATCTTGATACTTATAAGAATAACATGGCAGCCTTACCATCAATACCACCCTAGGGTCTGCCCCACAGAACATAAATACCCACAGATCAACCGCCAATTCACAACCCCCAGAGTATCAGTATACCAACTTCCGTTTACAGTATATCTTGTCGCTAATCTAGCTTCAAAAGGTATGGGGAAGCAGTACGGCTACTAGAAGAATTTAGGAAGTCACAGTGATTATAGAACCCTGGAGTTCTTTCCACTAAGCTAAGCTAAACGGCTGGAAATTTTAGACTAGACTAAAAGCACCTGAATGACTCATTTGCGTCTCGAATGATCCTCTGATGGACCACAGATTGCAGGTCCGCCATGTCCTTTCTCTACGTATCCGACATAATCTTCAAAACCGGCACATCATCCCCATCTCCTTCAAAAGCCGTCCCCGGATGCCATCGGCAAATCGATCCTCAACGCCACGGGCATCTTACTATCCAGCGCCTCCAAATAAGTATGAAGCAGGCTCCCCAGCGCGCGCGAGTTTCTCTTATAGAATCATCAAACACTTGGCGGGGTCTGAAGTTTTGGCGAGTTGCTTCCAAACGCTGGCGGATGACCCGGTGGTTTACCCTTGATTGCCTGTGGAGTCCGAAAAATCACCTAGGCCTAGGCAAAAGAAGAGCCGGGGGTCTCTGCAGGGCCTGTAGCATGTGACTGGTCACCACTGCAGTTGGTATAGCCAGAGTCTGCAGGGGGTTTCCACCCCGAGACTTACTTAGTTCAGCGCGGCAGTTATGAGTCCTGTCCTTGAATGTAAAGATCTCCATGGGAATGGCGCCCGCCATGTCCGGTCTAGATCCAGATAGCGATGTGTTAGATGGGACCTCAGGGCTAGAGGCTCATCAGCAGTTTGAATAGCCGCAGGTGCAGCAGAGCCACGAACATTGGTGTCTCGAACAGGAATAGCTTTGGGCGGTTATGAGTCAAGATCTGATAACGGCGTACTACGGCCATAGATTCACATGCCTAGTTACGGCACATATTGACACTTGGAACAAGCGAGGTCTGTGAATAAGTACCTGGGTATGTCTATAATGTTACTCCTAATGTCACTACCGATAGAACCAACCCTACTTACCGAATTTCAATAGAAAGCATCAGGGTAATCACTTATTTTAGCCTTGCCTCATACCGTCAACTTGGTTTTTAATTGAAATTCCCTGTAGAATGGGAGATGCAGAAAATTATTTTGCTTTAAGTTCACCGTTCTCAATTCCTCTCCAATTTCTCATTCCTCCTCCGTCTCCCATTCTTCCTCCGTTTCCCATTCCTCGTCCTTGTCACATCTTCCTTCATTATCGCGTGCGACTTCCGTTTCCCACTCCAGCAATCTTTCAGAAGTCTTTATAGTGTTCGGATGGTCAGAGCCATATATCTCTTTCAACTTGGCTAAACAAGCCCGTAGTAAGTCGATGGCTTTGGCATTGTTACCTGAAGATTTCCAAGTAAAGGCGACATAGCCCATACTCTTCAGCGTGTCGAGATGGTTATCGCCGAGCTTTTTTTTGCGAGTCTCCATCACCTGCACTTCGAGCTGCTCGACCTCGTCCCACCGGCCCTGGTGCTCTAAGGTTGACGCGAGATTTAACATGCTCTTCAACGTAACAGCGTGATCCGCACCGAGCTTCGTCTTGTGTATCTCCATCATCTGCACTTCGAGCTGCTCGACCTCGTGCCACCGGCTCTGGAGCTCTAAGGTTGACGCGAGATTGGACATAGTGATAAGCGTGAAAGGGTGGTGCACACCGAGAATCGCCTTGCTTGTCTCCATCACCTGCATCTCAAGTTGTTCGGCCTCTTTCCATAGGCCCTGATTTTCGTATATCAATGCCAGATTAGCCATACTGGTCAACGTATCTGGATGGCCATGTCCGAGTTTTGTCTTGCGGATATCCAATACCAGTATATTAAGCTTCTCGGCCATTTCCAACCGGCCCTGATTGTTGTATACTAATGACAGGTTCGCCATACTGGTCAGCGTGTCTGGGTGGTCATCGCCAAGCTTTGCTTTGCGAGCCTCTATCACCTGTAACAAAAGCTGCTCGGCATCTTCCCATTGGCTTTGCTCCAAATATATCGACGCCAAGTTATGGATGCTTACCAGCGTGTCAGGATGGTCTTCGCCCAGCTTTATCTTGCGAGCTCCTATCACTTGTTTGCAGAGATACTCAGCCTTTTCCCACCGTTCCTGGTAGTAATACGTCAACGCCAGCGCGGCTATACACGCAATTGTTTCCGGATGATCCTCGCCGAGCTCCGCCTTCTTGGTCTCCAGCACCAGCAACTGGAGCACCTCAGCCTCTCCGAAGCGGCCCTGATTTTGATACGTCGCCGCCAAGTTAGACATACTCGATAGTGTTTGATAGTGGTCATCGCCGAGCACCGCCTTACACGTCTTCATAATCTGCACCTGGAGCTGCTCGGCCTTCTCCCATTGACCCTGCTTTCGATACGTGGACGCCAGGTTGGTAGTATTCGCTAGCGTGAAGAGGTTATCTTCGCCGAGCTGTACCTTGCTCGCCTCAACTACCTCTGAGAAGAGTTGTTCAGCCTCTTGCCATCGGCCTTCAACCCAGTATGACGTAGCAAGTATTCCTTTGCTTCGAAGAACTTCTTGATGCTCTTCACCTAATAACAACGCCCATTGCTTTCTAGACTCTGATGCAAAATCCCTCATATCGGCGACACTGCCACTTTGCCATGCGTAATGAGCACCTCTGAGGAGTACAGTAGCCCATTGTTGGGACTTATGCGATGCTGGCCACTGTGAGATTGCTGATTTGAGATGAGGGAGTAATAGTTGGCAAGTCGTCCAGTTCTCATAATCAGGTAAGGGAAACTCCTCGTATAAGATGCTAACAAATTTCTCTCTCCATTGGTCAAGTATTCCATGAGACTTTAACCAGGCCCGTGTAGCTAGTTGCAATAGCCGATGCATTGTGAACATGGTACCGTCTTCGCTGACATTGATGAATGAGTAATCCCTTAATATTGTGATATCATCCTCGAAATGAGGGTCTCTATCGTCTTCTGATATTTCACTATCATCAGGGTTGGTGGCGTGTTCCAGAAGCTCTGGACTTGATATGTCGTCGGTGGGTGGTCGATACTGGATAATGTCCTCTGGAATTCCTTGTCGATCGAAACAACTCATAAGAGAAAGCAACTCCGCGGCAGATGGCTTCGTGTGGTAAATGTAATCGAATGATATTTGCCAGGCCACCAAAATTGAGCTATTTGCCTCCCAGTCCCGGTAGAGAAGACCTGCCTCGACTTTCAAAAGCTGTGTTGCTTTGCGGTCACTCTTTTGAAAGTCTCTCAGATACTGCGCAACCGAATACCGAGGCGCTCGATTTCTGATATAGCTTGCTGCCTGCACAATCGCTAGCGGCATGAGCTCCAGCTCTTCTACTAAATGTTGACAATCCTGACTTTTTTCTGGTTGTGGAAGCTTTTTCTGGAGAAGTTCCAGTGCTTCGGACTGTTCCATCGGTTTGACTTCAATAAGGTCCTTATAATCGACCGTATTCAGTGCAACCTCTCGAGTCCGACTTGTGATAATGACCGATCCATGCAGACATCTAGGGACGTATTCTAGTAAGGGCTTCGTGAAGCCCCGACTGGTCGCAGGAGATTTGCGAAGGAACTCAGGATCATCGAGGTTATCAAGCAAAAGAATCCATCTTCCTCTTTTCCCATCCCGAAGCCAGTTCTCGACTAATTCGAATATATCAGCTTGCGGATCCTGGCGACCCGGAATCTTCACCTGGTTCGCTATATCTCGGAAACTTTGCTCGAATCGGGCGGCGTTACTCGTGTGCACCCATAAAACCCACGTCTCTGGGAAGTTGATTCGGACCCGGTAAGAATATTCAATGGCAAGTTGCGATTTTCTTTCACTTGTGAGCAATCAATTCCCCACGACCCATCATTCTAGGCTCACCCGACACCGCCAAGGCCGACCAGCGCTATCCTCGAACCTGGAACTAGATTCTTGTCAATCTGTCGAAATAGCGCGTCCCGACTGATAAAGTCAGGGTCACGTGCGAATGGGACAGTTGAAAGAGGGCCCGGGGGAGTTTCTAGTCGCTCTGGAGAGGCGGTGATCAGCGAGTGTCAAACCTAATCTGGTTCCTAGCTTACCTGGAGGTAGATTGATAGTATGTATCGGTCCATAGTTATCCCCTATTTGGAATCCATGGTTATTGTCACCGAATGATATTGACGCCATAATGATAAAAAGTGTATTTGCTTTCCATGCGAAGCCCGTTATCTGCCTCAGCTGAAAATGGGGCACGTCTTGAGGCTCACTGTCAGGTGACCTTTTACGGCGCTAAGCGGGAAGTACTTTCCCCTCGAGCAGTGACTTGGTCCTACGCAGGGGGGAATTAGCACCTTCTCAGGAATATGTCGACCCGAGCTCAAACACCCAGATCAAGTGCGGCACGCGATAATCAGCCTGGTTCCATGCTATTTCCCCCGTTCCAAGTGCACGAAGAAAAAAATGTCGTCTTCTGTTCGATTACGGCGAAATTAATGTAGAAAATATCACTTTTGATTTAAGCGTAAGGTATATCAATCCTAACGCACATGCATAGATAGGATATTGTGAACAGAAAAATAGTCAATAAACCCGAACGCCGTACCATGATTGGGGATTCCATTCAGTGTCGTATAATGTTGCAATGCAATGCGTCTAAGCCTTTCCAGGAACGCCCTTAGGCTTGCTCGAGAACCGAGCTGGACCAAGACCGGAGCGGACTTCATCAAGCATGCGAATGCCAATGGCCTCATTTCCGTGCTTGCCACGCTTGTACTTGACTCCCTTGCGCTTGACCTGGGATCCGGTGTTGTCATCCCAGTTGGACAAGAAGTCATCCATGACGTTGTGGAAGTCGCTGCGCGAGACAGCTTCTCCGTTGCCGTCGACGAGGCTGGGTGCCATAGACGATGCAGTAGACATACCGGTCATTCCAGTGGCGCCAGTCATACCACTAATCATAGACATGCTGTCGTCATACTCGTCCTCTTCATCCAGAGCATAGAGTTGTTCAACCTTGTCAAATCGGTCATCCAGGAGCCGGTGTCCCTCGGTACGTGCCAAGGCGGAGGAAGTCATGGAGTAGGCGGAGGGATTGGTCAGGGCACCCTTACGCTTCTTGCGACGAATGGGTGTGCCACCGACAGTGAAAGCAGTGGAAGCAACAGTCTGCTGCTCGGAAGGCGCGATAGTGGGAGCAGCCGGTGCAGGGGCCTTGCCGGATTTGGCGTCTTTCTTGAACTTGGAGAACTCTTGCATCCAGCTTTGGTCTGCTGGGTGCATATCCGGAGCAGGTCGATCATGCTCAGGTAGCTCACCTGGTGGAACATCCTTGTTCGGTTCTGATACATCATCGTCTTCAATGTGAGCATCGGTGCTGTCTCTCTGCACAGGCGCTTTTTCAGTCGCATCAGACTCCCAGCCCTCGTCCTCCTCCTCGTGATCAAACAATGTGTCTTCCCAGTCTCCCTGATCCAATTCCTCAGCATTGGCAGTCAAATCGCCGAACAGGTCGTCATCCCCATCGTCCACATATGCATCGTCTTCCAGAGCCTCGAGAGCCTCGCGAAGTCGCGGGTCCATATCAGGCTGGAATCCAGCAATCGCATCAGGAACGTTCTGCTGGTCCTGGTATGTCGGCTTCCGGGAGTATGTTGTGAAGTTGGAGCGCATATCACCAAATTCGCTAGCACCGTATGCGCTTTGCGAATCTTCATCCAAAGAGACCTGGCGCAAAGCATCCTCCAGCTTCATGCTCTTGCCCTTTGCCTTGCCCTTCTCTGGCTTAGCCTCCACAAAGTAGGCATCGCCACCACCGGTGCCTAGTTCACGCAAATGCTGCATGTAGTCATACCGGGAGTCGTCGTAGTAAATTCCATGGTTGGCGGCCTCACCCTCGTTCTGACGGATGGCATTGTTCGAGAATTCGCTCTGGAGATCGGAGAGATTCCGGAGGGGCTTGCCGGTTGTCGATGGCCCAGATGGAGGAGGAGCGGGACCGCTGACTTGGTGCAAGACTCGGTCTTCCGCTTCAGGATCGTTGATGCGCGGGTCATTCTGCGAACGATGGAAGAGCTGGAATGTGCTCGCGTTCTTCTTGTCACTGGAGGGGGTCAGTTTCAAACATCAGACATAGCGTGAACATAGCAACTCACATCCACTGGCGGGGCGGCATGATGACGACTTAAAAGATGCGTGGTAATGTACAACTTCCAATTCAATCGAAAAAAGCGAAAAAAAGTGGGATAGATAGGGTCACGTGGGGCTTATCGATGCCCGAACCCCTCGGGTCCTCAGTGTGGCGATAACAGACTTTTTCACACGCGATATAGAGGATAGCTATGAATAATTTGCTATTGAAAGTACTGTAGACTTTTGAAAAAAGATATTTTCACGTATTTCTCTAAAAAGTCATAATTATCAATAGTTTGTAGGCAAACAAAAGATCAAATCTATGATGCTGAGTCAGCTATCTTATCCGTGTCTGAATAATCTGAATATTTCCTTTTTCAAGCGGGGTTGGTTTAATTCCTTCACACCACATTCTTTCCAATACCAAATCGCAACACCACATTCACCATGGTGTTGGCTAAATCCAAAAATGCCGTGGGACTGGGTAACAGTCTCATGAACGACCGCTTTGGCAAGGGCAAAGCCGCCAAGGAGAAGAAGGCTTCGCACAACAATGCCATTGCGCGCAAGAACATGATGGGTGAGACCTACATCACCAACGCCGCTACCGAGGCCTCATGGGTCAAGATGCGCTCTATCACCGAGCAGGCTGCCCTCGACGAGTTCCTGAGCACCGCCGAGCTCGCTGGTACCGACTTTACCGCCGAGAAAGTCAACAACGTCAAGATTATCCACGCCGATCAGAAAAACCCATACCTCCTATCCGCCTCTGAGGAGAGGAACGCCCAACAGAAGCAACAAAAGAATAAGAGTCGCTTGACCGTCCCACGTCGTCCCAAGTGGGATTCTACGACTACACCCCAGCAGCTGGAGATGATGGAGCGCGAGAGTCTCTTGGACTGGCGACGTGGACTGGCGGAACTGCAGGAGTTCAATGATCTGTTGATGACTCCTTTCGAGCGCAACTTGGAGGTCTGGCGTCAGCTGTGGCGTGTTATTGAGCGTTCGCATCTCGTGGTTCAGATTGTCGACGCCCGAAACCCGCTCCAGTTCCGCTCGGAGGATTTGGAGAACTATGTCAAGGAGATCGATCCTCGCAAGAAGAACTTGCTGCTGGTCAACAAGGCTGATATGTTGACCGAAAAGCAAAGAGTGGCTTGGGCTGAGTATTTTGAGAAGAACAACATCAACTTCCGTTTCTTCTCGGCTCACCTTGCTAAGGAGAAGATTGAGGCTGAGCTGCTTAAGGAGGAGCAGGGTCTCAACAGTGACAGTGACAGTGATGAGGATGAGGATGACCTCGCTGAATCAACCAAGAAATTGGATGTGGAAGACACCGAATCTGAGGCGGAAGAGGATGCTGAGACTGAGAAAGACGAGGCTCTTGCTAAGCTTGCCGACCCTGACCAGTCGCTTGGCCCGCACATTCTGGATGTTGAGGAGCTAGAAGCACTTTTCTTGGCCAACTCACCAGAAAGGGACCCAAATGCCGAAGAAGGTACTAAGTACAAGACTACCATCGGTTTGGTTGGTTACCCCAACGTCGGTAAATCTAGTACTATCAACGCCCTTCTGGGTGCCAAGAAGGTGTCTGTGTCTGCCACTCCCGGTAAGACTAAGCACTTCCAGACCCTTTACCTGTCTCCGGAGATCATGCTTTGCGATTGTCCCGGTCTTGTGTTCCCCAACTTCGCCAGTACCAAGGCGGACTTGGTCGTGAACGGTGTGTTGCCCATCGACCAGCAGCGCGAGTTCACCGGTCCTGCCGGCATCGTCGCACACCGTGTCCCCAAGCACTTCTTGGAGAACATCTACGGTGTGAAGATCCTGACTCGTCCCATCGAAGAGGGCGGTACTGGAGTCCCAACTGCCAGCGAGCTTCTGCGTGCCTACGCCCGCGCTCGTGGTTTCTCCACTCAAGGTCTGGGTCAGCCCGACGAGTCGCGTGCTGCCCGTTACGTTCTCAAGGATTACGTGAACGGAAAGATTCTTTACGTTCACCCACCCCCTGTGGCTGAGGGTGAGGAGCCTATTGATGCAAATGAGTTCAACCGAGAGCTTTACGATCTTGCCCATCTCCCCGAGCGGCGCCAGGCTGTTCTCGCCGCGAGAAACGTCACCGATCACGATGACCTGGACTCTGATATTGCCTCTTTCGCCAAGGGCCTAGATGATGAGGCACCTGGTCCTCGCTCCCGCAACCTCGACAGCGGTTTCTTCGGAACCGCCACTGGCCCTTCGGCCGGTCGTTTGACTCTTCCATTTAACGCCAAGAACACCGCTCAAGGGCAGGAGATGCGTCAAAATCTGACAGGTCGCAAGGAGCGTATGATGATTGCCTTGGAACGGGGTGTTGATGTATCGGAAGTGCGGGGCGGAAACGGCAAGAAGCACTTCAAGGGTAACAAGAAGCGGGCTAAGGCCAAGCGTAACAACCCTGTTGATGATGACCATTACTAAAAGTGCTTTTTACGCGGATGGATTGAGATTCCCTCTTTTATGTAGCTATGTTCTTTCTTTTGTTTACATTTGTCCATGCACGGCATCGGGGGGACAGATTGGAGATGACGGTTACCGGCACATATGGGCTTTGCATGTCATTTTTGACTTGGATCTAGACATTTGCAGGCGTTGGGTTTTATGAATTGAATCGATTATACGAACTATCAAACACTGAGTACATACCCGTAACCATAAACACAAACCTCCAGCTTCTGGCTACATATGCAATTAAAATGGGCCATTCAATCCAGTAGAGCAAATGAAACTATTTCATATTCAATGCCCAGGTGTATGATTTTTCTTCTTTTCTAACCCCCGAAAACAGAAGACCTAGCCTATCAGAACTAGACCAACGATCAAGAGAAATCCAGACTAAATAATCCTAGACATGTATATAAACCACTAAAGATGGCTCTTAGCCTTGAATCCAGAGGCAATAAGCAATCGATCAGACTCCTGCTGCTGCCACTTCAACTTAGCAGCAACAGCGTCTCTCCGAGACTTGTTCTCTCTCTTACCAAGCTGCTGCAAGTGAACCTCATCAGGACCGTCAGCAATCCGGAGTGTCCGGATACCCGCCCAAATATAGGCAAGCGGCGTATCCTGACAAACACCAGCAGCACCATAGGCCTGAACAGCCCGATCAATAATATTCAACGCAGTCTGCGGAACAAGGACCTTAGCCTCGGCAATCTCCTTAAGAGCAGCCTTAGCATCACCCTGGTCGATCTTGATAGCAGCATTCAACACAACAAGTCGTGCAGCATCAACTTCAATCCGCGACTTGGCAATCCACTCTAGGATCACGCCGTGCGAACTCAAAGCCTGGCCGAAGGTCTTCTTGCGCTCGTCGTTTACGCGGGCGATAAGCCACTCGAGGGCCTTCTCGGCTGCGCCGATTGTGCGCATGCAGTGGTGGATACGGCCAGGTCCGAGACGGCCCTGGATAATTTCGAAACCACGGCCTTCGCCGAGGACCATACTGGATACAGGGACGCGCACGTTTGTGAAGGTAATGTGGCCGTGACCGTGGGGTGCGTCATCGTAGCCGTAGACGTGGAGCATGCGGTTGATAGTAATACCGGGCAGACCGGCTGGGACCAAGACGACGGATTGTTGCTTGTAGGTGTCTTTGTTTGTGGGGTCGGATTTACCCATTACGAGGTAGATTTGGCAGCGGGGGTCGCCGGCGCCGGAGGACCACCATTTCTGGGGATGTTAGTAAGTCTCTTAGGTGTGGGTGGATGGATGACATACAGAGCCGTTCAGGACATATTCACTGCCCTCACGACGGATGCTGAGCTCGATGTTGGTAGCATCGCTGGATGCGACATCTGGCTCTGTCATCAGAAAGGCAGAGCGGATCTTGCCCTCAAGCAGGGGAGCCAGCCACTGCTGCTTCTGGGCTTCGTTGCCGTACTTGGCTAGCACCTCCATGTTACCGGTATCAGGGGCAGCATTGTTGGTAGCCTGAACATGTAAAATTAGCAACATATTCAAACGGCGCAACCATTGGAGATGGTATCGACTGTCACCTACCTCTGAAGCAATCTTGCTCTTTCCCAGCAACTCGGCCATCAAACCGTATTCCAGATTGCTGTATCCAGCACCCTGCTTGAAGTGGCTCTTGGCCAAAAACATATTCCATAGACCCAGCTTCTTAGCCTTCTCCTTCAGCTGCTCCATAACGGCAGGGACGGTGTTCCATCGCTGCTCGCCCACGCCGAGCTGAGCGGAGAAGAGAGCTTCAGCGGGAACACATTCCTTCTCGACGAATTCCTCGACCTAAGTTTGACAATCAGCTTGTGTACTTGATATATGACCGTCATTCATGGGCAGGAAGATGAGACGCGAAGTAATTCCACGGCGGTGAGCTGAAGCAGTGCAGTGAGGTCATACCAGATCGAGAGTCTTCTTGGCCCGATCGCTAACGAAAGGAAGAGCGATGGGAGGGATGCGAGTAGAAGCAGACATGATAACTGTTCAAATAAAACCGGGGTAGGTATTATCTGGGGTTGAGAGAGGAGAGAGCGTCGAATATAAGTTGGGGCCAGCAAATTGCGGAGTAGTGGAGAAGCCGAGAAGCGGGATTTTGCCTCGGCCCAGGGCACTTGTTGTATGGCACCACCTTTGCTATCCCTGTACATTAAGTACATACGAGCGATTAATAATATGATTAAATCTGCTCAAGTACATCTCATATACCTTGCTGAACTTCATAATAGATATTTGAAAATGCGTGACTTTCCGTTGTCCCAGGTCTCAATGGGCGCGCAACAGGACACTACATGTACTAGCAGTCTGGGAGTACCAAATATTCCCCGTTTCCCAATGCTCTTGCAAGTATGGTGAGTAGACTGCTCTAGAATTCCTTAACCGACCTGAGCTTCTCGGGTAGAAGAATCGTATTCCCCACTACCACCATTACGAACAACCCCATACCTCGGCTAGAAGTCCGAAACGACTACAAATGCACATTTGAGAATGACACACCATCCATTGCTCCTATCCAGTCCTTAACAGGACATATTACCACATAAAAGAGTCCAAGACCCAGTAACCCATGATAACAGACCAATGAAAAAATAACAAATGACACAAGAGAAGGCATTGCGGGTCATGAAAGAAAAAAGACCAAGGAGATCGAAATCCCAAAGAAAGAAACCACATTGCAGCGAACAAGCCCCGGCTCCAAACTGCCTAGCCCAGTTCAATAAATGATGAACTTCAGGGCAGCCACTTCAAACAAAATAAGACGTCCAGCGCCCGTGTTTTGGATAATGAGCCAGCCGAGGGGTCGGATGAACCGAGGGGTATGTAGTAATACCAGACACTAGCAGCAATGGGAGGAATGGAAGAAGGAAGAACACAAATACACATCATAATGCAGCAAAAACTCGTTCGAGTGCTGCATTTATTCTGTGGTTCGACCTTGCTCGGCCGATGACGATTGCTCGTAGCTCTTCTTGCCCAGCTTAGCGAAGAGAGACTGGGGCTTGCCGGCACTGTGCGCAATGTTAGCATTTTATTCGTGTTTTGCGATCGCGCCTGGGTGCGCTTTGTGGGATCGGATGAATGGTAAAACGTACTTCTTGAATCGCTTGCCCTTGATATCGCTCAGCTTCTTTGTGCAGGGGCTCATGATATCGTCCGAAGGCGAGACATAGGCAGCTGGTTGCCTAAGAAAAAACGGTTAGCATTGATGTCAACCGATGGAATTTGGTCGTTTTGATCTGCGCGGGCAACAGCCAGCCTGGGAGTACACTCACTTCTCGCCGCTATCCTGCTTGCCCTGCAGCGCCTGTCGGTGGTACTCCATTGAAGACAGATCGGCAGACTTCATGTCTGTCTTGTCGACGTTGGCGTTGGCAAGGTGGGTGTTGGTGGAACGGTCAGCCAGAGGCTGGACTTGTGTTGTGGTAGCGTCCATTATGGATGTGTGAGAGTGTTGTGGAAGGACGGAAGTAGATGAGAGGTTTGTCTTGGGTTTTGTAGCAAGATTGATCAAAGACACAGTTGGTTCTGCAAGGTTCAGATCAAGCGGATCGGATAAGAAGGAAGAAAAACGTGTTGTTGCTGTTGAATGAGGAAAAATGCGGTTTGATTGTTGGCCCGGCAACCACCATTATGACTCTCATGACGCACCCATGACATTCCTGATCGGCTACTATTCCTGTCATATTGTTTATGTTTTTAATCTTGGTTTTGTATGATGTAGAATTTGACCGAGCATGCATGGCTAAATGGTAGCTAAATAACAGGTCTAGAACAAAAGTGGGAATATTTATCGTGCATCATCCAAACATACACTCGCCAGATCATAAGGTACCTGGAACATACCCGAACGCCAATACAGTAAATCGTATAAACAGGAAAAATAAAAAATAAAAATAAAAACAATCCATGCAAATGCTCCACCTTCAGGTGGCAAAAGGATGCGGTATGACATGTTTCAGTTGGGACCAGCCCACCGTGGAAACTCAGAATGCGATTAGTCCTCATGGGGTCGCCTCGTCAGATACCTCAGAGAGTTCAGATGCCAGCGCAAAGTCCTCTCGATCTAGATCTGGAGTATGGGAGCTCATCACAGGTGGAGTGCTGTGCGATCGGAACTGTGGCGTCCCAAGCATAGGTACAGATTCAGACAACGAGTCTGGGGACTGCGGCGTGTCAATCTTCTCGTCGTCCATCTCGTGGGAAAGAGGTGAAGTCGGAGTTGGTGGGACGTAGGGAGCTGTTGGGCTGGCAGGACTTTCTTGTGAAGAGGACGTATCTGATAGATTTCGTCGGTGGTTGGCATTCTCATGGTAGGACGAGGTGGGCCGGGTAGAACTTGGGCTAGCAGAAGGGGAGGCGAAGATTGGTGACGATGACCGTAGACTGTAGGAGCGAGCGACCATCCTTTGAACTCGAGGGAATTCCATGTAATTGCTGCCCGAGCCCCGGGAGAATAGAACCAGCGCAAAGCAGCAGAGAACCATAATGCTCTGGACTAGAGTCACTCGTTTCTGGAAAACGAGTTCGTCGGCCAGGACACCCAGCTGTGAGCTGATGGAGTGCACTTCCTGATGATATTTCAAGCGTTGGTGCTCAAATTCAAAGGCGACGGATTTCCAGACCTGGTCGTATTGTTCTCGGAAATCTTTCAGCTCGTTGAGAACGGTCACGTTGAGGTTTTCGAGGAAATTGGAAGTCTTGGAGAGCTGACGTTTCTCAACCTTATTGAAAGCATCGCGAAGAATGCGGGACTGTTCTTCAATATAAAGGAGGGAGAGGGTGGAATTTGACTCGAGCATTTGGAGCCGTTTGTGGACGGATTTGAAGAACGATTCTTGGGTAGTCGGGTTAGAAGAGGGGGGTTGAGTGGATGTAGGTCTAGTAGACTCGTGTGGTGGACTGTTCTCCTCCTTGGGGTTTGTCGTCGATTTTCCGGTGCTCTCGATGGTGGTGTTGTGTGCAGCTGGCTCCGCGGCGACAACCGAGGCATCAGGAGGAGTCGGCATAGCCTTGTTAGAGTCACCTGATTTCCGAGGATCTTCTGCTGCCTTTGGTGGAGCTGATGAGCCAGACTGGATGGCAGGAGCGTTCCCTGTGGAGCCGGTTGAATCTACTCGCTGTGGCTTTGTGGGATCTGTTGTAGCAGTTCCGTCGGGGATGGCTTCTACTGGCGGTTGTTCACTGATATCACAAGTCTCGACAGTCTGATGAACAAGCCCCAAAAGAGACAACTCCACTTCAGTGAGGGAAGCAGGACAAAATGCAGGGACTTCGTCACTGAATGTCTCCTTTTCCTCCTCCTGGATAATCTCATGCACTGGAGGTACGGGTAGATCGGTCTGTGGATCGCTGGGACTTTCTACGGTCTCAACTGATTCCATAACTTCTTCATCTTCAGCCTCGCTGCGACCAACACTCTCATCATGCTTATACTCCTCCATCATGGTCGTTCCATGGACTCGAATAAGACTAACTGGGCAGTAGAATTCATGGCCATAGTGCGTCAAGAACTCGATACGAAGGTATCGAGCCCAGATGAGCGAGTTCTCAACTGCGAACGCCTGTACCTCACGAGTATTCCGTGCCTCGTAAACACCCAATTCTTTCCACTGGTCCGGCTTCGCAGGGTATCGGTCCGATACACTCACGCGGAACGTGTGGAAGATGGAGCTGAAGAACTCATAGTTGCCCAATACGACAGTATCCACAAGGATATCGTCACACAATTCCAAAATTAAGAACTTGTTCTCGGCACGACATTCGTTCAGCATGTAGCTATCCTTGTTTTCAACCAGAACAGCCGAAGAGCCCTTGCACTCTGGATTTGTCTTGAGCACCGTAGCTGCACAATCAAAAGATGCATAATTGAATCGCTCTTTGCATGTTGTCCCGGCATCCTTACGGCGCGAAACATCTGCTTTCTGCAAGCGCTGAGTATTGATATCTTCTTCATGTTCTCCGTCAAGATGATCAGCTGCGTGGGGCGATGGAATCGGTGTACCCCAAGCCGTAGGACTAGCCTCGGGCGTCTCAGCCCCGAAGCCACCGAAGTCCAGTTCAATCTCTGCATCATCCCCTAATGAATCCAGCGCATTATTAATCCCCGGCTGACGTCGTTCTTTTCCAGCTGCCACGACACGTCTATTACCCCCAACATTCTCAGCAGACTGCCCAACCTTAGCCAGATTCTGCTTCTTCCAATCTTCGAACGAAAGGAAACTCGAACTGTCAAGTAGAGAGTCGGTATCTGCATCTTGCTGTTCTTGTTGTGTGGTTGATTCTGCAACTGCATCAACAGTTCTTTCGGTCGTAGCAGCCGACCCTGCTGTATGATCTGCACTGGCGGCAGCATCAGATGCCGGAGTAACATGGTGTGACTTCTGTCCAAGTCCCCATCGCGTCTCAAGGCATACTGGATACCGAAAGATACTCGCCTCGACCTCCCAAATATTTTCCACCGGGCATGTCGTTTCCGATGTGCGGTCGGAGAGTTGGTGATTCTGAGTCGTCTGCACAGAATCCTGAAGCCGATCTCCTCCTCCACTGCCAGATAAAGCAAGCACAATCACGGCGCAGTAAGGCCATGCTATCCTTGACCATCCTGCACTCGGCATCCTGGTCGTAAAGATAGCAACCAGCGGCTATCTGCAGTCGGATGTGCGATGACTCCTCGGCTTATTCCAGCCACAGAGAGCACCGACAGGGGGAAGTTAAGATGAAACTTGCAACTGCAGTGTAGATCCAATCCCGAATATGATTTCACTCCGACAGGCCCGGCAGTTATGATATGCGCATGGTGCGGTGGTGGCGAGACCAATCGCGAGCTCGGACGTTATCTGCGGAATTTCAGGGTCTGAGGGTACTGGTAGGAGGGAATTCGTAGTTGCAGCAACGGCTGAGAGGAGATTGGATTCGATATGGCGTGATCGTTAGGTAGATTGGGTAGTGTGCGTTGGAATTTTTGGATCGAAAGAAGCGAGGGGAAAGGCTGGTCAACGGGAGCTCTAGGCGCGACAGGGAAAAGTGGATCGTGGCATCTCGGCGGTTGAAGCTGGGGTCACCGCCCTTTACACCGCTGATCCTTGCACTGTGCACGAAGGACAAGTATACGTGGTCAGAAGAGGCTGGGGGCTTTTAGCGTGATATCTTTGTTGCCCAAGAGTCTAGTGCTTATATTGTTGAACGGGGGCTTTTTCATTTGTGTCATAGTGAATCGTGATTGTATTGCCTTGGCGTATTTAACCCACTATACTGTAGCGGGGTCATCATGAGGCCCCTGCTGTAAGACTATGGATGAGTTAGAATGTATGAAAGGCTAAAGTGTTTTAGGTGTTGTACGAAACAAATTAGAATGGTTCTACTCCACTTAGAAAAGGGTCTTAGGGATCAATGGCAGATGCTATCCGTTATGACCAGAACCTTGAAGTTATCTTAACTAACACTGCTGCCTGTGAGTGAAAATCAATCTAGAGGTCTAAGACGATAGTTATTACAAGATGGAATTAGGTTACTTAAGTTCTTACGCATGCTTCGTACATCCTGAAATGCAAATGCAAATGCGTCAGGCCGCTCCCACCTGCTCCACTTGGGGATCCACTTCCAAGATCAGGGACAGCAGCCTTACTAAAGTCAAAAGAAAAGCTTGACCTGCAGCTGCACACCGACCTTTGAACTGCAGCTAAGGTATCCCTGCAGTATGTTTCGTGTAACGCTGATTGAAGCCTTGAAAGTTGTCTACATGGAAAGGAAATAAGTCTTCACGGATGGTGATCAATTTTTCCTATGACATATAGAGCTAGTTACAGTATATCTGCGTCAAAGAAAAACGGCCGTGTTTCATCCTGCAGTGGGAGCCAAGATAGGTAGTTGGACTCCCATGCTGCCAATTCAATCCACAATTCTGTCCTTTTGTCCAAGTCGCTTTTGTCCGAATGCGCAAAGAAATCCTCCCCCAAATGAATTCCACACCCTTCTAGTCTTTTTGGTTGATGCCATCGCCTGCCTTCTGCTGCTCCCCATATAGTACAGAGGTAAAAGAAAAAGAACAATGAGAGCAGTGCCGCAGTATAGACTGCAGCGAGTTGAGGGACAGGAGGCGAACACCAGCAAACAAAACCTAAAAAATCAAACGTGCAGGAACAAGAAAAAAAAACAATTAATGTATAGCTGGTAAGGGTTTTTTTGAACTTTTTTCCCAACTGAATCGAACGAGGCAAACAGGACGCAAGGGACAGGAAAGAAACAGAATTGAAGGAATCAAAGTGACAAGCAATAAAATATGCTACAGGTGTAAATCGTGCCAGCCACCAACGAGGTCGAGGTCTTCATCAATGCTACCATCGTAGGTAGAATGCTTGCGAGGAGAGCCCTTAGGAGCGTGTGCAGCGTCACTGCGCCAGTCCTTAGCGAGGAAGTACTGCCGACGGCGATCGATCTGAGGCGATTCGCGCTTAGTACGAGCGGCCTGATCGAACCCGGAAGACCCCATACCCCAGTCACGTCGCCAGGTACCGGTGGCGTGCTGGGGATTGAAAGGCTCGCGAGTCTTGCAGTTGCGACGCTTGTTACCCAACTCGGACCACTTGTCAAGATTGGACTTCTTTGGCGACAATTGGCGGGGAATGGGACGAGGGGTGCTGCTCGAGCTTCCGGCGTTGCTATCGACGTCCAAGGGGGTGGCGCGAATGGCTTGCGGGGCAGTTGATGAGATGACCGGAGTATTGGAGCGATCAATGGGAACAGCGGAGTCCAGCTCGCGCAGTCCCGACAGGTTATCCGGCAAGCGGGTATCCTGGCTCTCATGACTCCAGCTGCGAGAGTTCTGCTCACGGCGCTGCTGGAGGTCATGATCTTCGTTCTCTGACTCCTCCTCTTCCCAAAGATCACTCCAGCTCTTGGAGATCTGATCCTGGGTGTTCTTCTTGCCAAAAACCATCGCCAGAGATGGCAGAGGCTTCGTGGCATGACTAGGAAGAGACCCAGTAATGGGAACGGGATCAGAACGAGCAAGCATGGGACGCTTCTGCTGAGGAAGGTGAAGCGAGGTGAAAGACTCGCTCATGGCAGACTCGATAACGGAGGCCATCGAGGGGGCTTCATGAGTCGAGAACCACGAGGTGCCAGCCACTTCGGAAGCGGGGAAGAGATCCTCGGAATAGCTCTCGTTGTCGGGAATGGCAGAGAGCTGTCGGGTATGTTGCTGGGGGCTCGAGTGCAAGAGCTTGGCCCAGGGGAACGAATCACCATGGTTGACATGGGGGCTCTGGATGGAGGGAGTGCGCAGGGGCTCACGATTGGCAGTCGCAGGCACAACCTCATCACGGTCCTCGGTGCAGAACTCATCCAAAGACTCATCATCAGTGGTGAACAAAACAGCGCGGACAATGCCCTGGCGCAGCTCTGACAAGGAGCGCTTCTCTGGGTCAATGGACAACGAATGAGTCAGGATGTCGTAGGTATCCTGAGACATATTGGGGAAGATGTCGAACAGTGACTGACGATCACGAACGTAGTCCGAGAACAGCACATCGGAAACCGTGGGTGTGATAAAGGGGTTGCGAGAGAACAGAATGTTCAGCAAACAAATGCCAATGGACCAAATGTCAGCCTGAGCAGGAGAGTAGCCCGAGCTGGGCGGGTCATACTGCTCAGGGGCCATGTACCGGTCGCTACCGACGCAGGCCTCGTAGGACCAGGAGTCTCGGGTCGCAAGACCAAAGTCACCCAGTTTCATCGAGCTATCAGACATGAGGAAAATATTCTCAGGCTTAATATCACGGTGATAGAGGCCCTTGCTGTGCATAAAGGCGACCGCGTCAACAAACTGCAGCATGAAGTCACGAACATGCTCAGTCTCCAAGGGACCACGGTTCAGGCGGATAGCTTCGTACAGGTCACCATTGGCACAGAACTCCAAAACCAAGTACATATGGGTATCAGTCTCGAAGGAGTGGACCAGGTTGACCAAGTTCGGGTGGGAGCCAAAGCGGCGATGACACTCCAGTTCCTCAAATCGATCGTCCATTGGGAAAGGATCCGAGGAATCAGAAGACGCACTCTTGGGCAAGCACTTGATGGCGACATCCTGGTCGGTAAGGGTGTCCTTGGCAAGGAAGACCATCCCAAATGAACCCTGGTTCAGCGGGGCGACTGTTCGGAAGCGGCCATCCAACATTTGGCCCTTCACGAACTTGTTCTTGAGAGACTCCATGTCGGTGAACATGTTGATGGGAGATGTGAAAAAGGGGAGATGTAATGAGATGAGATAAAAAATGCAAAACACAAAAGTGATGTAGGCTCCAACGACAAAGAACAGTCTATGAATCGAATCACTCAAAAGGTGCACGTGTGGAAAGACGGGTCCAGACGTGACAGGTAACAGCAACCAGGCTATTGAAATGATTAAGTTTCAAGAAGGGAAGAGAGAATCAGGCCTGTGATCGAGAATTGACAGGACCACCGAGACGGATCAAAGAACAAGGTTGACGAGTGATGTTCCGAATCGGTTCAAAGGGTCATAAAAATATACCAATGAAACGAGAAAGTTGATAGACAAGGAAATGATGTGGGGGCGCAGAGCGCAGCTGAATGGACCCAGACAAGGGAGTATGGACGCTTAAGGAAATGGGGTAGAGACCGTTATGTGCTCATTTGTAGGTCGTTTTCGTTGTTTAAAAGGGGCGAGACAAAACGGTGAAAGAGTGTTGTAGTAACGGAGGACGAGGTCTAAGGTTATAAAGCCTTAGAGTAGTCGAGATGAAAAGAGTCGAGAATAGCGCTGCGTGATATCGTGATTTGAATGGGAAAGTATAGCAAAACGTAAACAAAAAGAAGCCTGTGAACACCGGGTTCAAGGTCGGAAGCCGTGACTCAGAGGGTTGAAGTTGAGATTAATGAGTCATGAGTGGGACCGGTAGGCAAATATGAGCGAAGATAGATGATCGAATCCAGAGGAGTCCGAAAGGGTCTTCGAGAGCAAGTCCCAGCTTAAAGCAAGCTAGGGTATGGGTCGAAGGCCGGTGGAGAGTTGTTTGGGATCCTGGGGAACGGAACAGCCTTCAAATCCAGGGGGTCCGGAAGAGACGGAGTGTTCAATGCCAGGTTCCCGAGATGAAGGAACTCTCAATCGCTCAAAAGGCGCAGTTCACCAGGTACGTATGAAGGGTAGACAAATCCGCAAGGACGTCTTCGTAGAAGTTGAACCAGGACGAAGACGGGGGGCGAATGGAAGTCGGGGTAAGGAACAGTTGACTGGACGAGGACCAGGCGGAACTGTTGCAAGTTTGAGAGTCACGTTGAAGACTCGATCAGGAGATTTTCGGTGAAGAGTATCGGACCGAAAGCAACGAGGTAGATTGGGTAGCACTCCTTGTCGGATGGCAACAGCGAATTGAGGTACAGTAAATATCGCCGAGGATCGAGTGCAGTCCCGGAAGAGGATGGGAAGATGATGGAGAGCGGGTGAGAGAGAAGCGAGGACGAACGAGATGGGTGTGATGGGAAGGGAGTAAGAGAGAAGGGAAGGAACGAAGGAGATAGATGCAGGGCAGTACAGAACTAAGGAGGAGAAGGAGTCATTAGGAGAGTTAGTCACAAGAAGTGGAGTTCCCTCATACACGCGGTACTTCGGGTACTATGGAGACACTTGGTCATCACGGGGTACTCTGGCAAGTAATTAATGTAATGAATGACGGTACTATTACTGTTTTAAACGGGGTTCCTCGTGCGATCTGCACTGCCCCTTCCGGTTTCTTCCATACTATCTCCCGCTTCCGTTGAAACTATCTGTTGTTACGTACGGGTCCCGGTATCAGTAGAACGCCACGCAATCCAGAATCGTCCATGTTCATGAACCTTCCAGACATTCCACCCTTGGGAGACGACAGACCCTGGATCACGGAATTTTGAAATGACGAACTTCATTGTCAAATTGCCATTGTTTATCTGAGATGACGGGATCAATTCCCTTATCTTCAACTAATGAATTTCGATACATTAATCCATCCCCATCTCCTACGTGATCGACAGACCAACTCAAACTGACCCAAGATACCCTCGTCCCAAGGTTCCAAACTCTCATTCCCAGGAAATAACTTGGGACCTGCAGTCCAGAATGAGTCGTTGTTTTTCCCAGCGGCAGTCCAGCAGCCGGAGGGAGGGTCAGAATGGCCGAGCCAGGCTACACCATTCGCGGCCGAGGGCGGATCAAGGTGGCGCACCTAGACTGCATGTGTCGCAATCCGCAGCGGAGTCTGGGGCAACGGCCAATCATGAAGCGCCCAAACATGCACTATTTCCAGCGTGCATGACGCCATGGATGAGTGATGGCGTGATGGTCTTTCATTGGTGGTCCACCCACTCCCCCTACTGCAGGCCCCGGAGTCTCTTAGCCGGGGCCTGTTGGGCCTTGAAGGTTAGCTTGGACCTGGTTGATACTTCCGCAGGTACGGAGTACGGAGTTCAAGGGGGCAGAAGAAAGGGGGCAGAATTTTTGTACCCATGCATAAGTTCCTCTCTAGGTAATTATGTTTTATTTGGCCCCCAGTGGCTCCTGCATGGCTTAACTCCTGAATCTTCCAACTGTACGCGCCCATACCATAGGAAGGCAAAGGCAAGGTTTCTTGTGTCTTGGGTACTTGGTCAAACAGGGCTTCCGCGTGCACCCAGGGTCCCCACTTCAATGTTCCATTTCTGGGACACCACCCACTTTGGCGCGCGGGATTTTCGAGACAGCAAATGTGGCAGATAGGCGTGTACATTTTGCGGGGAGGTCAATCAGGGGAGGTCATGCTGCTGATCCCGATTAGGTGGAGCCACTTTACCAAAAGAGACACGTACTCGGGTCTTCGGGTGGGGGAAAGATCCGAATGGTCTAAAGAAAGAATGTAGACCCAAGTACCGTGTACATGAGTCGACTGTGTACCTCATATACTCTGCGTTGGTCTCAGACACCCAAGCAGCTACATGTGCCACGGGCCTTTATCCCGAGATCCAGCGGTGAAGGAACTAGAACTGACCGCCTCCTGCGAGGACAAACCTTGCAGCCCATCTCGAGAGTCCAAGTGGCACGACTGGGCATAGCTCATGACGTGGTTTCACATCACGCGATAATTTCCCCAAACACCATCAAATTAATAGTCTTTTTGAAGCTGATCGCTTAGATTAATGTTTTGAGTGGTTAGTTAGATGCGTCGATAATCTCGACGGGAACGGTTATGTGCCACTTGGGGTTGCGTGCATGATAAGCATTCTACGCCATATATGACAGGGCAACGCCGTGCACGGCTCAGCTCCTGATCTCCCCCTCCATCAGTTAGCTGCAAGTATGTTTCGTCACTTAGAGTATCTATAATGCACGACCGGACGTACAACTTATCGAGTTTAGAAGCAATAAAAATGCGCCAAGAAATGCAATGCGACCGACCATATCAAACTCTGAGTTTGGACTAAACCAGAGATAAGAGAGTTGAAACTAAACCTTCGTATTTAGGATCCAAGTATCCTCGATTTTAGGACCATGTCCTGTGGACTGTGTCTATTGGAGGGAACTGTTAAGGATGAGGATTACAGCTAAGCCAAGTAGAACTCAGTATAGTGGGTTCTTATCTGCATCCGGTACAACTTCTATCTGCACTTTAAATTCCTTCGAACCGTGGATACTCTCTTCTCTGATAAGCTAGTCCCTGATAAGATAGGGCGGAATCCATGGACTCAATTATCACCCTTTTTTGAGATCAACTTTACCCCGCACGATCGTCATTCATGGGCGTGTTCACAATACTTTGATGTTCAAAGGGGGATGATGTGCAATCCGACAAAAAATGGGGGGGTCTATTATGGCCTTGTTGTTAGCACTTGTCGGGGGCTGGGGGATTCCCACCAGGGTCTGCAGTAGACAAATAGGCTATGGATTCGTCATGTACTCTTACAATCTGCGACTTGAGATAATAATGAGATCACCCTCCTTATCATAATTAGTATCTGCCACACCTCACATCGCTAGCGCCCCCCTCGACCATACTAGTGCCTCGTGTTTTCTTATTATGATCTTAGCCGGGGGTCCGGTGCCCACTCGGACTAACCATCTCGAGAATGGCGCAGCTAGAAGAAATGAATGGCGTTTCACACATGTCCGATTGTTGTACCAGTCAACTGGAGTCAAAGTCAAAGTCACCCCGGATTTTGGTCTGACCCAGAAGTAAACAAAAGAAAACATGAGCATTGACTCTATTGCAATCAATGCCTGTCTGCCTTATTTGCAAGTACTGGATGTGTTTACCCCTCCAATCGGTATCCGGTTGGGCGGAGCAATGACCCCTTTCAGGGCTGAATGCGTCCATCATTCTTGGTTGCCACGGACTATACATGTCAACGTAAAACGACTTGACATTCCCCCCCACCTAAAACACCTCTGGGTTGCATGTTATCGCATAATCCGATCTCGGAATATTCATCTAAAGGACAACGTAATAATTCCGACGTGCGGAGTTATGATTAATGCCATATGCGGGTCTTGAAGTCATGTTGATATCATCTTGCTAACGAAACTGATGATCCGGATGTCAACATTCTCAAGTCCGGGGTATGCCGCTCCGATCTGTATTTGCTTCTGTTCTTTGGTCGTACGACACGACCCGTTGCAGCCTATACCCCAAGAGCAGTTCAAAAGTGACGATACATGCACATGAACTACGTGCATGTATAGCCGGGTGGTCCCGTTTTCAATCGATGTCAGCACTTTGGGGTCCAAATGAAGTATCCTATGAAGTCAGTTCGGCTACCGCGGACCAGCTGCGTGGAGATACTATGCCTCTAGGATTGGAATTCGTATTATGAAAAACTTCAGCGACAGTTTATACATGCATGATATCTAGTACAGTCATTATTGTTGTGCCTACGAGATTTAGCGTAGTGTCTAACGCCATCTGTACATGATGCCAAATAGTACTGTGGTGACGAATGTTTCTTTTTCAGGTAATACCTAGTGAGAAAATGGCGTAGCGTAATTGATAAGGTCTTGGAGGATAGTTTGAAGTGCAACCTAGGTTTCGAAGACCATTGAACAGAGCGTCCCGCAAATTGAGTGGGTTAGTGCATTGTTTGCCACTTGAACTACTTTCCATAACAGTACTTGCTTTGTGCATGAAGTACACATGGTCCAATTGTTTCCAGCCCTTTATGCAAGCGGATTTGTGGCAAAAAAAAAAACGATAAGCAACTTCTGGTTCCGGTTGGTATCCTCGACGAAAGCCACTGATCTAAATCACGTTTTCAGACTGGGATAGAGGGAATTGAACAGCATCATGGTCTGTGAGACCTGGGCGTTTGAGGAGGCTGCCTTCATGGTTGGATCAACTAAACGTCCTGGGAGCAGCCCCGGTAGACAATTGCTCTTCCAGCCAGCAGCTTGGGGGTATAACAGAAATTAGTTCTTAGTGTATCTGAAAATGGAAGCTACCGCATCAATGCTCACAAAGATCCCAGAGGGGCCACCTCTCTCTTCGACCTATGGGAGTGGGAGCCATGGGTCTGGTGGCGCTTGCTGTGAACTCGCACATAATGGAGCAGGAAGAATTATGCCGTGGAGGTGCTCCATCAATAGGTGATTTGACATTGACCTCCACAAGATACTGCCGCCTGAAGCTGTATAATATGGTTGAGATTGAATGATAGTTTGGATGGTGCCGTCAATGGGCACAGAAGTCTACATCAGGTGCTTGCCCCATCATCGAAGACTGTAAGTAGACCGTCGTTCATTAAGACTCTACACGTTGGACATCCAAAGTCAGTCTTAGTGTTCCTTGTTCCTTTTGGACCCCATGGTGATTTAAAAATTACTTGCTCCGAGGAACGGGAAACGAGGAACCCATATCGACTCGTCGTCGACAAACCTCTGCGTAGTTACAAGCATCAAAATATGCATGACCAGTATCTGCAATATCTTCATCATCCCCTTTGCTATTCAGATGCTGTAGGAAAAGCTGTATAGCCGACTAGAATGGGGTGTTTCAGTATGAAAGAGCCCATACTACTCGCACCTTTTAACCTTGTTGCTCGCCACAAGTACACTTTGCCCTTCCAATCTAACGCCCTGTATGTTCCTACCTTCGGATATCACTTGCCCAAAACCCTTGTGTTAGACCTCTCCTTTCTCCAGATGAAAAGATAATCCGGTTTGATAGCCCCTGGTCTCACTCAATCCAATGACCTCCTCAAATAAGGGACTGCCTCTGGGGCGGCCCTACCCCATTCTTATTTTATCGCTTTCTCACCACATCTACTTGTAGTTGGTCACCAATTCTTACACCTGCTGTCAAAACTAACTTGCATTTCTCTTTTCTACAATAGCCTCTGGGCAGATTGCTGGTAGATTTGGTTTGTGGGGGTGGTATGCAGATGGAGATGGTGTTCCAATCTACTACGATCCCGAGGTCCTATTCTAGTGGTGAAATTTTAGAATTTCGTATATGACTGGCTCATATTGCTGATCCGATACTATTGTGTGCATGCATAGGTATAACATTGAAGGGTCTTCCAAGAGTTTGATTGAGTCGACTCATCTTTAGAAGCTGGGTATACTGTATATATATACTACGCCTTTGTTTATATGAATTCATTCATCTTTGAAAAATAACGTATTTTCTCATAAATGTTTATTCCAAGTAATTTATCCACACCTTCATTTCTGCATGGCATGAAATAGTCCAATGAATTTGACCTTCCCAGTGTTTCAAGAGTTTGATGTTGTTGACATTGGCGGAGTTGTACTTTCCGATATGGATGTTGAACCCCCAAATCGGGCTAGTGACATTCTGCCCTAACCAACTCCCAAGGTTGTTATAATTAGCCTGCAACCCCACGCCACTTGTCTTGTCCATGATCGAAAATATTTCAATCAGAATCATTGCGATTGGAACTTAAGAGTAATATTTGGTGAGACTGGGTATGATACACACGGCGTCACACAATCGCTACAATATGCCGTCTGCTACAGGACCAGTTGGCATACGCCAGTGTTAGAATCGAGGTCTAATGCAACATAACAACATTTCGAAGGGCAGACAGGGTGTTTTCGGTGGCAAAAGAAACAATGGATAGCCCTGACTACCCGTGGGCTGCGATTCCACCGCTCAAGTGCTCAGAATCATGTCCATATCGACATGCCCTGCATAATATGACGATAGTGGCAGAGGCAAGAATCCCTTTAAATGTTTTCGAAGATCATTATCTCTTGGATCCAATCTTATATCTCGAATCTTATTTCCCACATTCTTTCCAAGGTGTGATCTCATACCGGCCATCACCCTGGCACCAGGGTTGATCTCCCCGATACTACCATCAACTTGTATGGAATGTGAGCCCCACCAAAGATCAAAGATATAATGCCCATCCATGGCCCTCCTTATCGCTTCATATCTCACTCTTGATCATACTCTCAAAAGTTTGCATTATAATCATACCCGTTAATATATTAATATCCTTCAAACAAGATGAAGCTCTCCATCTACGTTCCTCTTGCTACATTCCTGGCCTTCTTCGCCGTTGCCGAACGAACAGACGATTCTCCCAGCGTTTGCCTTGTGAGTCTTCCAAGATAAGCCCGACGAGCAATATTAAGACTGCATACTGACAGCTCCGGAAAACCAGAACACCTGCCTGAACGAGGCCGCTTTGGTGGCTGGCTGCTCCTCACAGTGGGATCACACTTGTACCTGCCCGAGTAAACCCTTCATGGATACGCTTGGAACGTGCTTGACAGATTCATGTACAGACGATGACTTGACAAGTATGTCATCGTATACAGCTGTGTGTGATTTTGAGTAGAGCTGACGTTGATAGTGGCGAAAAAACTACACCAAGAGCGCTGTAACAACAACAATGATTCCGATGCTTAGGCGGGCCGCTGTATAAACTATGTCTTAACTTCAATGATACATATTACGCAATAGAGGGGTTTCAAAGTCCAATAAGTTCCTCTCGTAGTGTAGCACATGATCCGATAGACGAGACTTGGGTCTAGGCCATTCTCATATTCCTTCCAGGTGAATGTGTAGGAGGGCAGATCATAGGGAACCAATTTTAAGACTCCGCAGGGCCTAGAAACTGTTGCTCAATAGCACAAGCTCTGCTGATCAGACTAAGCAGTTGTACTGGCCTGGTTCGCCGCTTACCTCGCCATGAAGGGGAAGCGGATGGCCTGGATGTTCCGTATTACGTTCAAGAAGAGAGCTACACAAAAAAATGAAGCAGATCAAGATGACCCATGGAAAACTCCATTGCGATTGAGACACGAGATATCAAGGTAGGTGGTAGACAGGAAGAACAGGAAGAAGGTTATAAGGTCCGGAAATAATTTTTTCGTTCTTGAATTCGTATTCTGAATCAACCAATAACCATCTAAGCCTCAGCAGCGAAAGCAGAGGGGAAGCGGCGCATGTTGTCCTCGATCTTGCCGTGGCCAGTCAGGAACTGGACGTAGGCACCATCCTGCTTGAGCTTGCCGGCATCGCGCATCTCGACGTACTGCTCGCGACGAACGGGGGTGAAACCCCAGTTCTTGGAGACAATGATCTTTTGGCGACCGGGGAACTTGTACATGGAACGGCGGAGGGCCTCGATGGCGGTGGCCTGGTTGGAGTCACGGGTGCGGACGGACAGAATGACCTGGCCGATGTTCACACGGGCGACAACACCCTGGGGCTTACCGAAGGCACCACGCATACCGGTCTGCAGACGATCGGCACCAGCGCACGACAACATCTTGTTGATACGGACGACGTGGAAGGGGTGGACACGGACACGCAGGTGGAAACCTTCCTTACCAGCGATCTTCACGAGGTACCTAGGTGAAATTGTTAGAATCTTTGACAGGTCGAGGGTAATCGGATCGTCGGTCGGACGGTGCGGAGATAAGACGTACTTGTTGGCACAAATACGGGCGGCCTCGAGAGCCTCGGAAGACAGCTGCTCGTACTCGTTGGAGACAAGGTGGACACAGGTAGGGAAGTCGTCCACGTTGGCCTTCTTACGACCGAGATCGAAGATGCGAATCTTAGCATCGGGAACACCACGGTTGAACCGGGACTTAGGGTAGGGCTGTAGGGGGAAGCATGTTAGCGATCGAACTTGCCAAGCCGTAACTTCATGTGCCCATATTCAAATATCCCAAGTCTGCTAAAGATTTTTTTTCCTTCAGCAGTACGCGTAGTCCCCTAGGGAATCTGAAGCCAGTCACCAAATTCGCGAACGTTGTGATTCGCCGTTGGATGCGATCATGGTGTGCCTCCAGTATTCCCTCCAGTGTTCCCCCACAACCGAGCTTCCGCACACAAAATTCAAGAGATCGAAAATCGGCAACGCACCTTGTTCTTGCAGTAACGGTAACATCTCGCGGGACGACGGGCCATCTTGAATGCTGGAAATTAGGCGGACTGCACTTCCTGCGAACTGGGGATAGTTGAGTGTCGGTTGGTGTCGAGGGGCCGAAGGGGAAAAGAAGAAAGTGCCCGGCGGGTCACGGGATTGTTTGATTTCCAAGCAGCGATGTGGCGAAGAGCCCTAAGCCCTAGTAGCGGGCCAATCACATAACTCTCCGAGGGACCCACTTTTATGATTCAACTGCAATCTGATTACTGAGCATTACGGCTTGCCTACGATAACGGGGTTATTAGGGTTTACATGTAAGCTTGGTAGTCAAAATCACGTCAATCGGATTATAGGTCTAAGTGAGGAAAGATAATTGATCTGGTATTGACGAGGATGTAAATGCTTCCCCATCATCGTCAATATCAAACGGATCATCTCCGCTGACTCTTCCCCTTGTAGATGTCTGGTTGGTTCTTTCTGCTATGGATCATAAGTTGATATTTATACTTCATATGCGCTGTGGATCCTCCAGTTAAGTGGTCACAGCACAAAATCCCAAACCAAAATCTACCGTCACCAATTGCCCCAAGTCAATCCATTTACTGGGTGCCAGTAAGGATGTCCGAGTCACCAGCGTCGAGAATAGCCATTGTCGAGCAACGGAAGAGCTTACCGCAAGCGGTACCGAGCTCAATCTATTTAAGTAGTTAGTATTAATTTAGCCATAGAGCGAGCCATTTGTCTTTCCAAACTTACGTTGTTACCCGAAAAGTGGTGGACAGGGGTCTTAGCCAGCATAGCGTAGTACTCGAGCTCACTCTTGCGCAGAGGAGGAGCGTTGGCAGCGATAATGACCAGCTTGGCCTTACCAGAGCGCAGAGTCTTCATGCAAGAAGTAGCACCCAGGGTGACTTTACCAGACTTCATCACCAAGGCGAGCTTGGAGTTGACCTAGACTACTTGTTAGCTTTTGATATCACGGAATATCTGTAGCCGAGTAACTCACATTGTCGGAACCCTTCTTAGACTTGGGGGCCATCTCAGCGCTTGAAGTTCTTAACGAACTTCAAATTTAGATATGAGGTAATTAAGGATGCGCTCCGGCGTGATCGTTGATGAAGAACATTTCCGGATTTGGATCTGAAGCAATCATCTGTATGTGTGGACGGGCATACAGTTGTACCGATCCGGCGGTGAGACTAAAAACGGGTCAGACAACATGGACACCCCAGGCAACCGTATGTTTCACCCTTTTCACCCCGTAATCTCCATCTCGTAATAATACATGCTTGCAGCCCGATTGTTGTCTTTGATGTTATGCATCGTCTTGGGTAATATGACCTACTTCTTCCTCGTAGTCCCTATAATCGTTTTAAATCCCGATACTCCCATTGTATAAATATCTCTTTCACTTCTTCCCCATATGTAACAGCCCCCATTTACCTACTTTGGTAGTTATTACTTTGGTATTTTTAGGTACCTGAGTAAGGGACTCCACCCGCATTCCTACCAAAAAAAAAAAGTTCAAGGCCTCCTGCAATCGGCCCTCCAATCTCTCTGCTGTCAACATTCCAATCCGCGCTCAGACAGAGCTGTCTTCGGTGCTTCTTTGGCTTCCATTCGCCATGTGGCAGGCAATCAACCTCTGACAGTTTTACATTCTTCGTTCCATACAACCACTCATCTCCACCAGATCCACCCGTTTTGACCGCCCATTGATACACCTTACACAACCCTTCACACCCATTCTGACCAAATCAACCATCTGATTTGGCTGAGTTGGCTGCAAGAACCCTTTGTTTCTTTATATACATAGCCTAGTCCTTCTGGGCCCTGGGTCCCCGCACAATGTCAGCAACGCCTCGAAAGCCTGGAACCCCCGGCAGTTCCAGCAAATCATCGCCCGCAGATCCGCACCCAGCCAACGGGTCCACCACACGAGGACATGCACGCTCGCCCAGCGCTGCGAGTAATGGTCACAACCGTTCCCCCTCTTTGAGAAACTCGACCCCTGTTTCTGCCCGTGCCGCTGCGAGAAAACCCGGCCGATCCAATTTGAGCATGTCCAACGTCCCACGGATTTCCAACGACCCTTCCGAGGAGGAGGCGCGGGCCCAAAATGCGGCCCTCATCGAGGAGCTGCGGGAGCAACTCCAGAAAGCCGAGACGGCCTCCGAGCAGTATCAAAAGCAACTTGGCGTCCTGCAAATGCGCTTAGACGAAGCGATTAGTGAACAGAGCAAGCTAGAAGATCAAGCTCATGAGCGAGACACCCGGATTGAGACTTTGAGCAGTGAGATCCGGGAGCAGAGTCGTCAAATCCGGGATATGGAACAGAATCATGATCAGGAGCGGAACGCGATGCTGCAGGAGAAGGAGCAACAGGCCAGCCGGGAAGAAGAATTGCAGGCCACCATCCAGCGCCTGAAGGGAGCGGTGGCGCAGAAAGATATGCGCATCAATACTGAAGGTGACCGCCACCAAGTCTCACGATCTTGTAAGATGTGATATTCTTGATATTCTTGATATTCCGAAGGCTAACAACTCATAGCAAGTTTCCGGAACCGAGCCTCCCCGGACCTGGATGCTCAATTCGCCCCCTCCTCCCAACTCGAGCGCAGCCCCTCCCGCAATAATTCCAACCTTCTCCTCCAGAAAGATAAGTTGATTGAATCGCTGCGCCTGGAGCTGGCAGAGTCACAGATCAAACTTGTGGAGATGGAGAATAAAGGTGGGGGCCAGCAGCGCGAGTTAGAGAAGGAGCTTTTGGATGCTCGCATGGCTAATGCACGCCTTATGGAAGACAATGAAAGCTACCAATTGCTACTCAGTGAAAAGACCCTTACCGGCGATTTCACTAAGGGCGATTTCATGCGAGATGTTCATCCTGGAAAGAGTTCCAGTGGCGGGCTAGGATCCTTGGCTGACGAGCTCGAATCTGTGGATGAAGAAGCCGCCGAAGGAGACCCGATACGCAAGGTTGACGGAGAGCTAAAGAACCTCAAGGACCAAAACAAAGCCTTGACACTTTACATTGAGCGCATAATTAGCCGTGTCCTACAGCATGACGGTTTTGAGCATGTTCTGGATCGCAATGATGACGATGAACCCAAGAGCGATAAAGCAGCAGGCAGTGAGAAAGAATTGCCTCCCACACCTCCTGAGAAGGACGAGCAGGCAAATCAGACCTTCCTGCAGCGGGCCAAATCTGTTGTTTCGGGCCACCCCCCTCGCTCTCAGCCCCAGCCCCGATCTCGTCCGACCAGCATGATGCCCCCGCCTTCCATCCCACATACCAATGCAAACGAGAACCCGGACACTGCCCCCAGTATTCCAATTCGCGCTCAGTCAATGAGGGCAGGTCATCGTCGCGCCCGGTCCGAGCAGGTTGATCCGAGTGCTGCCTCTGTTGTAGGTGCGATGTACCGCGGACGAAACTCCGGTGGCCCAATGAGCCCTACAGCCATGGGGCCAGGGTCACGCCAGAGCATGTTCTCAGGAACTCCTAGCTACGTATCTAGCATGAGTCGTGCGCCGTCCATGTCCAGCCAACCAGACTATATCGGACGTAGCAGCTCCCCAAGCGTTACAAGTGATATGCTCGGAGACAATTCCTCAACGGGAGCAACCTCCAGCCCTCCACGTTCAAGCAGCGGCATGACCAATTATACCGGCGCTGTGATGACGCAGAATAAACTGCGACCCCTGCGTCTTGTGAGCGATGCAGCCAAACTCGAAGAAGAGGAGGCTGCGCGCAAGAGGGCGAACCGCGCGAGCTGGATTCCGTGGTTTAACAAAGCCAACCCGGAGGAGCAGACCCAGCCTTAGCTGGCCTCTGTTTCGCCTGCTGGAACTCGATGATTTGATGTGATATCGGAACTGTCTTTACCATATTTATCATACCCCTTATGTGATGCACATAATGCGACCCATGTCACGGATGGCCAGGATACTGAGTGTGATCTCTTGCTTAATTTGAACTTGTTTTTACTGTATGATTGATGCTTGAACGACTTTTCATATGAGGAAGAGGGGGAGCAACGGCCAGCTGGGCCTTCAACGTCGAAGTAGACATGGTGCCCTTTCCTCAGTACTTCAGAGAGAGTGGTATATAGATCAAATGTTTGTATATTGTGCTCCTCCAGATGGTGAACTGTACCAGACTAGACCATAGGTAGATAACACTCAAAGAAGCTCTCTGATCTGACAGTCCTTTTAACGTGAGTCCTTCAATTTAAAATAGAATAAGTTGAATTGTAAGTCTAGGGTTGTTAAAGTACTCTGGTCTACCCTCGGAAGAACTTTAGTGCGTCTCCGCCTGCGGCCAGATTGGCTCCTCCACGCATCAACAAGCACATCTCCCACACATTGCATTCCTCTAGCACTCAAACAAACAGACAATATGCCTGGTCCTTTGTCACTTTTCTCCGTCAATGCGGTCCTCGTCATGTCCGCTGACGACGGATCCCGGATTTTCGCCAAATACTACTCGGCACCTCACCCCCCCGCCGGCGCAGCACCCAACTCCACCGATTACCCCGGTGCGAACCCTTACCCTACTCTCAAGGAGCAGCGGGCATTCGAAAAGGGTCTTCTTGAAAAGACCAACAAATCCACTAGCGATGTGATCTTATACGACAACCGCATCGTGGTGTTTAAGATGGAGAGCGACGTGATGCTCTACGTGGTGGGAAGCGCTGATGAGAACGAGGTCCTGCTTTACAATGTGGTTCTGTCGCTCCGTGATGCTCTGGGAATATTGTTCAAGTGAGTTTTGTCTGCAATATGGAAGCGGGCCTTCCAATATTAGACTATAGAGCTAATGTAGTCTTGAACAGGGGTGCCACCGACAAGCGTACCATTGTCGAGAACTACGACCTTGTTTCCCTTGCCATTGACGAAATTATCGACGACGGTATCATCCTCGAGACTGACCCTGTCATGGTTGCTTCGCGAGTTAGCCGTGCCCCGGCTGCCGATGCGCCGAACATGAAGAGCATCGACCTGTCGGAACAAGGTCTGATGAATGCATGGGAGTTTGGCAAGCGGCGTCTGGCCGAGGGCTTGCGGCAGATGTAGAGGGCATAGCGCCGGCTTCCCCCTTTCTAAATATCGTTCTTCGGGGTTGTAAGGTGCGGGTGGAGTATAGTCCAAACTGCCTGGCCTTCCCCTTCTTTACCCTTTTTTCCTGGCTGGCCCTGGCGTGATACGGTTTCTTTTATTCACAGTTGGTCCTTATTTGTTCTTGGGATGGAGGACATCATAGATCTTTCGCATGTTTTCATTTCTGTTCTGCATCCTGCAAAAGCAAGCCTCATTCCGTCGCGTGTGATCTCGGCCGTTATGGCTTGAGCTAATATTTCCAATAGCTGAAAGCGCTGATGACTGCAATGAAAAAGACGAATCCAATAATAAGTACTTTACTATTTCTTAGTTGCATAGCTGAGATATAGACCAACACATACTCCGTAGAAAGCTATAGAAGTGGGTGGCTTTGCCTATTATAGAGCCCGACTTTGGGTCCTGCCCCGCATACGTCACGGTCGAAAATTCCTTTTCTCTCTACAACTCACTACAGCCACGATGAAGCAGAGATTCTCGTCGCTAGACGTCAAGGTATATGGTTGAATATATCTCTGGACAAAAGCATATCACTGACCGGTCTCAGGTTATCACCCAGGAGCTGGCGTCGGAGCTGGTCAGCCTTCGTGTGTCCAACATCTACGACTTGTCTTCGGTACGTTCAATTCCCTGCCATGAAATAATTTCTGAAAGCCGAAGCGCTTACACTAATCTGGGCGTGTTAAGCGCATCTTTCTCTTCAAATTTGCCAAACCGGACCACCGCCGTCAACTCATTGTCGACTCTGGCTTCCGCACTCATGTCACACATTACTCCCGCACAGCAGCCACCACCCCTTCGCCCTTCGTAACACGACTGCGCAAGTTCCTTAAATCGCGTCGCGTCACAAGCGTCGCTCAGATCGGTACTGACCGAGTCATCGACATCTCCTTCAGCGATGGCGCATACCACATGTTCCTCGAATTCTTCGCGGGCGGCAATATTATCGTGACCGATCGCGAGCACACCATCATTTCATTGTTCCGACAGGTCAATGCGGCCGAGGGAGAGGAAGCGAAGCTTGGAATCAAGTACAATGTTACCAATAAGCAGAATTACGCCGGAGTTCCCGAGATCACGTCGAGTCGGATCACCGAGACGATAGAGAGTGCGCAGGCGCTGTTTTCTCAAGAGGCCAATGCTCCTAAGAAGACAAGGAAGAAGAACACAGACATGCTGCGGAAGGCTCTTTCTCACGGTTTCCCTGAGTTCCCACCGCTCTTGCTAGATCATGCGTTTGCGGTTGTGGGGCTTGATGCTGCGACCCCGCTTGACCAGGCCTTAGCCAGTGCGGATATCCTGCAGAAAGTGCGAGAGGTCTTGGATGAAGCAGAGAGGGTCTCTAAGAGCTTCGATGTTGGTGGGAGTCATGCCGGCTATATTGTTGCCAAAGAGGACGACCGAGTGCCAGCACAAACGGATGGTGAAAGTGGGTCGAAGACTCCAGGACTGTTGTATGAGGACTTCCATCCATTTAAGCCGCGTCAGTTTGAGGATAAGCCGGGCTTTAAGATCTTGGAGTTTGAGCGCTTTAATGCTACAGTTGATGAGTACTTCTCGTCTCTGGAATCGCAGCGACTCGAGTCACGGTTGACCGAGCGAGAGCAAGCGGCCAAGCGAAAGCTGGATGCCGTTCGAGATGAACATCGGAAGCGTATTGATGCCTTGAAGAACGTACAGGAGCTTCATATCCGCAAGGCTGGTGCCATCGAAGACAATGTTTATCGCGTCCAAGAAGCAATGGACGCTGTAAATGGCTTGGTAGCCCAAGGCATGGACTGGGGTGAGATCGCGCGGCTAATTGAGATGGAGCAGAGTCGAGGCAATCCAGTTGCTCAGATTATCAAGCTGCCCCTTAAGTTGTACGAGAACACTGTTACTTTATTACTTGGCGAAGGTGACGAAGAGGAGGAAGACGAGGATCCTGAATCTAGCGACGAGTCCGATTCCGACTCGGAGGCCGAAGAAAGAGAGGATCAAAAGAAGGCCGATGTTGCTTCGCGTATGCTGTCGATTGATATCGACCTTGGTCTTACCCCCTGGGCAAACGCTTCACAATACTATGATCAAAAGAAGCAAGCGTCGGAGAAACAGGAGAGGACCGCCCAGTCTTCTACCAAGGCCCTCAAGAGCCACGAAAAGAAAGTGACAGCCGATCTCAAGAAGAGCCTGAAGCAGGAGAAGCAAGTTCTGCGACAGGCCCGTGAGCCGTTCTGGTTCGAAAAATTTATCTTTTTCATTTCTTCCGAAGGCTACCTCGTTCTTGGGTATGTTTCTATATCTTTATATGCATGTTCGTTACTAATCAACTAGGTAGGGCTCGAGATGCCATGCAAAGTGAAATGCTCTACCGGCGGTACCTGAAGAAGGGTGATATTTTTATCCACGCCGACCTAGATGGCGCACTGCCATTTGTGGTCAAAAACCGCCCTGGAAATCCAGATGCTCCCATTTCTCCAAGCACACTTTCCCAGGCCGGTAATCTATGCGTTGCAACCTCGGTAGTATGGGAGTCTAAGGCTGTCATGGCTGCGTATTGGGCGCACGCGGCCCAGGTCTCAAAGATCTCCGAGCACGGTGGTGGAATTTTACCTACGGGTGCTTTCCAGATCAAGGGTGAGAAGAACTTCTTGGCGCCATCGCAGCTCGTGCTTGGATTCTCTATTTTGTTCCAGATAAGCAAAGAGAGTTTGAAGAACCACAAGATTCACTTTGATGCTGGCGAAATCCCGGCTACGGAACCCAAAGAACTCCAAGATCAGCCTTCTAGCACTTCGGAGCTCCCTGAACAGAATGATCAAGTGGAGAACTTTGAGAATCCAGAGAAACAAGAGAATGTGTCTGATGAAGAAGAAGAGGATGACGAAGATGCCAACGGACCTGCCAGAAACCCTCTCCAACGTGGCGACTCCGAGCTTCCTGCTACCAAAACAGAACAGTCTACTGAAACTGAGCCTGAATCGGACTCTGCAGATGAAATTACAAAAGATGAGGAACTAGAGTCTGTGGTCAAGGCCGAGGTAGACCAGGACCTGGCCACCGAGGAGGCAGACGAGACAGAAGAAGCAGAAAACGAAGAAACCGCTTCCAATGCCCAGGAGGCTCCAACAGAGAAAGACGAGGAGAAGCTTTCGGTCCGAGAGCGACGTACCTTGAGACAGGGTAAACCTATCGATCGACCAGGCCAAGCTGAACCAGCACCTACCCGCATTGCACCTACGCGTGGCAAGCGAGCAAAGGAGAAGCGGGCAGCAGCGAAATATGCGCACCAGGATGATGATGAACGTGAACTTGCTCTACGTCTCCTCGGAGCTGGCAAGAACAAGACTGCCAAGGCAGTTGCCGCCGCTGAAGCTAAAGCCAAGTACGAACAAGAAGTCGAAGCACGAACACAGCGACGACGAGCACAGCATGAGCGAGCCGCTGCCGCCGAGCAAAAACGGCAAGCCGAGTTTGCCGAAGGCGGCGGCGACGACTACAATGAAGAAACTGCCGCCACTGAAGCCGCAGACCTGAGCTGGCTTCCAGCCCTTGTCGGCACCCCGACTCCTGATGACGAGATTCTAGCTGCTATCCCGGTTTGCGCACCATGGGGTGCTCTTGGAAAATACAAGTACAAGGTCAAATTGCAACCTGGTGCTGTGAAAAAGGGCAAGGCTGTCAAGGAGATCGTTGGTCGTTGGGTGTTTGAAACTACTACGGGCAAGGTCAAAAAGGATCACGCTGAGGATGTGGGTATTCCTCGTGTTGATGCTGAGCGTCTTCGCTCAAAGGAGGGTGAATTGATTAAGGGGTGGAAGGATACCGAGGTCATCAACACTATGCCCGTGGGCAAGGTGCGTATCATGACTGCTGGCAGCGCTGGTGCTGGCGGTGGTGATAAGGGCAAGGGCCAAGGAGGCGGTGGTAAAGGTGGTGGGGGTGGTGGAAGAGGTGGGAAAGGTTCGAAGAAGAGATAAATAGCACGGCTCTAGATTTGAATATAGATAAGATTCTTGTGAGCTCGGTAAAGTAGATACCGAGATGTGTTAAGACATGGATCCATATGTTACATTTCTCTTTTGTTGTACTGTACTATATAACATGCAGGCCCTCCAGGGCTGCAGGTGGCGATGTGCCCTGATTTTAGCACCTTGGCATCGAAGCAGTGTTACAATAACCTTGGAACTCCCACGATGACCTTGGATTATGTAAAGGAGATTCGATATTTCATGCAATAATTTCTTTTCTTCCATCTAGTTGCTTCATTCATTGATTAATTGGGCTGAAATTGATCTCATCGTGCAGCGCTTATGCCTGATGAGTCATCCGACGTCATGGAAAATCAGCCGCTCTTTTTTTTTTTTTTGCTTTCGATAGACAGATCAGGAGATTGCGCGGGATGATCGACAATTATATACCCTAGATCAGGCCGCGCAGAATACATACAGCGCATACATCTCAGATTAGATACGAGCAGGACCAATTCCGTCTAGAGAACGCTCAGACACGTGCCACTACTGCACAGGCATCCGTTCACGCCCCTCATTACGTCGCGATAGTGCGTCATTGATCCGGCCTTCATATCAAACTGCAGTTCCCCCGTGTTTTCGCTGGCAGTCAGCGCATACTAGCCAGATTTATCACAACAATGGCGGATGAGACACGGGTTGTCTCTGTCCAACGCCTTAACCAAGGCCCCGGGGCCCGGTCCCTGGCAGATTGGTGGGCCGACGAGCGCAAGAGTCAAACACCTGAATCTAAGGCTATCGAAGAAGCCGCAAATCTCCTTCGCACAAATGATACCCCCGTCGCCTTCCCCACAGAAACGGTTTACGGCTTGGGTGCCGATGCCACACGCAGTGGTGCCGTCCAGGGCATCTATCGCGCGAAGCAACGGCCCTCAGACAACCCGCTGATCGTTCATGTCGACTCTCTTGATATGCTTGATCGACTGTTGAATCCCTCCCAAGGCAGCCCTAGTTCAACCAAGACACCGCGAAACTCCCTTCCTCCGATTTATACGCCTCTTATCGAGCGCTTTTGGCCAGGCCCGCTAACCATCATCCTACCGAACCCGTCTGGCTCGGACCTAGCTCCGGAGGTCACTTCGAACCTGACGACCTTTGGTGCTCGCATGCCCTCCTCTCCACTCGCTCGTCTACTCATCCATGCTACTGATCGCCCACTCGCTGCGCCGTCTGCAAATGCCTCTACGAAGCCCTCTCCAACCACGGCACAACACGTCCACCACGACCTGAAAGGACGAATTGACCTTATTCTCGACGGTGGTCCGTCCGGTGTTGGTGTTGAAAGTACCGTTGTGGACGGTCTATGCGACCCACCGGCAGTCTTGCGGCCAGGCGGTATTGGCATTGAGGAATTGCGCGAGGTTCCCGGCTGGGAGAACGTCACAGTAGGCTACCGCGACGGAACCTTAGATGTGAAGGAGATCCCCCGGGCCCCGGGCATGAAATATCGACACTACTCACCGAAAGCGCGAGTCGTATTATTTAAAGCCGGCTCCGATTTGGCTTGCGTGACACGCCATGTTCAACATGACCTGAAAGATACAGCCATTGGTGCCCACAACATCGGCATTGTGCGAACGCGGGAGTGGACGCAGGGCTTAGGCCTTGCCCCGGATGATGTGATGGCCAGTACCATCAAGCCTATCTCCGCCGCGATCAATGATCTGGTCAGCTTCCCTATTCCTGTTCAGCCGACTGGCAGCTCGAATAGCATGACCAAAGTGGCATACGACTACCATCTGGGCTCGGATACGGGATCTATTGCGCATGGGCTTTTCGCAGCGCTACGGGCACTCGATGAGCTTGACGTGGATGTGATTTACGTGGAGGGAATCTCCGACAGCGACGGCGACCTGGCGGCGGCGGTGATGAACCGACTCCGGAAGGCGGCTGGTACGGAGATGAAGGTGTAGATACTTGGCGTAGTATTACGTATTTCCTTGAACTGCGGGGAACTGGATAGAGTTTGAAAATCTGCACATTGGAGCTGGGGTTATACCATTGCTTTTGAATTGAATCTCTTGGACTTGCCTTTTCTAGCTTGTTTTGATGTAACGGAGATCTCCGGTCTATAAAAGTATTATTGGAACCCTAGATGTAGTAATAAGATTTTCAATAATTTATGTTTATTTGCGATAAGAAAATAGAGCCACGGCCCCGCTTAAGATTGACTCATTTGGGGTGAAAAGCCGTTCCTAGAACCACGTTTTTCGTTCCACGTTTCTATCGGCGGCTCAGTTGAGAATTCTCTCCCGCTTTTCCTTCCGTATATAGTTCATCGTCCGGTGCTTCGAAAAAAAAAGAAAAAGGTTACTTGGAATTTCTTCCCACTCTCTCCACCTCATTCGTTTTCAAAATACCAAAATGTGTCAACACCCTCTCCACGAGTTCATCGCAGGTCTCCCAAAGTGCGAGCACCACGTCCACTTGGAGGGCTGCCTAACACCCGAGCTGATCTTCCAACTCGCGGCACGAAATGGAGTGACCCTGCCTACCGACGACCCTGCATTCACCTCCATTGAGACTCTAGCAGAGCGCTACGAGCGTTTCACCTCGCTAGATGATTTCCTCCACTACTACTTCCACGGTATGGCCGTGCTCCAAAAGGAGAGCGATTTCGCCGATCTGGCCTGGGCCTACTTCCTGAAGGCCCATTCGGACGGTGTGCACCATGCCGAAGTCTTCTTCGACCCGCAAGTCCACCAGGACCGCGGAATTCCCTACGAGACTATCGTGGCCGGATTCTCAGAGGGCTGCAAGCGCGCCGAGCGCGAGTTGGGCCTGAGCACTAAGCTCATTCTCTGCTTCTTGCGCCATCTGCCCGTTGAATCAGCTAATGAGCTTTACAAGAAGTTCCTTGCCTCTGGCGACTATGAGAAGGGTACTATCCATGGTCTTGGATGGTCTTCTTCGGAGGTTGGGCCTCCTAAGGATATGTTCCGGGAGATTTACGCTTCGGCTAGAGAAAAGGATATTCGGCTTACTGCCCATGCTGGTGAGGAAGGTGACTCGACTTACATCAGCACGGCATTGGAGCTTGGTGCGACCCGTATTGACCACGGTATCAACTTGGTTCAGGACCCCGAGTTGATGCAGCGGTGTGCGCGCGAGAATATTCTTATGACTGTTTGTCCGGTGTCGAATGTTAAGCTGCAGTGCGTGAAGTCTGTGGCTGAGGTGCCGATTCGCAAGTTCTTGGAGGCTGGTGTTAAGTTCTCCATCAACAGTGATGACCCGGCTTACTTTGGGGCTTATATATTGGACAATTACTGTGCTGTGCAAGAGGCGCATAATCTTTCTATTATGGAGTGGAGGATCGTCGCGGAGAATTCCGTGCAGGAGAGCTGGATTTCGAATGAGAGGAAGGCGGAGTTGTTGGAGCGCATTGAGGTGCATGTCAAGAAGTACCTGTAGATGTTGATTGGTGATGATGATGGTGATACCCTGGGATTTTTCAACATGTATATATGATATTTTCAACTTTATATCAATTAGGGCTGGATCGAGGATCTGATTCTCCCAAGTTCCTCAAAACACGAACATTAGGTTTCGCATATCGTAGTAGATAGCCAGGTATCCACAATTTGGTGGTATCTTGTCGTCTCAATGACCAAAATGAGAAAATTCAATTGATAGAGACACCAATTACATAAAATGGTGGATTTGGACCCTCGAGATAAGCTATGATGCCTGGGAAATCGGGCACCTAAACCCAAATCGTATAGTAAAAAAAGTGGCGGATAACGATTTTATTCCCACATTTACCAAGACTCCCCCGCAGCTGTTCATACCCCCAGTCATTCTCATTGTCGAAAGGACTTGGAAAATAGCCAACTCGACGCTACAATTGTAAGCACTCAGCCAGCCATCCCGTACTCTGCGCGCCTGATCAGCCCAGAGCCAGGCGCATACGCCTCCATCCCACCAGCCTTAGCTTCAAAAAAACCAACAGAACAACTCACCATCTGCTATATAGCTCAGAACTCCACTCAAAGCTCTTTAATCCACTTCGCAACAATGTCGACCAGCGCCTCCATTCCCGACCGCTACAAGCTCGTCTTCTTCGTCCCTCCCTCACACCTGGACGTCTGCAAGGAAGCTATCTTTGCGACAGGCGCAGGTACCTTCCCTGGCGGCACATACTCCAAGGTTTGTTTCCAGACCACTGGACAAGGCCAGTTCCAGCCGAACGAGGGCGCGGTCCCGGCGATTGGCACAGTTGGAGTGGTAGAAAAATTGGAGGAGGTGAAGCTGGAGATCATGTGCCTTGGACGGGAGGTGATGGTCAATGCCGTGGAGGCTTTGAACAAGGCGCACCCGTATGAGGTTGTTGCTTATGAGGTTTACCGCATGGAGAATGTATAGAGGTAGCCGGGTGGTGGATATTGGTGGACTGGACAATAGAGCATAATATGGGTGGATTTCTGTTTTTTTAGTACCTGGAATATTAACAAAGGGCATTATCTTTGAGTAAGATGCAACTTTTAATCAATTGATGGAAAAATGGAGATGTTGATGAAAGTTGCGAGTGTTTTGTAGCGGTATTATGAAGGGAGTAATCTGTCGACGCTGATTGGCTGACAGCCCGCAAAACGTCTTGCCAACTCGATCCGTCATTCTCCTCCATCACCAACATCCCCCAATTCACCTCGATTCTCACCTCCGCCATGGCGTCGAAACTCTTCCCCGTTTCGCGGGCCAGCCGGGTGCTGCGCCAGACTCCCTTCACCTCCTTCAGATCCTTTTCCGCCGCCCCGCAACGCTGCAGCGACGCCCTGAACGTCGTACGTGAAACCCCGTTCCCAGACCCCTCGGCAATGCCCGGCGCAGCCAGCCATACAAGAATTCGCGAGATAGGGCAATGGACTGACAATCATCTCATGTAGCACCGCAACACCCCTACCAACAACCCCAGCATTAAGTTCGAGTTCTCCGCCCAGAACCTCACCCTCGTCGATGAGATCCTCAAGCGCTACCCTCCCCAGTACAAGAAGGCGGCTGTCATGCCCCTCTTGGATCTTGGTCAGCGCCAGGCCGGCTTCACCAGCATCAGCGTCATGAACGAGGTCGCTCGCATGCTTGAGATGCCCCCAATGCGTGTCTACGAGGTCGCGACCTTCTACACCATGTACAACCGTGAGCCCGTTGGCAAGTACTTCCTGCAGATCTGCACCACGGTATGATTCCCACTCCAGAATTGACTAGCAAGCCCAATCCCGGATCATTGGCTTATTCATCTACCTTTAGACCCCCTGCCAGCTTGGTGGTTGCGGTTCCGACGCCATTGTCAAGGCTATCAACGAGCACCTCGGCATCACCCCCGGCCACACCACCGAGGACGGCCTCTTCACCTACATCGAGGTCGAGTGCCTGGGTGCCTGCGTTAACGCCCCCATGGTCCAGATCAACGACGACTACTACGAGGATCTGACCCCCGAGTCCATCAAGGCCCTCCTCACTGCCCTCAAGGACGGTGCCACTGCCACCGGCGCCGGCTCCTCCGCCAAGATCCCTGCTCCCGGCCCGCTGAGCGGACGCGACACCTGTGAGAACAGTGCCGGTCTTACCAACTTGAAGGAGGTTGTGTGGAACCCCGAGACCATGATGCGCACTGACGGTGCACTCGATGCGGCTCCTGCGCAGCAATAGACGTGGATCCCTCTGTGATTTATCGTTTAAAGTTGCATTTATGATTTGGTATGGAAAGTCGTGGACTTATAATCGAGGGTCTAGTGGAGTGTGGACCCCGACCCGATGCTTTGTCGCAGAGCGGGAAAAAATTTAGAAACCGCTGCATCTGCATCGTCTTTCCAGGGCGTCTTTTTTCATTTGTTTACCATGTACAGTATACGTGGCTCCGAAGTTTTTTTTCTTTTTTGGAATGGGAGCCGGGTGCAGATTACGGCATCAATACAAATTTCTTTAGTTTTCCACTTGATTTCATATACATTGTAGACTAGGTATCTGCTGAAGTCTACCAAGATCCATGTACATCTGGATATAGACAAGTAAAGCTGAGCTTGAGTTGCCAAGTAGTCTTTCATGGTGAGATCACAAAGACGGCTTTCATAGATATAAAAACCTTATACCAGCCATGAAAGAACGTACTAGGGCTATGTAAAGATAGCTACAAATAGGTTGCTGATTTACGAATGAAACAAGCCTTTCAATCTTTTCATTTTTTTTTTTTTTCACATTAGATTAGCACCTCCAAGCTCAAGATCGAGCTCTTCTCCTTCACATGTCTGAACATCCTCAATATCTTCAATATCGTCCACAAATTTTGCACAATTGCCTTGACAGGCGACGACTTCTCCACGCCGTTCTTGAATGACATTGACCTCTAGGGTTTCTTTCACAAGCATATGGTAGACATGTACAATCTTTTTCTGTCCGTAGCGGCGAGCTCGTCCAATCGCCTGCTTCATGCCGGCTTCGTATTCATGTTGAGTGGGTGTGTGTAATGGTGACACAAAAATTAGATGGTTTGCACATTGTAGGTTTCTGCGTAGTAAAAATCCGAGGGTTAGTAGTTATATCTTGAAATGGGAGATAGGAGTAATGGAACTGAAAGACCGGAGTAACGCGAATCGGGAACTTACAGTCCAGCGGCCATTGCACCTCCGAGAGGAAGAATCAGGACCTTAGGAGGCGTTGATGTCTTCGGGGGTTCATTGATGAAATCTGAGATTACCGAGACTTGTGCGGCACGGACAGTGCGCGAATCGACTTCTTCAAGTTCAAGAGCTCGGGTGAGAAGTGTGATAATCTCGTCATATTGAGCGAAGACAACGACTTGTTCGCTGTCTGGGATGGTATGGATCAGCTCGATAAAGCGGGTAAGCTTGCTGCTTTCCGTGATAATGGTTGAGCTTTTTAAATCTTTGCCACCTATGCATTTGGATGGCACGGCAGATGCGTCGCATTTCCAAACAACGCATTCGCCTATTATAAGACTGTCCTCAAGACATGCCTTACAGAGGAGGTGGCCACAGGATCGAATGACAGTTAGATCGTTGGTGCTGCGAGATCTGAACTCGCAGCTTGAGCATTGTAGGTCGTCGTCATCGATATTGGATTGCATGGCTTTCATTACAGCGTGGAATCGGATGTCGCGTGTGTTTTTGATACATCCTTTGATCGCGGAATCGATTTCGGCACCCAGTGCCTTTGCGAGGTTGATGCCAATTCTGGCTTCCATGGTTACAGCTGCGGCAATCTGGGCAGGTGTTCGTTCGCCTGATATTCGGGGTTGCTTTCGAGCCTTGGGTTGCTTCAGAGATTTGGCTCGCTTTCGCGAATTGAATTGGGTTTCGTCCACTTCGCTTTCATTGTCTGAGGAAGTCGGCTCGGTCTCATCAATCTCATAAAACTTGTCAGCAATTCCAGTCGCAGCAGCAAGTAATTTTTTCATAGACTTCAATGCTGTTTCTGCCTGCTTGGTTGCTTTGGTAATTCGTGTGTTGCATTTGGCTTCGAGGTCGCTTTGAGCTTGGGACTTGGCTGGACGTGGCTTTTGTTTTTGATCGCGCACCCAGTTGTTGTGAGCCGTGTGAAATTTGCCGATGAGTTCGGTGTTATTTGCTTGGTTCTCTTTATCGCCACATTTGTTGACTGAAGTCCGGTCTAAGAAACCATCCCAGACAGCTAGGCTTGGGTTTTGTCGAGACCTGAGGTAGTAGAATTGCTGGATCAAATTCTTCAGCTTGAGGTCCAATTCCGTCTTCATTGTATGTTGAGCTATGATCTGAGAGTCGCATTCTTTGATGGTGTATGCGTGATCATGTAGCTTGCAGGTGACGGAAGCTTTCAGTAAGACCTCGGTTGGAGATGTACTTGAAAGAAGGATTTCGTTCAAGCGGTCAATCCGTGGATCGTTGTCGGGGTTGGGGAACCTTCGGATTCGGCCCATCTCCAATTCGAGTCTGTCAAAAAGACTCAAATAATCGGCCCGCTCCTGGTCAAATTGCTCGGACAAAATGACATGGAGCTTGACTGGAATATGATCGATGACGGCGACATTCTGGCGGGCAAATTGGTCGAGAAAGCGCTGAGCGTGCCGATGACGATTCTGGTACCAGTCGTTGCTGTGAGGGACTTGATACATTAGAAACTTCTCGACACTGGTCAGGTGGCTTTTCTTTGCCTTCAGTCTCGCATTGTGAGACGGAACGTCGGCGACGTCGTCAATTCCGAGGTGAACGCCCAGGTGGCGTGCAATACTCTTCACGTCAGCGAAATCCCCAAGGGCAGGTGTGCCAGAGAGTATCCACTTGGAACGGGCAGAGAGCCTGAGAAGGGCGGCTGTTCTGTCCTCGTCCACATAAGTGTACTCATCGATGACAAGTCTGTTGAAGTGGAAAGCGTGGAGGAATGGGCACTGCATCGAGAAATCCGGCTCGTCAACATCAGGGATGACGAACGCCTTCCGGATCTCCTCCTCAGTATGCACCTCTCTAGCTTCTTCAACCGGTGACTCCCCTTTGATATTCGACTCGTTAGAGCCGGGAACAGAGCATGCTTCCTGTCGTTGCACTTCCTGCAACCTCTGATTGGCCTCCGCTTGGAAACGAAGGCCGCGGAGTCGACGAGACGGCTTGTATGTCGAGCCTTTTTGGTCATTCCTCACCGCATTGTGGCGATCCAACACCTCCTTAAGGTAGACATTGGGGCCAGCGGTTGCCAGAAGACCATTCAAGTCCTTCAGAGAGTCCTGCGCATCCGAGAGCCAGAGGTCAAAAGTGCGTCCACCTTTGCCCTCATTAGGAACCCGTGCGGCTCCGGTAAACAGCGCAAGCTGCCTGTAGTACACCGGACTAACCAGAACTGTCCAAGAGACGAGAACAATGTCCGCTTGCCGGATGTCTTCGAAAGAAAGTTTCCGGAGCTTGACAACATTGGGAATGGTAATGACTCGGTACTTAGTGCCGAGGAACTTGACGATCTCCGTCTGCCACTGGGTGCAAACGTTGTTTGGCACCACGATCAGAGTTGCATTCGTGGTTAGTAGTCCGTTTTGCAACGGACTGCTCTTCACCGAATTCCTGGACCTCACTTGGTCCTGTTTGAACTGAGAATCTATCAAGCCGAGTACAATCGCGGTTTTTCCAAACCCGACTTCGTCGGCGACCAATCCTCCACGAACGAGTCTCGGGAGTGAGACCTTCACATCCGCTCGCCAGGCCATCATTGGTAAGAGGGCTTCCTCAAGCTCCTCTTCAACGAATGGCCTGATGTCGTCAGCTTCTTGCGCGACCATCCACGTTAATGATCGCAGCTGTTCTGGGCGAAGCGGTTGTGTGAAATTCGGGGGTTGCGCATGACAGGAATCACCCAGGTTGTCCTGGAGGACGAACGCATGGTGACTTTGACGACCCATGTCATGCGCATTCGGGACCAGCCGCCACGTCAACTGAGCCCCGGTGAGATCGTTGATGTCGATGAGCTTTCCGAGTGCGGAATGCGCCATCGACTGCAGATTGACTGCAATTTTCAGCTCCCCCCTGCCGAAGGTATCAACGTTCTCGAAGATCATGAAGGGGGGTGGCCTTTGTTTTACGGCACGCTCGTAGACCGCCGCCTCCAGAGGATCTTCGTAGAGGACAACTCTTTCTTTCTGGTCACGACCCCAGATTAAGAAAGGTTGAGTTGGCTTGCAGGTCCCGCAACTGGTGCTAAGACCTGCAAGCTCAAGGATTTCCCACTGATGGTGGGAAGCAATCGCATCTCCAACCCGTTGAAGAGCCCAAGCAATTCCTGAGAATGCTTTCGGGGCTTTCTCGGAATTGGTAGACGCCCACGACCTCCTGCGCTCAGACAGGCCCAAGGTCACAGCATCATCTGCTGAGAGAGATATCAGGGGTATATATGCCCCACGGCAGTCTCCGCCACGAAAAACCATGTCAGTCCTGAGATCCAAGTGATGGTAGGTAATTGGCTGACCATCAAAGGGACTCAAGACCATGCTGGGAACTTGGTGAAATCGCCGTGCGTAAGCAGAGAGCTTGTCCCGAGTCGTCTTGACAGACACTGGCCGCCAGGTAGGCGGAAGCTCAGCAACGGTTCTTCGCACTTCGTAACCAGGGGTCCTTCGGTGTTCAATGGAGAACACAAACGTATCTTGCGTGATAGGACCAGCCTTGCGAGGATCAAGGAACAAGTAGACGGGAGGCTGAAGCTCCGAGCAATCTTTCTTGTACAAGCATCCTTCAGCGGTTCCGCAATCAGCAAGTCTTTCGTATTTGCCGCGCAAATCCCGATCAAGATGATCGACATCTGCTTGGTCGCAATCGATCTCAAGATGCGTCCACACCCGGGCGTCGAGGTGTGCGGATCCGAGCAGGCCGCAGTCAACCTGGTATGTAGGCACCTGGTGACCCGAACCACGTACTCGGAGAGCGAACTCGGTGCTTATGGGGTCCAGTACCTCCCAAACACCATCGAACAACCACTCGGGGTTAGCGGGACGCATTCTCGCGATCGGCTTTGCGAGTATCTCTCTCAGCACGCATTGTGCCTGGGAACTTCGAGGAGCTTTGGCGAATAACAGCCACTGGAGACCATGACCATCAATCTCAAGACGCACGCTCGCAAATTCACCTTCGAAGGAGACAGTCCAGATCTCTGTCCGTTTGATGTCAGTGAAACGCACCTCCTCACGAAGGGCGCTTTGGACAGAGGAGATGTACTGGTCCCAGGTGTCGTCGTAATTCGTGATGGGCGTATTGTCGAGAGATTGGGGTCTGATTGGCTGGGAGTCCTCACTCCTGAGCTCGGCGAATTTGAGCCGCATGGGGAGGATCTTTCTCAGCATCTGGTCGAATTCCAGTGGTTTGATCCGTTGTCCGTTCATTACCTTTGGCCCATACGCGTGCGAAGGATTTCCAGCACAGAAACAGCAAGCCGTATGTTCACAGAGATGGCACTGGAGGATATTATGCTCAACCCGAGTCTGCTTCTCGCACAAGCAGAGACGGGCGGCTAGCACCGATCGCGCCATGATGGTGGACAGGAAGTCCCTGACATCGGCGTCCGAAGGGCAGTAGTTCTCCATATCAGTGGCAACGAGGCTGTGACCTGCCTCAACTGTAAACAGGGACGTGGGCGGTTTTGTCGTCGGACCAACACTTGCTTGCAGAGTACTTCCTGTGCCCTCACTAAGCACGGACGAAAAAGCAATCAGAGCGGAGAGCATGACTACACCAACGGTGGTCGAGGTCATGGCGTTGCCGGCGAGGTCTTGAAGCTCTCTGGATGATTCATGGGACAAAATTAAACGGTCTATCGGTAGACCTTGGAGTGACAAAGCTTCAAGTCCTGTCAGAGGGCCACCACGAGTAGTGAGAAAGGGCAGACCCATTGGAGTCAGGCACCCAGTCACACCGAACGAAGCGGTACTCTCCGTGCCGCGGTCAGCGCCTTGAGACAAGTCGATGAAACGCTCTTTGTAGTTGAAATCAAATCCATTGGTCAGGGAGACCAAGTATTTGATGTCGAGCGTTTCCCATACTCTCTCCACCTGAGCTTTGAACCACCGATGCCAGTAAAAATCCGGCCCGGTACAGGTACCCCCTCCAGCCTTCGAGCGGCTCACTGGTCGCTGATCACCCGCCGGTAAAGTGTCACGACACACTTGGTGACGCGCCTTGTATCTCTCCCAGGAAACCTCAGCGCGAGCCGAGGTGGCTTCCAAGCGAGTGAAGAGATCCTTTTCGATCTGCTCCAACCTCCGATCATCTGCACCCAACAAGAATGAACTTGTGGGTGAGCTGCACGGGCGGCGAAACTTGGAAACTAATTCCTTGGCGCGGGAGATGGCGAGGGCACCAGAGTCGGGCATCTCCAGACGGCGTTTGTCGACAGCAATCAAGTAACCACGCTCACGGGTATGAGGGATGTAGTACTGCTTGGTGTCGACAATTTCGTACGCCGCTGAATAGCCAACATTCGACCATGCGTCAACGAAGTCTTCCCAGGGAGCTCCTCTAACGTTCTCACAAATGACCAGTCGGGGTCGATACCTGTCGCAGTACTTCAACAAGGCGTTGAAAGTGGAGGCTGACTCTCCTCTTTCTTTCTGGGCCTCCTTCTTGTTGTTCAGCGGCGAGAAATCGACGCATGCGGTCCCAGCGATTAGGATATCAAGATCACCGGGGATTAATGCCGATGATCCATAGGCCGTGTGGGCTTTCTCACCACCCAGTTCCAGAAGGTCCCGGAAAAGGAGAGGCGGCCCAAAGTTCCGTTCAATGTAGCTTTGCTTGAGCGGAACGATCTCGCAACTAAAAAGATGCTCGATCCGGAATCGCTCGCCGTTTATACCAAGGCCTGCGGGAAAGGTCAGCGAGTCTGTTCAATCCACATAATTCCCCAAATAATTCCAGAGACAGGGAAGCAAACAAGAGACAGGTGAAGGTTTTGTGAATATCGAGAACGAGAATAGGGCAAGAGTATGAAGACAACAAGAGAAATGAAAGTGAGTGTAAACACAGCGAGATCAATGAGTATGAAGGCAGCAAGGTGTGGGGGCAGTGAGGTATGAGGGCAGCGATGTATGCAGTAAATTCAGAATGCGGGTCCGGACCCGATGATCCGGACTTCTCACGAACGGCGTTCGTGCGGCTTAACATCTTGCGGGGCAAAGTGGGTCCACATGGCCCATAATAGATCGCACCCCGGGTTTTTCAAACTCTAAACTCAAGGAAGGGAATTGACTACATCAGAACAAGAAGAACTTACCGTGCTGGATCATTTCAAGGGCGAGGAGGGGACTCTCTGTCCCCGAGCACACAGTTGCAACGCGGAGCGGTCGACCGTCCAGTTGCTTGAGGACAAGCTCGAGTCCCAGGCCCATGGCCTTTTGGGCAATATCAGTAAAGATTTCCTCGAGGTTGGACATCGGTGGCAAGTTCCACGCGATGTAGCGGGTTGGAGGCGTAAGTCCATGGACAAGCTCCGGTACTACTGATAGCTCATTCTGAGCGGGTGTCGTGGATGCAGCTGTGACCGGCTGCGAAGAAACCTCAGCTGTGGCCGGCTGAGGAGAGGAGGCATTCCTGCTAGAGGTACTGCGCCTGATATGGCGAGACATTGCAAGGAAGCAAAGACTGTAGACATTTTGTCAGCAATGGAAATATCTAAACTCATCAACTTTATCGAGGGGGTTCTTACGAGGTACCAATATCGCTGGCGCTTGAGGGCAAGGAGTGATCACGTGCAACACGTGATGAATGGAAAGAAGTGGGGCGGAGAGAAGGAAGACGGAGAAAAGTAAGAGCGAAGCCAACTTTAATGTCTGGGAGGGCGCACGCTATGAGTCGTGCTTTAAGACTAAATTCATGACCAAATGCCATCAAATTCTCTTCCAGGCAGCGCTAATTGTATTGACCTAGACTAGAGTGAGATTATTTGTCCCAGCAACCATTGCGAGTCAAGAAGATCATCCTTAATACACGTTCCTATGTTGATCGTGATGGTTGTAGTATTAATAACGTCAGGTGTGCATGCATGTAGATGGACGGTGGAGTACAGCAAGAATGCCATCGCACTGTGAAAGAACTGCAGGATGGTATTACCACAAATATTTAGTCATAGAAGGGCATCTTGATTGAACAACGCAAAGATTATTTTACCACATCACAAGCGCAGTATTCGAAATTCGTAGTAATATTATCGAGTAAATACCCGGGCACCTACTTGCTCATAATAGACTGCCCTAGAACGTGAAGGTGATTAAGGAGGAATACCTGCTAAGCCGGATTCTTTTCTTACCTAGGATTGAAAATGTAGGGTAGCATCATTTTGTATACTGGCTTTGAATCAAGCAAATCTATTTGCTCTTTAATACCTGGAAGATCAAATACAGTAGCATTATGCGGAGTAAAAGTACTGCGCTACGCTAAATTGGGTTAGGAGGTGTTCAACTATTTTTTTGTAATGTTCGATCATCATTTGTCCATGTTGAAAGATGTTGATTTGCTGCTTGTTCTAGGAGGACAGCTAGATAAAGCTGATATGCAAAAGTCCAGGTCAAAGAAAATCACTCCATGCGCCATCCCTCGCCAGAAAAGATTAGAAACCCAGGTTTGGGGACATCAAACTCAGCCCCCCAAAGAAAAAGGATTAGATCAGTTGGTGCAGGATTAACCTACGATGCCATAAAATCCACTAGCGCATACCACCTTGCATTAACTGTTGACGAAGCAGCATGATCTGGTTACGTTCCATAGGGGGCAAAGCATCGATAGCAGATTGTGGCATAGCAAGAACTTGTTGGAGCAGCTCATCTTGGCCAGCCACAGGTTGAGGTGGTGCGGCCTGCGGAGGTGGTGGAGCAAATGGCGTGGTTGCAACAGGCGGTGTCGAGATCTGATTAGGAGCACCATAAGATTGATAGCTTTGATGGGCCGCAGCTTGGGGTTGGGCTGCCTGCTCGACAATGGATCCAAGAAGCTGGTATTCGACAAGGTTCATCAGCAACAGCGCTTGAAAAATAGCATAAGCAAGCTGTGGTGCTTGGCGAAGAAGCTCCGTGGCGCGAGCAGGGTCAGCTACTGCAAGAGATTTCATCTGCGTAAGGACATCGAGGAGTTGGTTTGGAGGGAGAGAGGCGAGAGTGTGGGAGATAGCATTCGGGCAGTCGAGGTGGGGTGGAACTTCGACACCTGGTGGGAGAGGAGGCAAGGGTGCAGCGCCAGGAATTTGTTGCATTTGTTGTGTAGGATCTTGAGCTGCAGGTTGCGACTCTTGCGGGTAGTCTGTAGGAATGGAATCTTTCTCGTTGTTGTGAGGCCAGTCGACACGGATCTTGCGGCCCATAATTTCGTAATCATTGAGATTTCGGACTGCTGAAGCTGCGGCATCGGCATCGACGAAGTCTGCGAATCCATATCCCTTGGGCTTGCCAGTCTCCGGGTTCATCATAAGGCGGAACTTGGTGACGGTGCCTGCTGTGCTGAGGAGGTCTTTCACTTGCTCCTCAGTGAGGTCTGCGTGCATTGTTAGCAACCCACACAGAAGTATGAGGAGTTTCGAGGGGTTTCGGTACTTACTGTAGGGGATGTTCCCCAGGAACACACTTTTTCCCGTGCGATCAGGCGCCATGGTTGTGATGTGTTGATGCAAAGGAAGGTTTAAGGTTGATGAGCGAAAGAAGGAAGATATTTTGCCGGACTTTGCATTGACCGCCTAACCAGCATCTTCTTCGAACGTCCCGTCTTCCTCCACACCATCAAACTTACCTCTACAAAACCTTCACATCATGTCTCAGAATCAACGAGAGGCTTGGGAGCGATTGCAGCTCATGCTGCAGAAGCGCAAGGGTAGTGTTGGTGGTGGCGGCCGCGGTGGTATGGGCTTGGCCGGTCTTATCCTGCTCGGAGTCGGCACTTGGGCAGTCTCGAATTCGCTCTTCAACGGTATGGAAAGGACAATGCGCATAGTTGGGGATAACATCTAATGCGCTTTCATTCTAGTCGACGGTGGTCACCGTGCTATCAAGTACTCGAGGGTCAGTGGTGTGAAGAAGGAAATCTACAACGAAGGTATGATGTGACATCAACTCCGACAAGAAACCGAGCTAGGGACTAACCTTTGTATTCACTCTTAGGAACCCACATTCGTATCCCCTGGTTGGAGACTCCCATTATCTACGATGTCCGCGCCAAACCGCGCAACATTGCCTCCTTGACCGGTACCAAGGACTTGCAGATGGTCAACATCACTTGCCGTGTCCTGTCCCGGCCCCGCGTGGACGCTCTGCCTCAGATCTACCGCACTCTGGGTCAAGATTTCGATGAGCGTGTGCTGCCCTCAATTGTCAACGAGGTGCTGAAGAGCGTTGTAGCTCAGTTCAACGCCAGCCAGTTGATCACTCAGCGTGAAAATGTTGCCCGTCTGGTCCGCGAGAATCTGGCCCGTCGTGCCGCACGCTTCAACATTGCTCTTGACGATGTTTCCTTGACCGTAAGCAGCCACATTGAAATCTATTGATATCTTAACTAACACTCAACCCTCTTTAGCACCTGACCTTCTCTCCCGAATTCACCGCTGCTGTCGAAGCCAAGCAAGTGGCACAGCAAGACGCCCAGCGTGCGGCTTTCATGGTCGACAAGGCTCGCCAGGAGAAGCAGGCTTTCATCGTGCGCGCACAAGGTGAGGCTCGTTCTGCGGAGCTGATCGGAGATGCGATCAAAAAGAGCAAGAGCTACATCGAGCTGCGCAAGATCGAGAACGCTCGTGCGATTGCCCAGGTCTTGCAGGAGAGCGGTGGCAAGAACAAGCTCTACTTGGATACCCAGGGCTTGGGGCTGAACGTCAACGCAGGCAACGAGGAGGGCAAATAAATTACATTAATTTGGCGCCGTGGAGAAACATCTGTACAAATAGCTTACTTAGGAGCATCCGAACGTGGTCTCTTCTCTTTCATTCTGTTCTCAGGGTTCATAAATGGATTTTAGTAGATGTGCGAGCTAATTACCCTAGGTAGCACCTAATCCGGACTTGACCGCAGAAGATATATTTTCCGAGTTGACGCGGGGACAAAGGCGGCGAGCGGGAGCTCCACCAACTTTTTTTTATCGGTCCGATATACCAAGAATATCACCTTCACATATTCAAGAGCCGAATTTATCTCTTGGTAAGTAAAAAATTACTGGAAATACTTTATTCAAATATCTCATGAATTCGAAGCGCATGGACAAAACAGCTAACGCAAAACTCTAGAAACCATCAAGATGGCCGACCCCACCAACGACCCCGAAATCTCATTCACCCAAATCGACGTCGATGTCGACATCCAAGAAATTCTTCTTGCAGCTTCTCAACATGATATATCCACTCTCCGGCGCCTAGTGCGCACACAATCCGCGCTCCCAAACGCCGCGAATGTCAAAGATCCAGAGACCGGCTACTCGCCCCTCCATTCCGCTATCGCAGCCTGCGAGCCCGAGGAGGCCGAAGAACAGGCGAATGGCGTGAACGGCGCTCACGAAGACGAGCATACGAAGCTGTTGAAGTCTGGTGTTGAGACTGTCAAGTTTCTTTTGCAGGAAGGTGCTATCTGGAACGATCTCGATAACAACGATGAGACGCCCGGCTGCATTGCACGGAGAATCAAGGCACCGGAGCTGTATGAGCTTGTAGTCGATGCTGGTGTACGGGCAGAGATGCTGCTGAGCCGATTGGAGGGGTATGAGGAATTGTCTGATGGTGATGACGAGGACGAGGAGGAAGATGCCGAGAACGTCCAGGCCGAAGTTGAAGACGAGGCTGCTCCCGAACTCGTCGATGCCTCTGAGGCAAATGTTGCAGAAATCACATCGACTGGCGAGAGAACAGGGCTTGCCAACCCCGAAGTCTCAAACCCGGGCTACCTCAACTCTTCGCTCAACATTACCAACGAACGGATCCTCGACGCAGACCAAAACGGTGTCATGATGAGCTGGGAAAGTTCAATCATGAAGAACTCGGCACAGAAACTGCTTCCACGGCCAGGTATGAAGGTCCTCAACGTTGGACACGGCATGGGTATCGTGGATGGATTTTTCCAGGAGCAGAGCCCTGCTTCGCACCATATTATTGAGGCCCACCCCGATGTTGTTGCGGAGATGAAGCGACGCGGATGGGATTCCAAGCCTGGTGTCGTGATTCATGAGGGCCGATGGCAGGATATCATGCCTGACCTTGTGGGCGCGGGCGAGACTTTTGACGCTATTTACTACGATACATTTGCGGAGTCTTACAATGATTTCCGGGAGTTCTTCTCGGAGCAGGTTATTGGATTGTTGGAGCAGGAAGGAAAGTGGGGATTCTTCAATGGTATGGGAGCTGATCGACAGATTTCGTACGATGTCTATCAGAAAGTCGCAGAGATGGATCTCTTTGAGGCTGGCTTTGATATTGACTGGGAGGATATTCCGGTGCCCAAGCTGGGTGGTGAATGGGAGGGTGTGAGGAGGGCTTATTGGGTAGTGGATAATTACCGGTTGCCACTGTGCCGGTTTATGGATTAAATATCCCACTACTTAAGGGATATTAAACGAAAAGGATGACCGCGATTTGCAACCCTTGAATTGTCTATGGACAAAGTATATGCGACGCTTGGAAACGCTAGACAAGAAAAACGAATAAAATACAGAGACGCTCATGAAATGCATCTGCTCATAGTTGAATGAGATCCACTTCTGAGAAATCTGGTGGACTGCGGCTGAAGATTGTCCGGCACTTGCCATCAAGAGCTTGGTACTCGTTACTGATCCAAATATGCTTGGTGAACCGTTGTGTCCGGTAGATCTCGTCATCGCTTACTCCAAGATCATCACGAGGAATCCAAATCACCGGCTGTTTAGCGCGGAGAGCCTCGTGTTGAAATGCGCGTTGTACCAACTGATCGCGCTCATCCGGGGTGAGATCTTCCAATTCATCATGAACACCTGCAAAGAGAGCGTGCCCCAGTTTGTTAGACGATGGTTCTTGATTTTCAGCATCAAGGGCCATCTTGTCTCGCAAGGACTTCATTGTAGGAGTAGAGGTTGCAGAGTTAACCCCATAGAATTTGGACCGGCGGTTCGATGACCGGGAGGCCCAGGAAGGCCTTTTACTACCCAGCTTGGGTGTCGACAGTAAATCCTTCGACCCTTTATGCTTGAGATCACCCTGATCCGTATCGAGGGTCTTTAGTTCAATTTCTTGATCCTGATGACTTCCGTCATCCCCAGGCGGCGCAATGCCATGATCAACAGGATGATGATCATCTTCATCCTCATCCTCATCATCCATGGGAAGTCCAAGTCGAGCATGCTGGGCACGCTTAAACTCTTCGTCTCGACGAATGGCAGCATCTTCCAAGGTGATTGGCAGATACCTGAGCAGAGGCCCAAATGCGTCGCTAAGGAGCATTTGATATCCAAAGGTAAAAGCGAGGATAAAACACATAACGATGCCTTGGCCTTTGCAAGCCAACTTACCGTCCTCATTTTCAACTAAAAAGAACAATCCGATCAAACAAATCTCCATGATATAGAGACCAGTGAAGAGTTGATAGATGGCCCGAGGAAAAAGAAGACCTCCGGTGTCAAAACGGAACTTAGTGACATAAAGCGTGTTGTAACGATAGACGAACCAGAAGAGGCCGAAGGTGACAACGTTGAACACCAGAATTAGAGGTGCAACCACACTGTAGATCAATCCTAGGATAGAAGATTAGCAAACGTTTTGCGTCAAATAGACATAACAAAATTCACATACCAATTGAGGCCAAGGTGGTATACACGGGGAAGAAAGTGCCCCATTGCATTTGATGAAGGTTGGTTGTGCGAGCCCACTTTTTTCTGGCGGTTTTATCCAAAATCGGAGCAAGGATGAACCAGCTGATCAGGTTGACGATTTGCACGAGAGCGCCGGCGCTCACAGACATGGCTTGCAGAATCATGTAAGAGAAGAAGTAGTTGCTAGACCTGGGGATGTTTTGCGCCAAAAGTGTCGGCCAGCTAGTCACATCGGTGGCCTTCTCAACAATGGTCGAGAAACTGGACGCGATGGTGACAACCAAGAACAGCTGCACGATCAAAAAGGCAAAATAGTACATCTGGACAGTCAATTCAATGGTCATACCGGTGTGCACGCCCTGCTTTTTACTCAGGAATCGAAGGCACACGGGAAGCAGAGCCATCAATATAGCCAGGAAAGTCGCGGGCAGAATACCTTGGATGGCTGAAATGAACCATGACGGTAGCTTTTCAAGCCAGGCTAGCCATGAAAAAGAGTCTTCTAGGTAGGATAACTGCGACAGCAACCCGGTAAACGCAACGGGGAAGGCCCACCCAACAACCATCGCACAGACAAGCGTGACTATAACGAAGGTACGCAGGTAGCGCTCCCACCACTTCATGGACATATTGTCCCAAATCACGTCATCAGGAGAAATCTCCACGATTCGTGGGGCCATCTGCTTAGGCAAATGATGGCTGACTGACTGACAAGCCATGTGCGCGGCGATCTGATGATTAAACTGGATAAATGCCGAGTTCATCAATGGAAATCGCTCGGGGTTTTGCTGATCGATTTCAATCTCCAAATTCAACCGGGCGAGCTCCTTCCGACAATAGTCGATCGTATCGACCTTTCTTCCAATGAGCCAAATCGTCGGCCATTTTCTCCACTTGAACCAAGGAAGACGCCAAGTTTTCCGGTCCTTTTGTCGAATGTATTTCTTCCACAAAGGCTCTCCATAATTTTCCTCGTCGTAATCCTCATTGTATGCGATTGGGTACTGCTCTCCATCTTTCTTGTCTTTGTGCGGGCTTGCTTTCTCATGATCAGATCCTAGTTTGTGATCAACGCCAGCAGGGGTATCGGGTGCAGTGAGAGGGTGCTCATCCGGCTCTGGGTCATGTTTAGAATGCTTGGAGTAAGACGAGCCGCGGGATTTCCAGAATGGTCGTTTGGGTGGAGGTTTTCCGTCCTGATTCACGGTGCTATCACCCTGGATAGGCTCTGGTATCTGGGATATGGGGGTGGGAGGTGCGAGTTCGGAGCCAGTGGTGTCGGCAGGAGAGTAACCCGGGGGCATAGGTTGGCGAGGTGGCAATCCACCGTCAATAGATTCTACAAACCCTCTATTTCGGGTCAGTGTGTGGTCGAAGCCACCTTCCACCTTCTTCAGACCACCCATAAGGTTTTTACCCAACTTTCCAACACCCATACCAACTGCCCCAGCCGCTGCCATGGCTGGATTAAATATCCCGTTCCGGGAGCCGTCTGATGTGTTCCGTTGATGTCCTTCTGGCTCACGATGTAGGACCTCTTCCAATGTATGAGCCTCATGGGGGTTACCGGAGCTTACACCGGGTCCCATGGCCATTTCCGATGCGCGTTTATCGGTGGCCATCTTTTCTCGATCCTCTGCGCTGATCTTGTCCTTCTTGCCCTTCTTCTTATTCTGCTTTTCCTCCGCTTTCAATTGCTTGAGTTGAGCCTCCTTGCACTTTCGGATCAAGGAAGTTTCGGCCGCCTCAAGCTTGGCGGCAACCTTGACTCGTCTTTTCACCTTGTGATTAAGCTCATCAAAATTGCGGTTGATCCAGATGTTTCGAATGCCACCTGGGAAGACGTCGAAGAGATTTTCTAGGGCTTCGATATTGAGCCAATCAGACGGGATAGCCGTGACCAGCACGGTGGTTGCGGAGGCACGCAGTCGGTGTTGTGGAGAAGTCAGGTAAGCCTGTCGCATGCGAATATATCCGCGCAGTTCATCGAAGAAGATGAAACAGATATAAACAATTACAAGGACTGCCATAATCAGATGGGCCCAGTAGCGGTGGGTGTGCTGGGGTTTGACATTTCCCCATGCCAGTTGATCAAGGCCAGTCACATCGAAGCGTTCTCCGCTGGTGCCATTCTGGTACGTAGTCCCCTTGCCACCCACGTAATTGATAGGGATTAGTACCGGTAAAAGGACAAATGCAAGAGGAAGGAAAATCTTTAATAGCATGCGCAGATAACGCAGGAAGAAGTAGGCATCCAGCCCACTTTTCTGGATAAATTCGGCACTGGATGTCCGGAAGACTGGACCCACCCAGCGAAAGAGACCTGGGGGCGATGGTGTAGTACGTTCTCGATCCGGAACAAGATATGTGCGTGGTTGACTATTGTATTTAGCATGGGTAACCTCACAGTCTGGGCGAATGAAGACTCACTAGATGCGAGTCAATTTGCCTTTAAGTATCATGAAGCAGCAGAACTCGACTGCGAAGATGACAAAGGCTGTCGCCAGTGAGGCCACGAATGTCGAAACTGACTCTCCCTCATCCGCCTTGCCAGTACCGCCCGCATTCTCCAGGGCCTGTTCCAAGGCGTTTGTCATGGTTGATAATTGACGATGCGAGCTACGGGTAATTCAAGCCACCAAATCAAGGCGGTGCAGTTTGTGGGGTATCGAGCAAGGTTATCAAGCCCCGGTAGAGACCAGGGGTACCTCCCTCGCAATTATCGGTATCTTTCTCGCTGGGTTCGAGGACGGAGATAGTTTTTTCAGGTGGGAATTTGAATGGATGAGGTGAACATGGTCGGGCGACGACCAAGAAGTATTGCGATCGAAACAATGCGCGAGCGAAGAAAATTGACAACAAAGGCGCTAGGTTGGAGAGTGGAGCAGGTCTATACCTGTTCTTGTGAATGGTCACACTATGACCGCAGTGGCTAATGTTTGGGCTGGCGCCAGGGAACGTGACGGGCCCCCCGCCGGGTTCAAGGATGATGATTGGAAGATCGTGGGTATGCCGATCGGCTGTAGAATGACATCAAGCGCCTGGTGAAACGGCCAAGCAGATTCCGGCGGCTTCAGAGAGCGCCTTTTTCTTCGCTTTGTGTCGAGATTTTCTATTTGTGTTTTCTTTGACCTGGAAAGGAGAAGCCAAATGTTTCCGAAGGGAACTGCGACCGCCAGCGCCCTTGGCAAGCGGCCTTTCAGTCCCCAATCTAATCTCCACTGTCGGAAACACCAGAAAAGGGGTATGGTGCTGCTGATTGGTGCGATTGGACTGTGGCGGTGCGAACTGAGCCAAGAAGGGAAGAGATTTTCAAGCACCGCCACTCATTACCTGATTCGGGGGGATCCGTTTTGGTTTTTTAAGGCTGAAGCGATCCTCAATGGAGAAGAGTGGGACGGCTCTAATGAAATTGCGCACTGCTAGCGAAGGGGAGTGGGTTCCAACTCGAACATTAGGACCGCTGTCTTACCGTAATTTGAACTGTATGTCAATTGTACATGTTGCTTGACATTGGTTTCGGCTTCCCTTTCTCACACCCATTATACAAAGAATTTTCCTTTCAGAGTATTTGTGGTTCCGCCTCCAATCCTTACATACAAGCACCTTAAAATGTCATTTTCCACCGCTAGGATACCCTGGAGCGGCTTTCAATAGCAACAGTCGATGTTTTAACGCTAAATACCTAAGGATGTAAGGGATGCAAACATTTGATGTTTTTCTGCCAAAAACAAGAGAATTAGATTGCTAATTCTCTGGATTACATAGAGACACCATGAGATTGACCAAGATATGATCCCCATCGAGAAAGTCCTAGTAACGAACACCGACGAAAAGTACGCGCGGAGCGCGGCCTGCCACCTGCCCCTGGGGTGCCGCTTTTTGAAAAGAATGGCGATCTAGTAGGGGAGCTAGCAGGGAGGGTTGGGCGACTTTGGGTTTGTCGTGTTTCGAACCGATTACTTATACGAACAACGCTGGGAGCAGTGGCTTAAAGAGTTCCAGCGCATAATAGACGCCTCGATGGAGAGTGCTTAGCGGACGAAAGAAAGTCGAAGATGAATGCTTCATGCCAGTTCCAAGATTTATGAGGACGAGAATATGGCTAGTATTAATCAACAGATCCTACAGGAAGGCCCTATCCCTATCGTTCGTGGCTCTGGCTTTTGACTAATGATCGAGATAGGGCATATTACGGGTACCAGGAGACTAAAGGCGTCCTCTCGTGACTTGACACTAGTACGTGCCCAGTTGTCGATTCAACTATCATAGACTCTATGATAGCCGACAAGCTGTGGCCACATGTGTCAGACCTTTTATTCGATCATGAGAGTCCGCTCGTAGATGGAGAATATCCAGTCAACTTTCGAGTTGCCGTGGAGTCTGTTATCACGGAACTTTACCCCGACTCTCATAGTGATGACACCATCGGAGCTTTGGCCTTCGGATAACAAGATATGGGAGTCAGCCGTCCAATAGATCGCTTTTTTAAAACACCCTCAAGTGCAGCTGAAAGATGTAGCATTAATTTTCGGTACATTAACCAATCTAACCAAGTGAACTGAACTGAATATCAAAGCCTTTTTTCTTTGATCGAAATAGAGGAGAAATATGAGGCATTTGAAGTGGGTTACATGAGCCCAATGGATCATCCATTCTACTTGAGATCTTCGCAATGCTTTGGTATAAATGGGCCCGAGGACACTGGTCGACAAGACATAGATTCATGGATGTTATTCCTGTGATGGCCGGGAACCTCCGTCTGTTATTTATCTGATTCTCTTTAATTCTATCTAGATGGATTATCTTCACTCTCCTCGCTCTCGCGTTCAATCTTACTTGTGGACCAATTCCCGTTTAAACCAAAATATCAAGCCTGAAACTCAAAACATGTAACCATGTGACTTGTTGCTGTGGGCTGCACTATTGCTTACATAACACCAACGCGCTCCAAACTAGGAAACCACTTAACGCGCTGGACGCGTTTCTACCGCGTCCCACTCAATTATCCTAATTAGATAATTTTGCTCTCCCTTCTTTCCACTCCTAATCCCGTCCGTCACCACCACTTACCCCCTCCTCCACACCGACACACTCCATACAATAATAATGTCTTCACCAACCAAACGGAGGGGTCGCTCCTCAAAACTAGCGACTTCATCACCAGCCCCTTCCCGTGAGCCTCCCAGCAGTCCAACTCAACAAGCCACCCCACGCGCCGCCGGACGCTTGGCAGCTGAGCGAAATGTCCCATCATCTTCTCCTATGCATTATCAATCTTCCCCGACCAGAAGCAACTATGGCGCAGAGACACCGGATGTTCGTATGGCGGAAGCAAGCTCGACTGTGGACGATGGCGAGCGCACCCCTCGTGCGGGTGCAGGAATTAGAGGTACGCCATTATACTGTTCTAACTTCTGTTTTTGTTTACCAGCGACAGAATAACTCACTGTATAACAGACTCATCTCCAATCAATTACGTTGCCAGCTCTAGTCCCACTCGCGGCTTCACTCGATCAGATATTCGCTCCGACATTCGGTCGGATGCTCACAGCATAAGCAGCGCGTTATTCGTCTCCCCAGGTGGCCCGAGCCGTCGTCGGACTGCCCCTCGCCGCAGTGACCTCCACTTCAGTGGCTTTGAAGCGTCTCCTTTCCGCAGAAACCGAATTCTCGTGGATGCCCAGGGTATGCCCTCGGGCTCCGATGCTCTTCGCTCCGATGCCACATTTTCGAACATCAACCCCGGTACATCCGAGGCGGAGGCCATGGCTGGAAACTCCTCGCGTGTGATTTGGGGTACCAACGTTTCGATTCAAGATTCCATGTCCGCTTTCAAGAACTTCCTGTATAACTTTGCCACAAAATACCGTCTGTGGGCCGATGGTGCTTCAGAGGACGAGACTCGGATCCTGGGAAGTGTCGCTGAGAAGCGTGAGTACATCACCACGCTGAATGATATGCGGCGACTCGGTGTGGCCACTCTCAATCTTGATGCCAGGAATCTCAAGGCCTATCCCCTGACACAAAAGCTGTGGCATCAGCTTCTTGCATACCCGCAAGAAATTATTCCCTTGATGGATCAGACTGTGAAAGATGTGATGGTTGACTTGGCCTTGAAAGAGATGGATGTTCTGCGTTCTGAAAGCCAGCGCGCAGGCCAGAACCGCCGTGGCCAGTCCGTTCTTACCTCCGATGCAGTGGCTCCCCAAGACGATGTGCCTGACCTTGTGGGCGAAGTCGAAGGAATGTCTTACAAAGTGCTTCCATTTGGCCTGGATGAGACCGTGAACATGAGAGATCTTGACCCAGCTGGTATGTTGAATCTAATAATCCTGCCAAATACATGTGTTAACACGTCTCTTAGATATGGACAAGCTGGTCAGCATCAAGGGATTGGTTATTCGAGCAACCCCAATCATCCCAGACATGAAAGAGGGTAAAATGACCCATTCTCTCGTGCTGGTTACTCTTGGCTAATTGATCATAGCTTTCTTCCGCTGCAATGTCTGCAACTATGGTCTCCAGGTTGACATTGACCGAGGCCGGATTCATGAACCTGCCGAATGCCCCCGATTGGAATGCAAGTCGAAAAACTCAATGCAGCTCCTCCACAACCGCTGTTCTTTCGCGGATAAGCAGGTCATCAAGCTTCAGGAAACTCCCGACAGTATTCCGGATGGCCAGACTCCTCATTCCGTTTCTCTCTGTGTGTACGATGAGCTCGTCGATGTTTGCAAGGCTGGTGACCGTGTTGAGGTGACTGGTATCTTCCGTTGCAACCCCATGCGTGTCAATCCACGCCAGCGCTCTCAGAAGGCCCTCTTCAAGACCTATATCGACGTTCTTCACGTCCAAAAAGTCGACCGCAAGAAGTTGGGTATTGACATGTCAACTGTCGAGCAAGAGATGTCCGAGCAGGCGGCCGAGGCGGATCAAGCCCGCAAGATCTCTGCCGAGGAGGAGGAGAAAATCAAGTTGACTGCCTCTCGCCCGGATGTCTACGAGCTCCTCGCTCGATCGGTCGCCCCTAGTCTCTACGAGATGGACGATATCAAGAAGGGTATCTTGCTGCAAATGTTTGGCGGCACAAACAAGACCTTCCAGAAGGGTGGTAACCCGCGGTACCGTGGAGATATCAACATTCTTCTCTGTGGTGACCCTTCGACTGCCAAGTCCCAACTCCTGCGTTACGTACACAAGATTGCCCCCCGTGGTGTCTACACCAGCGGTAAGGGTTCCTCGGCTGTCGGTCTTACAGCCTATGTGACTCGTGACCCCGAGACTCGTCAAATGGTGCTCGAATCTGGTGCTCTGGTTCTTTCCGATGGCGGTACTTGCTGCATTGACGAGTTCGACAAGATGAATGAAGCCACCCGATCCGTCCTCCACGAAGTGATGGAACAGCAGACTGTCTCCATTGCCAAGGCCGGTATCATCACCACCTTAAATGCACGTACATCCATTCTGGCATCCGCCAACCCTATTGGCAGTCGATACAACCCCAAGCTGCCTGTGCCTCAGAACATCGACCTACCTCCCACCCTGCTCTCTCGTTTCGATCTTGTCTACCTCGTCTTGGATCATGTGGATGAGACCGAGGATCGCCGGTTGGCGAAGCACTTGGTGAACATGTACCTGGAAGACAGCCCGGAGAATGCAAACTCTGAGGAGGTGCTGCCCATTGAATTCCTCACAGCTTACATCACCTATGCTAAAACCCAAATTCAACCCGCTCTGACCCCCGCCGCTGGTACCGCACTGGCTGACGCGTATGTCGCCATGCGCCAGTTAGGTGATGATATCCGGTCCTCTGAACGCCGTATCACCGCGACCACCCGTCAACTGGAGTCTATGATTCGTCTGTCAGAGGCGCATGCTCGCATGCGCTTGTCGCCTGAGGTGACTGTGGCCGATGTCGAAGAAGCCGTGCGCCTAATCCGTTCGGCCATCAAGCAGGCCGCTACTGATGCTCGGACTGGTCTGATTGATATGGGTCTGCTCACGGAAGGCACCAGCGCTAGCGAGCGTCGCCTGCGGGACGATCTGAAGAAGGCTGTACTGGCCCGTCTGGAGGACCGTGGAGGTGTTAATCACGCCCCCGTGCGTTGGACCGATCTGTATCGTGACATGACTGAAAACAGCGTGCAGCTTGAGCACCAGCAATTTTCTGATGCAGTGCGATCGCTCGAGGCTGAGGGCGCTGTGAACGTGTTAGGTGAGGGACCCCGGCGCAGTATTCGTCGGGCGGCCCTGGGGATGTAGAGAGAGATGACGATTTATTCCTACGAAGCGATGATTGACTGGGGTTGGCATATTGATACATATTTGACTTTTTAATATTGTCTTTTGATCCTAGGTGTTGGGAGTAAATTTCTTTTCTGTGAGGGGTGTATTTCTTATCTCATCTATGCGCTGCGACAGTCGCGTGAGAACCTTCCGTTTTCGACCAACTGACCCGCCTTACCTATGGCTGCATGTGCAGATACGCAAGGCGAAATAAATAAAATGTTTTCAAAGGCAGTACTATATTCCCAATCAAGGGTCTTTGCCCAATTTTCATTTTTGCCGTTTTGTTTATCCATGGAAAGTATTCCTCGTTCCGAGGTTTCGCCCCCACTCGGGATGCTTGTGGGCCATCGGCTTCGTAAGGTATACGGCCACTGCCGGCTTATAGTATCCCTAGGAGGTCCCACGCGGCTCGGTTAGGAAGGGCTCATGCACCTTCTTAATGGAGCATAATAAGCTTTAAGTATTTTCTTTTTTGAGTTTGGTTAGTGCGTACAGGATACAAGGATGATCTGCTCAGAGATGTCCGGCAACACCAAAAAAAGTAATATGTCGCGTGCCCCCAGTATCATGCTTGTAAATTAAATTGGTCGAATTCGTAGTTGCGCTAGTTACATATTGCCTAAATTCAGAGCAGAGAACCCGCATGACAGCTCCACTTGAACGGAGACATGTACACACCTTCCGTTGAATGCCCACAGTTAGTAGCCAATGAACACTGGTTCATTGGGTATACCTATTGCAGGGACTGGGCCAAGTAGGTATCACAAACCTCTTGATCTAGGTACCCTGGGAAATAAGGTGCTAGCGTTGCGAGCAAAAAAGCATGTCATCGTATAGGATGCTCAACGTGTAAATCGCGAGGCTCAATGTCGCGTAATGGTAATTGATATTGCCAAAGTTGAATTTAATTTTTTTTCACTAAGATTTTAGCGTCAAACAGATCAAAGAGCACGTGCGTCAGTGACTGGTCACAACGTCAGTGGGGAACTGGCTGACTCATCCGACGTGCATCAGCTCGAACCAATGGCACCGATGGATCTGCACAGCTTCAACGGTGCACGACTCCCAGTGGCTGCATGCTCGTCCAGAGTAATTGTTAGCCGATGCTCTTCGTACCACTTTTTACCTTCTTGGGGCGCAAGGGAAACTAAACAAGTTCGGCGTGTTCCGACCTACATACATCTGGACTCACATTTGCCCCGAGCGGGTCCATACTAAGCTAGACCGTTCTCGGGGGCGATAAAGTCCATCGCCTTCCCTTCGCAGTCTCGCTCTTTCCCTTCCTACAAACGTTCTTCACTGTGCTTCCCAGTGGTCTTTTTCATCATGAGGTACGTACCATTCAATTCCAATGGCTGCCAATGGCTGCCAATGGCTGGATAGGCTATCTCTCTTCTTCCTTATCCCTTGCCTACGCAGATCTTTCTCAGAAATGCTTCCCCGCATACTGACCCAGCCTCCAGGTTCGGCGAGCACCTTCAATCGTCGATGATTAGGGAATATCATCCCTTCTACATCGCATACGACCAACTTAAGGAAGCTCTCAAGACCGACTATGTCACCCAGCCCACCCCAGATACTGCTAAGCCACCTCGCCGGGAATGGACCGAGGACGATGAGAAGAATTTCGTGACGCTGCTGGAGAGCGAGCTGGAGAAGGTCTACCTCTTCCAAAAGCGCAAGAGCGAGGAAATTGTCGAGCGAATTAAGGTTTCTGAGTTCGAGGTCGCCGATGTTGTTGAGCGGCTTGATAACTCGGGCAATCGCCGCCCGAGCGTCATTCGCCCGCCCCGACCGCCGCCCACTGACGATGACTTTTTGTTGCTGGAGCAGATCCTCAGTGATATCATCGCTGATGTTCATGACCTGGCCAAGTTCACCCAGCTTAATTACACCGGTTTCCAAAAGATCATTAAAAAGCATGACGTAGGTGAACCTTCCCAGCAGGTCATGGTTTTTGATACTAATTTACCATGTCGAATAGAAAGAAACCAAATGGTATTTGCGACCAGTCTTTGCGGCACGCTTGAATGCCAAACCGTTCTTCAAGGACAACTATGATGCGTTTGTTGTGAAACTGTCCAAGCTTTATGATTTGGTCCGTACCAAGGGTAACCCCGTTAAGGGTGACTCGTCAGCCGGTGGCACCCAACAGAACTTCGTGCGACAGACCACCAAGTACTGGGTGCACCGTGACAATATCACGGAGCTGAAGCTGGTCGTTCTGAAGCACTTGCCGGTCTTGGTCTTTAACGCTTCCAAGGAGTTCGAGGAGAAGGACACCGCTATCTCTTCCATCTACTATGACAACACTGATACCTGGGAGCTGTACCAAGGGCGACTAAAGAAGACCGAAGGAGCGGAGGCTATTCGTCTGCGTTGGTACGGAGGTATGGAAAGCGACCAGATCTTTGTGGAGCGGAAGACCCATCGCGAGGATTGGACTGGTGAGAAGTCCGTCAAGGCGAGATTTTCACTTAAGGAGAAGAATGTCAATGCGTTCTTGGACGGACGAATGACAGTCGAAGAGGTCTTTGACAAGATGCGTAAAGAAGGCAAGAAGAGTCAAGAAGAGATCGACGATCTCGAGCAGTTGGCCCGGGAAATTCAGTACCGCGTTATCACTCGCCGCCTAGTCCCTGTCACACGTACCTTCTACCACCGTACAGCCTTCCAGCTGCCTGGTGATGCTCGTGTGCGTATCTCTCTGGACACTGAGCTCACTATGATTCGTGAGGATAACCTGGACGGCCGGCCTCGAGCTGGCAGCAACTGGCGCCGCATGGATATTGGAGTGGACTTCCCCTTCTCTCAGCTGCCCCCAGAGGATATTGACCGTTTCCCCTATGCCGTACTGGAGGTGAAGCTGCAGACTCAGGCTGGCCAGGAGCCGCCTCAATGGATTCGGGATTTGACCGCCAGTCATCTGGTAGAGGCTGTCCCCAAGTTCTCTAAATTTATTCACGGCACCGCCACCCTTTTCCCCACCCGCATCAATCTTCTGCCCTTCTGGTACCCCCAGATGGACGTCGACATCCGCAAGCCTGCCAACCAGCGCTACGGTATCCAACGACCCCTAGCCAGCACATCCATGTCCGCGAATGACGAGGATTCGGATGATGACTCACCTGACACTCCTGACGCCCCAGTTAACGGGTTCTCCCGGTCAGGCGACGACCGCCTTCTGTTTGTCGAGACTAACGGCAACGAGTTGGACATTGAGGAGCGTATTGCTGCGCAGCCGCTGGCCGGAGAGGAGGATTACCCACTCTACGATTCTGATGATGAAGCATATGATGAAAATGAGCTCGAAGAGGCCCGTCGCATCGGAGGTGCCTATTATGCCGAGCAATTAGTCATACATTATCTTCGCAAGACGGGGCAATATGCATGGGCAGGATTAATGGCCGTCATCCCGCGTCCACGACCAACCTCGATGCCTCCGCAAGAGCAGCGTGGTATTGCAGTCCTGCAGGGTACCCGCCGGACCATGCAGCGGTTCCAGGCACCACCTGGCAAACGTAAGTTTCTCGAATATTTTGTCCTTTCTATACCATATCGTACTAACGTTTTCCAGGCATTTTTGTCCCTGTTCGTGTTGAGCCGAAAGTCTACTTTGCCGCTGAGCGCACTTTCCTGTCTTGGCTCGAGTTTTCGATCATTCTCGGTGGTATCGCTGCCACTCTGTTGAACTTTGGCTTCGACTATATCACCCTTGCCTCGTCCTGGGCCTTCACCATCCTGGCAGCTGTCGCCTTGGTCTACAGTCTCGTTCTTTACTTGTGGCGTGTGGACAAGATTCGCAAGCGCCGCGATGTCAAGCGCGTGTACTACGAGCGTTGGGGCCCGACTATTCTCAGTCTTGGTCTTGTTGCTATCGTTATGACTAACTTCGGATTCCGCCTTCGCGCCGGCGGCTTCTTGGCTGGAGATGGTGAAAAGCCCCGTCACGGGGAGCTGTAAGCTGACATGCATATACACTGGCGTTTTTCTTTTGTTCGATAGCCCGAGGCGTTAGAAAGGTTTGTATGTACTGCAAAATACCAATGGAAATATTACGACTACATTAACGTCCAGTATAAAAGATGAGGCAGAGTACGTTCTATATCACGGGAAAGAGTACGTACACGCGTACGTTCCAAATAACAATAAGGGTAACAACATGGGGTCCATAAAGGCTCTAGCGTGAATTTGACCTTAAGATGTAATGAGGTCTTCCACAGCATATTCACCGGTCGACGCGCTCCGACTCCATCTCTCATACCCCAGATCCACTTCTCGCTCCACGCCACTATGGTGCTCTTCGTTCTGTGCCGAGATTGTCGTGGCGTTCTACTTGTGCAGTTAACCTGCCCCGAATACCCCATACACCCAATGTACCCTGAATGGTACGTTTTGAGGTGCCCAAATTGCGGGGCTCGAATTATGATCATCTCGTGTTGTCCGGCTCAAATCGTGCACTACTATCGCTTCCGTCGCAACGCTCCTCGCCCTGCTTCTCAAATTCGCATAACCTGGTATGTGGATTCGTACCAGCGGGACCCTCGAGAGTTATTCGACTGGTATCGCCCGCCACGAGACCGATACCGTTGAAGAGTTCGTCAGGTTCATCACTGACTTTGAGCTCGAGAGCTCGCCCCGCCTTTAACGAGGTTATCGGCATCGTCTCGGGCACCCCACCCCCGAGAGCTCGTTGAACGTGTTGGGAGCATGCCTTGCTCCAAGAAGGCTAAGAGCTTGCAGCCCATGCCGGCTGAGGATGGGCAGGTAGAAGACACTACGGTTCCGGTCGACCTCAACGACCTCCCGCATAATGCCACTCTGGGTAACTTGCAACTCAGCAGCTTTCCCTTTACTTTTGGACCTGGCTCTTCCCACCAGGATTGGCTTTCATGTCTTCAACCGAGCTGATCAAAGCGCCGCTCCTCCTTTCGCCTCTCGCTCACACCCACCCCATCCACCACCCCGAAGTGAGCTCCTGGAACTTCTGTCCCAGTGCCCCCCTCTCCCACCGATTCTTCCTTTGAACCCAACATGGCCGGCAACTCCACCTCTGAGGTGCCCTCTGGTCCGCACTTAGAGAAATCCGAGGGTGACTTGCCTGATTGGGCCGACACCATGCTTGAGAAGTACGTCTCACTCTTACCACTCTGCAACCTCACTATTCCCAGCAAGCACGAAGATACAAGATGCGTAAGAATGTAAGCAAAACTGACCTCCTCTTCACAGGATTGAGCGTCTCACCGTGGAGTCCCGCAATCTCCGTGACATGTACCGCGAGAGCCAGCAGGAGGTCATCCTCCTGCGATTCAAGCTCTGTCTTGTCACGGAGATTGACCGAATGCGGGACTTTGAAAAGGCCCTTGCCCGCGTCGCCCCTGGTTACTATACCAGGTGAGTTGCATTTGAGCTCCTGATTCCTTATTCATTTGCTTCGGAGTGAGGTGAATTTAGCTGACATTGTCTTCTTTAGTGAGGAGTTTGACAGTGCCGACCTGAAGATGTTTGCTGAATATCTGTTGGCCAAGCAGCACGCTGACGATAAGAAGCGTGCCGACGAAAATAATGAGAAGGAGGCTTAAGTGGCTTTTGTTCCCTGGCTCCTGGCTGTGGGTGAGCACAGTACTCGAGCAGGAACGTGGATCTACTGTTTGTGTTTGTTTCTTTGCGGTTTCTCGCGGTTCTGTTGTTGCTTTTTTTTTTTTTTGTCTCATACACCACTTGCCCGTTTATGGACACTTAAAGTCCCATACACCAGTAAGCGGTGTCTTATCACGGGCTATTTCTTTCTTTTCCCGGATGAGTTGCGTTGTTGCGTTAATTGAAATGTTTGTTTTCTTTCATTTACCTAGCGCGTTATCTGTTTGTTTGTTTTGCTTTCATTTGGGATTTACTAACAAGCAGCTAATTAAGGCACGTACTATGCTTTCCAACGGGTTTCAAGGTGAGTACTACTCCTCTTTGCACGTTAAGATATGTTGTGTGTGTTGTTGCGGGAGGCGGAGGTAAGTGCGTAGCCCTAACCTTAGATTGTTAACCATACACTTAGTACAACAAGCCGTGTCAAATGATGCAGAGCATAGATCTGTGCAGCTTAATGAGTAGCTCTAGATAAAGTAGCTATTAATGAACAACATTCGGCTAATTCAGCCTAAAGAATCAACTACAGCATAGCTAGTAGGTTAGTTAAAGATGGCCAGCATGTGTGCCTGAAATACCGGGTGTCGTACGCATAAGACCTTAGTAAAATAAACTCCGAATAGCTTCATACCGCAGTCCCATAAGCATCATGTTTATCTCAAATAGAAAGGCATTCACATTAAAGACAATAGAATAACATTAAATCCCTTTCCATATTGCATTGCTGTGGTTAAAAAACCTCGTATCCATGAATACGTCATGGATTGTCTGGGGCAAATCAAGTTGCCTTCCCAATTCCCAAAAGCAGACTCGAAGCTTCGCGACCAACAAACCCGAGCTGAGAGGCAAGATTGATGATGTAACTAGTGATATAGAGTTGAAGCTCACATGCACACCTACCTTAAATAGTTAATAGTAACAACCTACCCTTGCTTATTACTTTGTATCAGCATTTCCTATGCAATCATCACAATGAACGTTACACGTCTATATGCTCGCACTGGCGCAGCAGTGCAAATACTACCAACACAGACTTCCCGTTCTCTCCTAAATAGCCGCCTCAACCTCCGAAGCTACGCCACCAGCGCGCCACCCGCTCCAGGACATCATCCCCACAACAACAGAGTGTAAGATATTGGAAATGGATACGGAGAACTTGGCTGACAGTTTTATGTAGGTATCTAATTATAGCTGCCGTCGGTCTTCCAGTTGTATTTTGGATGTCAGCGCGACGTCCGAACCCGAGACCAATCGGTACCTTTGAAGAACGGCACGGACTCAACCCGGAATACAAACAGGCGAAGGATGCGAATAAGAACCTGGGGAGGGATCCTGATTATTGCGAGGTTCGTTCTTGAGGAATGTAGGTCGTGCAGGGCTGATGGTTGGTAGCATCGGGCATGGGGAGCGCCTAAGGATCCGTCCTAGTATGTTCCCTGGTAATTTCCTTGAGTAATTAAAGGCTCATCTAATATGGTTACGATACGATGAATTTGTTCTACTGAGCTGGATGATGTCGGCCGGATGAGAGAGATCGAGACTGTGTAGCTTAAGGGTGGCTATGTTTGATCAACGTCTTCGATGTTTAAGAATGGAAAAATGGTGCTTCTGTTGCAAAATTGCATGGAGGAGAAGAAGAATTTCGGCTGTTTCGTGAGATTTTTTTTTTTTGTCAGGTCCAGAGTGTTAGCTGCCAATGATCAGCAAAGAGTCAGACAGACAAGTCTTCGCTGGAGCTTTGTAGGTATCACAGAGAAAAGAAATGGATAACATTCTTCAGTGCTTTGATGATAACTAATGATTGGTTGAATCCTCATCTCATATCCTTAACATAGATCCAGATGTGGTCATCTGTCCTGGCAACTTAGCACGATAACAAGAAACAAATACTAAACCAGAGCCTCAGAACACTGAAACACCATGAACACCACGCAGAAGATGGCAACAAGCCCTTAAAGGATATGATGGCTACTCTTGCAAGTAGATAAGATCTGAAATCAATGGTGTTGTCCCCCAATACCCTCGCTGTCGGGGCCGAAGTGCTCGTTGATGGCGTTCATCAAAATACCCGGGTCCCTGTACCGGAGCGAACCGAACACGCATGGGCAATCCCGTACTTGCTGGGAGATGTTGGCATAAATGACCGCGCACGCGACGTCATTCATTCTCATGAGATCTGGGTACAGATCGTCAGTTGACACCAGCATGGTAAGATCACCTTCCACGACTTCCCAGACCTGGTGCATGCGAAGGTTGGTCTCCATCGCGAACAGCCAGGATGTGTAATCCTTCTCGCCAACGAGAGGGCGGATTTTCATGTCAACAAGATGCTTGCTTTTGGTGGTGTCAAGAAATTCGAGGACGAACTTGCGGGTTCGGTCACGCGACTTGGCTTTCCACTCTGCAGAATACATGTTGTACTCGTCGTCTTCATCGTCATCTTCTTCTTCGTCGTCGTCGTCATCGTCTTCATCATTGTCTTCATAATCGTCATCCTCTTCGTCACTATCAATTTCGGAATCAGACTTGGCGGTTGGTGGTGCAGCGGGCAGAGCGGTGCCTCCATTTGTTTGCTGGGAAGAAGGTGCTTCGGAGCTCGGCTCGGTCATCTCCTCTGTGATGATCTTGGACTCATGAGCTTCCAGAGTTTTGGTACTGGATGATGAGCTGATGAAAGTTGAGGGGTCAGTGAGTCAAGAAAGACCAGTAATGGAGCCCATGCCCGTGACTGACCTCTCGTTCTTAGAAGGAGGGGCCTTCTGAACACACCCTTTAAGGGACTCGGGTGACTTGGCTTTCTGACCCGGTCCACGAGACTTCTTCTTGTTTTTGGGAGTCATTGTAGCGATATTCAAAACAATGATACTGGGAACAAGATGGAGGACGGAAAGGAAGAGAGAGAAGAAGAAGAAGAAGAAGAAGAAGAAGAAGAAGAAGAAGAAGAAGAAGAAGAAGAGATGAGGGGGGGAAGAGGATGAGTGATGAAGAGTGATGGGAAGTGAGGGAACGAACTTGGAACAAACACACAAAGAATACAAACACACAAAGAATACAAACACAAGATAGAATGCAATTGAGACAATCCTGGAAGATCAACATATGGCAAGACAGTTCCATGAAAGACTGTCTCTCCATTGTGGACTGTAATGGTCTATGAATTCTCCGTACCAACGAGTAGTACCAGAAAGCCTCAGAAGACCGGCTGCTACTTTGCATTACGAGATAATACTGACCATAGAATGAATGTGTAATGTGATAAGATAGTCAGAATCACTAAGTGACCCGGTTTTTATATAATTGCCTGATTTACGTAATGCAGTTCAATACTCGAAATCATCATCAACGCCTCGTTTGCCCGCAGTCTCCTTGGCCACAGCCTCCTGTTTCCGGTACATCTCTGCCACGGCACGGGTTGTTGTTGCTTGCTCAGGCTTTTTGTCATCACGGGACTTGATGAAACGAGGGAACCGCAACGAGACACCCTTACCACCGCCAGTCGTACCCTCAAACTCATCTGCAGCTGCTTGATACCGAGGGCTGAGTGTTAAATCGGCAGTCTTGACTTCCCATACCAGACGAGGCTCAAACCACACATCTGGTTGATCCTTGGGCACGGTTGAGTGGGAATAGAAGGGCTTGGGTCGATCGATGACCATTGGCTTTAACTCCTTGTGGAATTCCTCCAACACTGCTTCCGAAAAGCCAGTGCCGATGTTACAGATTGTCTCATATGTGTCGTTATTCGGGTTGTAGGCGGCCAGAAGGAAAGCACCGTACACGGAAGTACGTTTTCCACGACCGTAGTAAGCACCAAGCACGACGAGATCAAGTGAATCACCCACACCAGCTAGATAGTCTTTCTTGACCTGTTCACGAGATTAGATTGAATGATCAGAGATGGATCATTGGGAACATACCTTAAGCCAATTCCGACTACGTTTGCTAGGCTCGTATCCACTCTCATCAGTATCCAGCATCTTGACCATCAGTCCCTCACAGGATGACTTGACACTCTCCTCCAGCAAATCTTGAATCTCATCAAGAACATTGGTATCGCCATACTGGGCAAACTGGAACTCGCCTTCAACTGGCTGGAAGCACTGGTGCATCAACTCCCTGCGCTCCCGAAGAGACTTCTTTACGCAAGGCTGTCGAATTGTTAGAGCTGCAGAGGGAATGTGGGGTAGATGAATGACTTACATCTCCGTTGAAAAATAGAAGATCAAAAGCAAAAACGCATACTTTGACCTTTACGTCCTCTGCCTTAACGTCCTTTCGCTTCCGAGTCATTAACTGCTGGAACGGAAGCACCTTTTTGTTGACAGTATCCCAAGCAACAGTCTCACAGTCCAGAACAAAGCTTGTCACATCGTTTTTGACCCAAGTATCTAGCTTACCCAGCACGTCCGGATACTTCTTTGACAGATCTTCGGAGTTTCTGGAGAAAATTGCAGAAAGACCCTTGTCATCCCTCTGTAACGTAGCAGTAGACGCAGGGAATTGCTCAATCGCGCTTGGAGCCACAAAATGTATCTGAGCTCGTTCTCCATCGTACTTATACTCGCAAGTAAATTCCTTTCCTTCAAAGCGGTCAAGAACTTCGGTGATTGATTTGGTTGGTTTGGCAAGCATCGGCTTGAGAGGCACACCCGGTTGCAGCTTGCAAACCTTGGAGAGGTTGAATAGGCCGTGTTCAAGCATAGCGGGAATAATGACTTCATAGGAGGGAAGCTCGCTGTACACGGTTTTCAGGACTTGTTCTCCCTCGGCCATTTTTTCTGGAGTTGCCTTCTTGCCCTCCAATGCGGCCTCATGAGAGACGATTGCCTGAGCTAAGGACACGAGCACAGTTCTCTCAGCTAGACCCAGTCGCAGCTTACCCTCCAGGAAGCGGACGATGAACTTGGCCTCACTGGGGCCACCCTTGTTGTGGGTGATGTCCACTCCTTTATTGCCCTTGCCTGCGGTGGCGGCGTCTGCTGCAGATAAAAGCTTTTTGATGCCCGAGATCTTCTTGTCCTGGGATCCGTGCCCACTGACCTTTGCAATACCAAGCAAGCCTTCATGGACTCCCCGCACGGTAAGGGCCTTGGGCTTAAACATTGTCGGTTGGTTGGATCGACTTTTAGCAGCCACGAGTCCCAGGTCACCGATCTCATGCTGATCAGTCTTAATGACGGCCAGACTGCGGCCAGTACACTCACCAATGGCCTTCATGATCAAAGACTCTCCAATGCCCAATTCAATTCCAGCGTAGTCCGCAGCCAGCTTGTTGATCATTAATTGGACGGTTGGGAGTAGATCCCCCGGAGTGAGCCGTAAAACCTGCTGGAGGAATTGAGAGCAATAGGCCATGATGATCAGGCGTTTCGTGGTCATCTCAACCAGAGAGAAAGTTGTACAAAGTGCTGCATATGGCACTGGATCTCCGGCTTTCCAGTCCGGGTATGGATCATTGCCTGTCGACTTGAGAGTTGCCTGCACCTTCGCCATCGTCTCCTTCTTCACTTCGGGCTTAACTTCCTCGTCGCTTTCTGACAGCTCCTCATCTTTGTCTGATTGACTGTTTTCCTCGGCAAGCTCTTCTTCCGATGCTTTCTTCAGGATTGGCTTGGGGGACGCAGGCTTCGTGGGCTTGGCTGCTGGTGACTTGGATTGTTTCGCAGGTGATGACTTCTTTGGGCTTTTCTTGGGACTTTGCTTGGGGGGTGGAGTTTTTTCCTTGGTGGCCTTGCGCCGGCGTTTTGAAACAGGTTGGACGTCCGAATTATCACTCTCATTCCCTTCGTCGACCTTTTCCCGCTTCAAGCTCTTGGCAGATTCGGGTTCAATTGTCTTGTCGGAGGCAGTTGTGGGTTCATCTTCAATCTTCATGTCCATGTCATCTTTTTTCTCAGTAACGGCAGGCTCCGTAGAGCCCTCTACAGCATCGCTCTCTTTTTGTTGTCTCTTTCCGCCGAATGCTAGTGTCGTTTGTTTCTTTGGGGCCTGATTTCCATTCGCGGATGAGCCGAAAAACCGCCTAAAAAAACCAACACATCAGTAACCAGAAGCCTAAAGCACGCAAATGATGCGCCAATTTAGGCCGACGCACCCGATGGTTGATTGGGAATCGCGCACATACCCCAGCGTAGCCTGTTTATTACTCTTGTCATCCGCCATGATGATGCGTGGACTTGGAGACAAAGACGATGAAGTGAATATGTGACGATAAGAACCGAGCAGTGGGCTGCTTTGAGATTGGCGAGATGCTTGATAAAGCTGTGTGGTGGATTTATAAGATCTGTAAGAACGTGCTGGTTCGATGCGGAGATGGAATCGGAAGCACGAGAGCGATTTGGGCGCCAATGCGAATTGTAGAGGGCGCATAGGCGAGTTGATTCACAATAGTGATCTCAAAAGTGAACCGAGGTCTGCTTAAATACAGTAATCAGACAGGGAGCACGACCAGGCAGCATAAGCCTTTGAATCTTGGATTTCAGGCAACATCGACCTTGCCAATGTTCTCCACGCGACGTGACGCGACAGTCACGTGGTAGCTATCTTACTTTATCGGGAATTATTGCTCACGCCGCCCTCGTAGACTGGCAGAATGATAAAGGCGGCAACTTATCCCACGCTGATCAATCCAATCAATCACAATCCAGCATGGCTTCATCTCTGCTTGACTGATTCTCGGTCTGATCATATATGTAAAGGCCCTGTGGTATATCTGAAACCCAGGGTATTGCCCACCACAATGGAAAACCAGCGGCAGGAATCATTCAAGCGGGTATGTACTGCCCACTGCATCGCGGAAAACATACTAACAAATCTAACAGCTACGTACACCATGTGTGGAGCTAAGCTCCGTCGGTCTGGGTTTTCGAGGTAATCATAACTCAGCTGCAGATGTGACTCGAGCTCTTGAACCAGTTCACTATGTCTTGGAGGAGCTTGCAGGAAAGAATGCGTTGGATGAGAAGCTTGCTGAATATGCCTTCTTCCCTCTCTCACATATCTTCAATGAAACGCAGCGACTACCGACGCGGTGTCTCGAGTTAGCAGTGAAATGCTTACAAATATTGGTTGCCGATGGGTGGCGTCGAAAATTATCGCCAGCATTGGGCAAGCAATTGATCATATTGCTGACATTGATCGTGGGCGGATCCCCAAGCAAAATCGATGGGAAAGAACCTCTTAAGAACCAAGCAACAGAAGAGCTCTCAACAGCGGGTTTCAATTGTCTCCGGGTGATTTTCGACGTGCTGGAGGGCCCAGTTGCAGAACAGACCATTTTCCATGAGATCGGCACCGCAACGGTAGTCGATCAAACGGTCTATCTCTTATTAGAAGGAATTGTGGATGAGAGATCCGATGATCTCTGTGTTGCATCTGCAAAGGCATTACAGGCCCTTTATGCCAGAATCTCAGACCATGTGGTACTGGCGAGCATCATGCCAAGAACAGTCTCTGCGCTAGCCAAAGTGGTGAAACCCACAACACAGACTCGACGGTCATACAAGTTGCTGGAGATATGTTTACACACCTTGAACCATCTTCTGCAAGCGGTGCTTAATGATCGTGTGACTGCTCAGACAGAGAAGATAAAGCCCGCCCAACTCGAAACCGATACAGTGGCGTTGGACAAGTCTTGGCTGAAAGCTACAACCACGCAAATCAAATTAGCGTTAGTCAACGTGATCCAGGTCCGGCGCCATCAGCGACCAGAAGTACAAACTGCAATGTTGAAGCTCTGCGTCATGGTGATAGAAGACTGCCAGGTCACTCTGAAAGACGCCGTTCCTTTGATGGTTGACACGATCGTGGTTCTAGCTGACAAAGAAGAAGAGTTACCGAATGAGGCCTATAAGACACTCCTTCATCTAACTACCACATATCCAGTCGTGATAGATTCTCTCAAGGAATCACTTCATAGTTGGCTCATGTCCTTTCCTCGAATCATGCAAAGCAATGACGAGACAGCTAAACAATGGGGAATACGGCAGATCTCGACTGCCTTCCAGGTCTTATCCCAGGTTCAGTCTGGGTCTGACATACTGACAAATAGCCTGGCATCTGGCCTATGTGACAGTGTCAGTGCCGTCGTCAAAACCAGCATAAACGGGCCACAAATACTGGCCTCTACTACCCCAGAGAGCCTGAACCTGGATGTCATTGGCATCGGGTCTCAATCGCTAGAATTTCCTCCGGTACTATTAGAGCACCAAAGTCAGCAACAAACCTTGAAGGACCTGCGGTCTATGATCACAAGGCTCAACCTGTCTGAATCTGGAAATGCGATCACGCGTTTGATTGTCAATCGACTGCAGGCTACATCAGATGAGACCGTCGTTGGTCCCTTCTGGTTAGCTTTGACGTCTCTTCGCTCACAGTCCCAATCTATGGCTGTCTTTGATGACTTCCTTGCGGATGACCAACTAGACCAGCCCCGGTCTCTGTCCAAGCGTGCGACAATGATAGAGGAGCTGTATTGTACATCATTGATCATTTTGACTGAACTACCAGCGGATGGTTCTGGTGACTGGAGAACACTGGCTCTTGCTTTGGAAGCAGTTGCTCTACAAGCCCAGCAACTTGGTGAGGCATTCCGACCCGAGCTCATGGATGCTTTGTATCCCACACTACAATTGCTAGCATCCAACAACCCGGTTCTCCAACATCATTCCATGACATGTTTGAATATATTGACCAAAGCCTGCAATTACCCGGACACCAGTACAATGATTATCGAAAATGTGGACTATCTGGTCAACTCAGTTGCTTTGAAGCTCAACACCTTTGATGTGTCGCCATATCCACCGCAAGTTCTTTTCATGATGGTAAAACTCTGTGGCCCAAGACTCATCCCTTACTTGGATGATGTGATCGACTCCATATTTGGCATTGTGGACCTATACCATGGCTACCCAAAGCTGGTCGAGATGTTGTTCAAGTCTTTAGCGGCTATTGTTGAAGAAGGAGCAAGAAAACCATCGCTACTGACAATCGACGATGGCCGAGAGACTGGCCCTCACGACCACCGCAAGAGTCAATACCAGCACCTCTCAATTTCCACGATTGCCGAAAATATTTTGAAGAGGAAAGCTAAGAGCGCGATGCATGACGAAGAAGAAATGGATGCGGAAGGGAATATCCCGCATCCCAAGAAGCCCTGGTCAGAAACCTACGACAAGCCACCTCCAGAACCCGAAACCATCGAGGAATTACTGAACCAAGCTGAATCCGATGAGCCACTTCCACCACCCAAAGAGCCAGAGGATAGCGAGAAGCCACTGAGCAAGACTCATTCCCTTCTTTTGCACATCGTCAAATCAACCCCATCCCACCTTTCTTCGCCATCGCCCTATCTCCGACGCTCTCTTCTCACAATCCTCATCGACGTGCTCCCAGCCTTATCCCAAAATGAAAACAGCTTCCTCCCTCTAATCAACGATCTTTGGCCCTCAGTAGCCTCAAGAATCATCTTCCCTTCGTCACTGGGCTCCGAATCCTCTTCAAACAGCCTAATCACCCAATCCACCTCCGGCTCAACAAAAACCCCCAGTCAACCCGATATTCAGACCTTCCAAGAAGAAACCTTCGTCATCACAGCAGCCTGCCAAGCTATCGAAGCCATGTGCAAGGGCGCAGGCGACTTCATGGCCTCTCGCATCGAACCCGAGTTTTCTCGATGGGAACGCGTATATCAACGCGTCTGGACAAAAGTCCGACAAGACGCCGAAGCAGCGAATGAACGCCGTGCCCGCCAGGAACGTCTGGAGAAACAGAAACAAGAACGTTCAGGTGCTCCAATGCTCATACAAGCTGTTGATACCGAGACTTCAAACGCTGAATTCAACTTAGCGCCCACTGCCTCTCTCGCACTGTCACCTCTCACATCCGGATCCAAAGCCTTTACACCACATCACACACTCTGGCGAGCATTGATTTCACTATTCCTAACCGTCCTAACTCGCGTCCGTCTACCACTCGAAGTGGGAGATCGGATATGCGAGATACTGGGTGCGTGGATTGCGTTATTTGTTGGTCCCGCATACTATTTTCATTCTAGGAATTTGGACTCGGGTGCTAGGTTGGATGATGCGCAAAGGAGTATGCTTTCATCAGTTGATGATGCTATCCAAGCGATGGAGACTTGGAATGCGGATTTGACTTGGTTCATTTTTGAGCAGCAGCGGAATCAACTGCATAGTCCTTCTACTGGACCTGTGTCTGAAGTTAAGGATGATATGGCCCTGGAGCTTGATGGAGTGGTACTCCGGTTCGCAGAGGTTGCATTTTAAATGAGATTTAGATCCATGTGTTTGTAAATACACTGCTTTCATAGCGCATTATAGACATGATCTACAAATACTGCAATAAATTCCTTGTACTACGTAATTAAAAATCTGGATCATGTGGAGATTTCAAAGGAGTGGCGATTGGTGAGCTAAACTAAAAGACTAACTATTCAAACTGACTGAACTCACTGCAATGTGTGAGAATCAGGAAGACATTGAGCCACTGTAAAGACAGCTTGCAAATAGAAACATAAGCCAGATAAGCGATGAAAAATGGCGTAAAGCCAAACATCTATTCGCTGTCTTCGTCGCTCTCATCCTCGCTCTCCGCAGTCTCAAGCCACTCCAGGAAGGGCTGGGCAGACTTGCGAATCTTCTTGCTGATCGACATGTCAACGTATTTCTTACTAGCCTTAGCGCCCCAGGCCTTGAGGGTTTCCTCAGACACAAGGTCGTGCTGGTAGTAGGCAAGAAGGATGGCAGGGATCTGAGGAATCAGGTCAGGGTGGTCCTGTCCGACGAAGCGCTCAGTACCGCCAAGGAAGGCCTTCTCGTGGCGGTCGGAAGTGATCATCTTCTTAAGCAATGGGGCACGGGCCTCGATTTGCTTGGTAATCTTCTCGTCGAAAATGCTCTGAGCGAGAACGGCGAGAGTCTTGTGCTTAGTCTCGATACCGAAGTCCTTGGCCTTCTTGTAAATGTCAACATCGGAGACCTTGGTGACACTGCCAACCTCCTCGGCAGTTTCGATGATCCATTGACCCAGCTGCTCGTAGGACGAAGGACCATCGGCCTCATCAGCGTCGGCATCCTCGATGACGACAGCGCGCTTAAGGTCATCAGGGAGATCCTTGGCGCGAGCCTTGACAGCCTCCTCGGAAACGTCAACAGCCCAGTCGTCGTCCTTGATATCCTCCTCCAATTGGAGGTTCTTGGCCTGGCGGACGAGCTCATCGTCGCTGCCAGCCTCAAGAGCCTCATCACCGTTTTCCTCTTCGCCATTTTCGGAGCCGTTGCTGTCAGCGGGGCTGACATCCTCGCCGTTGTTTTGTCTCTCCTTCTTGGCCTCACGGCGGGCCTTCTTGTCCTTCTTTTCCTTCTTGCCCGGCTTGGGTTGGTTGCGAACAATGAAGGTGCTCAGCTTCAGGCGGGGGTCAGCAGTGCAACGCTGGCCACAGGCCTTGCAGTCCAGAGTGATGGTCTCATCCTTGATGATGACATCGGTCTCGGGGTTCTTGCACTTCTTGCAGAGCACGAACTTGGTAATAAATCCATCCAGGTAGTCCTGGAGCTTGTTCGCGTCGTGGGCACCGTTGATGATCCAACGGTCGTCAGTGGGCTTGGCATTGGCCTGGGCACCGAGTTCAAAACCGAAGTATTTGATGACGTAGGCAGGGGGACGGCTGAGGGATTGGGCGACAGAGTTCAGGTTGACAATAACGGTCTTGATACCGTTACCCTTGCCCTCAATCTTGGACTGCAGCTTCTCCATCTTGTAGCGATAGAAGGGATCGGAGATATCCCGGCGAATGTTGACGGTAGCCATGTTGGCGGTATTGATTTAAACTTGGATCACGAGGATACGATTGGCTTGCGGAAAAGGTAGCGGGAGGAAATCTTGAACGAAATCTTGTCGACGGAACAAGACATGCGTGTCGGAGGTGTTTTAACAAATATGTTGATTTTTCTGATTTTGAGGGGTTACTCTGTTTGACTAAACAGTGTGATTTCTCACGCGTAGGTCAACGAGGGAGTCAAGTGAACCGAAGGGATTCAGCCACAAGAGCGAAGGTGTATACTGCAAGGTTTCGACGCGCGAAACGTTTGCAGCTTGAGCGGCAGGTGATAATCGAAATTTTGCACGGAGGACGAATACATAGACAAGTTCGCAGTCGAAATCCTTGCTGGGTGTCTCTTAGGGGCGAGAACGACCGAGGTTGTTCTGGGAATCCGAGTCAGAGGCCGGAGACCCTGGGATAGCTTGCTGAAGAAAGTGATGATGGCGATACCGAAGTAAACGCGGGTTGATTTCAAGTGGACGCGTAAACTGTATTCACAGTTGACGCAGGGAAACAGAGGCTTCGCGAGATGTCGAGGCCTTAAAAGATGTGTGGGTTAAAAACAGAATTGAGGGCGAAAACGAAAAAGAGAAAGCGTTTTCAAGCGGGTCTGCTTAGCTCATCCCGCACGTGGTCTCGGGGGGCGTTGTCAAAGGCCGTAGACGCGCTTATATGCACGCACTCCGCACTTGGAGTATACCTGCATGCCAGCGATTAGCTGCCACGTAGATCATTTATATGGTTTGATGCCTCCCAGAATATCGAAAATGGTAAGGCAGGCTTTCATTGCGAGCGTGAGAAGGATTCAAGAGGCTTTGTGCTGCAGCGTGGTGGGAGTTGAAAAAGAGACAAACAGTGCGTGTAGCTTGTAAGTTGATGCGTCGCCTTAGCACCATCGGATTTAGCGGCCGAGTCGGACTTCACTAGAACAATACAGTAACCCCATACTAAACAAATACAAAAACAAGAAAGAAAAGGAAGCAAATCGAACCAAGATAAACAAGACTCTTGATAGATCCGATTCGTCTTTTGCTTTTTTGCGTATAACTAAGCTACGTAGTTCATACAAAGTAAACCTTGAAAATCTGGCTGCAGAATGAGGTCAACCCCTCCGAGCCCCACCAAATCTCCCCCAACGGCAACTTGTTCGTGATCGCCAATTCCCGGGTCCTATTTTTCGCCAATTGTGCGTGGAAGCCTCGGATACCTGCACATTACCGCTAAGGATCCACTCCTTTGATTGTGTGTTTAGGTCACAATGCCCGTAGACCTATCGCTGTACCTGGTGACGGACTCGACCCCGGCAATCCTGAAGGGGCGAGACCTGTGCACGGTTGTGGAAGATGCCCTAAAAGGAGGTAAGACAAAGATACTCCGATGGATAGTCCGAGTCTAACCAGGATGTCTTGCAGGGGTCACGGTCGTGCAATACCGGGACAAAAAGAGCGATACCGGAGATTTGATTAGCACAGCTAAAAAGCTGCATCAAGTCACCCAGCGCTATGGTGTCCCACTACTGATCAATGATCGAGTGGATGTTGCCCTTGCTGTGGGAGTCGAGGGTGTTCATTTGGGTCAGGATGATATGAGTAAGTCCGCTCACCTGATGCCGGTTTCCCGCGGAGACTAATATCAACTAGCTTTTGAATTGGCGAAGAAGCTTCTTCCCAAAGATGCTATTATTGGAATTAGTACCTCGTCTATAGAAGAGGCTCGCAAGGCTGTCGCCGATGGCGCCGATTACATTGGTATTGGGACAATGTTTGCCACTCCAACGTATGTTTTTTATGGCCCCATCCAGCGTAAGCGGAAAATGGACTAACCAAAACACCGATCCAGAAAAACCAACACCAAGTCTGTTATTGGAACAGCAGGGACTCAGGCTATTCTGGATGCCATTAGTGAATCTTCTATTGGTACGGTCTCTATTGGAGGTATCAACCACGCCAATGTCCAACGGGTACTCTACCAGTCCAAGTCCCCGAACAAGGGCCTGGACGGAGTAGCTATTGTGAGCGCTATTGTGGCCGCCGACGACCCCAAGGCTTCGGCCGAGGAGTTCGCCAAGCTTATCAAGTCAACTCCTGTATTTGCATTGGATTCTAAGGTTGCCGGGGCCAGCAAGCCCGAGACCCTGGTAGCTGAGGTGCCGCAGATCGTGCGCAGATTGGTCGAGGCGCACCCATTGGTCCACAACATGATTAACTTTGTAGTGTCTAACTTTGTTGCGAATGTTGCATTGTCCATGTAAGTCTTTGCTGCTATATGTTGAGCCATTCATACTAACCACCCTCCAAGTGGCGCATCGCCTATCATGTCTCCATACGGCGATGAAGCCAAGGATCTTTGCAAGTTCAACGGCGCTCTTCTCATTAACATGGGTACATTGACCAGTGAGAGTATCCCAAACTACGAAAAAGCTATCAAGGCGTACAACACACGGGGTAACCCTGTGGTCCTAGACCCCGTGGGTGCTGCTGCAACAGAGATTCGCCGAAATGCGGTCTCTCGACTCATGTCGGGTGGATACTTTGACCTGATCAAGGGTAATGAGGGCGAGATTCGCCAGGTCTGGGGTAGTAATGCAGTGCAGCAGCGGGGTGTTGATAGTGGACCCAGCACCCTCACTGACTCGCAAAAGGCTGCTCTTGCCCGAGACCTTGCCCGACGAGAAAGAAATATTGTGCTGATGACTGGAGCCGTTGACTACCTGAGTGACGGAGAGCGTGTTTTCGCCGTTGAAAATGGCCACCCATACTTGGGACAAGTGACCGGAGTATGTCTCAACCCTTTCAAGGCCCTTGATACGATTGATGCTAACACATCAATTTACTAGACTGGATGTGCCCTTGGTAGCATCTCAGGCTGTTTCCTGGCCTCCCCCTACTCCGACAAACTGCTTGCTGTGCTATCTGGCCTTCTGATGTACGAGATTGCAGCTGAAAATGCTGCAGCCAAAGATTATGTTCGCGGTCCTGGCAGTTTTGTACCAGCCTTCCTAGATGAGCTATACGCCATCCGCACGGCGGCAGCCAAGGGCGACGATAGCTGGATCGCTGGCCGAGCAAAGGTGCACGAGGTGAAAATCTAAATCTAAAATCCATGGTAATGAGACGAGACAAGAATACCCCATTCTTTTGATGACCATAGTAGCTTTGGCAATTTAATACGTAGTATGAGACGGCATTCTCCGCAGTGCATAGTTCCCCTCGGCCGATTGGCTTCCCCGCAATCTCCGATTTCCCGCCGCTCTTCAGTCCCTTAATCCTTTCCCTTTTCCTTCTCCACCACACTTCGTCTGAAACCCCATCTATCTATTCAATCGCTAAGTGCTGTTCCATCATGGCTACCCTATCTCGCACTGTTCGGATTCGTATGCACCACACGAACAACTACCCATTGAACTCGACTAACACATTACAGGCAACCCCGCACTATTGTATGTTCAAATATTAACAACCAAACCCATACAATATCAGACTAATCAGTCAATCCTATAGTATTTGCGACATCCAAGAGAAATTTCGCACGAAAATCTACGAATTCCCCAAGCTGTCAGTACCATTCATCCCCACCTCCAGCATAAACAATCACTAACAAGGCCCAGAGTCTCAACCACCAACAAACTAGTCCGCGCTGCAAACACCCTCAACTTCCCAATCTACATAAGCACACAATCACGCGCAAAGCTCGGAGAAACCGTCTCCGAGCTCTCCCCCCACCTCCAAGGCCCCAACATCAAAGCCGATGTCGACAAGACGCTTTTCTCAATGATAACCCCAGAGCTGAATGCTAAGCTGCCCTCGGACCCCACTGCTATGGATGCAATCATCGTAGGCATTGAGACACATATATGTGTTACGCAGACGACACTCCAGCTTTTGGGGCGCGGGTTTAGGGTTTACATTGTTGTGGATGGGGTCAGCAGTGTTAACCCCGGGGAGAGGAAGATTGCGCTTGAGCGGCTGAGGGATGCGGGGGCTATTATTACTAGTAGTGAGAGTTTGCTCTTTGAGATTTTGGGAGATGCGAATCATGAGTCGTTCAGAGCTGTTAGTGGGTTGGTTAAGGAGACAGTGGAGGAGACGAAGGGGGCTTTGGATGTTTTTGCTAAGATTTAAATTGGAAGGCCCAATATATCTGCTCAATCCTGAGCTGGAAGAGATGGAGCGTCAAGAAGAAGCAATAGTACTTGTTGGAAAGCGCCTGAAGACTGAGCATGTCGCCAATGACGCTAAAGAAAGTCTCACCAAAAGAGAGGAAGTTGACTGCGAAAGCTGATGAAAATTTTCATGCCATGCTACCTGATGCCGAGGACTCAGGATCAGAAGTCTTAGCGACTATGTTTATCTAACGTATGTGGAAGTTTGTGTTCAGTGGCCTCCGAAATCTATCGAGGTATGTATGAACAGTTACAAGTGCACAATTTGGAGCTTCAATGTCAATAATAAACCCATTTTTGAATTGCTGTCGTGTCATGACTATCCGACTATGGATGTCGTCGCTAAGTGGAAGATTAACTAAAAAAAGACTGGATACCATATCGGTAAACAGGGACTATCGAGATGGCATCTGTAGTATTTTACGGCTCATCACCGAGATCCGTCGCTAAGATGCAAGTTATGGTAAATCGTTTTCACGGAAGGAGTTCACTTAGGGGTTCCAGTCGCGTGGCCGGATGAGTTCAGCCATCCGAACGCCGAGGCACCGCCAACGGGATTGGTTGCGGACGTCACAGACGAAGCGTTACCGTCGGAGGAAGTAGGGGCAGCAGAGTTGGGTGCTGTGCCATGAGACTCGGTGCGATCTGTAGATACACTGATTGGTGCAGGTGTGTAAGATGCTGCACGAGTAGAGAGCTTGGTAGGCCGAAGGACTTTCATGGGACGGCCAGGCCCGTTCTTCTCTGTGGCAATAGGTTCAGGCTTTGGGCGACGCCAAGAGTTCCATACAGTAGCAGGCTCGGTCTTAGAGGTAGTAGTTGGATCATGGGACGAAGCCGAAGTGGGATGCGATTCAGCACTTGTGGGAGCTTGATCCTGCAGACGAGGCTTCTTCCCTTCAACTGCTTCGCCAACGGAAATGCGAGTTGAAGCAGGGGCTGAAGTTGATTGTTGAGCACTGGACTGTCCAATAACTCCAGCGGTTTCATCCCCATTTACCGCGGGCTCTCCCGATTCATCGTTGATCTTGATCCCGTTTGAAGCTGTTAGTAGAGTCTTGAAGGCAGACTCCTTTTCGGGGCGGACGAGGGGAATGGAGATGGTATTTCTCTCGTCGTCAAGCATAATGATCTTTTCCTTAGAGAGCAAAATATCTGCATTGTGTGCGCGAAGCACATCAATCCCGATGATTACTTCGATTGAATCGTCGGTGGTATCTGTCTCGCGGACCAAGAATCGAACTGTCAACGTGGGTACCTGGGGCTCAGGGCTGCCGGAGCGAGGGGAAATATGGTGGATACTAGCTTCGGTGAGGTGCATGGGAACCTTGACGTATTTCATGCCATCTTCATGTTCTATCGAATCTTCCAATCCATGATTGCGAATGGTCGATATGCCCAATGTTGACATGTAGGAGCCTGAGCAGACTGCGGCATAGAGGAGCGTCTCATTTGAGAATCTAGGTGTCAGCCAGCATCGGATGATGCAAGGTACTGGCCCCAAGAGAGCCCACCCAGGTGGAGGGAGAAGTGGCGACGATCCACCGTATGACGAGCCCAATAAGCGACTCGATTCCAAACCCATACTATTTGTGCGTGTCGAATGAAGCGAGTGTCCCGAGGAGCTCAGTCGGCCATCTGACCGATGAGAAAAAGATCGCTCGGTCATCATTGAGCTTCCCATCCCACTACCGGTGCGGAGCGGCAGCTCGGTGGTTGACCGACTAGCCTGCCCATACCCATGAATAGCACTCTCATCAAATCGCACACTGTTCGCCCGTGAAGCGCCTCGTCGCGGTTCCTCATCACCTTCCATAACCATAGCCGAGCTAGACATCCCGGGATGAGGCCCTTGATCAAATCCTTTGAAGGCGTCAGGCGGAGAATTGTAAGCGGGTTCTAAATGCAAAGCCACTATTAGCAACGCGACCGGGATTTTGGCTAACTGAAGCGCGTACCAGTGGGAATAGAACTCCCCAACGGAGTAGGAAATGGCGACAGTGGACCCCAAACACTTTTCAATCTCGCATCCTCGTCACGGCGACGCTCGAGTCGTGCGATCCGCTCGGCCTGCTCAAATTGTACAGCATGAAGCTCTTTTAGGTCCTCAACTATCTGCCAGAATTCCCGCGGGCCAGAATAGTACGGCGCATCCATTAGGCCCTGGCTGGTAGGTTGGTATCTTTCAACCGCCCTGGAATCAATCACGCCCCTTGCGCCCTTAGGACGAAAACTCCAAGAGATGCCAACTTGTTTCCGTCAACTCCCGCCTCTATGATCGCGTATGGCCTCCTTCGGCCTCCTCCCTCCTTCAGGAAGCGTGACGGCCCACGGGGCCGTCCTCCGAGCTGTAGATTGCAGGGGCTTGTGGTTTCGCTATGGCATGCGGTGAGGACTCGAGGCGTGAAAAATGGACAAAGAGAAGGTCGTGGTCGGCTCGGAATGTATGAAAGCAAATGAGGTCGAAATAGGTTGAGGCTGAAATATGCAAGGGAGACGATGGGAAGGTTGACGGCGTTAAGGTTTTGGAGTTGAACAGCAAGTGGTTGGCGGAGTGATGACTGATGGAGGGGTGGTGAATGAGAGCAGGTGAAAGTGGATCTTCACAAACGAAGATCGCACGCGACAAGGGAATTGATGTCAGATTTAATGCAGCGGGAATGAGATCTGGGGGAAAATGCAGTGGAGAGGACAGCGTCATATGCAGGAGGGGAAGGAAGTTGATCTAGACCGCTCCCGTGCTGCTCCACTAACGGCTTCAACTACGCGGCAGATGTCATGGTCTGTGCAATTAGATCGATTTTTTGTATGTGGAGTTTGATTTTATATACTAAAAACCAACGGAATTTACCCAAAGTAATTCTGATTGTATTCTTGGGGCGCCAAGGCCGTCTAAAATAGAGCTATGAATGTAATATTTATTTGGGAGCCTCAGGCCACGGGGGATAGACCATTGGCAGGACCTCTGGAACTTGCTCCGGCCAGTTAGCACGGATTGTGTTCATTAGCTCAGTACTGACAATACGGTATCCAGCCGGTGTCAGATGCAATCCTAGATATCAGTTAGTGTGGCGGCAAATTGACGTCTTGAAGTGATACTTACCATCAGTGAAGAGACTACCGAATGCCTCGTTATTGGGCGCATCTCGAGATCCAATGAGAGGTTCTCCCTGCTTCCAACCAACTGAAGCCATGAATGCAGACCAGGTATCCACAACTGGGATATTGAGCGATGCACCGAGCTCTCTCATTCCCTCAGCGTAGGTCCTCGTAAGAGCGGCAGTTCGGCTGGGGTGGACAGTGTTCTTAGCGTTGTCAAAGCCCTCTAGTTGGTATTCATTGACTGGTGGGGGAGTAATGAAAATGATGTGAGGGTTCTGAGCAAGCATTGCCGGATGTTGAACGATATCTGTCAGGTTCTGCTTATACTGCTCCAGAGGAACATGCTGGTTGTGCCCAGGAACTGCCGCGTCATTGGCACCAAAGAAAATGGTCTTTGGGTTGTATTAGTCAATGTATGAACGGAGGAGCTGAAGGACACTTACTATGAACCGCACGGTAGCAATTTGAGGCGATGGGAAGAATTTAGGAAAGACTTTGATGGCATGAGCGGTAGAGTATCCCCTGTTGTCGGTTAGACTGATTACGAGGGGTTGTGAATTTTTGAACGCTTACGAAAACCCACGGTTCAGCACATCCATCTTGCGGCAGTATACTATGGGAAGATTTAGCAGAGAACAATTCGTTCCAAAATAAATCGACTTACCGTCTTGCAATGCTGGCTCGAAGCCGAATCCCAGGTCCTGGTTACTGGACATCTGGGTGATCGAGTCCCCAAAGAGGAGGAACTGATCATATGGCTTTCCGATAACCTCGTCTGATCTCGTCATGATGAGCTGAATTGAGCACAGGTGAAAGAAAAATTATAAAAAATATGCTAGGCTGTCGAGGGGATATATGTCGGGGTTTAGAGTAGCGGGAAAGACCTAAAGATGGTGGGGGTGTTATGCTCCGTGGACAAAACGGAGTGGACCGAGTCATCTTATCTCGATGGTTTCTCCACCAATTGCCATGCAGATTAGCGCTTCGTGAATCTTCTACAAAGTCACATTCGCAACTTTGTGTGCCAGTCAATATTTCATTTTCCCGACGTCTAGGTAAAATCTGAACAGAGTATAGGAATCAGGTATAGAAGCCGAGTAGACGGTAGGAAAACCAGGTAGAGAAACTAGTATAACAGACCAATCACAATCCCCACTAAAAGCGGTTACACATCGGCCAATTATAAGCAGCATCGGGGGCCTTGATTTGATAACGTCGCTGCTGTTTACTGATCGATCTTATGCACGTTTAATCCCCAAAATCTGCCGAGGGTCGTGTGTGCGCCCAAAGCTTATAAGCGACGACAACAAAGTTCCAATAGTGCATCACGTATACTTGGAACTTGCCAACAACAACAGCATATATCCACATTTAATGGATATTCTCACACCAAAAACATGTCTTTGCGCAAGCCACCGCCTCTTGGGGGGACCTTGAGACCCACCGCCAAGTGATCGACTCGGAGGATCAGCGTATGGACAGTCAAGTGGCGAGCATCACGCAGCACAAATGTCTCAGGATTCTCCTTGTGCTTAGGTGATTTAGGCAAATGACCTAGCTGACCTAGTATGTCCGGGTCTTCTTCCCCTGAGGGTCATTCATCTAGGTTTTCTGACAGGGGCAGTTTTAAGTCTTTTCTAAGAGCAAATAAAGTCGTTGGTATATTGACATCTGCAATACACCGCTCAGGCCGGCAAGTACATACCGACATAAGTAGCCCAACGTCATGGGGAGATATTGGGCGTGCATAGCTCCCCGCATCGGACCCTCATGCCTCCTTCATACTCCAATAGGAAGATGTGATTTGACCGGGCGCGAAGCGGCTTCCGTAGAATGGCATCCCGAGCAGGGGGGAAGGAGCTCCGCAAATGTAGCAGGCATGAGGCAAAAAGCTAAACGGTTAACATATCAAATCAAATCGAATTAAATATGCATCCCAGGCCGTCAAAATGCGCAACAAGATAGATTAAACAACGAATGATGTGGATTAAGGGATTCGACATGCGGTGGGTCCGCCCTCACCTGACGCGTCCCCATCATCTGCAACCCGCACTGGACTTTCTTTTGAAGCTCTTGAGACCCTTGAAGTATTGTGCGGGCCATGACTTCTGGTAGGTTTTTTTCTTTCTTCTACATCCCCATCCAACACACCCTCATGCGGTCCCTTCCCATGGCGGCGCACTGGGTTCTTCAACATATCTAACTCGATAAACAATACAGGCACCGGCACTGTACCCCGAAGCATAGACGCTTCCGAACCCCACGATGCCTCGTTCAGTTCCACAATATACCTCATCGCCACGGGGTGAGCCGGACGAGGCTCAAATCGACTCCCCTGCCTCCCGGACAGCTCCCCCGTCGCCAACCGCTCATCGCCGTCGAAGCTACCTCTCCGAAGAGCACACAGGCTACCAGTCGCTGGAATCGCATCTCGAGATCACCGAAGTCACCAGTCTCCTGGGCCCCCCCCGAAAACCCACAACGCCGGGTACCGCGACGCTCATATACGAGTATCTCGGGGGCTTCAGGTCCGGATTCTTTGCGGTATCTCCTGGGTGCGGGGAACTTGCGTCGCATAGGCAACCATAGCCGGGCAGGCTCAACGAGAAGAAAATTCAGTCGGCGGAGTAGCTTTGTGGATGAGGGGGAGATTGAGGCTGAAGACGAAGACCGCCCGGCCAGTTTACCGGCATCGACTAAAAATGGACTCACCGCATCATCGTTCTTGGATGAACGTACCTGGTACGACCAGTTTACTTCGACGGACTGGGTGCACGACAGTATTGCCGATGGAGCGCGTCTGCGCCAATTGAGGCGCCGGAAGGATCTTCGAGGCCGGTTGCTGTCGTGGTTCGACGGCGCTCAGGGGTGGATTCTCGTGGCATTGACTGGCTGCATCACGGCAGCGATTGCCTATTTCGTGGATGTGACGGAGGATAGAATATTCGATGCGAAGTTCGGATTCTGCACTTCTCGTTGGTTTGCCAGTCAAAGTAGATGCTGTGTGGGTGCGTCACCCTGTGACGCCTGGCTGCCATGGACACGGATCTTCAGGCCCTCTAGCCCAAATGATGAAGGCGTGGATTTTGTCATGTTTGTTTTTTGGGTGGTCGTTCTCGCGATGATCTCGTGTGGTCTTACCTTGCTCACAAAGACAGTGGTTCCATCTTCTGTTTCTTTATCCACGCTTGACGAAAACCTTGGGGCTGAGTCGCGCGGGCAGTATACTTCTGCTGACGTTGGTTCGCCGCAGTCAATCACAAGTCCTCATGGAACCTTTCCTAACGCTCCTTCACGCCCGGCAATGGTCTACTATTCCGCTGCTGGTAGTGGCGTGGCTGAAGTAAAGGTTATCAACAGTGGTTTTGTTCTCCACGGTTACCTTGGTTTGAAAACGCTGGTCGTCAAAACAATTGCTCTGGTCTTTAGTGTTTCGTCTGGACTGAGTCTAGGAAAGGAGGGTCCCTACGTTCACATTGCTACTTGTGTAGGCAATATTGCCTGTCGATTGTTTGCCAAGTACAACCAGAACGATGGCAAAAGGCGTGAAGTGCTGAGTGCTAGTGCGGCCAGTGGTGTGGCCGTTGCCTTTGGCGCGCCCATCGGTGGTGTTCTCTTCAGTCTGGAGGAAGTCAGCTACTATTTCCCGCCAAAGACTCTCTTCCGGACTTTCTTCTGTTGCATTGCGGCTACTCTATCCCTGAAATTCCTCAATCCCTATGGCACAGGTAAGGTTGTTCTCTTTGAAGTGAGGTATCTCACAGATTGGGAATTTTTTGAACTCTTCATCTTCATCTTCCTCGGCATACTTGGCGGTGCAGCTGGTGCGCTATTCATCAAAGCCTCCAATTTATGGGCACGCTCATTCCGTCGGATCCCGATAATCAAGCGCTGGCCAATGCTAGAAGTCTTTCTTGTTGCACTTGTAACCGGTTTGATCAGCTTTTGGAATCGATATACCAAAATGCCCGTCACGGAGCTTTTGCTAGAGATCACCAGCCCATGTGAAAATATTTCTAAAGACGGTACCGGATTATGTCCTATTGAGGAGGACATATTGCAAACCATCCAGTATCTCTTGGTTGCGTTCATAATCAAGAGCTTTTTGACGGTTGTCACGTTTGGCATCAAAGTACCAGCTGGTATCTACGTTCCATCCATGGTGGTTGGTGGTCTGATGGGCCGAATCGTCGGACATGTCGTTCAATTCTGGGTTGCGAAGCACCCGACCTTTTTCTTGTTCAACTCTTGTCCCGCCGTCCGTGGATTAGAATCATGTGTGACTCCGGGCGTCTATGCCCTGGTTGCTGCAGGTGCCACCATGTGTGGAGTGACTCGACTCTCAGTGACATTGCCTGTCATCCTCTTCGAATTAACGGGAAGTCTAGACCATGTGCTTCCGTTTTCTCTCGCAGTCCTTTGCGCCAAATGGACGGCAGATGCGATAGAGCCACGCTCCATCTATGTAAGTTCATTGCCTGGTCCCTATTGCTTTAAAAAATCACAGACCTAACCCTGGATAGGACCTCCTGACCGACATGAACGCCTATCCTTTCCTCGACAGCAAACTTCAGCCCCTGAGCGATGCCGAGCTGGGTGATATTGTCCGACCTGTGCGCAAAGACCGCATGATCGATATCTCAAACTCGCCCTTCGTTGCCGCAACGGAACTTCGTTTGAAGCTCGAACATCTCTTAATGGCCGGTGAGCTGGATGGCGGCCTGCCAATTCTTCGGGATGGTGTCTTGGCAGGATTAATTCCAGCTCCAGACCTGGAATTCGCACTTGACACCCTTGAAGACGAAGAAAACACACTTTGTCTGATGGCAATGGATGCTTCCATCGCTGTCTATGATAGCGACAACGAAGATACTCTGCAGGAAGATTTCACGCGGTACATAGATCCTGTAAGTGGATGTCCTCTTTTGTTGTCTTTTCCAACGCTAACCTATTCATCTCAATATAGGCCCCAGTTTCCCTCGATGTGCATTCTCCTATCGATTTGGTATACCAGTGCTTTGCCAAGCTGGGCCTGCGATATCTATGTGTGCTTCAGAATGGCCACTATGCCGGCCTTGTGCACAAAAAGGCATTTGTGAAATTCATGAAGGAGAATGAGTAGGTACGATCTACCTTGATGGTTGATCAAATTTTTGTTTCTTTGTTTTGAGCCTGGCGTTTTCTGGCCTGACGGGTTCTGCTTCCATGATTTCTCTGAGCATCTTGCATAGCATTGCACATTCTCTCGCTATTTCGGGCTGCCTTGATTCTAGGCATTGTTTATAGAAACTCAACCGTGCATAGCCACTTGGCATTCTGTTTTCCAGTTCTAACGACAGTTCAGCATAATATATGGACTCTTCCTCTTTCCAGAATGAACACTTTATGGATGATATGAATGCATTCCAAATACACCATATATATGCAAATACTAACACTGCTCGACCTAAGATATCCATCAATCCAACTTCTCAAACCCAACCATCTGAACCTCAACCTCTCCCTCCCTCTTCCATTCCCCAGTAACCTCCTCCCCAACCCACTCCGTCAACTCCTCAGGACTAGCACTCCTCCACCCATTTGACTGATCCATACTATCCAACGGCCAAAATGTATCACATTCATAGGGAACCTCATCCCCGCCCTCAGGCTTCCTTACAACATTAGTCATAACAACTCTGACAGGCCTAGGCAAAGCCCCAAAGTTCATCCTTAACGAAGCACCATAAATCTCCGCACCACCAATAACAAAGATCTTCCCCAATCGCCCAGAAGATCCATAGACAGAGTCCAACTCCGAAAGCGCAGCGTCCAGACTAGGCGTCACAATCGCATCCGTAATGGGCTCGTCTGCCGGAGCTGAAGCAGTACCAGCAGCCGCAGATTCCGCCGCCTTAGCAGCCATCTTCGCCTTCCGCGCCTCGAGCTCCTGTAAAACACCCTCACGGACAGAACCAGATGCATCGCGCGTAATCACCACGCTAATGCGCTTGGCGAGCGGGCGTAGGCTCTTGGGCACTGAGTCGTAAGTTTTCCGGCCCATTATAATCGCATTTGTGGTGTCGGGTGTTGGGGGGCGGGATGTTACGCGTGCGAAGAAGCTCATGTCGGTCTTTATGCGGGGCCAAGGGAGGGTTCCCTTGAGGCCAATGCCTAGGCGGGTGGATTCATGGTCTGGTGTTGCGGGAGACGCGACGCGGATTGGGGTTGTCGCGACGATTAAGGTGAGTGGGAGGGATGGGGGAATTGAGTGGGTGGTTTTTGGTGGTGGCATTGTGATGTGTTTTTTGTGTCTTTTTGGAGTGTCCTTGGGAGTATTGGTGGGTTCCAAAGTTGCTTTGCTGGGAGGGGTTGGATGCGGTGACGATGGGGAAGGGCGAAAAGTTGTTTATCGGATTGCTTATCGAGCCCCGCGTGGGGTTGATTAGATGGGTTTAATGCATTGTTGAAGTATGATCTAGAAAAGTACCTGGGATATGCTGTAATATGCATTACAATTCCTGTGCGCATTCTGGACGATATGTTTTAAGTGTCTATGTAGGCGTAAGCTATAAATGCATATTGGTAAATGTCAATCTATAGGACATCACCAATTCGCCGTAACAAAGAGATGCCAAACATGACAAATGCACATATATGAACAACGCATGAAAAAGAAACACGAAAGAAAGAGAAACGAGCGATTGAAATAGACAGCAGATTGAATATTTCCACGAAAATAAGCAGTGACTGGAAAGCCTCAAACTCCAAAAACCGACAAATGCACCATCAACGCTCCGTGAATGCCCTCGAAAACGCCATTTGGGGCAAAGCCCATGCAGTATGCCAGGGTGGCTGCCCTACTTCTCAGGTGCAAGCTTTGCAAGCGCCCCCTCCTTGAGAGCCTCCTCCACAGCAAGGGCATCCTTGTCTAGCTTCTCACGGCGTTCCACATCGCGCTCGTCCTCGCCAATAGTATCCAGCTTGCCGAAAAGCCACATTTCCTTCATGGCACGGGTGAGCGAGAGGATGTCCTCGGCAGAGCGAATCTAGATGATAACAAGAATATTAGTCGATTGCGTATGTACAAACGAATATCAGGACCGGAAACAAAGAAAAGACTGTCTTAAGTTTGTGGTGATCGCAAACTGAACTTACCAGAGCGGTCGACTCCACGTCGAGTTGATATGTCTCCACCGCGGTAGCCGTGTGGCTTGGGTTTTGAACCTGAAAGAAGTGGTAAGTCAATTGATGGATTTCATTGTTTCACAGGAGCCTTACTGTCGCGGTAGCCATTATGTTCTCGAATCGCTGCAGCAACTGAGAGACATTGGTGTTGATGCGAGCTAAAGGAAACAAATTCATCAGTCACGATTCGTTTATTAAGAGCGAGAAAACCTTCTCCAGGAAGTGACTTACAGTGCAGAGCCTTGGCGGTGAGCTGGGAGTCCATGTCGTGGGTGGATTTCACAAAATAGACGTCGATATCGGGGTTCTTGACTTTGTGGCGCCCGGGGATGGGGGTTGGGACCTTAGGAAGCTTGAAATTGGGGCGCTTGGACTTCGCAGACTTGATATTGAGGGTCTCGAAGTCGATATTCAGATCATCGTTATCCAGACCAGAGGGGATGCTTCCTCCGACGAGAGGGAGGCGGACCGTTTGACCATATCGATAAGCGAGCGGTGAGCGAGGTTTAAAGTGGGGTGCATTTACTTCGGAGATAAGTTGGTCCGGCACATGACCAAAATGGCACGTGCATGTGTCTAAGAACGTGCCATGTCACATGACCTGTTCTTTGCAGTTGTATAAACCTTGACTGGCTGAGCTATGAAAAATTGGGTGTATTAACAGAATACTTGTTTCTCTTCATTCAACTGTTTTAATGAATAATTGTTGTCATTGCTTGACTGGTATCCCAAAACTGATATCACCCAGAATCAGTGCTAATCCTCATTTCTAATCTCATTTGTTCCCCATCGCAGTAAATGTAATTGATTTATCGAACGTATTTAGACTAGCAAAAGATCAGTGAATGTTTAACCTGGATTTTGCACGGACTGGAAACATACCATAAATCTCTTGTGGAAATCAGAGCGTAGCAGATCCTAGAAACAACATTAGTATGCGACACACAGCAGATCTCAGGAAGAGTAGACTTACGTTGACAAATTCTTTGCCATCCTGCTTCTCGGTGCCTCTAGCCTGGTTCTTGAAAACCACATCGTCATCCCACCGGCGCTTCATGTTAAAATCCTGTGTGTTGAGAAGCGGGTTTCCTCGAGCAATGTCGACCTCTCGTTGCTCCTCCTCTTCGGCTGCCCGTTCTTGTTCCTGTACAGGATTAGTACTCGCTAAGTCAAGTCCCCATCAAGATGGGATCGCCACAAACCTCTTTCTCCTTCTGCGCTAAGCGTTCCTTCTTGATCTGCTCCAGCTCGCGCATCAACGCAGCTTCGTCGTCATCGTCATCGCTATCCTCCTCCTCGCTGCTATCCTCTTCTGACCCATCAGAATCTGCATCTAGGTCGCGAGTCTCTTCTAAAATTCGGCGCCGTTTTGCCTCAGGGTCCTCGGTCTCGCCCTCCCCGGCTTCAGCATCCGCGCGAGCAGATTCGAGTTGTCGCTTGGGAGTCTGCTCAGTGGCGACTTTGTCGTCAACGGGAACACCGCTCTTCTTGGCAAAGTGCGCGGCCTCAGCCTTCAGGAGCTCTGCGCGCAGGTCACGAACTTCGGTGTCAGCATCACCACCTTGTCCGGGTTGTCTGGGCGATGTTAGTAGCTGCGGGTGCGATCGCAATGGTGTAGTGATTTGCGTACCGGACTTTCAGATGTGTGTGTGCAGGGAGGAGTCTTTGGTGGTATGCTGGGCCTCGGAGAGCCTCTTTGCCTTGGGCCTGGTTTCATTAGTCTTTCATTCGGACGGGGAGTTGGAGTGGTCGTACAGGATCGAAGGTGGGTCTGTGAGCTGGAAGAATGTCAGTTTCTCAAATACCGAAGTCTGAATACACGGATTGACATACCGGTCGTCATTTTGTGAGTGGTGTTAGATGAGAAGTTGAGAAGTGATAACTTGAAGGTTGATCTTTAAGGCTTGGCGCCGGAGCTGGACGTGATGATAGGCTGCGCCAACTGGCATGGTCATGTGATGACGTCTCAGCGAAAATCTGCCGTAACAAAGTAATCCCGATCCGAGGTATACCGTCTATGAGGGAATACATTGCTCTATACTTTCTTTTTAATTGTGTGTACTCTGGACAGTCCACAAAGTCAGCAAGACTTTCCTGCTCAGGCGCCCATTTTAAGTGTTTATCGCATCATTCGATTATCGTTTCAAGATACTTCATTCTTGATTTTGGTTTTCACCGGCTAACACAGCTCCACAGGCTACTTCCTTTATAGTAGCACGACAATCCGCTTATTCCATCTCAGGATTCCTGCAGGTAAACAAGGCTGTGAATTAGTTGAAGCGATGAAAATCCCCAGTCATATCAGTATACCCTCTAGACAATCTTTTTTTGAACCGAGCTTCTGGGCCGGCGTCACGGTCCACGGGTGTACTCCAACCCGTACTTCATCTACATAACTTCATCTATATAATCTAAAGTTTTCCTAATTACCCCAATACTCCTTCCTAGAATACCGTAGTTTCCTATTATCCCCGACAATAGGGTGATATCATGTGTTGACCTGCAAGCTTAAATTCGGCACTTGCTATTTAGAGGCCGAGCCCTCGGGAGCTAGAAGGTCGCACCGAGTGATCGTCGCTCTGCTTGAGTTGCTTATTTCTCGGTCGAGCGACCACCACTTCTTTACTAAATATTCCGTGCATCTCTTAAAATTTTGATATGGCGAACATTACAAATTCAGGACCAGCATAAATCCATTGTGGCTTTCTTTTCGGTCTCGCGTTTTAGCCTTTTCTGCACCATGTCCACCATGGAGTCATCGCCATCGCATCAAAAACCACCAGATATAGCACCCACAGGCGTTGACTGGGCATATGACAAAGAGAACCCCCGAAACTGGCCTCGGCTACGCAAGGTCGCTACAGGCTTGATCGTCTGCGCGATCGGCTTTACAACCACACTCGGCGCATCAATTTACTCGCCGGGACACGCTGAAGTAGAACATGAATTCCATGTCTCATCTACCGTGGCGCTCTTGCCACTATCAGCATACTCTCTCGGCCTCGCATTTGGGCCCATGATATCTTCCCCACTGTCCGAAGCCTTCGGTCGCAGATTCGTGTACTTGGCTACCCTCCCACTATGCGACATCTTCATACTCGCAACGGGATTCTCGAGTGGCATCGTTTCCTTGACGGTCTGTCGCTTCTTTGCGGGATTTTTTGCTGCCCCTGGTGTCTCCGTTGCCGCGGCTGTGATATCGGATTTTACGGCGCCGGAAAAACGGCTTGTTCCACTTGCGGGGTACTATGCGATGCCGTGGCTAGGAAGTGCAATTGGGCCGCTGATTGGGGATTTTGTGGTGCAAGCAAAAGGATGGCGCTGGACTGCTTGGATTGTTCTTATCATGGCAGCCGCTTTTCACCCTCCGGTTCTGTTCCTGCGGGAATCTTATAAGACGACTATATTGCAGCGGCGGGGAAAGGCAAGGATATCATCCGAAAAGTCGGGGGATATATTGAATTCTGAGACTGAGTCTGTCAGTGTGATGCGAACCCTGCAGACGTTCATCACTTCGACTGTTATCAGACCGTTACATATGCTCACAACTGAACCGTTGGTTGGATTCATCTGTTTGTACACGGGCTTCCAATTTGCGCTCCTCTATACTTTCATTGTTGCCAGCCCGTGGGTATTTAAGACAGTGTATGGATTCTCTATGAGCGCGCAGGGTCTCTCTTTTCTCGGAATGGTAGGCGGATGCATGGTTGCGCCGTTTATTCTCATCACACTGGATTATATCCTGCGGACACGAAAGTCAAAATTACAATCATCCACAGAGTTATTCAATCCGGAGAACAAACTCCGCAATGCATTGTATGGGAGCTTCATCCTCCCGGTTGCTCTCTTCTGGTTTGGCTGGAGCGCCAATTCTTCCGTCCACTGGATATGTCCCATCTTGGCACAAGCACTCGCATTCGTCGGCAGTTATCTCATCTATGTGCCATGCAGTCTGTATATGGTGGATGTGTACGGTGCAAAGTACAGTGCTTCATCCAACGGAGCATCTTCATTTTCCCGGTACATACTTTCGGCTGCTTTCCCTCTGTTTGTGACACAGATGTATGAAAAGCTGGGCGTGGGGTGGGCATCGAGTCTCTTGGGATTCCTGGCGTTGAGTATGGCACCGATTCCTTGGGTCTTTTATCATTATGGGCCTGCTTTCCGGAGTAGAAGTTCTTATGAACATGGGACTTGATTCAAGTACCGATACACGCTAGAGAAAGTTCCAGATGCATGGTCTACAATGTTATAAACAGAGGAACTGGAATGCAGTGATGCAAAAGTGGTTGTTTGTTCATCATCATCTCATCATAAACTTCATAATAGTACATAAAGATCCATCCTCCTGTTTCTTTTCAAGTTGCTTTGACATCCCTGGAGTCGAAGAATACTTCGTTCGTCCAGGACAGGGTGATGCAAGCTTGCCGGCAATTTTCAGTCTTGCAAACTAAAGGTCATTTTCAAATGAGTGGGCACAAAGCCCGGAGTGATGGGACGGCAGCAGAACAGGTACTTCATCTGAAGCCCCGACTAAAGCACCGTACTTTGGGGTGTCTCCAAAACGCGCAGACATCAGGATGTAGGGTAAGACAAGCCAAATCAAAATTCAAGCCACTACAAAGACAGTAGCAGATGGAGTCCACTGGGTAATGGTAGGCTGAACCTCATGAATATCGTGCGCAACCAACATATTCCACTCATTTCTCGTGATGGGCGTAACATCCGAAGCAGACAAAGGCGTCTTCGGCCCACGCTTCGAACAGCGACTAGACTTAGCCGGCGGTGGGTTCTTTCGCACGCGCACCAAGCGAATAGGCGAGTTCTTCGAGTTCTCAGCCGTGAGCTTTGAAGGCAAAATAATCGCATCAGTCTTATGTGTGTTCTTGTATGCAGAAGCGATAGCAGTTAAGAGTTCATCACGAACATCCAGTTGCTCATAGACACGGTGGAAGAATGCTTTGCTGAATGGACGGCCTTGGAAATCACCCATTAACCGGTGGAGAAGTTTTACGGCCGAGATCATGGCCTGGTCTTCTGGGCGAGGATTGGGTCTACTGGAGAGGATGCAAAGACGGCGTTTGAATGTGTAGATGCGGTCCATGTTTAGGATGGTTAGACCTTCCTGGCTGAAGAGGACTTCGTTTTGTAGGATGGATTGTTGAACGAGGTATTCGTTTGCTAGGCGTGCATGGTAGCTGCGGTCTAGTGCTTCGCTCCAGCTGGTGCCTAGGGAGTATTTGCGGGCGCCCTTGGCGATTGCGCGTTCGAGAATGCGGGTGGAGACTTGGTCGAGTTTTGTGATGGGGATGACCATTAAGTCTGAGGCTTGACCGGTTGGGAAGGGCTTGCCCCGGCCGACGAGGAGGGTGACGTGCATCAATCTTTGTTGGAGTTTTGAGGAGATGTACTCCAGTGCTGGTAGGATCGTTGGAAGAACAGCCTCGGAATCAAAATTGAAAGAGGGGGAGAGTGGTGGGGAGATCATTTCGGTGGTGACGCGGGGAGAGCCAGGGACGTAGATGCCCGATGGGCGAGGTAAACGCATGACGCCCATAATGAAGGTATATATGTATAAGAGTGTTTAAAAGATAGAAAGAGAGAGTATTATAGAATGAAACTTTTGTAGGGAGTGAATTCAGTGAATTCCCTCTGGAAAACAGGAGGGAATGAGAGACGATTTAGACCCTGATATAGTTGGCAATGCAGGGGAACAACCAACAGTCCCCCGCATCTAAGCTGATATCTTAACATAGAAAGTGCCATAATTAACTCCATTTTTAGGTCCATAATGTTGCTAATCATAGTAAATTCTGTAACAGCTGAAAGCCAATCACAGTGCTCAATTGAGGGAGTGGGTCAAATGACACCAATTACAATGCGTGAATATTAACCAGGGTATTAATATCTCTAACCGCTGAGGCGCTCCTCCACCAACCAGAATCTTATCCTTGATCCATTCACAACGAACTTATGCAAGCCATCACACGCTAACACAGGGCCCCAGCATCCACTTATGAAGCCCGATAATCCAAATGTTGGCCCCTCGGCTCGTCATGATTCATTGTTGATAGCTGTAGGTGGTCCTTGCTCGAGCTAATTTCCACCAACCTGGATCCTGGTGCCTCAAGCTCTTAATGATAGGCTGAAAATACTTCTTTCCCTCGACTGAAGGTCTTTAATCCTGCTTGAAAGTTGGGACTGGCCCCGCTTCCTTTTTTTCATTGACATCTGTATATCTCGTATATCTCGGATATTATGGTGCCACTATCGCCATCCTTGTCGGACAACACATCGTCAGGAGGCTCTTGCGAGCACACAAGTTACGCTAATCTAGTTATGGATATTCCCGCAGGAGGATTCATTCCAAGGCTAACCGGTAAACAAACCTGAAAATACAAATGGTCTTTTGAGGTACTGCGGTTCGTATCATGACAGCCAAGGGCTCCAGATATCTATCTATACAGGTGCTGTCGGGTGTGCGTTCATGGATGTGGCAATACGCTCTCACAATCCATTACCGTACCAGTCTGGCTTTTCTTTTGATACGTAAAGGAGCTATTCAATAAAAACCACAGAGTTAGATGAACACCCTTACTAACCGCATTGAAAATAAAAGTAGCGCAGAATTCAAGATTCAAGGAGTAATATTCATGAGTACATACTCAGGCACTTACTTGCTCACGATACTCTTCGCACCACACTATACACTACACTGGAATTGAAGGTGATTAGAGAGTGATATTTACTATGCCACCTTTTCTTACCTATATCATGGCTGTAATGAAGTGTTGTGTCGTATATTAACGTGAATTAAGCGATATGATGCGATGTCCTATAATACTTGAGATAACGTTTTTTCTTCTGAATTACAATTATTGCGCTACTTTAACTACGGTTAGTAAGGGGTTTTAATTTATACTATAGATTTCAGTAAGCTCCTTTTTTGTGATACCTAAATAGATAGTAGCTAGTGTTCAGTGGAAGTTTTCTTTCTGATCTTCACGTCCAAAATTGAGCATTACTTATGATACTAGACCGGGAACAAACTTAACGAAGCAGCGCATCTCCAACCCCTCCCACCGGTTCAACCTTATGGTCACAACGCGCCTTTTCCTTCTCACTCACCTCAGTGAAAGTAGTTGCTACATCGAATAAAATTCACACCAGTCTTCTAGCAGACACAAGTATTTTTGTGGGATGAATATCCCGGTGAGGAACAAAGGCACCATGAATCTCTCTAATACCACCAACCGCAGCACAAAAGAGTTCTCTGAGTAATTTACACAGTCGAGTGGCTTTGTATCTGACAAGGACTGTAAAAAAAGTGCTCTGATATGGAGTTCATCGTGAACGAAATGATTAAGCGGCCCACCCAAAAGCCTTGGATCAGTTCGATCGATGTAGCCGTGACATCAGGATAAAAAGCCACAATTAGATACACCGCACTTCTGGAAATTCTGATAGGCGTTCGGTTCGCATCAGAATTGACTCAGATCTGGGCCCTTTTCTGTGTATCCTTCGTCCTCGTTGTGGAGCGGACCTGTCAGCGGCGTTTTGAGGATTCAAGAAGTTGTACTTGCTTTATTGCGTATATTTCCCTTGGAGCTCGGTCTCGTAAATAGTACAATCGGGGGACTCATTGAGTACAATTTTCATGTTGATGTCAGATATATCTGGGACCAAACAGTGAGAAGGCATCGAAGACATGGTTGCCGGTTGAGCTATCTTGAAGTCGAAGCGTCGATCACGCCTGTCAAATTATGCAATAATCCCGGTCCGACTGCTTTTACTGCATACATACTCTTTAACGTGCGATTTTCTCAGTAAAAGGGCCGGGTACATGTTATTATGCAAGGCCAGCAATTAATTGCATCTCAATCTGCATTGCCGTGGAAACGCATCTCAAGTTTCACCCTTTGGTGATACTTTGGCCTCGCTAATTTTGAATATGCAAAAGCTAGAAGATACAAGGATACCTACCTGAGCCAATATTTACTTGATTGAATTCATTAAGATTTGAGATCACAATGCCGGAACTCGGAGACTCGCTTAGAATCTAAGTGTGGTCCGATCCTGTCTTGGATTTCTCTGGATCTATCACATCCGGCAAAGATGTCTATAAAAAGGACATTCACCGAGATGGCGCTCTAACCTTTGGAAGGCTCGGCTTTGTTAGTCTCTATTAAAGTTTAAGCCGCATTCCATCCAGCGGTGTAAAGCAATAATTGAAAACAGACTCCTCCATTGACTCGCATGCGCTATTACTTGTTCCGTGTCCGATGCTACCCTAACATCTGGTAGCTCTATAGATTATTCCCACTTAGCTGTACTGTGACTCCTATATTATTGATTTTGGAAGCCAATTGAGGCTTCATGAAATACTTCAAGTCTACTGTGAAGATCTTGGCAGGATTCTCAAAGTGGGGTAACCTCGCGATCTACCATGTTCCTTACTCCGTTTGCTGTAGGCTAATATAGTAGAGGTACCATTGTGGGAATAATCAGCATTTTCCCCGCTCGTGCGGAGAAGCAGCCGTATAGATTCCTGATAGACACTTATATTCAAGACTCGTCACAACTCCCGAGGTCTATTTATCTGCATCATGACTGCAGGTACGTAGATCGGAACAGAGCTTGCAACATGGAGTGCCATCAGTGATAGTGGGAAGAGGATCCGCAATATCAAAGATGTAAATAAAGGAACAGTGAAGGATAACTAACAACACTCGCAACTATCTATTTCACAACTCTCACAATATTCCTCAATCTCACAACTTGCTGTCTTTCCTGCAATGCCAGCCACAACCATTTCGCCTCCTGCGGTGATCAAAAGCCTTGTTAAAGAGCTGACTTCCAATGGATAGTAAGAGTCATTTGCTAAAGCCCACATCCACCAAGTGTCAACAGAGTCCTAACTCACAGCAGCTGCACCCCGAAAACACCTTATCAGGCCTCGCATTTCTTCAAGTCCGTGAAACATGAATGCACCATCACGTGGGCTCTCTGCAAAAACAATTTTCCAGGCTTCCTGGCCGGCTTTATGGGAGGCCTTTTGCCAAGATTGGTTGTTCATCCGGTACCTTTGATAACAGGAGGCTTAGTCTCACTACGTGTGATATTGATATGTCTCCTGACGGCGTACACATTTGACATTGCCAACACAACCTCATCTGTGGAAGAAGACAAATTGAATAAACCCCACCGGCCAATTCCGTCTGGCCTCCTCACTGTCAAGCAGGCCCGGGCCCGTTGGCTGCTAAGCTGGTTCCTTGCTCCTTCAATTGCCTTGCTGTATGGAAAGTGGCCGGCCTTCTTCGTGACTCTGAACCAAATATGGATTTTCAGCTTCTATGTGTGGCCCGCGTATCGGCACTGGTTAACAAAAAGCATTATGGTCACTGGTAGCACCTTCATCATGTTACGTCTGCTAAATTCTGTTGTTCTTGATATCGACCAATGGGCCATGAATGCTGTGCCTGACATGATCGTCTGTGTCTGGACTATGGCCACAATTCATCTTCAAGATTTCCGGGATATTGAGGGAGATTACACCACACACGCTGTCACAATACCGATAATACTCTCGCCAGAGGGCCAGATGAAGCTTCGAAAGATGACAGCGCATGTCTTGGTATCAGCAGATGTCGTCAGCATTTTCTGGATCTGGACACGAGCTCAACACGTCTCCGCATTCATTACGGGCCTCCTATTCTACACGAGCTCAATTATCTTAGTCTACTATACTTTGACATCCTGCTCAAGGTATCAGGACCGAATCATGTACAGGTGGTGGATGGCTACGGGGTTCTGTATGATCAGTCATGTGTTTGACCTATGCCTTTTGCACGACGTGGTATTGCAATAGGCAGATACCCGTGGCAACAAGGTTTGCCTTGTGATGCTATCGTATGAGAGTGGTTTTTTAATACGAATGGGTAAATCAAGTCAATATGAGAATGGGGATATTTTTTCGAATATTGCTGTAAACGATAGCCACTGATTCGCTCCAGTCAAGCAACAACCTTTCCAGCCATCCTTCTAGACCAAAAGCCCGAGTCATGAGCTCATTGTATCCAAGCCTTAATCGCGTGGCTATCCACAATCAGAAGAATTGCCGATGCATTGTGGTCAATGCAAGTCAGCGGCGAATTTGTTGGACAATATTTTGCCCGGGCGTTAGTCAATTGGGGGCTATCTCTTTTTGCACTGCTCATTTGGGCGATACGCATGATTGAGAGCCGCATTGTGCCGCACTTTTCTCTGATCCCTGTCTGGAAAATCGATAGTTCGAAAATGATGCATATAACCGCTTACTGTGGCGGGCTGATGGGTTTGTGCCCAAGTGTTGGGTGGGGGCCAAGTTGGATTGGCGCTTAAGTGCGGAGATATGAGGTTAAGATCTGACTTATTTGCAATAATTTTGAAGATAAATTTTTATCAATTTATGACCATATTGACTTTGCAACTTAAGACAATATTCTCCTTGCTATGCAAGTCGTATGTCTACAATGGATGTTATGATTTCGACGGAATATTCTTGTGTATCTACATGGTACCTGTTATGCGTAGAAACGAGACATCAATGTTATTGTAAGTGAAGCGAGTCGAGCACTTGACTCAGGTGCTGAACATCATTTGCTTCTGTTGGTACAATGTACTGCCTGTACGGTAGGGAAATGCCTTACATGCGCAATATCCAGCTGGGCAATCATACGTACGCAAAAACACCAGCACTAGGTACTCGAGGTCTTGAAATATCTCGCCAACTGCCTACGACAGTCCTACATCACAGAGGGTCATATTCATCTTCATGTCCAATTGAAATCGAAGCTAGAAACACATCTCAACATAGTATGTCACAAGCCTCCCCCGACCCAATAGCCGGCTATTGAACCAAGCTAGAGGAAGAAAAAGAGTAAAAAAGTAAAAAGTTAAAAAGTACAGATACCAACATTGGGCAATAATGCATAAACCACATGGCAAACAAATGCAGCAATATTTAATGCCAGATCGATCATAAGGCCGGAGTTCGGGAGCTAGCCATCTCACCGTAACGTCCACGACCTTGGGTGGTGTCATATGCATTCAAGACACGCATTTGACCACCGTCGTCGGCTTGCGAGAAGGCATAACCACGTTGCTTGCGCATACGCTGCACTTGGCGGACCTTCCGAATGGCCTTTTGGAACTGCTCCATGCGGGGACGGTAGTCCTGTACATTGTACTTCTGGATCTCCTGGACGTGGTGGTAATGCTGGGGGTAGTACATGCGCTTGGCGTACTTCCAGGCATAATCACGCAGGAGACACAGACAGGGAAGAACGATGGCCATCAAGTAGAAAACGGGGAGTTTGAAGAGGACGGGGATGGTGCCGTAGTATTCAACGGAGAATCCAAGGGCGGGAGCGGCGTAACCGTAGGCGGGAAGGAAAATGAGCCACAGAAGCATAGATCCGGGAATGGCGATGAAGTGGTATTTTGTCCAGATGTTCGAGATCAGAGCAGCCTTGCCGAGAACGGTTCCCAGAACGGCAGTGTACAATGCCTCGCCCCAAACCCAATGGCCAGCGACGTGGCCATTGAACATGGGAAGATCCCAGAGGAAAATCAATTCAGAGGCGATGTAGAGAAGCAGGGAGTGGAAGAAACCATTGAGAATCCAGGCCCAGAAACTGTGCTTTTTGAAGAAGAGACCCTTTTGGCCCATCTGGTATAATTGAGGGTACCGGTCCAGCAGTCGAGCGGAGATGTATTGGTCGAAAACGCCCATGGCGAATGGAGGGAGAACAGTGAATAGCACGTTGTAGTAGGAGAGTGTCCACGACTCGTAGATAACTTCTCCAGAGAAGGCGTTCTGGAAGGAATACTAAAGAGATGTTAGAATCTCACCATGAGTGACGAGTGTTGATCAAAACTTACCCAGAACTGTGTCATGTACAAAGTAATGTTCTTGTAGAATGAGTATAGAATAACTCGACTGATACGAGAATAACTCCAGGCTCCGTGGACCAAAAGAAGCTTTCGGAGGAAACGGAACTGGGCAATTGCCACATCGGCCGATCGAGCAGCTTGGAGACCTTCCATACCGCTGATACCCACACCAACGTGAGCTGCCTGGATCATGGACACGTCATTTGCTCCATCACCAATAGCTAGAAGCAGGGATTTCAAGTGTCTTTTGACAAGCTTGACGACCAAGGCTTTCTGCAGGGGAGAAACACGGCAGCAAACGACGGCCTTGCACATGACAGCAAGGTCCAGGAACAGCTTCTCCATGTCTTTCTCCAAGGCGAATGTCAAGGATTTTCCATCAATCACCAAAGCCAGGGTCTCAATGTCACCAGAGCTAGCTTGAGTCTTGACTGCTTCCATTTTCGATTGCAAATTGGCACGTGTGGCTTCCGCAGTCTCTTCATTGATGATGAGAAGTGTCATGTCTTCTGAGATGAGCTTACACGACATGCCAATGTTGATGGCAGTCTCCTGGCGATCACCAGTCAGAACCCAAATCTTGATTCCGGCAGTCTGAAGCGTGTGAATCGTATCGGGGACGCCGTCTTGCAGTCTATCCTCAATAGCGGTGGCACCAAGAAGATAGAAATCCTTTTCAATCAGCTCAGCAGCTTTGTCGAGTTCTTCGGCACGATTGCCGCCCACGGTGGTGTTGGCCTTGTCGAAGATTTGCCACCATCGCTGGAATTCGTCCTCAGGAATCTCGCGCATGGAAAGACAGAGAGTACGCAAACCCTCCGAGGCATACTCTTCAAGGTGTTGGAGGGTTGTCTCCACGGTGGGGTTATCTGGGTGAAGCCGCTCAAGGATGACCGTGTCGGCACCCTTGCAGTATATCCGAACCTTGCCATCTGGGCACCGGAAAATTGTAGACATTCTCTTACGAGTCGAATTGAACTCGCAAACCGCCAAAAGCTCATATTCATGTTCCTGGCCACCGGCTTCAAAAAGAACGGATCTAGGTTTGCGGTTCGTGAAACGGTATCCCAAAGTAGCAGCACCGTCAACCAGGGCACCCTCATCGGGTGAAGCTGCCTGGTACTTGATATCATTGGGATCACTTCCCTTGCGTTCGGGGATAACCGTGTGGCAGGTGGCCAAGAGAGTAAGGAATTGTTGGATAGCATGCTGACTGGGGTGTGACTGGCAATTTCTCCGGAGAGTCTTGAAATCGTAGATCCCGTATTCAGAATCTTCATCCGAATTAGCCCGTCGGTCTTCGGGAACATCGTCTCCGTACTGGACACCAGCAATTGTGCACTGCTTGAACTCCATCTGGTTGCAGGTTAAAGTACCTGTCTTGTCCGAGAAGATGTATTCAATCTGGCCAAGCTCTTCGACCAGAGATGATGTACGACATGTTGCAGGGGTATCCGTTTCGACATGGTAAATGTCAAGATCAGAGTTGATGAGGTAAGCTTGGAAGTATTTGACGATCTCAATGGTGACGAAAAGAGAGATAGGGACCAAATTAGAATATAGCACCCAGTAGGTGAAAACATCCAAGAAGAATTGGCTGACGGCGTTGGTATCACCATAATCCAGGTAGGCAAGTGATTTGCCTTTGGCTTTACGAATGACCAGGTCACCAACAGAACTGATAACACTGAGGGAAACAAGAATGCACACAAGCATCAGAATCTGGATGTTGACCATGCGTTCCACAGCAGTCCGCTTAATCGGTGTTGCTGTTGCGTTCCGCATCAACTTGGTTTCGTGTCCAGTAAAAACGACAATACCGTGGATCCAGGGCGTGTTGCGCAGAGTTGCACCACGAAGAAGCAACTGGTCCGGAGCGAGAGACAACTCTTTCTCACCACCGCCCGCGTTCATGGTCAGGGTAGCTTCATAGGTATAAAGACTGCTGTTGGGTTGTTCGGAACGAACTCGTCCACCCAGCCGACCCAAGTCACTGGGGCTAACCAGATGAGCTGTTTCGGGAATGGCCTGCTTGATCTTCAGGTTGGTCTCGCCATCCAGATTGGCCGTTTCGATATAACATAATCCCTCAGGTTCCGATGACGCCATGAGGACCAAATCCGCAGGGAATGGTTGCTCGGACTCGACTCGAACGATATCCCCAACTACAACATCAACCCATTTTGTCTCGTGGAATGAAGAGCCGCGGAGAACCTGCGTTTTGGAGTAATTCAATCCCCGATCCGACATTCGTCGCTTGTAATCTTCTACCAGTTCCTTGATGGCGGATACCGCCAACACGATAGCCAGCGGCACGATGGTGGTGTATTTGCTTGTCGGCGAGACATTGGGGATTTGTTGCAGGACGGCGGTGAGCAAGAAGAAAAGATTGGCGTATTTGGAGAATTGTTCGAAGAGGAATTTGGGAATAAAAGTAATGATGTTGTACTTCGCGGTCGATACATGATTGCTGATGAATCTGTGTGTAGCGTTGGCAGGGGGATTGTTGACCTGGATGATTCGAGGACCCAAGCTTGCGGGATCGACCTTTCTTCGGCCAAATATGGACTTGAAGCCAGACGCGCCGGAAGACTTTTTGGCTTTCGGGGCGGCTGTCGCATCACTGCTGTCTACTGTTGCTCTTCTCGCTCCGGCCTCTGTTAATGGCAGATCCATCTCGGAATATTGCGGTCCCATTCCAAACATGTATTTTGCCTTCCCCAACATGCCACCACCCAACCCCATAATGCTGTTCCGCTCATTCGCCTTGCGAACATGAGCGGAGCTCGGTATGCGATCTTCATGATCATCATGATCGAGGTCGTAGTATCCGGAGTGCGAGTCTTCGAGTTCGTCAAAGGAGTACCGCTGGTAGTTATCTAGTCCGGAGGACTGCGAATAGGTCCGGGTGACTGGATCGTCGATGTAGGGATCACTCCCGTACACGCCCGAGTGGGCGACATGCGCGGGACCAGGAGCTGGATTGTGATGTGCTCCGACTTGTTGCGCACGGCTGCCGACAAAACTATCGTAGGATACGGAAGGGCGCGGCTGCGCATGGGGCTGGTCGGAATCGTCAATGTCGTAGTGTTCAAGGAGGTGTTCGTCGTTCACGGGTGGGGGCTGCCCAGAGCTATAGACTGGACCTGAGTCCAGGAGTAGGTCGTCATCGTGGCCAACGGCGTGATGCGATCCGTGAGGCCTACCGGCCATGCTGCCGCGGGGGGAGCTGGTACCCTCACTGAGAGCAGTAGTGATGCCCCTGAGGCATGGATCGGAAAGAGGTATCGAGCTATTAGGATCTTGCAGTAGGACCTGACAGCAATAGGTCCGAGAGGTAGAGGACTTTCAGAGAAGAGGAATAGGCGATAGGACGGTGAGTTGAAAGAAAAAAGTACAGAATGTAAGAATGGGGTGGCTTAGCGGGCGAAGGCAGCGAGTAACTGTTATGATCGTCCCGCTTTTTTTCCGGCAATAAAACCATCAACTCTATTATGCATCGAGTTGCTTCTCATGATATTCACCATTAATTAAAGTTGATCTAGAGTTCTTAATTTTATCTAGCTTATTCACTACTTGCTGAGCCGCCTGAAACAATACGCTCTAAGAATAGGAGGGTTCTTGGCGTCGCCGCAGTCGGAAATATATTAAGCAGGCGCCAAACATCCACTTTTGCGAACATAAGGAGAATGACGATCATCATTTATGAACCCCCCAAAAGAAAACAAATAGGGTATTAGCCCTGCGGTCAGGCACATAGGGTACTTTGGAAATTATCTATTATTTCCTATGTTATCTTGATTTATTCTGTAAACATGCTAACATGCATAATGATTTCAGTCAATGCCATTGGTCCTCGTTCAGAAATAGAAAAGCCATGCAGAACTCCAGCCCCAGGGTCATCAAAGGTCGCGTCATACAATATTGAGTCGTGTAAATTTGAAGCAGATTAGCGATCATTCGCCGCCCGCGATTCATCGGCCATGCCCAGCTTCGCCCGCTTCGCGAGATCGACTTGCAACACCTTGTCAACCTGGGCATTGAGCGCCTTGACTTTCTCTAGCGCGACATTAACTTTGCTCACAATCGATAGCGGATCCAAAGGCGCGCCCGAGAATTTGGACATAAAGCAGACTTCTCCACCGCTATTGATGCCGATGACTAGCTCTCCCTCAGCTGCTTGTTCTTCCTTGAGTGTGGCGTCAACGATGATGTTTCTGCCATCGTTAAACGAGTTGAAGGTAACGGAAAGAGGCTTGTGGGTGATGTTGAGGGCAACCGGGACTCTGTCCTCCACTTTGTACACGATAACATGGCCATCGCGCACCACTGCATCCGGCCGGCGGAAATGCTGCAGTCCAGTCATGACGGCGATGCAGGCGGCATCAGTCAGGTTTCCATCGTAGTCGATCACATGTATGTCAGCACGGATGCTCCAGCAGCTGACGCCCTTTACGATGCAGAGCGATTCCGTGTCGAGGGCATTGGAGTGGCGGACGACTCGATCAAGAACGTGGGCGACAGAGGCTTCTTGGTCACTAGTTCTGTATTTGGAGATAAATTGTGAGCAAGGCTATCTTTCTCAGAGAATATAGACCATCATTGGAGCATACCGTCCATTTTCCCAGCCTGGAGAACCCATTGCAGTCAATTCGATGGAGATGTCAAATAGGCCATCAAAGGGACGATCATCGCGAGGCTTTGTCACTTCAGCAGAAATGCGAACAATAATGCTATTGCATAGTTAGCACCTGCCATGTAAATAAGGCAATTGCAAGGAAAATTACCTGGTCTTGCCCAGCTGCAGCTTCACATGGCCATATTCCTCGCCGAAGCTAATACTCAGAGGTCGGAATTGATCAGCCTCACGGCCATCGAGGCGCGTGTTCTCTTGTAGGGCCTTGAGAATAAAATCGCGCTCAGCGACTGACAGAGGGGCTTCTCGAGACATGTTGAGGTGTGTGGTGGAGAGGCCTTTCAGACTTGCGGGGATGCCATTTTTTTGGCCATTTTGCCGTGATGACCTTCATTTTGGGAGCTGTGTATTGACCAATGACTGTGCTTGTGTAGAGAGCGGTGAGTTTGTATCACGTGAAGGAGAGAAGGTTAGCCCCACACAACATTCTACTCTATACACCATACCACACTTAATTCCTTTCCAGGGTTTCTTTGCTCTTTTAACATTTTAATCATGACTGGGAGCTTGCATTGAAAGATCAATAAATGTATGCAGGTATATGGGAAGCACATTAAACCTAGGCTTTCATTTTGTCCGCTTCTGTTGTGCGAGCTATACCTGAGAATCCCGGCCTCAAGTGCGCAGAAATATATGTCTGCATCTTCCAGGCTCAATACTACACTCTAGCACCAAAACCACCAAGTTTCCAGCTCTCGGGGGATATGTTAAGTTTGAATTTATTTATTAGCATCGACGCTAGACCTACATTTATATACATAGGCAGATAATACTGCAAGATCGACACATCCAGCTGGGCAGCCTGGAAGGACGGTGTACCCTCAACTCTTGCACCCGGACACAACGCGAGCTCGGGATGCCATGGCATGCCCTGGGTCTAGTTCCATGGATAGTTGAGCCTTAGCTTTTTCGAGAAAATTTCCTCTTGTGGCACTATGCCGAGGGAAACACTCCATACGTCTGTAAAAGCTCACCCAATCCCTGCCAAGACAAGTTAAGTTGCGCTTCTAGCCGGGGTTTGTTTTGAACATCACCCATTGGTCAAAGTGGACGTGGCGGAGGTCTTGGCGTAGAGAAGCGGGCCGCCAAGCCACATTTCCTTAGGCTCTTCATTGTTTTCACCGAACTCGCCTGCATACAGAGGGTTGAGGGGTGATTGATGCAAAGCTGACGGATGCTTTCCCGCCCTTGCCCGGAAGAGGTAGCATAATGGCAGCATATGTCAGTAAATTGACGACGCCCTGCGATTTACAAGGCCTGAATGGAAAGAGATCCATACCTAGCAGCCCAAAGGTTGTAAAACACGAGATGATAACCTTAGATGAGAGATGGTGGAGTAGAAGGGTTTATAATGTTCCGATGGAAAGCGAGCCGCGTTCCTCTAGAGAGATAGGTCAAAATGGAATAGCCTTCGCCCCTCGAGATCTTGGCGTCTGGGCGCTCCGCCTGAGAGGGGCTGGATTATGCTTCTTATCATCAATTGATCAATCCTTGACAAAGAAAAACGGCAGTGCATGATACTGTATACAGTAATGAGCTATCATTATACTCAGCCCAGGCGTGCTACACTTTGTGTCCCAAATACGAGGCTGATGTACAAAGTTCAGGTGACACCGCACAGCCTTGAATTGCCCTGCAGATGCATCCTCGTCAGGCAGATTCCGTATTTGTAGAACCTTGTTCGAGGTAAACTCTTGGCTCGGGTTTTGCGTTGCAACGCTATCCATGCCCCCCATGTGTTTTCATTGACTCCGCATTCTCGAACCACGCGACAGAGAAAAAAAGCCGGCTTGGCTCTCCAGTCAGCTTATCGGTCAAATAACATTAGAGTAATTCCTTGCATAGATTTTTTTTCCCTATCTTTGCTAGCGGGGGGATCCCATGCTATAAAGTGTAGAGTTCCGACTCCCAAAAGAGCCGCTCTGACACGTCTCTTTTGACCTTCACTTCACCTTCTTTCTGTCCCATACCCCGGATTCTCCCAACCTCATACCCCAACTTGAAAAACAAATCTTACGTTCAAATTCGGCCCAAAGCTATCCAGATTGACGCTCCGTCCAGCAACCATGGCGGAGGTCAAACACGAGGTTTTTCCGTCTCAAAGTCCACTTCAAGAGGATTACAGTAAAGGCGATGTGACCACTGCAGAGGAAGGTGGTCTATCTGACCCCAATCATGTCAATCTTCACCGCGCGCTCAAGGCACGCCACATTACGATGATTGGTAGGAGAAGCTCACAGCCAGCGGCGAATATAAACTAACCGGAACAGCCATCGGAGGTGCCATCGGTACAGGACTGATTATCGGAACCGGCGAAGCTCTCGCGAAGTAAGACTGACATTCAAAATTGAGCTATAGAATCATTCGCTAACGTCAGTTCTTTTTCTTGCAGGGCTGGAGTACGTATTGAATCTTATTCGAGAGTTTACACGAACTAACCTGACCGTTATAGCCCGCTGCTATTTTGATTGCCTATGCCTGGGTGGGATTTATCGTTTACCTCGTGATGTGCGCGCTTGGAGAAATGGCCGCTTGGCTTCCACTGCCATCTGGTTTCACAGGATATGCGGTGCGATTCTGTGATCCTGCGCTTGGATTTACTTTGGGATGGACGTATGGACTATCACCTCAAATTCTACCTTGCGATACTTACTAATGCAGCTCATAGATATTGGTTTAAGTATATCATCCTTTCACCGAATCAACTCACAGCTGGTGCCCTTGTCATATCATACTGGATACCTGCAGAAAAGGTCAATCCGGGTGTGTGGATTACTATCTTCTTGATCGCCATCATCTGTATCAACTACTTCGGAGTCCGCTTCTTCGGCGAGTTCGAATTCTGGCTTTCCTCCTTCAAAGTGATTGTCATCCTGGGTATCATTCTCCTTTCGTTCATTCTCATGTTGGGCGGAGGTCCGGATCATGACCGCAAGGGGTTCCGGTACTGGAAGAGTCCTGGAGCTTTTAACACATACATTGAAACCGGAGACGCAGGACGATTCTTGGCCTTTTGGTCTTCGATGGTATCCGCTACCTTTGCTTACCTTGGAACCGAGTTGGTTGGTGTGACTGTCGGTGAAGCACAGAACCCCCGGCGGACAATTCCACGAGCGATCAAGTTGACTTTCTGGCGAATCTTGGTCTTCTATGTGCTGTCAGTTCTCCTCGTCGGTACCCTGGTTCCTTTCAACGACAAGAAGCTCGCTTTCGCCATCGGCGCCAGTAGCTCAGCTGCCGCATCGCCATTCGTTGTGGCTATCGAGCTGTCTGGTATCCCAGTGCTCTCTCACATCATCAACGCATGCATCCTGCTGTTTGTGTTCTCCGCTGCAAACTCGGATCTTTACATCGCAACTCGCACGATATATGGTCTGGCCCGCGAGAACAAGGCTCCCAAGATACTTGCTCGGACTGATCGCCGTGGAGTACCTGTCTTTGCCCTGGGGATTTCCGCGATATTCGCACTACTTGCCTATATGAATGTCACAAGTGACTCCAAGGTGGTCTTCAAATACTTCGTCAATCTCGTCACGATCTTCGGTCTGCTCACCTGGATTTCGATCCTGGTGACCCACATCTGCTTCGTGCGGGCCCGAAAGGCACAGAATGTCCCGGTTGAAAGCTTAGCATATGTTGCGCCTCTGGGCGTGGCTGGCTCTTATGTTGCTCTGGGCTTCTGCATCATCATTGCCTTGACCAAAAACTATGATGTCTTCACGCACAACAAGAAGTGGGGTAACTTCGATTACAAGAACTTTATTACGGCTTATCTCGGCATTCCGCTTTACCTGATCATGCTTACTGGATACAAGCTTATCACCAAGTGTAAGCGTGTTGATCCTGCAACGGCGGACTTGTGGACTGGGAAGGATGAAATTGACCGCGAGGAGGCTGCGTACATTGCGAAGAGAGAGGCCGAGACTGAGAAACATGCTCAGTCACACTGGTTCTACCAGAAGTTTGTGTCATGGCTGTTCTGAGAGGAATATCTCTTAGAAGGGTAGCTATGTTACTTTTCTATCTATAGCTTGTCTACTAGAAACTGGATAAATCAACTTTTATAGCACTTTTACAGCAAAGGTTCTTGTCCCGCTTTATCCAACTGGACTAAGAAGCGGATATGTGGCTGCGATCCACAGATCATCACAAAAGCCAAAAAGAGAATTTTTACGACTCTTAGTAATTACAGATAGCGTCCCTGACTATCTATTTGCCAGGGGCTGCAGACTTTTCACGGCTATGCATAACATACCCACGTGGTATAACGGAAATTCTTTCTTCTAGAAGGCTGAAGAGGACCCACCACATCTTAAGCTTTGGTCTAGTTGGAGGCTATTGATTGACATGGCGATCATGAACCAACCATCAAAACTGGGAAGTAAACAATATATTGAATAGATATGATAAACGCCAAAATGGTTGGACTAGAATTGCAAATACCACATGAATCGTTCAGTCTCGATGGTTGGGCAGAAATGGTGGAACGGGACAATGTCGAGAGCCATGTCATAGACCACGCAATACTTGAATCATGACGTAGTAATAGACGTAGAGAAGGTATGAACTTCTCTGTTATCTCTTCCTTCTCCCCCGGTTCGTATCCATGATCGTTCCCTTTGACCTTCACAGGCGTAGCACACATACGCGGTGGGTTTAATGCAATTAACATCTATATTACTTCTAATTTGGGGGTCTACTTCGTGAACTGTGATGGCTTGAACCCCTTTCTTTAATCCCATAGGGCCAATTTACTAGATATAGGGGTCAATCCACTGCAAAATGGAGTTATAGGCAATTTCCCCACATCCGGCAGTTATTAAAGGTGGGTCCATTGAACTCTATTTGAGTTTACATCTTTGACTTTATTGATTGATCTTCTTCATACTTAACGTGTTTGAATTTTAACATGTTCTCAATTGCATTCAGGCCTCGAGAGAGCAGCTCGAGAACTCATTTTAGTCCATGTCAAGAAGTGTAGGCCTAGAAGTTCTAGAGCTAAGACAATCTCTTTGTTCGAACCCCTACCCCGCGTGGGCCCCCCGCACGTCCATAGAAACAAGCCGCCCAGATCCCGCCCATGTGGAAAAGGGGCGAAATTGTCAAATGACAATTCGGCATTATATCCACGAAACTTTAATCCAATGCCGTAAGGATTATCAAGACAGATCCTGATTCCCTGTTCCGGCACCCCACGGGTGGTCCGCATCGGCTCAGTGGGGGGCGGCGACTGTTGATGTGGGGTTTCCCCTATAAAGGATGCCGAGCCTGGCGTTTTTTTATTGAAATTAAACGAGAAAAACTCAGCCTCGGCTTCCTGACATTCTGAAGACCTTACGCTCTACGCGTATACGGAACTGACCCGGTGGTCGATACACCATGGACCCTGAGAAGCCCGAGTTCAGTCAGCGAGAGGATCTTGCGAATCTCGAGAAACCCGACTTAGAAGAGATTGGCGAGCGAGAGGGTTATGTGCTGAACGATGTCTCGCTTGCTCATGAACGTGGCCTTAAGACAACAGCTGATGGGCAAATTATTCTTATCCCTCAACCAAGTGACTCACCTAATGATCCACTGAACTGGACTCCATTCAAGAAGCATCTTGTTCTCATCATCATTTCGTGCACGGCGTTCCTGCCAGACTATGGTAGTGCCACTGGTGCGGTAACGCTGACGCCACAGGGAGAGTAAGTAGTTCGCGATATTGTTTTCGGTGACAGCACAAGCTGACTTCTTTAGGGAATGGAATATGAGTCCCAATACTGTCAATCACTCCCAGGTTGGCAATGTCTTCATGCTCGGTGCAGCTGGACCTATAGTCGTGGCTTTTGCAGCCTATTTCGGACGATACCCTGTTCTTTTCTGGTGGACGCTGTTCGCGTTGGCAACGGCAATTTGGTGTGCAGCTGCACAAAGCTTCGAGTCATTCATGGTACGCAGCTTTGAATCAATATCACAAGCATCAACACTAACACTATCAGGCCGCCCGTATTCTCAATGGATTCTTCTCAACAGTCGCTCAAGGCGTAAGTACCCCAGATCTCCTACACAACTAAAGTTCTAACCATCTCCAGGGCGGATTGATGTTCGTTAAAGACATGTTCTTCCTCCACGAACACGCCCGCAAGATCAATATCTGGTCCGGCTTCATCATCCTCTCCCCATACATGGGCCCCCTCTTCGGATCATTCATCGTCAATACCCAGATTTGGCAATGGGCATTTGGCGTCTACGCCATCGAAACTGGTCTCTGCCTTATAGCCATTATCCTTTTCGTGGATGAAACATACTACGATCGCAAGACGATCCAGCCGGAACTCGTTCCCAATGGTCCACGTTGGCAACGTATGCTAGGTATCCAGCAGGTTCGCACAAAGTATATCAAGAACTCATTCAAGGATGCATGCATGCGGCCTGTTACTATGCTCCGCAAGCCTGTTATCGTTCTTATCGTTATAGCTTATATGCTTATGTTTGCGTGGGTGGTTGGTATCAACACTACGCTGTCGATTTTCCTTGCGCCAAAGTATGGATTTGGAGCTAAGGCGATTGGTATGTTCACCATCAAAACTCAGACCAGGTACCTATTTGGGTATGAGAGTTATTAGACTAACATTTACAAGGTTTCTTCTACTTCACACCTATAGTAGCAGCTATTATCGGTGAAATTTGCGGCCACTGGTTGCACGATTTTATCGCAAAGACATACACTAAGCGCAACAACAACCACCTCGATCCAGAAGCCCGACTTTACGCTATCTGGTTCGCCATGCCCTTCCTTGTACCCGGCCTGATCCTCCTCGGCTTCGCGCTCGAGAGACACTACCATTATATGCTCGCTGCGCTGGGATGGGGGCTGTACGTCTTTGGTATTATGATTGTCACCGTGGCCGTGAACTCATATGTGCTTGATGCGTATCCCGAGGCGAGTGGAGAGGTTGCGGCGTGGGTGAACTTTGGAAGAACAACGGGTGGGTTCATTGTTAGTTACTTCATGGTTGAGTGGGCGCAGAAAGAGGGAACTATTAAGCAATTTGGGACTATGTGTGGGATCGTGGGGGCGGCGTTCTTTATTGTGCTTGCATTGCAGGTTTGGGGTAAGGAGTTGAGGGCTTGGAGTGGGCCAGCTAGATTCAAGACTGCTTAGATTAACTACATATGAGATTAATTCGACTTCTCTGATTACGCGAATGAGGTGCAGTCTGGTTGTTGGATTTTTATGCCATTCCAAGTCATATCCGGTCATTTTTGACGATTGTAGTACATCAGAACATTAGTCAGGTCCATCGTATCGTGCCAGAAGCCAATATGTACTACTCGTGCTCTCTTCTTACACCCGAATCATAAAAGAAACACCAAACGCCTCGGCAAACTATGCAGCATGTTATCAACAATTTTCAATCTGAAGGCAAGCTGCTTCATGAAGAACAAGCTTTTCGTTCAGACCAGTGGCTGTTGGTCGCTGATCGAAGAGTCGAAGTCAGTGGAAGAGACGATGGCCTCGTTCGTGACAAATCCGCCAAATGCCAACACGGCGTGGAAGATCTCCTCGCCAGTGGGAACAATGTGTTCGGATGGAAGCAAGAATCCGTAGCTACCACGGTCTCGCAATTTAATCTGATACGAGTGCTTGGCATGTAGTTGGTGGTAGAACCAGTCCAACGCGCTACCACCCGAGGTAATGATGGCAGCTGAGCCCGCTGAGCCCGCTGAGCCTGAATTTAGTATGCCCTCGCAGGCAGATGTTACGTCGTATAGTTCCCCGGACGAGTGTCGAATTGCCTTCGCCAGGCCCAAGGCTAGTTCCTCGAGGCTTTCGAGGGTCGGAGGTACAGAAGAGCAGGTGTAGGAATAAGGATACAGAATCTGCTGTGAATAAGAGTGCAGATCCAAGAAGCCCACTATATTCGCACGACCGCTGGAGGTCTCATTCATTGCCCACTGGGCGAGTCGATGCGATTCAAGAGCTTCGAAAGGCTCTGAGCCAGCGTAATTCTCGTTGCATGGGTTTGACCGAGTTGATTCTCCATCCCACTCAAAGTCCCAGGCTCGGTCAAGGTCCACCCCCGGACAGAATGGGAGTCCGGTTGGTTGTCTGTTCTTCCGCCACAGACGATCTGACTTCCAAGTGTAGGCGTATCCGTCAGGGTTGAGCGTTGGGACTAGCACCCAGTCATAGTCGTCCAGAAGCTGTGTGACAGCGTGTGACAGACCATACTGGGTTATCAAGTTGTATGCGACGTAAGTGACGGTTGATGTGCTGATCCATTCGCGAGCATGCAGACCACCGACAATCACAATTGTCTTTCGCGGTTCTGCTGACTTGAAGTCCGCTCTAGAAGCTCCTAGTCGCAGGGCTGGGATTTCACGATTTTCATAAGACAAGCCGATGCTGGTGAATTGAACATGAGACGGAAACATTGATGCCATTAGTTTCATCCATTGCTCAATAACCTCGAGCGGCTGGTAATCGCGGAAGAAGACATCGTCGACCGTAGATACTCGACCATCCCCCGCAAAGCCATGTTCACTCTTCCAGCTCTTGGGATGATGTCTCGGATATGTGCTGTAGATCATGTCTACCAAATCATCCATGAGGGGGGTGTGGGCCGTGCGGAGCGAGGGAGGGAGCATATCGAGTAAGGAGGGAATCTGTCTCGTGGCACTTGATTAGACTAAAGTTGAGGCACGTAGCGATTGAAATCGCTCCATAAATGCCGCAGACGTACCATGTCATCTGTCAGACGAATATCTACATATTCCGCCGTGATAGCCCAGACATCTAAGACTAGCGCTTGTGATGCCGAGGCCAACGCCTTTGCCTCCTCCGGATGACGCAAGTGAAAGCGGAGAACCACGTCGGTCTCATAGCGTTCTCGAACGTTGAGTGGTGGGCCTGTGTGTTTGTGAGAGGAACAGCGACCGGTTCTCCAAACAGATTCGATGACCCAGTCGCGGAATCGGGTCCATGGGCGAGGCTCCGAGGCATGAGTAAGGAGGGCGGGTTGGGGTTGGGGAGGCGGCACGATACTGGAGGCCGCAGGGATGGCGGAAACCGAGGGAGTCAAGGCCCCATAGAGTAGAAGAACTGGAAAGAGACGCATCGTGGTGATAGATGCTGAAGACAGCCCTGGAGTGAGGTGCGGAGAAGAGGGGAAGCGATAGTTGATAGTGGAGAGTTAATTAGCAGATAAGTGGAACCGGATTAGGATCTCTAACAGAGAGTACAACATTAGGTTACCACATACTATAAAACTATGGTGGTGATCTAGGGACCTAGTCAATAATTGAATAATATTAATTTGACGCTGTGCTATTCCAATCAGTTTGTTTTTTTCATCTTGTGTTATTTAGTTTATATAACATTTGAATGATTCCATCGGGGTGTTCCGGTACAGACTAGGTAGCAATATTCCAAGCTTATACTATGCGCAGGCAGTTCGAAATACATATAAGCAGGTACGTGATACAATATTGATGAACTGTAGGGTAATTCTAGAATTTAGAATTATAATAGAAAACAAAACATGATCTAATGGTTCCAAGGTTGTTCATGCATCGGCAAGGTAGACCCTGTTTAACATTCCCCAGAAGTTCTAGACTCCGGTTTGCCAGAACCAATAAGACCATGAAATCACTGTGTGTTCTTCCTCCGCGCTCAGGGCACCTTGTTCTCTTCAACGTAACTCGTCTGCCTTACCCCTCCCTGATTGTATTTTGTTGAACTTGATTCTTTCTACCGGTTTACCCGTGATAAAAAAAAATACGGAACTAGTGGTGTGGCGCGCGAAGCCCAGAACCATCCCCCTTCCCGCGTTCCCCTTTTTGCAAAGCTGACGACGGGCCTCTCCACCGAAATCCCACCGCGTTCTGGAACACTCCACGTCGCCATGCTCTCCTAGCCTCAGGACCTTGCCTTTTATCATTTTCAAATCTCATACCTGCAAACTGCAAGGCACCGACCACGCATGGGTCTGATCGCTTCGGTTCTTCGTCATGCATTGGAAAGGCTTGCGGCTTGTCGCCGATAGCTCCAAACGTCAAAGTACCATTGAACCCCAATCCCAGTCCCGCCGCAGTGAGCATTTGCCACGTCCAAGTCCGCCGGTGTCCGATCCGAGACTCTCGGAGTCTACTGCCCGCGGTCCAGCCCTGCCCCCGATCGATGGAACGGACGATTCGAGACTCGGGGTGCCCACTGATATTCCAGACCATGGGGTCGCCGAATCGGACTTCGCGGGCCCCTCATCGGGAGATGCCCCAAGCTTGCGACGCAATCGATTCAGCTTCATGAGGTTACGACATGCATCCGACCCGCAACTGTCCAAAAGCTACGCCAAGGCTGGTCAGCAGGAAGCTCCACCAATGCCCTCCTTGCCGCGTAAGTCGATATCGGGATGGAAACATGATGATAGACTTGCAGGAACGCATGGACGACTAACGATTTCTTGTCTCAACCCTGCAGCTCCTAAAATCATCACCACAGCCCCCACCAGCCACGATCTTGATCAGCCCACCAAAGAACTACCCTTATTCAACAAACTTCGGCCGTCATCACGAAAGCATTCCATGGAAGAGCTATCCCGCAATACAGCAGAACAGCCTGGGATGAAACCATCACGGAAGCACCAAGGGTCAACCGACTCGCAGGTCGATTCCGGCCTCTCGACATTCCAGGGTAGTATGGAGGAACCAGGGCGACTTTCAACAACGTCATTACGCAGTGGAAGTCGAGACCAGATGAACTTGAACGATTCGCAGCGTTCCTCAGTGACGGACCCCCGCTTCTCAGAGTCATCTCGTTCAGATCAGAGCTACGGTGACCAGGCCGCATACAGCAGCAACTCCCCGCGAGACGGCGTAGGATCAACATCAAGCGCCAAGCGAGGATTCCGTCTACCGCGATTGAAGCGGAATCGCAGCCCTCTTTTCCCCCTTCCTCCGAAACCCCCGCCGGGACAGTCAATCCTTAATGGCCCCAAATTCCCACCGGCAGATACACCTAAATCCGATGGGTCTGCAGACCATGATCAAATCTCCCCTCTCCCCTCGCCGTCTCGCTCCTCTGTGGGGCTTAGTACAGCAGGTGGCCACCCCACGCTATTTCGCAACGACTCCACAAACTCGAACCACTCCGCTCGATCCAACCGCTCTCACAAAGGTCGAGGCAGATCGTCCACTATGGGGTCACTGGCCGAAAACCAGGACGACTTGTCTCCAGTTCCATACTTGGTGTCATCGGGACGGACCTCCACTTCGACGACTGGTCGCAAGAGCTTCGGTGATCTTTTCAGTATCTCTCAGCGATTGAGGCAGAATTCTGAGCCCCCAATTCCCCGCAATGGGTCACCTGGCCTCGGCGGAGCGTCAACTCCCATCTCGAAGCCTGACTTACCGCCCGTGCCGGAGAAGGAAGAGGGCGATACACCAGCTAGCTACTTGACAAGGCTTGAAGAAAATGTACCTCGAGGTATGGTTGGTGGTGTATTGTCCCAATCAGGCGACGAGTTCTTCAAGGTTGCTCTACGGAAGTACATGCGGTCGTTCTCTTACTTCGGTGATCCAATGGACATGGCCATTCGCAAACTTTTGATGGAAGTCGAACTACCAAAGGAAACACAGCAGATAGACCGGTTTCTGCAGGCTTTTGCGGATCGATATCATGAGTGCAACCCTGGGATTTTCGCAACCACAGATCAAGCTTACTTCATTGCTTTCTCAATATTGATTCTCCACACTGATGTGTTCAACAAGAACAACAAGCGGAAGATGCAGAAACCCGACTATGTTAAGAATACCCGTGGCGAGGGTGTCTCTGATGACATCCTTGAGTGCTTCTATGAAAATATCGCCTATACCCCGTTCATCCACGTGGAAGATGCCAATTTACGCGATCGTCACCTTGCCAAGCCCCGTCGCGCCTTGTTCAAGAGCACCAGCACCGAGAATTTAGCTCGTATAGCACGCGATCCCGTTGATCCTTACACTTTGATCATGGATGGAAAGCTTGGGGCACTGCGCCCAAGTCTTGGAGATGTGATGAGTCTTGATGATTCGTACAATCATTTTGGAACCGCCGGCCCGCCAGATATGAATGACTTGCACCAAGCTTTTACAAAGTCTGGAATCTTGCAGATCATATCCTTGCGTTCTCGTCCCGATGCCTTCATGCACGCAAGCATGATGAACCCTGCAGAATCAAATCCAGGCCTGGTCGATATCAAGGTTGCGAAAGTTGGCTTGCTTTGGCGAAAAGACCCGAAAAAGAAGCGGGCTCGGTCACCCTGGGCTGAATGGGGCGCTGTTCTCACCTTCTCGCAGCTTTACTTCTTCCGCAATGTCAATTGGGTGCGGTCCTTGATGGCACAGCACGAAAACTACGTGAAAAATGATCGGACAGGCACACTGGTTTTCCGGCCACCGCTCGCTGAATTCAAGCCAGATGCCATCATGTCCACGAATGATGCCGTTGCTCTGTTGGACACAAGTTACAAAAAACACAAGTATGCGTTCAGTTATGTTCGCCAAAATGCATTGGAAGAGATATTCCTTGCGACGTCCGAATCGGAGATGAACGATTGGATTTCCAAGCTCAATTATGCAGCAGCATTCAGAACGACAGGTGTCCGCACAAAAGGCATGATCGCGACGAACTACGAGGGTCAGCGATACCGTACGAGCCAGCGGATTGATGACGCCTCGCTCAACTCGCAGTCAGCGGAGAAGGAGCCTGCATCGCCAAGCATCGCCACTGATATTGTTGCCGAGTTCGTTGCTGCCCGCAGAGAACTAATGAGCCAGAAGATCCGAGAAACGAACGAAAAGCTCTTCGTCACGCAGAAGCAACTTGAAGAACTGTTGCGGAATGCCCGCCACCTTCAAGTTCTGACTCCGGTCAATCCTCGGGCTCGTGAAAACGTCATCATGGCTGCAGGACGAATGGCAGCAAAGCTCAAATGGGTCAGACAGGATCTCTGGCGCAACAAGTGCTATCGTGAAGTGCTTCTCCGAGACCTGGGCGAAGATGATAGCTTTGTTGAGGGACGGGCCAGGTCCATTGCCGAACCGCCGACATCTGAAGATGCAGCCCGGCTTGCCTCCATCTCGGGACATTCGGTGCGATCCGAACCTGGTGTCCGGGCTCCTAGTATCGTCCACACGGCATCTAGCCATGATACTCATGAACCACCTGTGGTATCTGTTGACCAACCTGTTGATCTTGGCCTCCTACACCAACCATCCACGGATGAGATGCGCCGCCCAAGCCTCCCGGCTTCGACCACCTCCTCTGACGCTCTTCGTATTGGTCGCCCGCTTTCTATTGCCGTTATGCCAGACAAGCTATCCGACGGACAACCTCAATTGGAGCGTGAATCCTCAGTTCTCAGCCGTGGCAGCAGATTTGATGGGGCCAGTCTCGGCTCTCGAGCATCTAAACTCACCTCTCCCGTGAGCTTCGATGAAGGCGAGGAACGGCTTCTGAGAGAAACTGGCTTGTTAGATCTGAGTGGCTCACCTCCACCACGGAAACAGTCCAGCAATGTGGCCGAATCGGAAGGCGAGGGCAAGCAGGATGAGTCTGCAGACGTTTCTCAAGGTGACAGGCCTAGCCGAGTGCGACGCAGTCTCCACCGTACACTTCGTGATTCACACCCCCACGTTCCTCGTCATCACTCTCGTAGCAAGAAGAACCGGGGATCGGTGTCAAGCATCCCGACACTTGATGACGACGAAATTATGAAAGATGGTGAAATTCTGTCACGCAAGACACCCAGTTTCACCGTTCATGGTAAAAAGGCGTCCATCATCACCTTTGGATCTGAGTGGCAGAACATGCCCCCTGAGGAACGGCTGAAACTCCGGAAACCAACACCCTACGAAGAGCCGCGAGCTTCGGAGCCTGCTATACTTGGCAGCAACGAATTGGCCTCTTTAGATCACACACCAGGCGCGCGGCCTCACTCTATTCGAAGTGCGAGCACGACAACCAGGCTCAGTTTCTGTAGCGACGATGAGCCGAGCGTCGACTACTTCAAGGACGCTTACGAAACTTTCGGTGGGGAACTGGCAACACCCACCATCGAAAAGGATCTCTCAAATCTCTCGGTTCCACCCGAGGAGAAAGACCCAGAACAACGTTCGGAGGAGAACACAGCCCGTCCGGCCTCAAGTTCTGGGTCTGCGATCTTCGGTCCCCGCCTCACAGCAACTGATGACAAACCCCCTTCATCCACCAATTCTCTCGGTGAACGAGCTGTGGACACTCCCTCCTCCGAAAACCTGCGGCAACAAGCTGTAGGAGCATGAACATCGGCTTGATCACTGCCCATATCCCTCCCACTTCTCTTTTTCCTTCCTCTCTCAACCCATCACTTGTATAGCCATACCCTTTCTCATCTGCTGTTTACGACTATTATACCCCTTTCAACCATTGCGGTCTGCTTCCTTGGGTTTCTTTTTTGCATTGACGGCCACCAGCCGATCTCGGATCTCTGATTGTTTTCGGCTTGAATTTGTATTTTCATTGTGGATTCATGGAAAGCATTCATTGGTGCGACGATTTTTTATCTTGTTCAATCTACTTCTAGCGTCTCCCTATCTGCGTGTTTGGGAGAATCTCGACTCTTGCATCGCCCTGTCCCCTTGAGTGCGAATGTCATCCATTAGTTCGCATGGGGTTGTGGGCAACTTCATTAGACAACAAAACTCATTTACGATTGATCATCTTGACTGTGTCCATGAGTTAGTATAACATTTAATGATGATCGAAGAGAAGTTTTATCTTCCGGCTGAGCCTCTAGTCTGATGATCATAATGACTTTGGTGGTACGCTCTCTGGCACCGCTTCTATGATATGAAAGCATTGTCTACTAGACATAGATTCATCATAGATATAATATTTGTGAATACTGAAGAGTCAAATAGTCAAGTCTATCGGGTTATACGCTAGAGATGCAACCCGTCTCGAAATGAGCCATGCCACGTGAATCTTAAAGAGATGCTCATATTTCAAATAGATTACGGTATTACCTCTAGGGCGTAGGCTATGCCTAAAAAAATGCTCACATAATTTATGACGATAAAGCACTTGTGACTCAAGGCTATATAGCTCCTGTCATTATTGCTTACCGTACCTTGCCAAGTAGCAAAAACACGGGACAAAATGAAAGTATCCTATGATTTGTAGATATAACCGTGATAGATCGACTAATCATTTATTAGTTAGCTTAGTGTCTACGAAAGCGGTCCCAAGCGCGGTCACCAAACTGACCAATCAGCATCTCACAACCAGATAAGTCCGCTCAATTACGACATCCAACATCCATCTCCAACTTTAATCTCAATTGCCCCAAACACCTCAACCTCTAACCTCAGCAAAAAATGGCGCACTCAAAGCGCAACACCTCCCTTCCCCATTTCACTTCCTACGAGCGTGGCCTCCTCCGCGACAGCTGGGGCACAAAGCGCAGCGTAATCGGCCGCGATTCCTTCCTCCCATTCGCATCCTGCAAATTATGTCTCCAACCAGCCCGCACGCCCGTCGTAGGCTGTGCAACAAACGGTGACCTCTTTTGTCGCGAATGTGCGATCAATGACCTACTCGCTCAACGACAGGAGATCAAGCGTCTCGAGCGCGAACGCGAGGATGCTAAGAAGCGGATTGCGGAGGATGATAAGTTAGTGCTGGAAGAAGCCAAGAAGAAAGAATTGGCCGATTTTGAACTCGTTTCTATGGGACTGGAAGCTGGTGCGAAGGGTGCGAAAGCGGGGACAAAGAGGAAGGCGGAGGAGAGTGAAGCTGTTGCGGCGTTTAAGGCGCGCGAGGTTGTTGTTGATGGGAAGCGGAAGAAGATTTTCGAGCTTGATGAGGCCGAGATGAAGAGGATTTCGAGGGAGGAGCAGGAGAGATTGAAGGAGGAGTTGAAGAAGGAGAAGGTTTGTTGGATTCGAGTACCATTGAAGATGGGATTGAGGTTGATCGGATCTACAGTTCGAGTCGAGCAAGTCGGCGTTACCGTCTTTTTGGGTGCCATCTTTGACACCGAATACGGATGCGGATGAGATTGCTGCTAACAAGACTGTGAAGTTGGCGCCCATATGTCCTGGGTCTTCGGATACGAATAGACATACCTATTCGCTTAAGAGTCTGGTTGAGGTCAATTTTACAGAGGAAAAAGGCACCGATGGATCTACGTCCAGAGTGTGTCCCAGTTGCAAGAAAGCTCTTAGCAATGGACTTAAAGCTATGCGTATGTATTTGGCAATTATTCGTTGGATTGGGCTAACTTTCCTAGTCACTAAACCGTGCGGTCATGTCATCTGTTCGCCTTGCGTTACGAAGTTTATGACTCCACAGGATACGCCTGACCCCCATGCTTCCAAGGAAGAACAGGAAGCTCATCGGAAGGTATTATGTTATGTTTGCGAAACAGACATTACGCCAGATGCCACTATAGAGAAAGCGGATGGAAAGAAGAAATCTAAGAAGAAGGATAAGGAAGGTATCAAGCCTGGTATGGTGGAGATCAGCTCTGAAGGAACGGGTTTCGCAGGCGGCGGCGGTAATGTGGCTACGAAGAAGGGAGTGGCATTCCAATGTTGAATGCTGCGAAGAGAAAGCTGTACAAAAAAACGCGGTCTTTCTATTGAAGGGCTCAAAAATACCCATAACTTGCCCGAGGGCCAAACGCCCGAAACCATGCAATAACCATGTCCTTGATATGTATACACAGAGCCATCTGGCTAAAAATATGTCCAAGCCCCAAGTCAACACAAGTCTAAGCAAGCTTCTTCTTGGTGTTGTTGAACTCGCGAACGGTAATGTCGCACTTGACCTCCTGACACAACCGACGACGGCGGCTGAGGTCAAGCTTGGCCGCAAATTCCAGACCAGAAGCCCGCTCCAGGACCTCCAACGGAACCTCAAAGCTCGACAGACTCGTCTGGTTGTTAATGCGAGCATTAGGCAAAACGAACGCACCAAGCGCAACCTTGCTGTTCGGCCCACCGGTACCATCCTCACCATAAATGACCTTATAGAAATGAGTCGGCACAGCAACGTTAGGCGGGGTACCGATCACCTCATAGTTCACACGCCATTTTCCATCGGGGTCGCGATGGGGCAGGTACAGAGGTCCAGTGACAACACGGACAGAGGGGTACTTCTGGGTAAGATTTCGGCAGAAATCCTCAAAGTGAGCCCAGTAATCGCGGTTGAAACCCTCGCCAACCTGCGGACACATGTTGCTCAGCGCAAAAGTGCCGTCCATAGCCTCCTGCGACCATTTCGCATCGGCGGCTGGGACCTGGTGTCCGCGGTCATATCCAGAGCGGAAATAGTCGCTCAGCTTGGCGCGGAAGATAGCCGGGATGGAAGTATCTTCGAAGAAGGTGCTGTGCTTGCGGTCGGCGTTCTTGATCAGCAGGGACTGCGGTGTAATGTGCTCGGCGACCCAGGCGGGATTGCGGGTGCGACGGTCGTAAGCGCCGTGTAGAGGGAGGGAGGATATCTCGTCGGCAATGGGGCCTGGGAATCCATATTCAAGGACACCGGCGGGATCGACAGGGCCGATGGCTTTAACCTTGACTGCGAGGGTAGGAGTTTGAGTGGTCGTGGGAACTTGCACGCTGATGCTGGAGGGTGGGAGTTGTTGTTGTTGTTGCTGCTGTTGAGGGCGAGCAGGCTTGGAGTAGAGGAGTGCGGTGACACCGGCACCGGTGGCGGCACTCGCGGCCGCGATGACGGCCAAAGTGGCTTTGGACATGGTCGCAAAGTGAGGTGTTTGGGGTTAGAGTCGGAGTCGGAGCGGAGGAAGAAAAAAATGGAGAATTTGGCGCGGATAAGCTAAAAGTAGTATGGGGAACTTGAGAAGTCACGGGCCAATCAATAAACCACATGCACTTTGTTTACTCGTGACCTATAGATCGGAATCATATGATAATCATATTGAATCTAATCAGCTGGGAATTCTAGCAAATCAGATGTCCAGTCATGGTTCTCGGTGATCTGCAGTGTTGCCTCAGGAACGTTACGGGTTGGACAGGCACTTGCATGCTGCCTTATATCCAAGTGTTGGATATTGTCAAAAGTGAAACATCATACTGTATGTGCTTCGCTTCACTATCTATGATTGAGAGAATAAAAGTCACACACAAGATTGCGTAAAAACAGGACAAATAAATTAAGTGCCTAATCTTAGTACTTGGTGACTTACGCTACCCCACACGACATTAGTACGTTTAGTGTAGATAATCTACCTCACCCAGGTAAAGGTCTTCAAATGTTATATCTAAATGCACAGTTTATTTCTAAATTGTCATCTGGGTCATTCCTATAGTAACGTTCCATATACATGCTCAGCTTTGAAAGGACTTGATTGGTCATTCATAGCTTCGAGGGGGATAAGGCCAAGGCCTCTGAGGACCTTGGGAGGCAGATGGCCTGAGACGCTCCTGCAGTTCATTGGAGAATAAAGATGCAGGAATCTGGGGCTCTGGCCTCTCCTCCCTTTCATTCCCACTTCTCTCGTGGGTTTGGAATCGAAGAGACTATATCTACTATAAGAGGAAAGAGGCGAAAAGAGCTTTGACCGCCAACAGATCGATTCCTGCTTGAATGTGACTTTTGGTTACATCACCTCTCCCACCTCACTATGGCTGCCAGCAACGACCTTCGGGGCTGGGTGATGAGCGGTGTCTCCGGCGTGGGTAAGTTTGTTTTATCTTAATGCCAACTAAAACGAAATAATTAACAATTTTGGCAGCTTGTGTCCTCGGAGCCGCCGTCATCTGCGCGGATCTGGTAGTGCGGCGGGTTACCAACGATAAGACCTTCCAGATCGCCAACAGCAATAATTTCCTGTCGGCCTCACTATGTCTGAGTGCTGGTGTGATGGTGAGCTGCTCCAAGCTTGTCGATGTTGTGCTTCCCCCAGGTATCTAACCAATCGCAGCTCTTCACCTCTCTATATAGCATGCTCCCCACGTCGAAAGAATACCTCACACGCGCCGGCTTCTCCCCCTCCGCTTCCGCATATATTTTGATCGGCTTGTTTCTAGCTGGTGTGATTGTCATTAGAGTTGTATCCGGCTTTCTCCACCGCTTCATCCCATCGCATGTGGTCGATTGCGCCCATACTCATTCTCCGGAACAAGATCCCGAGCGCGGAGAAGGTCAACTGGGTGCACACAGTGACCAGCATAGCCATGTCAACGGTCACACGGAGCGAACCCCTCTTCTGCGACCGACCCAAACCCAATCTTCCAAGTCAACACCGGTAGTATCGCAACGGACGGAGCCGGCGTCGAGAGCCGTCAAGCGGGATTCGTTACGCAAGATGCTTTCGCGGCGTTTCAGCTCCCTGATGGGTGGTGTGAAGGACGTTTGTGACGAGGACGGACCGTGCTACGGCTTTTCGCAGACATGTGGCCAGGAATGTATCAAGGTGCTCCCCAAAGCTAGTCCGCCACTCACCGTCCATACCAATGAGGTCACGCGTCCGTTTGTTCCACACCATCAAAGCATCGCCGTGCAACTGGATTCAGGCCGAGACCCTGCATTGAATACGGCTATTGAAAACGTTCGGACCGCGTCCGACTCGGGGTATTTTGACGTCGTTTCTGCCCAGCATCCCGTTGACCACGCAGAAGTTAGTGCTACGGCCTCTTCTGCCTCATCCCAGGCGCATGTCCACCACCATTCGGATGCAGCTAGCCATCAGCATTACAACCAAAATTCTCATAATCATGAAGATCGTGAAGGCCATGATGACCTCGATCATGCTTCCAAGCCTGCGGCGGATAGTGTGCATCACCACCATGTTCCACAAAATGCCTTCCTCTCCATTGGCCTTCAAACCTCACTTGCCATTGCCTTACATAAACTCCCAGAAGGCTTTATCACATATGCGACCAATCACGCCAGCCCGACACTTGGACTGACTGTATTCCTCGCCCTGTTCATTCATAACATCGTGGAAGGCTTCGCCATGGCACTGCCTCTATATCTAGCCCTTGGTTCCCGTTGGAAAGCTATGTTCTGGTCCAGCCTTCTCGGTGGTATCAGCCAACCGGCCGGTGCTGGCCTCGCCGCTCTGTGGATTTGGACCTCGGGGCACTCTGGCAATGATAAGATGGGGCCGTCCTGGGGTGTGTATGGAGGCATGTTCGCCGCCACGGCCGGAGTGATGACCTCTGTCGCCTTATCGCTATTCAGTGAAGGCTTGGGACTGACCCACCGCCGAAATTTGGGCATTGGGTTTGCAGTCCTTGGTATGGGAATGATGGGCGTGAGCTTCGCCTTGACGGCTTGAACAGTTTTCGATTCTGATTGCACATTCACGTTCGTTTTGCGTTTCTGCCCCGCTATATGAATAAAAAGAAAAGATCGGTGGCTGGCGTTGTATTTGTCATTTCGGGAGACCTTGCATATTGCATGATGCATAGGAGTGTGGTACATTGATATATTGATATGCAGGTATTGCTTTTATATACCATTCACTGTACTCGATCCAGAGTTTTGATACTTGGTGCATCAGACGAATTACGAACAATTGTTACTCAATTCATGTCCTCATATGATACTAGAGCCCTACGGCCTCATACAAAAGTTATAAAAGAAAACTGACATTGACTGAACTCAACTATCCATACAATTTGGTCATAATCATCTCGTCCTTTTAAAACAAACCCAAACACCAATAAATCCACTGACAATTTGTTTCCATCTCAAACTACAGCGCTTGCACCGAGATTCTTCTCGCCCCAGAACCACTCATAATACCAGTTCCACTCGACTCCCTCAGATGATTATGATGCATCTGTCCCTGATCATCCAAGTCGTCAATATCAATGCTAAACCGTCTAGGCTTAGACCAAACTCCAAACGACTCTCCCTGCGCCTCCCCAACACCCTTAATCTGTCCAGACTTCAATCCAAACTTCTCCGTAACCTGCGCAACCAAATCCGCATGCGCAGACGACCTAGCAGAACTCAAGCCCGCACCACGACTCTGAGCCCGACTAAGCAACTCCATATGCTGCATAGCCGTATCAGCAGCCTGTGGATGCGACGTCGCATCGGAATCACTAAGCAAATCATGAAGAACACCTTCATGCAGCGTAGCCGCAGAAGCATGATCACCCGATGCAGTGAACAGTCCCGATAGAAGTTTCGTCATTTCCAACGTGACATTGTCGTAGCTGCCCCAGACTTGGCGGAGGTTGTAGCAGATATCGCGACAAAGCTGGATTGAAGAATCGATTGCGCCTCGGCAGAAGCGGGTTTCGACTAGGCGGCGGCCGATCCAAACGACTACGTCTGGTGTCCAGGTTCGTTGGACAATACGGGATGTCCAGAGCTGGGTTAGGATTGCCTCAAGGTCATCGAACATCTCGAATTCGCCTAGCAGGGTAATAATGTCGTTCAGTTCGTGGAAGGGGAGGTCGACTATTTCGAAGCCGAGGGTCTTGGCTGAGGCTAGGAGTTCCTGAAGGAGGTCCTTTGCTTTCATGGACATCTCGCTGGAGAGCTTATCATTCTGGCAGCGGGTTGCTTGGTGTCCAGTTAGGTATAGACAGAGTTTTGAAGCGGTGATGATGCTATCGTAGCTATTCAGACCATCTGTCAGGTGTAGGAATGAATGCAGGACGCCTGTAACATCACTTGCTTCCTGGAACTTGCCAGAGTTACATAGATCGCGAACGAGACTGGTTGTCGTGTTCAAGATACCCATGTTGTAGTTCTCATTCTGCACCTCACGCAGACAGATACCATAGAACTGCTGAACGATCTTGCGATCCGAAATCGCAGTCGCGGATAGCGTAGTGCAGAAGTACTCGTACAGTCTGCTACGAGTCTCCGTCGCAACACGAGTACGCTTCTGCTCCGTCTGCAGGTACGTAAGACGCTCACCAGTAATAAGAGTCGGGATGAAGTCGTGACCGGACAGGCTCTTGGTAAAGGTCTGCTGAGTCTGCATCTCACGGGCCATCTCGCTCATGATCTGTTCGTAGCTTGCGCGGCGACCGAACGCTTCCTCGAAGGCAGCGGCGAAGACGGCATCGCGCCGTTCTCCAAGTGCCATGGCTGAGGTGTCAGAGCCGTAGACTACACGCTGGCGAAGCTCGTCGAGCATGCTGTTGCCACCGTCAATGAAGCCGCATTCTAGGTAGATCGCGGCGACCTTGTGGGCCCAGTCCCTCATTGAGTCGGATTCGCCGCCGGAATGGAGGACGTCCGTCACGTATGTATGGAGGATGGCGCAGCCTTGCTGGACGGAGGCGTGCGTGCCCTGGCGGGAGTGCGCGAGGGCTAGCTCGCGGAGCCAGGAGAGCGTCGTGCTGGAGAAGTAGCCCTGGGTCTTCTTTGCCAGCTGGAACTCTTCTGTGTAGAGGGAGCGGGCTTCCATTGTGGAATCGCGCTTGCGGACGAATAGCTGGGCGAGCTTGTGCTTGAGCGTGATGGGCAGTGGTGCAGTCATCTGGTCGAGACCCTTGGAAGACTGGGAGGTTGGCACCCACTCGCTAGTCTGGAATGGCTTCTTGTAGAGTGAGATAGCCTCGTCGATATGCGAGTCGCTGCTCTCGCATAGCTCGGCGAAGAGCAGAGTGGCGCTCAGTGTCTTCTGGCTCGTGGGACCATAGACGTTGCGGCAAGTCATCACGTACTCTGAAGCGACCTTGTATTGCTCAGAGAAGTCGGTAAGCTTGGAGCGGGTAGTGAGAATAGTCATATATCCAATGTAGGTCTTTTCCAACATCTTCTCGATTCTCACGCGGTCGTAGCTGGAGGTCATATTGTCCTCAACAACCACGGTAGGCCATACGTGGCGGTAAACATCCAGAGCAGCATCCCACTGGAGCTCCTTTTCGTACAAAGCAACAAGTGCGAGAGCAGCTTCAAAGCCCTGGGGTTCAACCTTGCCGTCGCGGGTGGTGCACCTGTAAATGCGCTGGTATGTGCTCTTAGCCTCGTGGGTCATCTCCAAACGACTGGCAAGCGCAGCCTCGAGGTAGAAGTTCTCGATGGTATGCTGGTGAGTCTCGCCTAGTCTCATAGTCAAGAATTCGCTGACCGAGTGCAGAAGAGTCAGAGCTCTGTTGAACTGGAAGGTTGTCTCGTAGAATTCAACAACGGCCTTAGCAACAGCCAGCACCGAAGGTACGGGGACTCCATCTGAGGAGACGAGAGATCCAAATGCATTCTCATAGACAATGGTAGCCTGCTCCAGATGCAATCTGCGGATGTGGCAGTATGCCAGAATCAGAGCCAGGTCTGCTATTGGAGGAGCCAATTCGGCCGAGAATGTCTTGTGGTTTCCAGCCTGCTCGACTGTAGGCCATACATGCTGCAGGACAGCTTTGGAGCAGTCGCTCGCCTCCACCCAATCCTCTTCGCGGACATAGATGCTGGACAAATTGTGGCACAGGATCAATGTGGCCACAGTGAGGTTTTCGGAAGACGAGGTGATGGAATCCAAAAGCTCAACCATCAGTCTGCGGTCTCTTCCGGAAAGAGAATGACTGTCCTCGATAGAGACGGTGTTAGCCATGCTCTCTGCAAGGGACAGAGCCAGCATCCTCGCTTCGGCCGAGTATTCCATGTTCATCTCCTTGTAGTAGCGCCACGTCAGAATAGACAGGGAGCGATCCAGGCTGTACATGTGCATTTCGCGAGTCTCGGCGCGAAGCAGCTGCACGCGCTGCATCATTTCCGGAGAGTGAACACCAGTGACCTCGAGGTCTGCAACAAGCTCACGGATTATGACCTCAGCCTCGTCATTTCTGCCCTGGCGGCGCAGGAACTGATAGTAAACGAGGGCAACGTTGGCCTTCTTGTCCATCATGTCAACGGAGTCGATGTCCCGGGAGTTGAGACCAGCCCACAGGCTGGAGAGTACACCCTGTGCTTGGGCATTCTCACCCTGCTGCTCGTAAAGCTGGGCCATGTACAAGGTGTACTTGATACGGCGCTCATCGGTGACCTCCATCGTGCGAACCACATTATCGTACTTGGTTCGTGCAATGTCGCGGCTCATCTCGTCGCTACCAGTAGCAGCGAACTGGCTGGTCAAGAAGTCTGCAGTCTCTGAGGACTGACTCGAGTTTGAGCCATATTTCGTGAGAATCTGCTGGTAGAACTCCTTCGAGATGGTAAGAGAAGATTCTTGCTCGCTGCGGTAACTGTACATTTCAGTTACTGCGCCAAGGTACTTCAAGCGCTGAGCAAAATCAACGCCAGTGATCTCAGAGTCGGTCAGGATCAAGTACTTCATGATGTCCTCCTGTTGTGAAGTCATGGTACCTCGTTCGGTGAACGACTGGGTCATCATCTCGGCACATGCCAAGGTGATCAAGTCGGACTGGCCAAGGAGTTCTTGGCTGAGCTTCCAAGCTTCGTAGCAGTGCTCATCCGCATGGCTAGCGTGGGCATACTTGGAGACGCGGGCACTGAGTAGCAAGCTCTGCAGAAGTGCCAGTGACTTCTCGCCTAAGACCAAGCGGCGAATGTCTGTCGCCAGTCGGTATAGTTCGACCACGCTGGATCGGGTGAACTGCGACTCTCGACAGGTCAGTTCAAGACGAGCAAACAGAACGGTCGCTGGGACCAGCTTTCTGAAGCTTGCGTTGAATGAGAATTCGCCTTCATCTGTCACCAACTGCGAAGACAGAAGGTGCGAAAGCCAGTATCGTGCCGTGTATTCCAGAATAACGTATTTGTCGAAGAGACGGTTGCGCTCTTCCATACCCAGCTTATTAATAGATACATCAGTCTCTTCTTTGACGCTAAGCTGCACCCATGCAAGGCATCTGGTAAGGAGGTCATAGTGGGATTCCTTCAGATTAAGCGGTGCTGTGGCGCTGGAGGACCTAGCTTGATTGATGATGTGGTCGCGAATGCAGGTGTGTGCGAAGGAAACAACACCATCACGTGTCATCACAATAGGACTCAATGATTTGCTCCATCCACTATCCTCACGAGAGAAGCTAGACATGAAGGTTGTCGTTTTCGTGTCAACAGCCAAAAGTTGTTCAACTTCTTCAACCAGCAGAGGTCGCTCAGCAGCAGCAAGCCACGACAGGACATATTTTGCCTCGTTCTTGCTGAGATCCAAGTTCTTCATATGGAAGTCAAGCATATCTTGCATAGCCTGAGGCAGTGCTTGCACAGACTGAATAGCCTGGCCAGGGGTTCTCTGCTGTCGAGCATACTCAATGGCCATCTCCGCCCAGCTAAAGGAGCCCTGAGATCGTTTGACAATGGTAGCTACAGCAGTATCGAGCTGGTCACTATTTCCGGTTTGGGATTCAAATGCGGATACGATCTTCTTGTGGACGTAGGCCTCCAGGTCAGCTTCAGTCTGGGATGCATGCACCATGAAATGCTGAATGCTCCGGGAGCTCATTCTCGATTTCAGAGGTCGGGTGAAGACAATCATCTTTGAACCCTCATTCTGCTCAGCCAGGACTTCGCTGAATTTGTCCATGAATTCAGTGGCATCGGGGTCTCCGCCCTTGATTTGGTCGAGACCATCAACGACGAACATGTACTGAATATCAGATTCCAGTCCAGTGCGAATGCCTTTCCACAGACTATCTTCAACTTCTGCTTCTCCCGCACCATCAAGGGCACTTTGAGCGGCCTTGGCGACATGGAAGAGGATATCCTCCTGGATGCTCTTTTCAATGACGCAGTGGTCCAGCATCTGGTGCAAGATACCCTTCAAGATACGTAGAGGCAAAGTGGCAACGGGAATATCGGCGCCTGCACATATTAGTTTGAATTTTTGGAAATGGGACTCTGTACTCACGAATAGTGTAGGGAATCACATTCCAGCCTTCGTGATCGGAAGATTCCTGCATTCGGTCGACAGTCCACTGTGCCATGGCACTCTTACCACAGCCGGCTCCACCAGTAACCAGCATGACAGGAGGCTTGCCCACAGTGAAGTCATAAAGAGTGTTGTTAAACCACTCGAAGGACCCCTCGGCCAAAGTATGACTACGGGAGTCAAGAATGAACTGAAGAGGACGATCCTGCACGCCGAGGAACTGTCGAAGGCTGCCAAGCTCCTCACTTGACCAGATCAACGTGCTCTGCATCACAACATTGGATGTTGCAGCCTCGACGATAGCATTCCAGTGCGTCGAGTAGCGAGTGGCGTAGGTCACAAAGGCCGCATCAACGTTGTGGCTGATGACTGTATCAAGCTCCTTAGCCTTGAATCCCTCAACACAACTGATAGTGGTGCTGCAGACCAGCTCTAAAAGATCGGCAAACACGGCGGCAGCTTCAGGCTGGAGCTCCGGAGATGGCTTGTATACACTCTCGTACTGGAGGAGCAGACGAATGCCCACAGCAACACGGCCATATCGGCCAAAGACGCTTTCAAAGAGATCTGTGTTGTCGATATCAGACTAGCAGCTGGGTTAGTAATTTTTCCATACTTGCCGAGGTACTTCATTGGCTTACCTCCAGGAGCATAGTTTCGAAACCCCAAATCAGCTTCGCGGCTTCGTTTGCTCCAGGAGCGAAAGCACCGATCGACTCCCGTAGATTATCAACTGCATATGCCAGCCGGGAGGCCCATCGAAGACAGCAGTCGAGTCTACTTCCATCGGCAGGCATCCAACGGAGACGCTCTGCCGCCACTGAATCAAAGAAAGCATCCACAGTAGGGCTGCGCTGACTGATTTCGCTAGCAGAGCCACCCAATTGGGTCTTGCACTTCTGCGACACGGCATGGACCTTCTCTTGGAGTATAGTCACCTTGTAGCTAGAGCTACCCATGGGCATCATGGTCCGTGGAGTTCCGGAGGCCATTCCAGCATCCTCGACTGATCGATTCGCCTTAGTTGCCATAGGCTTGCGACGGGTAATGGGGCGTTGGCCCGTACCACCCATACCACCCATGCCACCTTGACCAAGTCCTCGCTTGCCGGTGGATCCTTGGCCAATGGCTTGTGTGAGACCTCCGCCAGACACGCCTGACATACGAGCCTGTGTTGTTCCTTTGCTCGTCTGTCCCGCTGTACCAGCTTGTTGGCTAGTGCCATCTTTGCTCATATCACTGGCGCCACCCATAGCACCACCACCGAGGGCCGAACTGCCAATAGCAGTTTGACTGGGCCCTCCTCCCTCCCGCATAGACTTATGCTTCTCATGGTGTCTGCCTTCTGTGCTGAGTCTCCTCTTCTCGGCAAGCTTTTGCTCGATTCCTGGGGAGGAAAAAACATGACCGCCTGTCGAAGTATTCTGCAGACCATTCTTATCACCAAACACATCCGAGTCGATATGTGCTTGATTGTCGAGTTCCTGATTCATCGAATTGTCGCTAAAAGTTCCGCCAGCAACACTAGATTTGCCCATCATTCCTTGGTTTCCGGTCATGCCTTGGCTTCCGGTCATGTCTTGAGTGTCGGTCATGCCTTGGTTGCCAGCCATACCTTGACTTCCGGTCATGTCTTGAGTGTCGGTCATGCCTTGGTTGCCGGTCATACCTTGACTTCCAGTCATGCCTTGGTTGCCAGTCATGCCTGGACCCATGCCTCCAATACTAGATGTCTTGGTATCTGATACAGTAGACTTAGACATTTTGGTATCTGATGTAGTAGTCTTAGACGTGCTAGCTCCTCCAGTGGTAGCTCCAAGTAGATCAGCTCCAGTGCTTGTACCCATTGTTCCGGCTCCAGATGCAGATCCAGAGCCAGTGGCGCCCACAAGATCCTGGCCTGTATCTCTTTGGTCCATAGATCCCTCCGTAATGGGACCCTTCTTGATGTCGCTATTCGGGCCAAAAGTACTTCCACGGTGGCCAAAGAGACGCTGGCCAACGTCTTCGATGTTTTTCTTGCTGAAACTGTCCTTGTGCAAGCCAGTTTGACCAATTGCCTCCGCCGCGTCTCCCTGGTTGGCCGTGGTTCCAATATTTTCTCCCTTTCCAGCCGTATCTTTCAGAACGTTCATATTCTCAGAAGGCAGGTTTGTCTTGACCTTCTCTCCCTCATCCATGGCTGACTGACCAATACCGCTTTGATCAGTGGCCTCCTTTGTTGTTTCACTTGGGCCGGTGGTCTCCTTTGGTGTTTCTTTGGGAGAGCGGGCCAAAGACAATTTTCTGCCTATTTTCTTATTGAACCAGGAGCTGCCACCTTGGCTCACCTGTTCGGGTTCGGGTTCGGTATTCATAGGATCGGACATGTTGTAGGCGTGTGTGTGTAGTTGAATAGTATCAAATATAATCGAATATAGTAGTAGTACGTGAGACGTGTGACGCCGTCAAAAAGTATAGATTGAAATTATCATAAATCGTTGAGTTCAGTTTTCATAGAGATAAAGAAAAGGGAAGGAACTACGCTAGGCTCAGCGGGAATAAGTAGTAAGTAGCCAAACTCAGCACCTCCTTCTCCTATTGCATCATAAATTAATTCGGCCTTCCCGAAAATAACCCCCATCACCGAGGGGGTCCAAAGAGAAACTGAGGGTGCGGTTCGAACCGGCCGGTAGTGAGCCATGCCATGATTTTGCGTCCCAAGGGCTGCAAGCGGATCAACTGAGCAATTGAGAGCTGTGATTGCAGGAATACCAGTATGGGAGTAAAGTCGATGATGCGCGAGAGCAATTATCAACAGCTTGAGTGGGTATTTCGACCAGGTGATGTCCCCACTTAAACCTTCTGCATCGTCACTGTTTATATCGCAGCTAGAACAAAGCTAGCGTGGCTTTAGATTGAGGTTTATTATGCGAGATCTAGAGTTAGTAAGGCCTATATTTGCAATTGACCTCAATTGCTAGCCGCAAATATAAGAGTGTGGCCATTGGGGTTGACATCTTCTCTTGGGAGGAAACACCCATGACGATTGTACAAATTGGCCTTATTGTATGGATGTGGGGTAATTGTGAATGTTTTGGAGACAATGGAGCACGAGTGGACGGGTGTGCCACATGAGATCCTCTGGGTGACGTAAAGACTTTCTTGCTCTAAAAAGCAGCAAGAGAGAATCCAGTTGGTGGTCGTGTGGCCCTTAGTCATCCGGGCGCCTTCACCTCGATCTAACCTTATCCCAACCCCGCGATCCATGGATACTGTTGCTGTGAGGTCATGTCCCCCAACATATTAGTTCTGGACAGATGTCAATCCCGAAGGTCCCGGCTACTCATGAGATCATGTGTCTTTGTTTGGATGCTGATATTCTGCCTTGTGCGACTAAGGATATCAGTCCCCAACGTCGGCTAGGAGATTTTGTGGGCCATTTATGTCATGACATTGGCTGAAGAGTGTTTCTACAGGTTCAGGATTGCTCGCATGATGCATTTATTAATCTCATCGAAATCAGTTGTTAATCGAGTGATCGATCGAATCGATATTTAAAAAAAATTTCAAGTCGTAGCAGGTCTTGGATCGCCCGTCACTTGAATCATGCGGTCATTGCTATTGGCCGACCTGGTTTTTTTACACATGCGCTAGATTGGCATGTAGATTGCATGTCATCCTGGATTATATCTTGCCGTCTTAATCGTAGAGACACGCCCAGGTGTCGACATCTTGGGACCTCGAGAGGTCACATGTGCGTCGAACGTTGGATCCATTGGAAGGATATATATCCGGGTCCGATAATCTACTATAGATATATATACAGCGCAGGCATTTAAGATTACTGGAGCATTCCAACCGCACGTTCTCTGCCTTTTATGTATGTATCGTTCCAGAATAACAACCATACAAATTTATTCTGTTCTATCGACGCTTTCACTTATTGGAAGTATAAACTAGATTTCATGGATCCTTAACACACAGGGACGTAGGAATATTGTTCAACATGCATCTGGCATCATAAAATAGTAGACTGCGAAGGATTCGAATTCATATGCGCAAGCAATATGGACCTGGGCGACAAAAATTGCTTGTCAAATGCATTCAACCTTGGAAATACTGCCAGGTTTATCTCTTAGATACTCACCTTGCAAGTACCTAGACGCCCCCCAGTCTTCTGGGCACTCAGCAGCGTCCAATATTGTATCTCGCAACCTTGAATTGATGCAAAGGCGGTCTACCTATCTCCTGGAGAATGGTGGTTTTCATACGGTCTACTTTGGAATCCTTGTAAGGTTGAAGGGCCTCCTGAGGCAGAACCCTCCAACCACCCAGGCATGACAGAATGTAAGATCCTCTGAATCCAGAGTACCACCTGGGCAGAGGGTCCGGCATGCAGAAACTACAGAGGTGATCTGGATACCAGAGCACTGTAATCCCAGAAAGCCCAAGCCCATTCCATCCCACAGTGGCACAATGTCTCCAAAGCTCACATCAGAAAGGATCTCCCAGGTCTAGGCACATACACAGTTGTAAAGCAAGATTCCACTCAAGGATCGGAAATGCAATGCATGGAATAGCCTATGTACGAGTCAAAAGCGACCATCCCAAGCGCAGCCTACCAATAAGCAGCTCGCTTCTAGCCAGAACTTTTCATCCTCAGGCCACCATGTGGTATTCATCCATTTCCCATGTTCCACCCCTCAAAAAACCGATCCGTTGCCGAAAATTCAAAATGAAACGCAGCATGATATCATCCGTACAAGTAGCCAGCCGTATCTGGTGAGCCTTCGTTTCGATGGGGCCGTAGCGGTGTCGAGTTTTGCGAATGTCTTTCAAAATCGTAGAATCCGACCTCCCTCCACGCCTCGGGGTTTTTGTTTATCAAGATGCGTTGATTTAAGCAGCACCGGGGTTGGGGTTCATCTGTTGGGCGATTTGTCAGCCTTCTGTTTCTTGTTCCTGTTTCGTGTGTATGCATCTGTATGTCGGGAGAATGTGATTTCGAGTTCTCGAAAGAGTTTTCTTTCGTGTGTGGGTGTGGGTATTGTGCGTTGTGTGGGTAAAATCAGTCGGTATGTACCTTGCGCTTGCCACCGGTCATGACAACGTTGACGAAGCGGCGGGTGTAGAGAACACGCTTGTAGGCGCGGCCCTTGGGCTGCTTCTTCTTCTCCTGGGGCTCAACCTGGATTCAAAATATTCGTTAGGTTGGCGGTTCTGTCGGGCATCCTGGCGGCGATGAAGATCGTAGTGGCGCAGGAGTTCGGGGGTTTGCTGGATAACTGACCTTGGGGGTGGCAGCCTTGACCTTACCGGCACGGGCGAGAGATCCGTGAACCTTACCCATATTGGATGATTTTTGGCGATGAACGGACTGGGATGAACGATTTGTTGAAGGGGGATGGAGACGATTCGCTCTTTGACGATGGAGTTGCAAAATTGGGAGTGCGACCGTGTGGGGCGGGCTTAGCGAGTGTGCGAGTGTGGGCGGCCGGATAAATGAGTTCTTCCGCTGCTTTTTACAGCGAAGGTCATGTGATCTTTGACTCATTGCTGATGTCAGCCGTGGTTCAGGGGCTTCTCGGGCTAACCCTTTTGGGTCCCCGGGACTCAACTTTTTACAGAGAAGTTGATTGGCTGATCAGTACTCCGTTCTCATTTACTACGGAGTATATTAATTAACTATGGGAAGCTATTAGACACCGCTCGCAGAAAGGGACTATTAAAGTATCTCATCACGTCCTTGACCGGTGCCGAATTTTGCAAGGCCAATCATATGGCACGCAAAGGTAATGATTGGACCACTTCCACTCTTGCTTGGGGTCTACTTGCTCAATATCATAATCCCGGAACAAAGTTGCCGCAACCTTTGATATTTCGAAATGAGCGAAGTTTCGTCCAGGGCATGCGTTATATCCGGCGCCCCACTAGGAAAGAGATTGTCAAAAGAGAGTTGCATGTCAAGAAGTTGGGGTATACACACATGGATCATAAAGGTGCTCATTTCCGTGGTATCTTTTTTATACCAGCGGTCTGGATTAAAGCTTTCACAGTCCTCGCCGAAAAGTTCCGGGTTGCGGTGGAAGACCCATGGATTTACGCTTAGGATGGTCTGAATTATACGTTAGTGAAAAAGACCCACAGAAATCACCAATCCTGGAGATGAAGGTGTTTGAGGTAGGACATTACCCCTTCAGCAAAGAACATATCACCAATCGTGATTCCACCCGAAGGAGCGACTCGCGGGTACCCCACACCAATAGCGGAATGGAATCGATATGTTTCTTTTATCTGTTTGGTAAAGTTAGACCCATGTCCCAAAATGAATGCGTTGAACATACACAAGCTTGAAGAAAGGGTAACTGCTGAGTCTCGGCATATTGAACAATAGGCGAAAGCTCCCCGCGAGACTGGGCAGCATCGAGTTCGCTTCGTAATCGATTCAAGTATTGAGGATTTCGAATCAAGTAATAGAATAGCGCCTGCATCGTTGTTCCAACAGTATCTCCGCCAGCCGCAAGAGTCGAGACAGCAGCGGTAAAAATCTCGATTTCTTCCATGCGATCCGGATACTGGGCCCGCGTGTCAAGCCACTTCTGCATCATATCAATTCGCTTTGCAGGATTTTTCTGACGTGCCTCTATTGCGGCATTGCAAGTGTCGAATATATGAGATGTCGGCTGAATGCCCAGTCGACTGAGAAGTGGGTTCCCTAGTGTCAGGTTATGAAACCAGACATAGTAGCCCATGATAGCCACATATGGAGCCAATCTTCTTGTGTTTAGGATAGCATCTCCAACGTCTTTACCTTGTTCCAGAAACCCAAATGATTTGGAGAAAATGACTTCGCCCGCGGAGTCATATGCGAGAAACATAAGCCACTGGTCTAGTTCAACTTGCTGTTCCGACTTGCAATAGTTGTCCAGACGGGAGGTCAGGAGCTGAAGGACTGTGTCAAAGTGTGCCTCGTGTTGAATGATGTTGGACAGAGCGTATCCCGAGGCAACATTCCGTTGTTTTTGAATGTGTCGTTGGGGATCCAACTCTGACATCTGATTTACATGGAGATAATCTGGAAAACTGATGATCTCATACCATGGGCCCTGTTGTATAGATGGTCAATGCCATGCCCATACATGTATATAAGTGAAGCAGCCTCCTTATGACATCATACCTTGGCAATTGGAGCATGAAGAAGTTGTCGAATAGCATCTGGATGTGAAACGCTGACTTCATTTGTCGCGATGCGAACAAAATGACCTTATATTCAACGTGATAAGTTTGTATACTTCAATATGTCCGCATTTTCTTGGAGTTTGCGCCCACTCACCATGCTTCTTGTGTAATTTAATTGTTTCGGCCTCGGTATGTCCTTTCAGAATCTGCAATACCAGCCAAAGATTTGAAAAAGAAGCCAAGAAAGGACCCGGAATATCTTTGATCGGTGCCCAGTATCGCCGGAAGAAGGCGCGAGCAACTACTACAGCGACAAAGGCCAAGGCCAGGTGGCCCCAGCTATAAGCTGATGCCATGAGATGTTGAAGTCTGCCTACCTAGAAATTGACTGGAACGGTAGACTGTAGTGCACAAGTGGGGATCCAAATGCCAGAATAAGAGAAAGGAGAGAATCATGGGGCGTGGAAGTGTAATTTGACGGCCTCTTATTTGACGTGACTAAATCCTGATAACTGACTAGTTAACTACCGGCGTTATCCCAAAATGACAAGGATTTACCAATCACTGAAGAAACCATAGAGGAACGTGCGCCGTGAGTGTACACTACCCTGCCGTCCCAAGAGCGCTGGTTGGCTACCGTTGTGTTGGGTGCTGAAGTCTAATCCCCGCATATTACATGTAATTTCTTCACAACTATTGGTTATCACATGTACTAGATCAAGGGGGGAATCTGGTTTTTCTTGATGTACGGCTGAAATATCATGAATATATCATGCAATTAATTTATACGCCTATCCGAAACTCCGCAATATACAACCCAATAGCCTGTCTAGACGCCCCAAATGTAGATTCGTATACGACTCGTATACACCGCTTATTTCCCCTGAGAAGGCCTGTCTCAGTTGGTATTGGCCTTTGCCTTCGCGGCAGCTTCCTCGCGTTCTTTTTTCCGAGCCAAATACCGCTCTTTGGCGCTGGAGACATCCCCTGCTGTCTTGCGACTGCGGATCTTTTCTGCCATTTCCTTTTGTTTGGCAGCTTCCGCTTCCTCCTCTTGCCGCGCACGCTCCTCCAATTGCTGTGCAACCATCTCGGTCTGGCGGGCCCGCTGAGCGCCACGGCCAGCCTGGTAGCCCGCAGGAGGCCCAGTCCGTCCCACTGGCCCGCGAGAAGCCGGTTGTGCGGCGGGGCCCGTTTTCGGCTTCGGTGCCACGTTTAGACCAGCAGATAGCAGTTGGCGCTTGTCCACCACTTGACCTTCGTCATTAACTGTAATACGAGCGCCCTGTGCATTGAGATCCGCTGCCTTCTGGGCTTCTGACTTTTCTCCTGACTCTGTCGCTGTGTCCTCGGTAATCTCGCCTTCTTTAACTCGTCGAGCTGCTTCTTCCGCAGCTTTGACGACCTCGTTATGCTTGGCCTCATCCCGCGACAAAACGTCCCTGTAGAAGCCGACCATACCAGAACCGCCATTCTTTTTCCGTCGCTCCTCCTCCTCTTTCTCCCGTTGAGCCTCCTCCTCTTCTAACTTGCGCATCTCGATCTGCTGGGCCTTATAGGCACTTGTAACGAAGCTTTCCTTGTCTGCAAACTCGTCGCCCTCGGCTTCACGCTCATGTGCTAGTTGTCGGTCGCGCGCTCTGAGCTGGTCTCGTTTGCGAATTTCAGCGCTGCGTAGCAAGTTCTCCATGTACTTCGGCACGTCACTCTTGCTTTCGGTCTTCGACTTATCGGGCTTGGCGTGCAAGCTATCGTAAATGGCATCGTAGGAGTAGATCGACGGGTCCAATTCTTCGGCTTCTTTGGCGTGCTGTTTGCTGCTATGTAGCGCAGAGAGGTTGGTGAAATCCTTGGGAGCACCTGCATCTTTTGACTGATTCAATCCGAATTGTACCCCACCCTGGCGTTCCTTGTCCTTTTGCTCGTCTTCCTCCTCGTCGTTGGCGAAAATCGAGTTCTTGCTTATCGGCTTGGAACTAGGCTTGCCCATGCCCAATTGCATCTTTCTTTTGGGTGGTGGTCCTGCTTTTGATGGTTTCGGGGGAGCTGGAGCGTCTAGGCCACCGAGGGTGGATACCTCGACTTCGCCGTTGTCATTTTGTTTGCCTTCGTCGTCAGAGTCGTCATCGAAGATGTTCTTGCGCTTTTGTCCAAGAGGATTTCCTGGCTTTGGGCCAGGCTTCTTGTTCGGCATATTGAGGCCAGTAGAGAATTGTGGCGCCATGTTGGTTATTGAGTGGGCCTGACCAGCCTGGAGGCGTCACAGAGCAAAGTGTATGGACTGGATAAATTGTCGCGCGCAGCTCGAAATGGGTGACGTGAACAAGGTGGAAGCCGCGATAAGCGATAAGAGTTATGTAAGCTGGTGCCTTAAGGCAACACTGATCCCACCTGAAGTCGTAACTATTGTGGAAGTCACAGCTCAGGATTTATGGATGTACGTTTCGCACCTGCTTTTCGACGAAACAAGATAAATGAAATAGATTCTCCGTCATGTAGAGTTGTGTTCTACAGATAATCCGATACTATGTCTTCGACTTCGTCCTACAGGTCCCTTTATTGCCTCCATACTGTCCAGAGATTTTGATAGATTTCAATAGAGCTGTATCGAAGGCCTCTTTCTCGCTCTGCCTATTTTGATATTCAGTGTGCTTGTGGGCTACTGGTATCTTCGTTCAATGCTGACAAAGTAAATTTACTTCCGAATCTCCACAAATAAGCTCACCGATTACAGGAAGAACGAAGCTATAAAAGATGCTCCAGACGAGAAGCGCACACAAAAAAGAAAACCCGATATGATGCCTTGCGTGATAGTCAAGTCAAGCAATCTGCCGGCATTCTTGCCAGCCTGCCCAGCCCACACAACTAATGTAGATACCACAGTGATCGTTCTGGACAACTTCGAAAGTGCCGGACCATAATCGATGCTTCCTCAGACGCGCAATTTGGAGATAAGCTTGATGATGGGAGAAAAATACTCATGGAGATACCCCGCCCCCCCCCCTTCCCACAGGCTATGTATGATCATAGAATATGGGGAATGTTGCTTTACGAGGGCGACGAGTTTAGGTACCCCGATCGGTATCCGTATACGAACACAAAAGTTAGTTTTTACTATCATAGTCTCACAGAGCGGGTGCTTCGGAAGTAATCATGTAATCATATAATCATGTTCAGCCTTAGGTTGTATGACCTTTCTGCCCGACGTCTGCATAACCCAAAATTAGAATTGTATATGCTCTACTTGTGGCTTGGCAAGTGCGACTAGCATTCAAGTGACTGGAAAATGGATATAGATCCGAGCTGATTCCAAGGTTTCTTGAGACATTGGAGCCATTTCTGGTTAAAGGAAAGCGAAATCCGCTTAGTTTAGCTTATTTATTTTGCACTGGGTCCGTGCACCTCACGTGGACTTGCCCATCGGCACTCGCCTGTTGACATTCTCATCTCATTCTGCACTTCCCCCGGAGTCCCCGTAGGCTCCATAACTCCACCTGTGGCGTTGCTCCGTAGTTCTCACTGTACTCGGCATTCTTGACCAGACTTTACAAGCCCGGCTACCTTGCCACTTTTTGGTTGAATCTCTATTTTTGAAAGAGAGGCTCCACGGTTGCGGGGGATTCACGGTGATGTAATTAGATCTCCGGAAATTTACTAGCAAGTAAGCTAAGCCGACGATCTGCCCGAATTTCGAAAGTGGTCAACTGCACTAAGGTACGCATGTCTCATTCGGCGGACATTTCCTAGGAATTTTCAGTTCACGCTAGTCATCCAGGGTCCTGCTATGCAGGGCATTGTGGCCGGGATTCCGGTAAGGACCAGAAGCCCGGGGTATAAATAAGGCACAAGATTACCACCTACATTCTGCATCCCCAGCCTGCTCTTTAATTTCTCCAGCCATCAACCGAACAACACATCCATTATAAAATAATCAAAACCACCCAACACAACCCACATCACAATTAAGATGAAGTCCTTTGCTATTCTGTCATCTCTCCTGCTCCTCGGGGCTGCCACCGCGCAAGAGATCCAGTCCAAGCCCTTCCATTTGGTCATCACTCAGGCGGCTAAGAAGGCATTGAACGGCGAGCAACTTTCCGCCTGCCACTCCGGCGCTGCCATCGAATCACTTTGCCTGGCTGGAAGTTCCGGTGGTCACTTTTACCTGAACCACACCAAGGGAGAAGAAGCTCCTATCAAGGGCAATGGCCTTCCCGGTGCTCTCATCTGGAACCTGCCCTACAATGGTGGTAAGTTTATATCATAAATTCCCGTTATGCATAGATCTATCTAACATGTCATAGATCTTGTCGAGTCCGAGCCCATGAGCTTCTACTCCGACCCTTCCACCAATGTCGCTATGCCCATGTTCATGCCTAGCTACGATCAGCAGGAGGTCTTCTTCAACAAGAACAATGTCATGGGTATCTACAGCTACCTGAATGATGCCGTTACTCCTCCTACTGGCGACACTGTAAAGGTGCTGAAGAACTGGTATGTGTGCGAGACATACTACGCCGCATACACCTACCGCACCTTGAACTGGGTTATGGGTAATGGCTCTCAAAAGCCTCAGAACCCCAGCTGCGTGAAGGTAGAGGTTGAGCGCAAGTTCTTGTAAAGAAGTTCTGGTCTAATGTTCGTCGATGGATTAATGCGTGATGATTTCTTTGACTCTTAGAGCGTGCTTCATGAGGTCTATGTATATACGATATGACTACCTGACTATAATAATATCTGACGTGCGATGATACTTTTGTCTGCTCCGCCTTACATCTGGACGGTTAGATACCCGAGTCCATGATTTCACTATTCCCAAGCTATACATTTGAGAAATACGTACTGTTCACAACCATGTCCTCAATTATCAAAATGCTCCATGCCCCATAATCCCCAGCTCTTAAAAGTTACTCCACAAACATAGCACATAATTCATCAGTCAACACCTAGACAGAAACAGACTCACCCGTCCGCTCCATCAAGCGAACAGGGATATTCTCCTGCCTCACAAACCACGAGTTAATAACCTTCCACTCATGATCCCGACTCGGCAGCTCCATCTAAAAAGTCATTAGCATAGCACAGCCACACCGAAAGAACGCCACTTACATCAAAAGCGCTAAAAAGCGTCGCAACAAGCTTGTAGCTCTCAAACTGCGACAGATACTGTCCATAGCAAGCACGCGACCCAGCACCAAACGTAAAGTCCGTACCCTTCATCTTCGCAAAACGTGCCTGGAAACTCTCATCCGGCTCACCGGGGCTTTGAAGCCAGCGCTCAGGAATAAAGTCATCGGTCTTTTCACCAAAGATATCTTCGTTCTTATTGATAACCCACGGGTTCATACCAACAATCGTACCCTCGGGAACGAAGCGGCCATCTGGAAGACTCAGGCCACCCTTCGGAACAACTCGCTCAAGCATAAGGCCAACACCCGGGTGTACACGCATAGACTCTCGCATCACAGCTTCGAGGTACTTTAGTTTTTGGATATCTTTCCATCTGGCCGGGAGGGAGAGGTCAGCGGCTTGGAGCTCGGCGCGCAGTTTCTTGTAAACGTTCGGGTGTTTCAAGACGTAGTAGATTACTGCGCACATGAATGCTCCTGTGGATTCACTGCCGGCTAGAACGTTGGAGAGGAGGTAGAGGATGACGGTGTTGTCGTTAACTAGCTCTGGGTCTTTCTTTTTGATTTCGAGGAATTTGGAGAGAAAGTCGATGCTTTTGGTTGATTCTGTGCCTTGTTGATAGCGTTTTTGGAGCTGTTCGACGCTGAAGATGTTTGCCCAGACGAAGGTTGGGGGTCCGATGCGCATGATTGGGTTTTTGTCGAAAAGCATATCTAGGAGGGGAATTTGGCAGATCTGATGTGGGGTTAGCTCGCGGATTCTCATTTAGACGGTTAGAACATACCGAAGCAAAGTAGTCGAGGGTCTTGTTTGATCTTCCGACGAATCCGCGGTAGTCACTGCCTGCATCGAGAATTCCGAGATCTTGAGAGAATGTGACCTGGCTCATAGCATCCCAAGCAACTATACCCTATTAGTAAATGGACAGGTTGATGAATAGAAGTACTCACAGAAGTTGATCCAATCAGTCATCTCGCAAGGCTTGTCAGTACCAACGAACTGCGTTCGGAGCTTTTCAAGCAACAAGTTGATAGTGATGTCTACATTCTCCTCGACTTCTTGCACTCTGCTCAGAGAGTACATACTCTTGATCGGACGCATGTAAGTCGAATGCCACTTCTCATCCTGGCTCGAGAAGAGATTCTTGTAACGGACGCCTCCGACAACAGCGTCATTGACGTTGTACATGTCACTCTATGCCGTATATCAGAAAACGGACTGGCTCATATTGCAACACAGCTTGTACTTACCTTGCGCCATGGGTTCTTCGTGGTGAACACTTGGCTCACCAAACTTGGATCGGAGAGACTGAGGACATTGGGGCCCATACGAACAGCAGGCCCATACTTTTGGTGCAATTTGTTATGAGTGATATCGCAACGACCCTTGAACACATCGTACATTCGCCAGAGATTGGTGAAACTGGCACTGGCCGGTCCAGGGAAGGACTTCAATGGAGAGCGAAGATAATTCCACAGGAAGCGAGACAAGAAGAGAATCGCCACTGAAAGGGCTAGATTCGTAGCAATGTCCACCGGCGAAACCATGATGTTTTCTGGGGTTGAACGCCAACAGTTCCTACAATCTTGGGAACAGAAGAAGTTTCAATTCCTGTGGAATTGAGACCTTGTTTTCTCGTCCTTCCCCCTCTACATAAGTAAAATTAGGAGCCCTTCGACTGGCTTGCCTCCATCTCCTTGGCCCCACTAAGAAGAGGGGTTCTGTGCGCATCTTGCGGGATTCACTTGCACGGACAAGTTCCAAGGTTTAGTGACGGGAATTAGATCACTAGGCCGCTAGGGCCTTGGTATGGTGTGTGTGAAGGAGATCAGCGGTTCCAGACAAAGTTTAGAAAGGCGAGCATCAAAGCTCAGTGGTCGGAGGTGATACAGGCACTATAAGTCAGCGATGGTGCGGAGACCTAGAACTCTCCGGACCACGCTAGTGTGCTGCAAGGTGATCGGGTGTAGTTCGACAGGCGTTAGGGACTGGTGATAATCATTGGTCTCTTTTCCACAGTGGCTATCCTGATACATAATCAAGAACATGGCGTTCGTAATCGTGCATTGATCCTTCAATCCTTGAGCGCGTATGCGAGTAGTTGGATTGCAGTTCGGAGAGATGTACTCTTGTGTGATAGTGCGAACATGCAAAGATGCTTGTCGGATATTAAGTGGATTTTGGAAGTGGTTCCCGCCCAATCGAAAGGCCGGACGTGAGGGTATTCCAAATCCCGCAGTTAGCCCCCATTGACAATGTGGAGATTCCACACTACGTCACGTTTTGCCTTGAACGCCAATTCTTTAAGCTTCTCAGCTGTCAGATGATTTTATGAGTGAGTTGGCCACAGTTGATAGATAGTCTCTATGGTTGGGGCGTACAGAAAAATTCAATTTTGTGTCCGCCGTTGCCTTGCTTATCATTGTGGTCAACTTGACATATCACATTTCCGTCTGCATAAGCGGCATTTTTGAGTTCGGCCATGAGTGGAGCACCCAAGAGGGGGCCCGTTGACTCCATCCATGGTGCGATGTGTCAAGCAGGAAACCAGAAACAGAAATGCAACGTTCTAGTCAGAGTTCTAATCAGGGTTCGCATATCCAGCCGTCTACTTTATTTTGACTGCTCAAATCCAGGGTAAGATCTGGAATAAAATCAGGTGTTGAGGAGAGATGGGGCTCGGTCCTATTCGCTGTGGGCCCGTAAGACCGTATCAGCTAAGCCAACACATAGGAGATTTTTTCCCCATAACTAACATAATTTCCCAATTTTCAATATTATGCAAGTGTCGCGGGGTTTGTGGGCAACTCCCATTGCCAGCATTAGCCTCATGCCGGGCATTGCCCGCGTCTGCAAAACACAAGCATCATATCAATGGTGAACTCCCCCGCGCATGTTTAAACCCCCGAACTGCGTAATATAATGTAAGCCAACCCTTCGCCTCTGGCCAAATATTATAATTGCTTTGTCCGCGCAACATCGCCACTGGGCAAACCCTTTCTCTGTAGATCACTGCCATCTTGCTTGCTTGCAGGTCGCGCTCAAGATCTGTCGAATATACTTATCCCTAGCATGATGATCTTCCTGTCAAAACTGGGAACGTCCAATTCGATTTGCCAGTCTAGCAGCTCCAGGGACATTGATAGGTCGACTGGCTGCTAATGCCGCCTATCAAAGTCCGTTCCCCGATCGTTCAAGGATTAGCATCGCAGCTATTATATTCGAACGCAAGGACCAAGGTTGCACTCCCGCGCGGCAGCGGGACTCGATAAACATCTTACTACCTGCGTGAATATTGACTTGTCATATCCAGGAGAATTTGCCTGGGGAACATTAATTAGTCATTGCATGATCTCTACTCAAATCGAATAATCTGAAATGATTGGGCCCCCTAGATGTGCTCCTGTCTAATACTTATTGACTGACTTTCTGCTCCTATGGACTCGGTCGTGTGCGCGATATTCATTCTTTTATTTACTCTCGTCCAAATTGTACACCTTGATAAGTGCTGAATTCATTCGAGGCATCATGGCTATGGATACTGCTGCTGTGGACGCAGAGAACCAGGGTCCGACCATTCTAGCATTATGCTGGGTCCTGGTCATGATCCCCGGTCTGGTACTTGGTCTGCGGATCTGGTGTAAAACTGCACTGAGTAACAGAGGATTCAGTGGATTCGGTTTTGATGACATGATTGTCCTATTCGCATGGGTTTGTCAATGCCTTGAAGCTAAGTTGTACTATCTCGCTAACCTCGATAGTCATTGCATCTGGTTTACACGGTTCTTATTACAAAGGCTGTGAAGTTGGGAGTAATTGGCAGACACGCGGCCGCCATCGAAAACCCGGATCACATTCCAGAGGCTCTCAAATTGGTCTACATTAGCTTCGTGATTCTGATCCTTGGTTGTGTGTTCAGTAAGACCTCTTTCGCCTTTACCCTCCTCCGCATTGTGACAAAAACATGGATGAAGGCTCTTCTATGGTTCATCATCGTCACGATGAACGCTATCATGTGGCTCTGTGCTGTGAGCTATCTAGCTCAATGTACACCAACTGCTGCACTGTGGAACACCAAGTTAGCGGCTACAGCTAAATGCTGGCCAACTAATGTTTTTGAGGACATTGCTCTCGTGGCGGGAGGTAAGTAGGCTCCTTGGACGTATAGATGAACCGATGCTAACGCTGGACATAGCTTACTCTGGGTGCATGGACTTTATCCTTGCTCTCCTTCCTTGGCTGATCATCTGGAAACTCGAGATGAAGAAGCGAGAGAAGATTGGTATTGCTCTCGCTATGAGCATGGGTGTTTTGTAAGTCTACCTGATCATCAATCAAGAATAGCCTTACTAACAATCCATCAGTGCCGCGATCACAAGTTTCATCAAGACTTCTAAGCTCGTCAACGTTGCTATGGTGCAGGACTTTACCTGTAAGAATAATCCTGCCCTTTCAGATGCATTTCCACTTACAAGAAAACAACTAGACTTCTGCTCCAGCATCGCCATCTGGGCCTCCGCCGAAACCGGTTTCACCATCTTCGCCGCCTCGATCCCCGCCCTCCGAATCCTCATCGTACGTATTCGCTCCAGCTACCAGAGGAGTGATGGAAATGAAGGCAACTACCCGCTCAGCAGCAAGTCCGGTATTGAAACAACACAAGAGGTGACGGTTGAGCGTGGCACAAGCGAGGAGAGGAACATGGAGAGAGATACGGAGGAGTATCATGAGGCTCATGAGGCTCATGAGGCACGTTGATTTCAAAGACTCATTGGGTACCACACTGAGTACCCTGTGGTAAATTGAGGTTTTAATCTCTTTTTATTTTTTTTTTCGATTCCTGGACTATTTTTCTGAAGCTGCCTACGGTCAATCTTTGTATTTTCTTTCCCTTACTATGCTATGATTACAGCGATAGTTGGATTCGTCCAAAAATCAACTTCCCTCAGATTGGACAATGCTCTAGGTAGCTAGGTAGATATAATTTATAATGTGAAAATGAATTTCGGGTTCTGCGGAGACCATAGGTCTACTTCTGTCCTCCTGTGTAAACGAAGACTCATAGTTCGACCAAGATTAACATTCTGACCCCATACTAAAGTAGCGGTAACTAATTTACACCAAATCATATCATGCCCAATTTCTCAAGCATTAAAGAAGAAGCATTCTAGTCATATGCCCTTACTCACCGACACGTATCCGGGCGCTTCCACCCACGGTCACAACTTTCATTGACTGGAGCCGAGGGTCGATTGAAGTGTTGTCTTTAAATAAGCCGGGGTCTACAGTACATTCTACAGTATGGTTTTGAATACATACCCGAGAAATTAGGCGGAATTTTAGCTGAGCTACAGTTACTTGCCTAGTTCATATAGGTAAGTAAGTGTCAGAAGATAAATTTTGGGTGTCGAATATTCCCTTGTGTATACTTTTGGGACACTGCCCAAGTGGTTTACAGACATTCACACCCGCAATCAAGCAGCAACATTCCCCCGCATAAATTCCAAAGTATTCTTTCCAAGCGATAAGCCAGGTATATTTATGAACCGTTGAAGAATTAAGCTTATACTTCAGTTACCTCATCCTAGCATATAGTGGCTCCGCATATACATCCGCGAATCACGTGCCCATCAAGCGGCAGGCATGTTTCCCCCCATTCAACTCCCCATTCATACCTCCGCACTCACCAATCCCGCCAAGATGTCATACTACTTTACCATCCTCTCACCAACCGATACCCCGATATTCAACATCGCCTTCGGCACATCCAAAAGTGGCGGCGATGGCATTGCCCGCTTCCGGTTCCCGGACACCGCGCAGTACATGAACCAATTCATCATCCACTCGAGTCTGGATATCGTCGAAGAAACCCAGTGGACAAATGGTGGAATGTAAGCTTACCTACCCCTCCAAATTTTCGCATTCTTTATCCGCTACCAATCCCATTCCACCCCCACCAACTTCCTGTCCAAACTAACTGGTAAACAAAGGTACCTCAAACATATCGATACCTACCCCCCAGCCGCAGCTTATATCTCCGCCTTCCTAACTCCCAGTGGAGCGCGCTTCCTCCTCCTACACCAACCCCCACAACTCCCCGCGAGCAACTCAAGTAGTCTCGGTGCGTCTTCGCTTTTGGGCGCGTCTGGTTCCACCACCCGTGCTTCGTCGAGCTCTATCGCTGCGAACCCGACTTCGCCGCAGACTGAGGAAGCGGTGCGCCAGTTCATGAATGAGATCTACGAGAGCTATGTGAAGACCGCTATGAGCCCGTTCTACAAGCAGGGGATGGAGATTCGGAGTCCGGTCTTTCGGACGAAGGTTACGGCCGCGGGAAAGAAGTGGCTGTAGGGATGCGAACTTTAATATGGGATAATTTTCTATCCTCATGGCTTTTATTACTCGAAGCGTGGCGTTTGGGATTGCATTGTTGGTTAGAAATCGTTTTTGTTGCACCTGGTGTTTGCGAGGTGGTCTGGAGTGCTATGCAGATACCTCTAGGTCATGGTTCTGATACTAAAAGGTAGATGAAAGTGCAAATTGTATGATACCCATATGAGAGCCTGGATTGCATTGGGCATCGAATGCATACTATGCCATGTCCGAATTTTGGACCCTCGAAAGACAAATGTGGCCGTGTTTGTGCCTGAAAGCAAATAAACAGTAAATCCCGAACTCGCTAAATCCGATGAAAAAACCTGGGAACCAGGATGACATGCGCTTTCAGTGCCATTATCGCAAGAAAAAGAAGCAAAGAATCAAGAAAGGACCCATCCCGAAACGCCGTCCGAATTCCTCCCATCGCGATAACGATCCGCTAAAAAAGAAAATATTCACTAGATGAATGATCATGCACTCAACTGAGGAGCAAGCTTTTTCATGGTGACGGACTTGAAATTTTCAAGCGCATGCACCACATCTTCGATCTTGCTGACGGCTCCGAAGATGCCGCCCTCCATCTTGACAGACTCAATCGTGCTGTTATGGAGCGCCGAGTCCGCGGCAGAAGTTCCATCTTCGAGAACCACACAGTCGAACCCCCGATCATTGGCTTCGCGCATGGTGGAAGATACACAGACGTCTGTGGTAACGCCCGTGATGATAAGGTTCTTGATTCCTTTGTTGCGAAGGAGAAGCTCAAAGTCGGTGTGAGCAAACGCGCTACGTCCAGGTTTGTCGATAACTGGCTCATTTGCGAAGGGGCATAATTCGTCCACGATATTCCAGCCACCCTCACCACGAACGAGCAGACGGCCCAATGGTCCAAGAGCGCCAATGCCAAGGCCTGAGGCATTGTTGCGGGACCGATGCGACTCCCGGCTAGAAAGGGTAGACAAATCTGGGCGGTGTCCTAGATACTGGATTAGTAACTCCCTCAAGGCATACTTCGCTGGGGCTGGAAGATACCTTCACGTGTGTGGTAGACCGGGAAATTAGCAGAGCGGAATGCCATTAGTAGTCGCTGGATCTTTGGGATCAGGGCCTGCGCTTCAGAGATATCATAACCTTGGAACTCCATGTAACCGCCGGGTGTACAAACTAAGAATTGTTAGTTCATATACTTCATATATCACAAATTACGATGTCGGTATACATACAGTCCTTTTGCATATCAATAATCACAAGTGCCGTGGTGTACGGGCTAAAAGAAGCATCATGGGGCCAGTCATATGGCATCGCAGGGAGTTGACCCTTGCGAACCTTGTGTTGAGGGATCTGGCGAGGCTTCTCGATCATGGGACCATGGTTATGGGTCGCATTGAGGACGGTAAGAGTCCAAATTCCAGGGGACCCAGCCGCGACCAGCATGAAGGGACAATCCATGAGACGCGATGTACGCCGGCGCTTGCGTGTCTCCTCAGTAAGCCCATTCCGGGGCCGGTAATGTCCACCACGGTCACAGCGCAACCACACCTTGGCCGTGCGACCTGGCTTTTTCTCGGTAGGGGTACTGGACGATTTCACGACCACATTATAGCCATGTGTCTTCCCATGATCTTGGACTGCCTGAAGTAGAGCGTTCCTAAAGCGCGAAAGCGGAGGTTAGTATATGACGTTGATTCCACGCAAGGGGACAATTGGGAGACAGACTTGTCTGGGTATGTTCCCTCAGGTGGGGGAATCAATTGCATGGCTAATTCAGGAATGTCCTGAAGGTCGCTGGGCGCGTCCAGGTTCAGATCGGAGGGGCTCGCCATGGCGGACTCAGAGGTTGACGCCACGATCTAAACGGTGTCTATATAGTAGGCTCGTCAGCACGGTATTTGCATACCCCAGCCAAGCCGGGTAGGCCTCGCCGTTCGGGTTAGTCGAGCTGTGGGAGCCAGAAGGGGATGATAAACAAGTGCGTGGAAGCAATCCCGACGATCGGTTTGCGATCGAACGAAGCCGTGCGTGGGCATAGCAGCTCCAGGTTGGACGGATGCCTTGGGAAGGGGGGTGAATGGAACAAGAGAGATGTGGGATATTGGGACACGGAGAGATGAGAATAACATACGCGCACGCCTACACACAACACCAAGATATCTCACCTTCTTTCGCACGAAGCTCTGGGGTATACCTCCAGCTCCAGGTCAATCGAATGGATCCAGACGCGATCGAGATCCACGACCTTGTGGCCTGAGGCTTAAATGTTACGTAAGGTGGACGAGCACAAAGATGAAGGCGGTGAAGATACTCCTGGAGGAAGCGTGAAGAGGGAGTGCGTGGAAGGAAAAGGTTCAGGCGGATGAAATGAAAGAAATCACGTTTTGTGTTTGGTGCGTGGAGCGAAGGGCCGTGGGAATATTCTGTGCGTGGAGAAAGGAAAATCCGGTGGCACGCATGGGTCTACAGATGTGGAGTTTACGGCACATCCGGTTGTTTGAACCACGCATACCTCCAAACATTATGATACTTCGAAGAAGGTATCGGAATTCAATGTTAGGATATTGATTGCATATTTAAACTCTATATATATAGACATTATTAGATTTAAATATTGCAGGAGGTGTAATAATATTGACGCATTAATCTATGGATGGATGGCTCAGGTACCGCAGCCCAGAATAAATATATTCAGCCCAACTTATCTGGGCCAGTGCTCATTAGGTACCACCTGGGCATCTGCAGGCGGACAGCATGAGGTGTTGATGCTATACTCTCGCAGTCCATCAATTAGAAGAAACGTAAGTCTGATATGGAGTAAAGTGACCAGGCTTCCCACTAAGTTTAAAGTAGATGCCAACATTGTCGAAGTAAAGATCATAAGAACGTGCATAGATGCATACGATTACATAACGTATCGTGGCACCGCTGAATATGGACTAGCGCATGGGGCCCCTGACGACAGGAAATCAACAATCTAATCAAGCCGCTTTGCTTTGCATCACAACAACACTGTGCCTTCCACCGTGAGAGTTCCCTCCCATGAAAGGGGAGCAATAAGGTAAGTTTATTTACTCGGGGCCCTCTTCGCGTTGGAACTTTCTTTCTGGCGCATACACTCTCTACGGTGGAGGGTGCTCGGCCATCACATTCCCGATCGCCATCGTCACCGCCTCGACGAGGGGCTCTTATCGAGAACTCACGGACCGGGTGTCGCGCACAACACCGGCGCATGAACTCGAAAGGAGGATCCTTTTTGGGTTTGAATTGTGCTGATTTCGACTCGGCCCTGAATTTGCTATAAGTTTGGTGAACCGGATCTCGCGGTCACCTTGTCTGTGACCCACCGCCGGGTGCCCAACGTGGGAAGATGCCTGCCGCCGATGAAGTACCTTCTGAGAAGAAGCACACCAGCAGCTCATACCGAGATGAGCTTGCGCACTACAAAGCCCAATATGAACAGTTAGAATCGGAGCTGGCGGACTTTCAACTATCCAGCCATGAATTGGAGGCCGAGCTAGAGAAAGACATTGAAGCTTCAGAGAAACGTGAGCGCCAGCTGAAAGAAAAATTGGATACCCAGCGGTACGAGGTTGAGGAGTGGAAGGTATGTTGCTATGATGAGGATTAATGTTTGATGCGACGCGGCGACTCATGTGTTTCCAGACCAAATACAAGCAGTCTAAATCCGAAGCCAACGCCGCCCAAAACAATCTGCAGAAGGAGATCACTGCTCTCCGCGATACAAGCCGTTCTCTCCAGCTGAAGTTACGTGACATTGAGGTTGCAAATGACGACTATGAACGACAAGCCCGGAATACAACATCGTCCCTGGAGGACTTGGAATCCAAGTACAATATGGCCATTGAGCGCGGAGTGCTGCTGGAGGAGGAGATACGGGCAGGTGACCAGGAGCGTGAGAGTCTCCGGATTGATAACCAACGTCTGCGCGATGAATTGTCCGATCTGAAGGTCGAGGCCGAGATTGTACAAGAGAGACTGCGACACGCTGAGGGACATGGTTACCGTCGTCGCAAGCCGACACCCCTTTACCGCAGCCCGTCAACCCCGCAGACCTTCGAAATCTTCGACCGCTCGCCTGGCACTGCCACATCTTCACCTGTGTTTGCAACACCACCAGCCAAGTCATCATTGGCATCTACCACTGCGACTCCTCCGTCGCCTCCCATCTCCGAGGCCTCGACCAACTTCCGCAGGTCTATCAATGCTACCCCTACCTTCCCTCGAACGAGAGTCGCGGGTGCAGATGCTGTCAACTCCCGGACCCTGCAACAAGCCAGAACCCAGCCTCGGCCGAATCATTCTCGAGCGTCGTCCCTCGCTTTTAGCAATGCGAGTCGCTCCACCCCCTCTGTCGCCTCTCGCACTAGCATGACCAGGATGAATGGCCCGCGCCCAACGGGACTGCCCAAGTCAGGGTCCTTGTACCAGATTCGGGGCCTGATCGGGAAGATGCAGAAGCTCGAAGAGCGTGTGCAATCTGCCAAGTCACTACTCCCTGCGCCTTCTGACACTTCATCCCGTGGTTCACCTCGTTCCGGATCTGTCGTGAGTGACAGCCCAGTCCCGTCGACGGTCACTGTGCGGAGAAGCTCCTCCAAGCGCTTGAGTGGGAGCAGTTATGGCTCCTCGGTACGAGACAGCGAAGGCAACCCGTCATTACCGCAAAATCGCCAGTCCTTCGGTGCAAGTGCACGGACCGGGGACAGTCGGCCCAGCAGCCGGACTAGTTACTCGAGCCGCAGTTCATTCAGCCAGAGCGTCCACTCCGGCGTACCCGTTCGTCCCGAGAGTCGATCAAGTCGTCCTGGCGCCAAAACCCCTCTCGGCCATTATTCTACGAATCCTACCACCGAAAGCCGACGCCCTCGCTCTTCTCTGAGCAACCATAATGGACAAACCCCTTCTGTGGGTAGTATGTCCAACATTGATGAGGACCGAGACGTCTCGAGCCCGACGACGCCGACCTCCCGCATTCCACTAGATTTCCGACGGCCATCAATTTCGGCTACCCCGGGATTGAAGAAACGCACCACTAGTGGCGTTTCGGCTATCCCCACCCCCCGAAGCTTTAAGACCAGCATCGGCCCGGGAGGGATGCCACCACCCGACCGAAAGCAGGCCAATGGGCTCGGCGAGACTTTTTAGAAGTAACGTCTTCCTTGTTTCACGTTGGATCTCCCGAAGTATGGTTCTTTCCGTTTTGGATTTGGCAATCTTTTCTTCTACTTGGACCATGCTATTTTCCGACTATTTGCCTGGACGCAAGGGAGATTTTTGTCCAGTTTCTTGCATTTTTGCATTCTGCGATCCACCTGGATGGTGGACCTAGACCCCTTCTGCGCTTTTCCTGTACAGATCCCTTTTTTACCATGACCGCGTGGAGGTGTTGCTTATGGGAATCCCAGCCGTTGTGCTGTGCTTCCTTCAATTTTTTTTTGTAGCCTTGGATGGAGTCTCAGGCGTCCCAAGCTGTGTCTCAGCAATCTTCCTTCTCATACTTTCCGTCGCGAGGCGTTTACAATACCCACGAACGATTTTTATGTCGAATTCTTCTTGTAGACTGTATACGAGGGTATCTTCTCTATACTTAGATTTTCTTGTTATTCCTGTTTTTGGTTCAGGTGTTGGGGGCCCATGTTCTATCATGTTCCTGCGCGGAGTTCCTAATCCGGCGCTGAGTAGTTCGTTATCGACCCCACGTTTCATCTCTTCCTTTCCCCCTTTCAGTCAACCACGTCATGATGTTCCTGAACAAGTGCCTGGATTTGGCCCGATTTTGAGTCCAGAGAAAGTTAGGACTTATTAATCTGACCATATTAATAGAACTCAAATTGCCTCCTTTGGCAACTTGATCAGATAGACTATTCTGTGTATGCTTGAGATACCGGGGTTTCCACAGATGTACAATGCAGCCACCAATCACGCCAGGAAGATATGGAAAAAAGCCACCGATTTCGGTATCCGAACTCGACGGAAACGAATTTCAGGGAAAGAAGTGTAGAGTCCAGTCGAGTCCAATAGAAGGTCAAGTGGGATCCGATTGGTCGGAAGAGAGTGGATCCGCCCAACACGACGTTGGTTGGGGGCATTTTGGTACCTGGGATCTCCATAGTAAACAGCGCTAGAAGGAGGTACCTGGTTGGGACCGACACTCCACGGGCCAAAAGCTGGTGGGGCCAATTCATTCCCAGCGTTAGTAACTCACCAAAAAAAAAATTGCTGAGCTACTTGTTCATCATGAACCCCGGATCACTTTGAATTCCGTTTTCTCTTTTTTAATCTATTTCTCCTATCCTCAATTTCAGGGCTTCAAAAGTGGTGGCTCTTTTGAACAATCAGTAAGTGTACATAGCAACCCTCCGTTTGCAGACCTACGGACCTGCGGTCCTGCAGAACTTCCCTTCCCGCCCCTGCTTCTTTTCCTTCTCGGCTTTTCTCCAAAATCGAGAAACCCCGAATTTTGGGCTGATTGCTGATTATCATAAGCAACAGATTCTTACTCCGTGACTAGCCACCGTCCGGAACTTCCCTGTATATTACTTTGTAACAGCAGCGCTGTTTAATACTCCGACACACTTTATCCTTTACCCCCCCGCATGGTCGTTGAGTCGGCCTAATTGATCGATACATCATGGGCGTCCCCAACGGAAACTCAGCAAACGGTAGCAGTATCCCGGCTAAAGATACTATTCCTTCACATTTCATCGGTGGCAACAACCTCGATGCCGCGCCTCCAAGTGCCGTCAAGGACTTTGTGGCCAAACATGGAGGTCACTCCGTGATCAGCTCCGTGAGTACTCAATTCAACCCCAGAAGAAGTGTCGGACGTTGCAAGGACCTCGGAAAGCGAGAGAGAAGCAAAGCAAATTAAAATTGAAACTGACAAGCGGGGTGTTTATTTTCTAGGTGCTGATCGCCAACAACGGTATCGCCGCCGTCAAGGAGATCCGCTCAGTGCGGAAATGGGCCTATGAGACATTTGGCAATGAGCGCGCAATTCAATTCACTGTGATGGCGACTCCCGAGGATTTGCACGCCAACGCCGACTACATTCGCATGGCCGATCAATACGTCGAGGTGCCGGGTGGCACAAATAATAATAATTATGCCAACGTCGAGCTCATCGTCGATGTGGCAGAGCGCATGGATGTCCACGCCGTGTGGGCTGGTTGGGGTCACGCTTCCGAGAACCCTCGGTTACCCGAGTCGTTGGCGGCGTCGCCAAAGAAGATTATCTTCATTGGTCCCCCAGCCTCGGCCATGCGCTCCCTGGGAGACAAGATTTCCTCCACCATTGTTGCACAGCACGCCGGAGTTCCCTGTATCCCGTGGTCCGGAACCGGTGTCGACGATGTGGAAGTTGACGAGCATGGAATTGTGACCGTGAAGGACGATATCTACGCCAAGGGTTGCACAACATCCCCAGCTGAGGGTCTGGAGAAGGCCAAGCAGATTGGTTTCCCCGTTATGATCAAGGCCTCCGAGGGTGGTGGTGGTAAGGGTATTCGCAAGGTCGACAACGAGGAGGACTTTGTCTCCCTGTACAACGCCGCCGCCAACGAGATCCCCGGATCGCCCATCTTTATTATGAAGCTGGCTGGAAACGCCCGCCACTTGGAGGTGCAATTGCTGGCCGATCAGTACGGTAACAACATTTCGCTTTTCGGCCGTGATTGTTCCGTGCAGCGTCGTCACCAGAAGATCATTGAGGAGGCTCCCGTCACCATTGCCAAGCAGCCTACTTTCCAGGCCATGGAGAAGGCCGCCGTCAGCCTGGGTCGCCTGGTCGGTTACGTCTCTGCCGGTACCGTCGAGTACCTGTACTCGCACTCCGACGACAAGTTCTACTTCCTCGAGTTGAACCCCCGTCTCCAGGTCGAGCATCCCACCACTGAGATGGTCTCCGGTGTCAACCTGCCCGCTGCTCAGCTCCAGATTGCCATGGGTATTCCCCTGCACCAGATCCGTGATATTCGTCTGCTCTACGGTGTCGACCCCAACACCGCCTCCGAGATTGACTTTGACTTCTCCAGCGAGGAGAGCTTCAAGACCCAGCGTCGCCCCCAGCCCAAGGGCCACACCACTGCTTGTCGTATCACCTCCGAAGATCCTGGCGAGGGCTTCAAGCCTTCCAGCGGTACCATGCACGAGCTGAACTTCCGTAGTTCTTCCAACGTCTGGGGTTACTTCTCCGTCGGTACTGCCGGTGGTATTCACAGTTTCTCCGACAGTCAGTTCGGTCACATTTTCGCCTACGGTGAGAACCGATCTGCCTCGCGGAAGCACATGGTTGTGGCGCTGAAGGAGTTGAGTATTCGTGGTGATTTCCGTACCACTGTCGAGTACCTGATCAAACTGCTTGAGACTCCTGCCTTCGAGGACAACACCATCACCACCGGATGGTTGGATCAGCTCATCTCCAACAAGCTGACTGCTGAGCGTCCCGACCCGATCGTTGCCGTTCTTTGCGGTGCCGTCACCAAGGCGCACTTGGCCAGCGAGGAGGGTATCGAGGAGTACCGCAAGAGCCTTGAGAAGGGTCAGGTCTCTTCCAAGGATGTTCTGAAGACCGTCTTCCCCGTCGACTTCATTTACGAGGGTGCCCGTTACAAGTTCACCGCCACCCGTGCCGGTCTTGACAGCTACCACTTGTTCATCAACGGTTCCAAGTGCTCCGTTGGTGTGCGTGCCCTGGCTGACGGTGGTCTGCTCGTTCTGCTGGACGGCCGCAGTCACAACGTTTACTGGAAGGAGGAGCCTGCTGCCACTCGTATCAGTGTGGATGGTAAGACTTGCCTTCTGGAGCAGGAGAACGACCCCACTCAGCTCCGCACTCCTTCTCCCGGTAAGCTTGTCAAGTTCACCGTGGAGAACGGTGAGCACGTCCGTGCTGGTCAGCCCTACGCTGAGGTTGAGGTTATGAAGATGTACATGCCCCTCATTGCCCAGGAGGATGGTATTGTGCAGCTCATCAAGCAGCCTGGTGCCACTCTTGAGGCTGGCGACATCCTCGGAATCCTCGCCCTGGATGACCCCTCCCGCGTCAAGCACGCCACTCCCTTCTCTGGACAGCTGCCTGACCTTGGCTCGCCTACTGTGGTCGGTACTAAGGCTCCCCAGCGCTTCACTCTGCTCTACAGCATCTTGGAGAACATTCTCCGTGGTTTCGACAACCAGGTCATCATGGGTACCACCCTGAAGGAGCTCGTTGAGGTCCTCCGCAACCCGGATCTGCCCTACGGAGAGTGGACCGCTCAGTTCTCGGCTCTGCACTCTCGTATGCCCCAGAAGCTGGATGCCCAGCTTGGTGCTGTTGTCGAGAAGGCTCGTGTTCGTCAGGCCGAGTTCCCTGCTAAGCAGCTCCAGAAGACCATTGTCCGCTTCATTGAGGACAACGTCAACCCTGCCGATGCTGACATCTTGCGCACCACTCTTCTGCCCCTGGTTCACGTCATCAACAAGTACCTCGACGGTCTTAAGGTGAACGAGTACAATGTCTTCATTTCTCTGCTCCAGCAGTACTACGACGTTGAGAAGCTTTTCTCCACCGGCACCAAGCGTGACGAGGATGTTATTCTCAAGCTCCGTGAGGAGAACAAGGAGGACATCACCAAGGTTGTTCACACTGTTCTCTCCCACAGCCGTGTTGGCTCCAAGAACAACCTGATCCTGGCTATCCTGGACATGTACCGTCCCAACCAGCCCGAGGTTGGCAATGTTGCCCCCTACTTCAAGCCTGTCTTGAAGAAGTTGACTGATCTCGAGGCTCGCTCCACCGCTAAGGTCACTCTTAAGGCTCGTGAGGTCCTTATCCAGTGCGCCATGCCTTCCCTGGAGGAGCGTCTAACTCAGATGGAGCACATCCTGCGCTCTTCCGTCGTTGAGTCCAGCTACGGCGAGACTGGTTGGGAGCACCGTGAGCCTGAGTTTGCTGCCCTGAAGGAGGTTGTCGATTCCAAGTACACCGTTTTCGATGTGCTTCCTCGCTTCTTCGTCCACCAGGACCCTTGGGTCACCCTTGCTGCTCTGGAGGTTTACGTTCGCCGTGCTTACCGTGCCTACACTCTGAAGGGTATCGATTACCACGCCGGTTCGGAGGTCCCCTTCCTGACCTGGGACTTCACCCTGAGCAAGGTCGGCAACCAGGCTGAGTTTGGCTCTGTGTCTTCCACCCAGCCCTCCGCTCCTGGCACTCCCACTGCCGAGATCCCCAGCCCCTTCAAGCGCATCAACTCCATCAGTGAGATGTCCTACATGGCCAATGACCCATCCACCGACCCCGTCCGCAAGGGTGTTATCATCCCCGTTCAATACCTGGAGGATGCTGAGGAGTCCTTGTCTAAGGCTCTGGAGGCTTTCCCCCGTGCCCCGCTCAAGGCTGTCGGTGGTAACGGTCTGATTGCCAACCTGGAGGGCAAGCGTCGTCCCACTGCCAAGCTTGAGAACGACAGTGAGCTCACTGGTGTCTGCAACATCGCCATCCGTGACATCGAGAACCTGGATGACGCTGAGCTTGTCTCTCAGATGCAGGAGCTCCTTGCTAGCACCAAGGATGAGCTGCTTGCTCGCCGTATTCGTCGCATTACTTTCATCTGTGGCAAGAAGGGTGTGTACCCCGGTTACTTCACCTTCCGTGGCCCCAACTACGACGAGGATGTCAGTATCCGTCACAACGAGCCTGCCCTCGCTTTCCAGCTTGAGCTGGGCCGTCTGTCCAAGTTCAAGATCACCCCTGTCTTCACCGAGAACCGTAACATCCACGTTTACGAGGCTATTGGTAAGGGTCCTGAGAACGACAAGGCTGTTGACAAGCGCTACTTCGTTCGTGCTGTCGTCCGTCCTGGTCGTCTCCGCGATGACATTCCTACTGCCGAGTACCTGATCTCGGAGGCTGATCGTCTGATGACCGATATTCTGGATGCTCTGGAGATCATTGGCAACAACAACTCTGATCTTAACCACATCTTCATCAACTTCTCCCCCGTCTTCAACCTCGAGCCCGTCGATGTTGAGCAGGCTCTTGCTGGCTTCCTTGACCGCTTCGGTCGCCGTCTGTGGCGTCTGCGTGTCACTGGTGCTGAGATTCGTATCCTCTGCACTGACCCCACCACTGGAATGGCCTACCCTCTGCGTGTTATCATCAGCAACACCTACGGTTTCATCATCCAGGTTGAGCTCTACATTGAGCGCAAGTCCGAGAAGGGAGAGTGGATCTTCCAGAGCATTGGTGGTACCACCAAGCTTGGCTCCATGCACATGCGCCCTGTGTCCACCCCCTACCCTACCAAGGAGTGGTTGCAGCCCAAGCGTTACAAGGCACACCTCATGGGAACTCAGTACGTCTACGATTTCCCCGAGCTCTTCCGCCAGGCCTTCCAGAACAGCTGGACCAAGGCTCTCGCGACCATCCCATCTCTGTCCTCCCAGCGTCCTCCTGTTGGCGAGTGCATCGACTACAGCGAGCTTGTGCTGGATGACACCGACAACCTGGTCGAGGTCTCCCGTGAGCCCGGTACCAACAGCCACGGTATGGTCGGATGGATTGTCACTGCCCGTACCCCTGAGTACCCCCGCGGTCGTCGTTTCATCATCGTCGCCAACGACATCACCTTCCAGATTGGTTCATTCGGTCCCCAGGAAGACAAGTTCTTCCACAAGTGTACTGAGCTGGCTCGCAAGCTTGGTATTCCCCGTATCTACCTGTCTGCCAACTCCGGTGCCCGTATCGGTATGGCTGATGAGCTGATTCCCTTCTTCTCTGTTGCCTGGAACGATGCTTCCAAGCCCGAGGCTGGCTTCAAGTACCTCTACCTTACTCCTGAGGTCAAGAAGCGCTTCGACGCTAGCAAGCAGAAGGAGGTCATCACCGAGCTCATCCACGAGGACGGTGAGGAGCGTCACAAGATCACCACTGTCATTGGTGCCAAGGACGGTCTTGGTGTTGAGTGTCTGAAGGGCTCTGGTCTTATTGCCGGTGCCACTTCCAAGGCTTACGAGGACATCTTCACCATCACCCTGGTTACCTGCCGCTCTGTCGGTATTGGTGCCTACCTGGTTCGTCTTGGTCAGCGTGCTATCCAGGTTGAGGGTCAGCCCATCATCCTCACTGGTGCTCCTGCCATCAACAAGCTCCTTGGTCGTGAGGTTTACACCTCCAACCTGCAGCTCGGTGGTACCCAGATCATGTACAAGAACGGTGTTTCCCACATGACTGCCAACGATGACTTCGAGGGTGTGCAGAAGATTGTTGAGTGGATGTCCTTCGTTCCTGACAAGAAGAACGCTCCCGTTCCCATCCGCCCCTGGTCTGACAACTGGGACCGTGACATTGCTTACTTCCCTCCTTCTGACAAGCAGGCCTACGATGTCCGCTGGTTGATCGCTGGTAAGCAGGATGAGGAGGGCTTCCTCCCTGGTCTGTTCGACAAGGACTCCTTCGAGGAGGCTCTTGGTGGCTGGGCCAAGACTGTCGTTGTTGGTCGTGCTCGTCTCGGCGGTATCCCTATGGGTGTCATCGCTGTTGAGTCCCGCTCGGTCGAGAACGTCACTCCTGCTGACCCCGCCAACCCCGACTCCATGGAGATGATCACCCAGGAGGCTGGTGGTGTGTGGTACCCCAACTCCGCCTACAAGACCGCCCAGGCTCTGCGTGACTTCAACAACGGTGAGCAGCTGCCTGTCATGATCTTGGCCAACTGGAGAGGTTTCTCTGGTGGTCAGCGTGACATGTACAACGAGGTGCTCAAGTACGGTTCGTACATTGTCGATGCTCTCGTCAAGTACGAGCAGCCCGTCTTCGTCTACATTCCTCCCTTCGGTGAGCTCCGTGGTGGATCTTGGGTCGTTGTTGACCCTACGATCAACCCCGAGCAGATGGAGATGTACGCCGATGAGGATGCCCGTGGTGGTGTCCTCGAGCCCGAGGGTATCGTCGGTATCAAGTTCCGCCGTGACAAGCAGCTCGAGACCATGGCCCGTCTCGACCCCACCTACGGCGAGCTCCGCCGCTCCCTGGAGGACACCTCCCTCACCAACGAGCAGCTCTCCGATATCAAGATCAAGATGGCCGCCCGTGAGGAGCAGCTTCTGCCCGTCTACATGCAGATTGCCCTCCAGTTCGCCGACCTGCACGACCGCGCTGGTCGCATGAAGGCCAAGAACACCATCCGTCAAGCCCTCAAGTGGCAGAACGCCCGTCGCTTCTTCTACTGGCGTCTGCGCCGCCGTCTCAGCGAAGAGCTCATCGTCAAGCGCATGGTCACCGCCTCTCCCTCCCCCGCTCCCCGCACTGGTTCCGCTGGTGCTATCCCCAACACCGGTGTTACTCACCCCACCGTCGAGTCTCCCCGTGCTATTCACCTCAAGAGCCTCCGTGCCTGGACCGGTCTCCTTGATGATGAACTCGAGCACGACGACCACAAGGTTGCCATGTGGTACGAGGAGAACAAGAAGCTCGTCCAGTCTAAGGTCGAGGCTCTCCGTACTGAGGGTGTTGCTTCCGAGGTTGCCCAGCTTCTCATCGGAAACAAGGAGGGTGGTCTCCTTGGTGTTCAGCAGGTTCTCTCTATGCTTCCCGTTGAGGAGCGTGAGTCTGTCCTGAAGTACCTCGGCTCCGCGTAGTGTCAGAGACACAGTGTGAAGCAAAATAGAGTTCTCTTATGAAATGATGTTGATGTGATTTTTTTGTTTCTGTTAAAGCTTTTGCATCGGTGTTTTGTGATCGGTTTTTTCTTTTTTATTATTCTATGAAAGTTTTCGTCTAGTGTATTTAATAGTTATATTAAATGTCTTTCAACTTGAATCCTCAATTCCTCGTACATTTATTTGATCCTAGGTCCTAGTAGAAACGAACTCCTGGTCCAAAATGTTGTGGTTCGTGTTGCGAATGACTCCTGCCTCCGAAATCTTTCACGTACAGCCCCGAAGCACCCTAGACTTTAAGTGTCCAGTAAGCCTGACATCATCAGTCGCATTCACCGTGTTGGCATACATCTATGTTCCAGTCTTGATTGGTACACGGTCAAAGTAATGTGCCGACCAGCCTCAAATCCTGCAGGGTACTGGAACGCCTCATGGTCGCATGAGCCGACACCCTAATGATATTGTTAGTGCTCGATCGAATTCATTCAAAGGTGGGTAACACATACTTGATGTGACGTGCGGTTGACCCTGCAACACGGCACTCCTTCGTGCCAGATGATCGATGTCCTATGTAACTTCCAGCTATTCCTCCGAAACACCATGACCGGCGCTTGGGGTTTCCACCTAGCCAGCGCCTAGAAGAGACAACTTCAGCTCCACGCATAACTTTCCATTTGGTGGACCTTTTTTGGTCCCTGCAAGCTGCACTCCTACCTTCTTCAACAGCAGTCTTAAAATCTGCCTTCAAACACCGTAAATAGTGTGCTGGTGTTCCAGTGTAGTCAATGCCTGGCGGAGCCCACTCCACCTCCATAGCCAAAGCGCTCCTCTCTAAAGACCTTTCTTGGCGCTGAAAGCTGCACTCCTGCCTTTGAACATCAGGGTCAGGGTCGAAACCTGCTTCCAGAAACCTCAACTGACACTTGGCGTTTCCACGCAGTCAGCGCCTGAAATATCTGTGAAATTGTTTTGGTCCTGGAAGCGGCAACCCCAGACGCTCCGTAGCAGCCTTAATATCTGCCCCCTAACATGATAGCTTGGCCGTTCCACCCAACCTGTGCCGTACCTTGTCGTCTGAATCGGCCCTTTCCATTCATCAGAACCTAGGTGGTTCTTCCAGATTCCTGAGTCATGTTGACTGCGGGTCGTGATTCGATTCGAGTAGAGAGTATTTGAGCAGATGCAACCTTTTGGATGTGAGATTTTTTTGATGGTAGGATGATGTTTGGATTTGTTGGCTTGTGACTGACCTTGAGGGTGAAAAGCACTATCAGAGTGGGATGGTCGAGGTTAAGAGAATGACAGATCAGAAGGTGGTAGATGAAGCGGGAAGAGTTGGGGGATGGTCAACAGAATGAGGCAGGTCAAGAGGAAGGGTGAATCAAGAGTGATTATGTATCATTCTCTCTGGTCAAACCTTCTGAGTAATGGATCACACTGAGAAGTGTGGTATTAACCGCTGTCAGTGTCATACGCTGGTCGAGGATCAGAGGAGAAAGGAAAGAAAGAAAGCACAAGCTGCTACAGCTTGCTGCTCCAAGAAAGAACGAACAAACAGAACAGTCTGTGTATTGTGGTGGTATGGATGAGAGAAGAAGGAAGAAGGGAAGAAGCGCCATCTAGTTATCTACAGAGGCTCTTAGTCACCTTACTGCAGGCAGATTCTGATAATCGCATTTTCACAATTGAGAATCACAAAAACTAAATTGAAAATTCAGTGAGCATGCTTTGTAACACAACTGGAGGAAGAAAGCTGGTGCTTCTGTGTATATAATGACCAGACACTATACTTATTCCACCTGCCCAGGTAGGTATTCGTGCGGCTCCTCCTATTGACACAGAAATTGATAGTCAGAATTCACTATAGCAGTCGTCAGTAAGCGAAAGTACAGAGAGTGGAACAATACTTGCGTGTAGTTATTCCAGCTGACGGGCTTATATGAGGTGACGAGCATAATAGCAGAACAGCATGGGGTATTGCACCTAGCAGTGAATATGATTTCGGCATTTGGGGTTTTGCTATAGAGCTCCAGTACTTTTGGAGCGAAAGTCGAGGATCATGCCTAAATTCGACCTGCAGAAGCGAGACAAAGCGTAAATAAATATTAATATATACCAAAATACAGTGCTAGATTTTCTGTTATTAAATTTACAGCTTATAAGAAAAAGTTTACTATTGATTCTTGCTCGCTTAAAATACCTCTATTCTTTGAACATTGGCACGGTCGGAGATAATTCAGGGAAGCACAGTGTCAAACATTATATTAAATCAGCCTTCTATGATCGTCATCTTCGTCGGATGTCCCTTGTTGATGATGATTTGTTCCAAATTATACCCAATCGCTAAACCATTGCCCAGGCTCTCAGCCTCCCGGTACCCAGGCGCATATACGTCAAGTAGAGCGCGTGTCCTCTCATCTGCCCCGATATAAACTTCCATGAATGAGCGACGCATGTCGGCCCTAAATATAATTCAGCAACCGCCATAAACAAAAGTTCGTAAGACTCACGGCTTTTCCTCCCAAAACATATCCAGATTTTCATCCTCGTCGTCATCCTCCATAAAATTCAACTGGACCTCCAAAGAGTTCTGATTCAAATACACATCGCGAAATAAGTCAGGAAATTCTTTGGAGAGTAATTGCATCCTATAAGCGCGCTCTCGGAATCCGTTTGTCTCGTACTGGATCCAAAGTGCCAGTCCAGTTTGAAGAGTGTGGTCATCGATAATAAGTGTCGGGAACGTATTTGCGAACAGCACGGTTCCGTCCTGCGTCATGTGCATATCTTGGAAGTCGGGTCGGGCAACACTCCGACGGAACTTGAAGTTGTCTACCAGGTCACCTTGGTTTTTTTCGAAAGGCATCAGTACCGATATCATTGTTACCAGAAGGTCGTCGCCACAGTCCAATCCGAATAATGAAAGAATGCACTTCGCTAGTAGAGCTTGTGTCTTAGGAGTCCATTGGGAGATGCAGACATAGACCTCGTCAGCTTGGTAGTATACATGTCTAGAAAGACAGGGTTCCTAACCTAGATCAGTAAATCTAGTTAAATAATAGATAGCGTATTCCATACACTTTCAGGGTCCCCAAAAGGTAGTTCATCTACTAGGGCTCGAGATTCATAGCTCTATTTTAGTGTTAGAAAAGAACGAATTACTTTCACAAGTTAACGCAAGCCCGACTCACATCGCGGGTTTCCTGGTCTGCGGTTGCCCATTGTTCGATCAGAGCTCGTCTCTGTTGATCCGCGTCCGTGCCATCGACCCACTGCTCACGAACAAAACGCCTCCAAGCGCACGTGACAGATTCCACATCCTCCATGGGCTCTTCATGTCGGCGGATACAGGAGGGTAACCCCCCAGGCCATTGGTTATGCAACTTTACTATCGACATATTGAATTGTCGATAATTGAAAGAATCGGGAGTGAGAGGGCGGAAGACTATTTACATAGCCGAATTTAAATCGGACGTAGGTTGTCCAGTGATTCTGCTTCACCCCGATATTCATTTTTGAACATTCTCGGTGAATATCATTGGTGACTGGATGCCCTAAAGGCGGCCTGAAGGGCGGTAAGGCGCCCATGAGTACTACACTGGGTAGCGCTTGATGGCCACCAACCGCGTATTTTAGCTCTTGTATGGTTTTGTTTTCATTCACTTGCCTTATTGCACTTTTAATTCTTTGATCTATGGGGAAATTACGCGTCTCGCTCTAACCTTCAGCACATCTCATAAGCGATTCCATAACTCAGTTGGTCAGAGTGTGGTGCTAATAACGCCAAAGTCGAGGGTTACCCCCTCTGGAACCATTTCCTTTTGCCTATCCTTTTTCTTGGACATCAAGATAACAACAAGTTCTGTATTTACCTAAATGCCTGAAGCCCCATTTTGGGTGCGGTGAGAATCTTGAAGTAGGAGAAGCTCTCATGTCCTCAAGAACCTATAGTTCATTAATGATTATAGACATTCTGCGTACCTAGTGAAAGGTGAATGGCTGGTGATAAGAATATAATGTAGACAAGGAAATTTGTGATGTACAAACAATACAGAGCTAGTCCCAAACCTTGCTAGTCTTCAGCCCTGTAGCCGGGGCCAGAGGATCGACAACCAGAGCTCAGCCCTACGATATAACAGAATGAGCTGCTGTTTGGCGGTTGCCTACCTGACCCATCAGATAGCAATTGTGTTCCACAAATCAACCCTGTTTAAATCAATGTTGCATCTACGCGCCGTGTCCATACCCGATTCTAGGAGAGCACTGAAAGAGATGACCAGGCAGCAGAATTGTTCATTGGGTTGACCCACTTCAGTGCATTGGATCCTCGTGAGGGGAAATGGAATAATGAATAGATCTTTATTGTACTCTCATTCAGGGACGCGTAGGGCAATATCTAAGGCATTGAGACATGAAAGCAGACATCAGAAAAAAACCAACCTCTATTACACCGAGGAAGAAAGGAAGCAAAATATCCAGTATTTCAACTATCACAGATCAGACCAGCTGTTAACACGATAAACGATTCTCATAACACAGCAATCGAAACTCCACAATAACGTAGCTAGATAAATGTCAGAGCAAATCCTAAGGCCGGAATATTTCATCTTCATTAAAGAACATACTCTACGCTCGAGCGTAACCCGCCTCCCTCTGGCTAGGCGTAGCCACGTAACTCGGAGCAGCGACCGGGTACGCCACCGGAGCAGGCTTCTGGACCTGGTCGGGATAAACCTGCTCAGGATACGCCCATTGTGTAATAGGCGGTGGATGAAAGCCTCTCTGCTTAACCTGCTTTTCTTCCTTCTTCCGATCCCGACGCATCTTGATGAGAATGCCGATAACCACGACAATGACAACGACGACCACAATGGGGATGAGGATAACTTTGAGGAGAATCTTGAGGAGGCCCATGGTATGAATTCGAGGGATAGTGGGAGAGGAGTACGAAATGTAGATTTCTTTGTACTGAACGACTCTTACTGGTCTCAGGGGCAGAACCCGACCCTTATATCCCTACGGAGAACTCATCACATCCCATTGAGACAAGTAGAGCTAGGGTTCTTAATTTGACTTGATGCAAAGTCATCTCTGGCAGTTATGCTCGTCAGTTGGTTGGGTGACCATGGAGCAGACCCATCAGGACTTGGTGTGATGCCCGTGTCACCATGAGGGGCCATATTTAGATCGCCAATTAGGAGACCCAGGGGAAGAGGTCATGGGATTGACTCTGCTAGAAACAGAGTAGCCCGTGTTCATGCTAAGCTTCAGCCCTATAAGGCTGTTGTGATTGTGATTGCTGCCGCAGGGTGGGGAATCAGGGTGCGGGATTAATGTTTGATCCACTTTTGGGTTGCTGGAGAGCAGGTGACCTTTGCTTGTTACGCAATTGGTCTGCTTTGCCTCTAGGGACATTGTCGCAGGGTGAGTTTTCATCTCTGCCCTTTCTCCTTGCAACTTGATTCATTTTAAGCAGCCAGTAACTCCCTGTTTTGGATGTAGTTTTAATGGTATACGTCTCATCGCGAGCGTGACCACGCGCCTTTCTGGAATGATGATTAGTATTACAACTGAAACGGGGCAAGCAAAAGGATTCATAGCCGGCATGATACTCACAAATCTACTAGTTGGTGAGCACATGGAGATCTTGACGGCCCTGGTGACCGACCGTCCATCGGACTATTAACGCGTGCAGTCGAATGGTAATCGCTTCTGACGAAGCTTCGTGATACGGCCAATTCACACGGGAGGAGGCCCATCACTGACCTGAATTAATCACACCAATCATCAAAAATCTATTAGGTAGATTGCCATCGCTCAGCCTGTCGTGGATTGGTTTACAAATCTCCTGTGGGGTTCCCCAAACCTGTTCCTGCTTTACTTTGTGCGACCCCAGACGACCCCGGACCTCACCTTCTAATTCCATGTCGGCGATTGATTAATGAAACATCGAAAATTAATTAATCTATAGTAACCTCGGTTGTCTTCACAATTCCCTCTTTCCCACCATTAGTCTGCTGGTGTTTATCTCTCGACAAGGGCCATTCCCCGTCATACGTAGCAGTGGCACTATACTCGCCATTTGGATGATGCTCATGACCACGTTCACCAGAGTCTCGACTCCCCAGCTCTTGGAGCGCATACAGATCGCCTCGGTGCGTGGACCAGATGCGGTTTCCGCTACTTCCACCCACTGTATGTATGCTTCCTCCAGTGGATCTTGGGACGCGGCGAGATCGGGAGCGAGTTCCGTAGATATTCCGGCTTGGGGGATAGGAATTTGAGTAATCGGAGAGTTTGAGGACCCTGCTCACGATGGGCTTGAGGGAGGGAATGCAGGCGGCTAGGATTCCGACGTTGAATTGGGCTCTGGACTTTAGTTAGTAAGGGTCATGCGTAGATTGGAAGAGTCATCCAGACGGAGGAGATGCATACGTTGCCCAGAATAAGATCCAGTCATTCCTGAGAATATAATTAACATAATGGAGATGTATGGGTGGAGGAGTAGACATACAGGTACTGGTCTGTCGATGAGGGAAATGCGATCTGATAGATGGCACTCATGATACCGAAGATCACAGCGCTGTACTCAAAATCGGGATTAGCCAACCGGAATTTCAGCTCGCATTTCGCTGACAAAATAGAGGAATGGGAGACAAACACATAGCCTAGACTGAGGATGCCGATAAGATATAGGCGGATTTTGCGTGACATTTTGAGAATCCAAATAATCGGAATTGGGATCGTCGCGAACAGAACATCAGTGAAGATGTTGAAAGCTGCAGTATAGAAATCTTCATTAGCCCTTCGCCACTGCAGAAAATGCGGGAATGATCGTACAAGTGTTCACGAGAGCGAAAGTCACAAAAAGGTTCACCGAGTAGCAATGAGAGCCCGGAGCTTGAGTCCAATAAGCCGACATAGGCGAGCAGTAGAGGAAAAGCGCCATGGCACCTAAGAAGCAGTAGGCAACGACAATCACTGAAAAACATTAATTTCCGAAACAGCAAATGTCTCCTTGTTTAATCCCAAGAAACGTTTCTCGTCACCTACCAATACTTGTCCATAAACAATATACAAACCACCTTGCTGGGCTCAATCTCAGCAGATTCAAAGCAATTGAGATCTTTAGCATAGCTATGCCTAAAGAAGAACAAACTATGGACTGCCAAAATGTCCCCTGGGTGACTTTCTTTTCATCGCCGTTTCCTGCGTCGAACCATGCATCGCTGTGTCCCAGCCCGTGAACGGCCTCGAAAATGTAAAGGATCCAGCCACCCAAAGCGCACAACTGCTCATGTCGTCAATATCAGGCTCCATGTTGTGTCTCGTTTAAACCGTTTACCCCATAATTAAACAGATGACATTCTACGGACTCGGAAGGAAAGGATTACGTACCGCTGCGATTAACATGGACCAGTCATCATACCCAGGATTCTTGATTAATCTGATGCGAACATAGAGACGTAAGGCGACCGCAGTAACAGCCAGGAATGTGACAATTGTCTGCACAACCAAGATCTGGGGAAGATGGTTTTCGTCGACAGATGCTGATCCTCTAGCCACCATTGATGCCGCGCTGGGTGCCATGGTCGTCTTTCCAGGCGGAGATGGTAGTCAGCGACGTTGGTGGTAGACATCGAAGTAGAATATTCAATGCGCAAATGAGCATTCAATGTAGAATTCATAATGAGAAAAGTCAATTCGTCGGCATTAGCAGGGATTGCCGACAAATGAACACACACAGTACGATCCATACAAGAAACCTGATGCTTGCGCGTCGAAGGATCTTGACTTCCAAAGCTCTAAGTGGAAGGAGTCGCCCCGCACAAAGCTACATTGCGAATCCCTGTTTCTCCTGCAGTAGTGTCTGGTGGCTTTGGTTATTTGATTAACGTAGAACAATCGAGATCGCGTTTTTATTTCGAATGAATGTTCAGTCGTTGTAAACGGACACGTAGGCCATCCAAAGATAACGCGTCACCACAGTACTTTTGCAGGACAGAATGAATGAGTCTAGTGAGTCCAGCGTCCCCATAATTAGGCGACGGGGAAGACCAGCCCGGCTACTCAGATCCTAGCGTGGAAGCAAAGGAGAAATCCGAGAGTGACTGCGGGATTCGACCCACAAGGAATCAGCGATCTGCAAGTCTCGCTAGTGCACGTTCCCTTCAGCTATCCACAAATGGGGCGGCCCCACGACATTGTGTTGGGACGGGGCCCCTGGGCGCCACAAAGCCCTTAAGACCAGGGTCTGTAGCCAGAGTGCATAGAAGCAATAGCATAGTCTTTGCGAACACGGCTTGGTCCCACTTCTGGTCGCAAGTATATTGGCTATCTCGCCGATGTGAACAGGCTGGGGCGATGTCCCGCAAATACGTGTTCCGACCCCGGAGAATCGTGTCTTGCTCGTATTATTGCTACCCGAATCCTTCTCGAACCTTGTTTGTCAATACAGAAGCTTTGTGCGGGCTTTAGCGTGAGTTGTCTATAAGATAATTCCGAGGGAACCTTGTACGGATATCAAAATAGATACTTTGCTTCATTTGCAGGAAAAGCTTGCAAAGTCCAAACAATTTAGTTGCATTAGCAAGCAATCAAAACCACTTTTTGTGTTTCACAATCCCAGCAAATTAATAAAAACTACAGTATGTTGCATGATGAGTGGGGGATTGTGGTGCGTACTGTATACAGTAGTGCCTGTGGAGTGGTGGATCGATCAGACTCACAATGCCACCAATCAGACTTGATATCTCCAAGATCGTTCCAATTAGTTTAACCGGTCATCTCAACCCCGGCGGACCGAAATTGACATGCCTTGAAGCTAATACATGTTGCCTCCACAATGATTGTAGAGCCCAATACCATTGCAGCGTATTTCCCGAGCTTTCCGTCTGAACAGACGACTAGCTGATTATGCTTAGCTATGCCTCATTTATGCTCATTTATAATTTTGCCGAGACTGACCAATGAATTAGACAGACTTTGAGTACTTTAACTCGCGAGGCTCGGAGCTTTTTGCTTTTTTCCAGCCCGCGAAACAACACTTTTGTTCCCCTCCCCTGGCCCAACCGGATGCTGATTCATTCTCCCCCAATGCTTTCTTTCGCATACCTTGTGTGCGGACTAGGAGCTTTCTTGCCATTAGTCGCTGCCAATCCGGAGGTCATCCAACGAGATGTTGTGATCATTGGTGGAGGTGCTTCGGGTGCCTATGCTGCCGTCCGCTTGCGCGATGACTTCAATAAGAGCATTGCGCTGATCGAGAAGGAGGCAAGGCTGGTAAGAGCGCCGATTGACACCCTTCAAATTCTCCAATTCAGAGAAATTTGAACCAGGATATCTAGAAGCAGGCGCTGACGTGAGCTCGATTTGTAGGGCGGTATGGTCGACACATATGTTGATGAGAAAACTGGCGCCATCTACGACTACGGCGTGGACAGTTTCCTCAACATCAGCAATTCGATGGACTTCTTTGCCCGGTTTAATATTCCGGTCACCACTAACTCGACTACTTCCACCGCAACAACTGAGTATTTCGACTTCAACACCGGCAAAGAGGTTGGCTTCAATGCGCCGTCGACAACTATCCAGATAGAAGCTATTGCAAAGTTCCTCAAGGTGATCGAGCCGTGGGAGTCGATGTTGCGACCAGGTTACTGGAATTTCCCTGAGCCCAAAAGCATCCCCGCGGACTTCCTGATCACCTTCGGCGAGTTTCTCACCAAGTATGGCGTTGAGAAGGCCGCGCCTCTCATGTACTCAACAACCGGTCTTGGTGTGGGTAACATGAGCGAGGTCGCAACCATGTTTGCGCTGCAAGCATTTGGATGGGACATGGCACGCGCCATGGTTGGCGAAATGGCATTGTACAAGCCGGTTTCCGGCGGTAACCAGGCTCTTTATAACGCTATCGAAAAAGACCTTGGCGATGATGTGTTTTATTCCAGCACAGTGATTGAGAGCAGTCGCTCCGACCACGGCGTCTTCCTCACCGTTCGCAACCACAAGACGGGCGAGCTCACACGTATCGCTGCGCGTCGCCTCCTCGTCGCCATCGAGCCCAGCGAAAGCAACATGAAGCCTTTGGACCTTAGCCCCTCCGAGTGGAATACCTTGTCCAAGTTCGATTTCTCCAACGAATATTGTGGCTTGGTCGACAACGCCGCTTTCAACACAAGCTACCTGTATTCTAATCTACCCTCCACTGCTGCTCCAAACCACTACCTCGTCTTCCAGAATGAGCCTATGGTCCAAAGCTTCGAATACAGTGGCCTTGATCACCTTTTCCGTGTGATGATCATCGGTAACAAAACTACCACGGCTGCTGATGCTAAGGTTTTGGCCCAGGATAGCTTCAACACACTGCTGAAGTCCGGACGCCTGTCCGGCTCAACTGAGAGTCAGGAGCTGAGCTGGGCTGCATTTGCTACCCACGGACCTATGCACGCCCGAGCGAGTGTCGAAGATGTCAAGGCTGGTTTCTACCAGGACCTTTATAAGCTCCAAGGTGCTCGGTCGACTTGGTGGACTGGTGGAGCTTTTTCGGTGAACTTCCAGACTACGCTTTGGGAGTTTGATGAAGGTCTTTTCCCTAAGATCCTCAAAGGACTTTAAAGATAATTTCTACTATAAACCATCTAATAGATGTAGGCTCTGCCTCTCCAAATTCAACCCTGACTCATATCTCGTGTATAATAGTCAGCAATTCAATACATGCTCACTCACTGCCGCATACCATCTGGGCCAAAACAATTGAACATGAGAGTCCTTGGCGCCTACTTATCTGCCATTCCACACTAACTAAGCATGCGAATTGATTTTGCAGCTGATACTTGGTCATTTAGGACAAAATCCGCAGGTTCAAAATCAAAGGCTTTAATCTCTTCACCCTGGCTGTGTACCACAAAGAAGGAATTCTTTCGAAGAGATACCCCCTACAAGCTTACTGGAGATAATTTACTTCCTGCCAGCATATAACAGATAACACGGATGCTAAGCTTTCATTGCAGATTTACTTTGCGTTCTGCTTACTACTTCATGACCAAAGATCTCATTTTCAAACAAGCTTAGAGCTCGGTATGTGGTATATAAGATGCCCATGGTATACTCCAAAATAAATCCTACCATCAAACTGTCTCCTTTTGTCTCTTCACAAGGAAGGCTTCCAGAAAACTGAGCGCTGCCTTAAGATTGTTGACTGCACTGCTTTCCAGGACAGATTTTCCCGCAGTCATTATCATTCTCTCGGGGGCAGAAATGCTGAGATATGGATGTATTCGGGCTCGATGAGCTGCTCTGAAGTTCTTTAAGAAATCAGCATTGAATTTTAGGAATGATAAGAAAACTTACCCGTATGTGATTTTTGATCTTCTCCATCTCAGCCTCAATCTCTTTATGTCCCGCCAGAATTGCCCTCTGCCTGAAGCTATGCTTTCTCAAGGCTATGCTCAAATTTCTTTGAGAAGCATGTATGTATCGCTCAAGTGATTCCTCAGTAAGGTAAGGGTCAATTCCAAGGAAGGCGTCGATGAAATGAAACAATGGTTGTTGATTACCTGAAAGACCATCATACTCGACATCAGTGCCGTCTATGATCTCTCCCGCACCCCACGCCTGAAATCCTTGCACGTAAGGCATCCATAGGCTATGAGGTATCTTAGAGTCGACTAGCGCGCTGCGATATGTATCCAAGGCATGTGGTAGATGTGTTCTGATAACCTTGAGACAGCCAACGCATGCCTCTCTCTGACCTTGTTCGTAATATGTTATAGATTTTATAAGATTATGGTATATTGGTAGTGCCTGATAAGAGCCGGGCTGTTAGTATTACAGTAAATCAGGTGGTACGACTTTCAAACAGACCAGTTGTTCCATAGCGACGAATATATGTGCGAAGTTGTACTCAGCTGATCTGATACTCTCGGTCATGCCGCTATTGATCTCGTAGACAATCTGCCCCTCTGTGCTGAAATTGCAGAGGTAGTTTGACGTGACGTTGCCTCCTTGTGACTTTATGTTGTACCGTCTTTGGATGAAATTCCAGGGAAGGTCAAGCTCAGGAGGAAAGTCAATTAACTTTTCCTCCTGTGCGACCTTCACCACGGGTATCGTGCCCCATCTGAAAAGTCAAGAAAGTACTAACTTGATAGTGCCTTCATACCAAACGTACCTGAAAGCATGGCGTGAGACTGCAATGCACGCATAGAAGCCATTGTATGCTTTTGCTGAGAATACAGAGCAATCCCCTGCCTCAGCAGCCAACAGGATATCCTCCACAGCTGACAAATCAATCTTCTCGTGCAATAGATCTCGCATCTGTGCTCGATACTCAAAACGTCGACTGGAGTGGATTTCCGTGTCAAGTGATACATCTGCCGTGGATAATGATTTTGCAAGCTTGAGATAGATGTCATGGTATGGGCGAAGTGCTGCGGGCCACGCTTTACCGTGAGAGGCTTGAGGAGGCCAGCTGCCTGCACCGTCAAACTCAACCAAATGCTGTAACAGATCAGCGGTCTCATGATACCCTCTCATTGCTTCAAGTTCAGGTAGTATGTTCTCTAGGCTAGATGTGCCTTTTTGTTTCCGAAAGATCAAATTCTTGTAGGATCTGACAATCGAGCAGACAAAGATCAGAGATAGAGTGAGCCAAATGGACCCCATGGCAGTGAGGATTGTCGAGGCCATATACCAGGTCGTGGACATAATTGTCGTGAATGTCCAAGGGATCGGATTATAATCTTCGTTGATTGAATTACACGTCGTCAATAGCCGGCAGCTTTTCAGTGGAAAGTCAAGATCAGTCTTCAGTTTAAGCGAGTAACTGAATTATTATAGTATCTATAGTACATGGCTTAATTCATGAGGTACATGAAAGATTTGTCACGATTAGGGTTTGTGCTGATACTTTGTTGCCCCGCCACCAAAAATATTACCAGGCAAAATCCACTTTTACGACAGTCAAAATTCCGCACATCACGTTGAAATCTGAACCCATACTTGCTAAGTAGGCATATTAGGGTGCTAATTCTACCCGTCCTGGCACATCCATGGATGATTTAGAGTTTACCTCCTTGGGACCTACCTATTGGTTTGAATCTACTATGCAGGAAGATCTGGAAACATGGGTTTATTCATATTTGTAATAAATAACACCCTATGTTACGGACCATCTAAATAAATAGAATATAAGTGTCCAGAAACCTTTCGTAAAACTTTGTTGCGATCCTAGCAATCGCGAACCTTGGAACTACTGAAGAGTTAGAGGTAGCAGATGGGCGACTGAGAGCCAATCAATCATGGCAGACCTTTCCGTTCAGCCCCCAACCTAAGACCATTTGGGCACCTAAGAAGCGCCATGGATTACATAGCAGGGAAAATATAAAGAAAGTCTCATTCGTAAGAAAGACGAGGAATCAAAGGAGAGAGAATGAGATGAAGCAAGAAGTTAGATTTACAGCAGCACTTAATGTCCCAGCCAAAGGTATGCCATTGTCGAAGACTTCGACTGTTTATAGCTGTTGAATACTCGATCAATGCTGAAGTTGAGGTCGAACGCCTTTGACAACCCGCTTTTCCACAGCAGCTCCAGTATTTGCATTTGACTCTTTCGTGTTTGATTAATCGCATCCTGCGTGATCATATTAGCTACGTGGCGCAAGTAGTACATACCGATCGGCGTTGTTCGGTTGCTGGAAGTTGAGATCCATAAACCCCACCTCGTCCACTAGGACCAACACTGCCAGAACTGAATGGCACCATTTTTGGCACGATTCGACTAGCCCGATGAGCGGGTCTGTTGCACATGTTCTATTTCTAGGTCCTCGCAATGAAGATGTGATAGATGTGATATCGGACGCACTAGACAAGAATTAATGGCGTGGCTATGGCGGATGAAGTTTACTAAGAGAAGGCACCACATAAGGCACCATGATTTAATGCCTGAATAACCAGGCAGACTATATCCATCACACCCTATTCAAGCGCTGAGATGAGCATTCGCTTCCAAATATTGAGCCACTCGATGGATTCTCCCCTGTCCAGCCTCTTTTTTCATCGCCCCCTAATGAACATGTTTGCCCCGCGTGGTCTGAAGATCATCGTTGGAGCTTTCCCCACGTTCCCCACCTTCCCCGCGATCCGATTGTTCCGCTTTGCGTACCCAGTGTGATATTCAAGTGACGAAAGCGGGGTTGAAATGACATAAATAAGGTCATCTGTTTGGGAAAATGGGAATCTTATATATTTTGCCTTTGTTCCCTCAAAGAGCATCGACTCGAGATGGCTTTGAACCGTGAAACCACTCAGAGTATTCGGGTTGCTCGTCGGGGTGGAAAGATTGCTCTGGAGGAAGCAGTCGGAAGCCCCCTCTTCGCTGCACACCAAAATTACCCGCCTCGTCCGGTTATCAAAGGCCTGCAGGGCCTGCCATTTAGTCCTGAATTCCTTGCCGACGTTGAGTCCAGATTGGACGATGTGAACCTACGACTGGAATCAATGGATCGGTGTGGTATCCAATATGCCATTCTAAGCCTGACTTCACCTGGAATTGAGGGTGTCAGTGATACCGCAACCGCTATCCGTTTTGCCAAAGAGACGAACGATGCAATCCATCAGAAATACGTCGCATCGCATCCTTCCCGCTTCGGTTTCTTTGCATGTGTGGCAATGCATGACCCAGAAGAAGCTGCCAAGGAGCTTGAAAGGGCCGTGACAGAATTGGGCGCCAAAGGAGTCTTGATTAACGGGTTCACAAACCTCGATGACCGTGATGAAAAGCTACGATACCTTGATGCGCCTGAATGTGAACCATTCTGGGCAATGCTGCACCGTCTCCAAGTTCCTCTATACCTGCACCCTCGACTTCCCCCAACACACCAACAAGTGCTTTATGGCCAGTATCCAAACTTGGTGTCGGCGTCATACGGCTTTGGGGTGGAATGCGCTGGTCATGCTCTCAGAATAATGTGCTCAGGTATCCTGGACAGATATCCCGTGAACATTATTTTAGGTCACTGTGCTGAGGCGCTTCCATTCCTTATTCATCGCGCTGATCAGCGAATGCTTATTGGAACACCTGGAAGCAATGGCAAACACACAAAGACTCTCATGCACTATTTCCAAACTCATTTCTATGCTACATTAGCTGGTGTTCGTCGCCACAGTACGTTGAAAAACACAATTGAAGAACTCGGAGAGTCACGTGTGATGTTCAGTGTTGATTATCCCTATGAAAGCAATGAGGATGCCGCAGACTGGTTTGATTCGCTTGAAATCAACGAAAACTCCAGGGCTGTCATCTCTCACCAAAATGCTATACGGCTTTTTGGACTTAACGATGTGCGGAACAAAGTACCTTCTCGAAATCTGGGTAACCTTTAGCTTAAGCAGTCGGAAATGAGACATTGGATTATGAAACCTTATGCCTTAGCTCTCTTACCATGGAAACATACAGTATAAATGAAGGTATAAGATCTGAGATTTTGAGAATGAAAAAAGTTGAAGGCTCAGCGTCAGGCAAACTGAAAATAAGGACGTCCCAATAAAATCATGACTACGTGTGCCATGCGTTAATATGATCAGGCTCAATTGTATCTCTGTTTTTTGCAAGCCCCTATTTGGATCCGCCTCTCGGAGGCTCAATAATTAGGTTTCCCGGTATTCATATAAGATGGCATTAGAGTTCTTATCATTCCGGCGACCATACCCCGGAGTGAAAGGTTTCGATGCTGAAGAAATTGGTTGACAAAAACACTCACTGAAGCCGGAGTTCCATTGAGAAATGCTTTGAAGCGAGGCACATATATCTGATATCGCGGCTTACTAGATACGATGAGAGGCGGGGGATGTGAGCGCTTGAAGTCAGTTGATGGGGTTGTTGTTGGGAAGATGTCGTGGGGCGAAAGGTACACTGGGTCAGGACCGGATGAATCTTGCCAGTTTGAGCTTAGTACTCGTGGGATGAGAATGAGAATTGCTGCAAATTGCCAATTCATCTCATCTTGCCATGTATCAGAGTCCGTGTGGGCGCAATGGTGCAATAGGTCTGATCCTAGAGAAAGTCTTGGCTCCGGAGTCCAGTATCCGGAGTACACAATGCAATGCATAATTCCTGGGCCACAAGTCATATGATCGAAGATCGTTAGTGATCGTCCCTCTCCGGGGCCGTCTGTACTATAGCGGCTCAAATGTGGAGATTTCTTAGCAAATCTACTATTGATGGCCGGAGAAGATCTGAAGTAATTAATAGGGATTCAACCTCGCGATCAATTGGCGCATCCATGATCTGCTGGTCCACAAGGCGGGTCACAATGGGTATCGTACGGGAGGGCAGACACATCAGGCTCGGTTTATATACCGAAAGTTGTCTAGGTTTCTTTAGTGCGGCTGAGCAAATTTGACCACGCAGTATGGATCGCCCACAGTTTCAAATGACCAGAATGACCCTATCAGGGGGCTAACTACCTTGCGGATCTCTGCGCTATGTACGCATAGCATGAATCCTTCGGAGGTTTTCCGGGCAAACTAGATCGCATTCGGATGGAAAACGGCCGATCGAACAAGCCAAGATCAGAAAGATGATTATGATCGCCATCGGCATCGTGATTAGTAGTTTAAAGTCATAATGGAACAATGCTATTATTTGCATTGTCTCAAATTTGATCCAGTCCTTGGATTTGGACATCTGTGCCCGACTCGCTTGGGTGGGTAGTCATCAAGGGCCGTGCGAACTTTAGGGGGAATGGCACCTATCAACTTTTCACACTATGCTCCTTTAGTTCAATGGTCGGATGAGTACGTAAAACAAAGGTTAAATTAAGGCATTTTAAGTTCAGCAATGTTCTGGATTCACGTTAAAAGGTTTAATTTTAGGGCCCAAAATTGAGAATTCGTGTTTCCCAATTGCAACCAATGGCTCGATCGTGGTGGGTCTTGATGTGAAGTTTAAATGGCGTATGTGGAGTTTCAGCGGGTTACACGGGGTAGGTAAGAGAGGTTCCATACTGATACTCAGAAAGTCAAGTTGTGGGGAAAAAAATTCTAAACCCCCTTTCTTGTCTTGCTGAACATATATAGGCGCGTCTCGCAAACTGCCGCGTTTCTGTTCCGGGGCTTGTGACAACGTGGGAACACTGGTCATTGATATCGTCAATTAATGAGGTCAAATGCGGCAAAATGGTTGATACGAGCTCTAGTCAATTCATCGTGGAGGGCTTCTCCTTGCTAGGAGTATCGATGTTCCTGATCGCGTTACGAATCGTGGCACGATGGGTTATGGTGGGATGGAAGAATTTCCAAGCAGATGATTATTTAATGGTTTTGGCTGGTGTGGGTTCTCATTTTACTGCTGATTATATTGCGAATGCTGACAGGATCTTATGTTGCAGATGGTCTATACAATGGAAACAGTTGCTGCATATGCGGTAGTTGATTGGTATCATGGTCTTGCCAATAGCTCGATGACTGATGAACAACGTGCGAGCCTGTCACCTGATTCCGACGAATACCATTGGCGCGTTGGTGGCTCTAAGGTTCAAGTGATTGGCTGGTCATTATATGTCACAACCTTATGGTTGCTAAAAGTATGCATGTCAGTTTTCTATTCACGCCTTACGTACGTATCAATACACAACATCCTCACTCTCTCTTCCTTCACATCTATCTGACATCTACACTCTAGGGACGGTTTACCCTTTATGCGAATCCGAATCCTTATCTCATACGTATCGATCGCTGTGACCTATGTTGTTGTGCTTGTTGTCATACTTGCAGGCTGTCACCCTATGCACAAGAATTGGCAAATATACCCCAATCCAGGAAGTGTGTTGCCCCCGCTTGTCTTTGTGTTCTGAAAGGCTTCAGTGGATCTTCTTTGCTAACACAACCTTGCTCTTAAGATGGCTGCCAACCAGCTGTTGCCAAGCTACATATCTACTTCACCGTTATCCTGAATGTGATCACGGATATCGAACTCATGAGCATACCTATCCCCGTGAGTCATTACTTTGGAAATTCAAGATCACATTTATCCTAACGCCCGCTTCAAGATGTTGGCGAAGGCCAAGATGCGATGGCGAGAAAAGGCGCGACTTTTGGTTCTTTTCAGTGGAGGACTGTTTGTCATGACGGCTGGAATTCTACGATGCGCTTTAATCTTGACGGTAAGCACAATCCATAAGGACACCACGCCCCTATAGTATGCTAAGATTTCTATTCACAGGGAGGATCCAGAAGTGCCGCAGAAGGCGCTGCCTGGGCTCGACGTGAATCCTTTGTGGCGGTCGCTGTAGGAAACCTTCCTATGATATACCCTCTTGTCCGTCGCCTCGCTCGCAAGGCCGGATTGATTGTTAGTCAAGGCAGCTCCCGGGACTATCCTCGTCAAACGCAATCTCAAAGCGCCCTGCAGTCGCAAATTCGGAAAAAGAGCAGCTATCCACTAGTGTCTCGGAAGAATAACGAGTGGAGCGCGCTTGATGATGAACTTGTTAGTCTCGATACCGGCCGAACGGAGCCTGCCACACATGTTACAGCAAAAAGTGATTGGGACAAGCACGATGTGAAAGACCAAGGCCCTGGAATTCAAGTGGTCTCGGAGACGATAATTGAGAGGACATAGGAGATCCTGTTGAACAGGGAGGCATATACACAGCCGGCTCTCTTTACTATACACCTCTTATGTAAAAAATGTAATATTAATTAGGTCTTGGAGTCTCAAAAAAGGGCCATTTTACCTACAACCGCTGGCCATGTAATTTAAGATGGCGGATAGTGAAAATCCACTCGACTAGCTTAAATGGACCCGAAATTAATGATTCAAGGCAAAATGCTTCAAGATATTTTGGTGGGCGCATCGCATCACGAGTGCCAAAGTAAGACTCCGCATATGGACGGTGACTTCGGGCCAGAACATTCTCCGACGGGATCCCCCCGCCACACTCGTGTCAGCAATGATTTCCTATAAAGCCAGTAAAACTTACCTGTTAAAATAATGCAGAACTAATCATTCTACCAATAAACTACTCTTGATTGGTAAAACATCCCGATGTCCCACTTTTACCCCACAGCCGAGTACGCCGAGGACCAACCTTTGGCGCGAACTATTCTCGCCACCCATGTCGCCAGCCGTGGCTTTCAGCTTGGTACAACGCTTGGCTTAATAAGTTACACTATTGAATCTGCGTTCAAACGTCGATCTATGACCATGCCTCTTCTCCTTCGGTCGGCGGGTGCCGGGAGCATAATCGGCGCCGGATTATCAACAGTGGGGATGGTTGCCAGAATGTGGGGTCGAGAGGATATTGAGTGGAGTGATCGCAGTTGGCGACTGCGATACAATACAGGGCAGATGGCAATTGACAATTGGAGTGAACCGGGAGCGATCATGGGAGCTCTTGCAGTAGCTTTCCGGAGGCCACTGGTAGCCATGTCAGGGGGTTGGCGTGGAGTCGCTGGTGGGGCTGGCATAGGATCCTTGGTTGGAGTGATTGGTTGTATCTGTTTCACTGAGGGATTTCAGCATAAAAGTAAATAACACAAAGTCTCCCTCTGTTTTCTTTTTACTCCGGTGGATCCAAACAAAATCAATCCACACGCGCAAGCAGTACAAGAGCGGCTTTGTTCCAAAGTTTTATACATGAAAGTGGGAGCGAGAGCTTAGATACAAGCGCTTCGTATTGCCAATACTGACCCTCGGTGGTATCATAGGCAGGACATGTCTGTTAGGACGAAGCCACACGCATTATTAATGTTCACGGCTAAGCATATTGAGTATCTTCGTATCTTTTTTGAGGCCTATTTAATATTGTTATGACTCAAAGTATAAGCAGGCCTATGTTCAAAGTCATGTAGGTTCGAATATTTATACGGACGTACAGATGGAGCGTATAGAATGTATGTGGTAGTAATATGTGGTATGGAGAAAAAAGAAGTCTTAGTTGCTCTAGGTGGAGGGATATAGTATGATATTGGTCGCCTAACCTAACAATAATGTTAGATTCGCTGTAGCTAGCCCGCTATGTGGGAGTCACAAGTAGGGCAATAGAGCTGATGCAGTTGCGCAGAGCACTCAAAGTACGATCAATCAACTCGTCAGTATGAGCGATATTCAACATCAGAAACCCACGACGACCGATCATGATTCCCATATGCAAAAGAGAGAAATATAAGCAGTCACGCAAAACTCCTATCTGATCATTTGGGAAATACATGCCAACGCAGCTTCCAAACCCAATCATCACCAATTCGCTGCTAAATCCGGCTTCACGGATAATCTGATTTCCCCCTGTCGTAGTCGATCGCCTAAATTGTTGATGCGTTGGATCTCTTCGGGAGTCACAATTTCCGCAGCCGCAAGGGCTGCACTCATGGTGAAGATGTTATTGTTGAATGTGCCCGAGTGCTGCAGCGGACTATCATTGTGAGGTTTGGCCGGATCGAACAGGCTCATGATAGCATCACGACCGCCGAACGCACCAAACGACAGACCGCCGCCAAGGTATTTTCCTAGCGTGGTCATGTCTGGTTTAATCCCAAAGTGACCTTGCAGACCATTATAGTGTAGTCTGGAAGTAACAACTTCGTCGAAGATGAGCACTGCACCGGTCTTGTCTGCGGCCGATCGAAGGAAGGCCAGGAATTCTTTGGATGCAAGTTGCATTCCGCCGGCGGATTGCATTGGCTCTACCAGAATGACTGCCAGATCAGGGCTAATCAGTGGCTCAGTCGCCTCGATGTTGTTGAATTTACCGATGATGAACTCGTGAGGTATGTTGGTCGTATTACCGGTGGTGCCGAAGCTCAGAACTCCACCATGATAACCGTTCTGAAATACGAGGACCTGTATGGCATTTTTTAATATTGACTCTTTCATACTGGACGCTCATTCATGGAATAGGCCACATTTGATGACAAACATACCTTTGACTTTCTTGTAAAAGCCTTAGCAGCTGCAATGGCGTAAATATTTGCTTCGGTTCCAGAGTTACAGTAACGAACTCGCTCAATGCTGTTAAAACGCTGCTGAAGTTTATACGCGAGATCTGTTTCTTTCTGGGTAATCGCTCCTAGGCTGAATCCAAATTTCAAGGCCCCATCGATGGCTCGAGCGATCGTCGGATGAGAATGACCAAAAAGGCAAGCAGAGAAATCAGAAACAAAGTCCACATACTCTTTGCCGTCAATTGACGTGATGAAAGCGTCATGAGCAGACTGGGTACACAGTGGGAATGGCACCGCATATAAGACTGAGCGGGTATTGCCGCCGGGAAGTATCCGTCTAGCTTTGTCAAAAGCTTCTTGGGAGTGAGGATTTGAAGATATATAATCTTCAGTCAGCTCTTGATGATGGGTGGCCAGTAAGGCGTCCCATTTGGCCGGAGTTGATTCACTTGACATTTTTGAAACGTCACTGCACCTGAATTTGAAGTTTGTAGTTGTCTTAGTACTTATAGATAGACCAGAGTATTATCTTCTAAAATATGGTTGTGCAAGAGTGGGTCCGGACATTCGGATACTCGGACAGTCCGATATCTGGTCATAAATTAACGAATGTGTATTTTTGCCGCCTTCCCGAATCTCGGTGTCTCCGCTACAATTCGATGGGTTTAGGGAAGGCCTGATAGCAATTGTGTATCAGTTTGATTTCCGCCAGCTGCGCCGAGCCGTTATCTGGCTTCTCCTATCTCCTCATAGAGCTAATACTCTGCTTCCCCAGTTTTCGCTGCTCCACTTTATAAGTGGAGACCCCGCAACAGGAAACTCACAGAAAGATAGATTCTGATATTTCAAGGCTTACTTGGACTTTCCCTTACTTTTTGCCTTCCTTATTTTCTGCCATGGACTCCACGAAAGACTGCTCGAAAAAGGCCACTTCAGCTACTGGTGCAGAATTGAGCAAAGCGGACGATTATATCGATAACGGGGTTATCCAGGATCTCGGCTATCAGCAATCATACAGGCGGGTATTGAAGACAATCGCCAGTGTATGCTTGGTCATTGCTTTGACAACGTATACAAACCACGTGCCTGAATATGTAAAATTTGCTCATGTTTTGATAGCCCATTGTCTGCCATATTGGTATCTGCATTTTACCAAGTGTCCTATGGAGGGTATTTTGGTCTCACGTGGTATGGGCATGATTCCGCATCTGTGACATTGTCTAATACTGATTCAGACTAAAGGGGGTGGATCATTCCCAGTATAGTCCTCTTCCCGCAGGTCCTAGCCATCTCAGAGCTATGCTCCTCCATGCCGGTGAACGGGGCCATGTACTGGTGGACTGCAGCTCTGGCACCTGAATCATGGTCGCGATGCTTGGGTTTCATTTCGGGTTGGATTAACTTGTTTGGCCTTTTCACTGGAGTTGCCAGTTTTGCATATGCTGTTGCCTCCGGCCTTGCGTATTCAATCCTGATTGCGAGACCCGACTGGTCTTGCACAAACCCTATGATTATGGCAATGGCTCTGGGTGTCGTCGTGTTCTGGGTCGTCTCAATGATGCTACGACTTGAGAATGTTACTCTCGCTTATATGATTTGTGGTACGTGATTCAGTCGAAACTGTCAGACGTGCTCGGGTACTAATCTACTTTACTTTAGCTGTTGTTATCCTCTGCCATGTGATCCTTTTTCTCATCGCTCTGCCGGTGTCACATGCCGTTCAAGGCATGCCCTTTCCTTCTGCTAGGGTTGTGTTTGGAAGCTATCAGAACTATACAGATTGGGAGCCTGCTGTTGCCGTTCCGTTCACCTGGTTCTGTGCAGCCTGGGTGAATTCAATCTGGATGGCACCAGCGTTTGTTGTGGAAGAGACTCATAGTCCTCGAACAAGTGCCCCCAAAGCCATGATCGGATCCTACATTTCGACATGTGTCATGGGTCTGTTTGTGACAATCATAAGCGCCTTTTGCATCGCAGATATGGACAGCATTGCTATGGATCCATCGTAAGTCCCCAAATCTGTTCTTATTCGCTCGCCAAGCCCGGAAAACTAAAAGCTACTCTACAGAGGTTACCCACTCTATCAAGTCCTCATTGATCACTGGGGCCAGCAGAAAAGTGCTGCTTTCCTCCTATTCATAGCTCCATTCAGCACCTTCGGGGGCAGCGGCATGCTTCTAACTTATGGAACCCAAATCGCTGCTTTTGCGCGGGATGGAGGCCTCCCTTTTGCGAAACACCTCACATACGTGAACCAGCGTCTCAGTCTTCCTATTAACGCAGTCCTAGTCCTAGCAGCCGGGACGTCTCTCATTCTCCTGATTTCCCTCTCAACGTCAGCCAAAGAAATTATTTACTCTCTCACCGTACTCTGCGGTCTCATCAATGCTGCAATACCGGTCGGATTGCGCCTGTTCGCGGGTGATCGCTGGGTTCCAGGCCCCTGGAACTATGGCAGATGGAGTAAGCCAATACATGCACTGGCTCTCATTTCCCAGCTTTACTTCATCATCATGGAGTCTTTTCCGCTCTACAAGAGCTGGGACATTAACACTTTCAATTACAATTGGGCAGTTACTGTGTCAATTATCATTATATCTTGCTTGCTTTATGTTACATGGGGAAAGAAATTTCCAGGTATTCCTCTGGAAGCACTTCACCGGTCGACTGCGGAAGATAATTAAATTAGTGCAAGTTGCTTGGCTTACAAATCTGAATAATTTTCCATCTTGGTTTTCATATCAACCTGAAGTCGTTTCCCGATCACAGAGAGCGACCGACAGATAGGGAACCAAACCATCATTGGGAGTATTATCATTGGACCCGGGTCAGGTTGACAGCAAAAAGCCTATAAGCTAGCACAGACTCAGGATTGTGCAGAAATTAGTCATGGCAGTCAATCATCAAACTGAGAAAGTGATGGGTTTGCTACCTGATACGACCTTCTGGAGCGCATATTCCAGAAGAGCTGGTGGAGGGAAAGCACAAAGCGACAATCAACTACGTTTGAGCCATCTGGAGGAACAACAGGAAGAAGATAGAAGACGGAGAAAGATCTGGAGGACTGCGTCACTCATCGCTATCTCCAAATGATGGGCAGGAAACAGTGGACCTCGTTATGAAGAGAAATGTTCCAAGATTTTACTTCACGAAAAGCAGGTGGAAGAGTTTTGAATGAGAATAATTTGTATGCCAACCCACATGACACAACAGCTCAAAAGAATTACGTATCACATACTGGTTAATTATCACCAGGTGTTTCGTCAGGTAGCAAGTAGCTAGCAGAATGCACCGAATTCTCGACCGTGAGACTTCGCTCCATCCTCTGCTGAGACAGCAAAAATACCTCAGGCAGCCACTGGGGCGGTTCTTTCTCTTGAATCATCTTCTTCATCACTTCGCCCATGCGCCAGCACATACACATTCCACCTCCGTTATAACCCGCTGCAATCCACTCCCCATCCCCCGACCGACCAGTCTGTTTCCCCGAAAGCCGACCGACCACAGGCATATGATCTGAAGTCATCCCCTGCACTCCCGTCCATTCACTGACAAGGTCTTCTGAACCTGGCTCAGTATTGAGAAACTCATGAAGCGTTGACTGAAGATAAGCAGTCGATCTCGCGTTAAGCGCCGCATCATTGGCACTGATAACCTCCGCTGCGGTGCTGTAGCCCCCGCCAATGAAGTAATGTCCCGATTTTGAATTCTGTTGCATATACAAGAGCTCCGTGGTTTTAGCACCGGATTGAGGATCGTGCGTTGGCTTTTGGAGTATCGCCCAGCATCTTGACTCGCGTCGGCGCACATGAAGGTCTTGTACGGTCATCGATTCGAGGCAGGGAAAGATGAGACCGCGGAGTCCGGGAAGTAGATGACTGGAATATCCGTTTGTGCAGTGGATCACTTTCGAGGCTCGCAGCTGGCCGCGGGGGGTTTCGATGATGTATGGATGAGATGGGACACTGGGATCATATTCAATTTTCAGTGCCGGCGTGTTCGCTTCAATTGTTAATCTAGACGAGAATTCCTTGAATAGGGCTTCCCAGACTTTCATGATGAATCTGTATGGCCAGAGCGAATATCCCGAAAAGAGAATAGCCCCTACCACACCATGGATATCGTAGTCCTGAGCTAGTCAGCTGGGTTTTATCTAAACTTGAAAGCATCCCCAGGAATTCACTGACCTTTGCTGCTTCCTCACCAGTGATAATAGAATAAGAGCTACCATATTGAGGCAGATCACTCTGGTACTGACTTACACTCTTTTTGGCGGCTTCAAACAGCTCACTGTCTCTGAAAGAGTGAACTCTTGTCACACTGCGCAGCTCCGATTCCTCAGCAGCGTATTCCTCCACTGCTTTACGTGTCTCTTGAATTGTGTCGATGGTGAATTCGACTATCTTGAGCGCCAAGTCTTTTCCGTATATCGATTTCAACTTCCCATAGATAATACCCCCATAGGTCAATAAGTTACCACCATTACGACCTGTGGCACCGGAGCATAGTGTCCGTGCTTCAAGGACTGTGATCCTCTGCGAGATTTGGGCCGGATCTTGGAGCAATGACTTCGTAACACTAGTTCCAGTGATACCTGAACCGATGACGACAATATCAGTTTGTTCTGGAAGGGCTTCGGACTGGACTGAAGCCAGATGGTGTTTAACATGAAGCCAATACGGCTCGGTCGCTCCATGTCTGGGAATACCGGGGTCGGCTTGGAGAAGGTCCTTGAGCTGTGACACTGCATGAAATTGTCAAATGGTCTGTTCGAATGAGACAAAGACAAATACTCACTTGTAATTTTATGCACAGTCCTGCTTGGTTTTGTTGTGGCTCTTGTTCTTCTCATTGAACGTCCGGGAATCCGCAGGCCCATAAGACTTATAGGTAAATAAACCCCTAGGAACTTATTGGGTACCTGTCGATATTGCGGGTAGATGGAGGAAAGAGCAATCGTACTTGCCAGTGGGGTAATCTGTCCCTGTTTCCAAAGGCAAGACTCGGGGGCTTGCGTAAACCATGGGGTGACTTGGCCTTGTTCGGAGTGTCCGAAAGCCCAGCCAACACACACAAACCACTTAATTTACGGGAGTAGGCCACCCGCTAAATCCCCGCGCGACTCCACTCAAACATTGCTTGACCGAGCGCGCAGTTACAGATGATCTTTTAGTGGGGGCCCAGAGATAGGAAGTATCTATATGTTTGTGACGATAACATTACCGATCCGAAAGCCAAGATTAAACCTTCAATCTTTTCAATGGGGTTTTCTTCTGAGGACACGGGGTCTTATCTGCATAGCGCTCCGAGACCTGACGTATATGAAGACTTTGTTGAAATGACTAAATGCACATTCCTGAATCTGCTGGTAAGAAAAAGCGAAACATTTGAAGTTACTCGGTATGGCCCTGATCGTCGTCCGACAGCTCAACCTAAATGTGTCGTGCTTACTAGACGGTGAATTTAACCCGCAATAAGACTAAGCTGAATAGTACATGGTATGGATATCTTGAGGAGAAATCATGGCTGTGTGCGTGATAGTTGGCTATGGATCGAGAAAAGTTCAACCTAATCACAAGAATCGACTCTGTAGCTATGAAAGATAACAGCGTAGTGGCATATTTTATATTGAGCATGCCGCATACTTGATGGGGCCTTTATTGAGATAAGCAAAGTAGTCGAAATGCAGAAGTCAATGGGCTGCGAGACAAATTACTTCGGAAAAATCGATATAGCCTCCCAGCAATGTCTGTAGAATAGTCTTCGAACACCAATATCTAGGTGAATCAGTTATAATATTTATACTCTGACTTTAGAAGATCTGCATGACTATAACAAGGATGACCGGCTACCTAACTTCGAAATGTTATCACGTGCCAAACTGGCGCGTGGAAAATACCCTTTGAGATCCTGTAAACTAGCCTCGGTGACAAGTCTGTGTTTGAGACGTTCTTCGGATAAAACGAACGACTTGGGTAGCCAGCCACTGACATCTTCGCCTAGGATCATCTTGGCCACTCCTTTGCCTGCACGCCAGGCATAGCACATTCCCATACCATTGAATCCAGCTGAAATCCACTCCCCTTCATGCCTAGCACTCACTGTGCTAGGGATGCGACCAACAAGTGGAAGTTTATCAGCGGTATACCCCATAACCCCTGCCCATTCACTGACAGTATGACGTGACTGTGGGTCTTGTCCTAGCAGAGATGTGAGCTTTGACTCTAGATGCTTCGTGGCGCTTTTGACAGGCTGGGTATCATCGGTGTTGATACTCTGATCTGGTGTCGTCCGCTCTCCGCCGAAGAAGAAATATCCCGAATTAGCATTTTGCTGTAGGTAATATGTCCCGGGGATAGTGGTGCCAGACGCAGGGTCGTAGCGGGGCTTATGGTGATGGCTCCAGGTGTACCGGTCACCCTGATTGGAGATCTCGCTTTTGAAGTTCTGGACTGTCATTGACCCTCGATAAGGATATAACCGACCGCGAAGCTCGGGTATAAGATGCCCCGCGTAACCATTGGTGGCATGGACAACATGTGTAGTTTGAATTGAGCCTCGTGGAGTTGTCACTACATAGGGATGGGTTGACTTTGGAAAGGTATCATCAACCGCTATGGACAACGCGGGGGTATTTGTTTCCAAGTAAAATCTTGATGGGTAGTGGCCGACTAGTCGCTCAAAAACTTTGCTCACAAGTTTGTAAGGCCATATGGCATGAGCAGGGAACAATAAAGCACCCGTTGCTCCTTGAATACCGTGGTCCTAGGCTACGTTAGCTCATTCAGGGTGCGTGATTTGCACGGGACGGTGTCTACCATCGCTGCTTTTTCTGGACCAATAAACCTGTACACTTTGTCCATCATCGGTCTTTCGGCTGAAAATTCCGCAACACTTTTTTTAGTAGACAGCAAAGTGTCCTCGTCTCCAAAGGTCTTAACACGAGTAACAGGTCGGTATTCGACATCTTTCTCCCAGCCATTCTGCCGCACAAGCTCTACTAAATCATCCAAGGTGCTGAAGGTAAAATCAATAATCTTGAGGGCCTCCTCTACTCCAAACTCTTCCTTCAATATTGCAAAATCGGCCCCTCCGTAAGCGACTATGTGGCCGCCATTCCGACCAGTGGCACCCGAACATAGTGAACGCGCCTCGAGCAGGGTTACACTGATGGTAGGGTCGCTCTCCAGCAATGTGTGTGCTACACTTGCGCCAGTAATTCCGGAGCCAATCACAATAACATCGACTGTTGAATGCAAGCTAGGGGACTGGTGTTGTGCGAGAGCGCACGGCATGTGAAGCCAGTACGGTGGTTTTGTGAAAGGTCGTGGCAGGCCAGGATCTGATGTTATCAGACTATACAAGGTGCGCTCTGGCCATCATGTCAGATTTATCGAGTATGATAGAAAACATTTTCTCTTACTTTGATTGTCCGGAGCGGACATGGTGCTTCCTCCAGTGTAAGGTTGTTTTATGGTAAAAATGCCCATATGTACCCGCGGTATCTGTGATAGTTATAAGGCTGACTGAATCCAATGAATCGGAATTGAGGGGCATAATGAGAGACGGAGGGGATTAATGAAAGGATGATGGGTCTACTCTCATTTGTTACGTTGGAGCTGATGGGTCCAGATACGGAAAAAACATGGGGAAACAGCCCAAATCCCGGCAAATGACGTGAATGGGCTCGGGCGAGACACTCTGCCGAGAAAGCACCTCGGCTTCCAGAGATATGGAGTGAAGCTTTCGGACAGACCTCAATCGACAGATGTCAGAAAGATGGTGGTCTGAATAGTTTTTAGCAAGATCCGCCGGGCTGAGAAGGAAGCATCGGTACCACCGTCTTTTTCCAACGTGCCGAGATGTACCCTCGGACAGTCCGAAGCTCCGAAACAACTAATGTTCACGAAATTTTAATCCAAATCAAATGGGATAGGAACTTCGGGCGCGAGACACATCGACCTCGAAGTCTCCTGAAATGACCGATAGACCTCGCGGCAGCACTCCGTGGGATCAGAGATATATTAAAGGAGATTTCGGTCTCACAATGTGTCGTTCAAATTTCTTTTATAATTGATTTGATCAATATCGACTTGATTGGATAATTTATCTTTTGGATCTTCTATCTAAGTTCCCTACGTTTTGACACCATGGCTATCGAAATTATTGAAGTAATGACATCGGAAGAGAGTTCTGCTCTCGCCAAAGAGTTCTTTGTGCCTACAAGAGATGGCAAAGAACTGGCTTCTGATGTCTACCTACCTCCAAATGCAAACAACCAGAAGTTCTCGGCGATTTTCGTTCGAACACCCTACGACAAGTCCAGCCGTTATACCGCTCTCAAGTATGAAGCTGAATACTATATGGATCGTGGCTATGCATTTGTCGCGCAAGACGTTCGTGGGAAGTTCAAATCAACTGGTGAAACCGAGCCCTACGCCCATGATGTCAACGACGCATACGATACAATTGAGTGGATCACAAAACAGCCTTGGTCAAATGGTCGCGTTGGGGTTACGGGTGTCTCCTATTACGGCTTCACAACATGGGCAGCAGTAGCCAGTGGCCACCCCGCGATCAAGGCAGCTGTTCCTCAGGCAACAGGCATCGATATGGGAGCTAGACATGTCGCCTCACGATGGTCACAGGATATCCCATCTTTATCGTCCGTCAACGACCTCATCCAGATTTGGACAGACAATAAGGGCTACCTCGCCTCGATTGACTGGACGGCTGATACCCCTCATAAAGTGGTTGAAAGTGCTTCTGATGTAATTGGGAAGAACATCGCTGCGGGCAAGATGATTCAGGAAAGAATCCATCTCCAGGGGTGGTATAACCCGTATGGAGACCGGCATCCATATCACACAACGAATATCCCCATCCTACATTGGCAGAATTGGTACGACCCTGGATTAGCACCAGCCGGGATGCGCGATTGGAGGCATTTCCGCAATCTGCCAACGCGTAATCTCCATTATCTGCGGGCCAACTCTGCTGACCACTCAACGTTCTTATTGGAGAATGTTGGTGATCTAAGCAAAGCTTCCTATTTAAATGAGGAAGCGAGAAAGAAAAGAATTTATGAGGAATGTGGTGAAGTGGCAGATTTCTTTGATGAATTCGTCAATGGATCAAAGCCATCTGTACCTCGAGAGCGAGCTCGGTGGCACCTCGGCCATGTTGGATGGCAAGCCTCAGAAGAGTACCCCCCTCAAAGCAGACCCTTGAAGCTCACACTCTCATCTACAAAATGTGATGCTGGGTATGTCATGTCGACAAATGAAGACCACTCTCCCATGCCATCATTATTGACATGGATTCACGACCCAAATAATCCAGTTCCGTCTACATTCGACATTGAGGCTCTTTGGTATTTGCTTGCAGCCTATCCAGATGAACGAGACATGGCTCAACGTGAGGATGTCCTGACATTCTGCACCGAACCGTTAGTGGATCATCTGGATTTCTGTGGCCAACCAACGCTCCAAGTGGAACTTGAATTTTCGAGTCCCTCCACCCACTTGTTTGCAAAGCTGCAAGACGTTTTTCCCGACGGAACGACCCGTCCGATATCATGGGGTCGGGTAGTCATAGATCAGAAATATGGACCCGAGGTGCTACTCAACTTGGATGACAACGCATACCGCTTACGAGCCGGACATAGACTTCAGTTGCAGATCCAGTGTAGTGACTTCCCAATATTTGCTGTGCATCCTGGCTCCGAGGAGAATCCGTGGACTGCCACGAAACGGGAGAAGAGCGAGCATAGACTGCGCGTTGGTGGAAGCCATGCGGCCTTCCTTATCCTTCCGGTTATCAGCTTGAATAAGATATGATTGCCATTTGCACTACCCACAATAGCACAATGATCTTGTACAGACAAACCCATAAAAATTGTAATTTATTAACTCCTCCGACAAGAAATGTCAATTGCGGCACATACTACAGTGGTGGGAGTGAATTCTCTACTAATTGCAAGCAGCAGGCCATAAAATATCGGTGTCTACGGAGAATTGGATGTGATGAGAAATGAAGGAATTGACTCGTTTGCGTGCCATTAAAGACTGAACTCCTTTCTTTAGGCATGAAACAGGCTACTGGAAGTCTTAGAGTCGCGACTAATCAAAGTACCCAGGTTGTCACTTGTACAACCATGCAATGGCTGTGAGAGTCATCGATGAGCGGTGATCAAGAAGTTAAATGAGGGAAATTTTGGACGGATGACATTCAAACAATGTTTTACCAGGATAAATTCACAGGCAGTAGACAACATGAATTAATTGATTTCTTGTGCTCCTAAAGGGTGCCACACCATGCATATTTCTTCGTAATCTTTCGTCGCCGGTTCACCCTTCTTCTCGGGAATCAGAATATGTATACTTTCGATTTCCTTCCATCCAAATTTTTCATAGAGCTTTACTGCATTCATTGTGGCCTCGAGATAGACTGGTATTTGTCTTGTTGAAGCTATGTCTGTAATCCGACCAATCAAGGAGCGAGCGACGCCTTGGTTTTGAGCCTCTGGCGAGATTGCAAGGTAGTTTAAATCTAGTCCGACGGATACCACGGTCAACAAATTGACGTCACATTGACCTTGCATAGCAAGGTATGAAGTGGAAAGCCTTGGAGGGTAAAAGATAAAGAATGAGCTTACGAATAAAAGAATGATCTCTCATGTGCTTTTCCCGCGCTGCAGCTGTTTCAGAGAGATACTTTGCGTGAAATTCGCTGACAGCTGGAGCAGGATCACTGCCGGATTTACCGACATCCGAGCATTCATAGAGCGTCCATTTGAGAAAGCCGACAATTTCGCCATTGCCATTGCTATCCTGACCGACGAGTACCGAGTCTGGGTTTGTCTCAAGCTCATCGACTGTTCGCTCTGTCAACGAATGAATCAACACCTTGCGAGATTCTGGCGTGGGAAATTCAAATATGAGAAAGGGGTTGATGCTCATTGCATGGACGTATATCTCGGCGATACGGCCAGCATCGGAGACATTTGCTCCTCTAATGATAAGCATATTTAGCAGTGAAGAAGACGTTCCAGCCCCGAATGACAACTATGTTGAGGAAACTTTGTCGGTATGAATTGTTTCAATTTTCTAACTTGAAAAATCCGACCCAGGTTGGGCTTTTTAGATCTTAATCCCATCGCTAGCACTCGGTCCAAAGAAAGGAGGTGAATGGTCAGCCCCCGGTACCCGCGGACTCCGGACCTTTAGCGTTTGCTGGTAATACCGGCGGACCAAAGTCCGAGGTTTTTGGCGCTAAACATGCCCGGAAACTTGATTTAGTTTCCCGAAAGGGCCACTTGCAGGTATTATTCACAAGCAAACTAGCCTTTCCAGGATCTAGATGCGCAACTCAGGCTAGTCTGGACATGTCTGGATATTGATACATAAGGTGGACATAAGAAACAGTGTACTATGATGTCCTCTTTGCAAGATCTAATGTCTCTTGATTTGCTAGGCCCTTCTTTACTTTCAAGGGGGCCGTAGAGGTAGTCAGTTTGTTGGTCTCTGAACTCGATTGGCCGCGCCTATCAGACCCCTTCATGTCAGTGCCTGGCTCACAGTTTAACTCAATCTAGTCGGACTTTGATTTATAGGAAATCATAATAAACGGGCCGTCGTAATGAGAAAGAATTTCAAAAGATCTTCAAAACAATTTCACATGTCCACTTTTCAAGAGTATTTCGCAGTAAACTAGTGACTAGATCTACCTTGAAAGATATCCTCATCGTACTACATTGTACAGAAGAAACGATAGTTTCAGTACAAATAGCTTGGGGTTCCAGCTTGGTTTATGATAGCTCCATACACTAAGGTGCAGTCAATGCTCACTGGACCGTTCAACCATCAATTGAGGCTAGAACGCGACCCCTCCGAGTCTTGAAAAGGTCGACCTTTCGTTTTAAAAGGAAGAAGCTGCTGACACAGATCCAGCAATGCAGAAGCAAATTTTGCGACCGTATTGTTCCTTGAACTGCCAAGGTTCCAAGCTTTCATCGCTGAAGATAACCATTTCAGAACGGCTAGGTACGAGGAAGCAGCAATAGCATCTGTTGTTTCAAGGACAGCTTGGAAGAGTATCTGCGCTGGCGCGAGAGCATACACGCCGAGATATCTGTATCTTTCTGATTAGAAAACTGAGTGCAACTTAATCAACATTAACTAGGCGAGGGCTGGGTGAAGATTCTTGACATGCCTTAATGCCCAAGCGTGAGGACCTAGACCATTTTCATTCACTTCTCTAGCAAGGTCACAGAATGCAAGGGCCGTTTCGCGGGATGTATGGGATACTTTGCCCTTCACTCTCTCTAGTCTTTGAAATTCAAGGTGCATGATAACAATATAACCATAAAATAATAAATCAGCAAAGACCCAGCTGCTCACTCCGGGGCAAGATCTTTGAAATTGTGCTTTCTGAGGCCAATAGAAACATTAGATTATATGTAAGTTGGATGAAGACACATGTACTGACAATGTCCCAATTTTCCAGTATTTTCGCGATTTCAATTTGAGCAATCTCGAGGTCTCTTGGGAGACCCACGGAGGCACAGAAGGGGGGGGTCTAGGTCCCCGGCGACGTGTGGAATAGAAAGAATGATACGCATCGAAACAACAAAATATAGCTGTTTCATGTCGGCCGCGTGGAGATCGAACGTATCGTGAGATAGTGCTGGAAATCGCACATTTAGCTGAGAATATGGAATGACTGGCGGTCTGTTCAACATCAATTTGAAGCAACAGTCTTTCTGCATCAGATCCCAAAAGAGGTATCGTCTGTCTTCGGTGTTTATCAAGCTAGTAATACTTGGCCCTGATGAAGGTGACATAGATTCAACGTAAGTGTCCAAATCGCCCAGGGCTCTCACCAGCCGACAGGATTCGCCGAAGTAATACCATGAGGATTCCAAGTCAGCGAATACGGCCATGATATCGGACTTTCAAAGAACCGTTCTATTAGTAACCATCTCATCAAAATTGAAAAAGTCGCTAGGCGCCAAAGGATTTTTAAAGTGAGAGGAAATGACATACCATCAATGTACAGGCGAAAACATCCAGTGAAGTGGCAGTAATCGTATTTTTCCAGGTTTGAGCTAGTGCCCACAATTTTCGATGAATTGATTTGGCGATTTGGAGGATATAAGGCAAATCACAAGTAATACTGGAGCCATAAAAAAGGCTTGCGTAAAAGGTGATGAGAAGTGTTGTTGAGAAGCGAATGTGAGGGTTGCTCAGGTGGGTCGGAATTAGGAAGAGAAGCTCCTTGTCTATATCAACCGCGTGTAGAACGATGGCAAATTCCCTGAAAAAATCTGTTGGCAATCTTCAATGAAGCTCTAGTGCAAATCATGATTGCTTAAACTTCCTACCTTCCAGCCATTTCTTCTTTGTTGACGGTGATACCGTGTCAATATCAAATTCACTTGTGTCAGTGTCAGAAGCAGGAGTGTATCCTTGAAAAACCTCACTGGCTTCTTTTTGTATATCTTCGAGCAATTGGAAACGTGAATGTCGATATGCTATATCATCGTAGGACTCATTGACACGATTGAGAAAAGCATGAGACATGAGCTTCACGTCGCGCGCACGGTTGGAAATGTAATTTGTGTGAGGCACGCTGCTGCCTATTGCACTCGGAAAGTCCGTGGACGCTGAAGCGAAAAGAGCCAGCCTAGGAAAACTAGACTGCGAGGGCTCATTTCTGTTAGATACTCCAACATCATGGGCTTCAACGGGCGTAGAGCCTGGCTCAAGACCTGCAACACTTGAGTCTTGAGCTTGCTGTGGACTGGAAAGCTCTGGCTGGTGTTGTATATTCTCGCACGCCGTCCTGTTTGTCTTGCCATGCTGCCTAGATCAAATTAAATTAGGCAGTCATAGGTCAACAATATGGGAGGGACTCAAACACTAATTTCCTGGGTCTTTGTTTGCGTGCGTCATAGTGGCAAGTAATCATGCGGGACGAGCATGGTGTACAAGTCGGTTCAACTTTGTCACACCGGATTTTGCGGAGCCGGCAACAACGACACTTCGACGTTCCAGTGAGTGTGGGACAAATGAACGGGTGTAACCACCTACGCTGATCTCATTAAAGCCCATGTTGTAGCAAGAAGTCCAATTTCGGACAAAGCGAAGGACAGTCGGACCTTGCGGGGTCTTTAATCATTTCGGTGTTACCGGAGGCTTTGGTAATCAAACGATGATCGGAATCTTGCGTTGGGAACTAACCCTCTTGCGGATGGCGTGTTTCAGTTCTCCGCACTCTTCCTCTAACATTGTTTAACATTGGATAGCTGGGAAGGGGTGGAACTCAATGGTGCGCCATCTATTCTGCCAAGGTTTATTACCCGAGGCGCTAGATAAGGAGAATGTCCGTGTGCCGGCATTGATCCTGGATGTCATGAAATCAATCGCCGGAAGTGTAATTTCCTTGGCGGGATTGCTTCGAGGGAACTCTATTAGCTTCTTATCTCATAGTTCTTTCGGGATTGCCGAAGTCAACAAATCGACAAATCACTGAAGCCAACCTGAAGGAATTTTTGGCCGGGAGAAATTACCCTCAACCTATACTAGTCTGCCGAACTTTTTTCACCAAGGCCTTCCCATTTCTGCATATACTACTCAGGCTAGAAGTTGCCTGGCAATTAATGCTAGGCTCTACTGCCTTGGAAATCTCTCTTCTTGATTTGATGATCAGGTGTCTGGGACTCAGCCGACGCAATGCTTACCAGCCGAGCCCTTTGAAGACCTCCCGAAAAGATAATAAATACTTTCGTTTCTCGCTCGCAGTGCCTTCCTTCATCTTCCTTATTCATCGACCTCTTTTGTTTTTACTTTACCTTTTTTTTTTTTTTTTCTTCCTGGATATAATCCCACGTTCCTGCTGAGACGATGGCCGGCAGCCTCATGTTACCTCGGAAATTATGGGAACATCCGGATCCCAATTCCACTGCTTAAGGCCATTTTAGAAAGCGTCTACAGGAGACAAAAGGTCTGGATCTACCCGACTACCACTCTTTGTATCAATGGTCAATCTCAAAAATCAACTAGTTTTGGGAGCTTTTTTGGTATTATTTGCCCATTGTTCACGAAGGCCAGCATGAGCAGATCTTAGATGAGAATGCGCGCATGGACAGTATTCCAGCCTGGTTCCTGGAATCCGGCTCAATTTTGCAGAAAACATACTGTTCACGGCTACTACCGGATCTCATTCGGCGAAACCAAATGTCACTACAATTGAAGGGAAGGAAAATGAATGGAAAAAATCGCCTTGACTGGAATTCGCGAAGGAAACCTCAAGCCTGCGGTGGATTTGACCTGGGCTGAGCTTCGAAAATGTACCGGCCAACTCATACAAGCAATGAAGGCTGCAGGCATTCAACGCGGTGATCGCATTGCCATCGTGGGGAGCAACAGCATCGATTCATTGCTTGTCCTGCTGGCTACAATTGCTCTAGGTGCAATTTTCTCTTCCGCTTTAACTGACAAAGTAGAGCTTCCTGTCAAACAGATCGTATCTGGAAAGACTGTACAGCCCTCGGAAACGTTACTCAATCCTAAAAGCCTTCATTACTACTACCGGTTTGCAAAAATTGAGGAAGTATTGCAAGCCCAAGCCAAGCTTTGAGTTGTCCCCAGCTTTGAAATGGCCTAAATGAGCTCTAATTTTAGCAAGGTATTATTTCATTTATACGCCCAGAGCAGACTGTGAGACGAGTATATATATCTTGATTCCCTAGCTCTTACCTACACCTGTAGTGTGCTTTGGCAAAGCAGCGCTATAATCAAATTGAACACCACAATAACGGGTTATATAAAACTTTGTGTTTGAAATCCAGGAATTTATTCGAGTATATACCTAGTGAAGCGGAGTACTGTCACCTGGTGAACCGGCAAGCCACTACGAACCAAACCCACTCTTGACATCTAGTTCGGTCACGGGAGGTAGTAGGAGACAGGAAATGAGAAAATATGTGTGGCTTTCAGAGGGAAGGATGGTCATATTGTTTATTTTTTACATGCAAGCGCTTAAAACGAATACCAGTTACACCCCACTACACTAGGTAGCATTTCCAGTCTTTCACTCCATCGTGGCAGACTAGTCGCATGACCTAGGCCTCTTATCCGAGATGGTGTTTGAGAATAACTGCACACGTGGTGGTTAATGGTGATATGTATATATTTCAAGGGTTTCAATTCCTCCGCCGTGGCTTAGAATATAGCAAAGACGTCTAGTCTGGGACCTTTCTGCGATATATAATTGCTCAACACTGCCTAGCGACTGAAACCCTTTCATGTTTCCCATAAAGTCTCGTTCAAGCCTTGACTACGTCAAATCCGTCTTCCAAATTATCCAGAGCCTTCCGGATCTCGATGGCATATGCGGGGATACCACCAGAGTAGCACACAGGTTCATAAACCTTGCCAGGAATGCTGCCACCCATATAAGTTGATCTCGTCGTGGGGAAGAGAGTCTTGTCATTGAGCTCGACAACGTGCTTTTTCCATTTATCAGCGGCCTCGATCTTGGGGTTGATGTACTTAATGCCATTGGCCTCGATCTTGGAAATAGCGTCGGCGATCCACCGGCCCTGCACCGCGACTGACGTGGGGCCGTTACTGAGGAGCGTTGGGCCGTGCGGGCCATATATGTGGAACATGTTGGGATAGCCGCTGACGGTGGTGCCCAGGTAGGTCTTTGCTCCTGGAATCCATTCCTTCTCAAGCTCGGCACCGTCGATGCTCTTCAGCCCGAGCTGGGTCATGACACCAGTGACAACATCCTGTGAATGTCAGTCCTTGTGCGCTCCTGTTAGTGTTTCGCGTGGAACTTACAAATCCAGTTGCGACTGCAACAACATCAAGTTCATGGTGAGTTCCGTCCTTGAGGGTAATACCGGTCTCGGTAAACTCCGTGATCGGGTTGTTGTTGATGTCAACCAGGTGCACAGACTCACGATTAAACTGCTCGTAATAGTTTCTCTCCAGGCACGGCCGTTTGATACCAAAGTAGTGTGGCATCTCCCGTGGCGCAAGCAGCTCCCTTAGTTTAGGGTCGCCAATACGAGCACGGGTCTTCTTGGCCCAGAAATTGTACGACTCTTTGTTGGCTTCGGCGTTGAACAAGTTATCCTTGTACAAGGCAACCCAATAGCGGAAGCCGCCGTCCTTCCAAACGCCCTCGTAGAAGGCCTCGCGCTCCTCGGGGGTGTCGTCAAAAGTATTGCGCTCGCACCAATCGTACATGAAGCCGGCAAAGTTGGCCTCGCGGTACCGGAACAACTCTGGGTAATAGGGCTTGATGCGCTCCTGCTCCTCAACGGTGAGGTTGCGCTTGCGCATGGGCACAGCGAGGTTGGGAGTTCGCTGGAAGACCTTAAGGTCGCCGGCCTCGGGCCCCCAGGCCTGCGTGATTTGTACGCCCGAGGCGCCGGTACCGATGATAGCACAGCGCTTGTTTTTCACGTCGACCTTTTCCTCGGGCCAGAAAGACGAGTGGTGCACAACGCCCTTAAATTTGTCCATGCCCGACCACGGGGGAATATAACGCTTGGCGGCCTTAACGATTCGATTAGAACATGCTCAGCTGACTGAAGGGTGCAAGGACTCACAAAGCCGGTTCCGAGAACGAGATATTTGGCCTTGGTTGTGCGGCCATCTGCAGACTTAATATGCCATTTTCCCTCCGTCGTATCGAATTGGGCCTCAACCACGACGGTGTTGAAAGCGCAGTCCTTCTTGATACCAATTACCTTGTCAACGTGATCGAAATAATTACGTAGATCTTTGTAGTCAGGATAGTTATTGGGCCAGTTCCATGTATTGTATACTTCCGGCCAAGCGAACTCGTACTCCGGCACTTCGGAGTCGACACCGGCGCCGGGGTAGCAGTTCCATCGCCAAGTGCCACCCGTATCGTTGCCGGCCTCGAAAATGACCGTCTTCAACCCGCGATCGCGGAGGGTCTTGAGCATGAAGACACCGGCTATCTCGTTAGCTGGTTCATGAACCTGTAAGTGAAGGCGACTTACCGAAGCCGGCACCAACGACTAAAGCATCGACTTCGAGGTTGTCCGCATATGGCCCAGTCTTATCGGCGTGGGTTACGGAGTAGTCTGTGAGCTCGGTGTTGTACTTCTTGGGCCTAGAAACTGTTTCACCTAGGCTACCCATTTTGAGCTAAGTTTGGAATGATCGAATTTTGTAGTTTTTATCGGGAGATTGACAGTCTGAGATACCGTTCAGAACTTCCGTTTCTCAGACACCTATTTATATTGGCTTGATTGATGTTGTGCTTTAATGGTGAGGCCAGCATACACTTTAGACTGTATTCCACTAATCGTCATTATACAGGTAACCGCAGCTCTATCGATCCAATCTAGTGGACGCGTTCGTTCTAGATACACCCAGCCCCGCTCTCATACCCCACATTTTCTAGGTTCCCCAGGTTCCCCATGTTCCATGTCATCATGTATGGTGCTGCAACTGTTTTTGATTGGACCTTTTCGGCCGCTAGTTGCGGTTGCGGAGCAGGATGCAATGACCTCCGCGCCCGCGTTCCGCAATCCGCAGCGGATCCGCAAATTGCGGCTCCGCAGCAAGTCACAGCCGCTCTAGAATCACGGGAACCTCTTATCAGTGTCCGAGGTAGTTTCGGGCATTGGAAAGTTATTTTCAACGAGTTGACTGAACCTATCGTTAAATAAGTCATACTTGCAGCCTCCAGATACATTTGGTGTGACCTTTGAAGGTATATCAACGCCGTACACTCGACCACGCCCAATCTTCCGCACAAATTGCCACTTTGACACATACAGCAGCCAACATGTCTCTCGGTGCGGAAGTGACTTCGAATCTCCGCGACATTGTAGACAAGGCCTGTGAAGATCAAAAGTCCGGTATCCCCGGAACCACAGTCGTGGTCGTTGGCAAAGATGGCAACGAACTATTCGCTCACTCTGCCGGTAAGCGAGGCACGGGATCCAAAGATCCCATGACTCTAGAAAACATCTTCTGGATTGCATCTTGTACAAAGATGCTGGTTGGTATCGCCTGTATGCAGCTTGTTGAGCAGGGCCTTCTCAAGCTAGATGATGGGCAGCAGACCGAGCGTCTTTGCCCTGAATTAAAGAGTCTCAAGGTTTTACTGCCAGATGGCAGTTTTGAGGAGAAGAAGCGTGCAATTACTCTGCGTATGCTGTTGACTCATACTGCCGGATTCGGCTATACTTTCTTTAATGAGAGATTGAGACAATGGTCACACCCGGTTGGCGTGGATGAATTTTCCGGGCGCATTGAAGATATGAAGCTGCCTCTGATTTTCCAACCCGGCGAAGGTTGGGAATACGGTGTAGGTGCTATTCAAACAGGACTATGAAGCGCATCGCTAATAATAACAGGTTGGTATCGATTGGGCGGGGATTGCGCTGGAACGGGCTACTGGTCTGACCCTCAACGAATACCTTCAGAAACATGTTCTTCTTCCCCTTGGGATCAGAGAAATGTCCATGTTACCGAACCACGAAATGCGTCGGAGGCTAGCCTATATGAACAGCAGAAGCCCAGACGGTAGTCTGAGGGCCCGAGACCACCCTCTCCGGGCTCCTCTGGTTGTTGATCTGGACAATGAGGCCGAAGTCACTAGGGTATTCAACAGTGGTGGCGCAGGAATGTTTGCCAAGCCGCAAGAGTACTGCAGTAAGTAGCCTCAAGCTTTGGTGAGGTTCTGTACCCTGACATATCTTTGCAGAGGTCTTAGCTGTGTTGCTGAACGACGGAACTTGCCCTAAGACGGGCAGCAAGTTACTTTCCAAGGAAACCGTCGATGAAATGTTTTCCAATCAAATTCCGCAGTTCCCCAACTACAGCCGCTCGGGCATCCCAGCTGCAAAACCGGACCTGACCAACCTCATTCCTGAGCTGTATCCAGTTCCCGGGAACCCGCCACAGGGTTGGGGACTCACTTTCATGCTAAGCAACGGTGGCGCTACAGGGCGATCGAGTGGCACAGCGCACTGGGCTGGGCTGCCAAATTTGTGGTGGTGGGCGGACAGGGAGAAAGGCGTTGCGGGAATTATCTGTACGCAGATTCTTCCCTTTGCGGATGGCAAGGTGCTTGAGTTATGGGGAGCAGTTGAATCCGAGATATATAAAGCGCTTGGTCAATGAGATTGAATGTGGAGATATCAGATGGTATCTAGGGTATTAGTGATTTCAATGACATTAGTTGACGGGCGCTCAGAGTGTCAAACACCGCGGACCATATATAGTCTTACCTAGACTAGAGAGTTACCTGGATATCACTACATTTTTTACCTCCTCTGGTTCATGATGTGACTTTAAGGGCAAGATTATCCTACACTTCGGGGTTCTCCCATTTCATTCCATCGTAGCGCATAAGAGTGGTTGTGTGTGCTTCATCGTTGGTGCACCCAATCTGCAGAGCCAGACTGCTATCGCGCCATCCCCACTTCACTAGCTAGTCGTCACGAATCGCGATGCTTTGGCCTCAAACTCGAGATCGCCGTGGCACGAACCTGTAATCAGCAGGAGTTCGAGTTCCAACCGTGGCCAATCATGGTTAGATAAACAACAGTAAATTTGCCTAAGGGAAATCTGGGGAATGCGGGGAAGCCGGGGATCCGTATAAGGACCTCCCCGTTCCCCGCTTTTTGACGCCATCCAACTCGCCTCCGGCTCCACTAGCTCGACTTCATAATCACAGAACATTCCAATTCCTCACGTTATAGCCTGAAAAAGAAGAAAAGAAGAATTGAGCGAACAACGTTGTTCAGCATGCCTATCCAGAAACACTCCAGAGCCCTTGCACAAGGATCTAGAGCCAGGCGTCAGAACCATTCTTGCGACCAGTGCAGAAAGGCCAAGCGAGCATGCGATGCACTATGTCCAGACCCGATATTTGGAAATATTGATGGCCAGCATTCACCATGTTCCTACTGTGTCAGAACAAAGAAACGCTGTACCAAGGAATGGGCCCGGTCCCAGGCTCAGTCTACGCCGAAGCCACCTTGCCAAGGGCCCCATCATGAGCATTTGGGTGCAGATCTTGGCTTCCCATGGAAGGCTAGTAAGCTCCAGGCTGACATTGAATGTGGGATCTGAGATGATCTGCTGCAACCAAATCCCATGCAGGATCGTATGGCTTGGGAGCCGGCCAATATTGATCTATCCATGTCATATTTGAGCCATGATTCAAGACCACTCAGTTCCATGCTCGATTTGAACGAGGACACCCAGGAGGATATTACCGCAGAGGTGCCTTACGCCTTGACGTCTACACGATCTATGAATGATTTCCAGCTATCTGATTTGTCTAGTGCCTCGGATATCTCTACCAAGCCACCCGCAGATCTCGGATTTGATTCGATATGCCATCCGACGTGGCTGAACACCCATAATTACAAGGAACTACAGACGTACAGTAGCCGCCAATCCACCTCGTCAAGAAGCTCCCGGCAGCTGAGTGACTCCCCTTGGAAGACCTTCGACCACCAGCCCTCTCGTCGGAACAGCCCCCAAAGCTCGTTCTCCCCATATTCCATCGACCAGCAAATGATCACCACTTCCAATAACCACCTGATTTCAGAAAATCTTCTCCAGATTTACCACGACGTATTGGAGCACAACTTATCGTGTTGGTTAACTGAGATGACTTGTCCCTACCAATTGGGATCGCGAACTTCGACCAAAATCATCCCGGAATGGGGCTCATCATGGTCTAACAGGATATATCAGCGCACGATTAAGCTCGATCGTGTCTTACAGTCTTCCAAGTTCCTTCAGATGACACGCTCTGAGGACCAGGCCGCGTCCAAGGCTCTGCATTTTGCCATCATGGCGTTTGCTACGCAATGGGCGCAGGGAAGTAATCGGCACCGTGAAAAACATCCAACAGTGACTCTCCATCATGGCGAGGACGAAAGTAACATATCCAACGAGTTCGACCGCATTCTTCAGCGCCACTTTTGGGACCAGGCGCAGTGCGCACTGCAGCAAGTTGCCGCTGTAGAGTCGTACAGAGTGGCTTGTGCCGAGATGATCTTTGGCTTGACACAAAGGCCATGGAACCCCGACGAGCAGACTCTCGAACATGAGATAGAAGCACAGGGCCATAGATCTGCCATAAACTCAGTCTTTTTACAGGCGAGTGATATAATACGCAAGGAAGGGCCGCCGATATATATGGAGAGTGCAGCTCGAAAAATGCACGCATTGAAGTTTCGCTGCGATGCGCTCGAAGCGGGTCTAGGCAGGCAGTATGGCAGTCGAGAGAAGGCTGCTGATGGCATTGCAGACATAAGTCCCGAAGATCGAGGGACGATCGGCCTACTCTATTGGCTGGCCATTATGTTTGACACCATCTCCTCCTCCATGAACGAACGACCCGTCGTGGTAATGGATGAGGACTGCGAACACGACGCACAAAAACGGCACCGACAAGTTTCGAATTTAGATAATTCTACTACACAAAGTCGGTGGAATCTCAAGCTTTTCGTGCAAGAGAGCATTGAAGAGACACATCAAACACACTGGCCCTGCTCCTACGAGACCGCCGCCGAAGACATCGTCAAGTCAGCGCCAGTCAAAGTACTTCTCTTCCGGCACCTGTCGTACCTACAAAACGCTGTTCGCAAGAGCTCTCATGGAAAGCAAATTGAGGAAATCATCCATAGTACAATGTCGCTGTATCAATACTGGAATAAGACGCATGGTGCTTTCTTCGACGAGCTCGTGCAGAACTACAGTCTAGTTCCGCAGCGTATACAGGGCTGGTTTGTGTGTATCTCTGCGCACTGGCACCTTGCTGCCTTGATGCTTGCGGATTTGCTGGAATTTATCGACGACAATGCCTTGGGTATCGAGGATGCGGCTTACGGTCGTATCAACAGCCAAATGGCGAGGGGAATCAGGAACCGTAGTGCCCAAGAGCTATCAGATCTGGCAAGAGTCGCCACCCCGCCTGCCGAAGATGCTATCACGGGTGTACCGCAGATGCCAGACTTTCACCACGCTACCAATGAGGGGACGCTTCTGACCGAGCCATGGACGATGATTCTAATCAGGGCGTTTACCAAAGCATGTATGGTCTTTTTGAGCGAAGCAGATGAGTCCCTTTGCTACACTGCGACTACCTTCGGGCATACTAGGCTTAAAATTGAGCGGAATATGGAGCGGGCCGAAAATTGTATGAAGGGATTGTGGCTGTTGGGTAAAAAGTCAGATATGGCACGAAGGATTGCTGAGATACTTTCACTAGCGTTGAGAAAACTACGGAATGAGTGCCTGGGTTGATTGGAAGCTTTGGCACGCTAATATAGTTATGGCGACCTTTATGCAATTCCTCTGGTATTGCAATGAAAGGAATTTCGAGGAAACATCAAGTCTGGCTGTATATATAATTGATCGGGATGAACATTAGCGAGATTTTTTATTCAGGTGAAAATCTAGCTTGGAAACTTTCGATTCTAAGAGACATCTGCTTTCTAGTGCATCACGCCTTCCAAAGGTTGCGAGCCGAATTGTTTCACTTCGTTAAAGTCCGTTCAATTCTGCTTCGGACACCCAAGGAAAATATGTAGTTCATGCTTGGACTTTCGCGAATTTGGAAAGCCCGGTCTTTCCGTCGTGCCCGAAGCGCATCGATTTGCCACTGCATGCGTATGCCTCCTATGGCTGCGTGTCAGAAAGGAGGAGATAATAGTGAAAACAAGAGGGAGCAATATATTTCTGCCTCTTTTTCTGTCCAATCCAGTGTGATCTCTTGCCGCCCTATCTCTTTGCCGTCTTTGGGCGCCTCCACCTGAACGCCCTAAAAAACCCTCAACGCGCTAACGTGGCCGGCTTGCATTTTCCTCCCTTCTATATTTCCACATCCATCTGTTACATCGTTCTCGCATGACGAATGACGGGCCTTGCAAGGCGGGACCGCGGAGCTGGTGGCCGAATATGTGGAGTAGACATGTCCACCATCAATGAGATGGATGATATTCTACATTGGCCTGATTCAATTGCCCTTATCTTAGCTTAGTGGGGTACACGTAGCAAGAGATTATTCGTCCTTTGAGACAGGGGTTTGTCACGCGGGATGAAACCCCTCACTTTGAGGCTTCTCCCATTCTGATATCTATTTGATTCTTCTTTCACAAACAACGTTGACAGCAAAATGGCGGACTGTGATGAAAATTCAGGCACAGAAATCGAGATTTTCCTCCGATCTATCCCGGAGGTCAACAGCTTTCTATCTAGCGAAGACGGTCGCAAACCGCAGCGAGATGAGATTTTCAGGAGTATCCAGAAGAAGATCGCACAGCATGTGTCCGCAACAAAACTTAAAGAAGACGATTGGATCTCCCAGCTGGCAGAACTAGACCTTGATGATACTTCAACAGATGACGAAACCAGCTCGATAGCTAGACTTCTAACCCGCTATGTCCTCAACCGCCCTTGGGTTTTTCACCCATGGTTGGTCCAGCAGACATTCGAGAATCGTGATGACAATTCTGATTATGGGGCTGAAATGACGACGTCTGAGTTCCCCATGCCCAACTCAAGGCATAGATCTGTGGCGGCTTCTGACGATCTGGCCAACTTGGTTACACATAATGTGGCTAAATTGCATGATTTGACATTGAATGTGAAGACGGGCAACTTTCTGGAAAGCTTTGGCAACAAGTCCAAGATTCTAGCCCGTTCAGATGCCATGCTTGGCTTGGCAGGCTTTTCTCCATTGATCGATAAGTGTGCATTGCAGGACGAAGCTGCATGGTCTGAGGCACAATCGGCTACAACCATAGAATACGATTTTGTCGATCAATACCACAAGCACATTCGATTTTCTGGGACCAAAGGAAGGCAGTGCGCAGCAATCTCATTTTTTCAACATGATAAATCCAATCGTGGTGATTCAGAGGATACGATGATCCGTGCTAAATCGCTAGTGGACCATGGCATGATAAATCTCATGTCACATCTCAATACTCTTCCGGACGATGTAGCTCCTTTTACTCAACTGTTATTCATTCGCCAAGTCTCCTCCACAGCCGAAAACGGAACAGACAGAGACAGCCATTACACTGAGATTGCTTCAATACAAGTAAAGGAAATCAATGATTTCTTTGATGCATATGCAAAGTCCAGACATATATTTGACCAGCGCCTTGAAGCCTCAGAGAATGAAGATCATAGCCTATTTACGAGACTTTGGACCGTCGCGGCAAGTCAGATCTTGGGCGTTGTGTATCCGATATTATTGGTTTTCACGGCAGGGAGCGTTCTCTTTTCATTTGTTTCTTCGTTTTTGTACCGACAGTCAGATCTTGCTCTTCTGCAGAAACTATCACCACTAATGAAATCCTTGGAACCCTTGCTTGAAGCCCTCGGAATTGATCGCTTCGACCACGACAAGATTTCAGAATCAGCACAGTTTGAAGTTTTACACCTCACCTCTTTGGTAGTGCAAGCTCTCACTCTAATACTCCAATCATATTTACGAGGCTCAGAGACGCCATTTTGTTTTGAATTCTTAACGACTCCCATCTCAGACTTCATCCTTGAAGGTTCACACCCAAGTCCAGATGCTTTAAAGCTGTATGCAGGCTCACAAAAGCTTTCTTGTTTGGGTGATATGCTTCAGAAAGAGGTGCTAGCTTTCGGATCACAAAAGTCGCTTTTCCAAAATCGATTGGATGTTATTGCAACACCAGAGCAAGTGGCTGCTATGTGGGGACCAGCGGAATTCATTTTCAAAGACCCTTCAACGAAAGAGGCAGAACAGACGACCCAGAAAGATTTAGCTATATTCGAGGAAACCGATATCTTTGGCATAAGAATCCAAAACGGATTCATCCTACCAAGTGACGAAAGTGTTGATGGAATACCGAAATGGCATTGGGAGTCGCTGAATCAGAATGATGAAAATGACATATCTCACATATCCAGAGGGAATGCCAGCATCGACCGTCATATCCGAGTCAGAATTGGAGGAACGAATAGTCTTCGTCTGACGCCAATCGGGCCATCCTATTTGAATAAGAGTTGCCCTCGAAGTGCCGGTCTTTGCTCCGAGAAACGGCTAGGATCAAGTTTCCAGGTACTTGGAGTTAGCGACCCTCAATGGAAGATGGAAGACTTCAACCTTGGGCTACAAGCAGGTCAAATCGTGAATGTTGTCACAGAAGCAACATTCATCAGGGTGCCGGGAAGAACTGTTAAGGAAGCGGTGCTGAATTCAGTCGGATTCTTCGAATTTCAGATAGCTGAATTCGATCAGATGTGGGGCTTGTTCGTCAGCCTCTGCACCGGAGTGATGACCCGCGTCAGACTCCGCGAGATAGTCGCTTTCATCTGCCTTCATGTGCCTCGTCAAGTCCCAGTAATGCCTGGGAAAACCCGCGAAGCTTCATTACATGCATTTCTTCAAGTCTTGAGCGGAGAAGAAAGTCTGACGACCTGGGTCGAATCTCTGGCTCAGGAGTTCGAACAGAATATCCCAGGTACAGGTGATTACCTAAGAATTTTGCAAGAACAAGTATTGTCTTTGTTTAAGAATGTGATGGCCATGCTCAAAGAAACAGGTGTATCCAGAAACGGAGATTTACACCTAGCTTTCATCACTCAACGGCTTGAAATACAAATGCTGGCTTTGTCTGCCGAAGACCATCCGTGGACCAAAGTGTTGAGCGACTCGTCTTTGACCGCGACCTTTGCATGTGTATCTCCATATTGCTTTCAGACTATGGGTCACATGTGTCAGAAAGATCAATGGAGGATGCCGGACAAGTGCCGGTTGGCAACAAAATTGAATGCCTATACTCACCATCTGCAGTGGGCAGCAGACCCAACGGATGTCCTCAAGGTCGGGAAAAGCTACTGCATCAATGCTCGTCACTTGAATATGCTGGCAAAAGTGGACGGATTTGTGACTTCTTTCGGAGAACATCCGTTCTACTCCATTTCAACCAAAAAAAGTCTTGTTCCTTTATCAATCAGCCAGCATATTCGAAAGAGAGCCGACCTGCGAGAAGAAAACTCAGAGACTGCTGTTAAATGCATCATCAGTGGATATGCCGATTAGGAACGCTCGTGGTGTCAAAATGAAAAGACCATTTTGGTGGCGTGGCAATGGTGAGGACCATGGCATCTCGTCTGGAAACGTTTTAGATAAGCACTCTGTTTGTCCGTTTTGAAATTTAATATATGTATGATACTTTTGAAAGAGGTTCTCGCCATATTCATTCCAAGTGTCGTTAGTAATTTACCTTTTGGCTGATTTATCTTGCCAGGAGGCATGGTTTTAGCGCTTGGCCATCTAAGAAGCTTGATGCTTGAAAAGCCCTTGTGTTTTATAGGGATTGACTGAAGATAAATGACGAAAGGAGGGTGTCAGCACGTGGTACTGGTCGAGTATTAGAGGGGAAAAGGAAGAGCACAAGCTGATATGGCTTGCTGCTACGAGTGTTAAGAAAGGCAAGTCAAAAAACCCGATCATATTGTGGTGGCATGGATGACAGAGGAGTAGAAACAAGAAAGGGAAGGTGCATGGATCTGGCCATCACTTGATATCCATATTTCAGCAGGAGAGGATTAGGCAAAAGTGATCATATCCCAAAGCTTAGAGCACGAAACCTCGGGGGTGTCTATCTGTTAGAACGATGCCTCAACCATTTGAGCAACATATAATTTACGGCGGGACTTGATAATTTTGCAACCCTCGCTCTATGGCAGCAATCTGCAAAGCGAGAATGGGAGCAAACTGTCTGGACCACATAAAGCTCCCCGTCATGAACCAGAATCCCGGCATACCGGTCGGTCTCCACACCTATGAGCGATGTTAGCGATCTACAGCCCGAAGACACTCAGCAATGCAAACTTACACCAATTCTTTCTTGGCTGTCATCCAAACCGCACAGATCTCCCACCTTGTCCATGACCTCTTTTCCCATGAGCTGCTCAACGTATTTGATATTACGTTCGAGTCCCGTGGCTAAGATGATAATGTCGGACTCCACCTTGGTACCGTCGCCGAGGATTATTCCGTCTGAGTAGTACTCCTGGACGCCTCGTTCACATCTCCGTACCTGGATCTGACCGTCGATGATCATTTGACTTGCCCCTTGTTCAATATAGAAATGTCCTGCCTTGATAAGCTGATGATCGACCAGGCTGTCTCCTCCATCCCCCTTCTTCACTGCCAGTCCAGCCTTTTTCAGCCCATCCAACATGACTTTGTCATTTGCCGACATCATTTGGGACGCTCCCACACTGAGAGTGCGAACAACAGCCGTTGGTAGGGAGTTGCCCAAAAGATCAGCATCTTCGGTGCTTAATCCTGGAGTGTTCCACAGCTGCAGCTGCATTTTTTCCAGCGAATCCAGAGATGCCACATAAATGGGGCCGCGTTGCACCATGGTTACTGTCTCAGCCCCATGGTTGACGAAGTCCTGGGCCACATCATGTGCACTTGTTCCAGATCCGATGATTGTGATCTTTTTGCTTCGTACGTCTGGTACTAAAGCCGCCGATTTATGGGCCAATGTGTGGTAGATCTGACCCTTGAATGAATCCTCGCCAGGGAAGATGGGGCGGATTGGAATATCATTCAATAGCCCGGTGGCTAGCACAACATGCTTTGGATTGATAGTCTTCACACAATCCTTGGTCTGCAGCTCGATTGACCACTGCTGGATCGATTCATTGTACTGGATATTCCTCGCGAGGGTGTCGTGCCTGATATTGAGAGCCATAGCATGTCCATAATGCTCCATCCATTTTGCAATGTGTTCCTGGTCGAGGTAGCGGGGCCAGTCGGTCGGGTATTTCATGAAAGGGTAGTGATCTGAATAAATGGGCGTATGCAGTTTGATCGACCCATATCTTGCTCGCCATGAGTCACCAGGTCGAGATGCTTTGTCCACGACGAGATATTTGATGCCTAGGTTTTGTAAATGCGCTGCAATTGCAAGTCCAGATTGACCTAATAGCGGGGTTAGCGGTTTGCGTTCATAAATAAATTTTGTGGCCGTACCTGCTCCAACTACCAAGACCTGTAGATCATTGTCGGTTTGGTTGACTGGTGGCAAAGTTCCATTACTGGAAACACCACACTGTATGTCTGATTCGATTGTCCGTCGCTCAAGGCCTTCCACCTGATTCAAATTCTCAAGCACAGTGAATACTGTCCATGCCTTCCACTGGTCTACCCCAACATTGGCCAGCCTAAGAACACCTCTGCCGGTGCCAAAATTGTTCTTGAAGCTGAAGCCGGATTGGATGAACCTCAGTCCTCCTAAATCTTCCAAGCGTGGTTGCAATGCACCGTGGTTTTCGGCTTCAAGCTCTGTAAGTCCAGATGTGGAAGTGCTTAGGTATTTGCATATGGCCTCAGATCCATTATGACACGCGATATCCCATGTGAGAGAAAGGAAGTCTCTCCACCACGACTCCTCTTCTAGGAAATGATCAAGCATGTCCCCCGTAGAGCCATTCTTTAAGCTTTCCATGAAGGAAGAAAGCCAGTCATCGACAACTTTGGCCGCATCGAGGTTTTCTGGCCTCACAGATGGGTGCAGAATGAGTTGCGGAAGAGCCGCCAAGGGTGGAAATTCACCAGTCATGGTTGGAACTGGATATGACCCGAAAGAAAGAGTATGAGGATTGAAAAGAAGTTTGAAAGTGAGGGAAGAAACTGTCTGGTCAGTCACAATGTGGGTAAATGGGTGGCCTTTATAGCTCATCTTTGAGTCGGCATTTAGCTATCTGATCGCCGAGCTCGAGTATTCGTCCCAAATAGGAAAGGCTCCCACGCGGCGCATGTGGACTAGCCCCATCTCGTCAATTAGCCATCCAATCAAACTCCCCCGTCGGAGCCTAACTACAGTAGCCTCAAGTGGGCAAATTGACGTACAGTCTCTGGACACGCAACCTATAATATCACATGCAGTCACTTAGGCACAAAAATTTATAAAAAGATAGATAGCTTGCCAGACACTATAGTTCTGGCTCGGAAAAAAATCAACACGAAGCAATAATTGCATCCAAATATCCTCTATGAAACCCACCGCACGACTTCAATAACACCTACGGTCGCTCCAAGTCGCTTGGCATTATTCTCTGTCCCTCTCTCATGGCAATTCTGACAATCTAAGCAGTGAAAAACTTTGGAATCTAGTGTCAAACCAGCGGATGTTTTATCGCTTTTGGATACACACAAGAGGTCAGAATGGTTTTTGTGGTTTCGCCCCCACAACAGGCCACAGCCCCCCTGATACCCACTTGCCGCTTTGCGACGTCTTGTCTCAAGTTTGGTGTTGGAGAGATTTCCGATATGTGGAAATGAAAACCAGAAAGAGTGGTCGTTCTGTTAGTTACCCAAGTTATGATATTTATTGGTCGGAACTGTATTCGGAAACATAGCGGGTATAGGGAGTCCACGGGTGGGGGCGAAAAGGCATGAACAGGAAAGGCTTTGACAGAGCTACGGTGGGGGCCAATCCAGGATTCCGTGCTGTCTGGAATCAAGCAATAATAGATACAAGACAGCCATTTGACTCATTTGCGCTGTATCAAACACGCTGGCTATGAAATATCCACTGATCTTCACTGCGATGGTGAGAGGAAGAAGAGAAACCTAGAGGAAGCTGACTATCCACAAGAACGTGATCACATGACTGTATTGCGCGCTAGTCAACTGGTTGCCTCGCCACGTGTTGTCGCTGACAAGGCTAGATGATCTGCAGGCTGAAAAACACCGCTTAGACACAACGAGCCGACCACAAAGCCAGAATGCCGAACGGAGTGAAAACTCGAAGCAGGACAGGATGTCTGACGTGCAGGCAACGCCACGTTCGGTGTGACGAGGAACGCCCATCTTGGTATGTGCATTTATTGAATAATAGTTGGACAAAGTGACCGAAGCCAGAAAGGAGGGCATAGGGGAGGGTATGGCCAAAGATCACTGGAGCGGTTTGATGGTCCACGGGGTTGCTAACGGTTATTTCGACAGCCAAAAATGCCTCAGTGCTCAACGGTCATGCAACTATGCATCCGTTACCATTCCTCTTCGGGATCGAAGAATCCTTCAAAGAAATGCAATTCCACCGGGTCAGCAAGCTCCATGGGAGCTGGCTAATAGTTCTGCCATTGTTGATGTACGATGGAAGGCAGGTACAGCCATGGACCCCTTCGACGTACTCCCAATAAAAATGCCGTTCAAGTCACAAGAACTATATCAGTACTGTATGTTTATGGCCCGCCTCTGGAGATTACATTATTAACCCGCTCCATTGTAGATTATCAAAGTGGAGCAGCCTTTGCGGTAGCTCCCACGGATCCAAAAGATGACTGGTTTGTTTTCCTTTTTTTCATATCGGACAAATCCAGTCCGCTACACTTGACGCATGCTAACTTGAACTATCAAGCATTGCTCTAGCAAACCTGGATGAACACGCTCTTCGGAGTACCATTCTGATTGCTGGCATACATTACTCTTGGAACACCGGGAACATAAAGGCTTATGATTCCGCTTTTCTTTTCCACAAGATTGAGAGCATACGTTCTATCAACACATGGCTTGAAGCTTCCAACTCCAAACCATTTATTTGTGTCAGACAAATCTTGACAATATGTCTGGCTGAGGTGAGGAGTGATGGGAGGACTACGTTGAATATAGATTTTAACGTTTTGTCTCATAGGCTTGTCTTGGCAACCTCAATACCGCAGAGACTCACCTCAACGGTGTTATGTCATTTTTCGATTCTCATGAACATTCCCGCGATGCCTGGGGAAACTTCAGCGATATTGAAGTGGAGCTCACTAATCGTTACCTTCTTCTGTTAGTATTTTGACGAGTTAAAAATCAGAATTTCCACTAACATGTCAATCTTTTACTATGCAGGACATCTACCTTTGTTTCCGCCTTGAGGAGCCGCCTTGAAGGTTTTATACTTCTTCGCGCGGCGCAAGGATTCGACTCCAATCATGACAGATCATCGTCCGAGGCCTTGAAATTAATGAAAATATGGCACGGGATGGAGCACGGAGGCCTTGATACCAGATTGAAAGCCATGCGCCTCTTCCCGCACTTCTTTAGCATGCGTCCGGGTGTTCGCTGGCCCAGAAAGGTCGACGCTTTGCCTATAATTGACTGTCTCAGAGCCATTACTGAGGCTGTTGATCAGTTTCGCACCGATCCCACGGCTGAGAACCTTAATCGAATGTGGAACGACGGTGGCCCCACAAAGCTAATGATGGTACTGGTTACTTCTCATATATCATCCTTCACAAAGGACGACGGGAACGCAGGCTCTCCAGGCAAGGAAAAGCTATCGCAACCTTCTCTTCAATCCTCGTGGAGTGGTATCGGTGCAACAGTGCAACTATATATGCACAGCGTGCTGAATATCACCAACGGGGGTGAACCGATTGAGTGCCGCCTTCTTTACCGCGTTCTCCTGTTGATGATGCAAGACATTGACCAAACTCAAGACCATCTGAGCGGAGAAAAAGGACGTCTGTGCCAGTCTCTCTGGCTCTGGAAGGTCTTTACTGGAATTCTAACTCTGACTAAAACCCAGCACAAGCAAACAGCCACAGGCATACGGACTGCCAGACACTGTGTGGCAGGCTCGTGTAAGATAGGCTCGCGGCGACTTCACGAATGGTTCTTTAACCGCGCCAGAGCTTGGAGTTTGGCCACTGAAATCACAGATTGGAAAGATGTGAAGTCTGTATTACTAACACTAGCCTGGCCAGCTGTGTTACTAGAGGATGAGAAGGAACATGCGGCGAATATATGGGCTGAAGTAATTTCATAATGCACGGCACAGTCAAATACGACTCCACATCAAAAATCTACTTGGCGGCAATAGCCACACCTTATCAGTAACTTACACCTATCTCTGTCCTGGTAATCTTAAACTAGTAGACGGCGTGAATGTTAATCTGACAGTAATAATCTACGTAGAAGGAGGGATGACTGCTACTAGCAAAGCGCCTTTTATCTTATGTTGGTAGCTAGCTTTGAATGATCACTGCCCTTCATTTTACGTACCTTAGAGAGGACACTCCAGGAGTGATCCTAGGTAGAGTCGAAGTGTCTCTATAGACCTCCAGGCTTTTATAGTGGAGGAGCTTTCTATATATATGATGAATCTACTCTAAACGCTCGAAAACAAATTAGTCCGCCCAGATTACCCTGAAGAGGGCTGAAAGCGACAGGCCAAAATCCATTATTAGCGTCAATGTTACTGCCTAGTGCTTTAGGTGCCTAGACATGCTTCTCCTTTTAACCAACCTTCTCTCTGATTTCTTGTCCGATCCTAGTCATCCAGCTGTAGCCCTAATGATATTACTTCTATTATATATTCATTTATACTGATATGCATCACTAGGCATAGTCACATGATCGCATTAGATTCTATGATGCGAATAATTAGAACCTCGTAGCTAGAATTGGTAGGTGGCGATTAAATAAATATTCAAAGTCTCTTACTTAGTCCCCTCTTTCAGGGCCTAAATATATGACACCTGGATGCCTATAAAGGGATAAGTTCTTCCTTCTATCTCTTCTTCCCCATCTCCTTATTCCTACCTAGGCCTTTTTCTTATATCTACTTATCTCTTACTTTATCCTGTCTTTTATGCTTACTTATCTGTTACTTATTTCTCCCTTTTATATTTACTTACCTCTCACTTTATGATATCTTATATCCTTACCTGCCTCTTACTCAGTCCTCTCTTTTATACTTACTTACCTCTTACTTTATGATATCTTTTATACTTAATTACCTCTTACTTAGTCCTCTCTTTTATACTTACTTACCTCTCACTTAGTCCTCTCTTTTAGGGACTACCATACCCTCACCACCCTCACCATAGCGCTAATACACCTTATACTATATAGTAGTAAGAACACGCTGGTTAGTATAGCTAGTATAACTAGCTTAACGTCATCTGCCGCTTCTTCTGACTTGATGAAGTAGCCTAAGTCTATTAGGAAAAAGACCTAGCTAGGGTCTGAAGCGTAGTCAAACTCCTTATGGTAGCGCTGGCATAAGGAAATGGCATTACTAGAAGACTTGTATTTGAAGTCGAACACGTTCGCCTACTCCCATACTTAAGTCTATATTCTATGTCGTTGTGAGCCTGAGTCTAGTGCATGGTATAGACTAAGAATGCTTACCTGGCGATCTTCCTTTACAACGACATGCGCAATATCACAAGAGTCCATATAGCAACACCAAAATAGGTTGCCGCATAGGTCTCTGGTCTCTTGCTTCACGCTCTTGGTGAGTGACCCGCTGTTGTTCGACGCTGATTCTGACATCGGTATAGATTTCCGGGTTGAGGTTCTCAAGAATGGGTAAACAAGCTGGAGGTTCGGTTCATAGGGTTTGAGTGATCAAGCTGGAGAGTGACGGCGTTGTGGGGTTAAAAAGAATGGGGGTCGGAGAGGGGATAGTCGTGGAGGCATGCGGATAATATCTGTCATTCGGTCAGAATTACTCACACTGGGAGCAGGAGTGTGATTGTTTTTTAATGATGTGACGTGCGAAAAAAACGTACAGTAAGCCCTGGAAGACTCCCTAATATAGAGGGGTTAGTGGTTACTTAGGAGGGAGTGCTGGACGAAGAAGGAATGGTTAGACCGTTAGATAGACCAAAAATCAGATTATAGTGGTCAAAGTCACGCACTCGCCGACTAATTCAGCAACTTTTAGTATCATCAATAGTACTGCGACATACAAAAAAGCCTTATAATTTATTATGTAGCATACGCGTACGCTAAAGTCGCGTAAAGTAACCTCCAAGCCAACATATAGATAGGAAGAGGGGAACGCTCGTTGACTGCCTATTTGGAGATCTAAGGACTAGGTTAGCAACACAGGATAACACAAAGCTACCATAGGCTATATGAGAGATCTTTGATTAGTCACTCGCCTATAAAGCTGATGGAGCTGTAGAATCATGCTATTTAAAACGGCCCTCGTGGCGCTAAAAATACTACCCGTGCCTGGTATACTAGCGTACTAGGATATCATGGATAGTAGCTTAATATTCTTTATATTACGCGAGGCTTATACAAACAAAAATTTGACTGCAATTATAGGGCCATGTGACTCGTCCGGCAAACCCTGTCTCCATACCAGCAAATAGAGGTCGGAGACTATATCGCCAGCAGCCCACATAGATGGATACGTTCTGGAAGCACGCTAATGTAAGCGACCATAATCAGATAGAAAACGCGCGATGTCTTTTGGAAGTACTAGACCACCTAGATTAGTATACCAAGGGCCTAAGCAGCAGCAGATTTGTCCAGGACACCATTGACAATGTTCGGCAAACCTTTGCGTGTGACGAGAGCAAAACGCCGCCCACTGTAACTGGTGTGTCAATCGAGGTATGCATAGTCATGATTCATCCTCATTAGGTAGGAGATTAATCGCTATGGAATTCTACCTAGTACGGCATCCGCGGCGGCCTTTGCATAAAGCATAGCCATAATTGCCTTGTTTCTACATATAGTAAGCCCACTGCCACTAAGGACAGTGGCTTTCAATGTTTGAGGTTGAGGGTATGATATCGCATAGGGTAGCATATTGCGTTTATCTCTATGCAACCGTTGAGAGGTTTGAGCCGACGGAGAATTGGACCGATATTAAATCCCAGACGGTGAGTTTCTTCAAGACAGCTTGATCATCACTGGGTGACATTCCTGCGGCTGTGATAGATAATAAAGAACAATCTCAATTTATTCGCCCACTGCAGCGCTCAGCTTCTAATATGTTGTGTTCCAATGTGAGAGCCTGTGAGATGACCATGCAACCGGTGATGACTTATCATCCTGTCTACTGCGTATTCACGAGTTCAAGGCCGGGCTTTGGTTGTCAATTCCATGGGAAAAGTGGGAGCGGGTAGAGTAGACAGAGTGGAAGCTCAGTCTGTGCAAGCCAATAATGCAGCAAAGCCAAGCATTCAGGCGTCAACCCTGCAGACCCCTCCATCGCCCAAAGATAGCGAAGAACGAATCACCTATCAGAGTTCATCGGCTGATGAAACAAGACTAGGCTTTATTTGGACGGGGCGCATGGGACAGTTTCGGCGAATCCGATTGTTGTTCTCTGTCAGCTTGGCAGGCGGGGGAATAATTTGAGCCCAACAGGGTTGAAATCGGGCCATCTTAACGTGAAGCTCTGAGATATAATGGATTCCAATAATTTAATCGATATCTGTGGCAGGTCTCCGTTCGCAGAAGAGCTCCGAGGCGACCTTGAGGAGGCGAGGGACCGGCTACAGCAGTATCGATTCGATGAGTCTCTGATCGAGCCGGAGCAGCATGCTGAGTATCTTCGATGCATTTCCCTTCATTCAATCCTTACCGGCAGGTTGGCATGTTCGTATGAGAGCCTGAACAAGCTTCATGGTCTTCTAGAACGATTGCCTGAGGAGTGGGGGCTTCGATGGTCAAATTACACGATGTTGACCCATTATAGCCGTCGCTATCCACCGGGACTTCACTTCTACCAGGAGGCAGGCAAACCAATCAGTATCAGCATGCTGAAGGATATTATTGGCCCAATCGAATTAGAACAGCTTTTCAGCAAGAACTTCACCACATACTACCCAACAGGAGCTGAGCCCGACCGGGTACTTTGCAAAGCCCTTAGCTCGATTCTGTTTTTTCCTATAATGGCACGCAACCTGACGAGAAAGTTTCATCCTCTAAGCCCTAAAGGTCCATGGCATACGCCAGATGCAGATTCGGAAGGTCAAGTTAGTCAAGTCTGTAAAGGGTTTGCGGCCCACCGAGATATGGCTGCGGGGAATGAGAAGCCGGGGATTGCATCTTATCTCAATCGCCTTATCGTCGAACTTCAACAAGCTTGTCAATCCAAGACATCGAGCGCTGCACTCGAATGTCTTTCTGAAACGTATGAGGAAAGTGGGGATATTGTGGGTATGGGAAACTGCAAAATGATTGAAGCCGACAATCTTCTCAGTCCTTATTTCGCTAGCCCACTTTCTTTAAATCTGACAGTCGTTGACCCATCCTCATCTCTTATGGATGACCCTGCCTGGGACGCCATCGAATTCAATCTTCCTTTCGATTACTCACTTAAGGCCAGAGAGTGTTACGATTCTGCGACGACTCTATTTCAGAAAGCTGGCTGCAAACGAGGCCAAGCAGCTGTACTACTCCGAGAAGGTTGCTGCTTGCATGTCTCGGCAATCCCACTGCGGAGGACGAAGCAGCAACGAATTGACTTGCTAGAGAAAGCCGAACAGAAATTTCAGGATGCCCTGATACTTTTTGGGGCAGATGAGGCAAACGTCCAAATAGTCAAAATCCATCAAACCCTGCTAGCGATCAGCAGAGGAAATATGAACGCATTTCAAGTAAAACATGCCGGCAAATTAATTGGACAATGGGGCGTTGATGCAATGAATGAGAACTTGGTCCATTTCCTTGGGCTTCTGGTATCCCGGTTCGCACTTCAGGAGTGGCGGAGATTCTCGCGCCTTGATTCGTCGTTACTCGCTTGGGAATTCGCGGAAGCAATGTTTGAGGCTCTTGGGGATACTTTTCCTATGTTCCAAACTTTGGTCTGTCAAGCATCAATGCAGAATGAGGTTTTCAACTCATCAGCGTCACGCATTCTCATTGAAAAGGCTATCTCTATGTTTGAGGTGATAAGTGACTATTATGAGGCAAGAATAACGCTCGCTCCAGATACAATAGCCGGTAATAATGATAGAAGCACTCTTCTGAGTCGTAAATTCAACACAATTTGGACGTTCAGCATGAATGTGGGTATTGTTTATCTCCGAGTGGGGGATGCTATTGCCTTTGCCGAATGGCAATCGAGGCTCGAAGATTTCATTCAACACGACAGAAGTTCTCAGACCATGCGGGACGGATCACAACCGTCTAGCTTTCGTTCATCATTTGGTCATCAGTATCGCTCGAGAACAGAGATTTGGGAGAAGGCGATGGCGCAAGATTCTATGAAAGTGAAATATGCGTCAGCTGATCTTGAGTTCCATCGCAATTTAGACGAAGGGGACATCGAAAAGGCAGAAAGTGCCATCCATCGATTTTTAGATGACAATAGCGAATTGGAGCGTGTGCCCATGAGATACTTCTACTGCATATTAGCTTGCGACCGCATTGGAGATTCAACCAGAGCTCGTTCGATATTGGACAGTATTGATGACGATTATCTGTTTGACGGCAGGTTGACGGACCTTGAAGAATCGTTCAAGGTTGATGGCCCATCCTGGAGGACAGTGTCAACCATTGCACAAAATGCAGTCACATGCAGCATTTATGCCCAAGACTGTGAGAGAGGTTATCGACTGGTCAATATGATCACCAGAGCTTCCCCAGACTTTTTCAACCGTCCAGTCGAGGGCGCTTCTGAATCAGCTTTTCGACTCGCTCATTATGGAACAATCATGATGGAAAATAACTCCCCAGAGCTAGCGTTTTCTTCCCTCCTCCAAGCCTGTGAAATGATTGAGCTTCGTCGATCGCAGACCATTGATGTGGATGCCCGAATGGGGATTCCAATGGCAGGTTGGCAAGGTGAAGTTTATCTCAATTTGGCGCGTCTATGTCTTAGATTTCGTGACTCCATCGTTCCCATTGATGTTATGGATCGTTACGAACATGATCATCCCGAAGATATTTCTTGGAACGAACATGCGCTACTGTTCACGGAAGCTGGAAGGGCACGTGCTGTCCTCGATTCCTTGCACATTCAGCATAATCAACGCGAGCTAGTCGAGCCCAGCAGTGCCTGCATACCCAAGGCCATTCATAAGCTCAGGACACTTCGATCTCTACTTTCTCTTCAATCTCCAACTCAAGCGGAAATTGTCGAGATCGCCGAGCTTCAAGATGAAATTCAGGAGTTGGAACATAACGATGCGATATCTCCTGCGTTGAGCTTTATTGACGAGGCCAGTACAACGATTGACCCTCGATTGATCTATCAGAGTATTCCCGATGATGCAGTTGTCATTCAAACAACGTTCGGGGCTCGGGGGTTTATTGCATTTGCTGCAACCAAAGACGGTATTCAACATGTGCAGCAAGGACCAATTAGTGTAAGCGACATACGCAGGCCTGTGATGAAGTTCATGCAAATCACGGGGGAGATTGCTCAATCCACGGGCGAGGCAAACAATGAGCGGAAGAGAATCCTCGATGAGCTTTCTCGGCATATATCTTCGGTCTTAGTAGCACCATTCTCAGCTATTATTCGATCCAAACGGAATATCATATTTTCCTGCTCGGAGCCCTTGACAGCATTCCCTTTTTCAGCACTCACCTTCGATGGGAGGCCCTTGGTCTTGCATGCTGTCATCTCTTACATCCCAAGCATGACTGTTCTTTTCTTCTTATCCCAACGCATGTCGGCAGCAGAAGCGCGAGGTGTTTCTGTGTTCGCTAAGTCACCGAACGCCAACCCGCCAGAAGGAGATGAATCCAACACGCGAAAGGAAAGCAATGGGGTCAACCTACATATGGCGGCAATTGAGGCAGTTAGCATTGCCCGCATGTTTGCGACTTGGCCAGTCGAAGCATCCAATCTGTCCAGACAGGAGTTCTGCGACTACATGGAAGCTGAATCCTCGATCATTCATATCGGAACTCACGGCTACATTGATCCTCGGAACCCGCTTCTCTCCTCGATTTCGATTGGTCAGAATTTCCGCGTCTTAGACATGTCTACTATCCGAAGTAGAGCTCGTTTGCTGGTTTTTGCCGCCTGTCTAAGTGGATTGGGCAAAGCTACTCCTAGCACAGATGTTTTGGGCTTCTCGCATGTTGTGCTCAGCAGTGGCTGTCAAGCCTATATTGGCACACTCTGGGAAGTTAGCGATCTAGCGTCGATGATAATAATGACTCTCTTTTACAGATATCTGAAAAGCAATGCGAAAATGTCTACTGCTGAGGCCATAAGGCAAGCTCAAGTTGAATTTATGCAGCTTGACTGTGACCGAGCTGAAGAGCTTCTGACTAGCATGCTAGAAGACTGGACTGCCCCTGATGAGAACGGCAATTTACCCGAAGACTTTGTACCCGATCAGGAATTTATTATGTCTACTTGGAAGATGACTTTGTCGCAAATTGATTGGTCTGACCCTTACTATTGGGCATCTTTTATGTTGATCGGTTATGGTGACCTTCGATTTCAGCTTGCAGAATCTATGTCAAATTCGTGAGTAGATTCACGCCTTGCTTTCATTAAGAGGGTGTTTCTATCAAGATAGGTCGGATGCAAGAGAATGAATCATACGACCCCTGGCTGAATAATGCTAGTGCATGCTGTTTCATCTTAATCCTTGTCGTTGGCTCCTGGTCTTACATCCAATAGCAACACAATTTGATTGATATTATACGTATTGGCCTTTTGACAACAAGAAATGCTAGTCAGAATTCTATGTTATGAGCTCATGTACTTGAAACCGAATATCCGTACGTATTGGAAATTTCGTCCCTGAAGGCCAACAGCATTATGAAAAAGCAGCAATGCCAAGGCCAACCTAACGCTATAACCGCCGACAACCCCATTTGACCTGCGGCAGCTTCATGGTTCTGGATAGCCTTAAGGTGCACAACTAGGTACCTGTGTACGTACTCGATTAGGCCTACTACTCTTTCTACTTTAGTACGACATACAACTACCGCATTGTCTAAGATGTGGGCTTGTGAGGTGACCTACTCATTCGCAGTGTCTCATCATTGGTTTCCTATCAATAATTCCCTAGCTCTTCTGACTCCAGATATAATTTAGCGCGCTTAATCTTCGATCTCAATATCGACCAAACCACCCTCCCAGCTATGAAGTCTCTTCTCAAGGTCCTGTACCCGCACATTGAACTCAGGATTTGCTTCTTGAAGGTCTTCGTTTTGCGACGCCAGGGCATTATCATTCCCGCATCGACTAAGTAGGCATGGCCATCCTCAACATGATGGTCCTCGGACACAGGCGCGGTTTGGTAAGACGTAACGTCTGGCATTGATTGAGCTCGTCGCGTTGGAGGGCTTTGGATTTTTGTCGCTATCTTTTTCAAAGCGCCGTTTATTGAGTGTGTAGCGGGCCTTGAGGGCTGGCTGAATCACCAAATCTTGTCGATCAATATGCTCAAAGTATAACCCTCGGAGCTGTAGGAAGTTTTGCTCAATCGCGGGATCCAATACCGAAATCCGGACACTGCCCAGGGCGGCGAACGCCCGCCTGATCGATGCGAGAGGTGCGCCATACCACTGCCTAGGATCTGTCAGTCGATCCAGAACTGTTGGTGTAATTCCGCAATTACAGTTCGTGAAAAGCCTCAACCAGACACGTCGATATAGACCACGTTCCCCCTTGGTGCCTCGGGGGAGTAGGCCACCATCGCGCTGATACGTCTCCTACTTCATGGCAGTAGGAACACGCCGGTTAGTATGGCCGGTATAGGTAGCTCGACGTCGTCTGTCCTCTTCTTCAAACTTGATGAAGTAGCCCAAGTCTGTTGGGAAAAAGACCCAGCCCGGACCTGAAGCGTAGTCACTCCTTATGGCGGCGCTGGCATAAGGGAATGGCGTTATCAGAAAACCCTTAATCAAAGTCGAACACTTTCACCCTCTCCCATATTTAGGTCTATATTGCATTGCATGGTAAGCCTTAGTCCGGTATATGGTATGGTCTGAGAATGCTTACCTAAGGGTCTTCCTTTGCGACATGCGCAGTATCATCACAAAAGTCTATGTTATAGGACCAATAGAAGTTGCCGCATCGTTCTATGGTCTCTTATTTCGCGCTCTCGGTGAATGGCCCGCTGTTGTTCCGTGGTCTCATGTCGCCCTCCAATATAGATCAGGAGGTCAAGACATAGCCCTGTCTCGTTGACGATTATAAAAGCGGTCGGAAATGCTTTGTGACCAGGACCAATATGTTAGGCCATTTGACCAGTGTGCACAAAATGTCTAAGGAGCAAGCTGTTGTTATAAATGACCAGAAAGGCTAGATAGAACATCAAGACGGGAAAAAGCCTAGTCCTTCACCACCAGCATCCTATAAGAATAGATGGGTGAAGAGCCAGCCGTGCCTTATTGACGACTGTTCGCTTGCCCTGAAGTGGTTTCCAAGCAGGTATAGGATGTTGAAACATCTAAAACAAACCCATAAGCTATCTATGGAAGAGAGCAACGCCCTGATCGATACACAGGGGCGCTTTGAGTCTATGTTGATCACCTTAGGAGCAAAAGGCAAGCGTAGCCATTCACTGACATCCTTTGTTATCGTGATCTACCTTATACTCTAACTAACATACGCCTAGCATAATATAGTCCCTCTGACTTCTTACTTAGCTCTTACTTTAATAGTGAGAGCTATGTAGGATAAGAGCTAAGTAAGATGAGAGCTAAGTGAGATGAGCGCTAAGCGAGATGAGAGCTAAGTAAGATGAGAGCTAAGTAAGATGAGAGCTAAGTGAGATAGGTAAGTGAGATAAGAGCTAAATAGGAGGTTCTGATTAAGTTCATCACCCTAGAACTCTTCCTTTTATGGGGAAAATAGTCAAAACAATACCAGTAGTGATAAGAAGAAAAAAAAAAGAAAGTTATTTTTGGCTTATCGGCTGCTATCTAGCGCTTCGCTCCTAGTAACACTCAGCTTTGCTCAGTTGTTCTTGGTATCCTTTAAGGATTACCTACATGACCTTAAGTACTCCTAGGAAGTATTTCGATAATTTGTGCTTGATCTCTATAAAAAGCCTTGGAAACCAGGAATCGACCGCATGCGATTGGTATGCGTTAAGATCAGGGGTAAACTGCCCCACCTGGTTCCCATTCCGTATTTAGTGCTTACCCGAGGCACTCAAGAGTCTGAGCTCAATGTAACGCAACCACAGCTAGATAATCTACTGGCCAATAACAGGAAAATAGATGCAAAATAATCTTCCAACGTATACGCCCACCAGACCGCCTTTTGTTTACTGCAGTTCCAGGTGATGTCAAGCTGGTGTAATTAGAGTTTGTACCTCCCCATGTTTGGACCTAAAAATACAAAATCGAGAGCAAGCGCTTTGACCTACTATCCTTCCCCACTCATGGGATGTGACTAGGCACGGTATATAATCTACGCAATCGCCTCCGCGCATTATAAGTCCCTAGGTAGCATTGCAAGTCCCCAGCTCTTCTCTGGGGCTGTCACTTTCCCTTCGATACGCAGAAACGTGTGATTTATCTGTCTGGTTTCTCTCATACTTTCGACTAATCTTTTTTAAAAAAAAAGAGCAATGAGATATTTCTGGTCCACAAACATGACCAAACAAAATTTTCTTGCAATGATTCTTCTCACCACCTCTCAATTTATACACGCGCAAACAACTGCTAGGTATGAAAACTTTCTATAGAGAAAATAAGCGTACACAGACTAACTGTCACTAGAGAAACATGCATTGAACAACTTCTTGGCACGTTATCTAGCAACTTGTTTTATGAGATGAACGACGCGCTTGAGTCGGCATTTTCAAGCTTCGAACAGAACCCGGTCTACTCTAGCGCAAATGCTGAATTTTCGTCAGCGATGAATGCCTTTCCAGCCTCCGTTACTTCTTCGCTATCATGTTCGGGGTATAGCGGAATTAATATCAACTCACTTCCGACCTGGCTCGCCTCCGTTCCCACTGCGGTCGTGAGTGTCGTCCTGAAAGAGCAACAGGTTTATCAATCAATTATTGGCTCTGTCGAGGCTAAAGCGACAATGACGTCGTCGGCAACCCCATCGGCTTCGCAATCTACGATATCACACAATTCATCACATATTACTACATCTGAAGTATCAGCTTCTATCTCCTCAACGAGCCCGGCTACTTCCTCTTCATCATCGGCTGCAATTTCAGGTATCTCCGAAACCCTTAGTAGCAGTTTCCTGGCCACTGTTAGTCTAATGCTTAGTGGGATACTACTGTGAAGCAAACTTCATGTCATGAGTAGAATCCAGAATGAACAAATTTCCATTCTAGGGCTCAAAAGGCGCTAGCTTAGTGGGTATAACTCCTTCGTTACCTTCACATTCTGGGATACTTCATGGAGTAGTGTGACCGAGTAGGTACCTGGGTATGCTCTCGATAATATATTGACACCAGTTGTATACACACGGTCATTAATACCATTATTTCATTATTTGACTTATAGTGGGGCGCGGCCCTATCCTTGTGTTATAATACTTTTTTATGTTGAATGTCGGCACATGGTATTTCTTCTTCTTCTTCTTCTTCTTCTTCTTCTTCTTCTTCTTCTTCATTTTTGCCATGCACTAGTAGTGCCACACCAAATAGAGAAGACGTTGAGTACTATCTTCCCTTCCGTCGTCAAGTATGATACTTTTTCCATACTCACATGCAGGACAAAATTAATGTAAATCTGGCAAGGGTCTGGCATTCGTGATCTGCTAGTGTGCCTTCTACTCCTGATTAAATCAACGGCCTTCGATTTTGCTTCTTTTGCAATGGAAAAAATCTTCCTTTCGTCTTCAAAAAGACCTCGCCCTGCCACGTGCACGGCCTCCCCAGCGCCCCGTTCCACCTGGCCTAGTGTTAGTTTCTACATACTCACCTATAAACGCTGCAGTAGGCTATCGGTCATAGCGAAGATGATTACACTTAAGAAATGTCACATCCATCAGCCAATACCAGCTGTACTGAGCCACCCGGCCTTCGCACTTATAGCCTATGAGCTCCAGCACAAATCGCTTAAACTCCTCGGCCCACTTAGCCAATGTGTAGTCGTTAAACGGTGGTTTATGCCTCCGCTGGCTAAGCAGCACTATAATTTCTAAGATTGGTGGTTCTAGATCGGGACTATTATTATATCATAGTCTATCAGCTTAGGGTGCCACGAAACAATTTTTGATCTAAAGAAGTAATTACAAAGCCGAAAGCAGCTTAAAGCCTAGAAGCACGTATGGTTAATTCAAGTGCGGGGACGTATCGGGTCTATTGAAAAGTTCATTCCTAAAGATGGCCTAGTGAAGCGTGGAGCAGCGTAAGACGACTAATTTAAAACGGACGTATAGGCAGTTCTTACATAATTTAGCCATTAGAACAAGAAATTAAGCATACGCACGCGTCTAACCTGATAGCTCTGATTATCGATCATAAAGGAGACTTATGATATAAGATATAGGAAGATAATAGTGCCTATACGGGTTATAGCCATTGCGCTGAAGTTAGGACTTTTGAGGTAGTAGCTTGCAGGCAAGTCCTCTACTACGAGGAGTCGCGAGTACTAATTAAATGCGGCAGGATCTATGATGAACACCAGGATCTATGATGAACACCAGGATCTATGATGAACACCAGGATCTATGATGAACACCAGGATCTATAGGGTATAGGTAGTACCCAAGCTTAATGAATAAGTAGGCGTGCGAGCGAGATAAATATAGAGCAGAATGAACAGCTTAGTTATGCGGGAATATTTCTCGGGGTCGTAGGGCTTATCGACAAGGCAGACAAAGCGTTTAGACTTATATGCGCCAAGGAAATTTTTGACTAAAAACGGGAGTGACATATTCAAATAAGAAGACTAGGAACTTAATAGATCCTCCATTCATCGATAAGCTTAAAGGATACAGGACGGTATACATCACGAGAACTTTGATCTACAGATGCCCCTTATTTCACAAGAGCCCGTCTTTATGCTCTCTCTTCTTCTGGGTCAGGAAGGGGAGTCCACGATGCCTAGGAAACGTTAACGAGCTTAGATTTGGTTGCACATTTGTTTAAATTAGCTTATACCTTCAAAAATTGGCACCATCCTTTGATTTCTTCACCTGGGTGATGATCTTCCAAATCGTTCTCTGGGTGCAAACGAACAGCTCACGGGAACCCCCTCCCCCGGGCCATAGCTGCGCAGGTGAAAGAATTGCTTGCATTTTACTGGGGAGAAAAGTTACCGAGTCAAGCCAAGATGGAAAACGGGTAGATATGGGAAGTTATTTGCACTCGGACAATCAATTACCCTGCCAGCGGCCCGCCGTGGGGGAAAATCCCTGACTAGTTGCGAATTAATCACTGATTGGAAGACCGAAATACTTTCATTGCTGGGCTAGCTACCAAATTCGAGCCCATAGTGGCTCATTGCGTGCAATAAATCATCGAATTGCCCCTAACAGTCAAAGTCACCGTCGAAGTCAACAAGTTCTCACTGGTGATTATCATTTCGAGTAGCTACAAAGTGAACGGCGACAATTGGACACAGTGAACAGCCAGCTATAATAGCAACCATTACACCCGCAGCTCCGCCCAGACCTAAGGCAGAGAACATATCAGGAAAGTAAAAAGGGCCAAGCTAGATCGTGTATAAATCAGTAGATGTCGGCAATTGGAGGTCGAAAATTTGGAGACTTACAAATCCATAAATTTGTCGGAACACATTGATAAAAACGCCAACTTCAGCTGCTCTTTCCGATTTGCTTTCCACCGCAAATGTTGTAAGAATAGTTGTCTGCATCTGGTTGCCGAAGCTAGCAATAGCTGCACCAACGCAGGGTGTAACATTCCATGTCGTTGCGTGCTGTAGCTGAAACCCCCAACTCAAGAGGCCTGCAAATACAGTCGCAAATGCAATATATGAAAGCCACAGCCGGTCTGCCGGGCAAGAGTGTCCTTTTCTCCGACGCACACTCTTCAGGAACCAGTCCGACATAGGTCCACTAACTTGCTCGCCAAGAACACATCCGATGACAATAGCGATAAACTGCAAGCCAATCTGCTGTGCGTCGAAATGGAACTTCTCGCCAAATGAGATTGGCATTTCAACGATCAAGGCGATGTTAGCATAGCAGAAGGTGATAGCGTGGGCACATGCAGGGATCAATACACGGGGGTGTTTGGCCAGAGAGAACGGTGCCAGGATATCTCGTAGCTGGAATTGACGGGTGGTGATCCTTCTAGGGAACATTCTACTGAATCTTCCACTTCGGAGTCCTTGTCGGTCATAACTCGGGTCGAAGATAGTTTCATCCCCTATTGCAATGTACAAGACAAATTGGCAGAAATTGATGATGGCAAATATCCAGAATATCCATTGGACGCCGATGTGCTTCACAACAACACCGAAGATTAAGGGGCCCAGTGGCGTCCCAAGAGTAGTCAAAAGACACCAGTATCCCAGCTTCTGCGCACGATGTTCTGGTTCCGATACTTCTGTGATCATTCCGCTTCCGTTGCCAATAGGTGGGCTGATGAAGAAAGCAGCCAGGATCCGGGTAGCCATTTGGGTGCCATATGTAGTGCATCTAGCGCCCCCAATGTTGCAGAGCATACTGGCAAAGACTGAAAAGAGATTCACGGGGTATCGACCATAAACAGCAGTTATTGGACACCATATCAGTGGAGAGAGACCGAGAAATAGGATCTACTCTTGTTATTTTGGTGATTAGTCAGTGACTAGAGCTTGAGGATCAACAACTTACCTGGAAGGACGTCAAGTAACTGGCATCTGCCACTGTGATGTTATATTGCTCTGCAAAGGTGTCATAAGCCGGGATGATACCAGCTGCCATGATTGTGCTGCGGTGGTAATAAAGTTAGTCGTTGTTTTTGTTTACCGCTCCAGTAGGGCAGAATCATGGATTGAGAAGAGAGGATAAGCTAGTTCCGCCGAATTGATTTGAAAGAACTTACCACATCATGGAGTGGAAGGCAACCATGAATATCTGTGCATTCTTCTTCCATTGTGGCCAATTTTGGGGATCGTGAGGTAGTTTTTCAACCGGTGTGAGGTCTCCCTGGACATATTGGGTTGGAGTAGTTGGAACCACATTCTCAAGGTGGCTTGAATCCTCAGAGCTGCTCCCCTTCATTTTGAGTAGGACCTGGGTCCGTGGGAGCACCAGGCGTTTGACCAAGGAGAAAGGCCGAGTACACTTCGTACCGATATGTCAATAGTGAAAGAGGTGCTGGATATAAATGAACCAAGACGTCTGACACAGTTCAAGAAGAGTAGAAGATGAACAGAACTCGGCTTGAAGAGCCATTTTGTTTTCTCAAGGGAGGATTTATACAACTGGGTAAGTACCACTCTTTTACCCCGTGGGGTATACGGTGAGCCTTGACGGGTAAAGGACCCTTTTGTTGGGGACGTGATGACCTACGAACTACGTGTTTATTACTTGTCATTGGAGCGATGACCCACTTGTAGTAGCGATTTGTGGGGTGAATACGGAACAATTCCACTTCAAGGTTCGATGCATTGTGGCTATTGATGATTTCCGCATCATCCGAGGTTACTTGCACGTATAATTCACCACTCTATTATGATTCCCGGGGGCGTTCGGCATCTAGTGCGGCATTACCGGGGATGTCGGGGCCAGGTCGGCTCAGCTCCCTCTGCCAACGCCCCACATTCCCCGGAACCAATTCCTAGCTTCGCCATGTTTGACTCAATTCTGAAACCCGAGCCACTTGCAGTGCCCGATTGGGTCGGATTTCAAAATCTGCCGTGGGAGTTTGAAAAGAGACCTTTCATCAAGTCATAGAAAATATATGTTTAGCATCAGATCATTTGTCTCTATCTTACGACCTCGGGACTTTTTCCCCGGCACGTCGCTCCGGACTGTGCTTGTGCTGGAGTTGACACGATATATATGTGCAGCATGGAAGTGTTTTTTACATTGAAAAGCGGTAAATATTACATGAATTTCCTCACACTCTTTTTTCTGGCTTTATGAAAATATTCCAGTTTTATTTTCAAGGTTTTTCTCGAAGCTTCGCCAATTCAATCCTCGCCAGAGTGCGTTTGATGACATCCCTCTCATCCCAAATCGCCGTTACCGTCTTTTCACCGATTACAGCATGACTCCATCGCTTGAAGTTCGGTGCCTTGTCAAGCGCCTTGACGAAAAAGTCCGGAAGAATTCCCCCATGTCTGGGCAGTGCAAACACGCGGAGAAGGAATGATCCTGTTTGAACCTACACGCAGCGAACCGAGTCAGAGATTTTCATTTCTTTGGAAGGCAAGGAGTAATTGGTGATAGTAGTAATGTCGACGCGCTGGACACATACCTCTGCAAACGTAAGACGACAGGAGCCTCCAAAGAATGGTGCTGCATCCACAAGAAGAGGTTCAATATCACAGACAATCGCATTAATGTATTTTTGGGCGGCGGTGGCCTTTTGCTCCTGATCACAAGAGTAAACAGCGGTATCGAAGAAGCCATGGGCCTTGATGTAGGAGTCAACGAACAACGTCACACTGAATCGTTGCAAAGCACCGCCAGGTTCAGAACTAGGCTTGAGTAGATGACTGGGATGTGAATCGACAAGGAATTGCGTGATGAGACCAGATTCCGTCAAGACATGACCATCGTAAACTAGAGCCGGTACGAGCCCACTAGGATTAATCGCGAGATATTCGGGTGTGCGTGGGATGTTGATGTCGACAAGAACCGTCTCAAACTCAAGATCGAGCTCTCGGAGAGCGATTTGAACACGGTGGGCCCAAGGGCAGTGATGGGCAGTATATAGAGAAATTTTGGGAGCCATTTCAGTATTCACAAAGGTAAAGTGTAAGATAAGTTATAGAATAGTGGGACATGGGCTTCTAAATGTAGACTAAGAAGAATTTTAGTCGATGTCCTGCTCACAACACACCATGGCACGCCCGTAAAGTAAGTAAATCAACCACATCTCTTTATCTGAGCGTTAACCGGAATAATCAATTTCTTAGAGCTAAAGACAAATGTTGTACCTTCTGCCGATTACATTGAGTCACGTGTTGATAGCAGTAATCCGACAGCGACGGGATTCTCCGAAGGCGATTAGATCGGCCATCGGAGATTTCGCGGTATTCCGATGGAGCATTCCATCTCCGACGAAGATGTAGCTTAATTGGCTCTTTCGCGGGCAACATGCCCCGTTGCAAGAGCTTCCACTCAGCTAGTTACTTAAGAGCCTGGTGTGCACTTTTTCCATTAGAGATTCACTTGCACTGGCATCCAAGTTCCAGATATTTTGTTCCATTGTTGCTTCGTCGCACAAATCCGATTTTGATCACTCGATAACATTCGCCAACTACACAAGACAAAGTCATGCAGATCAAACAAAGATTCCACCTTACTGCCACTGGCCATAATCTCAATTATCTTCCTGAGTACATTGCCCGCCGCCATGGTTACTTCAAGGAGCAAGGACTCGATTTTGATCTGAAGATACCAGTTCCCTGGGATGGTGTTCTCGATGACCTCGCAGAAGGCACCGCCGACATGGCTCTCGGAGGGATTTGGGTGCCGGCGATGTATCGCAACAGAGCGAAAGATTATACCGTATTCGCCCAGATCGCAAACCGCTGCCCTCTTGCTCTGCTTCGCCGAGGGCATGATGAAGGATTCAAGCTAGCCGATGTCGCCAAAAGCACTGTCCTCATGAAGTCAGGTGGCGGAGCCAGCGTGGGTCTATTTTTCAAGATGTTCTTGCGGGAGAACGGCATCGACCCAAACTCTATCAGCTACATTCAGGACCTGGATGGTGCGATGCTGGCTACTTTGTTTGAAGGCGGCATGGGAGATTATTTCGTTACCGATAATCTTTCTGCACTGGCCATGACAGCGAAAAATCCTGAAATCTCCATCGCAATGGAAATGGTCAAGGAAGGCGACATCCCTTGGAGTGTCTATTACCGAGAAACAGCCACCGTCACTCCGGAAGTCCTCGATTCACAGAAAAGATTCTGCATCGCTCTTAAGAAAGGTATAGATTGGGTGCTTCAGCATGATGCCGAAACCTATAAGGATGAACTCGCCGACTTATTCCCAGGGGTGCCGGTCGATATCGTCGTGACCGTGACGAATTCTTTCCGTCAAAACGGCATGTGGTCATCCACCTGTATCCCCAGAAAGGCATTTGATCGGTGGCAAAATGGCCTTGCTGATGCATGTCTTATAAAGAAAGCCTTCCCTTATGATGAAATGGTGGATGATGCACCAGCGAAGGCAGCGGAGGCTAAATAGGATGGTAAATAGTCATACAATCATCTTTTGTCCAATTGTCATACAATCATCTTTTGTCCAATTGTCATACAATCATCTTTTGTCCAATTGTCATACAATCATCTTTTGTCCAATTGTCATACAATCATCTTTTGTCCAATTGTCTTACAATCATCTTTTGTCCAATTGCCAGCCAAATAAAACCTCATATCCACACTGATAAGGTTTCATGATCATTCTTCGTCTTCAATATCAGATATTCAATTTCAGTATATGTAGAAGCTCTCTGATGAGTCACTACAGGCGAACCATCACTACAAAATCCAATAGCAGAAGCAAATTCTCCTTTACAGCGGTACTGAGGTACTAAAATCCATGTCTTGAAAGCCAGGCCACTGTGCGGCCGAGCTGAGCATTTCGCATAAAGCCGAATTGTCAGTAGACATTATGCCAGACATGTCAGTGATACTGTTGTCAGCTGCGGCACCAATACCACCACGGGAGGACGGCTGCAGTTCATATAACAAATCCTGTACTTGCTTATCAAAGTCAAATGGTGCTTGCCGTATCTCCTCAGCGGACACAAGCCAATCGATTGTTGCGGATGAGAGACTATCAAACGCATCACGGCAGCCTGAAGCCCCTGGGAAGGTCTCTGACATAGCAGAGAGTGTTGAGGTACATGACTGAAGAGACGTAATACTTTTCCCGATAGAGGTACGATCTCGTATCTCTTTGGAGTTCCAAAGGCCATATATCACTGCAAGGCCAGCCATGAAGAGGTGATAGACCCATTTCCACATAACATCAATCTTTCCTTCTCGTTGTAAGGTCTTGATGCTTGTGATAAGCTTGCAAGAAGCTTCGAATGAAATGAGGATCTCCGTCGACGAATGCAAAACTATCGAGTTTGGCCGGTAGAGAAGGAGAATTGTGTTGTTATATATACCATCCCAGTAGGCTTGGCAAGCAAATATAGACGAAGGATGAGCCTTGCTAGGTTGTGGTACAGTATTATACCACTCTTCCAGACGAGGCTGGATATCTTGAAGCCAAGCCGGGTAGTTCACCCTTGGATATGCTAACTTCAAAGGCCATTGGTGGCTGTGGAGCACATGTCGAACCTCTGACTCAAGTTTGGACAAGGTGAACATATGATTATGAGCTCGTTGGCTATGGATGTCAAAGTCGTAAGAGTCACTTGTCAGTGAGCGACGACTGACTGCCCATGGATTTGGAAGCTGGACTTGGGTGCTTTCGTCAATGATACCAAAGGGGCGACCAAGCGTGATACACAAGTTACGATCAAATTGGTAGGTAGAGTACCATAAACGGCGTCGATCATGCAACAGCTTTGGATCCATATTGATAGCATTCTCTTCACTTTCCCAATGCAAACCTATGTCGATACATAAGCGCAGGGCAATGCCGGTAAGATGCCACAAGCTGCCCCAGGAAGGACAGAGAGCCACAAATTGTGCCAGTAAAAGCACGCAGCGCAAAGTCTCAATGTCACTTTCCGAGTATGTGATGATCTTCTCGATCCAAGCAATGGCGGAACGGAAGCAACCCTCGCTCTGGGCTGGACGACCTCCGGACGCACTAGACATATCACAAAGGGCAATCGCGAAAACTATGTATGCAATAAAATTGTCCTTCTCAACTGAGCGACTCGATGGCCGAGTATTGCTTCTAGCCAAATATGCATTCTCAACAGCTTCATTCACTTGCGAGCGATCCACAATCGGGAGGTGAGGCGTACGATACTGGAAATAGACTTCGACCAGATGGTCTGCAGCATGGCGTGGTGGGAGAGAGGCCTCGTTCGCTATCACAGATGAGGATGATTCATTTTTGGAATTTTCCGTTACCAGCGACGGTAGCTCCTCAATTCTAATAGCAGCCATGACAAGGCGCGCGAGAGTAATGCCCGAGCTCTGTCCTAAGAACCTTGGCTGTCTGGAAGGTTCGACGACTACGTTCCGGACACTTGTGACCAAGTCCTGAACGTGACTAGAGTTCGAATCAGAAGTAGCAGGGCTCCCCGAAAGCAATAAACTTGGTTCGAATCTCGTTGGAGATGTGTCAGGTAGAGCCGCCGAAATCTCACGACTAACAGAGCGTCCTTGACTTTGCGTAGCTCGTAACTCGACGTTCTCTTGTCTCAGCCTCTCTACCTGTGCCTCTAGATTAGACACGTAGTCACGAGGTATCTCCAAAGATGTTAGCGGTGAGCGTTGGCCTTGTTGTCAACAATTGCACTCACCTCAGCTTGTTTCTCTGTGTGGTATGTCAAGCACAAAACGCGTGCGCTTTGACAATTGGAGCAATTCGGACGCTTCAGATCACACTGTAGTTTTCCACTATATTTAGCAAAATGTCTCTATGGCTTGAGTATCTGTTATATTACTTTCTGTTTCCTCCTCCGACATCTAAGCGATAGGTCAGCCTCGGGTTCTGGATTTGATCTAGTTCCGATGCTACTTCGACCCACCTCTGACATGCAGTAACCGCCTTCATGATTCTTCCTTCCTTACAAAGCGGGGACTTCGTTTGTGACTCTGGGTGCTCCATGGGTTTCGGCAAGGAGAAGTTGAGCGTGCAATCAGATAAGTAGCGACCGGGATAAGCCGACCGGGGTACAACCATCCAAGCGGGGTCTTATCAACAAAAGTCTCACTAATTCATGTGATTACCCCGGTTTTCTTATCATACAGCAAAACCGCTTTGATTGGAACCAGACCATTGTGCCTCCTTAGGACTTAGATAAAATTCTCAAAATATCATGCGCCTTAGATTAGCTCTGGGAAGATGACATATGCCAGATCTTTTGGCATACCCCGCGTCGGCGCAGTTATCTCGAGCATCTTCATATCTCTTATCGCCTGTGGACGCCACTAACACTGAAATGCCCCAATCATATAGATAGGCTCAACCCAGCCGTTATCCACGATATGGAGTGATCAAGGCTAAGTTTAGTTTCGCCCTAGTCTGGCTTTTTCCGATGACCCTCACTCATCGCCAATCCTATGGCTTTGAATCCTTATCGTTGGCTGTTCAAGATCTATCACAGCGCTGCCAGTATACACTCGCCTGGAAAGGTTGAAGGAAGCGAAAGAAAAATAGTATATATTTGCGCAGCTTCACGATACTTCCGCCAGGTCCACCACAGATCATCCGCAAAGGATTTTTATCATAACCCCCAGTCTTACAATAATTATACACATCACGCCTACAGTCTACAGCAATGGATTTCGAACATAGAAAAGAAGAAATGACAAAAGTTTCTGTTATCGACAACATGGCCTCCAACGATACTTCGTCAGAGGTGGCAGGCTCTATGATATATATCGATCCCAAGAAGGAAGCAGCGGCTCTCAGGAAGTTTGATATTTACCTCCTGCCAGTCTCTGTAGTCTTTCTCGTTTTGTCGGCTCTGGACCGAAACAATGTGAGAATGCCCCTGATTCACTTGTCTTTCAATGCCACTGCTAACAAGGAATTAGCTTGGCAATGCTCGAGTCTTTGGCTTTGACGAGGATATTGGACTAAAGGGAGACGATTTTGGCAATATCAACTTGTTATCCAGCGTCTGCACGATCGTATTTGAAGTTCCTTGGGTATTGGCAGTCAAGCGCTTCGGTGCTAACAAGTCGCTGGGTGCTGCTCTCGTACTGTGGAGTTTTTGCACACTTGGAACGGCATTCATTCAGACCTACGGCCAGGCTATCGCAGTTCGCATGTTACTAAATGCCTTTGAAGCCGGTCTTGCTCAGAGTTTTGCCTACCTATTTTCGACAATCTATCCCCGAGAGACGGCGGGTAAACGTATCATGACGACTAACCTCGCAATGTGCATTTCTGGCGCATTTGGTGGGCTCTTTGCATATGCGGTTCAGACCATGGGTACTCAACACGGACTCGCCGCGTGGAGGTGGCTATTCATTGTCGAGTTTTGCATTACAGTCGTTGTCGGAGGCGTTGGATGGTTCTTCCTGCCGACTTCAGCTGAAAAGGCATGGTTCTTGAGTGAAGAAGAACAAGAGACTATGCGTCTGAAGAGGCAACGTGACCTTGTGCACCGAGGTGACGACAAGTTCGACCGAAAATGGGTCAAGATTGCTCTTACTGACCCATTTGTTTGGCTCCTGGGAATTGGGTTCTTCACTTCGTCTGTGGCAATTAATGGATTTGGTGTCTTTTGTCCCACCATTATTGCTGGCCTCGGGTACGTACCATCTCAAATGACAAGTATGGTCAGTGGATTAATATCGTACAGATTTCCTTCCTTGCAGGTCAACTATATGACTATTCCAATTTACGTTCTTGGCGCCATCTCGCTTGTCACCCAGGTTTACTTCTCTGACAAACTCAAGAAACGAGGCGTATTTATAGTTGGATGCTGCATTCCGGTTGCAGTTGGATACCTTATCTGTGTTGGTACAGCAAACTCCGCTGCCGGTTACGCAGGCATGTTTGTTCTTGTTTTGGGTGAGTCGTTTCGCTATTAGACACCGTCTTGCTGCATCGTGTATTGGACTAAACTTTAATAGGAATATACCCCATTTCTACCCTAGTCGTGACCTGGGTATCTACCAATTTGTCTCCAGACTCCAAACGCGCCATTGGAATGCCCGTGGCTTACTCTATTGGCAATCTATCTGCGCTGGTAGCATCACAACTATACCCCACCCAACAAGGCCCGCGATACATTGTTGGAAATGCCGTCTCTGCCGGTCTTTCAGTCGTTGCCGGACTCCTGTATGCGGCATGCTGGATGCTGCTCAAACGTAGAAATGCACAGAAGGCCAAGCTTCTTGCTGAAGGGGCCACTACCAATGGTTTAGAGGGAGACATGAGTTTGGACTCTATGTACATTCTTTGAGTGGCAAGTCCTGTCGTTAGTGCTCACAAGTTTATGATAATGAGAGACAAAATGCGTTCACAGTACGTGATACCAGAGTTTTCATCCATTCGTTGAGTAGTTTAGGGTCCAGGTTCACTGCAGCTGCTTGCTCTTCTTGACTTTCTCCCTAGCACCAATCGTGGAGAGCAACTCATCCTGCCGAAATTGGCATAAAGCCGGTCTCGCTATCAGTCTATTCTGATGCAGCATGAGCTATAATTCCTTCCAATATAAATTCAAGCACATACGACCATAGGGTGTGGAGAACAGGGCTTCCCGTCCGCTCAGCCGTACTTAAGCCACACGCCGGTTAGTTAGTAGTATGGTGGGTGACCACATGCGAATCCTGACTGTTGTATGTTTTTTTGTTGTTGTTTTTGTTGATGGCTCCGCGGCAATATGCCTGACGCGCTGCCGTGACTTGACATTCCGGAGGGAAAGGATTCCAGCGGAGTAAAGAGGGAAGAGAGCTCCACTAGTTTCTGGCTAAAGAGGATGTTGCATCTTCACAATATTGCTGCTCATCCCAATCTCTACTACGAGATACGTTTCATGAGGAGTAGGATGAAAGGCTGGGGATAAAAGTACGAGGATCTGCCATGTTATCAAGATGTGATCACGGCGAGACCAAATGCCATCTTGTAAACTTGAACTCCTCAAATTTGTCTACTGGAATAATTACCAATTAGCAAAACCGAATAAACACTGGTTGTCAGGAGATAGTGTGTTTTTGATGGTATGATAGAGTCTCATAGGGATCTTGAGGCGTAAGGACTTGTATCGCGAGTCGGGAGATGCAATTATCTTGTACGCAACAGCTCCACGAAGAGGTACAAGACTGGAATGGGATCCAATATTATTGTGTTGCATTGGGGGAAGTCTTAGGGATACGGAGGGGGAAGTGCCCATGTGGGCTAACAGCAACAAAGCCATCAAAATTTGGGGGCGAACACCCTGAGTTGAGACCCTTGTATCTGCATTTCAGACTCCTATTGCGACCTATGTATGTATCATATATAGCAGTATTTTTCAATCCGGCATATCCACACACCAAAGCAATGTACATATGCCATTTTTGTTACTATTATTAGGTAATTTAACCCAGGTCAACTCTTCATCTTCTCTCGAGTCTACATAACGTATTTCCCTAGCGAGCGGGACACCCGGGCGAGCGGGACACCCCATCAAATTATGGTAATTCAAATCCACGTATATTAACCAGAATAACGTAATATTTCACATACAAGCTATTTAACTAAATTTGAACAATGTGTGATCTTATGCCCCCGAATTCCACAATTCGAACACTTTAGTGGAGCTCGCTGGCGTGGTTCTTGTGCTTGAGATTGACCGGTTGACGGAGGTTGAATTGGTGCTTCTAGAGCTTCTGGAGCACGCTGAGCTAGCTCTCGAAGCTCTGCCGCGGATATAGCCTCTGTACGAGCTATCTGACGCTTAGATCTTGCTCTTTTCTGCTTGATTCTCTCGTTTCCAGCACGTAGAAGCTCGTTTTCTCGAGTAAGAAAAGCGGTAGATTGCATAGCAATTTGGCACGCTTTAAGCACTTGATCTATTGCGGAATTCGCTGCGCTTGGTGGGCTTCTAGAGCGTTCTTTTAATAGCTTTTTGATAGAAGAAGCTTGCTTCTAGAGCTGCTTATAATCTAATGGGGTCTTTGGCTCCCACGCGCTGCTTTGACTACCTCTTAAAGGGGGGGGTATAGGTGTAGAAAGTCGAATATTTAGCTTTAAAATTACACGATTTGGATTATATAGAACTAATCTAGTTACCGCGAAGCTATTTTTGATTATTTCTGGTTTAAAAGCTTCGATTCGAGCTCTTAGAAAGATATCGAGAAAGTCAAGCTTATTAATATGATTTTGTCGAATTCGCATTAGATCTTTAACCTTTTCCCTATACGCGCGCTTTAATATAGCAAAATAACCTATATTAAGAGGTTGTAAAAGATATAACGAGTGCGGTGGCATATAAATTAGAATCACGTCGTTTTAAGAGTAAATTCTATCGAATTTTGGAGTTAAATGGCTTCTATAACCATTAAGGATAAGAAGTCGAAATTTCCCCTTCGTTCTTAATAAAGTCGATGGAAGAAAGACTTCTTAAAGCTATTCAATTCTAATTTCATCCGAGGTCCATCTATTCTTGCTTTTTTGAAGGAACTAAGTATCTGGAATCAGATTAGCCTAGCTTATAATAAAGACTTTGCCCTTAAAGATCACTATTGGAGGAAGGCTAAATCTAGACGCGCTAGTAGACTCGATCGCGGTAACCTACTCACGATTTCTAGGCTGTAAAAGTAGGCAACGCCGACCACCTATTTCTGCTCTCGTTATAACCTTCGTAGTCGAAGTTAAGCCCATCGCGAAACCCGTCTCATCAAAGTTATATATATCATCTTCGTGGATCCCGTTCTCGGATATTATCTTTTGAACCAAGTTAAACTATTCTTTAATGATTTTTGGATCCTCACACTTAGCGCGCTCGTAATTATAACGTCTCGAGAATCGTGAATCAATTCCTAGGTGTCGTTTCACGAGTCGTGGAACCCAATTTTTACCGACGGTCTGAATCGGGGTCGTTCCACGTATTGCGAGTAAAAGATTGGCCATTTCACGCACATGCTTAGGTCGAGGTGCTGCTCCACGTGTATCCATGGAAATTATCTATTTAACTAACGAATTCTCCTCGATTTCGGTCAATTTGAAGGAATTTGCGCGTAAATCGACGCGATTTTCACGTCCTTGAAGCCGGGCGTGGAGCGTTGAACGTGGCACATCATATATATCTGCTGCTTTGCGGACTGACAATTTTCCTTGCTTTTTGATAGCTTATATAGCAAGCAAGATACGCCCCTCTTGCTCTGTCAATTTTTTACGATTTTGAGAGCGGATTGGTGGCATGGTGGCTAGTTGAAGAAGAACGGACTAATTAATTGACGCGTTTTGGTTGGGGTGTCCCGCTCGCCCGGGTGTCCCGCTCGCTAGGGAAATACGTTATGGCGTCGCCACTGACATAAGCAGAGGTCGCCAGTAACTAGGCCTAATTAGGAAATAGAATAATTTTCACTGGCGACCTCTGCTTATGTCAGTGGCGACGTGACCTGTAATTCTAGGTCCTAAAACGACTGTATTACAGAAGGGTTTAAGGCTATACCCACTACCTTACTTTATACCCACATTCTAACTTATTAAAATTTAATAAATCTGGCAAAATATTAATAGAGGTAGATTCTCTAAGTTAACTAGTAAGTGCTTATTAAGCGTTTAGGAAGTGCTTAGTTAACTATAATACTTACTTTTTTTCTTATAAGTCTAAATAGTAAGTGCTTATTAAGCGTTTAGGAAGCGCTTATAGCTCTTACTTATCTTTTTATAAGGAGGGAGCTCTAACTCTCTAGTCTTAACTCTCTAGACTCCTAAAGGTAAATATATTCTATATAAATCTTATTAGTCTCTAACTAAATAGGTAGGCGAAACCTTATTAGCTATTATAAAACTAATTTAAGCACTTAAGAAGCACTTAATAAGCACTCCATAAGTGATCAGAGTAAGTGCTCATAACGAAAGGGGGAGTTCACGAAGCGGTGACAGAGGCGGAGAAGAGATGGTGGTGGAAGGAAGCAGAGTTGGTTTTTGATAAACAGTAATCTATTGTGGGGGACCTTCCTAATCGGGCTAGCTTACTTTCAATGGCGACCTGTGGCTTATGTCAGTGGCGACGTGACCTGTACCCTCTCTTCTCTGGAAACGCGTATTGGATATAAAAAAGCATCACGTGCTTATGAGAGTCATGTGACTGGGACGGGCTCAACTTTCCGAAAGCGGGAACTCAATTTGCCACCGAACACTTTCAAGTACATCATATTTCTCATCTACAAATATATTGATCGACTACTGTAAATAACGATACTCATACACTGATAATCATCGTATTCGTCTAGGTGTTAATTGATGCTGAAAGCCTTAGATCTTGACTTTTCAGGTGAAAACTTTTGTTTCATAGATATACCAAGATGAACATCTCCTATCCTCGTACTGCAGGCATGATGAATCACCTGAGAATTTATCCGACCGAGTTCAATGGCACGAAAAGATTATATGCCACGATATTCTGTATTATAATCATATAGAGCAGTCAACGGGTTAGACGTGGCTAAAGCAGCGGCAATTTATCAGCGGTGAATTGCAGCGGGGAATTGCAGATTCGTGGGAACATAGCCCACTAGGGACTAGATCTGTCCGGTAGTGCAGTGGGACCTGGAACAAAAAAGATCTAGCCCCATAGAACTTGAAGAAGCCCATCGGGGCTACTACCATCAATACAAATTGAGGTACAGCAAGGATCAGGATAAAGAGATCGGGTATATTGCCACCATGATATTCACGACACTAACCGAACGGAGTAATTCCGGGTTGGGGTCCGCGACCGGGAACCGCAGTCGCCTCCGTACCTTGTTCATCATCTTGAATCGCGCGATGGAAGACCTATTACAACCAATCTATGCAGAAATCTGATGATATTTACTGCAGTCATTACAAATTCATTGTTATTGCTTGTTATCGCGACGGATCTGGAGGTTGAACTACTTTAAGGCGCTGCGCGCCGCAGGAAAATCAGACCACGGCACAGCCACTTCTTCGCCTTCAACACACTCCTTCGTTTTCAACACTGCACCCTGGCAAAATGCCTGCCCCTCGTTTTATATCTCCTCCTGCGACCCCGCCTCCCAGTAAGGGTCTGTCGCTGGCGACTGGAGGAGTTAGTGACCTTGAAACCCGGCGCCTCATCGGCACCACCCGGTTTGAGCCTCGGAATGACGTGAAAAACATTCTGATCACTGGGGGTGCAGGATTTATGTAAGAAACCCGCAAATTCCCCAATTAGATGTTACTAACATGGAAAATCTAGCGGAGGCTGGGTAACGCGACACTTAGCGGTGCAATACCCTGAATACAACATTGTCTGCTTTGACAAGCTCGATGTTGTCGCTTCTCTCGCCAATATCAACTGTTTGGAATCTCTGCCAAACTTCCAGTTTGTGCATGGCGACTTGATGGACCAGGCAGCTATTGCCAAGGTTCTTACTGAGCACGATATTGACTGTGTGATGCACTTCGCTGCGTGCTCGCATGTCCAGAACTCATTCAATGATCCCTTAAACTTCACCGTCAATAATGTCATCGGCACTCAATTATTACTTGAAGCTGTCCGTCATCACCAAGGGTCCAGAAGGGTCCGCCGCTTCATTCACGTTAGCACCGACGAGGTTTATGGTGATGTTATGGAATCGGCGTGTGACGAAACAAAGCAATTCATGCCCACCAACCCATATTCAGCCTCCAAAGCTGCTGCTGAGATGTACGTTTGGTCATATGCGAAGTCTTTCGACATCCCGGCTCTTGTTGTCAGGAGCAACAACGTGTATGGGCCTGGTCAATATCCCGAGAGTAAGAATGCCCACATCTCTTTGTTTCGGTGACGCATACAGCTGACGCGATGAAATCAGAAATCATTCCACGCTTTTGTACACTATTAATGCAGCAAAAGCCATTAACAATACAAGGCACCGGCATGAATATTCGCCGGTACCTTTATGGAGCCGATGCTGCTGACGGCTTCGATACTTTACTACATAAGGGTGTCATTGGTGAAGCTTACAACATACAATCTGCCCAAGCAGTCACCAACCTTGAGGTCGCCGCTCGTACCCTTGAGCTATTTGGGTACAATCCACGTGACTTTAATCGTTGTCTGACTCAGATTCCCGACCGTCCCTTCAACGACCAGGACTACTGGGTCGACGGCTCTAAGTTGGCTGCATTAGGATGGCACCAGCGTGTCTCCTTCTCCGATGGACTGGAAACCTCAGTCAAATGGTACCGTGAGAACCTAGATTCTTGGTGGCCTGAAGCCTCAAAGGCTATCAACGTCGCGTCGACTGCGACCCCTGAAAGCCATCGCGCCCACTCCAACGGGAGCGGAGTTGAGAAAGCGAGTTGACTTGCAAAGTTCGAAACTTGAATTTATACATTAATTAGACAGCGACAATATACCAAGACCGCTTTTTCTTTTCATATCCAACTAGGAGATTCCACATTGAACTGAATCCTCCCCCCGTGTGATATCATTGACCCCGTGTGGTAGTAGATTTTCATGGAAGAAATATTGAATTTACAAAGATTATGGCGAAATTCGAGAAAAATACCAACGAAATCCATCGAGTTTCTTACTATCAAGTTCCAAGGTCTGCGTGTTGCGTTGAATGAAGTCATTGTTACCGAGTCGCTTAGGACTCGAACTGAGTGTGCAGGACCCAGACCGTCCGAGTAATTCCGGGCCCTGCTCAACCCTGCAACGTGTGCGGGACTCAATCTAGTCTAGTCTTAGTTTAGTCTAGGTAGATTATATTATCCGGGGATATATCCATTTCTACCGGTCGCATTAGTCATGAAGACAAAAAGACTCGAATGGTAGCATTTGTCTATCACTAGTAGATATTTTGGATTCATCAAATGCAGATTATGATTTTGGTCTGGGAATAAACCTCACTTGCATTAGAAGGTCATGGATTTTTCTATTTTCTGCCAGTGCAGATTATGTAACCTCGCTGACCGCCTATGCTGTTAGATCGTTGAGCATGACCCCTGATTAGTCAGAAATCTCCGCATTCCGGTTATCCAACGTCCCGTTCTAGCTAGAGCATTACCAGACACACCGCACGAATCTGCCATCAGCAGACTGACCTTAAATGGAAAGACTAAAAGATATGTTAAACCATTCAAAGGCAATGTAGTAGACTTTTCAAACGGAAAGCGCTGGTTGAAGCAATAGACGAAGTGAAGAATGCGGTGATAAATTGTTTATATTATAAATATCTATACTTCATAAATTGAACTACTTCTCGCAACGTGAAAAACAAATTGGAGATTGGGAGTATCATGAGCGTGCTGAGGCTGTCAGAAATTCCAAGACCCCCGCATGTACTCGGAAACGTTAAGCCCCTAAAAAATGTGATGGTAGACCAACTGGCTGACTCCGAAGAGACATCCATGCGCCAGTTAAAGCGATTGAACAAATACAAGGATGCTTCCAAATGTAGAGAAAGGGGGCATGTCCATCACTGCACATATAAGGTTTATGACAACTAATGATCGTATCTGTCACATGATGATTGATGCCCTCATCCCACGAGAAAGTATGGCACTCTACTTCGACAGTGTCAAAAGACGGAGAGTATTGACAGCGATGTTGTAGGTAGAGAGGCAATAGTGTTGACATTGCTTCTAAACAATACGGTAGAAAGGTATTTGGAGGTGGTAGAACACGCTGAAAGAATTCGAAGAGGAGCTATAATCAGCTATGCCTATGTAAATATCGTCTGATGAATTCTTGTCGCTGGCTGATGTTGGTTTGGGGGTAACTGGGTTGGGCGGGGTGGGTGGAGCTGTGATCGGCCGAAGATCAAACGAAGTGACAGGCAACATTTGAAATGAATTGATATCGACCAATGGCTCATCGGCAATGAAATGACGAAGATGGGAAGCCAGGTAGGATCACATTAAGACAAATCTGAGGGTAGGAATGGTGACAAAGGCAGAATGTTACGAGCAGAGAAGCTCATTTATTCATTGTAGAGCAGTTGACTCTGAAGATCGAACCTAAACCCTTTCTTCAAATCTGAAGGAAGAAGTCCAAGAGGTGCTTCATGCAATCCCACTGAATGCTCAAATTATGCCAAGCAGCCACGGAACTGTGTTGTCTCACAAGCATTGTGGGTGAAATCGGTGGAAAACTAAATATGCAGAATGAAAATAGATACCCGCTGATTCGAGGGCACGGGTGAAAGTACCACAGAACAAACTTCTCACGCTAGTCAAAATCCGGACTAAAGAAAACAGAGGTCCACGGGGAGAAAGCCTTAGAATGAAGGTCTCAATTGTGTACTACCCCACAAGCAGAGCCAAACAAGGTACGACACTTATTTTATGCACTCCAATATCGAATATGGGCTGCGAGAAGGGTCTATAAAAAGAAAAATAGGCCAATCAAATAAAGCATTGCTGAGAGTTTCCAGGATGCCATGGAGTTAGAACCCCGTTTTTTGAAGGTTTAAATTACCCATGGGATAAACCCGGGGTGAGAAGGGTATTAGGGAACGCACGTGATAGATATGGCGGCAGAACAAGTCGTGTGGCGCAACAATTCCATGTCAGCATCTGTCGCTTGAATAGTCTTGGGTTGGATTGTCATTGCTTGGTCGGTCCTTGGCACCTCAAAACTTGATCACCCATAAGAGCAGGTAGTGAAGCAAGGCGTCAGTCTGCGGGGCTATATTGCTCATCTTTTGCTACGATATTTGGTTTCCGATGTAGCTGCGAGACCTTCGCAAGGATAAAAAAAATAACACTTGGTCATATGCCTCTGTTAAGATATGTTACTTTGTAGCCAATCATACCCCAGACCCCGCAAAACTAGACTCTTCATCCGGTAATGATCGGCGCCACACCCGGGGAATACGAAGCCACAAACCTTCGAAACAATCTAGCTGTGCTGTAACAGCCGGTTACTCATTGCGATGTAACTTCTGCTTCCAAATAAGGCTAATTAATGTTGCTGTCGGTCTAGACTAGCCGGTAAAGAAAGTCCCATTCAGCCTAAACATTATAATAATGCGGAGGATCATTATCAGTATATATTCACTAATGGATGTCAATGTTAATGTTCGTTTCACCTTTGAAGAGACACCCACGGGTGTTTGAAATTATCTGAAGCTCCAATTCCGTTCTCACCATGGTTGTCAGTTCTTCAGCACCCAACCCGGGGCTTACTGCGGTATCCCGGCGTCGCGCTGGGCTCGCTGGCCCCTCGGGAATCAAGGGTCTTATGTCAAATCTCCGAATCTTTGCTATCGCAGTTTTTGCATCACTCGGTGGCCTTGTGTATGGCTGTATGTGCCCAAACCCACTGTATTTCCCTATGTCTTTTCGCCCAGAGGAGTTGGAAATAAGAGACCTGTCACTGATTACAAATTGGAACTTGCAGACAATCAAGGAATGTTCGGTCAGATTCTGAGCATGACCTCCTTTTCCAACACTGTGCACCCGGAGTCTATTACAAACCCCACATTGAGAGGATTTCTTACGGCGTGAGTTGAGACCCCCCTGCAAAGCTATCCGATGTTGCGCAACGAGCTGACAGAGAATTGATAGTATCTTGGAGCTGGGAGCCTGGGTTGGCGTTTTGGTAAATGGCGTTCTTGCAGATGCTCTAGGCCGTAAGGAGGCTACAGTTTCCGGAGTTGCAGTCTTCCTCATCGGTGTCATTGTCCAAGCATGTGCGAAAAACGCTGACTACATCCTCGGCGGACGCTTTGTGACTGGTATCGGTGTTGGTATCCTCTCTATGATCGTGCCTTTGTGAGGACTGTTCCCAAGCCTCGGTCAGTAAGTATTGTGCTAATATCGCTGCTTAGGTACAATGCAGAGCTCGCGCCGCCTGAGCTGAGAGGCTCCCTTGTTTCCCTCCAGCAGCTTGCCATTTGCTTTGGAATCATGGTATCCTACTGGATCGGTCCGTTCCCAAATTCAAAGCCGGAATGCCGCGTCTTCGATAGCTAACATCCAACATTTAGGATATGGTACTAACTACATTGGAGGAACTGGCGAGAGCCAATCGAATGCAGCATGGTTGGTTCCCGTGTGCATCCAAATTATCCCCGCCATAGCACTCGGAGTTGGAATCCTTTTCATGCCCCCAAGGTCGGTCAAAATACTTCATTTACTACACCAAGTATCAGCAAGCTGATTAATCTTTGCAGCCCCCGCTGGCTAATGGTAAAAGGGAGAGAAGAAGAATGCTTGGCCGTAATTGCGAACCTACGCAGTCTACCCGCCGACAGTGAGCTTGTGCAACTTGAATACCTAGAAGTGAAGGCACAAGACCGGTTTGAAAAAGAGACGTCCTTGGCAAAGTTCCCTCAATACCACAGCCCAGGGTGGATGAACAAATTCAAACTTGAATTCCACGAATACGCTAGCTTGGTGACGAACAGGTCATTGTTCAAACGCACTATTGTTGCTGTCTTTATCATGGTTTTCCAGCAATGTATGTTTCATCTTTTCGTCCTGGAGAGTAATATGGCAAGCCTGCTGACATGTTCGGGTTCTGATAGGGTCCGGAATCAACGCTATTCTTTATTATGCAGCGGTAAGTGAACATCAAAATTTATATGCATTTTATCGAAGTCGCACAGCGTGAACCAGGACCGCCATGCATATAGAATATCAAATGAAGCGCATTGCTAATATTGAGGATATTTAGTTCATTTTCAAAGATTTGGGCCTTACTGGAAATACTGTGTCTTTGCTCGCTAGCGGAGTCGGTGGTATTCTCCTGTTTCTTGCTACCATCCCTGCAGTGCTCTATATTGATCAGCTTGGACGCAAGCCCGTCTTGATCGCAGGAGCCATTGGCATGGGTGTTTCTCATTTCATTGTGGCTGGCCTTGATGGACAATACAACACCAGCTGGGCTGATCATAAGGCTGCGGGCTGGGTTGCTGTTGTTTTCGTCTGGATTTATCAAATTAACTTTGGCTACTCATGGGGTGTAAGTTGAAGATTTGTACGTGATGTGAAGGCTTAAGCTGACAATTATTATAGCCAGGTGCATGGGTGATGGTCGCTGAGATCTTCCCTCTTGGAGTCAGAGCCAAGGCTATCTCAATCGGTGCTTCTTCTAACTGGCTTAATAACTTTGCTGTACGAATTATCCGAACTTCCTCACTGTTTCAATGCGCTAACACTTCTTAGATTGGTCAAGCCACCCCCCAGATGGTTGCGCAAATGGGCTACGGAACTTTCATCTTCTTTGGAGTCATGTGCATCCTTGGTGCACTTTTCATCTATTTTGTGGTCCCTGAGACCAAAAATTTGACTCTTGAGGAAATGGATGAAGTCTTTGGGGATGAAGCCGGTAGCGCGATTGAGGACAGGAATCGCTTGCTTCAGATTTACACTGAGTTGGGACTCTTGGACTTTGGTTCCTCCGAGGAAAAGCCCGAGGCTGTAATTCCGTGAGTGTGGACAGCCAGTCACTCCATAGGCCTTTTGGGAGGTCAGGCATCTCTACAGTGAGTGTTTATGGTGCCCTTGAACCTTCGCCTTCGACAAATTGATTGAATGGCTATGATCTCAATAAATCAAACGCTTATGCCAAGTCCTAATTCAAGGTCCACAGAAGCCTCCCCGCTAAACTCTATTGTTAGTTCATAAGTATTAGGCTAAATTTAAGTTTGGGAACAGCCTAAAGTTGGGACTGACAAAGCATTTCGTAACCTTTCAAATCCGTCCCATTTGCCGGTGAGGTTGGGACAAAGATGGAATGTCGTAAATATAAAAATCAATTAATATCTGTCATTATAACCACCAGGGAAGAGAGAAGGTTTGATTCTGTCGCGGTGGGAGAGGAGAGCAAAGAGTGGGTGGAAACTCAAACATGGTTTTGGTTCTTGCCGCCCAGAAAAATACTTTGTGATGCCAAAGCTTCTCCATAAGCAGGCCACGGGCCACGAGGCCTAGGGAAGCCTATCCTAAGCCTGACCAACGGACCGCTAATTTAGAGGAATCGCGATTAGGTCGAGCTGATTGGCAGTCAAGGTGAAATACAAAGTGTCCCACTGTGTTACAAGAAAGTTAGTAGCGACAACGAATATTCATTGGCTTACGACCTTCCCCAACGTTTTAAGTCAAAAAATTCAAAGAGTGAGTACAGACAACATGAAATTCTTCCATTATGATATCCACGTACCCTATTGTTATAGCAGCTCAAAAGGTATGTGGTAGTATCCCCTCTGCTTAAAGCATATGCTAAAGTTTATGGCGTAACAGGAGGTCCGATTGGATGTATCTCGGATGAAGGATGCTGGCCCGCTGGCAATACTCACTGTTTCTGGAGAATAAGGAGTACATGCCTACGGGGCTATCTTTTTCTGCATTATGACGCTAATCAGCACACGCGGATTCTTGGAAATTAGCTATGATTTTTCTTTTCTGCGTGGTATTGGTTTTTTTTCCATTGAACTGGTCATCCTTTGATCACTATATGAATACAACGGTGGTCTTAAGAATGAATGACCCGACTATCTCGTCGGTTTCTTCTAATGACTTGGCGGATCTGTGCTCACACCTTCGCGTCTTTCGCTCCTCCCCACTTTTGAAAGGCCTTTATTGCAATTATGGCGCTTTAGCAGATTCGATTATTTCAAGTTTGTCTTCACTGCATCCGTCAAAAGACAGACTCGGTGGTCAAACACACCAGTCAGCTGAATAAGGAATTATTCAATTGAAGGTTGAAATTGGTGTTTGCTTATGTAAGAAGTCAAATGATCATGGTGACCCACCTTTGAGGGTCTAGCACAATCCGAATGGTTAGTCATATTTCACTATTCCTATTCACCTTTGAATCTAGGCCTTGTAGTTTATATCCTTAGCTGTATCCCGCAAAACCTTCTATCTTCATTGCGACAGATTTGACCCAAAATAAGCTCAGATCATTCTCACGTCAGCCTAATGTTACGTCAATGTTGAACTTTCCTCCATTTCCTTTGCTCCTCAGTGAAAGTGAAAGTTGTAATTTTTGACAAGCCGCATATTGCATATAATAAACGGGACCGCCATAGAAATATATGTGTCCGTCCATTGAAGATAGCAATTCACATTATAAAAGACTCCGTGAAGTCATCCATGGATGCTTGCGAAATCGGAGATCCAAATTTATCAAGCTAATGCAGGTCCTGCTTACTAGTAGTGGTTGTGGCGTAATCTTAGCGTCGGAAATGTTGTCCCTGTCGGCAGGGCCGGTCACTCAGGGGTTATTATTGTACCGGCACCGCCTCCCAATTCTATTTTCTACACGATACAAGATTTCTAATGTTGGAATTTTAAGCCAATAGAACTCAATAGCTGGCTGACTAGACGAAAAAAACCGTTCCCTTGAGATTTGCTTGGTCATTGCCTTTTGTACCCAGATCCACCGGCAAAAAAGCCAACCCTGATTTTGTTCTTGAATAGTGGGTCCTCGACTTGTTCGCTCCCACGGTGGATCCACGATGTTTCCACTGTATACTCCAGGTCATGATAAGCGAGTGGCGCTACAGTAACAGATTGAGAAGGATCTTTCAACTTACCCTTCACAAGGACGTAAATAGACCCCTCTACTCCTTTTTTCACTAACCTTGATTTCATCCACGCTCATTTCTACATCGGCCCTTTAAGCCACAGGCCAACATGAGGGCCTTCATTACCTGCATTGCCGTCCTGCTGTGGTCTTTGCTAGGCACCACAGAAGCCTCATCTCTGACCACCATCACAGAGACAAGTCGGAGTACAGTCTCCCAGACAATTACAAGCACATTTGCAGTAACTACAACTGAGACCTCCTGCACCCTTGGCAGCTCACCGCTTGTAACATGCACCAACGCTGTCTGGACTGAAGGCTCACTTTATCTTTCGGCAACTTGTGCATCTTCGTCCCTGGTAGGTGCTACCACAATTCGAGCATATGTTGGACTCCCATGGGCGGCTTGTTGCGGATATTGTGCCGAGATCTCTAGTTGTAGCGGAATGCAGATGCTCACCATAGGCGCCGTAAGCGAATGCTTTTTGGTTAGTGGCACGCCTACAATGGTATCGGGCACCAGATCCCAAGGGGTATTGGAAGTCTTTACTACTAATCCCTGTTATGCAACGATCACTTCGATGTATACAGAGACTTCCACTGAGGTCTCAACTGTAGACTACACTGTCTTATACACATCAACCATCATTATTTCCACACCTACGCCGACTCCGACGCCGACTCCTACTCCTACTCCAGAAGTAGCCTCAAGCTCTGTTGCAGTTTCTTCCTCAACCCCAGTCGCTCCTTCTCCAAGTTCTACCGCAGTATCAGCCTCTGTTAAGTCCAGCTCTTCGGTGGCTCATCTATCTTTTTCATCACCAGTCGCTCCTCCTTCAAGTTCTGCAGAAATTTCAGCCTCGGTTCGCTCTAGCTCTCCATTGACTCATCCATCACCTTCATCGCTGATCTCATCGCCGATCGTATCTGGTTCAAATTCTGCTGCAGCCTCAGCCCCTCTTCGGTCTAGCTCTTCAGTGCCTCATTTATCTGCCTCATTGCCGATCGCTTCTCCTTCAACTTCTGCAGGCGGATCGGTCTCTTTTCGCTCTAGCTCAGTGGCCCACTTGCCCTCGTCATCACCGGTTTCATCAGTGCCGCTGTCAAAACCTCCCACAAGTGCCTCGTCGATCTTATCCTCAAGCCATGTCGGGGTCTCTTCGGGCACTACATCCCCCGAGTATCACTCGTACCTCCCGGGATCTCATTCTGCCTCCTTCGTCAGTTCTGTGAGCCTACCCTACGACAAAGTCCCAACAGCTATTCCGAATGATACCCAGACTACACCCGCCATCGGAAAAGCCCCAACTGGCGGTCCACCACCTAAAGCTCTGACTACGGAAACTCTGTACACAACTCAAGTTTCAACTGTCTACCAATGTGCATCTACGGTGAAGAACTGTCCTTATTCAGAAAAGACTCCTTCGGCAGTAACCCAAGTGGTAGCGACCGCCACCACTGTTTACCCTGTCACCACCTTCATCGCAGGTGAAACCTCCAGTGGTGCTTCACCAGCGGAGAGCCTTACCACTGAGACTCTGTATACAACTGAGATTTCAACAGTCTACAAATGTGCTTCTACGGTGAAGAATTGCCCTTATGCCGACAAGACCCCCTCCGCAGTGACCCAGGTGATTGCCACCGGAACCACTGTTTACCCTGTTACCACTTCCATCGCAGGGAAAAACCCCGGTGGAGCTGCACTAGCAGAGAGTCTTACCACTGAAACTCTGTATACATCTGAATATTCTACGATCTACAAGTGTGCATCTACGGTCAAGGATTGTCCTTATGACGAAAAGACCCCCTCGATAATCGCCCAAATAAGCGCTACTGGAACGACTGTTTACCCTGTCACCACTTCTATTGCAAAGGCGGCCCCCAGTGACGCCGCACCAGCGGATAATATTTTCACTGAAACACTGTATAGAACCGAGTTCTCGACAGTTTACAAATGTGCCTCTTCGGTAAAGGATTGTCCTTATGCCGAAAAGACCCCCTCGACAATCACCCAAATGATTCCCACTGGAACCAACTTTTACTCTATCACCACCTCCACCGGCTCCACTATTCGAGCTCACACCATTACTGCTTGTCCATACGATGCCGATGAATGTTCTTCGTCTGAAGAGACCACCTACGTGACTTCTAAATCTGAAGAGACCTATACTGTGATTCTGGTATCAGCAGAGACGCCTGTCCCACATACCACTGCTACCAATGTTGAACCGAACGATAGTGCAGAAGTCACTCCAACTGTCTATGTAACAGACATTGTGACGGTCCTGGCTTGCCCTGCCCCCAGTACTCTGACGGAGTAATGCGGTTTCCTTTGCTTGCCAACTCCCCGTGTCCATCGCGTTCTATGGTTTGAAGACCACTTTCACTGCAAGTTTGGAATACCTCTTGTATAATAGCGATTTAGATCATGGGTAACTAGACATAGTTGGGAAGCCTACTAGCGGGCAACCAGCCCCTAATTTATATGATATATTTTTCTTTCTTTCGATTTGTTAGCCATGCAGCCATCCCCCCGCAGCACGGCCAGGTGTGCTAATTTTAAATATGTCCGAGGGCATCATGCCCACCTGGTAGGATTGAAAACAACCTCTTGCGGTGTTTCCTTGGAAGTGCCCCGAATTTATAGCTCTCCTCGTTGTCCGGGGATTTTTCTGTCTTGCCCTCGTTTTCCTTTCTTTGCTTCGTATTCGTATCATATACTCGTACACTCATTTCTCGTCTGGTTTTGCTCAGAGACACGCGCTAACACTTGCCCCTGCGGGGTTCTAACAACTTTAATTTATCAAGTCTTTCTAGATAAATCGGATTTCGGAAATCCAAGAACGGACACCAGACTAATAGATAGGATAAATGTGATGAGGATCAAGTGGATCTTTCATTTTTTCCAACCACCATTTGGCGTGGCCTCTTGGTTGCTCGAGAAATGGGCTTTCTCCATTTTCATATGGGAAGGCATTTGTCTCCTTGTTAAACCAGCGACCTCGCCCTGGAAGAACATCGATTCGCATACAACCAATGGTAACACGCGGTCGTCGGTCGGGCTAGAGACGCTTCTCACGAATTTGTCTGCGCATCTCTGCGAGGAATGGATGCCACTCATTATCCACAGTCTCATTATCAATGAATTTCCAAGAAGCTTTACCTGACCGATTGAAGTGTATCCGGTAGTTTCAATAGACATGATATAAGATCGGATTGTCTGACTATGAAACGCGACAGCTCGAAGTGACGAAGCTTTGACCATTTCTAGAGGGGAAATATGCTCTCAAGGGGAACAGGTGGTGCATATTTTGCTGCTTCTCTAGTCTCGCCCCAAGCCACTATTCCCCCAGTGTAGAGACTAATCTCCTCTAGGTCGCATGATTGGCCTAAGGCTTGGTGAAGCTTTCCATTGCGCAAGGATTGCCAGTTCTGTTCGGGCTCCTCTATCCGTGAATAGCAAGCGCTAGGTCAAGGTGGCGGAAGCCTGGTTGCTTGGATATCGTAGTGAAGTTTTCATACTCATCGCAAGGATCATCAAAGATCGTACAATTAATTCCTGTGCGAAGCTGACAAGCATCTATGCTAAGATCGACAATTTTGTGCTTTTGGTGAGCAAGAACGCGTGTCACAACGCGAAAGCCATAATATTTCTCTTTGTTCTTTTCAGGGAGCGTTTGCCAAGGATAGCAAGACGTTTCCTCTGGTTGGTGGCGGTATGGAGTTGGCCATCCACGAGGAATTGGGTAATAAAATCCTTGTGGAAAACCATTAGACCTCAGAACTAACATTTCAAGAGCCTTGTAACATTTGCAGCATACTCCTCTCTATTTTTCTCACATACTCTGGTGAGGTATGCATCTTGTGCACCCTATAGCTCAACGATGCTGATTGCCTCCACACTGACCATCTCACTTTTAGCAGACTGGCAACGATAAACTCTCCATCTGGAACTAAACAAATATCGATACCAGGAAGCGAGGGGGAAGGCCAAAGCATCAGCCACTTCTTTCCTCTTTTGATCTGGCGGATGATCATTTTGACCAAAGGTTCGAAAAAACCTAATTCTGTACGATTTGCAGGGGACAGGTCATCCCGCATAGCTTCAGAGCTACCCTTTCGCCAGTAAAGAAGGCCTACGGCTTTCACTAGAAGCTCCATCTTGTGCAAATTCTGCGAGAATTGAAATATTGCTGAGGCACCTTTAAGATGCTCTAACATACCCCTGTTGGCCAAATGAGAATGTATTAGGTTAAAGTGTGGGTTTCTATATTCAGATTCTACATACCTAACTTAACAATGTAAGTCGCCGAGCGTCTTCGTAGAGTACGATAATAACAAACCGGGCAGTTATAGTGATTGCATTGGGTGTTCTTGATATATCCATGTAAATTCAATGCAATACTTGAGTTGCCTTTGTGGTTTGATACAACAAAAGCTTACAGGTGGCTATGGTTTGGGCAATATATACTGAAGGAATGCTGAAGTCTTCTACGCAGTCATATTAAGCCGGCACATTTATGCTGAGAATCTACATAATTCAGACCGCAGATTATCATGCATTCTTTTGAGGAACTTGTCCAGGTTGGATGACATCTCATGATTGTGTGAGGAGCGAGAAAATGCAAATTCAACCCCGGTCGAGTTGCCTTCCACACACAGAGACTATAAATATAGATGAGAGACTTCAGCACTCAAGCTAAGAGTGGGAATATCATTCGCCCTTGCCTAAGTCCCTATAGCCCTCTTCCAGGATTTCCCGTAGATATGATCTATCACATTGGCTTTCTGTGATTCCTCGGAATCTCCATAAATCCACTTGACTATCTAAAGGCCGAGATCTCGTATTGTCCTTTACTGATATGAAGGATGCAAGGGCGGCAATCTGTCAAGCATTACGAGGGCAAATTGTAAATCATCCCACGTGGGGCTTTTTGCAAGTGCATCTTGTACCGTTTTACAAGGATTCACATGCAGCAAATAGACACCAATAAAGTCGCCCAAATGGGATCGCCAAGAAATAAGATAAGTAATTTATACGTGCCTAGGCTAGGTGAATACACCATGGGTCACAAACGGTATTACGTTCGTGGTTATGTAATATAAAGGCTGGTTATTCGCGGGCCGTGGTATGTAAAGCTAAGATACCGGGAAAAACGGATTGATACGGCGATCCACGGTGGCGCATAATAGACAACGTATCAGTTCTTAGAGTTCCAGTCGCTGAGCTTCGTCACCGAAGAACTGGGCAATGTTGGAAGTGGGTCAATGTGGATCATTCAAAGTCAGTGCATATCATCTGAAGATTCTGAAAACAAGAAAAAATTAGACTTCACATATCGGATTCTCACCGCTACAACTACATTTACGTGTTCGCTGAGCAGGCAAGGGTATCTTCTTCAATATAGATTTGATAGTTTCTACTTGTTAGAATAATAATCAATCATTCGTGCACCTTTGAAAATCGCCTGGTGACTGGAAGATTCCATGATCGCATCGTATACCGTGAACTATGGGGCTTGACTATTTGTTCGTGTAAGTATGCGATACTATTGTTTAACCAAGTGGAATTCTTTCAATTAACAAATGCAAGACATGCAAAGTACAACGTACCGCCAGCACTGGCTATAACACTATTATACGGACCGTTCTTCACGAGGACAGATATTCAAAAGATCTTGATACTTTGTACCGTGGGTCACCTAAGTCATAGCAACTTTGTATTCGTGGATGTCTAAGACTGACTATTAGCTGTTAGATAGCTGTCATTTGGACAATCCCATGGGATTCGTTTCTCATTCATACTCACATATGGACATATCCTACTGATTCGATCCTTGGACTTACCCTTTTCAAAATACCCATTGAAGAGGTGTTCTTTTTCATAATTCAGACCTATAACACTAGCCTGCTTTACACTCTGCTTGGTAAAAGATTACTGCTGCCAATATACCTCTCAGGGCCGTTGAAGAGCCCGCATCGGACCATCCTTATCTTGTGCAGAGATATAGGTACCGTTTTATTTTCAGGAACGGCAGTTCTGGGCCTGACTTGCATGTATCATGGTGGGAAATACATGTATATGGGCTTAATCCTCACTTGGGTGTCCCCAGTACTCACTCTCCAATGGTACGATCTACTCTATTGCTTAACATACAGAATGCTAAGGTATTAGGCTCTTGACGTACCGCTTTCTGCTCGCTCTGCCGCCTACCAGCACTTTAGTCCCTATCCTACTACCCACCGCATACCTTTGGCTGGTGGATACTCTTGCCTTGAAAAGAGGTACATGGGTCATAGAGACAGGAACGAAAATGGATATACAGATATGGTCCGGTCTGGAGATAGAGTCAGTATATTGATTCATTCCAAAATTCAAATATGAGAGCCATAGCTGACATTTTACTAGAGAGGCACTTTTCTTCTTTGTGACTAATCTTATGATAGTCTTCGGCCTTGTAGCAATCGACAACGCAATTGCGCTACACGAGTACAAGTCCTTCACGTCCACTGATACTATTGGTGAAAAACCCTCTGTTGCCCTTCTCATTGCCCCATTCCTCCAGGGCAACGGGCAATACGATCAGAACCTACTCCAAAATCTGTCTCAGGCTGTTGAAAGTCTTCAGAATAAGAGTCAAAGCATGTACTTAGGCAGCGCGACTTTCGAAGGCCAGCTACGGATGGACCTTATTTCATTGTCAGGGTTCCAAACTACTTTAGAGGTGATGATCGCTGACGTTTGATTCTCAGATATTCATTTTGTCGCAAAGCTGACGATTTAATTGATGATGCGCCCAATTGCGAAACTGCAAAATATTGGATCAAGGAATGTGCCAAAGCCTTGGATGTGAAGTTTAATTCCACTGAAGTCAAATTTGAGGATCCAAGGGCGTATCAAAGAATGACAGAACTAATTCCAGCACCTTTGCATGTCCCATTCCATCTTCTTCCAGTATCACGTCTGCTCAGGGAACCATTTTTGAGTCTACTCGAAGGCTTCAAAACCGATCTGGAGTTCCATTCAGATGATAAATTCCCCATCGCAACGGAGAAAGATTTGGAATTGTATGCCTACCGCGTGGCTGGTACTATCGCAGAACTTCTTCTGGATAGGATTTTCCGTCAATACCCAGAGACTGTTGATGACGTCGAAAGATCAGATATAATATCGTCTGGAGAGCGCATGGGTCAAGCTCTACAATACGTGAATATTGCACGAGATATTGTCCGAGATGCCGCCATAGGCAGAGTCTATATCCCAACCTCATGGCTCTCCGACGAGGGACTGACACCTTCAATGGTAGTCAAGAACCCCAACCATACTAAAATGGCCATTCTTCGAAAACGCCTTCTCGATAAAGCAGATGCATGTTACGCAGAGACGCACATACAAATGGACAAGCTCCCCTTGCCCGTCCGAGGCCCTGTCCGAGCAACTGTGATGAGTTATATGGAGATAGGTCATGTAATCAGAGAAAATGAAGGAAAGTCTTGGAACGGGAAGCTGAAAGTTTCATTTTGGAGGAGGGTCAAGGTTGCGTGGTTGGCCATGGCATCATAGCGTCAACTGTATGACCTACGCAGACAGGCAACAGGATCCGTTGTGCCGCATGGAATACACAAACATGTCGTCCAGATTCCAGGCTTTTAGGTCTGCCTGGATTCACTAACACTTCTGGGTTCTGATTATGCCTCAGCCCTCATCGGTTATTTCACATTCTTTCCAGCATTCTTGAACCCTTTTTTTGTCAATCTTCCATTGACGTACCATGCTTGTCTTTACTTTGTTTGCTATGTTCTAGCCTTGATAATCTCTTCAACGGTTTATTACCTGATTTTCTACCTTGTATTTTCCGGGGGATTCGAAATTTCTATATTCGTATCTTTAAATTCTTTATTCCCTTACTAAAGGTTGAAAATGGTATTATCTGGTCTGTGCAAATCACCATCAATTATATATATAAACGCTTAGAAAATACGATTTCAATCAAGTTAAATTTGGATTTTCAGTCTATACGTGAAATCAAATGGCATGGTCTCTAAAAGTCCAACCTAGAAGGTCCCAAAATCCATGCTAGCGTGCGACGATATATTCGTGAAACAAGGAAACAAACATAACGGCCCAAACCACATATAACAAATAACCAAAAGCTCCGAATCCTTTCAAATATGTCTTCCTTGTGTTGATTCGTTGACAAATCTGTTGGCATACAATTTTGCTGCCCGCCAAACAAATAGGAACACCGGTACCTGGATGTGTGCTGGCGCCGACGAAGTAGAGTCCACTGATTTTGTCATGTTGAGTCTTGGGTCGAAAGCTCAAAACATTGAAGAATGAGTGGGATAGTCCCAGGATGGCGCCCTTGTTCAAATTAAATTTCTCTTTCCAGCTGAAGGGAGTTTCAATCTTCTCATTTAGGAGGGAATCACGCAGGCCTTGGGCACCGGTGCGACGTTCAATTATATCAAAAGCAGCCTCTCGGACTTCAGATATGATATCTCCCAAGTCTATGCCCAGAAATGTGTCCTCCATTAGATGTCCGACAGGGATCAGTACAACCACTGCATCCCTATTAGGTGGAGCTGCTGTGGGATCAATGCGACTGGGAACGTTGACGTAGAAAGATAACTCAAAAGGAATGCCGTGTTCTTTGAAAATGGTGTCGAAACTTTCACGATAATTGTCGGCCAGAAAGATATTATGCGTGCGGAGCTCTGGGATTATGCGGTCAAACGACCAAAAGAGGGATATACTGCTGCAGGATGTGGGCCGCCTGTTCAACGACTCAGACAAGGGAGTCTTTGGCAGAAGCTCGTTATAAGCATAGACGAGATCAGCATTCACAACGACTATGTCCGCAGATAAGACCTCGCCAGAGGTTAATAAAACACCTGTTGCTGAAAGGCCGTCTTCGGACAGCTTGATGGATGAAATTGGTGCATTGAGGCGATACTCTACACCCAAGCGCTTTCCAACGTCGGCTAACGCTCTTAGAATCTAGTAAAGTTCAGCTTGAGTCAATCAAGTAGACGGGGAAACATACCACTTGGAACCCTCCGACAGGATACCAGATTCCATCGGCAAGCTCTGAGTATTGAAGCAGTGAGTATGTCCCCGGGGCTTCAAACGGACTCATCCCGAGATACATGCTTGTGAATGTAAATGCTCTTCTCAGTTTCTCAGAGGCAAAATACTTGCTTGCCCTGCTGTAAATGCTCTCGAATGGGTGCAAAGCCAGTGTTGATAGAAGAAAGCCAGGTCGGAGCATACTATAAAGGGTGGGGAAGTTTTTATTCAGGACATGAGTGACGGATAGATGGTAATGATGACCCGATTCTTTCATAAATGACAAGAATCGCTTGAAACCCTCTTTTCCCTCATAGCGCTCGATCTCTCGTTTCATTTTGACCATGTCTGTTGACAACTCAACAGAATCTTGATCATCAAACCATATTTGATAATTTGGCTCACATTTGAGCAATTGAACGGATTCAGCTGCCAGTGATGTGCCCAGGTCTAGAAAGGTTTTCTCGAATAATTCCGGCAATAAAAGTAGGGACGGTCCTTGATCGAACCTCTAGCAAATTTAGTTAGTATTTCCTTTGACAGTTGTACATTGTATAGTAAGTCAGGACGAACATAGCCATTCTCCTGGATGAGTGAGCATCTTCCCCCGATGAAATCATTCTTTTCTATTACAGTTACTGTCATCCCTTCCTTTGCTAGACGAGCGGCGATGGCGACCCCTCCTGCGCCAGCACCTATGTAGGTCGAATGCTTGTTAGATAAAATCGGGCTGAGCATTCGGAGCATATGCTTACCAATAACAATCGCAGTTTGTCTAGCCATTGAGCTCAACTTGCTACTGTGACTCAAATTATAGTTCCAAAAGGAATCGCCTATCATATAACCAAAATACTCGTCAGTCAAGTCTCTCGATTTGTGCAAATTGGCGAGAAATGTGGCGATAAAATCGATTTTTCTTTCCACGGTGTTATAAATTCAGAATACATAAAGTTAGAGGCTACCAACTTACGGTGAGGAATGTACCACCCCACCGTTGCTCATTAGCTTTAGTGTGTCCCATTAGCACTTCAATTCTCAGTAGAATTGGCATGGGAACGCCCATCTATCAACGCCCCACTCCGTCGCATAATAGTGGAGATTTTGAATCGACCTGTAGGTGGGTACGCATCTGACTGATCGCTGGAAAGGATCCACTTCCAAGTTTATGGAACGCTTGGTTCGGTGATCTAGCTTTTTCCAATCCACATAAAACGCCACGATCGCTTTGGGTTCATTGAAACCTTACAATAAGGAGATACGAAGTTGCGGTGAAGTAAGCATGGCTCTACAGCCGACAAGTATTTCTCAAGGGCCCTAATATTTAGTCTGTAGGGTAGTCTCAGCTAAGAAAAGATTCAAACTCTGCAGGATGAATTTACTAGCAGGCATGCCTTGCATTGATGTGGGAAGAGTCTATTCAACCCTAAAAGGGCAAAGATGCGGTGAAGGGAGTGTGGCTCCACGCGTGTTTACCAGTCCTGTACCGTGTTTGTAACGACTAATGTCAGAACTTCTTCACCTCGAGTTTTCTTGGTGAACCTAGCGAACACTGGATATTATGCTGTTACATATAAGTTTCGAACGTGGGTCGATGTGCGCATCGGTTTATTTTGGGCGGAAAATCAAAACCAAATGACGCCAGGGCTCAAAACCTGAATTCGTGATAGCAATAGGCATAGACGTAACCGCCATAAGCTGATCACCATTATTATTACTGCAATATCATGTTCGGCAGGGTTGAACATTTAGTTACCTGGCTACGAGCACAGTTTAAAGCCTAGGACAATCATTCTCTTCAATTGCAATACGCATTTTGAGAAAGTTTACTTTGAAGTTCCTTCAATCTGCGGATATTAATACGACTTGCGTCTTTAGCGAGTGAAACATTAATCTGACAGTTTCGCGATATATAATCAATAAGTGGTCATTTATTCAATACAAAAACTTTCAGTTAAATAAATTTCATAGCCTAAGAGACTCCAACCACGTTTCTGATATATTGAAAGAAGCATGCACTATCGGTCGTAACATCATGACTTTCCAGACAGTCCACCCCGCTATCAAAAACTCCTAAATAAAACTTGCGGTCTCCTGATCACACCATGCCCATAGTTTTGCTGCTTTCCCTGTGCCTCCTTCAATTTCTGACCTCAATGAATCTTCAATATCTGAACGCAGATACCCGACACGTCCCCAAGGCCAGATGTACGCACCAGAGTGCTTTTCTATGGTCAGTTCAGGGGAGAGCCCTGCATAGAGCTCTGTATAAGCACCATAGCGTGTTGGCCACAATACAAGCCCTTGCAGCAAGCGCTGAATGCATCCCAAATACGGGACCATTAAATGCCGCGTCAAGTCCGTGTTGAGGTTCCCGGGATTAAAAGACTTGCCCATGTTAGCACAAAAAGCAGGATAGACGAATAATGAATAGACAGAAAAACGGTAACATACCACACTTAGTATGTTTGCAATCTTGTATCTTCTTCCATATTCATAGGCTAGTTGGTTATTGGCGGCTTTTGAAACAAAATAGTTGATGAATCTGTTATTCGATAATATCGGCGACCCAGACTCATCCATATCAACTCCTCCGTGGGGTGACAATTCCATCAAAAGTGAGCTGGCCCAGCACACTCTCACGGAGTTGAGAGGGGCGGTTTCTGCCGTCTTCTCCAATATTGGAGAGAGTAATTTTGAAAGTAGATAAGGCCCAAGGACGTTTGTGCTCATCTGAAGGTCATGCCCCTGTGATTAAGAGTTGGTAACATCAGTAAGCACTCATTCAGCCGCCCAATCAGTGATAGAAAAACCAACTTGCTCTGTTTTGACTGTTCCAGATGGAAACATGACACCAGCATTATCCCAAAGCACATCCAGTCTTGTCTCTTTAGTAAGGAAATTCTCTACTGCTCCCTTTATCGAGCGCAGGTCGGCAAGGTCCAAGGGCAACCATAAAAGACTGCCCTTGGAGTCGGGCATCGCTGCACATACGACTTCAATTGCCTCAGTAACGCGTTTCTCTGACCGGCCAGCCATATAAATATTAGCGTTCGCTCTGTACAGTATCTTAACTAGCTGTAGACCGACACCAGCATTGCCTCCTGTAATTATGAACACCTGATTACGGTAAGCTCCCGATGCAAGAGATATTTTATCGTTCGGGCTTCAGATGGCAGGCTATTACCTTTCCACTCTGATCGCAGATATTATCCTCCGTTATAGGCGGAGTTGGTATCCAGGCACTTTGACTCCAAGACTTGCCCATAATCTCTGACTCTCTTCAAATGTAGGGGAACGATTCAAAGACTCAAATGTATTGACGACTTCAAAAGCTTGGAGATAGAACACTCTTCTGCGAGTATTTCCAGGAGATAAAGTTGATATTGGGGGGAGGAGGGGGGTATTGTTTTTGGGAGATTTAAACGTGTGAAGGACGGGTTGTGGTAGGTCTTGATAGGACAAATTTGCTCCCACCGCTGAGCTACGAACATCTGTATGTATTACAATGTAATTTCAACCCCGTATAACCTAATACAAGGTCATAAAGATACGTAGCTTTACAGTCTCGTTCGGTAATATCGCTAGGCTGCGTTTGACGAGAGCCTGGGTAATTGAACACAAAAGCCACCAGTGCTAATAACCCCGCTGAGCGATATGTCATGAGACACTAGCGGTGAGTAATCTAAATTATTTCTGTGAAAGGTTGAACCAAAGCTATCCTAAGTCGTCTAGGTCATGTTCCCTCGGTGTGACATGCGCATATAAATTCAAATAATGCAACCTCACTGTGGTTCCTCGATTCTGCTCTTTACTTAGTGGTGAAGTTCAATTTGCTGTCTCTGTCGACTTTGCCTTTCCAAAGTCAAAACGGTACCATGCTGTCATTTCTGAGCCGCGCTACCACGACTCAAATTGAGCGACCGGACATTGCGGTGACGTATTGGGGACAAACATGGTTGGTCAAAATTCAATTGCATTCATAGTGTCTAACAATAAGCTAGGTTCTGGGTACTCACAGCTATATTTGCCATTACTGGGTTCTTATTCCTGGCATTGGGTGTCATGACGCGAAATAAAAACCTGCCAGTATTTTGTTATCTCTCAGCATTGGCTTGCTATACCTTGTCCATGGGTTATTGTGCCATGGCTGCTGATCTTGGCTGGGTGGCAGTAGAAGTGGAGTTTGTGCGTAATGATTCGAGAGCCATTTTGGGCAGCAATCCCACTCGCCAGGTGTTTTGGATTCGTTACGTGACATGGCAAGCTTGAACGTTCTGGAAGACTAAGTACAACGCTGACCAACAACCAGGCTCATCTCCACTCCTTTATCGATGACAGAACTTTTCCTCCTGGTGTCCGCTTCCATTGAAGTAATTTTGCTTGATGTCTTCCTCATCTTCATCGTGATGGCAACAGGCTTTTTTGGAGCGGTCATTCCGAGCACATATAAGTGGGCGTACTAGTAAGTATGGGACTCTTCTGATTTTGAGTTTTTGCTGACCTGAATCAGCTTCTACGGGGGCGTCGCATGTGCCGGTATTACCATTTTGCTTACGCACACAGGGTACCGGCTAGCCTCGCTGAAAGGGACATTAATGAAGCGGATGTACATCTTGTGCGGCATTGATATGGCTATCCTCTGGTGTGGCTATGGTATTTCCTGGGGGTTAAGTGAGGGAGGCAATGTTATTTCTCCCAACGGAGAAGGTCTCTTCTACGGAATTCTGGATCTCCTAGGAGGTCCTGTGTACGGCATCCTCCTAATAGTGACCGTTTATCGGTGCCTGTGTGGAATTGATGATTGATACCAGTCTTTGGCCTTGTAATGCACTAAAACCTTGGACGCTAGCCGACGGCTGCATAGTCACCTATCTGGCTAAGAGGCGTTGATCCACTTCCAACATTTCACCAATTTTGCCACTCTTATGAAAACTCAATGCGTAGTATCTGTACTGCTACATCATACCTCAAGCCCTGTGAGATGATGACTATCTTCGCAGAAGGATTCTTGTAATTGATCTCGTATACTTTCCTTGAAGGAGGAACGCGTTGCAGATCACGGCCTGTCATACTTTCTGTCCGCTGAATATCACCACCGCTTCTGGAAGAATACATGAAAATTGACAAGAGAGATAGATGACTTAATAGCTTGTCACGTCATGGGCCTTGCGAATAAATAAATTATACTTAAAATAGGCGGGGGACAAGCCGAAAGCAAACGGAACTCCTTCGTTACCGATTCGACCATAGTGGACACTAAAAGGCGATAAGATATGGTTGAAAATCTGTATTTCTGAAAGCCCACGAGATCTTTGCAGATTGTGGCTAGCCTTAGTCCATAAGTTGGGAATTATGATGGATAGATCAAATAGTTGTAGGACGAAGAAACCACAAACGCACCCGTATGTGTACAAGACGCTTATTTTTTTGATTAAGCTAACTTATGATGCCCTTTGCTAGGTATCTGAAAGGCAATTTCGCCCCTATACACAGCATAAAATCTGCTGCATCTTGTGATTACATCGGAGACATTCCAGAAGACCTCGTTGGCGGTCAGTACGTCCGCAACGGGGGCAATCCGGTGACAAACAATGATTTAGCACGAGATTTTCACTGGTTCGATGGAGACGGCATGCTCAGTGGTGTCTTTTTCAAGGCAGACGAGAAGTTCGGCATCCAACCTCAATACGTAAATCGATACGTCTTGACAGATGTTTTTTTGGCTGCCGAAGCATGTCCCGAACTGCGCATCCCAATATTGCCCAGCATTGCAACGTTGATCAACCCAAAGGCGACTTTGGGTTGGATTTTCTTCGTAATATGTCGAACGCTCTTTTTCATTCTGCGGTCCTGTCTCAAAAACCCTTCAAGCGCAATAACGAAGATAAGTGTAGCCAACACCAATGTCATTTATCACGATGGGCGTGTTCTAGCCACATGTGAAAGTGGACCGCCAATGAGGGTTTCTTTACCCAGCCTTGAAACGGTTGGATGGTTCAGTGGCTGGAAAGCGGAGGGCGAGCCGCTGAAATCGGCTCCTTCACCTGGGATTGGGGGACCCGGTATATGCGGCTTTTTGAAAGAATGGACTACTGCACATGTAAGCCCAGTTCTTACCTGCTATCTAAATCTCTTGACTAAATAATATAGCCCCGGAGAGATCCGCATACGCAAGAACTAATGCTTTTCCATTCGACATTCATCGCACCCTTTGTCCACTACTCGATTATTCCGACCTCGAAAATGAAGAACAGAACATCAGGGCCTGCAACTCCCATTCTGAACATGCCTGTCCCAGGAATTCAATCTCCTAAGATGATGCACGATTTTGGTGTATCTCGCACGCATACAATCATTATTGACATTCCCCTTTCGCTTGATCCAATGAATCTTCTTTACAATAAGCCAGTAGTCGCTTATGAATCTGAGGGACGTACACGCTTCGGCGTGTTTCCAAGGCGAAGTCCACATCGAGTACGGTGGTTTGAAACCAAAGCTTGCTGTATATTCCACTCGGTCAACACCTGGGATGAAGTGGATACGCTTTCGGGTGCTGTTACAGCTGTGAACATGCTTGTGTGTCGTATGACCAGTCCTGCAATGATTTTCACCGCAGGAAACATCTCCCCACCGGTACCTTGCCATGTTGGTGAAGAGGAATGTCGACTATACTATACTCAATTTGGTTTGAATCAATTTTCGAATACAATCAACCATCAGTGGGCACTTTCCGCTATACCTTTTGAATTTTCGCATGTTCCCAAACACCTCACAATGTCTGCAACCCAGTTTGTCTACGGCTGTTCTTTATCGAAAGGCACATTTACTGCGGCACTTGGACGAGCGACCAAAATTGATTGTTTAGTGAAGCTGGATGTCAGTTCTCTGATTAAGAAGGGTCTTGGACAGCCACCTGTTCCTGTGACCGGCTGTGTGGATGACCGGTCCGTTCAGGAAATCCTGGATCTGAAAGATCCAAATGATCCTATCAAAGTATTCCAGATCCCTGATGGATGGTATGCACAAGAATGTAGTTTCGTTCCTCGGAATGAAGGAACGTCAGAAGATGATGGATGGCTTTTGACCTTCGTTTTTGACGAATCCCAACTCGACGTGGAGGGAAATGCATTGGATAATGCCCGTAGTGAGCTATGGGTCATTGATGCAAAGGGAATGCAAGACTTGATCGCTCGGGTTTTGCTGCCTCAGCGAGTGCCGTATGGACTACATGGAAGCTGGTTTCCCAAGGAGGAAATCTGCAAACAGCGGCCTGTGGAGAGCTACCGGGAAAGTCTGAACTAACATCTGAGACAGTCCATGACCTCTATCGTTGAGATGAGGCTAAAGAATCACTATTTTCTAGTCCAGTAATATGCTTTGTAGCGGTATAACCTTGCAATGCATTGATGGAGCGGCCGGTACTTCATCTCAGCTGGGTCTCTTAAGAAACCAGAATTCCCCCGGGGCCTTGCCTTAGAACCTGTTTCTATATAATCGTGCGATAGATCATGCCTGGTATGACTTTGCTGTTTATTAATGCTTCTTACCGTCCGCTTAATTGTTTTCCGAACATGGAGAATATGTTATGATTCATGAAATTCTACAAATATATCACTTTATTGACGGGATCTCGGTTGTGAAACGTAAATTGTACTCTATATTTCACCAGCCTAAAATCACATCTGTCCGAATAGCCTTCATATCGCTAATACAAAAGGCAAGGACAAAAAAGGACCTTCCAAGCTGATGGAAGACTATCATCCCCTTTGATTCCATATAGCTATGAGAATTCATGCTTTCGACCTTAGTCCTCTTGAAGTCAAGGAGATGTGACCTTTCTAAGGGTACATCGACTTCTGCTCTATGAAGCTACCGTGGGGACCTAAGCCATATACTTGAGGCATCATCGCCCTGGCAACCTCCTTCATAGTTCTTCCATCAAGAGCAATGAGGATGCTCTGTGTTCCATCTCGGTTAACAATGATGGTGAGGACAATTCCGTCATCTTCCTCGACAGCCCCCGGGCGCGCGATAAACACAGGCTCACAAGGACAGCTCTCACCATCCTCAGGCTGCCAGACCTGGGTCTTGCCTGTTTGCCAATCGGCTTTGGCAATTCGGCTGAAAAATGCGCCTTGCACACATTTCAGGTTCTTGCCAAGCCGACCAACAGGAACCAACGTCCCCGGTGACGGACCGCCGTTGCCACCCGTGGCATAAACATACCGATATGATGGATTTGTTGAATACCCCTTGTTGATGCGGGGAAGCTCCATGGGGAAATTACGGAATGCTTGTGCGATTGTAGCCCTCCCTGTATGATCTTTCGACGACATTTCGCCGTCAACACCGGCCAACTCATAGCGCACTAGTGTACCTTCTTGGAATGGTCTCACAGGGTCGAGAGTATTGCTCAAAGTGTACTCCCGATATGGGCAGTAGTCACAGTCGTAGCTACACAAATCGACATGGATGTTGGTACGTCCGGTCTTGGGGCAGACGTAATCATATCCGTTCACGGAGTGGAAAAACATGAAGTTTGGGGCTGCAAATGTTCGTACACTGTTTACAGTTAGAGAAAGAGGTTGACGAGAGGGCAAAAGGAAACGAGAAGGTAATACTGACAGTTTTCCATCCTCTTTATCAAGCACGAAAAAAAGCGTTTTGGATTCTGGCTCGAACTCGAGCATGTCCATGACGGGCTTTCCCATATCACTTACATCCATATGAAGTGGCTGTGCAGGTGCTATGTCAGCTATGTACTTCAGAGATACCAAGTCAAAGAGATGAAACAAGCTCACGTTGCGAATGAAAATGACGTATTTGTCGGTGATGGCAAGAGAATGGATGTAGCAAGGCTGGCAAGGCAGAACGGTATTCCAGACCAAAGAAGCTGGTTTACTTGTATAGGATAGTGCAAACACAGACATCTTTCCCTCCTCGGATATGATATAGTTGAACGTCAACCCCCGCTTCCGATCCTTTGGCGGGTGAGCGCAAATTCGAAATCCAGATAGCTGAGGATCAATATCTGCGTAGGTCAAAAGACGCTTTGGTTCCAAGGTCTTCGAATCACAGACCTGCAAATAATTATAGTCTGTATGGACAAGAATCTGCAGATCATTTGAGTTCACAATTAGCCTAATGTCCTTTTCATAGTAGTGTTCTGGTGTGAAGCCGGTCGAAGGTTCGGTTTTGCTATTACCTCTTCTTCGTCAGGCTTAGAAGCTGTACTTCCACGCGACAGTGGATTTTCATCTTTTGGTAGATGCATTCCTCGTCGGGGCATAACTTGAATGTTGAGTTCATCTGGACCCAGGTGGCCAGGAGGCAGATAGAGTGATTGCTGAAATGGATTACAGTCAACACAGGTTTATCCATCAAAGTGCACCGCAATTTATTACCGATTCACCCAGCAATTTAGAGCATGGATCCTGCGCATCCCTTAGGGGTGTATTGGCATTAGGGCCGAACATATGGGTGCGGACAATGCCGTCACGTTTTGCATTGCGAGCAACACCATCGGTGTTAGAGCGACTGGTGTAATGAACTTGGCCATCTGCAAACCGGAATCTGTGTAGAGAGCCCAAACCATCGAAAAAGTGCTGCAGAACCGCAGCAGGCTTGGATCCATCCTCAGAAAGAGGAACGACAAATTTTGATCCACCGACACTTCACCACAATAGGACAGTTAGATTTAGAGCAAGTGAGGGGGAGTTTATTGCGAGGCTCTTACCGCACAAATTCACCAGCTAGCCACTTTGGCCAGCAACCTTTGATCGGGCACTTCAATTCTTGTGGTGTCTCTCCAGTATCCTTCATATACGGTGGAACGTATTGCAGATCTTCCTCCGTTACGAAGTAGGTATTGTAAGGGAAAGAATTCGTCATTGTGATGCTTTTTGGCTGGCTGCTGTGGTATAGTTGCAATGAATGTTCGGACTGGAACGGTAAAGGTGGGTAGAAACGTGAAAACACCGGAAATTTATATTGAGCGAGCAATGGAGTTCGAAATGACCGCTACAAACTACCAAGTTTGAAGGCGGAAGAGTGCCGAGGGAGCCGATGGCACGATTTGCGGACAGCCCCAGGTCATCGCGATCACTATGGGTTTGTTCTGCACTACGGCATGGGGGGAATCTACCCCGAACTAATTGATCTTTGCTGATTGGATGGAAGACATGCCTGGCAACGAGGATCAATGATTCTTGACTGGTGTGGGCCCTGGCCTTATCCATCGCCCGGGATGACTATCCGCCCTCTCCCCGAAGAGATTAATCAGCTTGCATCACCAGACTTAGGTTGGTGAGTGAAGGGAAAATTAGTTGAATTCTTGTTCTGAATTTCGCTGCACAGCACAACATGGGGTATAACTGGGTATTTATAGCACCTCAGATACATCATCTGGAAAGACATTTGGCCCGACCATAGTCATAGGCCACATAGGCATACTGTTGGGGATCAGGATCCTGCGCTTAAAAAGCCTTAATCGACCCCCTGTATCTCCGACGCTGCTTCCACTTTCATCATTAAATATAACAGCTACAGTGAATGTCTATGCTCGCGGGTATAGACCGGGGACATCATAAACCGGGAAGATCGGAAAAGGCAACCACGGGGAAAGTGCGGAGAGACTCGCAACGGAAAATGCAGTTTGGACCATTCTTCTCATTTAAATTATTATGACTTTGATAGCGTGGTCGCATAATGCTAATTGTTATTCAGTAATTTCATCCTGATATTTCTCTCGTAACATAACTAGGTTTTGTTCTTGTCTAGAGGAATGATGACAGTAAGATTAATGGACAGGGAATAGGTAAGCGTGATAACACTAGCTGTATCTTGAAGAGGGACGAGTAATCAGAGAAACAGGGATCTACAGCGAGGTTAAGCGCAATGCAGGAAATTTATTCAATAATCTTATTTAATGTCGTGGCCCCTAGCTGATCTGGTTTTCCTTGATGTACGCCCGCCCCTAGGCAAAGCTCTCAGTGGTTGCTGGGTGAAACATCATTCAGACCTCATGTTGGAACTGCGATAATAGTCGTCCCATAAGAACCAACCAAACGTACAGTCCGAGATTGGCTTTTGAAAGTACGTTGGACTGCTTTTCTCCCCGTGATCCCCATGATGAGATTGTGGAAATTGAAGCTCATTTTCAAGCATTCGTGACGTGGCTTCCATGTCAACTGGCAAGCAACTCAGGTAGGTCGTGAGTTCATCATCACTCATATCAATATCGACATAATCATCCCATGAATGTGTGGTCTGCTCTTCAGGCTCTGCAACCGTCTGCTGCTGGGATATGGGCACTACGTTGCGGGCTGGCTTTGTGGACTTGCAATGGCGGTTAAGAGATTGAGCCAGATGGAGGAAAACAGCCGCAGTATGTTGAAGTTTAGAGCATAAATCGGCGAGAAGCCGCATTTGGGACCTCATCTCGGCAAAGTAATCCACGGCAACAGCCAGTAAACGCAAATCGTCCTCATGTTTGAGGGATTGGCTAGAACGGTGCACTATGTTCTCGAAAATGACGAAGAAAGGGGCAAAGGGATAATAGAGAAGTTGCCTGTGTCATCTTTGCGGTTAGCAGGGTCTAAAAAAGGAAAGCTTTCTCATACCAGACAACTCCGTTATATACTGAGCCCCAATTCGATACCAAAAAGGGGAGTAAGGAAATCGCTTCACGAGCACAAGATAGGCGGAGATCTGAAGACATATCCCCCCTTAGTAATAGAGTTAGAATGTGCAAGTATTGAAATTTGGTACTGTTGATTCCCAGTTCCATTTCATGGATCTGATCTGTGTCTGCTGATACTCGCTCATTCTCCAAGGCTTGCGTCAAGATCTAGATTTATGCATTAGGTTTCCAATTTCAAGATTAGCCAAGACAGTGTAAATCTTACCATATTCGTGGTTGAGAACCACCTCTCCAATTTTGCCCGCGTTTCATCCTTGGATTGATCCGAGCTCCCCACACCCAGAGCATCTAAGACATCGCTCGTCAACTTTGCCAGCTCAATGGTATTTTGGAACATGACGGCGCCGAAAACAGAATTTTGAGAATTCCGCTGCTCACTACCGAAGTCCTTCGTGTCATGGGGGCTGAACTTCCGCATAAACTCTTTCTCCGGCAGCGGAACATGTCGGCACATGAATAATGGCAAGAAGGCAGACCGACCAAATGCCAGCGCACAAGATTTGTCCATTGTGAAAAGCATCCAAAATAAACACAGCTTGTGCTGCCATTCATCGAACGTATCCTTGCTATTCTTAGCATGCAAACCCAAAGCTTCCGCCTGGCGACATGCATGACTTAACAGCATCCATGATATGTTGGGTGCAGCGAAGTCTTCGCCGTGAACAGCGAGCAAGGCCAAAGCCTGCACATTAGCCAAAGATGGTTCGAGGAATATCTGGCTATCATTAAGTGCCAGTTGGAAATTGTTCCGGAGTTTGTCTTCATGCTCATCATGCTCTGTAGATATGGCGGCAAGTAAGACATAATTGAAGGAAACAATCCAAGCTTTTTCCCGGACCTTTTCAGGTTCGAAAACGATCTGCCTGAGAATTTCGTCCGATGGGAACCGAAAGAATGGCTCACCAACCTGAGAATAGTCCAAAAACTCTAGGGCGACGAGTCTGAAGTTAGTGGGATTACCTAACAACAATAATTGGTTAAGGGATGGGAATGAGCTCACTGCTAAGGAGGGCATATCCTACGGATTTCGAAGGAATATGAAAACTGATTGAATCCTTTTTTGATACTGGCAATTTTGCTGATGTCAGATTCGATGACATGTTGTGAATCTCTGAAATGACATCCTGTCGGGAATCTTCAACACCTTGGGGGGGTAAACGCTCAATGCCAGCAGGCGCCTCTTGAAGAAAAGAGAAGGAATGCGATGGACCGATGTATAGCTCCGGATTGGATCTGTCTGCTCCATTCACAATTGTCTGGTTGGGTGCAATCGGTAATTTGCTCAAGTCTCTTCGCGAGGGTGTTGCGGACAAGGTAAGCAAGGCCTCGTCAACGGATCTGGTCAGAGAATTGATTGTGCCCTCCAAGCGTTCGAGGCGAGTGTCAATGCTGACTTCCGTAACTTTATTAGAGGCCTCAGTCACATGAGGTCTTTTCCCATTCGCATTGACTGACGACACTTCCCGGGAATAAACGCAGCTACTTGGCCACGGCTTGCAACCACCGCATTTCGGCAACTCTCTTGAACATCTTTCAGATGATTAGCCAAATTTGATACCTGACTTCACCTCATGCAGGGGTGCAAAATACTTGAGTTTCTTCACTCGACAAAAGTCGCACTAGCACTGTTAGCTTTCGCATATTCCCGATCGTCCGCAATCCGTACTTACGGCGAAACGAGCAAAGCTGCGCCCGTGGGCTGTCTCCGAATGATTGGAGGCTTCCATAATGTTACTCAAGGACGCAGGCTTCGTGAGCAATACTATGGAGCTCTGAGTGAAGATGGCAAAGTTTATGGAATGGCTCCGGACAGGCTGAAAGATTGCGTGGTGCTGAGTGGTCGTCTCCGGAGAGTGCTCCGGATAGGTTCCACCCTGGACCAATCAGAAGGGGTGAACCCGGAGCTCGAATCATACCAATTTCCGTTGCCCATCAACAACGTCGCATACATATAAAGCCACTTGACTACAAGCACACATTCTCTCTATTATGTCCTTATTCTGTTCACTGCTCCTCTTATTCAGATACGCATGCCATGCATCCGTCACCCTCTATCGCAATCATCGGTGCCGGGCCGAGTGGCCTTCTCTTCGCACGCCTCCTTGAGGTGAATGGACTCAAGGACTATGTTCTTTACGAGTGTGATGAATCGTCCACACCGGGCCCGTGGCAGCAAGGCGGTTCTCTAGATCTCCATGGCCCGTCAGGTCAGCAGGCACTCAAGGAAGCGGGTTTATTCGATGAATTCAACACGGTCTACGCACGCTGGGATGCCTCGCGCATCCACATTGTCAAATCTTCTGGAGAGACAGTTGGGCGCTTTGGTGAGGGCCGTGACGCGCCGGAGATCGATCGCCTGCAGCTACGTCAGCTTCTACTGAGCTCTATACCCGCGCACAAGATCCAGTGGGGTCACGGTGTGCGCTCTATTGAGGGGAAGAAAACAAAGAGTCCCGATGATATGGGTAATGGTCACGTTATACATTTTGTAAACGGTATCTCGGCCACTGGGTTTAGGCTTATTGTTGGGGCTGACGGGGGTTGGAGCAAAGTCCGTTCTTTGGTAAGTCAAACAACCCAGAATCAACAAGAATTTTGATTCTAAGTTCTGGTCGCAAATTGCAGATCTCAACAGCTCAGCCAGTCTATTCCGGGAAGATGTACATCGAAGGCAAGATTTCGCACAACAACGAGAGTTACAAAGCAGCCCACGACTTGGCCGGACCGGGAATGATGATGGCGATGGGTCCAAACAAGAGCTTAGCATTGCAGCAAGTGGCTGATGGCACATACAGAATGTACTTTGGTGTCGTCGTTGCTGAAGACTTTTACGAACACCGCAATGGCAGTGCTATGGAAAAGTCCGAAGCTGTGCGACAGTTGATGCTGTCTTCCAATGAGTTCTATGCCAATTGGGCTCCACAGCTCAAATCTATCGCCGAAAATGCTGAAGGGCCATTCCGTGCCTGGAGTTTGCACTATCTGAAGCCAGAAGAAGTCGGTTGGAAACGCGATGCGGCTCCGGGTGTGACGCTAGTCGGAGATGCAGCACATCTTTCAACGCCATTTGTGGGCGAAGGGGTGAATTGCGCCATGTATGACGCTGTGCTACTGTGTAGTTGTCTTCGTGAGCTTTGTGGCAAGGATCTGGATATTGGAAGTGTCCAGCAAGCGGGCTTGGAAGAGGCCCTATCTTCGTATGAAAAGGAAATGTTTGAGCGCGGTCGGGACTTGATCCGGCGCAGCGCAGAGAGTGAAGCAGTGCTTTTCAGTGATAATGCGGTGGAGAATGTTCTTGGATTTGTTGATGGAGAACATGATGAGCTCCTATACAACGTGAAGGCCTCGGGTGGCAAATAAAGGCATCAAATCCCAATGCATTGGTGTTGATTTCAGGTTTTTATTCGTTTGTTAGCTATCTGGCTCCCCCTCTCCTAGTCAGCCCAAAAACCGAATATATGGCCGCTTCCAGCTGGCAAGTCTAGGAAGGAGGCGTCTGACCAGAACTGCAGATGTCGTTCCGGTTTTCATATGATGGCAAGCTAAAGTTATCATGAGAACTGCTAGCGTATAACAACCATTTGAAGTGTATATGAAATTACCTGGCGCTGGATGTGCTGACACGCAAATTCCGACTCTTTTTTGCTTTGTTTGTCTTTCTACTTTTATAACTCTAGCTACAAAGTGTATCTCTCTTTTGTCCCTCATTTTTCACATGTAGCGAAGCTTTGTCAGGAACAATCAATGCATGATTGACTCCGAGTCGAAAAGCCACCACCACGCGTTATGGCTGCCAAAAGCTTTGCGTAGAGTTTTCCATACCCCAAATCCAGGCCTGTTCTTGTGCAAGACCATTGTTGGGCGCAATGAGATCCGGAAAGAATGGCTCAAGGGCCATGTTAGAATCGTGACATGAGAGAACTGTGTATTACGTTAAAAAGGCTTTCCAGATGCTTCGGTTAGTCCATACCTTGGTCAAGTTCAAATAACGCCTGTGAAACAGTCGTGTCTTCCACTAAGTCCACTAAGCCCGCTTCTTGAGTAGCTTCCTCCGTCTCATCTAGTTGGTCTTTTGGCTCACATTCACCCAAATTCTGGGAATGGCCAAGTGCGGGGGCTTCCATTCCCTGAAACTGTGAGCTAACCGCATTTATGGGAGTCAAAATCTCTTTCAATTCTTTCTCCATGACTAATCGAGTCAATCGCTCTAGGATATCAAGTCCCTGTTCTGAAATGGGCGATCGTGACTTCGACTTCAAATGTGCTTGCATTTTCAAAAGCCGACGGAGGCCTATTTTAGACTGCTGAGACTCTGGGGCCAAGGGGTCAATGTTGGTCAGAACACAAAGCATAACACCGGCGGTAAATGTATGGATGCTTATAAATGCGGCAGCATACGTATCCGCCGCAAGCGAAAATATGAGGGATTCTCCAAGGTTTGAGGTATTCATAGCAGCATCTCGGCAGGCCTCTAAGGAGAGATGGGACGCCTTTCTAGATGATTCGCGAAGACTTCCTAGTTCGCGATCACTACCAGGTCGCGTTCGGTACGTGAGAAGTGGTCGATGGATGAGGATTCTTGCATTTTCATACGCTAGCGAAAGAGCCAGAGCTTGAAGCTGATAGACGTGGCTCTCGAAGCCAGGGCCAGATGCACCAATGTCACAATCCATTACTTCGACAGAAGAATATTGTGTCGGGGTAATAGGATTTAGGCGTAAAATATCTGGTAATTCGGCCTTCCACTTCTGCAATCGGTCATCCAATATGGGCACTTTGTGCAAAAGTGTTTTGAGATCGAGTGAGCCTGGGCGTCGTTTGCTGCTCCCTGATTGATGCGATCCGACTCCGTATAAATCGTTCAAGACATCCTTGAGCAGAACAGACAATTTTGACATCAGATATTTATAAGACAAGAGACTGGCTGGGCACTGGTGTAATTCATCATAAATGGCCGGTGACTGACCAGGAGACGTCATCAGCGGATCTAGGAGCTCCACATTGCAATCTGTATCAACGATGCCATGGGGGTATCCGTATGAGATAGAACAGAAGGTTTCGATCTCATAAATAGCCCACCAACAGCGTTTGCGCGTTTCAATAGTTCGCTGCATTTCAGCAGACGTTGGTTGATTGATGGGTAACTTGCGGTGTAAATTCATTGCTTGTGCAACACGTAGTCCACATCCACAGACTGGCCATGCTAAATTTGGGCTGCCGTGGTATAGGTAATATGTGCCTAATAGAACACAAGTCTGAACAGCCTCTAGCGAGCCAATTGAAACGATGTCTAACAATCTGGACCGAACGGTGGAAAGGATTCTCTCTTTCAAAAAAATAGGATCCACATCTTTCCTTTCCAATATCTGAGATCTGTACTTTCCAGTGTACTGCAAGGCAATGGCGATAACCAATAGGAAGGTACTGATGAGACCGAGATTAGGCGTAGCTTCAAAATTACCATCAGCTGATGCGTCGTATAATGTCTGCCATCTCTGCCTGAAATCATCTTGATGGAATATGAGCATGAACCAATGTACGCGATCGAAGTATGTGTCGATCAGCAATGCCGCTACTTCTCGCGATGGGAGGAGGGAAAGTAAGTCTGTTGAGGCCGACCTTAGTTCCTGTAAGAGCAAATTCGACGAATATGGCCTCTTTAACCTGGATCCAGCGTTGGGGCTACTACTAGTCATGGGATTTACCAATCCTGGCGGTTTTTGGCCTCCCGGAATGGCTGTAGCTATTGAGGTGTCTATTGTGGTAGATCGATCGAGTTCAAAGGCCTGCACAGCGTGAGAATGCGGGTTTTAGAATTTTAATCTTGCACTTACTCCTGCTACCAGCGACATTGTTGAGCTAGACCAGGGCTGGTCAGTGAGATTGCTATCAATCTCAAGCTCTTCCTCTTCCTCTGTAGTATCCTGTTGGCAATTTCGCCTACTTCGCGTACGAGTAACAGGTATCTGGAAGGGTCTGAATCGATCCACTTGACCTGTTTGGCACTCAACACCCGCGTGAACGCAGAGAGTGCACGGGCGTTGGACATCACACTTAAGTCGCAATTAGACCGTAGCGGGTGGCAATTTGGATGATAAATTAAGGGACTAACCCTAAGCTTTTGACGTCGACATCGCTGGCACGCACTGCCTACTTTTGTTCGTTTGCTCCGTAAAGCCATACTGACATTGAGCTTGAGACTGTGCAGGTGAGCAAGACAGGTGAAATACAGAAGACCGAGTTTTAAGGGGCTCTGATGATGGCGCTGGTGGGCACCGAAACGCCCCGACAGGGAAAAGGATAGTATGGATACTGACAATTGGAGTGATGTAAAGATCTCGGCAAAATGTCACCGCCAGCTCGTTAGGTCATCAGGTGCTCCCGGGCCGATATCATGTCGTGCCGCCTGCTACACAATATTCTCGGTTGCAAAACTTGTTAGATTATCGATATTCTGGTAAGAAGATCCGAGCTACGTTATCCGATTGTCGGTGCCATTTTTAAATTAGTCGAACAATTTGGCGGAACACTCGTAAGGCCAAATGGCAATATATCTTCATTGATTCATTTCAGGGTAAGAATTGGAGATTCCGGATCATAAACACTGGGATAAATATTGCTACCTTGTAACGACCACTGAATAATAACGATTATGGCGTTGAATCTTTTGCTAGTATAATGCTAGATGCGAATCATATGGATCTTGCTTTAGTATCCGCCTGTCTTTTCGGCCATGGGTCTAAATGTCACAGTCACGGGTTCACTGCCGATACCCCTCTTTTTGGCGTCATCCAAAATCGCGACGGTTGCTGTCGCTCCGATGCGAGTGACGCCAATGCTCATGACATGTAGCAAATCATCAAGCGTGCGAACACCACCCGCGGCTTTGATCTGAACCTCGGGGCCGGAGTTCTCCCGCATCAGCTTGATGTCGTCTATGGTTGCACCGACATAGTTATAGGAGCCATCGCTTTGCTTGACAAACCCATACCCGGTTGATGTCTTGACAAACGCAACCTTGAGCTTGGTGCAGATTCTGCAAAGCTGAATAATATGCTCAGATTGGAGGTAGTCATTTTCGAAAATAACTTTGAGAATAGCATCATGGCTCACTACAGCTTTATTAATGGCATCGATTTCTTGGGTCACATAGTCCCAATCGCCGCCAAGAACCTTGCCAACATTGACCACCATATCAATTTCAGTGCCGCCTGCCTCGGCAGCAGCGATAGCCTCGGTCACTTTGACGTTGGTCGTGCTGTTTCCGTGGGGAAATCCGATGACAGGGCACACCCGAACATCAGTTCCGGCGAGCTCTCGCTTCGCAAGAGGAACGTGATATGGCTTGACGCAGGCGGTTGCCACATTGTTGTCTCTGGCAATCTCGAGGCCGGCCAGGACATCATTGTCGGTCATTGTGGGATGGAGAAGGGAGTGATCAATCATCTTGGCAATCTGAGTAAGATTGACGGTGACAGTATTCTCAGACATGATTCCGGTTTCTTGTTGAGCGAATGGATGTTTGGTGGTTGAGGCCGGGACTAAAGTGATCAATTGGTTTTAATTAAGAGAGTCTTCTGATTTTTGAAATTGGATATAAGAAAATAAAATTTCCAGAATAATGGTGGGTTTATATAGTTCCCTTCGTCTTTTCGGATCGACTTTCCTTAAAGTATCTTGGGATTCCGGTGGAATGACTGCCTATTCTAGAAGTGGGTCCCAGCGTGATGATGCGTGCTTGAATGACTAATATAGGATAAAGACTTCTTCCGATCACCGTGGCTTTGTTATTACGTGATAGGGACTCCGCTCGCCGGACATGCATCGAATGAAGACACCCACATTGGGTGCTCATCACTCAAGGGAATGGTGCTCAATTTACGCCATAAATTGTCAATTCACGAAAGTCTACTTTGAATGTGTTTGTACGACCAGAGGCATCATGTTAAGATGGTTAGTGTTACAAATCTACAATTTACGCAACCCTGAACATCCGAACGTATGTATCGGATTCCCTTTAACTGTTCGTCGTTTCCTTTCCAGATTAGTGCTCACCCCCTCGCCGCTTTTACTGAGTAGATCCGAGCACGGCCTTAGTCGCAGTGATCAGATCAGTAAATCAGCAAGTTGTTGTATTTTCGCTCTCAAAAGCACGCGATAATTTGGCGCTGAACGCTTGGTGCGCCGATGATTTTCAGCACCGGATGCACTCGCTCTGAGTATCTCTGCCATAGAAGTAATATTGTGGCTGAAGAGGAATGAAAAAACGCGCATGATGCACATAAGGGTCTCGAGATAGTAAGTCTTGATATAGGCCTTGAAGTCGCCTTCCTGTACTAGCCCGAAGATCGAGCACATAGCTTGTTATGGAATGGTTGGAGTTATCACTATTTGAATATAGTGGCTATGATCGCACAGTATAAGCAAGGAAGGGCTTTGTCTTATTACTCTTTCGGCGATGGCACTCAAGGCAGGATTTACCAGAAATTGAAAGACAAGGCACATCAGATTGTATTTTCCTCTGCATATTGCAGGTATCGTGGCGTGTATCATGGTCGACCATCATCATTCCAATCAGAAATCGAACCCGGCATTTCTAAGCAATCAGTCAAGGTTGCGACTACCTGAGCAAGGCTTATCCGACGGTGGGCAACGAAGAGCAACCTGATTGCTTTACTTGACATTCACCGATTGGCTACAGCGGGAAACGGTCAGTATATCCGCTTTCACCAATCATATCACCAAGAATCCACCGCAAGCAAGCGTTACCTCTAACTACCGTGGGAAGACAACGATGATGCTGCCAGTCGAATGTATAAATATGACTTTGTCTTCAATCCTACCTATGTGGAATATCAATAAGAAATCTTGAAGCCAGAGAACCAAATCACCAGAGACAAGCCTGACTGCCAAATAAACATTCACAATGGCAACTATCCTGAAGAACGTCGCAATCGTCGGTGTAAGAACGGCTTGACAATTATCTAACAATTCGGTCTTCGGTATAAGCTGATATATCTTAAGGCTAGCGGAAACATTGGCAAAATCATATTTGACAGTCTGGTTGCTTCGAACAAATTTACCATAACGGTCATTTCCCGCAAGACCAGTGAGGCTATCTTCCCCCCAGGAGTCACGGTTCTGAAGACAGACTTCTCAGATAGCGCTCTGAGGGATGTCTTACAGGGACAAGATGCCGTGATCTCGGCAGTGGGAGCCACCGGTTTCAATGAACAGAAAGCGCTCGTGGATGCAGCCATCCACGCTGGAGTCAAACGTTTCATCCCCTCGGAATTTTCAGCCGATAGCCAGAGTGAGGCCGTGCTACAGTTGCTGCCATTATTTGGGCAGAAGAATGACCTGATCAAGTATCTGAAAGAAAAGGAAGTCTCAGGTTTGACTTGGACTGGCATTGCCACCTCTGGATTGTTCGATTGGGTAAATGATATAATATCTTGCAGAGCTGGTGTCCGATTTCTAACTCTTATTTTACCACCAGGGGCTTCGTAATGGCTTCTTGGAATTCGACCTTTCCAATCACACTGCTACGATCTGGGATGGCGGTCACAAAAAGTTCACTTTGACCAACGCAAACCAGCTAGGCCAGTCGGTGGTATCTGTACTCGAACATCCACAGGAGACTAGCAACATGTATCTGTATGTCGCGTCTGTGGAGACCACCCAGAGGGATATTGTCGCCGCTCTGGAGAAGGTGACTGGGGTTAAATGGACGACTGAAGATACCACCACGGATGAGCAGGTTAGTGCGGCTGTCAAGAAGCTCACAGCTGGTGATTTCAGCGGCGCTTTTGCACTGGTCCGGGCCACCTGTTTCGGTAACACGCCTGGTCTTCATTCAAGCTATCTGCAGGACGAATATTTTGCAAATGAATTGCTGGGTCTAGAGATGGACAATGTTGAGAATACCATCAATCGGCTGTAACATAGGCTCTTGATTCTCCGACATGACCTGCGTTCATGGTATGGGGCACTGTGGTGGCAAGAGCAAACTATACTAGGTTACACAAATCAAGTTGCTTTATTAAATTGTTTCTCTTTCACTTAACTCTTAAGTCCCACAAATTCGACAAGAATCAATATAATGACTATGTCCGAATAATAACGTTCTAAAAGTACGAATCGGCAGGATTATGCATCTGAAATAGGAATAGTCAACTTTCTTTATGCAAACGAGGGCTGATGATGGCGGAGGGCGGAGGGCGGAGGTGTCCCTTTAAATTTTTCTCATTATGTTACGTTGATAGGAACGAAGGCACGAAGCCAGAAAATGGGTGATAAGAAGCATGACATAAAGAGAGGTCAGAAGGACCGAAACTATGGGCTATGTAGCTATGGATCGGTCACGTGTTGGCTTGGAACCGGGATGGGCACGTAACACACGAGGTCTAAAGCCAGACATTAAAGAGACCTTAGATTACGTGGTTCTGGTTGCCCGAGAAGCCTGGTTAGAGCTTGCCTTTTTTACGCCTATGAATTAATCTTTAACCATGCCTCACCAGACACAGCAGATTGTAGATAAAGACGACTGGTATTTAAGCTAATAAACAGCGGCAGATACGATGTTTTGAACTGGCAGATAAAAGCGGCAGAAATACGTAAAAATGGTCCAAAGAGCGGGGGGTTACAAACCACATGCAGCATGCGGACTTTCTCGGCCGCTTGTCCGCCGTAGCCAATTAGCAAGCTAACTCCTTGGTGATATGACTGGAAGCTTACTGTATTTATCTTACGCTAAGATTATTCTATAACGCCATCCGAGGTTCACGGTACTTACTAAGCTCAACTCTTCTCCATTATACATGCGGACCCTTCCCTCCAATTGTCCGATTCGACCAACCAGGGCACACTGTCTTCCAATAACTCATGACTCAATTGATAATCATCTTTTCAGTCACCCGATACTGTTCGATTATCAATAGATTGGCTGATATCACTGCGACAGAGATTGAGTGTTTGTGAAAGATAACGAGTCATGTTAACGACCAACGCGGTTGCAACGAAATCTTGCCTCGAATGTCGTCGGCGGAAAATCAGGTGTGACAAGTGTATTCCTTGCTCGTATTGTGTGAAGGTCAAGATCAAATGCCGCTACCCAACACCAAAGTCAGCTTCAGAGAAAGGCGAAAGCTCGAATTTAGGCAACGAAATCCAAAGTGCTCGCATTGATAGTATTGAGAACACCTTGCAAACCCTCGAGCGTAGGATCTCTCAAATCTCCGAAATTCTGCAACAGACCCACGCAACCTCAAGCTCTGGCCAATTTGATACCCATAGGCTCGAAGCACGTCATCCGAGAGACCAAATTTTATCGGCGGGGAGAACAATTAGTAGTGTATGTTCATCAGTTCAACGTGACTTCAGTCTTATGGTTCTGATTTGGCATTAGGGGTCAACGGGCTTAGCGTCACACAGGCTAAGCGCGTCTTATAATTTCCAAGACGATCCAGGCAATCGATGTCCGAGATTTAGTCGAACGGATTCACCATCCACAGTCTCTCCAACGGGATCCCTAGAGTCTCTCCACCCGCCTCCAACAACTATCTTCTTTATGTGGCAAACTTATCTCGAGAGAGTTGATCCTGTATTGAAATTGATCCATACACAGACCGTGCAACAAGATATTATGAATTTTATGCGGGGCAAATTCCGTCTCGATTTGGCTCGTCATATTTCAATGTTTGCGATATACTACACCTCTGTGATTACAATGTCAGATAAGGAATGCTGGGAAGAGTTTCACAAGCCCAAGGGGGCAGCTTTGAAAGGGTAATGTTTAGAAGTCCTTGCGTGATGTGTTTCACTCATAAAACAATAGATTCCGCGATGAGTTGGAAAACTCTTTGGAACAGTCTGGCTTTCTTAACACATCGGACATGACTGTTATACAATCTTTTGTCTTATACACTGTAGGTCTTCCTTACCATATCACTGCCGAAGAAAACCTCACCATTGCTGTGTCAGGTATGTGGCAGATTCGACAAGCGAGGACCGGATACCAATCGCTTGAAAGATCTCGCGGTCAGGCTGGCTTTCCAAAACAATCTACATCGGGATGGCCTGGAGTTCGATATGCCCCCTTTCGAAGTCGAGATCCGACGTCGGCTATGGTGGCAGATCTGTGTCCTGGATGTGCGGACTGCCGAAGACAATGGCTCGGATCCACGAATCCTTACTACATCTTTCACCACGCGATTTCCTTCTAATTTCAACGATGCAAGTCTCCACCCTGGTATGAGCGAGATGCCTCAAGCATATTCAGGGAGAACAGAAATGTCATTTTCTCTGGTGAGATTTGAAGGGAGTCATTTTGCACGACGCGTAGTTTTCTCCGATAAATATTGTCAAGAGAATGCCTACGATGTCTTATCAGGTCCTGAGAGATGTGTGGCCATCAACAACTTCGGAGACCGAATAGAGGAAGAATATCTATCCCATCTAGACAAGAGCGTTCCTTTGGACTTTATCACCGCAGCGTCCATTCGTCTCATACTCGTCAAGCTCAAACTCGCAGTGAACAAACCCCAAACGAAGCAAAGTCAACACCTTGTCATGCAACAGAGTTTCCGAAAGACTTGTGTCAACATTTTGCAACGTGCTCGCTTGCTGCGTCATTATGAAAAGGGGAAACAATGGCTTTGGCTTTTCCAGACATACCTCGAGTGGGATGCCCTGTCATATCTGTTCATCAATATGTCTCTAGTACCGTCAGGGGATGACGTCGAATTAGCATGGGGTGCTGCTGATGACATCTATGATTATTGGAAGAACCACAGCGATACGTGTCTCAACTATCGCTGGAAAAATATCGAAGACCTACGTTCCCGGGCTTTATACGCCAGAGGCTTGGTGCAGAGGGAGCCCAGTGTCTTTACAATGTCACCCGTGGGTAGCTGTGATCCCAATCACTGTGATATGAACACCCAAGTCCAAAGCGCACCCGTTAGTCAAGCAGAAGTCGTTTCAACTGCATTGCAAGGCGAAGGTATTACGGAGAGCCTGACCATACCCAGTGCGGGAACAGGTTGCCAGTGGAGTGCACAAATCTTTGAGAAATACTTCGAAGTGTTAGACTCAGAGCATAACCTGCATAGGTCATGGCTCTAGAAAACACAATATTGGTGAGAGTTTTGAATGTACTTTGGAAAGGTCTCATCACTGAATTCTACATTCATCATGTTGTCTAAAACTCCATTGCAAGGCAGGAGCAAACACTCATGGATCTTCCTCAAGCTCAAAGATTTTGCCAGAGTTTGAAAGCCAGTGTGGATCGAGAGAGCGCTTGGGACTTCCCATGACGAGTGCTCAACCTAACAATTTCTGTCAGTGAAGCCACTTCACTTCTTGTACTAAATACTTGCCCATACAGTGCAGGAGCTCTGTATCTCAAGCGCACGATTCACCATGATCGACCAGCCCTATAGGCTAATAAATGGCCCTTCACGTATTGTTCCTGGTGTTAAAGACATTTGAAACCTTTGTTCCTGTCTTTCTCTGGTTCCCCATAGCCCCAAACCTTTAAGCCCTGACTGACATCCGCATTGCGGTAGGCCGATAAGACATCGGATAAATATTCAAACTCAAACTTGACGTCGTAGGACAGGGTGCGGGAGACTTCTCTCTCTTTACTTGCTTTTCATTTCTAGAAAGCGACTGGGTAGTCAAAAAAGGACCTCTGAGTAATCAATAGTGTGGGGTGTCAGCGAGCAGACGATCATGATCAGCGAGTGCTCACTGGTTAAGTTAAGGGTGGCCGATCTATTACGTGATATCAATGAGCTGCTCAGTGCGCCTGAGCCCAGACTGAAATTTACTCAGCGAGCCTGAGTCTGAGCGCCTTCATAACAGCGGCGGCAACCAGAATAGGAAATCCCCTCCGTCAAAGACAGTACGGTACGTATAGTCGCATATATAATCTACACCCAACTAAATGCCGGGTTTCGGCATTCAACTCCTTGCCAAACCTCTCAGTAAAACGGAGTAAGCTTATCAAAACTTTCAAATGTCATTAATAAGCATGTAGCCCGACTCAGCAGGGACAAATCCGTGGCGCTAATATTGGATGCCAAGACCCCTTGACTTCCCTCAATGATCATTATCCTGAAACAATGAAGATGAAATATTATGAAGACCAATTTCCTAAAAGGGCGAGCCATATTTAGTAAGTTTCATACACCTTCTACATAGTTGAATCGCAACATTGCTTCTTACCAATAATTGTTTCCCCGCCCCCAAGTTTTGTGCCACGGGTCCCTGCGGTAATTCCCCTGCGGTAATTCCGCGACCATTAACCTTAAACGGACTAACCAATGCAACCCTGGAAAGCGTCAAACACGCATAGTATGAACAATGTAGTATTAGAATTCTCAAAAGTCACGAGATTAGTCTAAGCTGGAGATTTTTATTCCCACTGCGCACTAGAATGTGTGCTGACCTGCTGACAATCTCCATTATGTGGAAATTTAATATGTATGATCATCCACAGGGAGAAACTGCCGATACTGATCGGTTGATCGCCCCCTGGAGTTTATTTCCAGGATAATTATTTCAGCTTAGTATAATGGAATGCAAGGCGAGCATTCGTCTTACAACATAATCACCTATTGCAGTATACTACTCGTTGCATGACTAGAGGATTCAACGCCATATGCGGAGAATGAAAGAACCCTTCGTATATGCAGGAGGTGGCACATTTGCTTATCCACCACCAAATACAACATTAGAAGCCTAATGAGCATCCACAGTGAGACAATTGGAGGATGCCGAGGTCGATGTGACCAGTTGGAAGTTTCTCCGGAGCAGCATTGTTTTCCCGTGTGGTGCAAACTATGAACAGGTCGTTTCAATAAGAGCTCAGAAAATATAAAATGCCCATCTCTGCCCGGCAATACTGAGAGGCAAGGGCAAGCTTCAGACTTTCAGAAGAGTCCATCCATTTCCACAACACATCATTTGGCAAAGCCTGAGATCTTGATTGATTTTCATTCTCCATCGAGGTTACCTTCATGATGATGAACAAGTCAATCTACACGATGGGCCTCCTGGCTCTGAGCCTTTGCGCCCAGGCGACCCAAACCTTCAGCAACACAGGAACAACCTCCGGCTGGGACTCCACCAATAAAGAACACGAGGGCACCGTCCAACAAGTCACCAACGTTGTCTACAAAGGCACGACAGCCTTGAAGATGACCCAGATCTACGATTCGAGCTATACGGGACGATACCACTCGGAGGTAGTGAAAAACAACGTGTACAAGCGCGGCGACACCGGCTTCTACGGATTTACCTTCCGCCTCCAAGACGACTGGCAATTCTCCCCCGCTCAGTCATACAATATCGCTCAATTCATCGCCGACTTCTCTGACACGGGTTGCGACGACTACATGCCCTCCAGCATGATCTGGCTCGTCGGAAACCAGCTGTACTCCCGTGTCAAGCAGGGAACGATTTGTGCACAGAAGATCCAGACCTTCTCCAACATCGTTACCGTCTCCCCGGGTGCCTGGCACAGAGTCGAGATCCAAGCGAGCTGGAAGACCGACGGGACTGGATTCTATAAGATCTGGTTCGACGGGACGAAAGTCTTGGAGGAGTATAATATCAATACGACGATTGAGGATGATCGGGAGTTCCAGTTCCGGGTTGGCTTGTATGCTAATGGATGGCATGATGATGATCAGATGAAGGGGACTCAGGGGACGCGGCAGGTATGGTATGACCAGATCGCTACCGGGACAACTTTTGCGGATGCCGATCCCAGTCAGTGGTGAAATCAACAGAGCAGGGGTTCAGCTTTGGGGGCGATTGATTGCGCGATCGTTCGTAGGTCAGATCCGAGTATCGGCTTTCTGGTCCGTGGTATGAAGCTGAAGGATCGCGCTGTGGGACTGGGGAATGCGACTCGTCCTATTGCCCATATCTGTTCCAGGCTCTGTATGTCATTTCGGCAAATGCTGTTGATTCGATCTAGTCAGGGAGCGATGGGGATGGTGTAAACAGTCTATGCGAGAGAGAAGAATAGATTTCGATAAAGAAAGCATTATACCAAGCTTCGCCCCCTCCATTGAACATTTAGAACTCAAACCCTGAAGCACTTTTCTAGAAGCATAAATGGCGCCTTGAAAGTTTTAATCCTTCTCCGCCTGGGCAAGGGGCTACGTCGCTCGACCAACTCTTACTGGCCAAGTATCAAAGCCCCCGCAATCCTTGGAGCCAGATCAACTTGGATCCAATCAGACACATCCTGATAAATCTCTCACGGTCAATTACTTTGTGGGCTCATCTTGAAGACACATTGTTTAAACGAGTAACAAGATGAGTGACGAACAAAGGCATAAGTAGGGGTTCTAGCTACTTTAAAGGAGTTTGCCATCTCATTCAAACCAAAACAACCAACTTTAAGATAAAAGAAATGTTATAATATCACATCAATGTTTAGTGGCATCGCTCTTGCTGCTCTTTTCGTGTTCGTTGCTATTGCTGGCGCTGTTCCTGTTGCCGAAAAAAGATGCATTGCCAGCATGTTTTATTTTGAGTCATCTCTGCAATTTGGATTCCTATTTTTGTTATTGACTTATGATACGAAGAAAAGCGGATGATGCTTGTACTGAGATCTCAAATGCCGCAGCGGTGCATGTGGTACTGGCCAGTACAAGATCCTTGGCAAGTGCGATTAAACATCTCCGTCCATCAAGTGTATGTCAAGGGTTATTACTAGGTATACTCCAAAGCAAGTATTAAAGAGATGATTTACAATATGCCTACGGATGGCTCATAGTTGAGAATAAAGGGGTTTCGGCTGTGAAAGCGCTCACTCCTTGGGTGGAGCATTGGGGATTACTAGGTCACATGAATCAAGGGTTTTGTGTGATGACAATAATAGGTATATGTTTCGGTTCCTTTATTGAGTTTTGCCTTCCATTTTCATACCGAGTCCAGGTATTTAGTACATATAACAACAGCTATTCAGGAACATATCAACTTAGGATACGTAAATGGCATTAATCATATCTGCATGAATTCAAAAGAACATGAAAGTGGCCGCAAATATCGCTGCGACCAATGCGATCAAACTTTGCGCACCACCTGATCCCATCGGTGTCAATGCAATCCCGGCCCCAGTGTGATTTGCCGAGCCATTGACCGAGGTGGGAGTAGCTCCCAATCCATATGGAAGTCCCTGATAACCGAAGGTCAAGTTCTGCGCAATGGAGGTATTGTAGCACTCTCCATTCGCAACGTCCAAGTTGGTCAGGTCATCGGGGTTCAAGAAGAACATATAGTTTGACTGGTTCAAGCTTTTGAAGCCGGATGTGTCATATGGGAACTTGTCGCCCGAGTCAGTGGCGGAGGTATTGCGGAGCCAGATGCATTGGACTTGTCCAGGGAACTCGGTGGCCATTTCTGGGTAGTCCTTCATGACATCGCTGTTGCTCGTGTCTGCAATCAGAATGAACTTGCGCTCCGGGAAGGTTTCGAAAACCTTTTGTAGTAGGAACTTGCGGATCGACAGGGTAGCGGAGACGTCGCTGAAGTTCAATGGGCGAGTGTCGAAAGAACCTCCCGGGTAGTTGGTGTAGATGAACTGCATATAGTTTCTGGTAATCTGCTCGGGGGTGGTAGTCTTGAAACATTGTTAGCATGCTGATTTAAAGAGGGAGGGTAGGGACCAACCAAGTAGTGGAAGTGCATGTTGGGGACACTGATGGACCAGTTGCGGTAAATGTCTGGCATGTTCTCCCAGGCAGTGAATGGACGGGCAAATGAATTGAGCAATCCTTGCTCAGGTTCATAGATCTTTGTGACACGAAGAATATCATCAATATCAGAGACGATGGTGATTCCAGTCGGAGGCACCAGGTAGGCGGTACTGTTGCCGATAGTTGCACCGCCAACGTAGGTGTTAAGCCTTTGGATTTCCGAGGTCTCATTTCCGGCAGTGAGGCCATTGCTATCAATTGGCATAAAGACGTCGAAATCACCTTCGACCGTGGTATTGTACGGCAGAGTGATGTCTTGTGTGCCACCCGTTGTGTTCGATGACCCACCACCACCAGGTTGTCCACTGGATCCCTGGCTCGGGGCAGGCTCTAGGTGAATCGTGTTCACGGCCACTTCAGGTTGCTGAACAACAAAGATCTCGGCAGTCAGGTTCCGTGCCTGGTCCTGCTGGGATTCAGGAAGATCCGAGATGCTTGTGTTGACGAGGAAGACGTCGGCTAACTTGTTCAAGTCTGAGACGGAGGTGTTTGGCTGCTTGTAAACATTTCCGTGGAAGCGAACGTTCCAGCCTGAGTTGGTCCAATTCGCATAAGGGTCAATGTTAAGCACATTGGTCGGCAATGCTGCCAAGTCTGTGCTGTCCAGGCCGAGTGAACTGGCAACTGCATCTCCAGTTGGGAATCCCTGGAAGAATTCGGGCACGCCTGATGCAACCCACGAAGGAAGATCTGTCCCAAGCCCCGAAAGCACGGTGTCGATATAGGAGTCAACGTCGTCTAGAAGGCCTCTGCCGACGATCGGAGAAGGTTGACGCGCGACTGGGGTGGCTGTGATGACCGGGTCTTGCGGGGCGACGGCATTCTTGTTGGGGTACGGAGTCGGTGCGGGGGATGCGGAGGTGATGGAGAAGAGGCAGGCCTGCAGAATGGCCTGGAGCGCAATTGTCGACTCCTTCATGATTGCGAGTAGAAACACAAAAGTGGGGGGTCCGTACCAATCACACGTCTCAGATCAAAGGTCGCGCTGATGCCAAGTAAAGCACACAAAGACAGGATATTTCTTCGGTAGCGATTGAGACCTGTTGAGATATTTAAAGAAGGTACAAAGCTCGAGACCACTATTTCCCCAGCAGTGCTTCTTATTAATAGTGGAAATTAGATTAACTGACCAGGCACAAATGTATAAAACATGGAAACAGGGACGAGCGACGTCACTGGCGCCGAAAGTGGGGCAGGAATTTCCACCAACAACCAGATTGACGAATTACAACCCAGGAAATCATGCACGGCTATTATTGTGAGACCCTTAGGGTCTAGGGGTCCTGAGATTAAAACTACGTCATTACGCCCATCGTAACCATTGTAGCATACGAGGAATGAATTGTCTATTCAAATATCACATCGCGATGGTGGACTGTAGTGATTTGGGAAATTCGAATATTGTATTTGCAGTAAAGTGTGTCGAATTTCCTCTGGTTGCGGCTTTTCATGCTGATACGAGCAATGCTGATACGAGCAAGCAATGACCAAATAGTAAAAATCAAGGCCATGGAATCTAGAAGGCTTGTTCATGCGCTATAAATAACTGACTGAATGGAACTGGTATTATGTAATGCGGCTCTGACCACTTACAGATAACGCGGGGCCGAGTAGATACGTAGTGGTTGATGAACGTCGGCTCCTCCCATGATTAATGAGAAGATACGTGTAAGTTTGGTTTGCATAGGAGTTTGTACTGGGCAACTCTGGTATTTTAGCATCAACAGTGGCAGATGCTAATTTGATATGATTCTACGACAGTCACGTGATTAGGTAAGATGTGGAAGTATAAACATGAGATTGATTCAACTCCTCAGTGGGAATGGAAATTCGACAAAAGCAATGACAAGAAAGAAGGAACAACATCAAACGGTGAATCAAAATAGCATTAAGGGAAAAAACAATACCAAGAGGGAAAAACAATACCAAGAGGGAAAAACAATACCAAGATGGGGGAAGAAACACTTTTGCTATTGTTCTCCCAATTGGGAACCTAGATAGTAGTGAATGTGATCCCACAATGAGTCACTCCGTGTAGCAAACAGTGAATGCTCTGATCCTGCACTCTGGTTGGTCGATTCTGAATTAAGCGAGTGATTCTGGGGTGGTGATCTGTGGAGCCCATGATTCACGTCCCCCAGGCCTGCCTAAAAATACCCCCCTCTTCTTCTTCCTCTTCTCTTCTTCTTCCTTCTTCCCCTCCACAGAACTCAATATCTTCTCTTCTTTCCGTCCCCACAATGGCTTCCTTTCTTTAATTCCATCCGCCATCTCCCTATTTACCTAACGCGTCTTTCCAGTTTTGCCAAAACATTTTTCGCCGTTGTATGTTTTCATGTTCTTCAGGTACGTCACCTAGGTAGTTACGGCTTGCTGTTTCTATCTGTTCGTTCGGCGTCTTCTCGTCAAAAGCGCCTCCACTATTTTCTCCATGTGGACCCGCGTGCCTGGAAGACCCCACATCAGAAGTGCATGTGGTACCCCTGGTCGTATATGCAAGTCAACAAGGGTGCTATTCGCGGGCCTTGCCGGCTGAAGCGTTGACCATGCCGAGGTTCTTGCTGGGTTTAGTAGGTCTCGCCGGAAGTTCCTGGTGGGAATTAGTACGCTCGCCGAAAGTTCCCAATGACGTTCAGACAGAGCATCATGCAAAGTACTCTCTTTCCCCCTGCACCGCAATCTGGAAGTTCCCGAGTGCATACGGGCTTTCTGTCGTTGACTTACACTCTCTCAATGACGCGTGAAAGTCGGTGGGTATTGAGCCTGCGACCTGGTCGATGCTTTGTCGTCTGCCTGTGATTGCCCCGTGTTCTGCCTGACCTCCCGTACAACTGACGGAGAACAGAAAAACAGCCTCACACTATCGTCTACACCGCAGTCTGAGGCCGGTCAATGGTCTCGTCTGTAAAGACGGAGGTGCCTGGGACAGCGTGTTAACACCGTGGTTCGTCTTTCCACCCCTGAGCAGTCACGATTTGTGAGTATGTATTTACAGCTCCTGGGACTTGTGCAACCTCTCACTCGGTGAGTCGCCAATGCGTCATGAATGGCGGGTCCGCACTTCTGCACGGTTGATGTTAACACAGTGGGCTTTCGGGTTGTCGCAATCTGGCTTCTCTCTAATATCTCTCTGGTGTTTGTGTTCTTGAGGTGTGTGCACGGGGCCTTGTGCCTGATTGTTTCTTTGCTTGGAGAAGTACTCCACACTACAGGCCTGCTCTTCGTCAAACTCGTTGGCTCGCTATGGCTCTGGGGGATCCAAAGCACGTTCTTTGTACGTTCTGATTTATTCAGACTCGGACTCGGTCCGGTCTTCACTCTGAATATTTTGAGGGATCTGTTGATTCCAAGTCATGTTCTTTGTATCTTTTGTTCACTCGGACTCGGTCCGGCTTTTACTCTGAATACTGTGAGGGATCTGTGGATCCCAAGCATGCTCTTTGTATCTTTTGTTCACTCGGACTCGGTCCGGCTTTTACTTCGAATGTTGCGATGGATTTGTGGATTGCAAAGCGTGTTCTTTGTACGTTTTGATTCACTCGGACTCAGTCCGGCTTTTGCTCTGAATATTGTGAGGGATCTTTGGATCCTGAATCGTGTTCTTTGTATATTCTGATTGACTCGGACTCGGTTCGGCTTCTACTCTGAACATTGTGAGGAATCCATTGATTCCAAAACGTGTTCTTTGTGTCTTCTGATCAGATCGAATCGGACTCGGTCCGGCTTTTACTCTGAATATTGCAATGCATCCTGTGGGTTGGCTCTTTTTTACCGGAGCATCTGCTTAGTACTACTTCCTCTCGGACCCGGTTCGGCTTGTACTCTGCGCATGCGATGGGTTTTTTCATCTTGAACATTGTCATGACTGTTCTTGGGTCGTCTGATTCGATGTGCGGGCAGCCTCTAACTCGGTTAGATGCCATTCGTCACAGCGTTTCGTGGTCTACTCTGACTCGGTCAGTTGCCATTCGACACGCCAGCGATGGGTCTGCACTTTTACGCAGTGCTGGCGACTAGTACCTTGTGTTGTTCTGCCTTGTGCTTCATGACATCTCGGAAAGCTAAGACAGACCCCTTGGTAGACAACACTTGCTTTTTCGACCTTATTGTCTCTTGGTCTGTTTGATCTTGTACATACTACTGTTGATCCTGGGTATTCGGCTCATGGCATTTGATTGAGACTCATTTCTGATTCCCAAATGACATTCAATTCACTGCATGTAGATAATTGCCTCGACCCAAACTCTCATGAGGATGAGAATTGCGACGACTTGTAACTCCGGACAAGCTCCTCCATGTCCAGCCCTCGAAGCCTTGATGAATGAAAATCCGAGATCTGGCTATTCTCATGTCACACTCTCAATATGCTCCGCCTCTTCACCCCTTTTGGCATGCATGATATGCTCATCTCGGACTTGGTACTTTTGAGGACGTTTACTGGATATGGCTTCCTTGTCGAGGCAAGCCAGAAGAGGCGGGCTGCCTCGATAGTAATCATCCATGTCTTCCAAAGTCCGACCGGCGGTCTCTGGGTAGAACAGATACACAGTAGGTATGATCATCGCATTCAAAACAACCCAGATAATGTAGAACCTCCAGCCGAGGTTTTGAATGCCAATTGGTGTGATCTCGACAACCATGAAGTTCATGATCCAGTTTGTTGCAGCTCCCAGTGCTGCTCCCTTTGTTCGCATCGTGAGTGAGTTGATTTCGGTGGGATAGACTAGACAGTAGAGTCAAATGTTAGTGATGAAAAATCATGATTGGAATCACAATGGGGGGGGGGGTTATTCTCTTCAACTCACGCCACGGTACACCCTGCATGCCAATGCCGAAGAAAACGTAATACAGGAAGAAGAACGCTACTGATGCCGATGCAACTTGATCTCGATGCGGGTATCCGGACAGCTCGTTGTATCGTATGAGCGCCGTGATGAATATGTAGCAGAAACACATTCCTGAGCATCCGAACATCATCAATCTCCGACGGCCCCATCGCTCCACGTTGGGAATGCCGATCAGGGAAAAGCACAGGTATTGGACACTGTTGCATGCTGTGAGCAACCTCGCCAATGATTCGCTCAGTCCGACCGATGTGGTAAGGACGGTCGGGAGATAGTAAGATGTCACGTTTATCCCAGTAAACTGTTGGAATGCCTGCGCTCCCATGCCCAGCATGAGGCGACGGACTGTGTTCGTGCCTGATTTCTCTCTAGCTCGGCCGCGGATAATATCACTGAAGCTGACGCTGTTGGAGCGCTCGTACTCCACACTGTATTGTATCTCACTAATCTGAAGCTGGACAAAAGCATCGGTGGTTTCTTGTCCCTCCAGATCGGCGATGATCTGGAGAGCCTCGTCCGGACGATCGTGGGCAATGAGCCATCTATGGGGTGGAAGAATGCTGGTCAGCTTCAAGTTCCAAGCAAGAGAGTAAGGCGTACCTGGGAGACTCCGGAAGCCATGGAACTGTGCAAAATATCATGATGTTGAAAATCAGCTGAAAGGATAAGGGGAAGCGCCACGAAACTGGACCATTGGCAAATGAGAGACCATAATTCAGCCAATTGGCAAGGGAAAAGCCGACCAAGAGCAGGCAATTTTCGAGAATAACCAGTTTTCCTCGCCACTGGGCCTTGGAAGTTTCAACTTGCCAGATTGGCGCTGTTGAGGTGTTGAGGCCTGTTCACAGAAGAAGATTAGCACTCATGCAGCACAAAGCTTGGAAGTTCGACCATACCATTGCCAATACCAGCAACAATGCGACCGGTCATCATTTGACCCAGGCTGTAAGAAGAAGCCTGCAGGATAGCACCGATAGTCATAACAAGTGTGCCCAGCACAATGGTGTTTCTCCGACCCAGTCGCTCTCCAATGGAGTAGGCAAGCAACGAACCAAGACAACAACCCACATCGTAAATAGCAGTCACGGTGCCTAGAAGCGTTGTTTTGGTTGGTCCTTCAAGGTTGTGAAGCCGAAGAAAGTCCTGTGAAATGACGACTCCACTGAATACTCCTTGATCATAGCCAAGCAGTGTCATATCCGCGCCACAGGCCACTGTGATCCAGAAGGTAAGCCATCCACCCTGGAGGCCAAAGTAGGGTTTTGAAGAATTCCACATCATCGTCAAGAAGGCATTCCAAAACCAATACCCGAGAATGCATTCAAATGCTCCCATCGATCGCGGTTATATATCCTCTACACCCCAGTCTCCATAGTGTGGGGATGAGTGGGTCCGGGGTAGGAACCAGCTATATTCCATCGCTATCCCCCGCAATCGTCATTCCAGTGGCTTGCCTCGAGACGGAGCCCCATCGTACAATCATTGTCTCGGTATCAATCCGATGCAGCATGTAAGGCTTGTTGATTCTGGGGTTCCCAATGTGGTAGGGATGAGGGGATCCCGCGCGGGTCTCGGGCTCTGTCTGCCGATGATCTTCAAGGCTCGTGCCCGTGTCGGGGGTCGAGGCGGGACACGAGTCGGGGGCACATTCTTGGCGATGAGACCGTTGGAAACCTAAATTTGAATTAAAGTGTGACCGGGAATGATATAAGATAGACTCAATGGGGATTTGGCTCTGCAGCTTCATGTAAACAAGAATGTTGAAGACAAGGGAAGGCTTCCTAATAGACAGGACAATGAATTTCCGTGTGCTTTGGCATGGACCTCACCAGGTAGGCAGGTAGGTAATTAGCTGTGGAGCTTTGATGGGGTTTCCAAAGTTGTTCTGATCAAGTTATGGTCACCATAGGTAGGTGATTGAAACTGAGATCCGAATATTAGTTTCAATGCACTGCTACGTGCGTTTGCAGGGGCACCGAACATGAATAGGAGAAATATATATTTTGGATTATTCATTAACGAAAGCTCGCAAATCTAAAAATGTCTTCTCTCTATGTGCTCGCTTGATAAACTTTGAAACTCTTAAACTCCCAGTATGCTGTCGTAAAATTTGATGCGTTATCCATCACAAACGTCTCGCAACTGTCGGGACAGCCGCTCTGTGTGGTGTAGTACTCCGTCGCAGATGCCCAACCTCCACAGAAATCGATATTGGCAATGATGCTCTGGTTTTTGAAATGATTCCCGATGTTACACTCCGTACTCGGGAAATCAGCGTATGCCTTGCCCCAAGTGGAGGGATCAGGGCTTCCTGATGTAATGTCGGATGGGATATCTGCGCGAACCCAATGCCAGACTCGAATTCCGGCGTCACGGAGCTCCATTGCATAGACCTAATAATGGTTAGTTGAGGAAGTCTCTGCGAATGACAAAAACAACTTACTCCACCACCCTGTGCATTGAATTCAGGTCCGTATGTGGTCTTGGCACCTTTCACACCACATCCTGATTCGTCGTGCGAGTCCCAGTAACAGGTCTTGTACAGTGCAGTGCCAGTCTCCTTCCGCTTCACGCCCATATTGCATCCACTTGATGTGTGGAGTGTCGCTTGGTTGCCCCATTCGCCCATGTTGACAGCCTCCATGACATCGATCTCGCCATGCTCTGGCCAATTACTTGGGTCTGTGAGCCATAGCGCTGGCCAGATGCCACAAGCATAGGGTGTGTGCAAAATATCGAACACGAAGAGTCCATCCGCATAGGTATTATTGGATGTAATCCTGACAGATTGACGGCCATTAGCGACCTCGTCCTCTCCACTGTATGTGGTATCCACTTTGAGCACAGCCGATGTGTTGGTGGCATATGTCAAGTTGAGCCATTCAGATGCAGCTCGGTCAATGTATCTGTAGTAAAGTGATTAGCGGAGATATCATCCTGGCGCAGCTTCGTCTGATACTTACTGGACAAATCCACCTGACGGGTCAGAGGTCGCATAATAAAAGTTATTGAAGAAATCAGAGCCAGAATAGGTATCTACCAAACTGTAGTCGAGTTGGGAATAATCGGGGTATCGGGTTGCTCGTACTCCGAGCACAGCACCCACAACAACAGCAACAATAACCACAACAACACCGGCTGCGACAGCGAGCTTTTTAATCAGAGACCATCCCCGCGGGTCCCAGGCAGAATATCCTGCGGTTGTAGGACCCGCTGTTGCTGTCTCGGGGCCCATATTCCAGGATCCGTAGGCAGGTGGCTCACTGATTCTCGAGAAACCTGATTGCCTGATATTTTGCCCAGATGATCTTTCGTATAGATCAAAGCTCATTCCAGCGGAGGTGATAATTAAGGTTATCCAATCGTTGGAAAAGACATCTGCCGTACCAGGAACGTTGCGGAGAGAAAAAATAAGAAAAACAACCCCAAATATCGACCATGACCCACGATTAAAACAACTTCACTGCAAGACGTGATAAGAATTTCCCATTCGCCATTGGTAAGGCCGCGTATCTTGCCAAGCCATGATGACGAAGTGCCGCGGCTGGGACGCTGACCACGCGTCCCGCTGATACGTGGGGCGCTGACAGGGATCTAAGCCCAAAATAACAAGTTTCCGTCTCTAATAACACCGCCCAATTCGCTGCGTGGGCTATCTTCGGAGCAGACCCTGCAGCTACTTTTGTCTTTTGCGGATCCTACTCTGCACATTCGGTAACTGAGTAAGGCAATCCCTTACCGAGCGACCCAAAACGCCATAGTGAATACGATAATTTTACAACTCTAAATTCCGATAAAAACAAAAAGTGAACTGTTAACATGCACTGATGTTGTTCATACTATTCTTCGTATTATCCGTTGCATACTTCCGGGTTAAGATCTGATTTCTACGGGCTCATATCTGGAGCTTAAAAGGGCAAGATAAAGTAGTGATTTATGGTGATTTTATTCATCAAGCATCCATAGGTTAAGCTATACCAAGCTTCCAAATTGAACTACGTCTATTTCAGGAAGTTAGCGGGAGAAAATTAGATTTGGGTTGTCGTTGTCGAAAAAAATCGTTGCATTTACTATAATGTTTTGGTCTGGCCCGCTCTGTGGATTACGTTGGTCCGCACGTAAGGCTAATAACACGTGACTCGATGCTCAGAAGAAGAAATATTAGACGACAGGCTGTTGCTCGTGACGATTGGATATGTCAAGACAGTCAATCTGAATCGTGCACTCTTGTCCGTGTTCAGTATATCCTATCCGCCTTTAAATATACGTTGAACTCTATCGGCTGATCCTTTATTTATCGTGTACCAAGTCACATGACCCGGGTCTTTTCTGGTTCAGGCACCAAAAGAGGGTTTTTTCCTCTGTTGTGGAGCTTCAGGTAGTTTTAGCGCGAGCTATTTTTTCTTCCGACGCCTAAATCTCGGCATTTGCAGATTCGTGGCGTCGGGAACTACTGGCGCCTACGTAAGCTTGTGCCTAGCCACAAAGCTTCAATCGTGTGTAACCATACACAACAGCTCATGCTGGTCTGATACTGATACAATCATCAGCCACCTCAGCCCCAGTGGGTCTACACAAAGGGGTGACCAACGCGTCGAAGGAGGGCAAGGCGGGAAAATGGAAAAACGGCAAGTGGAGTGGACTGACTACCGAGGCAGAGATAGAATAGAGTGCTCTGTCTGAACGCGCCTGGCACAAATTTCACGGGCTTGAATCATGGTCTTTTGCGTCCCTTGAAAAAGTCAATGCCCTCCCTGATACTTGAAGTCATCGGCATTATTCGGACCATCTAATACACAATCGTTTTACCAGGATAGATACCTAGCATGTGGGAAAGATAATTGTACGGTCACTGAGATTTTAGCATTGATTGATGACTCAATGGTGGAAGTTTATTTCCTTCTTCCGGCGATAGAGGCGATCGGACCAGATCGTTGTATTCATATTCATCAGTGTTTTGAGACGTGGCTGAAAACTGACATTCTGTCGTATCGTGAATTGACTGAAGCCTGGAGTGTGCATTTTCGAACTTCGAAGTGCGATAATGCATAAGGACGGGTGTTTTTCCAAGGTTTGTGAAGATCAGGTGAGGATGAGTTTAAGTTGTTAAAGTTTTGTGTAACCCTGGCGGGCACAGACAAGGTCATGACGGGAGCATCATACAACTTCAACAATACTTAATGTGCGTAATCATGGTCTATCTATTTAACGGAATCCTGCAATTCAAGCTATTTGCTTCCCCTCTATTACCATATTAGAAAGTGTAAGCGCATGGCGTCCCTCCAGCATTTTACTCGATATTCAATTGTGGAAGTGTCGGATGTATTTCTGGCAAAAGTACATAATCCCAGTACCTATCATCGTCTACTAGTATTCTTCCAAGATGGCAGGATGGCAATAAATGGACCTCAAGGCACGATTGTATGGAAAGGTGACTTCTGGGCATTCAAGAAAATCTGAATCAACGCTTGTACCGCTTTATCCGCAACTGTGGACGGGTTGTTTCTCTTAATCCTTGAGCAGAGAGGCAGATAAGAAACCTGCTTAAAATCCACCTTTTGTATGTCCTACATGTAAAACCATGACAAACGAAGGGGACGTAATTATGATTGATATTATAGTATGTGGAGTATGAAGCTTGATAATCTTGGCGAGGCCTGTGGATTAGTCTCGAGATCCTTGGCATTTTGTGTAGGACGATTACGAAAGTAAGGATTTGAAGACTCAACACTTCTTACGAGTTCGTCAATAACTTGAAAGGGTTGTGCTTGAGGGTAAAAAAATATCCCCTGTTCTCCGAGCAGTAACCCCACATTCTTCTGTGTCGTAGAATCTCCACTTGTGGCTAGAAGAGGGATTATTTTTACAGCATAGATCTCCAGGTCAGTTTGTTGTTGGTCTGGAAAGATTGGTATGGGTTGCCGTAAAGCTCTCAGCTGAGTGTCAGCCACGGAGCTAGCCTGTGGAGGCAATCAAGACAGCTTACTAGGTGATACGAAATGTCAAGAGAAAGCTCGCGATCATTTAGGTAACGATTCGGATATGTAGAAGCAAGAGAGGTTTAAAAATTGAACAGGAACTGGACGTGAGTAAATTCCTGAACAATGAGCGAGACATTTATATGAGATCACCACTGGGCAGCTAGTCTAATCAAGCTTTAAATAGTCAAGGTTGTCTCAAGAGGCAGATCCCTGCTGCTACGACCAACGTAAATCTTATAGGTTCCCCGCTGCAACAGCCACTCCTGTGCAGTGGCATCCCAAGTACTCAAATCGCGACGAGTCAAGCTAAAGCTAACAGTGACTGACTTGCCAGATTTGACGAGGACCTTTTCAAATCCACGAAGCTGGCGAACGGGGCCATTGGGAATGCCAACATAGAGCTGAGCAACTTCCTGGCCATTAACAGTGCCAGTATTCTTGACAGTGGCGGACACGGTCACCAGCGTATCGAAGAGACGAGGATTTCCACCCGGAAGAATCGATGCCTTGGCCGGGTACTGAGGAAGTGAAGAAGACTTCTTTGACACTTTAAGCTTGGAATAATCAAAGCTGGTGTATGAAAGACCGAATCCGAAGGCGTACTGGGGCTCGATACCCTTCTTGTCGAAGGCGCGATAGTCAGTGTAGACACCCTCTGAGAAATCTGATTGAGGGAAGTACTCGTAAATACCCGCAGGCTCGGACGGCTCAAGCAGAGTGCCGTAGTCGGATTCAGTCTTGGCAACGGTGTAGGGAAGTCGACCAGAGGGGTTGGAATCTCCGTAGAGAATTTCCACCAAGGCACGACCGGTATCCTGGCCAGGGAGATGGGCGTAGATGATACCGGTGACGTTAGTATGGTCAACCCATGACTCGACAGTGCGGATACCAGCGTTGTGAATCACGACGATGGTGTTGGCGCAGTTGTTAGCGACGTTGTTCACGATGGTGTCGCTGTGGGTATCGTCGAGACCTGCACGATCATAGCCTTCTGTAGCGTATGAGTTGATGAATACCAAGCACACATCGGAAGTGTAGTCCACCGACGGGCTTTCAGAGGTGAAGTCCCAGAGAACAGACGAGCCGTCTTCATAGGCTCGGCGCTGGATGGCGCTTATGGGAGCATCCACATAGGCGGGCGAGTTCGCACCGGAGCCACCACCGACATACTGGGTCCCATTTTGATAGAGGGCCGATCTTGTAGCGGTTGCGCTGAAGTCAAATGAGGTCGAGAGGTCCATGGCCATTGGGGTATAGGCATCGTAGCCAAAGACTGAAATCAGCTTCGGAGACTTCAAAGGAAGTGCATTGTTGGTATTCTTCACCAGGACGTGTCCCTCGATGGCGGATTGGAGAAGAAATGGCTTCGCTTCTTGGGAGGTGGCGATGACAGCCTGGTGAGCTGCAGAGGCACTGGTGGGCATTCCAATACCTGGGTTGGGGAAGGCCGAGTCCTGATCCAGATAGTACCATGTGGCCATGAGTCTGCGAGATAGAATTAGTATCTGACATTAATTTTTCGTTGATCACACATTCACCTACCTCGTAATCATGTCGTCTAGACGCGATGCCTCCATCGTTCCGTTTGCAATGGCAGTGGTCAGATTACTGTTCCAGAGCGATGATGAGGGCATAACAACATCAAGTCCAGCATTAGCACTAGCAATACCACCGTGCTGAGCTCCCCAGTCCGTCACAACATAGCCTGTTGAGGAATTATTCAGTTTCCGTTTGATTCATCTGTCATCAAACTGGGTGTTCTGCTTACCCTGGAAGCCAAGCTCAGTCTTCAACAAACCATTGAGAGTCTTGCTGTTTTGGCAGGCGTATGAGTTATTCAATCGGTTATACGAGCACATGACACAGGCTGCACCAGCAAGGACTGCATCCTGAAACGGCCACAAGTAGAGCTCGTGAATTGTCTGGTCATCCATGTTGGACGAAACAGACTGGACAGCATTGCCATTGGAGTCGGTAGTGGGATTGCGATTGGTTTCTTGCTCATTACCGATGAAGTGCTGCTTAAAGCTTAGGTTTATAGTCCAACAAGAACAGGCTGGCGGTACATACCTTCAGTGATGTCGCAACATTCTGGGACTGGAGGCCTTTCACTGACTCGCCGATCAGAATTCCACTGAGGTAGGGGTCGGTAGAGAATCCTTCCCAGTTACGTCCACCAAGTGCTACACGACCAAGTGGGCCCACGACGGGGCCAAGAATCATGTTCACACCCTTCTTACGATATTCTTTGCCCATATATGTAGCCCGATCATTGGCAAGATCTGGGTTCCAGCTGTGGAGAGTGAAAGTTAGCAAGACCTTGGCGAGCCTTCGAATCAATCTCAAAACACACCTGGCTCCAACAGAGATACCCGATGCCCAACTGTTAACATAGTCTGTTCCTCTCTGAGAATATGTATAAGTCCATGAAGATTCAATAGGTGGGATGGACGGATGAATAGCCCTCAGAGGATTGGTACTTACAAGACCATTTCCAGCGTCACTGACGCACATGCCCGGAAATCCTAAGCGTTCGATTGCTTGAATATTTCCAGAGCAGCCAGTTTTGGATGTCACACCAGCTGTCAAATTGACTTTCTCGTCATCAGAAAGTTTGGCGACAAAAGCCCTTGCTTTCACGTACGCAGCCGCCCAGTCTCCAGCCCCAGATCCCACAGCTATTAGGACACTTAGCAATTATTCTGCCCAGAATGGAACCAATACATGCAATAGTCAGGCTGGGGGACCAAAATACGGACTCACGAGCTGGGTAAACTGCAGGAGATTCGCCATAGAAGTGGCTGTCACTCGTAATGACATTTTCAGCTACGGCATAGTTGCCAAGGGCAAAGCCCAGCAATAGGCTTGTCGTTCCCCAGGAGGTTAACATGATAGCCAGAGGAGCTGATAGACTTGACTCAATTCCAAAGACCCTTTCGTCGAGAATAGACGTCCCTTTTATACATTTGCTATCGTTACTATACAAGAAAAAGTACGACCCCTCCCCACGGTCGTCTAATTTACACAGCAGCCCTGCATCATCCCACTTTCCCAAAGCCCCAACCGGGTATATATCGGCTATAATCTAACCTTGTATTTCCCCGCAAATGGCAAAAAGAAAGTGTCGAAGCGTTTAATCTATCCACTAGCCTCTTGGTAAGACTTGGCGACCAATCTCGAAGAAGATTCAAGTGCGGAGTACCTGTCCATCCGACAGTTTCGTGCGCCGATATGGCTTAATATAGTCGGGGTTAGTGGAAGCGAGATCCTATGAAGACTATGTAAGTTATGCAGGTGAAATCACGCGCTGTCTAGGGCACGAACTCGGAATGTGGGGATAGCTCCCCATGGGGCTCGGGGTCCGGATCTTTAGGGGGGAGAAAGGTATTGATTTTTTTTTTTGAAGCGGGGTATAAAGGCCATTGCACTCAGTGCCGGGGTTGCATTGCAGCTGACCGGTGAGATGGTTTAGCCTCGATTAGAGCTGTGGAAACTCAGATACTCTATGGACTTGTAGTACTAGAAAGTGGAATGTGGGGAACAATGACTACAAGTGGGGCTTCCACATACTTGGAACTCGCTTGCAGGATTCTCGGATTCCCAAGACTCGTTCATACTCTTCAGGGCTCGTGGCTTGCTTAAATCTAGCGTACCGTCCCAAGAAACTTTCCGAAAGAAATTTCCAACCTTTGAAACCCTTTGGAAGTGTTCTTGAACGAAGATACAAGGATTGATGTAGATCGGAAAATACACGAATACTACGAAACGTACTATTAATATTTCAAGGCTGGGCTCGACAGAAGCTTCCACCACTCCAAGATAGTCAGGATCAAACAAACGAAATGATGTAAAGTGGTTTAAACAACAAGTTATAACTAGCCGCCATGGGTATTCTCAAAACAAATCATAAATCTTGCATATCATAAGTCAAGTGTATCCGCACGACAGATGTGCCTACAACCAAAGGGCATGATAAAATATAAGCACGGAAATCACGCAAGCTGACGTTCAATATTCCGGGGCCCTGTTAGAAGGGTTGGTGGAATTGGCGACACACGGCCACGGAAGCCATGGGTTTCCCGAGAGCCGGGTCGCGGAGGAGGCGGCGGGGGAGGGGGAGGGCGGCCGAAACCCGGATGGTGAGGATAGGGTTGATGATGGGGATGGGTAAAGGGGTGCGGCGGTGGCATTGGGGGTGTGGGAGGACCACCGACAGTCAGGCGGCTAAAGTCCCCTGGCAGTTGTTGTGACTGGTAGCGGTATTGTGCTGGTGGTTGTGGTGAGGTATGGGGGATGTAGCCCATGGACCTGGTGGGATCGCCAGGAAGGGTAACGAGGGAGGCGTTGAGGGTGCGGGTGATGTCTTCGATGGTCACCTCCATCGGGGCGATGTAGGTGGTGTTGCTCTTCGCGGACCAGGCCAAGACGTGGCCGCAGACGCGACCGGTTGATCTGTCAAATACCCATGCGCCAGAGTCGCCGGGGGCTTGTGTAAGGTTAGCTTCAAGAACAGTTTACTAGATATATGGGTAGAATGGTCTTAAGATCCGGTGGGAACGGTTATTGTTTACCGGTTTAACAGTAACAGGTAGGGGGAATCACAGGGGAATGACAAAACAAAAGCAAGGGTATCTAATTAATGATCGTATAGACATAAACATGAATCCGCGAAGTGCGCCTCTTACCTCCAAAGTTTCCATTGACACAGAAGCTCGTCGAGAAGGAGTGCCGACCTGTCAGCTTGACCAGCGTCATCGCCTTGGATATTAAGCCTGATTGTAGTCCACTTGTACGGCCACAACAATGGACCAGCAAGCCACCCAGTTCTTCCATCCGAGCTATTTGGTTGAGAAAGATGGGTGGACTTTGAGCCGCTCGTCCAGGAATGGGCCTAGCGGGCGACGACGTCGTGCTATCGACGATGATATTTCGAGGATCCATGCGAGCGTCGTCAACTTTGATGAGAGCCCAATCAATCTCATGCTTGATCCCCTTCCACATCCAGCGCCGCACGCCCGATGATGCATGGATATAGCCTAAAGAATGCGAGGCAAGGTGCTCGTCATCGCGATCTTCGGGGGATGGAAAAAAATCCTCGTGAACGTCGTCAATCGCAGGCTGGGTGACAAAAAGCCGTGGTTCTTCACCTGGATCAATACCGGTTGTATCACCTATTGATGCAGCATCATCATCATCGTTGTCAGGATCAATGGATTCATCGTCAGATGATTCGTCCTCCGACAGCCAGTATTCATCATGCCCACCATCCGGGCCCTGTGATGTTGATGCGGTATCATCGTCCTCAAAATCCGATATCTCGAGGTCCAGATTGACTTCTGATCGGTCATCCTCAGGATATGTATGGGTGTAATCTGCATTCGGGGCGGTAGACGTGTTGCGAAGCCCGTTACCCGCAGAACGAGTTGGGGCATCTTGATCATCGTTCTCGGAGCCTTCATCGTCACTCGGTGCCTCAAGCATGTGATGGACCGTCAGACCATAGGGTATTCCGTCAACTAGGACTGCGCCACCGTACGAGACTGGAGGCAAATGTTCCTCGTTCTGAAAGGCACCGATTGAGGCTCCACATAGTGGTCGTTGCTGGTAACATGGGTTCAGTTCGCGTTGACGAAATGGCGTTTCGTTAGATCCGTTAGGGCGTGTCTTTGCCGGCTTGCGTCGTTTGTTGCGAGGGACCTTAGATCTTTCGACATCACCCCGGATGACAATAAGATCCCAGTCATCACGACCAAGCTGAAAATGCTTCTTCAGAGCAGATCGAACTTTTTTGACACTGGAACAGGTAACACAAATGGTGGTTCGGGCGGTTTCAAGCGATTCTCCGGTCATTATGAGATTGGCTGCACAGGACTCATTTGAATCCTTCAGGATCTTTTGTAAGAGGCGGCTCAACTTTGGCATCATCTGGAAGTTCCATTCCTGTAAATGTTCATCTGGAATTTCGATGTTAGGAAGACGCTTGACCGTGCGTTTCTTGGCGGGCTTCTCTATTTTTTCTTGTGTCACTGCACCCCACTGATGTGTCGGAATGCTCGGTAGCTTCTTGCCAAGGTCAGCTGACTCGCAGGCAGATCTATAAGCGGACACTTGTTCATTTGCCGGCGTAGGTTCAGGGGTGGGCACAAGAGCTAGTGGCAAACAGTCATCCAGTTCCTCGGCAGGCGGCGCGGAGAAAATATCAATCCGACAGCATGACCAAAGAATCTTGCAGATGGTGTACATGAAGTTCATCGAAAAGGAAAACGTTCCGTCGGGATCAGACAAGTCGAGGACAGGATAGTGGTAGATCTGAGGAACTCGAAGAGAGAGGTCGGTCATGGGTTGCGTAGAGAGATGGAAATTGGGTGCATCAAGACAAAGCTGCACGGCCTGAAGGTATGCACCACCACACTTCGCTCCAAGCTTCTTGACGTACAGATCCTCAACACGGTGTTTGAACCAGGAACGGTCATATTTCATCTTCCATAGGCGCCCAACCGGTGCCCATAGACCAATCTCCAGCAGGATTAGACCGAGCGAGTAAAGATCATAGGCCCAAGCACCATCATCTTCGACATTTCTCTTATCTTCTGGGTGGCGATACATGGCCGTACTCAATGGCTCGGGGGTAGGTCCGTCTCCCGAAAAGCGAGCTGGGGAGGTTAAATAAGGACGACGAAGATCAGGGGACAGACCACCGTCCTCGTTGTTCGCATCTGTCCGACCGGGGAAGAAAATGACATTGCTGCTGTTGATATTACCATGCACGACATTTTGACTTCTGAGATGCAAGGCGGACATCAATAGATCATAAGCAAGCCGGAAGCGGGTCTCTAGGTTTGGCATCCGCTTCTCACGATAGTCCTCCGCGGATGGGGAGGGCAGAAGTGAGACGAGCGGCATGGGCTTCAATTCTTTCAATAAATCACTTGGGTTGCTCAGAAATGGGAAATAATCAACGGGCATCTGATAAAGGAAGGCGTAACGGGCGTTGGGCTCATCAATGCAATAACCCAGGAATCGTAGAAGACCAAGATGGGAAATCCTGGCATTCTGCAGAAGTTGCTCAAGAGACTGCTGCAGCTTTTCCATTCTGGAGTTCTTGGATCCTTTCTGGGAATCCGCCATTATAGGCATAAACTCAACCAAAACCGAGACATGGGATTCTTTAATAGATGTCTTCAGAGCAGAAGAGGCGGAAGTGTTCAGCCGACCGACAGCACGCGAGTTCGAAGATGCGGCGACCGGCTCATATGGTGGAGGGTTGTTATCAACGGCGGCCCCATATAGTTGCAAAGCAGATCGTGGAATAACAAGATGGTGGGGTGAGACAAATGGTGCAGAGAAGTCACGCTGCATTGTAGGAGATTGAGTATATTGGTCAAACAGTTGCTTCGGGCTTTGGACTTTTTCTTTCGTATCAGAAAAAGAGCCAAGTGGAGAGTCATATGGTGAAGCCGGGGTGGGTCGAGCGCGCCGCCTGGTTGAAGACATGCTGGAGGCCATGGTCCGCCGCGAGCGGGAGAGATCGTATAAAGTGTCAATGCAGCCCGTCAAGTCACTCAATATTGTCTGCGATCGGCTGATATCATTATCTGTCCACTGGGTCTTAAGAGGGCCGACAGCCTCTTTTGACGGGTCCACTTTGCGGTCTTTCGAGGGGAGCGGAGGGTCAAGGTGTTGAACTCGTTCGGCATCATTGAGTAGATCCTGGATTGTAGACATGACGCTCTCGACCACGTCGCTGAACCCCGCCGCAGTCAAAGATTCGTCGATATCGTTGGGCTGAGCGGCGCTGGCGTCGCTCCAGTCCAAACCCCAGGCCAACAACCGATCCCGTTGTTTCTGGAAACTCTGATGCAAGGCGACAAGTTCTGGGTCATCGAGTGCTTTCGAAGCGGTGGTGACACTTTCGCAGGACGTTTTGGTATCGGTATACAATTTGGTGAGGCGGCGCTGGAGGAAGCCGCCGCCTCCTCCGTGGCGCAGTACGGACATGGCGATAACGATTCGATCAGGACGAAGGGATTCCAAATATCAAAACGTAGAGTCGCGTAGTATCACAGATCCATCCTGAGACGTTGAAAGATCTAAAATCCCACGCAGACAGGAAGATCAGGAGAGAAGAGACGGTCCATCAATGGGTGCCTGGGCGCGGCGATTACAGCGATAGACCGATGCGGGAGGATTAAAGGGAATCCTGTTGCCTAACCAATGAGAAAGGCTGATCTGTGCAGCATAGTGGAGCTGGTAGGGTCACGTGGCAGGCATCTAAATTGATGTATTTGGTATTTGCAAGTGGTATCAGAATGCGGGTAATATTACGACTCGGACTTGGTTTATTATCTGCCTGAGGATTCTCAGGCAGCAGCATCACTTGTCATCTAATCTCATATGGAGCGCTCGTCGTATAAGATCCCCTAAGAATGTTCTAAATATACAGTATCAATAATAAGAGAGGAAGAAATAAAACACACTTTATCTTGGAATGGAGAAAATTGAAAAAGCATGAAAGAATAGGCAACATTAGAATGTCACACAGTGCTCTTCCAAGATTAGACTTCATCCGAATATCCTTCCACCATCTTCACCCTGTGATCACCCTCCGAGAAACCCCAACATCTCGTGCCCGCTTCTCGCTGAAATTATGTAATCGCTCACCGATAAGATATACATCATCCCGCATGTTGATGCGCCAGATGGTTACCCACCGAAGCACCAGGTGGATAGCCCACGCGGCCAAAGCGAATAGCAGCGTGGCGAGGTAAGCATAGCGGTAGATATTTTGCTGCGCCTCAATCCTGTAGAGAACGGTGTGCCCCAAGATTCCGCCAAGCGAAAGAGGAAGAACAATGGCAGCAGCTGTGAAAAGTAACAGAGGTAGGATAAGAGCTCGGGTGGCAAGGTGCACATTGGGACGGAGCCAGCCATCGCGAAAAATACCGTTAAGAACGGCCGCGGCCCAGGACTGGGGATGCCACGAAGTCAACTTGATTGCCATCTGGACGTAAAGCACCCCTAGCGTCCAATCCTGAACGACATGAACAACATGGGATTTGCCGTCCCCGAAAAGGGTATGTAGGGGGATCAACACATAAAGCTCGGTGAGGAGTGCGAAAAGAGTCGGCAATAAGATGGCCAAGGTAGCAGAGATGTAGAGAAGACGCCCAGCATCGAGTGCAAGAGCTGCACAAAGCCGGCCAAACTCACTGGGGGATCGCAAGTGTGCCCACGAGTTGCCCTGCATGGCTCTCACTGCTGCGCGACAGTAATAAACCAGATAACCAAAGCTGAAAACAATACATAGCCCGCTGGAAAATGCATAGATATCATTCACCGGCACTGGACTTGAAAAAAATACAGTGATCATCTTCCGCCCAATGATGAGCGGAATAATTGTAATGCCTACCCCTGTGGTGGCAGCAAACAGCCAGATGAGGAGAATGAAAGCGGCGATTCGTAGTCGGAAGTAAGGCGGGATGTAGACTTTGGTAAACATGTTGCTGGAACGTCCATGTAGGCCATCATCCAAATCGATTTTCCCATCAACGCGTTCATTGTCCTCGGTCACATCCAAGAAAACCTGAGTTCCTTTAGGTATGCGAACCTGGTCCGATGCAGGAGCCCGGACATACCGGCCGTCTCGGAGGAAATACACGTCACGGTTTTCGTTCTCTGCGGCGGCCTGTTGAGCTGCCCCGACCACAGGATGTTCCCACTCGCCCTTGCGTCCGGCAATAAACCCCCACCAAGTCCGATAAACGTAGTGTCCCTCCTCTTCGGGGTGTCTGTCCGGGAAGAAGAAATTGCTGAGACGCAGGAAATGAGCGCATTGGTGGAACCACCAGTCGTACAAGTCATGCAGCGCATCCGAAGGCTTGAAGGATTGAATGATGGGTGGCATAATGAAGTTGTAGAACAAGAGATCCACTGGGAATTCAAGCATAGGGGCTCTGGCGGACCAATGGATGGGTAAAACACCCTCAAATGCAAAGTTCAGGCCCCACACAACTCCTCCCAGGCAAACAATGACTAGAGTCCCATAAACAAGGGCACTAAAGCCAATTTTCCGAAGTTGGGTGGTAATGCTGCGCTCCAGGACATCGCGAATGGGGTGAAAAGTAGGATCATCGGGATCTCGGATGAAGTCTGTTGGGAAAGAAAATGAGCATTTCAATGGGTTACGGTGATAGACGAATAAAACTTACAAAGAACGCCCGTTCGCAGAATCTTTCGGCACATAGACACAAATAGGGCAAAGTGGAACATGTAACAAGTGCCAATGAACCAGTGCACGAAGAGCGACGTGAGCGGAGATCCTGTGGTGAAAGCGATGCGGGAAAGAATTGTTGCCTCCGAGAAAAGGGGAAGCAAAGCAATGTCGAGTAATGTGCCACAGTAGAGAGGAAAAACGATCATCTCAATACCAATGATGAGAATTACTTTCATTACTCCCCCAGCCTGGAGAAGTACCTCGGCAACCACACCTTCAATCCGTTGTCCGCGGTTAGGTCCAGCCAGAAATCCAGTGATCCGTAGGTAAAGATATCCCATAATTGTTGCAAGAAGATACCCCATAGATATAGCGATGATGCGGTCTTTGGTATCCCACACAGCGAGATCGTAATCGACGGCCGCAGATCCCGAGACTGCCTTGGCGGTGCTTGCATTCAGCAGCTTCGTTCCGGAACTGGAATATAGCTGAGACCTGGTGAAGTTTCCGACATGCTGCTGGATTTGCACGGCGTATTCCTTAACTTGGGAAAGGTCCAGGTCGAAGGAGAGCGCCCCGGGAACCCCAAGTGTGATCAAGCGCAAGGGAAAGTCGTGTAAAACAAACTTTATGATAGCGCATATTGACTCGAAGAAGGCCAGGAGACGAGCCTGGTGTAGTCTGAGTGCCTGGTGAGAAAGAACCGAGAACATGGGTATGTCAGACTCATTGAAAACAAGGAAGGCTTTGACAACCTTGTTCAATCGATGAGTACTGGCGTCAATAAGAGAAAGTGAAGCGGTTGTGACGGATTTGCCTCGTGGGATCCATTCTCCAAGAGGGACAAATGCAACAAATGGGCTCAGCACCAATTTGCAGATAAATGTCAACCAGTACATGAGGTAGCCAACAACGCCAATCAAAGTATCAAGAGCAATATCTGTTACGACAGTGAGGGTAGTCATTGGAACACCCACAATCAATTCCAACGGATTGGCCAGCAAAACCAGGGCAATCTTTCCCCACAGGTAGGGAAGCCAGATGCCAACTGTGACCGTGAAGGCGATTAGAAGAGCACAGAAGACACCATTTTGTAGGAGACCAAAGATGGGGCCTTGCATGCCGATTAAATCCATGATTCCTTCGAAATCATCTCCTTCGATTGCATCCATGTCATTGGCATCTAACCCCGCTTCAGCGGCGATGGCCATATCTCCTTCCATGGGTGGGTCCTCCAATCGATTTGGGACGGGGACAAAAGGCTCTTCCAACGCTGGGTCCTGAACAACATGCTCATCATCTGCTGGTACTGCCTCGGCAGGATCATGCTCTCCTGGAGTAATATCTCCCCAAAACCAGTTCACCAAGCGTTCTGTAATTCCTTGTGGGTTCTCTATATCTTCTTGCAAGGCTACTGAACGTGATGCTTCCTCTTGGACACGGGGAAATTGGCTGGCAGGCTGATCATTCGATTGCATTTGTTGAGGGGTAGTGTCTTGTTCCTGTAGATTGAACGAATCACGCGGGCTGGAGGTTTCATCAACCTCGGCATTGACAGCACGGTTTGAAGGTCCCGCCAAATTTTGGTCCTGAGAGTCTGGAGTCAACGCGTTCACAATCCAGCCTAGTTCATCCTCACGGCCTTCGTCACGAATAAGTCGTAAAATTTCATCGCGGTCACCATTGGAGCGAGCCAATATATCTCTGAAGCCAGCTACGCCAGAATTGGCAGGGTGGTCCCGATGGAGGGATGACGGGCTTGCAAGACCTTCCCCTGCACTATCTTGAGCGTCTCCTTCTGCTAGAATATTGCTAGGAATAGGAGGTACCCCAAGTAGCGGTTGAAGATCGTCATCGGAATCGGTCCAGGAGGGAGCGGGAGATGCAGCGCGAGGAATTTCATGGAGCTCTTCTTGAGCTACGTCATGCTGCTCATGATTGCCAAAGTTCGGACGAACAACAGGGCCGGCAGGTTGAGGTGGTTGTGCTTGATCATTCATGCGGTTTGCATTAACATTCAATTGCATAGCGGCTTCCCGTTCGCCCTCAGCAATGTTAACCATGGGTTGTTGCTGGACGACCCATTCTCGGATAAGGAACAGAAGTATGAAAGCGACGACTACCAAAAGAGTAATGAGCTGTCCCTCCAGAGTATCGATGATCATGTTGTTGATGGTCGGGTAAGGTGTAAGTGTGATGAGAAATTTTACATCCGAGAGCCATGACGGATACCGAGCCTTTGATAGCCCAGTCATATTAGTGGGTAAGGAGCCATTGTGGCCACCTGGTGATGTCAAAGCGGGGAGAAAGAGACTTGGTATCACTTTTTTGATGAGCGTGAGCATCATCGGTTCTCCAGCGGAAAATCCCTCGGTCGATGACTGTACTGCTGGTGGAGTACCGAGAGTGGATTGAATTGCACTTGAGACTGACGGGATCGCCGAGCTGACCACGGCAGCAGTGGCTGCGGTATTGTTTGCAGCGCCTTGCAGTAGACTTCCTTCCGCAATTTGCTGTTGGCCGTTGGCGGACCATCGTCCGTCTGCAAGCCAGAAGAGTGCCCTCCAGATTGCGCGCATCGACCATGGCAACCACCCTAACCAGACAAAGGCAACCAGACCAAATCGCAGCCATGTGATCAGGGTTCCGAAAGATTGAATCAAAGCTTGCTTCAAAAATAAGGGCGTCGGGAGGTTTTGTGGCATATTCGGGTCGTATAATTTGGTGAACCGAAAAGGTGTTTTACACAGCTCACAATGCTTCTTCTGCGAGTGTGCCAGCCATTCCACCAGGCAGCTTTGGTGAACAAACTTGATGCTTCCGCTACATTTGCATGGGTAGAACAGCGGTTCTTCTTCTGTAGCCTCTCCGTGGCAAATGCGGCAAGTATCCATATCCTCGATACCCTTATCCCTCTCATCGAAAGCTGGATCGTTCATCAAGTCTGGGAAAGAAGACAACCCCGCTGGGTTGCGGAAGGGATTCGTGTCCATTATGATGGCGGATAATCTCGTCGAGCCGACGGTCGGACAAGTGTCTTCACCAAATCCTCATTCTAGTCTCGCTTATTCCTTGTATGATAAAAACCATCAACCGTTGGGGAGGTGGGCGCGCACGGGTAGTGTGGACTGGGAGCACCGGAGTATCAAAACGCTGCGGAGAAGAATATGGTATTAGACAAGAAGAGATAAGAAGTGAAACACAATGAAAAGGAAATCAAGACCGCATTTAACTTACTCTGCATCAACGGAGCCTCAACAAATCAGACAATCACCGTCGAGTCGCACCTTCCTTTGTTCTTGCTTCAATGCTCGGGCCACTATGGCTGACTCAGCCTGTAAAGGCCTTACAATTAATTACATATATTACACTATAATCACCCGTGCACGCTGGATTGGCCCGCTAATCATCCGCGTAATTGGTATTAATATGTATTGCGTGATGCAGGTGGCACCGATGACCTCACTGCTTCCCCTAGTCGCCAACTATGCCCTTGCTTTTATGATGATTTGAGTTACCGGTTATTGATGTACTGTAGGTCGCGTCTTCCCCCAAACATCAGTCGTGTTGTAGTTGTTGTTTGAAATTCCCCATTAAACTGATCAAGTGCCTTCCTGCCTCAGATCTGTCTCCGCGCTCTGACCGCGGCACCTCGTGAAGTTCTGCTAGTGCCAAGACCAACGCGAGCATTCCGCTCAGGTTCAGCTTTCTTTCCAAAGGTCCTTATCAGGCCGTCAGCATCTCGCGGGTGTTCACTGATTTTTTTCAATGAGCCCGAGAGTTTCAGTTCCTGTTTGATACCTTTGTACAAACAATCCGGCACCTGTGGTCCTGCAGAACCTGCCCTTGCCAATTTTCGAAGTGCAAGCCCGGCCTAGATTAGACTTGCCGCCAACCATGGCAGTGGCACAGGAGAATGGCCATGCTGAAGCAGTGGTCAAACCGAATGGGCGAAAAGAGTCTGTGCAAACTCAGAGGAAAAAGAAGTTCCTAGGATGGACCATTATAGGCTTGGTCGTGCGGTATGTATTACAATTCGAATCGTGGCAGTATTTGACCCGTTCTGACGCTGATTTGTGCATGCTTTAGACTCGGGATATGGTATGCGCTTTTGACACCCTTTCTGCGGTGCCCATCGAACATTTCCGACTTGAACGACACGTCTCCTCGAGTCTGCAAACCTTATCTCATTGCTCGATCTCATGTGGAACCCTACGTTACTCCCTACTATGATACCTATGCTGCACCCTACGTGGACCAGGCCCGCCCCTACGTGGATCAAGCCCGACCATACGTAGAGATTTTCAACAAACAAGTCTATGTGCCGACATCCAAGCTTGCTCACGCTGGTTATGAAAAGTACGGCGCACCAGCATGGGAACAGGCTCAGACATATGGCGCAGCTCAATGGAAGGCTCAGGTGACGCCGCGGGTTGAGGCGGCCCAGGACAAAGTACATCAGCTCTATCTGGCTGAGGTAGATCCATACGTTCAGCAGGGCTTTATGGTGGTTTCACCTTACTATCATAAGGTAAACTCCGCTGTGCTCACGGCTTATTGGGATCATCTGGTTCCTTTTTACACTAGGTCCCAACCTTTTATCGGTAAGGCCTATGCCACTTCCCAGGATGTTTTGGTGACACACGTTATGCCTGGCGCACAATACACCTGGTCTTCCGTTGTCTACTTTGCCAACAGCTCCCTGTGGCCTCATATTACCGGTCTCTATTCTGAGCAGGTTGAGCCGCAATTGGTGAAGATCGGACAGCGTCTGGCGAGCTATAGGGAGGGCAAGCGCCTCCGTGCGGTTGTTGAGGAAATGGATAGGTATAGACTATTCTTAACCCTATTATCCGATCGATTTCACTAATATTGCCTTAGTAGCTTCTCTGAGCAGCCTAGTCCTTCGGCCACGCTTACTTCTGTGGAGTCGATCCACACCTCGAGCAGTGTGACAGTAACTTCAACTACCGAGGTCCCATATGTTGCGCCTACCCTCTCGGCAGCCGATAAGGCAAAGCAAGTTCGCGAACAGATTGATTCTGATCTTCAGAGATGGCAAGACAAGTTTGCTGCCGCAGCTGACAGTGGAATTGAAGACCTTGAAGAGCGCATCGAAGAGATTGTCGGTGCCCTCGTTGCTAGCAGTGCTAATAGCCATGGTCTGAGCCTTTCAACGGCACTTCAAAGTGTGGCTGCGAAACAAGTTACCACCATTAAGGACCGTATCAATGATCTTGTACAATCTCTACCTGAAGAGGATGCACCGGAAGCTGAGGAGGAAGCCCGCGATCGGTTGGTTGACGACATTCGAACATCCGCCATCTCTGTCAGAGATCGTGCTCATGCCCTTCGCGAATGGTCATTGTCATTCGACGATGAACTTTTGCGTCGGGTATCAGCAGCTGTGAACTCGACCTTAGATGTCCTCGACGGCATTCGTGATCTTGGTCTCCAGGAAATCGGCATGCGCTGGGCATGGATGGATGGTGTTACCTACAAAGACTGGGCAAGATATCGCGCCGTCAAGGAACAACTCCAGGACTGGCGCAATCAGATCTATCACGTCGGTATGAACCACAAATCAGTTGCGGAAGCCAAGGCGGTGGCCGCCGATATCTTGGACCGTGGGATGGAGGTTGCTCAAGAAACGGCTGTGGAGCTTGTCAGATTGAAGGATGTTGGCCATTGGAAACTGGCTGCCCGAGAAGTCGGCGACAATTTCGAGACCAGAAATGAGCTTCCCCCTCCGAGACCGAAGCCGGAAACCGATGCTGAGGATTCTGAGGTAAAAGCTGATCTTGGACACGATGAATCTCCTGAGGAATTTTTGGAACCATCAACAGCCGCTACCATTCATAATGAGGGAGAGGATTCATCGACCGAGAATATTTCGGACTTCGAAGAGTCTTTCGAAAGCGCACCTGGCACTGAGAAAGATAATTTTATCGAGTCAATGTCGGCTGATGCTGTTCAAAACGATGAATCAAGCCCTATCAAGGCCGCCTGGGGGGAGTTGCAGCAGCTGATGCCAACACATATCAAGCTCCTATTCTTGATGATGAGGAGCAAGATGCCCTTCATAGCCTTGCAAGTAAGGCTGGACATGCTTACTCTGACGCCTATTCTCAGGCGAGCTCCGCTTTTGCTGATTCTACCTCAAATGCCAAAGTTCTCTACGAGATCGCCAAGTCGCAAGTCATGGGTCAAATGGCTCAGTCTAGTGAGCCTGCCCATGCACAGGTTCTCTCTTCTATTGAATCTGCATACTCTGGAGCTGTCAATTATGCAACCAATGAGTTTGACGCGAAAATTGCCGCTATCAGGGCAACTCCTACTCCTGCCGGTCCTCTCGCCCAGATTTCCTCAATTGCTTCCTCTCGATTGAGCGAGGGTCTCAGCGTCGCCTCTGAGAAATTGGCCCACATCCAGCCTATTCCATCCCAGACTAGTTCTGCGGGCCTTCAGCCTTACGTGCTTGATGCCCAGCGTCGGTACTATGAAGCTGTCGGTCTCGCTCATGATCATTACACCGCTTTTGTTTCCACGGCTTCTCACGCTGTCTATGGTACCCCAACTCCCACTGCAGCTCCTCTTGGCTTCCAACAGCTCATCGAAGAAGCTGGGTCCCAATACGAACGTGTTTCTTCGCTGGCTTCTGCCAGCCTTGCTGCAGTCGTCGCATCTGCCAGCTCTATGGCTTCATCGGCGGATGATGGGGCAGCGCAGGGCATCATTGACGATGCCTCATCCAGGTATCACGCTGCCATGTCAGCGGCGTCCGCCTCCCTTTCTCTTGCGTCTGCATCCGTCAGCTCTGCTGTCTATGGCACTACACCAGGACCTTTGCAGTCTCTGTCCAGCCAAGCATCCGAGAACTGGGAAGGCCTTATCTCCAAGGCCAGCGAGCAAATCTATGGCACTCCCGCTCCGTATCTTCAGCAATTGCATGAGAGACTGCCTCAGTTTGAGGCTGTTCAAGGAGTGGTATCTGAGCTGATTGTCGGCAAGGAGCCCTCCTTTACTGAGAGTGTCATGAGCAAGCTTCGTGTTGCATACGAAACCCCTTACCCTGCGGCCGCCTTGTCTTCTGCTTCTAGCTACGTCAGTGAAACTTACGAATCAGCGTCCTCGGTTGCAGATGCTTACGTTTCAAGCGTTCCAAGCGTGGAGGATGTCTTGCACAATGTGAACGAGCAGCTCAATGCTGCTGTAGAAGCTGCGAGTATTGGAGTCTATGGCACTCCTAAGGGCCCTTATGAACAGGCTACAGAGGTTGTGGCTGACGCCTACAATACCGCGTCAGCACAGATCAGCAGTGCTGTTTATGGAAAGGAGCCCGGGTACATTGATGTTGCCAGGGAGCACATTGAGGAAATCCAGTCAAAGGCCAGTGCTGCCATCTACGGGGAGGAGCCCGGTGCGGTGGAAAGCGCGACCAGCCGCCTTGCTGCCGCTGTTGAGGGTGCTCAGTCCCAGTTAGCCGAACTGGCCTCAAAGGCCAGCAGTGTCGCGTCTGAGGCTGCTGAGACTGCTAGCTCTCATGTGGAGGATGCCACCGGCAACATCAAGTCTGCCATGTCGTCTGCCAAGGACGAGCTGTAATAAACTCGCTTAAAGCCGGCTCATGGGCCTAGTTGTGATACTTGCCCCTTATGCTACTGTCTTATGTCCACTCCTTTCTTCTAGATCCTGCCGCGTCGAAATTGGGCTTCTTGCCAGAGGCATGTCATGCTCGGTTTATGGACGCTTTATTCCCCATATAGTTTGTCACGATGGCAATATGTTCACGACCTACCAGATGCACATTGATGTTTTTATTATGCTGCGTTCTAAATTTTCCTATCTTGCTTTCCCATCATCTGTCGTCGCTTTCGGGTGCTCAAGATTATTTATTTGTACTTTTTGACGAGATAATCTGGATAATGTGAGTTGTTATATGGATGCACCATGGCCCTACTCCGTATAGTCTGAAATCATATCATTTTCGTCCAATGCCTAGGTCTTTCAGGCTCTTTCTGGCGCCTGTGAACACAGAAGGCGGCTCAGTGGGTATGCCTCCTTTTTCAACTTCACATTAGTTACATTTGAGTAAATAGGTACCTAGATATGTACTTGATGACAATATTACTCTTCAAGTTCCGAATACTGCGACATAAAACCTTGGCTAAAGGAGTAGGATATTTGGACTGGGTCCAGTGCTAGATGTGTTCCCAACCATGGACTTCTTCGTCGAAATTCGCAAACATTGGTCTCTTCCTCTCATGCATCGGTTAGCCGCCCCATGAACCCAATCCTGGCACAAAAGGCTCTTTGGATTGGTGCCGACGCCCGGTATGCAGATAGGTGAGCCAGGACGGCAAGCACAGTAGATTGTATGCTCAATCTGTGTAGTCGGTTGATAAGTCTGACCAGATAGGCTTAGCGAGTCCGGTGCTTTGGTCGATCTCCTCTCTTCTCCTTCTTCAATTCCCTCTTGCTCCTTGCGCCCTCAGACTCCCCCTCATTGCCACCGCCCATGCCCGCAAAGCCTTTCTTCACGCCCATAACTGTAGTGTAGGCCAGGTAGACAGAATAGACAGGAATGACGGTCCAAAGCCACCAAGCACGGTCATTGAAGATACAGGCAGCAACAATGCAGCCTAGAGTCCAATACAGCACATCCCACATGTATTCGGTCAAGCCGGTAGCATTTAAATCTTCGCCAGCCGAGCGCAAGGAACCATCCTCGTTATAGCTTGGGCGACCAACTCGGTCAAGGTAAAATTCGATAAGCAGGGTTGGGAAAGCCAGAAAGAAGTATGGTTTCAGAGAGCGTGGTCGTTGGAACACCTGGTGGAGGATAAAGAACAGTATGTGGATTGCGGCTGAAATAAGATGAGTGCGAGTAAGCACAGCCGTATTACGGGTGGCTAGGGTTTTGAGAGCTTTCTATTTAGGAGTTAGTTCATCTAGAAACATACAAGACAGCTTGCGCCAGTAGCTGTGGTAGCTTAGTGAAGCTCACCTGTGCCATTTTGAACACAGCTTTACACAATCACACAACGTATTAGAGAAGTGAGGGGACCAGATAGTCAAGGCAAGCCAAATAGACCCTTTCCCTAACGATGCCCAACCGATGTTGAAAATAAGAGGGTTAGTTGCAGAAGTGGCCACGAGGGAAGCGGAGCAAGCTGATCTCCAACTTCCGATTGTTGCCCTCCCGACCTTCACCGCCCGGCAGAAACCATGCACCTTGATCGACGCAACCAAAATAAGATCATGATGCAGCAACAAACTCCAACGTCTCCACTCTGGAATAACTTACTATCCCCTTGACTGGATCTCTTTCCCAGCACGATGACTATGATGCTATGAAGGGCTCACACTGGAGTCTACAGCATAACTGACTTGGCTGGCCAATCCTGGTTTCTCTTTTCGTTCTTACCGTTTCCGTCAGTTTACATTCCGTGCTGGCACAACCCGTTGTCGTGCTCCGATTTAGATCGGTTGGAGATCCCTGCTTCCAGACGAGGTCTTCTCCGGCCTACAGACTGATCAGGTTCCATGTCTAGAGAGTGTTGATGGACTTTTGTGCTTTGTTTTCTGAATCGAACTCGCGCGTTGTCTCCCCGCGTCCAAAGGGACACAAGACTTGGATGTGCCATCGACAGTGAAAGTACCGATACCCAGCAATCGCATTACTGCCTCATCCTCACCCCCTCCTTCTTCCACTTGACGCCTTCTTCGCTCACTCAAACGCCGTTTCGCGCGCCGAACCCCACGCGCACCCCTCCTCACCATGGCTCTCTCTCCGAGCCATGTCGCAGGCCAGCTGCGACACTTGATCTACTATCACCTCGACAACAACCTCATTCGTAATGCGCTCTTCCTTGCTGATCGGCTACACGCTTTCGAACCGCGATCTTTCGAGGCGCAATACCTTCTATCTCTCTGTCACTTACACAATGGTGAGGTCAAGGCAGCCTTCGAGTGTAGCCAGCCTACAGGGTCCCGTGGACTACATGCTGGCTGCGCCTACGTCTATGCGCAAGCGTGCCTTGATCTTGGGAAATACCTGGATGGTGTAACGGCATTGGAGCGCAGCAAGAGTCTATGGGCGTCTAAGAATCACTGGAGTGAGTGATCGAAAGGCCTTGCTTGTGTCCGGGACTGAACTAATGCCAAATCACAGACAAGCATAGTGAAACACAACGGCAACATTTGCCTGATGCAGCTGCAGTCTATTGCCTACAGGGAAAGCTATTCCATGCCCACAAAGACCTGAACAGGGCCGTAGATTGCTATGTGGACTCGCTGAAACTCAATCCATTCATGTGGGATGCGTTCCTAGGTTTAAGCGCGACAGGTTTGTTGATTCATCTCTTCACCTTTCCTCCATTGAAAGCAGTCAAGGCTAATTCGTGTTTAGGTGTTAATATCAGAGTCCCTAATATATTTCAGCTCAGCCCCGAGCTACTCGCCATGATATCTTCTTCCCAAGATGAGTTGGACATACTATCTGATCACTTCAGTCCCACCGAAGGTTCATTTCCAATGCCGACTACTGGCAATGGGGTGGACCCTTTTATGGTTTCTGCCACGCTTCCCGACCATGATACAACAAATGGTAGCTCTGCTCTCTATGAGAAGCTCAATCTAAGCTCGGCCAACGCTCCTACGGTACCGCAGCCAATAATTCATGAGGGAATGGAAACCCCTGGCCAAAGCAGCGGGTCGGAAGATTTTCGGATCGCAAATGGAGTCACGGATCCCTGGGACCCACCACTGGCCCCTGCGAGAAAGATGCGCACGATTCAGGCAATGAGCATGAGCTTGGATCACACAGGTCAAGGTACCCAAAAAATGCGACCCACTGGCATCCGTCCTCGACCAAAAACAAGAACCGAACCCGAAGAACCGCCAGTTGCGCCATCTGAGAGAGAGCCTCCACCAGCGCCACGAATCGGTGATCGTAAACGCACTGTTTCAGGCCAAGTCGCTCACCCTCTTCCTCAACAAATAACAGAACCAGGCGCTCCTCAACGTCGCAGTGTCCGGCTCTTCAACCAAATCAAACCTACCACAAAACTGACCAGCAGCACCTTGAGCGGCCGAGATGGACGTGAAGTTAAGAAAGTAAGAAGTACAACTTCCAAGGCAAGGACTGGATCGACTTCTACCGTTGGTCGTGTTGTTAGTGGCAACCGCAAACCAATCGAAAGCCATGACAGCGATGGCAAAGATCATCACCGTGCAACATCCATACCTCCCGTTCCTCCTTTGCCCAGAAATGCCGAAAAAACAAAAGAGGTTGAGGCGCTCAGCTGGCTTTTGGGACTCTTCACAAAACTTGCCTCGGGATATTTCTCCTTGAGTCGTTACAAGTGCACAGATGCCGTTCAGCACTTCAATTCCCTATCGCAGGGTCAGCGGGAAACACCTTGGGTCCTGGCCCAGCTGGGTCGGGCCTTTTTTGAACAGGCGATGTATGCAGATGCTTCAAAATACTTCTCTCGGGTTCAATCCTTGGCACCCTCTAGACTTGAGGATATGGAAATCTATTCTACAGTGCTTTGGCACTTGAAGAACGATGTGGAACTTGCTTATTTAGCGCATCAGCTACTGGAGGTCGACCGACTCTCTCCACAGGCCTGGTGTGCAATTGGCAACTCATTCTCTCATCAAAGGGATCATGATCAAGCGCTGAAGTGTTTCAAGCGTGCAACGATGCTGGACCCTGAGTTTGCATATGCATTCACCCTTCAGGGCCATGAGTATGTTGCGAATGAAGAGTATGACAAAGCACTTGATGCCTATCGCCACGGTATCAAGGCCGATGCCCGACACTATAATGCATGGTACGGCCTGGGCACTGTTTATGATAAGATGGGCAAGCTGGACGAAGCCGAACAGCATTTCCGCAATGCCGCGATGATCAATCCCACTAATGCAGTTCTCATTTGCTGCATTGGACTAGTTTTGGAGAAGAGCGATAATTCCAAGACCGCGTTGGTTCACTATGAACGGGCGTGTTCTCTAGCACCACACTCTATCCTAGCACGATTCCGCAAGGCTCGTGTGCTGATGAAACTCCACGAATACAAGTTTGCGCTGGCAGAACTGAAGGTCCTCAAAGATATGGCCCCCGACGAGGCGAATGTGCACTACCTTCTGGGCAAGTTGTACAAAACCATTCATGACAAGGCCAATGCGATCAAGCACTTTACGACGGCCTTGAACTTGGACCCAAAGGTAAGATATACTGCTTCCTCCATCTGGTCTGTATCTCTTTTTCTAATTTAAACACAGGCTGCACAGTTTATCAAGGATGCGATGGAGTCCATAGATGATGATGAGATGGAGGATGACGACATGGCATAGGCCTGTGATGTTTTTAGGCTTCACGGCTTTTTCTCACTTTTACGTTTGACTTGGGAGGATCTTGTCTTACGAGCTCGGCGTTTCCGGACCTTTTCTGCACAGCATCACTGGGGAGTTTGTTTTCCACGTCTAGACGCCTGGCATTCAGGGTGTTTTGTACATTAGTGAGGTTGGGGCATCATGGTGAACCCGATGATGGCATAGCATAATGCATTATTACCATTCGTCCATTTTTCATAAAATTCCAAAACATTGACATTCCACTATCCCCCTCATTTTCCTGGTATCCCCCGTGGCCCCGGGGACATTGAAAGTATAGTAAATCCGTCATACTTGGCCCAGGAGAATCGCCAAAATTTTTATTTACATGTGGAAAACCTCCGGATATATATATGCGTGATGCCGTCATCTGCCACCATCAGCTGGCGGTGAGTCGGCGTCGGCAAAAAAAAGCAGTATCCACCTCCGCAGTCCCGCAGCATGGATCTCCCTCCTTGTGACTTCTTTCCCTCGACATTCTTTAAGGTTGAAGCCATATTTCGGTGAACCAGGTGATTTCCCCCAACATTTCCAGGGTTATGTATCCATGTACCCTCGACCTCAGAGAACTTGGACTGACCACCAACCCTTTCCCAACAGTTTGGCGTATTGATCCCACCGCTATGTCGATCGGTTCTTATATCTTGTCGGGCATCAGCTCATTTGTGGTGGTGACACTATCTCTCTTCGCCCTTGGCCAGAAGGTTCCCCGCGCAGCGTTTCTCGCCCGCTGTCTCGCCGCATATGGCTCCCTTCTCCTATGTGCAACCTATGGAGTTGCCGCGTCCATCGTCCTCCGCATCGCAGGCTACGGCCGAATCTCCCAATGGGCCACCGCCCGCAGCTTCAAATGGGTGATGCGCTTTACCACCGGAGTTTGCTTCGACATCGTGGAGGGTGAGGAACATCTCTCCACCCGCCCTGCCATCTTTGTCGGTAATCACCAGACTGAGCTCGACGTCCTCATGCTTGGCAATGTCTTCCCCCCTACTGCAGTGTCACGGCCAAGAAGTCCCTTCGCAATATTCCATTCCTCGGTTGGTTCATGTGGTTGTCTCGCACTGTCTTCATTGACCGAGCGAATCGTGAAACTGCTATGAAGGCCTTCGATGGTGCTGTGGATGAGATGAAGACCCATCAGCAAAGCGTCTTCATCTTCCCCGAGGGCACCCGGAGTTACTCCGATGAAGCTATGTTGCTGCCTTTCAAGAAGGGTGCTTTCCACCTTGCCATCAGGGCTGGTGTGCCTATTGTTCCCGTTGTTACGGAGAATTATGCGCATATCATGTCGCCTCGCGCCTGGCGCTTTGATGCAGGCACTATCAGGATCAAAGGTCAGTTTTTGCACCTACATGCATTCCAACCAAGGTTTTACTAAAACAAATCAATAGTTCTTCCACCCATTGAAACTAAGAACATGACCGCTGCGGATGTTGATCAACTCACCACTTTGACACGGGATTCCATGCTGAAGTCCATCCTGGAAATGGCACAGACCCTAGAAAACAAGGTCGAGCCACAGGCCAACGGTGTGTCAACTGCCATCGAGATCTGATGGCCATATTTTGGTCATGAATAGTCAGAAGCATATAATGGAACATGTAAACATGGTTCCACGCCAACCAAGCCTTGTTTGGCCGGCCTCTCACAAAACCCCGCCTTCATGAAACCTGCCATTTCCGAAGCAGCACTTAACATTGTTGCTGTATATACATCTCTTCTCTCGGCACATACCCCTTGTCTTTCAGTTACAGATTGCTGCGGATAGAAGAAGGAACTTGGCCCCCTTGTCTGAAACAAACAGATAATGGGGATTATCACGAATTAATTGATTCAAGCTTATCAGAAAGGCTTATTTGCTACCTTCCCTTTTTTTCGGTACACATTATCACACAACCTTCCTCGGCCCTTTTTTTCTTTTCATACCCACCTACAACTGTATATATCTTTAGCATGAAAAGACTAATGATCTGGCAACTGTCTTGTTTCAACCTCATCAAATGACGCTATATGATGTTTTATAAGAAGCCTAATCACTCCAAGATCATGAATCGACCTCAGGAGTTGCACCTATTCACAAGAAGTGATGTGATCCCCAGCTCTGGAGTCAGAAGGCATGTCGCTTTACAACGATTCACGTAATTGAACACCGGAGAGAACGGATTTAGGGTTCTCAGGATGAGCACATCGACCTTCTGCACAAGCCCGGATATCAAGATCAATATCGACCTCCTGCATCGGGAGCCAAGGATCTGTGATTGAAGATGGAATATTCCACGGATCCATATGACCAATAATTTTCATAGTACTGAGAGGAATGCGACACTCCTCCGTTTCGTCCCCAGAGCGCACAGTGATATGTCCAGGCAGATGATGCAGACCCTCATTACACTTCACTTCCGGGAAAACACCAACAGGGAGACCCCGACCAGCAACCGCAACAATGTAATCAGACTCGAATGCGACAAGTTGAAGACGAACGTCATCAAGTGGCTTCCCTGCCTTGGTGATCTTGACACCATCAAACGAAGGGCCCCAGTTTCTGGGTGATTGCGGGATATTTTTCGAATTTTGAGATTGAACGTAGGGTTTCGGAGCATGTAAAGGATTGACAGGGTCGGGGGGAACGACGTTTGAAAATTCAAGAGTTCGTAGCCATGGAGCCAGAAGAGCATCTCCGGTCATTTTCAGGTATGCTTCTTTGAGAGCCCAGTATGAATAAAACAGACGCACGCCAAAACTGACAATCGTTTCTTCGGTGTTTGAGCCATCGAATGCTTTTGCGAGGCCGAGTGCTCGAGCTTGGCGGAGGGCAGCTGCTGGATTTTTCATAGTCTCAAGCTCCCGATCTGAGAATACATCCACGAAAATGGATACATGTTCCAGGTACTCGGGCATGGTCTTGATGACCCTGCGGCGGTTCTCGTTCACACAGGTCACGTCGATGCCCAGCCGAGGCTGCTGCGGTAAGGTGCCTCTGGTGGAGTGTTTTTGCATTTGTTCTGAAGTTGGAGCAATGGTTCCCGCCAGCATGGTGAGCCCTGCCTGGTGGGTGACGTTGAATTCCACCTGAGTGTCAGAGATAGATTTGTAGTATGGTCGGTTTTCGGGCATGTCCGTGCGCCTGAGGATAATTTCTTTCCATGGAACACCACAGGCGTGGTGGATATATAAATACTTGAGAAGATGTGAGGCCAGCGACATGCGTTTGTCTGCGGCATGGTAATACCTTGTCACGGCTTTCTGCTCGTCGGGACGAAGGGATTCTAAAAAGGGCAGATTCTTCCCATTCGCCTCCCAGTCTCGGACATCGATGTACCAGCGTGCTGTTGTTGGGAGACCTGCTAAACAAGAGTTGACATCCTCGACGCTGGGGTTGCCATGCCGAGCATCTTCCAGACTGATCTCATTGGTCCGCATGTTGTAGGTTTTGGTTTCAGGCCAATTTTGAGGCGAATATAAGAGTCCAAAGCGTGAGAGGGTGTTATTAAATATATAGCCCCCACTAATCCCAAAGGCTCAGGCAATGAAAAGTCCGAAGTGTCGATCAACGACTGGTCATTCTGGACCCCACTATGAGGTGTTGATACCTTGCGCCGCGTTCGCAAGGATAAGCTTATCGGCCTATCAGGTACGATCTTCACGTGCCGATAAGAGTTTTTCCCCGCGGAAAGTCAACATCACGTGCATGAAGAGTCATATCGCCACGAGGGGGCAACCTTGTTTTCTATACTTTACTTTAACTACGGAAATGACGATTACAGTGGGTGTTCTTGCCTTGCAGGGCGCATTCATTGAGCATGTCAATCTCTTGAAACAGGCAGTGGGGCAAGATTCTGCAGACTGGGAGTTCTTAGAGGTGCGAACACCACAAGAGCTCGCGAGATGCGATGGACTTGTTTTGCCTGGTGGCGAGAGTACCACAATGTCTCTGGTTGCTGCGAGGTCCAATCTTTTGGAGCCATTGAGAGAGTTCGTCAAGTAAGTCTTCATTAATGACATTGATCTCACGAACGTGACTGGGAGCTAATGTGGCGGTTGTATAGGGTCCTTCGTAAACCAACCTGGGGCACTTGCGCCGGCCTGATTTTGCTCGCCGAGTCAGCGAACCGTACCAAAAAGGGTGGCCAAGAGCTTGTTGGTGGCCTCGACGTTCGAGTCAATCGCAATCACTTTGGCCGGCAAGCAGAAAGCTTCCAGGCACCACTCGACCTTCCATTCCTGGGCGAGACTGCAGAACCGTTCCCCGCCGTCTTCATTCGCGCACCTATCGTGGAGTGCATCTTACCACACCAGAAAGGTATCCAGGTGGACGAGGTCGACCGAGAAGACACTGTCGTTGCTCCGTCGAGACCAACCAAAGACGCAGTGGCAGAAGCTGCCACAGCCGATAACGTTGAGGTGATGGCCACATTGTCAGGACCCGCAGCTCGCATTGCCACACAAAGCCGAAACATCAGCCCTGATGAAGAGATTGGCGATGTTATTGCTGTGCGCCAGGGTAATGTGTTCGGTACCAGTTTCCACCCGGAGCTGACGGGTGATGCTCGGATTCACGCATGGTGGCTGCGCCAAGTGCAAGCTGCTGTTAACAAAAGGAATAAACTGGGACAACAATAGATCGACTTATAGACCGCGCTGAGAAGACATGTAAATAGAGTATCAGATGAATAGAAAATCTCCGGTGTTTTTTTGTCTGCTAATTGAGCTGGCACCCTTGAAATAACGCCAATTTTCCCACAATGCTTCATGTCCATGTTAGATACCTATCGTCCCGCACCATATTCTTCTTCCTCTCGTGCGCGCTGCTCATCGTAAGCACGGCCGTAGCCACCTCGGCCGGGATCGTATTCTTCACGGTACTCGTCACGGACTTGGCCACCTGATTTTCCACGTCTGTATGAAGATTTTAGTTTACGTCTTCAGCAATTGCTTCGTCGGACCACTTACCCATATTGCCGACCCTCCTCAAAGCCGGGATCCAGGTCAGTCCGGATAATGCGCTCGTCCAGCTTAGTACCTCCAATGTACTTCAGGCAGTCCACAGCATCTTGATGATTGTAGTATTCGACAAAGCAGAACCCACAGGGTGTTTTATTGAAACGGTCAAGACCCATTACCAACCGCTTGACTTCGCCGCATCTGAGTATCTTCATTAGCCTTGGTTAGGTAGTACAGCAGATTGATCAAACTGACTTGGAGAAGAGCTCATGAATCTGTTCCTCTGTTGTATAGAAAGACCTATAGTCGAGTCAGTGACATGTCCGCCAAGTCTCGGCCTGGAGCCCGTCACGTACAAGTTACCCACGTAGAGTGTTGTCGCATTGTGGAGCTTGGAGTTGGGATCTTCCTGCTCCTTTTCATCATCACGATCTCTGCGGCGCTTGTTCTGTTTAATTTGGTGGTTAGCGCTGGTCTTTTGCAAGGCGCAGACCCTGTAGAGGTCGTAAGACCTCGTGATCACTCACCTTGCCAGCATAATAAGCGCTAGGCCGGTCTAACCGATCGACGGTATTAATCTGCAATAAACTCATAGTGAAAGTGGGATTGGTGGACTTTAGAGATGGGGAAAAGAATGAAAGTTGAAGAAGCAAGCAAGAAAGGCGGACAAGGGAAGGGAGCTCGGAGCTTCTAAAGATCTTGGCGCGCGCCCAAATTCCAACGCCGCATCAACACTTCCGCTTTGCCTAACATCTTTTTGGGGAGGATGTTTTGAGCTTCTCACCCTTTTTTAAACATCTGATCCAACTCGAATTCTCTTTGATACAACTATCTCCATGCCAAAGGTGAACAGTTACGCGCCGGCCTGGCTGTGCCGGCCCTCGCCCGGCGCCAGCCTTTTCACCAGTGCATCCGACAAAGGCCCTGCGCAGACCCTGGAAAATGGATCAAAGACTGTTACACCAAACGCAGCAAATCGCACGATCGCAAAGAGAGGAAATGAGGTATTCGCCGTCATCGACAACGAAATTCGCTGGTCCGACCTTGCGCGACTGAAGGATCAATGGCAACAAGAAGCTCGGCAAAAGAAGAGCTCTACAGGTCCTGTGAAGGAGCAGGCAAATGGCACTAAATCTCCACCTTACAGGGTAGGTAACTCTAATCATATACTCGAAACATGTTGTCTCCGAGTACTCTCGATTTTGGCGCCCATAACTAACAAACACAGGTTCTAGCGGTGCCTGTCTACGGCCTCATCAAGCAGATTATACCCTCTCCGAATGGCGCGTTCCTCGCGATTGTCACCGAGAACACTGTCCATATCTCTGTCCTCCCCGATTCGTCCCATCTATCTTCGACAGACACGTTACCTATTCGGTTAAAAACCTACCAGCTTGGCCCGACCACCCATGTCATTCCAGAAGCCCCCGTGGTATCTGCTCTGTGGCATCCTCTAGGGCTGCACACGAACTTGAGCGGGTGTATCGTGACCATTACCGCAGATGCTGCGGTGCGAGTTTGGGAGTTGGACCGGAACAACCACTGGTCCTTTGATCAACCGACTCTGGCAGTGGACCTCAGGAAGCTGGTTGATGGAACCTCGTCTGATCAGGATTTCGCACCCTCAGGATTTGGTAAAAACAAGGGATTCTCCGCCGATGTAATTGATATGGAAGTTGCTTCTGCCTGCTTTGCGGGCAGTGGAAACGAGAGAGAAGATGCTTGGGCGCCCATGACTCTCTGGGTTGCTATGCGGCCAGGTGATCTTTATGCTCTTTGCCCTTTGCTGCCATCTAAATGGCAGGCTCCTTCTACAACTATCCCTTCGCTTTCTTCGGCCATTGTTCCGAAGTTGGCGGCCCTTGAAGAGGCCCCTGAGGATCTGGAAGAGCAGTTAATCGCATGCCGGCAACAGTATGACTGGCTGCGGGAGATTGACGAACAAGAACCCTTGGATCCTCCCTCTGAAACTGGCAACATCCAGGGCGCAGACGTCTTCACCCGTCCGGCTGTCCCGAGCGCTATTCCACGTTTGCAAGGGCCTTTCCGATTTGATCTCGGTGACGATTTGGATGATTTGGATCTCTGTGATATCCTCGTAATTGCCGCCAGGCTCAATGTTGAAGACCTCATGATGGGCGAGGATGAGGAGCTTGCAGTTGAGGCCACCGAGAAAGACAAGCTGTCGGCAACTGTTATTTGCCTGTCGAGTGGGAACGGCCGTGTCAACATTTGCCTGGAGCTTGAGGGTGTTGAAGGCCAATGGCTTCCCAAGTCTAAGAAAAACACGTTCCGAACTCCTCTCTCGGAGCCTTCTGATCTCGTCTTGGTCGAGTCACTCGACACCATCAAAACCACTGGAAACGAGTCGGTGGCGTGGCCTATCTTCACCAGGGATTTACACTCACGCTACTCCTTTTTCGTCACTACTGCTACAAACGTAGTATCTTTCTCTATGTCCTCTTGGGTTCAGAGACTCGAGGCCGAACTGCAGGCAGAGGACCCCTCCGGGTCTGGTTTCCGTCTGCAAGTCCTGTGCAGTGGAAACGTTGCCCAAAGAGAACGAATCTTGCAAGTTTCGGAAACTGATATCACCTTCCCGAACGCGCATCTTGCTGGTTCTGTCGTTTTCTATGATTTCGACCTCGGCTACCTACTACTCACCTACCACCCTTCAAATCCGTATGCCGCTGTCATGGATGCTCCAGAGGACTCGTTCTCTGCCGCACTGGACTCCCATTTCGAACAGCGAACGAGTGTTCCCGGCTCTCCTGCCGCGTTGCCTCGACGCGCTCCATACCAAGTTCCGGCCGTTCTCTATGCGGCGTCCCCATTGGAATCCTTTGTCGACACGCAAGTCCCTCACCGGCAACGACACACCCTCAAGGAGCAGGTCCGCCTGTCGCCAGCAACGTTGGACCTTGTTGCTACTGCTCACCGCCAGCTTGCCTCTTATACCAATGCACTCGAGAGAGCCGCTTCGGATCTGTTCCGTAGATGCGAACGGTTGCAAGGTGAGATGAAGGACCAGCTGAAGCAACTCTCCGATGTTGCAGAACGCATCAAGGGCGTGACGAGCGAGATTGGTGAAGATGGCAACCGCAAGGAGGGCACCAGAAATGGTGAAGCCTTGGACAAGAGGCTGCAAAACGCGAGGGACCGACAATTAGAATTGGTACAGCGCTATGATGCACTACGCAAGAAGGTTATCAACTCAGGCGGACGTCCCCTGAGTGAGAAGGAGAGGGCTTGGGCGATGGAGGTCAACACGTTGTCTGAATCGCTTGATGATCAGCAGTCCAAGGACGAGGAAAAGCAACAGCTTGCCGGACGGTTGGAGACGGTGAGACTTTCCCCCCTACTAATGACTAGATTTCGTCAACTAATAATTTTCCAGGTCAAACAATTCGCCCTTGACCTCATGGCCGAAACAAAGTCGATTGCCGCCAAGGCACCCACGTCCCCGGATCTTGGAGATTCGTCTTCTGGCTCTCAGCCCAAGGTACCGCAACGCCTGCAGCGCCAACGGGTCACAGAGGCCATGAGAATGGTCGAGCGAGAGTGAGTTGATATTGCCTTGACATTCTTGTCGCTACAAACTAACAAAATCGCTAGGTCTGCTGTCATTGACGCTATTACTTCTCGACTTGGACGCCTCAACCACAACATTTAGGGCGCTGAACAGTATAGCGACGGAGTTGTTGGCCAATAGAATTTGTTTTTTTACACCTGCATTGATGGGTGAAGCTATTTAGTGGTGAGATACGCATCAAACCCGCATGTTTACGATTTTCAAGTACAATGAAAGCCCTGCATTTTCGCTTAATACATCCATGAATTTCGTCCTGAAACGAGATCTCTATCGTAAATAAGCTAATAATTACATTCTCTTTTCCACCACCACCACCACGGCGATACATCTCCGTGATCCCAATCGGAAGAGACGTTCTCATCGTATTCGCATGTCTCGGGGTCGGGCTCGACATCTTGCCCAACTCCATCTATGAAACTTCTAATTAGCACACATAACCAAATCAGAGAGATATAGTAACAGGTTGCCCACCTTTCAAATAAATCCAATTACTCTTCTCACGCGTCGTGCGATAATCTTTTTGCATAGACGAAAGTTTCACCGGCTCACAGGACCTGGACGTATCACAGTAATACTCATAATGTAGAAGATACCAGGGAAGGTTATCTGAATCTAGGTCGTAGTCTGTTATGGGTGTTTGTGGCCGCGATGGATTCGTGCGCGTGATATCATTGTCCTCGATGTAGGCTTCATCGTCTGACTCTTTACCAATTATGTTTTCTATATCATCGGCTTGGCTTAGTCGCCTTGGGGCATTTTTGCAGGTGCACTTATCAGGAGTTAAGGGTATATTCGGGGCTTCTTTGTCGCTGGTGCATTGCTTCGCACCTGTTTCCCTGGTTCCTCTAACGATACTTGGAACAAGGTAGGGTGATTCGGTCTTGCCTGACGGGCTTTCATCATGGGTCTCGCTGCCTCGAGTTATTTCCTCCTTCCATTCAAGTTGATTTCTAATCATCTTGGAAATAGACTCGTTGATCCTCTTATCTCCACTCTTCCAGCATTCTTTGCAAGTCTGTAAATGCGAGTAACGAATCACCATCCGTCGACCGAGACACATCTGGTCTGCTTTACAGAGGATATCCTCTTCAACCCATATACAGCCACATAGCGGATACTTTCGAGTCCATGTGATACACATTGCTATCCGTTGTCAAGTAGGAGATGGGAAATGGATTGATTGCAGTTATTGGCTTGGAAATAGGTGGATGTTGGGTAAATCTGGCAGATATGCTTATAACGAAGATTTTCATTGTGCTAATTGTATTACTCACCTACCTGTTGACATTCTTTGTATAGTGACTGGAACACTAAGGAAATCAAAGGCGCAGTAGTTCCAGATAAAGGGTGATGCTCTGGTATGACAGAGAGACAAAGCTTTCAGAACTGAACCTTTGAAACAAATGAGACAGATTGTCTGGAATACAACTGACTTGTACATTTGAAGAATAGATATTGGCAGATAGTTGGAAATCTGAAATCAAAAGTCTTGAGTAGGCGTACTTAGTTAAGCAAATATCTATTCATTGTTCCCAGTGGTCTGGGTCATCTCTATCTCTGGAAATTTAGAAAACTATCCAGTACTTTTTTTGCAGTAGTGGTTTCTAAAACACGGAAATCACAGCTTCCACCAGGAATCGAGTTCGCTTATGTTCGCTTGTGGAGATTCAACGGGGACGTGGCTTTTCATTTCTCATCACCTTGGAATAAGTTCCAGTTCAAAACATGGCAGCCCGAGAGTATCATCAGAGAACGCATAAACAAAAAAAAGAGATTAGTTGAAGGCACAAACTCTGACGTTTCAGTCAATTGACTAAAAGGATACCAAATTACTGGACACTGTGTCTCGCAAATCAGTGGCTGTGGGGTCTCATTTAGGGAGCTATTACTACATACCGTTGGATGAGGTGGACACCCGAAGCAGTCTCAACAATGCCGCTGACCTGACCAGGCGACAGTGCAAACGCAGCGTCCTCGAACTCTTTCTGCATTTCACCGGGGCCAAAGAAGCCACTGAGAATCATTAGTTCCAAATTTTGTAATTTAAAATCCAGAAGTTTGAGACTTACAGATCACCCTTCTTGCGGGCACTGCTGCAATCGGACTCGGAGACGGCGATGTCTCCCAGAGATTCGCCAGAATCAATGCGCTGTTGATAACCCTCGAGGATCTGGATGGCCTCCTCCTTCGAACGGGTGATATCGGCCTCGCGCCAACTGCTGGGGCGACGGCTATCACGGTGCTTCACCAGCAGGTGGCTGCAACGAATCTTGCCTTCGGATTGTCCAGCGCCATCGTTGCGGGCCGCAGGGGTGTGGTTTTGAGCCATGTAGACCTTGAGCTTCTCGGTATCGGTATCGGCAGGGGGTTCCCAACGGGACTCTTTGGAAGAGGGGTGGAAGTAGTAGGGAAGGTTCTTGGAGTTGGAGTGACGAACTTCCCAACCGGCAGGCAATCCTGTATCGGCCTTTAAAAACACGGAAGCATTAGAAATTGATGTATCAAGCATTGGATGATGACTGGAGCTTACCATCGTGAATGTCTTCGTGAAGAAGGTTTTATATGGGGATGAAAAGGTGTTTGCGATGATTCTGAATCTGACTTGGAGCTAGCAATTCACTACGAAATGCGGGACAACGCAGTAAATTAAGCAAATTGCGGGGGAGGTCCAGTGCAAACAGTGCAAACCACATCGCCACGGCAAAGGGAAATCGAACTTATCATCTCAACTCTCACTTCCTTCTATAAGTTTTCGCCATTCATTTCTCAACGCTTCTGTCATACTTCCAACAACGCTAATATACATTCTTTCGGCATCCAAACTTATCGCTCTTTTCGAAAAATGTCTGCCAGCCCTTCTCCAGCTGCCGGTGGTGACACCAAGCAGGCCGATCAGATTCACTTCCGATTCTGCCGCGAATGGTAAGTCTTGAGCTTCCTCTATAGGGGAACTGATTCCTTTCCAAAAGAACCAAAAGAATGCGTATTAACAAATTTGTCAGCTCCAACCTGCTTTACCCCAAGGAGGACCGCGCCACCAACCAACTCATGTTCACCTGCCGCACCTGCCATGTCGGTGAACCTGCCAGTTCCTACTGTGTCTATCAGAACAAGCTCAACAGCCAAGTCGGTGATACCGCCGGTGTCACCCAGGATGTGGGCTCCGACCCCACGGTTTGTGTCCCAAGATTCCCCTTTCTCGAAGGCTTTTGCTATCTTTGCGGAGATGAACTCTCTTGCTATATTTGCGGCGAGCTACCCAATTTGACTCACGCGGAAGAGGACGATGATGGCCTGGAAACATGTTTCGAGAGCCAGTGCAGCCTCAGCTCAGCCCGTTCTTAAGAAGTTTCTTTGGATGTTCCTTCAGGCTGACACAATCTTGTTTCCCCATTTTATAGCTTCCCCGTGCGAACAAGTTATGCCCAAGTTGTGGTGAGAATGAGGCTGTATTCTTCCAGTCCCAACAACGGTCTGCCGAGACTGGAATGGTGAGCATCCCTCGGGTTTTTTTCTTCCCTTTTGTTTCCCCTTACATATACCAACGGTCACACCCAACGATCATGCGCCAACTCTTATTGACAGAAACTCTACTACGTGTGTTGCGCGTGCGGTAACGTTTTCATGTGATGACCCTTTACGATGCGTCCCGATTCCCCCGGATACCCTTTCACGGTCTTTTTTTTGATTTGCAAGTTCAGCATGCTCTGGAGTTTAGCGAGGAACACTTCGTGCATATGCTCAATGGTTTTGTGACGGAGAAAAGTTCTATTGATACAAAATATGCTTTCCAAACAACGCTTTCCCAAATAAAAAAACGAAAATCAGATAGCTGTAGTATTACACGTGCACCGGGGCCAACGACAAAATCTTGGACCATTGCTTATCGCGCAGTTCTTGTCCAACGACACCTGAAGAGAGCGGGAATTGTTAGCATCCATTACAAGCAAGTAATCTTAAGGGAGTCCAGACTCACCATTCATTCTTGTTCCGATCGGATCTCCCGCCTTGTTCACCAGCACACAGGCATTGTCACCAAATCGCACCACAGATCCGTCTTTGCGCTGAAGTTCCTTCTTCACACGCACAACAACTGCATGACGAATATCACCACGGCGGACCTTGTTCGCAAGAGCAGTGCCAGATCCCTCGGATCCAGCAGCTCTCTGTTTCTGGACGACAACGACTATCCGATCACCTGTATGAACCACCAATATTAGCCTCTAACTTTCGGACTCTCGACCTTCTCTTCCAATTCTTTGCAATCCATATATTCGGGGTTTCTGGGTTCCGGAACTGACCGATCGTCGCGGGCCGCTTCTTCTTCAGGACGTTGACGCACTCGACGACCGAGGCGCCGGAGTTGTCGATGCAATTTAGTAATGTCTGTGTGGAAAGGGTTAGCAATGTTCTATCCAGCAGGTTTTGAGGTTGGTACTCACCTTTAGTTGAATCATGTTGGCGTATTGGAGGAGGGTAGTTATTTGTCGCGGAGTCGCATCAACCATAATTTGATCGGGAGGTCGGATGTGAGTTTCCCCGAACGGAATGTTTCTCCGATCGCCATCTATACTTTCGCAATTTAACTTTGACCCGTATGGCGAATATGCCTTTTAATATTATTTTATTTATGACCTCTGGTTGCTCCTTCCTTTCTTGATAGATTATTGCAGCACTAAAGGAATGATGGAGTATGTTTGCAGTGACATGACTTGATGTTATTCTCCCAGGGCATTAGTACCATGGCAATATTGTTGGATTAAATTGGCAGTTTTTAGAATGAATGCAAATCTGCTATGTCTTTGCGGGTCTGCTGGTACATATATTCAGAGCCAATGCTAGTAGCCTTGGAATGCATATTTCATAGAAACGGTACAACTTGAGTTTCGACTGGGTAGTCTATCGTACAATGGCTCGGGAGGTTGAAGATATATATAATTGAGCGCGCTTGCCAACCTTGGAGGGTGCCCAGTCGATGACCTTAATTCCATCTTTTAAGGACAGTCGTCATGTCAATTACCTTGTGAACCAGTAGATGAGTAGGTTCAAATGTCATGCTTACATACAGGTGAGCATTGATTCAAAGGATAAAATTTAACGATCAAGGCAATATGTCGGAGGTGTTCAGGCGCGGAGGACTCGATCTTACACCGGGTCTCAAGCCTTACCTGCAGTGAAACCGGAGTTTGGGAATGGTACTCTTTGTATACAAAGGTCTAAAAAGTTGGGCAATACTATGAGGACTTGTAGAATAAAGTAAGCAGTGCAAGGGCTATTTTTATTCAAGAAGTACACTGGTATGCAAGGCCTCTATGGGGCGGACGTAAAAGCGGCGAGAACGGCCCGAGTCCCAGGAACGCGGAAAGCCTTGGTTTTCCCCTTGGATTTGCGACGGGCACAGCCTACTCAGCACCAATTGGCGCCCCTATGATCATCTTTGTCGCCATGCTGGGGCTGTGACACTGTCTTTATCACTCGTTTGTTCATTCATTATCACAATTATCTGTTCAATCCACCTTCACACTACACCCCTCCCTGCGGACCGCCGCGTGCTCCGAACGCCTCACAAAACCGCGCAAAACGCCCTCCATTTCATGCGCACGGAGTCCTCCTTACCCAAGTCCCTCAGTCGGTCACTGTGATCTACCATGCCACCTAAGAACTCGCGTTCGGAGTCTCCCGCGAGCGAGCGCCGTGAACGCCTGACTTTGGCGAAACTGGCCAGCTATGACGATGTCGCAACAGATGCGCTAGTTGATCATGTAGGCTCGTCGTGTCCCACCTGATCTAAGAACCCACTTGCTAACCGGAACTATGAATAGGCTTACTTCTGGACCACTACGCGCAAGAATCGCAACAAGTACAGCCCGGCCCGCGGCATCCACGATGACGACGTAGGGCGCATCCTCCTTCACGATGTGGTCGTTGCCAAGGATGTCCCACAAGGCGAACGAAAGCTGTTGGAATTACCGGGGCTGAGGAAGTACATGGCCAATCTCCCTAGCCCTCGTGAAAAAGAGTGGTTTCGCCGCCATCTACGCAAATATGTGCAGATGTACCACCCGGACTGTCCATTCGAGGTCACTACGACCAACCGGTATATCATCACTCAACACGAAGCCGCCATATGCGCCCGCAAATTCATTAAATCAGGCCAGGAGATCAAGTTCCTCAGTGGAACTCTTGTATCTATGACCAAAGAAGAAGAGCTGGATCTTGGCTTGACGCGGAAGGATTTCAGTGTTGTGATGTCCAGCCGCCGGAAAACGCCCTCCTTCTTTCTCGGACCCGCTCGCTTTGCCAACCACGACTGTGATGCTAATGGTCGCTTGGTGACTCGGGGCAACGAGGGAATGTCTGTTATGGCCACGCGTAATATCTACGAGGGAGAAGAAATCACAGTCTCATACGGAGAGGATTACTTTGGTATCGATAATTGTGAATGTCTGTGTCTGACCTGCGAACGTGGCGCCCGTAACGGTTGGGCGCCACAATCACATTCGGACTCGGAAATGAATAGCAAGGAGTCCACCCCAGTTTCGATGGATGAAGAGACACCAGAAATTACCAGCAAAAAAAGACGGCGAGATTCGGAGTTGGATGTGGAAGATCCACCCGCAATATGTTCTTCTCCACGCAAGAAGGCCAAATTCCAGCGCCAAACGTCCAAGCTACGGGAAGAAATCTCTCTCACCGAACTCACTACGACTCCAGATTCTGATGTTCCTTCTACACCTGGCTCCGATTTCGGTTCAACTGTCGTCGCGACTCCTATCGAGAGCGACCGAAAGTCTAAGTTGAGACAGGAAATAATTTTCGATACCATCCCTGACTCACTCTCAACCGTACTGGCCTCCGAAAAGTCAGACTTTCCAGTAATTACCGATCAGGTCGCTCCCATCGAGTCCATTGAGACCACTATTGCGACAACAATCTCTCCTATCGATTGTGGATCGCCTGAATCCGCAACTGGCGAATCCCACCGGTCCTCCACATCAAGTGTTCCTACTTCGGTGATAGAGACAGGCCTGAAGGCCCAAGCAGAAATCCTTGAGTCTGACGAGGATCTATCCAAATCAGTTGAGCTAGACGAGGCCACTGAAAATGGTGCTGAAAAGCCCAAGATTCGCCGAAACCGTCGCAAATGGAAGATCATCGCCTCCATTGAGGAGAAGATGCCTCTCGTGCGTGTTCCAGGTGACTACACCAAAACCTCACGACTCCTAGCACAGAAATATGACCGCTGGGTAGACTGCCAAACATGTGATGTGTGGTTCGTCCAATCTAATTCATACCAGACCCGCCGCGAGTGCCCTCGCTGTGAGCGGCATTCAAAGTTGTATGGATTCCAGTGGCCAAAGACGGAGAAGGGCAATGACGGCGAAGATCGAGTCATGGATCACCGCACCATCCATCGATTCCTGTCCCCCGATTCCGAGGCTCGTGTTTCACGCCGAGACCGAGGTGTCAGCTTCGGGATAACCCCTGAACTCTCGGATAGTCACACTGAGACAGAGACCAGCGACGTTCTCGAACCGCGCCGCAACACCCGTGCGAGCCGCCGCCTTACCCGGGAGCTGCGCATGACGATGTAAAGAGCTGTTCATCTATGAGAGTGGATAAGCTGAGTATTTGGCATTTGTAACATTTCTTTTTACGCATCAGACAAGGTGTTTGGACGGCTTTTTCGTGGTGCATTTAGGGATTTCATTGGATGGGGCATCAGGCATTTTGGTCGTTTGGAGTCGGCTTATTTGGAAACAGAGATCTATTACTAAAACATGGACAGTTCCTTCATTGGTTAAAGCAAACACTTTTTGAGTACACTTTTCATCGGGTTGATCGACACCGAAGTAGCGATTCCCCATGCATCCCCGCATCTCGGCCCCGCGACATTCAGGGTTCCGTCAACAATAACTGCACCAATGAGGAACAAGATGTTATTGCTTGTTAGTATCCCATCCTTGATCGATGATGCCCAAACATGGTCCACACGAGACCCCATGCAAGACCGTTGCGGGCTTATCCCCGAGTAAATCCTGTTTTTTTGGGCCGCAGTTTCCAAAACCAGGCATATATAGCCTCCGCAAGACGCTGCTGTAGATCATCTCATTAGCATCATTTCGAGGGTCAATAGTTATACTAATTCATCATTTACTACGATGGGATTCTTATTACCTCTCATCCTACATTTCCTGGCCCTGGTAGCCATCGTGAGCGCATACGATGACCCATTGGTACAGCTCAACTATGGCAACTTCCAGGGAAAATACGACACAACCTACAACCTCTCGTACTTTCGCAAGATTCCATTTGCAGCGCCCCCAACAGGACAAAACCGCTTCCGTGGACCCCAGCCGCCTCTCAAAATCAACGAAAGCGTCTATGACACAGATCAGACCTTCGACATGTGCCCTCAGCGCACGGTCAACGGCTCCGAAGACTGTTTATACCTGGGCCTCTTCTCTCGTCCATGGGATTCCTCACAGGATGTGAAAAGGCCTGTTCTTGTCGTGTTCTACGGAGGCGCATTCATCGAAGGCGATGCACTTTTTGGCATCCCGCCTAATTCATACCCTGTTCTCAACGCAAGCACTCTGAATGATTACGTGGTGATTTATCCCAACTACCGCACGAATGCATTTGGATTCCTACCCGGCAAAGCGATCAAAGAATCCTCCACCTCGGATCTCAATCCGGGCTTGTTAGATCAGCAATATGTGCTGAAGTGGGTGCAGAGCCACATCGACCAGTTTGGCGGGAACCCGAAGAATGTGAGCATCTGGGGCCAATCTGCTGGTGGAGGCTCTGTTGTGGCTCAGATTCTAGCAAATGGACGTAATGGGCAACCGAAACTCTTTTCAAAGGCCATCGCTAGCTCTCCTTTCTGGCCAAAGTCTTACACTTATGATGCGCCCCAGGCTGAGGCCATTTACAACCAGTTGGCTAATTTGACCGGTTGTGCTGGATACAATAATGGCCATCAGACGCTGGCTTGCTTGAAATCGGCTGATGTGCAAGCTATTCGGGATGCGAGTCTCATCATCGATGCTGATAATACATACACTACCAGCTCGTATACGTGGGCCCCCGTTATCGATGGCGAGTTTCTGGCTGATACTTTAACGGAGGCTGTAGACAAGAGTGATTTGCAAACCGAGTTTATCTGGGGAATGTACAACACCCACGAAGGACAGAATTTCATCCCGTCAGGATTAGCTGATGCTGCTTTAACGGGCGGATATAACTCATCTGAGGAGAGCTTTCACCAGTGGTTAACCGGATTTCTACCTGGCTTGTCGGCGAAGCAGGTTGAGGCTGTGGAGGATACTTATTATCCAGTCGATGGCAGCTCCGAGACGATCACTGAGTATAATACTACTTATATTCGCGCCGGGCTCATCTACCGAGATGTGGTGCTCTCCTGTCCGGCATACTGGGTAGCCTCGGCGGCACCGGGGAAGGGATACGTTGGTGAATATTCGATTTCCCCGGCAACACACGGGAGTGATGCTATCTATGTTCGTTGGACCCCATAATTATGTGCAAGCAGTTGGAGAATCATGACTAACAGAACAATAGTGGGACACTGTCAATGCAGTCCAAGAGACCAACCGTGTCGTCTATCTAGGTTACGCGGGCGCATTCGCTAGTTTCTTCCAGACAGGTGATCCGAACGCGCACAAATTGACTAATTCCTCTGAGCCCGGTGTACCAGAGCTGCAGAAAACAGGGGAAGAATTTGTCATTGTTGATCATGGATTCGAGAACGTTCGTTTGGTTCAACTGAAGAAAAGATGCGACTTTTGGCGCAGTATAGGAAAGAACATCCCAATTTGATTAGATCAGGATAGATCAGATAAAATGAAGACTATCCTTGACTTCTGCCGAGTTGAATATCACATACCCATCCTCAATCCCATTCCTCTCAGGTTCAGGGTACTTCTTATGAATCGCCCACCTCGTCCTTTCACCCAGAACAGGTGTATATCTGCCTGCACCGTCAAGTCGAGGCAAACCTGTAATATCAAATAATGCTTATAGATATTGAACTGTCTCCCCACCATCCCACGATCTCATCATCGGGTATGACCGACCCGGGTCATCTGAAAATACTATTTCCCCAGGTAGTTCGTATCGTGTGATAACGGGCTTCCATTGCACACCTTCTGGAGGCTTATCGCCATCCCACCGACCTGCCGATCGACGTGATTGATATACAGGATGGGCAGCTTCGCGAACAAGAGATGTTGTCAGGTCCTGTCCAGAGGCGGAATTGCCGATGATCATAACACTTCTCTGGGTGAAATCGGTCGCGGAGCGAAATTGTTTAAAGTGCATCACTCGAAGACAAGAGGCAATAATGCAGAGTTCTTTGTTTAACCGAAGCCCCCAATCCAACCGAAGCCCCCGCTCCAAAAATAGCCACTGATTTGATGTGTGACATTTGATAGTTGGCTATAATAACTCAGATTGAGAAACTGAAGTTTAATATCAAGCAGTCGAAGACATCAAGACCATTCGTCAGCAATATTAATAAGGGGAAGTGCTTCGCAATCCTGTGCACCATGACGTGCTTCCAACTTTTTACAGACCGAAAGGAAGCTTCTGAAAAAGATTGGAGCCCTTTGGTTAAGTATTACAAAATTATATCAACCCAGTTCTCGGTAATAGCCAAATATTCAATTTCAAAATATCTCACAGCACACTTACATATCAGACAAAGAAGTAAATGAATAGATAACTTGCAATGAGTCAGCTTTTAGGCAACATTCTCAATATAAAACAGCATCTCCAACTCATGTCCAGTCCTCCAGGTGGTAATTCGTGCAATACGCTTAACACCTTGACCATAAGCAGCCAAAATGAACGAGGCAACGCACTTACCGATCCCACAGCCAATCAAAGCTTTGAACTCTGCAGAAGAAGACTCCCACGTATACTCATCAGGCGACCGATAGTCAATTCCCTTAGCACAGTAGATGTCGGAAAGAAGATCTGTGGTGTACGCGTTAACGATATTATTCACAAACACATACTTTAGGGTGTCAAGGGCAAAGAACGATTCATATGCCATCTTGGTCAGGTCGCTGATGTAGTATTCGTTGCCTTCCGATCGAGCAATAACATCAAGGAAGATAACACCTTCCCCAACTCGGCCGACCCAGGACATCGGTGGAAGTTCACGCTTGACAAGGCAAACATACTTGTAAGGGGAAATCGTGTCGTCTTGAGTATCCTGGGGTAGTGAAAGTCCTTCAATCCACTCATAAAATTCCCAAGGCAGACATTCGTCGGTGTAGTTGATTATCCATACCCTGTCGTCCATATCATCTAGGGTAAACGTACATCTAGGGATCTTGCATCCTGGCTCCTGAGCATTCTCCATCTGTCTCTGTAGATCACTCCCGTCCGATTCCCACTTACCGTTATAGCACTGGTGAGTCATTTTGCGTCGCTGGTAATGCGGTAAGTTAGTTTGGATTGATAATATTAGATGAAAGAAATGATTTCTTGGTTGTTAAGTATGCAAATGATGTGATGCGATCTTGATGTGGTGATGGACTCGATTTGTGGTGCCTCGATGGGCTTAATATACTACAACCCGGGTCCTGTCTACCAATATTCAGATCATATTGAAGCAAAGAATAGATATAATAATAGAAGAATATAATTAGAATAAAGAAAATTGTGGACAGGGAGAACGTTTGTAACAATGTATGAATGGGTCAAAACGAGCAATAAAGAAATGCATTCATCAATATAAATTGTTCCATGTATTCTTGCATAATAGTAGAATGCTCATTGTGCATATAAGAGACCATGAAAGAAGGATGAGTTCTAAAAGAAGGGGGCTGGGTGCTCAAGGCGAAGAAGTGAATCTGTGCAGACTCGAGAGTATAGATCGAATTTCGGGGAGTCAGAAGCATCCACCCATCATGCTCTCGATAAGGTTGTGACAGTAGATCGGACACGAAGTCAACCCCTGAAAAGCCAACCCCTGAAGTCATTAATTTGTATTTTGTTCATCGCTATTCACGACTTACAAGTACACAAAGTTCTATATTTAGGTCATACCATCCATTTCTGGTAGAAGCGGAATCTCTCTTTGTTTAAGAAATCTATGAAACCCATACTCATCTTTGCTATCCCATAATAGATACAAATCAAAGTTTCACTAGAGAAGTAGATTGACGCGGGCTGACGTCAAGAACGCACTGGAATATGATTGGTTGCAAGAGCTTCATATTTCTTGATTTGGATGACTCACTGGTGCGGCTCAATTATGAGATAATTCCAGGCAACCACCTTGTCTGCCTCAATTTGGTGGATTAATGTACGCTAAGCGGAGACCGACTTGTTCTAGGCATCAGCGGGGCCGCAGGTTACAGTGGGGTGCTACCCGAACCAAACCAAAATATAAGTTGCACTCAATCGCCATCTCAACCTTTCAATCACAAAATGCACGGCTATCCAAGACGAATCCTTCGAGGAGGGCGACGCCGTCTGCCTGAAGTCGATACCACACCCGAAAAGACATTACCCGACCTTGTCCCATCGCTCCCAGCGATCTCACAGACATCATGTCCCCTGTTTACCGTCTTCCCCGCAGAGATCCGGAACCGCATTTATGCGTTATCTCTCGAATCCGAAGACACCTCCTCAAATGACGATCCCGATTCTCTCTACCGCCGAAATACCTTCTACTATCGACCCGGATACAAGCAGCCCAAACGTATCCAAACCGCACTCCTCCAAACCTGTCAGCAGATCTACAATGAGGCATCTCTTCTCCCCACTGCTGTCAATGAACATACATTCTGGTTCTATCGCGCTCCGCCACATGTCAAACATGCATCGTCCCCAGTGCAATACTTTCGCAATATGACCCCAAAACAACGCGCGCAGGTGCACGATCTGCATTTTTTTACTCAGCAATATTTCCTGGAAGATAACCCCTGGTCGCGTGTTTGGGTCGGAATGAAAATGGGCGAAGATGGACGGAATATGCGCGGAGAGTGCAGACTTGCGCCAAAGAAGATCACTTTCACATTCCGGCATACGGATTGGTGGTTCTGGGAGAATAATGATCCCCTGGGTATGGACCCATTTCGATGCGGACGAACACGCGCACACGAGATGGATAGACCTGCCGGCCCTTACCAAGAAAGGGCATGGGGGAATCAATTCGCTTCTGTCCCCAGCCTTGAGGAAGTGGTTATTGAGTTTGAGACCATTATGCGGAAGCGGGAGCAGCTGGATGGCATCATAGAACGGGCCTTGAATTGGAAATTTCCAATGCAGGTCGATAATTCTGTGTACCTGGTTGCTGATCCGAGCTCCCGGAGTACATACAGCTGGATCGGGGCAAAGGAGGTGGACTTGAAGAAAGGAGCAACTCCTGCCCCAAGAATAATCGGACAGGACGGTCAGCCAGACTCGGATACTGTTCCTGAACCGGAACCCGTGCTTGCAGTTCCAACTTTGAAACCATTTGATCCCCAGTCTGCCTTAAGAACCGGTGATAGCAATACTCCAGGTGGTCATCTTCGGTATGATCCGCAGACGGAGGAGGAATTTTATGTGGTTTTCTTGACTTGGAGAAAGCAGCGGGTTGACTAGGGTGTTGTTACTGGCGCTTGAATCCTGGTAACATCAAGAGTTTATCCAGTTATTTCTTTCTTTTTGATGTTCACCAGTATCCAATATTCAACACTCTCCCGGCTGCATCCCGCGGATGATTTGACACCTGATTATTCGGACAAAATTATGATTTATTAGCCTTGAAAATTATGTGTAATTTTGGGCCTTTCACATGATAACAATCTTTCTGTTTATGCCAAATACGGTCTTGAAAGAAACCTCAAATACTGAAATCACGAGCCACTCTTTAGCAAGTGATATATGCATCTCAACGGCGATGAAGTCCTGAAGTCTGCACTACTGACAATAAACAAGATTGTATTTCCTCCTATCAGTAGCCACTTTGGCTTATGAAAACCCCGCATGATGTAACCACAATACTACCTCAACACATTGATGGTCTGTGTTTTCTTTCTTATCAATCTCCATCTTAGTCCCCCCACCCATCACACCCCACACCTGCATTCTGGACCCATCATGGATGGAGATCGCCTCTGAAAGTGGAACATTTAGAACAGTCGAGATTGCTTGTGACGGATATGATTTCCGTTATGGTAGCCTTGTGTTATGAGAATTTCACAGACGCCCGGTCCGCTAGATGAATGCAAGTGTCATGAGACTGATATCCCCTCGCATTCACAGGCGACGGGTAAGATCTTGGATGGAAAATTCTCCCCAAAGCCAAAAGCCACATTATGGGGGGATCTTGGAATGAAGGCGTGGCTAAGAGGACCGAGCTGGGGTATCTTACAGGACTCCGCGTATCTCTCTTCAGCTCGAGTGACCTAGAAAGAGATAGTGCTGAAATAGTTGACGAGTTCCTGACATTCGGCTGTATGAAACGAAGTCACCTTGCTAATGCATTGTGTATCAATTTTAATGCAACCCCGACGGAACTCCCTCCCCTCTTTCAAAGCACGAGTAGGGGCCCATGTTGATAGATAGGGTAGAATTGCTACCAATGATGAAAGTTTATATCCCCGCTTATCAATGAAACCATCTGCGGGTGAATCCGGAGTCAAATTATCTCAGATTAAACTAAATCCTTTGAGGTCCAAATTTGGAACAGCCATACGCATCATGACGCGCACGAATCCCTACTTGAAATCAGGAAACATGCACCGTTGGTAGGTGGAGAGTCAAATGCGCTAGTCCATAACCAGACGCCAAGACAGCTAATTAGACTTTCAAGTGGATCAACATGGGGGGTTGCCAAATCCTGATAATAACTGGTATAACATGGAAGAGTGAAACGTTCAGGCACTGAATGCAAATTCGGTCTCCTAATTCTGGTTTGTCATGAGATCTGCGCTCGATAATCGATAAACGCTAAGCTACTACCCCAGTGAAAATCCTTTATATCTAGTGCACCAGGCTTCATCACACCTGTAGCTTTTTCTCTATATCAAAGTTTGAACCAAGACACACTCACAAATATGGCGCCAACGTTACATCTTGTTAGACACGCACAGGTCTGTTTCCACCCTCCAAACAATGTTTCCCCGCTGACTTGGTATACCAGGGCTACCATAACCTTGGCCCTGAAAATTGGAACCTTCTTGATCCTGAACTGACCGACAAAGGAAAACAACAATGTCACGAATTGAGGCGTCAAGTTTTGTTCAGTGATTCAGTAGACTTGGTGGTCGCTTCACCAATGCGACGCGCCATACATACCGGACTGGAAGCCTTCAGTCAAACATTCGAGGCCAAGCCATGGCTGAAAATGATTGCTCTTCCGGACCTCCAAGAAGTTAGCGACTTCCCATGTGACATTGGTACTGAGCGCGCCGATTTGCAAAAAGAGATGGAGAAAGCAAATCTTCCAGTGGATTTAAGCTTCGTTGAAAATGACTGGACAAAGAAGGTAATAAGTCATTGTGTCCGCTTTATGAAAGAAATCTAACTTGGCTGTTCGATACAGACTGGTCGGTATGAACCAACAAGAGAGAAGATTCGAGCCCGAGCTCGGGACGCTAGAGCTTGGCTCAAAGCTCGTCCGGAGAAAGAGATTGTGGTGGTCAGCCATGGAGGATTCCTCCATTTCTTGACTGAGGATTGGGAAGATGCGTGCAAGTACGATGGTATGTTCAAATCAAGCATTGTAATTGAATCTTAACCTGGGCCTTATAATAACGTGGTATAGGAACCGGGTGGGCTAATGCAGAGTGTCGAACATACGAATTTGTCGCAAACATTGGTGAATTTAATGAGAAAGGCGACGAAGCTCCGATGCAAGAAACAATGGAATCACGTCATATGCGGGGACAAACTACCATATCGCCTACCATCAATGACCAAGAGCTGCTAAGCGGAGAGATGTTGCTAGGCTGGGCAAACCAAGGCTACCCGATCGAGTAAACTGAGACAGTTGAACTTTCGAAAACATAGCGGAATACGATATCACGCCGAGTCTTTAAGAATTTCGATATAGTATTCAGAAACCATATCTAGAGTTCTCGAAGAATATTAGAAGTACATTTGAAGGTCACGAGATGTTGTTCTTTATCATGTTATTGGTCAGTTCATTGGCTGCAAACCGCGTGGCTCACATGCACGACACTTGTTGGTGAGAGGGCAGCGGTGTGCACCGCTTGCTGCTACCAGAGCCTTCCTGGTAACAGCCTCAATAGTAGCCGAGAAGCGTATTCCGTGCAAGCCTCAAGACCTTGGAGAAACAGGCCATGTTAAACAGAGGGATGAGAGTGGAGGCGCTTATCAAGGACTGAAACAAGCGGCTAGCGCGTCGCGCCTAGCTCTCCAGGATCGCACGCGGAAGCAAGAATATTCGACGTCGCGGTTTGCAGCGCCTTTGCTATTGAGTGTTGATGACCCCTGCCACCTGTGAGGTGGGGCGGCATTGTTTTTCTTTCTCTTAGATATAGGATACAGTGGCTCATTTTAATTGCATGACAATCGAATGCGCACTGCTTTTTTTCAATTGTTTTCTGAGGTTAGCGTTCAGATACCGAAACCTGTCACAATAAGCTTGACCAGACATGACCAGACATGGTTGGCGGGCTGTTTCAAAAGCACTACGAGGACAAGTTTTGGTTAGCGGGTTGGCTCACAATTGGCGTTAGCAAGAGAGAACGTGTCGTAAGACGGTGCTGTAAGTGAAACCATTAGATATATCTCGGCTTCAAGAGCAGGCGTGTAGAGGTAGAGCACTTGGTGTAGCCATTGCAAGGTTGGTTTAGCATTTTTGATGGCTATTATTCTAAATTTGATCAAACAATTCATCCAATAAGGTGCTGTGGTTTAATGGCAGAATGCCGCATTGTGGTTTCAGTGGTGTTCATCCCACAATTCCCAACCTGCGTCGATCCCGGTTCGATTCCGGGCAGCGCCATATCTTTTTGCAATTTCTTTTTTACCATATACTCACTCCTGATCTGTCTATTATGCAATTTTTGTTTGCATAAATTTCTCCTAGCCAAAACCACCCATCTTTTACCCGGACATCCACCCGACTATTGACCGCACACAAGCCACATGCTTGAGTGACCCACCATATGAGAATTATTATCCGTTGTCTGTGACCAATTCTCTAAATAATAGCAGCCAGAGACACACCGCACTTCATGCCAGTTAAAAGTCAACTAATATATTGGCGTCGATACTTTCAGGATACATCTACCAGCCAGGTTCCCGTATATTGCAGGCTAAAGGGCTTAGCTAAGATATTGAACTAAATGTCATTCACAACTATGAGTAAGTTGGAGCGCTAGATACCCCTCCCACCATCATGTGTTCAGCATGGGACCATATTTTGTGGAGATCGGCACCCTTGGTAAGTTTTAATTACAGGGTGGAAGAAAAGTTGCTTGCTGTGCTTTCCGTGAATACTACTAGTCATTCAATCTCTTTTTCGAACATCCCCACTTGATTGTGGGAAGGAAACGGAAGTAATTGACAATCCGAAAGCCTTCCATAAGCCTGAGCGTATACGCTTGGCCCCTTTCACAGTTACCTTTTAAAGTTAGCGGAGCCATTTTCGACCTTGGAAAGTTGTCTTTAAGTGCCCGCTTTTGTTATCTCCGAGGGCCAGCCATCCTCTCGGCCTTGAATGCCCCTTCTATCTCTCCTATAGGCCACTTACATGAGCGATTGATGCTACCTCGGGTTTCAAAGAAGAACTGAACGCTATTACCAATAGGAAGCAGAATAGCCGATGACAGCTTTGGTTGTCGTGTGGAGAGAGCCGCTAGTGACCGTGTGTTTGTGGGGTAACCCCACGAATCAAGCAGCTACCTCTAATATACCGGCAGCTAAACTTCCTTTGGGCCGGGTGGTGTCAGAAACGATCAGGACCTTTCCACTTATGAAATAGTGCTTGGAAAAATGAAGAAAATACCATCAAATTGTAAATAACCTCCCCGCTTTCCCCAGTGATCCGGGAATTGATTTAACCGATCTTGAAGTATGTTATTCCCGATGTCATCTAGCGTATGGCCAGTAGCAAGTTTTTTATTTTAGAATTACGCACAGATTAATACAAATATGAAGACTATATAACATGCAGTTGGGTGCTCAGCGAATCCAAAATCCGTTCCAGTAGCTACAGCCTACAGCTCGCTTAATTCCATTGGCATCTTACTTCGTTGCATCTATCTCGCCTGGAGAAGCGAAACAGATATTTCCCCGCTTTTCAAGCTTCATCATGCTTATTTCGTCCTTTACCTCGCTCCCATTATTCACTGCTGCTTTTGCCATCAGTGGAATAATTGGTGGGAGTACAGCACGAGTGATAAATGGACGTCAAACATACACCCGTGCATTGGTTGCGAAGGATGCCGCGAGCACTTTGAAGACCGATGTCGATTGCGACTCGGCATTCTACCAGCTACTGAGCGCTCCTATACATATCAGCGATACTCAGTCCCAGACGATTGAGCTCAAAGCCAATTGCGGGTTGTCTTGGAATGTCACCAACGCCGCGGACGTCACTTCCTGGTTCGTCAACGATGGCGACATGTCGGCATTTACACAAGACAGCAGCGTTGCCCAGGCTATCGTAGTCGATGATAAGTTACTGACCATCCGACTTGATGCCTTAAGCATCACTGGCTTCATCTCCAATGGTCCAAGTACCTTAACAGTTCGGCCGCCATATGGAGCATTGAAGAATGCCGGGCAGACTGTCTACAAGCCGACAAGCACAACGGTCGGGAGATACCTCGTTCCAAAGCTGAGCATTGTCAGCAACATCACAGGCAGCGCCTACACCCACGCCAAGAGCACGCTGAAGGAGATGTTCGGAGTCGATGTCACATATAATGCGGACACACATGCAAAGCTGCTACTGGAGCTGCCGGGTTTGGAAGACTCAAAGATCGGCTATGAAAATGCCACCGTTACCCTCGCAGACGGCGATGGTTACTACACTTCCGAGTACATCCTCAAGTCCGACAAGTTGACAGGGTCTTGGATTAATGGAGGGACCACTTATTCTCTGCAACAAGGCGACATGGTCATCAATACAGGTGATTATCTCATCAAAGACTCTGATAGTGGTCGCGAATGGAGCTGTCTAGGAGGCGACGGACGGGGCAACTATATTTTCAACCTGAAGGTAGCCGGAATCACCTACAAAGGACTACCGGTGGCCGCCCAGACGTTCCGCACCCACGTCTACATCTACGGCTACAACTATACCAGCGACGCACTTACAAAGTATGGCGCAGGCACCACTGTACAGGCCGTTCTTGAGCCACTGAGCAAGAAAGTCGCCAATCCGCCGAAGCGCGGTAACGTGCCGGTATACACTTGGGTTGGCAACGGCGACAAGCCCAACCTTGCCGATGCCCAGGCCGACGACGTCTACATCACCTGGCCCGTTGGCACAGACGCGTCTATGATCAAGGCCGGTGACGTGCAAATTATTCTTTCTAGCGACCAAGGCGACAAGCTTGCCTTGGAGGCAAGCAACGACTTTGTGATTAGCACCTCTAGCAGCGAGACGCAAATTGCAATCACTTTGCAGAACTGGCCATTTGAACCAGTGTACACTACAATGACAATCACTGTGAGCGGAGGAAATCTCAAGGGTACGAAGCAATCGGTGGCTTCTCTTACCAAAACGTACGACATCGCTAGTGTGTACGTCTACCTTGCTCAGCAGGGCGGCGGTGGCACCACCATCGATGGCACTGTGACCGCATACAGTTTCTACGGGCTTGCAAACCTCACCCAAGTGAGCCAGATCGCAGAGGGCGCTAACTACACTCTGGGTACTACCATCGATGGAGTGCAGAAGTATTACGCGGAAACGGCCAGTGGCAGTGGCATTTTAGTCAACACAACGGCGGCCGCCGATGTATATGATGGGTCCGGTGTCGAGGACATGAATGTGCAACTAATTGGTAACACCGTTTACATCACCACAAGGGTCAATGCGACGGCCACAGAAAAAGTCGACGGTTTACCAGTCACTTTCACTAAGACCTACGCTGGTGGTGCCACCCTCTCCCCAGATGCTGCCAGCCCATACCTCTCAGGCCAACCCGGATATGTCCTCAACAAGACGTCAGACACTTGGATCTATCACGAGAAATGGGCATGGCAGAGCAGCATCGAAGCCGGCTGGGGCGGGATTGACGTCCAGCCATATACTGGCAAGTTCGAATGGAGTCTCGCCAAGGGTGCGAGTCAGCAGTTCAACTCCAGTGTCCCCTCGGTCACCTGGAACCTGATCGGTAACATTTCCAATGATACCAAGATCTCAAACAGCGGATATCTGACCATTGCTACCGACGAGACCGCCGATTCCATTGCTGTAGTTGTTCACTCTACTACCGACAAGTCATTCAATGGAAAAGGCACTGTCAACGTCGAAGTTACCGATTAAACAACTTGGTGTGGTGGGAAAAACAATAGCACAATCTTTGGGAGACTTGAAAGTGAGATGGGTAATTAACAAATAATCTATGAATTTCTAAAATGAGATTTGCGATATAATACAAGAGTACATCTTTCGCCAAATCTGATTGAAAAACGCACCCCTTAGCTGCAAGTAGTATCGGGATGGTCTCCCTTGAAGTCGCAGTAGATAGAAGATCCATCCTGCACACAGATAAGACCCGAAGCACATTTTTGAATAGCCCACTCGCCATTGTCGCAAATTCCATAGCTGCTACCATTGCATGAATAAGTGCCAGAGGTAGCACAGGTTCCTCCGGACACTGGGCAGACTTCAGAGCTTTCATCAGTTGTCAATGAAGCCGCGGTAGTGGTAGCAGATGCAGCAGTCGCAGTCGTCAAAGTGGCGGTCGAAGCGGTCGAAGTAGCCGAAGTAACTGCCTTGGCATTTGTGGTAATCATATGAACTACCGTTTTTGTGCTCTTAATAGTGACGGTCGACAGTGTGGTAGGAACGGCGGTGGTGGTCGCCTTGATAGTGTCAGTGGTGCTGGTAGAGCTCGAGCTGGTGGAGGAACTAGTGGAAGTAGTTGAAGCAGTAGTCGTAGTCACTTTGGATAGGGTAGTAGCCTTAGATGTGGTGCTAGTGCTGGTAGTGGACTTAGCGCTGGAAGTTGTCGCGACGCTAGTAGTGGTGCCAGTAGACGAAGATCCCAAGCCGGATGCAATGCTAGAGAGGAATCCATCATTGGCATACACTTGACTAGCATCCCACATCATAATACCACCAAAGCTTGTGTACCCTTCCTCAACAATGAAATCGACGATTGAAGTGATGGTCGATGCCGACTCGTATCCAGTTCCAGCCGCGGTGCTACCCCCAGGGATACCAAGGAAGACCTTAACATCGGGGTTGAGAGAGATAGTAGTGGCCCAGGTGTTCCAACTATCAAAGTTGAAATCAGCCTGCGTGGTGGAACCGGTGGTGAAGTAGTTAACACCGCAGTAGTTATTATAGAACTGAACCCAGATAGCATCGAAGTATACCGCACCGTCAAGCATCGGGTTGTCGGCGGCATCGGGGTAGGGACATTGAGGTGCGGCGGTGAGGTAGTATGTCTTAGAGGTGTCTTCAGCGAACAGGGTGCGCAGCTCGTTGGCAAAAGCAGGCATGTTTTCAACAGTAGATTCAAAGTCGAAGTCGAATCCATCGACAACGGAATCACCGAATGGACGATTGATCGAGGAATTGGTGGAGACCGGTCCAAAGGTTTGCCAGATCATTTTAGCGCCAGCGATAGCCGCAGCCTCGCTGGTAAAACCTCCCTCGCTATAAGTGGCACCGCCAATCGAAAGGAGGATGGTCTTTCCAAGACCCTGGCAAGTGATGATATCTTCTCTATTCTTGAATTAGACACGTAGGAGCTGTAATGTTGTAATAAATTAAGGTACATACGCGATTGTAGGGCAATCAAGAAGAGCAGTACCGTCAAAGGTAGTGCAAGCATTACCTGAATTGGCGAAGTTGACTTCGGGGGCACCGCCCTCACCGTTAATCACATCCAAAAAGGCCAGTTGAATGACCTAGTCATGCTAGCATTAGTATATATGACATTGATATTAGGAAGGTGGTGTTATCATACGTCGATATCCGAACCTATATGCCAAAATCAGTCAGACTTATGATCAACTCAGTAGATGAGACTCGAAGTATATACTTTCACAGTAATAAGCAAGATCTTGCTGGGCAAGGTCGCCAGATGATTCACCATAAGAGTTTTGACCCCAGTAGATAGCAACATTTGATGAGCTTGTCACGTCAAGTGCAGCACGAACGCCTTGAAAGGCATAAAGGGCCACCAGGGCCGCAGCAGTATTCACAGAATACATGATGAAGTTCAAAGGAAAGATAAATGATTGTTTTTATTTCGTCAAGAAATAATGTAAAAAGGTCGGCAGGCCGGGGAGGGAAAAAAAGCGACTGTAAAAGAATGACAGGCCGAGAACCGAATGAATGAATGAATGAGGGTTGGAGAAAAAACAAGACAGTAGGAATAGAGAGCTCTACCATTGTTTTTATACTATGTATTAAATGGAGTCCGAAATAAGATTAAAAGCCCCTGTGTATGATTTACAAGCATATATTTGCCTAGTGCGCGCCATTTTCTTCCCCTTCGCTGTGCCCATCCCTTGACTTGAGTCTACAACTAGGCCAAATTACATACATCATACTTAAACAGGAGTTTGATTGGTTCAGTATATCGGCGGGATTTCTCTGGTCGTTGTCAGCTGGACCCTGGTGGGCCAAGACCCACTTCATAGCTCTTCATGGGGCTTTGACAATTCTAACCGAGATTGACGGCGATGCGGAGTTCACTAACCGAGACCCCTTAAGCACCTCAGAGCGCCAAGGCGTGTTTCATCTGCTAGATCGGGCAAGGCAAGCATCGGTTTCAGTATTTTGGCAGACTTGGTGTTTTCTAGAAGATGAGTGTAATTTCCACCAAATCGATGGATTGAAACGACCTACTCTCCAAGAGGCTTTTTTAGAGCCGGAGCCTTGGAGTTTTCTTTCATCCCTTCTATACTTTTTTTGCTTCAACCCCGAGGTTCCAAGAGCTTTTAATTCCCATGCATTACAATATAGTCATAATGCTCTCCAAAGTTGATGAAATTGAGTTACTGTGTATGACCCTGTTTCCCAGCTCAGTGCCCATTCTCGCTACAATTTCCTCACAATAACAACTCGGTTTTGCAATCCCGCTAGTTCGTTTGGATCGTATATTGTGGAGATTAATATTTTGAAGCTGCGGTAATTGGCTCGCTTGCCAGGTCCGGTACTTTTTAGTGCGAAATTTGACTAGTCGTATACGGCATGTAGATAAGCTAGGGGTCCATGGCTTGGCGCCCTTCGGCCAATAGGAATATGCCAGGACGTGCAGATATAGTACCAAACTAACACAGGCATAGTCAATTGAGTACCCGTCTTTGATAATCTATCGAAGATACAGAATCTGAGAGGGTCACCCGAGCGAAGACCTCTGAGAAAAGTACAAATATAAGGCCGATGGGGACGGGTGCTGAACTTCCTGGTAGACTACTTAGTAAACTGCGACCCACTATTTTGGGCCGAACCTGGATCGGTCAATGTTAAACTGCAAATTGTTGTGAAAATCTTACGACAATGGTGCAATCACATCATAAATCTTCTTATTGACGTTTTTAGTCATATGCTGCTATGTGAATGAGAGCGCCATGTGAAGCAATGTCACAGGAGCTGCGTCAAATCAGGCGACCTTTGGCTTGGTTGTCGACCTGTCGAATTCAAAGGCCTTTTTTCACGTCCTGAGAATTTAATTTACCTCCACTCAATAAAGATAACGAACAAGTCAAACAATGAAAACGTGTGGGTGTGGAATCTTGAAAACTGCAGGTCATCCTGCTTGAGTTGAAGCCCCTACTCCTTGGCCCTCTGCAGCCTCAACGTCGGATTACCAAAGAAAAACATCATTTTCCGTGAGATTCAGATCATTTTGCTTGAGTAAATCTCCCAGCGTCTCTTTGACTCGAAGTGCCACCAGCTGGCTATACTCAGGTGTTCCTGGCTCTGGACCTCTCTTAGTCTTCTCAATATCTGCTTTTAGCCAAGGAACCCTGACAGCCCCAGGGGAACTAGTGGCTGCCTCTTGGAGCTTTGCCAAATCATCATCACTGTAACCGCCACCTAGAATTATAGCCTTAGGAGGCTGAGAGTAATTTTTCGAGCCAAGGCTGCTTTCCTCATTGGCGGGTGTAGAGCCAGATAGAATGAGGGGGAGATTGCGTAGGCCTCCTTCAAGGCTCATGATAAAATATATCACTGTTTATTTAGTGAGACTATAGCTCATGCTTTGTTTTGACCAACATTGTTTTCATGGGACGTTAGAGTACCTTCATAGTCAGGTTTCAATCCTTCAATCACAACAGAGCCAACGCTTTCCCTTCGGCCACAGACTATGACTGGAATAGCCATAGGTAAAAATCGGATCGCGAAATTGGGATTGGAGGCCAAAAGGCGAGATGGAGATACCTTTGCAAGAGTGGTTTGTTACTAGTCCAAACAAAGTGGCGACCGAAGGATGAGTTGATGACGAAGATTCCTAGCCAAACTTTACATCCCCGCACTATTTCTGAGCCTTGTGATAAACTCCGGTTATCAACCTTATCCGAGCTCGATCAATTTGGATACGAAAAATGAACCATTTTCAGCTTTACTCAGCAATATGACAAACACTTCTACGTCACCCCCTCAAAGTCGGCAATCTAAAAGCCGAATACCGAATTTCGCCCCCGAGAGCCCGAAGATCCTCGGGGAAAATGGAATACAAGAAGGTTGTGGATACCAAGCATCTCGAAAGTGACATCTCATCAATTCAAATGCCTTCTTAGTAATATCAGTACAATCTAACAAATTCTGCAATGGCTTCTTCTCTCACTACAATCATTTTCGGGCCCACAGGCCAAGTCGGCTCCGCAACTGCTCGCGCTGTGCAAAAGCTCGGTGCAAATGTGGTTCTTGCTTTGCGTGATCCCAACAAGCCTATTCCAGGTCTCACCTCAGAGCAGGAGAAGGCCGGAGGGTATCGAAGGATTCAAGCAGATCTTACTAAGCCTGACACCATTGAGGCTGCTGTGCGCGCCACCGACGCTAAGCGCGCATTCATATACCTCGCTCACGGTTCTCCCGACCATATGAGGAAGACTATCGAATCCCTCAAGGCTTCCGGTGTCGAGTTTGTTGTCTTCCTCAGTAGTGTCTCAGTGCAAGGTGATATCAGGCAGGTCCCACCGGAAGAGTACATACCGTATGCACATGCACAGGTCGAGGTCAATCTTGACGAAGTCTTTGGAGGCGGTGGTTATGTAGCTGTTCGACCTGGATTCTTCAACACGAACGCAACGTGGTGGCGGGGTATGCTCCAGGAGGGGAACGTGAGAATGGCCTACCCAGATGCCAAGGTCGACTGGATATCACCCGAGGACATCGGCAAGGTAGCGGGAACGGTCCTCGTGAAAGGGGCTCAGGCGACGGAAGGCGCTGAAGAGCCAACTTTCATTACTCTTTGTGGACCGAAGCTGGTGTCTCAGAGAGATGCTGTGAAGACATTTGGTGACGCCCTTGGAAAACAGATCACTGTCACCGAGTTGGATGAAAAGCAGGGTCTTGAAGTCATGTTAGAAAATGGTGTACCACAATTCGCCGCCGGGCCAATAATCGAGTCGATGAGACCAAAGGAGAGCGGCGATGGTGGCTTTAATCCATTTCAGGGCGAAGCGTACACAAAGGCGGCCGCCAATCTTCACAAGTATGCCTGGGATGTCTCAAGCCTGGAAGAATGGGCCAAGGCAAACAAACACATATTTTTATGAGCATGGAATAGCGGGGTTCAAGAGAAATAGTTTACAAAGTGCCATTGTCTGAATCCTTGGAAATCTGCTTGAATACAACTGTAGTAAAATTCAAAGTCTTTCAGTCTCAATAAGCAAGATTCCCCTGGATACATGGCTGTGTACAGGTAGAGTGCTACATCGCTATCTAAAACTTAGGCATCCGGGTTACTTAGATGAGTACCCAATTTCCAAACCAGGGAGCTGTCATATCATCAACATCATCCTCTTCTGTGCCACACTGTAGATCTGTGATTGACGCACTTAGAAGATCGTAAATTTTGCCCGAATAACCTGTCCCATCTTGTCTCATAATATTGATGTGCGATATATCCGAAGGCTACCTTTGACATAATTCGTCCCCAAAACGTATATTAACCGTAGAAGTCCAGATACTCCAACAACCAATGGAAAAAGCTGCCCTGTGGATGAGCAAGAGTACACGCCGCGAATATGACTCCAGATCAAGGTCAACTCTATTGCTAGAGTGAATATTAAGAAGACTGCCAACGCAATGCCGATACTTTTGAAGGAGAGAGATACAGTGGTGACATGGCTGCGGTCTTGATTGTCAGAAGAATCTGCTTCCATCCAGTGCACAAGCCACATACGACTGTTCCATCCGACCTGAAGCAAGCTGGCGAAGAAGGCAAGTCCAGACCCAATGACGGTGCTGATTGAAAGGACCTGAAGAAACGTTCGTACCCATCCGTGCAAATCCACAATGGCGAACAAGAACACCCTTGATGCACAAGGCGGATTGTCCATGTCATCTAGTCCTTTGAAGCTGAACCAGGCCATGTAAGCGAATGTAGCAAACGTGAATGCCACTCTCACCACGCCTCCGGCATCGGTTGCGAGAAGATATGAAAAGCATGATGACATGGCAGGCAGGTCGGGGGCCAGAGGTTTTTCGGTACTTCGTTGAAGGTTCTGGGAAAATACAAATGTCGAGCATATTCCACTGACGCAGAATAAGAGGAGAATGTATGCTTCTGAAGGGTAAAGTTGAGGATCTCGAGAAAAGGTCTGCCACATTAAAGCAACTAGCATAGCAATGTTGAAGCAGGTATTGACTCCACGCATGGAGTTGGCCTCGTCCGCCGAAAGCTGCGAAGCAAATAGTGAGGCGATCCATTGAAGATATGCGCCTAGTCGAACCCCAAGACCATATGTGTCGCCGTTGCCAACAAAGCCGCAGAGCTGCTGCGTAGAAGTCATGTTCGACATATTTTGACTAAAGCTTTGTTTTTCCTTTTCCTTTTTCTATGGTATAGTGCAGAAGGCCGTCTATCGGGCTTGCTATGGTGAGAAAATATATACTGGAAGCTGATAATTGCACCCGGGTAGCTGCAGATCAGAAATGAGGCTAAACGAACCACTTTGGGCCGCCTCGAGCTATATGCGTGGCGGCGTCACGTCCAACCACGCAAATTCATCAGCAGCCCTTCTTACGTATTGATGCAATACAACATATCCAAGCATTAGGCAGCAAAACTGTTTAATTGTCAGGATTTGACTTATTACGATCATAAAATTTGAAGGGATAGAGAATATGAAACGCCACATTATAAGCATGCTAATATGCACTTGACCAATTTCCTCGCAGTGGGATCGTGATTCGTTCACCTGACTGGAGTTTTTGACCATTCGGATCGATATCCAAACTGCCAAATTTGGCCATTAGGCTTTTCTCAAGAATAAGCCAATCTGGCTTTTGATTCTGAGTTGTCTCATCGGTCGCTCCCTTGGGGCTTTCCTTAACCTCTGGAATCTCTGGGATATTTGCTCCCTGCAGGGGAGTTTCTTTGAGCTCCACCAGAGACTCCGATTTAATTAGCACACTATCGTCTGGTGCTGGCTCAACAAGATCGATTGAGTTGCTTCCTTCCATGAAGCGGACGGTGATGCTATCGGTTTCTCCATGGAGAATATCAGCATCGTGCACCCAGTGGAAGAGATCGCTTCCCGTATTGAGATGAGCTCCAAAGCCATTGAACTCAACAATTTGTCCAGTCCATGTATGACCAACGTGTGTCATCAAGACATCCATTGTACAGGAATCGAATGGAAGATGCTTCTTGACATTGTCCCAGAGGTGAACAATTGCGTCAACAAAGCCAGGCGAATATCTCTGGTCGTCCTCCAGCTTCTCCCACCAGATATCTTGACAAATAGCAGTGACCCTGCCACGATCACAGAATACGCGGAACTCCCGACGAGCTTCAATGAAAGGGCTCCAGCGCTGTATTATCAAAGCCTCTCCAGGATCGGCAGCCCAGAATCGTTGAGACAAAGCGAGGAGTCTGCCAACGACCCGCCCGCTGGTCAATAGCCAGTGCAGGATGAGATCTGCATCAGCCGATAAGGGTGGCGGTTTCATCGTTGGGACCCCGGCTAAAGTAGCCCAACTATCTTTAGCGGATGTTGCTCCGAGACGAACAAAGATTTGTTCGTCTTCTGAAAGGCCCAGGTCGTCTAAAACCTCCTGGAATTGACGGATTAACTCTTTGCCATTGGGAGATGCAAGCGCAGCATTGATGCCAGAATTAATTGTCAAATGAAGCACGACACCTAGGATTTCTAACATGTCGCTCGAGAGAGGATGGATGGCGATCACATCGGTTGCCATGAAGGGTGCCAACGCATCGGTGTACCACACATGATACATGTATTGATTGTTTGCCTGAGCATACAAGGTGTTGAATGCATCGCTTCCTACACTCGCTTCTGGGCCCCATGGATGCAGGCTGTGATGGTTGTGCGAATTGATTCGCGATTCATGATGAAACGGATCACTGGCTGCAGACGCTTTTGTTTCCGACCAGGACCGTGGAATGTATTCGAGACGAACGATAGGAGGAACTGATTCAGTGGCCATGCTGTTTACCTTCTCGTTGCAATGTAATCATTTAAGAAGATTTGTCAGGTGACGGTTATCTGATGGCGATGTCAAAGTCCAGCCAATAACTTCAAGTTCAAGTCAAGCGACAAGAAACTCCTAATATATGTCCTTGGGAATTCAGATACGGGAGCTAGCCTGCAATTGATGATCTTCCTGCTGCAGAGAAATACGTGTCGAAGCGGCTCGTAATTTTGGTATGTTTCTATTTCTCATGGTCGAGATTTCGAGGCTCGCATTGACCTAAAGATGTTGAACGATGAAAGAACCAATTAGAACAATCGCTCCAAAAAGGCTGGCTTTGATTCGTACGTCTTGTGTTGGAGATGTGCATTGACCATGGGCTAATGAAGCATCAACCAATCTTGATGTTCACTAGATAGGATCCTTGCTTGTTTGCTGGGTGATGTCCCGCTGTTCAAAGACCCGGAAATCTTCGGAAAGCGCGGCAGTGTTGGAGGGCTTTGGGCTTACATGCAGAATGGTACCACTACATATTCTGGGATAGGTGCATGCAATAGCCTGCGAGGGGGGTGCGATAAGACCACTCACCGATTGTGTCCGCCCTCCCTCCCAGAAAAAGCCACAAAAAGCGTTCGATGCTGTAAAGGATAATGAGAATCGTCGTAAGTCCATGGTCTTCAAGAGTTTACTCAAAATTGAATTCAAAAATGCTCCTATGGAATGCTCTATGTTTTATGAACGAGCTAAATCTTCCGACCGCATAGTTCCCACAACATCCCGAGCCAGAGAAAGATTCCAAGTGGGCATCCTTCAGGGCCCGGGGAGCGGGGCTGTTCAACGCCCAGAATTTAGACCGACTGACCTCCATAGATTATGTCGTATCGGATCATGTATTAACGGTCTTATTATCGCCTCCGGTAATTTTGCCCGGGCAAACTCCATTTTGGAAATTAGAAGCCCGTATTCGCAGCACCTTCCAAGGTTCCGCACTCAAAAGCAGGGTAATACAAAGAGCCGCTTTACTCTTCGACGATCGGTACAAAACATGTCTGGTCTGGGAAAGTTAAATTATCTGTATCAAGGGAGGCTCAGGTGTCTCTCTCAATATTAGACTATAAGTGGAGGTGACTCTTTGACATCAACGAGCAGGGTTTTCTCAAGGACCTACTGATTTAGCCAGCGAGTACAGTCACTGCATTTTGTCAAGCATGGGTCTATGCCACTGTTACTGGAAAATGGCTAATTGCCTTGACTTCCCCTCATTCTCAGCCCCAGCCCCAGCCCCAGTCTAAAAGTTGCGCCTTTCACTCCCTAGCCTGCAGTGCATCAATGGTATCAAACGATGGATTCCTCATCTCTCCCTCAACAGCTGGTAGAGCTGCGCACGGAAGAGGTCCAAATACTGAATTCAGCGAAGAGCAAAGACGCACTGCAGGCGCATATTGAAAACCTTGGAAGTTTTATCGATCCCGTTCGCACTCGACTAATGAAAATCATTGAAATTTCAGAGCCAATTGCGGAGGCGTTGAATTTTGATACAAGATCAGATCGATATGCGCCACGCGCTAGATACATTTGGGGAATATTGAAACTAGTCATAGAGGTGAATAAAGACTCTATCGATTCAATAACTACCCGACTTTTCCTTGTATAATATACTGAGCAAGAAAAGTCCACGAAGAAGAATATTCCCGAGCTGAGTTTCATACTGCTCATGTACGACAACCTGTTGAGCGACCTCCCACGGCAGACATCATACGTGGAACTGATTCCACATTTACCCCATCTACAATCAGCCATCTTCGATATCTACACAGAATATCTGCGGATTGGCCTGCGAACGGTCAAAACTTTCGGTCGAGGTAATAATTGTAAGTGCTCACTACATCCTTTCTTTGCCTCGGCCGATACGTCGTCATTATGAGCCTGCAATCTTTTATTTATTTCCCTCTTATCTTAACCATGTCCAGGGCTCAAAAGGATGGCTTGGAAGCGAGATCAAAAGGCACACGAAGACATCCTCCAGCGCCTCCGGCGCATCAAAGATCGAGTTGAAGTGGAATTGAGACACTTCAATGTAGCAAACATCACAGACGGAAACCGTGCATTCATAAAAGCTCAGAATATCTCCATCGCCTCACCGACCACACCTGACAATGTTTTATCGGCTCCAAAGGCCCTGCCGGCAACGCACTTCAGTGTGCCTTTCTCCCAAAATAACACGTACTGCGGCCGAGAGGAATTACTCATCAGAATTCATGAATGCCTTCGTCCATCGGTCACCGGAACGCAAGATAGACTCATGTTCTTTGTACTATGCGGACTAGGGGGATCAGGAAAATCACAAGTTGCACTCCAGTACGCGTATCGATTTCGGAATTCATTCGAAGCTTGTTTTTGGATCACATGCGACACGAATGTGAAAATTACTCAAGGATTCGTCGAGATTGCACGCAAGCTACGGCTGGATGTCCACGGACACTCTCAAGCACACCATGTCGTTCGAGACTGGCTTTGTGAAAATGGTACAAACTGCCTCATCATACTTGATAACGCAGAAAGCCCTGTGGCTCTGGAGGAATACATACCACCTACGACTAAAGGTTCATTGTTGCTTACTAGTCAGGATCAGACGTGGCTCATTCAAGAATTCATTACAAAGGGCGAGCGACTAGGTTCATTTTCGAAGGCCGAAGGGGTTCGACTTCTAAGAACGCTCCTTGAGCGCGTGAACATGGACGTCAGTGACGAAGATGCAAGCGAGATTGTGGATGAGATGGGCGCACTTCCTCTCGCCGTCCGTCAAGCCGGATCATACATAACAACAACGTCTATTGATCCCGCCAGTTTCTTAGCCTACTACAGAGACATGAAGATGAGAGCAGCGCTAAATTCATTGGGACAAGGCTTGATTAGTTACCCGCACACCTTGGCCACAGTTTGGAAGCTCTCGTTCGATCGGTTGTCCCCGGCAAGCCTTCATTTGCTAAGTATAATGTCTTTTCTCGACCCAGACAGAATCCCGAAATCAGTTTTTGATATTGATATTCTGCGATGGGCGTACCCAGATACCTTCCAAACCCAGGACCAGTAAGCCTCATCTTTTTGTTGCCCTACCGAACGAGAATAGCGAATTCAGCTAATACCCACAATCCAGTGTTCTCCGCGCTTTGGGAGATATTAGTCGGTATTCTCTCATCGTATCAGTTCCTCCAGGGCAGGAACTATCGGTACACCGGCTAGTACAACAATACTGCTTAGATCGATTAACGACCTCTGATCGTCAAAGGTCCTTTGACACTGCCATACGGCTCCTCCGGCATGTGTTTCCCCGACAATCGCCATTCGCGGAACCCCTCAGCGAAGAGTGGCCAGAATGTGAGAAATGGATCACCCATGTCATCTCTTTGGGTAACCGTCTGGCACAGCTTGATGCCCAGCTCCTGTCAATCGAACAAGTCGCGGAGCTCTTTCTTGACGCTTCGATTTATCTATGGGAGCGGGGGCTTCTATCTTCGGGCGAACGCCTCATTATTACCGCAAAACGTATCTGCGAGAGCCAAAACACCAAAATTTTCAACAATAATGCTCTTGCCTCAGACATTGATGCATTTCAGGCAACATTTCTCGCGGAGCAAGGGGATCTTTCAGGAGCATTGGAATGTTTTGAGAGGCAGGCACAAGATCGTCGAAGCAACCTTGCTTCTATCCGAGACCGAGGAGACTTTCCAACAATGGTGGACGAAATCCAGTTATCCAATGCGTATAACAACCTAGCTGGGATCTGTCTCTCTATGGGCCGTCTTGCGGATGCTGAAATGTGGAACATTTTATCTCTGCGGATCAAAGAGTACTGGCATGCGCAGGTCAAGATAAATGACCACGTCAAACTAGACTATCTCCTCAGTTTGTCCTACAGCAATACAGCCAACTTATATGGTCGCCAACGGCGGTGGGAAGAAGGAGCAGAGTACTACAACCGGTCTTTGGAAGCCAGTAAGGACTCGAAAGATCTACTCAAACGAGCTTTAACTTTTCACAATTATGGCTGCATGAGATTGGAGGAAGGAAAGACTCCAGTCGCTCTTGAACTGTTTTCAGAAGCCTTTCACCTACGGAAGGGGAAGCTGGGGGACCATTTTGATACCGCTAACACGTTACACATGATTGCATGCTGTCAATCTCGATTAGACGATCAACCCACCGCGAGGTATATCTCCGAACTTTTTTCTTGTCTCTTCTTGCTGAATGCGCGGACTGACGTGGGAAATAGGGATTGTTTGCTGGAAGCAATCCGCATCCTAGAGGGATTAGCTCACCCAGATAAAAGGCGGATCGCACGGTCAAAATATAAGCTTTCTCTTGTACTTCGTTACCTGAACGACCCTGCGGAGATGCAGACCCACCGTGAGGCTCTCAAAATGTATCAGGCAGAGCAACCAAGCCATGACCCGTCGATAACGCTAGACGAGACTGCTTTCGATAACTTAGTCGCACACATTTAATGGAAAAGATCCATGATGATCTAAGATTTTAGCTGCAACAAAAGACGCGCTATCTTTGGATACTTTTGTCGAAAGTGTTGAGACGTCCTGACAATGGAACTCTTTCGTGGATCTTTTTGCATGCCGTTTCAAGGTTGTTTAATTGTATTTTTTATAATTTCTCTCACTGTCTTCACCGCTACTTTCTATGTAATATTTCAGAATGACGATACTCCGTCACGGTGTACACCTTCAAGCCCTGGGGCCAGAACATATCTTGCATATGATATCACATAAAGATCACATACATTGCTAGTAGACTTTCCTGTAAACGAAGCCACCAAAATATATAGCCAAACCGGTTTTCCCTATGTGTTGAAAAATACCAGAACTCGAACCTCAATACTCTCACGAGGTCGCGCATCTGGATGAACGTCGGGCACCTTAAAGGCAGTGTGGGGGCAGCCTTAATGCACATGGTCAGCTGAGAACTGCCGTGTGTTTGATGTACGCTGCACCAAAGGTGGCAAAGCTATGCCTCCAGACAAATAGGTAGGTGGGGCTTGGACTCACCAACTTTGGCAGATCCAGCCGGTCGCGAATCATATGTTTTGAATACGGTTACTTCATGCTCCATCTGGCCACTAAGGTAGTACCACTTGTATCCCGGGATATATAGGGGGTAGTAGCTTTCCCCATTATAGTCACGTCGCACATGGTCTGCGGCGACTACTCTGTCAGAGCGTACAGTACTTGCATCACAAATGGCAAGAGGGTAATCTTCAACTGCGTGGTGAATAGGTCGCCAAATACTAGGATCGATGTCAATATTGGGTTATATTCCTCTCTATGCGGATTCGTGTATCGAGCAATGATCAATCTCAAATTTTTCTTGGTTATGTTGAAATACTTACTTTATGACCTGAAATTTTCGTTCGAGCAGCCCCGGGGCTCGGTCTTTCATATGGTATTTCACTCTTTTGATTGCCGAAACTGGGCTTTGATCTAGACATTCGCATAAGAAAGTTGAAAAGAGCGCAAAATATCATGCGTGAATCAAAACCCACCAATATGCACAGCTTCTGCGGGGAACAGTCGGTTTGTTTGGTCGGCCAAGTTAAGATAATCCCCCTCAAATTGGGCCCCAATCAGCTTTCTATCGCTAGATCGTAGCTGCGATATCGGAATAACAGTCAGTGATTGGGCTGCAAATTGAATTGAAAGGAAATATAGTAGATATGAGCCAGCATACTCTCCAATCGAAAATGAAAAGATCTTGGATATCGGGCATCATTCCTTTTAGCAGCCGCTCAACTTGTGGGAGATAAACCTTCTCGATAGTGTCCTGATCAAAGACTGGAATATCAAGGCGCTGCTTTGCTATGCAAAAGCCATGGTCCTCTAGTGTGAACGACTGCTCCATGCCTCGAAGATCTTGGATTACTTCTGCCTCTTCGGGTGAGGTTTCGAAATTTGTGACGGGAAAATCATCGGGGATGTTGTCAAGGAGAAGTTCATAGGGCTTGGTTTTGTAAAATTCTGGGCTCCACTGAAAGTATCGTAGTTGAGCTCGTTGATCTTTGGCCATGGTAGTCACTGACATCCTGACTGGTACCTTTCACCTGCTTTGAACCCGAAAGGGCCGGGGGAAGAAGTTATTTTTTATACGGGGCTGGGCAACCAAATAATCTGAATTGGAGAAACGACCCCATGCCATATTTCAATATGTTGGGCAGTATTTTTATATTGGTATGTTATGGGAGCCTCATCACCTAATCTATAACATCCATAATTTGGTCTTCAATATAATATCGGAAAACATATTTACAGATAGGCACCACGCTGTGATTATCTTGCACAAAACAACCTCGGACATTATAAGACGACTGAAATAGGTTCAGGACAGTGGAGAAGCCCGAAGAAAACCTGCCAAGAACCATGATGACCTGGTCTTTTATTACATAGTGTTTGTTCGCACAAAGCCTGTCCTTAGGAGTACCCATCCATTTAACCTGCAATATGGGGCGTAGGAGTCTGCGGACCTATCGGTTCTGGCTTTTGTGGCCCTCCTCCTCCTCCTCCAAGCTTGGCCATGTCCCTATTGGAACTACTATCACCCTTCGACGTATTCAAAGGATCTTTATTCACGATCTTCTTCCATGGTTGTTCACGTTCAGATCCTTTTGAGTCCGATACCGGGGCGGAAAAGTAGGGATGCGAAGGCTTTGAGGCAGTGTTAGGGCTTGAGGAGGATAAAGTTTTGCTGGTTTTTTGTATTTTAGATTTTTTTTTTTTTCAAAGTAAGGAGCTATACTGCACTTACTCGGACTGCATGGTGCTTAGGCTTAGGTGATCGACTATTGTGATAATCGGTTATTTATGTGAAATGTTTGCTGTTCGCTATTGACAGGCCAAATCAATGCAAAATGGGGCCTTTTATGTACCAGAAACATAACTGAGGCTCAATTGCCAAGGCAAAATTCAGAAGTTCGCGTATAACTATCTGACACGCTTTGTTTGCCTGACTACCAAGTTGTGCCCGGGTTATTGTTGGGTCGCGGGTACTGCCGGCCCAAGAAACAAGAGAAGTGAGGGGAACAGCCCAATTAACAGATAGTTTTAACGAACCCTGCTACATAACTCAGCCCATGAAGGCCCAAGCGACTCTTTGAAACCAGGAATGCAAATTAATTATCACATGTCATCGGATACTCTCACGGATCGTTGATAATCCACACTTCTTATCGTGTTCTTCGTTAATTGGATATTTTGAGGGGATGCAGATGCCGAAACACTAGGGGCATTTGAAATATAGCCAAAGATAGTCGCACAAGGACAGCGTATACACGAGTAAGCCTGATTTCATGAATACGGAGGCTGGTGCGGGGATCAAGACATGGCGGTATGCGCGGCTTCGTTCAGCCAATAATACAGAGTATTTGTTACTCATGATCAGGATATCCACATAAAGAAATAAAGATGGTTTTGCAATTCCATTCGTCCTTTTTTCATTCAACACTGATTTATCCCCAAATAATCGGTAAGATGCATTCTGCTGATATTGAACCAGATATGATGAGGAGCCCAGTGTTGAAAGGAACTACCACAATAGTGACAGGTGCCGGAAGGGGGATTGGCAAGGCAATTGCATTAGCATTTGCTCAAGCAGGTGCCAATGTGGTTTGCGTCTCTAGGACGGCCTCAGAGATTGAGGCCGTAGTATCTCAGATTGAATCCTCCACTCCTGGGTCTGGTGTCGCAGTCATCGCAGACGTTTCAAGTTCTACATCTGCGAAGCTCATTGTGGATACCGCCGTCCAGAGATTTGGCCCCGTCTCTATACTTATCAATAATGCTGGAATCGACAAGATCAACACCGTCGAACACGAAAGGTGCTTTGAATCTTGGTGGCGAGTTCTGGAGGTGAATCTGCGCGGTCCAGCAGCCTTGATTCACCAAGTGCTTCCTAGTATGCTATCTCGAGGTACTGGTGTTATTATTAGTCTTGGAAGTCGAAATGGGGCGATAGACTTTCCCTTCATGACAGCATATAGTGCGGCAAAGACGGCTCTGCTTCGCTTTCATCAGTGTCTCGAACAGGAGATTCAAGGTCGAGGAGTTTCACATTTTTATCTCCAACCAGGTGATGTTGCTACAACGTTGACGCATCAACCTGGAGTTATTGACTTAGACACGGTGGAGAAGGTGCCTGCATTGCAAAAAATGCTTGAATCAACCGTCGGCAGAAGTACTGCTTCGCCATGCCATGTGGCTGATATATGCTTGCAATTGGCCTTAAACGAGAATTCAAGGCACCTGAGTGGGCGCTATGTTGACTCGGAACGGGATCTACAGCATATGATTCAAGAAGTGCGTGCAGATTCAAGCTTGTATCGGTTGACCATGATGGGAATCTGACCAAGATCTTTCTGTCTATCACATAACCCGTTCAAGTCGCGACCAGAATGACGCTAACATTTTCCAACATTCCATTGCTATTTACTTTGCATTTTAAATTCTTTGCTCAGGATGTTCATTCCCTTGTATATCCAGAGAATATGGCAGAATTGATTCTAAGTAGGGGTACTATGGTGAAGAATCACACTGGATCTTGCGAAGATACATGCGTCTTGTACAAAAAAAAACCAAGTCATAAAGAGCTAGATTCAAGGGTGTTATGACCCATTTTGAGAATTAATAAGGTGGTTCGAGATCTATGTAGATTTTCCAAGGGCTTGCGGGGGTCCAAGGGTGGCCCGTAACTCTACCCGTAGTTGACAGCTGATCAGTGATACCGGGTAAGTTTTGGGGTCATGACCTTTATCTACACAAGAAGTCATTCTCAAGCAGGACTTCCACCTTCTGATGTCAGAAGACGCCACGCTACTCAACATTCTTGTCCTCACTCGACGAGAGGCGTCACGTGTGCTGTCACGTGTAGGCGTAGGGCTCAGACCGCACTCAAGCGTGCCCAGTTCGCTGTTAAATACGGGCCTACGTTTCAACTCACTAACAACGCTGAAAGAATTATGCGATCGATTGAAAAAGCAATATTCGAAATATCCGACACAAGAGAGTAAATGAAGGAAGCAGCCTCACAACATCATTTAAAAACTGAAACCTTCCATTCTGTCTATCAAGGATCATGTTCAAAACATTCACCTCGATTCTCGCCGCCCAAAGTATTCTCCAGGCAAACAAAGAGTCGTCACCTCTGTCACGTCTGCAAAATCTCAGAACAACGTTAGAGCAGATCCGCCAGATTTCGGGCACAGCCGGTGTATCCATCGGTGTGCTGCATCATGGCCAGGAATTGTACAAAGAAAATCTCGGGTACTGCGACGTCGCAACCAAACAAGCCGCCGACTCGCAGACCTTGTATGGCCTGGGCTCCCTTACAAAGTCTATGACAGCGTTTGCAATAGGGGATTTAGTAAATGATGGCCTTTTGACCTGGGAAACCCCCGTAAAAGACATTCTACCGGATTTTCAGCATAAAAGCGCTTCTGTCACCAATCTTACCACGGTTGTTGATTTGCTGGCCCATCGAACTGGTCTCAGTAGTGATATATCATTCACCTTTCAGGGAGACGGGGAAGCATTGCTACCTGCGGAGCAAATGATACCGACATTCAACAACATGGACCAAGTTGAGTCCTTCCGAGGCAAATGGTCCTATAATAGTTGGGGCTACGCAATAGCCGGTCGCATCATCGAGAAGCTTTCCAATTGCTCTTTTCACGAGTACCTGAAAACAAATATATATGACAAGCTTGGCATGGAAAATACCGCAACACGAATACCATCTCATCATAGCGGACATATCGCGAAACCGTATGCGACCGACTCCAACGCGAACCCAATTCACCTACAAAGTCCAATGATATTTGAAGATACTTTATTCGAGGCTGCTGCGGGTGCATACTCTAACGTGGATGATCTGTTGACTTACTCCACATCTATCCTTACGGCCTACCGGCATGGTGGTGACTCAGCCCTTAAAGAGCTGGAGACTTTGCTATCTGGTCAAATTCCAGTTCTTGGTCCGTCGTTCCGTGAGCGGTCTTACGCAATGGGATGGATCCGTACCCAGCTACCTGGGACACTTGGTGTGATGGGCGAGAATATAGCTATTCTGGAAGATGTGGATGAGCTTCCAGAAATTGGCCAGGGTTCGCCTTCAATGCTTTGCATCTATCACCAGGGTTCGACCGTAGGGTACTACACCAATATCGCTCTCTTCCCAGAAACCCAATCTGCCATTGTTGTTCTGGCCAATTCAATTCCGTTGACGGATTCACCAGATACCATTATGCAAGCTCTTTCCCAGGCCCTCTTTGATTTTCCGAATCCAGTTGACCTTGTTTCGTTCACTGAGGATACTAGTAATAAGTTGATTCATAAATACAAACAACAGGCGGACAATATCGCATCAAGACGCCGAATCGGGACACGGGGATTCTCTTTACGAGAGTATGCAGGACGCTACATAAATGAGCTGAAGAATTTCGTGGTGGAAATTCACGTGGGTCCCGAGAACAACACGTTGGAGGTCTTATTCCAAGGCCGCGAATCTCAGCGATATAGCCTCAGACACTTGGAAGACAATATTTTCGAATGGTCCTTGTCGCTCGATGAGGAGGCAGAACGTGGCAGATATCACATCACAGAAGTGGATTACTTCCTGATTTACTTTCGCACAGTTATGGCTCAAGTGGATTATCTCGTCTGGACAGGCTACAAGTTCACTAAAATTATATGATTTATTTGGTCAAATAGCCGTGTGTCATTGCGTTGCACTGGAGGAGCAGAGGAGGCAAGGGAGCACAAGCTCATGGAGCTTGCTACAAGAGCAAAGAACGACAGAGAGAACAACGTAAATTGTGTGGGTGTGGAGGCGAGAAGGAAAGACCAAGAAGAAGAAGGCGATGGTATCTAGGTTCCGACAATATCATTTTCGAATAGGGTCAACGGCTTTCGGAGTCTACTAGTAAAATGAGCTTCAGTTTTCCCATTTGCTATAGTAAAATACCCAGTTCTAGAACTGATATCTACTCAGTGGAGTGCGATCGAGATCGGTGAAAATTACCCATCTGACCGATGCCCATGGAGAGTCTTATGATAAAATCTCCAACCACCTAGGGCGAGACTAGAAGATCAACCGGTATCCGCTAGTCAATAATCCGTCAAAGCAAGTTGGTGCTTTACTCATATACTCATGTGACTGCCTCTGAAGATGTATCAGGGCTTCTCCCTCTTGTTTCTTTCTTGTACTTTCAACATCCAGAATACGAGATTCTTCTATCTGTCTCATTATTTTGTGTCTCCTCTAGTCGTCATCCAGCGCCACGCGCTTTTGTTTACCAATAATAAACCTTCCATAAAGTCCCGCATCGTCCGCAATACGAGGATTACTCATCTCAGTGATGACATCTTGCAAGTTGACTTGAGAACTCTTTTGAGAATGCTATAGCTCTAATTTTTTTGCCAAGAATCAACCAATATGGCAGTTAGTGAGAACCGCTCCATCGCTATCGTGGGCGTTGGCCCATCCATGTCGCGCTCTCTTGCCCTATGGCTGGCGAGCTTAGGGTGGAACATTGCCCTGATCTCTCGATCGGAAGAACCTCTTTCAAAAATCGCGACCGAAATCAAAAATGCACAGAAAAATCCTGACGCTAAAGTAGTCTACAAGACTGGTGATACAAGTGATCCCAGTAGTTTGAAAACTGCCCTCGACTGGTGTGTTGAGCAATTCCAGTGCAAGTTGGACGTTTTGAATTAAAACGCCGCCCATGTTTCCGAAATAAACATAATGGATCTAACCCCTGAGGCTTTGGAATCCGACCTAAAGGTCTCAGCTGTTGGGACACTCGTTGCGGGGCAATGGTTTGCGCAAAATGCCCGGGTTGATCGAGTTGCCCAGGGGGAATATCCTGTCTTCCTAGTTACGGGTGGTCTCCTTGACAAGAACCCGGTGCCATTCTTTTCGGCACTCTCTATCTCCAAATCTGCCTCTCAGAATGTGAGCCGATTGTTTGCCCAGTGGCTTCCAGAACGATACAGCATTCTTGTGGGCATGCCCTTGGTGCGGGGAACAGTCACTGGCTCAGCAACAGGAAAATTCGAGGGCGGTGTTCATCCGGACGATATCATTCAGGAGCTATTCAAACCATTTTTTGAGGATCGAGAGAATCTACAAGATGGAATTGAGAGCTGGACCGTCGAACGAATCATGTGATACTGAGCTGATACAACCGCCGGGCTGCAAAAGCACAACAATATCGTTCAATTTCCGTAGTAAGCTTCGAGCCTCGTTCTTGTGAAATTATTCCACAATCCCGATGAAGCTACTACATGATTGTAAATTTCGCGCACTGCGAGTAAGGCCTCGAACAATCTGCCAGCCTCGGATATGGAAAATTCTAACCATTTGCATAGATCCCTATCATCCATATTACCGTTGCGACAACCCAGGCAAAGTTGGAACCAATGAAGCGTATATCGCCGCCACGTGGTATTACTTATCAAGAGAAATTTATCCAGAAGAAAAAGAATTCGTATACGAAGAAAAAACGGAAGGAAACGAAAGAAAATAAGCAAACTCATATACTCGATATATTCGCAATGCATAGTAGTTCAAGTTATGTTGATAGAGTGCCTCATGGCGCATTCTTCCTAAGCCGGCCGTGTTTAGTCGTACCTTGTTGCATCGGCATGCCCGCTTCACGGGTGCCGGGGCTCCTCCGCCCCCGGGCTGCCGCGCATCCATCGGGGTTCAACGCCACTCTCATTGGCCATCCAAAGGGACCTTGCAAGATACCATGCAAGAAGGTGGAGTATCTGGCTAGACGTGATTCTCAATCAGAAAGAACACTTGAATGACTGGCTGGCTCGTAAAGCATATGCAATAAATCGATGTTTTCTGATTTCCGCTATGACCTCCTCACCTGATACTATTTCTAGCCATGTGGTGAACAAGGTTCAGGTGTACTTTTTTTTTGTCCTCGATATTTGCCAGCATACATTTTTACAGCTGAAGTCTACGCTCAGCAGAAGAGAGCAGCCTTTCTTCACGACTATTCCACAATGGCGCTTCCTCCATTTTCCCGCGTCAACACAATTGTGTCCATTCAGGATCCCGCCAGTTTTGTGGCAAGTTCAGCCGAAGGGCTACGGTCCAGCAAAGCTCTTCCGGGGGCCTCGCCGCAGACAATATTGTTCCTCTCCTGGGGAGATGCGAAGTTTCGTTACATCGAAAAGTACACCAGTCTGTATGGTGAACTCTACCCTGAAGCCAAGATCATTATCGTCGAAACAGGCATGGCAGATTTCTTCTGGAGGCCAGAGTCCACTCAGCGCAAGCTAGTAGAGCCAGTGGTGAAGATGCTGAGTGAATTGGACGATGATACCCTCCTTGTACATGTGATGTCGAACGCCGGGTCAACGCGATGGGCCAAAATCAACAAGATGTATCTTCAATCAACTGGACGGACTCTGTCTAGCGCCGTAACGATTCTGGACAGCGCCCCCGGGCGCGCGCATTTCAAACAGACATGGGCATCTTTGGTACAAAGTTTGCCGCATGCCCTTTTACCAAGGATGGTTCTGGGATTTATCTTCGGCACTGTCTTGTGCATAATGCATCTTGGAATGCTTGTTCTTCCTGGACCCGATGTATATGACTCTATGAGAGCTCAGATGAACGACACTGCTGCAGCAGTGAAAGGGACCCGAAGATGCTATATCTATTCTGAGAAAGATGAAATCATTGGATGGGAAGACGTGGAGGAGCATGCCAAGGATGCCCAGCGGAAAGGCTGGTCAGTGGAGCAAGTCAAGTTCCAGGGGAGCACACACGTTGGGCATCTAAAGCAAGACCCAGATATGTATCGGCAAGCAATTATGAGGACATGGCTTGGAAGTTCAAAATTGTGAGCGAGATTGTGCTTGGGTAGACTCTATTTTGGGCAGGTTCATTCACTACAAGACTGTATCTAATTTTCAGTAATTTACTTGGTACAAGCTTCCAGACCCTATCAATTCTCTAATGTATTATAACTCATTTGCTGTCAAGTCGTATTCTAATGCGGAATCGATAAATCCAATCTATCCCCTTTGGTCAATCCAAAGCAATACAAGTCCTCCCAACGCGATCGTGTTCCAATGTTAAGATGAGACTGTAATTTCCTCTCATGGCAGACCTACCCATGTTGGCTGATTACCAAATACAATCTGCTGGTCAAGTTTGAGTTCTTGTTCGACGCTCAAACCGCTCAACAAGGCAGTCGGCCGTATCCAACGACGAGCTACTTCCATCGCTACAGGGTTGTCATCACGCGCCGCATCGGCAAGAAGCAGAACGCCGGCGCTCATCTTGCAAACCCGATCCATGATCTCGCGCCCATTCATGGTAAGATATTCCAGTGTGCTCGATGATATAGCCTTTTGAAATTCTGACCACTGTTCGGACAGGATCGCCGCCTCGGGTGCCATGGACTCTTTCTTGGGCAACGAAGACCTGATCCACCGACCGAAAGCCGCCATTACGTACGAGCCGATCTTGCCCTTCAGAACCTTGACGACATCTGTGGCAAGAACGTCCGTGGTGCCTTCCCCAATCAACGTCGCAGCAGAATCTCGCCAGAGACGCGCGACATTGAAGTCCATCTCATCATTTTCTAGGTAGCCGACGCCACCAAGAGACTCCATACCGACTTGCGCTGCGCTACAGGCATACATTGCCGCAGACGCCTTTGCGACGGAGCCTAACAGTCGCAGCAGACATGAGGCGTCCTGTGAGCTCTTGGGTACGAGATCGACTGGCGAGCTGACTTGCTGTTGCTCGTGCTTGGCTAGTAGCGCTACGACAAAAAATGCCAGCGCCATCTGCGCGCGGTAAGCAACGTGGGCCTTCGCGAGCGACTTCATATGAAGCGGCACGCTGCTAAGCTGAGTACCGCGGGCAACCTTACGCACCCTTGCAAACGCGCGAGCAGCTGAGAGAGACCGCCCCGCGTAGCCAAGTACGCCCACGGCCAGATGGATGCGCGTGATATTGAGCACGACACCGATCTCGTTAATGCCCTTGCCCTCCTTGCCGATCAGCCACCCGCGCATGCCCTTAAGCTCGAGCTCTGAGGTAGGTAACGGATGCGTGCCTACTTTCTTCTTGATGCGTCGGATACGGACGCCGTTAAGCTCGACCCCGTCAACCCCGTTCACGGTGACTGCGCGACGCATCGGGACGTAGAATGTGCTCAAACCGTTGGGTGTTCGCGCGACAGCGATTGCCATGGACGCTTCGGTACCCGTGGAGAACCACTTGAGACCGTCCAGTACCCAGGGTCCAAGAGGAAATCCGTCCGCATCCCTGGAGTTGTCGTCCTTGCTGAGCGGAGAGTAGGTGGCTGTAGTCTCGGTGGGCGTCAAATCACTGCCGCCGCCACGCTCGGTCATCCACAGCCCGGAAGTCCATCCTTTTTGATCATCGGCGGATGTGAGCCTGTCATAGGCGTGCTGAAACAATGCTCGCGTTGGTTTATCGATCTTTGAACCGCGTAAATGTGTCAGTAGGAGAGCAGCAACGCCATCCGACAAGATCAGGTGGAATATGCATGTCGCAGAAGACGGGGCAAATAAGTGGCCCTTCAACATCTGGATCATTCTTGCGTAGCCTTCATACTCATTGGCAAGAGAAGGCAAAGCAGCCAGTCTATGATTGTAACATCAGTCTATGTTTGCGATGCGCAATCTTGGATATTCTCAGAAACTTACCGTTCGGATATTCCAAGTCGCCATAGATACTTCCAACCTTGGCTCGTGACGAGCTCGTTTTTCTTCTCTCCCCAGCCATCCCAATGCTGAACGTGCACAGAATGGCGCTCGGTCTCTGCAATCCAATTCATCACTTGCTCAGAGACCGCAGCATCGGCGAATACAGAGAGTTCGCCTTCGGCATGCTTCTTGATCTCAGGCGACAGATACAAGTCGAGAATTCGAGCAAAGGCTACATCATCGTAGTACGGGCTCTCTAGCTTCGGTGTTGATCGATGTTTTTTCTGAGGTGTCTCAAATAAACCATCATCAGTGCCGCTGTTCTCAAGGACTTCAACCGTGGTCACCTGTGGCGTCTTGGACAGCTTAGAGAGATCCAGCCAAGTAGGAGTCTGGACTCGCTGAATGAATGACAACATTCTAACACCATACAATAGACACAATTGAGATGGGATCTATGAAGGCTTTTCTTGATGGTAAATCAATACAGATCTCTTGAGACGGCTTCCTAGTGTCTATTTGAACCTCCCAATAGTATCAGCTCTGTGGCTCGCCACAGCTGAACCACCACATCTACCACGTTTCTATTACTAATACACTCAACTAGATCCAGTGTTGGCCAATTCTGCGCTTGCCTCGCAATGATCTGTGTACAAGAGTGAGAGTTGATAACCCCATTGTACAGAAGTCTAAACGGAATAATACGCTTACATATTTTCGCCGCGTGGTCCCAATCATAAACAAGCGATAATGTAACGAAAGGTAATTTTATGATACCATCGCGAAAAATTTCTAGTTTCAGAAAGAATTAACTCCATGGCTTTCTTAACACAGCTCTTGTCGGACATCGGAGATCTCTGGGCATTCTGCGTAGGCGCAGAAACCAGGTTTTCTGTCCCGTATTTATCTCGGGTTATTTTCATTTCTTGTTCCCGGCTCCTGCGATGCGCAGCCTTGCTGATTTACGAGAGCAAGTATGCAAGTATTGTCGCCCCATGATTGAGATCCAGTATTTTTGCCGAACAGTTTGAACTTCATGCCTTTTACTTCTCCTTTTCAGTGTTCATGTGACTCCTCTAATGTTAAGCATGTCTTGCTTCACATATCATATATTGTACTTGTTCTCCTCGTACACGTTATTATACCGCCCGTTCATTGCAATAGACTCGCAGGAAGGTGGTTTTTTGCCTGTGCCAACTATACTCGACAGCTCTACACGTGTATTTTGATAGCTTTATCAGATCATTGCTATTATCTATAGAACTAGATTCCACCCCGACAAATAATTGGCTGGCCAATGGGTTGCATATACCCGAAGCATAGCCTCGGTCGCATAGGCTTGACCGCATGTCCCGGATTACAATATCTGAAAGAAGCAGGTTTATATATAGAATATGCAAGACCTCACAACGTGGCTGAAAAAGGTTTTATTATGAGGGGCTTCAGGAACTGGCCGGGGGGTGTAATACTCGGTAAACAAAGCCCCACGATGATGTGAGACCCTTGATTCAAGTTTTACTACAAGTACCTAGACCTGCCTACTGGGGTAATAGACGGGGACCCCGGCCCCGGTAGCCCCTTTTTCCATAATTGTAGTGTAGGCAAGATGAGAGGTATCAGCTCTGGTCGGCTGGGATGATTGAGTCGGTCGCCTAATTCTGTCTTGCTTTGAAGTTCAGGCCGTCTGCCGTAAGCCAGAATTTGGGGCCATTTTTGCCGGGTGGAAGATACTGGCCAACTAGAGTCTTCTCACTTCTACACTGTACCGCCAAAGCTTGCGGGATTCCATAGTAGGTAAGCCGCCTGCTCATAATGCTTCCGTTTCAGCTGATTATGATCGTGTCAAAGGATTTTAAGTATTTTACTGGCGTAATGGGCTTCCAATAGCCACTATGGCGTGCAGCTCCACCACTTGCAAGGTTCCTGCTACTATTTAATCCTTGCTATAGGCGTAAATCAGTGATTCTTGAAATCTTCTACGTGATTTAATATAAGACGTATCATAAAGAGTCGAGACCTTCGGAGGCATTGTTTATGCTCAATCGGTAGTCAGCAAGGTGGGGGTAGCTGGTGGAGAAAGTGGATCTTACCGATAATGGCCCACAAAACGGCTGTTGGACATAGTTCACCCAAGACAGTGACTGATCGGTAACCCTCCCGAGAACGTGCGTTACAGAGGTCTCACGAAAATCTGAAATAAATATATACCATCCGAGGGCGACACCAGTCAATGAACATGGGATTTAGCCCCTTATGCAAGACCCTGCCGCGGCTGGAGTCCTTACCCACACTCATACTAAAAGCCAAGAGCACCGAGCCCGAGGTACGTGCCCTGTAGGCTAATTGTTTCTTTTGGTATCTTGTGTATCTTTTAACAAGGCTACGACAAGGTGTAGCATTTAGTTGAGTTGCAAATACAGCACTGGCCAGGCATTGGCCTAAGTGTTCGAAACCGAATGACCTGAACACTCGCCGGAAATGCAAGCTCGCAACTTACAATCGCCAATTATAGGGCACGTGTGCAGTTCTATTGGGGGTTTGAAAGGATTTGACAAGTGCCAAAAAAAGATTCGTGTTGTGATCTACCGACTACACGTATACATGCGAGCCTTGCTGACTCGTTCTGACCAATAAAATCAAGCTCGTTGGTTTCTTTTCAACTTCGTCAGCATATCCGTCCTACCCGTGGATTAGGCTCGATATGGACCAATGCGCCGCTCTGTATATGTTCGCTCTTAATAAGACTCAACTGGCGGACAAAGGGCATCTGGGAGATCCCTGAAAACACTTCGTTTTTTATTTCGTCCTAGCTCACTCACCTTTACTATATCTCGGAAGAGGCGCTGGCCATTCATCTCCATATCCCTGATGACAACGGCGGATATTTCCAAATTAACTATTCTGTAAACAAAGCCGCCGTTAAGAATGTCTTCATCGCCCCGGGACATGTCCTCAACAGAGAAGAATCATAATTCAGCACTACCATCGACGAATGCTTCAGAAATCGTCAAATCGCCAGCCTCAACTCAACTGTCTGGGCCAGACGATAAAGCCCGATTTTTAGAGTTGCGAAACGGCTTAGCAGGTTGGCAGTGGAGTCTTTTCCACATAATCGTATTCTTTGGAGCCGCGATTTCAGGTATGACCCACTTTTAGAACTTTAAGTATACAGATTGCCATTCAAATTCTCAAGATTCCTTCCACTACTTAATACCTTCACCCGTTATGTTTACAGATAGATGCCCAGAGATGTGCTGACAGACTGCGATAATCTGCAGGTTACGATGTTAGCAATGTATCCACCATTCAGCTATCCATATACCAGGCGTTCGGACGGATTGATCTCCTCCCCTGGATCGTGACAGCGTTCTCGCTCGGTGTTTCAGCCACAAGTCCTACGATTGACCGGATAATGAAGCTGGTCGACTTGAAGTGGTTCACACTCAGTTGCTGGACCGTGTTTATCGTTGCTACTGCTGTGTGTGGAGCCTCTCCCACTATTGAAGGCATCATAGTCGGTCGCATCATTCTAGGTGTAGCTGGAGGGGGCTGTTACTTATCGTATGTGTTTGAACCACTACGCTGCTTACTCGGTGAAGAAAGCTGACTTGATCAGATTGTTGAGTTACTCGACGATCCTGGCTCGGCCCACTGAGCATGCAAGGCTCACCGGGCTGCTAGGTATGGGTTACGCCGTCGGCTTATTCCTTGGCCCGGTGATCGGAGGATCATTTGCACAGAACGAGCATGCTACTTGGAGATGGGTAGGTTTGTTTTGGGTCAAACTTGAGATCGATTTCCCAGCCCCAGTCTGGTCGAATGAACGACGGTGAGCTGACCGGCATACCAGGCATTCTACATCGGCATTCCATACTCGGGCATTATCATGGTACTGATTTTTTTCGTCTTCCCGCATGTACGATTACGTCCTCAAGAGGAAATTGGTAAAGGGCTGCTTCACATAGACTGGGTGGGTGCATTTCTGCATGCAGCTACGCTGACGCTCTTCGACGCAGCCTGTATTTTCTCAGGATCCACACTGACATGGCGCTCCGGTGTCATCGCTCTGTGGGTGATGTTTGGCGTCGTCACAATTATTTATACTATCCAGCAGGCATTCAGCCTATTTACAGATCCAGCGAAGCGCATCCTCCCCATTGGCGTCCTATCCACCCGAACCGGCTTCCTCGTTATGAGCGCCTCATTTTGCGCCTGCTCAGGATACGGCGTTGCATTATACTATTTGCCCCTATACTATGCGTTCACACGCGGCGACGACTCAATCCAAACAGCTGTGCACATGCTCCCCTATATCGGCGTTTATATTGCAGGAGCAATCGGTTGCGGCATGTTCCTGCCTGTCGTGCGTCGATATGCCGTCATGTATCTCCTGGGTGGAATCCTTATCGCGGCCGGGGCTGGATCCATGATGTCGGTCAATGCAAACACTTCCTTGAGTCAGACTATGGGAATCAGCGCCATCCTCGGATTCGGCGTGGGCTTGACAATGCAGCTTGGAGTGACTGTTTTGGCGCTGGCACTGCCGGCAAATATTCGCATGGACAATTCCATTACGATGACTCTTACCATCTACACCGGAACTACCGTCTCACTGGCCATTGCGGGCTGCATCTTTCAGAACATTGGCTTCGGTTTTCTCTCCAATGCTTTGCAACGGTCTAATTTGTCAGATTCGCAAATACATAACGCGCTTGCCGGACATGAGTCCCCTGTGTGGGCTATGCTCGACCCAGAAGCTCTAGATGACGCCATTTCAGCGGTGACTAAAGCCATCATCAGGTTGTTTTATATCAGCACAGTTGGAGGGGCTTTGATGGCTATTTTTGCCTTGATCATGAAATGGGAGGCTCTTGACTTCAAGAACACGAAGACGGAAACGGAAAGAGGGTCACAACAGGCGTCTTGAGAGCTTCTCCATCGCACTAGTAATTTCTGGATCACCTGGTTCATGAAGCGATCCACGTTTCCTCTCATGCTTTCAAACCACCGGATCATGATGACAGGATCCCACAATAATGGATTTCAAATTCCACGTTTTGTGATGCTAGCATTCAATCTCACTGTACAAAGAATTTGAGATCTTATGTTGCGTAGAACGTCTCAAGCCGGCAAAAATGCCAGATGCTAGCTGCATAGATCCCATAATGAAGGAGGCCATGGCACTTTTCTTGGTGAAACAAAACACCAATCTGATTTCCAAAACAAACCTCGGAAAGGGTGTGAAGAACGAGCTCAAGAGACTCGGCATGTAAGAAGCCTTGGAAGGAATTGCAGATAGGTAGACATGCATATTTAAATGCCCAATATTTGAGGACGGGTATTTGGGTTTATATATCTCGAGGTCGCGTTGTGTCAAACTCCGACGCCATAGGCATATACTGTACCACCTGGGCAAGTCTCCTCCCGATAAATTATATTAGCACACGTGAGAAAGGTGATCAGAACATAGTTTCATAAAAATGAATAAAAGGTAAGAATAGAGCTGTCATAAATGATTGGGAACAACCCGGATGAAATCCAATGTGGGATATTTTTTGACTGTTTATGCTTCAGATGGACATGACTGGTCACTTTGGCTTGACAATTTCTCAACACGATCGTCTTGAAGGCTGGACGGCTTCAGCTACTACACCTGGAGCTTTGTCCATAGACGACGAATAGACACAGTCTGTTGCACTCACACTAGGTGCAGTAGCCTAGCGGCGCTTTACGTGTATTTGACAGGGAGACAGCTACCAAGGACGACTGGGTGATTTTCTCATGCCCAATGCAATCTACAAATAATGAAGTAAATCAAACCCATGGTTGATCAGATGTGATATTCCACTTAACTCATCTACTATGTGTTTTGGACTGCGCAGGTCGCTTAGCAACCATTGAGAGATATTGGCCCACTAAGTCAGGCAGAGAGGGGTGAGGGATCGGAGCATCCATTTCCTATTTAAAAGGACGAACCGATTCAACTTTTTTGATTTGTCGGTACTGGGGTCAATGCATTTTCAAACCCTATAGATGTCCGAGCGTTTGTTTGATCATATCTTAAGTTGCCTTGGATAGGCTGAACCCTGCTTTTAGCGCGTATAAAGTGGGTCCTCCCCAGGCCGTGCAAAGTACTGGCTCCTACCGAATATGGCGAGGCGGAGAGCTGGTCCGCCTGCATAGCCACTCATACGGGCCCTTTCTTCCCAGCCCGAGGAGACTAATTACCAATGTGGAAGGATTGACAGTGTCTCCATCAAGTTCAACGTGCTAATGAGATTTGAGATGGGGCTCAAGGCATTTCAAGCCAATCAACCGTTTATTTCGGCTCCTCCCACTTTGACCGCAAGCTTTACTAGTCACTCCCTAAGAAGCGGTCCGGGTGTGGAATTCCTTCCCAACGGCAGTAATTAGTCGTAAAGGATTAGCCAGCGCTCACAGCTCCCATAGCTTCGTCTGCCCAGTTCCTCCTACGCCCACCGAAAGACAGTCCAAGGCGTGCCATCAATTATTCTCTCTTACCGCCGTTTATTCAGATGATACTAGTCCTGCGTAAGACGATCTCTTATCTAGCAACAGAATTCTTTGGATTTCATTTCCATCCCCACGGACCCGATGAATTCTCTCCGTGCCTGCCAAACGGCCGTGGCCGTGGCAGTGGCCTTTCTAATGCCGATAATAACTGTCGCGAACGCAGCGGCGCAAACAACTGAATTTGGTGCCCTCCACTTTATGTTCCCAGTACTGGATATGTCTCATGTGGAAGGAAGTGTCATTAGTGCCGACTCCACGGCCACCACTATCAAGATCGAATGCCGATCTGACTTTACCAACATATGCACGTCCGCCGGGTATGTCTTGCCGCAAACTTTCACGACCGGTCCATCAAATCAGGGAAAAAGGCTTGACGTGACCGGCTACTTCGCCAAGCAGATGTGGATTACGTCTGCTAGTCTTGAATGCGATGTTAGATACACCTCACTCGCTGCCCCTTGTGTCAGAACGACAAGCTCGTTTTTCTCCAGTGGGACGTTCTCCACTACATCGACATTGTCCGACTCGCCCACTTTATCCCCTAAATTGACATATAAAGCCTTGACGGTCATGTCAGGCTTGGATAAACTCCGAACTGACTCAACCGGTGTGATTACTACCACCACATCCGCTCCAACGGTAACCGTCACATCTACTACATCCACCCCAGACAAATCCGTTTCCTCATCATCGGAAGCATGGATCGCAGGCCCAGTAATCGGTGGCGTGGCCGGAGTGGCTTTGGCTGCGGGATTGGCGTTTTGGTTGATTAAGCGGAGGCGTAAGGCCAACGCTGGTGCTGAAGACATTGCGCATCACGAACTGCCAGCCGATAATCAGCGTCCGGAACTTCCAGGAGAGTCTACGCCAGCGGAGCTACCAGGCCATAAGATTGATAACAAGCTGGAGTTGTCGGCTCCGAATGATGCTCATGAGTTAGCGTGAGACATACGAAAACTACCGCGATTGCACCGATACTCCCGGGTATGAGCTGATTCTCCATACGGGTCTGCGTTTGATACCTGTTGAAAGAGCCTTTTGGGTGCATACAAGCCACCGTAGCGCTGTCTCTGCAGCTTTGCGAGCGAGCCTTCTGGCGCGCGGGCCTATGCATATTTGCACAAACACTTCGAGGAGCTCTTGAGGTGTCCTTCTCACTCCTCAAGGATATGTCCATCGAAATTCAAACTTCTTCGGATCGGACGACTCTTATATCTTCAGGCTCACCCATAGGAGCTATAATATTTCAAATCCTTCAACCCGTTAGTCTTCAACCATCTGACGATACTTACATTGCCTCTCTCCCGTTTCTAATATCGAAATGAGCACACACATTTGAACCTACCTTGTGTCTATGATGTTTACGCGTATCAGGCCTTTGAAGTGAAAGCTAAAAACATGATTGAAATGCTTCAATCATAGAAACGGGCTTTTTCAGAGCCTAGAATTATGTTGATTATTCCTAGAGCTGGTGTATTTAACATTGGGCTTGGCAGAGTTTCGGCCAAGCCATACAGGACGGTCAAACTCTTTACGCCTCAAAAGTTTTACAATTTAAGGGACGCCTTGAAACTTCTGATGAACATATTACGAGGCATTTTGGAGGAACATAACTATAAAATGATAACTCAGGGCCCTTCAATCGATCTGCCATAAATCACGCGGTAGAACGGGTGCGTGGCACTCATTATATTACGGTGGCGGGCATGCTAATCTTTGAGAGATTAGCATTTTGGCCTTTTTAGTTAGATCGGCTTTAATCTACCCAGGCAGTACTTTAGTAAGAACTTGGAAAGCAAGCCCAATTAACTACAAGCTATCCGTCATGGAAAAATTAAAGTGTGGGGGTTTCCGCATAAATGACGGTGAAACAATGTTTCACAAGGGTCGGGTTCCGCACCCTTTCTGGCAGCGGCTACTTTCCGAGACTAGTGATGGGGAACTAAATAATCTACATTAAGGGTTTTCTCGGCAGTACATGAAACACTTACCGTGCCAACCTGACCCTTCAATGGTATATGCTTAAGCATGCATCGTATCTGTGTTCGTATCAGGCCATGTAAGGATTCTTAGCCGTTTAGCAGTGTTTGTTGGGATAGGGTTTAAAAAGAGTGTAGATCCCGGGCGATCTACACGATCCAAATCAGACCAAAAAGCAGTAGCACCGACTTTCATCCCCCAAAATGCGTGGGACTTTCATTCTTTCCCTGCTTTCTGCGGCACTGGGTGCCTCTGCTGGTCTGACGTCTTCTAACCTGAAAACTCACGTCGATGTGCTGGCACTCGACAGTGCCTTCAACCCCGTCAAGGAAGCCTACTGGACTGACTATCCACACCACCGTCGCACTCCTTTCGCGGTGTCTCCTGATGGAACTTCTGCCTACATTGCGTATCTGGATTCTAGTGAGACCGATGTTCATGTTCAGAAGTTGGATCCTACGACTCTCGAGGCTACGGGCACTACGGTAACCGTCTCTGGTGGAAAGGAAGGTGTGATAGCCCAATTACCTGATATATTTGAAATATTGAGAAATTTGTGACTGATTGAAAAATATAGCCGGAGGTCTCGTCGCTCACAACGACGGTTTCGCTGTTCTGGTCAACGAAGCCATGCCTTCGGGCACCACTAATGCGCCGCCCAGTGATACCCCCGTTGCTGTGTTGTACCGCTACACCGATGGAAAGCAGACATGGAAGACTTGGCTGGGCGGACCTGGAGTGCACGCTTCTGATGGCCTCTCTTCCTCCCCGGACATGAACGGTGACCTCGTTTACTCTGAAAGCGAAGAGCTCTACGGTGCATACTTCGTTGTCACTGATTATACTGGGGACGCCTCCGGTCACTACGGTGACAGCATCCAGTACGTTACCAAGGCCGGAGACTTGGACACGATAACCGGTGCATCAAGCTCCTGGGGATGCAGCCACAATACCGGTATTGCGTTCGAGGATGCCGACCAGGCTCCCTTCGCCAGTATCTGCGCTGAGGACCAGGGCGCTATCTGGCTAAACACCAAGGGACAAGGCATGATGAATGACGGAGTCAAGATTTCTAACGAGAACACCACCAACGGTGGCTCTGGTGAGCCCATGGGTGGTATGTCGGGTAGTTACAGCGCGCTGGCTCGCTTTGCCGACACCACCAAGTACATCTTCGCCTGGGTTTCTCGCGGTGCCATCGATGTGACCGAAAACACCTGGATGGGCGACGGTTACACTCATGTCAACAACCGCACCAATGGCCGCAACGTTGCCATCTCCCTATTCACGGATAAGTATACCAAGGTAGGCGACCAGGCCACCTCGGTGGTTGGCACCGAGGACGGAGACAGCCAGGTCAACTGGGTGACCCAAGGATCGAATGACTGCTCCAATGCCCATGCCGCAACCTTTGGCACCAGCTCGGCCCTGATCACCTGGGAAGAAATCTCGAACCCGATCTGTGACTACATTGCGATGGGCTGTCGGGGACAGTTTGCGGGCACTTTCTTCCAGGAGGTGAGCTCAGATGGTACCAAGGTTGGTGATGCTTTCACCAGCACCGATGTCTATATTGCAGGTGACATGGTCACTATGTCGGATGGTCGTATCTGCTGGCCGTATGTCAGCATGGAGTGGGATTTGTCGCAGGCGGTTGGGTATGGTAGTACTTCTTCCACTACTAAGAACATGTCCTTCGCTTGCATGGGCACTGAAGAGATCACCAACGCCACCACTCCTGCCGAGACTACGACTACTGCTGCTACTGCTACCAAGACTACTGCTGCCGCTGTGGAGACTACTACCTCTGTTAGCAGTGCTGCTATTGGGACTACTTCTGCTGCTGCTGTCGCCGAGACTCCTGCAGTGGTTGAGAGTACCGCTGCTGCAGAGACAACTGTCGCCACCGTTGCGATCCACGCTTCCGCTAAGACTGTTACTCCTGCTGCCGCTAAGCAGGCTGTGCAGGCTATTACTACCTTCGCCACCCAGGCTCATCAGTCTTCGAGGCCCAGCACTGTCGTGGCTTACCCCAGCAGTGTTGTGACTGCCCCGGCCATCCCAACCGGCAATGCCCAGGATACCCTGGACTTTGTCCGAGCCGTGTTCAGATTCCTGGTCGGGAACAACTAAGTGCTGTCTTTTTTCCTGTTATCTGTATACTATGCCTCCTTAGACGGTGTAAGTTGAGCCGTGTCTCCACTAGCTTCGCCTTCTCTCGTTTTCAAGCTTAGCTTAGAACTTTCTTAGTAGTAGAATGATACTATAACGAGGGAATATGTGCGAATGTCAATAAGCTGGCTATTCTAGATGGTGATTGTTGCCTAATTGGATTTACTCTAGCTGAATTAGGTCAATGCAACCGTCGCGCGGAGTGTGATTCTTTACACTATAACCATATATATCGCACGCTAACTCATTCTTACCTTTTTAATATTATCTTTAGTCTTTACTATATATTGGTTTTCAACCAAGTCTAGTATAAGCTTATAAGCTATAAATTACCAAGGGCTATATTAGATATCGTAATTAAAGTGGTATTTTACCCCTCCAAAACCAGTTTTTCTGCATATTTTATGAAAAATACACATAAATTTAGACCCACTAAAATGGGCCCAGAATGGGGGCCCATTTTCGGGCCGGGCTCAGCCCGACCCATTGGGCCCGACCCATTTGCCGAAGCCTATGGGAGATAAGACTTAGGCCAAGGCCTGGGCGCGAGCTCGATTCCTATCTACGGAGGTATCCGGCTCAGCCGTTCAACCAGAAATTTGTATACTCCACTTGTACACGCAACCAAGGTCCTTTGGGGCATAGCTAAGTTCGCTAAGAAAAAAACTAGGTGACAGGCCACGTAATAGGCCCACCACATAGAATACAGAGGATGAGCTATTTAAGCCTCGACTTTTTTTTGAATGCTCTTGATATGACTAACCAATTGATAATTATTTCTGTCTATTTATCTGCTTAAGTATATGTATCGCTAATTCCTATCTTTCTCTTAAATAATTCCACAAAAGGAATAGGACTTAAAAAAATAGGATTCTAAGTCCCCGGGCTGGGATTCTTCAAACTCTTTAAGATCTAACTAAATACCAGTAACTTACCCTTTTCGCTACTACCTATCATACTATTCGCCTTTAGGCGCTCCACGCGTTAAATAAATAACGAGCATATACCCTAGGCTCGTTCGGGATAGATAATATAGAACATTTAGTCGTTATAGGGCCTTCTAATTTTCTCGTATATAGATTTCATCTAGCCTAGTTAACAAGTATAGCCGAGATAATACCGCATGATATTAACCCGGGTTCGTTACCTGATATCATAGAGCTAATTATGCGAGTAAGACTAGCGTATAAAGCTCGGCAAAATTAGATTGAACTATACCAGCATGCCATTAAAGAGTTCCTTAGTGTTGATATTAGCCTAGGATAGACTAAGTTCAAGCTTCTCGGTCACGAAATTAAATAGTATTTGATTAATACTTATTACATATCAAACGTGAGCCTTCAAATTTTGTATTTTATTGTGCTTATACCGTAACCGGGCCGGCTTACCCTTCAAATACTAAGAGTACTTGACAGCGTGCGAGGTAAAGGCTAACGTGGAGCTAGACTTCATCTAGTGTATCGACCGCGCTCTAGTGGAGTAAGAGGAGGCTATGATATTTGCCGACGCCTTTTAACGACCCAGGCTCTGGGATTACGACCTAGAATCCTAGACAAAAGCCGTTCCGGTTCAATCATTTAGAGCACTAGAATGCCGAGGTACTGCTAGCACTGATTACTACTGAGTATAGTGTCTTGTTCGACATTCGAAGTTCATTCATAGGATCTTGAAATCAAAAATAAAAAGACGCCATTCAAATAAATCCCGACAGCCTTCGAAGAATTTGAGGGGCGAGATGCAAAATGGCTACTATAATATGAAGGGACTACTCCGTTTGACTCTGCCCGGTTTTGAGAAGATCTAGATCTATCTCGTTCTTGGTATAACACAAGAGGTATTCCGAGTTGATCCGGTCTATTATATAAAAGAAAGGCTTCTGTGGAGCAGCACAGCCCCTTCAGGTTAGCATTGTAATAGAATACCAACCATCAACAGATAGCAGCACTTGTTCGCACGAATGAGATCTCCGTTGGTCTATTTCGAAGCCCTAGATAGAATGGGATGCTGCGCCATCCTATCCTCAGAGTCTGTTGCTTCAGATCCTCGTTCAACAGCATCTACTCAGAAGTTGTGCAGAAGCAACATCGAACTTAGATGTACCAATTCTCTCCCCCCTTCAGGCCGCACAACAGCTTTCAAACCCCAAAGACTTCCAAGGTGAGAATGTGGAGATTGTAGCGTCGTAAAGCGCTAGAACAAGCGATACAAGAGTAGCTTCATCTGGATTAGCTAGTTTTTAACGCTTAGGGTTGGTGGCAAGCTCCCGAAACGAGCATCTATAAAAGCCCACGCTCCAGCCCCCTTGGGCGACTTCCACTCAACCAGGGAACCCCAAAAACCGCCAACAAAATCCCCAATCCTTTTCCGTCAATTACACCATGAAGGTCCTTGCAGGTCTACTTATTGCGAATGCCATAGGCTTCTCTCTAGGAACTGATGTGTCCCTTCATGAACGTTCGTGTACCTACACAGAATACAGCACGAGCTGCAACACTGCCGGTACTGATGGAAATCGAGTCATCAGCGAGGCTCAGTTCAACTATATGGTTGTGGAGTTGGTGTCTACAAATGACGGCTCAGACACCACAGGTATCTGCTTCACTGCAACGAATATGAGTTGCGGCGATGATGACCAATACACATGCACTACGCGATCTCTTATGCAGTCAGAAATCAGCACAGCCCTAGGAGCATGTGCGGTGGATCACATTCGCACAGCGTTTACCAATTTGTATTCCGAGTGCGGCGGCGCAGGAGGTATTCGAAGCGTCGAAATAGGCGGCGAGGGGGGCAACGTGGTGGATTATACTCTATACGCCTTAAGCGAGTCAGTTGATGCTTGCCCCAGCGACTACCTTCGAGCTTCGGTCGCATGTGATGGCCAATGTGTCAATAATGATTCGACCATCTAGGTATGACTCCAAGCCATCTGTTCTCTCGTGGTATATTGCATTACTGATACCTTTTGCTAGATGGATTTATCCCGGCTATCAAATACGTTGCATCCGACTATGAGATGGATGCTACTTGAATGCCTGTCTCTCCATCCAGACTAATCGAATTTTGGGCAACTATACCCGATGCAACAAAGTTCAAAGGTTCCTCCTGGTGCACCTTCCACCAAACGCTGGATTGTGATATGGGGCTGAATGTCCATTCACTTCAACAAATGTTTGTGGTTGGTTTTGCTACGATGTCACATGGTCAGCTTTACTCCAGTGTTTCGATTTGCCCTTTGTGTCCCCTGCTTGCTTTCGATTTGATGTACAATATGGATGTCTTCGTTTTACAATGAATCCATGTCATGATAGGGCATGCCCGCGCTGTTATTCAAAGTTTGAAACCTTCAATGTTTATTTGGTATGTAGTAGCTAGTATACATTTATGTAGCTTTATGGAGTAATCTTCTGAGCAAATTTTCCAATCTATCCGATTTCTGTATATATTTGTCCTCTGCGACAGGACATGTGCACCTGATTAATATTTTTGAATAAAAATGGCAAACTAGTGCAAAACAAAACAATTCGTCGACTCGATGTATACAGAGCTGATTCGCATTACGGTATGATATTACCTCGGAACTGAATTCTTGATGGAGCCTACGATGCTCACTCATGCATTACTGTATGCCGAAATTCTCTTTCGCTACCATTTTTAGTCATTGTCTCTTTCTATAGTCAATTATTTAATTGTCTTAGAACTATGATGATGTGGGAATATAGTGCGGCAACCCTTAGTAAGCGCGCAGAGACGCCTTGATAGGGGAGGAAGAGAGAAACTAGCCAAGCTAGATAGGTGGGATAATCCCAGAAATTATCGTATGATATATAGGCTAGGCATGACTCATGCACATATTGGATTTAGTAAAAGCAGGATATGCACTGGGCATTGATGAGTAGTAGGGCCAAATCTAAGGAAGTGCCAGACGAACATAGGACAGAAAAGACAATATCACATTGCTAGAACAATTGATGCTTCATACCAGCTATTCCCTTGTATGGCGGCACTCTCCACACCCAAAATTTAGAGGAATGCCGTCCCATACATATATTTTCTCGATATTATGAGGGATTGCTCCCCTCGCTGACATTTCGGCATAGGTGGCGTCAAACCAAACACCATCTAGGGGATCATGAGCTTGTTGATCAGACGCGCGGGCGAAAATCTTAGATTTTATTTTATCGCGCTCATGTTCTTTAATATCGCGGCTGAAATTGTTCATGAAATCCTTTCGCTGCGTCCACTGGCTACCTCCGTCGCCAATCTCGGCGGAGAAAAACTCGATAATCCGCACAAATGGCGAAAGTGTGAGTAAGGAACTGATCCAGGAGTCATCGATCACTTCCTCAGGTGACATAGTATAGCGAATATATGAGACGAGCAATTGCATGCAATGATGTGTGGCAATTAAAGTCGGCGTGTTGGTGAAGGGGGGAGATTGAAGAATCTGCGTCTGCAATTCGTGATGCATCGACTGACGCACTTCTTGTATAATGGGGGTATGAAGACGGCCAAATTCATATTCTCCGTAAACCATGTTTCTATGCTCACTCCTAGCTGACTTGTACGATTCTAAGAAGTACAATAGATAGTACCTGCGAAGGATATTAGTAACTCAGCCTATGTAGTAAGAAAGTCTGCCCGTTTTACTCACATAAGTGGTGCGAGATAGAGCACTATGTTAGATATGCCTTTACGAGTATATGCTCCTCTTTCGTTTTTCTTTCTAGGGAACAAGGACCTCACGAGGGTAGGCTCGGTTTGTATGAATCGGTCCATCATCCGGTCTGCAAGATAGTAGCAAAGCCTCGAGCATAGGCTTTGTCTGCGACGCAAACTGGAAAGATACTGGAATGTATAGACGTATCCATCCTTTGTGTTTTTGTGTGGTGGGAAAAGGTCGGACAAGAGAATCACATCGTCTTCCGGGTTTCCTGTGTAGATCCGCTCGGTAGCAATAGGGGATGGAAGGGTGCCATGGCGAAGCTCATAGAGATATTGTCGAGCAATGTCGTGTTCATGGAGCCGAATGAGGTCATAGAGTGCTCTGCAGGCCAGCTTCAAGTTTGAAAAGTCTGAAATTTTGCAGCAGGCGAATATTTTGATTTTGATCTCGGCCGGAAGGCCTCTCAAGGAATTTGATGGATATTTGGCATTTTGCGGGCTGTTGAGAATAAGGATAGAACGTCAGCAATATATTCAATATGTCGGAATGGCAAAAGATTACCCCTGCGCTGGATGATGATCTAGGTCACATCCGGATGTTTGCCTGGCTCCTGATTTGCCTTTGTGATGGATAGCCGCTCGAATTTTCTGCACCGAAAGCATGAATTTGGCAAGGCCAGTCATCTCGAAACCCTTGCAGATATGGAATGATCAGCTCCGGCGAAGCCACGTATCGCCAAAAAGCTGTCTCCTTTCTACTTGGTACTGTATATTGCAGGAGAGATCTGCGGCAATAGGATTGGCGGATCGGACCGGACCGGAGCGGCCCTATCAAGCTTTTATGACTAAGCGCCAAAAACACTCGGTTAGCCCTCGGTCTTGCTTTCCTGTTTGGGATAGCCGTATGCTCAGTTTGATTTTGATCTTGGTATTATTGTTTGATATAGGGAGTTACGGCTCGTTCTAAAACATAGTAGTTCGAAAATGTACTACAATCCCTTCTGCTATATATATACACAATCGGAACTAAATATCAAAGGAAACCATCAAAACTTGCTCAAAATGGCTTATAGACCTCGGCTTTTCCATAAGGGAGGGCGGGGGCAGGAAAATCCAGTCACTAGTTGACGTGCCTAGTCTGCGCCATAATCAACAAATTAATTATAAACTTGAATGTGAAAGCCAGTATATGAGCACTAAAAAGGGGAGTTTGGGGTCACCCTGATACCTTCCTAGTTTGTAATCACTGGCGCCGTATTATCCCACTAGGACTTCGTCGCCGCGTCTACCAGGAAATGAGCAACGCTCTTTCGGCTAGCACTCGCCATCAGCGAAACGCCTTTTCTGTTAACAGGCCACTCATGCACTTCTAGCACGTCACTTTCCACCAGCCGTGATGGTCGCACAAGGACGAACTTCAACTCACTCTCACGCACTTCCCGGTCGGTATGGTTGTGATCTTCGTACTGATACCGCATGTTAGACTTGCTCATGAGCAATCGCAACAACCACGGCATATTCGATCATGATGCACCAACTCCGAATGCTTGGAGAATTACCACTTTGCGAACATCAAACTCCTGCATGGCTGCCACCACGTTGGCGTTGCAATCGGCCATCAGGCGCGGTGGGGAGATTGATGCGGCGAAGGGGCTATCGCTGGCTCGGGGTGTGCTCAGGGTCACGATTACGACCTCTGGGATGTTTTGCTTGAATACCTCCCTGACGTCGGACATTTTTGTAGGTGTGCCTAGGACGATTGTTTAGTTTTCGTATACTATTCACAGATAAATTGGGTTGACATCCATAGCTTTCACGATGTTCACCTTGTACCCTTCCAATGCTGGCGGGTCGCGGGCAAGTGCTGTGGTATGATGCCCTGGTACCTAGTATTAGCTTTGCTCTTAACTGGCTTGTAGAGGATATACAAACACACACCTCGATTATGGAGCCCTCGAGGACTAGTTTGCCTGTCCGGCCACTTGCACCAATAACAAGAACTCGCATTTTTCGTGAAATACCAACTTCGGAACCTGAGTATAAAATTCAAAGGGTTTTAATATTAAATGATTGACTTGTTGGATATGAGAAGCGAAAATATCATGTCTTTCTCCATGGCACCCGACTGTGCCTTCATACATGACGGTTTGTTGTATCGGATCCGAATGCCCTCCAACCACTTACTTAGAAGTTCCGAGTCCCAGTCTTAAGACCGTACATGTGGCCAATTAAGTTATCGCTAGCCTGACGTAACAAGTTTCAAAGGATAGTGCTAGTTCAAATGATTTCGAGGCAGTCAAAATGGGCCTACAAACTACTAATACGTGAGTGGGTTTGTAAATTATCTTGCTGACTGGGTAGCATTGATGACTGTCTATCTAGACTCTTTGAATTGTTGAGTCACATTTTTGAGGCTCAAGAAGTTGCGACCTCAAAAAGGATGTTGTTCTCCATGTGTTATCGGTGCGTTGTCTGAATTTCAGATCGGCAGCTGTTGGAGGACCCAGATATGGGAACCTTGAAGGTGGAAACATGGACCTCGGAGCTGAAGGTTGGAAAGAGCCGATGTTGAGAACTCGATAAAAGACCCAAGTTCAAAGATGGAATTCGGAGATGGATATTGAAAGCTCGAAAATGGAAATCGGCAGATAAAACTTGAAGAAGGATGTAGGAAGTTCGGTGGAAGAAGGAAGTCAAAGATGAAGCTTGGAGTAGGAAGTTTGAAAGAGCCGATGTAGAAAGTTCGACGGTTGAACTTAGAAGGTTGGAAGTTCGGTGGAAGAAGGAAGTCAAAGATGGAATTTGGAACTCGCTGCTGGTAGTGGGAAAATTTCGAAGCAGAATGTTTGAAGATGAGATTTGGAATGTTGGAAGTTTGGTGAAAAAAAGGAGTCTTAAGATGGAAATATGGAGCTCGGAGCCAGGAGTTGGAAGAAGACGAAAGCGTGAATGGACGTTTGAAGCTCGAAGATGGGAGTTGAAATCTTGAAGGCGGAACATGTAGATAGAAGTAGAGAGAGTTGAAGGAGGCAAAGATGATTGTCAGAAGTTCGAAGATGCAAGTCAGATGTACTTGAAGGTAGAGCTTATAAGTTGAAGATTGATGTTGTGAGCTCATATTGAGAGACGAAGCTTGGAGAGTAAATCTCGATGGAGGTCGCAAGGTTTGATGAGTGTGATTGGCGTGGATATTGATTGAGGATTGTAGATTGTAGATTGATGATTGAGAATTTGATAGAATTTGATGACAATAAGATTGGTAAGTGAGGTGTTGTGGTTTTGAGTAAGAACTCGCAGGTCCAGAAGTCAATTCAATGTTGAGTGGTTGATGTGATGATGTGATGTGCATGAGACATGATGTCTGAAAACGTACATGAAGCTCGTCACGGCGGGTTGGGGGTGTTGTTGATCACTGGTCTTTGATCTTGATGGTAAATTCATCATAGATGCATGCAAGCAACTTGAATGTTGCAAGCTGTGGTCATCTTGACCCATGCCTCACTGAACTTTGGCCTGACACACAAGCCTGTCGCGGGGCGATGACCCGACACACAAGCTTGCCGCGAGGTCATGACCATTCAGCGAGTCCTTAGGCTAGACTGCAAGCCAAAGAGCTATAAAGTGGATATCTTTACCAAGGTGATTAAGGTGTTTGAAAACAATCGTATATATTTTATTGATTTATCTAGACCGTGAGTTACAGAAGCTTTCGAAATCAGATATACGTATAAAGAAATTTCCTAGGGAGCGAGTAATGAGGGAGGGTCTGGTCGATGCGGAACGTCTTCTTGCTCTCTTCAAGATGGACCTAACTATTACTGAGAGTCCGGATGCTCGGCGACTCTACTATATAGGTGGGAGTATTGCCTTCCGTAATGTGAGCTTCTCCTGCTCGGACCGAATGATTTTAAAGGATATAACCCTAATTGCCCTATCATGAATAATAGTTAGATTGGTTGGCTTAACTAGCTCTAGTAAGTCAACGATCTTTAAGCTTCTTCTATGATTATTCGATGTGATATCTAGTAAGATCGAAACTAATGGTTAGGATATTAAATATGCGACTTTTAAGTCTCTTCGCGAAGCTATTATAATTATGCTTAAAAAGACTTAACTTCTATAGGACTTATTAATTATGGAAAATTTGCGATATACGCGGATTAGTGCTACTAATAAGGAAGTTCGTGTTATATACTTGAATACTATTATCTATGATGATAACCTAAGCATCATAGATAGCTATAATAGTATTATTAGGGAAATTGGCCTATTTAGGGGCTAAGAGTAATATATTAATATTACTTAAGCCTTCCTTAGGAAATCACTAATTATTTTACTTAATAAACCTACTAGCAACGTTTACTTAATAAATAAGACAAAGATCATTACCTCGCTAGAATAGCTAAGACTTAAATATACTATCTTTATTATCGCGCATCGTCTTTTAACTATTAGTAAAGCGGATTGAATTATTGTTGTATAAGATAGGAAAATCGTCGAACGTGGAAATCATAAAAAGCTAATAAAGAAAACGCGAGGAGCTTACTAAACTCTTTAGGGCACTAGTATAGCGGTATTAATGGATAACGGAGAAGTTTGAATAGGTATCTATCTATATTTATATCAAATATAGCTAAGCTAGCCTATTGGCGATAATAGTATAGATCCATAGGTATATCCCTATCTATAAAGCAACCGGCGAGTGGAAGGTCCTATATTATTATGCGCTGGCTTTTAAATATAGAATCGGGATCGGGCCGGGCCGTTAATCGTACATAATATCCCATTAGGGTAGTTTAAAATGTTAGGTATGAATTAATTGCTTCTTGGATGATAAAGAGTGACCACGCAGCTTTTTCTAATGCTCTATCTATCAAGCCCCGGTAGGAAGCTTGGTCTGAAGGCAATCCACTTGCTGTGGTATCTATCGCATATTTTTCTTAATCAAGTCTTCAATGGTCTGAGATGAATCTTGGCGGCTTTTTATCTTACCTTTACTGTGCGCGGATCTCGCAGGTCGTCTATTGTCAACTTCTTCAATTCCCTTTGCTATTCCTTTTCTGTTCTCTACGCCTTTTGCTGTTGCGCTCTATTTGTGGATTTTCTGTAGGGTGGACGGTAAGACTTAAAAGTGAATCATGAGTCTCTCGAGGAGCAGTCTACATAGAAACTATCTGTTGGGTAGGATCACTGCATCAATCTGCTTCACACGCTTTGCTCGATCACTCTCAACCTCATACGTTGCGTCGCGGACAATTGAATAAAGGAGACAGGCGGTGGTGGGTGTAACTTCATAGAAGTCCCCAGCTTTGTCATGATCTCCCATCTTTTTTCGTCGCAAAATGGTTGATAGTTTCGATTTGTTGCAGATTGTTTCAGGGGGAAACAAGCAATCAAAGCAGATACGGAGGCTGATGTGGATTGCACTGATGGCAGTTACACTGCAAAGCACAGTCAGTAGCTGGCTAATGAAAACGGTGACAGAAGCTTCGTGATTTTACCAATGCACTAGGATAGGATACTGTCAAAGCACCGTAAAAGTATTTGCATGTGTATGACAAGTTCAGATAGTCGTGAGAAGTGGGCAAAAATCCGGAGATATACAAAAAGATGTCCAACCTGCAGAAAAGAGCGGACGTTCTGTTTGTCTCGGTTTGTTGAGAGCACATAAGGTTATCCGCAAATAGACCTGCGGTTGAGCCTTTCAAACGAATTTTTTCGAAATGTAGTGCTGGTGGAATATCAAAAACGATAGAAAGGTGGAACGGAATCACCAGAGAAATCTTGCGTCGAGGTGGTTATGGAGAAGGAAAGGATCAAAATAAGCGCTAGGCTAGACTACAAACTCTGGTCACCTGATTTCTAGGCTCTCACAAGGTTGGAAAGAAAGGGCTGGTAGCAATAGGCCAAACGGGCTCAACTGTCAATTCAGCCCAACTTCAATTGTGATTCCAGCCACACAATTTCCCGCCAAACAAATGTGTCAGGGAGAGTGTTGCAGTCTCTGTGCCTCGATGTGTTGACGGTCAGTCAGGACTCGCTACAAGTAGATGGAACCGGATACTCAGCGGTTCTCTGGTGTTTTGGTCGTGAAAGCTGCGTGATGTATTAAAATATCAGGGTGCTGGATAGTAGCAGGAAGCTTACGGAGATAGGTTGAGGAAAACAGTAGGTGTGTGTCAGCGGCAATTGCTTCAAGAGCAGAGATAACTTCCGCCATCTCCCCCTGAGCTCCGCTATGGAAACGCGGAATTCTGCGCTGCTCGTGTGCTGCCGTCTGGAGACGTATGCTGTTGGCGAACTCTACTGTAGGTGCGGAGCTCCTTCGCCTTCACGAGTGATGGAAACGCATGTTTGGTTCGGCAGCCCCGATGTAGAGCCTATCATGGGGCGTGGTCGTGTATGATCTGCCAATCCAGAGCTTCTAGCTCATGCCCGAGAATCAAGAGGGCTTGGTTTAGTGAGCTTCAGCGGCAGAACGTGTTGAATTGGGGGGGGAAAGCGAAGATTGTCTACCTTGACTGGTTAACCCGCCCCCGCGGCGAGATCCAGTGTGAAGCATCGGTAGTAATGGAATTCGACAATCCAATGGTTGCGAATTAAGGAATTGATCAAGACCTATACTGGAACTCGGAGGTCCACTCCGTCGTGTTCTTCTGCCGAGTTGGCAGGGTCAAGCTATGCCGCAAGTGCCAGAAGCCAGGGCATGTTCAATTACACTACCCACACAGAAGCTTCATATACGGTCAGCGGAGGAGCACCCGACCTGGGAGTCCCCTTCAACGCGTGGCGGCATGATTCGAATCAAGTATGCCAATTGCTCAAGGGGTCATAGGCCCACGAGCCTTGACTACTCGGTCAAGAGAAAAGCGTCGGCCAAGGCAGAGCAGATACTTGCGGAATGCCCGCCATATCACCATTTGCCTCTCCATCTCCGTACACAGCGCGCTCTAGCAGCTCCAGGCCCAGGCCCAGCTCCATCAGCAACCCCAGCATTCAATTTCGTG